CCGACAACAATGACACTGCCGCCCATATCACCACTAACACCCAGTCTTCGTCAAATGATGGTCCTGAAATGGACGAATCTCAATGAGTGCTGAGCGCCTAAAAATCGCTACTTTCAATGCCGCTGGTCTTAGGACCAAACATTACGAATTATTCCAAGAATGCACCACCTCACAGATCGATATAATTTTAGTTACCGAAACTTTCCTGTCAAAAGGAAATATCCATACCAAATGGAAACAATTCCACAACTATGGCCAGGTATCGGCTCATCGACCATTCGATGGGCTGTCCCTCTTTATCCGTCCCGATTTTCCACACCATGTTCACCATCTGCCAATCACTGATCCTTATGTTATTTCGTGTAGGATTGGTCCCTATACCCTGCATGGCCTGTACCTCCCTCCTCGACTTTCTCTTGCAGAGGCCGAGAAAAGGTGGCGTTCCTTGGAGATTGACGATCACACTATTGTGTTTGGAGATCTGAACGTACGTCTGGGCAGTGATACTGGAGATCACCGTGCCAACGACAGAGCCCCTGCGCTACGCAACTGGATCAGTACATTGGGTTTAACCTTGTGGAACTCAGAATTGGCGTATGGCATACCCACTTTTGAAGGTCACCAAGGAACAAGCATCATTGATTTTTTTATCTCGATGCACACAAACATTCTAGACGTGCAAATGCAAATAAGGAGTGACTTGTCACTTAGTTCCGACCACCACTTGTGTGAGCTATCCTTTGTACCTGTGCCCATACCACAGCTTCCCAGAGCAAATGCTGCCCGACGCCACTGGAAACTTCAGCGATTCCAAGATCCTGAGGTATTAGCCAGGTACGCTGACAGGCTAAAAGATCTTACGGGTGATCTTTTAGAAGGGATCTCAGTTGCGCTTTCCGAAATTGAAAACAACCATGCGTCGCGCGCTTGTAAACTGGAGGGCTTTGTGAATAAACTCATTGAGTCTATTTACGCCGCCTTGGATCACAGCGTTGGACCATCCGATTCCCGTAATAAAACCTGGAAATGGTTTTGGAACGCCAATTTACAAGCTCTAGCCAACCGCCGTCAAGCCCTCTATCAAAGGTGGAGACGGTCTGGCCATGACTTTGAACGCCTTACAATTCGTCGCCGGTATGAGGCGGCTTGTGCCGAACTGACACAAGCGATACGAATTGCGCGACGCATCACCTGGCGACAATTTTGTCAAAAGATGGACCAAGACCCTGTGAACATGAGTAGTGCGATCAAACGGATGAGGCTTCGGCAACGTTCAAATGTGACCCTCTCATCACCAGAAGGACCACTCCATGATGCTAACCGTATGGTGACCCATCTGGAAAGTGTGTACGGCGGCTCTGTCGACCTACGTTCGGAACCCTCACCAGAAATGGATGATTTCCAGGACAGTACACGAATCCCATGGACTCAGGCCACTGTTTATCAAGCGATCCGGAACTTGCCGTCCCGGAAAGCACCAGGTATTGACCACATACGAGCAGAAATGCTCAAACCTGTGGCTGATCACATGAGCGTCATTCTCCATAAGCTTTTTCACTTATGTTGGAGGTGGTCGTGGACCCCAAGGCAGTGGCGAACTGCACAGGTAGTCCCGATCTACAAGAATAAAGGTTCACCATCGGACCCATCCAGTTATAGGCCCATCAGTCTTACCTCGGTTTTCCGAAAGCTGTTGGAGCGTTGCCTGGTACCTGAGCTTCTCTCAACGATGCCTCAGTTAGACATTGCGCAAGGTGGTTTTCGTGCCTCTCGGGGTACTCTCGACCAAGCACTTTGTCTCGATGAACTCATGCGGCTTTATACTCGTGTCCAAGGGCAAGAGCAGTTGCCTACTCCCCCGGTGGTTGTTTTCCTCGATATTAAAGCTGCATATGACAGTGTCAATCGCTTGATCATATGGGAACTTTTGGGACATTATGTATCCCAACGACTGCTTCGCTTACTGCGTAATCTCTTTGATGACATTGTCGTCCAAGTCATATTACAAAACGTAGCGTCCCGGGAAATTTCGCCAAAGCAAGGTGTTCTTCAGGGCAGTATTCTTTCTCCTTTTCTTTATTCTATCTTTATTGATACGTTACCCCGCTTATTGCGGTCCGTATCTTCTTTTCCACAACTTATTCGCATACCTAAGCCAGCCACTGGGCGTTCGCTCAACCTGTGCTCAAGGATGCCTTTTTCTTATTCTTCCACTCATGCGAACCCGCGTTCTCTTATTGATGAGCTGCGGTCTAACCATGATCCTTATTCTGCTCCCCATGATCCTCGCCGATCTTGGGCCCCCATTAATAGTTTGCTGTATGCAGATGATGTGGCAATTATTGGTTATCCAGTAGATGTCCATCGGATGCTTGCAGTAGCTGAAATTCATTCTTATCTGTTTGGATACCGTTGGAGTCCCACCAAGTGTGAAGTCCTCAACGCTCCGGCTGATTCTTCTTTTTTTCTTTACAACAACGAACTCCCTGCTTGTACTTCTTTTAAATATTTGGGGATTCCTTTTTCTCAGTGGGGTATAGATCGTAAGTCCTTACTCGCGCACTCTAATCGCAAGACAATCGCAGCAATGCGGGCGTTGAGTGAGTCAGGTGTGCACATGTATGGCTTTGGTCTCACTGCCTCACTTCGGGCTTACAAGATTTTTGCGAGACCTATTCTCGAATATGGTTTAGCGATCTGTATCCTTTTCCGAGCTGACTTGAAGGAACTCGAGGACACCCAACGGTGTTGCCTACGGATGTGTCTCAGGCGCCCTGCTTTTTGCAAGGCAATAGGGACCGCCACTGTGGCCTCACTCGCTGCTCTCCCTTCTATGTCTTCTCGTTTTCTTATTCTACAGGCCAAATTTGTTGGTCGTGCTCATACACTCCCTGCTGATACACTCTTGCGCTGTATTATCCCGCAGCTTCAGACTCGCCGAGGGAACGCGACATGGAACAGGCTACGTCGCAACACCCTCTGGAAAGAAGTCAAGACGATCCAAGCTGAACAAGCACGTTCGTCTTCTCGGAACCAGCCATTGGATCCATTTAAAGTAGCCATCCGAAACCATCTTCAAGGGGAAATAGACAAACGTCTTGCTAGTCGCCACCCACCAGTGACGATTTCACGTGGACTTTGTCGTCCTGTATGGGACCCAATCCTGTTATTGCCGGCCACCAGCAAAGAAAGACATCGTCTTATCCGTTGGCGTATGGCCTGGCTCCCACCCACTCCTTCTGTTGCCTGCCGATGTGGTGACCCCAAAGCCCATCGTGCTCATTTTCTGGTTTGTCCGCGCACGGATTTCTTTATCCAAAGGATCCTGCAAATACTGCCATCGTCACCGCCCGACCAAGTCCATCCCATCGATTTTGCCCTTAATCAGCTCCCCCGCCGACCAAAGGTTAATCTTCGTTACTGGCAACAGCTCTGGCCGATCCTCTTGGAACTCCTCCGGGAGATCGATATTGCAACATCTGACACCGACTTTGAATCAGAACCTCCACCTGGTAAACTACTCCTTAATGCATGTGTGGCACGTCAACAGCCCACATTGCCTCATTCCAATCATTAACGTACCTCTCATCCTTGTTCCTCGTCATTATCCTCCGCCCTGGCCATTAATTTGTGCGACTTCGCTCCTTACTTTTTTTTACCATTTTGGATTTTTTTCCCTTTTTTCCTTCGTCGATCCTTTCCTTTTTTTAGATTTTTTGCTATTTTTTTATTTTCTTTTTTCCCCTTTTGGGGTTTAGCGACTATATCTTCCCAAAAACCCTTAAAAACACCGAGGCGGCCGAATCAGCCCTTGTGCGACTGGCCATTGCCCTCTGAATAAAATGTTTGAACTACACCATTGACCCAATCGGTTTCTCCACTAAACATCACTTTTTACTGGATCCCAAATTTACCGTTTTTTGCAAATTTCCTCCCATATCTTGCTTAATAAATTGACAACCCCTTCAGAAAATCACGTAGAACCCACCAGTAGCCCTCCAGCCATCGACCCTGCAAGTACCGAGACTTGTACGAGCCTTACGCCTTCGCAACAAGCTTCTAAGCGCAAAGCTACCACTTATATCATTAGAGATATCTCGAAAATGACCGCGCCAGCTACCAAAACCCGCACCCGTACCTCAGCCGTAGCATCGCTCAACAGCCTTGCTACCATAAAATCGTCAGGAATAAAAAAAGGAACCAACCATCGCGAAACCGAAAAAAACCTACAAAAAAAACTTTTATCTCCATCCGAAAAAAATAACCAATGCCAGTCACTCGCTCCCCAATTTTTGGCAAATCTTCAGAGTGATTTCCAAGCCCGATACGAACAGTTGCCCTGCCCCCACTGCAATGAAGTTGGAAAAATTCATGCCACTGGACAAACCAGTGTGCAGTATAATCCCCCGGCACCCATTTTTACTTGCATCTGTAAAACCGATTTTTCGCATCATGAGGTTCGCCTTTTATTGAATGCTATTCTTACCCCACCGGGATTTTCTTCACCTGCGGAAATGGAATTTGATTCTATTGCCGACGACTCCGCAACCAACACCGCACCCATTCCCCAAGCCCCTTTGGTCTTCGAGCATCATGATGCCCTGCCCGACTACCTCAAGGTACTCGTCCACAAAGTCACTACGCTTGAGAACCGTGTCGACGAACTTAACGCACTCGTGAAAGAAAATCAACAACTCAAAACGGCCCTTAACCAAGTTACTGACGAAAATCAGAAACTTAAACTTCAGCTTTCTGCGGCGCTTGCTCAACAACCTCAACTGGGCACCATGGCATCAAAATACGCCTCGCAACCTGCCACTGACTCTGGACCGGCCAATCTTGAGAGTGATGATTTCCCAGCCCTTTCCTCTGCTGCCCAAAACCAGCATAACAAAACCTGGGCCGCCCATACTGCTGCACATCGACCTCCTCAAAAAAACCGTAGGCCGATTTACCGCGTCAACCCCAATCCCTCTGCCAAGCAAAGCACGATAGGGATCCGTACCTTCATCCCTCCTGGTCCAACTCATGGATTCCAGTACGTCTACCTTCCTTCCCGCGGCCGCATACCCATTGGCCAGCTCCGCAAAAACCTGCACAAAATTGGAGTGGACAATGTCCGTGTCCTTGATCTGCATTACCCCGCCCGCCAAGTAGTCGCCGCCCTAATTCACAACGATTATGCTACCGATTTCACCGCACTTTTCACCAAACATGGTGTGCACCCTATTGCCGACTTTAATCCCGCTGATCCCAAACACCTTGGCGATCCACAGTTTAAGGACCTCCCCATTACCGAGCGTACCGCCAAAGCCCAAGAATTTTTTTCAGCTCGCATGATCAAAGCCGTCAATGGTATTCGCTTCCCTGTGAAATATGCTGTTGCCCGATTTTTCGCCTCCCAACAATGGATCTCACCAGAGACACTCGCCCAAATCCTTCCTTCGCGCCCCAGCCATTCTACAAATCACACTGCTCCCTTAGTGACAGACCTTTTCTATCCAACAACATCTCCCAGTTCCGCAGAAGCCATGCAAACTGACGACATCCCAGCCGAACCCATTACCTTCAGCACCCCAACCTCAGATAATCAATGATGACCGACCTTACAATTACAATATGGAATGCCAACGGCATTAAAAAACAATTGATTAACTCCATTTTAGATCATACACCCGACTCCACTCTTTTATTTATTACCGAAACCTGGCTACTCACCCCACAATCCTTTCCTACCAACTGGCGACAATTTCACATCTATGGTCAAGCCCACCCACGCACCTATGTTGGCAGCATGGGTATCTCACTTCTCATCAACCCTTCCTCTCCTTTCAAAGACTCTATCGAATTTATGCCCCACGATCCTTCCTCACCATATTATAATTATGTGTTATCCTGCCGCCTCGGTACCATCCTTATCCATTGCCTATATCTCCCCCCCTCTATCGACGATCCTTTTGCTCTTGAAATACTCCAATCCCTCACTACCGAATCCGACACTACCACCACCACCATATTCTGCGGTGACTTTAACGCCCGTCTTGGCCCTCTCCTAGGTGATCATCGCACTACCAGTCGTGGCACATTATTTAATAATGAATGGCTGATCCCACATGGCCTTACCCTATGGAACACTACCCTTGCCTTCGGCCAACCCACTTACTACCGACTTGACGGAACCAGTATCATTGATTGGTTTATCAGCACTACTCCTCTCCTTAATCCCTCTATGCAAATTCGCGATGACCTCTCTCTAGGCTCCGATCATAAGCTTGTCCACCTCACCTTTCAATATGCCAACCAACCCTCTCCTCCTCCTTCCGGCCATCCACGTATCCTGTGGCGCCTTGGTAAATTATCTAATGACTCCTTATGCGAACAATATACCACCGACTTCCAAGCTTCTACCCGACCCCTCCATTCCCTCTTACAACAACACCTCGACTCATCTACACCACCACCCATTGACGATCTCTACACCCAATTATGCCAAAACATTTACACCTCTCTTGACGAGAGCGTCGGTAGAAAACCCCCACCATCATTTAACAACAACCAGTTCTGGACTCCATTCCTTCAAGCCGCCATTGACCATCGGGAACATTGCTACAAAAAATGGCGACGTGCCCGAGGCCTGAATAAAATTACCTGGTGGATCCGCCACCAAGAAGCACAAGCCAAAGTCCGTAGAGCCGTTCTCCAGCGTCGACGCCAAACCTGGAAAGAATTTTGTGAACGCCTTGCCTCCCAAGATTTTTCCAAAACCACCGCCACCATTAAAAAACTAAAAAAAAATCGCCACCTCTCTCCTTCCTTTGTCCACCCACTTGGGCCACAAGCTGCCGCTGACACCCTTGCCTCTCATTTTGACTCTGTTCTTGCCGGTAACCTCCTGCCCCACACTCCTTCCAACAATTCCGACATCTCCCCCACGTCCCTACCTTTTTCCGATCCCTGTCCATTCCTTCAGAATACCGTCACCGAAGTCCTCTCATCACTTCCTCGCCGCAAAGCTCCTGGTGTAGACCATCTACGCAGTGAGATGCTTCAGCCCATCCTCCCCACCTTAACCCCACTCTTATACACCATTTTCCAACTCTGTTGGAAATGGGGGACCACACCGCAAGCATGGCGAATAGCCCAGGTTATCCCAATCCATAAAAAAGGCGATGTTACTGATCCCGCCAATTTCCGCCCAATCAGCCTAACCTCAATTCTCCGCAAGGCTTTTGAAGTCTGTCTCAAAATCCCACTTGAGGATACCGCACCTCCGCTAGATCCTGCGCAAGGTGGTTTCCGGGCATTTCGAGGTGCCCTTGATCAAGCTCTCGCCCTGCACGAATTATGCCGTTTCCATCAACAGTCCTTTGGTAGCCCTCCGGTTCTGGCATTTTTAGATATTAAGTCTGCCTACGATACCGTCGATCGCACCATCATCTGGAACGAACTTGCCCCCACCATTCAACCCGCCCTCCTTCATATTCTCCAGTCTCTTTTTGACAATGTCAGCATCGAAATCCTATTCTCAGGATACACCTCCCGTCGTTTTTCACCCACTACTGGCGTCCTACAAGGCTCAGTACTCTCTCCTTTCCTTTACTCTATTTACATTAATACCCTTCCCGGCCTTCTCCGCGAAGCCGAATCCCAATTCTGGGACTCTATCTATTCCGACTTCCTTCCACCAACCCCCCTTACTGTCAATGGCCTTCACATCAACTGCCTTCTCTACGCTGATGATGTTGTACTCATCGGATCATGGGAGACTATGCCTATTCTCTTAGACGCCTGCGAACGCCACAGCATACAACTCGGCTACCGCTGGAGTCCTCCAAAATGCGCCATCCTCTCATCCAATATACCCTCATTTCACCCATCCCTCCGCCTCTATGGCCATGACCTTCCATTCCTTAACTCGTTCCGCTACCTTGGCGTCCCATTTAATACCGCCGGTCAAATGGACACTGCTAAATTAATCGCTCACAACACTGCCTCTGCCCTCTCTGCCATGCGAGTCCTGTACTCTATTGGTATGAATCCTATGGGCTTCTCCAAACTCCTCGCCAGCCGCCTGTACCAACAGTTTATCCGCCCCCGTTTTGAATATGGCCTCGCCATCAACAAGTTTACCGCCAAAGAAATCAAGTTGCTTGAGAGAGCCCAAGACACATGTCTACGCATGTTCTACGGTGCTCATAGAACCTTCTCCACCACTGTCATTCGCCACCTCACCCATCTTCCCTCCATGTCCGAACGCGTGGCCATCCTTCAAGCCAAATTCCTATATCGCGCACACTCCTTACCCGATGATACCTTCCTTACACAACTCATTCCGCTCCTTCAAAGATCCCGCACCAGTCAATGGCAAACCCTTCACCGTACTGCTCTCTGGATTACCCTCCCTCAACCCGCTTCAGACATCTCCCACTCTGACTTTAATACAGCCATCAAGACTTTCCGCACCAACACCCACCAACAACTCCTCACCGCCCGTCATTCGATTCGTATCAATGCTTGCCGTCCCACTCTCGGGTTAGACCCAATTATGTGGCTTCCCATGACCAATAGAGAACGCAGCCGCTTCATTCGATGGCGAATTGGTTTCCTACCCGGAAAGCCAGTGCCATGTACCCGTTGCCGCCTAGACCACACCAGCTCTCGCCATTTGATGGAATGCCTACATGTCCACTCACGCCTCGGTATTCCCAGCACCAACGATCCCATCTCATACCTTTTAAATCGTCTCCCCACTCATCCACTTCGCTCCCCTTATCAACGCCGACATTGGAACCGTAACTGGCCAATTTTGTGCCGTATCCTCTATGAGATCGACCAGCTATGCCATCCTTCTGAGGACTTTTCAGCCAGCTTTGATCCAGACCCCGGCCGCACTCTTCTCCTCTGGTTAACACCTACTCCACCTTCCACTCTTGCGACGTTGACTTCACCAACAGTCTCCTGATAGCACTCTAGATCTCTTTATTTTATTTTTTCTTCATTATTCTTCTCGCTCCACCTTTTTCCCTTACGCCCATTGAGGGTTTTTTTCATACCTTAAACTTTTCTGGAACTTGCTAGAGCATGAAACGGTCTATAGATCGATCTGCTCCCCCTGCATTCAAATAAACATTTTCGTCTACACCATTGACCCTAACCGCTTGCCGTTTGGAAGGGAATTCATCGATATTATGAACTGTGAAAGTTTGGGCAAAAATTTTGGGGCAAAACGGCATTGAAGTGCATGGAAAGTTGATCCAATAAATCGGGGCACAAGGTGCGGTTGAGGGTATATTAGAAGGGATTCGATCTGCGAGCAGTGAAACTATATTTATAAGTAAACATCTTTTTTTTTTCTCTTGAAGTGGAGGAAATGGTTATAAAAAAATTTATCTAAGCTGATGCACTGAAAATATACATGAGCAATAAAATTGACAATGCAGGCATGGAGCTGTCAGATGGCTAAAAGTTGCTGACGTATGAGAAATTCAAATGTTCGAAAATTAATACATCTGTCATATATATCTATATGATCAAACTATATATCCGATACGAACATCATCAATCCAATATGGAATCCATCTAGATATTCGTTTTATCCGTCATTATCATCTTTTAAAGGCTCAAGCCATCGACTCTTTCTATCGGAAATTCACCTTTACCTAGGAATCATATAAATACTCATCAGTGTCCATGTATATAAAGAATCCTCAGTCTCGTTAATATTATAGACTTCACATCTTTTATTACCAACGGATATATCAATTCTATCAATAGAAGACCAATGTCATGACCATTTCCCGCGTACACGCTGTCTTGACCATAATGCACGACCATGTGTATTATTGGCCCAAGCACGCTCTCCACTGTTGCCGTGCTGGTCCATGCGCATACCCTTTTACTTGGTCTCTATATTCCTCTCTTACCGTTGTCCTCTTCTTTTGCTGATCTATGCTTTACCTCATGTCATGCTCTGCATTTCATTTAATTATTTTATTATCGTTGTCTGTTCTGTATCCGATCCTTTAGTATAAATATCCGATCTCTTCTTATGAAATGAACCTCAGTCAAGAATTGTGTATTCTCTTGTACTACCTTGTTCTCCATCTTGTCTTGTCCTTGTCTTGGTTCTTTTTCTGTTTCTATTCTTATTCCTGTTTTATTCCTTTTCTTGTATTGTCTTGTCCTTGTCTTGCGAAAGCACTTAACACCACCCTCTTGTCCAGCTTGCACTGATCCTCCCGTAATCAGTGCATAACACATTCCTTGTTATATCTATTGTATTAATATTGTTGCGTTCTTTTGATATGCATGACCAAAAATCTGAAAACTGGATTTTCTGTGCATTTGGTTTCGTCTCTTGTTCTTTTTCTGACAAACCTAATTTGCTGCGGCTGGCAATTTCTAATTCTCGAATGCTTTTTCCCTGTATTCACTTTTCATACACATCGACTGTCAAATGACTGTCAAAAACTAAATAAGAAAAACAAGTCGCAACAGCAGAATGGAACGATTGTAGTTGGCCTTTGTTTAATGGCTTGATGCTAACGGACTGAATTAGGTGGAATGAATTATCCAAGCAACTGCAAGTGGAAATGAGATGGTTCAAACTTTGCTTGCTGGACCGAACACCGCTGCTTATATTTTTTTTTCTTATCACTCAGTTTAGTATACCTCGTACATTATTTCTTATTCGGTAAAACTTCAGTTGGATAATTATAAAAAACTGGTATTCGCGGTGTCCAGTCTTGTTGCCTTTCGCTGTGCCATATATATTCCTTATTTAATAACGCCTTGTCAATTGTTGTGTCGTTGTCTTCTTATTACTTGTCGCGAATGATGATCTTTAAACTACACTGTATTTTTCGATTCGACAAGGTGGAAACAATGACGATCACGGAAGTATGGCTTCTTCATTGGTCAACTACATAGTCGTCTATAAAATGAAATAAAACGAAAAACTAAGATGGTCATGATGCACAGGTTAGCATGCGCACCGTTGTTGTGTTCATAGAGGCTGCTTCTTACAAAACTTTGATGCAGTTCTTCTATTTTGCATGCAAAACGAGATTCAAGTACTAATCAAATATAAAGATACTCATCGACTAATTGATTAACAGACAGAATAATGTATATATTGACAATACGAATAAAATACAAAAAAAAGGACAACTGAAAAAAACAAAAAGGGACTGGAAATTAAAAAAGATAAAAAAAAGCAAAAAGACGAAAAGGCAAAAAGACGAAAAGATAAAAAGACGAAAAAACAAAACGGCAAAAAGACAAAAGAAAAAAAGGAAAGACGACGGCGACAGGAGCAGATCAAGGTCTCGGTGCGATACGGATATGGGAGCAACGGCGACGAGACCCTGCTGGCAGATTTTCCCAATGATCGTGTTTAGTGGATCCTGGACGTAGCAATTCAATATTAACGAAATAATGGCGGCCCCATTTTGAGATATCGCTATTCCAGGCGTGCCATGTATGATAATGTGGGTGATCTGTATGACGTCGTAAGAAGCGGTCAAAAACGGCCTGAAAGGCGATCGACTCGGTACTTATATGAGGCTGCAGATTGGGTGGAGCAAGGTTAACGTACCCACCCTGCAGGAACCGTTGGTCTAGAAACCGGCGAAGGAGACCCAGGGCATCGGTATCATAGATGAATTGCCTGAACGGCTCCTTCGATCGTTCACCCGAACTGACCTGCAGCGGTTTGCGACGCTGGTTCGCTGGGACGTCGGCATGACCTGGGATGATTTCGGTTCCGGCGGTGGTATCGCCGAGACGAAGACGTTCTTGCTGCCAAAGGCGAACAAGGTGCGCTCCGTCTTCTTGCGCCCTCAGGTATGTCAGGTTGCGCAACGCTCGTACCCCCAGTTGCTCTCCATCTTCACTCTCGAGACCAATGCCTTCAGGCAGGAACCGCAGTCTGCACATTCGATCTTCCTTGCGATCGCTGTCAAACAGGGAATTTGGAAACTTGAGCTGCAAGGTGCGTTCAATCGAGCCGTCGAGCCAACGTAGTCGGGCAGCCCAGGTCGCAGGAACATAGATGAGACGACCCTCCATGGTTGCTGTATATTCGTACTCTTCGGACTGCTGGCTTAACCAATGGGTGACACGGTGCCTTTGGTTTTGGGAGCTAAAGTGATCAGCGGGAAGGAACTGTTTCATCCATGCACCCCACTGTGAAGCTGCCTGAGTCATCAATTCCTCATCGTACAGCCATGATCCATCGTCGGCGGCACCTTCGGGGGCAAATTGGCGAAGTGCATTGTAGCAGGGGTGTGTTCGCGACGCACCAACATACCGCATGGCACTAGCAAAGTAGCTGGTGCCTTCATTTCGTGTTATTGCCCAATCAACCCATGACTGCTTATCGCTTCGGTCCAAGTGTATATGCAACGAGGGCATGTTCATGCGCCAAAGTCTCTCCACTTGCTGACGACGTTCCAAACTGCCAGGAGCACCTTCTGCAACACCATGCTGCGACATATTCTGACGAACAATGTCTCTCCAAAGCTCGCTCCGAGTCTCAGCAACATTACGTGGTTGCCGTCGCAGATTTTGGACACGTTCACTAATGATGTTGGCTTTGAGTTGTTCAATGTCACGGTACAGTCTTTGGAGACGAGGGTCCAGCAACGATCCATCCATGATGGAAGGCCAGATGCGTTCGATCATCTGCCTTCGTGAGCCTCCTACTTCCAGGATACAATTGAGGACCATCTCAGCGATGATGAAAGTCACGGACCATGTGAGTTCCATCAGGTGGATGAGTTCTTGTGAACGCGGGCCGTAACGTTCGTACCCGGGATCAAAATGGGGCACAATAATGGCCACTCGCTGTTGTCGTTCTTCCTCATCCCCAGAGGACTCCAGCCACTCTTCGTCCAAAAGATAGACCAAACGGGGCACGCCAACGTGTTTCAGGAACCTAGGTCCGGGCTGGTGCGTTAGACCATGGCTGTGCAGAAAGTCAGCAAAAGCGAGGGAAGTCACCTCCCGGGAAAAAGTGACCACGACCAACGGCTGGACAAGGTTGAGATAGTGAGTCAATTGCCGGACACCAGCGTTCCTCGCGTTCGAGGTATCCAACCAAGGGAACGCGTCTACAAAAGGGAACGCAGCCCCCATGAAATCTTCCTGCCGCCATTCGGTGCGACCATCGGCGTAAGCTTTTTGAGCGGCAAGCAACTGCTTCGTCAATAAGCCCGCTCGAGATTGTTCGAAAAAGGGGCGCGCTTCCATATAATCCCCAAAGGTAATGTCGTAACCGACAAGAGCCAGTACGACACATCCTCTCACCGATAGCGGTGTCGCTTGTTGCCTGAGCATAGTAAAGATATCGGCAGAGGAAGGCAGCTGATGCATCGTTATTTCTGTGCGGATTTCCTCTACCCAAGGACGTAGACTCTCCACCAAGTGTTGGTCCGAGTTGGCATGTTGCTCAAAAAGATGGAAAAATTGGCCGCGCGTTTGCATTAAGATGTTTCTCTGTTCCTCGCTCGGTTGGTAAGAGAAGAATTGGCCACCATGCTGGATATTCAGCAGCTTATCGACACCAAAGAAAGCAATGATGCTTTGCTCTTGCAAGTCTCGTGTCGTACTTGTACTGCCAAGCAGCGGCATTCTAGCTTGAGTGAACTCGTAAATTTGGACGCCTTCAAATGCCTGACGATCCACCGTATACAGCGTCTGCAGGAACTTGCCAAGAAAACCGCCTCTGGATTCAACATCTTGAATGTGACGCCGGATAGGTTCGCCGCGGGTCATGCCAACATAGCGTACGTGGAAGCGGTCCCACGGATACATGGTCGATAATTTGGCGAGCCAATCTTCGACTTCCTCAAATTCGGTCTCCTCCTCAAGCCACACAGTCAACATGCGACGCAAAGTTCGCTGCGTCAGACTCCAGCTTCTCAAGTAGTATTTTACAGCCAGAGGCCTCTCGGTATGCCCGATAAATGCGGAATTCAAATATAGTATTGTGACCAACTGATCATCCCAAAAGTCACGGTGGTCCTCCATAATGCCTCGAACACTGTTATGGTACTGGGGGGTATCAAACGGCTCACGCAATAGGTAGCTTGCTGGGAAAAAAATGGAAGGAACCTCGAGTTCAGCCTGGGTCATGCGCTCAGCAATGGTACGGGAGACATATCGCTGAATATCAGTGCCAGCCAAACGGGAGATATGGGTAAGCATTCTACAGTATAAACGGCGTGAGTGATTGGATCCTTTTGCAGAGTTTGATAATAGTGATATCAACCTGAGAAATTATTGGATGTAGAGTTTGGAAAAAGAAAACGATGGTCCGATGGTCGTTGAAAGCAATGACAAAAGAGGAAAGCGATACCCGCCTGTGGTTTTTCTTTGGCACATGAATTTATAGTTGTCAAGATAATGAATATAGATCTGGCTTGCGACCCATCTTTGATTCAAACAAAAAAGGTAACTTCATCCTCACCGGACAATCTGTGCGCCATTTCTGGTAGGCAATGTCATAAAAAAACTTGAATACATTAGAGATCCTCCTTAAAAACAGTTTATTTTGATAACATTGATCAAACATGAAATTCTATCTGTAGATCTCTTGAAATAATCTCAAGATTTCTTTGTTACGACTCAATTTGAATGCATGCTGCATAAAACTAGTAATAAAGCAGCCAACCTCTGTTTTTACGTGGTGGTGGCGCTTTTGACTTTTTTTTTCTTAAAATAAAAATGGTTGCACTCTTACAAGAAAAAAGTCATCTGGAGGACATGAGCGGTGGCCGGTTATGGAGCTGTGGCACTCGTTACAAGAACATGTATTACAAGTCGCAATGAATAGCAACGGAGACGGCCATTGGAAAGCCAATCTCCGGTGTAACTTTAGCGGGATAATAATTCTAAAACGAGAAAGGACACACACAAAGAAAATCAATCTCTTTTTGACACCTATAAACCTACACGAACGCGTAAAAACACAGGTCCGCCATTGAAGTTCTGAATACGTCTCAAGTCCGGACAAAAGCCTTTGAATTCAGATACGACACAATCTCGGACAATTCCGATACCTGCAGCAATGACCAAGTACTCAAGGAAAAAAAAGCTCGACAAGCAACTTTTTCTTTGTCAATGCGTAAAACGAATACTGATTTGAGAGAAACAAGTCGTACATAAAGCAGGATTGCTTGGATGGGACTAAATTTGTCAGCTGTGCATAAAACTAAAAAGGAAAGGAAAGCAAAACTGAGATGATATGTTTTTCTTTTTTTTTGGAATTCAGGGGTATGTTTATTCGAGCCATTTTATTCATGGAACACTTGTATCAGACCAACCCCACACAAAAAAAAAGGTAGCAAAACTCGCAGTTCTAATCTCTAAAAGTTATGATTGACTACAGTGGCCAGCTTCGATTGCATGTGTCTATTGAGCAGACAGAACCATCGACATCAAGAGAACGATGGAACGACTGCAAATATATAATGAACTTTTGAGCGGTGGGCTAACCGATTACCACACTTTTGCCGGGTTAAGAATTAACCTTTCTTTAACCATGTTTATGCTAGACTCTCCCGCAGTGTTTAGCCTTTGGATTATCTTTCTCAAGATAATATACTGGTGAACTAACTATAGTCCGTCAAGTAAAAAGTCAGTTGAAAGGTCGCAGATCGTACATGAAATATGTAATGTGGGGGCTGGAAGGCCGATCGTTAAGAAGAATTGATGTATTGATTTTATAAAGTCTCTTATGAAAACCACCTCCGTAAACAAAAGTATATCAAATTGCCGTACATGGTGCCTTATAAAGACGAAAACGGGTCAAAGTGAAACGATTGCTGTTAAGCGAATACCTTTTACCCTTGATTCATTGAAGAATACAATGAATTGAGATCAGAAGCAGTAGACCGGTTGTTGGTTTCTGAGAGTCTTGCCCCATTTTTATTTATCGTTTCCATTCTTCTCAACATAAACTTGTCAAGTCGAATAATTTGTTGTTGTCCCTCTTTCATCACTGTCTCCCATATTTCTTTTTTTTTCTTTTTACGAAACCGACGTCTATTCCTTTTGAAAGCTCCCATGCCTTGCTACTCGCTTGCATTACACGATCCATATTATTGCAAGCTCTGTTCCTTTTTTTTTCTTTTTACAAGGGTATATAAATAAATGTATCATCATGCAAATCAAATGGTGGCTGGAAAGACAGGAAAGAGGGGAGTAGATAGGTAGGAAGGTAAACATTTCAAGTGTTCTCAGCAATTTTGAAGCATTCTAAATTATGAGGCTTCATTGGGCTGGGTCGGTGAACCAAGGCAATTGGTCAATGTCCTGCAGCCGAATACGCTTTTCAGGACGTCGGACGAGGATACGATGGACGACGTCTTTGGCTTGTGGGCTGATATCCTTGGTAGGATCGGCAACCACGGGCCATTTGACTTCGGCTCGAATGATGCGGTGAAAGAGATGGGATAGTTTTCCTCCGCGTTCATTCTGGTACATAAAAGGAAGATAGCCGACCAACATGGCGTATAAAATGACGCCCAATGCCCATGTATCGGTCTCACGACCGTCGTACGGCAAGCTTTGGACAATTTCCGGGGCCGCGTATTCATCGCTGCCGCACCGTGTGGTCAGTTTTGGACCGCCTGGTTCTACCACTCTTGCAAGCCCAAAATCGGCCACCATGAGATGAGGATGACCGTCTACCATTTGTATCAGAATATCTAAGAAACTCTACTATGTTAGAACTTTTTTTTTATAATAAAAAGGGTTGTTATTGTTATCCAGGATCCACCTACTTTCGAGCTTGAGATCGCGATGGATGAGATTGTGTTCATGCATCCAACCCACCACGTGGACAAGTTGAAGAAACAGATTTTTGATGAGCGCTTCATCGACCTTTTGATCTTTTTGAGCGAGTTTCTGATGCATGGCTTGAATGTAATCAAATAGTTCTCCGTCCTCTACGTATTGAAGAACGATACACAGATAGTGCTGTGTTTCCATGGTCGCTTCAAGTTTGACAATATTGGGATGATCGAGAAACTAGAAAAGAATTCGTTCAACGCCATGCCCTCACGACACGCTCGTAAAAAGCTTTCTCCTGCCGAACGAGCCTACCTTGAGCACCTCGACTTCTCTTTCGATGCTCGATCGGACGCGAGCATCACTTCGCATCGCCTGTTTACATATAGTTTTAATGGCATACCTTTCTCCGGTCATGATGTTGGTCCCGCAATACACCTTGGAAAATGCACCGCTGCCCACCAGCTTTTCAATCTGGTATTTCCAAATGCGTTTGTACAAAAGATCCTCGTCAATTATTTCACTGGATAAAGAAGAGGATGATAACTGGTGAACTCTGTTGTTGTTGTGGTTGCTATGATTCTGGGAAAAAGGTGTCGGCAGGATATGATTCTGCGTCTCGGAAGCGCTATCGGACGAATCTGATTCTTCCAGATCACCAAGCATGGGAAACTCTGATAATGAGGGGATCTTGTTGGATTCAACGGAAATGGACGGAGACACAGAGAGGGTCGGTATATTGTTGGAAGGTAACGTAAGCGATGGGCGGTGTTCATTGTAAAGGTATGCCGTCGAGTTACTGGGAGACACGATATGATGGTTCGCAGAAACATGCTGGATGGCCAGAGTAATGGATGAGGTACTATTCCTTGGTGAGGAAGGCTGTTGCGCAGGACTGGGTAAGGAAACGATATCATCCAAGACAAGCGATGGTAGCTGGGATATCAGTGACTCGATATCCTCTTCCTGCGAAAAGTTGGATTTCCTCGGGATCGCCACACTAGGTGAACTCGATATATCTTTTTTCTCTGCTTTTGGGGTCCGATAAATCGACATGAGAGGACCCAGACGATGTGTAAAGCGATCAATGGCACGTTTCGTTTCATGATCACTCTTGGAGGGTGTCGCTTCCGCATAATCATCGTACGAAATGGAGGCTCGCGGCCGATTGTTACGCAATACATCCGATAAAATCGAGGTGGGTTCGGTGCCCAACGATTTCCATTTACCCAGTGACAGTAGAGGATGCTTCTTCTTCTTTGGTGCTTTCCTTCCACCAAAACTGAACAAAGCGGCAAATCGATGGCTAAACTACACGACTTATTAATCAAGGTACAGAAGCTGGCCCTATCAAGACATACTTTCTTTTTCTTTCCTAGACTTTGTTCCTCCGTTGGCAACGCATCGGTATATTCTTCTCGGTCATCGTAAAAAGCACCTTCGGATGTTACTTCCTCCTTTTTGATTTCCGAAGAAAGTCCATCAGGAAACGACGCCTGTGAAGATGAGCCAATCGTATGGCTGAGCACCTGTAGTGAACTCATAGCAAGTATTTGTATCGGTGAAAACTGGTCGAGTCCGCGAAGAGACGGGAATTTTGACTCTGAAAAAAAAAAGGATGTAGGAAAGGCAAATCAGTAAAAAGCACAGCCCAATTTAACCCACAAGCGAAGTTGTCTTTTGAATGCTTGTGACGGACATTTCTTATTTGCCTAGACTCTGGCGTCTGGAAAAGAACAGGAATGATCTTGTTCTACGATACCATGTTTAAAAACACCATTATTCTGTTCTCTGCAGCTACACGAGTCGTCCATTTCGCATTCCATGAGAAGAGTGAGTGTCGTAACACTAGGGTAACAAGTATTTCTAACGTCGTTCTATTTTTATAACAGATATGGCTTGGTTCTTGCCATAGGAAAAGAACGTTATACACCATGAACCAAGTTTTCGAAATGAGAAAAAATTTACATGGTGAAAGGTGTAAGATCCTTCATCGTGGGGGTGCAATAGGACCTACCTTCTGGGAAGCCTTGCGAGAGGCATGATCGGAAGTATCTGCTGTTAAGCGATCAGGTATCTTTTTATAGCCTTGTTTCATCCAATAAGAAGTACGCCCATTTTCTTTGCAGGTTTAGCCAACGCATATTTGCATTCTTTTGAAAAACTGTTGATTTCACTCACTCTCTCTTTTTCTGTTTTTTGGTTCATTAAATCCTTTTTCCCCACGCTCCCAGGATTAGCATTAGTCTGCAACGAACATATGCTCACTTATCCTTAAAAAAGAAAGAAAAGCTTTTAGTGACTTGCTTACATCTCAGGGCACATGCCCGCCTGCATCTTTGTCGCATTGCATTCAAAATCATGCAAAAAAAAAAAGCAACTCGAAAAGACGGCCACTGATTGGCTGTGGACGATTCGTAAAATACAAAAAGGTACAACGATCACAATGGGACTCGAACCCACAATCTCCAGATTCGAAGTCTGGCGCCTTAATCCATTAGGCCATGTGACCGCTTTTTTGACTAAATTTTTTTTTTAAAATCTAGGAAAATATGATGATGACGTCAACCGTAATTTAATTGGCTGGATGTCATGAGCCCATGCTTCTTTTGGCATAGTCGGGCAGGTGCCGCAGGATTTCTCTGGAGGAAAAAAAAAGGGGAAAATTAACATCGAGAGGTTGTCTGTGAAAATGGTATAACGAAAAAGTTGTGCTGACTGTGAGCATCTATACAAAGACAAAAAAGATATAGAACCGCAAGAAAAGAGATTGAATATGGATGCCATGTTATTCAGGGATTGTAAACTGGTGTTTTCAATGTTGGTATTCGATGGTGTTTATTCAATTCAGCTTACAGAATATTCATACGATCGTCAATGATTCACGATCCAGAGGGTGATTTTTCAGGCAACTACATTATCAGGTACAGAAAAATAAAGAACACCGATGCTATGAGTAAAAAATAACGTCAAAGTGTGATGAATGGTTTCAGGAAATCTTAAAAAAAGGATCGGTAAAACAAGCTAAACATACAACGTCAAGAGTCGATGGTTGATTGATGCAATTATTTCTCAAGTGGGATGCATGAACGGATCAGTGATCCTTGTATTTTCCTTTGTGAAAATTTAGCGATGAAATCAAGTTTTGCATAACGATGTTTCCGCAGTGCTTACGAGATGAGTGGCAATAATAAAACCAACCAAGAAACACTAGGCAGGCACAGCGCAAGGCTCTTTCAATAGGAATAAAGCGACGTATAATGGGTTGGATTAGACAAGAGGGGAACAAGGTAGGAGCAAACAAAGGTAGGATAAAGTGATTTATCGAAAGTTATGGAGCATCATAAAGAACCCTCGCCGTCGCGACTCTCATTCGGTCTTCGCTATTGTACGTACGACAGTTATTGCTACGTCTCTCAACTTTTTATCTTCTCAGCCAACTGCTGTCGTAGCATCCATAATAAATGCACAATTCGGTGAATGATTGCTTTGCTAGGTCGTAGGTTCGTGCGCAGCATCCATTTTTCTTCCTAACTCATCAGCTGCAACTGTTGGTTTGCCTAACACCAATCCCGTATTCTACCATGAAGAAGTCAAGCTTGCCACAACAAAACAGAACAATATTGAACCGTTGAGCAAATTACATCAGCGATTGAAAATGCGCACAAGATGAACCTGCTGCGTGGATGTCACGGCACATCAGGGAAACTCTCGCCAAACATGTGTATACGATTGCTGTTCTGCCGACCTGAGTTACAAGTGACAACCCAAAGCAAATGCATAACGAGTAGGGCAAATGATCTGAAATTCTGAATATCTGTGTGCTTCCTGAGTTCTCCGTTCAACTTGTGCCGTGATGGAGCTAAAAAAGTCCAGACGTTCAAAATGACGTTTCCCACTACGATGAGAATAAAGTTATTAATTTCGAGGGAGATGAACATTGTAAGGGTAAACTTCTACACGACAGATGCTCTACCGCTAATGGTTTACCGCCATTTCTTCTGTAATTATTAAGAGCTCGGTGGAAGTTAAAGCATTTCTCAACATACGGAAACAGAAAAAAGTCTCCTGTAAGAGGCCTTCTTTCTCGCGTGAGGCGAATATCAACGGTTTCATGAAACGACATTTTAGCCTATGAATGAGGTTAAAAAGAGAAAGGGTATCTTTCCTTTTCCTTATTTTTTTTTCATTTTCCTTTGTTTTTTGATAGAGAGAAAACCCATTCGGCGTCACATCGCGGTAGTGTAAGGCGAAGGACACCAGTGGATCTCAGAGATGGCAAGCCAGAGCCCCGAGATCCGGGCGCAAAAAAATTAGATTAACAACAATGCCGAACTATGTTCAGCGTTATAGTTGTTAAACTATAAAGAACAGATACTACACTTGATCTTAGCCAAAAGGCCTGAGAGGATGCGGTTCATCGAGTTGTTAGGAACCCTCCTTTTTATAGTTTTCTGTTGACCGTTCTAGTTTCGCCGCTTGAAGAAGGGACTGTTACTTTTTCGTCGAAGGTTCCGGAAACTATACAATTCAATGATTGGCCAGGTCTCCGAGCTTTTGGCGGACTTTGAACAAGTGGGAAAAATCAAGATTTTTGAGAGGAATGGAGGTGTCGATTACATTAGTTTTGGTCAAGCGTCTGAAAAATAAACATTTCATTCTTGCTTCTGAAAATATCTTCGATGTTTTTTTTTGATATTGGTGCCTGCAGCGAAAGGATCATCGTAAACAACAACATAACAAAACGGGGTTCAAAGCAATCATTCCCCCACAAATAACGCGTCACATGAGTTTTTCAGTGCGAATAAAAAAAAAAACTTTTCATTGGGATATGTGGATAAACTGTACAAATGGATTCAGGGAAAACAATTTTGACAAAGACGGGATTTTAAAACAAAAAGTCCGTTTGTCAGAGCCCCAATGGCGAATTGTAACGGAGAACAGAAAAAATGTCAAAAAAACGAAAAAAAAAAAACGCGAATGCGGGATAGGTTAAAAGGGAATGAGGGTAATGAGAAGGGATTCGAAAAAATACTAAAATGACAGTAACAGAGTACAGGAGTTATCAGATGTTGTTGGGATGATGATAGTTATTAGGAGGGAAGACTAAATGTAGATGCAGGAGCCCGGTCAACCATCAATTTAGAGATTGGCCTTGATGTTGGCGTTACGTTCGTGTTTATCCATGGTCATATCAATGGCTTTTCCAGTGCACCAAAGGAAGATGGATACAGATACGCCAACGTAGAAGAAAGTGCCGTTGGTCAAAATTTCAGGTGAGGCCAAAGCAGTCTTTGGTTTCTTCTTTTTTGGCTTTTCTTCTGAACCACCAGAAGCACCGTGTTCAGCTTCTTTTTTGTCACCAGGAGCTCCACCAGCAGGAGCTGTCTCTTGAGGTTTATCACCGTCTTGACCAGGATTGCCTTGCCCGCTGCCAGCAGCAGGATCAGCACGAATCACCAAGCGTCGGGTATCTTGTTTGTCAAATTTATAATGGTTCTTCTAAAATGTAAACAATGATGAGATGACTTTGTTCACGTCGTTTTTGCTCACAAAACTGCTTACCAAGCTAGTATTATCAACCAAATGGTTGTTCACCAGTGAAGCCGCTGAGGCTAGCGCCATGAAAAATGCCAATAACGAAGCAATAATGAGAACGCGCATTGTCAGAAAAAAAAAGGAAAAAGATCAGGTACGATCTGATAAGATTAGTTTTTCGATCTCTATTTATAATGACTGTTGGCCCTTGAATATTTTTTTTTTTTTTTTTTTCGTGTAGATCAAGATGCCGAATAAAAAAAAAATTGTTTGGGCTTCATTTCGGTGGACTCGACTGTCAGTGGAGAATGAAAAAAAAATCTGATAATCATCAAGCTCACGACATCCAAGGTTACACAAGAAGAAGAGAACCTTCGATCTTTTGCTGATATGATTTGATCATACAGTTAAATCGTAGATCTTCCCTTTTTTTTTCTTAGCGGTATTATAATAACTGATTTTTGGATAGATCAAAAAGATAAAGCATCGGTCCCCCTGGTATAACTTGTAAATTGTGGCTGTTTCCACGCACCCAGACGATCAAAAGCCGCCACCATGGCATTTTCATTGATATCCCGATCAATTTTCATTCCGTATCAACGGATGAAACAATTTTATCGAAACAAAAAGATTAACTTGGGGATTCCCCGTGATTTTTCTTTTCCCCTCTTTAACGAGATTCGAATGCTTTGGCTGATTTTGATAAAATAACCAGTTATGGATAATATCCAAAGGTGAAAAATATCACCCATTGCAAGAAAGATCGACTGAGTAAAAAACAAAAAAATCAAAATCTGATAAAAGAATTGTGACACCAACTACGTGCATGTCGGAACCAATCAGCTGAAATTGAGGCGGAACATTGACATGGTACAGTAAAAGGGACCCCGAGTTATCTGACGCGAGATTCAATGGTAGCTGGGTATCAACAATTGACACTAGTGGAACATAGGTCGCCCGATATTTATTCGGATGATTATTATGACACCTCTGTTTTTTTCCCTGGGGGTGGGGAAAGATAAAGGCACGGGGCAAATAAAAACAAAAAATAAAACACGGACGATCCCCGGTCTATATGTTTCAGTTCAGCAATTATAACCTTCCTTTCTGGTTATTTTTTATTCCAAATATATTCCTGTATTCTTTTTTCTTCTTACGGAACGGTTCCCTAAAGATTTTGAATCGCGAGATATAAGAGATTTAACGATGATAAAATGACGGAGAAAGACAGAATAGAGGTTTCAATAGAGCGGGTTATCTGTGAATACTACAAGAAGAAAAACATAAAGACTTGACGAAAGTAGAAAAACAAATATTTTTTTTTTTTTTTTCACGCGAACAAGGAGAAAAAAGAAAGTAAAAAAAAAGATCGATATAATTATACAAATGGGTTAGCCGCCAAAATCCGAATGAGGGGTGGATTTCTGATAGGGTTGGCTGTGATAACGACGCGTACGTAATCAAAAGGACGAATAATTTGTCGATACTCTTCGGCAATGGTGACCTCCTGTTGCTGATCTTTGATGGCTCGCAGCGATAGCGACCGAGGGCGACGTTTCACCGGCTCACTGACCGGGGAGGACGTTTCTTGATGCTGGATCGACAGCCCATTGACCGTATTACAAAACTCATCGTCGTAGGGTCGCTGTTCAACCATTCGATCCGAGGTCGCCACTCCGGGGGTCCAGAACAAATGCAACACACTGTCGGCGGCGCTGAAAATCGCGGATTTCAAAGGAAGGTTAATGACGTGAATGCGTCTCTCTAATCCCAAGGTCGGCACCACTACGTCAAACGACTGTTCTTGCACTCCCACCACAATCGCTTCATGCGTCATGGAAGGATTGAGTAAACGGCTCATCACCAAATGATTCATCTGTTCCCGCGCATTCAAAACTGCCTGACTCTTGACATTGCAATATCGTGCCATTTTCTGAATCATTTCACATTCAATGTAAAACCGTTTCTCTACAAAATCCGCAATGATGATACCATGTCATTCAATTCGGTTTCCAGCCTATCGTATTGGTGTTGTCAGGGGTTTTATCGCTTACCTCCGTTCAAGGCCGCTTCCAACTGTCGATGCACGATAAGATCCGTGTAACGTCGTGAAGGTGAAGTAAAATGTGTATAAAGTGGTACATTCATTCCGTAATGATGATATCGGCTGATATCAAATACCCCCGTACAAAAGTATTTGGGCATGTTCATGGTCTTTCGTACCAAGGCTGTAATGACCGATCTTGCCGCATCATTCGTAATGGCATCAATGGATTCCCGTAGTGTGCCCGACGACGAGGGATTGATTTGATAACCGAGGTTTTGCAGGTATTGCACAAGCTCACGCTACACAAAAAAAGGGGACATCTCTTTATCAGCAAAACCAGATGACAAGATAAAAAAAGCCCCCTTGATGCAATAGGGTCATCCCTTCAGAGCCATGCGGTCACTTACAAGTTTACGATGGTTGGGGGGCGATTGTGAGCGTAGAAGAGCATGTTCTGGAAAGTGACGTGAGATCTTTTGTGCGACCATTTGATTCGCAAGTAATGTGAACTCTTCGACAATCTCGTTTGCTCGGATTTTAGGCAAAATGGCAATCTTGCTAGGTTGTCCATCGCACCACGTTACGGATAATTCCGGTTCCTCCAAGAACAGGGCGCCTTTTTGACGACGCGCGTCTTTCAACTTTTGACTAATGGAATATAGTCTCTTGACATCGTGCACCAAGGATTCCGTGTCAGCGTCACTCAACGTATCAGGCACCACACCATCATCCAAGATCCTCTGCATTTGCGCAATCGTCAGAATTCCTCGCGATCTATCGGACACGTCAATTCAACCGATTCGTTACTTTCGCCACCGTCGGCCGGTTTAATTTTGCTTACTTGATCACGGTCCTTTCATATTCCGTCTTGATGAGATCTCCCGAAGCATTGAACTTGCAAATTACGGAAAAAGCGAATCTAACGATGAAATGGATTTGACTCAATTTCCATCCATTTTTCCGTTTCTTTTGGCATGTCGCTTACCTTTCTTCATGAGGCAATAATTCGGTGCATCCCTTTCGAAGTTCTTCTGGCCACAAGGGGACCGATTTGTGAAGTCGAACCGCTGTAGCACGAGAACGGGCTTCCTTGTCAATAGCTGAATGAGGCGTGACAAACGCAGAGACGTCCGCCACGTGGAATCCGACTTGATAGATGTTATCAGCAATGGTTTCCACTGAAATCGCATTCTCGTAATCTAGAAACAATGGTGTTAATCCATTTTGTTAGATCCGATAAGGCATCAAGGCTTCCATCTTCTCTTTTCTTCTTTGTTTACCTCCAGTATCCAAACTGTCCAAGGTCCAACAGCGTGTTTCGCGCAAGTCCAATCGGCCACGTAGTGACTCCTGGTCTACGGACCACGGCAATCCCGGCAAGCATTGCAAGACAGCTTCTGAAAATGGGTCATCCGAGAAATTGTTATCCGCAAGAATGGCTTGAAATTGTACTTCAAGATCCTTGACAGGCCCCAGTTCGTCCATCAGAATACCAAACGGGTGCAGTGATGTGATAGGCCATCTTTTAATGGATCCCTAGAAGCATTGATGAAAAAAACGGCGTACAGACCAAACAAGAAACAGCAAGGGGCAGATGGCTTACCAAAAATAATCGGTCTTCAAATTGTTCGCTGTTTTCCAGGAACCCTTTGGGTGCTTGTTCAACAGGGATAGCAATCAAAGGCACTCGTTTATCGGTAGGTTTAAACCAGATAATACGCGGAGACGATTCTTTTGTGGATGACTGCTGGGCATCCTCACCTTCCGTAAGGCTCTTTGGACGCTTATTGCTTGGGCGCATCAATCCGAGAGTTCTACGCAAATGAAAAAGGATAAAACCCCATATTTTGACAGAGTGTTACCGATTGTTTCCTTTGTGGCGGCCCCGTTTCATTTTGCATTGACACTTACCCTGAGAATAATTGATTTTGAGCGCGTTCGAGGATGGCTACCACGATCCCGCAGTAACGTGGAGTGACTTTATCAATGTCCTCTTCGCCACCAAAGATGATTTCTTTTTCATCTTCTTCATCGGGTCGTCGCAACACCGGTTGACCATTGTTACGGGCTAGTTTGGCTTCTTCCTTTTCTTGCTTTTCACGCATCACCTTATCGACCTCGACAAGACGTACCGCCACCACATCACCTTCCAGAGCTCGGTTTCGATCGCGCGATCCACAGATATAAATATCGGCATTGAAATCTTCGCAAAACACATACGCATCGGATCGATTTCGCTTATTCACCCTCAGAATCCCGCTCACTAGTTGATGCGATTTCAATAGAGGCACAAGACTGGAGAAAGGAAGATGAGCCGTAAATAAAGCGCGTCGTTGCTGGGAGGTTCCTTCGTCACGGGGGAAACTGAATCGTGTCGGTGTGAAAGGGACCAACGGAATGGCCGAATGAGATGTCGACCAAGCAGAGGAAGCTGAAACCGAAAAAGCAAATCAAAATATAAACACACGGACATTGAAATAGAAAATGCCAAGTGAATGTGGCAAGAAAAAAAAAGACTTACGAGCTCGCCAATCATTATAGTTGCGAGAGGAGCGATGTTGTTTGGCAATATCAAGGTTTAAACTGGTAGGTTTACCTGCTTGACGATGACCGGGTTTGTTGGTGGTGGCGTCATAGGATGCCGTGTATTGCAGCGAGGTCCGCTTGTTTGTGTAGTGAAGTGAGCGTCGATCGTTGTTGTAATCTTGATCAGAGTAACGATGATGATGATAGCGTGTGCTTGGTTCGGACAATCGACGATTATGCTTCTGCTGTTCCTCGTGATAAGAAGATCGGTAGCGACGATCTTCATCGGTGGGCCGATTATGGTAAGCGCCTGTCAATTTGGCTTCGGCTTCGGCCAAAGCGTCGGCTCTCGAGATGCTGTATTCGTCGTCATCTTCAGCAAATCCCATGCGCTGATTGTAATCCAGGAAACTCGACCGCCTTTGATTTTCCAATCCCAAGTTGACCGAGGAATGTTGCGTTTGGGTCATGGGAAAATTGTTGAAATTGGCCACCGACACCCTTTGTTTGCGCACGCCCAATCCAGAAAGAGCGGGTTCATAAAACCCCGTATCGTATCCATGCACGGGTCGTTTATGATCTTCCTCTTCGTTCACAGTATGTAAAGCGCTTCGATGACGATGCGCGATAGGGTTCAATGGCGCGTAAGCTGATTTACTTCGTTGCTGCTGACTCTTGTCATAGTAACTCGAGCCACCGGATAGTTCCAACGATGAACGCCTTGCTGTGTCACCCGGTTTCCCAGGCATCTACTTGATGGGAATACAATCGTAACATACAAACCCCATTGATACATGCCAGGAGAAGATAAAAAATAATAGATAAGCCCATTACGATCCATAAAATGCATATGACAGAACGAAAATATCGGATAAAAAGAAATAGAGTATAATCATGAGCATAAAAGATAAAAAAGAGAAAAAAAAAGAAACCCAGGCCGGTTGACATGTGTGGCACGAACCTTAATCATGGGCGGGTCGAAAAGACCGTGAGTGGACTCTGGTGCGGTTTGTCCATCCAAATCCAAAAGATCCATGATGTTGAAAAATAAGGAAAGGAAAGGGAAACAGAATTAGCGAAGAGGAAGAAAAGAGAAAAGGAAAAGAAAAAGAAAAAGAAAAGAAAATAAAAACTAGTAAAAAAGGGGGATATTGCATCCATGCTTAAGGGGTGGCAAAACGTCGTAAAAAAAAAGAAAAAAGCACTCTGGCTCCTCCTTGTGTTCTATCAATCAAAAAAGATATCGGTGGCTAGCTTTTTTTTTTCATGCTAGCATGGTGGAAAACGCCCCTGCTTCTGTTTTTCTCTCTTTCTCTTTTAAAACCTGATCTTAGAAGAAGGATCCAGCTTCTTCTATATAAGCTGGCCTTATCTCCTTATTTTTCTGCTTTCAATTTTTTTTTTCAGTGCCTTTTTTGAGTTTGAGTGTTTGTGACGGGTCGGCCACAAAGGGATGGTGTCACTTACAGATGCCAGCCATCAAACCATCAAAAGTGGCCTGAGGAATCAACCGTCACTGACGGACATTCAAACCATCCATGATATGATAAATTCCGCGTGGACCAATCAATTTTGCATACGTCCGGGAAACTTGCACTTGGCAGAAAACAGAGCCAGGTTACATCTGCAACTACAAAAACAACAACAAGATTGTGCCATATTTTTTTTTTTTTTGATGTGTAACGTTGATATCAAGAGCTGAATTCAACACCTGGTATCAAATGAAGCATTATCCATTGTTGTTTCATTGAAAATAATACAAAGGATCAGTAGTCGCATCACAAGACCATTCAAAATATGCAGGAGCATCATCATCCGTATGATAGCAATTGGACCATTTTGTTAGACGCACAAAAATAGGCGGCCTTTAAGTACATGTTGATGGGGTAGGTTCATAGACAACGGCATTCTGGATACAACTAATGTTGCATTATGCGGCGTGACAGGAAATAAAAAAAAAAATTAAAAAGAAGTTTGCCGACATGACAGACTTGCATGCTTACATCAGTGCGTTTCTTTACCGTGCATCAATTATCAATTCTAGCACCATTTCGCCTCAAGTTCGACGGTCACTTTTTTTTTTAGTAGACCAATAGACTGCTCAGCTGTGTTCGGCTCAAACCACACCAAAGATACGTTAAAAGTTGACGCAAAACAATAGACACCAAAACCGTCTGTCTATACGCGGTCCGATTGCTCTATATGGGTTGAAGCATCCCATCTGCTGTCATCCTCAAAATAACAGAAAAAATTAATGAAAGCGTGTTTGTTGTCATGATTTAGGCCTCTGTCATTGTCTTTGTATGGCCGCCAATGACTAGGCTCATAAAAAACGAATCTTATCAGGGCAATGCATTTTCTTCAGATGAATTTTTGGATAATGACCCATTTACATAGAATTGTTCGTATGCTTCCGGCGCCTGAACCCAGGTATGAAAGCATTGGTCGAGCAAGCATGTTTTCGCAGCTTGGTATGTTTTTGCTTGAAGCTTAAGTTCGCGATAAGTAGAAGCGCTAACATTCTTGGATCTGTGGAGCATGGCATTAGATCGTCTCAATTTGGCACCGGTCATATTCATATCAAATAGGTTACCTTTGTGACAGCATGACATTATTGAATGACTCGAATATTGCAGCTTTACTGATACAAGACCTAAAGATTTAATATAAATGAGAAAGGCAATACGTAACCTATTGTTTGTCCAGTGAACCGTATAAAAAAATACCTAGTTTTTGCATTGTTCACGCCTTTGGCTGCGCCCTGTTTTCGTCCATGAACGATGACTTCTGATTTCGCCATTCCAGGAACCCACAGAATGGCTTTGAATTGGCTATGAGACATCATTGAACGAGACAGCCTATGTAGATAAAGTACCTGTGCCGCTGGGAATGATTTTGGTATAATTACGGGCTTCTAATGCAGCTTTGGAGGATTCAAACTGTTTATCGGTTGCAAAAATGGTGGGTCGATTGAGTGTATATGGAGAAGGAAGATCTAGGCAAAAAATAAGACATTCATTTTTCAACAGTTGTGAAAAAGACTTGCTTGTTACCTTGAAGCCCAGCTAATCGACCGTAAAGTGCTCTTTCCAAACACTCTTTTTCAAACATGTCACCGATTACAATGGATTGTAAATAAATTGGATCAAATAGATGCGAAAGCAACGCTGACTGTAAACCGAGCACATTCCATCGCGCTAGCTTATCACTAAAAGCAATTGCTCCGGTTAGCTCTTGATTTCCTACTGATCGCTGACGTTGTCGCTTTCGTGAATACCTGCAAGACATGGACAACGTCGGTTCAGAATCCAATCTACCTGAAATCGAATGTCAACATCGATATGGGTACCATGCGAATGAAAATTTGTTTAAACGAACAACTAACCTGGTTTGGTACGAAGGATGCCTAATCTTTCGAACCCGTAGCGTCCTCTTTCGAGCTTTCCCGAGGGGATTTCCGTTTTTTGTTTCTTACTGCTATACATGTATTCGGTGAAAAAGTCGTTGTTGTCGGTGGGCGCTTTTCGTTTCCCAGATTGAAAGTTTTCAAATGATTCCGCGCTCTGTTGCTCAGCTAACGCTGTCATGGAAGCGTCGCCACCTGCGTGTTCAAACAGATACCGTTAGTTGCCACACCTTTTTACAAATTGTTCTCAGAGCCATACATGGAGAGTGACTTATATACATGTGGAAGCTGTGGTGGGGTCGTACCGTGACTCGGCCGTTTGTTTCCATAAACGGTGAATTTTGATCGTTCTTTTCATACTCCTGCAACGCATATCTAAAGATGACGGATCAATGCCTATTTACTTTCTCCAAATGCAAATAAATTATTTACTTTAAAAATCCACGTCGAGCAATAACTTCTGCATGACTGTCATTGACAAGGTGCCCGTCCTGGCTCAGTTTGCTAAAAGGCAAGCACTTTAGCCCCGTGCTACGTACATAGAGATCAGAGTTTTGCTACATGCCAATCAGTCGCTGATTCCGTTCTTATCGGTTACCCCAACGATACCACTTTGATAGAATATTCCTCCTCATCTATTTCGAGGTGCGGCCATTAGTCATTGTATTCTTTGACGTGACGAAATAGGACTCACGAGCATAAACCGCGAGAATGCAAGCAAGCACGGTCCATTCGGCTTTGGAATCATGCAAAAGTGGTTTCCCCTGTTTCGGGAGTTTGACATATTGAGCATGGCTCGCCATGGCTAGTTTATCAGCAAAGTCAGGAATATCGTGCCAGTTCATGGTAAGCAGTGGTCCTGAATCAGTTGTAAGGAAAACGCACGCCTTTTCTTTTTTTTTTTTTTTTTGGCATGTCATGACTGCCAATCGCAATTTTTTAAACACCTTTGGCATTGAAACCGATCCACTTCAAGTTTCTTATTTATCAGTGATATTGATGCGTTATTTGCCAAAGATAGAGGTCATCTTGGTAATAGAGTCAAGGCTGTTAATAGTACACACATCAAGTAGAGTCCGTTTCCATTTCGCTTTCATTTTACTATTTTGTGTGCCACTATAAGTGGTAAACGGCTGCCAGCTATTGCACATTGAAGCCGTGCCTAGCTTACCGTTTCGCAAAACATGGGTATTTCCCAAAGTAACTGCCGATTCAGGTTTTTACTGGCCATTCTTAGGTTTATAATGACGGCCACTTGGTGAAAAAGATGGTATCCTATAACAAGCCGTACACCCGCTGTGCAATGGATGCCGCCTGCCACCGGAGGTCGCCCTCTTACATTGAGCGACTTTCGTCAGTCAAAAAGCCTAACGCATACACGGCATAACCTGGGCGAGACCTCTTGACGGAACTTCGGTATATTAATGACAACCTTATGGCATACGTTGCAACGTGATTTGTTTCTGAACACGCGCAGGGCAGCACTGGTTCCCCCCCTCAGTTCCATCCCGCCCAGGCTATGATAGATCTAGAAAGATGTGTGGGTATGTTGGGTATTTAAAAAAATGAGTTAGTAAGCTCTTTGATTGATTCAAATTTTCGTCAAGATATTTTACCTTTGTTATTTGAGTTTACAATAGCCATTGATCGCTTGACACGACTTGGGTTATATGACATTGAAAAAATTTGAATTAGTATACGTTCATTACATCATAGCAAAGGAAAAGAAATTGGACTTGCCTTTGAACCAAATGGTGTAACGGAAAAAAAGAAGATGAACACCGACCTCTCAATCATTATAAAATGAAGAGAATCAAAGGGCATATATAGTATAACTGACAAATAAAAACAAATTGAATGATGCTACAGAAGAACACCAGTCGTATCATCAACCACTTTTCTTCAAAAAGAGCTCTACTCACATTTTTATTCGAAAAACGACAATACTCTGTTTGACCACAACTGGGAAAAAGATGGTATCCTATAACAAGCCGTACACCCGCTGTGCAATGGATGCCACCTGTTACTGGATGTCGCACTCTTCCCTTGAGCGACATTCGTCAGACAAAAAGCCTAACGCAATACGGCATAACCTGGGCGAGACTCTTGATGGAACTTTGGTATATTAATGTCAATACTCTGGCATACCATGAAACACTTTTAATGAACAAAGCAGCACTTATTGACCCCCTCCGTTCTGTCCCGCCCAAGGTTATGATAGATCACAAAGATGTGTGGGAATGTTGGGTATTTAAAAAAAATGAGTTAGTAAGCTCTTTGGTTGATTCAAATTTCGTTGAGATATTTTACCTTTGATGTTTGATGCAGCAGATACCGAGGGCTTCCCGACCGAAATAAAGAAAGGATACAAATATAAAAAAAAAAGTAAATACAATAGGTGCGTCTGTAAAAACCCCCTAAAAACCCTGTGGGAAAAAAAAGGAGGAAAAGACTGCAAGAAGACTATTCACTAAAATACAAAATACATACTACAACTACAAAATAAAATGGTCGGGAAGAAATATCGAAGGCGATACCACGGGCAGCAATCCATATGAGAGGAACCTGGGGAGGACGCGTCAGCGTTTCCCAATGAAAAAGAGAGTCACACCACCGACGATGCCTTTGACGACAAAAACCGGTTTGGCCACATTTGAGCGCGAACAAAGTAGAAAGATTTGGAGGGATGGATGACTTGCCAAGCGAAAAGAAAACCGGAGAGAAAACCAAAAGCTAAAGAAGGGGTAGAGAAAAAAGAACGTGAGTTTTTTCTTGTCGAAAAACGAATAGTCACATCACACAAAAGGTACCTTTTTGATAATACTCGACTTGACCGGTTACAGATAGACGCCGGATACACCATAGTCTGGATGATGGATGATGGATGTGGATGCGGGTGAGGATGCAATGATAGTGAGGGCTTTTCAGGTAAACGGGAAGAGGGAGAAAACCAAAGGAAAAAGAAAAAATTGAAGACAAAATGAATGAGTTCCCATGGATGAAACAATAGTCACTCTGCCAATGCAAGAATGATGATCAGGTCAACCACATGGGCCAAAAAGTGGAACATTTGCGGTTGGTTTACCTTTAAATCAAACATTGTGCCGAAAGAAAATATGTATACGGACCACACGTAAGCTTCTTCTTCGATGCGGAAAAGAAAATTGCTTGCAGAAACAGTTAAGCGGCGGAATATTTTTGGGGCGGTGGTGTCAGCTTGAGCAGGGCCAAGATATTGATGTGGTCAGAAGTGCCGGTAATTTCGAGCTGGAGGCCAGATATCGATAGTTTTCCCGAGTAAAAATAAAAGAAAATAAAACTTGCGTCAGTAAAAATCTCACAAAAAACCCTGTGGCGAAAAAAAGAGGGAAGACTGCGAAAAGAATACTTACATGAAAGACGATATCAAGAGTAGGAATCCAAATGAGGGCAACATGAGGAGGACGCGTCAGCGTTTCCCGATGAGAAAGAGAGCCACACGACCGAAGATGTCCTTTGACGACAAAAACCGGATTGGCCACAATCTGGTGCCCGAACAAAGTAGAAAGGTTTTGGAGGGATGGATGGCTTGAATGGCTTGCCAGGCAAAAGAAAACCGGAGAGAAAACCAAAAGCTAAAGACAGAATAGAGAAAAAGGACAGGTAAATTTTTTCTTGTCGAAAAACGGATAGTCGTATCACACAAAAGGTACCTTTTTTCATAATAATCGAATCGACCGGATCAGATACACGCCATAGTCTGGATGATGGATGATGGATGCAATGATAGTGAGGGATTTCCAGGCAAACAGAAGAGATGCAAAACTAAAGAAGAAGAAAAAATTCGGACAAAAATATGTGATTTTCCATGGATGAAACAATAGTCACCTCACTGATGCATGAATGATGAGCTACACAGATCGAAGCATATCTGCTCCATGTATCATTCGATTACTGAAGAGAATGAAAGGGCATATACAGTATAACTGACAGATAACCCAAATTAAATGATGCTACAAAACACCAGATCGTCGTATCGTCAATCACCTTTCTTCAAAAAAGAGCTCCACTCACATTTTATGTGAACGGCGACGATGCTCTGTTTGACCACAACTGGTGCAAACGGCATCTTGCTGCTGATTGTTTCGCCTATTATCGTGAAAGTGGGCAGCGAGGCATGGTTGAAAGATGAAAAAAAGGTTTAACAGGTCTTGATAACTTAGTGTAGATCATGTGATTTACAAAATCGCTAATTTTTCAAAGATTTTAATTATATAGAAGATAGATAGACTAGTTGCGCGGATTATCACTCTGACTGTAGACCGTCACTTTTTTTTTTTTCGCTCTCACATTCTCATTCTTCGGCAACAGTGTCTATAGGATAGGACCTGAGTATTTGCTCTTTTCCGAGCTTCCTTTCCTTTTAGATACGAAAAATGTCCGATCTTAGTGAATGGGAACAGTTGGATGATTTGGTGCAAGTGTCTTACACGGTCAGCGAATCATACATTGTGTATTCCCAATTTGTGAAAGTGAGCATGGCCTGGCGTCTGTACGTGTTGAGTGCCTCGGATGTGTATGAGACAGAATATCAAGGCGAAAATGCATTGGCCGAAGTAAGGCGAGGAACATCGGCTTTTTTTTTTACTGCTGCAGCCCATTTAATTCATTCGTCCTTCAGGTAACGAAAACCGCCCCATTCACTTTTGTACGATGGTTTAAAGATAGTTTTGCAAAAGGCTACATCTATATCACGAACGAAAATCATCGAGAGTGTGTGGTATGGGAGAATAAAGCATGCTCAGCCTGACAATGGGCTGACACTTCAAGCATAGCTTCGAGTGGGCGAAGGACAGCGCAATGCTGTCTCCATGACAATGTCACCAGCCGAAAAACCGCGTAACCTGACTTTTGATTTACTGGTCAAGGTAAGGTTCTCAGTTTGATGTTGTTTTTACGGCCGACCACGGCTGCGACCATGACTCGTAAACCGATCATCTGATCCATTCATGTTGATGGTTACAGCTTGTCACTCACGTGCAAAAAGACGGCTGTCATATTGAGACGCATCAAAAACCGACCAAAAAAGAGGGAGATCATGCTTCTCAACTTGCAGATTTACAGGTGGAAATACAATGTTTTTCAATGATCAACTAGCTATCAGATGATGTGCTTATCAAGCCGTATTTTACAGCGGGAAAATGAACGACTCCGTGCGCAATGGGCAACGCAAGGTAACAATCCAACGGTGACTCTGAAAACGAAAAGGGATATCAATTTTTATTGGATGCAACATCGGTTAGTGCAAGAAGCGAGTCAATCTGCATCTAACCCTCGGGCGGTGCACCCTTCTGCTCCTCTGAAAGCAATGCGGTCAAGGCCTAAAGGCATGAGTCTGGTGAACCCGCGTGTCAAACGGTAAGCATAATAGTATCGCTTTTCTTAATGTTTTAACTTTTTTTTTCTTCTTCTTCTTCTGATTTATTGTGCCGTCTGCAAATAGAGTCAAGGCACCTCAGCAAGTATTTATCGATTTACAAGGGTAAGATAATGGGATAATAATAGATAATTATCGATGCAATACATAGTAAAAACGGTCAATGAAATTGACGCCTTGAAAAATAGGGAGGGTAAAAACACATCCGCTAGTACTTCAGAATGATATAGATTGCATGAATCACACCTTTTGGATGGATAAAAAGAAACGATAAACTTGTTAAACAATCATCAATTGTACCCATAATCCAAAGGATCATGTCTTACCAGGAATCCAACCCAATATCGTGAGGGCAATGTTAATGCAAATATCAGTCGTACAGCCTTGAATAAGCAGGTTTTAGCCAATCGATGAACATCCAACATCAATTGAAGTTTTGATCTTTACCTCGTTCGAAAAAGACGCCCAGAGGTGGAAGAATGACAGCTATTTTGTAAAAGGACTGATTTTAATTTGGTTGTTCTCCTGGTTTCATTATGCCATAGAAAGACGTACCAAAGATAAGCTTGAAAATGTCAGAAAATGTCAAGGCCATGGCTAATAACTAGTATTCTGATGCGAGAAAAAAGAGACAAAGAGTTGAAAGGAGCAAGAAAAAGAGAGAAAAGAAAAGGAGCCCGCCAAAGAAACTAAAATTTTAAAAGAGGTTACTTACCTGATCACATCGAGAAAGATGGTTTCATCCACAGATGCCGTCATTATGCTTGGCATTTTGTTTTTTATATGATTTTTTTTCTAAACAATAACTCATGATGACCTTTTTTCTTTTTTTTTTTCTGATGATAGTGACACTTGCTCTCAGGTTTGCTCTTAAACTTGCATGGTCGGGTGAGCGGAACAAAGCATGATAGGAAAACCACCTACTTAGTGTGTCACATACGTTGCTTGCTGCCACCGCAACCTCGAATTTCCAAAGCTTATCGTCGTCTTTCGCCTTGGTGAAAAACGATTCTAGTCTTAAGAACGTTTCTACTTGGGAAGAGCTGAACGGCGCTTCTTAAGTTGGTTGCAAAAGAAAAAAGTCCAATTTTATAATCCCAGTTCCGCTGTGATGTGGGTTCCCAAGATTAAGATCACCATGCCATTTTGAATGCCAAGGCCTGGGAACCCTGCCGAACTGCAAGGTGAATTACCGTTCTTCTCAATAAACATATAAAACTTCCATATCAAGTCAGCGCCGAAATCTCAAGTTGTGAAAACCTTTGCCGTGCGGTTGATGGAGCGTACAAAGTATGCTTGGCAGAGACTCAGCCCAAGGACACAGCCTGTCAACCGGCTGAGTGAAACGCAACATATGGGTAGTTTTCGTCATGTGATGTTGTGTCTATACTTATTTCTTTCTTGGGAATATGGGTCTATTTAAACATCAAACCCAACTCCCCCATCCCCCGCCTCCTGTGAAACGTAATTGTATCTTGGACGCCAGTGAGAGTGTGTTTGTGTGGTTATTTTCCAAGGGGTATCGTGGCTCTTGATATTGTCTCTGTGCAAACAATTCTGGAAACGTCGTATCATTTCTCGCAAGAGTCAGAGCTGTTACTCATCATACAATGGGAGCATGTTATGGTGTTTGGTTAAATATGGAACCAAGATTGATGGCTGCACTGCTAAATCACGCAAAAAAAAAAAAAAACCAGATAATATCACAACTGAACGACCAACTCCTTATTTTTCACCCGCTGATGGTTTGAAAATATAATAAATTCGAGTCAACAACGACACTTGCGCTTCATATGTCGCGTTACTGCTACAAAAAAAAAGACCAAACATAAGCAGCATGCATCCGCCAAACAAACGCCATATTTGCGTATCTTCATCCCACTATGACCGAGCCACAAGCTGCTATGAGTTTCAACGCCAAAGTGGAATGCAAAAGCTTTGGACAGTTCCACGTGAATCCATGGGCGGAAAGCAAGTGCGGAGTTGCAGTTCATTTTACATCTTTTGTTTTCGCGTTCTGTCAGTCGACCCATGGACGGATCCTGATGGGAGGACCTTCCGAGACAAGGGACCGCGGACGGTTCAGTATATTGGCGGATATTGGCGGGTGTTGAGTAGCTTGTGTGATTTTCGCTTTGTAAGCTTAGTTCTTAGAACCGTCTTTACAAATTGACAATACCGGCCCGATGATCTGAAACCCAAAAAGATATTTTCGCGTTCTGGCGTGACGCTGAAACCGATAGGCACAGATATTAATAGTTATCGCCGACAACTTTTTTTTCTTCAGCCAATCCAAACTTCCAACACTGAACGGTGCCTGTAAAATCCCAACTCGCACTAAGCTGGTTATATCCATTCCATGCAGCCAGCACGAGTTTAGCCGTGTCGCTTTTCCCGGTAACTGAATTTCGAACTGACAGAAAATTCGAATCATTCTGATCCAGCTTATCGCGTCAAACCCTTCTTTTTCAACCAATGATCAAACTCATTATCGTCACCGCGGACGTTCAATCCGTCTTTAATCCATATTGTTTTAGTAACCATCCATTCTGCAATGGTTGGTTACATGCATGTACAGATAGTGAGGAATCTTCTGTCACCAGAAAAAAAAAATCGCGCATTAAAAAATAGCGGATTGAACCATGGATAAAGTGCCTTGCACGAGGTATATACTAGGATTATCATGGTAGTCTTGCATGCATGCTTCTTCCCATGCGGCGCGTCTTATTCTGGCTTTGCTGTTCATCATTACGTAAACCCCATGCTTCAGTCATTGATCGATGGCTAGCGCATGGCTATTAACAGTTAGTCATCGGTGAATTTATTGAATCGCGATGATAATCTTTTTATTTTTATTTTTGGTCCATTCCCAGACAATAGGTCGCCATGGGTGCATGTGCCGACGGCGGATATTAGGCACAGGGCGTACATCGACCAAGAGCGGAAATACAATAATAACCACTTTTCTTAAACATCTTTTTGAATCTGAGTCGGCATAATTTGCACCACGTCGATGCTCATGATGATGCGTTCCAAAAAAAGGGTTTTGTTGTTCCGTGTTTTTCCTTGATCAATCACTTGGGTCTTTTTTTTTTTCTTCCAAGGAGAATCAGAAGTAAAGGGGAAAGAAGGGTATGAATTGAAAGTTTGGACATCTTCGCCACTGGATTATGCAACATTTACATCCATTGCACTTTATTTTGCCAGAGAATCACATCCAGGATCGTCGTTGTGCAGTGAGTAACTGTGAGCCAACAAGATAATTATATTTTTTTCTTTTTCGCTTTTCCCGGGTAAATGTCACGTCCAGAAATGTCAATAATATCTTTTTTTCGCCCATTTTTCTTTACTATGCTTTTTTTGGACAGTTAGTCTGTGTAATTGTCTAAAAAAAAGTCCTTTCCAAGACAATTGTTGGCATGAACAGTTGCCATGAATAGTAAAAGTGTTCTCACTTTCTGCGGCAGAAATGTTTTTATTCTTATCCTGTTCCCATCGGCAGCTCTCACGGTCCTTATGCTTTTCAGTCGAATTTAGTACACATGGTACCACTTTATTTGTTCAGGTTTTACATTGAATATTAGCAGGGTAAACTATAAGCAAAGAAGAAGTAAGAAAAAAAAAAACACCACCTCCTTGTTGCCTCCTGCAGTTGTGAACTCATCGGAAACGCCAGTGCAAAGAGGCTGGTTGAAACCTCAGCCGGGCGGACTTTGAATGGCTAAAAAAGCTGCGCCCTAACAAGCCTTAGAGACAGAAATAACCAAAATAAAAAAAAAAAATCGCCCAGGTGACACAAGCCGCGACCAAAGCCTGGAGACGGAATTTGAAGTGAATATTGATCCAATGGGCACCTGCAGGACGTGTGTGTGTGTATGTGTGTGCGTACACCTGGTAAAATGCAATTGCCGCGCAACTCTCATATATGGTAATGCAGTGAAATAAGCCTTGTCAAAAAACGAGGATGGCTACCTTTTTGTCAAACTCCTTCGGTCAGTCATGTTTGAATTCCATCGCTCTTTGCTTCCAAGTTTTTTAGTTTTAGTTTTTTCTTTATTATTTGTCATGACAACAAGGGGGCAAGATGAGAAACGAACCGAAAGGGGAAACTGACAAGAAGAAGGAGGTCCAAGAATCAACTTTGTCAGCGAAATAAAAATAAAACAGAAACAGCCGTGAACCTTTTTTTTTTTTTTTTTTTTTTCTTGTTCCGTCATGCTGAGCTTTCCTAGTTTAAATGAATCAAGAGATTCGTCGGTTGAAATACCAAAAAGTAGAAAGAAAAAAGTGGCACAAACACGTTGAATGACAATTGTCAACCGAACAAAAAGACCATTTTCGGTTGACAGAATCGGCGTGGCCACTAAAGGATAATGGCTATAGTTGGATAAAATAGAATTAGGTATCCGAAAAGGTGATGATCAGGACTAAATAGTAGTGCGTCTGCTGTGGAACAGCGGTCCGAGAAAAATGAGACACATTGAAGTAGGTCGGCTCAGTTGTTCATAATTATTTCTGTGTCACTCCTAGCAAAAAATAAACACAGTTTTCCGCGTCCACGCGCATTTTGCGGTCCAAATCATGGCTCGTCTTATAAAGTTATTTAAACGACCTCATCCCGCCGCTCTTTTCCCTCTTCTTCTTCTTGTTCCTCATTCTCTCACCCGTGACTGGATATCTACGTCTTGTCTCCTTCCTCCCCCCGTTTTCCCTCTTATAATTTTTTTTATATCGCTATTTAGTTTGGATTTGATCCTTTTCCTTTCTACTATAATTCGTCTAATCCTAAATTTCGGTGCTTAATCTATCCTATTATCATGTTGCCCAGATTGTTTATTCTCGCCGCCCTTGCCCTTAGCGCCACAGCTCAGAAACCTCCCGCCGCATCCGCTTCTCCAACACCTTCTGCTGGTGGCTTCCAATTCAAAGAACAGTATCCTAATCCAGGATCGGTGCCTACTCCTAAGCCTGAATGGATGGACTTATTGAAGAGTGCCAACATTTCCAACGCACCAGTATTGAAGGGTGGTTCTGATGGTAAAAATCTTCCCAGCCTTTTGCTTTTTTATCCATCCTATGGATAGTTTAATTAACATCATGCCATTCATTTCACGAAATAGGACCCAAGCAATCTGGTGACAGCGATCCCTACTGTGATTGGACCTTCACAGGCTGCACTCGTCCCGACGACATCGTTGCTTGTCCCAAGGGTGATTGGGGTATCACTTACGATGATGGCCCAACTGAATTCAGCCCCAAGTTGTATGATTTCCTTGACAAAAGCAATCAAAAGGCAACTCTGTTCATGATTGGCGGTCAAGTCGTCCGCTATCCTGACTTGACCATGCGCGCTTACAAGGCCGGTCATGAATTGGCCATGCATACCTGGTCTCATTCCTACCTGACAACCCAAACCAATGAACAAATCGTTGCTGAACTCAAGTGGACCGAACAAGCCATCAAAGAAGTGACAGGTGTCTCCCCTCGATTTTATCGTCCGGTATGTTGATCGACCATTGCATGTTCTTTTTTTTTCTCGCTTTTTTTTTTCCATCCTACCTCATCCCTCTAAAAAAGTCCCTTTTCTCGTCATTCCTCTTTCCTCCCAACTCCTGGTTTCTGCGAGAATCACATCACCCTTGCTCATCAACTTCTTTTTTTTTTTTTTTTTTTCTTGTAGCCTTATGGTGACATTGATGACCGCGTCCGCGACATTGCTAAAGCTTTGGGCTTCACCGGTAAGTGATTCTTTATGTTTATTTTCCACACCATTGTGCATTGTTTACTCATCAAATCATTCTTTTAATTTTATTTTTCTTGCAGCTGTTATTTGGAATCATGATACTGATGACTGGAAGGTAAATAGTTCATCCCAACTTTTTTTTTTTTTTTTTTTTACGCGCGAAACCAAAAGGTCCAGATTCTAAAGTACGAATTATACTATTTTTAGGTGGATGAAGATCCCAGTTTCAAGGAAACCTGGATTGATGGCAATGTGACCGAATGGGCCGCCGAAGCTTCCACTGCTACCGAAGGCGGTATTTCCTTGGAACATGACTTGTATCAGAAGACCGTCGATGCTGCCATTCGTGTTCTTCCCGTCCTTCAAAAAGCTTACAACGTCAAGACTGTGGGTGCCTGTATGAAGCAACCTTCTTATAAGGAAGGCAATGCCACTGTTCCCACCAACGCTACCAGCAGTACCGCCGCTTCCTCTTCCGCTGCTGCCACCTCTTCTTCCTCCCTTTCATCTTCCTCTTCTAGTGAACTTTCCCCTGCCGGTTCCAATGTTTCCCAAACAAAGGGACAAGAGGCACAAGAAAAGGAAGGGAGTGCTGCAGCTCAAGTTGCAGTTTCCTCTCTCGGTGTGATGCTGGTGGTCGCTGCATCCTACGTGTTGGCTTAAAAAAAATGTAGTTTTGCTTCATCCATTTCCCCTCCCCTGTTGACGTTTCCTCTTCATCCTTTTGCACTTCTTTTTTTTCTTTTTGTTATTTTTATGTCTTGTATTAGGTAACTCTTTACATGCTCCCATGTATAGTCATTAGATCGCTCACGCTTTTTCACAAATAACGTGCTGCTGCAGCGGCTAAAAACACCAGTCGGTGAGCAGTTTAATTGATTTTTATTTTTTGTACAGTTTTCTTTGGCCTTTTGTTATGTTGGTTTTGTATTGTTTGTCTGGTCGTTCGATTTGCCTCTTTTAAACATAATCCAAAAGCGAGCAAAACCATGCGACTTTCTATATATGTCTAGCGTGACCCACTCCATATGAAGATCGTCTTGATCAGCAAAAGAAAACAAAAAACAAAACATTGACAATCATTTCTTGCCTTTTACGGTGACATGGTATTGATAAACATTACGGACTGCTACTGACACTAAAAAAAAAGGCCAATGGCCTACGCCGCGCTGGCTTTCGGCGTATAAACATTCAAAAATAGCGACATGAGCCACCGCGGCGGAAGACTACGCACATCGGTCATCGGCGGGAGTCACCCCTTACTCTCGGAAGAAAAAAAATTCCTATAGACACTATTTTGTTTCTCGCTCATGGGATGCAGCAAATTGAGTCATGGCAACAAAAAAATAAGTGCCATAACTACCCTGTGGACAAACAACCCATTTTCTTTATAGCATCAAAGCATTCTCGTTGAACTAATTGTTTGATTATCCATGGGAACAGTCTGCCGTATTATCGCTATGCCACAGGTTTCGCAATGGTTGGTGTTTCCATGTCGTCGTAGGCAAAGACTGACATGAAAGAAATAGACTAAAAGCAATGTAGTCCATTTAGCAAAGCTGCTGAAACTGCATGTTTGCATTCGTCAATGTTTTGTCTTCTGAAAGCGGATGACAATCTTTTGTGGATCCGTGATCTGGAGATCTATATGAACGACACCATGATGATGATCACGTTCCCTCACGATGCTATGTGTGCACCAATGACAGCGTCTGAATACTAACCATGAGCAGCGCATTATGCACACACAGCCTATGCAATCAACGCATCGATTTCTATGCCCAAGGCCAGGATTGCAACTTTAAAAAACCAATATCGGCAACCGAATCGTTGAGGACTTGCGCAGTTTTTACACCGCAAAGCTAATCACTTTTGGTCAAATTGCACAGCTCAGTCGTGTAGATCAGTTGTCACGATAAAAAACAATGTTCTTCGGATGAAAGCCACTACATTACCTGCCTTTTCCTTTTCATTCGGCAATACCAATATGTTAACAGTTTCCTGGAGTGCCATATACACGACTTTTCTTAAACCTCACTTGAAAACGGCTACTGAAAATAAAACTGCCAGTGATTGCTAACTTTCTGTTAGTATCGTAAGCAGACCTCAAGCGCATTTTTTAAAGAGGTTACAGCAATGTACTGTACACGGTGCATGCACCAAAAATTTTCTATTGTTAGATCCTCACAAATTATTTGTAAAATGATGCCGTATATGCGCTCTGATAAAACTGTAGCGAGGAGAAAAAAGCGAAATCGTTGTTGCTACAAAAAATATTCCCCAGCATACATGATTAACACACGATCGGTTTTGTTGACGAATCCGAGGTGTTGTCATGTTGTGTAGCCTGATTGTGGTGTAAAGGGTAAAAAAAAGATGGAATAATACAAACTCAAGGCGAGACTTAACAAATGCTGGAATTTTCACCATTTAATGGCATGCCCCGTTGAACGGCTACTTGTACTCAACGCAGAACAGGTTGAGTGTGTGGTGTAAACGCCAGTGCCAATGTGAACCTTTCTCATATGAGCCTTCACCCAGTTAGCAATAGTACATTAGTCGGACGTATGGATCTGACCTTCTCTTCTATATCTATCAGCGAGAAATCATCAAGAACCAGCAACAGCAATATCCAAGAACATTTTGACCACACAAGTGAAACAAAAGGCCGCTACAAACGTTATAAAGGCTAGATGGCGGCTTACAAGAATCGGAAGATCATACAAAGGGAAAAAAAAAGGTTGGTTAAAAAAGTAGATGATATATTATGAAACTCCAACTCGTATGCAAATGATGCTCTATTTCCTTAGCGACTCCTCTATAATGAAACAACAAGTAAGAACTTGTCTATGCTTTTTTGACGACAACGACAATTAAGCCGAGAAATCTACACGAGGAAAAAACCAACAAGTCAAAAAGACACATCCATGGGTGTCTGACCTAGTTACGGTAACTTACCTGGGAAACATTCCTTCATGGTCTTGTTGTGCTTATTCTCAGCGTGCTCAGTCAAACTAAAGATCATCAAAGACGTTTTTAAACTTTTCGTCGCCCATTGAAAAAAAAAATAGGCAGGGCCTGAATTCTCTACTTACGCCTTCTCACGACTGGTGCAGAGGAAAGTCTGACGGCACTGCATGCAAATGATGTTCTTGGCAGCAGCATTCTAAGAGGTTCACGCCTGTTAGAACACATGGACATTCTCACTTGACAATTGGCACTTTACTCGTTTCGGAAACCCCTTTTGAGAGTTTCGTCACTTACCACTTTCAGTTGAGATTTAGCATCTGACTTTTGATTCTTTGCGTTGCGTTCACGCTTTTGCTGAGCTTTGGCACCCTACACACTCCTTATAAGTTTCTTACTGCTGACCTTTCCATCTTCAATTGTAACTTACGTTTCCCATGACGAATTCAATTAGATTCCAGGACAAAAAAAAAGTAGAGGGAATTTTTTTTCTGAGCGAATTTTTTTTTTTATTTTTTTTTTTTTCTGTTATTTTTTTTTTTCTACACTGAAGGAGGGCGACCAACCAATTTTCGTCGTCCTTTCCGAGCCATTTACCTCTTTTGGGAGGTAAAGAAGTGGCCCCATGGAAACGAATCACGATGAACATGAGATTCATGAACCAAAGCGTTTTTTAACCATGACGCATAAATATATTCACTTGCTACTTATTTAGTGCCAATAGAAAATGGCTCCGAACGGCCCGTTCATGCTTGCAGAAAGTGCTATGATACGCTCAGTTGGTGGATTTCCAAAAATGGCAGAAAGAAAAAAAAAAAGGAAAAGTGTGTTATTCAATAGGTTGCTGCTGAATGGCTTAATCACGCGACCAGGGTTTTCTGGTCTCAGATATTGACCAAATTTTTGGGAAAGCCTGTCAATTCGCGCTTCCAAAATCTTTCTTCTTTTACTAATTGCCAATTCCCTCGCTTGTATATTTCGTTTATTCGTATATATAAACCATGAATCCCTCAAAGCAACCCGATGAAGCCGTGCCACATTCAGAGACTGACCGAAAAGATGATATACTGCCGGCCCATATTCCAGTTGACATGGCTATAGCGCCCGACCAGCAACCATACCATACACATGTTATCCACAGCCCTACCTGTGAGCCTCCGGAAGAGGACAGCAGCCCTCGATTAGCTCAACATACGCTTTCTCCCGAAAAGCTCGGTGTCACGGGCTACGTCAAAGATGTGGTCGGCTTTGTCAAAGATGCCGTCTATGACGCCCGCGACCAGAAGCACCGTAAAAGCGGCCAACAAGGGCAAGCGTCCGAACAACCTCATTTCATTCCTGCAGGTGCAGCCGAACCGGCAGTGCTGGCCCCGGCGCAAGCCCCCCGAGAAAGCTCACCGTTGGTTGATACTGTCATTGGTCTTTTCCCGCATTTAGGTGATGACAAAGCAGCCGCATGCACCCACGCTGAACAATTACGCAACGATATGATGCAAACTCACGCTGTGCAAAATCCGAATGATCATCGATTATTGTAAGATCTTCCTTTTTATCCAGATAACAAAGTAATAAATAATGCAATGGGTTTGATGGTGATATGATTACTGCTGCATTTGTGTGACACCGTTTGTACGCATGACATCAGTCTGTGTTTTCCGAAAAGGGATATTTCTTACAAGAATCTGGCATGCATTCTTCGGTATATCAACTGATAAGAATTACTTAGCTGCGGTATTGAAACTGTTTCGGGATCGGGATGATGTGGCATGATGGAGAGTGTGAAATGGTTTATTTGCGTGCGTTGGTATGTGCGTGGTATGGTGTGCAGTAAACACATTAACAAGCCGTACACCCGCTGTGCAATGAATGCCGCCTGCCACCGGAGGCCGCCCTCTTACATTGAGCGACTTTCGTCAGACAAAAAGCCATACGCATACATGGCATAACCTGGGCGGGAACTCTTGACGGACTTTGGTATATTAATGACAACGTTATGGCATCCCTTACGTCGTGATTTGTTTCTGAATACGCGCAAAGCAGCACTGATTGACCCCCTCAGTTCCATCCCGCCCAGGCTATGATAGATCTAGAATGATGTGTGGGAATGTTGGGTATTTAAAAAAAATGAGTTAGTAAGCTCTTTGATTGATTCGAAGTCGTTAAGATATTTTACCTTTGTTATTCGATGCAGCAGATATGCAGAGCTTTCCGACCTAAAAAAAAGAAACGATACAAATATAAAAAAAAAGTAAAACAATAGGTGCGTCTGTAAAAAAACCCTTAAAAACCCTGTGGGAAAAAAAAGGAGGAAAAGACTGCAAGAAGGTCTATCGAAATACTACAAACTGCAAAAATAAAATGGTCGGGAAGAAATAGCGAAGACGATATCACAGGTGGCAATCCAAATAAGAGGAACCTGAGGAGGACGCGTAAGCACTTTCTGATGAAGAAGGAGAGTCACACCACCGACGATGCCCTTTGACGACAAAAACCGGATTGGCCACATTTGGTGCGCGAACAAAGTAGAAAGATTTGGAGGATGGATGGCTTGCTAGGCGAAAAGAAAACGGGAGAGAAAACCAAAAGCTAAAGAAAGGATAGAGAAAATGGACAGGTAAGTTTTTTTTGTAAGAATGGATAGTCACATCACACAAAACATACCTTTTTGATATTTCAATCGGCTTGACTGGTTACAGATACACGCGGGTAAACCATAGTCTGGATGATGGATGATGAATGCGAGGGGATGCAATGATAGTGAGACTTTATCCCAGTAAACAGAAGATAGAGGAGAAAATCAAAAGAAAAAAGAAAAAATACGAAGACAAAATATATGTGGATTTCCATGGATGAAACGATAGTCACCCCACTGATGCATGAATTCATAGATCGAGGCACGTCTGCTTATGTATTATTCGATTCATTGAAAATTGAAAGAGAATGAAAGGACATATACAGTATAAATGACAGTATAACTGACATAAAAAAACAACAAATCGAATAATGCTACAAAAGTTAGAACGCCAGTCATATCATCAACCACCTTTCTTCAAAAAGAGCTCTACTCACATTTTTATTTGGAAGACGACATGCTCTGTTTGACCACAACTGGCGCAAACGGCATCTTGCTGCTGATTGTTTCGCCTATTACCGTGGAAGTGGGCAGCGAGGCATGGTTGACAGATAAAGAAAAGTGCAAAAAGAATTAACAGGTCCTCATAACTTGGTGTAAATCATAATCGCTAATTTTCCAAAGATTAAATTGTTTAGATTTTTGGGCTATCGTTTCCGGCGTTCGTTGGAAATCTCTGTAGCCGCATCAGAAATAATTTTATGCTAGTTTATCTTGTCAGTCACGTATCCATGCCAATGTCTTGATGTAGGCAACTTACCAAGCTTTCATTTCGTCGCGCACACAGCTGGATATCATCCCATGGTAAGATTGAAGAATTGCCAATCTCTCTCGAAAGGGTAATCAACGTACCTTGACATCTTCCATTGATATGACACTCCGTTTGCCATGTCTACACCGAATGCACAATAAGCTGATTAATCTCGCTTTGAAGTTGAATAAAAGAATTTTACTTTGCAAATGCTTCGAGATCGGTTGCCATTGTTTCTAAGTGATTCGTCTCGTCTTGAGTCGCTTGATGCTGCATTTGATTTGTACACTCGGGTCCCTTACCCATTTGCTTAAATACAACGTCGGTTAAGGAAGCGACAAATTCAGGTGATACTGTTTTGCCCGCTGATGCAGCTATGTCACAATGATCAGTTCGCGGTTGCTCTGTCTTTAATTATGCATGACGACTCCTTGTTACCTTCTTGTCGCGTTATCTGATCTACATTTTCCCATACGGCATTGCGCAGGTTCTGCGAAATCGATTAAAACGAGAAAGTACACAAAAATGCTGGGGTAACATTTGTTGACCAACCTGGTAAAGTTGAATATCGTTTGAATCGTCCATGGGCCCTTCTTTTGGTTATAGAATTTTTGACGCAGGAAAAAATGTATTCCACTGAATCATGCCTGCAGTGCCGGGCACAGTTTTTTTCTACTTTCACAAGTCACAACGGATCCTGCAGACAAAGATATTTGGTTGCTGCTGAAACGACACACTCAATCCATGGTTGTACGTAAGCCTGAACCCTGAATAAGCAGCAAGCTTATCAATGGTGATAAAAAAAGAGGATATACGATTTTACTTGGAGGATAGAGCTTGGAATGAAGTGAACGAACTATTGGCCAATTTTTCTTGCCCAGTTCGGAGTATCTACCCTTCAAGGGTCATCCCAAAATTCACGGTTTCGCATGAAAAAAGGAAGGCAAAAATTGAAAGACCCCCTCCCACGTCAAGACGCCTTTTTTGGTTTTCCTTTTCCTTTTGCATTTTACTACAAACCTTACAACCTCGTTTTATCAACCCGATTGGCTTGTCACAATTCTTGTCGTTTTATACTGCATTCTATTTCCTGCAAAGAGGTTGTTCTTTTCTCCCTTCAATTCAGTGGATCAGCCAGCATGCCCATTCCTTCCAACGGCAGTTCCATATACTGCGATAACAAGGCTCCAGACAACCTACAAGCCTGTAAATCATTAGTACGAAAATATTCAAGGAAGCAACCTGATGTCGCCGATACAAAGAACAAACGTAGTAGAACCCTGCTGCATAATCAACCCCACGATAGTTCCGAAGACATTCATCCCATCGACTTGTCCCAGCAGCGTCTGCGAAATTCTCACCTGGGCGCCTTATACGCAGGATCTGTTTTCAAAGGCATTCAAAAGTGTGCGCAAATGACATATGAAGTTACAGTCGAAATTCAGGTAAGATGGACTTGAATTTCCTGGAACCCTCCTGTCCGAAATGGGCTCTAACGGATCCAACTCATGGGCCCGACCTGTTCCTAGCACGTTGATTTGAGCCAAAGTCGGCTATGTGGTTATCTCAATATCAAAGGCCTGACTTCGCAATTTCCTGAACTCACGGTAACAAGTGGGCAAGATAGGATTTATATGAAACATGCAATTTAACGTGTGCGTATGCGTGTTCTTGTGTATGTGTGTGTCAATAGACCTACTTTGAAGGCGAGATCATTGGTCCTCGCTATCCGTTTCTCACACGGAAATGGCAAGCGCAGCAATCCATTGATATGGCACATTGGGTAAGTCGACCTTTTGTCGGAACTCCATCTCATGTGCTTCCTTTTGTGTGGGTCATGATATGCCGAATGACTATGGTTACATGGATGGCTCGGTTGAACTTACGGCCTATCTTTTTCTTATTTTTCTTATCATCGGCTTTTTGTGCAGAAACGATTTCCTTCATTTCGACCGTATATTCCGCTGTTTAATCTCGATGGTTTTACTTACGACCCTACCGACAAGGATTTCGTCTATATGCGGTGGAAAGAGCAGTTTTTGATCCCAGACCATCGAGTGGATACAATTGAAGGCGCCAGTTTCGCCGGGTTTTACTACATCTGCTATCAGCGATCAACGAATCACATCAGTGGATTCTATTTCTTTCGATATCATACAGAATGGTAAGTCGACAGGGGCGGGTCCCCTGCTTTTTCGCGAATCCCGCAATCATCCTCTGTTTCGCCATTCAAACAGAGACCAAAGAAAAAGGAATGGGAGCAAGAGAGGTTCTCCAGTTTTTTTTTAACAAAATGGTTGGCATTTTCAGGTATCAAGAACTGACACTGGATCATGTGGAGCAGCGCTACTTTGGCAATTTTGAATTCCATTGACACAAACAGAATACGTCTTGCTGAATTCTTTTATACCCCTTCACCTACCATTATATCAAAAATACAGTATGTATGCTTCGCTGGTTTCCTTACGACTGCGTTTTTCGTTACGTGACAATTTGGTTCCCTCACTGTGATGAGCGACCAATGCATATCATCCCGTGCCGTTCTTATTTTCCGATTTCTCCTTTTCATACTTATCAAAGGTACTGTCGTGAATAGCCTTAAACGGTGTCCTTGCTGAGAGACAGAATCATGGGAGGTTCAATGGGTTCAGGTTACACGAAATGTCTGCACCATGTAGTGAGTGTTAAAAATAGGAACAAGAAACAGCATTTTAATGAAAAAGAAAAAATGCAGCATATCAAAATATAATACAAGGGTCTGGCATGATTGACAGGAATAAAGAAAAAAAAATAAACATAGAAAAGGTGGGCATATAAACAAAGAAGACGTTGGATGCATATGTAGATGGATTGCTTATCGTCTGCGAAGGTATCGTCGGGCAATTACATACGTGTAATTGTTGTAAGTGACCGTAAGTTGGGCGGTATTCACAAAGATGGCCTTGCCACCAAAAGATCGGCTCTTGATCCAGCTTGCACCATACTTGGTCCATAAACCTTCAATTTGTCTTTGCGATTCAGCGTCAAAAGCGACCCAGGAGGAACCTGCGGCGTAAACCCATTCGGCAGTGGCGGTCATAATGATATAAATAAAGCCAAGTGCTATTCTTTTTTACTGATAATGTTAATCCGTTAAAGAGAAAACAATACGGAATAATGAATGAATACAAGCGCCGAATCATCGAGAAGACTGCGGGGTATTTATAACCCAATGGTTCGGTAGTGCTCAGCTAGTTGAGGTGCTTGTAACGCGTCATGAAAAAAGATGTCATGGATGTGGCTTCAGTGAGGCGCGGTCATGAAAAAGTAAAAATAACAAGAGGCTGAAACTGATTTGATTGGCAGATGACTTGTGGCGCTGATCATGGACGTTGCTCGCAATAGAATAGGCTGACCATGGCCACATCTAGACCCACTGACGCCGTTGAAAAAGTATCTATTTCGGATGCACTATGAGTCAAGAGCTGTGCCATGGTGCAAAGCAATTGACGTGCTCAGGAACTGAGATTCCGTTACCTATAAATGGACTATCCGCAAACCTGCTGCGTACCTCGCAGCAATTCGTGTCACCGTAAGAATTGGCTGCGCGTTCGCTATGTCGATCAAATCACGTGCTCCATCTGGCCAAAACCCGACAAGCTCTGTCTTGCTTCCCCACACAAAGTGGCTTTTTCTCTGGAATTTCTTTTTTTCATCTTTTTACTGCCGTATTAAAGCCATGGCCGACTATGATGTGACGCAGTACCGCGATTCTGTGCGTGGATGGAACGAGGATCCCAAAAAGTACTTGAATCGTTACTACACGATCCACTATTACGTTGAAACCAAACAGACCCAAGAAAACAAGCCCAAAGTAGGCAATATCTACGTCCGTCAGTCGCCCAACAAGATTTGCGTTTTGGGATTTGCCCCTGATCATCCCATCTACAAGTACGACCCACTTACTAGCCGCATCACAGTTCGTCCATGCACCGATGTCTTGGGCAAAAAAGTCAAACCGTCGACGGTAGTGTGTGAAGTGGACATTGACGGGCATATATACCAATTGCAGGCTCGTATGGGCGGAGTGCTCAAAGATCTGAATCCGCGTCTCGTCAAGGAACCTCAGTTGTTATGGGAACATGGAATGGACGAAGGCTATGTGGCCATCATTCTTCCCCAATTTGAAGCAACCGAAAAGCAGTTGGCTCAATTTATCACCAGCGAGGCATATGACTCGCACCGAGCGCAATCTCAATCATGATTCCTTTATTTCACCTTTTTTTTTTCTATTTGATTATCTGCATTGCATTCATTCATCTTTTTCTTAACCAAGCCATTGCACACACAAGACCATATTCCTCCTGTAACCACCAAATAAAATAAAAACAACTCATCATGCTACTGTATCATTCCATTCTTTTTTTTTTTTTTTTTTCCCAAAGTCATCAAAGCATCGCCAAAAGCATAGTAATAGAAATATAGAAAAAATGCTTTTAATTACGTGAAAAAAAGGTTTGGTTTCTTATCTTTCAACGTCGTCTCTTTGTGTATACAATGTAATGCGTTTTCATTTACGTTTAAAATAATCTTTTTTTTTTCGGTTTGTATGTGTTCAAAATGATTTTCTTTTTTTTTACCAGAGAGGCACACCACCTTCGATGTCCTTGGGCTGGGTGGCTTGACCGATCAAAGCCGTGCTCAAGAAATCGTATTCTTCCTGGAAGTGCTTCTTCTTGTTACCCGTGGCCACGGATGCAGAAGGTGCACGACCGGCATATTTAGGTGTCTTGCCGGCATGGTGAGAGGTCTCAGACAAGGCAGTGGTCAAACGGGGTTGCACGTGTTGCCAGGCACCCATGTTCAAAGGTTCTTCCTGACACCAGATAATGTCGGCGTTAGGATACTTGTCAGCGTGTTCCTTGATCTGCTGGTAAGGGAAAGGGTTCAATTGTTCCACACGAGAAATGGCCACATCGGTCATCTTGTTCTGTTCACGGGCACGAAGGAGAGCATAGTACACTTGACCGGTACAGAAGATGTGCTTGGTGATCTTTTCAGGAGCTTCCAAGTGATCTGGGTGGGCATCAGGGAGATACAATTGGAAGTGACTATCACCAGTCATTTCCTCCAAAGAGGAACGCGCAAGAGGATGACGAAGCATAGACTTGGAGAAAGGCATGATCAACTAGAAATAGCACGAAGTGAGATGAGTAAAAAAGAAAAAGGAAGAGAAAAACCATCAAGCTAAAAATCCCGCCAGAAAAAAACGGTGATATACTTACAGGCTTTCTGAACTCACGGCAGATCTGGCGACGGAGGACGTGGAAGTACTGTGCGGGAGTGGAGGCATAGACGACTTGCATGTTGCAGTCTTGATGTTGGCGTTGAAGTTTCTCGGGCGAAGGGAAGACGTAAGGGTTGTCATCGCACATTTGGAGGTAACGTTCAATTCTGGCCGAAGAATGTTCGGGGCCTTGACCATCATAACCGTGGGGCAACGACATGACGAGACCACTGCGCTGGAGCCATTTCTGTTCACCGGCAGCCAAGAACTGATCGACAATACATTGAGCATTGTTGGCGAAATCACCGAACTGGGCTTCCCAGACCACCAAGGCATTGGGATCGACAAGAGAGTAACCCAATTCGAAACCGAGAACACCGAATTCGGAAAGGGAAGAGTTGGAAATCGACAACACACCCTGTTCAGAAGAGATGTGGTTCAAAAGGGTATGCTTGTGGTCCTTTTGCTGATCGTGGAGGACAGCGTGGCGTTGAGAAAAGGTACCACGTTCGACATCTTGACCCGAGACACGGACGTGCTTGCCTTCAAGCAAGAGCGAACCCCATGCCAAACCTTCGGCGGTGGCCCAATCAATATCCTTACCCTCTTTGAGGTTCTTCTCACGGTTCTGGAGAATTCTCTTCAAGTTACGGTGAAGGTTGAAGTTTTCGGGAGTAGTGGTAAGAGCCTTGCCAACCTGTTGGAGGGTTTCGGTGGAAACACCGGTAGGGAAGTGAGGAAGGATCTGTTCGGCCAATTCCTTGGGCGACTTGAAACCGGGCCAGGAGCTGGACAACCATTCACGGGAAGTGGGCTGGTAGTCCTTGCTCTTGGAGTAGCTTTCTTCGAGAATACCCCACACGCGCTTCTTGTTCGCCTCAATTTCCTCTTCAGAGAGCGAACCTTCGCTCTTGAGCTGTTCAGCGTACTTGAGAGCCACGGGCTTCTGCTTGGCAATAGCCTGGTACATCTTGGGCTGGGTGAAGCTAGGCTGATCGGTTTCGTTGTGACCGTGCTTACGGTAGCAAACAAGATCAATGACAACGTCACGATGGAAGGTCTGACGCCAGTCAGCTGCCAATTGCATGACATAAGTAACGGCTTCAGCATCATCACCGTTGACGTGGAACACGGGAGCGTTGATGGACTTGGCAATATCGGTACAGTAAGGAGTGGAACGACCGTAGCGGGGATCGGTGGTGAAACCAATCTGGTTGTTGACGACGATGTGGATGGTACCACCGGTGCTGTAGGCAGGCAAGTCATGGAAACCCATGGTTTCGTAGACAACACCTTGACCGGCAAAAGCGGCGTCACCGTGCATCAAGACGGACATGGAGTGGTTGCCCTTGTCATCGTTGCTGTAGAACTGAAGAGCGCGGGTCTTACCAAGCACAACGGGGTCAACGGCTTCCAAATGAGAAGGATTGGCAACCAAGGAAAGGTGGACACGCTTGCCCGAAGGGGTAGGACGAACGTAATTCATACCCAGATGGTATTTGACATCACCGGAACCTTCCTCAGAGGGTTGAAGGGAACCGCTGAATTCGCAAAAGATGGATTCATTGGGCTTGCGGACGACGTTGCTCAGAACGTTCAAACGACCACGATGGGGCATACCAATCACGATGGATTCCACGCCAAGGTCAACTGAACGGTCAATCTAAAGCGAGATAATACACACAAGAAAAAAAAAAAAGCCAAAAACAGTCAGTTTTGACAATTATAGTTTTCCTTTTTTGGGATTTTTCGAATACTTTACCAAAGCCTTCATACCGGGGATGAGAGTTTCACCACCCTCCAAACCGAAACGCTTCTCGGAAGGATACTTGGAAGCAATGAAACGTTCAAAACTGTCGGACCAGGTAAGACGATCGAAGATCATGCGCTTCTCATCCACGGAGTATTTGTAAGGCTGAGGGTTTTCAATGCGCTGACGAATCCAGTCACACTGAGCACGGTCGGGAATATGAATGTATTCAATACCGATGGAGCCACCTTCATGTTAAAAAAAATAAAAAATAAAGGCCAAACAACAACAATAAAAAGAGTGGGGAATACGATGAGTGTCATATGTCATTTTTAACACCACACCAGATTCCTTTTTTCCTTTTTCTGCCACCATTTTCTTCCATATTCACTGAATGATAATACTTACAGTAGATCTTCTTCAAGGCATCCATGATTTCACGCAAGGTCAAGGTCTTGTCAGTCTTACCGAGGGCAGGCAAGATACCGGGACCCAAAGTGAATTTGCGGTCCAAATCTCTTTCGGAGAAACCATAGTATTCGTAGTTAAGCTCGGGTGGGGCGGTACCGTTGAGGTCGGCGTGTTGGATACCGAGAGGATCCAAGTTGGCAATGTGGTGACCACGAACTTGGTAAGCGCGGACCAACAATTGGATCTTCATGTGATCAATGACTTCGGAAGAAGAAGCATTGGCGGCATTGGCCACAGTGGCACCAGGGAGATCGGGAAGACGAGCACTGCCCGAGGGAACAAGGGTGGGAGGAGGAGTGTAGGCTTGACCGGGAGCCACACCGTTGGCCATGTTCTTGAAGTAGATTTGCCACGACAGATGGACCGAAGAAGGTTCTCTCAACCAGGCCTCATACATCTCTTCAATGTAGTTGGCAGCATTACCTTGCAAAAACACATCGTTGGCTTCGGGAGCGGCCTTGGTGGCAGCGAAACGAGTTTTGCCGGTATGGAAAGAAGCCACAGATGCCGAACGGACGACTGAAGGTCTAACGGCCTGCTGAATATTTCGAGCAGAGAAAGAAAGGGGTCTGGCCGCACGCGAGAGCGCCGACAATCGATACATGGTTAAAGAAAAAAAAAAGAAAAAAGGTTAAAGGAAAGAGAAAAGGGGTGGGGTAAACAACCACGCGCAACAAAAAGCTCGGACAGGAAAAAACAAAGTCAGCTTGGCTTTTTCTTTGTCCAAACGGACAAGCGCCGCCGGGGGGAGCTTGTGACGTAGGACAAAAGAATTTCGCGGTCCGATTCTCTCCCCCGGTACATAATTGGCGCACGGCTATATTTTTGTCCCCGTGCCCTATTTCTGCCGATACTTTATTGTTCATTTTTAACACCTTCCCCTCCTAACCTCCATCATGTCCCCGCAACCATTCTTTTATACACATAGAGTAACTTGAATCAAAGCATATTAAGCTACTTTATATAAAAATTTTAATTTGTTAATCTAATTTTCCATTTCCATGGCAAACAAGCAATGGGGCTATCCCTAGGCTACGGGCCAATTACAATCTCCGACAATGTCAACGGAAAGGGAACGAGGGCGGCCGAACGTTTCTCTAATGTAATGGATAGAGATGCTGCTGCATTATGTTTCTGTATCCTCAGTTTGTTATTTATCGTTGCCACGGTAACAATAATCAGACAATCCACGTCAAACTGTGTATTCGGCAGATCGCAGGCAGAAAGAGGATGCATAAAACACTTGAATGGACTGAGTGACAGTAATTGGTTTCAGCGCTTGGAGCAACCCGCGATCCTCCAAACAAAAGAGTTTTTTTCGCTCTTTTGAGTGTCCAAAAGCCGCCAAAATGGCAAGGCACCTGTTACCTATCTTTTCTGTAAGAGCTAAGCAAAAGATCCGTTGTTTGTAAGAAGAAACAATCAGATAAACAAGGGAAGCTTTGCGATCGGCAGTGTAATGGCTGAGTATGACGTGAAACGCATTTGTTACATCGGACTCTCTTTCGTTTGAAATGGATACTACTTGTAAAAGGATGTTATGTTTTCTCAAATATCATGATCTGAATCATCAGGCAAAGCGTATCCGACATGTTCCGTCCTTTTTTATTGGACCTTCATCAGGTATCAATTGTCTGGATTGCATATGAAGCCGGGTGGGCCATAGGAAGGATCGGTTAATTAAACTCAGTAAATTTACAGCTTCGATTGCGAGACGCAACTACCCCACTTGTTGAACCCAGCAATTTTGACCAGTTGAAGCTTAGCAAAGACAGGCATCTCACTGCCGATTACGTTGACACACCCTTGTGACGCATATGGTAAAAATGAAGGACATAGTCTGCCCGTTATACTTGTCGTCACAGAACCTGCTCTTGACCGCTCCCCCTTTTTTTGTTCAGTTTTGTTCAGTGTGGACGTTGTGGGGTTTCCCTTCCATGGATCACTTGTCTTTCAAATTCCGAATCACCGAGAAATTTGCCTTTCACCGCTCGTCACATGTGCTTGACGGAAGAATTCCCGAGCAAAGCGGCTGGATTGTTTCATTTCGAAGAATGCTCAATGATTATGGGATATACCATATGAAAAACTCCTTTGATCGGTAGACTTTAGTCACGCAAGGAAGAAGTAAAAGAAATGCCTGTTTTAGGCAGTTGCCTTATTTTGGTTCTGACAGGCGAACTGTAATAGAACACAAGATGATCTTCCCCATTCAATGACCGTCGAGCATTTTTTATTACAAACCCCGGCCCGTAATCTCCCTTTGACCCACACTTAAAATTTCCAAAATGAGAACGTGCCAGATGCCTGAACATAAGACTGGAACACCATTGCTCGTTTTCGAATAATAGATAATACTTATTTTATAAGGTATAAGTTTTATAATGTGCCTGTTGATGTGCGTTTGTCTTTTTCCTCCTGTGGTTTGGTCCCTGTTGCTGTATTCTCCTTGACTGCATCGTTTGTCGGTGCATCAGTTACCAAAAGCCGTTTAATCATCGTGCCCCACGATTCTGCTTGCGACAATACCGCAATCTGGCAAGCAAAAAATAAAAATAAAAATGAATACATGGTCCGATCACCGCTTCACTGTGTGTTTTTTGTTTTTGGTAGTCCCCTTGGTTTGTAAGCAGGTGGTTGAAGATAAATGCTTTAATTACCTGATATGGAAATGGGTTGCCTTCGGTGGTTGTAATGGATGGGATGTGTTCCTTATGATCGTTTGCCATACGTAAAATGTCCAGCAGACACTGTGATAATTGCTTTTCAGCGAACCGATGGGATGACTGTTTTTCTACATATTCACCGTGAACACATTGAATGCCTTTCCAGCAGCCCCTATTCAGCTCGTTATACCTTGATCATTCTGAGGATATATTAAACTGAGTGTAAGTGTCCATTGTTCCCAACACACCAGTTCTTCGGATTTGGAGAATTGAAACCAGTTTTTCTTCAGTCGCTTTTCATAAAATAGTACGCCTAACTACATCCAACAATAAGAAAAACGAACCCTGTTACATCTCGTTGTTGTAATGCTTCCGCCACTATGCGTTTTACAACTGCTTTTTTTTTTTTTTTTTTACCTTGCCCTGTTTAATGTGGGGTGGGCTCGTATTCTGTAGAAACTCCGCAATCTTGGCCTCGATAAGCATCTCCACATCTCGACTGTCTGTAATCGACTAAGCTCCTCTGACAGTGAGACCCATGGTTTTGCTTACTGAGCAAATAAAAAAAAACTTGAGAAAAATCACTTACTACCGTAGTGTCCAATACTCGCAGTTCCCTCGGCATGACATTGACGAGCAGACGATGGAAAAAGATGGAATGCAGTAACGCTGTCAAGATCATAAAATACAGCCAGTCAGTTACAATTACGTCGACGGAAGGATCAGTTCTAGCTATAATGCCGTAGGAAATTATGAATAAGTGTACCTCTAAGAACATCCTTGACGCATTCTCTCGGGACGGCCGCCTACGTGAAACAGCCGTGAGTTAATAACAAGTCAAATTAGGTCGATGAACCCCAGTTGTCACTATGCACCATCTCAATATTGAACTCTTGCGCATTCAATGCCATGGTAAAACTAAAAGGAGATACAAAAAGTGATAAAGAGAATAAGGGAAATGCATAATTGGCTCAGATCTCGTGTATGGTTCCCGCTGAAGGGATCACATGATCTCGCTTCCTCTTTTTTTTTTCAAGGTCTCGATCCAATTGCTTTGATAACTACAATCCCCAATGCACTCTACAGAGTCACTTGACATTTTTACATACCGGTATTCCTCCTCAGTTTATTTGCAGGTCTCTTTTTCATGTGCATAGAATAAAAACACCATCAGCGTGTTTTCTGGTGAATTTAATGCACACATAAAAGTCCCGATCCCTTGATGGTTTCTTCAGTTACTATTACAGCCCAGTGATGCATTTTATATTGTTACATTTGGTTGCCTTGATCATGCTTTCCAGAACCAGTTGACAGGCATTCAGCATGCACTGGGCAACCAAAAGCTCCATGGCCACCTGTCCAATGCACGTCACTAAGCGAAACACGTGATTTTATCAATGCGAATTGGAAGTGTTTTCCACACAGGAAAAATCCCAAAAATTTGATACGAGGTTTCCCTCTTGGCATGCTATCATTTGCTGCAAGGCCATTGCATGCTGTTGCTCGATTGGCATTCATACCGTATAGACAGTCAAAGTTTACTGTAACACGAACTCCGTGGGGACCCACGCAACGCTTGTTCGCAACCGTACCTATGGCTTACCCCGGTTTCACAGCCGCGTGCTGTATCATTGGTGACGAGATCTTGAATGGCAAAACACGCGATTCCAATGCCTTTTTTCTAGGTAGGACCGTCCTGTCTGCTTGAAGTTTAACAGTAGGGATGGGATGCTAATACTTTGTTCTCTTCATATGTAGCCAAGTACTTGTTCGATTTGGGGATTGATCTTAAACGAGTGGAAGTGATTGGCGACGATTACGATGCTATTGCAGAAACGGTACAACGATTGTCGAGCGCACACGATATTGTGTTTACAAGCGGAGGGATTGGTCCTACACATGACGATATTACCTATGACGCTTTGGCGAGGGCGTACGGTCTGCCACTCAAGTTAGATGAAGAGACATGTGACTTGATGAAAAAGTCAGCGACGAGCAGTCATTGGACGTTGACAGAGGAAAGGAAAAGAATGGCGATTTTCCCTCATCCCGCCGAGATTTTGCGTGAAACGACGGATTTTTGGGTGCCGGTGGTGGTGGTGAACAAGAATGTGCATGTATTACCGGGCATTCCCAAATTGTTTGAAGGTTTATTAGCTTCTTTGCGACCGCACTTTGAGTCTTTGGTGGAAGCCAAGAATGGCGCCTTGACGCACTACTACCGTGTCCAAATTGCTACCAGCCTTCCCGAAGGGGAAATTGCACCCTATTTGACGACAGTGCAGGCACGTGTAAAAGAGTCGCATATTAAAATCGGCAGCTATCCGAAATGGGGAGACGATACCGATGGCGTGCGTGTAGTGGTTAGTATCGTGGGAAAGGATCAAGACCGTGTACAGAGTATAGGAAAAGAAATTGCACAGTTGGTGAAAGGTTGGACATACGAATCACCGTCACCATCATCATCGTCATCATTATCATCTGTATCAGCACACAAACCTTCATCTTGAATAAACTGGTAAAAATCCGCGCCAAAAAAAAAAAGAGATCATGCCTCATGTCGATCTAGTGTGGCAAACACTGATGCCAGCCTGGGATTGGCTCAATAAGCAATGGCGATTCAGATTCAGCTTGGGTTTTTCAAACTTTGTTTGTTGCAAGAATTTATCTTGCTTTAATCGTGTCCGCATGGTGTTATTTCGTCCCTTCCTTCGCCAGCGGTTTCATTCCACCATGTCCTTCACCTACAAGGTAACTTGGCATAGCGGCGAGTCTCTGGGCTTGTACAAACCAACCCTGTTTGTCTCTTTTGGTTACTTTAGGAAGCAGTTGATAAGCTTAACTCTCTTCAAACCAACGCTTCGCTACTTGATCAATTGCGAAAAGCGGGTCCATCAATGAACGACCGCAGTCTACCAGAGTTCAGAGAGTATCTCAAACGCATAGGTTACGAGGTAAACACCCACAAGGGTCAGCCATGGCACGAAATCCCATGACATGACTAAATGATCTACAATAGAGCAAAGATTTTGATTCGCTCAATGTCATTCATGTGGCCGGTACCAAAGGCAAGGGCAGTACTTGCGCTTTTACCCAATCTATTTTACGGCATGCATCCTCGGATCGGCCTATTCGTACCGGTCTTTTCACTTCGCCTCATTTGGTGGCAGTTCGCGAACGTATTCGGATCAATGGCGAGCCTATCAGTGAAGACCAGTTTGCCAAATATTCACAAGACGTGTGGGATCGGTTAGAAGCTACCAAAGAAGAAGCATTGGCCGAAATGGAAGCAAAGGACAAGGTAAGCAAAAAAAAAAAAGGGTGATCATGGGAAAATGGAGAACTCAAGCCACGATCGTGCTTTTGCGCATTGTTAGGATATGAAAGATATGGTAAAATCTGGAAGACAGCATCCTGATAAACCCGTCTATTTCCGATACCTCACCTTGGTCGCCTTGCATGCGTTTATGCAGGAAAATGTAAGCTCTTTCCCATACATCTTCGAGGGGGATGTAACTGTGGATCACGTATTTATCAAAGGCTTTGGACGTGATAGGTGGATGTCGCTATTTTGGAAGTCGGTGTAGGTGGTGAATATGATTCTACCAATATCGTGGAGAAACCGATTGTTTGTGGTATCACTGCACTTGGTCTGGACCATGTGAGCGTTTTGGGAGACACCATTGATAAAATTGCATGGCACAAAGCGGGAATCATCAAGGTGAGAAGCGCATGAAACAGGATTGGCGTGACTGGCATTGTAGAATTAACCACTGGAAAAAAAAATAGCCTCATGTTCCTGTGGTTTCTTTTGAGCAATTGCCAGAAGCCATTGAAGTGGTGAAACAACGCGCCCAAGATAATCAGGTAAAATGACAAGACATTTCATGGAAAGATGTTTGGGAGCGCGTCATGTTATATTTACCCAAGATTAAATTCATCTAGGCACCTTTGGAAATTATTCATGCAAGCCAGGTGAACCAATTGGATGGCATAAAATTAGGTAAAAATCAGTATTTGTCGAAAAGCAAACCAACGTTCATCAGACTAAAGCAAAAGGTATACAATAGGCCTGGCAGGCTTACATCAAAAATACAATGCTTTAACGGCGATTGCAATGTGCAAAATTTGGTTGGAACGGTGTCGACAAATGTCTTTTTCACCCGAAGACGCGGTACCCGCGTCATTCCATAAAGGGTTAACAGAAGTCAAATGGCCGGGACGCGGCCAACAGCTAGATATGAAGGATACCAAATATGCTGCACAAGTATCTTCACCGGTAAAGTGGTATCTTGATGGTGCACACACTATTGAGAGTTTACAAGTCTGCGTCGACTGGTTCCGAGAAAACATGCAGCAAGACAAATCACGGGTGTTGGTCTTCAATTGTACCAATGGACGAGACGGTCCCCGGTTACTGAAAGTCATGAATGATATCCAACGTCAAATGCCCTTCGACCACGTTGTCTTTACCACCAATGTGACTTACCGTGAAGGCTATACAACTGGTAAGTCAACAAAAGTATATCACGGCCAACCGTCTGCAAGTGTGCTTATTTTCACTGTAGATAATACAAATAAGACGGTCAGCATGAAAGATGCATTAGCGATGCAGCGCATGCTGCGGGAAAGCTGGATCGAACAAAACCCTTCGTTTAATGCAGATCATGTCCATGTGGCTAGTACCATTCAAGATGCTGTGGAGTGGGTGGTGGATCACGCCAAATCCGTCCAAAAAGATGTCCAGGTGTTAACCACGGGCAGTTTGATCCTTGTGGGTAACACGTTAACGGTGCTTGGCATGCCAGCCCAGTAGAGATAGTAAAAGAAAAAAGACTACACGCGTGATAAATAAACATTCACGTAAATAAACTTTATTTAGAAGAAAAGCGACTAATATTGGTAAAAGATGAAAAAGAGAAAAAGAGCTAACAAGCATGCAATTTCCATGTGATTCTTGGACCCGTTGATCTGTTTGCCCGCCATAGCAAGTTTTTTGTAAGAGGAAAAGTCATACAACGAACATAAAACGTTCCAGCTCGGCACCTTCGTATTTGTATATGATGGCGTTGGTTTTTTTTTTTCAGGGCACCTTTTGGGTTTTTACTTGTGGGGGAAAGGGGTCAAATAGAAGGTTTCTTTTTTTTTTTTTTTTTTTTTTTTTTTGGTCATCGGCAAAGTTTTCGATGAGGAATGTTTTTCTTGGGTTAAAAGGGTAAAAAGTAAGAAAAAGAAAACAAGTGGATAGGCTGCATAAAGTAGTGAGACGATAACCATTGATGCTTCGTTTTTTTTGGTTTTTTTTTTTTTTTTTGGGCAAATTTTGCCTTGCGTTTGGTAACGACGTGCATGGAGTGAGAAAAGTGGGATCATGATGAAGAGAGGTTTGTTTTTTCACTAGGATGAAAAAGATGCCGGTTGACCGTTGTGGCAGTAGCCGGTAGAAGAGACGCGTGGAAAGTTGGGTCGAACACCTTCTTTTGTGGGTGGAGCGTAAACAGATTGAGAGTAAGGGTGATGTCGGCTGGATGGATCATGGAATCCGTTGGGTGCCGAAGCTCGCATAACCAAACTGTTACGCCGTTGATTCCACGGTTGCTGGCATCCGTTGGGGGAAGTAGGGGACGTCGGTGATAACGGTCCGTCATGAATGTCTGCAGGCACCGGGTGCAAGCGTGCAGGTAATTGTCGCGGATACAAACATTCGGAAGTCTGTTTTGCGTAGTGACCTGAGAAGTCGGAAGCCATCATCGGTGAATGGTCAGCAGGAGGGGCCCCTCCCATACCAGTGGAATGATTGTAAGTTTCTTCTCCATGACTCGCCAATAAAGGTGCGGAACGTGGTGGTAAAGGACCCTGTTGCAGCGAGGAAGAATACACAAACATGGTCAAATCATCCACGAATAAGGGATAAAGGATGTCGTGAATTTTGAATTGCGTCGCTAGAGCCTTGGCACGAGAAAACGTGATCCTGAAAGAAAAATTTCATGAGACAAAGATGATCCAGGCAGAAACAGAGGAGACACACAGAGACATAGTGAGAGAGATGGATAGATAGAAGGGTTGAGACTTACCACACGCCTTTCAGATGCATGGCTCCTACTTTTACCACCACGCGGCCTCGTTCGTTTTTCAGGATGCCATCCCGTTTCCCTCGAGACATCCCCGTCACATTGAGTAGTTTCGTTCCGTTAATCATATCGTTATCTAACAGCACATGAAAAAAAAAATGTTTACTTTCTGGTGTTGTCCCCGCATTGATGGTTCGTTATGATAGGCGAGCCCCCAAAAGTGAATGAATGACCGAGAACTTACCTTGTCTCCTAGCGACACAAATCCCGTTGGCGTCCACTTGGTAACAGACAGTGCCTTCATCCTCCCACAAGGTGGTGGTCAATTTGGGTCGGGGAATCAAGCTGCTGGGATGGTTGCAAAATTGATTATACCCTGAAAATTCATGCGCAGACACGCCGCAAGCTGGATGCGACATAGGGCCCGAGTGAGCCAGTGGTGGTTGAACAGGACGTGGCGACGATACAGCCGGGTGAAGCAAGTGCGACGTCGACACTTCGTGTGATCCCATGGCCGACGACGGGGGTGGTTGATGCGCAGGCCAGTCCATGAGCAAAGATGGCGTTTGCCATTCTGATCCCAACCAAATAAAAACGACAGTGTTCAGTTTTTTGATTTTGAAAGATAAAATTTTGGGACTTTTTTTTTCGCAATCCAACGCGTGCTTACCGGAGGATGAAACGTAATCGTTGCAAAGTGAAGGCATAGGACGGCCTAGATGTGATGACGGGGTTTTGGTGTCATTCACGGGTGGCGCATGGTCTTGATATCGGTAATTCTGCGAATACATAGTGTAGGGGGAATGGGCAAATAAGCAGGGCTGTCTTTTTGATTTTTGTTTTTGTAGAGTTGGTTGGAGATAACACTGCTTTGTATAAAGTAACGAAGTGTTTTGAGTTTTTTGGGTTGTTGTTTCGTGAAATCACGGATAAGCAAATGCAAGTGAGCTAAAATAACACTTCATGATATGCTTGTCAATATTTATGGACCTGCGTAATAATGAAAACCAAAAATACATACATTCAAACAATACAGCGTCTCTTGTAAAAATGTGATTTTCAGGATGAAAAAGAAGAGAAGAAGAAAAAATGGCACTCAGAGGAGGGAAATTTAACAAAGAAAAAAAAAGGGAAATATGAAGAAGAACGAATTAGAAAAGGAGACGAAGGGCGACCTTGGTATCTTTTTTTTTTCTTTTTTTTTTTGCGGGCAAGGGGATGAAAAAAAAAGAGAGGGATAAAGAGGTATAGCGCGTTTTGATGATGAAGGAGTTGTCAGCTGGAAAACCAAAAAGAACCAATCTGTATGCTCAAATTAATGTAAAATGCAGATAATTCAAATGCAACATCAATCATCGACCCATCCTTGTTATCTTGGTTTTTTTTTTTTTATCTCTTTGTTGATCTGAAGTTTGTAAGTGATTACTACAAATGGTCACACTTGGACATTAAAATTGTGTTCAAAAGTCACCATGACTATATAACTGGTTACCTGGGTGAGATTCTCTGAAAACCCCAAAGAAAATAAGTTAAGGGAGAAGGAGGCAAATCTCAAAGCAAGAAAAAAAAGCCCACCACGGCGGATTAGATATCACGACAGTGTCAGCGGGATTTCATCGCATGGTATGGACAACCATTGTCAAAGCTCAATGCAATGATACATTCTAAAAAGATGTTTCCATGACTTTTTATATTTTAAATTTCCATGCTGTTTGCGACGACAAACGTCAATGAAGCACCTTGGCGTCGGTTGAACGCCACCGCATAAACACTGAAGCGAGCGGACACAGGCACCCGGAGCTGCAAGAAACATCCAACTCAATATAAACGTGGATGCAAAAGAAAAAAAAAAGACAAAGATAAAGATAAAACAGATGGGTCCACCTGCCTTGGCATCCTCATCGCGGGAAACTTGCATGATAGATCCCAGTAGCCACTTTGGTGACCTGTTTAAAGTTTTGATAAATAAACCATTCATGCATATCATTGGTCGGAACTATCACATCAATAAAAAAGTTGGTTCAAATAAACATGTGGTACAAATTGGCGCTCTTTTTTTTTTCGTTGGCCAGATGAGAGAAAGGGTTGGTCAGCATTGAAAAGTAGCACAATATGATGAAAAAACATCGACTAATTGCCATAGTAATTAAGTTGTATGTACCTGAAACTGAATGCTCCCTTTTTACATCATCTGGTTTTCCCTCCTGGTTTGCCCAACTAAGGAAGATACAGAAGAAAAATAATCGAGAGAGACCGAGAAAAAAAAAACCAAAAGGGAGAAAAAACCTGGTTTGAATCTTTCAAATATCCTTTAACCATTGCTTTTAGCATCTGTACGAAAAATATCATTAAGATCCTTTCTGTAGACGAAAACTCAATGATTGTTTATATCACTACAGAAAATAGGAGAGTTCACCATGACCCAAAAACCAGCCAATGACCATATTGAACAACGGAAAGAAGAAGGAAAAAAAAAGCCCACATTTTCATGCTTGACTGAGCTTCCTTTCTTGTCTTTCTCGTTTTATTGTAGTTCCACGACCTGGATGTTGATTGCTTATTGGCTATTGTTCTTGACAACGAACGACAAGCGAAAAAATCACCCAAAAAGGGCGAATCAGCTGTTAAAGTGATTTGTTGTACGACAGCACAAAATTTAACGCGGCCATCGTTTGAAAGTCTTTTTTTTTTCTTTTTTTTGAGGGGTAACACTTGTGTTGCTGCCAATCCCCCACTCTCCATCATAAAAAAAAAAATAAACAATAGCACGCAGAATTTGGAGTCGAAAAAAATCGCTTCACAACAATAAGCAATAGTGGAAAGAGAAAAGCCGAAAAAAAAGTCAGCGAAAGCCAACGTACGACGTCAAATTGGCCGTTGCACCCGAGTTTGCGAAAAAAAAAAAAAAAAACCAACCGAAGAGAATCACCACTACACGCATCCAGCCCATTTCCTCTTCTACTGCCCACATCTTTGAACCGTCCTTCCATCTCTCATCACGAGTCCAACCCTGATACACGGACATGAGCAGTGGTGAAAGCACGTCGGTCCTGACCACCGTCAATGCATCGGATAACAGTCATCGTTCCTTGCGATGCGCATCCCCACCTACGCCTACACCACATGTCGCTACTACCAAAACATCGAATTCCAAACATCTGTCTAAAGCACTACTGCGTACAGCCCTTCAAAAGGCAAACTCGGCCGTTCTTTGCGATTCATCCAACAATGTCACGGGCGCCATTGAAGCTTACACCGAAGCCATTACCCTTTTAAATCGAGTATTGGCCACAGTAGAAAGGGAGACCGACCGCCGACGACTGCAAGAAATCGTAGGTTTTTTTTTACTCGTCATTTTTTTTTTCTATTTTGTCCAGCATTGCTTTTTTGTTTAATTAAGAGATTTCGCTGGACATATAGGAGAAAATGGAAAAAGGGAGGATAGAAAAAGAATGGATGAATATCAGGGGAAAGGGAAACGAGAAACAAAAAAAAAGACACCCTTACAAATTTAAGGAAGTCGGACATGGCATGAATTTTTACGGTGGAAAAAGATATGAAAGCAGGACAATTCATGTCAATGCGAAAAAACGAAAGAGAGAAGAGAGAAGAGAGAAGAGAAAGGGGAGACAAATCTTGTGTTTTTTCTGTCACAGCAATTCTTTGCATATTTATTGACATGATGGTTCCTTTTGATGTAGCACGACTCTTACTCTGATCGCATACGACTGTTGAATGCTGTATCACCGAAATCCGATGTCGAGAATGTGTATGAAAAGTTGGATGATCCAGCGTGTTCCAATACAGATACCCATGATCCGGAGGTGACGAGACCTAAAGAAGATGTTGTCAAGCACACCAAAAGATCTTCTTTACACCGGATGCAGGACAGTCCCACCACAGCCATTCTTCACATGCCTTCGTCTTCGTCCCTTGACAGTGCCTTTGCCATGATGGATGCTAACAAAAGTGTAGGATCTCATCGACCAGAGGCCGACGTGTCCGATCATGCTACTTGCAAAGTGTCTTTGCCTCCTCTTTCCGTCTGTTCCACACATCCCTCACCTTGGCATCCTGATGCTTCATCGGCTTCTTCTGTATGTTCTTTTGGCTTGTCACGCCTCACAAATCCACCTATCAGACATAACCCCAACTCACCTTTCTCCACTATTCAGTCATCAAGGAGTACACCCACGCACGCACCCTCCCGTAGCGCCAAACGACCCAGCTTTGATGCGGAACATTTGGACGAAACGCAACCGAATCATTCCCGATCGTCTTCTCTCTCCCACTATACGGATCCTGGCACACCGGAAGCCGTCCATCCTGCAGACGAAATTCGGTCTTCCATCGACGACGGCTTGGATGAGGATGATGCTATCCATCGAACGTCGGTTGGTTCAGCATCCTCGCTGTCATCGACGGATAGCGAAGGATGGCACGCATCCGTATCACGCACCAACAATCATCATCAACCCTCCCTGACGTTACCCTCGCTTCTTCAATTGGAAACGCCTTCCTCCACCGAAGCGTCCAAAGTACCGTGCACGCCAGCGACAAACGGGGCCAGTATAATTGCAGCCGTCGAAGCAATTCGTGCCCGTAGTAGCAGTTTGCCTCGACAAAACCAATTAGCAACGGAGTCTTGTCAGTCCGTCGAAACGCTTACCACTGTCAACACGACCAAAGCACCCGCGACTGGCATACTTCCGCTTTCCAGTTCAGCTCCCGAAGGTGACACTGCATTACAAGAGGATCGGGCGGCTCATGGACGGAACACAGTACCAATGCGTCGCGCTGTCACGCAACCCTCGCCACCGGAAGAGAAGCAATCGCCTACCTTTACTCCACCGATCCATCGCCCTCTTGTTTCGCGTCAATCCAGCGGTCTCGGCAGTGTCCGACGCAAAGCGCAAAATCGCTTGTCACGATCCAGTATGGATGGTTCTGGTCGGAAAGACAAGGGCAGTCCGATTTTTGGACTTTTCCTCAAAGACATCATGCCATCTCGTCCTACCTATGAAGTCACCGCCGATTACCTCGATCGACACACTATGAGCGATGTGCCTGAATCAGAAACAGTGACGCCTTCCAAGTGTGCACGTCCCCTGAAATTGATCCTATCTTTGGAGTCTAGTATGGTGCAGGGAGGCTACGTCACCGATCATCTCTATATACCCAAAAACTTATGGTAGGGACGCAAAAAGAAGAGATAAACGAGAGTAACTCGGGAATAACGGATGTGAGTGCTGATGGAAAAAGATTGGTGTGTTTTTGGATTTTAGGTTTCAGCCGAATATCCGATTATCATCCTTGGACGTCAAAGTATCTGCCTGTGAAAATATGGCCGCCGATTTGGCGCGGCTTGAGAAATGGAAGAGCTTGGATGATGTGGCCGGTAGTTTAAAGTTGCTGGAAACGCTGGAAACAACAATCGAAGGCTGGCAAATCAGTCTTTCCAGAAAGTTGAAGCGGGAAAGCATGGATGGCGGAGATTCGTCATCGAGCACCATCTCTGACACCAGCAGTATCACCAGCAGCACCGGCGGCAGCAAAAAATCACAAACACTGATGTCCTGGGGTAACAAGTTGACCAAGTCCGTCGAACGGATGAATGCCTTTAGCTTGACCAAATCGTAAGGAAAAAAAAAATAGAAATCAAAGCCCCATGTTTTACACGTTGGCTCAACACCATTCTTTTCACACTTGTGCGATATAGAGAAGACCAATATCGACATTACATCGACACTTTGCAGCGGTTGTTTTTAAAGGTTCACGTTCTAGGTAAATCCAAATTTTTTTGACAATACATACTTGATGAAGGCTAACCGGACTTGGTGAAATTTTGTATAGAGCATTGGTTGGAGCATTATTCCAGGATGAACTATGGCAAACATGAGCTTTTGGTGCAGAAATTGAGCAAAATCTGTGATTTGATCACGGTAGTGGTTGGTGGATTCGTGATACGCGACATGGCCATTCTGTTAAGCAAATGGTTAAAGCGCGGAGGATGTTGGGTCAACGAGTGAACCTAATCCCCTCCTTATATACCTTAGCTTTGTCTATCTTACTTCTTTTTCTTTTTCTTTTTTTTTCTCTAATCTCACTATTTATCATATAACATTGTGTCTTATTTTCCCTTGTGCATCAGTTAATCTATTAAATACTTACTATTTTTGAATTCTTCTATTACCTTTTTTTTTTGTCACCCAAAGCTCTTTCGATACCCCATCTGTTTCCTTTATGTGTGATGGCCGCCGATCTTGTTCTTCTTTAACTCCCAAAGCCAAGTTTACAGCTATTGAAAACTGTCATGCTGGTTAGGAAAATTCGCTAGTTTTTACTTGAATACCGTTCACTCATGAAGCACAACGGGTGTACAGCAACAAGGCGAAAATAAAAGAAATCAGAATTCAGCCTCAGGCGGACTGGATCCTTGTAACCAATACATGAACACTGTACAATTCTGATTGAGCCCTGCGTCTACAGTTTGGCAAATGCTTCATGCTTTACGTTTAGCCCTTCGACGAGTCGACCGATCTTCACTGCCCTTCGTCGAGAAAATGCCGGAATTCACTGTTGGAAGTGGTCATGTTTATCGGATGTATCCAGCGAACCGCCACTGGAAAAATCAGGAAGGAAGATAATCGTAATGATTGTCAAAGTGGATTGGCTTTCAGGTTCTCTTGTACCTGGGATTCTCCGGTAGTCAGTACCTTGATGTCCCGGATAGGCGGTTCTTAAACATATTCCTTAAGCAAGGTTGTATCTAAACCGAGCTGCAAAGAAAGCATCATGAGCATATACTGTACGTGGTGCCATCCATTCCGCCATGTCTTACAGAGTGATTGATATAGCCAAAAGCAGACATCCAGTGCAGATAAGCAACGTCGTTTATCAGCACCAATAGAGTAATTTCCCAGATTTCACCGAGTTTTCCCTCTATCCCTATTACCTAATCCATCACTTTTGATGGATTATCATTGTATGACTTGAACTTATCATACCGGCCAGCCGTCAAATAAGCATACAAATACAAGGTCTGTGGTTATCTTTGGGTGATACAAATAGAAAAATGACAAAAATGACAACCTGTTGACTTTATCAACCTGGCATATCAAGATGATGACGATGAAAAAGTTAAAAGATAAAAATAAAAAAAACACGTCCACAAAAAAAAGAAGTCATTGAATAGAATGAAAAGAAACATGTGGAAAAAAATTTATACGAGATGAAAAAAATGATGACAAAACACAATTAAAGTAGTTTGAATGTTTTCTGAAATGATATCGAGTGAATTCATAAATGATGATAGAAAATGATGAGTATGATATGCAAAAATGTAATTAAGCTTTTCTAGTTGCTGGATTTGGTATAGAACAGCACGTCGTTCTTGCATTCTTGAAGGTATTTGTAGACGACCGCACCCGTCACGGAAAGGAGCATGACCTTCTTGCCTTGAGCACGAATGGAACCATTGCCGGCAGAGTTGGCAGCGAGACGAGCAAATCGAGTGTACATGGTGAGAAAGAGAAAGTGATTGAAATCAGTGAACAATGGAAGAAATGAAAGTTTTGTTCGATTTGAGCGGGTTTTTATACAGCCTTCCTTTCAAAGATCAAGATAACGGGGAAATTTTTTTTTTATTATCAATGCCCTCTGGGAAACTGCGGGACGGGAGTTCTGCTCAAATTTTGCCGTTGGTTTTCGAACCGCGCATGATGCGATATTTAAATGTGACTGGTTTGTCGCCTCGCGGGCAACGGTGGCGTAGTTGAGCAGATCGAGGTAGTTTCGGCATACGCTTTTCTGTTCCTTTCAATAAATTGGTTTATATGATTGCTGGAATTTCCAACAAAATGATTGTCCCATGGGGCGAGAAGCTTGTCGTTTTCCTCATTGATGGTTTTGACATTGACTTGGTTCACCGGCCATGACGTTTCTTCCCGAGAACTTTACTTTCTTGCAGATGCTTGACAATGGAGGTGACAAACAGACTTGTCGCTTCAGTCTCACTTCTGCGTCGTTGTTTTATCCATTACTCTTAAACATGAAAGTAATGATTCACTTGGTACTATATTCTGACGCTGAGGAGCGCGGAATGCTAGCCAACGTAAGTCGATATTCATGCAAACCTTGATCGATTGCTTTGCAAAATTCGTTGATACAGCTGGCTTTCTCGCGGAGCTCGGGGTGCAATGTCGGTCTTTGGTTTTATCCTTCTATCCATTTCTGTGGCAAAAGCGATTTGCTTTTCCGGCTCATATAAAATAGACAACACAATCATAATAAAGCATCATCTCATCTGTCTAAATTACTCTTTAGGAGGGAATCGACATTTTTCATTTGATATATTTAGTTCATTTATACAACGTGACAGAGGGAATTTTGTTTGCTGCGGGTTTTTCATCATTTTTTCGCTGGTGCATTAGTCGATTGTTGATTTCAAGGCCAGACATCACAGTCGGAGGGACTCAATTGGATATCAACGACTTGTTCATGGTGCGATGTGACGAGGGAATGAGACAATCGTCTTTCTCGTTCTTGTCGAACTGCACTTTTATGCACTTCGCCTTGCTGTCGTCTGTAAGCACTGACAAACACTTCTTCATTCCACTGAAATCCCTGGTGGCGAGACATGACAATGGTGGCGCAATGGCCGTAGTCGGACATGTTATTGGCCATATCGTAAATGCGGTATTCATAATCCTCGGTCATTGAATCCGATGGCGGGTGCGACATAATCATGTCGTTTTCTTCTTTTTGTGCATTCATTTTTTCCCTATTCATGCATGCAAATCAAAGAAAAAATCAAAGTTTAAAGAAGATGGTTCACCAAAAGAATAAGGCTTATTTTGAAAGCTTTGCAAAGTCACGCCTAAAAAAAAAAACCATGCGGATCATATGACATCACTTTTTCAACTGGATCGTCTCTCTTATTTTTTTGGGTAATTTTTTTTTTTGGGTGGATCGTTTTTCCTTCATTGGTCTTTTTCTTTTTTGGTGGTAGCACTTGGTTTTTTTGATACTTTTTTTCCATTTTCCCGATTCGATGCTTTTTTTACGACAAAGATTTGGAAGCGGTGTACGTTGCTTTAGTCTGTCGGTCAGTTCGAGTGGTCAAGATAAACCTATTGCGTTTGGTCCAGGGTCAGTGCTCAATGGTAAGCCTTCATGATCCGTTCTTTTTTTTTTCCGGTTCAATGAACCCAAAAGTGGAATCAATGATCTTGAAAAACTGATGAGCCTCATCGGCAAAAAGGCAATGTACTTCTCACCTTGGATAAGCCTACCGAAGCCTACAATATTCGAGTCGTATTCAAAGGTCAAGAAAAATGTCCTAATCGACAGATCAGCACTCTTTTTACCGTGGAAACATTAGTTTGGGGTCAATCGAAACAAGGTAACAAATAAGAAAAAAAAAAGGATGACAAGCATGCACAAATGTTTGGTGTATCACCATCTGTATATTGATGCCATGTTTTTTTTTCTGGTTAGACGGGGTATTGGAAACACTGGAAGAAGGAAGTCATATGTATTTGTTTGCTATCAAGTGGCCACAGATCAATTTTCCGCCTTCCATGCAAGGCAGCTATTTTGGTTATAGTGTTGAGTACACGCTTCAAGCGTTTATCGAATTTGGTGTAGGCTCCGCGGCAACGACACCGGTCAATGTCATGTATTTACCACTTATCACTTGCGATCATCAAGTGACGCCAAGCTCCATCACCCAAACTTCTCATCAAGTAAAGGTCACTGCAAGTCTCATACGAGCTGCATACTGCCCAGGTATGGTGAAATTCTCCATAGTTGGAAATTTTAAGGTCATTGGTTCTTGTTTCTTATTTTCTTGTTTCTCGTTCTTTCTCCGCCTAATGTCGCCATTTCCCGCTTGCCTTTTTTGAAAACCCCCTTGGTTTTTTTTTTTTTTTTTTTTTTTTTTTGGTGGTCGTTCCCGCCCTCCCCTGACCTCCTGTAGGTGATCTATGCACGCTTAAAATTTCGATGGACAATCACTCGGATCAACGAGTCACTCATGTCCAGCTCGTCTTTGTCTGTATCGCCACCAACCTGGCCGTGGCTCGTATGGACTCACTACAATCGTCGGCACCCATCTTTTCCACCACGGCCCAGAAACGTAAACAACATACCTTGTATTCCGAAACATTCTTTGTCTCCATTCCGAAACGATCTGAGCAAAATCACTCGATTTTCCAATTTCGAATTCCTCCCAACTGTGTGCCTTCCACCAAGAATATGGTCGGCAAAGCCGTTGACATTGCTTACGAAGTCCATGTAAATGTTGGCCTGACCCAACCGAATTCTTCCACCAATGTATGGCCGTTTAACAAAAGTAATATGATTGCCGGTATCCATTTACCCGTCACCATCGCCACCGTCCCTACTACATGCATTCTTCCACCTAAGTTACAACTTCCTATTCATACATACAACGATGATTCTATCGAAGCGCCTACTTTTATACCCAACATCGAATCGCCCTTACCAAGCCCTTCCAGTCCGATTTTCTCCAGCAAAGGAAGTTGGTTGCAGACAAGCAGTATCAGTGACGGGGATATCTCGCCGGCTGGTTCCATTCATTTGGACGACAGTGATGATCGTCGTGACATGCCTATTGTGAATCAGGACGCCTCGGGTCACCTGATGATCCCGACTGAAATTCGCCACCGACATAATAAATCCTCAAGTTCGGTCAGTTCAACGGACTGCAGTATAGAAAATGATTATCTTGCCTCCTCTCCCCAATTCTTAGCCGCAGTGAAATAAAAATTATTTAATAGTTTCCCGTTAATCAATCCACATAGTATGATAGCAGATGTCCTTGGTGAAATAAGGCTGAAGATCACCCCACAATCAAACTAATCGATCCCAGTGCCACACAAAAGATGTGGGCGACGGAGTTTAAAAAGACGACAATGCGTGCGTTTTCTGGTGTGACTTGAAAATGAAAGCGATGCGGGCCGGACAAACGCGACGCCGGGGAGCTGGCGCCGATCCTCATGGGAAGTCCGTTAAAGAGGAAAAGGTTACAGCCACAGCAGATAGTCGATTCCCCTCCTCTTCTGAAAAAGGTAAGGATCGTACCATGAGCATCCACGACAGTCGATGATGGATGAACGTTCGATGGATGATAGGCTGCGTCGATAGATGAAACTGATCAAGGAAACTTTTTATATATTACATTAGCACATCATGGCTTCTCTGGGATTGCCCGCAGACGTTCGTGCCACGGCCGACGGTACTCGCCGATTGTTCAACAAATGGTCCTACGAGGATGTTGAAGTGAAGGATATTTCCCTTCAGGACTACATTCAAGTCCGTCAGCACGTGTACTTGCCCCACACTGCTGGTCGCTTCGCTGTCAAGCGTTTCCGCAAGGCTCAGGTAGGGCCAACATTCAAAAAACGAAAGCCATTCAAGCGATAATGAATGAATGACATTGACTTTCTTTGGTTTGATTCTATCCAATGTAGTGCCCCATTGTTGAACGTTTGACCAACTCGCTCATGATGCACGGTCGCAACAACGGCAAGAAATTGCTTGCTGCTCGCATTGTCCAGCACGCTTTCGAGATCATCAACTTGTTGACCGACCAGAACCCCATCCAGGTCCTTGTCGATGCTATCATCAACACTGGTCCCCGTGAAGACTCCACCCGTATCGGTTCCGCCGGTACCGTCCGTCGTCAGGCCGTTGATGTTTCTCCTCTTCGCCGTGTCAACCAGTCCATCGCTTTGTTGACCACCGGTACCCGCGAAGCCGCTTTCCGCAACGTCAAGACTATTGCCGAATGTCTTGCTGACGAACTTATCAACGCTGCCAAGGGTTCTTCCAACTCGTACGCCATCAAGAAGAAGGACGAACTCGAACGTGTCGCCAAGTCTAACCGATAAACATCTTTCTATCTCTTTCTTCAAATGGATCCTTTCTCAAATACTTTTTTTTCAAATCTTTTTCTCTTTAGTTTCTTTCAGTGAATAAAGAGAGAGGAAAGGACAGCACTCTTTTTAATACATCACACAATGGGAAATGATTTGCTTATGTTGTAAGGAAAGACGAGGGATTTTTTTCTATTCAGTCATGGATATGAACGGCTAAAAGGGGTGGCAAGCGTTGCCGTTGTATTAACATTGCGTGGCAAATGTTGACAATACAATGGGAATTAAACACAAAATAGTACATAGTGAGCGCAAAAAAAAAAGATGATTTAAATTGGAATGACTGTATTATTTATCAAATGTCAGAAGAACGCTCATGACAACGTTCTTTTTATGGTGAGAAATAGAAATGTACAATTGGGCTCGGCGATGTTTGTGTCGACCGGCAAGGATGATTACCTGTATAATTCTGGTTTAAATGAGGGTTTGTTATAATTGATGATGTAGAAGGCTGGAACCTACAATAATGAAGGATGAGGATAGTTTGAAAAGCATGCATGCTCTGTGCCACTTACTTATGGTTCCATTGACTCTTTTTTGTCTGCATAGTCCACATTTCCTTCAAGATTTCCGTCCTCGAGCACTTCGAAATCGTCCTCATCTTGTGATTCAACCTTTTGTTTTTCTTGGTCTTGGTCTTCGATAAGAATAGGAGCCGATTCATTTTCACTGACAAGATCCATGTGGTCGTATCCTTCCTCCTCTTCATTCTCGTGGCCTTCCATATTGTCATGACCGACAGAATCATGATCAAAGGTTTCTTCATCAAATTCTTCATCCAAATTGTCCACGTCATGAATCATATCATAGTCTGGTTCATCATCCACATCATGCTCGTCTCCACCATGTGCTTCTTCCTCATCAATTTCATCAACATGCACTTCTTCACCTTGTATTTCTTCATCATACTCTGGTTCATTAGGGGCATCCTTATGTGTTGCCTGCTGTCCACGATTTTCCATGGCGTCATCGATTTTTTTAGGCCCGTGATCGTCTGCTTCAGCGGCTTTATCATTACCCCAGTCATACTCTTCAATTAACTCCAGCAACTGGCTGTCATCTTCAGGTGGCGGTACTTCAGGTTGCATGGCAGCGGGCGTTGTCGCATCCTCTGTGGTATCCAAATGTTGTGTATCCTTGAGTGGTGCTGTGTCGTCACGTTCATCTGCCGCAGGTGCAATCGTCTCATGGCTCGTTTCTTCTGACTCAAGGATGGGTGTTTCCACAGTGACATGATCCTCACCATTTGCAGTGGATGGCTCTGAATTGGGTTGAAGTTCACTGGTTTCCTCTGAAGGCTCCTCGACAACCTTCGATACCGTCTCGTCTGTCTGCTTTTCTGTGAAGGGTTCCGTCGACGGCTGTGAGGTGCCCAGTTCTTGTTCCATAATGAGCGTGTCGAGTTCCTCCGTGGTGGTCGGCTCATCTAAACCAGGGAGATTGTCCCCGCTTTGATCAGTATCGAAGTCCGTAAGCGATATCGGGGTACCAGCATCCAATGTAGCTGCAAGCTCGGCATGGAATTCCTGCATCTTTGTCGCTTGAAGGGACGGATGGGGTAATGGGGAACCAGCCCTTTCTGCCACGACGCCCTGGCCCTCTTTGTCATCCTGCTCAGTGATCACATCCTTTTCAGCTTTCTCCGGCTGTGCTGTGGACTCCACTGGTTCAATCGGCGCAGCAGCGTCTGTGGAATCCGTTTGCGTTTCATCATATGCCAAATGTACCACATTTTCGGTAGGTTCTGTTATTGGCTCTTCTGTTGCCTTTTGATCATCCATTGTGATGGTTCTTTCTGCTGCTGTGGGTGCAACTGTGGATACGGGGGCCGCTTCTTGATTTTGATGCTCTGTGGGTGGCGATAGGTGCTCTTTCGGGGATTCTTTTGGTTCTGAAGGAGAAACAGCCGTGGCCGATTCAGGGATAGAGGTTTCTTCTGTTACTGAGACTTCCGCTTTTGGTTGTTCTTCTACTACCGTCGAGTCCGAGGGTGTCGTAGTTTCTATAGTCACCGGCTCGCTTGGCACCGTTTCCGGTAGCGCATCGTTGACTGTTGCCTGATCACGGGTTACATCATCAGTAAGAGCGACGGGCTCCGTTTGATCCTCCTGCGGGGCTTTTTCGGTACGAATTTCTGTGTCTTCCATAAAGTCGTCAGGTAACTCTTCGGATAGACCTTCATCCTTGGTGATGACTTCTTCTATTGACTGTCTTTCTATGGGCTGCTCAATGGAGCTGGCCAGAGGTTCTTCTTGCTTGTCCACGTCGGCCATAAGCATATCGGGCAGTTCTTCCGAGATATCTTTTGTATCACCCATTGCGCCTTTGACTGTCTCAAAGTCCATATCAGTTTCTGTGTCTTGCTCCTCCTTAACCTCTGACACAGTGGGGGATGCAGTCTCCTCGGTAGGTCGAAGGGTGTCAGCGGTCGATGAAAGATCCTGTTGCATCAACTCTGTGTCTTCCTCTTCAAGCACCTCTACATCAGCAGGTGCATCGAATTCCGCGGTATCAACTTCCATTGCCGTGGCAAAATTGTCGTCCTTGTCCAATTCTGCCACGGGTGGCTCTTGGATCAGAGTTGTATCCGCCGCTTCTTTCACGACAGGTTCTGGCGCTTGTTTTGCCTTCACATCGGTGGAGGCTTCTTGCAATGATTGTAGTACCGGCGTCATTGACTCGGATGCAGTGAGCGGTGGTAAAGCGTTCTCGTCTACGATTTCTCCATCTTCTGCATCTACCAGTTCCCCTTCTTCCATTCCATCTTCGAGCGAACCGTGATCAGCAGACGCAGCCCCGGAATCGGTAAACGACTCATCGGGCTCCAAGGTCTCCAAATGGGCAATGTCTTCGTCAGGCAAAGCAGTAAATGCATCTTCAGCCTCTGTTTTCTGTGCAACTTTTTCAGTGTCAGGTTCTGGTATTCCTGCTTCTCCTTCCGCTGGTAAAATCGCATCGGCTGGAGATGGTGTATCAATCTTTTCCTCTGGAATCTTTTCTTTGGGACTGCTGATCGTCACTACAGGCACTCCTTCTTTGGCGACCTCGGCTTCAGTTGCAGCCTTGTCCATGGACTGCACTTCTTTCTCTGTAACTGATTCGGCTGGCATCTGTGTTGTGTCTTTAGGAGATGTCTCATCGTCGAGACTAGGTTCCTGCACTTCATCCAAGACCACCGCATCGGTAGTAACTGCTTTGGGTGGGCTTACACCTTTGGCGACGCCCTCCACAGTGGCCGAAGACACCGCTTCATCTGTTGTAGCAGGCATCTCTGCTGCTGCTGCTGCTGCCTTTTCTTCTTCTTTTCGAATCATTTCCGTTTCTGCTGCTGCCGCCGCCGCCGCTGCATCGGAAGATTGTGCGTCCTGCATGATTTGATCCGCAGACTCTGTTTCCTTCTCAACGGTGGATGCTACCGCCGGTTCTTCTGCGGCGGTTTGATCGGTCGGTATAACTGTCGTTTCCATGGGAGATTCAGCCTTTACTTCCGTTGGCTGTTTAGGTTCTTCAGCTGCTAAACTAGGCCCAACTTCGGCGTGGGTGATGGCAGTGTCGGGCAAGGGAGTCGTTGCTTGTTCTGGCATTGCTGTCTGTTTTTCAATGGTCGGGACGGCGACTTCGGCTGGTGGAGCGGTGGCGGCACGTAAAAGTTCTTTTGATTCTTCTATTTGGCGCCAAATGGCGGCCACTTTGCGTCGGTGGGCTTCCTGTTTTGAATAGGAGAAATCCCGTTCCTCCATCAACATTCGGTGCTCCAGATTGATCGTTTCCATCATCCATTCATAGCCGCATATCGCACCGGATTTCTCCGAAAGAAACACACGAGGACTCTTGGCCATGGCGATCTCTGCGTTAATCCAAGGACAGTAAGTTCGATGTTCAGATGCCACGTCAAGCGCTTCGTGATCAGTACTGTCGTCGTTATCGGTAGGCGTGTTCAGGAAGATGCGTCGAAAGCATTGATGACACTCCGCTTGGCTCGATGAAGCGGCGTGCCATCCGAATAAAGGTAACAGGTAGGCTGTAGCTGTCTTATTGTCGCCCAAGGGGCCTCGGATAAACCCATCTTCGTCTAATAAACCTTCCGTGTATTGAATAAAATAATCCATTTTACGCAATTGATCGGATGACTAGATGAATATGTGAAAAAATATTAAATCATCATGTTGGTTCCTTTTTTCACTAGCACAACAGATATTTGAATTTTACCAATGGATGTTGGATGATGGGCAATGCGTCACAATTTAAAAATTGTTTCGCTTCACTTGTAATCAAGGATATCGCTTCCTGGGTTGTATAGATAGGGAATTCTCGAACTTGTGCTATGGTCATGACAAAAAGAGCATTAATTACTGATAATGCATGCTTTGCGAAGATGACAACAAAAGAGAGAAACTTACACGAGCATTTCCTTGATCGCCACATACATTGATCTGTATGATATTCAAACAGTCCTTTTTGGTATTTCTGTACAATGGCTTCAACTAGATAAAAGCAAAAAGAAGAAGGTATGAGGGGTCTGTGCGTTGCCCTCTTTCCGAACACCACTGACATACCTTTTGGGGAATCGATTGTAAAAGGTGACAGGTTGATCATTAACATGGTGCCTTCACAGCCTGTCGCGCATACAAGTTGACACCAATCGCGAGTGTCTCCGAGCACCGATCCAGAGTCTTTCCATCCGTGCATGGCACAATCCGATGCACTGACGGGTCGTTTGGTATTCAAGTACAAAGACGTGAATGACCGTAGACGATCGTAAAAGGATGCCTTGTCCCAAATCACATGTGGGGTATAGTTGGAAGCGGTTTCTCTCCGTGAACGTTTCTCTGTCGAGCTACATTGATATACATGTTCAGTGTTTCTTTTTTCCGTGGAATAAATAGAGTCAAAAGAGTAACGCGAGGGTCATCGTGTAAAATGTCGCACCTGTTGATCTCGTCGTCTACCGTATCGAGGGGTCGTTTGAGGAAAACTGCCGGGAGGTTTAAATCTTGCTTCACTTGTCGCAGAATATCTTGAAAGCTTTCAGGAAGAGCCGCATCTTGATTCTCTCCTATTGAAGGCATAATGGCATAAGCAAGCAAAAAACCCGGCTGAACAACCTGGTTGCCTTCTCCGACTCGCATTCATCGAAAGCCCTTTTTTCTGGGAAATCATATCTGCGTTTTGCAAGTCACGTTTCATGGACCTGTTCCTTGAGATATTGCACTGTGCGTTTAGAATCAATTCATCGATGAGCCGACCAGCAGTCGTGGTTGACTGATAATCGTTATTGTTAAACTATGGCTTATATGGTACAGGTGGCTAGTCAATCATTACATCTTTATATCACTGATCGAACACCTTTGTCTGTGTTACCACGTAATTTCATCGGCACAAAAAAATAACGGCAAAACAGTTTCCCACAATGACATCCACCTTTTGCTGCTGCAGTTTCATGCTTTGTTATAGTATAACTGTATGGCTAAATGTACTATAACTGCCGCATTCCAAGTTCACTGTAAAAGTCTGGCTTATCTATCCCAAGAAAACTCTTTATGTCCGTATGTGCACATGTACAGATGTTTGACTAACATAAATTTGATAAAAACTTATTACGTTACCATGTCGTTATATTTAGGTCTTGATTTCTCAAGTAGTCTTTTTGAGCAACTAATAGCTTTTTTATATATAAAACCTGGGTAATTTACTCATTTTTCTAACTGGTTCAAAGCTTTCCGCTTTGTCAGGTCCTCGAAGGAGTCTGAAGGAGAATTTTCTGTGTTTTTTACAATCTAGCGTAATACATTAGCTTAGTCTGAGTGAGCATGACATTGGCCGTGTGCATGAGAATGGCCCATGGCCGTTTCCTGTCATTGCTGTTGGCAGACAAATACAATTGCAAGGTTCAAGCATTGCTAAACAAGTGTGCTACGCAATAGAAAAAAAAGGCGGACCGAAAAAAGATGAGTGCATTACTTTGGCAACAAGTGAAGTTTTTGGGTTCCACATGATGTTTACACGATGGTCATTTTTGGTTATTGGGAAAATTTCTCGTCCCTTTTGGTTGCATTCACGACATTGAAGCATGAACTAAAAAAAATAAGAGGTGGCGGTTCTTTTTTGCTTCTTCTTTATTCACCTTTTCTTTTTTCGCGATACCTTTTTGTGTTTGTGGTATGTCATGCTCTCCTTTTTAAGATAAAAGAAAAAGATACCAATACAACCACATCAATATAACTATAATTTATAACTACGGCAATAGTATGATTTCTTCTAAATTTTGGTCTGTTTCTTTTTATCATAGACTTTTTTGTTGCTGCATTATTTAGTGCCTCACTTTTTCCGCTTACTTTTTCCTTTTCAATTCTATTTTTGATGTACCACAATAGTCAAGCAGATCGGCTTTGTGACAAATTACGTGGGGAACAACAGCGTCAAAGTCAACTCGATGCAATCGCCTATCTTGAGTCGACTTTGGGTTCCAAGCTTTCAAGTTACGATCTCCACAAAGAACTTCAGGACGGCGTGTTACTGTGCAAGTAGGCTAGTTGGATTGTCGGCTATTATGTCACTTGTGTTTTACCTTTTACGCTAACGTTGGCCTCTTTTTTCTTGTATCCACAGACTCATCAATCACATTCGACCCGCCACTATTCTCAGTATCGAGCGTAAAAATATTCCTTTTGTCAAGGTAAGTTGTTGTAATGCAGTACTGTCATACAACCCCTTTGCTCTCAAGTACTGATACGGGAGCGATAGATGTCCAATATTGGATTATTCCTACAAGCTGCGCAAAATGTAAGTAGAGGGAAATCAGTGATAGCGACCAGTTGTCCTTTTTGCTCATAGACAGTGTCAAAGCTTGGCTTGAAGAATTCAGAACTGTTTCAAACCGTGGATCTGTATGAGGCCAAAGATATGGCGGCTGTAAGTGAGGATGGCTATGATGAGGAAATCAGAGTTTATGGTGACTCAACGAAATGTAGGTGGTCAATACGATCTTATCCTTAGCACGGATCAGTGGAAACAAACATGCGTGTGCCAAGTCTTGTCCTTCCACGAAACCGGGGCGTGTCCACATCAAAACGATTTTTCCAAGCAAAATATCCACGACCCCTTCCCTGCCTGAGCGAGAGCCGCTGCCTTGTCAAAAATTGTCCAAGGCGATTCGGCCTACAACCGACAGTGGTTACAGTACCTTGTCGCGAGATGCCGATACGACATCGCTGGCCGCCGAGCGTATCCAGAACGACGATCGCTATGTAAAGCTGTTGAATACAAACCCCTCAGATGAACGACTTCCTCAAATGGCTAGCCCGAAACCAGGCAGGCATCGTTTCAGTCAATCGGCGCTGCAGCATGGGGAAGTCAATGAGTTTGCTGCGCCGGTTCTCACACCGTCCAAGTCTACCCCTACTATGTCACTCAGCCGGCCAAAGCATGATATGGAACGAAAGCACAGTGATACCAGCATCCAAAAGCAATACAGCAACCAGACAAATCACAAAGTATCGACGCTTCAAAGGCAGTACGTGAGAGTGAATGTTCAAAAAGGACGAGGAAGTCTAAGCCGACAGTACGTAAGTACCAAGGGTAGGAATGGGCAAAAAAGGCGCACCAGACTAAACATTTCTTGGGTTGATCGATGACAAAGCAACTGGGAAATTGTATCGGCAAAGGCCAGTTTGGTTCCGTCTACAGGCAAGTACATTCAATTGACAAAAGTGCCAGTGTTTCATTAATCCAACTAACCAGTAATACTTTCAATGTGACAGAGCTTTGGATATACAGACCGGAGAAATTGTGGCCATAAAGCGGATCAAATTATCAGAAGTTGAAGACGTACAGGAGGAGGTCATGGTAAGTAAAAAGGATGTACTCTCATATCACGGATTGCTTGTAAGCTGACAGATTTATTGTTTGTATAGCAAGAAGTGGATCTATTGAAAGGCATGGCGAGCAGCAGCATTGTTCAGTATATCGCTTTTGCACATGATGAGGAACATTTGAATATCGTACTCGAGTATGTAAGATGGATTTAACTTAAAATGCGGCGAAGAAAATTCTGAAAACGGAATGAAATAGATATGTGGAAAATGGGTCTCTCTTGTCCACTCTAAAAGCCTTTGGGAGTTTGCCCGAAAGGCTGGTGGCCTCCTATACGCAAAAAATCCTCAAAGGGCTTTTCTATCTCCATGAGCATCAGGTAAGTGCCTAGCAGATCGTTACAAAAATTGCAAGAAACATTTGATAGACTGATATAATATTAGGTGGCGCACTGTGATTTGAAAGCGGCCAACATCTTGACGACGAAAACGGGCGACGTCAAGCTCACGGATTTTGGTGTATCGTTAAACTTGCATGTAAAGCAACAAGGCGAAAGTATTCCTGCCGGTACGCCAAATTGGATGGCTCCGGAAGTCATTGAACTCAAGGGCGCCACCACTCAATCGGACATTTGGTCACTCGGATGTACCGTCATCGAACTGTTCACGGGCAAACCGCCCTACGCCGATCTTATCTCCATGTCAGCTTTGTATCATATCGTCGAAGACGATCATCCTCCTTTTCCCGAAAACGCATCCGAGGCAAGTACAACTTTTATTCAATACAAGGACAAAATAGCGAGCTGTTCTCTTATATGATGACGGTGGCGCTGTAGCTCATGTGTGATGTATTACGAGCCTGTTTTCAAAAGAACCCAAAAGATCGACCGACTGCGGCCCAGTTATTAGAGCATCCATGGATTATTCAGCATTGCCCAGTCCAGCCTCCACCTCATCGAACCCCTGCCTTGCGTCGAAAAATGCATCAGCAAAAATTGACTCACGAAGAGTCATCCATCCATTCATCGTACCATTCAGGCACCGATACAATTGATCTCACTATTCTCTCTCGATACCTAGCCTCCGAACCCGGCGTTCAATTACCCGCCTTGCCAGACAAGGTCCAATCCAATGGCAAGCGCCACCGGCTTGTCCATCCTCACCGCTTTATAAAGAGTCATTTGGAGAAAGGTAGGCATACCATTTGGCTTTGCTTCGACTGGCAATCTGCTGGAGTTTGGTTCATCCACTTAAACTAACAATAATCTAATAGCCATCAAATGCAAGCTTTGTCAAACCAACCTTCGATCGCATGCCCTCATCTGTGAAGGTATGCAAAATTGAAAATGTCAAAGGGTGGATGAAGAATTTCCATGTAGTAACAATAATATACTGCCTATTTTTGATGTAGTATGTACGTTGATTTGCCATGATACTTGCCAAAGCAAATCACTTCATTGCCGTATACCATCCTTTACGAATTTACCTGTGGTAAGCATGCGTGAATTGCGTTCAGGGTAGTGTTTGCCCTGAAAATACAGGAATGGTTTAAACTCTGTACTAATTAAATTTCTTGTCTATCCATGTCAGCCGCCACCACGAACAGGCAATCGTCTGCAAAAGTTGTTGGGCGGAATTCATCAACGAATGACCAGATCCTCTCATGGTAAGTCAATCAAAATACTCTATACATGTTCTTCGTTCACTCACATAATGACACATTGACCTAGCTGACATTGCCATTCCTTAAAATTCACCGCCGCTCTCATACACCATTATGTACTTTAAAAATATTGTATACCTGCTTGTAAATAATGTTTATCTTTTGTCTATCTTTTTGTTTTCGATTTGGCAACGGAGAGCGACCCGTTTCCATACTATCCAGGAACTGGTTCGAGGAGGTGAGACCTTATTATCCCGCACGTACAGAAGAATTAAAAAAATAAAGAATTGAAAATAGAATGATGATGAGGGTTACATTGATTTATAACAAAAGAGTCACGGCAGCCACCGCACCAGCGGTAGTTACGATAACAGCGAGGATGTTGTGAGTCGCGGAGGAAGAGGAGGAGGAAGAAGATGAGGATGCTCCACTGGGAGCCACTGAACCCTTGGTGGCCGTACCAGAAGCGGCCGCTGCATGGCCGGTTTTCTGAAGGTCATCCCATTGAGAAGCGTTGGAAGCCGGCGATTTCACGGGAGATTCCGTTGCGGTATTCGTGGTGTCTGGAGCGACCCCCAAAATGGTAAAGTAAGCAGAGTAAGTCGTCCCCAGGTTGCTCTTCAACAGCAACACATCTGTATCAGAAATAAAAATTAGAATTGAAAGAGATATTACTGTGCTTGGCTTGCTTCAACTCACACATGGGGTCGGTGACGGTATTGTTGGGTATTTCCCAAATGAATTGGCCATCGTTGACGGGGATATTGGATATATTCAGTTGGATAACAAAATCAAGGTTGGTCGACATGCCGTTTCTCAGTTCCACTGTCTCAATAGTATCCACATTTCCATTGGTTACTCTCCTATTGTTTCCACGCGTTAACAGTTGGCATAGGTGGGACGGATATGAGTTGATCTGTGGCCCTATTTGTCCAACTTACCATTGTACCAGTTGAGGTCGTCCAGAATACCACACAGTCTACATAAATCACAGCGCAAACAAAAACGTTATCAATCAAGCCATTGCATGCTGTTGTATCAAGTCTTGGTTTTGTGATACATACACCCTGAACAGGGGCTGTCAATGAAATTCCAGCGTCCGGCGTGGCGTGCACAGACATCCACGAGGCTGCCAAGGACAGACCAGCGACTATGGGATAAAGCTTCATGCTAGCGCAATGAACTACAGATTGAGTTGTAATGTAAAGAAAAAGAAGAGGAAGAAAATAAGGACGAACACTTGGTTCCGGTGGGGTAAAAAGAAAAAAAAAATGAGTGATTGCAAATAATGTTGTGTGGCTATTACTATGTCCATTTTTGTCTCAGAAATTAAAAAAGCGTTGTTTCGATGGTCCAATCGGAAGGCTGCCTCAGGCGAGCGTTTTTTAAGCTTGCGTTGAACACACTTTTCTGAGAAACGAAACCAGAATTCCATGGAATTTGGCTGGGATGAAACATTACAGACCGACAAGGAGAGGCTTGGCATCAGAAACCAAGGTTCCTTTCATTTTCTTCCATATGCCTTTGAAGAGTTCATTACTTTCTAGAAAGCTTGTTTCATTCATGCTCTGTGGAATCGAAAATATTGCTACTTTCTTCTCTCGCTTGTCAGCTCATCATCATGGCGTCGTCGTTCCCCCGCACTTGATAGGATACGCTCAAACACTTGACAGATCGTCCCACGGCAGTCCGTCGATTGCTTTTTATTTTAAAACAGCCAAATCAAAAAATCAATAGACCGCTCTTTGTCACCTAGACAAATGTTTTACTTTTGAATAAGTGTATAGTTGGCTGAAAGATACATATAAAAATCCAAAAAGTGTACCGACCTGCATCAAAAAGAATGGTAGTAAAGTAAAGACAGACAATGCCACCCCGTCAGCATTTCTGACATTGAGGAATTTTGCGCCAACAAAGAAAAAAGAAATACGTGGGACTGCAAAATTTCCAGGCACCGATGGATGTTGGAAACCCACAGATAGAATCAGCAATGATAAAACCTGTGATTCCAAGGCTTCATAAATGCAACATCTTGATTCCAGCGTCTCTAGGCCGATGATATTTGTATCTGTTTCGTTCACATAGAAAATCTTTGTAGATTTTTGTATTAATGAAAAAAATCCTTATATCGGCACGGGACGCTGACGTCAGTGCCCGACCCACCGGACGGGGTGGCATTCTTTGAAATTTTAACATTTTTCTCGAGTTGACATTTTTTTTTTTGACGCTTCGTGAACGCTATGGCTGAATCGCAAGAGCAGACCGGTGAAGTGACGTGGCCCGAATTCATCAAGAATAGGGTTACAGTTACCATTACCAAGTCGAGTATCTCGGACCGATTGGACTTCTTGCACCATGCTCTTCTGATCCGTCTACGCCGAAAAGGTGAATAGTTCATGGCTGACCAGAAAACCATCATGAGAGAACAGCCAACGCTTATGTTTTTTTTTCTGTTGTACTGTTAGATTTGCCCGTGGACGCATTGCCTTCTTTGCTCAGCCTTGTCTTCTTGACCTATACACGTTATCACGATCGAGCATCCCGTCTCGCTATTCTTGAGGTGCTCAAAGAACTCAATAACTGGAATGCCGACATTTTCCAAAAAGCGTTTGTTCCCGCTCTCGTCCGGGAAGCCGAGAAAATTGGTAAACGCACGTCTACAGGGTAGGTTGACCAGACGCGCCATTGGGGTTGTTCGTGGATTGCTCGTGAATCCATGGTGGAAATCCAAGAATTAGTGGCGCAGTATCATTAAATTTTACATGTGCCATCGTTGTAGGGAGTGTGTTACTTCTGCTGCGGATCGTTTCATCTTGTTGACCTGGGTCGATCTGTTGATTGGGCTTGTGCTGAAATCAGTGGACGTTGAAAAGGCAGCGAGTTCCACTTTATTGTCGTCGCTGGTCAACGCGCAAGCTTTGCTGTTGGACGGCTTTGCCAACGATCAAAAGAAGACCATTGCTAAAAGTGCCTTGGTGGATGTACGACGTACCGTGCGACAAAATGCTACGGCCATTCCCACCCTTCTTGACATCGCTTTAGCGAATGCTTCAACCGTCACGCCTTCTTACCGCAACGCCGTGCTCATCGGCACCATCATCGATACCAGCCTTCGATTGAAAGTGAATGCCTCGAGTGGAAAGCAGTACATCGACGATGCCAAATCCAAATTGATCTCTTATTACTTGAAGAACATTGTATCATCGCGAACCGCCGTCACCACTTCGGCCATGGATGCTTTCCGCGATTTCATGCACTTTACTGTCCCTGAGGATACTTTTGTCAGCGAATGTGTGCCTGTATTTGAAAAGATGATGTTGCGTTCGCCCGAAGTCGCTTTACCAGGCAAGTCCCCGAGGAGTTGTGAGCAGGGAAGGGTAGATGGGACATCATGCTGATCCAGCGTTATGGTTTTATCTTATAGTCTTGGCACGTATTGTTCCCGTACTTTCATTTGACGTGTCCGATATCTTTGCGACCAAGTGGTTAGATCCTCTGTTGAACCATTTAAGATCCACCTCGGTGGCCGTTCGACAAGGTGGTATGATGCTTTGGGAGGCTCTGACAGAGATTTGCCGTAAACAGGAAGCTCTGGTAAAAATTGTGACAGCCACGAGTAAAACGTTGACGGGCGGGAAAGTCACTTCTTGGGAACATCGTGCGGTGCTCTACAATGCATTGTCATCTCTTGCTCAGCCCGCCGATACCGTCATCAGTCACAAGGCACTGGAAGGTTATTTCGCCATGATCCCCAAGGAATCCAACGAGCAAGCCATGACGTGCGCTGTGGATGGAGTTGGACGTCATTTGATTGTATTGATTTACGACGATGCGTACAGTGGCGCGCATAAGGAACTGGTGGATAAGGCAGTGAAAGTATCCTCGGAAGGTTTGGCGTCGTCCAAGCCGCAAACACGCAAGACGTGGGCTACAGCTTTCGGTAACACCGTGTGGAAACGTACCGATGCCAGCCAAACCTTGAGCGCCAATGTCACGAAATATATGCAGGGTTTATTTTCCGTTTTTGACAAGATCGTTGACAAGCCCTTGTTGTGGAAGGACGGACCATTGGAAGCGTATATCTTGATCGCGTCGATTTCCGGTCGCATTCAGCAATGGCCTACGGTGCCGCCTGCCGTACTGGATCTTTTGAAAAAGCACAAATACCCCTCCACTCTCCTTGTTTCATCACCCAAGCCCAGCTTCTTATTGTGGGATCGTATCTACACCAAGGCCACCGGTGCCGAAGAAGGATTGTGGCTCGTTCGAGCTTTGACGAGTTTGTTCCAGCGTGAATCCACCGCGTCTTTGGAGAAATCCGGCGCAGGTTACCTGTGCGCTCAAGCCTTGATTTGGATCATCACCAGCCATCCTGAACACACCGTGCGTCGAGCCGCGTATCAAGACACGTCGGCCATTGCCGCCTCTGAACCTCAGAAACTCACGGTGTTTGCCAAACAAGCTTTGACGCAATGGCTCTTGGACGTAAGCATCCCATGATTCATACGCTCATTCGTAGGTTATGACACTTATTTATTGACTGACGGACGCCTTTTTTTCATAATGTTAGTTGGAACACAAGGCCAAGGATTCCACGGCCATGATTGGTTACCATGCCGAAAATTACAACAAGGATGTGGCTTCTTACCGACTGGCGAGCGTGCTCAATACGATCTTATCTTTTGACAAGGATTTGGATGCAGACATCAAAGAAAAGGAGTTGCTTGATTTCATGATCCTCGCACATCATCCATATATCGGTAAGTTACAAATGGCCACAGTTGAAGAATACCCTGATACTGACAGAATATTCCTAGCTTCTCCCACAGATAAGTACAACTGGATCAGTTTGATGCAGCGCGTCAACATCAATCCTGGTGCTTTGGTCGCCAATCACATCGAGACGATCCGCGATATCCTTCGAAAAGCCATGTCGGATGAAGTACAGGTAAAGGGAGAGATGAAAGAGTAGGATGTCACCAACCGCCACTAACATTGATGTCTGCTTTCATTTTGTACGATAGTCTGAATTATTCTATCAAGCTGCCCTTGCGTCGATTTCGACCTTGGTGTTTATTTCTCCCAGCTTGATTCCTCTGTTCATGGAAATGATCAGCGATGATTTAAATCCTGCTCTCGTCAATGGCATTGGCTCATTGGAATGCCAGATCTGGAAGACGCCCGAGGGTGAATGCTGTGTGGATGGTAAGTTGTTTCCAATCACTGTATGGCCGGTGGTGATTCACGCTAACATATATCCATTGCAGTCATCAAGAAAAAGACCACGACAGAGCATCGTAACAAGAAGGGATTCAAGGATCAACAATGGGAGGAAGAATTGCGTGCGGAACTCGCCAAGAAGAAGGGTTTGGTGCAGAAATTGACCAAGGAAGAACAAGCGGCGGTCGATGCGCAATTGAAGAAAGAAAGCGAAATTCGCGATAAGGTACAAAAGGTGCATGATCAATTGGCGCTAGGTTTGCGAATGATCGGTGCTCTGATCCGCGGAAATACACACGCCATGGAAGAATACGTGGTGGAACTTGTGCGCATTTTGCTGCTGATTGGCAAGACCAATGCCGGTATGATGGTGGGCGAATCGATCGTGGATACTTACCTGGAATTGGGCGCTTGTGTTTCCGAAAACGTGTATACCATTCGCGCCGCGATTGCTCTCGCCACTCTGCGTGCCAACGGTGTCCAACCTATTCCTGCGCGCTGGTTAGATGAGCCCCTGGGCGCTTTGATTGCTCGCGTTCTTTACCGTCTTCGCTTCATTACCGAAGCACAACCGCTGCCTCCAGCTACGTTTGCTTACATTTTCCCCGTCTTGTATCAAGTCATTCAACAAGGCGGTATCGATTGTGGTAAATCCGACGATGGCGTTGAAACAGCCATGGAGCAAGTTGTCATGTCTGTTGATGTGATTGGTTTCCACTGTCAACAAGGCGAATCGACAGTGATGCCTCGCCAAGAAATGATTGCCAGTCTCTTGCATGCCATCAAGGAATATCCTCAAGTGAGCAAAAACGCCAAGTTGTCGCTGGTCGCATTGTCCGAAACCATGGTCGACTCGGTCACGTTGGAAGAAACCAATACCTTGTTGCAAGGCTTGCTGTCCGAGGAATCCCTGGTACGATCTGCCGCTTTGCAAGGCCTTGAGGTAAAGGAAAAAAACTAAAAAAGAGAAAAAAAGATGGTGATCTTGGTTCGGTAGCATTGATGAACTCCTTCTTTCATTTTCCTAGTATCTTGATTTGACTGACATTGATTACTCGCCTGAACTTTGGCTTGCTTGTCATGATGATCAAAATGCCGATTTGGCCAATACTTTGTGGAATGATAATGCCATGGACGTGGAAGAAGATTATCGTGATGTCTTGCTCGACTATGCAGGTAAGGAAAAAAGGCAACCATTGAAAAGGAATGCATGTATTCCAAACGAGGGTACTGAACAAACGCGGTATAGTGTCGGATTCTTCCTATGTGCGCAACGCTGTCAGCAAAGCGATGGCCGATGCTATTGCCATGTACCCCAACACCGTGGCTGATACGCTTGCAGCCATTTATGCGTTGTACAAGAAAAAGGCGGCTCCTTTGGATCCCGAGTACGATCAATACGGTATGGTGATCCCCGAAACGTTGAATCGTCGCGATCCGTGGGAAGCGCGTGCCGGTCTCGCTTTGATGCTTCAAGCCATGGCTCCTCAGATGCAGTTTGACAATGTGCGTGGATTCTGTCAGTTCCTGATCAAGGATGAAGCGTTGGGTGACCGTGATGAAACTGTCCGCAAAAAGATGCTCGACGCCGGTTTAGCCGCGGTGAATGCCTATGGTCATGAAGGAAAGCAGGACTTGTTGGCGACGTTTGAAGCGTACTTGAACCAGCAAGCCGTGGACAGCGAAACCCACGATTACATTCGCCAAGCGGTGATTATTCTGTATGGTGGTGCGGCCGGATTCTTGGACTCTGGCGACAGCAAGGTTACCATGGCGGTGGATAAGATGATTGCTACCTTGGATACGCCTTCGGAAGTGGTGCAGAGTGCGGTGGCGGACTGTCTTCCTCCACTGATCAAGAAGATCAAGGAAGAAGTGCCTCAGATCTGTGAAGGTCTTTTGAAGAAGTTGTTCACGGGTGAAAAATACGCGCAACGTCGTGGCGCCGCTTACGGTTTGGCCGGTGTGGTCAAAGGCCGCGGTATCACGGCCTTGAAAGAATGCAACATCATGACGTCGCTTAAGGAGGCTGTGGATAACAAGCGTGCTTACCAATCGCGTCAAGGTGCCCTGTTTGCTTTCGAAACGCTGTCATCCACGCTTGGACGTTTATTCGAGCCATACATTATTCAGATCATTCCCCTGTTACTCGTTTGCTTTGGTGATGCCAATACGGATGTGCGTGAAGCATGCTCCGACACGGCGCGTGTGATTATGAGCAAGATCAGCGGTCACTGCGTCAAGCTGATTCTTCCTTCCATTTTGGAAGGTTTGGACGATCGTCAATGGCGTACAAAGAAAGCGTCGGTGGAATTGCTTGGTGCGACGGCGTACTGTGCGCCCAAGCAGCTTTCGGTGTCTCTTCCCAACATCATTCCTCGCATTACCGAGGTGCTGGCCGATACCCATGCTCAAGTGCAAGCCGCAGCACGTCGTTCGCTTCAACTTTTTGGTGAAGTGATTAGTAACCCTGAAATTCAAGGCTTGGTGCCCGTGTTACTGGAAGCATTGAGTGATCCGAATCGAAAGACCAAGGCGGCCTTGACGGCTCTTTTGCAAACGTCGTTTGTCCATTACATCGATCCTCCTTCGTTGGCGTTGGTCATGCCTATTCTCGAGCGTGGTTTGCGTGAACGTGGTACGGAGATCAAGACCAAATCGGCGCAAATTGTGGGCAACATGGCTTCGTTGACCGATCAAAAAGATTTGGTTCCCTATTTGCCGATCCTGATGCCTGGTATCAAGGAAGTGTTGGCTGATCCGGTTCCTGAAGCGCGCGGTACGGCGGCCAAGGCATTGGGAAGCTTTGTTGAAAAACTGGGTGAAGACAACTTCCCTGGTCTGGTGATGGAATTGCTCGACAAGCTCAAGACAGATACCGGCAACGTCGATCGCCAAGGTGCTGCGCAAGGTCTTTCCGAAGTGTTGGCGGGTCTGGGTCTGGAACGTCTGGATGGTCTGTTGCCTGAAATTCTCGCCAGTGCCGACAGTCCTCGTGCGTATGTTCGTGAAGGTTTTATTTCTCTGCTCATCTATTTGCCTGCGACGTTTGGTCCTCGTTTCCAACCTTATCTTGGTCGTATTATTCCTCCCATTCTTATGGGTCTTGCGGACGAGTCCGAATTTGTACGTGACGCGTCGTTGCGTGCCGGTCGTATGATTGTGACCAATTACGCAACCAAGGCGGTGGATCTGTTGTTGCCTGAATTGGAGAAGGGCCTGTTCGATGCCAACTGGCGTATTCGTCAGAGTTCGGTCCAATTGGTGGGCGATCTGTTATTCCGTATCACGGGTATTGTCAATCCCAACAAGGGGTTGGAAGCCTTGGGTAACTTTGATGAACTCAAGGACGAAGACGCAGACGACAGTTACGGTGTTGGCGAAAATAAGTCCAAGCAATTGTTGGACGTTCTCGGCAAAGATCGTCGCGATCGTATCTTGTCGGCCTTGTACATTGTTCGTCAAGACTGTAAGTATTGCTGCAGGGAGAGGAAGGGGTGGAGGTCTGGCTTTCAGTGGCCATGATAATCGGGTTTTTATTGAAATCTAAACAATCTTTGTATTTTAGTCTCTGGTATTGTGCGACAGGCTTCGTTACGTGTGTGGAAGGTGCTTGTCTCCAATACGCCACGTACGCTTAAGGATATCCTGCCTGCGATGATGTTGATGGTGATTCGCAACTTGTCCAGCGACAACGATGAAAAGAGCGCCGTGGCCGGTCGTACATTGGCGGAATTGGTAGTCAAGTTGGGCGAAGGTGTGTTGCCTGAAATTCTCCCCATTCTCGAAGAAGGCATGGGATCCAACGATGAAGAAACCCGCCAAGGTGTTACTTCGGCCTTTAGCATCGTTATGGAAACCGCTGGCAAGGTACAAGTCTTGGACTTTGCCGATCAAATCATTCCCGTGGTTAAGAAAGCCTTGTGTGATTCTTCCTCGGAAGTCCGCGAAGCCGCTGCTCAAGGTAAGAGAGAGAGAGCGAAAGAGAGAGAAAAAGGAGGAGGTCTCGTTATACTTCTCTTGGCCAGGTATTGACTCACTTCTTTATTTGATGTAAATTTTAGCCTTTGATACCTTGCATCAAAACGTTGGTGCTAGAGCCATTGATGAAATTCTGCCGTCCTTGCTTAACCAATTGCAATCTTCGGATGAAGGATCAGTTTACGCTCTTGCGGCTCTTAAGGAGATCATGGCGGTCCGTGCGAATGTGGTATTCCCTGTGCTTATTCCTACTTTAATTGCCACGCCAATGAGTGCATTCAACGCGCGTGCTTTGGGCTCCCTGGTGACGGTGGCTGGTTCTGCGTTGAATCGACGCTTGTCCGTGATTCTGTCAGCTATTGTAGAATCGCGTATGATGGAAACCGATGAAGAAGTGTTGGAGCAATTATCGACTACCACCATTGCGTTGATGAAATCCATTGAAGACGAAGACGGTCTTGCCACACTGATCTCGACGTTGCAGGAATACGCTAGAAGCGAAAGTTGGGAAAAACGTGCCGTGGCATGCGACATTACGGCCAGCTTTTACAGCGAAACGGATTTGGACGGTTCCGATTACGTGCAGGAGTGGATCGAAATCTTGGTGCCCCTTTTGGACGACAGTGCATCGGCAGTGGTGAAACCGGCTTGGAATGCGCTTTCAGCCGTGACCAAGTCGATGCCCAAGGATGAATACGAAGCTTTGGTGCCTGTGACGCGTCATGCCGTTCATATCGTGGGTGTGCGTGGCTGCGACGTGGCCGGTTTCTGCTTGCCCAAGGGTATCAGTGCCGTTCTCCCCATTTTCCTCCAAGGTCTCATGTACGGCTCCACCGAAAATCGCGAACTCTCAGCCTTGGGTATTGGTACGTATTAAGCAACGTTTTTGTGTTTGCCACTCCATATCACTCATGGTGATTTGCTTTATTGAAAAATTTAGGTGATTTGATCGAGCGTACCTCGTCGGATGCATTGAAGCCGTTTGTTACCCAGATCACAGGTCCTCTTATCCGTATTGTCGGTGATCGTTATCCTCCTCAGGTCAAGTCGGCCATCTTGCAAACTTTGGGGTATGTTGTGAAAAACGGAGAAAGTGGGAGAAAAGGGCATCTTCTAATATGAGTTTTTTTATAGATTATTATTGGGCAAGGTACCGATGCACTTGAAGCCTTTCTTGCCGCAGTTGCAACGTACATTTGTGAAATCCCTTTCGGATGCATCAAGTGATGACGTACGATCCAACGCTGCTTCGGCTTTGGGTGTTCTGATCACGCTGCAACCTCGTGTGGATCCTTTGGTGACGGAACTTGTATCGGGCATCCGTGCAAGCGAAGCCGAGGTGAAGGAAGCGATGATGGAAGCTCTCGAAAATGTGGTTTCCAAGACCCAAGCCGCTCTCAGCGACAATTCCAAAAAGGGTATCCAATCCATTATCGAAGAAGGTCTGGCAAAAGACGCCACATCCGGCATGAAGGAGTCGGCTACCCGGTTACAAGCAATCTTGAAATAATTGACACGCTACAAGTTTCCTGATTTCTTGCATGTAATATCTCTTTTTTTTTTCTCCAAAGCTTTACTTTTGGATAAAAAGAACTGTGACAAATCACAGATCAACCTCTTTTTTCTTCAATTTTTCTTTCTTAGAGTTGTTTTCAGTGCGTATGTCAATAAAGTCATCGACATAGATAAATCGGTAGTTTTTTTTGTGAACCAGTTTTTGGGCGTTCGTTGTCATTGTTTGCCATGGCGAGAAATGGCGGGTATGTCTGTCAGTACGGTCAATGCGACTCCATACCCCCCCCCAGATATTGACACGATTGATTTTTCACTGTAACTTGGGCATTCCTGTATTTTTTGATCTATTACTAGTCAACTTCTGTACAAGCTAGACAAACCGATGCTGTGATTCACCCAGCCCTCATAATCTTGTTGACTGATTTGTTTGCTGCATTCCTCTACGTACTCCAGGAATGCATTGGTGTCCAAATCTGGCGTCCTTTCCACCAGGCCCATCAGTTTGGAAAACGTTTCCTCGACGGGATTGAAGAACGGGGAGTAGGGGGGGGGGTGTCAGAAATGAAGCCTGCGCCTCCTACTGTTCATGAAGTCCTGTACAATACTAGCAGTATGGGTATCGCGGTTGGCCATGACAAAGTCGTGTGGGGCCGCCTTGGTATCGTCCAGTCGTTGAATTAAAGGCTTCAGGAGATCGATGAAAGCGGTCGCCGTCGTGCCTGTTGGGAGGAGTTTGGCAGATATGCCCTCCACACCTTGCTTTGAAATCGCGGCCAGAAACGAAACGTTGAGGGGTCGCTTGCATTTGAACCGCACCACTGAATTCGGTCCTTTCCTAGTCGAACCCTGTTGACGGACGAGATTTGCATTGAAACCTGCCTCGTCAACGAAAATGCAGTTGGTTTTGCATGATAAATCGAAGGATTCGAGAAAACGTCTTCTTGCTTCGATGGTTGACGAAAATCGCTTCTTTTCTCCTCCACGGCTTTTGACCTCTTCAGGTCCCGATTTCCTCAACGATATGGCGACATATACTGGCGTATCGAATCCTTTTCTCTGGGAGGTCATCAAAGTTTTCGTAAAGCTTGTCCCTCATCGTGTCCAGCGTAACTGTGCCATCTTCGTCCAAGATTTTTGTCAGGAATTTTGAATGGTCTTTGGTGATTTTGATGGGAGTCGGCATTCTTCCACCTCTTGGCTTAGGTACGATATTACCCGTGTTAACAAAGGTGTCTTTGATATTGTCAACCGTTGATCTGGATAGACCAAATAGCTTTGCAGCATCGGAGACTCTCACATCTCCCTCTCTGACAGTTACACCAATGAGCTGCTCACGTATGTTAACAGGAATCTTGACGTTTTTAGCCTTCAAACTTCTTCTGCTCTTCTTGTTAATCTTATTGACATTGTTTTTGTCTCGAGTGATCGTTGGTTGATACCATTTTTAAGTCAAATAATGTAAGTAATGAATACTGTAGATTTAGGCTTTAATCGATTTGCAATGTTGTTTGGTAGAAAAAAAGGTATCTATGCTGTTAAAAGGGCATTTATGCTACAAGGTAACACGATGTCGCCCCGTAACAAACACTTCACTATTTTGTAATGCAACAAAACGAACACCGAAATGGTGAAAATCGCTAAACGAAATTTTTGAAAGTCACCATATTTCGGTCAAATCCGGTACGTTAATTTCCGGATGACTCATCATTAAGCATTTTTGATTGGACAAATAGACGTGACGGTTTACGCGGAGACGAAAATGAAGAGCATATATAAAGGCATCGATTTTGCGAATTCATGAAACGGCATGTTGTACGGCGGCGGGGCTGATTCGTAACTGGGGCTAGCTTACTCGTAGACTTTTGTCTTCCCGCACCGGTTTGCTTATCCGTTCATCAGCTGGTCGGGCGTTGACCCTTGCGGGAGTAATGTACGGCAAGGTGGGCTCACCCCGGGGGAGTTCTTTTTCTTTTCCCATGTGGGCGTTCCTGGCACGCATGGTTTTTCTTTTTGGCCTGCTTCGGCAGGAATCAAAAAGTAATTTTCTCAAGTAAATGAAAAAAAAAGAGAAGGTAAAAAACCTCGTCTCTTCACACCTTATCCGCACCGGCTTTGGCTGTGTCGGGTCATAACTAGTTAGAGTAGAATAGAGTAGAAATAGAGCAGAGTAAAAACATTAATATAAATAAAAGCTTTGGTTTCGACCGCCCTTCACTCTGTCCAGCAACTCCCATGTTAACTTTTAACTTTTCATGTCCTTTGAGTGGCAGTGCTTGCTTTAAGACGCAAACAAGCGTAAGCGTAGAAAAAAATAGAGAAGATGGAAATGAGATATGGGCGTAAAGGTGGTGGCAAAGTTGCCCTTTGGGTTTGTCTAGCGGTAAAAAAGAACCAACTCCAGCATACCGTCGATGACGCTAATGTACAATTGCCTTTGACTATGGCACTCGTTCATTTTCTCGCTACAAGCTGAAGCTTGAGCTAGTTACATAGCTACTGCGCCGTCATCCGTGAACCGCGTTTTTCTGGTCACTGAAATTGCGTTTGCTTTATTCATTGGAACAATTCACATTCCGTAACGCCGTCGCTTCGATGTAGCCGTTGGTTTTCTTACTGGCTCAAGGCTTGAACACGAATTCCTCTGTGAAGCTTATTTCTGTTTTAACCTTTCTTTACCAGCTACATTACTCTAGAATTTGAAAATCCTACAACGCAAATGAAGCGGCGATTTTGAGAACTTAACCGCAGGATATAGGCAATAAAAAGATGGGTAGGTGTCGTAGAAGAACGCTTCTTACTGACAAAAAAAAGTGCTCGATTCATAGTTCACAAATGACAGAAAAGAATTGGATAGACAGAAAATAAAAGTAACAGATCAAAAGAATCGAGAACCGTTCCTGAAAAGCATAATCCTGCATTCAAGTATGGATGAAAAAAAAAGGATGTAATGAAAATATATGCTTATTAATAACTGTCTACTAAATGCATCATCGTCAATGGTATTATCGACAATGGCATATATCGATGCTGCTTAGGGTACGATCGATGATATCCAAATAATGTATTTTGGATGTTTGCATTCCGATAAATCTTTTCTGCCCAAGTATTGACAACATGTGCTAGTTTTTTGGTTTTTTATTTGCTATTTTGCATCTAATGTACTTTTTTTCCTTTCACACCAAGTGGATCGTTTCCCCTGAGCCAATAGCGAAGAATTCAAGTCCAGATGGGAGCACATGGACCGGGGGAGGGGTGGAAATAAAAAAGGATCCAAGTTCATATGCTCCAATCAGCCGTTGAAGAACAAAAACAGTTTTGATAGGGAGAGCACGGAGGATGCGCAATATGTTGACAGCGAGTGATATTGTATCTTCATGTTCCGCGAGTTGGGGTTCGCAGTTTGTTCAATTTTATATGTTTGTCCAATGAAAAAGCGCGATTGTTTATATTTATCACATGCAAATGCGCGCAACAACATAACATGAAAGGCACTGATGAAATCTTTTTTTGGCAAGTTGTCTTTCTTTTTCCTCTTTCTCTCTCTCTCTCTCTCTCTCTCATATTGCTTTTATAACTCTTGGCGGCTTTGGCATATCCATATTTTTTTCGATTGATCCCTGCATCCTATTACATAGTCTAATCTGTTTGTGATGGCTACGTTTGTTTCGTCGATTCTTCATCGATCCGCGGATCGGATTGAAGATATGTCAGCTTATTTGAAGCCATCTAGTTTGAAGCGAAAGCAACAATTCGCTTCACGGTCGACCCCTACTGTCCATCGTATTCCTCCTTATCAGCATCCTCAAATGAGCTACAGTGCCGAGTACTTGGCGACACCATCTGATCGGCCGTCGTATGATCGCATCATCGATCACACTCGGGCTCGATCATGGTTAGGATACGACATCCAGGTGTACAACGACGATCTATCCTCCTCCTCCTCCGGTCCAGCCACTATCGATCGACGCGATCTGTCGCAAGGTTTAAAACTGGTCTCTATTGCTGCCGATGAATACGACAGCGGCAACGAAAAAGTGGCGTTGGATATCTACCTCACCGGCCTAGACAAGATTGTCATGGCTTTACCGAGTAAGCATTTACCTTCCTCCCATATTTCCCGGCTTTTTTCGAGGCTTCGTCGCTAGTCTATGCCTATTTTGTTCTTTTTCGTGGCCGCCTTTTTTTTCATATATATCCATCACATGAAGATGGCCAAAAAATTGATAACAGCGGAATGATAGACAAAACAGACTCTGCCACGAAAATGGCGCTTTATCAGAAATTATTAAGGTATAGCTTTTGATCAATCCTTTTTTGGGCTGATCGACCGTCATGATTTTGATCTGTCATTTCACGGGTGTTTACTCACATGGTCCATGTGACAGCGTGGAAAAACGCATAGGAATACATCCCATGGCCTCTGCCTGTGCCGATAAGCTTGGTGGCTCGCCCTCCTCGGAGAACACAGAGATGGAAGCGACCAAGGAGCCCAATCCAACCATGTGGGTTTTACCATCGAACCTGAAAGATAAAGTCAGTACCATGTTTGCAATTTCATCGACAGTGTTGTCCTCCTCTGTTCCGACGCCTTTGCCACCTTTGACGTCGTCTTCCCTGGAACCCCTGTCCGCGGAAGGGGAGCCGGCAGAGCTCGGCAAAGAAGACCACATGACCCGGTTCAAAGCCTTTAGTCAATACTTCATCAACCTTGTTGTCGCATGGGCCGTCATAATTAAACAATCCCCCATCCCTGGTATGTACCAGTCAAAAAAGGATTCTCGAGTGATAGAGATCCTATGTGTTTAACCAACTCTTCTCCCGGCTCATAGATATGTTGTACTTCGTTTTCGGCTATTTCATGCATTTGCTTTGGTGGATGAATTTGCAGTATCACGTTGTTGAACGCATGCAAGAATTCGGAATCCATTGCATGAAATTGGCCCTCAAAGCGGACGAGCAGTATCAGTTGCACGAATTGCTGTCCGAAGCCATCTACACATGCTTTGCAGCCATATTGAAAGCCGTGGTGGCTTTTAAAGAAACTCCCGGATACCAGCAACGCCGAGCCAAATCCTCATGGTCATCCAATGCCACCACCTCCGCCCCACGACCGCCACGATGGCGTCGACTGTCTTATAATATGGCCGCCTTTTAACAACCCGTTTTAACAAACCCCACTTCTCTCCCAATCTAGATACATCTTATAATACCAGCTTCTACTTTGTATAGCGCTTCATGAAAAATGAGAAAAAAAAAAAAGAAAACCATCTCCTTTTAATTTCGCAATCTATCCTTACAGTTGTCCTTTAGCATTTCTTGTAAACTGTCGCTCGATTAGTCTCTTCCTTTTCTTTCCCCTTTAATCATGGATCCAACAATATACGTTACATATTTGCCATCATCTAACTAGGCACAGTACACTCGATCGTCATATGAATCGCTGGATGCCAATCCATATAGAAGATGACTTGTTTTTCGGTGATACACATCGTGGGCGTCTTTATTTCCATGCAATGATTGTATTTTGAGATTGGGGGCGTCTGTGGGGGGTTGGGGAGGCGCTGGAGGTATATGAATCCATTGGGGAGTTAGGAAACTGTCCATGTTCTGATTGAGTGATTTTGTTTTCAGGATATCAGGCCGTTTTTGATCATGACGTCGATCAATTCTTGCAATGGTTGCGTTTCTTTCTTGTCTAGTAAATCGAATTCTCTGGCAAAGGATATAAAGTGGGCGAAAAGAGAGTTGTAATGCGCTTCCTCGTTGAGCGATAACACCTTATCGAAATGATGATGATAGATGTGAGCAAACAATCGCAATAATTGTCCAAACACTCGCTTCACAATCACCGGGAAATCGCGTGGAAAATCTCGACCTATTCAGAGAAAGTTGATCATTTGTTTAGCTCCAACTCCACAAATCATTCACCCAGATCGCTTTTCCCAAAGATGCATACCTGCTTTGGTAGGAAAAATGGATTCGTCATTGAGCAGGTTCTCTATGCTTGTTGCCATGTAATCAATGTATTGCGGTGCCGGTAGCTTGATTTTCTTGGATTGACTATCCGTCCATGTATATTCCACACTATATCGATTGATCATCAAGGTAAGATGGTCCGTCCTCGGGGTATTGCTTTTGATTCGTGTCTCTCCTATTATTCCAACCGTACTTACCCTGGCCCGCCTGACATGTTAGGACATGACTGTGTTGTGCAGAAATCCGTAATGGAGCTGTAGAATAAGTTGAGGTAATTGAAGAACTCGAACGCTGTGACAAAAAAAAAGGGGGGGGTGATTCCATTGAGCGTGAGACACACACGGTTGGGAAGTAATAACATATTCGCACTGAACTTACTGTTGAATGCGAGCCATTCGTTGACATCGACATATTTGGGTAACTCGATGATGGTTTTGAAGTTGCCTTTGACGAGCATGTGGGTGACATAGGGATAACACAGGAACAAGGGCTTGGATTGTGAAGATGATGACGCCGATTTGCTCTTGTTGGCCTTGTTGCGGCTTTTACCGAGACTATAAACGAACGTTAGAAAAATAAATTATTTAATATCGAGTGGCCAGGTCATCTAGACCAACCAAGCAAGAGAAAAAAACACATACCCAAAACTTAGAATGTTCATGATGATGTTGGTTATAAGATATGCGACAAAAAGCAAGGACTGGTTTATGCAAACAAGTCCAAGTGTCAAATACGAAAAAACAAAAAAAAAAGAAAGGAACAAAGAACTACAGTGAGAAGGCACACCAACAAACGTCAAAGCGGACAAAAAATGAGACGAACAAAGTGTTAAAGTGAATCTTTCTCGCTCCGCTCCAGATGTGACGACACTGCCCAATTTCGTGCCTTCACGGGCCGGTTCCAGAATACCCGGCCTCTTCCTCCTTTTTTCTTCTTTTTCTCTTTTTACCACTCTTCCCTTCTACAGCATTTCTTCCTACCATTTCTTTTGCTTACACTCATTTCTGTCTAGGATGATATGTGTAGAACATGAATCTTGATTCTTTGTATATAACCCACCTGCATATAAATTTTGAATAAAAATATGTCAGTGCTTACAAAACGTAGCAACCGTGGGCTTGTTATAGTGATGTGTGAATAATGGTCATCCATTATCATAACGCACAAACGTTACATAGCTACGTTCAGATGGATCTACTTTCTTACCACAGCATACGATTGACTGACCAAACTGGGATTGCCGTGTTTGCAACGGTATCATGTCATGCTGAAGCGGAATTTCCAGCCCTTTTCAGGAACTGTAAGTTACTGTTGATAAGGTAAGGATGAAGTTGTTTCTAGGTGCATGAGGCCAAGATAACCATCGTTAAAGTAGAGCCTTACATATACAATGGGATCTCTTTCTCGTGGAGACCACCCGAATTTCTTTTTATTGTCTGCTAGAGAAAGCTTGACCAGGCGTCAGGGAGAGTGTTGCAATACGAATTCTCAGAAACACGTCGCTATTCCTATGCATCCATTGACCACTCACCCTGAGATGGTGAAGATGTAACTTATCTAAAGGGCAATGGACGCTTTTTAATTCTATGGAAAAGATGAGATGATCAGTCACTTGTTCTCTTTGATGATGCCATGGACTTCTACCAGCACGCGTAACGTCGTTGATTGGTTCTGGTTGCCCATATTTATTTTTGTTCACCCGATTAACGCTGACTTATTGGCTGCATATTGGTTGACCCAGACCATCACCACAACACGACAAGATTTGCTCGCATTGCACATTTTCAAACTGATCTACAGCATCAGAAACTAAAAACCAAAATTGGTGATACAAAAAAGGCTTATTACCCCGATGATGGCACCTCTCATACGCGATGCATCATGCTTCACCGATTCGTTTTTTCTAAAGCATACATCGATAGATCATGCACCAAATTATTATTCATAGTCAAAAGAAGAATGTAGCGTAAAAATTTTGGGGGGTTTTTACATACGTTGAACGGTAATTAAAGAAGTGTGCCAACCGGTCAAGAGGGCCTCATCGACTGCATGATGGTAGGTGACGAGGGCCACTAATTTCCGTCATTCAGCCCCCCCGCTTTCTAGACTAATAGGCCTAGTTCCATGATGAAAATGTCATAAGAAAATAAAATAAAATAAACGACAATGCAAATAAAACGAAAGAATGATGAGTCCATCTAGTGCAGCATATGAAAAACAGAAAGGAAAAACGAAAAGAGAATGAAGCGTAACATAGATACAGAGAGAGAGGAAGGGAGAGAGAGAAGAGAGAGAGAGAGACAGAGAGAGAGAGAGAGAGAGAGAGTGAGAGAGAGAGAGAGAGAGTGAGAGAGAGAGAGAGAGAGAGAAAGAAAAGAAGGATCAAACCAAAGAAAAAAAAAGGGGAATTTTAAAGTGCACGATCAAAGCAACGCACAAAATTCTTCGACCTTGTCTTCGAGCCATTCCCATCGCTTGAGACCCACCACCCATTCACTGGGCAAACCACTGTAGCCGACGCGCAAGCCAAGCAATGCGCCCGCGACGGATGCGTTGGTATCCGCTTCCCCGCCTTGCATGACAAGATCCATCATGATGCGTTTAAAGTACTCCGTCTCGCTGTGCAAAGGGATGTGACGAGTAAAGGCATAAATACTGGCAGCGAGGCATTTGAAGGCATGATGCTGATCGTCACGGTCCAGTTGGAGTTTATGCAAATCAAAGGGGCCAAAGTAGCAGTGGTCCAAAAGTTGTCGGTAGTAGGTTTGCGTCTGTTCTGCGTCGGTCTCAGGCGTACGAAACAGAGGATCGGTGTTTGGGGCAGTGAGGATTCGTTTATTGGTTTCGATCACATTGCGAACAAGAGCAAGCAAGGTCGAGTCGGTTTCCAAGGTGTCGGTAAAGAAGTGACGAGGGGATGTCGGAGTTTTCAGGTCTTGAGGCAAAGGCAACGGCGGTGACGGCAAGGGCATAGGCTCGCTGTCTTCCACTTCCAGATTCTGGCCTCGAAGCATACTATCCGTATAACCCAGCGTTAGCAAGGCTGCACGTCTCCGTTGACCTCGAGTTTATCGTTCAAAAGACAAACAAAGGTGACACACAAGCAGAAGGTGCAAGAGAAAAGGAACCCAAAAATAGAACAACCCACGGACGTGATACCACTAAAAGAGTTGGAATAATATGAATGGGGCTTACCGTGCGACAATGGTGGAAACGATCACGCAGGAAATCATACAACGAGGATCGGGATGAGTGACTTTGCAAAACTCGGTGGTATGTTCAATGACGGTTGTACCGTCCCAGAAGAGTGGAATACCCAGGATAGGAGCACGAATGAGGGCCCCGTTAGCGCCACGAACGGCATGCTTGTGCCATACGTCGATGGCGGCTTGATGCTACTCAACGGGGATCAATATGCATGAGGTAGACTTCAAGCGTGTTCCATCGTAAAAATGTGTACCGGGTTGGTTGAAAATTCGGGATGGTTCAACACCGCTTGATTGGTGGGGTTTATGCCGATGGGAGGCTTATTCAGTCCACGCAATCCATTTTGATGATACTCGCTTAACAGAGTTGCAAAATCTTTCGAGTTGAACGCATCTTCATTATCAAGAATAGCTTGCATCACCAATAGTAACTGCTCGCCATCGTCACCAAATTCACTATTATGAACACGGGTTAATTTTTCTGTCAAGTCAATAATAAAACCCCCTTTTTCTTTTGTTTTTCTGCTGTTCTGCGTTTTTTTGTTCTTATGCAGAAAAACAAAAATAAACAGAGTCAATCTTTTTCAAGGTTGCCCGGCGCCCCCCCGCGTCCCTGCCCTGAGGTGGTTTTGGGAGATGGAAAGAAACCGCATCCATCCCAAAGTAGAAACCAGATGCATACTTTTCATCAAACTGAGCACGGTATCGGTCACGTACAAATGGCACGCCTTCGTCATCCATGCCAAATCGAATCGGACCTTGGTCATAAAAGCCGGCAATTTCTTCACGAGTCATACCCTCCGTTGCTATACCCAAGCTATCTCCTAATATCGCCCCTGAAGATAAAAATAACGCATCAGGGATTAAGTTGGAAAGAAATAGGAAGATCCAAGGTATAATTATAGATTTCACATCATGCAAAAAAAAAAAGCCAAACAAATCAAGCAATGTCATCATGTCAGCCGTTGAAACAATGCACAGAGGCCACAGGATTCATGTTAATTACCAAAAATTAAGCCTTTAATTTTGTCAATGATGATCGATTTGTCGAGTTTGGAACAACCCGATGGAATTCTCATGCTTTCAGTATAACGTCAATTGCTCGCTTATAACACAAAAAGAAGAATGAAAGGGTATGCAAAAAAGAGGAAGGAAGAGGAAGAAGAAAATCGAAGAATGGAGAAAATTAAATTATCAAAAAAAAAAAAAAAAAAAACGAGTAAGAAAAGAAAATGTTAAAATAAAGAAAAAGGTAGAAAATATGGATGGAGTTTGAATCAACAGTTTAGAGCTTTTGACTTTGAACAAAAACAAGTCAAATGTAACCTAGGGCAACCGACGTTTTGGATGACAAGACAGTCGGATTTTTCAGTGACAGCAACCTGAAAGGACAACCATGATTTGTCTTGCTTAAAACAGTGGATTGCCATTACGATTTCTGCTTTTTGACTTTATAGCAACAAACACTAAAATCTTTGTCCAAAAAGGAGAATGAGCATGGGCGGCTAACGTGTTGCACGCTATCAGGTGGGTCATTTTGTGTGACAATGAGCAGCATTGGACATTTTTTCTTTCCTTTTTTTCGAATGCAAAAAACTCAAGGTCAACATGACCAACATGGTGTCTCGGAATCACACAACCCACCAACACGCGTCTTGCTCTCGGATTGGACATTGCAAGTTATATTTTGAAATGGTATAAAGAATTGTGAACAGCGATATGTTGTGCAGTATAATATACAATAAGGATTACAGAATACATGATTAAAGTAGAGAAAAAATTAACATGGGGAAGCTGGAAATGAAAAAAAAAAAAAAAAAATTGGGATGGCCCGGTTATCCCGTATGATTATCGTGCTCTTTTTACAAATTTGCCACCTTGATCAGTCCACGGATAGGCTGGAGGAGGAGATCGATGATCCATGGTATCTGCGGAAGGATGTGGACCTGAGGCTTCATCATCAATGACCCAAGAATCATCTCGTTCCTGACGTGGATTTAATTTCAATCGATAATCAGCATCAAACAGATGCTGGACTAGAAAAAAAAATTCAGACGGAATTTAGCATTGGCTTTCATATTAAAAAACTTTATCCTCCCCCTAGCATTTTTTTTTTTTTTCGTCTTGTCATAATTCAACTGCGAAGATCACTTACAATGTGGTTTCAAGCCCTTGTCAAAGTTTCGTGTCACTAAGATGGCTAAAATTATCGTGCACTAAGACAAGATTGGTAAGCATGGTATGCAATGTCACCAGATGACGTTGTGATTGCTTACGATGGATAAAAAGATGGCAAGACACACTACACGGTTTTTTTTAATAGTCAAAAAAAAGGTTAACATTTCCCATTCCGAAATATCAGTTTTTCCCTTTCTCTCCTCTGATTCGTGTTTGCTTCATTTTTTTTTTACCTGCTAGTACCCAGAAAACCCAGGAAGAGGCGCTTTGTTGTAAAATAACAATAAAGTCCACCGCCACCAATACTTGGAAGGTTTGATACGCCATCATCACTTTAGGCTTTTCGGACATCAAACCGTACCGGGCAACGAATGGAGCAGGCACCAGTCCCAATGTCAGCAACCAGTGCAACACATACCACGCTAGTCCCGCTTGGCTTTTCTTCATATAGTTTTCCTGCGTCATAATCACCAACCAAAAGATGCAAAACACAGTATGAAAAAATGCATCCAGTTTCAGGTTCAAGAGAAATAGCTGCGCAGTTCGGAATCGCTCTATAAAATATATCAATTCCCGACAGCAAAAAAGTTAATTTAATAAGTAATAGGGGCATTCGCTGGTCCTCTTGCGTTGGTTTTTTCACAATACAGAATGATCATGTTACCTTGTAGGGTGATATCGGCACCAATTCGTTTATAGACATTCCACCCAAACTAAGTTTAACAATGAATCACCGAATTCCATGGAAGCCTTGCATAGTCCTGATCTTGGGACTCTGCAACTTACCTCTTGCAGTAGCTTGACACACAAATAGGCAAAAATCCCAGTCAGCGCGGCCATCACTACCGCCAATGAAATCTCGTATTTTAATGCCATGCCAAACCAAAAACGACTGGTGGATAGTTGAAACCGATCGTCCACAGTCGCTACTCTGCTGCGCCTGATGAAAAAAATAGAGACCGCCATATGAATTCCACAGTCTATTACATTCTTCTCCGTGTTTCAAGCAGCATTTGCTTCTTACCATTTCAGGGTCTCTCCCAACTGGACCAAAGCCAGCACGATACTTAGAAACTCATTGGCTGTATGTGCCATTAGCTGAATAACATTTTGGCGAATGATCTACAGACATGATCACCATTACAGGGTTAAAAAAAACAAAAAGCGAATAAGAAAAAGCGATCCGCCAACTGTTGTTGTGCGATGGCTGAGCAAAACATACCGCGTCCATGCCAAGATAAAGCTGGAATACGTGAAAAAGGGCGAAAAAGACATTTTCGTCTTTGAGACGTTGCAAATTGAGAAGAAGGAATGCGTATGGGTCACCTTGATCGTCGGATCCCAACGCTGAAGTGACACTGGAATTTCCTCCACCAGAAGCGATATCGGATCCTCTAACGTCGTACGAAGCGTTCGTGTGAGCTACAGCAATCATCGCTTCGAGTATTATGCAATAGACGGTGGAAAATATCGTCATGCCAACGTAAGTAATGGTTGCTTTGGATTCAAAAATGCGTGCCCACTGTTCAAACATGAGCGTTAGCCTATTCTTCAGTGCGCCAGCTTTTTTGACCATTATCTCTCTGCTTACAGCAAGGTGATAGATGCGCACCGGAAGCACCGGCACCTGCTGGGTCTCTTTTTGATCCGTTTGCGGTTGGTTGCTAAAAGATGGCATCGCCGTATGTTATTCTAATTCTCTTTTGATTCGTAAAGGTGGGATCTGAAGTCGTTGACAAGTGAATAAATAAATTTAAGCAAGTGAAGAAAAAAAAATGTAAAGGAGGAAGACCAGATCCAAAGTAAAAAAAAAATTCCCAGTTACTGATAAAAAGGAAGCTATGACAACGGATTTGCCGAAAATAGACTCTTGGCCTTTTCCAAGTTGAGCTTTCATCCGATCGAAAAAAAAAAATTCAGAACAGAAGCAAGGGACTAACTTTCGGATTTTACTTTTCTTTGCCGATCATTCATTTAAAAAAAATTTATGACATCCGCTTACTGATCTTTAATGAGAAACCAAAAGATCTTTCTGATGAGAAAGCTAAAAACTTTAAATGCCATATTGAATAGCAACCACCGCATAAATGTCAGATCTGTGTGCGAACAAGATGGTCCCTCCTTTTTTTTGAATCTTAAGCTTATATCAACCATGGACGCCAGCTTTCATGGGACTTGGAAGATGCGTCCATTTGTCGTTTTTTCCTTTCCTCTTCTTCATCCCATCGTTGGACGTATTCTGCAGCTGTGGCTAAAATGTCGATGGCGGTCACATGAATGGAGTACGCCCGAGTTGAGCCGATAGGAGTTGATTCAGCCGATGATGACGAGGCAGTGATTGAATTTTCCTCTTCTTCCCTGTCACGACCGTATAAAGACGTATCCATGGCTCCATATGAATTAGATTCAACTGGCATCGTATCGGGAGAGACGTGGCGTGGCATAATAGAACGATGATAGAGTGGCTCGTATTGCATATGAGGTGGAGATGGTGGCGATAATGGTATGTGTGATGTTGCAGGAGACGATAGTGACATTCGGTGTTGCTCGACATAAGAATATCGTCGAAAACTCGACCATTGTTTAGGCCGTATGACTTTGGATTTGTAACCGGCTACTTTTTGTTGTCGTAATGCTTGCTGTCGAAGTCGGTTCGCCTTGGCTCGCCGATTCTGAAACCATACCTAAAAAAGCATTCAAGAGATTTGTTTATTTATCAGATGCATATCGTTTTTTCGCTTTTGGCTTGCTAAACCAAGGAGAATGTTTGTAACTGGACATCACATGGTTTGATAATTCAGGGATAATCGAGTGCAGAGAGATTACACATGCATCCATTCTACAAGAGCGCGTGCGTACGAGCAATGCACAGTATCACCCGAAAAAAAAAGAAAAAAAATAAAGGCCATTTTTAATACCTGAACTTCACGATTCGTCATTTGCAGCTGCTTAGCCAATCGTTCTCGTTGCTCATGGGAGGGTGTATCAGTTGATTCGAATAACTTTGTCAGTGTGTACAACTGCTCCGGCGATATCCGCTTTCTTTTAGGTGGGCGATCTACGACAACTATTTTTTAAGAGAACTCACGATAAGTTCATTGATCATGGGACAGATACTAGGATTTATCATTGATCGATCAATAGCTTATCGCAATTTTTTTTTCTTTTTACCTTGACGATGACGATGAGTAGGGACAGACGGATTTTGATCATGACGGTGACTTGAGTATTGAGGGTTATGTGACGGATTTAAAAGACAAGTGACGGCATTTGTGGTATTAGAGGTGGTGGCGGGGATGGCCGAGAAGGCAGTATTGGATGAACTGATGGTGTCTACTGCCATGGTGCGATTATACGACGAAACTGTAGTTTAAAACAAATGTATTGAACTGTAACTTGCTTTCAAAGTGAACAGGTTTTTTTTTTTTGTTTTTGTAAAAAAAGAAAGTTAAGTAAAAAAAAAATAGCCAGCAGATCGATAAACAGGGATTCCACTGCAATAACAATAATAAAAGAAAGTTTAATATACACGAACAAGTGAATCGCCTATGTTGTTGGGTTTGAGGGGCAAGGGCAAAAAGAAAAAAAAAATCAGTTTGTAGATGTATATAAGTGGAAGGGGGGGAAAAAGAGGAGGAAAAAGGATGTCCACAGTTAAAAGATAAAAAAAGGCGGAGAAAAAGCGCCCATCATGTCGTCAGTCAACCGGTATGCTTTTAATTCAAAAATAATTGGTGAAAGAAGCAATAAAAAAGCAGACATATGCGAAATCGGAAATGCAGCCGAGATGATAAACTACTGGAAAACAAAAAAATAAAATAAATCAAAATAAAAAACGTGGGGGACAAGTCCATACGATATAGGTTGAAAAGCATAAAGGGCGTCTTCCATTTATGGAAACTTGACGGTTGGCTGATGCAAAAAAGCGGGCTTTCACTGCAGAATTTAAAGTTTGTGACAAATGGGTTCAGATGAGACATTCAAACAATGTTGGCCTTATTTTTTTTCACCTGCATGAGTCGGAATCCACACTGGTCAACTCTACTCATCTTTTTTCTTCAACGATCTAAATCTATAAGTCGTCACCCTACTGAGGTTAGTGAACCGGCATGGAAGCAAGATCGGCACAACACCATTTCAGGTCATTGTTATATTTTCTATTACTAGAGCAACCAAGATGACAAGCACGTAAGAAAATAGAAAACAGGGAAAACCACCAAGGCATTGCATACAATGGCACTGAAAAGGATGAAAAACAAGGCGTAACAAAGTCATCAACGGAATTCGTGCTAAAGAAGAAGCCTAAACCATTAGCATTGATTTATCTATCAGGTTTTTTTTTTCTGTTCGGCTGACTTTTTCCGCAGTTCCTGGTCACAACAACTCAATGGCCGCCTAATGAAAACAAAGATTGAGAACCAAAAAAAAATTATTAAAAAAAAAGATGGTGACCAAAAAACAAGGGCCTTCTTTTGTATTAAACTCGCGCTCTGCAACTTCTTTTTTTATTTTCCCTTATTTTTCCTTTTTTTTTTTTTCTCGCTTCATCTTTTTCCTTTGACGCTAAATACGGGAAGACGTCACTGTGCATTTTCAATAAAATTACAAAAAGAAGGAAGCAAAAAGCAAGACGCCTAAAAGTAAGCCGTCTCTAACCACCGAAAAGCAACAACAAAAAAAAAAAAGGGTTGGGAAAACTCGTTGCCAAGTAACCCATTTTCTTTGTCTCTCTTTCGGTCACGCTCAACTTGCACACTCAGCAAAAAAGTTGCAATTTTGCTTTTCTGTAATTTTTTTTGAACCAACAGCCTTGTTCCCCTTTCCCCTTTTTTACTTTACTCTTTTTTAAATTGGGATAATCCACTCTTCCTCATCGCCATTGATTTGAGGTTCTTTTCCTTCCTTCCCACTTTCTTCTTTATTCATTTTTTTATACATATATTCTTCACTTGTTACATACATTGACCCTCATTTTTGTCTCTCGTTGCTTATTGCCAGCGCCTTCTTTTTCCACTTATTGTTTGGTGACACCCTGAGCGGTTATGAAACGCTCGTCCTCAGGCCATACTCCTGCACACGCAACGAAAAAAATCTGTGACAGAACCCCATTCGCATCATCAGAAACGTCATTGCCCACATCCACCTCTCAGTGCGATCATTCCCAGACTGAACCACGTGAATCAGCATCTTCATCACCGGCATCGCCTTGTCTCCACTCTTCTCCATCTCAGCCTCAATCTTCTCCTTCGTTCGATATGAGTATCGACGTCTTGCGCTATATGCACGATATCGTGCATAATCTCGAGCAAGGCAATATAGATTATTGCCTTAGCAACCGATTAGACACAAATACCACGGAAAGTTTAGGTGAAGCTCACTTTGATCTTGTTCAATCCCTCGATGCCGCTCTGAAAAATATCGCCCAGCGTCAAATTCAGCTGGAAACCGAGAATTTGCGATATCGGATAGCCATCCAACAGCAGCATCAATTGCTCATGGCTCACCACAATCCCACTCCAAAGGATTCGAAAGATGAACCTGTCGGAAAAGATGCCAAAGATACTGATGCTAAACGGTCCACCGATACCACCAACATTGCCACGATGCCCGAAACAGTTCAAGATTCCAAACATAATGACGAGTTACCCATGACACCGGAAGATGGTATTACATCTATCAAAGACGCCTCGGTTCTTGACCGTATCCAAGGTCAATCGCTATATCTCTCCACATTATCTCAAACTGGCTATTTCACAAGTAAGTTGCAAGTCATTTTTTTACAGTACGCCATGTCTTTTTTGGTGTATCTGTGTGTATGTTTTTTTTTGTGTGTCTCATGAAGGTCATCTGCTCTTGAAAAAAAGGTACGGCTGTGGATCATTCCACCTCCGAAACGATGTCATCCTGTATGCCTTCGTCCACCCAAGTGCCTGTGGGTGGATTGGCGACAACGTCGATTCCCACTCCTCCATTCGCTATTTCATCTTCGGTTTCAGCTTATCCTGTGTTCTTCGCCTCCCCGACGCCCTCCTCGTTGCTTTCTTATGCATCTGCCACGGCTCAAACCAGTGCAGATAATATTGTATGTCCCGATTGTGTGATTCAAGCTGTCCAAGTAGCTTCGGCCGTTTTTGCCGGCGAACTCGATAAACGTATTACTTGTCTTCACGAACGTTGTGTATCCGGTCCCATTCACCCTAAAGCGCCTATCAATACCCTGAAAAACGCCGTCAACGCCATGGCTGCTCATTTGCAACTCATGGCCAAAGAAGTCATGTATGTTGCTCACGAAACGGCCGTCAATGGCAATCTCGGGGTGCAAGCCCAATGTGTCGACGAAATGAAAGGTATCTGGCGCGACTTTGTCGTCAACCTGAACAGCATGACCCAAAATCACTTGGAACAAGTGCGTGACATTGCCGACGTTTCCATGGCTATTGTACGTGGCGACCTCAGTAAAACAATGACCGTTCCTGTCAAGGGCGAAACGTTATTACTCAAAAATACATTCAATCTCATGGGTAAAAAACCGCGATGCAACTTTTTTTTTTCTTCTCTTCTTTCTTCCTTTTCGGTTCTGATTCTTTTTTCGCCTATTCCCGAATGGAGAATTCAGAAATTAGAAACACAAGAAACTTAAAATGCTGACTTTTAAAATTTTCATGTTACTAGTGAACCAACTTAATGTATTTGCGTCGGAAGTATCGCGTGTAGCACACGAAGTCGGAACGGAAGGCAAATTAGGAGCGCAGGCCAAGGTCGTCGGCGTCGACGGTATCTGGAAAGAACTTACAAGTAATGTCAATACGATGGCGGCCAATTTAACCAATCAAGTCCGCGATATCGCTCAAGTCTCCAAAAGTGTCGCGCGCGGTGACTTGACCAAGAAGGTCACAGTGGAAGTCAAAGGTGAAATGCTGGATCTGAAAAATACAATCAATACCATGGTGGATCAGGTATAGTTTTTCTTTTAATGGAAATCAGGTTACACAGAGAACGAGTGGCAATATTCATTGAAGTGGGGGGGGGTGGGGAGGACAATAGTAGGGGCGGGAGGGGAAAGAAGGAGTAGGGGTTATGAGGGGTCAGGGTGGGCTGAACCATGCATCTTGCTTGATGGCAACATGAATCGATGAAGGACATGATTCTCAGAAATCTAAACTTTTCTATCCTTCTTTTTGCCATATTCTAGTTATCGATTTTTGCTACCGAAGTTACACGTGTATCTCTAGAAGTAGGAACTGATGGTATTTTGGGCGGACAGGCCGTAGTCAAGGACGTGGCGGGTACATGGAAAGACTTGACAGATAATGTCAATATGATGGCCTTTAAAATTACGATCCAAGTCAGAGATATCGCATTGGTAGCCAAAGCAGTCGCCTGTGGCGATCTCAGTAAAAAAGTCGTGGCCAATGCTCAAGGCGAAGTTTTGGAACTCAAAAACACCATGAATCGAATGGTACGTCGATTTTCTTACCTATTCATCGTATCCACCTGTTAATCTTTTTTTTTTATATCAATCATTTCCTCGTACACACCAGGTGGATCAATTAACGTTATTCTCGGCCGAAGTTCGACGTGTATCGCTAGAAGTGGGTGTCGAAGGCAAACTCGGCGGCCAAGCCGTGGTAAAAGACGTCGGTGGCGCATGGAAAGATCTAACAGATAATGTCAATACAATGGCGGCCAATCTTACCACGCAAGTGCGATCCATTGCAGCCGTCACCAAAGCCGTGGCGCAAGGTGATCTTTCAAAGAAGATCGAAGTTGAAACACGCGGCGAAATTCTCGATCTAAAGAATACAGTCAATGACATGGTGGATCAGTTGCGGGTTTTCTCCACCGAAGTTACGCGTGTGGCGAAAGAAGTCGGTACCGAGGGTAAACTTGGCGGGCAGGCTGTCGTACCGAATGTCGATGGTACCTGGAAAGTATTGACAGATAACGTCAACACCATGGCCACCAATCTCACCACCCAAGTCCGATCGATTGCTGTGGTTACTAAAGCCGTAGCGAACGGAGATCTGTCCAAGAAAATCATGGTGGATGTACGAGGCGAAATCTCGGACCTGAAAGATACTGTCAATAACATGGTCGATCAGCTACGGGTATTCTCTGGCGAAGTAACGCGTGTAGCGCGTGAAGTCGGTACGGAAGGCAAACTAGGCGGTGAAGCGGTCGTGCCTAGTGTCAGTGGCACATGGAAAGATCTGACGGATAATGTCAACACCATGGCGGCCAATTTAACCACCCAAGTACGGTCCATTGCCGCAGTGACCAAAGCCGTCGCCAAGGGTGACCTTTCCAAGAAAATCGACGTCGAAACCAGGGGTGAAATTTTGGACCTCAAAAACACGGTAAATAACATGGTGGATCAGTTGAACGTGTTTGCCGCCGAAGTCACACGTGTGGCCAAAGAAGTCGGTACCGATGGCAAATTGGGTGGGCAAGCCATGGTGCCCAATGTCGACGGCACATGGATGGATCTCACTGACAATGTGAATCAAATGGCTGCCAACTTGACCACTCAAGTGCGTTCCATCGCTGAAGTCACCAAATCGGTCGCCAACGGTGATTTATCCAAAAAGATCGAAGTCGAAACACGTGGCGAGATTCTCGAACTCAAGAATATCGTAAATAACATGGTCGATCAACTGCGCGTCTTCTCCGGCGAAGTCACTCGTGTGGCCAAAGAAGTCGGTACCGAAGGGTTGCTCGGTGGGCAAGCGGTGGTGCCCAATGTTGGCGGTACATGGATGGATTTGACCGACAATGTCAATCACATGGCAGCTAATCTAACCACGCAAGTGCGTTCCATTGCCGAAGTAACCAAGGCCGTCGCCAACGGCGATTTATCCAAGAAAATCGAGATCAATCCCCAAGGCGAAATTCTCGAATTGAAAAATATTGTCAATAACATGGTCGATCAACTGCGCGTCTTTGCTTCCGAGGTCACGCGTGTGTCAAAGGAAGTAGGCACGGAAGGAAAACTCGGCGGTCAAGCCGTGGTTCAGGGGGTGGCAGGCACGTGGCATGAGTTGACAGACAATGTCAACATCATGGCCGCCAACTTGACAAATCAAGTACGATCGATCGCCGAAGTCACCAAAGCCGTAGCCAATGGCGATCTTTCCAAAAAGATTGAAGTCGAAAGTGGCGGCGAAATCTTGGAACTGAAAAACATTGTCAATAACATGGTGGATCAACTCCGTATTTTTGCGTCCGAAGTCACTCGCGTATCCAAGGAAGTCGGCACCGAAGGCAAATTGGGAGGTCAAGCGGTGGTGCAAGGCGTCGCCGGCACATGGAATGAGCTCACTAACAACGTCAACATCATGGCTGCCAATCTTACCACACAAGTACGATCCATTGCCGAAGTGACCAAAGCTGTCGCTTTAGGCGACCTTTCCAAGAAGATTGACGTGGAAACGCGCGGCGAAATTCTCGAACTCAAAAATATTGTTAATGACATGGTAGATCAGTTGCGAATCTTTGCTTCCGAAGTCACGCGTGTGTCAAAGGAAGTCGGTACAGAAGGCAAGCTGGGTGGCCAAGCTGTCGTCAAAGGCGTCGCCGGTACTTGGTACGAACTGACGAGCAATGTAAACATCATGGCCGCCAATTTGACGAATCAGGTCCGATCGATTGCCGAAGTCACCAAAGCAGTGGCCCTGGGTGATCTTTCCAAGAAGATTGAAGTGGAGAGCGGTGGAGAAATTCTAGAGTTGAAAAACATTGTAAATAACATGGTCGATCAACTGCGAGTGTTTGCTTCCGAGGTCACCCGTGTATCAAGAGAAGTAGGCACAGAAGGCAAACTCGGTGGTCAGGCGGTCGTCCAAGGCGTGGCCGGCACATGGTACGAACTCACGGATAATGTCAATCAAATGGCAGAGAATCTGACCAATCAAGTCCGGTCCATTGCTGAAGTGACTAAAGCGGTGGCCAATGGCGACTTGTCCAAGAAGATTGAAGTCGAAAGTGGAGGCGAAATCCTGGAATTGAAAAACATTGTGAATAACATGGTCGACCAGTTGCGAGTGTTTGCTTCAGAAGTGACGCGTGTGGCTCGTGAAGTCGGCACCGAGGGTAAACTCGGCGGTCAGGCCATGGTGGCTGGCGTGGCAGGCACATGGATGGATCTAACAGATAACGTGAACACCATGGCGGCCAATTTAACTACCCAAGTACGATCGATTGCTCAAGTGACCAAGGCCGTCGCCAACGGTGATCTTTCCAAAAAGATTGATGTAGAAACAAGGGGTGAAATTCTCGACCTAAAGAACACGGTGAACAACATGGTGGATCAGTTGCGAGTCTTTTCCGGCGAAGTGACGCGTGTTGCCAAAGAGGTCGGCACTGAAGGAAAACTCGGTGGTCAAGCGGTCGTCCAAGGCGTCGCCGGTACATGGTACGAACTGACGGATAACGTCAACATCATGGCCGCCAATTTGACGAATCAAGTCCGATCCATTGCCGAAGTCACCAAAGCGGTGGCTTTGGGTGACCTCTCAAAGAAGATTGAAGTGGAGAGCGGTGGTGAAATACTGGATCTCAAAAACATTGTCAATAACATGGTCGACCAATTGCGTATCTTTGCTTCCGAGGTCACGCGAGTATCCAAGGAAGTGGGGACCGAAGGCAAACTCGGTGGCCAAGCCGTGGTTCAGGGAGTCGCTGGTACATGGAACGAGTTGACGGACAATGTGAACATCATGGCGGCCAATCTCACGACCCAGGTGCGATCCATTGCTGAAGTCACCAAAGCGGTCGCGTCCGGTGATCTGTCAAAGAAAATTGAAGTGGAAACACGAGGTGAAATCTTGGACCTGAAGAATATTGTCAATAACATGGTCGATCAGTTGCGTGTGTTTGCATCCGAAGTCACCCGTGTAGCCCGTGAAGTCGGCACCGAAGGCAAATTAGGTGGTCAAGCCGTGGTGCATGGTGTAGCTGGTACATGGATGGACTTGACCGATAATGTCAATACAATGGCGGCCAATCTTACCACTCAAGTGCGTTCCATTGCTCAGGTCACCAAGGCCGTGGCGAACGGTGATCTATCCAAGAAAATTGATGTTGAAACACGCGGTGAGATTCTGGATCTGAAGAATACCGTCAATAACATGGTCGATCAATTACGAGTGTTTGCTGCCGAAGTGACGCGTGTATCCAAAGAAGTCGGTACTGAAGGCAAACTCGGCGGCCAGGCTATGGTCGAAGGGGTCGCCGGTACATGGTTGGATTTGACCGATAACGTGAATACCATGGCCGCCAATCTCACCACCCAAGTTCGCTCTATTGCCCAAGTGACCAAAGCCGTAGCGCTAGGCGATTTATCCAAGAAGATTGAAGTCGAAACCCGTGGTGAGATTCTTGAACTGAAGAATATTGTCAATGATATGGTGGACCAGCTGCGTATCTTTGCGTCGGAAGTGACCCGTGTATCAAAGGAAGTAGGCACAGAAGGCAAACTAGGCGGTCAGGCCGTTGTGCAGGGTGTCGCCGGTACATGGAACGAACTCACCGCTAATGTGAACATCATGGCCGCAAATTTGACCAATCAAGTACGATCCATTGCCGAAGTCACCAAAGCAGTCGCTTTAGGTGATCTTTCCAAGAAGATTGAAGTGGAGAGCGGTGGTGAGATCCTGGAACTGAAGAATATTGTCAATGACATGGTGGATCAGTTGCGAATCTTTGCTTCCGAAGTCACACGTGTGTCAAAGGAAGTCGGTACAGAAGGCAAACTGGGTGGCCAAGCTGTCGTCAAAGGCGTCGCCGGTACTTGGTACGAACTGACGAGCAATGTAAACATCATGGCCGCCAATTTGACGAATCAGGTCCGATCGATTGCCGAAGTCACCAAAGCAGTGGCCCTGGGTGATCTTTCCAAGAAGATTGAAGTGGAGAGCGGTGGAGAAATTCTAGAGTTGAAAAACATTGTAAATAACATGGTCGATCAACTGCGAGTGTTTGCTTCCGAGGTCACTCGTGTGTCAAAGGAAGTCGGCACCGAGGGTAAGCTTGGGGGTCAAGCGATTGTTCAAGGCGTCGCTGGTACCTGGAACGAGTTGACAGACAATGTGAATATCATGGCGGCGAACCTAACCACCCAAGTCCGATCCATTGCCGAAGTGACCAAAGCCGTGGCCAATGGTGATTTGTCAAAGAAGATTCACGTGGAAACACGAGGTGAAATCCTGGATCTCAAGATTACCGTGAACAGCATGGTAGATCAGCTGCGAGTATTTGCTTCCGAAGTCACTCGTGTAGCGCGTGAAGTCGGTACCGAAGGTAAACTTGGCGGTCAAGCTATCGTGCAAGGTGTCGCCGGAACATGGAAGGATTTGACAGACAATGTCAACATGATGGCCGGTAATTTGACGACCCAAGTACGATCCATTGCCACCGTAACCACTGCCGTCGCTCGAGGCGATCTTTCGAGAAAGATTGTTGTTGAAGCCCAAGGAGAAATCTTGCAACTAAAGTAAGTTTAGGCAAGAATGATTTTTGGTCATCATTGCAAAACACACCCATCGCCGCCGTACTCATGCATCATTCTCTTTAGGGAAACCGTCAATCGGATGGTGGATCAACTGCGTGTATTTGCGGCTGAGGTCACGCGTGTGGCTCGAGAAGTCGGCACGGAAGGTATGCTTGGAGGCCAAGCGACCATCATTGGTGTGGACGGCACATGGAAGGACTTGACGGACAATGTGAACCTGATGGCCAGCAACTTGACGGACCAGCTACGAGCCATTGCGGCGGTCTGTAAAGCTGTGGCTCAAGGTGATTTATCCAAGAAGATTGAAGTCGAAGTGCACGGTGAAATTGCCGAGTTGAAGAATACCATCAACACCATGGTGGATCAACTCAGTTCGTTTGCTTCCGAAGTGACGCGCGTGGCTCGCGAAGTAGGTACTGAAGGCAAGCTGGGTGTGCAAGCCCAGGTCATGGATGTCGAAGGTGTCTGGCGAGAAATTACCAGCAACGTGAATACAATGGCATCGAATTTAACCACCCAAGTCCGTGCGTTTGCGCAAATTTCTGCGGCTGCCACTGAAAACGATTTCTCGCGTCTCATTACGGTGGAAGCTTCGGGTGAGATGGACTCGCTGAAGACCAAGATCAACCAGATGGTAGGATCGTTGCGTGGCGCCATTCGCAAGAACCGACAAGCCCGCGAAGCCGCCGAATTAGCCAATCGATCCAAGAGCGAGTTTTTGGCAAATATGAGTCACGAAATCCGTACCCCGATGAACGGCATTATCGGCATGACCTCGTTGACGTTGGAAACCGGACTCACCCGTCAGCAACGCGAAAATCTGATGATCGTGTCCAGTCTTGCCAACAGTCTATTAACCATCATTGACGATATTTTGGATATCTCCAAAATTGAAGCCGGTCGCATGACCATTGAAAGCATTCCATTTTCGTTGCGTTCAGCGATTTTCAGTGTGCTAAAGACGCTGGCGGTGAAAGCCAATCAAAAGAAACTCGATTTGATCTACAATGTGGATAGCGCTATTCCTGACCAGTTAATTGGCGACCCACTGCGTCTTCGCCAAGTCATTACCAACCTCATTGGCAACGCTGTCAAGTTTACCACGCAAGGTGAAGTAGTCCTGCAAACACGAGTGGTGGAAATGGAAGGCGACCACGTAAGACTCCAGCTCTGCGTCAGCGATACCGGTATCGGTATCCAGGAAGACAAACTCCACGTTATCTTTGACACCTTTTGTCAAGCTGATGGCAGTACAACGTAAGTGTGGTCTTGCTGATTATTTGACTTTGCGATGCCTTGTATTTATTCTTTTTTTTTCTTTGGGTGCAATTTATGCAGACGTGAATACGGTGGTACTGGCTTAGGGTTATCGATCAGTAAGCATCTTGTGCAACTGATGGGAGGCAATCTGTGGGTGGAATCGATGTATGGCCGTGGATCGCAGTTTTACTTTACCATGAAATTGAAACGGTTCAAGACGGAAGACGAGGAAGTTTTGGAAAAGATGTCCCGTTTCCAAGGTCGCCGTGTGTTGTTTTTGGACAGCATGGGTGACGATACCGGCATGATGAACAAGATTACGCGATTAGGTCTTCAAGCTTTCCGGGCCGAATCGATCGAAGAAGCGACAGATATGGCCAATACGAACGCTGGCCGCAGCAAGCATGCGCCCTTCTTTGATTCCGTCATTGTCGACAAGATGACCCACGCCGAGAAAATCCGAGAAATTGTGCATTTGCGCTACACTCCCATTGTTTTGATTGCTCCGGAAATTCTACTGCTGAATATGAAGTTGTGCATTGATCTCGGTATCACCGGCTATATCAACTCGCCTCACAGTCTGGCCGATTTGGCCGATGCACTTTTACCTGCTCTTGAAAGTCATGCGGCTTTACCGAGCGATGCGGCCAAGAGCGTGCCTTTACAGATCCTGTTGGCGGAAGATAACGTTGTGAATCAAAAACTAGCGGTCCGCATCCTTGAAAAGTTTGGTCATCAAGTGAAAATTGTACCGAATGGTAAACTGGCCGTGGAAGCGTTTGAAGCGCAGACATTTGATCTTATTCTGATGGACGTCCAAATGCCGGTGATGGGTGGGTTCGAAGCAACGCAAAAGATCCGAGAAATCGAACGAGAATCAGGCACCGATTCGCATATTCCGATCATTGCTTTAACGGCCCACGCCATGATTGGCGACCGCGAGAAATGCTTACAAGCAGGCATGGACGAATACGTCACCAAACCACTGCGATTCCCCGAACTCATATCTGCCATCAAAAAATTTGCACCTCAATCAGCTCATCTCATGAACTAGCTGCTCATAGAATGGATTGAATTTTTGGCTTTCTTTACCCAAGTCTTATTTTTTGCTATTTATTTTTCTTTTGTGTATTGGTCTGGTAACCAACATCTTTTTTTTTGTGATCTTTTTTATATACTCTATGTGGATTTCTGTTTTCTGTTCGTTTCTATACCATAAATATATACTTTTTTGTTCTTTTTTTTTATGCAATTGGTGTAACTGCAGTGAACTAATCCATTTCATTGTTAACAATTTCACAAATTATCGTGTCACGAGTACGATAATTCTTAAAGTGAAGATAAAAGGAAGGGCTGTGCAGGTCTTTTTGATCGAATTTTTGTTACAGTAATCGGTTGCTCTGGCTAATCCGGTCCAAGGAACTGGAACCGTAACAAATGCATTTCTTGTCTTCGCAGATTTTTATCAGGAGCCAAATTCAAATATAGCTTAGCCCTTACCGCTCTGCATTTGCATGCTGTTTACTGGCTATCAAACTGTCCTACAACATCCTTTTTGGCGAGCATGCAACCCTTCGCGCCAATACACTTTTGAAACTCACGCATATACATATGTCATACTGCTTAAGCAGGATAAAATCGGGCAATGTAGGACCTTGTACATTTGGGAAGTTTGTTTAATAAGTGTGTAGGCACAACAGATCGATATCAATGAGAATACGGTACAACGCAAACAGAATAACGTGGAAACCATGACCATGATTGTAGATGATGTTGTGCAACCATGCGTTATCATGCTGCATGGGAAGTTGGAAGTCGAGGAAAGGTGCGCCTTTTTCGAATGTTATCATGCTAATGATGAAACATGTGAATGATAAAGGCAATACATTGAAGATCAATGAATGACGGTGCATAAAATCAAATGTTATCTGCAGGATACGCCTCATTGGTGAGAAATAGAAATAGCGGGCAACGAGCGAGTCGATCCAATGTTTTTTTAAAAAGAGGTGTACAATGTGTGTAACACTATGTCAAGCAAGCGTACATAAAGATCAACAAGGAGTCACTGTGGAGGCTTTTGTTATAGGATCAAAATTTGAGCGAAAAAATATATTCTCATATATTTCAAGAATCTAAATAAAAAAGGGATATCCACATGAATAACATGGATGCATATGCAATATGCTTGAGACTGTCACAGTAATAGGTGGTAAAATATTTATAATGGCATGGACCTCAATATGCGCTTCTGATTCCCAGGGATGGATGTAGGCGGTCAGCCACAAGCCAGCAGAATATATTCATCTGTGAATAAGTGCTGTAGCTTTGATAGTGTGTTTCTTACTTTATACTGTAAAGTCGAAAAAGATCATGTTCTGTAATAACGGTTACAGATATAAGGTTTACTTATGCTGCACCTGGTGCATTGATAATTAAACATAAAAAAATATCTACGGAGCCGTGACCTGTAAGTAATCGCCTTTTTCTCCCCTTTACTGACTGCAATTGCAAGAGGAACGGTGAGTGCTGGTGCATCAATGTGCATATGAGCTTGAGGCTGTATATACTGTATATACAGAGGACGCGTCATCCATGTAGGAGAATCAATCCATGACCTGCTTTCTTTTATGTACCTCCAAAACAAATGTGAAATGAAAACCCTGAATGCAGCGGAAATGCTCGATACACAGCATTGAAAAGGAAACGGCAGTAGGCTTAGCGCTGTTGGAGGTGACGAATATTAGTATACTACCTTTGTGGATACCGATTTATGAAAAATTAAAAATAGCGACCAAGTCTTGGCGCAGTACTCTGTGATAACTGCACTCGTGTGGGTTCAGGCCGATAATGCGATAGCGCACGCCCCTTTGGAGTGAGTACAAGCCTACCTGTCTAAGCTGTATCGGAAACAGGGCCCAAGAAGGCAAACAAAGTTTAAGCTACGCTATTGATTCGCAAAGATGAAAAAAAAATTTTTTTTGGCAACTTTTTGTGTAGCGTTGGCGGCGTTTTTATTTAGTCCACCCATGTTACCGGTGATGAGGAAGGCGATGGTCGCCAAGCTAATATACTTGATGCAATGGAAGTATGATAGCTCACATGCGACTCGTGGTCAATGTGATTGATTAATGGTACCGTGATTTCAAAGGGCATTGAAAACGCAGCATCATGGAATGAACATCAATAGATCATGTTGATCATGGCTCAATGAACTAAAAAGGCAATTGGCGTCTCCAAATGCGGTTTGGATGCAACGAGAAGAATGGCATGGGACTCTTACGCCGCGGTGGTGCAAAAGCTTCTTAGTATGAATGAGCACTTTTGCGCGGACATGCATCCAGATCTGGTAATAATCCACATCATTCTTAATGTAAAGAGGTCAATCAAGAATCAACATATTGAATAAAAACAAAACCGTTGTTTATAAAGTACGGACGACCAGATGGTTACATCCAGCTTCCCCTTTTCCGTCGCAAGACAGCATTGTAAATCGACTGACATGGCTATTACACAGTGTTGCTTTGTTTTCTTTCCGTATGCTCGTTCTTTGAACCTTCCTTTTTCGGCTTTCTCAAAAAGTTTCCAAAAATTCGGACACTCCCCAGAATCACAAAGACCACAAATATTCGCGCGACTGACAAAAAAAAATAGACAGGCCGTGAATTCCCCTTTCGCTCCTTGCACTTGTTTCTTCTTCCCTTCTCGGTTACTTTATTCAATTTAATCAAGGACACAATACCTGATTATTTGTCCATCTACTTGCTTTTGTTCCTTCATAACGACTGGAACGGATGCGCCGTACAATTTCTTGAAGAACAAATTATCCATGACATACCGTGACCCAACCGGCCCACCTTCACCTACTGCAACACCACCTCAAGCCATACCAACCATGTCAAATAGCCTAGTGTATCATTACATCCCTCAAGCGCCTCCAAGCGCCTTGGATGCCTTTTATCTTGGTCAACCGTCCAATGCCGCGTTTTGCCAAGCCGCTTACCATGTCACACCGCCAATGACAGCTGGTCCTGTCGAGAATTACTGCACTTATCTTCCTTACAATCAAGCTTCGTATGTATATCGATCTTATCATCAGGAAAGGCGTGCGACAATGACACCAACCCCAATGCGTCCTGTCGGTCCAACGGTCGATCCACCCACAGACTTGCGTTATTCAGACCCAGCCATATGGCGTCCGAAGCAGCGTCTCTATCCGACCCATTGGCCGCACGATCCATTGCCTAACCCAACGACGCACCACATCGTACAAAATAATCCAATACCATGTTCGTCCCAACCGGCCATGGAAAGCTTGTCTCCAGGTAATTCTCTCGGCACAAGCACCGTGTTCTTTAAAAAGCAAGTGAAATTAACCGTCTTGGCGCTTGTACTATTTCAATTTCTTTTTCAAAATTTGAAACCTTGCTGTTGCTCACCTGTTTGGTATTGCACCTTCTTTGACTAGTAGCAACAGTACCAGCTCCGCCTGTCAATTCAGAGCCACCACCACCACCAGCAAGGGGGTCACCCGCGAACGATCGTCGACCTGTTTCATCAGCAAGATCCAATAACGCGCGCAACAGTCAGCAACAACAGTACAAAGACGAATTGGAAAATATAGAAGATGAAGTGTCTTTTCTCCATGATGAATGTGCAACGATTAATATCATGTTGGACTCATTGCGCAACGCGTTCCTAGCGCCTACATGGGGAGGAAGGTCACGAAGTGCATCCAACTCAGCAGGCTCGAGTCCATCTTTGGCGATGGTCCCTCAAGGACCAATTTCCGTTATTGGTGCCAGCTTGAACGACAAGGACATTGATCGCGAGATGAGTTTTGCTTTTGATGATGTCGCTTTACAAGTGAAACAACTGCAAAGAAAAGTTGATTTATTGGAAAGTCGCGTGCGTGAGTTGGCTCTCCAACAGCCGACTATATCCAATCCAACCCCGGAATCAAGGACAGAGGATATATCAGAGGTGAAGCAGCAAAAAGTAAAAAGGCAACGGCGCCGCAAGAGAAGTTCCAGAGATCATACCAATATTTCAGCAATCAAGCTGTCAGGAGACACCAAAACCACGTCGAAAACTGGGCGACGACGAAATCGACGACAATACTCTCCCAATCAGTAAAGTCTCTAAATAGTCGTTGCGGCATCCTTCCACGTAAATTTTACCAGCCATATGTATCTGAAAGCAGCTGTTATTTCTAACTCTAACACTTGCTGCCATAGTTGAATTACGCTTTTTTTTTTACCGAGATCGAAAAATTTCTTCATGGGGTAAGATGTCCGTTTCCCAGTTGATGCTCTTTTTCTTCAACTAACCAGTATTCTTTTCGGCCGTTTCATCTACGAAAGATATCATATATCACCTATATTGTTTCATTTATGTATAAATCATCCCTGTGGCGAGGTCTCTTGGATCGCTTCGATTTGTGCATTCTCCACTCACGCGACCGCGCTTTCATTTTATCGTCTCGGCGGGAGTTTAAAATATTTCTCAGAAGAAACGTCTTCATCCGATCCAGGGAACGAAGACAACCGCCGCCAACAAAACAAGTAACCACAGCAACAACAAAACAATGCTTTATATATTTAGATAATCATTTGAAAAAAAAAACCATAGGCCCACTGATTCTATCTTTCATATGTTTACATATCTTTTCTTCTTTTTTATGCTGTACAACAATTCCTTTCTTCAACATGATGTCTCATGCAATTTGTTTCTCAACCTTTGATCGCTTGCGTCGCAATTTTTTTTTTCCTTTTTTCTTTTTCTTTTTTTATCAGGGACTGTTATCCAAGACTTTTAGACGTCATTCCCATACCGTAAGCTCTTGCGACTTTATTATATTTTATTTCATTTTACCTGTTTTTCTGGAAGAGGTGTGGCCACTATTATAACAGTTCCCGTGCCTTTTAATAAGGCAAAGAAAAAGCAGGGATAGGGAAAAAAAAAAAAGGTCGGGAACATTCAGCGGGGATTGCGGGCCGGGTTAAACTTTTAGAGGGGTTTTCATTGGGCCAGCAGTGACAGGGCGGTGCACAAGCACTGTTTTTGTCGTTCATGATGTAGTTGTTTGTACGTCGTTGTAGGTAATACCAAGATAATCATTGAACAGATAAGGATAGCGGCTGAAAAACGGATTGAAGATTACCAAATATTCCCACTGCGATGGTGAGAACGAAAATGGAAACCGGGTGAGGCAGCGAATGCGCTGACCCACGTGAATCTTCATCTGAAAGGAAGCCTCCGCTTTTTTTTACTGGATAAACATGGTCCCTTGCAAGACACGATTTATAATACCGCTTATACACCAGGAATTCAGCAGACCGGAACAGGTCGTAATCCACTTAATCCAATGGAAAATAATATTTTTTTTTCCCAAACCGCGCGTCCGTCATACAGTTTGGCTTCTTCTCCTAATCTTCTCCCTTCCTCCCCCTACTCTTGCTTAACTGTCAGTGATTCATTCATAACCTGAGCCTCTTTGCTCCACTGTCGTCATGTTGAAATTATTGCAAGCTACTGTAACTATTACAAAAATCTTCACTCTGATCATTTGATTGAATTTAACCATTGACTGATCTTCTTTTGCTTATTTTTCTTCTTTTATCTTTCTCTCTTATGCGTTTTGCTCATGATAGTCACGCGTTACTCGTAAGTTATTTTTTTTCTCTCTTATGTCTCGGAGTGACAGGAAATTATGGGAAGGAAAGAATGGAGGTCAGTTGTCAAGGAACAGGAAAAACTCACAACAAATGCAAAACATTGCTCAGGCACATCCACAGGCCGTATGGCTGTTCGTGGTTTCCACCATGCCAAACCTGCCATGCAAGTCGTGGCAACCAATCCTCTTCGTGCCAAAGAAGCAACCGTAAGTTTCTGCATAAAATGGTGAATCTTGAAGGAAAGGTGGTGATCTCATCAAGGAACTTTGTTTTTTTTGTTGCTTGGTTGGTGGTGTGTTTATAGGGCTCGATTGCCAGTAAATATCCCGTCATTGATCACGAATACGACGCTGTCGTTGTTGGTGCTGGTGGCGCCGGTCTTCGTGCGGCTTTCGGTCTTGCCGAAGCCGGTTTAAATACTGCATGCATTACAAAGCTTTTCCCCACGCGTTCGCATACCGTCGCCGCTCAGGTATGTGATAGGAAAGACAATATGCGCCGTCTTTTTTTTTCTCGTTGTCGATGGTAACGAAGGTCTTACATACTTTTTTTTGCCGTTTTTTCGTAGGGTGGTATCAATGCTGCTCTTGGTAACATGACCGAAGATGACTGGAGATGGCATATGTACGATACCGTCAAGGGTTCCGATTGGCTTGGTGACCAAGACGCTATCCACTACATGTGTCGTGAAGCTCCCAACACGGTTATCGAACTTGAAAACTATGGTGTACCTTTCTCTCGTACAGAAGAGGGCAAAATCTACCAACGTGCATTTGGTGGTCAGAGTTTGAAATATGGCAAAGGTAAATTATCTGAAAAGAGAAAGGGAACGTCATTGCCCTTTTTTTTTTCCACGTGTGAAAGAAAATGGGAAATGGTTGTAACCCAAGTTAAGAGAAGAAAAAAATATTGACGAGTAAATTTTTTTTTACCTTGTTTTGTCAGGTGGCCAGGCATACCGATGTGCTGCTGTAGCTGATCGTACCGGCCACGCTATTTTGCATACCTTGTACGGTCAATCGCTTCGTCACAATACCAACTACTTCCTCGAATATTTTGCTCTTGATTTGATCATGGAAGATGGTGAATGTAAGGGTGTCATTGCATTGAACTTGGAAGACGGTACTTTGCATCGTTTCCGTTCGCACAAGACCGTGTTGGCTACGGGTGGTTACGGTCGTGCCTACTTCTCGTGTACTTCGGCTCACACCTGTACCGGTGACGGTAATGCCATGGTCGCTCGTGCCGGTCTTCCTTTGCAGGATTTGGAATTCGTCCAGTTCCATCCTACCGGTATCTATGGTGCTGGTTGTCTCATCACCGAAGGTTCGCGTGGTGAAGGTGGTATTTTGATCAACTCGGCCGGTGAACGTTTCATGGAACGTTACGCTCCCACCGCCAAGGATTTGGCTTCTCGTGACGTCGTTTCGCGTGCCATGACTTTGGAAATCAAGGAAGGTCGTGGTGTCGGTGCTGAAAAGGATCACATCTACTTGCAATTGCATCATTTGCCCGCTGAAGTGCTTCACGAACGTCTTCCCGGTATTTCCGAAACCGCGGCTATTTTCGCTGGTGTCGATGTGACCAAGGAACCTATTCCTGTGCTTCCCACCGTGCATTACAACATGGGCGGTATTCCTACCCGTTACACCGGTGAAGTTTTGAGAGTGAATGAAAACGGTCAGGACGAGGTCGTTCCTGGTTTGTACGCTGCTGGTGAAGCCGCTTGTGTGTCTGTCCACGGTGCTAACCGTTTGGGTGCCAACTCGCTTTTGGATATCGTCGTTTTTGGTCGTGCCGTTGCTCATCACATTGCCGAGAACTTGGAACCCAACACCCCCTTGAAGCCGTTTGCTGTCGACGCTGGTGCCAAGACCATTGCTAACCTCGATAAGCTGAGAAACGCTGACGGTCACTTGTCCACTGCCGAAATTCGTCGTAACATGCAAAAGGTCATGCAGGCCGATGCCGCCGTTTTCAGAACCCAGGAAACGCTTGATCAAGGTAAGAAAGATATCTTTGACAGTTGAAAATCAGGTTTCTGACACAAAAATACTGATGATGCGTTCTGATGCGAATAGGTTGCGATAAGATTGACCAAGTCTGGAGCACATTCAAGGACGTCAAGGTCACCGATCGTGGTATGATCTGGAATACCGATTTGACCGAAACTCTCGAACTTCAGAACTTGTTGACTTGCGCTGCCCAAACCATGCATGCTGCTGCTGTGCGTACTGAATCGCGAGGTGCTCATGCCCGTGATGATTACAAGGAACGTGACGATGAAAACTGGATGAAGCACACCTTGTCATGGCAAGATCAGGAAACTGGTGAAGTGAAGCTGAGTTACCGTGGTGTGACCGCTCATACCTTGGATGAGAAGGAGTGCAAGCCTGTTCCTCCTTTTGCCCGTGTTTACTAAATATCATGTACCGCAAAAATAAGCTTAAAAAACCGAAAGAGAAGAATCATTTCCTTCATCCTTTTCATTGAGAAAAAATAATTGAAAAAAAAGCTGAAAATAAAAAGATTGACAGTGTGTTAATTCTTTATCTTAAACATTGCCTTGAAAGGAAAGGTTGTAATTTGCCAGGTAAAATAATACAATCGGCTTCAAGAAGGATTAAAGCTCAACAGCTGCATGCTTCCTCGGGATGTCCGGAGATGGCAACAATGCTGCCAAAGCTCCTTTCAATCCCTCTTGTAATGTTGGTGGAACGAAAATAGCCATCGGTGGATACCCCCTTTCTCCCTGCCGACTTGCGCGGGTATTTGAAATTCGGTCAGATGTCCCTCTATTAACAATGGATGAAACTTTCTTTTCACCGTCATTTCGCCTAGAGGCATTTCAATTGCCTCGTACTATATTTTCAACGATTTATATGCGCTTATTTCATCATAACAAACGGGTAACCTATGCCAAAGAGAAAGGAAGGCTGCTCCTGGCACAGGTGCGAATTTTTCTGACAACTCATCAACGGTCGGACTTCTGTGACCGCTAAAGTAACCCGTCGGTCCTATCACACCGGTTTCCGGCCCAACCAAGTCATTTGACGCGGCAGGCAAAACCACCACTGTCTTTCAGTAATTCGTATACCATGCTTATTAAAGTCAAGGTGAGATTCATTGTCAATAGGAATCGATCGAGTTGCAGGAGCTTTGAAAACTGCTTGCAAGGAGAAATGCATTTTGCTTACTGAGCGAGACTGTTTTCCTCATTCTCGTGTTCTATCTTGGCTTCATCTTCATTATGCTCATGATTTTTTTTTCTTGTTCCTTTCCTTTTCTTTTAGACCCTCACAGGCAAGGAGGTACAATCTGGAATCAGCAATACATTTGGGCATTGTGTGACTTAAGTTGTGTTTTCGTTGAACGCAGATTGAGATCGATATCGAGCCGAATGACAAAATTGCTCGCATCAAGGAGCGCGTTGAAGAAAAAGAAGGCATCCCTCCACCTCAGCAACGATTGATCTATGGTGGCAAGCAAATGTATTTGTTACGAATGAACATGTCTATTTATTGAATTAACTAATAACTTTTATCCTTGCTATCGTTTTTTCTAATGACAGGGCTGATGAAATGACGGCTCAGCAATACGCTATTGAGGGCGGTTCCGTGCTTCATTTGGTGTTAGCGCTTCGTGGTGGTCAATAAAATGTAAAATTTACCTATTCATATTGCAACAAACTGGGCTGGTTTTCTATAGTCTTATCATGACAACGTTTACCAATATTTGTGATGATACACTGTACATGTTAGTCGTCGAACGATTTTCGGTGATTAGCAGCAAAGGGCAGAGGACAAGGGCGATGGAGTTATTGGCAGGATTGTCGCTTTACCGAGATGATGTATCAAGCTGCAGGCAAGATTTGTATATCTATGGGAAAAGCAAGATGCACACGACAGAAATAGACTCAGTTGACCAAATTTGCATGAGACATTTTGCATAAACGGCACTGTAGACCATTATCACAGTGACATTGCTCAAGCGCTCCGCTGTAACAGGTTGCATGTCAGAAAGTTTGCGTGAATGCCCATCACGCGCATTTCGGTTTTACAATGGATTGTCAGGAAAGCACGGTATTCACAGAACAGCTTGTTTGATAAAATGGATATGATGGAAACATATTTCCACTTGTGTAATTTAATGATATTCACCATGATGGAAGGCGACTTTCAAAATGCCTAATTCTCAATCAAAACATCTCTAAGCTTGTTGTTAGCGTACCAAATGCTCAGTTCTCCATACGTCTCACCTATTATGCGGGTCTTGGTCGCACAAAGATTAGAGGTCTGATATTTGTACTCCATATAAACTACGGTTCCAGGTTTCTCCTTTATGGAACGCTATGCCGGCCAAGAACTTTAAAATAGATTATCACCGAGAGAATACACATGAAGTTCCTCTTTTATCAGAATATTCGGATGTTATGTCTGTACAGTATGAGTTATGAGGTTGGATTTTTCGTTGTCATTTGATGATGCAAAAAGCATTCCTCAACGAAAGGAGGATAGGTCATGATTTCCAAGTGAACAAAGTTTCTACGATTCGCTGTCACTTCCGAGATCTTCCATGTGCAAGGTTTGTTTTTCCCATGTCCTATCGATACCTATGCTCCACAAGATCAATCCACACACCTTGAAGAAAACATTATAATTTCTGTCTTACATCGCGCGATTTGTTGGAAATATATATTTCAATACATTAGTTGGTAATTCGGGAAAAGGGCCATAGAGTGATACATGATTGATCAATCGTTTTCTGCAGACAAGTCTTTTTTCATTGGAATCTTAAAATTTAGGTGTTCATCATTATCGCGGAAAATCATTTTTTCCAGCCATAGCACCTGCTGCAAATCATCGGTGGTTGCAATTTCCCACTGCCAGTGTCCCAAAATGTAACTATCCTAAATAGGCAAATCGTTGAAACCGCTCTTCATTTCCACCTCTGCCTTTTTTCCCTGAACATCAAGTAAAAGCGATGGATTCCATAACCGCAAATGTAGTATGGGCAAGGACTTGGGATTATAGAGAAGCTAGATGCCGGCATAATATCCAACCGCTGTACAAGGATTTATCAAACCTTGGATTGGGGAAAATCTAGACAAGATTGACTGGTTCTCAACGAAAAGCTGACAATCAAATTTATGAGTATACCCCGCGTTTTTTTAACCCCATTTGAAATACGCAGCGGAGAATCGAGTTTTTTGATTATTTTACCCACAATAGCGTATTTGTGGTACTCTTTTCATTTCTTCTTTCTCTAACTGCTTGATTCCTTTTGCCTCTCTATACCATCCTAGCATGTCGTCACCCTCGGTTGATGAAGCGATGGACTTTGTTTCCGAAGATGGAAGCATGACTCCCGAATACCAAGCCATGGAGACTGATAGCAGCGCCTTTGATCAATCTCCTTCTCCTACCAACGGGATTCAGCCCAGCACCCCAACTCCATCGATTAACAACAAGAATGATCCTCCCGTGAAAGTGAGAAAAAAGCCCGGCCGTAAACCAAATCCGGCGTCACCAGCTTTACGTAAAGCGCAAAACCGAGCAGCTCAGCGAGCGTTTCGAGAACGCAAGGAACGTCATATGCGGGAACTGGAGACGGCCATCAAACAAGTGCGAGAACAAAAAGACAAATTAGCCATGGAAAATGACCAATTGAAAGCCGACTCGGAGATTCTACGTAGCGAAAATTGGTATCTCAAGGGCATCGTGCTGACATTACAACTCGTGTGTTTTCAGCATAATCTGGTCATCCCTCAGCATGGTCCATACATCAACGAACAAGCACTTGGTGTGCTGGCGCAGTCCATTCCTGAGCCAATTTCGGCTTATATCAGCTTGAATGCAAACCACAAATTACCGGTGCCGTCCAAACTGTTCGGTTACCGTCACGGTATGAATCATCAAAGAGATCGATATCTGTCTTCTGGCAATATCATGATCAATCCACATGGCGTAGAAAATGTGCCCGATCAGTGCAATCCCAATCTTTCCTCGACTTCTCCTGCCCACTCCAATTCTCCCACCGCCACCGTTTCGCCTCCCAACCTTCATTCGTCGCCTACAAATGATGAGGCTATAGGCTTGCATTCCCCCGATCTTCCTTCTCTCGAAAGCAGACAAGAACAACCTATCCCACTGCTTCACCCATCATCTCTCACTGTTCCGCACCCGCCTCCTTCCGTAACTTCACAAACATTAAATTCTGCTCAGACGACTTCTTCACAAGCACCCTCGTCATCCATTCACCAGTGGGCCTATCCTTCAAACACCCAAGCAGCACATGATCAAGGCCAAACTGGGGACGAGTATGCGAATTTGCCACCCTTATCACCTGTGCACGAACATGCTGCCGAATCAACTGCTGAACCTCCTCGTCCAGTGATGTTGACCTCTCAACCGCTGACTTCTAACCTGGCTGCGATCCAAGCATTGCGATTGCGTCTTCGCCTCCAATCGGCGTGTCTACGTACTCAATCTGTACCCTTTGCTATTCAACCTACCACCTTGCAGGTAAATTTACCATCTTGTCTCCTTCTAGTGTTTATACAACAAGCGGCTGACATTTCGTTTTGCCCATTCACTTGATGTTCTTACAGCTGACAATTCCACACGATCCTCGTATTGATTTAATTCCTGCACCGCATATGCGTGATCGCATGATTTTGTTCCGAGATTTGTTCGATCTGGATGATTGTTTCCGATGTCTGCTTGGAAATTCGGTGTTTCATGGTGGAGATCCAGCTATAGCAGCCAACTGGCAGCTTCCGTTGGAATTCTTTGAAAAGTTCTGGTTCTTGACCATTGATTATGATTTACGACGTACCACCAACAAGTGGCGACGATTGCAAGGTCTCAATGACATCGACCCTTTCAAACAACAGAAGCAGATGGATTCACAACCGGCGCAGAACACGGATTCACAGCAACATCCATCGGCGTCGCCCTCAAATGAACCCGAACGAAGAAATTCCTTGTATTCTTCACCACCGCCTCTGCAGGAACTTTTGCAACATCCTCTCCACCAGCACAGAGGTTCCACCGACATCGATTTCCAACCTGATATGCTGGCTCTTTCATCATTTCTTGGTTTGGATCTGATGCCACATAACGGGTCATCTACACAAACACAGCCGCATGCACCACAACAGCAACCCTTCGATGGTGCACTGTCAGAATCACAACAACACGAGCAACAGAAAAAGAACGCGGCTTCCTACGCTTCCTCCTTCTCATCCGAATCCTCGTTATCGTCCACGTCATCTTCTACGCATGAACTACCAGAATCGTTTACTCCTGTCCATCTAACCGATGGTTCTCGTTTAGCGCATCCGAAAAAGAACCCGAAGGAGCCTGTGCATTCGTTCTCCGAAACGTGCCATCCGTGGGACACATTATTAATGGACACACAACCGTCCGATTATGGTAAGTCTCACTTGGAACAAGGAACATGCGCCGCAGTCATACTCATACATGTCTACAGATTTCATGATGGATTCGCTGATCAATATCGATCCATAATGGAGTCAGGTCGTCCACTCTCTCCCTCTCTCCCTCTCTCCCTCTCTCCCTATATTTTATGCTGAAAAAGAAAAGGAATTCTATGTTCAAAAAAAAGAAAATCCCGCAAGTCATTAGATATGTATGTTATTGACCTTCTTCATATTTCAACAGAATCATTATTTCATCGCTGGGCAGCGCCTTCCTGGGGTTGACCCTTGTAAATTACGTTTGTTTTCTTTTTATTTACCTTTTTTTTTTTTTTTGTTTATAAATATCTCTTTTATTTTTCCTGTCCAACATCAATTCATTTATTGACATCAAGCTTTTGCAAAAAGTGTTTTATATTTGATATTTTTATTTGATTCTGTCAGCAGAATTGTGGAACCAATCATGTGCAACCCCGCGACGAGATGATTGTTCCTTTTGACTATTTCAAGCGCCGTCCAGGACAAATTGCCATCATTTGGAAAATATACTGTACACGACAACGCACATGCCGAAACTCCGGATATAGCTTCATACAAAGAGAGGGATTCTATACATTTAAATAAGCATTATAGGACGTGGGGACACAAAAAGCAGCAAATGGTATGCCCGAGCTTCTAATGTAGGCAGAACAAAGACCCATTATATTATGTTTTCGAAGCATGATCCGATATTGCCAGCTCGTACAGACGCAAATAGTCATACACCGGGCCTTGTTGACCTGATCGGGACCAGCCAAGGGAAAAGGCATTTAACATCATGCGCAGAATAGATTCTTCGTGAAGATAGCAATCACCACGATACCGTTGATAGTCTTGGTGAGCGTCAGCAATACTTGCTTCGAGGGTGGAGGGTTGAAATATATACGCATTGTATTTTGCGTGACCGACGACAGTAGCACCTGAAGCAGTTGGTTGGACAGTAACGAGATCAGCAGAGCGCTGGGATGGACGATCGATGAGGAATTCACCTAAACCACCTACGCCTGTACTGATGACAGGCGCGCCAAACAGTAAGCCTTCGACGGCGACGAGACCGAAACTTTCCGTCAAGCTTGGCACAAAGACAAAGTCGGCGGCTGCACGGTAATAGACCAGCCATTCCAGTTGCTCTTCAAGCGTCGACATGACCTTGACATGCTTAGGGTACCGATCTTCCAATGCTTTAACCCACTGCAAGGGATAATTGTTAGGTTGGCCGATGATCACAAACATCATGTTAAAACGCGCGAAATATTGGCAAGCTTCGTCAAAGATCTCCAGTCCTTTGTTATACTGAAACCGGCCAACGTATAATACCACGGGTCGATCGAGATCCTGTTCTTTCAACATGTCCTTGCCAATCAACCACTCTTTGGCTCGCTTTTTGGCTGTTGAAACCAAATCTTCCGCGTTGGAAGACAAAGACCAACTGATTGGTATATCTGATTCGGAAGACAAAGCGTCAGGATGTTGTTGGAACACATGTTGATCCAGTAACCGTCGTGCAAACGCAGGATATTGGAAATTATAGAGGGTGAGCTGAGAGTTGATAAAGGGATTCAGCAAACCCGGATCGACACCATTGGTCACACCAAAAAAGCGACCTTGTTCCGTTTTTCGTAAAATGCTATCCATGACCAAGTCTTTGTAATGGAAATCGAGTTTGTCCTCCACCAAGTCTTGTGCCATCGCGCGGCTTACAAATGTCGCCACATTCGCTTGATCAATAGCCAAACTGGACATGAATAAGCGCCCTTGATGCATGTAACGCTGTAAATTGGTATCATTGGTGTTGTCCAAGAATTTGTGTACATTGGGGATCGTATTGCTGTATTCCAATTCATCCAGATAGTCGTGCAGAGTATATACAATGGCCGGTGAACGAGTGTGGCGTGGATTGGAGCGATGGGTAAGCCAATAGGCTATGTAGGCATTGGTAGCACCATGGAGATGAACCAGATCAACGCCTGAATCTGTCTCGCCGGATTTAGCAGAAGCCTGATGCAGAAGAAAAGCAGCGGCTGCTTTGACGAAATATAGATCTTTCCATTCTTGTGGTAGTCCCTTGGGTGAGTAATATATTTGTAGTGCATCTGAGGCCTGAAATGCCAGATCAAAGGGTGAATGACGTTGCGCGGGCCCAATCAAGTACACCGGTATTGGTACGTTGTCGACTAAAAACTCGAGACGAGAGACTTGGAACGGAACAGAAACGGGTCGCTGTGACCATCCTTCACGGACATCTACGGCGAGGTTGACGACGAATTCGATATGATCACTTTTCAAAAAGGAGTAATAGGGAAGCACCACCGAGACCTGAACTAGGCCTGTCTGTTGCTGGGCGGTAGTGATGGCAGTGAGAATCATTCCCATGCCACCCATACTGGCAGGTCCGAATTCTTTAGCCACATGGTAGACACGAGTATTTTTTGGTAAATTCAGCGGCTTTTTGGTGTCCAGCGGATGATATTGAATGCTCGGATATTCCCGCAAATCTATCTTTTTGGTTTAGTTCGGTGGTGCCTGGCGATAGTTTATGGAGTGCTTACCCACGCGGATCGGCGATAGTTTAGCTTGAAGACGGGCATTCGCAATAAGGACAAAGAAAGCTTCTGCTAATGCAAGCAATGCAATGGCAACCGTTAGCAAGTGCCACCAAGACCATTTTCTCGGGTTAGTGAATAAGCCGGCATGTTGAAAAGCCGGTGGATATGAGAACGGTTGGCGAGGCACGGCGATGCTAAAGTGATCATCTGACGCCATGGCCCGTTGACAGACCTTCGGTTTCCTGAGTTTCAATATAAGATCATGGCCAACGCGGCACACAAAAAAAAAATCGATTCGAAGCATTCTGAAAGTGACGAGCTTTTTTTTTCTACATCTTGCTTGTTCCTCTGAATCAATATACATGGCTCTGCCACGATCGCATCAAACGGCATTTACACCGCGCGAAATCGAGTTTTTGGCAGGAAATGAAAGTATCGCCATTATCCCGAAATACAAATTACCACGTCTGGATCTTATCCAGGTAAGCATGACCAGAACGGCTGTGACGAAAATCACAAGGAACAGCCTGAACTGACAAAACTGGGAATCCAGCATCCTGTAGGACCTTTTCGACCACCTGTTCGTACTGTGGTACCCTTGTGGCTAGCCCTATTAATGAAGAAGAATCAAAAGTGCAGCATTGTCCCACCGGACTGGCTCACGGTCGAATCACTGACAAAGCGTCTGGAGGAGGAAGAAAACCATCCCGAATTCAGCGCGCTTCCATTCCACTATATGGAAATGTCGCAAATGATACTAGAATGGTACTTATAAATGTCACGATGTACTTGATTTTTTAATGTTTGTGTTTATTCATTTTTAATTCGTTGCATAGTGCTTCGGATGACCTGCCCAACGCGTCAGAAGTACGACGATTGCTGAAAGATTTGCGAGAAACGCGACAGTTTAAAGCAAGAAAAGGTCTTGGAGAACTCGATGATAAATGGCTGGGTGTAAGTAACTTTTTGTCTTCAAATAATCGTTTCCATGCTCATCAAAATTGGATGCTGTAGATGAATAATTTATCACTGATGGAAATCAACGAAATCAGGCCCTTCTTTACACGCGCCTTTAACGAAATGAGGAAACTACAGACCAATGATGACCAATCATCGTATAGTTTACCATGATATACCTCTTGGAATCGGTTACTTCCAAGTTTTATCACCCAAAACCCACAGCATTCATCATCCTCTCATCATTTGGTTTTCTACATGTTCTTTTTCCGACCATGGTTCGGCTAACCACTGTCCTTTATTTTGATTGATTATTGTAAATATTAGTGTTCTTGTTATTTTATTTTTCTTCCCCATTTTTTAAACACATCGTGGCAAAACTGAAAATGGCTGTATCGGTCGTGTGTTTTCTAAATCCAATGCGTAGAATAAACAATCCTTCGTTTGATCCACACGGTCGGTTCGACGATACACTTCGCCAAGGTAAAACCTGAGCATAAAACAAATGACATCATGAGTGATTTCTGCTCAGCCGGGTCTACACATAGATTTTCCGCATACTTACCAAGCTTCTGCACAATCCCATCCATTGCCTTTGGTGAGCATGTCCAATATGCCTTCTGCTAGTTCCAAGGCACCCATTTCCATGTGGGTTTTGGCCAGCCAAACACGACATTCAATATCCATAGGATTCGCCACCAGGCCTTTCTCGAAAGCTGCAATTGCTTGGTCCGGTTGATTTTCTTGCAATCGGAACCGTCCAAGCAGGTACCAGACACGGGGGTTGGTTGTCCAATCCACATTTTCTGCTTCCTCAATGGCTTTCAGTGCTTCGTCTAGTTTCCCCGCATTCAAGAACGACGATGCGCTTAATAACCATAAATTCGATAGAATTCGTTTCGACCGTTGCTGTCTCAGTCGACTGCGCGTGGTCGGTCGGGTCGGGATTGAACTAGGTTGTAAGATGCCTTTTACATTGACAATGGAAGGGGCGGTACTGTGAAGAGAAGTGGCGGAATTATTAAGCGATTGATAGACCCGATTTTCTATGTCCAATGTTTGAACGAACCGTTAATAGAGAATTCAAAAAAGACAAAAAATGTCTCCTCCCGCTTACCATACACATTGGGTGATAAAGTTCCCGTACTGGCATTCTTGTGCACCGATTCTTTCTCGGACGCGGCATCGTCCTTTTTCATCCTCCGAGAACTACTTCTTGAACCGAATAAATGCAAGTGATGATGTTTATGCACGGCAGGTTCGCTGGGAACCGCCAGTTTGTTGCCGGCTTCGGGACCTTGGAATGAAGAAACGGAGTGGGCTCGACTGGCGAGTGTACTGTTACCGTGAACATTATCATGGGATCGAGACGCTGGCATCGCCAACTGATCAGTTCGCTCACTTCCGACCACACTACTGCTGGCGCTGCGACCACGGCGTTTCTGTTCCGCCAATTGCACTTCGCTCAAATTACCGAGAGAGCCCGAGATCACCATGCCATTCTGCGCTTGATGATAAGAATCTTGCACGGAATTTGTCGTGCTTGTGCTCGTGTCATTATTCGATATCTTTGCATACGTGGTGAATAATGCTTCTTGCAACTCCAAAGCCGCATCCGGACCTTCTACAGCATCCAGCAGCATGGTATGAGTCATTTGCAGAAGGATTTGTTGCTCGCATTCATCATGGGTGCCGTTAATCTTGTTATCCAACCCATTTCCTTGCGAAACATCATCCGTGGTTTCTGGCTGACTGTATTGCAGTCCCATTTCACATGTTTTCAGCGCTTGCTGGAAATCGTTTTGAATTGGACAAGAGCAAGCCAACGTAAGCAAATGCCAGGATGGCACATGGGTAGGATTCGCTTGAAGCGCTTTGGTGATGGATTGAACCGCCTGACGAATATCGCGCATATCGGCTTGTTGAAGTGCCATCTGATAATAAGTTTCCCACACATTGGGATCCAGTTGGTTCGATAATGTTAGGTATTTCGAGGCACGCTTGTGATAATTCGGTCGTAGCGCTGGATCGTAGGCTGAAGTTTTGCAAATAAGCAAGGCACAAAAAAAAAAAAAGGTTATCAGCGCTCAGTTTCTAGTCGGAAAGGGCCTTCTGCAAAATACTTACTTTGACAAGCGAGTAAGCTGTAAGCCACACCTACAGCACGATAAACCTGAGCAGACAGAGTATTCCAGGATTCTTCGGTATGCTGAGCGTCTTTCTTTGGTAATTTCTTCATGATGCTGCGGGCGATTTCGGCAATCTCTACCGCTTGCACGCCTTGACGGAGTTCCTTGCAATACATTTTGACAGCCGTCAGGAGGACACGAATCGTATCTTGAGGAGCTTCTTTTTCGGGGCTTCGCATAGACGCAATGGAATGAGGGGGCTCGCCTTCCTCTGTGGTACCTTGATCGGTGATCTCGTCCACATCTTCATTGATATTCGGAATGGGGATGCTTCTGCCTTGCGTATCTGTAGCCAAAGCTTCGCTGTTCAACCGAGACTCCTCCCATGCCTGCGATGTGAGACCGACCAGGTACATGTAAGAGTGAAGCGCATGACATGCTTCTTCATATTCTCCCAATCGCACCAGAGCATGGAATAGGTGGCGTGTGATGCGCGGTGAGTTAAACGTCTTTTGCGCTGCCCGATCCAGCACCTCAACAAAGCCCCACAGATCCTGCGTCGTTAGCCCGATAACTTCGAAATCATTCGCTAACTGATCCACATATTCATTCATCAAGTCATTCAACTCTCCTGCTCGCGGGAAGCTGGTTTGTGAGAAAAGCATCTTTTCGTAAATCGTATGCAGCTGTACGCTCTCCATCGTGAACATTTGACGATCATATTGTGGTCCCTCGCTAAAAAAGAATCATTAGCCCACCATGCCTGCGACACAATCGTCCATTCTCTACAGCATTTATACTTACTTTGTAGATTCTCCGCTTTGGGCATCGGCTGGCGGAGTGTAATCCCCTCGCTTGTAAGCATCGGAAAGGAAGCGAAGCGAATAACGCGTGATGACCATACGCTTGCTGATACGCCATGATGTGGACTGAGTCGCCGTGAGCTTCTGATAGGCACGCAAGATTTCAAGAATCGATGATGTGTTCAAGATGGATCTATACGGCGGTGTTCAATTCCGTTGATTGGTTACTGAGCTCTTTGATCAGCCTTGTCCAGATGGCAGAGCATACTCACCCTTCGCGAAGAGCTAACAGTGAGCCTCGATACAATGCATTTTCAGCCCAATCCGCCAACACTCGTTCCCTCGGTACATGAATTCCCTCGTTCAACAAATTCACAATGCCTTCATAACTTTGTAGAGCCGCATCGATGTTCCCCAATATTTCAAGTGATATGGCTTTGAGAAATGTACATGCATTAAATCTCAGTCAACTCAAGCTGACATATTACTCCGTAAATTCGCTCATACCTTTCACTGTCCTCGCTTGTAAAAAGAGAACAAATCCGTAACCTTCACTGACGTCTTCTCTGTTGAAGGATAATTTTTCGACAATTTCTAACGTTTTTTCGTATTCGCCGCACTCGAAGTAGGACCGTGCCATGACGATATTGGCAAACTGCATGATGACGACAGACAAAAACAACCATCAATTTAAACTGCTGTTCCAGTTTATATCCATGTCGTCATAATTTTCTGTACCTCTTTCTGCGGATGGTTTTGATCGTCTGGCAACTGAAGCACAGCACGTAATTGGTTTTGAACCGATTTGATGGCATTTGGGTCGAGGCGTTCATCGAGACTGATGTGAGTTGGTGAATCGTGGCTGTAATCGGCGACCGACTGTGATGCTACCAGTTGAGATAGACTTGCTTCTGCCAGTATGGTTTGTTCCGTGACTATTAATAGGTGAACGATCGGTAAGTACGGTTCAGTGTGGGGTCTTGCTTATATAAAGGTTCAAAAAAGCCATCAGAAGCATGCCGCCTTTGGTGCAATACAACATCTTTTCTTATTTGCATGTCGGTAGTAGACACCGTGGCATTGTTGCTGGGGGGCTGCATGCTGTGATGAGGAGGCATGCTGTTTTCGTTATTATTACCTGTGCCGTCTGGGTTATACTTTTTATAACGTCGTGCAAGCTCGGGAATAGCCTGCCAATTCCCTTTGCAGCGGGCTACTTCTATATCTCTGGATATCTGTTGCAATTTGGCGGAAGACATGGCCTGCAAATGAAAGCCGTCCCAAGACTACTTGATTGGGGGGAGGGGAGGGAAAGGGAAAAAGACAAGGTGTAGCAAACTACTGAGTGCGCATAACCCACATTTGGCAGGTCGACCTCCAAGTCGGGCTCTTAATTCAGCCGGGTTGGCACGCGGGTTTTGCTTTTTGCGTTTTCCCTTCATATTGAGTGGCTTTTGGCTATCACCACATAATCGTACCTGTCATTCCACCTAATGAATTTCCTCCGACGATGCCAGTTCCATACCCATACGTCGTTAGCCATGCGGCAACCCGTAAATCGTACCAACAATCTCAAGACCACGAATAACAAATCATTTGAGCTTGTCGCCTTTCCGGAACCGGTGATGCCGACTGCTGCCGAGTTATCCGCAGCCAATAAGGTGTTTCGAAAACCTGTCCAGTTCATCAAAAGTATATCGCAAGTACATCAGGCTCCTAATCTGCCCAACATTCCAGAAATTGCATTTGTTGGAAGAAGCAACGTTGGGGTAAGCTGTCTAGATCAGAACAAAAACATTGAATTTTGATCCAAGCACGCTGAATGACCTTTGTTCACCTTTATATAGAAATCAACTTTAATTAATCTGTTGACCAATAATCACAAATTAGTCAAAACTTCCAGCAAACCAGTAAGTCGTCAGAGTGCTGTGAAATTGATATTGTCCATACTAAAAAGCATGCCTGTGTTTTTTCTTACCAGGGCCACACACGTCTCTTGAACTTTTTTGATATCGCTGGTCGATTAACGTTGGTGGACATGCCTGGATACGGTTTCCGATCTCGCGAAGAGTGGGGCGAGCTATCCATGGGATACTTTGCAGAAAGAACACAGTAAGTACCCATCCAACTTTAAGAAAAAAAAAAGAAATGGATGAGACATTGGGGGGAAACAAACGAGACTGAGCGGATGACACAGATTGAAACGCATCTTTCTACTCCTCGATCCTACCGCCGGTCTCAAATCCACTGATTGTCAGTTAATGAACCACTTGGATGAAAGCGCGCTATCGTATCAAGTAGTGCTGACGAAATGCGACAAACTGTCTCCAAAGGCATTCTCGGAATCCAAAGCGGCCATTGAGAAATATCTCGTAAAGAATGCCATTTGCTGCTATCCACATATTTTGGCCGTGGGCAAAAGGCGCAAAAGTCAAAAGAATGAGGATCAGGTAGAGAGAGAACTGTCCATGATCCGATGGAGCATCTTATCAGCGGCTGGTATTCCTCTGAAGTAATTGCATTCAAAACACCCACCCATTGTACATTTTTCTTTCCACATACCTTTCTATCCTTCGTCCTGTATTTCTAGTTTGCAAAGTTTTATATATGTTGATACATTGGAGCTCAGTACTCTGGTTTTTATTCGAATTTGAATGGGGGTTTCTTGGTGGTGTTTATTTAGTTACCGTTTACGGTGGCTGAACGAGGTTTACAATCATTATCACCCAAGGGACGAATGAAGATGGCGTCGGGGGAGTGGTCACGTTCACCTTCATCAAATGTATAACTGCTTGCTACTGCCAGCACCTTGCCATCCGGGCTAAATGCCAAGCTAGAAATTTCGTCGGGATACCGAGGGAACTGTCTGATGCGCTTTCTATGGACACCGTCCCAGATGCTTACCACACAATCCGACCCACCTGACGCAAACGTACCATGGCTGCAAATATGAAAGAACAGGATAGATACCGCAGAGATGAATAAGAATGAAAATAACAGGTTTTACATCATAGGAGAGAAAAACTTACATAGGATGGTAAGCCAATGCATTGACAGGATACACGATTTCGGTTTCGTTGATGGTTTGTCGATGGGATTTGAACGCGTATTTTTTCGCCTGGACTTCGGGTGACTGATCAAAGAATTCGAGAGCAACACGACCTTCGACAGATGAGCAAGCATAACCCTCACCGTTTGGCATTAGTCGAATTGACCGTAGCATGTAGCGCAAGGTGGATTCTCTGGTCTGTTGAGGTTCATTCATGTTGCGAATATCGTATACGTAGATCTGGCGGTTCGCCATGGCCAGAATTAAAGTGTTATCTTGCAAATCCATATCAAATACTTTCTGCGGTAAATCATGCTTTGAAACAAGTGGAGTATCGTTACGAGGATCCCACACGCAAAGGGTCTTGTCCCATGAGCCGGTATACAGATTGTCTACCAAGCGAATACCCATTAGCGATCCATGCACGGGAAAAAGCAATGAAGCATAACAAAGGACGCTTACTTGTATTGCTACTCCAGCGAACCGATCGCACTGCTTCGTCATGCTGTCCCAAAACCTTTGTGGTGACTGTCTCAACGTCCAATCTAACATTCCAATTCCCTGTCAATTTTCATTATATCCCGCGAGTGCTTGACGCTGGTAGTATATACGTTACAGTCTCACTTTTTTATCCACACTTCCACTAAATGCCTGCTGACTATCGTTGCCAAAACAGGCGCTCAGAACAGCGCTTTCATGATCAAATTGTGCTTTTGTCTGGTTCGATTCAATGTCGTAAATGCGTGCTGTCTAATAGGGCAAACGCGGTAAGTATGCCAAGTTTAGGAGGACGCTTCGGCGAATCCGGCTTACTTGATCCCAGGAAGAAGCGATGAGATATCGAGAGTCCACGGGACAGAAAGCCAGCGAAGAGATGCCATCCTTTGGTGGATCGGCAATTTCGTACTGAGCATTTGCTGTTTCTTGCATTTCAAAAAAAAATAAGGGATACTCAATTCCTGCTTCGGCTGGTTCGGCGCCACCATCAATCGAGCAGCGCTCTCCAACAAAAATTATTCCTCTGGTCCCCAGAGCGCCGTTTTAAAATAAAAAGCCACTTTTCCCCACCATGATAATGCAACGTAGCGTATTTAACAAAAAGCTGCTCTTACCTTGTAGACGGCTCCATTGCAAAAGGGTCCAGTAGAATGTACTGTTAGTGACGCACTATAAATGCGCAGACAAGGTTCCTGATTTGGGACATGAAGAATCTAGCTCTTACGATTAGCTAGCACAATGATGTTTGCGATCATCTGCTTTGGCTTTTTTAAGCCTCCCCTGTGATACGCTGATGCCTCTGGTATCTTTATATTACTGGCAGGTAATTTAGTTGCAATGTTATTCATTGCTCAATAGCTTTTAACATGATAGGATTACGCGGCGATTGAATGAAACGACAAAGTGAACACGATTTCTGTAAATAACAGTTTCTGTCCCTTTTCGACTTGCATGTTCCCCAAACCCAAGTTTTATCACAGATATCGCCAAACTTTAATTAAAACAACACTGAGAAATAGACGACAAGTATCCAGCAAAAAACAAAGAATTTTTCACATCATTTTAATGGTTGATTGAATAAAATGCATGCAAATAAATTAGTAGAGACGCTGGGGCTTGCCCATGGTAGACTTCAAGTACAAAGACTTGACGTTCTGCCAGTTCTTCTTGAGCAAAGAGACAAGGAAGTTGACGGACAACAAGATGTTGGCAGTGAGCTGATCCTCAGTCATGGCAACGTGACCGACGGCAACACCCAAACAGAGAACCTTCTTCAACTGGAACTTGATGGTGGCGCGGATCTCGTTGGCCTTGGCGTTCAAGTCATCGTTGTGAGAGACGGGGGTAGGGAACTTGCCAACCTTGTGGAGACCGGGACCCAAGAGACGGGGAATCTGCTTAATCAAAGCTTCGGAAGCAAGGAAAGCATCGTACTTCTTGGCGAGCTTCTTGATGAGCTTCTTGTTCTTGTTGAGCTTCTTCAAGTCATCAACGGACTGGAATTCCATGCCAATGGCCTTGGCTTGATCACAGTGGAAAGCATCACCCAAAACACAGACCGACAAGTTGGGACGGGGAATGTTGGGGAGCTTGATGGTACCAGAGAAACGCTTATCACGCTGGGGATCGTAGTTCTTCAAACCAATCTGGAGTTCGATGGTTTCAGTGAAGTTACGCTTCTTCTCCTGGGAGTCAGCGAAGATATTCTTGATAGCCTCACGGACGGCGGAACCGGTGACTTTGCTATTGGAAGAAATGAGAAACCGGTTTTAATATATCTCCACACAACATGCACGATGTGATATGATCCATGGCAATATCCACATCTTTTTCAAGGATTAATGCTCCATCCTATGTGAATGGATCCTTTGATGGATGGACGGATGGATGAATGGATGGATGGATGGTATTACCTCATGATGGATAGAGGGAAAGGAAGGATCCATCAGCTTGACAGGCACCTTTCGTTAATATTGCGATCTTGTCGCGCAACTCCGCCCTGAACCATGGGGCCGACCCTGAGTGTGACTCGGATTCATTTACTTGGGATTAAATTTTTTTTAATTTTTTTGTTCTCCAGATGTTTGGCAGAACGAAACAATGGAAAAAAGATGATGTATTTCATCATAAAAGAAGTGATAGTAATATGTCAAGTAACAATAAGATCAGTCAAGTCAAACTTTAAATGCTGAATTAATTCCTAGTTGCTATAAAAGTCAAAAGTGATGCAGGGGCTATCGCACGCACTGTAACAGTACGCTTTTAAAATGGGTAAACAACAAAACACTCATCATGTGACCACGTCAAACATTGACGCCGCCTGATGTAAACGCAAGAGATTCAATCACACTGACATTGGGAACGCCAAGTTCGGCCTGCATATATAAGAGATAAGCACGGGAGCCGTTCATACACTTGTTACTTTCTGAACAAATTACCTTTGAGTGGCTGACATCAATAGGTGTCGCATTTCCGGTCACCGAACAATGATAAAATCCGCATTTCTATTTCTGGATGAATAAAAGGTCGCATTTTTTTTTTCGGCAGCTTCGTTACCTCCGACCATGGCAACCGACATTCCCAACAAAAACTAAACCCACACAGTGAACAATCCATACGATTGCAGCCATCCTCTCGGTTGATCATAATGGAACAGTTCGGGCATCGGCGACTACGTAGATGTGAAATTCACCGTTACAACCCTTCTTATTAATTCTCCAGGAAAAGATAATTCTCTGATTTGTTACCTGTGCTTCAGTTTCCATTTCAGGTTTTCTGCCACTTCTATTGACAGCTTGCCATGTTCTACAGTCTTTTCCATCGACTCTTCGCATGTTTGGTTCGGGTGCCCTTCAAAGCCACACTGCAAGCAGAATGTCATATGACACGTGGAACTTGATCGACCATTATCAGGAATCACATGTTCACACCATCAACCGACCTTGTTTTGTATTTCTTACCAGTCAATCATCGGGAAAAGAGAAATGTGGGCAAACTGCAGTTTTTTCCAGGTTTCTGGCTTCATTTCCAGTTGCAGAAATAATAATGAGATCGATTGGATCCGATCCCGGTAATTTGGCAAGCCATGGTGTTGCCCATAGTTTAGCAGTGTGATCATGATGTTTTTGTAGGTTTCCGGCAAGGTCGAATTCCGCCAAGCTTGACATTGCAAGATGTGATAGATTTGTTGCACGGCGGCTCGATGGGGGTCGTGGATCGATAAATCACCTAACCAGTTTTTGATTGCCTCGTATATGCTGTGGCCGCTACAACATGTGTCAGTCTTTTTTTTTTTTTTTGGCAGTGATAAGGATAGTTATGCATTGGTATCTTTCCACTGTTACCCGCGATGAAGAACTTTGCTTGTACGACGACATGGTGCCATTTTGGTTTCACATTTGGGACAGCAACGTGAGAAACTGCGATAAGGTCGATTGAATCGATTGTATTGCTCCACAACACTGAGCGGGACATATCTGCTCCATTCGCTCTGCGGGATTTGAACTTGACACACAGGGCATCTGATCTTGGTCACACTAAGGCCCCAGGATGCGATCACTACTTCCGTCACGTATCTGAAAGTGCGTTTTGAAAGAGAGGAGGGGGATAAACAAGGGGAAAAACAAGCCAGACAAATCAAAAATTTAGATTTTGGACGAAATGGTTACTTTTATTACTCGTCTTCTTTTTCAAGTTTGCTGATTTTTTTTACCTTTGGAAACAGGGTCGGCAATATTGATCGCGACAGTAGTCTAAACATAATTCCAAGGGAGCATCAAAACAGATGGAGCATCGTTCCAACCAAAAATCCATATCAGTTTCTCCATCAGAATTATTCATGGCTTCGTCCGACATTATCGTTTTGAAGAAGTAAAAAGGATTTTTTTCGAAGCTTGCAGTGAAAGAAGATAAAAGGTTAAAAACAATTAGAAAACTTGATACCAAGAGACAATAGAAAGAAGGAATTGAGTAAAGAAGCGCATGCTTTCCTTTTCTTATTTTGTGAACATGTTGCAGTCTATAAAACATGTGACTGATATAATGAGCCAAATCATCGGAACTATGAAAAATCGATGCACCTCAAGGAGCGATGACAATTATAAAAAACGTGACAAAAGCATTGTAACATGACAAGCAACATCATAAGGACATCGAGCATACAAGTATTATTGTGGCGATGGTGATACAATCAAAACGCGAGGGTATCATGCTACATTTCAATTTACTTGCTCTCACTTCTACAGGTCAGCTTACTACTGTATCCCCAGGTAGATCAACAATCATCCTTTACTGGTCACTAGACTATACATGGCTGACGACATCCCGTCAGAAAAAACCATTCACGATAGAGAAAAACATACAATAATGCGATTCGACAATGTTATTAGCGGATTAAGACTATTTTAATTCTCACTGTCATTGATCCCATGTCCTTTTTCATTACAAGGTACGAACCAGTTTTATCTGAATAATTTTTCAAAACCTTTTATTTGTATGCACCTTTTATACATCAGCCGTTTCGTAAAATTGAAGCTGAGGCGTCTCCATGTTTACTCCTGGCGTTCAATCCCATCTTCCTGGGCCTGATAAGCAATGCACAAAGGATGCCGTTCACCAACAACAAACGGGAGCGTGGCGCGCTGGTAATAGTCCGCCATTAACTGCAGGTTATCAATAACTGTATCCAGCAAGTGGGCTTGACCCGCCACGACGCCTGGGGCATCAGCAAAAGATACAGCGGTGACGTGAACGTGAAAGTGGTAATAGCTCGGTTGATAATGGACAAATAAGCGCAGTTGTTTTTGTTTCAGCCCAAACTTCTCTTCCGCCAGTTGGCATGCCCTTTGTCGGATGTTTTTCAGCAAGTCAAGATGGTCTGGTGTCAGTGATCGAAGGGAATAGATATCGTCCCGTGCTGCAATGACTACCCAATACAGCGATTCTTTGGAACCGTCCCATTTCATATCCGGCAAAATCACAAATCCCGTCTTTGGATCGGTATCACGATAAATGACTCGTTCCGCCTCCGACTTGCCTTCAAGAATGTTGTATACCCACTGAATTCTCGATGGATCCAAGCTTTGAATGTAAGGCCACGTGATCATTTTGAATAGTTCGGGAGTCTCCTGGATAAGAAAACGCGCCTGCTGCTCGTATTTACGGATATGCAAATCGGTGGCGGGATAAATGATTTTCACTCGTGTGTCTGGATTCACGGTAGTGATTCTAGCCGAAGCCCAACCATAAATGTCGTTTTGGGTAATGTCAGTCAAACCGTGCGTTTGGCAGGCCAGTTGTGGAATGTCCTCATCGGTATACTGCGATTTCTCAAACGAGAGAATGCAGTTCTCGCCATTGATCTGCCCAAGTACGAACAGAAGCTTTGTACGAGTATCGTGGGAGAGAACACGCTCAAATCGGAACTCTTGCAAAATTGTGTCAATGGAGCTCATACTGATGAATGGCAATAGTGGAACAGAAGATCAAGTAAAACTGACTGCTGGGTTTATCGGGCTTTGATGGCGTATTTATACGAAAGTTATTGGCCGATCACCCTTCCAATGGGCCTCGACCCTTCCGAGTGCGCAGGAAAGATCATCTTTTTGATAGATTGAGCAGAAACAGATATCATTTATTGACCATTTTTTTGACTCGAATTGCAAGTCTAAGTTGGGTAATCTTTTTGAAATGGATATGTCAACAGCTTTCCATGGAAAAACTATGCGATGCAAATTGAGTATATGGGGTAAGGGGCTCCGCCCTAGTTGTACTGTATTTTTCAATCAACAAGAGCTGGCCAGAGAACAATGATGACTTTGTACGACAGGTCCCAGCAGATTGGCTGCTAGGGTGATCAGATAGCATCCGGCTTTTGAAGCTTTCCAATTAGTGTCATACTGGTGGCGCTAGTGCGTGCTTCTGATGAAGAGTCGGGTAACATCAGCGCTCTCGTACCAAAAAAAGATTTCTTATAGAATGGTGTTTGACCATTGTAAGAAATAGAGGTATAGCTGGTATTTAGATGATCGTCGTAGTGGGGTGGATGTTCATGATGGTTTAAAAGTTCAGAGACGCGTTCATTGTTGGCAAGCTGTTGACGGGTTTTCTTTCGTCTTGTGATCAACCAACCGATCGCAACAACGAAAATAACAGCAGCTATCTAGATTGCGCAATTGATAAAATAAAATAAAAAATAAGATCAGCAATTACAGCGCAGTGGCATCACGGCTCTTGATCACGTACTGCGCCAACAACGATACCCGCTATGGCTCCAGCGCTTAGACCGGATGATTTAGCATTAGCGTTGGGAGAGACAGAGGGCCTAGAAACCGATTCCAGATAGAGTTCATTGGTCCATTCCCATGTTCGCATATTCAAAGCCTTCACTGGATCGTCGACGTAGGTCTCGTTACCATTTTTACCAAAGAGAACCACCATATAATCATCAATTACAACCACTGAACGCAAATTTTAGAAATTCTCCATAATGACAACTCAACTCGGAAGGCTAGAAAGTACCTGAATGCATGCATCTCGGAGATGGTGGCTCTCCTTTTGCGGCCCGCGGAGTCCATGAAAAACGACTAAATGTCCAAATATTGGAGTCGATTGGCTTGTTAGACACTAGAGAAATTCAAATTGGAAAATAAATTTAAAACATCTGTTGTGTCGATGTAAGAAAAGCCCTTACAATCACATCCTCCAAATAATACAGCCTGTCCTGCGGAATCTAGCATGTACGTATTGGTAAATACCCTCTATCATAAAACATCCAAGCTCGGACCACTCACTATACACCAGTGTATGACCAAATCGTGCCTCGGGTACTACGGATTCCCGGCTCGGGGGTCCGACGAGATACAGATTCTTGGATGGCAAGATATAGAGATAGGTTGTCATATTCATTAGTATTTTTGGTTTGTCAAGGTCCTTATTGTCATGCATAAGTCCACCAATGACGGTAAGTGAACCGTCGTCAGGGTGCCACGCTGTGGCGTGATAATAAAGTCCTGGAATGTAGTAATCTATCGAAGTGCGAAGCATGCTCCGTGAAACAAAATTCTGCGAGTCAAAAAATATTAAAAAAGACAGATCAGTGGAACAGCCTCTTGGAGAATAATGCAAGGCAAGCTCGGCAGCATTTACCGATGTTTCGATGATCTTTAATCGATCTACAACGCCTGGTTTGGTGACGTTTCCAAACTCGACATCACCCTTGACACCGCCAAAGTAATTTATGGTGTCGTTGCCCAGGAACGCGTGCGCGCCATATCTGGCCAATAAAATCAATCAGTCACCTTCCTAAAGTAGGAACCGTGTTCTCGTACCTAACAGGCTCATCATTCACTTTGCGCCATGATCTACGATTGAGATCAAAGACATGGCCGGAATTTGGAGGACATGCTGGACATGTGAGGCCGCCTTGGTAGTAAAACCGATCGCCTTTTGAATTGATGGGGGCCATGATAACACCTGTCGAAGTTTTCGGTACTTCGGTTACTCCATTCACCGCGATCGATTCCCATGTTGCGTTTGACAATGACGTTATGACATTGTATGGCACGTTTAACGCGTATACAGGTGCATCAATGTTGCTGGTTGGTTCACCGCCTAAAGAGATCGAAAAATGAATAACATGATTCGCAGTAATTAAACAAGTCATCGCGATCTGTCCCACTTGGTTTATAAGACACCGGTTCGATAATTACCGGCACAGATAATTTTCTCCAGTTCTCTTGTATAATAGCATCCTGTGAAGACAATTAGAAATGCGAGATAAAAATAGCAAATCAAATATTTGGGGTTAAAAACTCGATCTCTTCCTGTGCCTCTATCATTGTACCTTGGCCCGCACGTTTGGTATCAATTGCCTTGGTAAGCCCAATCGATGATGCAAGCGTAATAAAAAATAAAAGCATTAAGAGTACAAGACCTCTACAAAAGCTGACCCATTTTCTTCCGCCTTTTTCTCATCACAATTGAAGATTGCTCCGTCAAGTCCTGTCGCACAGCGGGGCTGGACGTGTCACCATGTTTTGTTTGGCCGTACATGAATTTCAAGTCAAGAAACAATTCAATCTGTATACTGATTTACACCACGCAGGAAATATCACTAATCTCTGATGCAATCTGGGTAGAACCCAATTCATCAAAAAAAAATTGAGCCCTTGAACGGCAGGCAACGGTCGGTCGTTGTGCGATCTAAGAACTTTTTGCTCTTCTTTAGGGCGAACCGATTATAGTAACGCATAGCATTTGCGAGAAATCCGGGAAAAATCATACAGACACCCGAACAGAAAAACTTCCATCTGATCATAAATCGATGGAAACAAAGCTGTTGCTTCAAAGCGTCCCCTCATGTTGGTTTGACGCCAACACAACTTATTGATCCAAGTAATTGGTTTGGAAAATGTTCATTTTGCAACCGGTTCAATAACGCACATCGCGATCTGCAAAATCAATCGATGCGGTTATTCATTTTTTAAGCTTCTCAACGTTCTTTTAAAGAAGTACCACTGTTGATTTCTTTTACTACTGGTGGGTCCTCTATCTCAGACCATCAGGTTCTTGAAGAGAAGTACACCTTTGTTGATGATATTATGTTACAGATTGCACCGTGACACTGCAGAACAAATACTGCTCTTGTATCTATACGGATCTTGTTAATAGGCTACTGAATAAGGAAACTAGTTGCTACTGAAAAGGTTCGCAGTTGATATTGAGCCCAGTTGGCTATTGTAGCTGGTCCATTCAACCAACGATACCCCGCGGCTCGGTTATTGAAATATGTCTGATCGGTAAGGGAAAGCAAAACGTGGTCCAGTCTCGTATGATTTTCCATCAAGATATGGTCACCGCATGTTTCAACGTTCACAGCATATAGTTCGAAGCAAAGCTATTTTCACTAAAGGGTTGGTATGAACCTGCTTTACTGTTAGCTCTTTGACTACCAAAGCAATGAACATTATGTTGAATGATTCAGCAGCTTGGTTCCCAAAAAAGCAATGAATAAGAGGATTTAAGGCTTGGGCAGCCAACATATTTTATTACGGGTTTCTCTGCCACGGAATTCTGGCAACCGATTTTTTAGTAATAAAAAATATCGTTTACTTGTGTTTCAAGCAATATCGTTCTAGAGATATGGTGGGATAAAGAAAGAGTAGAGCGTTAAAGTCTTGCTTCTGTATACAGAGTCGTTTTCTTCCACAATATATCATCGTCTAATTCATATGATATTCAGTGCAGCTTATATTGATTCATAAATAAGAATGAAAGATGGAATAATAATTTATTGATATGCTTGAGCTCTGTGAAACAGAATATTCGACGTATTAAAGGTATTTTGAACTCCTTGGATTTAAGATGGGTGGCGTGCATCCAAGATCCAACATATATAGTCTGCAGGTAGGAGCTAATAGAAGAGTAGTTCTATCTTTCTGCATAGGATCGGATGCTCATAACCTTCATTCCTAAAAGCCGTCTGGCTTTCGGAGCATTTCAACTTTTGTTGTATTGGCCGAAACACTAGCGGTGCCATTGTGTTCGGATAAAGAACTGGGCGTCATGGGTGAGGTCATTTCGGACGGGGATTTGATATTAGAGGACGCCTGACCGGGATAAGCACCCGAGGTGTAGGTCGTATCTTTGCCGGGTTCTTGATGCGGCACGTTATCGCGGTTGTTCAACGGTTCAGTAGCGTAACCATCGTAAGCTGGTGTCTTGCGTTTGTGATTTCGTCGACTCAAAAACCAGCCTCCAGCAGCAGCGAGAGCTGCAACTACTACCTAGATATCGTAAACATTGAGAAAAGCAAATTTCAAAGAATGAGAATAGCAAAAAGTATCACAACACTTACTGCGCCAACGACAATGCCGGCAATAGCTCCACCACTTAGAGCAGAAGACTTAGTAGCTCCGTTGTCAATTTCCTTGGCAGCGTTATTGTTAATATCAGTACCGTTGGTTGGGCTGGCACCAGGAGTAGGAGGTGCAGTTTGTGTAGGAACGGTACCCAAGCGAAGCTCATTTGTCCATTCCCATGTTTGCATATTGAGAGCCATCACTGGATCGTTGACATAGGAGCCGTCGGCATTTTTGCCAAAAAGAACCACCATATAATCATCAATGACAACCACTATGCATTACGTGTACGTCAAAATATTTTCATGTTGTAAATTTGCTGACTAAAAAAATACCTGAATGCATGCATCTTGGAGATGGTGGGTCGCCCTTTGTAGGCTGTTGAATCCAGGATGTGAGTGAATGATCAAACATCCAAATGTTCGAGTTGATGGCCTTATTGTCCACTAAAGAGAGTTCATTTGTATGAGATTGGAAGGTCTCGTAATACTATATAAAATCGGTAGAAGCACTTACAGTTGCATCCTCCAAACAGAACGATTTGCCCCGCAGGATCTATAAATTGATTTCTTTGTACTTGGTATCATTTCCAGGATATATTACTAAGCAAATATCAGAGTACTCACTGTAGACCAGAGTATGTCCTAATCTTCGCTCTGGCATGGCAGATCCTTGTCTCAGACCTGCCTGGAGGTAGGCATTATCGGAAGGTCTGGCGTAGAAGAAGGTTTGCATATCTACTAATCCTTTTGGTGCGGCAGTATCATCGCCGTTGTGCGTAATTCCACCAATCATTGTGAATAAGTAGCCTTGGGAGTCAGGTACACATCCGCCATAAAGAAGGCCTGGAGGATAGCCAACATACTCAAATGGGTTTACAGCAAAACTCTGCACATGAGAAAAAGGATCGAAGATGGTTCAAACTACATTTTCTTTTAACAATGCTACGACGCTTAAAAAGGTCCACTTACCTTGGTATCGATGGAAATCAACTGGTGATTCACACCTGGTTTGGTTTCATTGCCGAACTGCATTTGAGCATTATATCCACCATAATAATAAATGGTGTTATTCACAAGAAAACCTTGAGCGCCAAATCTAAAGGAAATGTCAGTCAATATCACATGCACGGCGGGGATGTCCGCGTTATGAGGTGGAACGGCGTACCTGATAGGCTCGTCGTTAACTTTGCGCCATGATTTTTGGTTCAAATCGAAGACGTAGCCGGAATTGGGAGGGCAGCCACTACAGGTAAGCCCACCTTGGTAGTAAAATTGATCGCCTTTCGAGCTAAGGGGGGCCATGATAACACCTGTTGAAGTCTTTGGAATGTCTGCTGTTCCTTGTACCGGGATCGCTTCCCACGTTATGTTTGCGAGAGACGTAGCAGCATTATATGGTACATTTAAGGTGTACACAGGAGCATCGACGTTGCTCAGCGGTTCGCCACCTAAAGCAAATGAGATTAAAATCGCTAGTGTCGTTGCGAGATATCACCAATCAATGATGATCTGAGTAAAATAAATCTTGATAATTAGGCGAAAAATTTACCAGCACAAACAATCTTTTCTAATTCTCGTGTGTAATAGCAGCCTGTGAGAATAAATCAGACAGGTCAGAGTATGTGTTTGGAAATCAAAATGTTTGTGTCATGCAAACCTTGGCCAGCGCGCTTAGGATCAATTGCAGCGCTGCTAACGGCGGCAAGGGATGCCAGGGCAACTAAAGATAAAAGCATCAAGTGGGGAAAAAGGAAGAACCGCAATTGTTCGACAATCATGCTCCCATCTTTAAAATAATCAATGTTGGGTCCTATGTCGTACAGTGTGGCTGCGCGTGCTACAATGGCATATCGATGACCATTAAAACTTGAACCATGAGAAAGTAAATTTGAAAGGCACAGTGGTTTGAACAGCTGCACAAAATCTCATTATTATAATAATATTGAGTAACCAATGTTACAAGGCTGATGTCGATAATGTTTGCGAAGACAAAAAAAAACGTGGCATTTTTGTTAATCGCTGAACATTTGTAGATCGTTTCACGCTGAGTTCAATAAAGATGTTCTGATGTAGTTACCGGTATTATATCCGCGCAACCTCCAGGAAAACGTCCCGCAAAAATGATACTTTTTCAATGCTTGATAATGACTCATCTATTATACTTTCAAACAACTCTTGATCTCTTCGCCACAGAAGAAATGGGCGGAAACAATGGAAGTCAATCCACCATTAAAGCAAATGACTTTTGTTCTCCGATAGTCGGGATGAAAAACGTGCTTTGGATGTGACGGCCACAGGATCCTGAAATTGGGAACACACATGCTTCTCCATTTCTAATTGTGACCAGTGCATGCTCACACTCGGAATGCCACTCGGAAAGCTTAAAACATAAAGTTCTTGATTTTTCTTTAATACAGTTTGCTTAAATATTGTACAATTCAAGGAGCAAGTCCTTGATAAACTATTCCTCGCCAAAGAAAAGAAAGCCACCCGTGCATCCATATCTACTTCAACTCAATCTAGCCTTTGATCCGGCTCTCCTTCAATTTTCATTGCTAAATCTATCCATTCACCGAAAAAGCACTGAACGAATGAGAATTCCCAGCTGATATAATTACAATACATGGAGAGTATAAATAAGAGCTAACGAAATATAAAAGACGTTCTTTGGAAAATCCGATGTTCGTTGTCAAGACTAAAAACCCTCTGGCTTTTGAAGCATTTCAGCGGGTGTCAAGGTGATCGGACCCTCATGATCAGGTTCATGATATGGTGCGTAATAACGGTCTTTCGCCGGTTCCGAAACGTATTCCTCATGACTGGCTCCTTGCCGTGGCTGACATAAACCAGCCCGCAGCAGCAATAACAGCAACGCCGGCTACCTATCGTTGTAATAAATTGGAGAGCCGTCTTTTCAGCGAGAAAAATTTAGTTGTAAGACGTCATATTTCCGAGAGACTTACTGCGCCAACAACAATGCCGGCAATAGCTCCACCCCTTAGACCAGAAGACACAGTAGCTCCATTGTCAATTTCCTTGACAGCGTCATTGGTGATATTGGTTCCGTTCGTTGGGCTGGCATCAGCAGTAGGAGACGCACTTGGTGTAGGAATGGCACCCAAGCGGAGCTCATTCGTCCATTCCCATGTTTCCATATTGAAAGCTCTTACTGGATTGTTGACATAGGAGCCGTTCGCATTTTTACCAAAAAGAACCACCATATAATTTTCGATACCAACCACTATTCCGGGCTGTCAGAATAATTACGCGGAGGGAATTTGCTGGCTAAAAACAATACCTGAATGCATGCATCTTGGAGATGGTGGATCGCCCGTTGTAGAGTGTTCTATCCAAGATGCTATCTCACCATGAAGCACCCAAAGTCTGGAGTCAACGGCGTTATCGTCCACTGATAAAGGTCAACTCGCCGGATATTAGAATATCTCGTATTTAAAAAGGGTTGAAAAGCTCAAACTCTTACAATTGCATCCGCCAAACACTACGAACTGCTTGGAAGTTCCTAAAGTTGGTTCCTTTCTACTTAGTATTAAATACGTATCATATTTTTCCAGATTACTTACTGTACATCAATGTATGCCCGAATCTTGGCGCTGGCATTACGCTGTTACTGTCAAGGGTCATATGTTTGTAGGTACCCTCCGCAGGGCTCGCGTACATGGGTATCATATCTACCAATGTTCTTCGTTCCGCAATATCATTGCGAATGTGCTCAATTCCACCAATCATGGTGAATAAAATCACTTCTGGGTTTAGGTGCAGAAGCAGCAAAAAGAACTGCTGGAGGATAGCCGCTTGTAACGGTATCTAATGTTTTCACAGCAAAAGTCTGCGCGCGGAAGAAAAAGGCGGAAGACATTTTAGGATGCATTTTTCAATTAACATACTGTTAATGCTTTACTCACAGTCGTATTTACGCCCTGCAAGCGCTTCATTACACCTGGCTTGGTTGCATTTTCAAATTGCATTTGACTATTATAGCCACCATAATAATAGATGGTATCATCCACTAGATGCGCTTGAGCGCCATATCTACATGAAGGTGCTAGTTAAATCAAAGCATGTACGGTTATATCCATATCCAGCTAGTTGCAAAAATATCATACTTGTGAGGCTCGTCGTTTACTTTACGCCATGATTTTTGGTTCAAATCAAAAACGTAACCGGAGTTCGTAGGGCAACCACTACAGGTAAGTCCACCTTGGTAGTAAAATTGATCTCCTTTCGAGTTAAGGGGAGCCATGATAACGCCACTTGAAGTCCTTGGGATATCTGCTGTTTTTTGTACCGTGATAGTTTCCCACGTTACGTCTGTGAGAGACGTAACAGCATTATACGGAATATTCAAGGTATACACAGGAGCATCAACGTTGCTCAGCGGTTCGCCTCCTAAAGCAGGTAGGAAAATTAATCCCAAGGTTCTTTGCCCAATTGCACCAATTAATGTGGTCTGCAGTAGATGAATCTCGATAAAATGGCTAAAATTTTACCGGCACAAACGATCTTTTCCAGTTCCCGTGTGTAATAGCAACCTGTAAAATAAATCAAACAGGTCAGAAGGTGGGGTGTGGATTTGGAAATTCAGACTTTCGTCTTTTATCATATATACCAAGGCCGGCACGCTTTGTATCTAATGCACCGCTACCAAGGCCGGCTAAGAAGGCTAAATCAATCAAAGCTAGAAACATCAAGTGGTGAATATAAAAGAAAACCGCAATGGCTTCAGGAAGGCTTGCCTGGTGTTAAAATATCTGGTGCAAGTCGTACAGTATGGCTACTCGTGGTACGGTAAAATTACCATTGATCGTTGAAGCCTGATCCATGAGAAAGTGTACGAGTATATGGTAGTAGGAAAAAAAATGTACAATATTTCATCGATCTTATCAGGTGACGAAAGATACAATGGTTAATATCAGCTATGCTTGCGAGAACAAAAGTAATAGCATATTATGTTGATCGCACGATTATAGGCCGCTTTCAGAATGAGCTCAATCAGACTTTCAGCTGTAATAACCTGTACCATGACACTGTTCCAGAGTATCACACGTTTTCAATGCTCATGAAAGTCCCATCTAGTAGGCTAGACTCACATACTTCTTGCTCTGCTTATCAAAGAATGAATATGTGGAAATACTGAAAGCAAAACCATCATGAAAGCAAATGGTTTTTCTTTTCCAGTGGTTGCGATACCAAACTTTCTTTGGGTACAATGGTCACAGTGTCTGAAATTATGGAGCACACATATTCTCATATTCTAATTGTAACCTGTGGATTTACAATTGAAATCCGATTTCGGAAGAAGCTCAAGAACCTAAAATTTCTGTCTTGTCATACAGCTACGCGTATTAGACTCAAAGTTGTGCTAAGCATAATCATGACCTTGAAGTGTTTTGGGCTGACCATCGGGATTAAGAATTATGCCATTGTTCTTTTGGCGTGAAATACTTGGTAATGTTGACTTGGTATCACGTGTATGAAATTATGTTTCTATGCCAAATCAATGCTAATCACTAATGAGAAACTCTACACCATCTTTTATCTGGATGTCATGTAACAGGCGATGGCTGGCTTTCGTTTATAAAAGTTTTTCCAATGTGGTGGGAAAGCAGCGAAGGGGTTAGAATTTCCAGTAGATAGGATTACTTGCGTTACAACAAATAGAGAGTATAGATAGAAACCAATGAGAGATGGGAATGGTATCCTGCACAAAATAAAATAAAGATACAATATCATATGATATTTTGACATTTTGTTTCCGCCCGTGTTAAATACCGTCGGGTTTTAGTAGCATTTCAACGGGTGCCATATTGATGGGGCCACCGTTTCCTCCGGACACCAAGGTTCCGGACATGACGGTTCCATCGGCAGAGGCGTGGCCTCTGTATCGTGGCCAGATCCGTGCTGTGTCGCGGTGTGGCGGTCGTTCAATGGTTCCGAAACGTAGCCGTCATAAGGGAGTTCCTGGTGTGGCTGCTTTCGTCTATACATGAGCCAGCCTGCAGCGCCGATGAGGGTCACACCGGCTACCTAAATGCCTTTAGAAATTGGAGAGCCCTCTTTTCAACAAAGTATTATAGTAATATGCTGTAATATATTTCTAGAGACCTAGAGCTCTAGCAACAATGCCCGCAATAGCTCCACCACTTTAAACCAGAAGTTCTAGCGTAGTTACCGGTATCATGTCCGATCAACTCCAGGAAAACGTTCCCTAAGAACCATGCTTTTGCAATGCTTGATAACGACCATCCATTATACTTTTAGGAACACTTGGTTTTTCTGTCACAAAAGAAATGGGCGGAACGACGAAGGTCGATCCATCATTAAAGCAAATGGCTTTTTGTTCTCCATTTCTAATTGTGCCACACTCGGAATTCCACTTCGGAATAAGCTTAATATATAAAGCTCTGGATTTTACTTTGATACAGTTAGTTTCAACATTGTACTATTCAATGATCAGCTTCTTGATAAAACATTTTTCACCAAAGAAAGCTATTTGTGCATCCATATCTGCTTCAATTCAATCTACCATTTGATCCAGCTCTCTTTCAATTTTCATTGCCAAATCTGTTCAGTGGGCAAAAAAGCAATGAACGAAATTAGAATTCCCAGCTAACATAATTACAATATATGGAGTATAAATAGGAGCGAACGAAATATAAAAGGTGTTCTTTGCAACCGATGTTCGTTGTCAAGAGCCTAAAAACCCTCTGGCTTTTGAATCATTTCAACGGGTGTCAATGTAATCGGGCCACCATGATCAGGTCCATGGTATGATGCGTAATGGCGGTCTTTCAATGCTTCCGAGATGTATTCCTCTTGACTGATTCCTTGGCGTGGCTGTTTTCGTCTGTACATGAACCAGCCCGCAGCAGCAATGACAGCAACGCCGGCGACCTAGTTATTGTAAGAAATTGAAGAGCCGTCCTTTCAGCAAAATTATAGTGATAAAATGCGATATTTTCTAAAGACTTACTGCACCAACGGTAATACCCGCAATAGCTCCACCACCTAAACCAGAAGGTGCAGTAATTTCCTTAGTAGCGTCGTCTGTGATATGAGAACCGTTCGTTGGACTGCCATCAGCATTAGGAGTCGCAGTTGGTGTAGGAACGGTACCCAAGCGGAGCTCATTGGTCCATTCCCATGTTTGCATATCGAGAGCCACCACTGGGTCGTTGACATAGGAGCCGTCGGCATTTTTACCAAAGAGGACAACCATATAATCATCAATACGAACCACTATTCTGAAATGTCAAGATCATTACGTGAGGAATTAGCTGAGCAAGAAAAATACCGGAGTGCATGCATCTCGGAGATGGTAAATCGCCCTTTGTCGACGGTTGTATCCATGATGATAGCGGATCATCAAGCAACCAAATTTTGGAGTCAATGGCGTTATTGTCCACTGATAAAGAACAATTTTGCGGGAGATTAGAATATCCCGCGATATGTATTAAAATGCTTGAAAAGCAGAAACTCTTACAATTGCATCCTCCAAATAGTACAATCTCATTCGAAGTTCCTAGAAGTTGGATTTTTGTATTTAGTACTAAATATGTATCAAAGTTTGAAATACTTACTGTGAATCAACGTGTGCCCTAATCTTGGCTCTGGCATTGCAGTGTTATTGTTAAGCACCATTTGCAGGTAGCTATTATCAAAAGGATTCGCGTACAAGGGTACCATATCTACTAGTTTTCTTCGTTCTGCAATATCATCGTGGTTATGAATAACTCCACCAATCATAGCGAATAAAGCACCGTCGGGTTCAGGTATGGAACCAGCGAAAAGAAGTCCTGGAGGGTAGGCTTGGGTAATCGACTCTAATCCTTTCACAGCAAAAGTCTGCATGTGAAAGAAAAAGCGAACCATACTTCAGGATGCTCTCTTTTAATAATTCTGCGCTGCTGCTAAAACTTCACTTACCTTGGTATCGATGGAAATCAACTGGTGATTCACACCTGGTTTGGTTGCATTGCCAAACTGCATTTGACTATTGTAGCCACCATAATAATAGATTGCGTCATCCACGAGATGTGCATGAGCGCCATATCTACAACAAAGTTCCAGTTATTAAGAGTATGTACGGTTATAGGTGTCCATGTTCAGCTGATTAAAGGAAAATATCATACTTGAGAGGCTCGTCGTTTACTTTACGCCAGGATTTCTGGTTCAAATCAAAAACGTAACCGGGATTTGTAGGGCATCCAGGGCAAGTAAGCCCACCTTGATAATAAAATTGGTCTCCTTTCGAGCTAAGGGGAGCCATGATAACACCAGTTGAAGTCTTTGGGATATCTGCTGTAGGTTGTACCGTAATAGTTTCCCACGTCACGTCTGTGAGAGACGTAGCAGCATTATATGGTATATCCAAAGTATACACAGGAGCATCGACGTCGCTCAGCGGTTCGCCACCTAAAGAAGGTAGGAGGATTAAGTCCCAATGTTCCGTTTCTCGATCGCATAATGAATGATGGTCTGCAGTAGATGAATGTCGATAATAAGGTTAACTATTTACCGGCACAAACGATCTTTCCCAGATGTCGTGTGTAATAGCAACCTGTACTGAACCAAGTCAGAAGGTGGATTGTGAACTTGGAAATTCAGACTTTCGTCTTTCATCATACGTACCTTGGCCAGCGCGCTTGGTATCCAATGCAGCACTACCGAGGCCGGCTAAGGAGGCTAACGCAATCAAAGCTAGAAACATCAAGTGAGTGAATATAAAAGAAAACCGCAATGGCTTCAGGAAGGCTTGCCTGGTGTTAAAATATCTGGTGCAAGTCGTACAGTATGGCTACTCGTGGTACGGTAAAATTACCATTGATCGTTGAAGCCTGATCCATGAGAAAGTGTACGAATATATGGTAGTAGGAAAAAAAATGTACAATATTTCATCGATCTTATCAGGTGACGAAAGATACAATGGTTAATATCAGCTATGCTTGCGAGAACAAAAGTAATAGCATATTATGTTGATCGCACGATTATAGGCCGCTTTCAGAATGAGCTCAATCAGGCTTTCAGCTGTAGTAACCTGTACCATGACTGTGAAACCTGGAGAAAACTGTTCCAGAGTATCACACTTTTTCAATGCTCATCAAAGTTCCAACCACTAGACTCACAACTCGCTCTTGCTTTGCTCATCAAAGAGTAAACATGTGGGAATACCGATAGCAGAGCCGTCATGGCAGCAAAAGACTTTGCTTCCCAATGGTTGCGATACCAAACGTTCTTTTCTTCAGGTACAATGGTCACACTGTCTGAAATTTTGGAATACACAGGTTCTCATATTCTTATTGTAACCCACGGATTTACAATTGGGAATCCCATTTTGGAATAAGTTCAAAAACTTAAAAATTCTGTCTTGTCATACAGCTACGCGTAAAGTTAAGCTGAGCACGACCATGACCCTGAAGTGCATTTGAGTGATCATCGGGATCAAGAATTATGCCATTATCCTTTTTGTGTGAATAGTTGGTCATGTTGATTTTGACCACGTGTATGAAATTCTTGCTAATATTGCTATACCAAATCAATGCTAATCACTAACGAGAAAACCTACACCGTTTTTTATCTGGATGTCCGGTAACAGGAGATGGCTGGTTTCCGTCGTCAAAATTTTTTCGAATATAATGGGAAAGCAGCGAATGGATTAGAATTTCCAGTAGATAGAATTACTGGCGTTGCAACAAATAAAGAGTATAAATAAGAACTAACGAAAGATGGAAAAGGTATTCTGCAAAAAAAATAAAAGATAATAATATGATATTTTGACTTTTGGTTTCCGCCCGTGTTAAATACCGTCGGGTTTTCGTAGCATTTCGACTGGTGCCATACTGATGGGGCCGCCCTTTCCTCCGGACACCAAAGTTTCGGACATGACGGTTCCATCGGAAGAGGTGTGGCCTCTGTATGGTTCCGACGTGTAGCCTGTATCGTGACCAGGTCCGTGCTGTGTCGCGGGGTGGCGGTCGTTCAATGGTTCCGAAACGTAGCCGTCATAAGTGTGTGTTTGGCGTGGCTGCTTTCGTCTATACATGAACCAGCCCGCAGCGCCGATGAGGGCCACACCGGCTACCTAAAAATTGTAAAAAGATGTTCAGCTATAATAGTACTGTAGTGTAATAATCTATAGACACTTACTGCACCAATGACAATGCCGGCAATAGCTCCACCGCCTAGACCAGAGGAGCCGCCAGTGGCACCGGCACCGAGAGCTTCAGCACCGTTGGTTGCACCGTAATCGATACTGGCAGACGAAGAGGTCGAAGGAACGGCACCTAATCGGAGCTCCTTGCTCCATTCCATTGTCTGCATATTGAGAGCCACAACTGGATCGTTCACATAGGAATTGTCGGCATTTTTTCCAAAGAGGACCACCATATAATCATCAATGACAACCACTATACGTGGATGTTTGAGCCGTTGCACAAAAAATTCTGCGGGGACAGAAAATCATACCTGAATGCATGCATCGCGGAGATGGTGCGTCGCCCTTTGTAGGCTTTTGTATCCACGACGTAGTTGCGTGATCAAATATCCAAATATTGGAGTTGATGGCTTTGTTATTCACTGGAAAATGCACTCGTTAGAAATTTCAAAAGGGTCGTTATGGAAACCGAAGGTGTTAAATGGCAAAGTACTTACAATCGCATCCTCCAAACAGCACGATCTGACCCTCGGAATCTGGAAAGCTTTTAATCAGATCACATATCATAATAACATTTAAGCCCAGAATACTTACTATAGACTAGCGTATGTCCCCATCTCTGCTCCGGCATGGCCGATCCTTCTCTTAAATTTGCCATGAGGTACATGCTGTCGGAGGGTCTCGCATAGGCAAACGATTGCATGTCTCTTAATTTCTTTGGTTGGGCCATGTCGTTGCCGTCATGCATAAGTCCACCAATTATGGTGAATAAATGACCTTCGGGATCAGGGACTGTTCCGTGATAATAAAGTCCGGGAGGATAACCATTCAGAGGCGAGTCGAATCTTGTGGTTGCAAAATTCTGGAAAACACAGTTTAAAATTTTTTTTCACGAGAATCTTTGCATTGCTGCTGTGATTTTTTACCTTTATATCTACGGATTCCAAGCGATCTACTACGCCTGGCTTGGTTACGTTTCCGAATTCGACGCCCTCGTTGACACCGCCAAAGTGAAAAATTGTATTATTGATGAAGAACCCCTGAGTGCCATATCTGTCATAAGCGGATCAGTAATACTATTTCAAGGCATGATTGTATTGTAATGGGTGTTGCTGATACCAACCGAACGGGCTCGTTATTAACCTTGCGCCATGATTTTTGGTTTAAATCAAAGACGTAGCCACGACTTGGGGGACACTGGTTGCAGGTGAGCCCACCTTGATAGAAAAATTGATCACCTTTCGAGTTGATTGGCGCTATAATAAGTCCTGAGGAAGTTTTCGGGATATCGTTGATACCCTCTACTGCAATGGTTTCCCAGGTGGCATTTGTTAAAGGTGTCGCAGCATTGTATGGAACATCCAAGGTATACACAGGAGAATTAACGTTACTGAGCGGCTCGCCACCTAAAGCAAGGAGAAAATATTATACTTCATCATGAGCCGACTCATCTGGCGCAACTTGACTCTATCAAACGAGTGAAATAATTACCGGCACAAACTATTTTCTGTAATTCTCTTGTGTAATAGCATCCTGTGAAAAGAAAATGACAAGGCAAAAACAGAAAAAAAAGTTCAGTCCATAAAACCGAGAGAGCTATGGTTTCTGTTTCTTTATTATACCTTGACCAGCACGCTTAGTATCAATTGCGCTGCCAAGGCCGACGATCGACGCAATAGCTACTAGTGATAAAAGCATCAAGTAAAAAAGACAAGAGAAAGCACAATTTCTTGAGAAATTTTCTGCCCGTCTTTTTAAAAATACTTTGTTATCGTTGAGACGTCGTACAATGTGGCTGGATGTCGTACAGCAACTTTTGTGCTCGATCATCAGAGTCCATGTCATGAAGTGTGTTACATTTTTGAGGAAGGCAAAAAGACAGCGTCAGCACCTTGAGTAGGCTCAAAATACAATGCTTGCTGGGCAAATTCTACTGAAGGAAAGCCCGCAATTTCTTGATCGGCCGAACACTCGTCGACTGTTCTGTGACGATGCGTCTAAAAAATTTAGTGTAATAGAAGTAGCAAAGTTTGTTCCTCTTAGCAGATTTTTAAGAGAGTACTTCATCTATTTGAATATGAAACATTTCAACCTGGCTTCAATATTAGAGGAACCAAAAGCCACGTAAAGCGAGCGCAGTAATTGGAGCAACATCTTGTGCATTTTGGTTCTCCGAGAATCGAGGTATTTACCAGGCATATCTGTTCTTCTAGTGGAAGTACGCAAGAGCATGGATGCGGTTAATATCAAAAGGTGAGCTTCGAACCTGGATGACAAATCGAAGCTATTCGTTTTTAAATCTGTCTCACAAGATGTTCTGGATTTAAAATGCCATAGTAATGGCCAGGCTTTTGCGGCTTTAGCTTCTATAAATAAAGACAAACGATATCGTGATATCGCACTAAACAGGATTGGCAATATGGAACGATGGAACTTTTTGGTGGTTTACTTTCGCAGAATATGGGCATTCATTGGGTAAACAAAAGTCCGTTTGCCGATTGACTTTTCAAACAACCGGATTGTTTGCGACTTCTCCTCCAACGCACCACCCAAAATAAGATAAAAGTAAAGACTTACCGTAGACCAGATACTTTTTATGCGTGTCATTTCGTATGGAATGTAGTACTTTATTGTCATGACTATCATTCAATGATAAAATTAGATTTGTCGACAATACGGTTCATAATTTTCTGCGAATGAACCAAGCGGCTCAATAAATACATGTATCCAAGTCAGAGCAAGTATTTGATTATCATTTCGCTTTCGGCTCCGCAAAGAAGCTCGGTTGTCGAGAATGTTAAAATGATATGGAAAATTCTAGAAAGCGAATTAAAAGAGGCTTCTAAGCGAGCAATGAGCGGATAAAATGCATCTCAGAGCCCGAGGTTCTGTGGATAAATACGGCCAAAGAAGCAATGTGAGATTGACTAGGAATATCAGCCTATGACGAATGCCGAATGAAAAATCCAAGTTCATGTGGAATATAGGCATTGACACAGTAGGATGATCTTTAAAGTCAAAATTGAAAAGGATAATCTTGCTTGCAGATCATCTCACTTTGCAATATGCGAGCGAGCTCGACCAAACGTGTGCACTGATGTGTTTTTTACCCGATTAGGTAATGTGAGTACCGTATCACACCGTCGAAGCAAAGGCCCCTGAATGTCAAATGTGTGTGAAGTGTCTCTCTTTTTATCTTGCTCCTTACTGTTATTTCCCTTTTGCTCCTTATCATTTCACATTGTTCCGTTGCATATGCCGCATAAACATACGTATGAACCAAAAGATCCGCGCATCATTGATGAGTATGAGGACGATTTGGATTCGGATGATTTGGACTTGGACGATTGGAGTTTGACCGGTCATTCCAATGCCATTGCTTCGCAAAGAAAAAGAAAAACGGGCACACAAGCCCTGGTGGAGTTTCTGAACAATACCAGTCCCGAGGAATTTCAGAAAAGAGTTGCGAAGCGTACACCGTCCACCCTATTTTTCCGACTGCGCCGAAATAAACAGGCTCCTAGTGTATCGACGATATCGTCGTTGGCGCCCAATGTCGTTCACCGGAAGAATTACATCGAAATCGTGGCTGGACCTACATCGACTCAAGACACTTCTGGCAGATCGATCCGTGCAAGCAAAGTACCGTCGTTTACCTCGTCCTCGCTAAGACACAGTGTTGTCAGTCAAGAGAGCCAAACATCCCCGATGTTACCTGTGAATCGAAGCAGTAGCCGTTGGGCAGACTCACTACGAGGATCCATGTCCATTAGGAGCCGTGCGAGTGGATCGATTCGTACCTCGTCTGTGTTTCGGGAGATAAACATTGAGCCGCCAACGACAGAGCATCAAGATACCAAACCCTTGACGGACAGGAGCCAGCACAAGGACATGGCAATGATAGAAACGGCTCTGGCAGAACGATTGGAGCAATTCCGATTGGCCGGCAACCCCACACTAATATCGAATGACGACGTGGTGCCTGCTTTTGCGGCTCAGCCGACACCTATTAGTCAACCCACATCACCTCCCAAGAAGGTCCGTCACATGCAAGTCCAGACAGCCACAGAAACCTCGTCGTCATTATCGTGTGGGGAAGCGGAAGCAAATACAGAGTGGACCGACACTTCGGAAGAATGTTTAAACTGCACTCAGGGTTCCGTGGGGACGTCGGTTTGTCTGGAAGAATTGCAGATGCAGCTCGTTCAGGAACAGCAGCTCTGCCGACAACTGGAAGCCAACATGGAAAATGCTTGCGACCAATTCGAAGCGCTCAGTGGTTTAGCTTATAAGAGACTACGAGAGCTTTGGGAGGAAAAGACACGATGGGAAAATGCATACATGACGCTACTGAACCATGGAACGGACAATGAGTCTGAAACGCCAGCTCATTTGTCACCATAAAAGGAAAAGTGGGGTTATATTGACTCTGGGCCGGTCCAACGGGTGTCATTGGACCACCATCTGTACCTCCGCCAATCATTTTCCTTATTTATCCATCACCCGCAAATCTAAATTTTGAAACCTCCCCCGTATTGTGAGCGATGACACACAATTTTTAAAGTTTCGCTTTTCGTCCATGGTTATATAAATGGCGGGTCTATCATCCCAAAGCGCCCTTTTCTCATCGTTTCTCTCAATTCTTTTTTTAACGTTATAATACCATTTATTTTATCTTATATAAAAAATGACGATATCTGTTGGTAAGTTCAAATTTGTGACAAATGCTGGAAGCGAGCGGCAAATGTAAATCACCTGTGTCACTGTCTGTAGACGATACATGCCCTCCCAAGGTCCTTACTGTGGACAACATGAATCCATACATTCGCAATGTGGAATACGCTGTTCGCGGAAAATTGGCTATTCGTTCAGACCAGATTCGTGAGGATCTGGAAGCTGGCGTTGGAGAATTCCCCTTCAAGACAGTGGTCAACTGTAACATTGGTAACCCTCAGCAGCTTAACCAGAAGCCCATTACATTTTTCCGTCAGGTAAATCTATAGATCCAAGGGAAGGTATGCTAGTGAGCATTTGGTAACAGATTTTTGTGATATTAGGTGGCGTCGTTATGCGAGAATCCCGAACTTCTTAGTGAAGACAAGGCACATTTGGTGTCCCAGTTATACCCAGCGGATGCTATTGCGCGTGCGAAAAAGTTGCTGGCAATGATCGGACCTAGCATTGGTGCGTATTCCCACTCGCAAGGTGTGCCTGGTATCCGACAGACGGTGGCTCGGTTTTTGGAGGAACGTGATGGTCATCCTGCGGATCCCAGCACCATCTACTTGACGCAGGGCGCTTCGTCAGGAGTCCAGACTCTGTTGACGTTGCTCACCCAAAATGACAAGACCGGTATCTTGATTCCCATTCCACAATATCCTTTGTACAGTGCTACCCTTTCGCTGGTCGGAGCCACGCCTGTGCCTTATTACCTTGATGAAGAGTCCGGTTGGTCCCTGGATATCGATAATTTGAAAACCATTGTCCGTGAAGCTCGTGATCAAGGCGTGGATGTCCGAGCCCTCGTGATTATCAACCCTGGCAACCCGACTGGTCAGTGCTTGGATTCCGACAACATGAGAGACATTTTAACTTTCTGCCACGAACAACGCTTGGTGTTGCTGGCCGATGAGGTGTATCAGACCAATATTTACGAGCCTGAATGCCGGCCATTCATCAGTTTCAAGAAGGCAATGATGGAACATCCCAACAAGAAGATCGCACAACAGCTGGAGCTTGTCTCTTTCCACTCGATCAGTAAAGGCATGATTGGTGAATGTGGACGTCGTGGTGGCTACTTTGAGCTGTGCAATTTTGATTACAAGGTGGAAGAGCAGATCTACAAGATGGCGTCAGTATCGTTGTGTCCCAATGTGCATGGACAAATTTTGGTCGATCTCATGTGCGGACCTCCACGCCAAGGCGACCCATCTTACGAATCCTATCATGCCGAGGTTCGGGAAATTTACGAATCTCTCCGTCGACGATCTAAGAAACTGGAGAAGGCTTTCAATAGCATGGAAGGTGTGACGTGCCAACCTGCTTTAGGATCCATGTACCTGTTTCCGCGTATCCGATTACCCGAGAAAGCAATTGCCAAAGCCAAACAACTGGGGATGGCGCCTGATGCTTTTTACTGCCACGAAATGCTCGAAGCGACCGGTGTTTGTGTTGTGCCTGGTGAGTCATTCTTTTCCTGAAAAGCCAAAAATATATATAAAAAAGAACAAAAAAGGGAAAAATTTATTTCCCACGGTGAGATTCGGAAATACTAATTTTGGAATGGTTCCATTTTTAGGATCTGGCTTTGGACAAGAACATGGAACATGGCATTTCCGATCGACTTTCTTGCCTCCCGAACACTTGTTCGATGACTTTTGCTCCAACCTCCAAAGATTCCATGACAACTTCCTCAAAGAAAATAGTTAAATAGAATATACACATCTTTCTATTGTTTTTTATTAAATAAGATCCATACTCGTTATATTTTTTCTTTTTCTGAAACCGAAAACAACAACAGGACCAAGAGGGAGAAAGAGAGTTTATGTTACATCGGAGAAATTATTGGGTACGTGAAAGAAGAATGAGAAATAAGAGCGAGTTTGTTTATGCGGGAGAACTGAAATTCATGTTGTTGATGAGGAGATCTGGTTTGAGGAGGAACGAGTCGCTAGTTGCGCTTGAATTCGCTGCACACGCGCTTGTGTCTCTTGCATCAACTGATTCGCACTGGTCAGTCGTTTTCGAGCATCACCCAATTTTTCAAGAGCAGGATGTAGTTTAGGAGGTTCAGCAATATCAGCAAACAGCTCCAATTCTAATTCAAATATTTCGAGTTGTTAAGCAACTACCCGCCGCAATACAACCATTTTATCTCGTTTCACAAATTCTTTTTCTTTACCTGCTATTAACCGCTCGATTTCTTTGCTCAGTTCTTCCTGACTCTTTTGAGTAGCAACGATGGCCTTATCCATATCAAGCACAAGCGGTTTCAATAGACCTACAATGCCATTTGACATTTTGTTTGCACTGTCCTGCTCCTGAATAGACGTCGAAGCATCGTCACTCTGAGCTTTTGACGTTCCTTCTGTAGCCATTTCTTCGGAATGCTCAGCATCCACAATCTGCTTCTTTAATACTTCTTGCGCTGTGGAAGACAATTCAGCCGTCTCTGCAGATCTCTCGGTTGGACTACTCATTTCATCAAACTGCTGTAAAAAAAAGAAGTGTGTCAGTATGCGTCTGCTTGGAAAATTGCGATAGTCTTGCGGAGTATAAAAAGCGAGTGATGTCAGCACTGGCCGCATCTTAAAAAAATTGTTTTTTTTTTCTTCTCGTTTTCTCTCCAAAGCCTCTTTGTCGATCCAATACATGTAGGCATAGATCCTGACGGATGAGTGAAAATGGGTTCATTGACACTGGATAATAGATACAATGGCGGAGAATAGCAAACCTCAATTCGCGCTTCCCAAGATCTTCGATTGTGAAGGTGGATGGGGTCCCGTCACTGACGTGATCCCTCCTCAATTCCGTGACATTCCTTATGCACCTTACAGCAAGGGCGATAAGCTGGGTCGCGTGGCTGACTGGACTAATCCCGATGGTCAGAAGCAAGACAACCGCGAAGTGCAAGGACGTCAAGGCCGAGCTGGATTCAACCGTTTCAACAGAGGTAGGCACGAGAAAAAAAAATGGGAATCGAGTGTGAAATTTTCCTCTCAAGAATGATTATACTCACTGGGCAATTGGAAACAGAACAACAAGCTTACGGTGCCGCTTTCGCTTCTGCATTCACATACACCCACACCGAGGATGAATCTTCCTTCTCAGTTGTCGATAACCGTTCTGCCATTGCCAAGAAGATGGCTCTCAAGACAACCAGCGGCATCCGCAACCGTCCTCAGAACAAGCAACAGCAGACCACCAACTACCGTAACGCCGGCCAACGTCCTATGGCCGGTGGCAGACAGCAGCAAAACCGCAGACGCTACGGCTACAAGGATTACGATAAGCCCCAACGTCTCCGAAACGCATCGATTACTATTGGCGCTGACTGGAAGGTTTTGGATGAGATCGAGTTCAGCCGCTTGAGCCGTTTGAATTACCCTATCCCTCAACCAGTGGATGTGTAAGTGTTATTTCACCATGATACTTTTCTTTTGCTTTTATTTCAATGTAGGAGATGGTTGAATCGCTAACGCCTGTCTTTTTTTCTTACAAAGTGCCACTTATGGTTCTGTCAACTACTACAACAAGGCTTATGATCGCGTCAACACAAAGAACGAAAAGCCTCTTCATCACATCGATCGTGTCAAATACGAACCTACTACGTCCGAAGATCCTGTTATGCAGCAATTCGTTGAACAAAACAAGGCTACGGTATTCGCCACCGATGCCGTTCTGTCGCTCTTGATGTGCTCTACCAGAACCGTGTATCCTTGGGATATTATTGTGAAGAAGGAAGGTGACAAGGTGATCTTGGACAAGCGATTCGGTGGTGTCTTCGACTTTGTCACTGTCAATGAGAACACATACGATCCTCCTGCCGAGAACGAGAAGGATACCATCAACTCATGGTCAGCTTTGAGCACAGAAGCCACTGGTATCAACCGCAACTTCTGCCGACAAGTATTAGAGCAAAAGAGTGTCAACTTTGAAAATGCCAACCCATTCGCATCCGACGATACCAAGGACCGATTGGCATCATGTGGATACCGTTACCGACAGTTTGATCTCAGCAATCCTGGTCAGTCCGAGGATGAAGAACCTATTCACATGATTGTCCGCACTGAAGTGGATGCGGCTATCAAGATGGGTAACCAGACCTCGTACGCCACTATCCGTGCTTTGAACGAATTCGATCCTACTGCTCAGGGCGCCGGTGGTGCTCTTCCATGGAAGAAGAGCTTGGATTCTCAGCGTGGTGCTGTCGTGGCTACCGAAATGAAGAACAATGCTGCTAAATTGGCTCGCTGGGCTGTTCAGGCTTTGTTGGCCGGCGCTGACCAGTTGAAGCTCGGTTATGTCGCTCGTATGAACCCCAAGGACAACTCACGCCACGTCATTTTGGGTACCCAGGCTTACAAGCCTCGCGATTTTGCTGCTCAGATGAACTTGTCCTTGACCAACGGTTGGGGTATTGTCAAGGCTGTGGTTGACATGTGTCTGCAGCTGCCGGAAGGCCGTTACGTATTGATGAAGGATCCTAACCGACCTATTCTTCGAATCTACGTTGTTCCTGGCGAGGAAGATTTGCAAGAGTATGATGAGGACGACGAGGGAACCGAAGCTGCTGAAGAACCCGAGAGCCAAAAGTAGATCATGATGTAATCGAACTCCAAATTATTCATATTCAAAAAGAGAAAAAATAACAATCAATAGCATTTTGAAATTTTTGTGTGGCTATGGCAATAAACACATACCAAATTACTTTTTTGCATGTATGGGATTTCGGCTTGTTCTTTTCTGGGACTTTCCCATTCATTGTGAATAACAAGCCGTTCATTCATTTCTGGATGTCACCCTCTTACATTGAGCGACTTTTATCAGACAAACTCTAGAGCATAGGCATAAATCCGGGGCGAGACTCTGGACGGAACTTTGGTATATCAATGCAATACTCTGGGTCCCTACTTTGCATTATTTTATAGAGATTATTATTTTTTCCACATAGCAATGATGTTGTCAGCCGATATTTTGTAGACCGATCATATGTCAGGGCCGTCGACAATTCAACCTAAGATTTGCTCAATTTTCACCAACATTTATCAGACTTGTCATTGTCAGTAGCAGTGTCGTATGTATGATCATCATATTCGCCATTATTTGAACTGTCATAACTTGAGTAAATCCATGTCCACATGGTTGCTTAAATGGCGCATACTATCTGTGCTCTCTTATTTAAACTGCGAGATATTGTCTGCATTGGATTTCATAGGAATTTGGTGAAGGAGCTTATTTTTACCAAACTCCCAAGCTTCTTCTGGATGCAATACTCGGTTATCGTTGATGACAATGTCAACCGTCGCGTGTCCGCGCTGACCGAGATGCTTCGAAAGATTTAGTAGTTTACTGTGACGAGAGGTTCATATTTTCGCTTATCACACTCGAACTTATGACTAGCAATCTTCGCTTTTGTACAATCAAAATGAGCGCCAAATACAAAGGCGGCAACCCGCATTTATAAAGACGCAGGTGGTGTGAACAAATATTTTTCATCTTCCTTCATTTACTAACCCCAAAGGAGTAAAGGACAACTGTGGTTGTGAAGCGAGCATGTCCTGGCAAACCGCAAGAAGATCAATAACGCTCGAAGATAATATGGATTTATTTTACGGAAGAAGAAGAAAGAGAAAAAGGAACAGGCCTAGATAGCAAAGCAAACACGACCTGTTTGATCCGTGTATCACTGGTCTATCCATTCATAAAAGGAAACACAAATCATGAGCCATAATTCAACATCCGCTTAGATCTTATCGTAAATCATGTGATTACATCGGATTTAACCAATCAACATCCATTGACTTTGAACTACCCAATCATCTGCGGTAATTTGTCGGCAAACCAATGTGACGGTCAAATAAAAATTAATAAGGCAATTGGCGCAGCTCTTCAGGAGGTGGCTCAAGGACGGGCAACTGGACCTTTCCCTGGTTGCAGCAAATGGCAAACCGAGGTTCTTGACAGGTTCCAGCTACTTTTTCGGCCTCCCAGCCTTTGGCTCCACAGGAAACACAGCCCAAGGTCATGCTGCCATTGTCCATTACTCCATCAACGTTGACGTTCGGAGATCGAATTGAGGCGCCTCCTTGGAAGTCTTCAAAGGAGATGCGGGCGGTATTGTGGGATGGTCCTACTGATAAAACCAACGTAAATGGAAAATATAAGCTCTTAATGCACGCCACGTTTAGAGGAGCTTTGAAGAAAATACATATCTTCCGTAGTTGAAGACACAGGAGCAAGTGGGACGGTATCCTCAACGTCGGATGGCTCAACTGTAGCCACACGATGGGAAAATATAAACTTAATGCTTGCAATGTCAGAGGAGTTTCGAAGAAACCTCCAGACCTTCCATAATTGAAGGCACTGCCGCAAGTGGAACGGTATCCTCAACGTCATCTGTCATATTTCCAAGATTTAAAGGGACAGAGCGAGCTTGCCACGCGTTTTGGTGGTCTGTACGGCCACATTGACAAAGTAGAACTATCGGGATCTCAGAAATTGGAAAATATCCAAGACAACTGTATACAACGCGGCATATTTTTGAATAAACTACTTCCTTGTTGGGTGACTTGAATAAACTCAGCAATTGTATTCATGCGATTCAACGGACACCGTGAACTCGTCATTCTTTGACGATCCGTACGTCCACATTGGCAGCGTCTGGTAAGGTCTATTTGGATTTCGAGAATTTGTTTAAAAAAATGCATTTTGAAAAATTATCAAGTAAAGCGTATAACTAATTTATATGCTTTAAGCCAATTAAAGTAACATTGTGAAGAGACATGAAAACTGCTGCACTTGTGCTTCTTGAATAAACTGTCCAGTAATTGTATTCCTGGGATTCAACGGACACCAAGCGCTGGTAATTCTTCGATAATCCGTACCTCCACAACGGCAAGGCATATTGTATATTATTTTTTTTAGTTGTGATAGGATATAACTAAATTAAAAATCAAAAGCAATCTTTTCTCTTTTATATACTGTCGGACAGTGTGTGGGTAACGTCCCTTTTTGGGTGGATTGTTTTTTTACGAAACAGTAATGTGGCAATAGTCCCAAAAAAAGGCAATAAAAAAACCCACAACATTGTTATTTTCGATTATGAAATCCCAAAGAGGCAATGTGACATTGCTTATTTTATTAATTAAGGGCGCTCTTTTTGTTGTCGATTCTTCTACTTAAACAAGAACAATTTTCTTAATAAGAGGGCGCTCTTTTGCTAAAAAGTTGATTCTTCTACTTAATCATGAACAACAACGAACTTCAAGCTATTCAAACGTACTTGCAAGAAATCACTCGTACACTTGTAGAGATGGTTCCTCGACAGAACGAGTTGGTTGCTTTGCTCAAGAACCGCGTTCAAGTTCCTCGTCAGCAAGTAGTTGAAGAGGCACGGTGTGATGTCTAACATGACCTTGCATTCACTTTTGGCTGCCAATTGCGAAGCTTCTGCACAGGAGCATCATACAGAAGAGATTGTGGAAGCTTCACGAGAAAACGTGAGTGTCTAAACAGAAGTTTATCCACTAGCAGAAACAAGCCAAGCTTATGGTAAGCATACTTGAAAACGAAATCCCACTGTATCGTATCACGATAAATTATCAACATGCACGTACTGATTTTGAACCTTGCTCTACTACATCCATCCCAACAATCTTGCCTGAAGATGTTGATCTGACATGGCTAGACTTCTCTGACGGTAAGTGTCCTTATCGTATGAATATGATACATGTACGCAGACGTTATATAGTTGAAAATGATAGATTTTGGACCCGATTCTTCCCCTTTTGATGGAGACGGCAAAGGCATAAGCCGTCGCCATTACCTCAGAGCACGAAAGTAATTATTCAAAAAAAAAATATGACAAGTTCCTATATGTTAACAACTACCGATTTATAGATTTTGAACATCACCGAAACGTCTGCTCGAATTGCGGAAAGTCCGGGCACCTCAGATCATCCAATAAACTTTGCGACAATTATAAACAAGGCGCACAACATTGACACCATTGAAGCGCAAATCAATCGTCAAGACCCCATTGCGCAATATTTGCAAATATCCAATTTTGATCGAAGCCATTCAAGACATCGTCAAGCATGTACGAGACGTCACCTACGTCGGCACTCTTTTTGCCAATTTTTTTCGTTTTGTACTGCCTTACCAACGATATCCCATTGCCGCAATGTTCCCACGATTTTCTCTACAACATTTTTGCTATCATTACGAGCAAAGGCAAAAAAGCATCACCGACCATCAAAACCGCATACCAAGAATTTAAATCGCACATCCCTAGATATCACGAAGCCAATTTTCAAACCCGAGGCTACTCAACCGTTATATTTGAAGATGCGAAAGAATACCATACATCCGTCCAGCAACATATTTTGGACAACTACCCCGAGAAAACGAAGCACTAAATTTTTGTCCGCTTTTACGATACCTAAGATCCACTTTTTGTCGAGGGAGTCACCGTGGCCAAAAGACGTACGATTGCGAAATACATTTTTGAACAAGCTGCCAATGACACCGCCGCTCCCGTCAATTTTCCGAAAAATGTCAGCCGGTCACAGCATCCCATCAAAGCATTCAAAATTTAGTCAATATCATCAAGTCCAAACCCGGCAAGAAAACCAGCGAGGATTTTGTCAACAACCCGCATCTCTATATACCCCATATGCATGAAATTTTGGAGATATTCGAGCAAAAATTTTTAATCCAAGAAGAAGCCCTTCAGAATTTTGGTTCGAATGCTTACGTTCATAGACATGTGAAAGAGGTAAGTAAAAATCATTGGCACGCATTGATGGTGTATCACTAAAATCGAAATAGATCACAAAAGATACCCATTTATCAAAGACATTTTTTGCATCGTTGAATGTCTCAGTCCGGGAAGCCATCCGCAACAAACAATTTTGAACCTTCCTACTCGAGTTCGAGCCCTTCCTGCCGAAATTTTGAACCAGCTTCACCAGTTCATCGACGAAGCTATCACCGCCATCGCCAGCACCAATTTTCGGCCCGAAAAATATACGGATCCAAAAGGCACACTTTTGCCTGTTTATTGTTACCAAATGCGACATGTCCAATTGGACCGACAATCGTTTTCTCGAATGTTGACCATTGTTGCTGTCAGTTACGCCGGTTCTTCTTTTGCGCCGATTAGATTTGCTATACCAAGGTTTAGCAAATACGGAAGACAGCGCATTGGCTCGTCCGCAGATCGATGTCTGGAGGAACCTTCGAGAAGGTATGAAGGACCAATGGATGAACGAGGCATACCAAAGGTATTGCCTGGAAAAAGGAAGAAATATAGGCCGAATCCGTTCAGCATTAAAGTGGCCCGGAATACTTCTTGGTTTGTCTGTTTCGGAATAAATCTAGAAGATTTGCAGGAAGTCTGCGAGAACCTTCCTGAAAATGTAGACATAGAAAAATGTGTCTTTGTAGAAAATATAAATATGACCATGTTATGTAATACAGACAACAATCAACTACAGATTTAAACTGAACTCTAAAGGAGTAGTCAAATCTGACATTGCGTCCAAAAATATTTCATACTGAATACTCAAATATGTGTTTATCCACTTTCAAATAAAACGCTCTTTCTAACCTCAACTTCAAGTTTGCAATACTGAACCATAAAACTAAGAAACCGACTAGGAATCAAAAAAGAACTTATCGAATGATGGGCCACGAAGCGGCCTTTCCCGCTCGAATAATTTTATAAGAATTGTATGATACAAAAAGGAAAAAGAAAAGTTAAGTAATAAGGAGCAAAAGAAAAAATAAGAGCTTCGCTGAGATGATGATCAATTTGCAATTGCGAAGAAAGAAAGAACAAGTAAAAAAAAAAAAAAGAACCACGTTATGTTTACAATAAAAGAGCAAAAAGATGGAAGAAGAACGAACAGTTTGCTATACAGTAAAAAGAAAATGCAAAAGAGAGAGGAAAAAGAAAGGCGCCGTTCCTCGTTTTGCGCATAGCACACAAATCAAGAGTCGAGCAAACTACTGTACAAAGCGCAAAGAATAGGCAGGCCCACAAGTCATTATACAGGAGCAGGACGACCATCGGCTTTTCCACGAGTAATGTCGTATGATCGTGGAGCAGGTGCGTATATGTCCTCCTGTAAGTAATCGTGGATGTTGTCATACTTTGAGGCAGCTATCAATTTGTGCGCTACCATGACGGCTTTTGGGTCATCGGACATGGTCTTGACGTCACGGAGAATATGATTGACCGCGGCTTCCCATCGAAGACGAGAGTAGCTGACGGTGTGAACGAATTCATCGTCGTTATTCTCGCTCCAAAAGTAGGGTATATGGTTGGGTAACAGACGGATCAAGGTACCGGCAGGGATGGAAAGCGATCCAATGCCAATCGTAAACAGCCACTGAGACGTCGTCAATGGAACAGTCTTGAAAGCCAAGCCGCCATACTGGACAATGAGCACTTGACCAATAACGGTGAATGCCTGAATAGCCAGGAACAGGTAATCGTGACGAACGCCGCGGAGGATGTTCAGATTATCATCGATACGTCTGTAAAAAGAAGAAAAGCAAAAATGAGCAAAACATGTAGGGTAAATTTGGATGGGGCTAGCTAGCAAAATCCTTACCTGCAGTTCAACTCATTAAAGACTTGCAAAAAGACAAAGACGTTGAATACCATGGTACGGAGAATGCGATTGTCTTCCACCGAGTTGGACAGGCCAAAGACGGAAGGACCGTGAGTCATGAGGAGCAAGTTGACGAAAATCTGGAAGATAGCTTGACCGATGATCATACGACTCATGCGCCAGTTGATGAGACTAGAGTCCTTGCGCAGTGGTCGACGGTTAATCAATTCATCGGAGAGGGGTTCGGTGGCAAGAGCGAGAGCAGCAAAAGTATCCATGATCATGTTCACCCAGAGCAACTGGACCGCGCTGAGAATGGATTCCGATTTTTCTGACACTACGGCGCTGACAAAAGAAAGAACGACGGCTGCTACATTCACGGTGAGCTGGAATGTCAAGAACTTTCGTACACCATCATTGACAGCACGACCCCACTTCAAGGCTTGCAATATGGAATTGAAATTGTCATCCATCAAAATAATATCAGAAGCTTCTTTGGCTACCTCGGTACCGGTAATACCCATGGCAAAACCAACATTAGCCATCTTGAGAGCAGGTCCATCGTTGGTGCCGTCACCAGTCATGGCCACTACTTCATTCATCTCTTGCAACCGAGACACGATAATGGTCTATTTTGCCAGAGTTTAGTACCCTCTGTCGATGCAGCAAGAGCCCAAAAAAACGCCCTACCTTGTCAATGGGTGATGAGCGGGCAAGCACCTGCAGACGGGGAATTACACGTTGTTGTTCGGTGGTAGAAAGTGCACGGAAGTCGGGGCCTGTCATAGCAATGCCTCCGGCAGTCAAGATACCGCATTCCTTGGCGATAGCTTTGGCAGTCTCAATATTGTCACCGGTAATCATACGAATGAATACACCAGCACGACGGAAGGCTTGGACCGATTCGATGACTCCTGGACGCAACTGATCCTGAATACCAACAATGCCTAGGAAAATAAGATCATTGACAGGAGCATCGTCTGGGTGAAATGCTAACGCCAAGCCAAACAAACACAGATTAGTAAGACAGAAGCAAGCAAAACGATGAATCATGATAAATCGAGCCGGATAAAACACTTACATGAGAAGGTAGCATGATCTACGTCTCGGTAAGCCAAGGCCAACGTTCTGAGCGAGCGTTCGGCGTATTCGTTTACAAGCATCTCATGGTGCAAGCGGGTACATTGATCCAAGGGCTTGACCTTTCCTCTAAGATCGATATAATGGGTGCATGCCTTGATAATGGATTCAGGGGCTCCCTTGGAATACAGACGATATGTATTTCGATCAGGTGATGGTACATTGCTGTCATTGACTTGAATGACGGTGGTCATGCTCTTGACAGTCGAGTTGAAAGGATACACGTTGGCGATCTTGCTTGAAGATCTGAATATCGATGTTGAATTGAGTATATCAATTTCATATCGAGTGCTGAGATGTGAGGGATTTTTACCTGATTTGCTGATAAGAGTAGCCTAATTTTCGACTGAAATCAATGAGAGCGGACTCGGTGGTGGAGCCAACAAACTTGGTGACACCTTCGGGCGATCGTCCTTCAAAAGCTGTAGAGTTGATGGCAATGCCTTCGACGAGCAGATCTAAAGCAATTGGGCTCACTTGATAACGCCAACGTTGCATTTCGGACACCTTGGTGAATTGTTTATCTGCCAATGTAGCGGTGATTACGGTCATCTTGTTTTCTGTCAAAGTGCCTGTTTTATCTGAGCATACAGCCGTAGCATTGCCCATGGTTTCGCTAAAACAAAAAGCGATTGAATGACCGGGTTAGAAAAATACGAGGATGGAGTAGGAGCGAGGGGGGGACCTTACCAAGCGGAAAGATGACGCACCAAGTTGTTGTCCTTTAACATCTCGGTTGTGGCGAATGCGAGAGCCAGGGTGACGGCCATCGGAAGGCCTTCCGGTACAGCGACGACAATGACAGTGATCGCTTGAATCACCATTGTGATCAGCTCGCTGAGCAATTCATTGGTGGAGACCCAGTGATTGGAGACCGTGCTCAAGATGACAAGCTTCAACAACAGGACACTACAAAATGCAGGCAATAAAAAGGGCAATTGTTGAGTGGGGAGGAACAGTGAATAGGACCTATTGCCGGAAGTTAAAATATTTTACCCAAACATCAGACCGGCTGCAGCGAAACCGAATTTCGCAATTTGATCGGCAAGCACATTGAGTTTCAGTTGCAGAGGGGTTTGATCTTCGGAAGAATTGCGCATCAACTAGAAACGATATTGATACGTTAAATTATCAAATGAGAAGAAACCCAACCATATGCGCATTTACCGTCATGGCTCGACCGTAGAAGGAATTGGTGCCAACCGCAATGACAACAACCTATTCGGAAGATGAAAATTGATGAGGACAAAAGAAGCACGTCGTCACTGAACGAGATGTTTACCTTGGCCACACCTTGCAGGATTTTTGAACCACTCAATAATACACAGTCGCCTTGGAGGTCGGTGTTTTTCTTGACTGTATGCGATTCACCGGTAGCAGTGGATTCATCGCAGCGCAAATTATGTCTACAAGGACGTGAGAAAGTCGATAAGAAGGCGGTTACATTCACGACGAAATAGTGCGTATCGGATAAATGGCATTTTCAATTGCAATGCAAGCTTACCCTTCAATGTACAGACAATCGACATTCAGCATATCTCCCGGTTCAACGAACATGATGTCGCCGACCACAACCTCCTGAATGTGAATTTGCTGGGCGATACCGTCACGCATGATCTAAACAATTCATTGCAGCCATGTCAGTCCCTTTTCCATACAGGTTGTTTCGGAAACATAAACATTGGTTAAAAAGAATGACAAGAAGTCGAAAATGTACCTTGACGGGACGTTCTTCCTTTTTAGCATTCAGTTTGCGGAACTGTTTCTCTTTTTCATAATCATTCATGGCATCTAGGTAAAGAACAGGTAAGCCATCATTGTGGTTGTCGTTGTTTACAAGTTGTGCCATGCATGTTACTTACTGGTTATGACGACGACAGCAACTGCAACAAGGATTGCAACCCCGTCAACCCTAAATTATACGTGTAACCGTCACGGAAAAAAAAAAGAGACGAAGCACATATTTAGACTCATTCTCATAAAATTTGGCCGGTGGCTCAGCGCGAGAGCAATTCAGGGTCGGTATTCCCTTACCATCCAACTTTGGGTTCATCCACTGGATGATTGGCAGAATTGTCTTCCCAGAGACCCACGGCCAAAGATACGACAGAGGCAATTGTCAACATGACTATGAGAAACAAGCAATCTCGGTGAGCGGAAAAACTTTTTTCTTTTTTCGGCCAAGAGATATGAATCAGGGAAAAAAAAAAAAAAAAAACTTACTGAGGGTTTGATCGTTGTAAGCGGCCCAAAGTAGGGACCAAATTGTTTTGGCGGGCGCTTCAGGGATTTCGTTTCTGCCAAATAAAGCTTTCCGTTCTGCAAAAGGCTCGGTGTCGTTGGATTTCACAATACCATAACAGGGATCGAACGTTTCATCGGCAAAGAGACCGACGGTGGGATCGACTTTCAAAGCCTGACAGATTCCGTGTGTGCCACCGAGATCGGCAAGTAGCGAAGGATGTTTCAGATCAACAAGCTGGCACAACTGGGCGGCCGAGACCGAGAAATTTTTTTTTGAACGATGTTCGTGAGGTATCAAGGGTGCTGTCGAATCAGATAATTGAGGCGGCATGATTTCAAAGAGCAAAAAAAGGACAAATCAAAAGAGAAAAAAAAAAGGTAGATGTGATAGCAGAGACGCTAGTTTTAGGCAAACAATGATGGTAATACGTGGATGTAGACGTGGATATGTGTATGCATATATGTAATATATGGAATGCGTATAATATATCTTTTTTCTTTCCTTGATAGAAAACCTGGAACAAAAAAAGAAAATAGTATTTGATCGCAATGGATGGTTCGGCCAACAGAATTGGGATGTATATATATATATATATAAAATGTGTAAGAAAAAAAATAAAAAGGAAAAAGAAAAAGTTTAAGGGGCTTTATAACAAGAGCCGAAATAAGATGATGAGACAAAACCCAATATTTTTTTTCCTTTGATATTTTTTCAAGATGATAAACATAAATAAAGAAGACCTGCAAAAGAGCAAAACAAAGCTGTGGAATGGAGGGGAAAAAAATAACAATATGAGGAAAAAATGGTAATTGAAGGGCGGTAGATTAGGCTGTTCAAGTTTGCCACACTGATTATATGTTTCATGATGAAATTTTGGGCACCGCGCACCTTTTGTGGAACCTTACTTCAACTCTGGAGTACTCCATAACATGGCACAGTAGCTTCAACCCCGTTTCCTATGCCGGCTTCGATAAGAACATTCTATCAAACGAGCCAAGCTCCGAAGAAAGTGCTCGTACCATACGAAACACAACTAGGAGATTGGAGGCAGGCTACTAAAGCCGTTTTCAAGTAAGTAAAAAAAAGGATGATCTATTTTCAAGTCTAGTTTCATTTACTATTTCACATTTAGTAGTTCTATACTGCCATCATCACTTGACTTGGTGTTCCCATGTCCCTTTCTTTTCGTTTTCCTTTCCGTGTGCTTGGCTGTCTTGGAACACACGTAATTTTTTTTTTTTGATCTGCATCTCATTATAGTCACATTGAAATCAAGCGAATGTTTCCTTCCAAACACTGAGGTCATTCTTATCGTGCATTAACAATATCATTCAAAGTTTCATTTTTTCGCTTTTTCGCATTTGTCCTCCAACACATGAAATGCGCCCAAGCGAAATCCAAACATACTCTAACACCGATCGAAAACCTGATTTTAGTATTTATTGTTTTTTTTTTTTTTTTTTCTCTCAACTTTGTTATTGTTTATTTATTTTGCAAACGGTTTATGATCATCACAGAAAAATTAGAACGGTTCGTGCACTAATGAAAGCAACGTCAAAAAGGGATGAACAAAAAAAATTCGGTCACGTGGCCCCGAGATCGCCCTCGATTTTTTTGGCCGGTGCATTTTTTGATTCGGAGCATGTGAGCGCGTGCTTTTTGTCCTGTGGCAAGTCAAACCCCCTTGATCAAACATGCCTTCGCGTCAAAATTCAGTCGATACAACACCACCCAGTGACCCCTCGGCGATTCGTGAAAGCAAACGGCGTCGCGTTGACACTGATGTGGACGATTCAGGAAGTCTCTCCGTGGAAGATAGCGAGACAGAAAGTGTCAACGAGCACATGCCAGTAGCGCCCATGACAGTGGGCGAAGACGGGTAAAAAACAAGATTGATCCAATACGCAGATGGCAAATGGACTGACTTGCTCGATGGGTGATAGTTTCGTGGAAGGATCGATCGTGAAGATCATATTGCGTAATTTTGTCACTTATGATTACTGCGAATTCCATCCAGGGCCACAACTCAATATGATCATTGGTCCCAATGGTACCGGTAAATCCACCATTGTATGTGCCATTGCGCTTGGACTTGGAGGATCCACGTCTTTGCTGGGTCGTGCCAAGAATATTGCCGAATTCGTTAAAACAGGAGAAAACGAAGCCATGATCCGCATCGAACTGAAAAAGACAACTGGACCGAATCTAGTTATTCAACGCAATATACAAAAAGCAAATAATGCCACCTCTTGGCGCATGAACAGTACGGACACACATCGGTTTACATCATGGGAAGAAAACATTCGGCTTAACCGGATTCGTTTTTTTTTTTTTTTTTTTTTTTTTTTTTTTTTTTTTTGGTTCTCTAGACAGACAAACCAGTCTAAAAGAAGTGCTTTCAGCTATTGCACGGTTGCACATTCAGGTGGATAATCTTTGGTAAGTCTGATGGAACGATCTGATCCGTATCTCATTCAGAAACTGATGGCTTTCTCGTAAACAACAAAAAGTCAATTTCTGCCACAAGACAAAGTCGCAGAATTCGCTCAGGTAGGTTGCAAAAACCCCATGATCCGCCCTGTTCCTCTTGGCGCGCGGATTTCTAGTTTTTCCTTTTTTTTTTTCTGCTGCTGACATGTTTTTTTTTCTCTCATCTTTCTCCTTATTCATTTAGCTGTCTCCTTCTCAACTGTTGGAGCGAACACAAACAGCCGCAGGCGAACATAATCTGACAGATTGGCATCAACAGCTGATCGTTCATCGGCAGAAACAAAAGGAACTGGTCAAGGTACCATTTGATTTACATTCCTCCGTGTTGATAGGTACCTCGTTCTTACACACTACCTAATGATGACGGCTGTAGACCCATGAATCCGACGAGAATCATTTAAAGACGCTCGAGGGTCGAAATGCAGATCTGGAAAGGGATATCCTGAGAATGCGTCAGCGAGAGGCCATCATGAAAACCATTGCTTTACTCAAGGCGAAGTTGCCTTTGGCCAAATATTCCGATGCAAAAAAGAACTATGAAGATATGCGCGAGCAGTTGGATGCCAAGCAAACGGAATTGCGTCGTCTGGAAGCCGAGCTGGCCCCCGTTCAAGAAGCTGTCACGTAAGTACCCACTGGATTGGTCGTAATAATAATTGATCATGTCCTTGACCCATTTTTTACTTACAGTGCCTGTGATCGCGATGCCAAGCAAGCTTCAAATGAAATGAACTCCCTAAAAGCATCCGTCAATGAGCACGAACGTAAACTTAAGAAAGTGTATGACACTTTTGAAAAATCAGTAAGTGTAACTTGGTTTGTCTTCTGTTGGCTCGTTTCATAATTAAACTTATTTGAACACCAACTCCACAGAAAACCGATACCCGATCCATCAAATCCCAAATCAACAATGTGAAACGACGTGAACAACAACGTCAAGAGGAAATGGCTAGTCTGGAAGAAAAGATTGCTCGGTTACAAAGCAAACTCGGTCGTGAACCTCCTACAGAAGACACTTCCGCTCTCGACGACGAAATTGTAAGGAAATGAATCTTTTTGATGATTGATCCATTCTTCTTACTTGCCGCTTTTTTTTTTTTTTTTTTTTTTTTTTTTGGATGACATAGACCGCTCTCAATCAGCAATTAAGCAATTTGCAGGGTCAGTTTCAAGATTTACAGGAAGAGTACAACACTCTTACTCGGCAAAAGAACGCCAAGCAAAAAGAGGTGGACGAGAAATTGAGGGAGTAAGTTTCAGTATCAAGACGGGTCCTGTGATATGGATGGGGTCGAATGATATCATAAAAGGATGCTAATGTTTACCTTTTTGTCTTTTTGATTGTTTATTTGTTAGGCAAAAAAACCTTATGGATGTTATGCAAATGCGGGCAAGAAAATTAGCCCGGAACAACGCTGATACATATGAAGCTTGGAAGTGGCTGAGAGAAAACAGAAACATGTTCAGGGGACGAATTCACGGGCCCTTGTTGATGCAACTCAACTTGAAGGATCGCCGTTATGCCGACGCTGTGGAATCTGCTCTCGGTGGAGAAAAAGGGTCTCATCTCAGAGTAAGTAGAGGGGCATACTCAAAACAACAGATTGAAAACAACAGGCGGTGCGGGTATCCCTGACCAATGTGATTGATAAACCCTCTGATCACGTTGTTAGACTTTTGTGTGCGAGTATAAGGAAGATTATGAATTGTTTACACGAGAAGCCGTCGATAAAAAGGGGTGGCGACTCACTGTTTCATGGCCTGATCAGTTGGACCCCAATGGTGTCAAACCGCCCATCTCCGATGAAGAGGTAAGGTGTTACATGAACCACAATAAGCCCCTCCAACTTACACATATCATTTCCCCTTTTCTAGCTTAAGCAACGCTTCGGACTCGATCATTTCATTGTGAATCTGGTGGATGCGCCCCCCATTGTTATTTCGTATCTCTGTCTACAAGCAAAGATCCATTTGATTGTAAGTGGGGGCTTTGTATATGGTATGTCTAATAAGAAAGTCTAAAATTGTCGAATTTCAAAATCGCACAGCCTGTATCACTACAAACAGTGGATGAAGCACGCATGTCCAATTGTGGTCTGTTCCAACGCTACATTATGGGAGACAACACCTATATTGTAAAGAGATACTCCTATGGATCCGGCGGAAATCAGACGACTGTACGCAAGATTGAACGAGCCACCGTGCTCAATGATTCATGTAAGATGTTACTCACCGGCTTTTAACCATATGTTACTAATCTTTATCCATACTATGTTTGAATATAGTGGATAACGATGCACGCCAGCGCATTCAAAACGAACTACAAGCCTGCAGAGCAGAGATAAGCAGCATGGACAGCGGGTTCCAGGAACTCCTCTCCAAGAAAGAACGTTTAACGTCCAGAGAACATGAATTGAGACGAGTAAAGGTAAGGCTTCTATACGGCGTGACCAGCGTCATTTGATTTCAGTGATTGACGATACTTTGCTCTGTAGGAGGAGAAACGTGAAGAAAAGAAAGAAAAACAAAAAGTCAGATTGAATTGGAACCGTGCAAAGATGCAATTAGGTAAACACTGGAAAGATGTACTACAAGTGAAGCAACTGTAGGATCGCTGACGGGGTATCTGTGGCGTGCTGTAATAGAATCCTATCAAGAAGATCGTGAAGCAAGATTACGCAAGCCCCAGGATGATCGTGAACAGATCGAGGAGCTGGAACAACAGATTCTTGATCAAGCAAAGCAGCGAGCCAACTTGACTGCAAAATACAAGGTGAGCAGATTTTTCGCTGCAGAGCTTGATAGTGTACAACATTTGTAACAATTGACTTCTAGGAATTGTTGGCGGATTATGTGTCACTTGTGTTGAAACGCAATGTTACATCGATCAAGGCGCTTCAATCCCACTTAAAACTCGGCCACTTGAAGTCCTTCTCTCGTACGCAACTTACTACTTTGGAAAGTGCACGATTGGCCTATTCTCAAGGTACACTCAAGATCGCCGCCGAGTTTATCTCACATGACAGAGGTTAATCATCTATTTTTTTGTCACAGCTCAAAGGGAATGTCAAGCACTAAAGGATAAAGCGCTTCGCTTCTATGAAGAGGCGCAGCAAGCGGGTAACGAGCTCATAGACGAATTTGCTGAAGAGTTCAACGAGGTATGATCAATCAACTGCAGTGTATATATCATTGTCAGCCTTGGTTAAAAACAGGTTTTATTCTAGGTGTTCGAGGCGTGGAAGCGGGAAGGATTGTCACAGACCCAGGTGGAGATTGAGGATGCGATTAATGCCGAGCAAGCCAAGGTGGACGCGCTCAAATTGGCTAATCCTCGTGCTATGGAACAATATGAAACAAGAATGGCAGAGGTAAGTTTTTTTCCCGGTTTGAAAACTGTTGCTATGTTATCATTTGATTTGTTTACTCACCATTGCATGCAGATCCGAAGACTTAAGAAAAAAGCCGAGGCTGATAAGAGACAGCTTGAGACACTGGAAAAAGAAATCACAGATGTTAAGGTAGGTGGGCTGCAACGAGCCACACGGGGAAAGGTCACTCAACAAAAATTTCCATTTTATCCATAGTCGCAATGGGAGCCGCGTTTGGTGACGTTAGTAGCGCGAATAAGCGAAAAGTTCTCGCAAGCTCTGCAACGTAAGTTCGTTTGGATAAAATGGGGTGCATTTTGAAAAAGGTACTAATCGGATTGATCCTTCTATGGTTAGGTATCGGATGTGCAGGTGAAGTTTGCGTTAGTCGGGATGATGACTTTGATAAATGGGGTATTGAGATCCGTGTTAAATTCCGGTAAGTAATTTATGCATGCAATTTGCAATGCATTATGATCATTGCGCGCCAGTAATACTCATCGAGGGAAAAAAAACAAAAACAAATATTCTTTTTGTTTGTGTTTGTTGTTTATTTTTTATTTTTTTTTTATCGCCAGTGATCATGAAAAGCTTCAGCTTTTAACCGGCCAACGTCAATCGGGTGGAGAGCGAGCTGTATCGACTATTTTGTACTTGATGTCCCTGCAAGAATTGGCGAGAGCGCCATTCCGTGTGGTCGATGAGATCAATCAGGGCATGGATCCTCGCAACGAACGAATGATTCATAAACAAATCGTGGAAGACGCGAGCAAGGCCGGCACAGCACAGTACTTCTTGATTACACCGAAACTGCTGCCGGATTTGTATTATAATGAACGTATGCGTGTCCTCTGCATCTACAACGGTGAATGGCAACCCAAGAACCTAAAGCCAGCTTCCGAATATTTACGGCGAGCACGAACAGCAGCTGCAGTGTAACCCCAGTCTTAAAACTTGCCTGAAATGTGTAAATAGATTCCATCATGTAACAAAATAACCATACGCTAGTCATGCACTCATGACGATATGTATTTTATGACTTATCCACCCAAAAAAAAATCAAAAAAAAAATCAAAAGAAACCATTCACAGAAACCACAAAGTGATGAACTGAATAACTAGAGTTTTTTGATGCCTCGACCGCATCTTGAGTGACCTGAAGGGCAAAGGCAGTGCCAGTAGCTGGAAGGAAGCACAATGTAATTTTTCATAACCCTCACGTTTTGGTTGTCCCTGGCGACATCCGAGATATCATGCAATATGTTTGAGATGATTCGGATGGATGAGATTCAAAAAAAAAAGGGTGATATCAAATGAACAGGCAGCGCAACGCCGACCGGACGGACCAAGCTGCAGTTTGAATAACGCGCAGTTACAAAAGTGAGGGAGCAAACCAAGTTTTGTAATTTCCAATGTTGATTGGGCAGAGTTGGGTGTCGTAGTGAAGTAAAAGACTTTCGCGGTCCTCGCTCAAAGTCGCGCTTGTTACTTTGTTGAAATGTATAATTCATCTATTAATGGTCTTGCTCCAGCTTATCATATTCGACCCAAAAAGGTATGGGAAACAGGTTGAGAACAGTCTGGCACAGAGTGCCACAGCATCATCCTGAGCTTCATCGCATAGTGTGGCGAGCTTGCCCTTTACAGAGACAGGTTGCCAAATCCCCTTCCTATGGTACATATCATGTAAGCTCTGAAGGTACGCTGGTCGATGTTGTGTGCGGGAATGTTTTCGCCTTTCAGATTTCCCGACCCCTTTGTCTATGAGCTCGTCTCATGCCACCGCGTCCGGAATAACATACTCACTATGAGCAACGTTATACTCACTTTACCATCGCTGGAGAGGTCAAAAACTTGAATTATGATGATGCGCTTCATGATAATACTAATATTTGGCCTGTTTTCGGCTGTATTCGTGCGCTTGGAGTCGACTGCATTCATTTTTCTTCTTCTTGTGGGTGCCTACTTTGTTTTTGGAGCAGTCGGATGCTGCTGTCATTAGTAAAATCCAAGAAGATAAATGGCCAAAGCTTCGATGCCAAAGGATCTGTTAGGTATTGCCTGTTCAATGTGCATGGGAAAAATCACGCATATGAAGAGATAAATTTTCCTTATGTGTGCATTAAGCGGCATTTAGCAAAACCCGGTAATCCGCATGTGGCGAGTCACAGATTCGAGCATGTGAACAATGTTTTTCGGCTATTCCTTTGTTGATCTCCACAAAATCTCCAAAAACAGATGCTGTTAAAACCCTGGATCAAAAGGTGCAAGAGTTTATGCAAACTTGCACGAAATTCGGGCACGTGAAGATGGCTTTCTTTTTTGGTCCTCTTTTTTTTCTTGTTTCAATTTTGACGTTGATTCCTATTTGCCACAACTATGGCTCATACTTTGTTCCTAGCTTATCCGAGCTATCCTGCGAGGCTCGCCATACTTTCAGCTGTGGTATGGTTCAAGAGTATGTACATGTGCAAAAGATCCCTAAAGTCTCTCATGGAACCATTAGGAAGCAGTGGATTTGCCGCAATATTCAATCAATAGGATCTGTCATTATCTTGTGTATTGTGTAAATTTTAAAATTGTCTATTAAAAAGTATCATGCAACTTAATGTAACTGAATGAGGAGTAATGTGATATTATATTCAAAAATGGGGCGCTCTGCTGCAGAAAGCGAAAGAAAGTTCAGGAGGGGAGAAGGGCAGAAAATAATAGTAAAAAAGAAACCAATATAGGGCGAGAAACCTCGATGATTTAGGCGATAGCATACACAAAGAAAAGGACCCAGGCAACGATAAGACAAGCGATGAAAGAACCGACGTAAACGTAGTTCAAAGGCTTTGCCTCAACCTCATGGTAGGAATCCAAGCCTTGCTTGGTGAAGAACAATTCATTGTTGTTGATCTCCTTCATGCGCTCCAAGCGGATCTTGCGGCTTGCTTCGAGCAAGTTACCGAGCTGGAAGCGTTGCGACAACCACAAGCCGGCGATAAGAACGAAACCGATACCAGCCAAAACGATGAAGAGAAGCATGACACCAGTGTAAGCTTGGTTATGGCTGTTATCCTGAATGACGCCAACGACAATATCCAAAATGGTGGTACCAACGTTGTTGGAACTCTTGTAGATACCGAGACCGGTACCGATGTAATCGGAGGGCAAAATCATACCGATGGAGGTAATCATCGCAATAGGACCGAAAGCAAGTGAAATACTGTAGAAGACCATACCGACCACGGCATCGACATAAGTCCAACCAAGCAAACCCGAGGATAGAATCAAGAAAATAGCCGAGATGAGCAAGATGATGACACGGCAACCGAAAATATCCATGAAAAGACCGAGGAGGGGGGTGGCAACAATAGGCACCACTTGAGATGCCGAAGCCTTGTAACCAGCAAGGACAGCATCGGTACCGAAATGGACCTGGACAAGTTCGGTCGAAATGGTTTGGAAAGAGGACCAGACGGCGGCAAAGATGAATTCAATGAGAATGATATGCCAGTAGTGGATGGGGAACTTGAACACAGAACGCCAGTGGAAAGTACGTTTGGCTTTCAAAGCCTTGACTTCTTCCTTGGTCACCACTTGACCGCGCAAGTGCTTGACAACGAGGGCATAAATTAAGTTCATAGCAATGGAGAAGGCGCAAAGAATGAAGGAAAGCCAGAAAGCCCACACCCAATCACCGGTAGCATTCGCAACAGGGTTAGCCGCCAGGGTACCCAAAAAGGTGGAAAGACGAGAGATCGACAACTGCAAACCAATGGCAAACGAAAGGTGCTGAGTACGGAACCACTTGGAAAGCAGGGATTCCTGGATCGTGACGATCAGACCGGAACCGATACCAAAGACAACACGGGCGACGATCATCAAAGGATAAGATTCGAATTTGGCGGCAAGCGCAGTAAGCAAACTGCCAAGAATAATCATGAAATTGACAACCAGCGTACCCCAAACGGAGCCGAACATGTCAATAAACATGCCACCTGCAATAGGGAAAATCGTGTTGATAATAGACACACCAGCTGACAACACACCGTAACTCGTGTTATCGATATTCAGGTGGTCCTTGATACTTTTCTTCATAGCACTTAGAGCACTACCCGAAAAATGAGAGCCGACTATATATCATGGGTCAGTCGAAAAAGAACTTGTGTATCCAGAGTAGGAAGTGTTGAAAACTTACTGGGAAACATCAGCGCGGTCACCAAGGCAATAAGTTTGTACTGCCATGGTGCGTTTGCAAGGGCGGTATCGCCACCATGGGAGGCGGGCTCTTTGTCTTCGGGAATGGCTTCGTTAGCTTCGTGGATATCGTATCTCACTACCGACTTGTCGTCGTTATATTCTAACTTTTTAGAATCAATAGCATCTGCCATGGTGAAAAACTAGGAGATGAGAAAGAAAAAAAAAGGGATAACCAAGGGAGAAGGAAAGAAAAAAGTAAGACAAAAACTTTTTGTCTCCTTTTATGTCCATTGACTTGGATGGTCAATGTCTGCAAAATCGGATAAAACAGTATTATAATTTTTATCATACTATATGCTGGGTGAATAATCTGATCTGTGCAATGCCCTCGGAGTTACACAGGCCTTTGAAAGAGGAATAAAAAGATCAAACCAGGCGGGTAGATTTTTTCTCTCGATTCCAAAGATGTTTAATTATTCCAATCAGTTCCTAGTGTGGATATTTTACAATCCAATTGCGTTTGATCGGCACCCACCGATTAGATGATCTGATAATAACTTTTTTTCTTTATTTTTCACTTTCATGTTGACCATAAGGTACTAGTGAAGAAATGGACCTTGTGCTGTTTCAGTCCTAGACATCTGATAAAATCCAAAAAGGCGGGAACGAATAAAATGACTTACCAAAGCTCGAATCCGACCAAATGTAACAACCGACAAAGTTTTTTTTTTTTTTTTTCTTCCTTGGATGGTTAGTCTGTGCCCCACGATAATCAGATAAACTGCCATGGGACATTTTTTTATTTCTATATCTAATATTTATTTTTCTACCTGTGAATACATTATTTTCTTGTAGCGTCATGAGAAGCCGTTTATCGCTTGTTTTTATCAGCTGATAATGAAGAAAGTGAGTAACCGAAAGCTGTACACCATCTTGGCTGCAGCCAGTCGTAAAACGTTGGTATGACAAAAATCACGGATCAAAGGTCCAGGACCCATTATTTCGTTCTCCGGCACCCAGCCAATCGCCTAAAATGCTCATTGCCCATGCTCACTGTGATGTTCATCCATTGTATGGAAGCTCTGCAGTGATCAATGGCATGATGCAGTCCTTAATTAACGGTACCTTCCTGATGCGCAGTCGACTTGTGATTTTCGAGTAAATAACTCTATTTTGGTGCTGCAAAGAAAAAAAAGTACAAAAAAAATTGAAAATGGTAAAGCAAACCCAGTGGATGTTAGGTATTTTTCCTTTTCAGTAGCCCTAGCACAAGAAGAAAATGTGGAAGCCATTGTCCGCTCATCCGAAAATAGTAGAAATGGAGGTTGCAGGATTCGTCATTTATACACAACAGACACTTTTGTCGTAAATAAATCCCCATTCTACTTTCAAAATAACGAAGGAGTGAATGGAGATTATCCCTTTGTGTATGCATATTGCAATGCATGGCGAAAAAAAAAAAATTGGGCAAAAGCTCATTAGGCAACACTGCAATCTTTTTTTTTTCCCTCTAGGAGATTGAAAATATACGCTTTCGGTCATTTTCAATGCCAGCTGACTGAAACGACGGTTACTGTATCTGTCTTGAGCAAAAAGGTCAGAGAGTGACCAGACGCGGTTTGTATTATGAAAAAAAAATATGACACCTTTAGATCTGTGTCTACATAAACATGGATGCTTAAGAAAATTACATTATGCACTTCCGTTGCAGAAACAAGATGGACCTATTGGACGCGTAAGAAAACCGATAATGTAGGAACTGTGATCTCGTTGCAGTGAAGCTGCAGGTTATGCACTCCGCGTACCCAAACAAAGGCAGACGAGAAAGTGACACCAACATCAGGACACGTGGTGGATCAGCCTTTTTGAATCAATTCAAAAAATGTTTCAAGACACAAGCATGAAAATTAGACACCAATGCAGACAAAATTTTCAAGGAAAATCGGCTGTTGGCCACCCACTTGTTTGCCACCCTCAGTATAACCGTTGCCCAGCAACTGGCAACTTGTTTAAGCTTGATCAGGCATTGAAAAGAAAACCATCACAATAACGCTTCTTTTTGCATATTGACGGACACCTGATCGCGTGTCGAATAAAATTGACTCGCGCCGTATACAGTGCTGATCACCTTGTGCTTTTTTTCCACTTCAAATCAAAAAACATTGTTATACAATATTCTTGATCTTACTGATAAGAAAGATTTACAGAAACAGACATTTGACTGGATGTTTGATGTAACCGATTTGTTACACCTTTTTATCAATGGCACGGTTCTTAAAAGTGCATCAGAACAGCTCATTCTTGGCTCAGCAACCATGAGTGCAACTTGGCCCAAGCACAGACTTCCTTTAGCATCCATGAGTTTCGGAATACTCTTCCAAAACCGGAAGTGCAACGCAACCTGGATTTTGATCGGTGGCTTTTTTTTAGCAGCTTTCCACTGTGCTCTTCAAGAACAAAAATCAATGCTTTCTTGGCCATTTTTTCATTTTAAACTGTAGCCGTGATAGCCTCTTGCGATCAAGATAAACCATGTCGTGATAAACTTATGTTGATATGTTATCACTTATTCTAGTAAATGTTGACGGTATTATACTGCAGAAGATTGGCAGACAAAATATCACATAGCGCGAATTTGATGTTTCTTTTCTATCCCTTCGGTTTGATGAAGTCTATGTTTCGTCGTTATTACGTTTTACACTTGCAAGAGAGAACGATCATCTGATAAGCGTGAAACTTTTTTTTTCGTAATTTTCAGATCAGACTGCTATGGATTGTTCTCAACCATCGATTCAATCCAGTTGGTCAAAGACCTGTTACAAGCGGTCACTGTTGTGCCTTTTTCCAGACTGCCTTTTCTGGACAAGTGGGTGTGCTTTTTTTTTTCCCAGCCGCCAATTTGTTAGCGCTACTCCGACCCACCTCAAATAGGAAGGGGACCATGTGGACAAAGATCTTTTTTTTTTTCCAAAGAACACAAAAACCTATCAGTTGTTCCCCAGATTTTTTCTTGCCATCAAATCACGAACCACAATACTACGCATGGAATTGATGTAATGTTACGCGACGACCAACGAGGGCAAAGTGTTTTGGTTTTTTTGACTCGGTTCACGGTTCACGCTCCCAGATGATCTGCATGCACATTTTAAATCGATTTTTTTTCAATCGGATCCATTTCGCCGTTCGGTCTCGAATAAAAGAGAAAGAAGAAAAAAAAAAAAAAAAAAAAAAAAGGTCGCTCAAATGAAATGATCGAACGGTCTGGGTGCTTCTTTAATTATCCGACGTTTTTTTTTTTTTTTTTTTTCACACTAGACATAAACGAAGCCTGGAGCAAAAAAAGCGTCGAACAAGTGCATCACAATATCGGTAATGAAACCTTAAATTTTGGGCCAATGTTTGTCCAAGGTTGCCACGTTACGTTCATGGAAACAGGCAACGAGCTGCTTACCATATAGTACAGTCCAAACGATGGGTCACGGTCACACCCATTGCAAACCGCCATAAATGAGAATCACAGACGATCTGAATAGGAAAGTATCAAAGTTTGCATGCTGTATGGCAATATTTTATTGGCGCAAACCTGCTTTACCGAATAAAGTTTAGGCTCTCACTAGGTTTTTTTATCCTGTTATTTTTAAAACAGCCACAACTTTTTCCAGCATGAAATGAAAAATTGATTGAACCTCAGTTGTCCTTGTGAACACTTTTGTAGTGACTTACTGCTCCGTTATCATGTAAAGATCAGTATTGATGCTTTTTCTTGCGGGGAACCAAAAAAGAGGGAATGGAGAAAAACAAATGTTTGTTATGAAAAGTGAAACGTGGACATTTTAGTTTACAATTGGCGGGAAATTTAATTTGTTTACCATGAAAAAGCAGAATGCTCCCATACAGAACCTTAAATTCCGTGAGATTAAGATCACATTGAGAACTCCCATCGTTTTTACGAATGGCCAAAAAAGAAAACGAGAACAAAGAAATCCAATGATGGAGATGATCATAACTTTTTGTATTTTGAATGAAGATAAATGTGTACTTGAAGAGGGGAATGAAAATACGTCAGCGCATAATGGATGGACAATTTTTTTTGAGGGGACTAATTTTTTTTTATGTTCAAAAGACCCGCGTGGGTAATGCCTAATGCATTAGTTGAAGGTTGGAAACAGTTGTTGTAGTAATGGTGACATGTCGTTGTGATATTGGGGTTTGTTGGGGGATTGGTAGCTGTTGGCGGAAGCGATGTAAGGTAATAAATCGTTGGGCAGGTTATCCATTTGGACGCCCATGTCTTCCAGGAAAGAATAAACATTAGCCGATCCATTGGCATTGGAAGGCGAAACAGACGCATTGGAGAGGACGCTCATGGGCGATGAGGTGGAGGGAGATTGAAGACAAGGTGGCGAGGAGGATAAAGCAAGGCCTTGCTGATGCTTTGAATCGAAAAACGTAGTCGATGTAGCAGAGTTGGCCGGCAAAGGGGACGTAGAAAGTAAAGGCGATCCGGAAGAACCGTTGGCATCGGTATAGTGCAATGACGACAAGGAGGGCGTGCGACGTTGTCGCTTGTTGAGGATTTGAGCGGGAGTGGGAGAGTTGCGTCGAGCATTGAAGGAAGAGGGTAAAGAAGACGATAAAAGGGTGGAGTTTGAATGAGTGCTGGGAGCGATGGAGATATTGGGACGATGATTCATATTGGACATGCCAGCTGTCGTTGCGGAGGTGGAGAACATGGAGGAAGAAGCGGTAGCCTTGATTTTGGGCCGAGGAGGAGCGCCAAGACTGGTGGATCGAGCTCGTTTCTTGATGGCTTCGTTCTTGAAGTTGAGCGGTCGCACGACACCATGAAGTTTTAAAAATAGACCACACGCATTACACAGTGGTTGGCCTTGGGGGTTTCTGCGCCATAAAGGAGTGGTCGTGGTGCCACAGTTGGCACATTCGGTTTTTCCCTGGGCCATGGGTTTCTGATTAGCCATTGGTACAGGCGACGTTTTCCCTTTGTCCTCCTCCATCGTTGGACCCTTTTGGCTTATTACTGAACCCTCTGAAGCTTCGGAACCGGGTGGTGGCGACGATCCAGCCCGCTGTTGCGTGGACGACGGCGTTTGCCCTTGTGACTTGGACATTGGAGTTTGAGCAGTCGTTTCCGTTTGCTTTTGCGTTTGCGTCTGTCGAGGATCCACGCCAGGGTTTGTATGACCGGGCATCGATTGCTGGTTGCCGCAGTACATTGATAACATGTCCTCAAAGCTAATATTTCCGCCATGCATCTGATCCATCAAAGGCTGTGAAGAAGCCATCCCATCCGTAAAGTAATAAGAAGTCGGCGATTCGTTCGCAGGTGGGGTGTAATCGTGATGCTGAAGTAGTTGGAGATTGGGATATGCCATCGTATCCACACTGGTAGATCGTTGATGAGGAAAACCGTTGCTGTTGCTCATATCCATACCGTCTTGATGATCCAGCGACATTAGAGGAAAGTTGGCATTCTCTTGTTCTAAATCAAAATCATAGGAGGGAATCGTGATGCTGCTCGAAAGACAGTTCGACTGACCAGCTCGTCGTTTGGCGGGCTAAGGGACGAAAAAGAAAAAAAAAAGTGTTCATAAACAAATCTGAACCAACCGCTCCCAAATGTAAAAAATAAAAACTCTAAAAAAGAGAAAATACGGCAAGGAAAAGAAAACCGAGAGGAAAGCTGCTCAACAGAAACAGTGGCATCATTTTTTCCTTTCTGCTTTTGCATGCTTGGGTCTGGTCCTTCAGCCCCCCTTCCCTCCTTTTTCTTTTTTCCCCCTTGCGCATTGTCGAAAGAAGACAGAAGAATATCAAAAACAATCTACTTACAGTGCAAATATTGGTAGAAGAAGAGGTGGGAATAAGGTTACTTTCATTGAGCAGGATATTTTTCTCTTGTTTCACATTGTCTTGGAGAAAGTCCATCATGTAGGATGGCGTGGTGGAGGAAACAATGGTAGTGGCATCTTCTGGGTTAGGAGGCGTGGTAGGATTCTGTTGTTGGAGGGTAGGTGAGGTGGAAGATGCTCGACTTTCCTTATCATCATCTTCATCACTAAGCTTTTTCTTGGACAGCGACATGGCCATCATTCGCCAATCCAAGGTTTCCAGCCTTGACCCGTTGGGAAGGGTGCTATTGGCTTTGTTATACATGGACCACACTTGGTTGGGTAAGAAGTCTTTGTTCTCTTCCTTAGTATTTGGTTGTTCCGGGAATTGTAGAATGGAAATCCTTTGTGAAGACGACATAAGATTTTTTTGGGTGGGCGCTATTATTTTTTTGTTGCTATGGGAGAGAGTGTGAGAAAGAGAAAAAGAAAAAAAGGCGGTGTGTGTCTGTGTGTCGCAACTAAGTATTTTATTAACCCCGCGCCACAATCCTCAACTCCGCTTTGAATGAGTTTGGGAGGAATCGTTCTGGATTGGACCGCCGCCTTGCCATTTCGGTGGCTTCCATTCTCGATTTCTCGCATGTGACTGGTCCGACGGATGGTTGGAGGAAAAGAGAAAACAAAAAGGATTGGCCTTGAGACAAGATGATGCAACCCCAACTCAGAAATTTCATCTAAACACCGCCCCATTCTCAATAAAGTATCCACATCCGCGGCGCCCCGCTTTTCCTTGAAAGAAAAATCCATCCTCTTCCACAAGAAGATCCCCCGCACCTTTGGACAACAGCATGAATGTTTGTAAACATTTCATGCCTTTTTTTCTTTCTTTTCTTCCACTGTGGTTTGATTGACTGTTTTTAGTGAATCCATGACCCGGCCGTCCCCGATAACCGGTGTCATCTGATGCCGTTTGTCCTTCGCACTTACTCCACATGTCGGTCCTTCATTTGGTTAAACCCCAATCCCTGGCTGTGTGATATGGGACAACAACCTGACTCGGCCATTTTCTTTTGCCCTTTCTAGAGTTCCTTGTCATTCTTCTGTTCTATCAAATCCATATTCCTATTTGATGACCTCCATTGAGGCTTTCTCTTGGGTTCTTTTTTTTTCATCTTCTTTCCATTCTTTAGGTTGCTATAGAAATTCCACTACTTTTACTCGATAATCTTGGTTACTCTTTTCATTTTTTTTCTCACACAGTCGGCTTATCGCCAATGATTGCCTTTTTAATGTCACATGGGAGAAAAAATCAACTGCCCACCACGTGGAATACAAATTTGCCCATTTCTCCAATGCAATCAACTTTAAAAAAAAAGAACATTGAACCGGATATATTCCGTCAACCTTCATTTTCTTCTATACTTTTTCCCTTTTTCTCTTGCACGATGTTTGACATGTTGTGACCCAAAAAGAGGCACTGGCTGACATTTTTAGTTATCCGGGAATTTCTGGACATCTATTTCTTGTGGCTTATGTGAGAAGATCTCACAAGAACGACGGTTGTAGCGGAGTCAGAATTGGATACTCGAGCTCGAGGGACGTCTGCAACCAACGTTCCATGATCCCTGCCATCGAGACTTTATCTGACATTCCACAAAACCTTGGCTCGTAACAATAACACAGCCTAAAGTTTAAAAAATTTTAAACGCAACAAAAAAGAATCGTAAAGCAACTTGTTTTTATATAGCATTACTGCAAGAAATGAAATTATACAGAAGTTTGAATTTTTCATATTGAATGAGTTTGTAGAGTAAATGATAAAATGTTATAAAAAGAGGGAGAAAAAAAAACCAATATTCGGGTGACTTGTTACCAACTGTTCGTTTCAAAGCCTTTGCCCAAATAACAGGTATTATCAGTGTTCAAAGGCTGTCATCTCACGGTTTTATGAGACGATCAACTTTCGGATCATGCGTTTTCTGCCTTCGCCAATGATCTTGATGTCACCTTGTGCTTCTAATGCGCGTAACGCTTCTTCGAAGGGTCGATTTTCGACGGCCTGAATGAAACACAGAAAAAGGTTAGGTTAGAGAACGTCCTATTTCAGTGGTGCCACAAACGGTGCACAAATGTACGACACATACCACGCTACTCTGAGCACTGAAATCGCTGTGTAATCGGGTCCATGCAATTTGAGTTCCTTCATAATTCACGATCAAATTACGCAATTCTCGGGCCAAATCATCTTGCAAATGACGCTCATGAGAAGCTGTGCCCATGAGGATAAGATCCATATCAATACGGCCCGTCTTGGGATCGGTAGCATACTCTTTAATGGCTTCACGCAGTAAGCGAGATGCTTCATTCACATCTTCAACTTCCACCACGTCGGACAATCTGCAAAGGTTCAACAAGAGTTAATTCCATTCATTGAAGCTAAGCTTTTTAAAGCAACCCCCCAAAAAAAGTTCGTGCCTACCTCATACGTGCGTGTGCTTCAGCCATGCGAATCATCGATTCCAACTGTCGCGTCGTGGCAGTGACGCGCTTGCCACCATAATCTTGACCTTGTCGTCTCAACTCTACGTATCGATCCACAAGTTGATCACCGGCAGCCTCAGAAAGAACAGGGTGCACCTTTTCACGAGCGTAATTAATGTATTTGGTTAACCATTCCACAGACTAAAAAAAAAAAAAACCAGAATATATGAGTATTTTGAATTTATCCGCCTGTCTTTTTTACTTACAATGGTGTCGATACCAGCTGTTTCCGGTAGATCCTCCATATATAGCGTGACCAAATGTTTGGCTAATCGGCGGTCGGCATCTTCATCCACGCGATCAAGAATGAGATACAAAAGATCAAATCTAATTTAGGCAGTATAAGCAAAAATCGGCCCCATTTTTCTTCCCCGTATTTCCGGATACGCCATGCTACGTTACCTAGATAAAAGCGGCGGAGGAAGATCCAAGTTGGCCGGCACAGACATGTTTTTGTTCCACCGAGATCCAATGGGGTTAGCGCATGCACAAATTGATGTGCGGGCATTCAATGTAGTAATGATGCCAGCCTTGGCCACTGAGATTGTTTGTTGTTCCTGAAAAGACCAATCATTTAGCGACCAGCTTTTGACACATTTCATCGTCAAACCACAAATTATGCTTCGTTGATTCAAAAGCTCCGCAGCGTGTGACATGACAGCAAACTTACCATGACTTCGTGCAACACTGATCGCGTTGCGTCGGACATCTTGTCAAACTCGTCGATACAGCAAACGCCGCCATCACTCAGAACCAAAGCACCACTAGAAATTGGACAAGAGTTTTAGTTCCGCGCGTCATGGTTGCCAACGACCTATAATCCTTACCTTTCAAGCACCAACTGTCGTGAATCAGGATCACGAGTGATGTAAGCTGTCAAACCAACAGCGGATGAACCCTTGCCGGAAGTGTAAACACCGCGTGGTGCAATCTTGTGTACGTATTGAAGCAGTTGGGATTTACTGGTACCGGGATCTCCGACCAACAAGACGTTGATTTCACCTCTGTGATCCGTGATACATTAGATTAGTTTTTTATAAAGACTCAAATAGAAAAAGCCCCCTTCCTGCCCCCCCAAAAAAAGGCGACAAGCCATTATGTAATCTCTCTTCTTTTTTTTCTGTCACCACGTTTGTTAACACGCACCTGAATCGAGGAGAGCCCGATTTTTGAAACTTTTTGTGGGTGCCACCGAATAATTGAAGCAGGATACCCTTCTTCACATCATCCAATTCATAGATACTTGGCGCTAATGGAAAAAGAAAACCAAGCATGAGCAACATGAAACGTTGGACTTGCAGCAAGACCGCTTCATCGACGCGTATGTCTCTCTTACCCAGTGATCGTGCCAATGTTTCATAAAGATTGGGCTTTTGAGCCAATTCTCTGATATGTTGTTCCTCGTCTATATTGACAACATTGATTTCATCACCTTCTTCATAGCTAAAAAACAAAACAGCATGATCAGTCATGACACAGATGGCACGGCAATGGCATCATTTTGGACAACTTACGTTTCATCGCTGAGTTCGGTTTGGAAGGCACGATCCAACTGCACTCGCTTTCGGTCGGTTCGCTTGATATGCACAACATCCAAATACGTACGGAAGAGGGCACGAATCGTTCTTTGTCTGGGATTTACGCGGACAGGCACACCACGGAAAATACCAGTGATTTCCAATCTACAATTGCTCCATGTCAAAAATACCGCTCCTTTCAAATACTGGGAAAAAGCATATCACTTACCGATCACCAGGCTTGGCCACATCCACCAAATCCTCATACAAACACAGAGTTACTGTTTGCGGAGTTTGACCGTCAGGAACGACATCTGCCATTGTGCAAAAGGATAAAACCATGAGCAAAAATACGAATATAACGCTTTCTCAGTGAATTTCTTACCGGGTGTTTCTTGCAATCGGCAGACTTGCTTGTCAGCGAATACACAACGGTTATGAACCAGAGACATTGTATTTTCGGCACCACACTGTTCTCTAGGACATTTGGTTGGTTCCAAGATGCGGCCTCGATCAACACCGACGGTGGTGGTGTAATCACAGACAAGGCAACGGAAAAAGGCTGATATCACGAGTGCTTAGTAAACAAAAAGCAATCACGCGCACGCCCTTGCTACATGTTACTATACCTTCTTTCATATCAGGAATAATAGGCGAAGCACGAATCATCAGACCCTTGATAGTAATCAACTGATCCACATCTAATCAATCCATTGCGTTAAATTGCTATGGCTATTGTAAGAGTCAAAACCTTCATCAAACCTACTTTGAGGGTCAAGCTCACGCATATTCACTGCTGATTCCAAATGGAAAGGACGAATCTGTAATAATTATTGATGAATATCCAAACAGTCATTCCATGCATCCTTTTCGTTTTTTAACTGTCAACCACTCACTTTCAGCTGAGCATTATCCAAATAATCGTCGTCAAAATGTTGAATATAGAAATCGGTAATGGTGTGATCCATCAAAGGAATAATTTCTTGAGGATATTTGACCAATTGATCGTAGAGCTTATGGGTGTCATTGTAAGCTTGCAAGTTACGGCAGTCCAAGTTGACCTGGTACGATCGTGATTCACGAATCTGCAAACAAATTGCGATCAGTTTCCTGAATGACGGTTAATTGACGTTTACTCTGGTCACATACTCTTGTCAATAACTGCGGATAAAACGGAACATTGTCTTGTTCACTGATGGGCTCTCTTGCCTTTGCTTTGCGATGAGCCAATGTAAAGTGGGTCAAGAAGTTTCTGAAAGATGTCATGGCTTCGTGAATGTTGACTGTGGTACCCCAAATGAAACGAGCCGACACGGAAGGATCGGTATCCTGAGTATCACGATTCAAGCTTGACGACAGCTGGTGGCGCGTAGGTGTGCCTGGAGAAGCGGTGTTCTGTGTGCCCATGAAGGGTGTTCGGACAAATGTGGTTCTGGGTGTCTGCGGTGTCATGGGCGAACCAAAAGTCGTGCTTCCAAAACGCACAGGAGTGGAAGGATAACCCAATGGAGACGAAGGAAGAGCATCATCGCCCAACAGAGTAGAAGAGAATTCCGATCGTCGATAGCTTGATCGTGCGCGCGAAGGAGAACCGGGCGTTCTGGCTGAGGAGTAGTAGAAACCAGGAGACATGGGCTCCAACTGGGACGAAAACATTTCGGAGCGTCGACTGGCATAGCGAGCCAAGTTCTCAGGCACATTATCGTGGGGTGTCGATGGAGGTTGACTCATGGCAGGCTACTTTCGATCTAAATCGTTCACTGTTTCTTTTTCGCGTGCGCGTAAGTAAAGCCAAAAAAACAGGATTTTTCAGAAATCGCGTCCCCATTCCCAAACAACGCGCGATGCGGCCATTGAAAAGTTTGCGCTGACGTCGGCCACCGCAAAAAGCAGTCCCTTGAGCGGGCGAATTGAAGGCTGTTGTTACCGTTTGATGATCTATTTTCCAGGAAGCTGTTGTGGTCTGTCGGCTTTCTATTCACCATGAGTTTAACCAAGGCTGACCCTAATAAGCAAGGATGGGAAGATTCTGTAAGTGGCAAGCTCTCATCCTCTCTAGAATTTGTAGCTCATTGGATTGTACTTGTAGGAATTTCCAATCGTTTGCGAGACCTGCTTGGGTGATAATCCCTACGTCCGCATGGTACGTTATGCATGCTGCGACTTTGTCGATTTACGATTCACTCACCTGTTTAAACCTTTTGGATTAGACAAAACAACCATATGGCAAAGAATGCAAGGTAAACCATTTTCCTACTTTAAAGTTTGGAACCATGCTAATCCGTACATGCTTGCATAGATCTGTCAGCGACCTTTCACCGTATTCCGTTGGCTTCCCGGTACCAACATGAGATACAAAAAGACCGAAATTTGTCAGACTTGCGCCAAGTTAAAGAATGTCTGTCAGACGTGCGTGTTGGATCTGCAATACGGTAAGCCTTCTCCCAGGATAATTGTGCAAACTGGACATTTACTGATCCTGATTTCTTTATCAGGTCTGCCTGTCCAAGTTCGAGATGAAGCATTGAACGTCAAGTCCGAAGCACCGACGAGCAATATCAACCGACAATACTATGCGCAAAATATGGCGAATAAGGTGTGTATCTTACTGGATAATGCTGATGATGGATGGGCATGAGCAACTCATCGATCGGAATTTGTTGGAATCTCATTAGGTGGACGATGATGTGGGTGGCAGTCCTTACGAGAGTGGCAAAAGTGCACCTGCAAGTCGAGAAATCCTTCGTAAATTGGCACGTACCGAACCTTACTACAAACGCAATCGGCCACACATTTGCTCGTTCTTTGTTAAAGGTGAATGTACTCGCGGTGACGAATGTCCTTACAGGTAGGCTGGTGATGGTGGCGTATGTGTATGATTCAGCGTATTAAAACATTTTTGGAAAATTAAAGACACGAAATGCCCGGTGAAAGCGATCTCCAACAACAAAATATTCGCGATCGATACTATGGCAATAACGACCCTGTGGCCCAAAAAATGCTTGGTCGTGTCAAAGGCACCACACAATCTTTAGCGCCGCCTGAGGATAAATCAGTGGTAAGTACCCATATAAATTTAAACCTCATATATTCGCTTGTATCCCTAATTTGAAAAAATGATTGCAGACATCATTGTTTGTTACTGGTATCGAAGAAGACATTGTAGAACAAGATATCAGGTATTTCAGTTTGTGTTGCTTTGGGGTTCCACTCGATGACTGATCCATGATGTGGCATAATGATAGGGGATATTTCCACATGTTTGGCGATATCAAATCTGTTATTGTTATCCATAAATCCAAATGCGCGTTTGTCAATTTTGTGACCCGAACAGCAGCCGAAATGGCAGCAGACCGAATCGCAGATACAGGCTTAACATTGAAAGGACACAATTTACGAGTGGCGTGGGGTCGACCAAGACCTCAAGGACCGAAATCGGACATGAAGCGTGCCACAGGTGAGTTAAATGGGATGGGATAGAGTGCAAATATGGACCGAAACTCATCGATGATGTGATTTTCTTTTTTCAAGCCACCGGCGATCTCGGCGCAATGCAGCCTCCTGCTCCGCCATCGATGAAAGCAACAGGAAGCACCGTCAAGTATCCAAGTCAAGACCCCACTTCTCAAGGATCCGTCACCAAATCGACTTGATCATCCACCTTTTTTTTCCCCACAAAGATTAAAATTCGCAGAACAACATGAGAACAGTGTTGTGAGATGTAAAATAAACCGTACTACCCAAGAAAATTACATGATCTAATCGTCAGAAGGGATGATTCGATGATTAAATGCAAACAATGAAACTTACTTGGAGACTTATCGTGTTTATACCGGCATCAAGGAATGAAGTCATCTTTTCAGGAAAAGGAAATTGGTGTTGAAATGCATACATTCTGTCTATCCATGCCACACATTGCTAAACCGGAGGAGGCAGAAAAAATGAATAATGTGTATTTTTACTTACGCACAACAAGTCTATTACGCTAAAACAACTTTAATGATCCGTTCAATGTGATTGCGCAGGTTATTTTGTTTCTATCTGGTCATGGTTGATTCACTAGCAAGCAGTGAACTGTTGTATATAAGTGGGGTCTCAGATGTATACGAGCTATAAATCAGAGCGGTTTATTTGAGTACTACCGATGGGATGTCCAACATGCGTATATCAACCGGAGCTGATTTTTAACGTTATGCTGGCCTGGAGGATTTGCTATCTTTTACAATCAACTGGAATTAGATCGCCAAGTAAGCGGGACATGAATGATGGCAAGTGGAAATGTGATTGAGCAAGATGTTGTCATTGTGCAACCCAGAGCAAATTCTGGAAACAGAAAAATGTCATGGACCTTAGGAATTTTTATTATTTATTTTTTATTTTTGTAGGGGACCGATGATCCGAGGTTTTATTGCACGAGCGTCAAAAGAGCTCCTCGGACAAGATCGGCGAGGGAGCAGGAAAATTTAAAGCTAGACTACACTGTTTTCTGCTCTGGGAAAGGGAAATTTCTCGTGCGATCATTAGATAGGTGGACCTACAAATGGAGTCAGGGTGGAAAGGAATGGCATCTTTTCATTGAGATGATTCCAAAAAGCAGCTCTCCTTCTGCATAATGAATTTCGCGAGAGGGATGCAGGTATTGGAGGATGTCGCTGCGTTTACCGTACGTGCATTGATCAATACGGCCTTTGTTGCCCAATATTTGCAATCAGGTAAATATCCACCAAGTGTTGGAGACAGTGAGGCGCTGTCCAAATCGATGCTCGTGCTCTCAGTGTTTAGGATCAATACGATGGGTAACTTGTTGTTTTTGTCGTATGCAAATGTGGAGTATCGAATAGCTCGCACCTTGAATTTGGCATTTACATCATTTTGAATTTCGATTTATCACCATAGGCTGAGACAGATCGAGAGGTTCGTACACAACATCAGATCGGAAACAGTCTACCCACACGCCATCCGTAACTCTGAAGGTACCCCGTGGTTCGTCAAAAAGAGCATTGTAGATGATGATTTTCACGAAGTCATTTTTGACTAAGATTTTACCAAGGCGGTCAGAGCCAGGACAGGCTGGCATCTGGTACGTAAAGATGGTATTTTCTGACGTGTCTAGTTAAAAAAAAAAAAAAAAAAAAAAACAACAAGGAACGTCAAGGAATGACATCGTGCATCAGCAACACCTTAACTTACTTTCCGCCATTATAAAAGATTAACACTTTCTCCACTTCAGTCAACTTTGAGTGGCTGATCTGAAGCATTTGCAGCCAATTTTCTGGCTTGATTTGCCTGTGATAAATGACTGACCTAAAGCTTCTTCGTCCTCGATGGCTCTATCATTGGCAACTTGAGACATCAGTATGAATCCCGGGAAGACTTCTCTTTTCTTTTTAACAGCTTGTATGAATGGCCTTGAAATCGGTTTAGCTCTGACGGGTTCCACAGTCTCCGCATACTTGCATCTGCGCCAGATTATGCGTTCGCTGGATGGTTTGACACTGAGTACGATATTGAACTCCCGTTTGTATTCGACAACGGCGTCGGGAACGTCGGCAGTTGAATGGTATTCACGTAAGGCAAATACACTGTTTTCCATTCACTTGCACAAGATCGCTGAAAGCTTCGACCGCGGCAGTAATGTTAGAGACGTCGGTCAAGGTTGATGGAAATCAAAAAGAAAAGAAAGATCTCAGTTAACGCGTCAGCAGTTCCAATTTTTCATTGCGTGACATCACGCTAATTGATTTTAATTAGGTGTAGATTGGAGTTTTTGGAGTGCACCAAGTGTTCGCCTTGTTAAAAAAAAAACCAAGGAAGAAACGTAGCCGTAGTCGTAGCCATAGCCGTAGTCATAGTCGTAGCAGCTTTTTTTGAAAGACCGCATAATGGGAATAGAGCTTTTTCTACCAAGTCATGCCTCATTTCAAATCGATGTGAAAGGCTGATCATCAAGAAAGACGCTATTTCTTTCTACAGGCTGGAATTGTACCTGCTTAATAGAGAAATCGATACTTCGTCCATATGGATTAAAGTTATCTTCTTAAAGAGGACTAATTGGTCTTTCTAATTCAGATTGCGCTCCGTTGTCATGATGTTATAAACAGTGCTACGAGAAACAGTAAGATCCGCAAAGTTTTGTCTTGAGCTCTCTGCTACTTCAGTTACAACAGTAGAACGATTCTCATCGATGTAAGTCAAAAGAAACTGTTCATGCTCCTCCCCAAAATACGACACCGACCTGACTGTTTCTTCTCCTTGAAAATACTTTCAGGGTCCTCGTAATAACGTTTGGCCCATCTCTGCGCTGCTCGGACATGAATACCTAATTGTCTCACTGCAGCAGAAGCATTCAAGCATTTGCTGAAAAATCTAGTCTTGTCTTCATCAGAGTAAAATGTATAGGATCGCTTATTGTATAACATATCAACATCATCAATCTACTCAATCGCAACTAGGCGCATAACAGGATTAGAATGCCTTTCTGGAGGTTTGTTCGCTAGGAATTGAGTACGAGAACTTGTCGTTTCGGTGGCGAATAGCTCCTCGTCAACAACAAGATCCATGGGCTCAACTCCGTTCTCATCAACAAATATGTCCTTGTCCATCTTCGTAAAGAAATTTCATATTGATTCTGAAGGTTTGTAACATGTAATATATAAATAAATAAAATAAAACGAAAGGACAACTTAAAAAAAAAGCCAGAATTACTTAGCGACAAGTAAAAACAAAATGTGCATTTAGCAAATTCCCAATATGGAGATTCGTGCTTTTTGCGTAACGTTGGTGATTGATATTTCAAAGTCCTCCTCCAAAGTTTCATTTCAGGAGACCGCTCTTGGCGTGAGTCGTTGTTTGATGACGGAATGAAAGAGACACCGGCAGAAGAACTGGCCTATTCAATAGGCTGCGAGAGATTATCTAAAGTGTGCTAATTTTACCATTGTTATTGGAATTGAAACTTTTTTTTGGATCTATCAAGTGCAGTATTACTTTTCATTTGGGTTTTGTGTTGCCGATCCTTTTTTTGATCAAACAAGTCAAATTAGTGTCGTTGAGCCGACGGCGGAAAAAATAAAATAAAATAAAAAGGAAAAATCAATTATGATGGAACCCTCAGGCTTCTTTCTGCTCTGTGTTTTCTAAAACAAGGAAACGAAAAAAAAGACAATATGATTATATCCTCCATGCAACGGAAACCTGTCATTCTGTTTACCGTGCTGGTATTGTTATTCATCGTGGGGTTGAGCTCATTCCGGTCTTCCCACAACAACTATTGGAAGCTCAATGTACCGACCGTTTCCCTGGATAATCACCCCAATCTTCGCGATCCTTCACTGCCACCGGCTTGGCAAAACACCACCAGAGCCAAAGCAGCATTCGTTATTCTTACCCGTAATTCCGAACTCGATGCATTGCGAAAAACAATGCAGCAACTGGAGGCACGATTCAATCACAAGTTCAACTACCCATACGTCTTTCTGAATGACGAACCCTTTACAGAAGAGTTCAAATTGCTGACACAAGGATTGACCAAGGCGAAAACGGAATATGGTAAAGGATACGAAAACTCTTGCTTTTTTAAAGTTTTTATCATTCAGTTGAAATTAAAAAAAAATACATGGGCTGTAGGACTTATTCCTCATGAACACTGGAGTTATCCCGACTGGATTGACGTGGAAAAGGCCGATCGTTTGCGAAAACAAATGGGTGAAAATGGGGTTATCTATGGTGACAATCTATCTTATCGTCATATGTGTCGGTAAGTACAGTTTTTACTTTTTACCTACTTGCTGTGAAAACTTCTTCTCATGAATGCGGTGCTAGGTTTGAAAGCGGCTTCTTTTTCCGCCATCCTCTAATGACAAAATATGATTATTACTGGTAAGTGGATTCTATGGGTTTACCTTGCATGCGACTGGTATTCATGCTGGCTGGAAAACTAGGCGAGTGGAACCAAGTGTCGAATTTTCCTGCGATTTGGACTATGATCCCTTTTTATTCATGCAAGAAAACAACAAAAAATACGGTAAGAAAAGGGTGATGATATGCGTTTGACGAGTCTCCAGTTGGTAACGCTGCCAGGGATCGTGTGTAGGATGGACTATTTCATTATTGGAGTATGAAAGTACAATTCCTACCTTGTGGCAAACAACCAGAGCGTTTATGAAGGAGTATCCGGAACTCATTCCGGAGGAGAATCTGATGAAGTTTGTGTCCAACAACAATGGTGACACGTACAATTTGTGCCATTTCTGGAGTAATTTTGAAATTGGCGATCTCAACTTTCTCAGAAGCAAAGAGTATATGACCTATTTTGAGTACTTGGACAAAGCCGGCGGTTTCTTTTACGAACGGTAAGTGAGGACGATGGCTCGGATGATAATCTTCCAGGTGATTAAAATGAGATTTGGTGCAATAGATGGGGAGACGCGCCGGTTCATTCCATTGCCGTAGGTCTCTTTTTGAACAAATCCGAAGTTCACTTTTTCGACGACCTTGGCTATCGACATGAACCCTTCATGCACTGTCCCATCTCCAGAGAACTACAGAAGAAATGCCACTGCAATGCTGAAGACAACTTTGGTAAGATTTCTGTGTCCAGCAATTGAGCATCAATATCGAACGATTGTTAATTCTTTTTAAAGATTTCACTGTATATTCTTGCATGAATCGATGGATCGAAGCAACAAAGTAACGGGGATCGTCTATACCAGCAAATGTGGCACATCATCTAGTGTACTTTCTTATTCTTCCAGACATTTATAATTATGCATGCCTACAATACATGACTTCTTAGTAGATCATTCATCTCACTCATAAAAACAAGCTTCCTAATATTTAATGCATGTATCGTATTCTGCCTAAAAAAAGAGAACACCTTATTATCAATTGCAATGATTATCAGTCAAGTATCTTTGGGATAAACTTGGATTTTTTACCGTACCAATGACATCTCCAACGTAATTGCACTTTTTCACACACACACAGAAAGAATACTTTACTACTCGTCAATTATTATCCACCAGATTTGAAACTAAAAAAGGAATAAATAATAGGTTATCTCTCAATTTTTTCTATCCTGTTGGCTCTGCTCGCATAGTCAATGGTCATGACGTGCGATTATTCTTTCAGTTAAATTTTATTGAGTCTTATGCCTTTTTTTTTGACTTCTCTGGCAGGTGAGCAGATGGCCTGAGCATGGGAACAAACAGGTCGTTGAATGATGGCATTTCTGGAATCTTTGCTATACTGTACTGCAAAGACATGGATATCCAATTCTGGGAAGATGGCCTAATTTTTGGATATACGAACGACTCTGATTTTGCTATTGTAAGCATAAACAAATCGAGATTTTGAAACGTCATGTGCTTTTTGAATCGTGGATGCTTTATAAACAGAAGTACTCTTTCTCAGAATTTGTCTCACCAGATTAGAAGCGCAGCTCAATCATGATCACAATCTTTCTGCCGAGCACTTCCAATTTTTTTATAGAAATTGTTGGTTTTGCTCTATACCATCCAGTATAATATACCAGCTGCATCCGGTGTTCACGGAGACGATAAGCTTGTTAGCGCCGCATTTTGACTGGATCTCATGATCTTACATTTTTCGGATGTAATTATTTGCAGGCTAACTTATGACGATTGCAACTGATCTACAATACATTCTACAATACATTTTCTTTATAGTTGCCCTTGTTTTAAAAACATTCAAACCTTGAGAGAATACCAAAATGTAGAAGACTTCGCGCGCACATAGCGAGGCTCTCAGCAAGTTTTAAATTACATGAAATAAGCAAAAGCATTCATAGTCGCCTTTTTTTTTTTTCTTTTTTGCGTGCCAGTTTCCATCTACGCAATTATTGGCTCATTATACTCAATTTAAGCGATCAACTGGTTGCAGATGTTGCTGCAGGCGCTCCTAAAAATATCTCTTTCCCCAGTCAATTTTTTGCATCTGTGTTCTTTTGTATAGGTTGACCACACCCGGCCTTAATCATTCTTTAAAAGCTGGAAAAATATTTTCCTTTAGAGGATGTCTTCAGCAGTGGAACGTTGCACACTACCAATTAAGGCCGTGGAAGGTAGGATGACAACTTTTTCTTGCGAGATGTCTTTCGGAGCAGTTGGACTTTAGGATCGATGGTGGTACTGGCCAGATATCCAATTGTTGCAAACGTTTTATTCTCTGTGTATGAGATGGTGCATGATCAGTCCAGCGTTCGAGGACATGCACTACATCCCTTGCCAACAGGCGTCTGTGACGCCACACCTTCGTAATTCTGGTTTACGCCTTTCCTTTATCTTTGGTTTTTGGACTGCAGAAACTAAAAATTATGTTGGCACTTTTGGGGATCCGTGTTCTATTTAATCTGTTACCTAGTGGCTCGGTCACTACTACGGTTCTCTCACCGTTGCCTCGTCAAGAGTCCGAAGCAAGAGGCTAGCCCTTCGACGTCCACGTCGTTATCTTGGTCGCCTTCATCACCATCGCCACCGCCACCGTCGGCAGCATCGTCCTCACCACCATCTTCTCAACGTTATTACACCCGTGTTCCGCCAACTTGTCTCGTTTGTAGACGCCATTTTAAAAAACCGTGCGGGGTGCACCAACATTTGCGTTTGGTACACTCCGCCTGCATCGGAACGTGGGCGTGCTGCCACTCAGCGGCGATATATCGATTGGCGGCCGTTCGGAACCACAACAACAAGAGCATTACGCTGGGCGTCAAGAGCCTCGAGATAGTCAAGTCAACAATCTCGTGGCGGTGGGCATGAAAATGCCAATGATCAATGAGTCTTTTCTTTTTGGTTGTCTGGGTTTTTTTTTTCTTTTTAAAATGAAAGGAAGATAATGTCAAGTAGCATCTCTGGACCAGGTTTTCTTTGGTTGGTTGTGTATTTTCGCTGCTTTTTTCTTAGTTTAAAAATACTTTATCAGTTTTGAGCCTTTTGTGTACAGAATTTTTTTTTGGACGGGTGGGGGTTAGGCCAATAAAAATAACATGTCGAGTCTATAATCAATGGCCTTGCTCTTTGCTTGAGTTAACGTGAAAGAGATGATGGTTAGATCCTTGTTATTGGAAAAAAGGAAAATCAGCAGCAGTTGCAGGTGCGGTCAAGAGGTGCTCGGGTCAAAAGTGGGTGACACAAATAACTCCGCCCGTTGCCAGGGTAACTTTCGAAAGCAGTAATGATTGGCCCCATTTGATTTGTTCAGCGGAAAACAAACAATTGCGCAGTCCACGAACGTGCAGTAGGCGATATAATTGGATGGCAGAATAGTTCTAGGACTGCGAGTTTCAAACTCGAGAGAAAAAATTTTCGCATCGAAAAAACTATAAAAGGGAGAGCAAAGTGAAAGCTATGAACCTCAGTGACCGTACTCTACAGGATCTGTATGCAGTACATAACCGTTCTACGTTTTTTAAACTAGACACTTTTACCAAGTTAGTAGATGACTCGTAGCAGGCTTTCCTTTGAGTGAAGTGTGCTGGTTATTGCTCTCTGAGTGGTTTCCAGCAGTTGATGATCTCGTCTGTCTTCATTCCAAGGGCATGACACGGAAAGAACTGCAGTCTGATAACTTATTTTTTATTCAAAACAAAAAGAAAATGAAAAAAAGATAACAATTCATTCATCACAATCCAAATAATGAATGAACTGAGGGAGAAAATTATTTTTCTTTGTCTGTATGACCACATTGAATTGTGGCTGGATATTTTCGGACGGGGTCATTTTTTGGCAGAGGTTGGGATCGCCAGTTATTCTTGAGCGATTAGCACTTGCCGAGGTTTTTTTTTTTATTCAACCGGATTGATGGTCATAATAAAGTACTCCGTGCTTTGCCGGCTTCACAGTATGAATTTTATTTACCTTGCATTGCTTCAAACTATCAGTTACAGAGTGTGTTCGCTTTCATCTCTTTAAATTGATTTTGCTCAACCAGTCAAAACCCTACTATCGGGATTCACTGACTAAATATTCAAAGGCAATTGTCGGTATCATTATATGAAACAATGATTTTTTTTTGATTTCATCATGTTTCTATGTGATGTTTTTGGTTTACAAAAAATGCCTATATTGCTGCTGCACTCTATAAAAGATATTGGTAAATGCGTCAGCAACCTTTTTTTTTTTTCCACACACACACACACACTCCATTTCAACGGATGTCGTTCTTTTTTTCGAGGGGATTCTTTTTAAGCTAACTCCGGCTTCAATTCGAGCATACGGGTATTGGGATCATCCGTGACGTTGTGACGAGCAACCTTCTTGAGCAACGTGGTGATAATAGCTCGGTTACGCTCGTTCTTCTTGATGCGTTTGCGGAAGCACAAGAGGAATTCCTTGGTTGTCATGGGTCGGCCACGCAAAGTGTTAATCACTTCCTCCTCAGTAATAAGATCGTCATCAACCGAAGCATCGTTGCTGACCGACTCTTGTGCCGAGGGACCACGACGAGGCGAGGCCGACGAAGATGACGGTAATTTATGCTTGTGCTTGGCTTCTTGACTCGACATGGCATCATCTTTACGCCGACGCTGGATGGCACTGGGACTCGTTTCGCGCGATCCAGCCGGGCTGGTGGATAGATGATGGTCTTTCTTTGCATACAACGAAGGTGAACCCGGTCGACCAATTGGTTTCGACATACTTTCCTTCTTCATCTTGCTGGCCAGAGCCTTTTTCTGCAGACCTGGTTTGGACGGCATCATCGGTTTCTTCTTCATGGGGACCGATGGTTTCTTTTGTGAACTCTCCGTCTCTGATTTTTGCTGTTCATTTTCTTCCACATCTGACTCCAGTTCTTCCGCCTAAACCATATCTGTTCAAGTCGACTGCTCTCTCTTCTCGGACCCATATCCTCATTCCACTTATACTTACGCTAGATGCATATGGATCATCGTCTTCATCACTCTCATAGGCTCGGTTCTTTTCCAGATCGCGCACAAGTTTTCTCATTTGCTATAATTTACGATGAGTCTCCAACATGCAAATGCTTTTGTTCTGCAGGTTTCTTTGTACCTTTCCTTCGGACGTGAGCTTGGAATAGTCCATCATATCTTCATCATTATTCGTCTCGCCACCAGGAACATAGCCCTTGGTTTCTCGCTTCAGACGCTCCTATACCATGAAAACAAGACATCAGATTTCCAACCCCTTTCTATTGCTGCGCCTCTTTTCCAGTCCGATCACGTTACTTTGCTATCCTTCAATTCTTCGTCTTCCACTTCGTGCTCCACGCCTCCTTCTTCATCATCTTGGAATACATCATCGAAATCAATATCATCCATATCGGAATCCTAGAAAATACCAAGAGCAAACACATTGTTAAACTAAGGAAAAGTTTAGTTCATGATCTGCCACGCCTTTGTCTTACATGTCGATTGCCCATATCATCGTCTTCGACAGTTTTCCTACGAAGAGTTCGACCATATAAATTTAAACATCATGAAGGTGAACCATGACAATAAAAGCCAACGTACGATCCTTCGCCATCGTTATCCACAATTCGGAACCGCTGTTTGCGTGGACCGCCAGCAGCATTGGCTTCTTCTTCTTCCTCAGTTTTATTGCGTTTTAACATCATCCAACGGCTCTGTTCACGCTTTTGTTGTTTTTTGATCTTTGAAAGACAATATTACGTCAGCCACAATTTCCTTGCCAATGGCCGCGCACAGCCAATCAGTCTTTTACCTGCTCCTCTGCTTCTTCCAAGGTAAGAGACCGGAAGTTTCGCTTGGCTTGGAATTTGTACCAACGATCGACAGGTACCACTTTGAAGCCGTTGTCCTATGTAAAACCAAGACGATGAAATTTTTGGATAAGCAGTGCTCCCAATAAGCTGAAAAGAATTAAAAAAAACAAATGGACGATATCGTACAGATAATACAAAGAATACGTAATCTGAACGTTGACCGCCTTCAAGAGTACCCGTGAAGCTATTTTGGCCATCATAATCTTCCAGGATCCAAGGTTTTTGTTCTTGTTCTTTTAACTCTCTCGTGTCTTCTTTGGCCAAATAGATTTGTTTTGTGCGTTTTTTAAATAACATTTGTTTGTTACGGGTAGCGCCACCAAGAGGGGCGATTAATGAGGTATCAGCGCCGGTTTTAGGACCGTGCTGCTGTTGTTGTTGTTGTTGTTGTTGTTGCTGCTGCTGCTGTTGAGACTGTTGAGATGTCGGTTTGGATTGCGATGAACTGGCTTCTGTAAACTCCTGAGAATTGTTGTTTTGGTTGGCTGGATTGAAGAAATGACGTTGATAATGCATATGGTTGGCGTCTTTGCGATGAAGTTTGACTGGACGAGCAAAATTTTTAAATGAAACCGGCTTGGAATGTTTGAAATCCATCAAGTGATTGCGGCTTCGTTGAATACAAGAAAAGAGGGGAAATTCATTGAAAGAAGGCGGAGCGGCCGACTCGCCTTGTGGTTGAAATCCAGGTGGATGACCCACCATTCCTCCTGCTTGACCATTATTCATGGGACGGCGAGGAAGACCTCTTCCACGGCCTCGAACTGGCGATCGCGAAGTATTATAAATGCTAGCCATGGGGAAGTGGGGAGAGTTCGAGAACCAAGAGAAAGAAGTAAAGCGCTCTTTTCCCATTGGGGGAGAAACCGCATTCAGGGAATTCTGGGGAACAGTCACGCAGTCATTTCAACTTCAACATGGACCAATCACTGAAGTGGACACCGCGCGATTTGGGAAATCCCATCGACCCTTTTTCTTGTCTTGTTCGGTTCACTAGGACTTATCATGCAGTTGTTCAGAGAATATATTATAATCAACCACTTCGAAATAGACCAAGTCTCGGTTGCAATTTCAATAAAAAAAGATCAGGAACTGGTGGCTAAGCCAGGTCTTTAAAATGATAGATACAATAACAAGTGCAGAGCGAATAGTTAAGAGAACATAGCACCACTATTTCCCATTGCCTATCGTATATATTCCAGCAGTAACATCATGAAACTGCAATATCCCTATTGATTTTTACGTAATGACAAGCGCGAAAACAAAGTGACACACTTTTCTTTCAAAAACACCCGTTCCCATATTTCTATCCCTCAATGCCAAGCCAACCGAATTCGATCTAACATCCTTTTTATTCTGCCGGATCTAGATTAACAATTCAATGACAATGGTACGAAATTTACTACAAGTAAGAGGGAACGGTCAAGGTTAGTACAGTGAGCTTTAAGGAAAAAGACATCGTTTCAATGCGTGTTTACCTGTTGCATAGCTTCCTTCTTGGCCTTGCGGTCGAGGATAGCTTGACGGCTCTTGTCAACCTTGAGCTTGGTGACAACGACCTTGGAAGGATGAATGCCAATGGGAACAGTGGCACCGTTGACCTTTTCGCGGGTGACACGGTCAATGTGGATGACCCACTTCTTACGGTAGACCTGGACAACCTTGCCTTCGCGGCCCTTGTAGGTACCACGTACAATCATGACTTCGTCATCCTTGCGGACAGGAATGGAACGAGTGCTGTGCTTCTCCTTGAGCTCCTTGGACAAAGGAGCGCTCATGATCTTGCGACGGATGCTGGAAGGAGCAGAGAAGTGAGCCTTTCTGCTCTTACGGCGAGAAGAAGAGACATCTACATGTGTCGGAAAAAAAAGGGAATACGGTCATCAGCATGTTTTGCATTCACATCAGCGTCCTTCTGCATTCGAAAAAGTTGATCAAGTGGGAGAATAACCGTCATGAGAAAATGCCAATGCGTTTGTAAAATGGACGTTGTTTCGATGGACGATTGAGCATGGGTTGAAGAATCTCGTTTACGAATCGGGGGTGTCTACGTTTTTTTTTTTTTTTTTTCTCGGGAACGAGGTCGATCCAAAGGCGATTCATCGATACATCCATCCATCCTCCACATGATCAAAGTTCCCGAATGTGTCTGGTTTGTGGAAATAGGGATCTCTTACCGGCAGAGAACTTCATCCTTGTAATTTGATGGAGTGAAAAAGAAGGAGCACTCTGGGTCATGGTGATGCTTCCCGCAAGTGCAGTCTGGCACGGATCGTCGGATTTCGAAATTAGCCGGACCGTCGGACCTTAATCCCGCCGTTGCTTTGGCACCCAAACGCTTGTGCCTTCTTTCATATTTCACCACGCCGTAAGGTATTTTGGCACTGAATCCTTCCAAGCGTTATTTTATGGAGAAAAAATAACTAGGGAAGTAAAAACAAGAAGAAAAAGGTATCACTATTTTTTTTTCTCACCCTTGATCAGATGTTCACTGCATGGTATTACTTGCTTCGTTATTACTTGCTGGTTTTTTTTTTTTTTTTTTTTTGTTGCACTGTCTTTGCAAGTAGAATGATGGGTTATAATTCTCAGGTGGAGATTTTTATATTCTATGGATTTAGAGATTCGACATTTGGTTTGATATCAAACACTCTACGTCCAAATGTTCCTTCTGCCCAACCTTTTCAGAGTTCAAAAACTTGAAATCCCGACACAGTTTGGCATTGACTTGATGCCTCCCCTTTTTCTTATGTTCCTATAAATCATCCCTTCTTTTCTCATTCCCATTTTTTTCTTCCTTGATTTTTTGTTTTTTTTTTTTACTCTGTTTTGTTTGACCGTTTAATTTATGGAACCCACTACTCCGTCTTCATCCGCAAAGCAAACATATGAACTACCGGAATCTAGACGACCAGGAGAATCAGGTAAAGCTCGACGATTTGGATTATTTTCCTCTCAAAAATGCTTACCTTTCACTGTCATTACCTTAGCCGTCTATTCCAGCACGCTGTGGCCCATAATGGATGCACCGCCTACTCAGCTAAAGACCGTATTTGACATGTTTGCCCAAGGTAAGGCTTTTAAGACAACTGGTGTAAAAGGCGTACGTCGTTGTAACTCGTCTTGGACCGTCGGGTAGGTCTTGAGATCTCCAAAAACCGTCCTTGCCTGGGACATCGACCATTAAAAGCCAATGGCCAGCGTGGAGAGTATGTCTGGCAAACGTATGATGAAGTGGCCAAACGTATCACCTATTTTGGTTCAGGATTGGTGCAACTGCTGCAACAGATTTCTCCCGGTGGGCAAGCGTCCCATCTCCCTGTAGGCGTTTGGGCCCAAAACCGACCTGAATGGACGATTACGGATTTAGCATGCTCTGCTTACGGACTGTACACGGTGGCGCTCTATGATACTCTGGGATGCGATACGGTGGAATATGTGATCAATCATGCCGAACTGGCGGTCGTCGTTTGCTCCGCAGAACATGTTATTGACCTTTTGAAAATCCGGCATAAATTGCCCAATCTACAAGTGATTATTAGCATGGATGGCTTGGAAAAGTATTACCCAGTGGACGAATGGGCTCAAAATGTCAATATCCAACTCTTCGATTTCTCACGGATAGAGATGCATGGCGAAGCTAACCCTAGCCCCTATCAACTTCCCGAACCGGAAGACTTGGCTTTTATCATGTATACCAGTGGTACAACAGCCGCACCCAAGGTATGCATCACTGAGAAACTGGTAGCTTATTGTTATTTACGTTACAATGGGGTTATCGTTTAGGGTGCAATGATAACCCATCGTAACTTTGTGACAGCGCTTACAGCTGCTTACATCTGCGTCGATCGTAACAAGCACGATATCGCAATTTCGTATCTTCCGTTGGCCCACATCTACGGTCGCCTCAATGATATGCTTTGTCTATTTACGGGCTCCCAGCTGGGTTACTTCAGCGGCAATGTCGAGACATTAGCCGACGATCTTCAGCAACTGAAACCGACGCTGTTCCCTACGGTGCCGCGTCTGCTCAATCGATTGTACATCAAAATTACTCAAGCCACAGTGAATGCCCCAGGCTTGACCGGTGTGGTGGCCAGACGTGCAGTGGCTGCCAAGCTGCAGCGCCTTGCAGATGGACAGGGGTGCGACCACCCTGTTTGGGACAGATTAATCTTTAACAAGGTCAAGCAAGCTTTGGGAGGTCGTGTGCGCTCGATTACCACGGGTTCGGCTCCCGTGGCGCCGGAAGTATTGCAGTTCTTACGCGTGGCGCTGTGCTGTGACATTCGTGAAGGTTACGGTGCGACGGAGACCACAGCGACGACGACGGTTCATAGAGCAAAGGAGAATACAGCGGGTCATGTGGGCACGCCTTTCCCTTGTAACACCATCAAGCTTGTTGATGTACCAGAAATGAATTATCTGACTAGTGACGCTAAGCCCCGTGGCGAGGTGCTTGTTCGAGGACCCAACATATTCAAAGGGTACTACAAGGACCCAGAGCAGACCCGCGAAGCACTGGATGAGGAAGGGTGGTATCGTACGGGGGATATCGGCATGATCGATGAACAAGGTCGGCTGGTCATCATTGATCGAAAGAAGCATATTTTCAAGTTGGCTCAGGGAGAATACATTGCCCCGGAAAAAATTGAAAACGTTTACACACGAGATCCGCTCATTATGCAAATCTTCATTCACGGCGATGGTCTGCAAGCTTCCTTGGTCGCCATTGTTGTCCCTGATCCTGAACAGTTGCAAAACATGGCGCGAAAATTGTTATCCAAGAACGAACACCACCTTCCCTTTGACCAGTTATGTCAACATCCCGATATTATCAATGGTGTGCAAAGAAAGCTTGTTGCGTTAGGTCGAGCCGATCAGTTGAAAGGATTCGAAATTCCGCGAGCGGTCTACCTAGAATCATCGCCTTTCTCTGTTGACAATGGCCTTTTAACGCCCACATTCAAAGTAAAACGGCCTGTGGCCCGAACAAGATACCAAGACCATATCGCAGCCATGTATCGCGATCTGGAAAAGACCCCACCTCCCGCTTTCTCGTCCAAGCTTTAAGACGCATCACGTAAAAAAGAGAAAACGAAAATAATAAATTACTCAACGATTTTGTTTTTTTGTTCTTATTTGTTCAACTTTTTTCTTTCTTTCATGTAGCTCTTGCGCACATTTTACATACAAGTTCCCCTTGAGGATTAGCTTGCCACATGCCTAAAAATAGCTGTTAGCATATCGAAAGCTAGATCTGTAGCTGTGTTATTCTTACCTGGTACTCGTACTGAAAGCAGTCTGTCGCATTGACTGCACTGGAAATGGTTGGGATGGTAATCGTATCCAAACGCATTGGACGCCCGTCCTTCGATAGGCTGACGACAGCGGTGGCATTGCTTTCCAGAAGGAGGGTTGTTACTCGGCTTTGTCTGTGGCGAAGGATTGGAAGGGGAAGATGTTACAGGCGCTGGTGTCGACGGCGGATATGATGCCGTGGGTGTTGATGTTGGACCGAGAGCGTGACGTTCACAGTAGGGTCTGTTGTTGCGTACATGGAATTTCTGAGAAGGGAAAGGTTGGCGGCATTCCTAGCAGAGAAAGAAGCAAAATAAATACACGCCATCCTTTCAGCATTTTTATCAAACGAACACTTACTGTGCACACAAAGCATTGTTTATGCCAATCTCCGCCAAGCGCATTCACAAATTCTCCCTGGATATACTCATGACATCCTTGGCATTGACGGCCAAACTTGGTCAAGTAATCCTTCTCACAATAGGGATGGCCATCATGAACCATGAAGGGACTATTTTCATCGAAAGGCGTCTTGCATACATGACACATAAAGTGGCCTTCATGATACCATTTTCCGAGTGCACTGACCGCTTTCTGTTATACAGAACAAGGCATATGCATCAGCCTCTACACAGATCAGAGTCAATCTTATTGATATATACCTGCTGGATGGGTTCGTGACAATAATCACACACTCTACTGAACAGTTTTGTATAGTCGTCTTTGCAATAAGGTTGACCATCCTTTTCAAAGAACAAGCTGTGTTCCAAACGATGGCCACATTGCGAGCATACAAAGCAGGACGCATGCCACTTTTTGCCCAGGGCCGTCACGATCGTACCGGTGACGGTTTGCCCGCAGCCACTGCAACGAACGTCACTGTAAAGCGGATTCGGAACACTGACACGCTGCGAATTCACAGGCTGCGTATTCACGGGTTTATTGTGTGGGGTATTCGCCACGAAAGTTGATTTTGGTGGTGTGGCAGGGGCTGGTACGGACGGTGTTTGATCACTGGATGGGGACCTATAGTTTGCAGGTTTCGAAATCGATTTTGGACGTGGTGGTGGTCCAGGTCGACGTCCGGTCAGTGAAGCTTCGAATGCGTCTCGTGAATCGCCTGTCTTGGTCGGTGAGGCATACTGCTGCTGATGCGCCGGTGGTGATTTGAGGCCTACGGCCTCTTTCAAGCTATTGGCTTGTCGGTCAATGGAGTGGTCGCTTGGAGTGTTCAACGACATTTGCTGCATGGGATACACCAAATCATTTTTAGCCGTGTTATACGCCAAGGAGTCATTTCCAGTTCCAGTGGAAGAAGTCGTAGGCGATCGGCTAGCATTCGATTTTTGGCTGGGAGTTTCGCCCTTGGCTTCGCTTGCAGGCGATGGCGGAACACTTGTACTTGAATCGTTGCGTTTCGCCGCCAAGTTCTTTAGATATTTATCTAGAAATTTCAAGTCAGCTTTTGTTTTATCTCGTATTCTCTGTATTGGTAAACTCCATACCGAGTTCGTCTCTGGATAGATAAGCCATGAAAGAATGTGAATAAAGTCAAAGCTTTAGCCAAGCTGGAAAACAAGCATCCTTTTTTGGGAGGCCATTTTCTTGGAATTTCATGCTCAGGCCCAACCCATCGAATGTCCGACCATGTGACGGTTCATCGATTTTACAGCGACCAGAAAGCCGTTCTCGCTGCGCCCATAGGACCTTTGCTTAAGCAGTGAAGAAAGAAAAAGATGGCAAGATCGCCCGATAGACACAGACACCGTAGCAGGAGTCGAAGTGAAGAATATAGATCAAAGAAGAAGAGGTAGGCAATACACCTTGAATCCGCACTGCCACGTCAATGCACTCAGTCCACTAATGAAAGACCAAAAAAAAAAAAAAAATACTAGCCATCATAAACGCAGTCGATCCCCTTCCGAAGACACCCATCGGTCACGAAAGAAGGAAAAAAAGAGCAAGAAGCATAAAAAGCACCGACATTACAGCGATGAGGAAGACGATGCGGAAAAGAGCTCTTTACGACCGTCGCTTGAAACTTTAGGTTATTCAAACGTGAATAATCCATTCAACGATGTCAATCTGGAATCCAAGTTTGTGTGGACCAAGAAAAAACAAAATGATCGCAAAAAGGGACTGGATCCTGACGAAATCCGACGACGTGAGCGTGAACGACAACGAGAAGCAGACGAAGAACTAGCCAAACTGAATAAACGACGAGCAGAACGTGAAGAGGAAATGCGACTCAGAGAAGAAGAAATGGCTCGTTTACAACGGGATGCCGAATTGGCACAAATGGGTGATTGGCAAGCAAAGGAAGAAGAGGTACGTCCAATTTATAGAAATGATGATATCGCACGTGCAGAAAGTCTAAATGCCATTGTCCAGTTTCACTTGGAACAAGCCAAGAAACGAGCCGAGATTCGTATTAAATCAGGTCGCGCCAAACCAATCGATATATTGGCCATGAACTTGCGATTGGCCAACGAACCTGACAAAGTGGAAGAAGATGTTGAACTGGAAATCGATCTGGAGGAACCTTATACTATTTTTGATGTAGGTTACTGCTTTTCCGGTGAATAGGCCCAAAAAACTAATCGTCCCACTGCTTAGAATCTTACTCTGGAGGAAACCAAAGAGCTCCATGAAGATATTCAGCTGCACATTAGCCTGGAAAAGAATGAAAAGACCTTGGAGTTTTGGCGTGCCATGATTGTCGTCGCTGATGATCGACTCGCGAAACTGCGTGAGGATGAAAAACGAGGATTAGCTGGTGGCGTGGATGTGGCCGTCAATGAAGATATTCACCGCGTATTGGCCGGAAAGACGCATTTCCAGCTTTCTGTCCTGCAAGCACAAATTATGAAGAAACTGAGCTCCAACGAGCCGGTGGATGTGGAGTACTGGGAAACCCTGTTACGCGAGCTCGTGGTATTCAAGGCCAAGGCGAAACTCACAGATATGCATCAAGAGTTGTTAGCGAGCCGATTAGATCAACTAAGAACACGACAAAGAGAGGAGGCTTTGAAGGTGCAGGAAGAATTGGAACGTATTTTATCCATGCAGGAAGAAGCGGTCGAAGGCCGTGGCGTGCTGCCTGGAGAAGGTATTCCCGTGGAACCGGTTGATCAGGAGCTGACGGAGAAACAAGATGAAGCCTTCAATGTGCCAGAGAAGGAAGAGATTACGACGGAACAGTATGATCGATCCATGAGCCCTGAACCTATGCCTCGACTGGATGCTGTATCACGAGATCTTCCGTTGCTGGATCCTTATGAAGACTTGAAACAGTTGATGGAGCAACGACGCAAGGTACTGTCAAGCAAGATTATTCCCATGAAAAGCAAATCTCGACCTGAACCCGAAGCGGCCGAGGAGCAAATGGAGCAGCAGGATGCCTCGATTGCATCGGCTGCTCTCTTTGAACAAGAAGCTGCGCGTGGTGTGGATGAAGACGAAGCTATATTTAACATAGAAGCCGAACTTGCCAAACAGGTAAATGAATTTACAGAATTACAATGATTTGCAAGTACTATACTTACAAAACACCGCATCTCTCAGTCGTACATGTGGCAAGACAAATATCGTCCACGCAAACCTAGATACTTTAATCGAGTTCACACCGGGTACGAATGGAACAAGTACAACCAGACGCATTACGATGAAGATAATCCGCCACCCAAAGTTGTGCAAGGTTACAAGTAAGTGGGAACTCGCTTTTTATCGTGTTGATGTCGCGTTGGAGGAATATTGATTTGGGAAAATGTATAGGTTCAATATCTTTTATCCTGATCTTATTGACAAATCCGTTGCGCCTACTTACTATATCGAGAAGGATCCGGAATCACCGGAAACGGTACTCATTCGATTCCATGCAGGTCCGCCCTATGAAGATATCGCTTTCCGAATTGTAAATCGTGAATGGGAATATTCCCACAAGAACGGGTTCAAGTGCAGCTTTGACCGAGGCGTTCTCAGTCTGTGGTTCCACTTTAAACGACAATTCTACCGCAAATAAAATAGCATTCCAGCACACCCTATTCCTTTTTTTCTTCTCTCCGCCAACGTTTTGCAATACTTCTGGATGATGTTATTTATTTATTGTTTCTTTACATACTTTTTATTTGCAATTCAGAGCAAGAACAGACATGTTAAAGATATCAAATATAGAAACAGGTGAATGGTCATACATTTTTCATGTGATCGAGCTCAGACTCGTTTAATTTATTTGGTTTGCTATTTATTATACAGGGGGAAAAAAGAAAGAGAAAAAAAAACAAATAGGAAAATCGGTAGCGCAAGTGATTGGTCCATCAAGGATCCAATGGTCAAATAGGACCCGCTACATATCAATATATACAATGGTTGTCTCTTGAGTGAGCATGCGTTTGATTCACCAGATGCGAGTTTTTTACTCAAATGGATTGGTTTTCCCATCTTGCGGCTTTTTCTCTCTGTGCTGCGCTCGTCGGTTGGCCATGGAAACCTTAAAATTGGTTTTGAGGGACTGAAACATAACGCGAAGATCACGTTGCGCCGGTTTATCACTATTATGTAGTGAAGCATACTGCGGTTTCGTAGTGTCATTTACTCGTTGCGTTTTTGTAACCAAAGTTGATGTAGACGATTCAAGCGAGTCTCGTCGATAGGGCAACAGGGCACTCGAGTCGTCGTCGCACAACAATGTATAACTAAGGCGGTGGTCGATCATATTTGGTTTAATGTGATATTGTGTCCAAGGTAACAGTAAAGATGGCTGTTTTCAATTAGCAGAGAAAAAAAGAGAGGAGAAAAAAAAAGTCATTCTCATGCCTATGCTTTTATATTATTATTATTTTTTTTTTGCCTATTTTCCTTTAACTGCAAAGTGGGGAACCTTGAAGCTGATGTTTAAAAATGCATAACCGGAGTTGTGATTCCGGAATCAGTAGATTGAACCATTCAGTGGATCTCTCACTGCCAAGGTTTGCAGCTCAGCTGTCATTGACGTAATGGTATTGGTGCTACTTCTTTTTTCATCTTTTTTAAGCTATTGCATGTGGAGCTAAAACCTTTTCGTGTCGCCAATGGCTACGAACTAATTATCAGGGCATCATTTTATTTGATTCGTTGTCCTCGTCTGGTTTGGTTTGTCTGACTCGAAGCTTTCTATAAACGGAAAGGACCAACCAACCCGCTCAAAAGTAAGAAAAACAGGAAACAAACAACGAAAAAAAAAGTTTGTCATACCTTCTCCGTTTAGGGCGTCCCTCTTGGCGAAACAGCATAGCTATCTCCTCATCTTCTTCATCGCTTATTGGTAACGGCAACATCGGTGCTTCAAGTACGGGACTGAACATCGCTGATTCGCGAGGATGATCCTCTTGCTATTAAGAAATCCAGAAGAAAAAAAAATCATGTTCAGTAACGGGCCGATCTCCTGTAGCGATAGACGAAAAAGGCAAGAAAAACCTGCTGGGAAAATGATTATGCAGAAAAAAAAGCATTATGAAGATATACCTCAACAGGTTCTGTAGGAATGACCGGCGGATGGACTGGGTTGGGTGATTGGGGTGACTTTGTTGATGATTCAGGTGCATTGGATGGGTTGGATGTGCTTGGTGCGGTCGACACAGCATTTGGAGGCGTCATTTCCGGCAAGATATCGTCACCCAAATCGCGTGTCCTTTCAAAGGCTTCTTTTAGACGACGATGGCCATCTTGCATTGTCTTTACCAAAAAGGTTTAGCATTAATTGTTTGTTTCGCATTTTGAACCAGCGAAAAAAAAAGCCGCTTACTTTGAGACGATTTTTCAGCTTAAGGTTCTCTTCTTGCAGAGTGTCCAGTGCATCGCGCATATCGGAAATCAGGTCTTCTTCTTTGCCTGCATCCACACTCACCATGATGACTGAATCACGCGGATGCCGCGTTTTCGGCGGAGCCAATACAGGAATCGTGAGCTGTGCATACCGCTTGAATAATTGTTTGGCACGATGCTTGATATGGCTCGGGTCTTTTGTAAACTCTTTTTTAGCAATCAGCTTTAGCAGTTTACCCATATTCGTTTCCTGTATGATAGAAATTTCTCCAATTTAGCCATGTTTACCTCTCATGAGACATGAGGTTTTTGTTTTTGTGGGCCTATGTGCATGTGTGTGTGGGGAAGGGGCAAAGGGATAGTTTTTTCATGGTGTATACCTTGACAAGCTCGAATGTGACATCTTTGAATTGTTCGACCTCCCTCAAAATAACATCGGCCTCTGGAGAATACTAGGGATGATCATCAAAAAATTTAGGATCATCTTGCAGAAGCCCTCTTGACATTTGTACATAATTCTCATCTCACCTCCTCAGTCTTGAAAATACTTCGACGTAGCCGTTTACGAAGGTCAAGAAAGCGTTGGAAAACAGCATTTGAAGATGATCGTTTGGTAGGTTGATTGAACGGATCTTCCATATCGACATCCATGGATCGTGATCCTTGGGAATCTTCCCAACCCCCTGCCTTCGGAGGCTCTGGACGAGACGGTTCAAGAAATGGATTGTCTTCCTCCATGCGGTCAGGAACCGGTGCAGGACGTTTGGATAGTTCCTCCACCATTTTGTCACGCTCCTTCAAGTCTTGCATAAGCTGTCGTGTGGCCTCCTGCTCTCGTCGTTTGTCCTTTTCCAGGTCAGCAATCTAACACAATTATTTCATGGCACAGACAGTTAGAAACGATGGAAACGTTGGATCACACAGCATGGGTGTTGGTCAGTAAGGACTAACCTTGGTTAAAAGGCTTTGTTTGGTCGTGTCATGTTCCCGCAGCATACGTCGCAGATTGACCATTTCTTCTGTAAGTGCTTTTTGCCGATCGTAGAGCTATTTTGCATCTGTCAGCATATTTTGCATCGGTCATGAATGATGAGACCCGAAAGCTTTTTACCTCTGACAGAAAAGCCTCATTGGCGGGTGCTACAGCAGATTTTAGTCACTTGTTTGTGGATCATGTATCCGAGTGCCACTGATAAATTACCTCTGGTGCCTGAGGTATCTTTGGTCACGGCATCCATGTGTTCTTTTAGTTGGGCTTCGTTCATTTCATTCTAACCACCCATCATCACTTTCATCAGCTTGCATGTGCTTAGACTATCCATTGCCACCATGCTTACTTCGCGCTTTAAAGCCGACATGTAGATCTCTTCCATTTTTCGCAGTTCGACTTCCATCTCTTGTGACACTTGTTGACGAATTTCCGCTTCCATTGTACCACAACGTGTTTCTGCATCGATCCACTAATCCAAATATTTATATCGGCCTTGCACAAAATATGCAAATCGATTCTTTCCTTTTTCGTACCTTGTTTCGCAGATCTTCCAGCTGGTGAATCAGATTGTCCACAAAAGGATCTTCAGCTTCGCCATCGTCATCGTCATCTTCATCCGTGCTAGGCGTCGTATCCAGTTCTTCAAACGACTGATATCCAATATCTGTGGCAGCCACTGCTCACTGTGAGAAAACAAGACATCTTTGGGCTCGTCATTTTTCTATTTTCTATGCTGATCTTACCTTGCTTTTTCATGTTCGAACGTGGTCGCTTGGCTACACTAATTGTATGAGTGACAATGATCTCTTTATGCGACTCTCACACAATGAAAAGCGTACCTGAACCCGATATGCCTCGTAAATCCAATATGGGGTGAATCCGTCTCCATGTCGCCACATCTTTTGCTACTGCAGCAAATTTCATCACATGACTATTTTCATCAAAGCCGGTATCGAATGGGTTGACATTGACAACCATGACCTATTTTTGATCACGAAATTATGAGACATCTATTTTCGCCATGACATTGAAAAACTGGTGTTTTACCGCTTTGCCATCGCCTTCGAATGAACTTTTAAACAGTTCGGTGAGTTTACTGTGACGGAAAGGTACCACCGCTTGCCGCTGTACATTGAATCCGGTTTAGCATGATGAGATGGCGAATGTCCATAGACAGTATTTTCCAAGTATTATACCTTGCCAATGGCCGCTTTTAGCTGGTTTAAGCGTAACGTTTCCATACATTGTCCGAGGACCATGAGCGATTTGTTGATGTTCCCAGCTTCTTTTAAGCGTTGTCCTAATCAAAAGCGATTTATTCAGAGGGATCGGGAAACCGTTGTATACTTTTTGATGGCATGTTCCGCTCTTACCTGAATTAAACGTATTGCGATACCTCTCTGAGCCAGCCAGATCGACAATGGACATTTTGGAAACACTTGCATAAGATGGATCCTATGCAATGATATGTCTGTCAATTTCGAGCGGTACACAATTTTTTTTTTTTTTTTTTTTTTTTGCTAATATATATTACCTCGATCACATAATCTTCATCGTCAATAGGTACTCGAACAATACGAATGGTAAATATACTGTGACTTCGGCTGCTGGTGTGGTTCATCAATGTTGAAAACACAGCACGATTACGTTGTCCTTCATGGAGTACAGCATATGCTTCCTGATAGTTCCCAATGAGTTGGCATGGCGCCTAATTTTTAAATAGTATGATGGTGGGTTACCTTTAATGATTGCACTTTGACTTCCTTCAAACCAGCAATGTATTTGTGACCGCTACGGAATTCATATTTCAGGGATAAAGGTTTACGTCGCAGATGTCTGTCCGGAGGCTCCAGAAGATCGTATATTTTTTCAGTGTAAATTTCCGCAAACGAGACCCAAATGCCGTACTCGAATTTCTGATCGATTTCAATGACTACCGCAACAATAAGATCAACCCGGTGGTCTCACATATGTCATTATCCATCACTTTACCTGTCCTATCTGTGCTTACGGGTGTTTGAAATCCTTCCCACAGATCGGGATTCTACGCATGTCTTAATAAGCGTATCGTGCATTCACTATCCCACCACTTGCCAAGCTTACCGATGTTCCTGGGTGCGGTGTATCAAATACTCCCACACTTTCTAGCACATCCCTGTTTTCCTCGGCTCCATCTTCATATGACTGTACTAGACTATGCATGACCGGTTTTAACTAGGATCATATGGAAGATGGTTGAATTGGTTTAGTGTGAGCCAGCTGAGATGAGAGATGACATCCTTACGTTGGATTCATTCAGGTACCCTTCTGTGCTATTGAAAATGACATCCAATGTTCGTGGTAATAATCCAGTGTCTTCCTTGGTACCCATGATCGAATATGTTTTCCCGGAATTAGTGACGCCGTAAGCAAAAATCAACGCGTTCTCTCCTTTCAGCACATCTTCAATGAGGGGCAAGGTTGTCTTGTCAAAGAAATCCTTCTGTGTTACTTCTTCGGTAAAGATCTTTGTAAATTTATAGCGTTCAGGTGCTCGATTCCGTGTTTTATAGGCGTTAGAATCCTACAGACGGTTAATTTTCACCACCAGTCTATTGACCAATCCAATCGAACCACTTCATACCTCGGGTGGCGTCATGGAGACTTCCAAGTCATCGACTATTTGCAGGTATGGATTCTCGATTTCTGCTTCATGATGAGGTGGTCGTGGGCGAATGCGCAAATAAGCCTAAACACATTGCGTAAGTCAGCGTCTTGTTTATCACCTTCAGGGTGTCAGGGTTTCAGAGGGGGTACCTTGATGGGTTCTTTTTCCGGATTGTATGCCATGAAAGTGCTGGATACGGATGAAGCCGATCGTGTGTCCTCGGCCGCTAACAAACGACGTTCCTCTCTAGCAATGGCCACGAAGTCGGGCGGACGCACAGAAGTTCGAAAGAGTGGGCGAGAAACACTGCCGTAGCCGGATCGGTGAGGGGTTCTGTTGGGCGTTCTGTTACCATAAATCCTTTGAGGTGTCCGATGAGGTGTGCGATTGGGCGTTCGATCGGTACGGCGCGGTGTACCGTAGGCTGATCGGGAAGGAGTATCTGGAGCTGAGCGCACCGGTGTGGTGGGCTGTGAATTTTGCGATCTGGAGATTTTCGTTGAGTTAAAAATAACTGACGCATGCTGTGAATGGCCAAATGGGTGTACCTTAGCATAGCCAGCTAGCAATGGGTTGCTCGTTAGCAATAAAAAGTGGTGATAATAAAGGAAAACGCACCACCCGTGTTCCACTTTGCACCTCGCACGAAACGCGGAACAAGAAAAAGTCCTGAATCGCGTTCCGAAATCCTCGCATTACGCGCCAACAGTCACACAAACAGACCCAAAAATCAACGCATCCTACCCTCTTTCGAAGCAATACTTTGCGTTCATCGACGATTGTGAAACTAGTACTTCTTTTCGAGTTAGCATACAAATACAGTTATAACAGCCTTTTAATGAAGAGAAATAGCATGCCAAAGACGCTGATCATATAATTGGGATCGCCGGGAGTTGGTAATTGGTAAGCTGTGGATCGCTCCAGCACCAAATACTGCTTTTGGGTTTGTAACAATGGAAAGGCTAAGCTGCACTAATTTGGTTCAGTATTTGCGTAGCTTTTTTAGATACAGCACATAGTACAGTTTAATTGAGAATAAAAATACCTACAAATCCAATTATAAAAAGAGACGAGGTAATGTAGTTAAGTTAAAGTTAATCAAATAAGAGAGAAAACCAAAGGACAAAGTCATACAAAAAAGAAAGATGGATGCATTAGGACAAGCCACACTTACTCTTCCTTGTTTTCACTTTCATAAAAACTGTTGTCACCACACTGTGGGACCCGCCACCGCACACCGCCAAGGCATGGGCTTTGTTCAGACAATTTTTAAACTACAGAAACACATACAGCAAGTGAGTGATTCGGCATAGCATTCAAAAAGAAAGGAAGGCACTTGAGCACAAATACATTACCTTTCACAAAAAAAGAAATGGGTGGAAGATGCGTCGTCTTTTATAGACATGAAAAAAAAGGCGATCCCTTGTACTGTAGCTAAAACCTTTATTGTCCAATAATGAAGCAGGAAAAAGACGCGCTCATCGCTTCACGTCATATTTATCCTTTGACAAGAGAGTGGGGCTCATCGCAATGAAATAGCTACATGAAGTAGGTCTCAGATAATGCTAGAGAGAGATCTTTATTCTCAAGTGTTCTTGTGTTGGCTGATGGGATACACAGATGCACATAACTTTGGTACAGGCGTAATGCATGGCTCGTTAAACTATATTTCAACTCGTGTTATACACTTTATTGAAAAATAGAAGTCATCTTCATGAAGGTGGCCTCTTCTTTTTGATGAAGAAAGTCGTCAGTTTCAGCGCATTTTCCCTCCAGGACTACGCAGGCATTCTACAAGGCCAAGGTAATATGACGAGATCCCCCACACTCCCCGCCAATAAGGGACCAAGTCATGATTTTTGCTTCATTGCAATTTATTTTATTACTATTTCTTCAATTCCCGAGAAAAATGAATTGAAAGATGAAAAAGACATTAAGGAAGTCAACAAATTTATCGGGACTACAAAAAATTCGGTTAGGGCACTGTACGGGACACAATTATCCGTGGGCTTTTATCTTTCTAAATCAATTTTACATCACCTGTGAATCGCTCGAGCATACACAACCTGGCTTTCGGATAGAATGACTCTCAGCTGATAGACATATATATATGCTTGTTAGTGAAGATTCAGTGATTTTTCCCTAAGGCTGCGCTTACAAGCGAGCTATTTTATCAAGGGTTTCTCATACTGTTTGTGCATAAACGAAGTCCAATGACTTCAAAACAAGTCATCTCTAAAAGAAGAAAAAAAGAAAGATGCATGAATTTTCAAAAGTTTAAATCAATCTAGAGCGTGCTCATCGTATTCTCAATCCGTTAGCATGCAAGAAAAGAAAAAGGGAAAGGGCGATATCCTCGGCCGCATTGCTGATATACCGATTGTCCGTGTGAAGCCGTTTGGAATGTGTTTATTCCTTTTGATGATCAATCATACTTCACTTAACCTCTCCATTTGTAAGATCACTCCTATTTATGCAAGAACTTCATTCACCGTCACTGGAAAATGATGTTTCGTAATAAGCAGAGGTCCCATATGAGAGCAACGATATCCATGCATATAGCTGAGCATAAAATTATTGTGAACTCCTGTGAATTGTCGTTTTGCACAGTCTCTCACAAGTTTTTAATTTCATAAGAAATTCACAATTTTTTTTGCCTATAATGACAACAGGCATTTCTTATTTTTCTACTTCTATTCGAATATCGACATGACTATTTCGCCATACAGTGTCAACATTGGAACCATGCACTCTTTTTGGAGAAACATTGTAGAGATCCAAAATATGTCTCTGCGAATTTTTGTACTCGTAGATATTTTGTTTTTGTGACATGTTCTTGCATTCTTCCGAGTTTTCCAGCTTGATAACAAGATAAAGCCAGTTCAAAGTCCCTATCATTTACGACACATTTACGGTTGTTGGATAGATGGATTTAAATCTTACCCGCGATCTCCCGGAATTACCATTTTGTTTCGTTACCTTGTGTCGCTCAAAATGCAGATGAAGTCCGTGCTTGCCCACAAAGCTCCGCCTTGCATATTTCTTAAACAGGTCTCAGCAATACGATTCAGCAACTATAAAAATCGCAAAAGTGCAAGTCTCTGAAAGGGTTCCAAGATGCAGTTTATGTCAAGACGCATTACCTCTTAGCGCAACACTGAGCGATGGTTAGCTGCCTAAAAAAAGGCTGTCGAAGAAATGAGCAAATGCAATGGTGCCACAGCATTTGCCGCTTCGTTACTTTATCTTTGAAAATTTTCGTGTCCGTCTTTAGAGTCAGAGCCGAGTTCACTGCATGACAAATAATCGTGTGATCTTTCTTAACCAAAGAACACTTTCAGACTGCTGATCCAACAATGAAGGGTGACCCCGTGAGTCAACTTTGATCGTACCGACAAAAAGCTGTAAAAGGAAAAAAAGCCTGAAACTTTCAAAAAGTGTCAAATAATTTGATACTGAACTGTCAAATGATCGCCTCATTATTTGGCTACTATTGAAGCCCAGGATGCTGCTGAGAAGTTAATAGATCAATGAATTAAGTATAAGGATGATCTCTATACGCGCATTAAGACGCGTGTGTCAATGACTGAAAGCTTTAATAAAGATATTATAAAAAAAAAGATCACACGAGCTCTCTCTAGACTTATTGCTGTCACATAGTGACATAGGTTATGAACCGAATCCAGTGCTTATATCTTTTTGTTTCCAGAAACTCTATTTTTATTTTTATTTTTTATTGTGTCTCAATAGTTTTAAACATTAGCCTGGTTGAAAAATCCGTGCTTGCCTTATATTCTGCAGCAAAAAAATGAATAGATCGTTAAAGTCTATTAGTGACGACCGTTTTAAAATTTGTCTAAGTCTTCATTTCTCGGTTCTAGGCACACAAAATGTTCTTCTATTTAACTCAAAATACTTGGACGATAATATAATATTTCAAGAGATAAAGCGCAAAGCTGCCTTGCATCGTTCCTTGTTCCCAATTTTTCATTCTACTTGTACTGCATGCAGCGACTCTATTGCTTTCTGGTTTTGGCTACGTTGGCTTTCAGTGGCATCACTCATGCTTTTAATGCCAGCTTGGCCTACTATGCTTTGAAGGAGGCCAACATCATACCCAGCTGTACGTCTGATAAAAACGTAAAAACAATCTGTAATATTCATTGATGGTTACAAACGTAGTGCTGCCTGACTTTAAGCCTTCCACGGATATGCACGTCACATACAGCAACGGTAAATCGGTGGGATTCGGCACGATCATACGTCCTGAGGAAGCTGTTCTGCAACCGACTGTGACGTTCCAAACCCTATCAGAAGATAAAGCATATACGTTGATGATGGTAGGATGATACGCCAATAACCAGTTGTACAAAAGAAATACTGAGCTTTTCAAGTATTCAGTTTGATGCCGATGCTGAGGTGCCACTCGTCCGACACTGGACCATTGCCAACATTCAAGGCCGCGATCCAACGCCTGCTTTTAACAGCAATAGTCCGATTCATCAGTACACACCTTACCACGGGCCGACTCCTCCTGAAAACACAGGCTACCACCGATATATCTTTACTTTATTCGAACAAACGCAATTCTCTCAAGTCTTACGCCCTGTGCTCGACTTCCCTAACCAGCATCGAGCCTTTTTCAATCTCACGGCGTTTATCAATGAAAACCAACTCAAGCCGGTGGCTGCTGCTTACATGCTCGTCACGCACCAAGATGGTTACGAAGGGGAATATAAACGTATAAATAGTGGACGGTTTAAGAGTGCGAGTGCATCAACATAGGAACCACATGTAGTAGAATGTATCTCGCGTTTTTTATTTTTATTTTTTCCCCATGAAGCAGCCTTAATAGGCATGCTGTGTATCAATGCACGCATTCTCGATAATCACACCGTCGATGGTGTGAAAATACTCACATAAAATACACATGAGCATGATGTCTGTACCTTTCGTGAACCAACCTATGGACTTGGGGATTTTTTTTATTGATATTCCTTTTCTGTATAAATGTGAGAGAGAAAGGTGGATGCTGGCAATGGAACGAAAAGAGATGAATGTAACAAAATCTGAAGAGAATGTAGGAATGAAGAATGAGATGGGGAAGGAAAGGAGGAACAAAAATAATAATAAAAAACCACAGAATCATGGGATGGGAGAAGAAAGCACAAAAATGGAGACTTATTTACAGAAAAAAAAAGAAGGGGAAAAGTGCCATTGATTTTTTCTTTTCTAGCACAAAAAGTTGTTGATGCTACCATCTTGATCCTTGAGTCGCAGCAAGTGATCGACAGACGATGTCTGTCCATCAAATATTTTGAGATCAAAATCCGATGCTGCAGTGGATGGTAGCTCGAGCATCAAGAGAGATTCGTCCGCCATAAAATTATACAAATCACTCATCATATTCATGGGAGGACTGGGAGTGCACGCTGCACTGGTGGCGTTGGAGCTAGAAGTACTGTGCGTCCTTGTTGTCGCTGTTTCATCCAAGGCCGGTGGTTGAGATAATGGGAGAGACGTGTTCAACGAACTTAAACTCAGAGGCTCGCTCATCATGACGTCGCAATACGTTCCCGGAAGCGTAAGGCTATCGTTATTCACGTCCGCGACCGAGAAACAATCGCCAAAATCCAGTGATTCCGTGGTTCCGCTACCGCAAGACATGGTCGGCGACGTAATCTTTTGATCCATGGCCTGCAAAGTTCGTAGATTATCCGTCGTCAGAACCGCCGGGCCCAGTGAGACCGGAGGTGAGCGCGAAGAATGTTTTCGTGGTCGTAGCTCAGGCATAAATTTCGATCGATAGGTATCAAGAGCGCGCTGCAAGAGATTCTTCTTGTTGGCCAGATGACGCGGGTTTAGCCAGGCCAGCTTCCACCCCATCTCATTACACTTGACTTCTTCCATCCACCGCATATAGAGCCCTACCGCTTGATCGGAACGCAAAGCCATCGCGCGTGGGTACACACAGTTACACTGCCGGAATTCTGGCGTAATTTCATTGAGATTTACATGCTCTATACCAATCTTGATGCGGATACGGTTGGCGCCGTCTTCAATGGTGATGGTTTTAGGTTGATGCGTGACCGTGGTTGACATGGAAATGTCCTCTACCGATTCTTCTCGCTGCTTTCGTTTCCGCAAAGTACCGTTCATCAGTTTCGCTTGTCGTGCTACGCGGCGCGAACGCATGCTTGGATATCTATTACGGTACGAATCTACGGCGCGCTGAATGAGACCGCGTTTCCCGGCGATTTCATCCGCGTTCACCCACGCCAATTTCCATCCCAAGAGATTGCACTCGGTTTCATAGTTCCAACGATTGCCGCGATATTGCTCTTGAGGAAGATTCGCTCGCGGATACACCTAACAATCACATTGGGTGGTGAATACAGTGCTTGTGCGTGTGTGCGTGTGTGGAGGGTAGGCTTCGAATAGTTTGTGCACGTTGTTGCTTTGAAAGAGAAAATGTGTCACTTACGCAATTTTCTGCCTTGAAGGTATCACTCATTATATCTAGTGACACGTTGTTGATATCAGTGCGTATCGAGTATCGTTTCATCGTACGATTATGGGAGTAAACAAACGACAACCATTCCGTGCCATCTTGGACGTGGCTCGTCTGTTCGTGACCTGGCGAGGGTTCCTTGACATTGGTCTCAAGAAGCGTAGCATCCGATGAGTAGATGGGAGAAACGGTGGTGGTTGCGGCCACACGTGTGACAGCGGCCGCCAGTGCACTGGCGATAGCCGCTGCACGGTCTTCTGCTTCCTTTGTCTTTTCCAGTTTCCTTTTCTTCACTTTGGTGATGGTCTCCTGAATCAGCTGAATCTGATCGGCAGTGAGCGCTTCGAGGAGCTCTTCCGACTTTGGCGAGGCATCGATAAGGTCTTGGAGGGATAAGCATAGGGTAGCCTGGGAAGTGTGTAACGTGTCGTTACCACTGGAAGCAGTAAGGAGTGAGGTAGTGCAGATGTCCATATTTAGAAGAGGCCAAAGTAGAAAGGGGCAGTATTTGGAAATAACCGTCGACAGAGTAATAGAGGATGGATACGAGTATCAGATAAAGATAGCAGTCGTATCACGACAAGTGGGGGGTTCATGCAACAATAAATGGGTATGATGGGTTGTAAGTAGGAATAGCTGTTTCGTGAACAAAAGGGTGTAATAAGAGCGAACCAAAAAACGTGGGGAAAGGATCTCGATGTTTGAGTGGCTTGCAAAAAAAAAATTACGATTTATACGAAAAATTGCGAGTCCAAATTTCTTGTGCAACATGAACCTCTTTTTATTTCGCACCGTTGACCTCGCGGATCAATGTTTACGCTCTCCCAAAAAGAAAGTTGCTAGTCATCGGTGTGCAGATAGTTGAGGTTACACGGCTCATATTCGCACCGTCGTTTTTGGAAACTTGCCCCACTTTATCCGGCAGCTTACGTTATTCCGTTTTATAAACCTTCATTTATTGTCGACGGGTTATCATATGCTTCTATGACAATGAAAAAAGAAAAAACTGAAAAAGGAATAAGCCATCATGACATGCTAAAGTCCAGAAAATAAAACATCAGTATGCCGCTGGTTGTTGGCATCTGTTGAGCCATGGAAAGGCTAATAAATTTCTCTTTGTAATACAGTATGCATCTTGCTTGGTTCGCTGCGATATAAACACTCGTGCAGTAAATCCGATGCAGTTAATCCGAGACTGTTTAGAGTGTAATAGCTGCTTTTGGGAGCGTTCATTGACTTTCACGTTGAAGAGAATAGTGCCTTTGCTGAAATTGATCAAACAGTTGGACCGAGAATAAGGGTCACTTGACAGTGTCTGAGCGCTATTTTCGGAAGATTTTGACTCACAAAATCGTTACAAAAGAACATCATCCCTAATGATCAAGCAAAAAACAAGCCCTTATACAGCAGGTTGCGAGACCGATGAATGCTTTCTGTCAACTGACTGTTCAAAACTCTTAATTAAAACCAGCTGGCAAGTTTGAAGCATCCACCTTTTAAAATACCTTTTGAAGATGAAGTATCATACATCTATCGTCATACACGGTTTGGCGTTTGGTGGCAGGGTGAAGAGGCTTTTGGGTTATTTGACGTCCAGGATCAGTCATAGAGAGCAGTGTGGTCGTCAAGAGATACGGCTATTCTTTCCTCTTGATCTTACATCAGCATCAAATGATGTGTACCAAGTTTTCTTCTATCATTTCCATGCTCATATTCCCTTCTGACATGCTTTAGCTTGCAGATAAATAAGAGGCATAACGTCAAATAGTTTTTCAGGCAGGTAGTAGGTGATAACCATGCAAAAGAACCACTATAAAGCTCTTGTTTAATCGTGATCCAAATGATAATTGCCAAGGCGGGAATCTGTTTTCAAGAAAATTCCATACATTCTGCCATCGAAAACGACTATGAATCTTATTACCGGAATAAATTCTACAATGCTGTGCTATTCGCCTGAGCAGAAAGCTAACAGAAGGACATTTGTTCTGCGACAGTTTTTTTTTATTTGTCATGGGGCATTTACGCAGGTTGCTATGTGTTACAAACGGGCGCCATGGTAAAGCGATCGGTAATATTATTATGCAAATATGACTGATAACGCAAATGCCATCGCGTCAATGGATCAGGTTTTATTCCAAGGAGGCAATGTGGGCAAGTCGAGACAGCAACAAGATGGCGGACTCTTTGAGGTGATCTTCTTCGTCTGGGGCTTCTAGGATAGTTTGAAGCCAGTCCTTCACATCTACGAGTTCTTTTGTGTAATCGTGCAACAGGAGTCGCTCCTGATGTTTGTAGCTCACATTCAGTATAATATCTAGACCCAGCAAAAGAGCGCGTTTGATCGCTTTGGAACACGGTACATAGCGCATGGATAATGCGAATTCGAAATATTCCATCACAATCCGTCGTTTGTCAGGGGTATTTGCTTTTTTTTAATCACACAAAACAATCGTCATTTAGCCATTTTGTTTCCTTCTATTCCCAATGACTCTACTTACTAGCGCTGTGCATGATCACGTTCAGTGTCATAATGAATCGTTCGGATAACATTTCATCATTGCCGATCCACCACGGCATACGCCTTTGTGCACCTTCCCACCAGCCCACGAGGAGTGGGAAAAAGAAGACCGGTCCAGCCAGTCCACTGAGGCGATTCCGTTGCATCCCCTGCTGTCGCTTCAATTCCACTTCGGCCCTTCGTGAATGATACTTGAGCTGCCCCACTCGAACCGGCGTATCGATGGTCATGCGGTCCAATGCCTGCCGAGTTTCATCCATTTTCTACAAACGGCCTGTAAATATTTTTTCCCGGTGCTACCATGGATGAATGCTTACGGACCTCTTTTTCAGTCCATCCCGCTAATTCCCGTACAGCAAACAGGATGGCGGCTAAAATGGTTTGTCGTTGCGCTGTGGACGAGGTGCGACTGTAGATCTCATCGATCATGAAACTAAGAGTGGGAGGCTGAGTTTATCTTGCATGTGCTAATATGCTGATTTTTTTTTTGGCGAGTTTCCCGCCTGGGGTCGGCTTACCTGGTAACAACTTGCGGCACCGCCACAATTAGCGCCGTCAGCGCTTTCTGTTGACGTGTTGTGAAATCCGTGAGATCATAATCGGTCGGTAAACCAATCAGATAGCGTGCTAATGGAATGGCCGACTCGCCTGTAAACAGATTTTAGGTGTCAACGTTTGTGATGAAAAACCCAAATAATGGGAAAAAAACATACTAATTTCACTTCCAAACGCCGTTTTCTCGCGGATCACTTGTTCTGCAACTCCAAGCGCAATGTCCAGTTTCACAGGATCGTCGCGGTCTTTGAGATATGCAACCAAGTCCAAAATGTATCTATTGCATGCTGGTCGTTACTCGGCTGAGCTTGTAAGATTCAGTCAACGATGATGGAATAAGCTTACGTGGGACTTTTCACTTTTTTCCTTTCCGCCTTTGGAGCGAATTCTTCGTCTTCAGATTCTTCTTCCATGTAATACGGCTCCAAATCTGAGTCTTCCGAGTCTTTAATTATCGACTAGTGAGCCATCCTATTCATTTGACGAAGCGAGTACACAGATGAAACTTACCATCGCTCGGTACCATTAAAGCATCCGGATCAAGGTCAGCGTCCTCCTCTAGCGCGCCTTTGTCTTCCTCGTCACTTGGTGGTTCCTCAACAGTAGGTGTCACCGAGCTTGAAATATTGGCGGCTAAACAAGTTTTTGTGTTACATAGAATATAAAACATATGCAATTAGCCGAACATTTACCCTTTGCCAAAGCATCGCCGGAAGACGCTAATGCTTTCATAGCCAAATACTGGTGATCATCATCGCTTAACAATTTACAACTAATGCCAGCTTCATTGTTTTCCATCCGGCTCGACAGACTTTCACCGACCGTCTACACATATAATTCATTTTTAAAAGTTTCTATTTGTTCCGCTGCTGTGGCTATGCTTACCATGCCTAATTTGAGATTTTCTGCACTGCCAGTGTCGAACCACTGAGTAACAGCAGGTATAATGGAGGTCGTATTCACTATTTCGTACAATCGTACATTGTCCAAATAGCCAAACAGAACGAGCATGTCTACAGTCATGTCTGGAGGGAAATGTGAGTTTCCGTGTTGTTTGGGTATTATCATGTAGATCAAACAGACAAACTCGCTTACATTCATGTTCTTGATAACTGGCGCGTTTAATAAAGACAGGATCGGTCCACATATCAATGACTCTTTGGGTATATTTTGAAACGATAACCGTTGCCATTTCCGATAATTGCCATGGTCGTTGAGGGTCCTTCGTTGTTACGGGAACAAGCCCTGCTGCGTGGACAGCTACTGCTACCGTCAGTCGCGCCGTTAAACCGTCTGCCCATCGTGCCTTGGAAAGGTTAAATATCGTCACTGTCAAAAAAGCTTCAATTCGTTTTCGTCGCTCGCTGGGACTCTTCATATTTTCTGTACAGAATAACAGCGAGGCCGCTTCAGCAGCCCACGCAGTAATTATTGCTGGAGATATAGTCAGAGCATCTTCCGACTGGGAAGCTACTTTATCATGGATATAGTTCATCAACGATTTCCAAACTTTGTCAGGTGTTGAAATTGTCTCTGCTCGCCTAAGGACTGCAGACCATATTGGGCTGGCTTGAGCATGGGACTGGATTTGCGCCACAGCAATCGGATAGAGTGTATTGATGCAATCATCTAGCAGTAATATGAGTGATCCATTCGCATGTCACACGAGAAAACCCTTGTCGCATACCTTCATAACCTTGACGAAACATCTTGCCCAATAATTCACCAGGAAACACAGACAACGTTTCAACTGGCTTGAGCAGTTTTCCTCCATCATGTTCCCAGTAAACAGTCATGCTCTGCGCCAGATGCCGGGTCAACGCAGAATAAAATTGGCTAAGATAAAAGGCACATACCGTAGGTAGATCATTAACTTCCGGGTACCCCTCGACTGCTGCTGCTGAATTACTCTTACCTGTCAATATACCAAGACTCGTCTTGCTGTTGATACTGTTGCAGGCCAAAGGCATTGGCCAACCGCGAAGGGATAGAGCATAACATGGTGCAAAACCAGCGAACATCGGTTATTTGTACTGTGGTCATATAAAGGCGAACAGAGGCAGGTTGAACAAGCCGTTTCAGCAACCGCATGTATATGTCCAAGGATTGAATATTCTCCCCTGAGCTCGTTTGCAGGCATTCCAGGAGGATCGGTAAACTGATCTGAATCAGGCTCCAGGTGGCCTGGTCATCGAGATCAGACGTGCCGGTCACCAAATTTTCAAGACAATGACGGTGTTCAGGCGACAAGAGAATAGAATACTGAGGAACGAGTTTCTGGAGGACAAACCAGACATGGCGTTTCCAAGCGATATCGTGAATGACCGCTAATCGCTGTTCTGGCTGCAGGTGTGTTAGACGTAACGTTGGTTCCGACAGGCAAGCAAATGCCGAATCAAGATCGCTTTCTGATGCTAGAGAAGCTTTGTCTTTCAGTTCAATGAGCCTTTCCAGGAATTCGCGTGAACTGGCATCGAATGGCATGGCGACACAGGAGAACAAGGAGCATAAAGCTGCTCGACGGGTCTCATCGTAATGCCCGTCACAGTGCTCGGCTTTCTTGGAAGGCGTGCGGACAATTAAATTAACACCATGATGCCAAAGCAGCAACTTGTATGCGATAGACGCAAGTTACTTGCACGCATACTAGAGATCGGGTGACTGGCACATTATTCAATTCTTGTCGCTGGCTCCATAATTCTTTCATCATAACCATGTTCCACTACGACGGGGGCGCGCCTGGATAATGCACCACCGTAATAGTCCCGTTTCAAAGCAAAAGTATGCGACGGGTGACCATGATTGTCAGTATGTTACAACTCTACAATAGGCACAACCTTCATGCAACAATAATAAGCAGCCATTATCAATACTGTTGTTGTAATCAACACGAGCTATAACCTCTCACTATGGAGCTTTTGAGCTGACAATTACAGCGTAGTACAGCGGCTAGAAAGTTGTAAAAGATCTAGCACGTCTATGCTTTACTCCCTACGGATACGCTTGAGGAAAAGGTGCACTTTGTGTTCATCAGGAATATTGGAGAAAAAACAACCGGACATTTCGGCGGATACTTGGGTGAATGCAAGCAGATGATTTATAGCTCACTGCAAGCCCTGCAGGCGGAGATTGAGAATCCGTGCGCATTTTCGGCTTTTCCCGTTGCCCGTTCGCGAAAAAACAACAACTGATTCATTGGTCCCATGTCCTTGTCACGCAATTTGGTCGACGTGGCAGTGCTTGCCTCTGCAGCATCCAAGATTGGCTACGCTTTTCTAGGCAGTCAATCCGCGGCATTGGTTCAGCATGTCAAAACTTCCAGTCTCTGTAACCCCACTCCTACCGTACCTGTCACCACCCCTCCTCAAGCCGAGCAGCCACCTCAACCGGAATCTCCACCTACCGCAGCACCACCAGAGTACTTTGTCGGTGAAGCAGCGCCAATCAATAAGGAACAAGTATCACACAACACACCTTCACAGCCAGCAGCTCCTGACGCCGCCTATGCCAAAGTGTCCGCCTCACCGACCGTCAAGCCTCCAACCGTAGAGGAACCAACTACCAAAGCTGCACAAGCAACGACGGCTAATGACCCTATGTCGTCACTCAATGTAGAAGACATTGCCATTCCACAAGAAGTAGGCGAGCAAAATAAGGTAAAGGATAGCCGCAACATTTAACGAACTATATGCCGAAAGACGTTAATCCTTGGTGATAGGAGGCGGAAGTTAGACGTGTATTGAAAGAATCGCGTATTCCGACTTCCAGAGCTGGTCGTCTCTGGCATTATGGTCAATTGGCCACTGGTTTGGGCTGGGGAGCGCTTAATGAATCGTTCAAGCGAGCGACTGGTCAATCGAAAACCACAGGTATATCCAAAGTTTTATCCCGATCCCTACCTAACGGAGCAGCTACTGACTTTTGTCGATGTTTATGACAGGATCGGTGATGTTGAGTGAAAAGAATGTGGATCGTCTTGTGGAAAAACTATCGCGTATGCGAGGTGCAGCGCTGAAAATGGGACAGATGCTGAGTATTCAAGGTATTCAGGCCGCCGGTGAAGGCCGTAGTATGATCCCTCCCCAGCTGGAGCAAGTGCTTTTGCGAGTTCATGACAGCGCAAATTATATGCCAAAATGGCAAATGGAGGTATAATATCTCGAGCATAGATGGACACGATACGATAATAGGTCTCATACATTGTCGTTTTTAATAGAAAGTCATGGCAGAAGAGTTGGGACCGGATTGGTTATCCAAATTCAAGGAGTTCGATCCTGTGCCAATTGCAGCTGCATCTATTGGACAGGTTCACGCAGCGACACTCGCTTCCAACAATCAGCCAGTGATTATCAAGATTCAATATCCCGGCGTGGGCGAGTCCATTGACAGTGATTTGAACAACCTAAAAGCCATTATTACGTTCAGTAACCTGTTGCCGCGTGGGCTGTATTTGGATAACACGATTCGAGTGACCAAGCAGGAATTAGCTTGGGAATGCGACTATGTTCGCGAAGCCGATAATGCCGTTCGTTTTGGTGAATTATTAAAAGGTGATACGCGCTACAAAGTGCCGGCGGTCGTCAAGGAATTGTGTACACAGCGAGTGCTTGTCTGCGAACGACTTAGAGGTCGTGTACTCAGTAAAGCCACCGAAGAAAGTCAAGACGTGCGTAACAAGGCAAGTGAGCTTTGTGCATAATCATTATGTTGATGGGGGAAAACTAACTCTGGAAAGTAGCTGGGAGAACGTCTTTTGCGACTGTGCCTTCGTGAGGTGTTTTCTTTCCGGTTCATGCAAACGGACCCCAACTGGTCCAACTTTTTCTACAACCCCAAAAACGGCCAGATCGAGTTGCTTGATTTTGGAGCGTGTCGTGAATATTCCAAAGAGTTTTTATCGCTTTATGGAAAAATTCTTGTGTCTGCCGCGAAGAACGATCGGGATGGAGTATGGCAATACTCCAAGGAACTGGGCTTTGTGACGGGTTATGAAACCGACGTGATGCGACAGGCGCATATCGACAGCGTCATGGTACTGGGTGAGCCCTTCAGAGATACGGCACCGGATCAATATGATTTCAGCATGCAAACAATCACGGCGCGAGTACGGGATACCATTCCCGTGATGCTGCAGCATCGATTGACCCCACCGCCTGACGAAACTTATGGTTTGCATAAGAAATTGTCGGGCGCTTTCTTGCTTTGCACCAAACTGCGTAGCCAATTCGACACAAAGGCAGTTTGGAAAGAAGAAGTGGCATCGAAATTTCATGTATAAAGTTTAGCATCCATCAAATCACTCCCTTCTCATTTATAGATAATGCTTTTTTATATTGAGACTGAAAAAGCCTCATTCAACCGCTTCATGAAGCGATTAATAATAATGTATACACCACATTCAGTCCACTTTTTTTCCGAATAAGATAACCGTAGGCACTTTTTATCCCGTGGAATTGAGATTATCGTTGGACAGCTGCCAACGGCAGATTCTCGGCAGAATGTTGCTTGTGGATCGTTTTGCGGTTTCAAAAAAAAAAGTACAACTAGCATTTAGTGCGGAAAAATCGTGGCTCCGAGCCAAAAGTTTTCGAAAGCCTTGGTTTTGGTGTGACGATAGTTCTTGGCTTCAATTAACTTCTTTGCCATGAAGCATTTCGATCGATGGCTGAATGTAGCCGTCAATACGCTGGAACAACTGAGTATTCAAGCTCAACGACCCAACTCTTGCACCTCGTCTTATCCAGCCCAGCAACCATCGTCAGCACCTACGGTGCCTGAACAGCATGAGCCGATGCCTTACTATCCCAATGCCTCCTATTCTCGGTTAGTATATCCTAGCAATGGACAATTAGTGTATACTCCCTACAATGAATGGGGCGATCGGATTCTTGACTTTTCTGGAGCCGGCTACAATGAAGGTTACACCGGTTTACCGTCAGTTCCTATTGTTGCGTACCTGGACCCTACCGCCCCAGATAATGATGAAACCGATCGTATACAGCAAGCTATCAATAACGTATCTCGACGTCCATTGCAAGCCGATGGATTTAGAGGCGCACTTCAGCTCAATCGAGGAACCTGGACCATCTCTCGAGCGCTAGAAATTCATGCGTCCGGCGTAGTACTGCAAGGCGATCCTGCGGGTGGCACCGTCCTGGTGGCAGCGCATACCATGGGTCGCGGAGCTCAATTCATCCGCGTGGCGGGTGAAGCGAATGTCATGGCAAAAAAGCGGTTGCCTATTCGAAACAAATCGATTCCCGTCGCTGGTCGACACGTCGAAGTGGATGCCTCTGCCGCCAAACATTTACGCGTAGGTCAAGCCGTGGTGGTTGCCGTAAATTTCAATGACGCATGGATCAAAGCTATCGGCATGGACGTCATTCATCCAAAGGGCAACCTCAACAAAAATAATGGCTGGAAACCCGGCAAGTTTGAACATCTACGACGCATTGTAGCGATACAGAACACAACCATCGTCCTCAACGAGCCCTTGACGACTCGACTTGCAGCAGATTACGGAGGCGGTCACATTGAAGCTTACGAGAATAAAAGAGTGCAACGGGTCGGCATTCAATTCCTTGAGTGTATCTGTCCTGCTAATCAGAACCGGGGACCGGATGAAATTATGCAAGAAGAAAAAGGAAAAGTTAAGGATTATCGGTTTGCTGCGGAATTGTTTGATCATTTATTGATCAGCATGGACCACGCTGAAAATTGCTGGGTGCAACAAGTACGATCCGTTTGGTGGCGCAATTTCATCCGTCTCGGCACCAACACGGTTGCCATCACGCTAAAGGTAAGTGTCGATTGCCAGGATCGACCAAGACTTCTGATACTTGGGATTGACAGATCATTTTTGTCTCTTCTTTTTAGCGGTGTCAACATACGTTCCCACAACACGACATACCGCAGAATAAGATTAAGCTGCCTTTAGCTGGACAATTCGCATTTGAGATTTCGGGACAACTGGTGTTGATTGAAGAATGCCATGCTGAATATAGTTTCCACGCTTATTCGTACAAAGGACGCGTCCCTGGACCTAATGTCGTCTATCAAAGCACCTGCATAGCAAAAAATGGAGATGTAGGACCGCATATGAAATGGTGTAAGTGATAACAGATCTTTTTAGGAAATCGTTGCCAGTTATACTTATGTCGCTTAATCTCGATTTTGCCGTTTTTCTAGCGTCAGGGCAGCTGTATGACAGTAAGTTTTTGAGTTTCTTTACCGCGAAATGGTTTCCATGACACCTCAGAAATTAATGTGATGACTGGTTTTGCTAGGTTGCAATATCGAAGGACAAATGATCATTCAAGATCGCTTCGATGCCGGTTCCGGTCACGGATGGTCGGGTGCGAATTCGGTGGTATGGAACACCGTCGCCCACGCTGGCATGGTCGTACAAAACCCGCCTTTGGCACAAAATTTCTTAAGTATGGTCACCGCCCAAAAGAAAAGATCTCCATTTTGCCACAGTAACGATGAAATAACTTTATTATTACTTTTTGTAGTTGGCAGCTCCTCGAAACGAGGGAAAATACGGATGCCGGAGCATGAATGGGCCTTTACCGAATCTCCCGATCAGAAAGTCAACCCACCAAGCCTGTATATGGCTCAAAAACAAATTAGGATGGAAAAAAGTTGTCAAACCCGGATTCAACAACATGAAAAAAGGGAAACCATCCTTGAAGTTGGTTTACAGCTGCTACGCTTGATTATTATTGGTTATTCATAAGAAAAAAGTTGGATGGGGGGACATGAAAACATTGATGCGGGAAGAGCTCTTTTTGAAAAAAAAAAAAAAAAAGATGGTTGGTGATATGGTGATCTGAAATCTCCATAACATTTTGTAATTTAGTTTAGCTGATTATTGCCTTTTTCCCTTTTTTTTTGTGATTAAATGATTCATGAGCAGCAGATGTTGTTGCGATTTTCTGCCATTCCTTGCCATCAGAAAACGTTTTGATCGCCACCTGAATGGGAAAACTCAAGGATAAACATCGGGTCAGGGTCAAAAAAGTTGCATCTTGCTTTTATTCAGCACATTTTTAACTTTAACATACCAAGATATGCCTTGTCATTCCTGCGGAAACATTACCCATTCTCGATCCAGCCACAATGATTGTCAGCTCAATCCAAAAAATGCTCGAGATTCATCTGTTGGCGGTATACAAAATACCATTTTTGTGAATGAATCGGCCAATTCTACAACGCCGTCGATATCTGTTCTATCCCAAAGACGTTCCTATGAACCGACAATTGAATTTATCGACGAGTCTCCTCCAAACTATGATCTGTTATCATCATGCTTTATGCTGTCTAACTAACTTTTTTTTGCTTTGTCATTCGCAAAGAGCTACTGAAACTTCCAATGTTGAAGCACGGCCTACTGTTAATCTTGATGCTACAACAACAAATAACCATCAGTCGAGCAGCCGTGTTTTTGTGGTGAGATTCCACCTGCAAAAATATGTCCCAAGAGGGAAATAGACGTTATTAAGATCTTTGCTGACGGCTATCAGGATCCATGGGAAATGAATATTGCGTATCAACGCTGTGGCGCAAAAAATGTGGATCGACGAGAAAGTTGCCGGTCCAATTGCTCGACCGCGCATCAGTGTTTTGTTGTAACAGATGGAGCCTCTCTTTTCGCTTACCGCTGCCTCCTCCTCATACTCTTTGCTCCCTCTTGACGGACCAAGAACACGAATTTAATGCACTTTAAAGACATATGCAGCTTTGGAACCCTGCTTTTGCGTTTACTTCATGGGGGTAGAGATAAAAAAGAGTGTTCATACATTTGTCGAAATATTCTTTACAGAAACACTGACCGTGAAAGCTTGATAATCATTGGTCTAATGCAATCATAGTGAGTAAACTTTTCGGGTCCATGTGGATGGTCACCATCACATTGCACATGCTATGCAACCCTCGGGCAACGTGGAGCCTAGATGTGCGCAAACGCATATTGACGACTCTGAGACTGGATAAAGATTGGGTGATAACCTTTCAAATGGTGGATTAAATCCAGAGATAGCCCAACGCCTACTACATATTACGCTCAACGATGTCCATCCTTTTGGTTTAGATTTGTGAGCGGACAGTAGCTCAAATTTCAGGCTACTCTGCAAAAGATATTTCAATCATCACGTCGACGCGTGCCCATGCGTGGACAGCGCTTTCGACCAGCTACTCCTCCATGCATTACCATTATGAAGAAATTTGAAAATCCCGTATCTACAAAATCGTAAAGGAAATCGATGAGGGCGGTGACTTTGAGCGCAAGTCAGGCTATGGAATGAACTTTTGACCCATGATCTTGGAAGCCTGAGACAGCTTGGAGCCGAAAGATTAGAACAAGCTGATCGAATCAATGTCAGATATTTTAGTCTCTTATACAGACGGTTGTCACTATGGTTGTCCAGGGGTTGCTTCCCGATCCTCCATGTTTGCGGATTGGGCATTATGGTTCTTTTGGTGGAGGCCATAGCCCGAACGCCTATCATCATTATTCGAGAGGGTGGATCAACTGATTGTCCCACCCATCCTCTCCCCTTTTCTTTGTGCTCGCTCTCTCGGAGATGATACAGTGCAATTCATCCGGATTCCCGAAAATATTCGACTTTCATAAACCTGGGCATCGTTTACGAATATACTTCACTTGCCTTTGACCTGAGTATCACTCTGTCCTTTAGTGCTAGAATAGCAAAATTCTATAGACCACTCTCGAGAAATAAAAATAGATGATAACACACAATCACATTGGTTGGTGACTTCCTGAGATTTGGTTTTTCTTTTTATCGAATAATCGAAGACCTTGCAAACGTTCAGCGGCAAGTTAAAAAGGCCATTGCCGGTTTCTGCGCATGCCCCCTCGGGTCACCCTTCATTTGGCGGCTTTGTTTTCTGTTCTCCAGTTGATAAAGAGTCAATCTCCTTCTCCTACCTCTTCCTTCCCCTCTTCTTTTGAGATATCGCATGAGGTGTCTCGCAAGCGACTCTCTGTTCGGCCAGCTTTTTGTATGACCATCAGCGAGTCGCAAGGCCAAACGGTTGATGCATGTTGGCGTTTCTGTGCCTAATCTTATATTGTCTCACAGGCATGTTTCTATATTCTGGCCTGTTTTCTTCTTATTTCCCATGTTTTTTCTGCGTCCGTAAATGTCTATTAAAAAAGTTTCCTTTATAAAAACCTCTATTAGGGCCATCATTGGCTGGCGCAAGAGTCCATCCAACCTTTGCGGAACCCTTAGATCATGTCCACAACGGCACAGAAAAAAAATCTTTTTGATAGAGAAATATACCTTCCCTTTGTAGTTGCCAAAAACCGACATGTTTGAACTGTAGGTTTATTTCCAAGAAGGTTGAGGTGTTTCTTTGTTGATCCGCAGATAGACGAGATCCAGCACGTCCAAGCCTCGACCAGAACATATCGCGAGCGCATCACTCCGTACCTCGAATTGGTTTGCCAATATTATACAGTATCCGTTCAGGCCACCTAAATCTCGCAAATGAGCAGCTTTGTGTCGTACCAAGTCAAAAGAAGATTTGATCCAGGGGGGAGCGTCAAGCAACAAGACTTGTAAGAAAAATTGATTTTCCGGTCACACCTCATATGCCCTCACGGCAAGTGAATCATAAATTCCCCAAAATTGACCAATCCACGTCTTGGTATCTGTCCATAGTTCACAAATAGCTCAAATAGAGGAAAAATAAATCGATATTTCATAAATCAATCGAGTGGCACACGATAAAGAAGCCGTTGTGTTTCTTCTGCCCTGAGATTGAATTTATTTCTGGTGCTTCGGCGGAGCCAATGTCAGGCAATAGAAAATTTTCGCCTTGTGTCACCACAATTCCCATTTTTGGACAAGCAGAAAAAAGAAAAATCGAGGGGTTGACGGGAATTTGGGTCGATAACTTTCCAAATGAAGAAGTGGGCGACAGATAATCAAACCATGAGCGACAGTGCGAGAGCCGATGCTTTTTCTCGACGGACAATCACTGGTCACTCCTCTTCATTAGCTTCATTACTTCCTGCATCTATTTTTTCTCGTTTTCTTTTTCATTCATCTTTCTCTTCCACTTCCTCTTCCTCTTCATCCCGTACTCAGCAAAGCCCCTTGTCTCTTTTCTTCCAACGACTCATGTTCCATTTTCGATCCCACATACTCTGGTGGATTGCGGCATGTTGTCTTGTTGTCTTTATTTTTTTCCAACTGCCTACATCACCATCATCGCCCGACCCCATTGACTTGGAAGAACACATTGAGTATGAAGACACTACACAAATGACCGACTATGCTTTACTAGATCGGCTTTTATCTCCTGAGGGTAAGCGAAAAGAGGCTCTTTGTGCATACTTTCTTTGTCTTGTTTGGATAGAAAAAATTCATCCATTGTCTTTGGCGAAACTAGGAACTTCCAGTGATTTGGACGCCGGTACGGCCTCTCCATGGAAACCCAACCATGACACACAACTGAGATACCAATCGTTATCCCGCCAATTGACGATGCATCCGTCGACGGTTCAGGGCCATACTTATACAGAACTGAAACAACTTGCGAATAATGTGCCTTTGGTCGATACACCTTCCATCACCGTATTAATACGTGGCGATGAGGATAGTGACCGGGTAGAAGCGCAAGTCCGATCAGTTTTATCCCAGTCGATCGTCCCTGAACAAATCTGGGTCACCACACGACATAAAAATACGCTGCAGAACCGTTTCAAGAATCAAAACATTAATATTATGGAACGCAGTGATGATCAATCATGGATTCATCTGCTTCAGTTTGTGAACACGGATTACGTCTGGATTTTGCAAGATGCGGTTCCGGAGCGCCAGTACTTGGAATGGATCCTTCGTCTTTCTTTGACCGATGAATACGGTGACGCTTTGATTGGAACAGAAACTGCTCGGTTGCGCAATCAGACCCACACCATCAATGTTCGACAAGCCATGCAGCAGGACGAATTAAATCAAATGTCACAAGCGGTGGATATGGTCAATGATGCGTGGTTATTGCGTCGATCGTGGATTTCAACCATCATAAGCGCCAACGCTCGGCAACCACGATCCTTACCTCGCGCGCTAACCGGTTACATGATCAGTCACACGTTATATTACGAAGCAAGTGTGCCTTGCATTGGACTTCCTGTTCCTTCCGAGGATAAAACAGTCGATAGTGCTCAGCCAATCGAAGCATCGAAACAGCAAATACTTGCTGTCAATGCCGCTCTTCAGGATCCAATCCACCGATTTGCGTATCAAAGTCGAGTGGACGCTGCTATGGCATCCGCGTTATTCGTCATCGACGGTGTCGAGCAACAGAAGCAAATAGTTCCTTTGCTGTGCCAGTTTCAAAACAAACATGCAAATGTGCACGCGGTGGTTACAGGAGTTCACCGTGGGTTATCAGGTACCGACTTTTCCGCTTTCCTTCGAGACGAATCTCCAGCATGCAATGTATCTATTCACGATCTTCGCATTGATTTTGGACGAGAGGCGGGGTTACCGGCGGACGAGACATGGACCTCTTCCAATCAGGTGTTACATCGCCTGCAACGATTAATTAACTGGGTTCAACCGCGTGTCATGATTCACGTACAGCAACAGACCGATCCCATTTTGGCGAGCATTATAAATGCAGGCACCATTACGCAAACTGTCACCATTGGTTTGCCGGCGCGTGATGTGGCCCACGTGATGTGGATGGCCGATCTCCCACTGGTCTCCCTAGAACGTAAGTTTACAACCGCAAACAAAAGTAACCCACAGTTTTTCAATCCAAAGAGCAGACTATTAATCATTTATCGATTAAAATAATAGAATGGCACAAGATGACTGTCAAACTGATGGTGACGACTGATCGGAAACCGCATTCGTTGGCACGGTTATTGCGATCAGCGGTCAGTGCACACTATCTTGGGGATACTGTGGATCTATCGATTATTATGGAACAATCGACGGATCGTGTGACACAAACATTTGCAAATAGCGTGCCCTGGCCGCATGGACAGAAAAATTTGCGTCACCGTATCGTAAAGGTCCATCCTATGCCGCTGTTTGCTGAAGCCTGGTATCCGGCCACCAACGACGAATATGCGGTCATTTTGAACGATCAATTGGAACTGTCGGAACTCTTTTATGTATGGATCAAGTATACCCTATTAAGATATCGCTATGCACCTGCACCACGACCGGCAGAAACGAACTACATGTTTGGTGTCAGTCTTTATGCACCTCGATTGATGGAAAACGATCCCAGTGGGCGGCAATTGTTTGATGCAGCCAGCTTGATGGAAGCGTACCAGTACAACCGTTCGTCGCCTTACTTGATGCAGACGCCCAGTAGCTCCGGGGCATTATTCTTTCCTGAGCATTGGCGCGAGTTTCATGATTACATTACGGCACGTCTTGCCGATCAAGCGAAAAAACAATTACAAAATGTGACCGTGCCCAATGCGCGCTCGAGCCAGTGGACCAACGCCTGGCGGCGCTATTTCGACGAATTGGTGTATATGCGGGCCTATGTCATGCTCTATCCCAATTACGGATTTAGTTTTTCTACAAATCATTTGGAACTCGGGAATCATGTGATTGATGATTACGCACAAGCAGCCGCTCTGTACCGTGTGCCGCTGATGAAAGCCGATGTGATGGCATCTTTACCTGCCGTTGAGAACTTGCCCGTATTGGATCTGTGGGGTCGTGTTACTTCAATGGATACCCTGAAAGATCGAGGACTCGAGCTTCAACGGGAAGTGTCCGCTTGTCCTCCGCGTTCACTGGACGAGCATGTGTATGATCCTTCGGATTTATTGTGTCCGTTTGCGCAATTAGTCCCTGTTACTGTATTGTCAGAAGATGAAATTGTACCTGATCTCCCTACCAAAGTAGTCACCATCTATGTCACTCACACTCCGAATGCATGAATAGAGTTAATAAAACAAAGCACAAGAGGGAAAACTCTAAAAAGAAGATGGATTAAAGAAGAAGGCAGAACATGTAATTAAAAAAACAAGGAAGAGTTTTGATTCCACTTGTTTCAATTTCTCGGTTTTTCTCATTACACACCGAAGTTTCTTTTAATTTCCCCTTCCCGTGTGTGATTTTTTTTTTTTTAAAAAAAAGAAATTACTCTGTTCAGCGTTCTTCATGTCCAATGAACACTCATTACCCGAATCTACTTTCCCGGTGCGTCCGCCTCAACGACGGTTGTTGAACAAGTACGCAACCATCGCTACCGATAAATATCCAAACAATCTGCGCCGAGAATTGCTCTTGTCCAAATTTGATCGCAACTTGACAGTTGAAAAAGCCCATTTTCAAGATCCTGGGGCCCACACGGACGATTCTCTTCCTCGGCCTTCATACCACGACCACGACGCTCCTTCACCTTCTATACATGCTGCACCCTCCCCCACCTCCATTGCACACCTATCCAATACCGGCCATGCCCTCTCCAATGTTCACAACAGCCATGGATCGTCCATTGAGCCAAGTAGAATCGCTTCTTCCGCCAGCGAAGTAAGTCTCTTTTTTTTCTTTTTTTTCTCGGCCATTGGCACGGGGAAAACTAGCACCATGATTGAGAACTTTAATTATTGAAAATACAAATTCATGGCTAAATATTCGTTTCCGGATAGACCGAGCGTCATGGACGAACATTTCTTAAAAAGAAAAAACGGCCCGTAAACGGCACAGCTAGCCCGGCCGAAGTTTTCCATCGCAATTTGGTCGATGCCGTCTCCAACGTTGAAGGTATGTATTCAATTGAAAAAAAAAGGCTCCAAAATCAAAATCAATGCATCAGAAATCATAATTTGAAATTGTGTGCGTGGTTAGGTTCCGAAGAGAATGAACGTTATGTATACCCCTACAGCAATAATAATAGCAATGAACATGAACATACCGTGGTGTTTGGTCAACCAGTTTCCGTAAGTTATCATCCTTCTTTATGCAAGATTTTCATATATCAAGGCGTGGATATTCATTGATGTGGGAAAAAAAAAAGGACGACGGCCTTGCTACGGAAGATGACGAGGAGGAGGACGAAGAGCATCGACCAAAATTGCGAAATTATGTAAGAGGTTACCCGTATCGATCGAGCAAACGAGATCCAACATGGCAGGAGCATGGAAGCCTGAATCCTTGGCGAACTAGTCCACATCGTGTCCGTCGCACGCCTCGGCGATACAAATACACAGATGGTTACGCCAGTGATGATGAAGGCATTTTGCTATTGCCAACAGATTATCGAACAGATACCAAACAGCAAGGATGGTAAGTGATGCCAAAACAGAAAAGCATGACGCAGGTATTGATGTTTTGTATGTAGTTTTCCTTATCAACACACAATTGGTTACGGACTCCTGGTTCTTTTCTTGTTGGCATGGATGATCATCTACCGAGCAAAACCGTTGTCGGATGTTGCCATCGAAATGGGTCGCGTGCTAGCCTCTGACAAGGAACTGATATTTGACTTGCATATGCAAGCCAACAATTGGAATTATTGGACGGTGCAAGTGGTGGATGCAGATATCAGTGTGTTTGTGTTTAGCCAAATTGTTCCAGGCGCCATGTGGCAAAACGACAGTGTCCAAGGTAAAGAATTGGCCGAGAAAAGAAAGAAAGATGCTAATCAATGTACGCTGGGCGAAAAAACAAAACCATGATAGTCAAAGGAGCTGACCCAGCAGAGTACCTGGGAAGTTTTTATCGCTTTGATGAACCATTGGCGATACCACCCGTCATGTTTTCAAACGAACCAGCCCACGCCATTAGCCAAATTCGGATAAAGTCTCCAGGAGATGATAAAAGCGGCAATGAACGATGGTAAGTTTAATCAAAAAATCACTGAATTCAAAAACGAAAATTAACAATAATGATAACCCTCCCATCCTTTTTTCGTTAGGTCACGAATTATCCGATATCCCTATGGTCTCATCACCCGAGGCGTTCTGAAATACCAGTTATTCCCCTATTTTGCATCATATCAATCCGTGGCCATTTGTGACATTGCTCATGTGGACCCAACTACTGGCATCGTGTCTGCAAGTCCCGATCAGAGTTATTGTCTAACGGAAGAAACGGTAGCGTCAAGCGATAACTGCAATCAACCACGTCAGTGAACCGTGGCACAATTTTTGGTGTGTCAGCGTCATTTGAACTTTATAAGTTTTGTCCCCGAAAAAAAAGTCCCACGCTCTGTAGCATAAATAGAAAGATGATCCTCCTTCGAGGCGATTGTACTTCTTTTCTCTGTATCTTTAACTACCTTCTTTCATCTTCATATTCCCTCCACATATCAATTAAACCATTTTTCATCAACTACAACATGAGTCAACTTGCAGTGTACGGTGGTTCGGGCGGTCTTGGACGTGTCTTGGTCAATTACTTTAAATCAAAGGGCTATGTAAGTTCCAATTGGCTTGTCTCTATTTTCTTTAGTGTCTGTCGCTTACTGTATTCCGTGGGAATTCGGATATCACTAGTCGGTCATTAACATTGACCTCGTTGAAAACACCGATGCTGATCGTAATGCCATTGTGAATGGTCAATCGTCCATGGAAGAGCAGGGTTCTCAAGTCATGGACGCGTTGAATTCGCTTCTTAAGGATAACAAGCTGGATGCTATTCTGTGTGTAGCTGGTGGATGGGCTGGTGGTAACGCTGCCAGTAAAGGTATGGCGGGCGTTAATGAGTTGAAGGGGGTGGGGGGGGTGTACCTCGATCTTGTCTAACGAAGGCGGCTTGTGTATCCAGGATTTTTGAAATCGGCCAATTTGATGATCAAGCAGTCGGTCGAGTCTTCCTGTATCGCCGCTCACATTGCCACAAAGTATTTGAAGCAGTATGTGTCTCAGCGAGAAGCAAATTTTATAGTACGCGTAAAGGGAACTAATGGATGGTTTGTAGGAATGGTCTTTTGGCATTAACAGGAGCTGCCGCGGCAGCTGATGCTACGCCTGGTAAGTGGTTGATAAGCAAAGAACTGAGTTACCAACACTGATTCTTAATTATGATGATATTTTTTTTTCCATTCATCCTTAGGTATGATCGGTTACGGTATTGCCAAGAGCGCGGTTCATCATCTTGTCAAGGATCTTGCCGGAGCCAATAGTGGTCTTCCTACGGACGCCAAGGTGACCGCCATTTGTCCGTAAGTAGCATACAGAGTCAAATCGCTCATCGATTGGTTTTACTCAACATCCAATGGTAGCATTACTATTGACACTCCCATGAACCGTAAGGCTATGCCTCAGGCGGACATCTCCACCTGGACGCCACCGGAACATATTGCAAAGTAAGTGAGATCCGGGCAAAAAAGTCATGACAAAAATCATGCTGATAACTTTTACTCGTCGATTCTCTGTAGGCAATTGCATGATTACTTGACAGGTGCGACCCCGCTGGAAAACGGAAAACTAATCAAGGTTGTCACCCAGAATGGCGAGTCCACCTTTAGCGAATTGTAAAAAGATTATGTTGCTCGTTCGATGATTGCCATGGTTGGCTGTTTGTGTATCCAATAAAACGCTGCTTGTGGCCAATCAAATATACTCTTTCATGTGCATATAAAGCAGGATGACATCTCAGTGTCTCGCCTACATCCAATTAAAGAATAGTATCACTTGTCGATCGTACTATCATAACTCGGGGCTTCTTGCAGACTAATCCGCCCTGTGCTATATAGGCCACCACGGAAATTCGATGGAAATAACAAAAACAATTAAATCAGAATGTACCATATTGTTAGTCCTTCTTCACTGTCCATTTCTTGAGCGACGATAAGATAACGAGCCTTATTTATATTCGTGGAATTAGCAGGGGAACAAGGGCTGTGGGCACAAATCGCATGGAACTCGGACCTTCCCATTCAGTATCACAACTTTTTAACGGAGCAATAGCAATGAACACCAAGTACAGCACCGAAAACTGGCTAGATGTCCACAAAATTTACTGAGAGAGTTATCTGATAACTGACAAGACGGGTAAAGACGAACCGACGAGCAACCTGAAGGGACAAAACAAATGACAGCCGGCAAAGGTGTCCGACGGTTGGCTCCTCGGCAATTCCGGATAATTTCAATCCTTGTAACCCTTCGCACTCAAAATTTTTTGATTAAACTGTATGTTTATTATCCAATATCCCGATCCACCATCACTCTTTACAAGTCATACTCGTCATCCGATTCATCATCAAATCGACGGCGATTATACTATAAAGGATATCATGTTAAGATCTCGTTTTCGTTGCACGTCAAAGAACACGTTTAACACAAAAGAAACGTACCACAATCTTGGAGGTGCCTTGGTCCTGCTGGTTGAGTTGGCCGAGCAAATCGATCAGCATCTGCTCTGTAACCTTGCTTCGCAACTGGTTCGATTGAGCCATGCGGATCAATAAATCCTCGACGGCGCGAGCTTTATCAGCCTTCACCATATGAATACGGGCCACTGTTCTCCAACTGTTAGGAAATTGGGAATTACGCGACATCATTACTTTTCACTTACAGCGCTCACGAGCATTGTTATCGAGGATTTGATAGAGCTAAAAAGGAATTACATGGGTTATTTACTCATTGATATACTCTGTACAGATATATGCAGCACTTACCATTGTTCGTCTGGCTTCTTCCATCTGACTAGTGGTAATTTCAGATGCATAAGTGTGGGAGATTCATCCAACGCCTGTAAGCGCAAAGTTACCTTTTCTTGTCCTCATCATCTTTGCCACCTCCACCACTGGAGGGACTTCCCATAGAAGGCGATGGCGATCCAAAACCGCCCTAAAAATGACAAGAATTCCATCAATAACTGCATCCTGACATGTCGTGATTAAGCCGGATGAGGAATAATAGCAGCAAAAATGGCGACATTATCGCTAGCCAAAGGCTAAACTGACTTGCCTGTGAGCCACCTCTTCCCTGGAGTTCGGCCAATCGTCTAGCTCGGATTGCTTGAAGTTCGTCGTCCTCCATGCTTGGCACAATACGTGAGAGAGAAAAAAAAAATCGATCGCAGGTTGACTTTCTTTTTTTTTCTTTCACTTCGTGTATATTTCAAAGTCCGGAAAAAGCATCAGCTAATTAATAACAGCTCGTTGAAAGGATGGTTGTATGGTGTTTTCAAGGTATACACATCCTAATCTAAGGGTGGAAAAATCTTGTAATAGAGGTATGATTAATGTATTAGTAACTGGAAATAAGCTAATTATATCCAAGACACATCACGCCTCCATCAATGCCTGCCAGGGTTTTGAATGAGCAAAGCTGAGCAAGGTGGAACCGAGAAAACAGATGTCGCGCTTGCCTAGCAATGCTATGGGTAATATAAAAAATCAAACACATATAGCTTAATTAGCTGCACGGTAACTCAAGCAGCTTACTGTTGAACTGCTAAAAGGCCCTTAATGAACCTGTGGTTATCGATGTTTCTTCGCCTTGTAAAGACACCTTAATTTAATAAGCCTTACCCGATGCCAAATATGAGTAAAAGAAGCATAAAGACATCCTACAATAGTTCGATCTAAACCCATTAATTTTCTTTTGCTGACTGCTATTTCAGTGCTTTGAGACCTGCTGCATTACCTCGATCATCGGGAAGGTCGCATTGGAAAATCCCTGGGCTGTTGGAAGCCATCCAATGAGGAAACATATTTCAGTCTCCGCACTGCAAGCGTGGAATTAACATCAGTGTTTCTTACAGCACTACTCTTCATCGTCTCACTTGAGCATTGTGTGGCATTGAGTGATTCCTTTTCTACGGCGGCTCGATACTATAGAAAACTATTACCGCGACGTGTCTTGATTGACTAGACTCTAGTCTCTTTATTCTCTTCCGTAATGGACACTTACCCTTCCGAGTTTTTATGCCACCCTGTGCCTGTGCTGGCAGTGTACGGTCTCGAAGTTACAGACACAGCAGCAACTGCAGAACAGAATGCGCAGCCATCCGATACAGAAACGACCAAACAATCCAGCTCATCGACTAATGCGGTTCCTATGCGATCCGAATTGGCTAAAACGCTCACAACCATCTTCACTAACAAGCCAACGTATACCGTCTATGACGCTGTGGCCAATTCCACTCAACACGGCAATTCAGTCAATGCCCCGTATCTAAAAGTCATCCAAGTGCCCGAGGTAATGGGTGCATTTGAAATAGCTGGTCGATCCCACTGATGCTTCTTTATTTTTCTAGAATTTTACGTTTCCTGAACGCGCTTCGACCCCGCCCAACGCTCCATTAATGCATTCTCCTTTGTCGCCTCTTTCACCGCAGTCGCCTTTACATCCGGATGGGTTAATATCAACATCATGGGTCAAAAAACATTTGGAGACACCAAGCGTTGTGGTTGGGTTTTACACATTGTGGGATCCCTCGGCCGAAGTCGGTAGCCCACCGAAACCGAAGCGAGAGGTGGGCCCTCTGGCATCCCATGTGCTTATTGATCCCGCGGAGCGAGAAAAGGATGCCGCGTTGGTCCAGAAAATTAATGATCGTAGGTAGGCTTTCGTCGCTCATGTCATAAACAGAAAAAAAAAAAAAGATGTGTTTGGGAAGCGTTACTTACTCTTTCTGCTTTAGGAAATATTTCCAGGACAAAGGTGTGAAATTTTCAGCTGTCATTTTGTTGGATGCAAAGCAAACAGGTACAGTAATCATTTCTTTATCTGAATAGACTGAATGAGTCAGTCAATGTTTGCCCTTGGAAAAATATTCACCAGACAATGATAGAGGATGGGGCTGTTGAAGAGCGACTATCCATGATAAAGAAACAGAGCGGTTTGGACAGCAAATATTCCTTTTTCACCGTCGCTTCGGGACCGCAGCAAGAAATAGAAGCATTTGTCAAAGAGTAAGGAACCACCGTACATTTTGTATCTCTGTGGGCAAGGAAATCAAACGGTAAACTGATGCATGGGCGTATGTAGCTTGTACCGTTCATCATATGATGCCGCTTTACATTTTTACGCAAACCGTATCAAGAAAATTCGCAAGAAGCGAGCCAAGCTTCCGTCCACAGCGAATGCGAGCAGACCATCGATGATTGATTTGGGAAATACCGAACCTCAGCCACTGCCAGTTCAGGGATGGCTGTTCCGGTATGATTATAAAACTGCTTTTTTCCAAGAATGCAGGCAAGACATCGAAAACGCGCTCAAGTGAGTTACAATTATATGAATCAAAGGAAAAAGAGAGAATCACTCAATTTCAAATACAGGTCTTATGAGAATGCTTACACCATCCTCGCGGAAATACTTGCTCCTGTATCCTCGGCAAGTCTTGGCCTTGTCCATTTGCCTGTTCACAGCAAGCGATGGTACGAAGCTCGCGTCCTCGTGGATTCCTTAAACATCAAGGTAAACCCCCTCTTTGATGCGCATGGATCAGTAATTGTTGTACTAATGCGCGGAAAAGATATGTCGCTTTTATTTGGCTTTGAATGATTCAGCATCAGCAGTGGCTCAATTGAATGGCCATTTGCATATGTTCCAGACTTATGCTATGAAATGGAGCATGGGAGACCAATCCTTTGAATATTGGGAATGGCTTTCCAAACAGTAAGTGCAGATAACCCGCCATAGTGCTGTCTTGAAAAAAAATCCCAACCCATGTTCTTTGCCAGATATCGAATTTTTGCCGATGTTGTAGATGATGCCACCCAGCATGGATTCAAGATCCCTCTTTCTACTGCTTATACGTCGAGCAATACGGGATCGTCTATGGGTATTGGCAGTCCTTTACTTGGCAACGCGGCCGGTAATCTGAGCGGCGGCTCGAATCTCAGTGGTTGCAATCCTGCAGCTATTTTACAACATCCTGGGTTCTACTACCATCTTGCAGCCATGTGTTGTGCGGAACGACGACGACGTTTTATCGAACTTGAACGTGCAACGCTCGCCAAAGCCTCGGCCAATGCAGGTTCTGCTTCGGAGACCGAGGCTGGCCCTACCGGTCTGGAGCAACTGCTGGCTCAAGAACGACAAGTCAATCACTCTGGTCTCACCATTGAACTATTGACAAAGAGCTATGAGCAATTCAAACGTCATCGCAATGGTCGCATGACACTGTACCTCGCGGCAGAGATAGCGGGGACTTACTACGAAACCGGCAAATTCGAAATGGCACTCAAATTCTTTGAACGCATTGGCAAAACCTATCGAAAGGAAAACTGGCATATGGTACTGACATCGATTTTGAGGTGGTCACTTCGTTGTGCCAAGGAACTCCAGTCCTGGGACCGTACGATCGAATGCTTAATTGAACTACTGTCCGGCAAGCTTCCTATGACGGACCAGAAACGACAAGATATCCAGCAGGAACTGATGGATATTATTCACAAGCAAGAACCTATTGAACACTCCCCGATGGTGATCAACATGGATCAAATCAACACATTTGTGCATTGCTCTGTTCAGTTCCAGTCGCAAACCAATTTTGTGGATACCGCTGTCCCTTTCCAGATCACATTGACGACCGATAAAACCTCACCGCCTCTACCTTTCCGATTCAGTGCGATGCGAATAATATTCAACGATGCCCAATATAACATGATCCTGCGTGACACCAATACGGAGGAAGGACATCAAAAGATGGAGCTCATCGATTGCACTGACGGCCTCACGACGGTGGCGGAAGGTGATCACAGTGGATGGCAGACAAAAGATGTGGACCTTGGTATAACAAGCCATCAAAAGAAGGTTATCCAAGCCGCCATATTCCCTAAAGAGTGCGGTCAAATCAAAGTAAGCGGATTAATTGTAAGCACGAGATGAAATTCTAATTATTTCTTACCTAATTAGATGGTTGGCATTTATCTGGATCTGATTTCAGCTCATTGGAACATTGCCCTGCATTACCCGTTAGATACCAAGGTCGTAGAGAACGAACCACCGAGTCGCCGCAAATGGCTCGAAGAATCCAAAGGTAAACTTGCATGAGTGACACGTACAATTCCCACAGAAATTGCTTTGGGAACTCATCATGATGACAGTGGGTGACAATCCAAAGTTCAAATTACTGGGCGGTCGCGGGGAATTGCACGAAGTCCGGTAAGTGAGGAACATCTGTTCAAAGGTTTTGGTCGATGTGCTAATGATAGATGTTCACAGGATTATGCAAAAGCCTCCTCGCATTGATATCAAAGCAGCTCATCATACCCCTGCATTGCTTAACGAGCATTACAAAGTCTGTGTGGCGATCACTAATCGGGAAAGCGAATCAATTTTGGGAAAACTAAGTGTAACAATGAAAAATATCGAAGGCGCAGGTAATTGCGAAAATAGAACAGAGTACTATCACACAGAACTCAATGCAAGCATGTGTAGTGAATGGTGACTTTGTATCTTTTGACGATGGATCGGCCGAGATGAAGCAAGGCATGAGCGAGTTGGACTTGGGAACCATCGCATCAGGAGAAACTGTAACAAAAGAAATCTATCTCCACGGTGATGAAGTCTCAGGATCTAGACTGGTGACAATGACAGTAAGTCCCAGATAGCTGCGATTATGGATGCAGAATGGTTGACTTTTTGAATGATATAGGTCGGCTATACCATGTCCTCCACTGGAAAATCGAACCCATTGATAGAAAAAACTGAACTGGTTCGCATTCCGTTTGTGGCACCTTTTGACACAAAGTTTGAGCTGTGCACGCTAAGCGAAAAACCCAGCCATGCCACTTCACCCGTTTTGGACAAGGCGGAACGGTGGCTGGTCATTGCGGCCATCAAGTGTTGTTCTGCGTGGGATCTGGAGATTCAGGATATCCAATTGGAATTTTTGGTAATTGATATGAGAAGCTTATGACGTTGCGTACACGCACAACTTTACTGATATTGTGTTAATTACTTGTTTGTTTACCCACATGCATATCATCAGACGGTAGATCATCCTAATGTACAAACGAAATTATTATCCGGGGTGGAAGGCTTTCATCCTCAGCGTAAGTAGAAATGGCCATTGGACATCTGTGCTAAAGTGCATATCGAATGAATCATGCATCTTTCTCATGGCGACAAACATTAGAATGGAAAACGGGCCATGTGTATAATGCCGATTATCTGTTCCGACTGGTTACGGATGATCTTACTGAGCCGCAGCCACCCATTCCAATTGGGTCAATAGCAATTTATTGGCGACGGTAAGACAGAAACTGGGGGATGTTTGATGGCCTCCCTTTTTCTTTCCTATTTTGGAAAGGATAAAAGTGGGGCCAGTAGCACAACCGATGTTTAACATCATTCGTTTGATTACAGACATGGGGAGAAGCAACAATATGCGAAAACGCTGATACCATTACCGACAATTCAGTCCCAACAACCGAGTCTGGTGGTGATGGCAGGTGCGTTTTGATCAAAAAAATAATTGTACCTGTAGATGCAGGCAATTTATTAATAGACGATCCTTTTTTTTTTGTCAATTAGATGTACCTGCGGAAATCTATGTCGGGGAACCATTCACATTGACGTATACGGTGGATAATCCGACAGTGCATCTCGCCGAGTATACTGCATCCATGGAGCTAAGTGAGGCATTTGTGTTTTCCGGTTACAAGCAACTGAAGAGTCGGGTATTACCGCTAAGTCGATGCTCGTATGATTTTACTTGTTATCCACTGATTGCCGGAAAAGTGAAATTGCCACGTCTCAAAGTGATTGCCAAGCAGCAAGGTGCTGAGAAAGAGATCCCGGTCGAATTCATTGGCAGCGGCAGTCTGGCTATTTTGGACCACAACTTACAAGCCAAGGGGGTCGGTGCGGAGCAACAAAACTCACTGCTTGTTTTTGCCAATGCGAGGAGAGAGTTTTAAGAAAGGAAAAAATTGTGTTACCAAGCAACAAGGTGGATTCTTCTAATGATGCATCCACTCCGTGGCTTTACTTAAACATCTTGTTTGGGCCCCCTTCTCCTTTTTTCTTTTTTCTACTTAGGCATCCCTGTTTCTAAATATTATGCAATATCTTTTTCATATACATCTCGCACTTCATTCCTTGGCATCCTAACAGCTCTATATTACCACATTTTTGGCTAAAAACGGAACAAAAAGAGCAACGACCAACAAATACTTATATATCTCGATTCCATTAACCAGCGGTCTTGCTTCTTCCGAAGATAAAAAAAGAACCCGACCTCATCCATTGTAACAGATACTTGTGCTATCCTCTCTCTCCTTCGTCGCTCTCTCTCTCTCTTTTTCCCTTTTTGTACTGTATTATCTTTCTTTTATCCAAATGTCAACCTACACCAATTCGTGCCGTCTTTCTTCACGACGTCAAGTGAATGCTGTTCCTCATGTCGACATTGTAAGCATCTACCAAGACCGAAGCATGGTTGCAGAAAATAGTGTCACAGCCTCGTCGTCACCCGATACCAATGATTCCCCTCAAAGTTTCAGTCCTATTCGTTCAAGGCCGCACGATCAGGTAAGTTCGGTCCTGCCACTAGACTCCGCTCATATCATGTGGATACGTGTGAGCTTATTAGGGTTGCCTGTAGTTTATTGATCAAAGCATTGAAAATACACCTTTTTATCAGCATTTCTGCAACGTAGTAAAGGAGCCGATGAACCGTGCGGATATACATGACCCTGCACCTGGAGAACCCGCAACCGGTCGGCTCGACTTGTCTGCCTTTGTTCGGCATCTCTACGATAACCGATTGTCCGTCATGGATGGAGCAGAAACTGAGGACACAAGAATAAATTCCGCAAAGGAGAATCAACCAATTGACCTTGCAACATGCATCCAACCAGTTGAAGCGCCCACATCCGCACCAGAACCTTCTGCCAAACTCCTTAAAACCGAGGACAGCAGTTGTGCCGACAGAACCCACCCCGCTCCTGAGGAGGGTGCTGTCAAGACAACGACTCCTATGCCCTACCCTCCGTCACCCAAAACTAGCAATTCTCGGTTCAAAGAGCGATGGGATATTGATGTGACTATACCCATTTTCTTGCCAGATCATGACAAGCCGCTCTCTCCTCTGTCACCATCCAAATCTTCAGCGACGAAACCGCAACGAAAATCGGAACGCACATCTGCTCCGCTCACCCTTTTACGCCAAGCCAGTCGAGTGCGATCACAGTCCATGTCCAACATTCGAGGCTTGATGCGATCCTTGAGTACTTCAAACAGAGTCCAGGAACGTTCCGTGAGCAATGATGAAATCGAGAGCAAGATTTCGCCTGCTGCCAAGGCCGCATTGCAATTGGACACTCAGCAACTAATCAAAAGCACAGCCCAGCAACAGCAAACCGTCGTAGATAACGCCAAATTGTCTCGCAAAATCTCCCATTTACTTTCACGGCGTCCCACGAAAACAACAAATCTGCAGGAAAAAGGAGCATCCAACAAGCTTACACGTGCAGAGGTTATACGACGAACTATTATTTATGTGCCCTCGGACGACGATCAAAGTGCGTCATCAGGGCAAGACGATAAGCCAAGTTCCCCATCGAGTGTCTATCCTGCTCCTGTAGTACCTCAGCGAAGTATCAAACGAAAGGGAGATCAGAAATCCGGACCTGGTATTCCGAAGCCGTTAGATGGTCTTGAACTGCGAGAAATGAGTGATGGGTCCATTATTTGGGAGTTGGTCAACCACAACCCCCCATCCAGTACAGTGTCGTACCAAGATACCCTACATTCGGCTCCCCCGGTCCCGCAACGGTCCCCGCGACGACGTGCAGCAACCACAACGAGTGATTGCCCACCTCCTATTCCGCCGCGTTATCGTCCTGTCCGTCCAAGCGAACATGTGGACATCTACTACGCTCCCGAAATGACCTTGCCGAGTCTTTTGCAAATCATCACCGAAAGTCAATACAATATACCTATAGAAGAGCAATTAGATCAAGCCATGCGTGATTTTACCAACATGTAACAAAAACATAGAAACTTCTGTAAAGTTAAAATCGAACCCATAATGGGGACTCCTAAACGCGAAAATACGCCATTCTATTTCAATATCAGTCTATATTTGTTTTGTTTGGGAAATCTGCTCTCTATTTATGAAAGAGACAATGGCAGCATACAACAAAAGGTGAACATCCAAATATAGAAAATGTTTTTAGCGGAGTATGAATATATGGCAACCAACATTGTTGTGGACAATTTCTGGTGCCTAAATCTTTCTTTCTCAATCATCATGTTGTTTATCATTTCCCTGTTTCAAATGAGCTGCGGCACCAAATGGAAGTAGACCGATCTTCAGATTTGACGTAAACGGGTACCTATCATAGTTTTCACCTCTTTATCCCATTCTTTTTTATTCCTTATGACGACTAGTGAAGGTATACATACTGCTAGCCAACGAGGCGCAAATATCAAACTGATATCCAGGCTTATAGATACAGAAATAATTGCTGGTGATTTGTTGACTTCCATTTTGCCGTCGAATTATCTGCCTGCAATGGGTTTACCAAGCAAACGTGTACTGAAATCCTAAACCATTATCGATCTCATTGCGCCGACTTTACTTCATGTTTCAAACGGTACATATTGTAGCGCGTGCACTGGCTGGAAAAATAGCATGCGAAATGATGCTCTTTATGTACCGCAAATAACCTCGCAAACAAATTTGCCACCGATCTTAACTGAAGCCCCACAGGAATTCAGTGACGGATTTATCAGAAAGTTGATCCGGTACGGGTTAAACATAACCAGCCTCTACTCAAATCATCCTCTGCCTGTGATCCTGATCTTTTGAATTGACCAATCTGTACATCGAAACAATATGACCAGTTTCCAACCATGCGATGAGAATCCTTGGCTGAAGCTCTTTCCATCCACACTGTGGGCCGATAAATGTTATTTTGTCTCAAACGAAGCGCCGAATGATGATGGCACAGTTTTCAATCCTTTGCATGCCCTATCCTTGTTTTTCTCTCAGCAACAACCATCCTTGCACTCTCACTGGCACCCCAAGGATCCAACAATCAAACAATCAAACAATGATACGAAATCAATAAGACTTTGCGTGAGGAGGACGAGAAGTAGGACTGAACCACCAGCAAGACACACGATACCGAAGAAACAAATACGGAAAAGAGGTACGCGCGAGCACTTGTATAGAAGGTTGTTCGGAGACTTATCGTCCCGTCCTTATATACTAGGAGAATCTACCTCAAAAAAGTGATAAAAAAATCAGAATTTCAGCGGAAAATGATACGAAGACTAGTTGTAGTAGGTAGCCAAAGAATAGCGGAATAAAGCGCTGCTGACATAGACATACTCCATTTTCCATCTTCAATCCACTAACTTCGGTATTTGGAGTGCCTAGCGTATTTTTAGCCAGGTAGTATAGCGATAGAGTATATACAATAATCGATATATAATACAGGTTTACACCGTTTAACACTCTAAGTTTGCTATTATGACGTTCCTCTACAACCACGGTAATTTATCATCTGCAGTGGCTTATAGTCTTACCTATACGACACTGTCCCAATTTTCCGTGGCTGATCCTGCTATTGGTTTCTCTACGTCCGTCTCTGTTGCCTTCACTGCATGCACGCCTTTCATTGCCCACATTTGGTTGCCCTTTTGGATTCCCTAGTTTGTGTGCGTTTGTTCCTCGTGTTGTTCTTCTGGTGCGGGCGTTTGTGGTCGAAATCAAGATGAAAAGTCCAAAAAGAGCTCCTTCCAATAAGAAGACGAGAAAGAAGCTGTCGAACGATCCGATGGACCTTGACCCTCTAGGAAGACATGATCGAATGGATGTGTGTTCTATAAGTCGATGTATCAGCTCCTGCGCCCATCCAGAATGCTTTACAGTACTGCACCGTCTCAAAAGGTATAGTAATTCCTTATGTAAAGTAATGCAGTCGTCTATTATTATATTTGCTATATGACGACGAAGTTCCGTACACCTTCAGCTGCTGCAACCGAAGCGTTGATCTTAGTAAGTGCTTTGCCATTTGCCTATTGTATACATGCTAATAAATTTCCTGGCAACAAGGCGCCTCCATATACTATTTCAAAAAACCTCTCTTTATCTCATGCCGTTGCCTATGACGACCAACTAAGACGTAGAATTTATTTGGAAAATGCATTGGTGGGAACTTTGCCTAAGCTTGACGGCTGGTGAGAAAACCACAGATACTACCTCAAATCCATTGCGATGTGGCTAATTTCTGTTTTGTACCATATGTTGTAGTTTGATGAACAATTGCAAAACTCCAGGTATGATGACAATATCTCTCGTATCAATTGGGGTACATAACCGCACCATCCTTTCTTGTCAGCAAGTGAAGCATCCCAGGATCTTTCTGTCGTTTTCGGTTGGTTTTTTTTTTTTTTTTTTTTTTTTACTGGAGAGATCCAAAGAAGGAAAATGGAAGAGGTACATACGCCGTCGCAACCCCTGTTACGATGATGATAGGCAAACGATTCCGTTGTGCACAAATTCAACCAGTCTGTTCTCCTCATAGCACAATGCAAATACGATGTTGCTCCAAGACCCGATTTGATCGGCGCCATTCTCGATATATTATTCTGGGTAATCCATTGAGGAAAGCAATATTTCCATCCGAGTAGGTAACTAGACACATAGAGCATCTCGGCTACGGCTGATGTTCCACGAGCCGCTGGGGTGCAGATTGCGTCATATAGAATACAAATGTTACAGATAAGCTATTGCATCATGCTCTGCATGAAGTGAAACGTGCAGGCGAGCTGAGCGTAGTAGTAGAGGAAGCAGATACAGGGAACACAAGTAGTGGCGAAAGATCTGGTATGCGTCATCTATGCCAGCGCTTCAGTATTCTATCGTAATACAGTATAGCACCCTGAATGATTATTCTTTGTGTACTTCCTTAAACGTCTTCTTTGCTTCTACATGGTAAGAGATTTTTGCGTGACAGTCGTTGGCTTTGTCATTTAAACTGTTATTTGGAGAGCACTATAATAAAACATTGCCTGTCATCACGCAATTGTGAATATCCCGAGCTTGCTTTTTCTTTCAATGTATGATATGCGTGCTAGTTTATGAACGAGACCAGTGCGTCCCTCAAAGGTCTGCGCCATGCCACATTTAATATTAGCCATGAGTATTTCTCGATTGCATTCAGGGTAAATAAACTATAAACTATAAACTTGGGAATGGAGTAATTGACGATACTGCATATATTCTCGTTTTACAGCTCTTTTGCATATATACTTTTACATGAGCGTTGGGGGGGGGATGTTAATGGTAAACGAACACGGAATTTAAACCATGTATTTTTTGATTGTTAAAGAGCCGTTCGCCGACGAAGCCACAGATTCTCGTATTTAGATGGCTAATGAATATATCTTGTCAAAAAATGCGCGATGTTTTCTATTGATAATCAATAAATAAGTAAAACAATATAAAGAAAAGCTTACCTTTTTTTTACATGGGAAATATCCATTATTTCTTTGAGCCGAAGTTAGCTCGCAAGCTATTGCCAGTCGAATATCTCTTGAAAATTCCTTCTTCGTGACCACGTTGCAAACAATCGTCCCAGTCCATTCGACCCGTTAAATGTTTTCGGTAATTGGCGATGAAAGCTGCTTCACATTCCCTTGTCGCAGACGATTCAGGGACCTGTGATGACATGGGCAGATTGGGTGGCAATTCCAAGGACGACTCGCTATCCGTATCAATCATGCTGAACTTGCGCTTCAGTCTTGAATTGTATTCAAGAGCACGGTCAATGATTCGACAAGCTTTCGATGTTCCCGGGATATCTCTGATGGCAATATTTATACGATTATACAGCTTATTGTGTGTATCACAGACATCATTGATCGTCTTTCGGAAGTTGTCTTCGTAAGTTTCGTCTTCCTCACACAAGGCTTTGATGAGTTCGTATAATTTTTTGACCGTCGGATCCTCGGGGTGGGAGTGAGAGTGCAAGGATGGTTGTTGTTGAGAGAAAAACAAGGATAGGGCATGCAAAGGACTGAGAACTGGGCTATCATCATTCGGCGCTTCGTTTGAGACAAGATAACATTTGTCTGCCCACTCTGCAGAAGGGAAGTACTTGAGGCAAGGCTTTTCTTCACATGGTTGGAATTTTGCCAACAGGTTTCGAGGTGCACACTTGTCAATGCAAAAGATCAGGACCACCGGCAGAGGATGGTTAGGGTAGAGGTTCGTTATATTTAGGCAATACAGGATGATTCTTCTGATGAATGCTTCGCTCAATTTTTTTTGCACTTCAACTAAAATTGGTGGCAATGTCGTTTGCAAGGCCAGTCGCGGTGTATAAAGAACATCGCTTCGCATTCCGTTCTTCCATTCAGTGCCCGCGCTGCAGTACGTGCCGTTGGAAACTTGAAGTAAAGACTGCGCAATGAGATCTGCAATGACTTGGGTTTTCAATACACGTTTGCTCGGTAAATCCATTCCAGGCAGGTAATCCGATGGCAAGACGAAAGTCAACAAATCATCGTCGATTGTTTCTGTATCTATAAACTTAGATGTCAGTTTGTCATTTGCGCCTCGTTGGCTAGCAGTCTGTATACCTTCACTAGTCGGCATAATGAATAAAAAAGAATGAGAAGAAAAGGCGAAAACCATGATAGGCACCCGATACGCTAAACCGAAAGATCGATCTGTTTCCATTTGGTGCTGCAACCCATTTGGAAACAGGGATATGCCGTGTCACCAAGCAAGTAGTTAAAAAAAGTTCGTAATCAACCCATCACTGTTATGCAGCCAAGTTCCCTCTGATATGGACTATACTACGTCTTTTTCGAACAAGGCTCCTGACTACAGATTTTGCTGATCTATTCGCCGAAAATTTACTCCGTTACCAGTCGCCACGAGAATCGATCATACTGATGATACGAAGCCAACGCCGTTCTTCTTTTAAACTAAGTCCACAGAACAGCGTACTGATTCGACAGTTGGAGGAGCTGGAATTTGATCGCGCGGTAATCATTGCACATGCGCATCGTCCGACTTTTATTTGTAACAAACAATACAGGCGCTTTCCCAACCCCAAGGCCGAGGAGCCTCGACGCTCAACGACTTCATCATACGTAATAGACCCCCTTACCCCGGAATTGGCGGGACCTTTGAACGAAACAGTGCGAAATACTTCATGAGCCTCGATTCCCAAAATTTGGTATCTCAGAATTCTTCTGAGCGACGTCCCAAATCGACTTTCAACACTCGTCACGCCCAGTTTTGATTTCTGGCTTTGCCCTTTGAATTGACCACTGGGCCATCAATATTTCGGTCCTTGTTGAACGAAATTTTCGGGGACATTTTAAGGTGTGGTCTATTCGATGATAAAAGAGAACATTAACCAGTAGGTGTGTACACTATTTCCGTGTTACCAGGCCTCCACAAATGGAATCCAACCTGCCAAAGACAGGTGGCTCGCATTCCCACAACCAGCATGCATGAACAGTTTGACGAAATACGCTAAATACGCCAAATACGCTGAATACGCTGGATACGCTGAATACGCTGAATACGCTGGATACGCTGAATACGCTGAATACGCTGGATACGCTGAATACGCTGGATACGCTGGATACGCTAAATACGCTAAATACGCTAAATACGCCAAATACGCTGAATACGCTGGATACGCTAAATACGCTAAATACGCTGAATACGCTGGATACGCTAAATACGCTAAATACGCTGGATACGCTGGATACGCTAAATACGCTGGATACGCTGAATACGCTGAATACGCTGGATACGCTAAATACGCTAAATACGCTAAATACGCTGAATACGCTGGATACGCTAAATACGCTGGATACGCTAAATACGCTGAATACGCTGAATACGCCAAATACGCTGAATACGCTGGATACGCTGGATACGCTGAATACGCTAAATACGCCAAATACGCTGAATACGCTGGATACGCTGAATACGCTGGATACGCTAAATACGCTAAATACGCTAAATACGCCAAATACGCTGAATACGCTGGATACGCTAAATACGCTAAATACGCTGAATACGCTGGATACGCTGGATACGCTAAATACGCTGAATACGCTGAATACGCTGGATACGCTAAATACGCTAAATACGCTGGATACGCTGGATACGCTGAATACGCTAAATACGCCAAATACGCTGAATACGCTGGATACGCTAAATACGCTAAATACGCTGGATACGCTGGATACGCTGGATACGCTGAATACGCTAAATACGCCAAATACGCTGAATACGCTGGATACGCTGAATACGCTGGATACGCTAAATACGCTAAATACGCTGGATACGCTGGATACGCTGAATACGCCAAATACGCTGAATACGCTGGATACGCTAAATACGCTAAATACGCTGGATACGCTGGATACGCTGAATACGCTAAATACGCCAAATACGCCAAATACGCCAAATACGCCAAATACGCTGGATACGCTGGATACGCTGGATACGCTGGATACGCTGAATACGCTAAATACGCCAAATACGCTGAATACGCTAAATACGCTAAATACGCTGGATACGCTGGATACGCTGAATACGCTGAATACGCTGAATACGCCAAATACGCTGGATACGCTGAATACGCCAAATACGCTGGATACGCTGAATACGCCAAATACGCTGGATACGCTGAATACGCTGAATACGCCAAATACGCTGAATACGCTGAATACGCCAAATACGCTAAATACGCTAAATACGCCAAATACGCTGGATACGCTGGATACGCTGAATACGTTGGATACGCTGGATACGCTGAATACGCCAAATACGCTGAATACGCTGGATACGCTAAATACGCTAAATACGCTGGATACGCTGGATACGCTAAATACGCCAAATACGCCAAATACGCTGAATACGCTGAATACGCCAAATACGCTGAATACGCTGGATACGCTAAATACGCTGGATACGCTGAATACGCTGAATACGCTGAATACGCCAAATACGCTGAATACGCTGGATACGCTAAATACGCTAAATACGCTGGATACGCTGGATACGCTGGATACGCTGAATACGCTAAATACGCCAAATACGCTGAATACGCTGGATACGCTGAATACGCTGGATACGCTAAATACGCTAAATACGCCAAATACGCTGAATACGCTGGATACGCTAAATACGCTAAATACGCTGAATACGCTGGATACGCTGGATACGCTGAATACGCTGGATACGCTAAATACGCTGAATACGCTAAATACGCCAAATACGCTGAATACGCTAAATACGCTAAATACGCTGGATACGCTGGATACGCTGAATACGCTGAATACGCTGGATACGCTAAATACGCTAAATACGCTGGATACGCTGGATACGCTGAATACGCTGAATACGCCAAATACGCCAAATACGCCAAATACGCCAAATACGCTGAATACGCTGGATACGCTAAATACGCTAAATACGCTGGATACGCTGGATACGCTGGATACGCTGAATACGCTAAATACGCCAAATACGCTGAATACGCTGGATACGCTGAATACGCTGGATACGCTAAATACGCTAAATACGCTGGATACGCTGGATACGCTGAATACGCCAAATACGCTGAATACGCTGGATACGCTAAATACGCTAAATACGCTGGATACGCTGGATACGCTGAATACGCTAAATACGCCAAATACGCCAAATACGCCAAATACGCCAAATACGCCAAATACGCTGGATACGCTGGATACGCTGGATACGCTGGATACGCTGAATACGCTAAATACGCCAAATACGCTGAATACGCTAAATACGCTAAATACGCTGGATACGCTGGATACGCTGAATACGCTGAATACGCTGAATACGCCAAATACGCTGGATACGCTGAATACGCCAAATACGCTGGATACGCTGAATACGCCAAATACGCTGGATACGCTGAATACGCCAAATACGCTGAATACGCTGGATACGCTAAATACGCTAAATACGCTGGATACGCTGGATACGCTAAATACGCCAAATACGCCAAATACGCTAAATACGCTGGATACGCTGGATACGCTGAATACGCTAAATACGCCAAATACGCTGAATACGCTGGATACGCTAAATACGCTGGATACGCTGGATACGCTGGATACGCTGAATACGCTAAATACGCCAAATACGCTGAATACGCTGGATACGCTGAATACGCTGAATACGCTGGATACGCTGAATACGCTAAATACGCTGAATACGCTGGATACGCTAAATACGCTAAATACGCTGGATACGCTGGATACGCTGGATACGCTGAATACGCTAAATACGCCAAATACGCTGAATACGCTGGATACGCTGAATACGCTGGATACGCTAAATACGCTAAATACGCCAAATACGCTGAATACGCTGGATACGCTAAATACGCTGAATACGCTGAATACGCTGGATACGCTGGATACGCTGAATACGCTGGATACGCTGGATACGCTGAATACGCTGGATACGCTAAATACGCTGAATACGCTGAATACGCTGGATACGCTAAATACGCTAAATACGCTGGATACGCTAAATACGCTGAATACGCTGGATACGCTGGATACGCTGAATACGCTAAATACGCCAAATACGCTGAATACGCTAAATACGCCAAATACGCTGAATACGCTGGATACGCTAAATACGCTAAATACGCTGGATACGCTGGATACGCTGAATACGCTGAATACGCTGAATACGCCAAATACGCTGGATACGCTGAATACGCCAAATACGCTGGATACGCTGGATACGCTGGATACGCGGAATACGCTAAATACGCTGGATACGCTGAATACGTTGGATACGCTGAATACGCTGGATACGCTGGATACGCTGGATACGCTGGATACGCTGGATACGCTAAATACGCCAAATACGCCAAATACGCTGTGTCGGCAGAACGAAGACAATAAATGCGGTACTGGCTCTGTCATCTGCATGGTCTCCTCCTTATTTCTTTCACATTCAAACTGCTTCCTGTCCAGGTTTTTGTTCATATGATCTAAAAGCTTTATGCTTTCGCATAGTTTGCATATGGGTACCAGGTATGCTTGATTCTCTGTAAGAAAGTGCACCACCATTGCCGAAGGTTGGACATCTTTGATGCATTGTTGACTCAATCATACAACTTCTCGTGTATACGAGAGGCATTTTTGATCGTCATTCGAAATTTGAATTGGTAAGAAGAATGTTCTTGATCAATCTGTACAAATTTTGATTGTTTCGTCTTCGGAGGTTAGCGAGATTCTAACGGTGATGTCTTATTACACGAGAAACAAAGATAGCATAGCGAGGATTCAGTGCGGTTCCACCATCTTTCGGGGATATGATTTGAGACAAGATAAGATTTGCCGGCCCATTCGGTGTAAGAGGAAAATATTCAGCTGGGGCTTCTCGTCACATGGTTGAAGTTGGGGTATTCTAGCCGTAATTCGTAACAAATATGGTCCAATCAGAATCCATCACATCGTAATGAAGGATCCGATCCTTAATAACGAAGCGATGATAGATCCAGAATCGGCCATTAAACTAGTGTGACCTGATCCATTGAGGCACTAAACAGTCCCAATCCCGAATCTACGATCAATGACAGGATGTCAGATGTCAATGTACCGATTAATCAAAGATACGTCAACATCAATGTCAATGTCAATGTCAATGTCAGTAGCTTATATGCTAATAAGCTTACACTTCGATCATCTATCTCAGATACACTAATTTTTCTTAATTCATCTTTCTCAAACAAACAGAGTCTTAACGTATTTTACTTGTGTTTTTGTAGTTTTTACTCTATCTCAAACCTACAAGCACCACATTCGGGGTACAAGCGCCAGCGCAAGGATGGTTGTTGTTGAGAGAAAACAAGGATATGGCATGCAAAGAATTGAGAACTGTGCCGTCATCATTCGGCGCTTCGTTTGAGACAAGATAACGTTTGTCCGCCCACTATATGGAAGGGAAGTGCTTGCGGCATAGATTTTCATCGCATGGTAAGAAGCGCCAACATATTCGGTAATTGTGCCGTATTGATTTAGTATCCTTTAGACCGGGCTTGCAGCTCAGTTATTTCCTTCTGACATAGCTTCCGTAGCATGGTCTCTTCCGATGCAGCTCAGTTATTTCCTTCTGACATAGCTTCCGTAGCATGGTCTCTTCCGATGCAGCTCAGTTATTTCCTTCTGACATAGCTTCCGTAGCATGGTCTCTTCCGTCAACTTGGCCTTCACTTGGTTATACTGATTACGCAAAAGGCGATTCTTGGCTTCCAAAACTTTAATCAAGGACGTCGCTTTTTGACAAATGTCTTCCAGGCTCGTGTAAACGATTACGGGTGGCACGGTGAGATTAAGCAGGACAAAATTCGGCAGCAATATCTAGTCGATTCCACCAAGTTAGAGCTCTTCCTCGGAGAAGTGTCACAGCAACGGTTATTCATCGTTCTTTTTTGGAACCGTGTAAACTCCAATTTGGCCCACAAGCTTCGAGGTGTACAAAGGAGCAGGACCACAGGCAGTAGATGATGCGCGGAGAGGTTGGTTATGCTCAAGCAGTACCGGATTCACCCTTTTGAAAATGCTTCCTGGGGTTCTTTTGGACTTCAATTAAGATCGGCCACTCACAGTGCATAAAAGGACATCATTTTGCATGCAGTTTTTTCACTCGGTGCTCGCGCTGCAATATGTGCCGTTCGAAACATGAAATGAAATAGAATGGAGTAGTACTTTAACCGCTTGGCCAACGCTGAAAAGCTTGGGGGCATCCTCCACGTCAACGAGCCAGCCTGGTCTTCGGAGCTACTCAATTTCCCGGGTCATTAGACAAGCTAACAATACATAAATTGAGCCAACACATTACCTAGACGTTTTTAAAAGTTTTCCATCTTCTTGATGTTGGCGGATTGGGTTACGCTAAGGTGCTATCTGGCGAGAAGTGAAAAGTAGTAAAATCATTAAAAATAACCGGCGAAAAGACAAAGAAAAATCACGCATTAGCTAGATTACGAGTTACAAACAATCAAACTTTGTCGTCAGTAAATACGTCACATATGCGTTTCACGCAAGACCAATACAGGCTTATGATGTATCATGCGATGAGCATGCGACCCGCCCGTAATTCACAAACGCGAGTTCGATGTCTCTGGTAATTCTATTGTACAAAAAGCTCACTGTGCGGCGGGTTCTTCTCGGGAACATCAAACATTGTTTCTGGAAGACAATATCTTAAAATTATTGGACAAGCAAAGGGTATGACCTAGCAATCCCTTGAAACATGCACTAAACCAGTTCCAGACTGGCAAGTCTAGGAACATCTACGATGGCAGTTTTCTGGCGCATTACTCGTATTACTCCTCACAGTCGTAAATATCGACAAATGTTATCGCTGCATCAATTAGTTCTGCTCCCATGTTCGCAAAGTGCTTCTGGTATGAAAGTGTTTGGATTTGCTGTATGCGAATAGCTCTCCGAATCCTTCTCCGTCTGAAAAGTGAGCGTATTGTATATAAGCATATTCAGCGTAATTCAGGTATTCAACGTATTTGGCACATTTGGCGTAGTTAGTATGTTTCCATGCGCACTATTTGGGGCAGTCCAAGAAAGAACGATGTCCACCTGTCTTGACAGGGTGAATTCCAGCTGCAAAAACTTGGTGATTTGAAATCCTGCGTACGTGTTATTCATGGCTTTCCTCGAGATAAACCGTGGTGAACCCGCCGAAAATATCGCGTATACAATCATCATTCCCTTATATCATAAATCATACCACTATAACATATCTTCCCATCAAAATTGATTTGTTAATATCATATAAGCCAATCAGACTTTATCCGATACCGATCTTCACTAAAGCATATGAATGACCACCACGAAAGTATGAATTAAAGGACAAGGAACCTCCGGCTTCACGATATTTCTTGATTCTGACTACCCTTATTCTTTTATGTCTTTGGATCTTACACCGGCGTTTTGGTTTCTGTGGCAGTGTCTGCGGCCGTGTCCACATCTAAACGACTGATCTCGGTGATTGGAGTTTAGATTTATCAGAGACTAGAAGGTTACCAGCTGTGGTTCCAATTTCCTTAAAATTACGATGTTGACAACTTTTTTTTTTCGGCGTGTTCGACAATGGCTGATCGCTACGCACAGCGTAGTATGCCTGTAATTTTGTAATAAGTCTTGATTATCGTATGTGACCCTAGTTGGGGACTCCTGTGCTGGAATAGATCTTGTACTTCACAATAAAGTATCTGTCTATTAGCCCAATAATACATGTGGTTGCTATAATTATCTGTCTCGATGTTTGAAATAGGACCGGGTAACCAGAGACGTGATCAAAAGGTTGCCGAGTGGCGGCTTTAAGGTGGTGTGCTCTTTTGTCAGCGGTGATCCAGACCCTCTATCTGCTTTTCCGGTCAGCTATGGTACGCATAATTTCTATCATGCTTACGATTTGATAAATGCCTGCCGAGAAATTTTAAATGATGAAAGATCCAAAAAGACGTTACAGTGTAACGCATGGCGTCTGCGTCAAAAACTGCGGGCAATGGCGGGATATCAACAGATTTTGCGCCGTGGCCCATGTACGAATGAAAAAAAAAAAAAAAAAAAAAAAAAAAAACCAAATGATAATAAAAAAAGCAGATCGAAAGCATGTAATATAGAAAATTTAAGACAAATGATAGATAAACACAAATATCAACAATGCAATCTGGCCCCATAGATGCATCAAATTATGGAGATAAAATGCCGCATACATATCATGAGTAATTGACCAACAAGAGCAAGCCATCGTTGCAGATTTCTAGCGCAAACCTCATGCCGACATGCATGGCAAATATTTGCCTTGTACCGATCGAAGAATATAATACGATAGATGTCCTACAGGCCATGCTTGACTATATGGAATTAAATAAATTTCTATTACTGTAAACAATGGCGGTATACTAAAGCTTTGCAAATGCTAAATACAGTAATAAAGACTAAAGTCTGTAGGGTTGAAGCGCAGTATGTGCATAGAAATTCAAGACGATGCGGAAAACACGTTGATGCCCAATAATGTCAATTATGTATGACCGTAGTGCTCGGCACTATTGTCAGTTTGCCTTCTGTTCAGCTCAGATAATATCGACGGATGCTTTGGTTACTGTAACAATTGTTATCTGTTTGAAGAATAATGATCGTTTTCAGAGGAGCTACATCTGTCGGTTACTTTTGTAGTAGCGTTGAAACCTTGAGTTTGCACGTATATACTCAGAGTATGGAATGCGTATTCAGGCATTATGTTAGGGATGATGACCAACTACAGCGAGAGGAATACAGCATTACAAACCACAAGCTGACAGACTGCTGGTAATGGAAAATCCTTTTTCCCCAACGTGGTGGTATGGGGGCTAGGGACCACAGATTCTGTCGAGTACCATGGTGGGTTGCCTGTCATCTCATGTAGGATGAATTTTCATGCTTTCGCCCCAACCTTGTTCTCAGCCAGATACTGTGTTGTGTAATTGTTCTCTAGAACCAAAGAAAAAGTGTTTGCATTCGCAATGTTACTCTCAAACGAGGGATTCCCCCAAAGACAGCATGTGGTTGTCCGTATAAATCGTCACCACCATCTTAATGAACTCAAATGATTATTGGTAAGCTAAATTAAAGAAAAGAAAAAAAGAAGAGAAAACCTTTAATACTAATAGTTCCTTTTGAAAGCATGGGAGTGTTGAAGGAGACATGTAAGAAGCTACGGAGGGTGAGGAGATATGAGGAGAATGTTCCGTCATCCTGTTTGCTGCCCACATGATTCTCTTTTTCTTTTCCCAGTAGGTCGTTGTTGTGTTATTTGGGGATGATAGCTCGTTGTCACTGGCCGTGCCCAAGATTTGAACGAGATATAGAAAAAAAAATAGAGGCAAAAAGTTCACCCAAAAAAAAATGGCAACCCATCAACATAGGAGGTAAGGAGCGACTGAAAAAAGTCAAGAAAAAGCCGAAGCCAAGGCAAGAGAAAAGCGTAGGTGACTTTAACAATTAATACATCTTGTCAGTAGAGACCCAAGCTACTAATAACATAGAGGAACGAACTATGTCTTGGTTACATTGCTCCTTGTTCGTTGTCTCCTTCCATTGTTCATTTTCGATCTGTCAACTACATGAACTGAGAGACTGACACTAAAACCTGTCTGATTTTACTCAACGATCTCAGAGACATCTTGGCAAATGGGTGCAAGTAAGTGGTGAATTTGGGTCACTGTGTCTCTTCTTGTCTTTCTCGCCATGCAGGGCGCTGATAAACATGCAGAAGATTCCAAAGTGGTCTATCCCCACGCACATGTCCTTGTATGCATCAAAGTGATCTGGTGATAAATACACGATCGATCTGATATATTAACTAATGCTTTTATTTTACACTAGACTTATCAATGCCGTGAGGTGACTGATATTCGATAGAATGGTTGGAATCGATAATAAATGACGGCAGCTTGACAATAACATTGATGATGGGTCTTTTTTTTTGTGGCAACAGCTATGCATAGATTGACTCCTCATCCCTAGGCTCCCTACTCCGTTTTCGGTTCATCTACGTACCCCACCCCATCTACCCGCACCATAATAGCTAGACCTATCAAAAATATTGCTGTTATTCAATGACAAAGAAGTCCAAAAAGAAAGAAAACCAAAAAAATTAAAGAAAATAGTAAATAAAAAATAGAGACACAGCTTGCCGTCGACATGTTCAGAGCCCCTTAATTCCTATTGGATGATATAGAAGAAATACCGATGTTCTCCCTTCTTCCCCTTTTTCCTTTTGGCTCTCTTCTAGTAGTTCCCCTTCTGACGTTCTCTGGTTGAAGCTTTTTTTCTTATTTTTTCTGTTTCTTGTTTGCTTTCATCAGTTTTTGGTCTTTCCTCTATTTTATCTTACTTGATCTTTATCTTGGTGATTCGCTGATCTTGCCTGTTTGCTAGATCGCACCAATTAATTATATTCCACTTTATATCAGACTGCTGACGTTCTTTTCCTTCTCTCTTTTTTCTGTATTTGAGAAATAACCACATCAGTGCAATCACATCAGCCATTGTATAGCGTATAGCGCTTTTTCTTCTCAACCCCATTGCACAACGCCCATCTTTTAATATCTTCTCCTTCTATTATTTTGCTTCTCTCTTGCGTCTCCCCCCCTTTTTTTTTCCTGGCTTCCCTTACTTTTTCTTTTTCCTTTTGATCCTATTTCTTTCGTTAGATGAAGTACGGTCTCGAATTACAACAGAATATATTTGCACCATGGCGATTATCGTATGTAGCCTACGACATCCTCAAACAAGAGCTGAAATCCCGTCAACTGGATCACGGGTGGACAGAAAGAGATGAAGCCGATTTCATCCCGCTCTTGGATAATGAACTCACCAAAGTGTATGATTTCATCAATGCTAAACTGGCTGAAATTGATGCTCGTATCCTCTATTGCGAACGTACGATCCAAACCCTCCAAAAGAATCCCAATATGGCTTCGGAATCCAACTACGCCATCATGGACGAAGCGCTTACAGAAATCTTATTCGATGTCAATGATTTGTCTCGATTCACCCGTGTCAACTTTACAGCCATCCAAAAAATCCTTAAAAAGCACGACAAATGGACAGGTCTGAATTTAAAGCAAGATTACGTAAAACGATTAAGGGAGAAACCGTTGGATAAGCAACGGTTTGATATCGCCATTGTGTATATTTCCGCCCTCCATGACATCTGTCGCAACCGGGGTCGACAGTCGCCTGGTAACCCTGCCTCTGGAGGCGATCAAAATGCCTTTGAACGGGCTACAGCCAAATATTGGATTCATCCCGACAACATTACCGAAGTGAAGGCCATCATCATGCTGCATTTACCAGTATTAATTTTCAACAAGGCCAAAAAATGGGAACCGTCCGATTCCGCTATTTCCAGCGTTTACTTTGATAACCGGAACTTTGATTTGTACACTGGCCGTCTGCAACGAGATGAAGGTGCAGAAGCCATTCGGTTCCGATGGTAGGTTGATTCTTTATTAACATTTCTTAAATATCTCCAAACCAAACATGCAAGAGGACTCATTTTATCACTATTGTCACCAGGTACGGTCCCATGGATACGCCGAGCGCCTTCATCGAAAGAAAGACGCATCACGCACCTTGGTTGAATGGGGCATCGGTCAAGGATCGATTCAAACTGGAGGCATCACAGATCAATAATTTTATGGCGGGAACCTATACGGCCGATCATCTGGTGAACGATTTACGGAAAACGGGTGCGGACGAAACATTTATCAATGACAGCCGGTTCATCGCTCACGGTGTGCAAACGTCGTTCCGCGAGAAGCAGCTGGAGCCAATGTTACGCGTATTTTACAACCGTACGGCTTTCCAGTTACCGGACGACCAGAAACTGCGAATCTCCTTGGATACCAACCTTACTTTTATTCGTGAAGATCATTTGGACGAGACTTTCCGTCGTCATCCTTCGCACAACTGGCGACGTAACGACGTCGGCATCGATTATCCATTCCATTACATCAATGAATCGGACGTTCTCCGTTTCCCTTATGCTGTTCTCGAAACGAAGCTGCAAACACATTTGGGCCAGGAACCACCGCAGTGGCTTACTTCGTTAATCGAATCTCATCTAGTGCATGAAGTACCCCGGTTTTCTAAATACTTGCATGGTGCATGTCACTTTTACCGCGAACGATTACCCCTTCTGCCCTGGTGGTTGGCAGAAATGAATGTGGACATTCGAAAACCACGGGCGGAGAATATCGGTCTCACACGTTCACGTAGTTTCAAGCCACTCATTGACGGCCGTTACCGTCGTGCAATGATTGAAGAAAAGGAACGCAAGAACCAGCAAGCAGTGGTCCAAGGCAGTCGTCGCAGTAGTTCAGCTGGCGACCGATCTTCTGGTACAGCGTACTCCAAGGGTCAAGAGTTCACGGCCATCGATGTCAAGTCGTCGGCCACTATCCAAGGCGAAGGGCCGCCTGTACCTGAAAAGCCAAAACACACGTCTTCGTTGCTTCCTCCCCGTCTGAGCTATTTCTTCAGTGGCGAGCGATTCTTTTCAAATCAACGTCGTAGTTCGGGCGTCTCTCGAGGCGTGTTCTCGTCTCGACGCAAGAGCGGTTCAGAGACGGCCTTGGACGAAGAAGACGCTCCTCCTCGACGTTTCAAGACAAAGGTCCGCGTCGAGCCCAAGGTGTTCTTTGCCAACGAACGTACTTTTATCAGTTGGTTACAATTTTGTGCATTGCTCCTGACGGTAGCTCTGAGCTTGCTCAATTTTGGTGATGATATTTCACGTGCTGTGGGTGGTGTGTTTATCGGATTAGCTGCCGCTATTGCCATTTACGCGCTGTATCGATTTGAGAAGCGAGCTTGGATGATCAACCATCGTATCGACGGCCGATACGACGATCTCTGGGGACCCGCCGTTCTGTGTGTATTGTTGGTGATGGCTCTCGTGGTAAGTGTCTCATTTTTTTTACATTTCTTTCACCAAGACAACATTTTTCATCCATGATGGTTTTGTTTCGTCGTTTAGGTCAACTTTTATCTGCGTTTCAGATAGTTGCACATCTTGCCGTTGATCCAAAAGGATGGGAGAGAGAAACCAAAACCAAAAAAAAAAAAAAAAACCGAAGAAAAAGCACGCTTTCAACGCCATCTCATTTTCTTCATCTTTCTCCATATTCAAGCTACGTTTCTTTGATCGCTCACTTTGTTATTCAACACTCACGGTGTGTATGTGTGCTTCTTTCATTTCTTTCATCCTTTCTTTTTTTTTCTGCTTTGTACCGTGTTTTGTCATTACTTACCTCTTAGTGATATTCCTCCTTTTTCTTAATTTTTCCTTTTCCTTTTTTCTTTCTCATTTTTAGATTGATCATTCACATCTTTTTTCTTCTTCTTCTTCTTCGTTTGCTGTTGTCTTTTGGTCAACAACTCCATCACAGAGATTTCCACACAGGGTTTAATGCATTTAATTTACGTTTTCTTTCTTTCTTTCTTTTTTTTTCATGTATATTAAAATTCAATGCCAGAGTTGCCTTCCACACCACTTACTCTTATTTTTTCCTATTACAAAGGTGCGACCCTTACTCCTAAAATCAATGCAAATGGCTGCAGCCATGAAAAAAGACTTTAGTACCTTTACTCATCCCCGTCCCCTTTTTTCTTTTGCATCGCCAACAAAAATAAAAATAAAAAACTTGTAAACTACGGTCGTCAGTGCAATAACCAAAAACTTCAGAATCACAATGCAAAGCAAAACTCGTCGCCATAACTGCGGAATTCCAAAAAAATAAAAAAAAAAAATCAACGCGTTTGCGGGGGATCGTATCCTATTCATTGAATTTTTCTTTTTTTGACTATTTAAAAACTGACGCTATCGATCATGGTACCCAAAGCCATGACAATATTGTTGCCCATGACCGCTTCGACCTTTTCTTCCAAGTGACGCTTGGGATCCTGCTTTCCTACGTGCCGTGTCTTTAACTGTTCAGGGGTCATTGTTAATTCTTCCTGAACCGATTTGTTATATGCTTCAGCCAACGTTAACATTTGCTGTGTCAAAAGAATTTTGTCAGTATGAATATTCTTTGTACATCATCTCTTCAGTTTTGGCTGACTTACTTTGACGCTCTTTTCATTCACTTCTGTGTGCTCGGAAAAGTTTTCTAATGTTAATCCATGGGTCCAATTCTTCTTGTGTAAATTGAGAAGCATCTTTTCCTCGAGTTCGTTCTTGCGGTAGTTGATGCCGATGGAATAGTAATGGCGATTAAGACCGTGAATCAATGCCTGTAATAACACAGTGAAGATGAATACATATCACCGGATTTTGAGTCATGTTATACCAGGCCTACCTGGATGGAAGGTTTGTTTAAGTGGCCAATGTTGGATGTCGTTTGTCGAGGTTCTTGTCCAAGCATCACGCTTTGAGGGTTAATAAGACGGAAAGCATCAATGACAACTTTGCCTTTGACAGACTGAATCGGATCGACGACAACTGCAACGGCTCGTGGGTTCAATTGTTCGAAACTCTATCCATTCATAAAGGTAATAACCGGTAAGAAAAATTGGCCATGCTATTATCTCCTTTTGTTATTACCTGCTGTGTGTTGATATCCACGCTCGACAACCAGCATCCGAAACCTGGATGGGAATGGTACCAACCCACCACCATTTCCGGTCTAATGCAAGCAGACAAAGTATCATCAGAACTCTCCCCTTTTACTGCCACATTTCACGTCTGCGCTTTTATCTATACCTTCCAGTTTGTTTCAGCATGTCCAACATCTTTGTTTGAAATACGGGATCCACGGCTTCCACAGAGACACCAGTACCACTTTGAGGCATGGCAAATACATCAATGACACGAACTGTGTAATCATCCACAAACTCTCCCAACATTAGACCCATGACTTCCATGGGCACACCCGCACGTCCTATCCAAATGAAAAAAAAAAAAAATAACGGGTAAGTATGGGCGGCGACGTAGAATCAATACAATCAGGCTGTAAACGAACCATGCTTGAGCATCTATCAAGAAGCAAGGTACAAGTTAATGAAACGATGATCTACAATATGGAGTCTAGGCTGTAAAACTAACCTTCAATAAGGCGAGTGATGAAATGTAGACCATCTCGGCGTTGTCGACGATGGGCGAATCCATGCCCGGCTGCATTCCCTAGTAACGGTCAAGATGAAATTCAGTTTAGGACCATGACGATCAAACATCATATCAACTGAACAATTACCTGGCCACCAAGGCCAGCAGTGGCAGATCCAAATAGTCGTTGTAATCGGTCCATTGGAGAAAAAGTTGTAAGCAAGTGATAGTGAACTGTGCAGAGGCGATGGACGCGCATACCGAAATGACGTACAGGTACGAATCGTGACTGCTACAATGTGCTGTGACGTTTTCGTCGACCAATCTGTCACGTGGAACAAGGCGGACAACGAAATTGCAGCATTGGGAAAGCGAAGCTCTCACTGCATCGTTGGTCCTTTCGAATTTTGGAATTAGCCATGGGATCCTCCTCGTTCCGGTTAGCGTCTTGGGATCCTATTTTAAATGTTGCGCAGGTAAGCCAATGAGGAATTTCAAGTTTATACGTGAACAATTCATATATAAGAGCTATTATTGTGTTCTCTAGATTGCGTCTCTGCAATCGATATACTACCTTGTATTAAGTGGGTTTCTTCTTGTGGCTCTGGCGCTTTCTGGGGGCGAACTATCCCTCGATTCCATTCTAGACGATGACGAGATTCGAACGGATACTGTACTTGGATGGACCCTGGGACTGGTGTGCCTGGTTAGCGCGACAGCGACCATTCCCCTTTTGGTGTTCATTGTTCAGCGAGCCAAACTCATTCTCGATTTTGTCGTTACACTCCATATTTTTCACATTGTTCTTGTATGGATTCACAAACAACGGTTTCCTACCACGGGGGCATGGTGGCTTTTGCAAATTCTCAGCGCAGTGATCATGACGCTCGGCGGGGAGTGGGCGTGTATGCGACGTGAGATGAAACCCATCATGATGAAACAGAAACAGAAAGCTACCAACATTGATGCGGATATGGAAGAAGGACGCATAGATGGTAGCGCTGGAGAAGAATCGTCAGATCGGAGTCGCAGTCAACCGCCGCAAGGAAAATTTAAACGAAAACACTCGGGTGCAGATCCTTTAGATGACGAACAAGCCGACGATCATGGTCCCTTGATTAGTGCGGTAGGAAAGGCGAAAAAGGTTCTGATGGAGAGCGCGCAGCGGGCTACGCAGAAAAAGACCAATAACCGAGGAAGACGTTACGAAGAGATTCCCTTGAAAGATGTAGACGAGGGTCCGTCACACTAGAAAGCTGTATACTATGCCCTTTTTTCTTCTTCTTCATTCTTTGTAAATACAAATTCGATATATTGCTGCCAAATACCAATCCTTTTTGACCTTTTATTCTTTCTTTTTCCACTGTTTTATTTGCTGGTTCTTTTGCAGGAAAGTGACTATGCCGAAATTAATGAAATCATAAAAAAAAGGGTGGTGCCTGCTGAAATTCAGGCAGCGCCCCACAAAGACAAATTTTGAACATCGATCACTGCAAGAATTCCACGAATTTTTTCCACTTTTTCTAGTCTCGTTGTCGTCATTTCCCTTCTTGAAATCCAACATTATGCAACGATTAACAGCGACAGAAGATTTAACAAGCGTTGAATGGCGAGATACCAATTGGTTAGAGGTACCGCTCGCTCCATTTTTCTTTTCACGGCGTTGTTCACCGTTTGTCTAATCGTTGCACTGGATCATAAAGCGTGTTGGCGGTTTCCAGAACCAGCAAATGGTGCTGGATTACTTTGCCATGTCACCGTTCTGGGATCGTCAGTGTAATAATCAGATTCTTGCCATGCAAACGCAGTACAATGATTTACGACAGCCATATGAAGCGACACAAGAAGCATTAAGGTCCGTTTTTACTGATGAACAAGAATGTTTGGACTGACATGGCGCTGACTCGAATGTCACTGTCGTTACAGGAAAATGACCGGGATTGAGTTTGCCGTCACGCATGAGCAACCACCCGTGTGGGTGATTCAAAAACGATATCGTCGAGGGCCGGCTCCGGACGATGGTAATAAAGAAAAGAAAGAAGCGAATACGGCCAATATCACACTTTGCTTGGAACTCGCTAGCTCACATCCAATCGTGCTTTTTTACTGTCTAGTCAATCCCATCGCGACTTATTATATTATGGGTGCCAACGTGTATCAGTCACCCACGATTTATTCAGTCATTGCAAATCGATTGGTAACGCGTCATCTACGTTAATTCTAGGACGATGGACGATATTCACCTCAAGTCTCTTTCTTTGCAGTTGACCAGCTTATTCCACGTCAATAGCGCGTTCAAGGAGACACAAAAAATGATGGAATTTCAGCCATCCAAAGGATACCAATGGCGTTCGCAAAATGCGGATAAACCAGCCTTCAGCGATAAATCAAAAGGTAAAAAGAACTGAAAGCGAGTAGGTCAAAATGTGGGGGTAACGCTCAATTGGATGTGGTTTTTCTATGGTTGGGTTTTAGTCAATCAGCCCGGGTTATTGCGAGCGCAAGAGAATCAAGCATTTCGACACTGGATGGATCGAGCCATCGATGCTTCCGCTGTAAGAGTAGCACAGCACCGTCAAGCGAATGAAAGTCCCGAAGATGCGATAAAAGCACGAGGACTTGATGCTGGCATCAATAGCGCTGTAAGTTAAAATGGTGTACGTGGTTGTTGCGTGCAGTTAGTGACCTTTGTTTTGTCTATATCTGTCTAGTTGGCCAGTCAACGAGGTAAAAGCGATACTATTCCAGTTAACAGTAACAACTGTTGAACATGTGTTTTCTTGAATTCTCTTTAGATGAAACGAGCGGAAAACGACAACGCAAAAAGACCGATGAAGGCAACCTGAACAAGCGAAAAAAGAAAAGCGGCAAACAACTGTAAATGGGAACAGTCCAAAACGGCTTCCATGTGGCAGTCACCTTTTTTCTTCTCTTTCTTTCTCTCTCCTTGTTTTCTGTGTGTCTATAGGATGTCATGACAAGGGAAGGGCGTGTTTATCTTTTTGTTTGCATTTGCTAGACTATTAAGCCTTCTTCTTGGCTCGTTCGGCCTTCTTGATGGAGCCCTTGTCTACCTTTGGCTGTTTTGATTCAGAAACCATGCCAAATGGGGCTTCCAGACGGAAAGGTCGTCGCAATTCCCCGCTTGTCGTTTTACCACCCCATATATGGATCCGGGATTCTTTGGCCAAAAAAAATGTCTTGAATCCGAGAATAGACTGTAAAACAAGTGGTTGCACATACTTGAATTGCAAGTGTAAAAATGCGACAATGGCAATTCCTGTCATTGTTTGCTTAATGTTTTTCTTGATCTCTGCCACGTCATATTCTGAAGCATCATTCAAAATGGTGATGTTTTAGTCCCATATAGTCCCATTTTCCATTCTTCGTTCTATCATCACTTTACCCATAAATGTAGTGGTGACCAAGGTATCGTCTGTATCAGGCTGTCCCCAGCCGGAAGAGCCTGGTTGCACATATCGCAAAGGCGTCTGATCTGGGTATTTTTTTACTTTTCAGTGAGACGACGGCTGCAATTATATCATGTTTCTTTTTTTAGTCAGAACATACCGTTCTTTTTGCGGACTACGGCAATGAGCCAGTAACTGAGGCCAACGATAGCCAACTGTGATCCGAGATAGACCATGCGCAATGAAACCAGACGGTCCGGTTGGGTTAGATCCCAGTCTTTGATTAGTTGACGAATGATGAAGAAGAAAACAACATTGAACAGAGGATGATCCAACCACTTGAGCCAACTCATGCTGTTTCCCAATCAAATGAACGGGCTCTTTCTTCCACTTTGTGCTGGTGGTTCGGGTTTTTCGGCGAACAGGACCGTGGCGTGTGACTTGAACCAATGACAATGCAGCAAGCCAAAACGGTTGCTGCAAATCAACGTTGACAATGAAACGGAGACCCAATTCCTGCTCAAAGTAGGCAATCTCGTGGTTTGAGGCCTTTTTATTTTATTTTTTCTATTTCCTTTTGTTACTGTATTTTTTTTTTGTTTGTCATTTTTTATATTTGTGGATCCTCCTCAAACAAAAAGCAATGGGTGCACAAGTAGTGGATTATCGTGTATCTACCATTGTGGTTCTTTGCAAAGATTGTGGGCAAGACGTCGGTCTTTATCCAGCCCGGCACAAATGTGAACAAGTCATCCGGCCGCCCATGCCCATGTTGCCTTCCCACCTGAATGGAACCGACCCGGCACCAAAAGTTGCGCGAAAACCAGTACCGTCCTGGGATATGGATCCCAATTCAAGATCTCCTTCGGCTACCTCTGCCTCGGCTACAAGTACCCGTCCTTCCAGTCCCGGTGTCCTGAATTCAGACAGTAGCAGCAGCAGCAAATGGTCTCAATTCGGCAGCCGATCGACCACTTCCATCAAACAACCTCAAGATGACGAGGATTCATCCGTTTATTTCGACAAGTTCGCAGCATACCTCCCGGAAACCGAGCCTGCCGGAAAACGACTGTGGGGAAAAGTGCGTCAAAACGAAAAATGGAAGCAATTAAGCAGTCCACGTAAGTTGGAACAACTTGACCCAATTGATCCTTTCTCTCTCTCTCTTGGTCTTGTTTGTACTTTTTTTTTCTTTCAGGGGCTTAATTAGCTCACTACATGATGATTCATTATCGTCTGACATTTTTCTCCCTCTTTTTTGGTTTTCAACTCGTTGCCAGAGGACAAGCCGAAATCGAGCGGTAAACTATGGGGCAAATTGATGCAAGCGACGCAGAACATGGCTGATAAAATACCGTCAAGAGACGAGCGGGGACCAGGTAAAAAATAGGGCAAGACCAGTATTGTCAACCAATCATTATACTGATAGGGAAACAATAACATATAGAGTCGGATGACGATGATTGGGAAGGAGAAACGCATGTATCGAGGATTCTGCGTGAATATTACGAGAAAAAAGGTCAACGACTGCCCGAATGGATGCGCGATGCTCGTACACCCGTTTATGCTCCCGCTGCACCTAGAGAAACGCAACCGGTAATGGTGCCTGACCGATCATCACAAAATGCCCGTATGGAACGTCGTTCAGATCGCCGAAGATTGTGGGATCAGGAAGAGGATGCATCACGCATGGTCTCCAGTCGAGAACGAGAACGACAACAACTTCGTCAGGCACGAACTGCATCACCGCCAGTGTCGGCGGCATATGACAGACCTGCCTATCCCACTAATTACAGTTCGTCGCCTTACGATCGGCCGCAACGACGATACGATGAGGAACCCACATCACTACGGTCCAGCCGACACCGCTTCTCGGAAGACGAGTATCAATACATGCATTCCCATAAACCGGCGCCTTCTCTTTCTTCTGCCAACACCAGAGACCCTCTGGCTTCTCCTTACAGACAGTATCCATCCGAACCTCAACGCGGAGGCTATTTCTAAACATCCTCTCTCTTCTTATACCACGCTAATTCTCCGTGCATCTTTATACTATCATATACTTTATATTTTCATTTATCTCGTTTTCTCTTTCTTTTTTTTTTCGTGTATCATAAAATCCACAGCTGGGAGAAAAATAAAGAGACCCCATTGGAAATGATCAACAGTAACAAATGAATACCAGATAATTCGCTATACATAAAAGATGCCAGAACGAATACCTGAATGTACGGTATATGTATGCATGTTAAGAGTCCAAGGGCTTTGCAGGTTGATTGTAGGAAGCCCGCGCTCATCGGCCCGGAAAAAATTTGAAGCCCAATGACATCATTAGGGGGACTACCATGGTTCAGCCCGGTGTCTTGTGTCACGACAGGCATGAAAATTTGAGAATTTGAAATACCAGCTCAACACCTTTTTTTCCACTTTGCCCATTCCCATCTCCATCATGGAAGAAACCACCGAAAAGAAGCCTGAACAAAAGTGGTTACCTTTAGAAGCTAATCCAGACGTAAGTTTATACGTGGCCAAGAGGACATAACCGACGCGTGCTTGAATTGACCCAACTCTTTTTGACGACCTTTATTTTTTTTGTCACACAGGTTTGGAACGATGTAAGACTCAACTGTTACAAGTCACTGGTGCCTGTTTCGTTGGCATTAATCCTAATGGAAATGTTAGATTGTGCACAAACTCGGCGTGAGTCCCAAATGGAACTACACGGATGTTTATGGTAAGAATTCAGCAATACAGTATCAAACCGTGATCGTGTTTTTGACGCCCCATTTTTTTTTTACGAAAGGTTTCGATGCCGATGCTCTTGCCATGATACCTCGACCTGTGACAGCTCTTATTTTCCTTTTCCCTTTAACAGAAAAATACGAAAAGTTCAAGGAACAGGAAGAGGCCAAATTGACCAAGCTTGAACAGAACATCAGTCCCAATGTCGTCTTCTTCAAACAAACCATTTCCAATGCTTGCGGCATGATTGCCTTGTTGCATTCTCTCGCGAATAACGATGACGATATCATTGGTAACGTGACCAGAAAAAAATATGAAACAAACAGAGACCTGGATGGAGGAGAGAAACTATAAAGAAGAAAAACGACCACTGACACGTTGCAATGCTAGGCCCTGGCTTATTGCACGAATTGATCGAAAAGTCCAGAAGTATGTCTCCCGATGAACGTGCCGAATTGCTTGAAAACTCCAAAGAGCTGGCAAAGGTTCATCAATTGGCGGCAAATGATGGTCAGACCCAGGTATTATTATTGAATGATACATTAAAAAATAACATCAGCAGGAGAAAAACTGATCATTCCTCTGTCTTGTGGCACATAGGCACCTAGTTTGGATGAGGATATCAACCTTCACTTCATCTGCTTTGTTGACGTGGATCAGCATCTGTATGAATTGGATGGACGCAAACTATTCCCTATTAACCACGGAAAATGCACCGATCTTGTGGAGGTAAGTCAAGCGACTGCAATCGGGTGGGAAGGGGAAGGCACCAGGTGACTAAAGAACAACGGGTTTAGGGCGCTGTCAAGTTTATGAAACAGTATATGGAGCGTGATCCAGATCAAAGCAATTACAGTGCCATTGCACTGTGCAAGACGGATTAATGTCACGACAACTCCTACACCGACTCTTGTGATGTAAAAAAAAAAGTTCATCTCCTTTACTGCTATTACTTTTTTTTTCCCCATCTCGTGTGCAGTCAACAATAAGATTGGAAGAAAAGAAACTAACCCAAAAAAAAAAAAAAACCATCCTGGAATCAATGGTATGCTCCATTATGCAAAAAAAAAAGAAACCTGTATTTTTCTTTTGGGTTTTTATATCACTGTACACTATGATTCATCTTGTTGGAAATGTTTCCTCGAGTCGAGCAGAAAGAACCAAACAAAAAGAGCAACAGGGCATTTCCAGTCTTTTGCGGTGATTCATGTCTTGCCACAATGGAACATGTGCCTTTCTTTTTTTTTTGCCCCTGTTGTCCCGATAGGCGAAGTGAACAAGGTGGAGTCTGCAGTCACGCTGGTATCGCTTGAGGAAAGCAGTGATCGATTCACTCTGCATTTACTGTGACAGCACCTAACTGTGGGCTGAAGGTTACCGTGTAATAGAATGACTAGTTCAGGTATCGTTGAAGGAAGCTGATCCTGAAAAGGGATAATAGTTCCATTGGGTATCGTCTATAAGCCAAGCGGGGCATAATGCATTCGGCAAATTGTGTGGCATTTTTCCACATCAAGATAAAATGAGGGGCGGTGACCATTGACGCGATCCAAAATAGCGGTGGCATCATTGTAATCATAAGCCACCCCAAGACATATTTCTTGCAGTGTAGGTATACGCAGCAAAAGTTCTTGGATCATGGTCGATGATATTTCGGATTCCAACCCGCTCAGATTGACGGATTCGAGATGCGTCACGTAAAGATCGGATTCTTCCAGAAGCATTTCAAATGCATCGTCCGTTAATAATCGACACCCCGACAAGTCCAATTCCTTTAAGCGATGACAGTTTTGGATGATAAACTATCAAACGATTTTCTTTGTCAGCTGGCATCGTAGTATACATGGGTGGGTGTGTGTCCTTGTTATTTTCTCTCTTTATATATACCTTCATTGCTTCATTGGTCACACCAGACTGATACGCCAAAAATAACTGTTGGAGGTTGACGCAGCGAACGGCCATTTGACAAAACCCTTGGCTTGAAATGCGAACGCACTCCGACAAATCAATGTGTTGAAGTGTCTTGTGATTGGATTCCGCCAGCCAACGCAAATGATCCGAAGTCAGATTGGAGATATCACGCATGCGCAGCCGATGCAGACCCTGCACTGTCTGACAAAATCGGCCAAGAGCAGGACTGGTGAGACTCGTGTCGGAGCAATGCTCGAGACCCAATTCTTGCAGTTTTTTACAAGCCTGGATGGCCCCCAGTACGTGATCGTCGATATCCGTCAGCTTCAAGCAGATCAGGCTTTTTTGATGCTGCGTAATCAGGTTCGCTAGGGTTTCCTGTTCAATTTTACCGCATCCATACAGAATCAAGGTCTCTAGATGATGGAGCGGCATGCGCAGCAAGGGTTGAATGGCTTCCGTGGACAAGCAGTAGCAATGGGACAAATCCACATAGCGTAATCGTCGACTCTGAGCCATGATTTGAGCCACCGTCGCATCTTGGGCAGCGGCATACGAAAATTCCAATTGCAGTAGGTTGGAAAATCGAAATGCATTAAAAAATTGGAGTTCCAATGTATGTGAGACGTCTTCCTTTGGTGCCCATCGAAAGGCACTCACCAGTGCATGATAGGCAATAAGTGATCGTTTCCGGTTCTTTCCTTCCAATGTATTCTTAATCCTACGCAACGCCATATGCGACCGAGGATACAAAGTACGCCACATACGACCACACGCCGCATGACAAAACACCTTGCACGTTAAAGCAACATTCAGCAGATCGCGCGCATCGACTTTTTCGCACAGAATGTGAGCAATTTCTGGAATCAGCAACGGACATGACGACGAAATGTTCATAGCAACCGCCTCTCTTTTGATATACGAGATATACGAGTGGGATAAAGTAAAAAGCTGTTTCGAGCAGCAAAATAACTAGGAATCCCAAAACAGACAACCGGCAAATAGCGAAAAACGATACTGCTTCTCCAAATGCAAATGTCTTTGGAGCGAGAAGCAAGTAAGACACAATAGAAAAAGAGAGAAAGGAAAGGAAAAAAGGAAGAACGGCAAAAAGAGAAAGAAAGGGAGAGAGGGCGAGAAAACCAAAGAAGAAAAAAAGGGCGCAAATGACAAAGATTTCCATCAGGGAACACAAACATGCACATCGATGGTTCGAAATCTAAATGTGGGACGAAAAGGTACAAGATTTCCTTTTTCGAATCATTCTTTTTTTGAACGCTTTTATTCAATGCAAATCGATGGGCGATGGGTTATATACATTTCTAAAAAGGTGACCATCCTTTTAGACGTTGAGGATTTGGGATCTAATGGCACATCAAAGAACCGCAAAGAAAACTTATTTAGCTTGTGAATTTTTCAATCGTATGCATTCATGTTCAACGTACCTGTATTCCTCAATATTTTCATGCGTCAAAATAACTAAGGGCGAAAAAAGCAAAGCGTCATGGTGATGAGTATCAAACCCAGATACATTAAAAGTCTTGGCCAATCTCTCAAAGTAAGAGATAACTACACTTACCAAGGTCGCGCTTGGTGAGCGGTTTCTTCGTAAGCGGGCAGATATTCTTCTTTCCCTCCCAGTTGGTCAAGCAACGGACCCAGCTGTCATAACTACAGAATTCATCAAACACACACACACACACACACAAAGATTAAAAAGACGATCTCAAAAAGGGCACCTGAAATAAAAGAGGAAAAGTTACCCCATCACATGGCCATATTTGGAAATGGCGGGCTTCACTACTTCATCCAAAGTGATGGGATCAATAAATCCTGGCAATGGATTATCAAGGTTCAGGTCTTCATCACTGTCAAGTTCATCGGCTTCTTGGTTGTTGGTATCATCGTTGACCGTTCCTTCCGCATCCATACGTGCACGTGTTCGTCGCGTGGTGCGCATGCTCATGGTGAATGTACCGGAATCGTCATTGTAATCTTCAAAGTCGTCCTCTTCATCATCATCGTCGCTGTTCCATCCTCGAGTGTTTCTCTTTCTTTTTTTCGGAGTCTTCTTTTCCCCAGACGGAGAAGCTCGACGTCGGGTGCCCGAAGAGGAACTGGCCGTCGCACGTCCACCACCATGCTTGCTGTGTGTACGGAACGTCTTTTCGACTTCGCCAGTCGCCGTTTTCTTGTCAAACAGATAATGGGCTTTGCCCTTTTCATCCAACACGTAATTTGGATCGTTGATTTCACCCGTTTCTACCAACAAACGGTAAAAGTTGGAGCACTAAAAAAAAAAAAGTAACCCATGGGTTAACCTCAAATCGGGGTTTTCCCATTGATGCTAAATTTTACCTGATATCCAACACGGCCAGGCACTTTCATGGCAAAAATGCCCCATTGGCCATTGGCGCCCACTTCTTCCAGACGCTTGAAAAATATTTCTCTTTCATCATCCGCCCATTGTCCTTTCCGTTGCACCTCGCCTGGCGCATTGAAACGGTAGTAGTAACTGTTGGGGTTCTGATCGATCATTTGATACGCCCGAATTCGCGCTTGCGACCAGCCTTCAAACGCTTTCTCCAGATCCACCTGATTTTCCTGCACTTGTTTCAGAGCATCGTCCAAGGCCAAACGACCTCCCATTCGATATTGCCTAGAAAGAAGTGCACATCGAATAGCTGAGCCTTGGAAATCCTTGAGGGAGGGGGTTCCAAAAACTTACTTCTTTGCCGTGTCATTGGTCGTCTTTTTGAGGGTTTCAGAACGCTTCTTCAAGAGCTGCTTATAGGCTTCTTGTTGTTCTTCGCTCATGAGGTTGTCTAAAAAAATCAAAAAGTAACCGTATCCATTATTATCTGATTCCAAGTTTTTCCTTCTCTCAAAAAAACCATGACTTACGTTTGGTTTCTACTTCAGGCGCATGCTTTGTAGCAATGATTTTACGGATTCCCAAGAGATAACCATTTTGAGTCAAGCGGACAATGACTTCATCCTTTTTCAATAAAGCCATGAGTAAATCAACATTTTGTGTATTGCATATTACAGCAACCATGCGACCCCCCAAAAAAAACATACCTCATCGTGCTCGCAATCGATGAGCATTTCATCAATTTCTTCGCTGGTCAGATAATCATAAATGGCCTTGATCTTTTTCGACTTGCGGTCGTTTTCTCTTCGCTCAAATTCAGCAAACTGACGTTGCTGGAGCGCGACGCGTTTTTGAATGATATCCATTTCGGATTCGGTCACTTCTTCACCAAATACATTGTCCTTGCGAACCTTTTCAATTTCCTCACTAAAATCATATGTATAAAAAGAAGAATAAAAAGGAACAAGTGTCAACTATAGAATCAAAACCATTTACAACAAAGAAGAAAGAAACTGCACCTTTCAGCCATTGAAAGTTTCCAGGGTTCGTGTTCAGACTCAATATAGTCTTCAAAAACTTGTTTGACTTCGCGCAGTTTGGCCTACAAAAAAAAAAAAAAAAGCTTGAGAACGCCAATATCGTGAGTGTTTGTTAAAAGTTTTTTGCTTACAAGGATAGGTTGCACCTGTACACAGGCAGGCACAGGGATTTCATGCCATTTGAGACCGTTTTTAGCTTTCATTTTGCATGTGGTGACAGCATCTGCATGGAAGTGTTAAATGAGACATCAAGCCATTGGGGGAATGGGAGAATTTCATCTCATGCTCATTCAATTGCAAGAGATCAAAGGTGTGGCATGTTGGAGCCCATGGGGTCGTCCGTTGGTTCACCCTCCTACCTTCTTTGAGGAATTTGGACACCAATTTCTCCTCTTCAGGTGTCGACTGCTTCTTGGAACGGACCATAGTTTAAAGAGGTTACCTTGAAAAGGCAATTTTCACGACGCGTTGCAAAACGCAAAATACGCGCCCCAATTTGCCAGTCACACCGTCCCTTTTTTCGTTCACAGATCCTCGCTCCCCTCCTTTTTCGCCCTGCACACACCGCAACCTGCAAATGAAACGACAATTCCACTCATTTATTTACCACCAGAATATTTTATATTATTGCTCTATGTATTGATCTATGGGGCGGCTCGCGATCCGTGGTATCCTGTCACACCAGCCATGGTTCACTACCGTGATATAAACACACATGGAGAGTGCATACTCCTCATAATAATAGAAGAAACCAATAAAAAAACCATCAGGCAATGTAATGTCAGTCATTTGATTAGTAAACAAACTCCATGACATGAGAAGAGAGTTAACAAACAGAGCTGGTGCATGAACCACTTGACAAAAGGTCTGACTGACTTTTAAATGCAAATAAAACCGTGCCTTGATGTGGAGAACGACGCGGTGGCACAGGTGATATCTCCGACAATGGAATACAAAAACGAATCATTGACTGTGACATGGAAATGTAAATCCTGCTCATACACACCTAGAAATGCGCCTTTTTTGCATTGTGTTACAAAAAGGAGCTACAATAGTCGTTGCAGTGGATGCCGTCATTGAATTTCAACGGAAAAGAACAAATGTTAAAAGTACATGGATGATTTTATTCGCTGCCTATAACTTTGCATCTTGGGGAGTGACAATGAATCCAACAAGAGGGAAATGAATATACACGGTAGTATTGTGCTCTGAATCGGTATGTTCAAGAACGACCTCTTGACCGCTCATATGGACAAGTTTTCCCGTCACCGGTCGCCGGCCCGTATCCAAAGGAGTCACAGACACCATCTGGCCTGACTTGAATTGATCGTACGACGACTCACCCAAGGAAGGGGTATCGCGTTGTGTGCGCACAATCTCAAGAGCTTGCTCAGGCTCAATGACCGGCATGGTGGCAGTACGATCAAATTTGACCGTGGTCAACACTCGCTGCAAATGTTTAGCAAGACCCGGGAATTCCTCTAGCATGGCCTTTCCGACAACGTTCTGCACCATCCAAACACCCACAGCCACATGGATATCCGCCATGGACAATTTCTCCGTGTCCAAGATCCAATTATCGTCGCCGGGAGACGATAAAATCAACTCGGCCCATTCCAAATGCGCTTTCAATTCAATTAGACGATACGGACGCATCTCCGTTGCTTTCTCGACATCGACCTTGCGGCCCCAATACTCTTCACGGTCTTTCAAGAAATCAGGTGGGAAACTGGCGAAATCGAATTGGGATACAATACTCTGGAAAATCCCGGTATCCGTCCACTGGGATAATCCCTTGCACAAGCCTTCTGTTCCTCGGCCTGTACGTGTGGGTGGATAAAAGCTGGGAGATGGGAATCTAGATAACAAGATACGACATACATCAGTAAGCCTCATCACTACCGATGGCGGTTAGCGTCAAGAAAACCCTACCTTCGTTCGAGCTCAGCGAGAATGGCCTTTGTATCGCAGTACACATGATCTCCTATCTGCAAGATTGGTGTCTTTCGGTAACCACCATCGAGTGGACGACGCAGCGGGCGCGGTTCGGTCATGGAAATATTGACCACTTTGTAGTCCACGCCCTTGTAATTGAGGGCCCATGCAATTTTTTGAGCATATGGCGAGCGAGCAAACCAGTGCTGAGAAATCACCCGTGCATGATGAGCAAAAAAGTTCAAAAGAAGTCGCAGAATGAAGGGTAATCAAGCTTACCAAGACGATTTCAGGTTGAGAACTCATGATCAAAAGATTAAAGCAGTGTTGACAATTTTTGGGCTCCACCTCGATCAAATTTATAAATCTCAATTTTCAATCGCCGACGCTGATTAATCAACATCCAGAAAATGCACAGTCGAGTCAAAATAACCAGTCGCTGAATCCTTCCGCATGAATGACACGGCGATGCGTGCAGAAACTAACCTCCTAACCCTTTTTAGCTTTGACCAACTGAGTTGTATTTCTATTAATAGGGTACATTTATATTCAAGGGTATTAGAAGAAAACAAGTTCTATATATGATAATTATACACAGGCAAAAAAGGGCTTAGTAACAAACAAAAAGATTCAGTTTTGTAAAATATCAAACCGCGGAAAACAATCGCAGCAGTAAATACAACATGGACCCCAACCCGCGGAAAATAGCCAAGCCTGCATTCACCCAAAGAATCACTGCCATGTAGGTGGTACCCACCGACGCTTGAAATAACGTGTCAAACTCGCTCGAAGTGATAAACACCACAAGGACTCCGTTGCATGCAATCCACGCCAGTACAAGATGCGTTCGAAACGATCGGTAATAGTCGTCTTGCGATACTTTGATAATTGTCTATCAACCCATCATCACTCAGAACAACTGCTGTACAAGGCGATAGGGGTTCCCGAGGCAACAGGCCACCTACCTTTGTACGGTCTGGTTTCCGTTCAATGTCGATCAAGGCTTCCTCATACTCGAAATTGATATCCACTTGATCAGCCGGCAACTCCATCTCTACTACCTGGGTGCCTTGTTGATTTTTATCTGTCTTGGCGATACCCAAATCCTTGTCCAGTGTATTATCGCCTTTGGTGCCCCAACTGTCGAGGACATGAATAATGAGTAACAAACACTCCATACGCGCCGCCATCCGCCGTAGCCGATTTACCTGACGTCATGCGTATTGCAAAAAGCATAAATGTTTAGGATGTTGATATAGCCTGGCAACAGGAACAGATATGGAAGAAAGCTGGTAATCATATGCCATGGTTGCATGTACAGTAAGCTGGTAACAAAATAAAGACCATAGGTGGCCATCACCGAGATGAGGATATTGCGTAGTTGCGGATTATCTAGTATGTCGCCGAAACTCGTTCCGGCTGTAACGGCTTGGTCAAAGCTCTTGTAAATCACCCAGCACGAAGCAAATAACATGTAGCACATGATGACGGCAAAGGCAGACAAACAGGTAATAAACAGCGGTTTGGAACTAAACATACCGATGGTCAAAACCAACAGAATCGATGACGGGAACATGCTTACCTTTGTGGTCGATTGCCCATAGAACATATAAATACAACGGCAATAAGGAATAGATATACATATTTACACAGGTCAAAAATACGAGAACCCCAACCGTGACCAAACGGATCAATCAACGGATCGGCCAAGCTTTTGGTAATAAAATAAAATGTAATGTAAAAGTTGCCCTACGTCGAAACAAGTGTTATTTCAGGGTGTACAAAAATCAGCGAAATAAATGCGAACTTACGAGCGCTAGCCAACTGAAGAGCAGACTGATGATGTTGTAGATGCCTTGGACGGAAAGTAAAAAAATGCGTGCAAAAGAATGACGACTTTGCCACATACTTCGAAAATGCACAAGTGCATAGACGCCAGCAAAGAAACTGCCATTCAGCCATCGCCGTCGTTGAGAAATGAATTCCGGGAGTTGATCCGGGACATCCGTCTCACCAAAAGCGGACCGCACGTACTGAAGAAGCCATCGTTCACCCTTTTTTGCCACCAATTCGAAGCAGAGAATCCGGTCTTCCGCCAAGTACATGTTGGCTTCAAATAAACCGGCCGACGCACTTCCGTGAAGCGCTTCGCCTTTAAAGTACTTTTCCAGCGGTCCGTGACCATTGATATCGTTCTGTATGGCGCTGTAACGGTAAGCTGAAAATGCTCCAGGTAGAACCGAAATGTAACCAAACACTGACTCGAACGGCTTATCAAGAATGTTCGACATTTTGTATTCGAAATTCTGAGCGGCGACCAAAGGGTTCAATAGACTGACCCATGCGGTGCCAAGCATCGCGCGGATTTCGCCACAAGCGCCTCCCACATGAGGATCACGGTCAAAGGCTTTCCATAGTTCATAGATACTCACGTTGCCTGGGCGTGTACCGACGTCCAGCAACACACAGATATTGGGTCGTAGCAATGGACCAAATGCGTTGAAAAACCATCGATGGGAATTGATCTTTTTCGCATTCTTTTCTTTTAAACAAAACAGAATTTGTACCGGAACAATTCCCTGAAGAAGAATAAAAGAGCATTTGAATGATGTTTGTCTGATTTCTGCTGCTGTGAGCCTGGGTACGTACTTTATCAGCTCCCTTGAGCTTCATGTCTGGATCCACCGAGATCTGCGTCGTAAACTATGGGTGGAGCTTTTCATCAGCCTACCGATTCCAAATTTTTAAGCATCACCCACTTACTTCATAAATGTGAGCTTTAACAGGCTTGTCATCGACCATGTTCTTGGCAATCCCGGCTTGGTAAACACCCATGGAAGCCAGTACACTGAGGACGCGTTTATTGATGCATTTACGACCGTCAGCGACAATCGCCACCACGACTTTTTGCCATCCATCCGGTCCCCACATGGTTGACCGTTGCAAGTTACACAGATGGGCAATATTCTTCATCACACCGTGCATTGTCCGTGTAAATAGAATTTCATCTTCCTATACACAAGAGAACGAGGTCTCAATGATCGATTTCCTAGGTAACTTTTTTTTTGCGTTGTTTACATTATACATGGTCATGACGATAAACAGCTCAGTGTGCCTTCCATAGTTTTGTTGTCGCAACGTGAATCCTTCGCTCGGGAAATCGTCGGGTTCACAAGTCGCGGCAGTGTATCGCATCATGCGAAACTCGGTATCCTTGCGGGACATGGCCATTAACAGCTTTTCAGGTACAGGGCAGTCAACCACAAGGTTGCCCTTGGTTAGCTGGATCCGCTTCGTGACTCGGCGACGTACGGTGCCCGTCACAGCAGACCGAATTTTATCCACCAGCGTCTGACTCGAATCGCCTCGCCACCACGAGAATCCGTTCTCGCCGGCACCTTCCTCGGCACGTAGAACCTCGCTCTCGCTTTCTGCCACCGCCGTTGTATCACCGGTTGTGGTTGTCGGTTGATCATCGCTGGTAAGCTTTTCTTGCGACGGCGAAATGCTTTGTTGCCCGAAAATTAAGCTGCTCAACCATCCGCCAGCGCTCGGTTCAGGCGGTGATTCAATTTTCTCTTTGGAAGGATCCATGACAAGGATGGAACACGGTGTTAAATAAAACGTATAATTTGAAGAAAACCGAGTGAGTTAAAAATTGTCGATCGTTTGGATGATGGAGAGCGGTTTAAAGGATAAAAAAAAAAGCTCTGGTGAAAAACATGACTGTAATTTAAAATGATGACCATTGAATATGCCATAAACAGAATTGTTTTGCCCTACCATATTGGGCGATGCAGGGATCGACCAACCACTTGCCCAATTTCTTATTTTTAAAGCGAATTTTTTATTGTTCCTTTTCAAGTAATCGCTTTAAACGATCAAGAGCATCGCCTACCATGGCACTTTCGTTCTTATCAATCGATGCTAATCGGGGTCTCATCTCTCCCTTTAATTTCTCCAACACGTCTTTATCATTCACTAAAAATCCCTTCAATAACAAAACTCTCGTATAGTATTTTACGTCATCGCTTACCTTTCAAAGCGGCTTCTACAATCTTTTGTAAGAGGGTGCAAGCATTACAGCGAACCTCGTTTGGTATATTCTTGGTGTAGGTAGTGGCATCGATGGTAAGCACCTCCAGGAACGATCGAGTCTCTGGCGGTTCCTGGGGTTTTTGTCCCTCTTCTTCTTCTTCGTCTTGTTCTGCATTGATCACTGGTTCCGGAGGTGGCATGACGACCCGTGAAAGTGCTAAAGAAAACATGTTTCAGTCAACGATGGTCCATGGAGCCTGGATTGTTTATGATTGTTTTTCCATTCACTACGTACCCTCAGAGAGCCAAGAATCGTCACCAACGCCATGATCCGCAAATATCAAGGTTAAAGCCATGATGCCGTCATTTTTCAAAACTACAAATTTGGATGTGCGTACAAGCTCCATGATGGCGTCGATGCATGATGGTTCCACCAACTTTGGACGAAGGTCCATGGATCCTAAGAAAAAGGGATGGCATATCAATGATTGGCATGCAAAGCGTCATGGCTGAGGGCTTACCTTGACACCAAACGGTTTTGACCAGATTTGCAAGGATACGCGTCGCTTCACTTTTCGCGCCCACGTCATCGACTCGCTTGATGAACCCCAGTACAAGTGCCAGCGGTGTATCCTCGTTTTCCGTTTCGACAGGCGATGATATGATGGACTCGGCATTTTTATCTGTCGATTGGGATGGGGAATAGTTAAAAAAGCTATCAGTTGGTTCAAGCAGTGAAGGTATAACTTACAGTTGCCGGCACACAGCATCTTCAAGATACCAATTGTCAAGAATTGGTTTCGTTTGAGCATATCCTTGGAAGCATCGAGCATCGGTGCAACTACATCGATGGTGCCTGCTTCTCCCATAGCCGCCTTGTTATGTTCTACCAGATACCAAAGGAGGTCAATACGTCATGGACCTGATGCCGTCGTCGTCATTCCACTTACTTGGTAAGCACAGGTGCTTCAAGCATCCCAAGATGGCATACTGAAATGTCGCATTTTCAGTACTTTGGAAAAGAGATAGTAATAACTTTTCTAAATGGTGATTTTCTACCAAATCGATACAATGGGCATCTATAAAAGAAATTAAACATGTATACAACCTTCAGATACAGGGTGATATCACTTGCTGATACAAAGTTGGGGGGTTTCTTTTTTCTTTACCTGTACGAGCAAGATTGCCGAGTATGTAAACAGCACACTGATGCACAACCTCAGAGTCACTCTTAGCCATGTCGATGAACCGTGACAATAGATCTTTATCATTATAGAATTCTTCCAGTTTGGCATCTACACCCACGGCGGCATATAAGTACCGCAGACTCTTCATTTTGCGCAAGTGGTACATACCAGGAGAAGTGATGTAAATGGTGGCTTTACTGATCGTTTTCTGAATTTCTTCAAATTGCTTCTTATTTTCTTCCGTATCTTCTTCGGGATCAAGTGCCGCTTGTTGTAAGAATTCCAACAAGAACGAAAGATAGCCCGCATCAATCACCGCGCATTGGACGGCATCTATTTTACTGTTCAGTTTTACCCAGAAAGTATAGGCCTCGTTGGCAAAATTTGCCCTACTTACCGTCATCCAACACGGCTTGAAGAAGGAGATCGGCCAAATTCTCCAGGAAGTCCAAATCGTCAAAGTGGTCCACTTGCCAAGCATACTTGATCAAGTCCAATACCCGAATCACCGAGTCCTTGTTTGAAAATATTTTACGTGCCACATCTTTGATTTTTCTTTGCATTAGCCTCCGCGTATCCATGGCTTTCTATCACGGCATCATACCTTCAGCTGTTAAATTATTCAACACTTTGGCTGCCATGGATACAATGGCCTCTTGATTCTGTTCCATGCGAGCTGGATCGAGCAAGGCGCTCAGATGCTGTACTCCTCCATAATTCGCCAGGTCTTTCTCTATAGGTTCTGTAATGCATTTCGTGAGCATAAGAGCCGGAACATTTATCATCAAATCAAGCTTACCATAATCCATGCTACAGTTCAGACAGAAACCACAGGCTGTCTGAATAAGATCCGAAGGCTGTCCCTCCGCCAAAAAGGGCATGACCAGCGGAACGATGCCTGCTTCATGCACCCGCTTCCGATTCTCCTCTAGAAAAACCCGCAAGCACCAGATGTTTTTGGTCTGTCAATACTGTATTTCAAGACTGCTTCTCACATCGAGACCCTTACCATGATCAAAGCAGAGATTTCCGAATACGCGCAGTGCCTGGATTTGAAAGGGGACCTGGACACCGGAACCTAGTTGGATTAATGTGGCTAAAGAGCCAATGATGCCTGCTTCACCTAGAGGACTGCGAACAGATTCTGCGCGGGATTTGAGTTTCACCGAACAGAGACCATGTTACTCGTCAACTTGTCATTGGTTACCTGATCGGGCCCCGTCGGCCACCATCTTGGCGATTTGCGTGCAGAGACTCCACTCAGATGCTCCGTCAGTCGAAGTGGCTTTAAATGCCGTGGCAGCTGTATTAAGGACATTGACCAAACTCTGAGCATTCTCGCTTAACGCTTTGGCATCTTCGATGTTGTAAATGCACTCATTAGCCTCTGAACTTTAAGTTGACCTGCTGCTGTTGATGCTTATAAATTGACAGGTACCTGCGAGTTGAAGTAGGGGCTGGGCTTCCGAGTGAAGCTGTTCGGTAATACTACTTGTCATGGGGTAAACAGTACAATATAATGGAAAATTGACGAGATGGAATACGGAAATTCGAAATGCCCCTTGCGTAAAATGTTAAAGTGGGGATGGCTGGTTTCCTGATGCTGCCACTGTTCAGCGACACGACGGTCGAGCGGTGCGACAAAAACTTGGCTCTTTCGACGCCATGGCAAAAAACTCCGCCATCCTTATTCGTAACACAGCAAGTGAACCATCCCGACAAAAATATGTTGTCAGAATCTCCTTTTTTCATTGCCAATCGTGGGGCAAATGTTTACTGCTGTTTATGCATCATATGAAATGGAGGCATTGTTATGGATCATGTGACCTCTTCATCGAGGATGTACGGAGAAAAAAAAAAAAAGAAAACAGGACAATGCACGCTCAACCTTGCCAAAAAGACGAATTTAAAATTAATGAGGTTGAATGGCATCATTGACAACAAAGAAGAAGCATTCCACAAATAAACCAATGCTCAAACCAAACAAACGTTTAGATAAGCCAAGCTGCCGATGGATCCCATTGACAGTTTACAGCTGAATAGGGATGTCCACTTTGGCACCCATGTTTTGCGTTTTTCCAATTCTTTTGCGCCGAACACTCGTCGATCATTCTTGACATGGTCACTTTTTCTTCTTGTTAACCATGACTCAACCACAGAATTGTCCGCGAAAAAAAAAACCACCGTAACCTGATGATTTTGAATTCAACTTTGGGACTTTAAGACGCAACCGACAAAAATATGTTGTGCAGCACACAAAGCTAGATCCTTTTGACAAATTCAACATTCCCCTTTTGAAAACCTTTATAAAAAGAGCTGTAAGTGATCATTATATTTCCGAGTCCCTTGACGTAGTACGTGAGAAAGAATATTGAATCCATCCACCAATTTTCTTCATCTTCATTAAACACCACACACATACACAAAACCAAATCAACGCACGAAAACAAGAGATTATGCGTACTCTTTTGACTATTACTGCTGCAGTCATGCTATTTGCCCAATTGGGCCATGCTGCAAATATTGAATCAAAATCTTTGAACGAAACCTTTGTTACTTTCCGATGGAACGGCAACGGTACCATGGCTCAGGAAACCTTTGATCTCAACTTGGACCAACCGGCCCGTCTTCAGGTCATCGATTTCAAGAATCGTGGTGATATGTTCCAGCTGTACGATAACAGCACATTGATCGGTGAGACTTCCAATGTCGAATTAGTCGCCGATGACCAAACCTATGCTGCCACTCCCGAAGAAGCGCTCAAGGACCGTCGTTTCAGCCGTGGCTCTTTCCACCTAGAGAAGGGTGCCCACAAGATCAGCATCCGAGCCAAGGGTCCCTATGAAGCCGGTACCGCCGCAATCCGCCTTGTCCAACCCCGCTCCGATCAACGTCTCTTGGCCAAACACGGCAAGGGCAAAGGCCACAAGGGCTGGGACCACGGTGACGACAAGAAGTGGGGTGATAAGAAAGGCAAAGGCGGCTGGAAGCACAAGGGTTGGGATGATGATGATGATGATGACGACTGGCACAAGGGCGGTGACTGGGGCAACAAATGGGACAAGGGCAACAAGTGGGACAAGGACAACAAATGGGACAAGGACAACAAATGGGACAAGGACAACGACTGGCACAAGGGTGGTGACTGGGGCAACAAATGGGACAAGGACAACGATTGGGACAAGGGCAACGACTGGCACAAGGGCGGTGACTGGGGCAACAAGTGGGACAAGGACAACGACTGGAACAAGGGTGGCGACTGGGGCAACAAATGGGATAAGGGCAACGACTGGCACAAGGGTGGCAACGGCTGGAACAAGGGCGGCAAAGACTGGCACAAAGGCAACGACTGGAACAAGGGCAACGAATGGAACAACAAAGGTGGTAATTGGCACAATAAGTGGACTGATGACGATGGTATCGATCACTCTCACACCGTCACCATCACCAAGACACACTGGGTCCACGAAAACCCACGTAAGTAACACTTTTTGTTATCACAGTTGAAAAAGACGAGGGTTCTAATCATGCATTTTTCATGCAGAAACGGTTGCTCAACGTATTTCCTTGCCGGGGCCTATTATCCCAGTAACCACCGTATATCCTCACAAGTGGGGAAACAAGGGATGGAATCACGGTAATAAGGAATGGGATCACGGTGACAATGCAGGTGGTGCCGTTTTTGTCATTGGTGAGGATGGTAACGAATTTGACCACGGTGGAAAGTCTTGGAACCACAAAAAGGATTAAATAGAAAGAGTCCTCCCATTATTTTTGTCATCTAAAGTGTCTGTTTTTTTTTTTTTCTCTTCTTCTTCAAACTACCATAGACATCCTCTTTATATTGCTTTCTCACTCACACTCACACACTCACACACACCTCTCCTTTTTTTTTGTTTTATCCTAATTGTATTGCAAAAGAAAAAAGACATTCTAGAAAAAAAAATGTTTATAAACAATGCTTTTGTTAGTCTCATGAGAAAGGTTTTACTGGTTGTCATGGCAAATTTAAAGATCATCGGTATTTTCTTTTCTGAGTTTGGGCATCACATGAATCTCCCATTTGGAGATAAAAAGCTTCATTCGATTATCACCTGCACAAAGATAGCCCATTTTAGGAACAAGTGCAAAAGGATAATTGAAAAATCTTCTTTTGGTTTTTCTCTTTTATTTCTTTTTTTCTCCCTCTTCTCTTTTTTTACTTCTTTCTGTTTTTGTCCTTTTTTTTTCCTTTTGGTACATTGTAAGGCAAACCGTTTTGCATGAATCATTATTTTTTTGAGTGAATGCTACGACCCGCCAAATTATTTGTCCCTTTGCACCAGCTCCGTCAATATGTTCAGCATCGGTTGACGGAGTTGGTGAATCCTACCGTACTTGGTCTTCCCGTCAAGCCAACGAATGTCAAACCGCAGCACACCAATCCAGTCTACTGGGTCATCGAAGGAGAGCCGCAGAGGCTTCTTCACACAATTCAGCATCGATTCCCAATGACCAAACTGTTTTCCATGCCAACCATGCGTCCAGCTTACACACTTCGTTTTGCCAAACCCTGTTCCCCGCACTTGCGCCCGTTTTTATTTGGCGGTCCTGTTCACTCGGGGTTTCCGCGTTCCCCACCACTGGGATTCGGACGAGTGCCCCTCTTTGGACGTCAATTCTCTACCGCCAAAACATCGTACACCAACGTGTTTCAGGGCGGTGGCAATAACTCGGTGTTTTCTCACATCCAGACACGCATTTTTTCACCTACCGGAATAAAGTTAAGCCAGCCGCCCACGTCGTCGTCGTCGTCGTCGTCATCATCCTCGTCGTCCGCTTCCTCTCTCACCACTGCTGACGCCGAACCATGTGACCCAGAGACCCGCTTCTTACCGTCACACCCATCTTACTTTACTGCTGCGCACTCGATTCCTCGTTACAAAGCAGTATTTTCGCAGAAAACAAAAGGCATGTACGAACTGGTCATCCCCAAGTGTGACGATCATCCTGGCCTTGTTCGTCGTGCTTCCCTGGTTGCCGATCGCCCTCTGATGCAAGCAAAACCCTTTTGTCCCGCGACGAATGAATCTTCGACTTTTGCGACTGACACTCGTGCATCGAATCTTATCAGGTCGGATGTGACGTGCGATGAATGGATTTACATTGCCATACCATTTGACCTGGCAACGTTTGGAGACCATCAATTGATGCAACAAGTGGTTCATTTGAACGATAATATCATTGAATCGATTGCACGAATGGCGAGACAGTATCAGAGTCGGTTTATCGAAATTTTGACTCTGTTGGGCGTGCTTCGCCGCCACGGAGATTTTAAAGTCGCCATGGAAGGGAAGGAACTACGGATCTATTTGCCCCCGATTTTATTCGCGTCTGACATGCCGAGTCTTGCCCAAGCCGAACAATGGTTATCTCAAAAGGGAATTTGTCTCCATCATTTTCATTGCGAGCTCAAAAGCACCGCATCGTCCTCATCGTTATCATTGCACAACACCGCCACCAAGAATGATGTATCAGCGTCCGATTCTTCCCCTTTTTCTTCATCTTCTTCTACCACTCGTTCCAATTTGATGAAATCTAAAGTGTCTTTGGGTTGTTCTATGGAATTGGCGTCTTCAGATATGTTAGGTCCCGAGTATTTCAAAGGCATCCAGTTGTTTTTGGACCAAATTGATGATCTGATTGAAACCAGTGGCGCGTTTGGCCAAACCCGTTCATAAAAAAAAAACTTCGAACCAAATCCCCTTTTTTCTGAAGCGAAAAAACAGGTCCCCAAGGACCAAATCATTCAATTACTTTCATTTCCCTCCCCCACTTTTATAATACATATATATTTTGTTATCCGTTTTATTAGTTTTGACATGAAACCTGACAGACTTGAATGGAAATAAAAACAAGCTACTGTTTTTCTTACCATATGAGGCAATGGATTGATGATGTTGAGCTTTGCTTTTTTATTTCTTTTTTAGGGCCGTTGTATTGATGAAAAACATTTTTTTAGCTTCATTTTTCTACAGCAGAATAAAATATCAGAAAGGGGATATTAACGGAAACAAGTTTCTGGGGTATGTAACTAAAAGTATGACAAGTTAAGGAAATAAAAAAAGAATAGATAAAAATGAATGAAGGAAACAGTGAATGAAGGATAATGTGAAAGAATCATGTCAAAAAGAAATAAATAAAAAACATCGCATTGGACCCCATGAGCCTGCTCTCTGGCGGTCACTTGTTCGGGCACTCCCTTGATTTTTTTTCTTTATCTTTCTGCTTTTTCTGCATTTGACGCCCCGGTCCCAAGTGTGAGAGATATGAAGGTTTAGGGGGATGAAGAAAAGCAGAAAGATAAGGTGGATGATCTTGATCTTTTTTTTTTCTGTCTTAATTTTACAAGCGACAACCGTACGACAATCGCTGTGAATAAAAGTTGAGAGACGCCAGATAGTGAAACTAGGGCAGTCAAGCAACAGTGAGTCCGCAAGCACAATATAAACGAAGCTTTGTTCTTGAATTCCGTTGCACGATTCATCGTTAAACACTTACATAAATACCTAGGCATACAAAGACGTGCCAAATAGCATGACTGGTCAGACCTGCAAAATCAAACTTGCCTGGAAATAATCGCTCAGGGAATCGATTGACATCTAAACAATCATGACCAAGAAAGTCGATGAGTCAACCACGTATATGGATTTCTTTGATTACCGTGGTGACCAAGGTTTTTACTTACAGATGATGACGCCGAAAAGATACATCATGACGCTGACTCCAGCGAGTTCGAAAAACTCCATGGTAGAGGCCAGTCCGTTGAGACGAATAAGATGCATCACAGGGACGATACTGGAAAATGCAATGAGTAAGAACACAGCCACTCGTAAGGGCCGGTATTGCTTGGTATCCCAACATTTGAAAAAGGGCGAAATAATGCCCACACTACCGACGACCGTGGTGAAAATCATGTAGCGGAATTGTGGGGTGGGACGACAATAGAAACCGTAGTACTCGGTAACCAGAATGGAGGCGGTAATTAGGATGGCAATACCAATATAATCCAGGGTCGCAGTGAACGCTTTCACTGTGAAATGCGAATGACAGATAAAGGTGTGGTAGATGGACGAACAAAACAGACACTTGAGCGCCGCCACACAAAAGGCCATGAACACCATGCGGTCATTGAACGAAGCTTCTGGAAAATGCCGCTGTGGCGAGAAACAACAAGATACCCATGAGTACGATGGAGTATATTACTTGCTTTTTTTAGAATGCGATTCTGTGTTACTTACATTGAATCCATACGCGCTAAGTCCGGCCATAAAGATGAAGCCCAACAAATGGCTCCAGATGTTCATCGTTTCATTGTGCAACATAAAAATGCTTCGAAGACAATCCCGGCTGTTCTGGTAAAAGCGATATCTGCAAAAAGAAAAGAACAATGGACAACTTTGGGTTAGATTGTACTTTGTTCGAATGGGTTACGCTTTTTTAAAGTTTCACACTCCGTGCCTCCGGGCTTTTTGTTTCTTTCAGGGGAAAAAAAATTTCGAAAGATAATATGTCTACGGAAAAGAAACAAAGAGCAAAGGCAAACTGACATGCAATAGATTGAAAAAGAAAAAAGAAAAAGAGAAATGGCCATCGACTTACCCAGACAAGACGTATTCATTCTCCTGCCATTCACTCGGCAATTCATGGAATTGTAACAACCGTTGAGCGCCAACCATGGCAGCTTTGGCGGCATCCCATTTTTCATGGACTTGATCGTCCATGTAGCGAAGGAACCCGGTTTTATCGGCATGCTCAATCATTTTAATTTTCGATGCCAGTTGAGCCGCGAGATGATGATGGGAAGTAATGGAATGGGATCGTTTTCGGTACCGAAGTTTGGTCGAGATCGGCGATTGATACGATTGTGAATGGCGTCGGTAGTGAAGGCTATTGCCCATATCCAAGTCGACAGGTTCCATGGCGAACAAAAAAAGAGAAAATCAAAATGCGAACAGATAACACACAAGAGAATAAATCACAAGCAATCGCTAGGCTATATTGATCAAGCTAAATAGCTCAAAGTTACTTGTTTTCTTTCTGGTGAGAAAAAAAAGGAAGAAAAAGAGCGAAAGAAACGTTATCCAGCCAAGCAAAAGTAGGAAACGATATAGATCTGAAAATCTCAGCTTTTTTTTTCCTTTGCCACGGGGTACAGATTTTGATCGCACGTTCCATTAAACCACCACAGTTCCCCCCCCCCCCCTTCTCCCTTGTCCTCCCCACTCCCCCAATCTTCCGTGTTCCCTTTTGTGTTCCTTGTTTTCCTCTGCTCCCCCCCCCCCCAACGTCGTCCCTTCCCCGTGGCCTATCAGCGGCGGTTTACCCATCGGACATGGACGCAGACCCTCTGAGAGTGGAGATGATTTTCTAAAGCCACTTTTTCATGTTACGTCATTTTTTCCACCCCGCTTCCATCCCCAAATTTCTGGATACTTTGCAACAATTTTCTATATCGCATAAATAAGATTTCAAGTGGCGAGTCATTTTTTTTTTATTTTCTGTGGCAGCCAACAGCCTTTTATATCTTCATTGTTTGCTTCATGAAAAAGAAAGAACGACCTATCATATAACCCGGGAGAGGACATGAAAAACAAAATACAGTAATGGTAATGTATACCATCATTTGCTGGTCTATCATGTCATTGTCCTTTTTTTGGGGGAAATCAATGACGAACACGCTGCGTTTACACATTGTTTATTTTGAGGAACGATTGCAGTTTATTTTGGCAAGACCAAAAATTTTTTGATTGATAATTCCCGGAAATTAGGCATAAATTTTTCTCACGTGAGGTTGGCTTTTTTCCATCTATCGATAGACTCATCATAAGCTGGTTGTTCAACAATGCACCAAAACCAGTGACGAAAAAGCTGTATGCATCCTGGATGTCTCGAACTGGACTCAGTGAGGATCATTTGTCTTGTGGGACGAAAGCATTAGCAAGGACAGACGGTGATCTTAAGGAAGCCTAATTTTACGCTCAAACGGCAGTATCACTAAAAGTACATGGCGCTTTTGCGGTCTTCAAGTGGCGAGGACAAGATGACTTGAACATTCACCATCGACAAGGTTAGGTAATACCATACTGAGATCAAAAAACGAACGATTTGGAATAAAGCAAAGATACGACGATTGGGTGCCCACCCGTACCATCCAGTCACTTGTGCAACGTGGGCTTTATTTTCTTAAAAAAAAAAAATCTTGTACATGTCCCACCACCAATGCAACCTTTTCATTTGGAGGGACTTTTTATTTGAACCCCTGTTGTCATTTCATGCATTTTGTGGGTGGTTAAAGTTCAATAGGCCAAGGGTATCCACCTGGAAAATCTCAAAGCTAATGCAAAAGCAGGACGATATTGCCAAGGTTTTCAAAATAAGAGAGGCAGATAGGCGGAGCTGAGGAGAAATGGTATTTTCGTAATGGGTATTACGAAAGTCAATCTCTCTCTCCAGTATACCTAAACCCAAACCGATGCAAATGATGCTCGATAGAGAAATGCAACTATTACGATAACAAAAATTTTTCCGTTTAAGTGATGCTTGCACTATGCGCGCTAAAAAAAAATCACAAGTCACTTGAGCTCAACTCTTGATGTTACTTCCTCCAAGGCGACAATGTATTGGTGTTTTAAACAACGATCTGACGCAGGGACGTAGGAAGGCACAATTTCATAGGACCATTATGTCTGTGACTGGCTGGACATCCATCTCTGTAATGAGATAGCTGAGAAAATCTATCTAACGCAAAAAAGCATTGATCTGAGATCGTTTTGCTGTTACAAATGGAAAAACGCGGGATCTGATGTAAACGACGGTTTCTGTCAATCAACAAACCATCGCTAAAAAAGACGGATTGAGATATCATGCCAAGGATGAGGCCTCCAGTGAGTACCGTTGTACAGATGACGTTCGCCTCCATCCACTAATGGTCACCTTCGTTGACTAAATCACGGCAAGCCACGTTTATAGCAAATCGATGGAAACGTTGTATCACAGTGTATAAGCTGCCCCCCATCGATCTTTTTTTTTTTGAGCTACAATCCACCGTTGCAAAATTCTTGGAACACTATTGTGTGCAAGTTTATCACCTCGGTTGTATGACGTGCCCGATAAAGTACATGTGTCAGTACGCTTTATGTTCCACACAACAACTACCTTGCCTTGTAGAATATCGCCTATTTGGTCAAGATCACAGCATTCAAAATTCAAGCAACAAGAGCAGCGTATTAAAAAAAACCGTAATACGTGACGCTCTCTCCAATTAAAACCTTCAATTGCTGTTGCGATGGTACCATAACATCGAGTGAAACCATTCACATAAGTTTTAAACCCACATTATGGGTTCAAGCAAAAACTTCAACCATTCGAAGCGTTACAAAAAGGGCACTTGGAAACAGCTGTGGTACAGCTTCCGGTTTAACCGTTGCGAACATGGGCGTGAGATTACGTCTTTCCATCACAGGTATATATCACCCATTCACTTGTTTCTTAATCAGACACAGTGCTACATGTGGTTCCCCTGTCCCTAGAACAGTAGAAAGTTGCACTCAAGGATCTCCGTTTCACCAGATGCAAGACATTGTACATAACAACAGCAAAACATGAACGGTAGCGTCACTCGTTATGACCGCAACCCGAACACTCATGATAGCATGATCCATGGATTCGGAATTTATCTATCGATCTGGGAACACGCAAATCAGAAGTAATAGTCCAGTTACATCAATAGCCACTTGCAAGATGTGTTGTTCCCAGTGAAGCTCTCTGGAAAAACATGATCGGACGTCTTACTCGCTGAGGGATCAAATTTCGGCCCTATCTATCTCAATCGCTGGAAGCTTCATAAAGAGGGCGAGGTGACGTTGCTCAGTTATCAGTATTTCCTCATAATGAAATGTTCAAGCATATGTGTAAGCATGTTTTTAGCATAATCATGACAACAGGTCCCTTTAGTTTGCAACGGCAATAAGATGTCCCTAAGCCTAAACTGATCACTGGTTAACATCTTTTTTTTTTTCAATTTCACTCGGTTATGTCGTCGCTTGGTTATTTGTGATAAAACTTTGGTGATAATAAGTTTGAAACAGCTGGTTCCATGGGTCTAGCAAAGCGTTCATTTGCCGATGCTGGCGGCACGCATGATCATACGTGGGGGTTTTCAGTGGTCTAGTCGTTATCTTTCTGAAATACTCTCCTTGTCAGCAATACCATTTGAATTTCCGAAATTTGAAAGATCAAGCGCATACTTTATAACAGCCTATGGTTCATGCGAGTTGGAGGTCTTCACAGAAAAAATCTAAATAATCAGTATGTGGTTTCCCTTGGCAGTATGAGGCGGATTTTCATACATGCTTCGTGTATGCAGATGGGCGTAGGTGATTACATGATTATTGTTTATGACACAACAAGATTGTCGACGCGCTGAACTTTAAGAAAACAATAACTCTGTTAACTTCCAGCTTTGGTAAACATATCAATTAAAATTTTTTTTATTATATCCCTGCAGTGGCAAAAAAAGGGACCCCTGGCGGAAACAGTCTACTTCCACTCCATTTTATACTTTGCCTTTTCTTGCCACTCCCCGAAAACAGTAAACTAGAAACGGTCATTATTTCACACGACAGCGTTGAACACCCGTGAATGGCCCTTCAAGCAGGTGAATATTGTCGTCATTTCCGACAACTTTGGTGTGTATTGAGATCCATGGCCGGGTGTGTTCGTGAAAATATAATGGTACTAAACCCAAATAGGATAAACCAGCTTTATTCAAATGACTGGGTCAAGCCCGACCATTGCTTGGGAGCCTGATTGACTACCCTGTTTGGAAAATCGAGACAGGACTAAACAGAGCCAAAAAAAAATTTTTTTTGATTAAATGAAATCATCATTGGGAATCATGAAAGGAATTGGATAAGAAGGAACCAGCCAAAATATTTCTTTACTAATGTTGTGTTTTTTGGGATTGCATCGTCAAAAATAAATCGATACCAACTGTTGGCTCACTTCATATGGCAATGGATGAAGAAGCTTTTAAATTAAGGAGCCAAAGAAAAAAAAAGGGGAAGGGAGAATGAAAGAAAAAATGAACAACACATCCAGGGGCTTTTTCATCTATGTATGTTACAATGCGATGGGATGGTGGGAAAGAAAAGAGGAAATGAAAAATTCAGTATCGATGGTGATCTAGTCAAATTGCCAACTGATGTCCAGGACGCCATCGTTCAAGTCACCAAGTTTCTTGAAAGCGGCCGGGCTAAAGTCGATATCATGTTTATCGCACTCGGGACATGTGTCAACGACGGTGACGGTGACCGAGCCATGTTTGGTGGAAGCCTTGATCTTTTTGCCGCAGTAATCATTTTCGTCCATTAATTGCCCACTGAGCGCCGCTACCATTTGACTGTCTTTGTTCTTTTTGCCACACGACCCCATGCCTACATTGTAGAAAGTGCCTTGACCTTGGTGATCGCCACGTTTATTCAGGACCGGGGCCGCCTGAACGGAGAATAAAGTGGCAATGCAGATCAGTACAACCAGAAAAGAAGAATGCATATTGTGATTTTTTGTAACAACGGCCAGCGTATGCAAAGAATGAAGGAAGGATATAGAAACAAAAAAAAAAGAGAAATAATGCCAATATTAAACGTCTGGTAGATTTCTGATGCTTTTATATTCCCCCCATCATTAGAACTAGGCCTATTAGTCTAGAAAGCGTCGGGCCATGAATCACGGAGATCGGTGGCCCTCGTCACCCACCCTCATGCAGTCGACGGGGACCTCTTGACCAGGATGGGACACTTCTTTACCATTCAACGTATGTAAAACGCCTTTTTATATCACATTCTTTTTCAATGTATGAACAATAAGAATTGGCGCAAGGCCGAACGATGAACGCTTTAGAGAAAACCGAACCCGGTGAAGGATGAATGCATTGGACATTAGAGGTGCCGTCATCGGGGTAATAAAACTTTTTTTGTATCACCCAATTTTTTTTTTTTTTTTTTGTGGATCAGTTTAAAGATGTGCAATGCGAACGAATCTTGTCGTGCTGTTGTGGTGGTCTGGGCCAACCGCCTTGCAGGGTAAGAAAAAAGTCAATGCTGATAGGGTGAGCAAAAATTAAAATGGACTGATGAGAAATAGTATTAACCAATCATCTGTAATCCTTTCCGTGGAAAGAAAGAAAGAAGCGTCCCATTGTTCTTGAGATAGTTATACGTCCACCACCTCAGGGTGCACGGTCAATGGATGCGCAGGAATAGCAGAGTGTTTCTGAAAAATTATCATTTGCAGCACTCTCCTTTTATCGTGAACTCGACTGTCGTTTGTCATGAATTCAAAAACTTGAACTGTGGCGTAAAAGACGGCTGTTGATCGTATCTGTCATCAGATATTGTTAGTACATTTTCCTTTCATGGTTACGATGTCTGAGCTGAATTAATTTCCGTCGCATGGGTGACTCGACAGGAACGGACAAAGCCGATTCAATCTCCACGCTTCGCCATAGGACAACGCCTTGCGTGTTTCTCATGGCTCGGATCCATACCGAATTATTTCCGCCTTGTCATTGCTTGAAAGAAAAACAAATAGCACATGCCAAGCGTGTCGGTACGCGCCATGGCTATTTATGTCTATCCAATGAACATGGTCTATTTCATTTTGTTGATGTTGACATTGGTGCTTGAACACCTACAAATTCATTTAACATCTTAGGCTATGTCTAAAGCCGTTTGCCACATGTTATGCTCAAACATTTTGTTTGAGTGCTGGGACGACCACTTGGTATATCGAGCGAATGATGACCAGATGCCGGAGGCAAGGCCACAGTCTCGAAGAGGATGGACACTTGGAAACAAGGCCCGAGTTTACGGCAAGACACTCAATCGTATTTTCTTTCGTTTCACAAGCTGAGCTGAAAGAGTGTTTGATGCTTTGATGAGATGGATCGGGTTTGGACAGCCTCACTCATGCTTTTCTTGAGAGACCGTGAATTTGAGCATCACTGATGAACCCAAACCCGACCTTTTTCGTGTCATACCGATTACAGACAAGGTAACCACATATTTAAAGGTTGTATACGTTCTCCTTTGAATCAATGCAAATTGCAGGAGAAATCCTGTCAATGTATTTATGGTCATTAAAATAAATCCAACGTTTTAAACGTGATGTATTAATGTATTCGTTCATGCTGTTCTGGGAAGGACATGTTTCGGATTTCAGGAATCTCTTATTATACGCTGCAATGCGGTATCCACACGTTCAAGTGGGTCGGTATCGAAAATTTCATCGGTATGTTTAGGCTTGAAAGGGGCTATTTGGCGATTTGATTTCTTAGGCATTAGTGGATTGTCGTCCGCCACATAAGACCGGCTCATGTGACGTAAAATAAAAGTCAATTCCGGCGAGCGTTTGTCATGATCTGACAGGCACGCAGACTGAACCACATCCCCTAGTTGCCGCGTTGGCAGAAATAGCTTCTCTTTGACTTGATCAACGTCAGTAACAACGCCCGTGCGATAGATGGTTTGCTTGGTCCTACCTCTGCCATCGTTATTGGAAATCAATAGAGTCAGACGGTATTTTGCTGCACTGTCATCGGCGTCATCCAACTTGTCGCATAAATGAAATTTTTCCATGGCTATCCGTGTTAATTCGCCTATAGATAGCTTGGGCGAGGCCATGACCATTTTTTCAACCTGTTCTTCATGGAATGCTGGCGACACACGTTTATAAAAACCAAGTCTTTTCCTTTGCGGGGGCCTGCGGCCGTGACTATCTCCGCCTCGGGGTTCGGGGAACATCGCATACTGATAAATAAGCTTGATACAGAGTTGACCATTGTTTTCTCGTTTAATCCGTTTATTCAGGTAGAAACGCACCGCCGTATTTTCACAGCCATCAGTGGTACGGTTTGTCATATGCTGCTTTGTGTCGACCAGTTCCTGGGGCAGGGCAGTAGGAACAGGAGTAGAGGAAGAACATGTCAGCGAGCGATACATCATCAGCGGTTTATCCTGGGGCACAAGTATAACTGCATCTAAAAAAGAACGACTATGAGATTTGCGTTTCTACATTAGTGTGACAAGCCATAAATTAATTAACCTTGATCATTCACTGTCATGCTGATGTAATATTCTACCCCTCCGTCTGCTGCTATCGAATCTTGCTTGTCCAGCGGTGGCAATCGAAAACGCTGCATGGCTTGCTTGACAAGTTCTTCAGCGTTGGTCGTTTCATCCACAAGCAGGCAATGATAGGTAGCATGGATGGGAATATTGCCCGAAAATATTCGCATGACAACGGGTCCGGCCTTCTTATTGTCACCTTGCGATACAGCCGCCACGGTATCGATGACCGGATAGGGGATGGGCGATCTTTTTCGCAGACGAAATCGAGACGGGGGTGGCGTACCACAGGGTCGAATGGAGGACGATGGCTGACAAAATTGCCAAGGCTCGCTACTCGGAACATCTTCTTCCCACTCTTCGTATGCCAATTTTTCTTCCCCGAGATCATCCATTGTAATCACTGGTAGTTGGCAGCGCCGAAACGATGACAGAGTCACCTTCTTAGTCTTCTTGTTCGTTGTCTTTGTAGCAGTGGTTGGCATCCTAGTCAGCTACATGGCAAAAAAAAGGCGGCGTTAAACGACTCGTACGAAAAAGTTTCATCACCGCATTTTTACCTGGACATTGCGATGTTTGTTCAATTGCGCAAGTCGTTCGCCCGGAGTCTGTTCTTCAATGTTTTAATGAGATAACATCACAAGGGTTGGATAACGGCAGATCACACCAACCTCAATATTCTCACTGGGAAGATAGCCTACTTCCAATGTATGCAGTACACGGACAAGCCACCAATAAGCATGTTGATCGTTGAGGATGAGTAACGGTTCGCCTCGATTCACCGACACTTGTCCGGGACCTGCAGCATGAAACGTATGGAGAGCATACACCATGGTCCCGTCAAGACCGTTTGTCGAAGCATCGTTGGGAAGATATTTTTTCATGGCATCCATATTGCTTTGTACGGTATTCAAATATTGCCTCTGAACCGATAAAGTTCGTTGACAAGGTGATTTTTCCCACTGATCAAGACTTCGGGACATTGAATTCACACTCCAGTCTGGATGAATCATTAAAAATAATGATAATTATAAAGTTTCAAATGAGGAGCAAAGAAAAAAAAATAACGGCAAAGAAGAAATCAAATAAAAATACAGGCTGGCAATAATATAATAATAAAAGGACCAATTTTAAAGCTTCCGAGTCCAAGTAATAACGATGGTGAGTTTCTTGTTGTTGTTGAGATCGTTTCCTTTCTTTTTTCTTTTTTTTAGCAAATAAAAAAAATATGTCCAATGCACAGGGTGTCCTATTTAAGGAATGAAAAGAGCTGATAAAAGATCCAATAGAAATGATCAAGGATAATAAGAAGGATACAGGATCGTAAGTTTGTCAATGATAAAGAAAAGCAAAGGAAGAAACATATAAAAAAAGCGAACAAGCAATAAAATATATAGAATGCAATAATACAGATAAGCCAGGATGTGGAAAGACTTCGGGAGGTTGCTTGATAACACAAAGCAGCTGTTTTATGCAACTCGAAAGCTGGAAAACATGGATCGGATGTAAGGTCGTAGCTTCGGTTTCTGCTCTGCAATGACCGTTAATTCACGTTCATACGGCATGAAATAAATATGGCTTTGCGGATCTTTGGATAATAAGCGCAGTAAATGAGCTGCCACGAGTGCAATTCCCTGCACATCCGAGGTATCGACATTGTCAATGCTGGAAACGGAAGCGGATCGCGATGTATGTGGGTATGCGTCCAGATGCGAATGGAAATGCGACGCAATCGCATCCTTGTCTTCGAACGAGTTGTCGCAATCGGTCCACATGCATCCAAAAGCCTCGTTATTGGATGATTCGATGTGGTCCTGAAGGACGTGCCGCTGAAGCAAAATTTCATCGTGGAAAGTTTGCGAACAATTTGTCCATTGGCACAGGATCTCCGAACCTTATGCACACCAAGGAAAAAATAAAAATATACAAATGATCAGCTGCAATGCATTGCAAAAAGAATCAACTTGTTTCCCCTAGCCTTACCATCTTGCAATATATTCATTTTGATCTTGATGCCTCGCACAGACGCCCCTTCCAATACAGGCCCAGCTGCATTATATGGCGGAGTATGCGCTGACGATGAAGCTCGCGGAAAGGCAATCTTGAGCACGGTATAAAAATCTTTCATTTTCAATGCCTTTTCATGCCCAAACCGCATTTCATATAACAAGTACATATCATCCAGTGACAGTACGCTGTAGGGATTGGCCGATTCAAATTTATCCTTCAACCTAGATCAGAAAGGATCGCATTCGTGAATGTTTGCTCTTCTTTTTTTTTGCCAACCGTTGCCTCCTCCTGGCTTACCATCCTAAACATCGATAGGGTTCATCTAATTGCTGATAAGCACCTAGGTGGGAAAGACAAGGATCGGTGCCGTGGGCATGAATGGGCGAAACGGAACCGGTGCTAGGTGAGAGTTGAGGCGGGCTGGGTGCAAATTCTTGGTTATCTTTAAGAATGAGGGGTTGAAAGAATTTGGATTTGGCCATGAGAAAGGCCACCAGAATAGCAATATCGGCACCGGCGTTCATGGTGAGCAGTTGGAGGCGAAAAGTGTCGGAGATCTTGGTGTACTGATAAAGGTACTCCAGGGCGGCGCCAATCATTTCTTCGTCGTTGACGACCAGCAGCTGCGCAATGCGTGGAGCTACATGGGTTGAGCCGGAAATCAAATATGGCTGATTCTCTTGATTGCACGCCAAAAGTGTCAACACACGAACGGCGCCCAACAACGTGTGGCGTTCATTGGCAAATACCAGGCTGGCCATGCATCCAATATACGCATCAAAAGGGCCGAGTTCGATGTACCTCGCAATGTTTTCAAGCACGTCGATACAATGATTATAATGAGAAGAGGAGGAGAGGACGAGACATTTGATGAGGATCTGTTTCAGACGAGCATCGTGGGCGAGGATGCGGGCATTGATATCGATAAACGAAAAGTTACGCAAGATATGTAGGACTTTCAAGATCCGCTCTAAATCCGTCGAATTTTCATCATGATCTCCGTTTTGCCATGCATTCAGGGAGGGTGTCTGGGGTGGGCCAGTATAGCCACGTTTTTGTAGGGATGGTTCGATGATATTCAGCAAGGTCATGAGCAAGGTAGGTTCGCGATCCAAGCACAGCTGTTCGGGGCATTCAAAGGAAATGGTGACAATTTCGTTGATCGCGCATTCCACCTGTTCCGAGATGGACGACTGTAATCCTTGCAATAGACGTTGTTTTGCATCTTGATTAAACTGTTGAGCTGTGTGGCACATGATTTTTTTTTTCATCAGGATGAGCCATCGATTTCTCCAACAAATATATCATTTATGACAAACCTGTTAAGCATGCACGATCCTGAATCGAATGATCGTGAGCGGAGGGAGGGATTTGATGATGACGTTCAGAAATTGAGCATGTACTGGAAGCTTCAATCACAGGCATCTGTTTAAATGATTCTGATTTGGAAGATTTGGCTAAAAAAAAAAGACAACGAAATGTTAAAAAAAAATGAGATCATCAGCACCAAATAATCAACAACACGTACGACTACGTTTCTTGTATGATTTCCCTGCAAGTGTGGATGCTTTGTGTGCCTCTGGACCACGTAACTCATCCGGGACAATCCATTCTTTGCCCCAAACTTTTTCTTCTTCCCAGCCCAACTGCAACCAACCATGAATCAGTGAGTTAAAAAAAATTAGATGTCAAGCTATGAGCAGATCAACCTACCAAATTTCGAATATAGAGTCCTTTGAGGATATAAGCGCTATTGGTACAAGTGGCAGGAAATCGAAATATATCGCCTACTTGCTTCCAGCTACGACTTTTCGTGACCTACGAGATCGGTGGACCAATAAGGCATTTGCGTTTTTCTCTTGATGGATCTCAGCGAGGTACCTGATCGAATCCGCCTGCGTCCATGACGGTTTTATAGAGTAGCAAAAGATCGAGCTTTTTGCCACCTAGAATAGGTTCCGATTGAAGTCGTGTTCTAAATGAACGTGATTGTGAGGTACACCCGTTGCACGAATAGGCATGAGAGAGCGGGTTAAAGAATGAATAGAAATATTTACCCTTTTTGTATGTGAAAGTCCCGAAGTTGATTGATAAAAGAAACATACTCTTCCGTACGAACGATATCATCGGCTGCTTTCGACATTAGAAGTGTAATGTCGTGATGGGATCGGATTTGTCGGGATATTGGGTTTTCAAGTGTGGTGGACAATGGTCCAAGCTTTTCGATCAGAACCCGAAATCGTCACAACTCACGTGCCCTCCAGAGAGAAAGTACACAGCGAAAACGGCGCAGTGACAAGATCCAGCCAATGACGTGGCTGATGAACGTTTTTTCCTTTTTTGATGAAATAGAGCATTTTGGGTTTTCTTTTTGATCGGCCCAAAGATCTTGTTTGGGGATCCCTTGTTTTTGTTTTTCTCCTCTTCCGTAATCGCGCTGAATTGCCTTTTTTCTTCACCACGATCTTTCAGATCGATCTTCATCCATATTTTCGGAAAAATCGATGGTCCTTTATTTTTTTTTTCTGCTCTATTACAGTTACGCCACTCCAAATACCAAAAGGTAAAAAGAAGCTAAAATCACAAAGAAAAACAAGGAGACCGGTGTATACCATGTTCATGCAAGGGACGAGTTATCGAGATACGATAAATCCCTTTGGACGCCATTCCATAATTTGCTTGGCCGATATCTTCAATGTCTGGCACACAAACGTGTGGATGCATATTTGTGTGTGTATATGTATGGGATCCGCGTGCAATGAAATGCCAGTACTACTGTACTACAGCTTTTTGTTCAGATGATATGAATCTAATACCATGGTCTTGATGAACCTGCCATTTTTATTGCAAGTTCTATAGTATGATCTTTTTACCTTGACCACTGCCAAAGGTTTAACAGAACAAAAAGAAAAAGAACCTTCTACATGTATCAGCCAAGGGTGAAAAGACCTGCATGGAGGGAGTGGTGCGCGAGGAGAAGGAACAAACAAAGAAATCATGATCGATGTTTGTGTCGAGGAAATTAGACTCCATGACCACCTCAGCAATTTTATAATATGAGAGTCGTCTCCAACCAAAGTTTTTAACCTTTTTCTGGAGTGCCCTTGGAATTTGGAACTCCTCCCGATCGTTTTCTATTGAGATTTTCGATGATGGAGCCACGATTCAACGACATATTTGGTAAGTAAACTGATCGTCATAGTGTTATGGAGTTAAAGCGACAAAAAAAAAGTTTACTTCTTGCATAATGACGTTGCACAAAAACTAGTGTAAATAGGATGGAGGGCAAATCGAAAAACAAAGAGAAACGAAAAGGCCAAGGCGGTACTGTTGAGACTTTCCAGCCATTGATCCTTTTTTTTAACTCAAGGGTGGTTTCAATTCTGGGTTTATTTTTTTCTCAGCTTTTCTCTCTCTTCACTCTCTCTCACCCACTCATTTTCATCTGCATTCTTCTTCTCTCTTTTGTCTTTTTTTATTATTTTGAACACACAATCTTACAATTCTTGTTAGAATTATTCGTACTCCTCAATTCTTCATATTTTTTGGTTCTTCTTCCGTCATTGCTTTTTCTTATTTATTTTTTTTTTGCGCCGCAGTTATTCCTCTCGTTGAATTCCCCTGCAACCCCACACATGAATCAGTTAGCTTCACTCACAGGCCCGGGTGATGCTGAACGCAAAGAACAAGCATTACCTCCCATTCCCGTCGTCTTGCGTCATCCTCATTTGATCGGTAGTGTCAAACAATTTCGTGCAGAAGCGCAGCAACAGCAACTACGACAACACATTGTCTCGGAATCCTTCGTTCCTGTAGCACCTGGACTCATTAAACCTCCTCGAAGACGACGGCGACCACCATTTTCATATTCGTCCTTGATTGCACAAGCCATTTTGGAATCCGAGAACAAACGAATGACACTCAGAGAGATATATGCGTGGATCACCCAAAAATATCCTGCTTTATACAATGCTGACGATACAGGCTGGCAGGTAAAAAATACCCACCTTTTTCCTCTTTTATTTTTTTTGTTGGCCCAACGGAGAAAAAAGAAAAGGCCCCCCCCCTTCTGCTATCATGATCGTGTTGTTAACTCATGGATGAACGGTTTTTATTCATTAGAATACTATCCGGCATAACCTCTCTTTGAATCGTTGTTTTATAAAGTTGCCAAAGTCGGATACCAATGGTCCCACCCACAAAGGCAAAGGAGGTTATTGGGCTATCGATCCTCAGTATGTCAGCAAATTTAAGAATGGAGCTGCTGCCAAACGAGGGCATTCCCTAAGCCGCCAAAAAGACCAGCCAAACTCCAATTTTGTTCCTGATACCAGCGCCAATATCCCTTTCCATCAAAATCATGCCATATTGAATCCGACTTGCACTTCCCCTGCTGCCATATCATCCACTTCATCTTCGTCGTCGTCTTCTTCATCATCACCTACCGCTTTTCGGGAAAACTTCTCTTTACCTCCTTCGGCCACTTCCACGCATGATACCTATTCTCCCTTCCGCTTTTCTCATCCAACAAAACAATCTTCGTCTCCTCTTTCTAGGGAATCGCCAGCTTCAACGCCATCGAGGGTACCATCTAGTAGGCCTTGGAATTTCTATGACGCAAGTACCTTCTCCGACGTCTCTTCTTCTTCCTCCCCATATTTCACCGCCGCCGGCGATACGTCGACTTCAGCCACATCGTCTTCATCCTCCGCTGCATCATCTTTCATGTTCTCCAAGCCATCCACTCATCATCCTATTCCATCCTCCACGGATGACACTACCAAAACTAGAGCTACTTCACCTATAATGCACATCCATAATCTATTAAATTGAACCATGTCTCTTTTGTTTTGTTTCACTTCTGTTGGAACGGTTGCCTATTTTATTGTGTCGGGTTTCCAAATATTGCATGTCCTCGAAAAAAAACGATCATGTGCCTCTGATTTTTTCCCTGCCGCTTGAAAGGAAAGGAAAACCATGTGTCATCATTATTCGCTTTTGCCGATATTGATTTGAAAGCTTGATTACGTTTAACTGGCTGGGATTTTTTTATTTCCTTTTTTCTCCATGTCTGAAAATAAACAAACTGTGATTCCTTTTGAAGAGTACAAGCTCCCTCCTGTAGCCCATGCCGTCTCGGGGGCGGTAGGATCCACCATTGCGAACCTCTTCATTTACCCTTTGGATATGTAAGTTGGGACGGGAAAAAAAAATTCGCGACGTCGTTGCTCCGATATTGGTCATATTCAACTTTTTCGTTTTGATACAGAGCAACCACTCGTCTGCAACTGGAAACCTCCAAGACGCAGTCCGTCAAGCAGCACCACAAGGGATTATTATCAACCTTGTGTTCGATTTATCAAAAGGAAGGCGGGATCAAAGGGTTGTACGCTGGTCTAGGTGCGGATACATTGGCCACGGTGTTGTCAAGCTTCATATACTTTTATTGTTATTCCATGTTACGAAATGTGCAAGAAAAGATGAATAGTTCTTTGGGAAAAGCAGCACAATTGAACGTCGCGCAAGAGTTATTCTTGGGCGCCGAAGCGGCCCTGATCTCACGCTTGTTCACTACGCCAGTGTCGAATATTAGCACTCGGTTACAAACCACGGCCAACAAACGCTTGGGTTTCATGGATATGGTCAAAGACATCTTCAAGGAGAAGGGTATATCGGGATTTTGGACAGGTAAGCCGGTCTGGACAATGCATGATGTCATGTCGTATCATATTCAATTGGGCGTCCTTTTCTTCTTTTTACCCGGCAGGCTATCGTGCTTCCATGGTTCTGGTCGTCAATCCTTCCATTACCTATTTTGCATTTGAAAAACTGAGAAGCTTTTACCTTCGCATGTATAAACGATCCAGTCTTTCGTCGTTGGAAGTATTTTTATTTTCCGCTTTGGCGAAAACCGTGGCTACCATGGTGACCTATCCTTTCATTCTCCTACGCACAACGATGGTGGCCAATACTTCGAAATCAGATAAGAAACATGACTCGTCTTCCCCCTCAAAGAGCATGTTCAGTATCATGAAGCAGGTGGTGCGAACCGATGGCCTAAGCGGGCTCTACAGGGTAAGTGTAACATATGGATACCCAAGAATGGCATATTCACTGTTGGTACTACAGGGCATGCAAGCACAGATCATCAAAGGATTCTTCAATCAAGGAATCATGTACATGATCAAAGACTATGTGGGTGCTTATCTTGCCATTATTTTCTACGCATCCTACAAATTGCGTATGAACCGTCGTCTCGCTTCGGCTTGAGCAATGTAACATAGGAAGGGACATTGTTTTTTGTATATAGTGGTTTTTCTTCTCGAATATATTTAATAACTTGTACAGCATCCTCTATTTAGTCGCGTGTGGGTTTGCTGGATATCGCGTTATCTGTCACACATTGTCATGATGCCGTTTTTCGTGCGCCATACGTAGCAAATGATTTCAGATGGACCCGAGTTCAATCATGGGGAAAAGGCTTCAGCCGTCTCGCTTATAGGGGTGTAGGCGGTGAGACTTGGCCATATATGAGATATGATCAACGCGAAAGTTAAATGTGTTATAGAGAAATTTAATGTAGCAAATTTCTAAGTTTAAAGGCTTGGCAACTCCACAAATTCATCCTGGATCGACAGATGTTCAGTGACTCTGATTACACATACACGCACAAAGGAAAAAAATAACACAGTTTCTCTTGTGAGAAGAGGAATCACAAAGCCAGGCATTCAAGTGTCAAGCAGGATGGTTTGAGTAACTGCAAGGGAGATGGAATAGATGTGAGCGCTTGTTTTTTTTTTTTTTTTTTTTTTTTCATGTGATGGGTCCAAAGAAAGAGTGGATTGATGCATGACAGCCGCGGGTTTGGCGTGTTATTGTCTTTAGCCAAGCGAAGATTGTAACGAAAAAATGGTATTGTAGACAAGGATATGAGGATGGTTTTCTTTTAAGCTAATGCGCTTCTGGAAACATTGAAAGATACATAAACCTTTCTTCATCTATTTGCATCCGGTCAGAATGGTCCAGTTGATATTAAAGTCCGCTTATGACTCCAAAGAAGTCGGGCCTGTCGACTTATCAAAGTCCAGTGGTTCGCGTATCTCAAAGTATAAGACGAACTATCGAGAGAATATGGAGAAGCTGACTGTTATTTGTGTCCACTTCCTAATCCGACCCGGTGCTGGGATTGAGCCGAGTTGAATTATTTGGTAACGGGAGGTTAGTAGGTCAATTCATTCTTTGGCCCTTTCAACTCTCGTGATCGTGACTTTGGAAGTCTTCCAATGCGACATTTGTAATTGGAAATTGCGGTATGAAATTTTGGGAATTTTTGAACCCTTTTTGCTTTTTTTCCTGCTGTTTCATAACTGAACTGTTGCCTGTTGTCAAAGAACCATTATTTTTTTTTCCAGAATGTCGCATTCGGCTGTGTCACCAAGTCCAAGCGCTGAAGCGTCGTTACCGACCGTAAAACAAGAAGCATCTACCACAGCACGACGATACGTGCAATGGAGATTGGACGACGTCGGACTTCTTTTGTCTGACCTGGAGACGCCAGGTCATTATGAGAGATGGAAAAGAAACAAATCCGGTTACAGTAAATATGTAGCAACTGAAGTATTTCGCGACAAGGTATATCACGAAGCCATCAAGTTCAAAGTGCGTTGGTTGGAATCGCGATTTCACCGGTGGCATAGCCGCCTGACCGAACCTGACGTGGAAGGCAACGAACGTATACTACGAGTGGTGCGAGGTATGTATGACGCGAGGATACGGGAAATGTAATCCAAAGCTGGAGGTGGACTATGGCGAAAGAGGGAACGCGCTCCAAGCAAAGGCTTGTTCTTTTTATGCACCTTGTCAATGTCACGCTGCATTGTTCCCGAAAAAAAAATTGCATACAATGAATGCAAAAAGGGAAGAAAGAAAGACAGGATAAGGGAAGAGGCATGAGATAATTGGGACCATTGAAGAGTGAATAACGACGCCAGTATGACGCGTATTTTTAATGAGCCATTTTTTTTTCTTTCAAACAATGTAGATGAAATGCAGAAAGAGTTTCCATATTATGACCGATGTAAGGATATCTTTCTTCCAAACAGAACCACCACCCCGACGATATTACCACCACCAGCCCCTCGCCTTTTTGGCAACACCGAGACCGCCGTTTCTGGTCCAGAATCAAGCACACCTCATCCATCCACATCTTACGAAACAGACATACCCACTATGGATCACCGCGATACTGTATCACCTGAACCGAGTTCTTCATCTCTACTGCCTTCGTTACCCAATCCTTCAACGACGACCGTCAACACTTTCAAGAAACGCAGAATAAGGTAAAATTATTCTTGTATCCTTTGAAGTAGGGAGCGACCATTAGCCTAACGTGATGGGGGTTTGTTCTAGTCAGGGAAATGGAAACTCGAGTATGCCGGTTGAAGAAACAAAACTACGTGTACTGGAAATGGAACTGGAAGTGAAAAAGATGGAGCATGAAGAAAGAATGCAAGAGATGAAGTTGGAACAACTGCGCTTGGAGATTGAAATGCAGAAACTGAAGCAAGCACGTCAGACAACGACCGATTTCAACGTAACAAAACCTCACACTTAGAAAATCAAGCGATTTAAAAAAGAACCCAAACCCTTCACACAATCAGTTTTCCCTTTTTTTTTATCGGTTTAGCAATGTATTAAAGCACCATTGAGATACAAAAAGAAAAGAAAAAAAATGACAACATGCTGTTTCTTCTTTTGGTCTCGGCCATAGTAATACGTTGCTGCAAAAAATTGTTGAAGGAATGCTTTTAACGGTACGACTTTTGGTAACGGGCACGGGCACCGGGACCAGCAAACTTCTTGGGTTCGCAACGACGGGGATCGGCGACAAGGAGGGTACGGTCGTACTGAACAAGGATTTCCTTGATTTCCTTCTTGGCAGCTTCGTCAACAAACTTTTGGTAAAAGGCAACAACAGCCTTGGCAAGAGCTTGACGGATAGCGTAAACCTGAGAAGTGTGACCTGAAAAAAAAAGAAACATTCCATTTTTTAATTCACACCATGCTTCGCTGAATTCTCATTTTCTCCCCCTTCATGGTGTCTGTCACCATTCACAAAAACGTACCACCACCCTGGACACGAAGACGAATATCAATGTTGGCGAAACGTTCTTCACCGAGGAGAAGGACGACTTCATAGACCTTGAACTTCAAGATCTCGGGTTCGAGGAGCTCAAGAGGGGAGCCATTGACGCGGATAAGACCACGGCCCTTCTTGCAGTGAGCAACAGCGGTGGCGGTTTTCTGGAAGCAAGGAAAAGAAAAGCAAACATTAGTCTCTCCATGCTTTTCAACCTGTATTTCTCCAAGCCGTTCACGTCCAAATTCCATGTTGAAAGAACCTCATTCTGTTGGCCGAATTCTCCTCTTGCCATGATGCCCATGAGGTCTATTTTTGCGTGGCTTTTTCCCCCAATGTCCATTTCTTCTAATGCTGTTCCCCATCCACCCGAACAACGCTGATCCAATCTAGTGTTTTTTTGTAATGTGAATCGATCCACAAACGCACCTTGCGACCGAAAGTTTGAACGGCTTCCATGACGGTTCTACGAAAAAGATGAGATTGGTATGATGCAGGGAGGATGGATGGGTGGATGTGGATGCTAAATCTATACCTTTTGTGAGAGAGAGAGCGACTATGGTGGGCAGGCGGCTAATCCCTCTTTGACACCGACAGCGCCCCCGAAATTGACGAGCCACAGACTTTGGGTCCGAGTACTGTGCGGTAATTTGTCGCATTAGTCCGCTCCGGATCAGTCCAATCTTGCTGGCTGTGTTTGGAATTTTTTTCAATTCATCCTACCCTGATGGTCAGCCAAGTTGGAAGTTCCCTTCTCTATCCCTAACAGGTTTTAAGCCATGGTGAGTTTTTGAAAGAGAACAGCATCCATCCATCCATTATCGTTCATCTATGTATCGATGATACTGATTATCTATTTTATCATTTTTCGTGCTTCCTTGTCGTCAACGTATTCGTAGCCTACCAGACTTCATCACAACAGAAAGAAGCGTGGACACGTTTCCGCTGGTCACGGTCGTGTTGGTAGGCACCTTTTTCCCATTTACCATCCTAGAAAAAAAAAACCGACGAAATCAATTCGCCATTGACGCTCATGTCACTGATAATCTGTTTTTTGATGATTTTTAGGTAAGCACAGAAAGCATCCTGGTGGTCGCGGTCTTGCTGGTGGTCAGCACCATCACCGTATCAACATGGATAAGTACCATCCCGGTTACTTCGGTAAGGTCGGTATGCGTCACTTCCACTTGAAGAAGAACCAGACCTGGCGCCCCGTTATCAACCTCGACCAGATCTGGTCTTTGGCTGGTGAAGGTGTTCGTGAAAAGTACAAGAACACCGAAAAGGTTCCTGTCATCGATGCTCTCCAGAACGGTTACGGCAAGGTTTTGGCCAAGGGTTCCGTTAGCCAACCCGTCATTGTCCGCACCCGCTACGTCTCTCGCCGTGCTGAAGAAAAGATCAAGGCTGCTGGTGGTGGTATGTATATTTATTTTAATTCGTTTGTTTTCCATGTTCGTATGACTTACACACTTCGACCTTTTTCTTTATAGTTGTCGAGCTCATTGCCTAAATTACACACCTCTCATCCCTTGTTCACAAATAAAATCATACAGAATCGACACTCGTCGTGCATTTTGCAGGCTTAAAAAAAGGATATCGTGGATGTGGATCGATTGTAACAACCATGATTGATGAACGTTGAAATCTGACGTCGCACAAACAGCGCTGGATGTCCACGAAAAGTCAATCTAATTTTGGAAAACATACGTTTAAATGCTTGGTTGGATGATAGTTTTGCACAGCAAGTGCATACTCTCTGAATATCGGCATACATTTCTGCTGAGTGCACAGCAGCAGCAAAGAGACAATATCGTTTCAACAACATTGCCGATGCTGCTGTCAAAATGATACACTGCTCGCTGAGTGTTAAAAATTCACTGCATGGTAATGCAACATGCGCAACAGAAACAAGTAATATTTTTTGAGGATTCCAGTCCACCGTACGTAGACATTACTCTGTAGTTGGAGAAGAAACTCATTCTGTCATCAATCGATGGACCGCCTATTAAGAATATCTCAGGCAGGTGCCCTAAATAGTGGCAATTTGCTGGTGGTTCCGCATGTTCTGTGAACAGCAAGATAAGAACCCACAACCATAGTGTATAAACTGCCCATTTATGCTCAGTATCTCATCTATAGAAACGTTCGGGACAAGAGGTAATAAACTAAGAAGGTTCACTGATTCACAGCGGCAAAATAGCTTCATGCTAAACCACCTTTCTTAAACTTCCGTTTCTGTTTTTCTGGCATCTGTGCAACTCCCAGGCAACCAGCATTATACTCGTTGTGCAGGGCCATTTTCGAAGGACCGTGTATATTAGTTTTGACTGTATAGGCGTCCTTTTGTTTGAATACGGTTATGGTAAGTCTTAGAATCAGAAGAACAGTGGCCCAAGAAGCAGGCCGATCATCCCCTCCTCTCCCCCCTCAACCAAGAAGCAGAAGCTGGAATGACAAACTGCGATGACTACCTAGCATCGAAAAATGGACTTGATCATAGGTAGAGACATGGAGAGAAAATGATCCATTGTGTTTCTACAAGTCAATTATTGCAATTGCATCACTTGACAAGCTTAATTCAAGACAACAAATAAAGAATTAATTGCTCAATTGTCATATTTACAAGCTTTCATTGGAGGAAAATTAGGAGCCGAATATGGTAGAGTGTGGACTGGCACAAGGTTTGATTTCTTTGGTCAAATTGGTGAGAACATGAAAAACATCTAATTAAAGATATGCCAAGCCCCCTAGAATCGGATTAATAATTCATTGTGCCTACTCGAAAAACCATTCATTGGTCTTTGGATACCATAGTTGATCGCGATTTATTGTGAGATAATTTGATCCTGCCAAGTCGGATTCTGAGCTGGCGTATTTCGATGATGATACGAGAGACAATTGGATCTGAGTAAAGCATACCTGTTATCCATTATCTACCAGGATACGGGCCGACGTTTAAACGACAGTAATAAAGTATCCTCATTCTTTTTAGGAAATCCAAAAAAAAGAATAATGGGGCCACTGCGGCCCTATCAAGGTAAAAACAAGTTCGAGAGTAATGTATGCAGGGGGTTACAACTGGTTTTTATGCCACTGTTGGCTGGATCGTGGAGGCGCTTGGACAGCACCTGCAGCATGAGTATCTCGATCAAAATATCTTTTCTGCTTGCAATCCAACTTTAATTTACAAATCCGTGCTGAAACTGCATCCTTCAATTACAGTATTACAATCTTTATATATCCTTAGCATTTTATCCGCCAGAAAGTAATGTTGTAAGAAAATGTTGATTAACGATTGAGAAATTATGACTTGAGACAATGCGGGAAATTGGGGGAAAGTGTATAAAAGTAGGGTATAAAAAAAAGATAACAAACACAAAAGGGATTATAAGCATGAGGAAAAGCACACTTGAAATAACAGATTAGCTGACACTGCTGGTTTCACAACCCGGTGATTCCTTGCGTCCATGACTTGTATTTGCGTGACCGCCCACCAATGTCGTCGTCGCAGACGGCGCCATTGATACGGATGGTGTATATCCTGACATGGAAATCGAAGTATAATGCTTGGTATGCGCCGCATGCAATGACTTGTCCTCTTCAAACCCGATTGTGCTCTCAGGATCGATGTCATCAAACTCGTTGGGTTTCTTCTTGTTATTGAAGCGACGATTGGAATTCAGAGGCGCAACCGCTTGCGGTGAGGTGTTTTGATTATTGTTATTAACGGGATGAATAATGAGAACGACCACAATCCATACTACCATGGAAGTCACATTGACTAAAAAAGGCGAAAAAAAAACCAGTGACGCTTTTAGTGAACAGAATAGGGGGACATCAATTTAAGACATGATGGCACTTACCATTGCAGATAAGGAAATCCGCCGAGAACTTGTGAACGTTGAGTGTCTTTTTAGGAGTGAGACCGTCGGCACAAAGGATAATCATGGAAATGGAAGCGACAAACAACGCGGCTGTCAGAATCATATTAAGGTCCTAGCCGCATGAAAAGAAACAAGGCACAAATTAGCTCCTGACATTATTTCAAATCAAGAAAAATGAGTAAAGTTCCAAAAAGAAAAAAAAATTACCTGGAAGTTTCTAATCTTGTGAGCAATGGACCTCTGATTAGTGGCTGCTTTGGAGGTCATGATAAGTTTATTGAATCGAAAATGCGACCGGATTCCAAGGCAAGCGACAATGAGTAGGCCTACGGAGGACAAAATTATGTGAGGAAAAAATAAAATGCATGTGTGACGGATGGTGAATGCAAACGTACCACATCCGTAGACCAGTTGAGGCATCACTTCTTTGTAAGTGTGTTCATAAACATCTCGAGCAAAATTATATCGGAGACATGGGAAAATGAAGATGCCTGCAATGGTCCTAGTAAGGTTTGAATTTTTTTAAGATTCAGGGTCACAGGATCCCATCGAAAGTCAAGATCAAATCAACTTACCAGCCAATATAAAATCGGAATTCTTTACTACTCATAAAGTTGGCTTGTGCTACTGCATTGGCAAGATAATTCCAAAAACATTGCAGTAAAAGCAAAGTACCGCTGCATACAAAGCACTGGGTTAATCACTGTTTCTTTCTTCGTTGGTAAATTGCAAAATTTCATTTACTTACGTTTGCAAAGATAACCCAATACATAAGCTGTAATCTAATTTCAAGATGCAGAGCATGGGTATTTAGAATGAACGGAAGACGGTCGACGAATCTTGCGAAGCTTACCTGTTGGTATGATAAGACGGCGAGTTTCTTCTTTCCACATGAACTCGGGTTTGGTGAAGATGTGGCCAAAAATACTGACAAAACCTTCCTCGTATTTGAATTTGCAAGAGGTGATATCTGTCAAAAGCGATTAGCCTATGTTTAATCCATGTTAAGGTTTGATTTTTAAGGATGAATTACCATATGTAAGCTGGGCTGGTATCATTATCAGGATAAGCAAGCTCACAAAGCCTTTGAGTTCTCCTTGTCGTAAACGGTAAGGATGTAGACATTTGAATCGATCTACTTTCCATACTCGGTAGATGTACCATATAGCAAAGTATGATATAGAAAGAGATCTCTCTAAAAAAACCAATAATTAGTCACATCTGAATCCAATATTCGAAGAATAATAATAAGAGGAAAAAAAATACGATAATTACGGAGAAAACTAAAGTCACTAAGATGGGTCATCTAGGAAAACAGAATAAAAGCGAAGAGGACTCGATTTTATTTGCAAGAAAACACGGAAAACCTTGGGTCCTTTTATGAGAAGAAAAATAAAAGACGAGGGAATAGTTGCAACCCCCAATGCACTTTGGTAAAAAGACATACCAAATTTGAGCAGATCAGGTTGGGGAAACTCTCTTTTTTCTCGCTTTGCCGCTGTACCTTTGAGTCTTGGAAGGAGTAGAAGAGCAGAGAAGGGATGGTTGCATGAAAGGAGAATGTATAGAAAAAAAGAAAGAAAGAAAAAAAAGACATAGTGATATGATAAGGAGCGGCTATGTCCGGTTAAATGCGCACTGGACGCATATATCTGCCCCTGAGAGGATAACTGATTGTTCGGTGGTTCATGGTTCCGAAAAGTCGCAACATGCGCCATCCTTTCTGATCCCTGAGAACAAAAAAAAAAAAAAAAAATTGCAATACTAACAAAAGGAATCTCGTGTGCACCATCGAGTGGGGACTTGTTCATGGAATGGCAAGGATCCAAACTGCACAGCTAGGAGAAGTTGCAGTTTTGTAACTGTAGGAGAACTTTGAGTGAGCCACGGATGCGTCCTGACATAATCATAATGAACATTATTTTCATTTTATGCCTGTGATGCTGCATATGTAGCACGGTCTCAAGGATGCAGCATACATAGAGGAGTCAATGATCTCACATTTTTTAAATGAACGATAGGAAAAAAAAGAAGAAGGGTTTTTATCCGTATCAGGAAGATCGGCATTAATCATCAGCATGAAACTACAAGACAATGAACTCTAATCGAGAGCCGGTAACCAGAAAACTGGATAACGGAATGGGGACCCGTTCATAAAGCTAAACAACGAAACTGGTCTTTTTGAGATCCCTAGTAACTGAGCAAATAATAGGGTGGCCAGTTGAAGTATGGTGTGGCGGTGCAAATGCGATTGTTGTTATGAAGACCCATGTCAATGCGACGACAGCTAGGTAAGAAAACTTTGAAAGCTAAAAACAGTTGATATATTGTACTGCCTGACGACAGGTTGGTTGCAATGATGTCAGATTAAAAATGGAAATCTTGTTTGATTTATTGTTGTTACAAATCAAGCTTGACTCATGGGTGATTATAGCAACACCACGAGACAAAAGTTTTTGATGCATAGCGATCGAAATTAAAAAAAAAAGAGCTTCAAGCCATGTATGATTATGAAGCAAGGGAGTGTTTATCCCGAATAATAGGAATAATATGTTAAGTTTACGATCAGGACACACGTACGGGAACCGTGTTCTAAAACAATGGTTCTCAAATCAGGCAATGACACCTGCACCCTCACCATGCCATTTTAGACTTTATCTCATTGAAGATACGATCAATCAAAACTCAAAGTACTATTGGTTTTGCCAAATAATGGTGCAATAGTATGTGCGAAAAGTCTAGATACTAGCCTGTTGATCTGCTCTAGACTTGTCTTTGTCATTGCGAATGCTCGTGGGAGAATGAATGTGACCCGCTTTTTGATGCAGTGCTGAATTTTAAATCCATTTCATCTTAGTAACGGGTGTTACCCCAGAATCGGAGTACTGCAAATCGCATTCAATATTTTACCAATAAGCTGGAATAGTTTTTTAATTTTTTTTATCAGCAAGGATACAATATTCGATATGAAGAAAGATCACGGGCAATCAACATCCGATGTGCGATCAGGGTGAGGGCTTATTATTATGATTTAGTCCAGCTTCTGCCGAAACTTTATGTTCTGACACGGCCATGCTAGACACGAACTCGATGTAGCTAAATTGGAAGCCTACCTGGGTGAACATGTTCCTGGATTCAATCGACCACTGCATATCAGCCAATTCAAACTTGGACAGTCGAACCCTACATATCTTTTGAAAGACGGAAAGTAGGTTGCTTATAGTCAGGCAGGGAAAGGGACAGGAAGCAGATAATCACATGGTTCGTTAGTCAACAGCAATACGTTCTTCGCAAGAAACCTCCAGGTCAGCTTTTGTCTAGCACTGCTCATGCTGTTGAGCGTGAATACCGTATCTTGCGTGCCCTGGGAACTCATTCCGATGTTCCTGTGCCGCATGTGTATACGCTTTGCGAAGATACATCGATCATTGGCACTCCGTTTTATGTATGTTGAAACTACATTCTTTTTCTTGCGATGGCTGATCTTGTTCCTTCTAATGCGGTTATTTGCGATCATCGCAGGTTATGGAGTTCCTTGCAGGACGCATTTTCGCTGATGTGCGAATGTTGCAGCTTCCTTTTGAAGAACGTAGACAATGGTAAGTTGTGATAGGTGGGACAAGCGCGAAAAATGGGTCTGGCTCGCTCATTATCATGCGGTAGCTGGTTTTCGGCCGTGGAAACATTGGCCAAACTTCACCGTGTGGATTTTGCGGCGATTGGCCTGGAGAACTATGGCCGCAATTCCGGTTTCTATGACCGCCAAATGCGATCCCTCAGCAAGGTGTCGCAAGCTCAAGCCGAAACAAAAGACAATGAAACCGGTGATAAAGTGGGGCCTATCCCTCGATTGGAGGAAATGTTTGCTTGGTTCAAACGCAATCAAGTCAAAGATCAAGCGACCATTGTTCACGGTGATTTCAAGGTAAGCTTATAAGTAAACACACTACGAAGATACGTTAAATTAACTTCTTCATGGCCTAGATCGACAATCTGGTAAAGTATCCCATTTCATTGACTCAATATGGTCATTGACCGCGTAAAAATGCAAGATGCCCAAATCGGGACAAACCACGAAAACCTTATGCTGATCGACGTCATGGACACTGACTCTATCGATAGATTTTCCATCCCACTGAACCTCGGGTGATTGGTGTTCTGGATTGGGAGTTATCGACCATTGGTCACCCATTATCCGATTTATCCAACCTCCTGCAGCCGTTCTATATTCCTCCGTCTCAAGAATTGGCAGGGTTCAAGGGTATCAAGAAGGAGGATTTACCGATTCCCGATGCACAAGACCTCATGCAAGCGTATTGCTTATGCCTGGGTACGACGTACCCCATCGATCGATGGAATTTTGCAGTTGCATTTTCATTTTTCAGAGTAAGGATCCTTCTTATTTTCTATATTGCAGATTGCAGATTGCAGTCATCTTTTCATTTTTTTCCCTTCTACTTGCTTCTCTGACTATCGACATTTCCTCCTTTTTCCTTATTATCCAGGTTTCTGTCATTCTGCAAGGCATTGCTGCACGTGTCGCTCGCAAACAAGCATCCTCTGCCGAAGCCAAATCGTATGCGGCACGTTTTAAACCCATGGCCTATCTGGCGTTACAATTTGTAGATGAAGGTGACCTGGTGGCCACCAGTAAACTCTAATTGATTACAACATCCACCATAACCACTGCCATGAATGAAACTGATCTTTGATAATTGGTCTTTGTTTTTGGTTTTATACTATTGCTACTCTTCTTTCTCTTTCTTTTTTGTACAATAAGTCGATATGTAGCTGAAAGACGCAAACTGATCGAAATAAAGAACCCTGGACTGCTCTTTCGTGGTCTCACGTTAAATTCCTTTCAATGCCATTGCGCCCATCACCAAATCAAAAATGGTATTTATATCGTCCGTGCCGCCAACTTGATAATACTACAACAATGCAGCACGTTAAGTCCTCGATGGGTCCGTGAATTTGCTATGCGATGAACAAATTACCTTTTTGATACGTTTCAAATCACGGACCTTTTCAAGGTCATCAAGCGATACAAGCGTGCCTTGGATGTTTGCCTGCAAAAACTCTTGCGCCTACAACGAGAAAAAAAATATCGCGTCCATTTCAGAACCTCGTCCTTTTTAGGTTTTGCATTACGTAAGTCGTACCTCTTCTGATGTAGTGCCTATTTTGATCACTAAGACATCTTGGGTCTCGTCTTCAATACCAAATCGTCGTAAAGCTTGAGCAATCTAAAAAATAAACATTGACTGTTGAGGAACCTGTTTTGCCTTTGCTGTACGCTACTTTGACTGAAAAAAAAGCATACGTGTATAGCAGGTGAAAAGTCAAACACGATCTCCGAGTGGATATTGTGCGTTTTGAGTTGTTTGTTGAGATGATCATGGACAGCACGATTACATGCAGCGAGGGCATGCGTGCGGTTTATCACCTATGCGTTGTAAGTTCAGTTTTAGTCATGACAAAGTCCATGAAGTACGTACAAGCGCGGCATTGACTAGAGCGCATGACAAGGTAGGATCCTGCTGAACGAGTCGTTTCCGCAAATCGGCAGTATTCGTCACATTCTGGAATAATGCAATGTGAACTGGAGGCTGATCGGAATAAAGCTCTAGTGTATGAGTCTCCATGGCACACAAGATTGTAACGACGCTCGGATAATCCACAAATCGATTTGCATCAAAAATCCAGTGTTGGCTCAGTGACTTCTTTTGACATGGTCGGCCTTTTTTATTTCTAGTCCCGGAAAAGGAGATCTCTTTGCATCTCTTAAAAGGTAGAAATAGTGGCTAAATTCTGCATATGGTGAATCGGGGCTGATATGATCCTTTTCCTATAGGATTTGTGGCGAGAAAATAGGGGGTCTGCATTGAGTGCGCTTCTTTTGTGTAATCTTTTTGCGTAAAAAGCGATCTGCTTAGTAACAGAGTCATCCTTTTAACAGAATACCTTTGGCTGACAAATTCGCAAGTGATCTTTTTATTGGGGGACATCATACTGTATGATACCATGCTATATCTTCTTGATCTTTGGATTGTGCTGGTTTATTTAAATGCGCAGTCGGTAAAAAAAAAAAAAAGCCAAAAGCGAAGCATCCAGTGCGAAAAAACCGGTGTGTCCAATTCGTGGCGAACCAGGCCACCGCGGATCTTCGAACAAGACTGTCTTGGATACAAACCGGAACTGATCGCGACTAAGGAATTAAGCGAACGTTTATCATCAAGACATCTCTAAAGGACACATGCAAGAACCAACGACTCGTTGATAGCTTACAGAACGCTTAGGTGCCGCTTCAGGCGAGCGTTCTTCTCTACATTTACGCCAGGACCAACGATCACACTCAAAAGCCAGAAAGACAGCCCAAATACATTCAGGGATAAACTAAGTGATAGGTGTAGCATTGTGATTGTGTTTTGGAAGCATCTCCTTCTCAGGAGTAGCGAGAGGGAAACTCGCTGCACCAACAAAGTTTGAGAGACTACCCTTCTTGTTGGAAGAATGAACTGGGAAGCGTCTCAAGCAGGCACATGATCAATACTCTTTGCTCCCAATTTTTCAATTGTAAATGTCATTCATCTTTTACTGAAAGGAAGGCAGCGAATGAATACTATTGCTGATCAAACACGTTTATTCTTTAAATTCATTTTACCTTGTTGTTTTTATTGTCATCTCGCCTCTATAAATGATGTATGCAGTTTGCTTGCATTTTTCTTACTTCCATTATCTCATTGCAAAACCTTCTATTGAAAAAATTCTTTTTTTTTCCCTGCTGTGAATACTCTAAACGAGCTAAACACTGATCTAAAACGATTCGTTGCCACACAGTTCAAGTCATTTGCCGACTATCGAAAACTCGCGTATCAAAGGTAAAAAATATCTTAAACGAACTTTCGAGTGCTTACTGATGCATTAAAATATCTCAACAAAAGCGTCTACACCCATTGATAGCCTGGGCGGGAAGGAACAAACGGGGTTCATTAAGTGCCGCTTTGTGCATTTTCCATGTTGCATTGTAACCAACGTCCAAACATCCAACATACAAAAGTCCCGTCAAGATTCTCGCCCAGGTTATAGACTTTATCTGACAAGAGTCGCTCAATGCAAAGGGGGAGACCTCAAGTAGCTGGCGGCTTCCAGAAGTGGGGTGCACAGCTTGTTAGTGCTACATAATAAAAAAAAATCGTCATGACATTACGATTACTTCATGACTTGAGTTGCACTATTAGACGATTGGCTGAACTTATTGACAAATACTTCATGCACGCCACGGTGAAATTTGCGGAAGAGTGGGAAAAAGCAGAGCGCGGTGTGTCACCTAATGGTGGTAACGCGGTAATTTCAATAAATCACGAGTCCATTGCCGGCTTGCACAAAGGTAATGCAGATAATAGCTGGTGCAACACGCCTGTTTGGTTGTGCATGACGTCAAATTCAGGGAAGACGCCAAAGATTATTGGTTTTCTTGAACAGAAAAAAAAAGCATCATCTCTTTTTTTTCACCCCGCATTATGAGCGGGAAATTCCCAAATCGTGCCATATAGACCGGAAAAAGAAAGAACACAACGTGGCTTTTTTTTATGCAATATAATGAACAATGAAAAAAAAATTACATAAAGGGGAATCATCTGATGATCTGGGAGAGAAAAAGAAAAAAGAAAACTTAATGGATGTAGGGTGGAAACAAAGAGAAACAGGACAAAGATCATAGTGATAATGGGAGAATGCACAATCTATATAACTCATGTAATGGGGAATGGAAATGGTGAGGAGAGGGGAAATCATGAAGAGAGAATTGGGAAGCAAAAGACAACTTTTGCTTTGTAATATGTGAACGCGTAGGTATGGAATATCTTGTTTGGGTTGAGAGGTATACAAGTATTTTTTCTTTTTGGTTTTTTTTCTTGGTTTTTTTTGGTTTGTTTACTGTGCTTGCGATGAGATGAACCGATTTTTTGTGGCTTTGTATTGAGCGCTTCTTGGCCGGATAACTTTTTTTAAGCGGGATTCGGCTTCTTTGGGCACATCCTGATGAAAGAAAGAGACGTAAGGATTTGGACATGAAGCAATTCCTTGAAGAAATATATACTTACATGGAGTAATGACCCTTTTCACCACAATGGATACAGCGACCATCAGACATTGCAAAGTAATGTTTTTTTTTGGAGGTTGAGTGAAAGAGAGAAGGAAAACGAACGAATGAGATCGTACAGGTAGGAGGTAGGAGGTAGTCGTAAAGAAAAAAAAAGTGAAAAGGTTGAGTAAAGCCGAGTTTTTTTTCCTCCCCCTCGTTCCTTTTTATAAAGAATTGGAAGCTTATCGCCACCTTTCTTATTTTGGAGCATAATAAAACAGGCTACCCCAATAAGCGGTTCAATTCCACTTTTTTTGTTACAAGCTTAACAATATGCCGATCTTGTTCGGCACGTGGCGAAGCCATGTGTAACCCTTTGATTCATTCGTACTCCCATAGTAACAAACGAAATTTAGCCTTCATCCTCCGACCACCCGTGTCATACCTTCAAGGTCGGCTCATCAACCGATGGCAAAATAAAGAAAATATTTCTCGTCATACTATTTCAATGAGCGATTGGTGGTAAACACCGTCTTTTTTTATGACATCTATTTATAACCGACATGTATTATGCTCTGATGGATACGGTGATAACATCAGGGAATGATAAATGTAACAGTGGATACTAGAAAAAAAAGAACCCAATTTGCAACATGGGAATTCACCCTTTCAAGATACTGCCAACCAAAAGAATGTACAAAAGCTAAAAAACAAAGAAGAAGAAGATGGAACAACTATAAACATGTGCCGACTCCGATTTCGAGATGTTGTCAGCGGACGGAGTTGTTTGACAACAATTGCGTTACAATGATAACCTATGTCGGCGACAGACGGTGCTTGGTTGCGGAGACTACGCAGTCGACGATGAAAGATATCAAGTTAGACGAATGATCTGGCGACGAGACACGTGGCAACCACAGCGGAAGCGGAGATTTCCGTCCCCAGCGTCGTTGTCTTCACAGATGGACTGAACAGCTTCGATGAAGTTCCAACCATGCCGGAATGATGCTGATTAGGAACATGGTGAACAGAATCAAGCCATGTGAACCTGCGCAAAAAGCGGAAACGCGAAATATTGTTTATCAAAGTATAGGCAGTCAATGGGGTTTTTTTTTTACTACTGAATGGTTACGTTGGTGTCGTTATCACGAATTATTTTGGATGACAAAAAAAGAATACCCTTCAGTTGTTCCGAGGAAAACGCGCAGCGCGTCATCCTGATAGGATGGAAAAATTCAAGATAGATTATCAGTTTAATTATAATCTCAGTGGACAATGAGTTCATCCGCCGTCTTGTACCAATGGTTTGCAAGAGTTTTACTGTTCCATTCATTGATCTCGTGAAGCGTGGATAGACAGGCACGCATTTTTGCCAATCTTCGTTGCGGAGAACGACATCATGATGGTACTTGTCATCGAGTATGAAACGGGTTAGCGCAGAACAATGACAGGCATACCGCCTTCCTGGTAAGGCGAAAAAAAAAAAGTCGATCACCAACGCGTTTGACATCTCTTTTAAGGTTAGATGACTTTTGAATCAAATCAGCGTGTTTTCCCTCCATCAGGCGTTGGGACATAGATCAAAGAAAATGAATGTCAATATTTAATGTAACACCAGCCCATTGGTTCAGGTGGGTTATGAAGCTGTGAAAGGAGAAGGAGAAAAGGAAAACATGCGTCATTGAACATTAATCATCCGCGATGCCGATAATGGTTGGATGACACTGCAAAGTTTGATGTAAGCAATATAAGCTAATCAAAGTCCGTTAATGAAGTGACTTATTGCAGTGGATTAAGTAATAAGCTATTCAAATACAGCTTATTTACCAACGACGTCGGCTGCGACCGCCGATTGGCAGACCTGGTTTGAATCGACGGCCGAAATAAATAAGCTTGCGTTTGACTCGTTTTAGGCTGTGCATGTGACCAGTTCGCGTCAACCAAAATGTGTATGTGCCATGCGCCAAGGCCCACGAAGATATTGGACGCTGTCTTTGATGACAGAGAAAACGTGCTTGCAAATGGTTAATGTATTCAGCATGTCGCGAAGAAATTAAAGCGATCCATATTACCTGCATGAACACCGGTGAACACCAAAAAAAAAAAAAAAAAAAAAAAAAAACAATGCGATCCAGTGATAAAATCCTGGCGCAAGTATAATAATAATAATAAATAAGCTCATCTAAAACCTATAGACCTTTGCAGGAAGATAGCGCTTTTATTTATGATGTTCAAATCAGCAGGGCTGTAGTACGTTTGTTTTTGAGGGCCAACATTAAACGATGATTTCATGTATCATGTATTGCAACATAGCACACTGACTGAAATTTATAAATGCAATATTGTTGCCAAAACAGAAAATGAAAAAAATGTTGTCAGCATTCATTTCTTTTGCTTTCTTTTTTCTGATTTGCAACTTTTTGTCTTGACAAGTACTTTTATTATGCTGGTTAAGGATGCTCTTCTAGACGTTTACATGGCTCCTTTTGTATTTTACTAACAAGCCGTACACCCGCTGTGCAATGGATGCCACCTGCTACTGGATGCCGCACTCTTGCCTTGAGCGACATTCGTCAGACAAAAAGCCTAACGCAATACGGCATAACCTGGGCGAGACTCTTGATGGAACTTTGGTATATTAATGTCAATACTCTGGCATACCATGAAACACTTTTAATGAACAAAGCAGCACTTATTGACCCCCTCCGTTCTGTCCCGCCCAAGGTTATGATAGATCTACAAAGATGTGTGGGAATGTTGGGTATTTAAAAAAAATGAGTTAGTAAGCTCTTTGGTTGATTCAAATTTCGTTGAGATATTTTACCTTTGATGTTTGATGCAGCAGATACCGAGGGCTTCCCGACCGAAATAAAGAAAGGATACAAATATATAAAAAAAGTAAATACAATAGGTGCGTCTGTAAAAACCCCCTAAAAACCCTGTGGGAAAAAAAAGGAGGAAAAGACTGCAAGAAGACTATTCACTAAAATACAAAATACAAACTATGAACTACAAAATACAATAATCGGGAAGACATCTCGAATACCATATCATGAGAAGCAATCCAAAGGAGAGGAACCTGGGGAGGACGCGTCAGCGTTTCCCGATGAAAAAGAGAGTCACACCACCGACGATGCCTTTGACGACAAAAACCGGTTTGGCCACAATCTGGTGCCCGAACAAAGTAGAAAGGTTTTGGAGGGATGGATGGCTTGAATGGCTTGCCAGGCAAAAGAAAACAGGAGAGAAAACCAAAAGCTAAAGACAGAATAGAGAAAAAGGACAGGTAAATTTTTTCTTGTCGAAAAACGGATAGTCGTATCACACAAAAGGTACCTTTTTTCATAATAATCGAATCGACAGGATCAGATACACGCCATAGTCTGGATGATGGATGATGGATGATGGATGCAATGATAGTGAGGGATTTCCAGGCAAACAGAAGAGATGCAAAACTAAAGAAGAAGAAAAAATTCGGACAAAAATATGTGACAATAGTCACCTCACTGATGCATGAATGATGAGCTACACAGATCGAAGCATATCTGCTCCATGTATCATTCGATTACTGAAGAGAATGAAAGGGCATATACAGTATAACTGACAGATAACCCAAATTAAATGATGCTACAAAACACCAGATCGTCGTATCGTCAATCACCTTTCTTCAAAAAAGAGCTCCACTCACATTTTATGTGAACGGCGACGATGCTCTGTTTGACCACAACTGGTGCAAACGGCATCTTGCTGCTGATTGTTTCGCCTATTATCGTGAAAGTGGGCAGCGAGGCATGGTTGAAAGATGAAAAAAAGGTTTAACAGGTCTTGATAACTTAGTGTAGACCATGTGATTTACAAAATCGCTAATTTTTCAAAGATATGATCTTCGAACAGTATGGCAACCGCATGCGGCTCGTACAATCTTGGGTGATTGCAGTGATATGAAGAGCTTAGATGGAAAAACAAGTGTCCACTGTCTATGTCGCTTTATAATGAAAGGAATCCAATGATTTGCTCTTTGAACGTATCTTGTACCGTGGAGCTACAGCATGCCGAATGAAAAAGATGGAATTCGGAGTTTAAAGGCGTGAATGAATGGCCAAAAGGGAAAAACATGCAAAAATTCACCCAACAATTTTGTTACCATTTTTTCTTTCTCAACGGATCTCCACTCAGTCAACGCGTTTTTTCGTAATACGGTCCTTATTCGCATAGAATAAGGGCGAATTATTGTATATCATTATGCAGCCTAGCTTGCAAACTGACAGAAGAATACAACCTTCTTCATCCCAGTCAATGCACCACCATTCCACTCCACATTATGCACTGCCTCCCATTGCTTCGCCTAACATGCAACCACCGGTACTCCCTCCCCCAGCTTCACTCAACTTGAACCTTCCGGTCCCTCCTCCCAACCGTCGTACAGAGCACGTTAACGGAACCGTTGAATCCTACCCGTCCTCATCGTCACCTGCTTCGCCGTCTCTTTATACACAACATAGTAATCATTATCAATCTCTTTCACATGCCAACAGCCGCACCACTTATTCTTATTCACCGCATTTACCCCCTGCACAACCACCGCATGTACAAGCCATGTACTCTTACCACTCGCCGCATTTCGAATCCTCGCAATTACCACCCCTTCATGAGCCTTCTTCCATCTCAAGAAAGGAAACGGATACCCAGCCGATGTCCTCCTGGTATGAAACCTTTGACGATTCTGAAAAACAAGCATTGAAACAATCTGAACAACAAGACCCATATTACTATCCTTCGTCCGATGGGTGGGTGTACGGTTCGTACTTTGGGGTTTCTTTTTTTTTATTTGGTTACTTACTGTGTCCCGTCGATGCGATTACTTATCTTTGTATTGTTCACTAGAACCTTCCTTTCAGACAATTAATAGCGCTCTGATGAAAAAACAACAGGAGTACTCAAATAGAATACAAGAAATCAACCATGAATTCCTGGAAAGCAAAGAGATGTAAGTTCATGTTATCTATTCACCCGTGCCGTTGTATTGGTTCTCCGAATGATGTTCATGCTATTTCGCTATTTCAAACTCCTCCCCACTGGGTCACCGACGCCAGGATTTACCAGGAAAAAATCAAGCAGCTGCAAGATGAAGTATTGTCACTTCAGGAAGGTATGATATGGAGTAGTAGAACCCACAATGCTATTTGTTGTGGAAGCAACAAGACACTGATGGCCTTGAACTAGGACGCGAGCATACCATGTTTGATGAATGCATGGCGGATCTGGAACGACGTCGTGTCACAATGATTGAGGACGCGCGGTTGATGATGGAATATCAAATAGCACAAGTCGATGGCATCTATTTTGCTGATTCGGAATTAATAGAGAAAGAAAGTCAGGTAAAAACAAAAGGGGAAGAAAAGAAAGGGAATCGGTGTGAAAGGCTTTTCATGCCAGGGAAAGAGCGTCTAATAGGCACCCTTTAGACCGAGAAGCAAGAAGTTAAGAATACCATGTTTCAGACGCTGGAAGAAAAGCGACGAAAATTAAAAGATGAAAAAGATGGCGAAACCACTCACACAGCAGGTAAAATATTACGCAACTATTTCTTTTGTTAAACTTGTGAAATCAATCATTCTCATTTGCATACGATTTAGATCTGGGATATTCTGCGCATCAAACCAGGAACCGGCGTCGTATGCTTCGTAAACGAGACGACCAAGGGGATGGAGCGCTTGCGCAGAAGACCGGATCCAACAAAAAGCGACAAGGAGCAGATCATATCCTTTTTTTCCAGACGCATTTTCAAGTGGTCATGGCGTCAACTGATCATGATGTGGCAAAATTGGATCAAATGTAGTAGTGGATCGTTATTTCTTTTTTTACGTCCTTAACCATTTTTATACGTTTGAAAGAATTAGTCAATCCAAGTCAAGCGCTAACGGTACAGCATGAACAAGATATAGAGGACGACTTTATATGTATTTATGATGTAAGTTACTGAGAAGAACTTGTAGCTCCTGTTTTCCAAAACGCTCAAGCATGATGACAGAGTATTGCGAATGCGAAGAAACGGCATATCAATCGTCATGAATCAACAATATCATCGTCCACGGACCGCCGATCATCCAGATAAAAGAACAACCCATTTTCCCTTAGATTCACATCTTTATAATGCACCTTTTCCTTTCTTTTTTAATCCCCATCTTGTTTAACTTATTCTTCAGATTCTTCCAATACTTAGTACTGTACAAATTCCCGAATAGATGAATCTTCGATTATGGTTCATTCTCTCGTGGCTTCATGTGGCTCGGATCCAATGTGACGTGCATCAATCCCAAAAGCACAACGAGTTCCCTTACATCGCCAGAGACTTGAGGAATGTAATTTCTGCAATGGTTAAGCGCAGTTCGACCAGAGTAGAACGAAATAGGTTCAAAGGAACAGGTCTGCTTATGGTTGAATTCATCGTCGACTGGACTCGTTGCAAAACCGGCTGCATCGTCAGATACCGGTCGTCGAACCATAACAGTGGCAGATTTGCGTTCGTCATAATCGTAGATTTCCAGTTCGTAAAAGAGGTCAGGCTCCAAGCACTCGTTGGGCTCGGGGTCCTGGTAATAGTGAGTGTACTCGCCAAATAATCCATACGTTTTTCTCGAATTAGGATCATGCACATGGCCTTGAATGGTCCTCAGAGTACCATCGTAGCCAACATTCGCCAAACAAAGGTGCGCCACACCACCAAAATCGATCAAAGAGTTGGACATGGCGGTGATCTTAGCTAACCCATGTTCTCAGCGCTTATTTTTGTCGGCTTTATCGACTTTATCGGAAGTCCAAAATCAAAAGGGACCAATATAATAGACCAACCGGCGCGGTTGCAACTCGAAATGACGTGTTCACAGTAGATTTTCATCCGTGTGTATTTAATGAAGAAAGAAGAACAATCCTCAAGCCACTTCCTTTCAATATCAAGAACTTGTCGAATAATGCGAGCTGAGAAAAGATCTGTCGGTGGTGATGACTCCAAAAGCCAGCTAAAATATCGGGAATAATTCTCACTTATCTTTCTCATTGGATGGATTCGTGGGAAGAAACGCCATGTCTGGGTATTTGAGCGACTGTATTTCTGAGATAAGGCTTTGGGAGGCCTACCAATGCTTGCGTGATACTATCCCATGAGTTTCTCAGAAAACGCTTGGACCGGACGTATACGATATGGCGTAAAAAAATTAGAAAAAGCTTTCAAGGATCGATCCAACAAAAAGTAATAAGCCCATGGTAAGTGTATGTGTTTCGTTTTCACAGAAAAATGCTGCTGTGTTGACCATGGATATATCAAAAATATACCCAGTTTTGTTTGTCCTACAGTGTTTTTATTCCCTGTAGGGTGCACTTTCTGGCACTGTTATCAAAAGCCATGAAAATGCAGACTAAGCTCAGGGACGTGGAAAACTGTTCCATTAGATCGATAAACCTCATACTAAAAAATCACCATGCAAGTTGCCATGCCATACCAGTATTGGCGTAATTAGTGGTTGTCCCCCTATTTCTTTTCTGTTGGAAAATTGACCGCCATTGTTGCCGTTTTCTGCCATCGGTTCTTCAATTTTCTGTCTGATAAACCTGGTGGCTCGAATGCCAGAAAAAAAAAAAAGAGAAATGCGTCCCGTCGCCCCAGTTTTCCCACTTCGTCATACTCGGCCCTTTCTGGGTAGATGAGACTCCGCCGGCACTCATGGCTTGCCGAAATTAGTATGCACCGTGAGCGGTTCCTGGCCTGTAATTCCATTTATGTCCAAACAGAGATGCCTTGGTCTGCATCGTCTAGTTCGATCTATCAGCTTCTCCCATTTCAAACAAGACAAAGACGTCGTCATAGCAGATATCTTTTCGATACAAGCGACGGTAATCCCAATCAACCATTAGAGCGTCGTTGTCTCAAAATGCATAAACATATTTCCCAACTCCACTCGATGATAATCCAAAAAGGTGGATGCCGTTTTTTTAGCGATGCTTCGTTGCTCCTGAATAGCGTATTCACAATCGGCGTTGTGCTGGGTCCCAGAGGAAACTTTAAAATTTTTGTGCCTGGCGATAGATAGGTGCAATGATGTCATGGAAAAGGTGTGGCCGACGTTTGATCGATAAACGAAACTTTGATAAGACGAAAAACCCCCAACGGCGGCCCACATCTTCGTTTACAGTTCTTCTGCTGATAAATACAAGCAGATAGGTAACTATATGTCACCTCAACCAGCTGAGAGAACTATATATGCTCCAAACTATGACGATTTACGTGCTGTACGTTTTCCCTGTGGTTCACGCAACTGTCACGGGTAAAATTGCTGTGTTACGATTTCTGGGGATGAGGGCAAGATGAGACTAGGCCAAAAATAGAAAGGCCGCCGACATGGCCATCGCACTTAAATTGCAGCTGGCGGACATGGTTTTTTTGCGACCAAGTTCCTTTATACAAATATCGTTGAGCAACACTTTATTGACATTGCTGTAACAAAATGACCAAATCCGACGTCAAGATTCAAGTATTCACTGATTTCGATGGCACACTTTCATTAGATGGTAAGTGTCTGTTTTGTCCTACCTTGTCACAGGGACGGTATTGAGTAACCCAAAAAATGACAGACACTGGCTTGCTGCTCATTGACGATCACCGTTCCATGGGTCCTGAACGACGTCGCGTATTGGAACACAAGATTATGAACGGTGAGATTACCTATAGGTAAGTCTCTTGTAAATTCACTCAATGAATCTACTGTAGTGGATTTGATTCTGACATGCCAGTATTTCTTTGCAGGGACGGTTTGCAGGAAATGTGGAACTCGGTCAAAATTAGCTGGGATGAAGCCTGGAAAGAATATTTAGACGGTAAGCGGTGGTTTGGATCGACTTTTGATTGCAGGATTATTATCTAATTCGTTCCTAGATTGCCGTATCGATCCCGGCTTCCCTGACTTTTTCGATTTCTGCCGTGAAAACGAATATCCTGTCACCATCATCAGCAGCGGATGGAAGCCTTTATTGTCCAAAATCATGACCAACTTCTTGGGTGAGAAGGCCAAGGATATTGAGATTGTATCCAATGATGGTGAAGTCGTCGACCGAACCTGGAAGATCATTTGGCACGATGATTCGGAATATGGTAACGACAAGTCCAGAACCTTGAAGCAAGCACGCGAAGCGGCTTCCCCTGACACCATTTTTGTATTCTGTGGTGATGGTGTTTCGGACATCTCTGCCGCTCGACATGCCGACGTATTGTTTGCTCGTAAGGACCGTGATTTGGAAACCTACTGCCGTCGTGAAAAGATTCCCTTCGTTGCTTTCGACACTTTCAAAGAAGTCCATGACATTGTCAAGAAGTTGGCTGACGGCAAAGCAAAGATTGAGAAGGATGCCAGAACCGGTTTTTGCAGTGTGGTCGACGTTTAAGATTGATTTACGTCGTCCCAATCAACTTAGATGTTCAATTTAAGAAAAAAGACAATCATTAACTTATTTAAACCATATAATTTACGTCATCAATAAAATTTCAACTCGTACGAGTAATGATAGAAAAACACACGACATGATTCCTCTTTTCTGAATCTGATGAGTTGAATCCCACCTGTCTACGGGGCCAGAAGATGATTGGCCAATCACTCGTCCAATCGAAAAAGTAATCCCCTGTCCAAAATCCGGACCGCATCTGACCATTTTCGGTCCGATTCGATTCGAAATCCGCTCCACTGCCAGAGGGCCTTCGACAGAGAGAATAACGTGGTGTCCTGCGGCAGAGGGCCATCCGATCTTCCCTTTTCGAAATATGGTATGTATACACTGCAAGGTTGTAAGCTGTTGAAGGGAAATTAGATGCCCAAAAGACTCGTATGATGGATTGACGACGATACCAATATGGATGAACAACGGATGGATGGAATGAATACCTAAAGATGATGAAAAAAAACTCGTTTGACGGGCTCCACTGGACTTTTTCGACGTCGTTGCGACCTTTCAGCGAAATTCCTACCTTGTCATGTCGAGTCTTGGGCTCATTGTATCCCTTCAACGACTGTTTGCTTACATGTGTTTGATAATGCGAGCTCTAACTGGGGTTTATTTTTCCTTTTGTTTTAGTCGCTCGTTGTTCCAGAGAGGAATCAGTTCCAGCACATTATCCGTCTTCTCAACACCAACGTTGACGGTAAGAACAAGATCACCATTGCCTTGACCTCCGTCAAGGGTGTTGGTCGTCGTTTTGCCAACATTGCCTGCAAGAAGGCCGATGTCGATCTTAACAAGAGGTAAGATATCACGTCGAGACGAGCTCTGGTCACTTGAATGTTAAAAATTGATGTTCCATGTACTATTAGAGCCGGTGAATGCACCAACGAAGAATTGGAGCGCATCGTCACCATTCTCCAGAACCCTGCTCAGTACAAGATCCCCAACTGGTTCCTCAACAGACAGAAGGATATCATTGACGGCAAGTACTCTCAAGTCATCTCCAACGTTCTCGACACCAAGATGCGTGAAGATCTTGAACGTTTGAAGAAGATCCGCAACCACCGTGGTCTTCGTCACTTCTGGGGTCTCCGTGTCCGTGGTCAACACACCAAGACCACCGGTCGCCGTGGTAGAACCGTCGGTGTGTCCAAGAAGAAATAAGTAAGTTCTTTATTTTTGTCAAGTATATATGAGTCATGGTACTGATCGCGACTTATTCTTTTTCATCGTTTTTTCTAGATTAAATTTGCCATTATTCATCAGAATAAAAGCATTTGTTTTCTTTGCAATTCGTTTTTTTGGTACGCACGAGACAATCATTGATCAAAAACTTGATAGAAGAAAGATTTTCGGTGCGTTGCTGGTGGGTGATGGTATAAGTGCATGATGCCCGGGTGCTATACTGCACGTTTTACTTCACTGGATTGTTCGACATACTGTTGGTATTTGGGAAAGCAGTGTGGAAAAGTGGTTTTGATATCCAAAGGGTGCTTCCATAATTGAATGCAGCTTGATCAAAAGAAAATATAGGATATATTGAAAGATTAGACATTCAGTTTGCAAAAATTTCTATGCGCGTCAAAACAATTGATAATGGCTGCATCTTTTCTCTAACCAATGTCGGAACCGCATTTTCCCGCACTATGAGACCACTTGAATTATGATGTACTATTATCGAGATCTTATAATAAAGAAAAAGATGTATGCTGTCCAGTATGCATACGTGGTTTTCATTCTCACAAAAAAAAGGGTACAAAGTCTCATTGATATTGTCTGCGTGGACATGCTCAGCTCGAAAAAGCGGTCCCTTGTTTCTTACCAGCAACAACACGTTTTTTCCTTCTACTTGTCATTTCAGCATGAGTGGTAAACAGTTGAAGCTCGATGCATTTCTGCGTCCACGCCCCAAGATCCCTCCAACTGAACCCACGCCTGTTCAAATGTAAGCCCCCGTTTCTAATAGACTCCAGGTGAGTCGATCCCTGATCATTGCCGCGATGTTGTCTAGTCAAACGCCTCCGCAAGTCATGGAGGTGTATCCGAAGCTTGAGGAGAATCATTCTTTTCCAGACGATAGCATGGACAGTGATTCAGACGTGCCATTGACTCGTCGACGCAAAAAGGCGCGACCGCTCATGCTCGACGACGATGAAGGTAAACGAACGCGACACTTCAAATAAAGTGAATACACGAGATATCCTTAAAAACTCGCCTTTCACAGAGCCAACAAATGCATCTTCTCCAAGAACCACCGAAGAACCACCTTCACCACAACAACCGGATACTGTAATGGAACCTGCCAGCCCTTCTCGCCCCCGAAGACTGAAGAAAAAGGCCCCTGATGCAGATGAACCACCAGCAACACAGGATAGCATACAAGAAGAGCTGGATTTTCTCAATTCCAACGGTAATATTTGATACACAGCAACTCACAGATCCATGCAACCTTTCTAAACCGAAACTACAGATGTTCTGGAAGAGCGAACACGAGGTAGAAAGCAGTCATCCTACAGCTTGGCCTTGCAGAAACTGAAAAGTAAACCGCCTCTATCTTGGACTGCTTTAAAATGGACTGCCAAGAAGCTAATTCATGATGTTACTTCACTAGATCGTAAACTGGCGCTCGATGAATTTGATAATGGTGCAGAAGGGCCTATGGACCGCTATCATTCAACTCGCACTATCGACCCTTCAGATGAAGATGAAGATGACATGATATGGCGCGAAGACGCAGTTGCAGAAGACGAAGAAGACGAGGCAGATGAAGATGATAACTTTATCGTGGATGATGATACCATTGACGGACAGAAAGTGTTTCGAAATGAGAGCACTGCAGTGATGCTGGAGACTATGATGCCAGGTAAAGATAAAAATAAAATATTACTGCGGATAGGGATCAAAGGGGGTTTATGACGGAGAGATCGAGCTCACATTTTGCTTTTTTTTTCCATGCCATCATTAGCGGAGTTCAGTTCAGCACGAGTGCAAACATTCTCGTATCACTTCAAAATCTACATCGAGTGTTTGGTGAATTTGACAAAAACGCCAGATTTTGCAGAAACGGAAAATGGTAAGCTATCACCATTCGTTTTCCCACATTATCGCAATGGTACGATTGGTATGACTTGGTCAATGGTAACGCATATGGCGATGGTGTGTTAGTGTCCTACTTTCAGTTAGCAACGCGCGTTGTTGAGCAACGTGTGAAAGGATACCAAAACTCCCTCTTAACGAGTGATGCATGGCTTCCTGAATTTAAGGTTGTATTTTTTCCTGTTTGCTCTTTGCCACTTGGCAAACAACCAATGGAGGACTGACCCAAAGAAAACCCCCAATCTCTAGGAGGCGCTGGATCATTATCCTGTATGGACCAGAGGTAATGCTGATGTCAATCCGCCCAATGTTTCTTGTGAAGGTTGCCGAACAAACAAACCTGCAAGTCGTATTGCCATTTTATCACATGATGTCAGTCACCACGATGATGAGGCAAACAATGGCCAAGGCAAAGACGATGACGACGATGAGACTGAAAGTGATCGAATATCCTTCTCTCTGGGACGAAGTTGCTACCGACGAGCGCATGTGTACCACAGACTCCATCATTTTCGAACTCATATGAAGAATAGAGTTGCAGATGAAATCGAGGCCATTTATCGTCAGCGCCAAACCACAGATAGTAATTCGGATCTATGGCTTGTTGAAGATCTCAACGGAACATTACTCAAATCAGGGTTTGTCGACGAGGTAAGTATTAATATCGAGATTCTTTGGGGTGCCCGAAAATACTTACTCTCTCTGTGTCTCATTTCTCATACGATAAAAATTTGTCGCTTTTTTTTTGTTATCTCCATTTACTATACTGTCTACGATCCCAAAGGCATATCATGAAGTCCTGGAGTTATTCGAAGAAGCCGATGCATGCTACCTGAACAATGGCAGAAAGTTGAATAATCATCGAGGCTCCGAGACAGATAGCGACTAGGCGTCATTCTGCCTTGCTGTAGCTTTTTTTTTTTTTTCGACCAAACCGCCATATGTTTTCCTTTTTTGTGAATTTGTTTCCTATTTTGTACTGATATTTTCTTCCACCCCTTTTTTATCTGGTGCGCGCTTTTTTCCTGCTGTAACCATTCATTAGTTTTTTACAGTGCTCGCTCGCTGGCTGCATTTTGGTGCATCGCTCCCTCCGCATGTTCACTTAAGTGGACCCAAATCCTCCCCTCCCCCCAAAAAACGTAACTTTTTTTAACTGCGTATCTTGGTTCATTCTCCCATTGGCGGAAATACATCGATTCAGTGATTCTGTGTTTGTTTTCGAACCTTTAAAGCTGCTGGTTTTGCTTCTCTTGCTTTTCTTCATTTTTGACTATTTCTCTTTCATCCTTGGCTTTCTTTTTCTCTCAGAAATCTTTTTTCGATATCTTCCTTTCTTTCGTTATTATCTGTCAACGGATCGACCTTGCACTACGGATTGTAAACTTGCCCGCAGTGGCCAATGCATCATTTGCAAAAGATCTACTTTCACGAAACCATCCTATACTGATATTGCACTCTTGTCACTCCCCACCACCACCACCTTATATACCGAGTTTCCCGAGTTTTATAACAATCTCAACCATCGATCATGGGGAATAGCGTGAGCAGATCCCCAGTGCAGCGAGAACGTTTGCCAGAGTCTGCCTCTTCAACACGCAAAAGGATTCATCTCACTCACTCCACGATGCGGCGTATGTCGAAATTCAAGGCACCCAAGGTTCAACGATCATCTGGCTCATCTACCACGCGAACAGTAAAAGCGAGTTCATCCGGCCTTCCTCCCACGGAAGTATCATCAACGGATAGTACGCCACAACATCCAACCACCAAAGAATCCGGTTTAGTACAAGACGAGTCTTCACGGCCGACAGAAATGGACATGAAAAAAGCTATTGTTCATCTCGAGTTGCCCACAGTGACGGATGAAACACATAATAGTAACAAAGATGCAGGTACATCCAAATCCGGCGAACCTAAAAAGGGTGCTGGGTTACCGGTTTCTGCCAATCATCACAAGAGCAGCAATAACAAAATCCATTCTGGCCATCCATATACGATCACTTGCCAATCCCAGACTCCGTCATCGACCCTTTCCTTTTCCACCTATGAAAGTGAACACCACAGTATGGGAAGCAGTCACTGGACTTTTTCTGGGGGTCTATTCTCCCACATCGAATCCAATTCCTGCTCCAATATTACCGCTATTACCGACCAATCCACCCTTTCCTGTGGTTCGCTTTTCCATCATGACGCACCCTCCGCCTCTCAGAAACAGTATCCCTCGACCCAACTAATGCCACCGCTGGAGACGTTGACATTGGAACAAGCTTCAGGTTTGGATTCACAGATGGAGGACCTTTCATTCGACGACGACACCATGTTATCTCCTCATGAAAGCCCGCGGGAACTTTCGTGTCAAGCTATCCTACAACAACTGAACCGACAACCTTCCTCTGCGTTTGCAAGACTACAAAAGATATACGGGACACTGTTACGAGTCAATATCTTGGAATCACAAATGGAGTTCTACAAGGCCGTATGCCAGTGGCATGAAACCCATCACGATGAAATGTCTCTCTATTGGATCGCGCGATGCCGGATGAATGGCTGGGATAGCACAAAAGAACCCGTAACAGGATTTTCTCAGCTGATCACTCTGGCCAGTGCCGGATGCTTGGAAGCTCAATACTACGTCGCCATGGTTTACCTACACGGCATGTCAATCACGGGAGCGCAGGAACTGTCGATTCAGGTGGACAAAAAGACCGCATACGATTGGCTCAAATTAATAAGCGATTGTGACCCGATCGCTGGCTCATCCTCTACACAGCACAATAACCGCACACGAACGCTGATTAGCCTAGCCCAATACCATCTGGCCGAAATGCTCTCCAAAGGTAACGGTGTTCCTGAAGATACCCAGCAGGCATTTCAGCTTTTTGTGAAGAGCGCCAATCATGGTAACAAGTAAGGGTCGATTGCATGGATTTTTTTTGAAGTTCACCTGGGGATTATCTGCTTCAAGTATATTTGCTGATCAGAGATTAAACATCTAGGTATGCTCAATATATTACCGGGTATCATTACGCGAAAGGGTTGTTCGTGGAGGAAAACACCGAGCAAGCGAAATACTACTTTTTGCAAAGTGCACGTCAAGATTTCTCAGAGGCCCAAGCGGCCGTTGGGATTATGTTGGTGGATGAATCGTGTACTGAAGAAGGCCTGCTGTGGCTTCAGCGAGCGGTGCACAAGGTAATAGGCGAGGATTCATGGGGAAATTAAAAGCGCCAGTAGCTGATCCATGTCGCTTTTTGGCTGTATATTAGGATAATCCTCGGGCCATGTTAAAACTTGCAATGATGTACGAAACAGGTCAAGGGGTTCCGCATAATGATGCTCTCGCTTTGGATTACTACATGATGGCCGCTCGCCGTTGCGATCATCCCGTCGCCAATTACGTTTTGGGCCTGAATTACCGTCTTGGTCAATTGGGGTTGGAAAAGAACTATCAGGAAGCCAGCAAATACCTTACACGATCAGCTCGCGCGGGATTCCCATCCGCCCAACGATTGCTAGGTCTGATGTATGCGCAAGAATTACTGTCGACAGGCGGCGAGAACAGTCGTCGCAAAAACGAAAAGATCGCCCTCATTTGGTTCCGGCGAGCAGCGTCTCGAGGCGATGTGCGAGCTTTGGGTCTTGTGGGGTCCTTTTACGAACACGGGCAAGGCACCACATCCAACTTTGAAATCGCATTGCAATACTACCATAAAGCTGCCCGTATCGTTAGTCCCTTTCAAGGTGCAGCCCAACTAGCCATGGCCATGCTGCTTCATCGAATGGGTCGTTACCACGACGCTTATCAATGGTTTACGCTGGCTGCCACGCCATCACCGACAGAGGCAGCTCATCTAACCTGTGGCTATCGAAGAAAAGCACAACTCATGGTGGCCCGATATAAGCTTCACGGGTGGATTGAATCACTGAAAGATCCAAAGGCCGCTTTTCACATGTTGACCGATATGGCGACCCAGAGCGATACCGATGGTTCGGTTCATTATTGGCTTGCTGCTTGTTACGAAGAAGGGATCCACGATGTTTGTGACCCGGATCTTGAAAAAGCATTCCAGCATTATATGGTCGCAGCCAAAACCGGCGATACCGATGGCGAGTTCCAGGTATATTATATAAAACCAAATGGAGCTTTTTTTTTTATCAACATGCTCATGTGGCCCTTCTTGTTCCTACTTCATACAGGTTGCGTTGATGTTATCGAATGGTCAAGGGGTTCCTTGTAATCGTAAAGATGCATATACATGGTACGAAAAGGCGGCTCAAAAAGGACACCGAACAGCTTTATATAGCCTTGGTTTGTACCACGCCAAGGGATTGGCAGGCTGTGCTCGCAGCCTTGATCAGGCACGGACATATTTTGAAAAGGCGGCTCAACTGGGATTACCCAAAGCGATGACTTCGCTTGCTACGACCTACCGATTAACTGCAACGCCGCAGTTGGACAAATCTATCTACTGGTATAAGAAGGCAGCCGCTTTGGATGATGTAACAGCACAAAGAGAATTGGGAATCTTGTATGATGCTGGTACTGAAGTCCCACAAAACCACCGCCTCGCTTACGAGTACCTCGAGAAAGCGGCCAAGCACAAGGATAGCCAAGCCATGTTACTATTGGGAAGTTATTATCAGAACGGACTCATCGTCACAAAGGATTATGATCAAGCCATTCAACTCTATCTGGAAGCCAGTGCATTTGGCTCAGCCATGTGAGTAAAAAACTCAAAGGGAAATTGTTAGCTTATAAGTGTTTTTAAACGGACGGTGTGTTGATTTTAGTGCATCGTTTGCCGCTGCTCAACTGTACCATCAACTGAAGCAATTCGATAACGCTTTCCATCAGTATTGGTTAGCCGCGAACGATCAACGATTGGCATCCAGCCGCATTGGTAACACAGCCAAGTTAATGGTGGCTCGCTATATCTTGAGCTATGTGCCTCTATCCACGTCAACTTTGAAAGAAGACGCCGATCATTCAAGAATGTCGTGCTGTATGCAGACCAAGGAAGAAGCGTTTCAGATGATGTTTGACTTGGCGAGTGAAGCTCATTTTGGTCCTTCTTTTTATTGGCTAGGTAACTGATCAATTTTTGCCCCATGCACAAAAGGACGATGCGCGTTTTGACTCAACTGTATGTTTTGTCGTGTCTTTAGCTGATTGTTACTTTCATGGTCACGGTGTGTCTCCCGATCCTATTCAGGCCATCTACTGGTACAAGCGAGCTGTGGAGGAAAACAATCATGCCGAAGCAATGATGAAATTAGCCGATATCTATGCCCACGGTCAAGGCATCGAAAAGAATGAGCGCCTGGCATATCAATATCTGCAACAAAGTGCTGAAGGTGGTCACGCACAAGCACAACATGAACTGGGTAAGTACAAGGCAAGCATTGGGCATCCAAGAAGGAACCAGTCACTGATTTGGTTTCATGCTTTTTCTTTTTCTTAGGCATTACATTATGGCAAGGCCGTTATCAATTGCAACCTGATCTTGCCAAAGCGGTAGCATGGCTTACTCGTTCGGCAGCGCAGAAATGGCCCGAAAGTCATTATGTCCTTGGACAAATGGCTATGGATAACGGTGATCGTGATGTGGCTCTGGCATGGTGGCATAAAGCCAGTGATCTCGGTCACGTCCTGTCGATGCGTACGTTGGCGCTGGCACTATTGGATCAAGAAAAAGATTTGGATTTATCCAAGGTGGCTCGATTACTTTCTGAAGCCGGGAAATCTGGCGATGCTGAATCTTTGATTTTCCTTGGACAGCTCCACCAAAACGGTTCAATGATCGCTCTCCGACACCAAGCGCGCGCTACGCATCTCGAACCCATCGGTGATGACGACTCTGAAGAAGACGACGGTACAAACACCCTCCTTCAGGATCAGGAAGAAGAACAGACACTTGCTATTCAGTATTTTGAACAAGCGGCTCGTATGGGACATGTCAAAGGTATGTTCCTTGCAGCTCAAGCGTGGCATGCGCAACAACAGTATGCGGCAGCTTTGGAACATTACGAACATGCTGCTTCCCGGGGACACATCCTCGCCAAAGTCATGCGTGCCCGTTACCGTCTAGCAGGACTCGGCGGGTTAACTGCAGATCCAGCTACAGCTTACAAGGTACATATTGCTTATATAACTACTATCGCATGGAAAAACGCTAAATGCAGATGTGAGGCGATCTTTCAGGAATTACTCGCTTGTGCGCAAGACGAACAATGTGCTGATGCTTACAATTCATTGGGACAGTGCCATGAACTAGGATTGGGAACAGAACAAAATGATCAGCAAGCCATTACGTGGTATGTCGCTTCTGCAGAAGCTACAAGAGATGCCGAAGCCATGTATCGTATTGGCCGACTTTATGCTCAACGACGTATTACCATGAACGAGTACCAGGAGGAAACTTCCTATCAAAACGACTTGGAAGCGATGCGGTGGTATTTATTCGCGAGCGATACGCAACATCATGCGAATGCGCTATATCAGTTGGGTCTCTATTACATGAACGGTATTACTTGTCAATCGGAGATCATTATGCAACCCGATATCGGCAAAGCGTTGCATTGCTTCCAACAAGCAGCCGAGCAACGTCACCAAGGATCCATGTTCCAACTCGGGTATCACCTTGTGTACGAAGAAGCGCTTGTAGCCGAAGAACAGCGCATGGGTGTTTTGTGGCTCGACCGGGCTGCCGAAATGGGATTTCGAGAAGCACAACGAGAGCTTGGCAAGCTGTATCACACGGGCAAGGACCACGGACTGAGTGGCGAATGTATTGTGGTGCAAAATTTTGAAAAAGCGTACGATTTATTCTGTCGAGCCGCTCAACAAGAAGATCTCGTTGCTACGTTGTTCCTCGGATCATACAACGAACACGGTATTCATGTGCCTCCAAGCCCCGAGTATGCGAAAGAATGGTACGAGATTGCGATCAAACTCGGTCGACGGCTTCAACCTCCGGACCCAGATACCTGGCTGGCTGAGCTTGCCTTGGCTCATTTGTTGCATCAAGATGAAAGTCAGCGTCGGGAGGCTTGGCTTCTTTATCAAAACGTGTTTGACCACGCGCCGGCTGAGCAAAAAGATGGTATTGCGATAACGTTGGCCCGGTACCGATTGTATGGCTGGGGCAACGTTACGCCAGATCCCGAGTATGCTGCGCAAAAATTAATCGAGTACGCTACAAATGGCGCAACCACCGCGTTTCTTGATGTGGCACAATGCTTTGAGCTTGGCAACGGTGTACAACAAAGTTGGCGCCAGGCGTTTATGTGGTACGACCGTGTTGTCAGACAATCCCAACAAGCGGCTACCGAACAAGGAGTCGACGACGACAATGACGATGCAGAGGACGACACCGATGAAGAAGATGTTATCGTTGCTTTATTGAAAATGGCCGAATTCTATAGAAAGGGCATGGGCATGCCTGTCAATCTACAAAAAGCACAAGAGCTTTATCGTCTTGCCGCAAGTAAAGGTACGTTTTTACATACATGTATAAACCGACGCGTTGGCGTTTTTCGCGTTGTTGTCATATTGACTAATAAGGGCTACTGTGTGCAGGTTCAGAAGAAGCCCAAGAATTTCTCAGATCGTCCATGCCCACTATGAGTGAACCTTGTTCCACCTAACATTATTTTTTTTTTATGTCTATTCCTTCATTTTCCCCTTTCCTGCACCTATCCTTTTGTAATGACTCTGTATATATTACTCCCCTATTTATTCTTTTAAGTTATAGTTATAGTCATTGTATGTATTTGTATATGTATGTTTTATCTTTTTCTTATTTTATATGTACTTTATCTATTTTATATGTTTTCAGTTCTATTTATTGGCTGTAATACATTTTTCAAAACGCATTTCGTTCTTCCTAAATGGTGCAAGTTGGGAACTCCCCCAGTTTCCAAAAATGGTTGATCCTTATTTTGCCACCCGTGTTGTCGAACCTTAGGTATTTTTTTTTATTATCTACAGCCCCTAGAGCTAAAAGCTTTCAGTGAGCAGAATAGGTTCATTGTTACAACCATTGTCTCCTAGGAGAGACGCGACATCTCTCTTTTTTTGGGGGTGGCGGGGGGTTAGGAGTCGGAGGTGGGGTCAGATATGTTCGTCATTTCAGTTTATGTAATTTTACCGATGAACAAGAATAATGCATCTGAAATGGTCGGCAATTCGCGTGCGGAGGAGCAATCGCGGTCCTCATTTGGGAGAATTTTAAGCGCAGTATATAGTGATCTCATCGTTTTGTCGATATCTCATCATTTCTTGGATTGAGATATTAATAGTTTTTAACAAGATACCGAATTGCCTGCACTATTCTTTCAAATACGTATAAAGGTGGCTATCCAGAACGTTGTATCGACATTTATCTGATGACGGAGGGATCGACAAGCGCTCTGAATCATATGGAATTCATCAATTTCCAAAGTGCACAGGGCGCAGTTACGTAGAAGCGCCCTTCGGTACAAAAATGTTTCACTTTTTAAAAATAAATTTGATTTCCTTGACGAACAAAAAAAACTCTGGTTTTACATTATTAAAAAAGCATAATCAGGTTTTTTCGATTACATATGCATCCTGTGCATGTTCGATGTGGAGGGAGAACAAATGCCACAGTAGCCAACCTTTAAGAAAGGAAAAATAAGGGCTCGTGGATAATGTGCTTGGCAAGTAAGAACATGTTATACGACGTCTTTTTTTCTTTTTTTTTTCTGGTTTTTTTTTGCTTTCCTGCTTTTAATGTGTGATCTTGCACATTGCCAACTGCGATCGTGTTGCACAAAGTCTTCGGTATCCTGGAATCATATTGCCGAGTAGATGGCTGGAACCCCGTTTTATGTTCAAAGTCAGTTTTCGCCGCTGTGGTGCTATATGATGACGACCGGGCAAGGGATGGAAAAGGCTTTCATTCAATTCGTGTTCAAAAGCCATGGATCGGCAGGATAATTTTCATTTTTTAAAAATCACGAGATATAGAACAGGAAGCATGAAATGGAAAAGAAGAAAGGAATAGCCGATCCACTTAACCCATGGCAAAAAGGAACCGAAAAAAAACACGTAATTCAATCGCCGCCCAATCCGTGCTTTTCGATATAAAAATGATCAAAAAATATTCCTGACACATCCCTTTGACAACTGCTATCGTTTCTTTTTTATTATTTCTTTCTCGGGCATCTACCCCCTTTTGCAACTCTAATTTATATTATCTACCATGAAAGCTTTATCAATTCGTAGTGTCCTTCAAAAAGACAAGAGTTCAAAAAGTCAGAATGACCGTTCGCCGTCGTCTTCCTTGGCGTCCTCGGTTACATCGTTATCATCCAATTCCTCTAGTTCTATCCCATTGACGCCTACATCGGATACCGCCCCTCACCAGATGACTCGTGGTATCTTTCGTACTTTGGAAGCCATTTGGTACTACCACAGTTCCTTGGATCCTCGTTATCATGGCCCTCCTACGTGGCTGATGTTGGACGACGAGGCGCAACATACATTGGAAGCCTCCTTGGGTAATGTGGCAACCTGTTCGTTTCACTCGAGTATCCTTGGCTCCTGCAATCTCTCCTTTGTACCTATCAAGAAAAAAAAGTATCGATTGGGAAAAAAGGACAAAAATAGCTCATCCGTCAGCCTTGGTTCGAACCAGCAAATACAAACATCGATGCAGGGACAGACCTTGGAATTTAACCAACATATACGGCGAACGGTGGCACCTGTTTGGTGGTACGAAGATGATTTGGCTGATGGATCCAAGGGTATGTGTCGCTTTGACTACAAGAACCAGGTACGACTGGAGGCACTTTCCGACGATCGTTCCAAACTGGTTTTAACAGACCATGCCTTCCCTCAACCCTTCACTGTGGTCCTGGATACCTCTCGTTCTCGGGTGCAACGCGAAGAATGGCTTGGCTTTATGTACATGAACCCTATGCCGACTGCTCAAACTCCTTTGCATGGCATGGCTCATCTCGCAGAATCGCATTCTATCAAACCGTATGGTTCGTACCTGGATATTGCTCAAGTTTACCATGAAGAACAAGCCCACGATGCCACGCTCATGCGTCGTTGTTCCGTCTAAGTACCCCTTGCTTTTGTTATCCGTACCATCTTTACCATTTATCCTCTCTTATTCATTTTTATTATTATCTCGCATGTTGCCCATGTTCTTCCTCAATGCGGTCTTTTCCAGGAGCACTCATTATCTACCATGATCCATCCCATCCTATATTTCGCCCTCCCGTTTCGCCTTTGTGTTCGCTCTTTCGCTTTACCTTTTTCTTCTTTTATTTCAATGTATATAAAGTAAATCATGCAATTTAATGTAAAAATCTTGGGCTTCGATCCATGAATCTTTTCTACAATTGCCTTTGCCGGAGTTTTCACAGCATAGGACATCCCGTGTTCTATTTTAGCCAAAAACGCTTCAAGCGTACTTGAGCTATCCTTTACGAAATCCCATGCATATCCTTGATGTGCCTCTCAGAATCATCTTCTTTAAAAGTTCCAGCCCTGCGCAGACATTGCGCAGACATAAGGACTATATCGGAAATACTTTATTACGCGATGACGCATCCTCATCCATTTTTGGGGAATCAGGCACCGCGGACAGTGTAATCCAGGTTTTCAGCACTCCGCGCCGAGCCAATGGATTGCCCATCGAGGAATTAAGGGATGGTTGAGCTAAAAAAGTGCTAATCCAATGTTTTCCTTCCTTTCTTCCCGTAGCTTTCCAGAGGCTTGATTTGCGGATTGAGGAAAGGGAAAATATATCCTCGTCGCTATGAAGTTCAGAGGTCGAGGAGAACGCCACCACAAAGCGAAAAGCAGTAATGATTTGTGTATCGATCAAGCATTGACAATGATGCTATGTGACTCTTTGAGTCTTGTAAATAAAAATGTGGCTAGCTTCCTCGGCAATAGACAATGTATTGAATCGGATGTTTTATTGTACCATCTATTTTATAACCTTCCTTGCGCTGAGGATCTATTACGATTCGTTGATTTCGCTGTGGAGTAATACGTATTCCCGCGTGCTTTGACCAAACTTTAGCACATCTTTGACTCGCAGCTCCACATATCGGGTACTTGGAATTTGTTCTCCATTAAGGAATGTACCATTGGTAGACTCGAGGTCAATGATGAATGGTCTACAGAGAGATGATGATAAGCTTTCTCCGGATGGTAGCTTCATATTTACTGCTACTGGGACTTACTTCACGTGTCGCTCCTTGTTGGGACCCTCTCTCACTTCTCTGAACTGTATTACAGCATGTTGCTTGGAGCATGACGGATGATCTACCGGCAAATCGACGACCTGTACAAGTCAATTTGTATTAGATCAACTGGTCACTCTTACTGGCTTATTCCACTTTTTTTAAAGCTTACAATGCGATCTCTTCCAATCAAAAAAGCCGTCTGTCGGTGAATATGTAGTAAATCTAAGGAGAGGGATCAGTACTTTAATGACATGCTTACATCCATTCGATAAGCTATGAGATTACCAATTTGTTCGTCGCCTTTGAATACGTAGAGTCGCCACTTTTTTGTAGGTTTGGCCGCTTCTGGAGGCTCATTATATTTCAGCTCCACGCCTTTGTAGGTATTGGTTTCGGCAGCAAGTTTCCCAGATAATCCAAAATTCGGTTCTTGCTTCTTTTGCTCCGGTTTAGGTTCTTGTTCTTTCTCCTCTTCATCTGGTCGGCCCCATTGATAACGACGACGACCATCACCCCCGCCTTCCGATCGTCGATTGTTGCGATCGCGTGAATAACGTCTTCGAGGAGGCGATCGTGAACGAGACCGTGAGCGTCGACGAGAGGAGCGGTAGTCACGACGAGACGAGCGTGCAGGTGATCGTGATCGAGAGCGGGATCGTGAGTGCGACCGCGAGGACGGTGAAGATGGCATGGTGGAATTGGGAAAAAGGAAGATTGACTTGGCGCCGTTTATTCCCAAAAATCGCACGTCATATATTCAATTTCCGCCCTATAAAATGAACGCTTGTTGACTTTTTGGGAGCGATCTATCCATACCATCGTTCCCGTCATGGCTGAAGAAGAAAAGAGTGTTGTCCTCGAGACTTCCGTGGGTACCATTCGAATTGAGCTCTATTGGGATCATGCGCCTAGGTAAAAGCTTGTCAAGGGTAATTCACTTTTAATTTCGAAGCTCACAGTTTATGATTTTGCAGAACCTGCAAGAACTTTCATGAATTGGTAAGTATCTTATGATTCTGACCGTAGCGATATCCGAGAGACTAATGCAATGAGTTAGGCAAAGCGTGGTTACTACAATGGTGTCAGCGTAAGTGCAACGATCGTGCGATCTACAGACATGGTCAAATTCTCACTAGAAATTCTTGATATATTACTTTGTTACAGTTCCATCGCATCATTTCCGTAAGAACTCACCTCGCTTTTTAAATAATATAAGGATCATAGAAGCTAATATGTGGATATGTTGATAGGACTTTATGATTCAAGGCAAGCGATTGTTCATGCTGTCGACGTCCGAAATTATAAAATATCATTTCACTCATTTATTTTATCCAATTAGGTGGCGATCCCACTGGCACTGGTCGAGGTGGTACTTCCATCTATGGGTATGTATCTTGGCATTTAGTATTTATATGACAGACTATTAACAGCGGATCGTTTTTCAGTGAAAAGTTCGATGATGAAATTCATCCTGGTTTAAAGCACACTGGAGCAGGAATTCTGAGCATGGCCAATTCAGGTCCCAACACCAACGGTTCACAGGTAAATTCGGGCGAGTGGTTGAAATAGGCTGACGATGGATACTGGTACTGAACGTGATCTAAATCATAGTTTTTCATTACCCTGGCGCCAACACCGTGGTTGGATGGTAAGTGGGACATGGAGAGATATGGTTACTGTCGTTGTGACTAAACGTACTTTTCTTTCGCATATGTTATAGGCAAACATACAATTTTTGGTCGAGTGAGTGATGGTATGAATGTAGTGAAGCGTATGGGACTGGTGCCTACGGATAGCAATGATAGGTAAGATCTTTTGGAAAGGGACCCTGTGGTATCTGGGAGATATTGACTTTCCCATCGCGTTTTAGACCCAAAGGCGTGGTTCGCATTGAACATGCCCGTGTCGAATAGAATACCAGCATTGCATTGTCGAGTCCTCTCTTATAAAGTCAACGCGCCCGATGATGTACAAAATAGTAGCGACTTGAAGGAATACATCATCATCGTCAAAACACGATTTATCCAGTCTGGACTTGGAGTCCTTTCCATCAGAAATTCAACAATATAGTATTATTCGTTACAGTATGGGACCTTTTTCCGAATAAGTCTAACAAGTGTCATATTGGCTAGTTTGGTGGCATGCTTTCTTCAGTACAGCATACGATGTGAAATGGTCAATTGTCATACAGTTGGCATAAAAAAATTGTAGAGACATGGTCAAATTGAGTGACTTGAGAGGCGGTATCTTTTGATTTTGAAGATTGAATGCATCATTTTTATTAAAAAAAAAAAAGGGCAGCATACAACAAAAGGTGAACATCCAAATATAGCGAATGTTTTTATCGGAGTACGAATATAAAATATAACGACTACATATTTGTCGTGGACACTTCTGGTACCTTCATTTGTGTATCTCACGACCATATGTTGTTTAAAAACTATGCAGATCTGTATAATCAAATCCAAAATAATAAAGATGCCATATTGTGGATGTTAAATAATGGTATCATATCAAAAGGATATTGTACAGATTGCCAACATATGATGAGACTATGCAAATGGTCAAACAGTTACAGGTGGAAATGCTACAAATGTCGCAAAGTCAACGGAGTTTTTGTTGGAAGTATTTTTCAAAACTCCAAGGTATCACCTCGAAAAATGATAGAGCTACTTTATTTATGGGAAAAAGGTAAATTGAAAAGAAACCTTTATATATTTAATTCACTAACAACGTACAGATCTTCCAAGAAAATCAGTTCATGAATTACTTTCATTAAGCATCAACAAAATCGGCTACTGGTTTTCCATATTTCAAGAACAGATATCGGAGTGGATGTTGAACGATATAAATGAATGGCAGCATAAAATTGGAGGTCCTGGAAAAATTGTTGAAATAGACGAAGCAAAATTTGGAAAAAGAAAATATAACAAAGGAGGTAAATATAATATATTATATATCGTACGATATGAAAGTAATTATGTATAATGACTTATAGGAAGAAGAAAGGGAATATGGATAGTTGGTGGATATGAACGTCATAGTAACCCTCCATTATTTTTCCTTGTACCTGTCGAAAATAGAAATGAAGAAACTTTACGTAAGTATATTTCAACTATTATGTTCGAGAATGAATATCTGATACTTTATTCTAGTTCCTCTTATTGAAAAATACGTTTTACCTGGAACAACAATTATAACTGATTGCTGGAAAGGATATAATAACGTCAAACCTATTCTTGGATTCGAGCATCTTTCAGTTAATCACTCAAAGCAATTCAAAGATCCAATCACAGGTGCACATACAAACTCAATGGAAGGATGGTGGAAACATACTCGAAAATTCATGCCTGGAATACATAAAGACAATATAAAAGGATATGCGGATTATCTGTTAGAATTTGCATTTAAGAAAAGATATAAAAATGATGTATCTAAAAAATTAATAGAGATCATAGCAAGTCAAATCCAAATGACATAAAAACATCTTTAATTTTATCAAATATTATTTTTACGTTTTTGAGTTTATGATACTCATATACTTCCATAAGCTTTCTTTCATATGTTAATATATTATATAATAATTTTAAACAAATTTCATCCTTTTTATATTTATCATTATCATTATCATTATCATTATTATCATCATCATCATCATCAGGATATGCTTCATATTCTTCCCAATTTTTTATTTTATTATCTATTATAGTGTTTTCGATGGTCTTTGTTCTTTTTTTTTCAATATCTGGTGTGGTATTAGGCGTTAATTTTCGTTTATTATTATCATAATGATTATCTAGATATTCTTTATTATTTGAATCTTCTATATGAGTGTTTTCAGTATCAGTATTTTCAGTATCAGTGTTTTCAGGTGTTAATATCTTTTCATTATCGTCATTATTTTTGTTCTTTTTTCGATCTCTTTTTTTTGGAATTTTAAATTTTTTATTTTGAACATTTTTATTATCATTTACAATTATATGAATTTGTTCATTTTGTTTATCAAGCTCTATATTTATACTTTTAATATTATTTTTAATCATATAATCTATAATGACAGATCTTTTTATTTTTAAAACGAATTCACTAACATGGTCTGTATTCATCTTTGATTTTTACGTGTACTGAAATTCAATTTTTGTATTCCCGATCTGTAAAAAATCGGAGATGTAAATTGTGAAGTTTAAACTCAACAGACACTCTTTGTTAATCTCTGCCAAAAAAAAGTCATACAGCTTTTTAACAGATGTGATAACTTTAAAATTGGATGGTATAGAGTAATACAAAAAAAGAAATAAATTATCGGTAAAACGTTTTTAAGAGTAAGAAGACCAGTTCTTGGATCTAAAGGGCGTTATTGAAGCGGTTATCTGATTTTGGGGTAGGCGCCAAAGGAGCAAAACCAATGCGGTTATTGCCAAAATCGTAAACTGTCACAAAGTTGCGCAGGATCATGTTGCCGAGAATAAAATTTCTTGAGGGCGTGAACAAAAATAAGCATTTGCCGTCGGAGCTTCGTTGGCCGACAAGTTTGGACACAGGCACACTCATGTACACCGATGTGCCACTGGGACCTTCAGGACCGGCTTGAGCAGGGAAGAAAATGTTGATAAGATCTGTGTTGTGTTGATGAGAACAGTCAACAATGTAATGGGATCCTTCAACGGTGACTTCCGGTGCGATTGTTCTTGCTAGTTCGTTGGCCAAACCCGCAGGAAGGTAAATAAAGTTGGAACCCGTGTCAACGACGAATGGCGTGCTTTGAGTGAATCTAAAATTGACGCTGTTGGTGCTGTTCTGATACTGGAATCCTTGAACGAAAGCGCTCCAACGCATATGGATCGTTTCATTGGTACTTCTCAAGGTATACGGAACCACATCCGTGTACACCATTTCGCCAGCGATCTTTGATTCGTCAATGCCACCAAAAATGACTTCGCCAACCCATTCTGATTGACGCGATTCACCAACGTAAACTGAGAATAAGGGAGCTGGAATCAAGTTCGCTTTCCAGAGAGACATAGGGAATGGGTAATAAGTTTGTCGGTCATGCTGAAACATGATGGTGCCCGCCGGGTATCCTGCACCAAAGATGCCATCCAGAATATAGGGAAACGCGGGATTCTGTTCTGCAATGGGTCCCAGGTTGCTATCGACTTTGGCCATCACTTGCGCGGGTAACGACAAATTGCCAACGGTGATTTGATCCACAAAATAGTCACCTAATGCACTGCCTGTACCGTAAGTGATATTGAATGTATGATTGGTGCCATGGTATGTGGACGATTCTGCTGTAACATAATGATGATCTGTCAGACAGCCGCGGTTTGCGGTACATTCAGCCGAGGGAATCCAGGTATCCGAACTGCCAGTATCGAAAAGCAGTAAAAATGGTTTAGGTGGTGTGCCGATGTGTACGTTCACCGCCAATTCCAATAATTCCACGTCGTTGAGTAACAGGGCGGTCCCTTCCGTGGCGGTGGCGTTATTGGCGGGATCGGCAGCTCTCTTCCAGATAGTGTGTGAGGGTGGCAATCCCTGTCGATTGATGTAACGCAAAGGTAAGCGAACAGGACTCACACCACCAGCTGAAACCGGTTCAGCAGTAGCCACGTCCAAAGCGAACCAAGAAACGGCGCAACTGAGCGCAAGGGACAGGTACCGCATTGAAGTATTAACTCTTTTTTTTGTCAAAAAAAAAAAGGGAAAAAAGGAAGGGGAAGGGAAGGAAAGAGAAAAAGCAAAAAGATGAGAAGGGGAAAAGAAAAGAAGCCCAGAAATAGCTGTTAAAAAAAAATAAGGAGATTCCAAGAAAAGAGGTGCAATTTATTACGGAGGGTTGCACTTAACATCAGTATTTTCAAGTCCGTTCATTACATGAAAGTGTAACGCAGTGAACATGGGTAACGATCTATATGAACCTTGATTCCATTGTTATAGAGACAAAGATTGGTTCCGGTTGCTTAACTACTTTCCGATCGGGCCATTGCACACCCGCCGTCGTTTTATGCAGAGACCGCATTCACACGTCGTGTCATTGTCATTCAAAGCAAATCCTAAATTTCGGGGACGCTTAAAAAAGAGCAAATAATACCATCCTACCCAGATTGGCAATTCCTCTCGCTCAGGCTCACACACCGCATTTTAATTAAACCTTTTTTTTCACGCTCAGTTTCGGCTAGGTACCTCTTTTTTTTACGCATTTTTTTCTGCTGCCACATAGTGAATCCGAAAAACCAATGTCGCATTTATTCAAAAAATGATGTTGCTGCACAATTTGAAATCAAAAGTCGGCAGATCAAATCAAACTTTTTAATTTAGTATTTTCAGAAATTAGTAAGTCGAAGATTTATAAATTATGTCGTTTCTTGGCACAAGAAAAAAAAATACCCAAAAAGCAAGCATATTTTTTTTCTCTTTGTCGCAGCACGTTTGCATGAAAGGACTTGAGTCTGACTTGTTTTCGTGCAGATGAGTCTTGTTCTCTGGAGTTGTATTACTGCAAATGGTCCTGGTATATAACCAAATTTGAAGGAGGGTTGGAATTCAGAGGTTGTAGTTCTGTCTTTAAAAAACGCTGCTCCAGTCATGTTGCTGACTATCGCAACTGGTATGTTGTCAACTTCAGAGGAGAAGGTAAGACGAAAATATCAAATGAGCTGAATTGCATGAGTTCAAACCTTTGTATTTTTTATTTAGTTGAAGTATGTGTCAAACTTGAACGGAAAGAAGACCGTCTATTGTGTCCATATTGCACGAGAACCTTTCATACATGCTCGGCAATAAGAAAGCATCCGACGACGCTTGGAAAGGGAACGCCAAATCAAAGCTACGGCATTCAAAGAATGAAGACTTATCACATACTAATCTTTTCGTTTTATTTTGATCAGACGTTCCCAGCCCCGATGTCGACGATAAAAACGACGTTGTGCATATTCCTCTGCCAGTTTGTCCATCTTATGATGATTATTTGCCAAACTCTTCTGACCCTAGTCGACGTCACTCTCCTGCTGAAGCAGTTGTCCAAGTTCACCAATCCATGGAAGCCAGTGATTAGGAAAAAGCCAGGAATGAGTGGACTGCAAGTTGAACCGATGGCTCCGCTTGAAGATAACAAATCAGCTCAGAAACCGCTTTCACACACTCCATGAACATTCAGCGCATGACAGAAAAGCGGTTCATTGGTGATATATCAGTTACGATTGAAGATGTAAAGTCCCAGGCGTCAACGAGACCGAGACGAGGACGGTTCATTACACAATGAACACTGATGGGTATTTATATGGTTTCCTGAGTAATTACCTCGACTATCCGCCTGGATATCAAGGAAGAACCAAAAGTTGGACCATCCACATGCACAGCAGATTCCCAATCAAAAAAATCCGATTGTACATCGATCAGGAAGCTGGGAAAAGGCCGTGAAACTCTCGAAGAATAGCATGGCAAGACAATTAGAACAGTTCAATCTGACCAGTCAGTTGCGACAGATTCGTTCGCAATTTCACCACCATTCATCGTACTACTTGATTCGTGCGTCAAGCTTTTTGGCGACGTCTTTCTCATGCCAATAACTTTCGCTTTGAGAACCATGAAAATGGGAACAACAAGACGAATAGTAACGAAAAGGCGTCCATGGTGCTCTCACGATTGTTCAAGCAAAAGAGCGGTGAATCGTTCCATAGTTTAAATTACCATTCATGCAGAACTAATGTGACCACTGCTCCTGATTTCAGCTGAGAATCATGCTGCCGCCTTGGCAATGTAAAACAGTTTCGCTTTCAGACCTTTGTTTTGGATAGACTCAAACACTCTCATTTCATTTTCTCTGTGACCTTATCCGATGAAAATTGAATTAGACAAGAAGCTATAGTGTAGAAACACTATTTGCATCTGTTCTCGGAGACACACATTGCGGGTGCTTATCGAAATCTTCTCTGGCTTGAAATCACGCCGATTTAGGCGTCTGTTTATATGTATCTCCAAGGCACCAAAAATTGCTTACCTGGGTCCATTGACTCAATAACACTTTCTTATTGGAAATTGGACGCATCTATATGTTTCATATGCAGCAGCAAGATCAATTGGCAATGTAAAAACAATTATACCTTCAACTTGTCACATAGTCTTTACTCGAAATTGTGCTTCAACCTTGAATCAGTTGTAATTACACTTCATCCATCTCCAAGGTAGCCCGGCAACGGCACGCTAGCCACATTGGAAGCGTGAAAAAAGACGCGAAATCAGTTTATTGGGCCATCTAGTAAGTGCTATTTAGTCGACGCTAGATAAGTTCGGCTCCTTCAGATTCAGTGTTCCTGAAAAAAAGAAAGGAAAATACAATATCATGAAGTGTTCTTACTCTTGTTTAAAAGTATTTACTGCATCATTGTACGTAGCATACCATGGCTGGTGCGGATATCTTTGAACGCGCAGCTATCATATGTAGGCCATTCCAGAGATGGGTGAATCCAATATGACCACTTTGACGATTAGTACTTGTTGAAATTGATGATCGGATCCGACTCCGTTCCTGTAAAATCTATTGGTACTTGCCAATAAATGATCTTCTTACTTTTTCGTAACAAAAGTCGACCAATATGCCTGTTTTTGGATGGCCCTTCCTCCGTTATATGGTCTAAACGCACGAAAACCAAGGCAAGTCTAGACGCTTATGGTCCCAACCGATTGTGGGTTGCAAATGGCAGATGTTAAGAATTATGAATATAAACGCGAGAACACAGATGCACAAGCAACAGGTCTTAGGCCGTTCCTCTTCAGTATTTTGCACGCATAGCTAGCCTTGCCAACGTTCATGCGTGCTGAAGAATTAATTGCATATCAATGGAAAAAAAAATTTGCAAGGTACCTGAGTGATCATGTACTTCGCTTTCATCCAATGTCGAAACCGCTTGTGTTGTTTCGGCAGGTTCTCTCTCAAAGTGCACGCTGAAGGATCAAATCATACAAATCATATAAAAAACAAATATCGGTTGTAGAGAAAAAGTCATTCTATTGATATCAGGAAAAGAAAACAATGTAAAGAAAATGATCTATCATGTAAACTAAAAATAGCTGAAAAAAATTGAATGAAATAAAAGAAAAAAGACTATGAAAATAAGATCAGATAGAAAAAATAAAAAAAGTAAATAGACAAATAAAAATAAAGAAAAAAATTACGACGAAGAGCGAGATGCTAAGGCTTTGTGGGCTTCGGCCAATTGAGCTTCGAGAATCTTGATACGGTTCTCGTTGGAGGTCTCCTTGGTTTGGAAGTTGGATTTTTCGGATTCCAACACGGCCACACGAAGTAACAAACTCGCGTTCTCCTTTTCCAAGTCGGCGACACGGTTCTCCAAGGTTTCCATTTTCATGACTTTCTTGGCACGGGAGCGGCGAGCCGCATCGGTGTTCTTCTGGCGTTTGAGCGCAGCTTCGTCGGCAGGATCGATGGATCGCTTGCGAGACTTGGCAGGACTCGCAGAGAAAGCTGGAGTACTAGCGCTGGCCACATGAGAAATGGGCTCCGGTTTGGTTTGGGGAATAAACACAGCCGCCGGAGAAGTCGATGTTGGCATTGGAGGAGAAGAGGTAGGACTGGGGACATTGGAAGGCGCCGCGCTGGCCAGAGCAGCTAAAGCTGCTGGCAAATCGGCGAAGAGATTGGCTACTGACTGGCCATTGGGTGCGGTTGCTTGGTTCAACATGCACGCTGAAGTCGTCATACGTGCATCGAACTCTTCTTTGAGATGAGGTGAATTCAAAAAGATATCATGAGGCGTGGCAATTTCCGGGCTGGATGAAATGCTGGCGGGAGACAAGAAACCAGATTGGGATAAATCTTGCATCCACCACTGATCCACCATGGTGTTGACGTCGCTTAGACCCATTGGGGTCAAAGATTGGTAAAACTGCTGGAATGTATCGTCGTTCATTTCTTGGTTTTCGATAATTGCTGGTACGTGGATAGACATCATTGAGTATTAAGCGCGTTCAACAAGGAAATTCGAGTTTTCGAGACTTGGACGTCTTTTTTGTTAACTTCTGTCGAAGAAGACATTGTTCAGTGAAGTAGACCATGATTGGGCTACGTTGTTGTTGTTGTTGGTTATAAAAAATTCTGTTGTTCTGTTGTTGTTCTGTTGTTAATCCGTACGGTGTTGGTACGCAAAATGTTTAAGCGGTGAGAGAAGACATGGTTACAAATAATAGATAGAATAAGGGTTTCAAAAAATATAATTCAGAGGTGTAGCAAGGCGGACGTGGATAGAACAGGCAACAGAATAATTAAAAAGATTGACAGGCAAGAACAAAGGCGCTTCTGTGAGTTGATAAACCAACCACTAACAACAAGGAAAAAAAAAGAACTATAGAACAAAGAAAAAACGACCTGAAGCGGATTCCAAGGATTTGGTTTTTATACTCTTGATAGGATCTTCTTACTGATTGGTTAGTTCCAATGACTCACTGATGGACTTACTCCTTATGGTAACTCCGCCCGGTCCCCACAACCTCCCTGTTGCGATGGTTATCGTTTTGAAGCCAGCCAATGCACGGTGCCACAACATGTAGAAAATCGGTTCAACCCTTTGCCTGGTTCGAAAAGCTGGCTTTGAACCTTTCTTCCAAGTCAACTGAACCCAAATGTCAACAACAAATGAACGAGCTTCCATGGCAATCTTTTTGCTCAACCCTGTTATCTTTTCCCTTTTCCATACAATAAGATATCAAAGAAAGAACCTAAAACCTGAATGTCAATATCGGTAATTGATGGCGCATTTGCTTCTATATAACAACTACATGTAATGACATTAACACATCATTGCCTACGGTGCCTTTTTTTTATTTTTGTTGTTCCCCCAAAAAAAATTAGTTGAAGTTTTACTTTTTTGTCAGATGGCGCGATCTTGATGATCTATATCCTACACGTGGGGGTGCTTGTACTACGTGTCTCAAGTTACCTCCTAAAGACCGAGATAACTAGTTCACATAGTATTACACAACGATTTTCCGCCTTATTTTTTTTTTTTTTTCATGTACTGGACAGTTGACTGGAAAACTACGGGTTTATCATAACAGATAAGCTTATCTTATTATCTTTAGTGTTCGCTGGGATATTTTTCCAACATGCAACATATCATATCGCTGATATGAAAAAGTAAATGCTTATTCACAAATTGACCCACTGAATCGGAGACAGAAAGCGACGTAAGTCGAGCAAAAAAATTCTCTACCACTATTCCCCCGCTTCCGTCATGGAGCCTATTGTTTTTTCCCAGCTAACACTCCCATTAGTGTGTACACCATTAGCGTACCTTTTATTTTATGACTTCCGCGGATGAAGCAAAAGTTGCAAAATATTGGTATCCAACCATTTTACGTTTCTAATGTCTCAGCTGTATCTCCCTCAGATCTTCTTGTTTCGCATTTATCATCTTGCGGGTTTTTTTAAATTACACATTGTAACTTTGACCCCTGCTATTCTTAAAATGCGCCAGAAGCGGTGGCCCTCATTCTCTAATGAATATTATTTTTCTTTTTCTTTTGGCTACTAGTTGTATATGTACGCGATAGGGGCTCACTAACGCTTATAGAGCATGTTCGGAGATGAGCTCTGTTCTGCGAGCGCGGTCAACAGCACATCATATGCTTCAAGTTGACGATCAAGGATCTATTTTGGGATAAAACTTGACGGATTACCGGTGTCGGTCGTTGATTTTGATTGGTGTTCTTGGCGCTCAGAAATGAAGCGTCTATCGCTTCGGTTATTCGGATAATTTATCCCAAGGCCCACCCAAGCTTCATGAAAACAGAACAAGCCCGCGCTACACCCGGCAACGGTGTTAAATGTAGCAATGATTACAGTTTGCAGTTTTGGTGTTCCTCTTGTACCACTTTTGCTTGATATCACTCAATTTAACTGAAAAGCCTACGTAGACAGCTCCTCTCTGTTCACGGTTATTCTACAATGTTCACCCTGTTACAGCATTGATAATTTTCACTAACAAAAGAAAGCGTTGATCACGATACAGATAAGAAGCTGATTTCTAGCAAACAATAGACCCTCTAATTCAGAACTTTAAATTACCAGTAGCCAAAGGCAGTAACTTAGCGCTACTGGGGATAAACAACAGCAAAGTATATCAAAACAAGGGCTTTTCTTCAATACGTGTGAACCATGGATCTGGAGATATACCATATGTTGAGCATCCTGCATGAGACAATAGAACTGTATTTTGTGCCAATTTGCATTACTTGCCCTCGTTGAGGCAATATAAGGCTTTTTTGTTGACCAGCAAGCCGAAGGCGCTAGTTGAAAATGAACAGAACTTATTTGTCAAGTCACGAGATTTTTGGCACTTGCTTGGATGCAAAATGGGCTTTCCTTGATCTTCCCATTCGTCACTGTTTCGCCCATGTCTTCATTTGTAAGTGGAAATTTCGAAAGTAAAGTGTTCCGTGCAGAAATGTCTAATTGTATTCTGTATACAGAACGACGATCTTTCAAAGCTACTGCCGCAATCGTTTGGTCAGAAGAAAGGCCAAGCTTCATCAAAATCTAAGGCTGGTAATGATGAACTTGATGCTTTATCTGCATTCTTACCAACGTCTTTCGGAAAACAATCCAAAAAGAACGATATCACAGCGGAATTTGATAAGACGAAACGGGATGTAAGTTCTTTAATAACTAGGCTACCATGTCGATCGGCCATACTGATCCTTTTCGGTAGGATGTCACTTTACCAAGGGACACGAAGCGAGCCAAAGTCCAAATGAACGATCAGCAAACCAAAGTGGCCACACGAGATGCAACCGATGATGAGGACGAAGACGACGACGACGACAGCGATTCTGAGGAAAACGATGCAGTCCAAGAAACGAATGTACTTCCAATTTCTCATGAAGTCAAACTCAAGGATCATACCCGCACAGTGTCTGCTTTAGCTCTGGATCCTGCCGGGGCTCGATTGATCACCGGCAGCTACGATTATGATTTGAAATTTTGGGATTTTGCTGGCATGGACAAGTCGTTTCGTCCCTTCCGAACAGTGCAGCCTTTTGAAGATCATCAGATTCACGATGTACTTTACTCCTTGACCGGCGACTCGTTTTTGTGCATATCAGGCAGTGCGCGTCCGAAATTGTTCGATCGCGACGGTCTTGAAAAATGTGAATATATCAAAGGAGATCCATACATTCGAGATCTTCGACATACGGCAGGTCATATTGGTGCTCTCACAGGCGGTCAATGGCATCCTCACGATCGTCAACTCTTTGCTACCTCATCTCAAGACGGTAGCTTGCGTATCTGGAATGTGGAAAACAAGAGAAAGCAGAAAGAAGTTATCGCCTATCGATCACGAGAACGTGGTGGACGTTCCGCAGCAACGGCTCTCAATTTTACACCCGACGCTAAACTCCTTGCTGGCGCATTCATTGATGGCACGGTCAATATGTGGTCTCCTGATGGGCCTTTCTTGAGGCCTTCCATTGCCATTGCAGATGCTCATCAGAAAGGCACAGAAACATCATCCATAATATTTTCCCGCGATAATCATACCATGGTCACTCGTGGCGGAGACGACACTGTTAAAGGTTAGTGCAGTCATTATTTCGTGCAAAAAATTGTTATGGCAAAATAGCTAACTTGAGCAACTCAGTGTGGGATCTTCGTAAACCAAAGACCCCGTTACGTGTCGCTTACAATCTTGATATCGTCAATCCGGAAGCGAATGTCATCTTTAGTCCTGATGAACGGTTAATCTTGACCGGTACATCCGTTCCTAAAGGTCAAGGTTACGGCCAGCTGGTGATGATGGACAGAGAAACGTTGGAAATCCGTAGAACTATGAGTAAGTATTGGAAGCGAGAAATGAATAGAGTAACTGCGTACTTACCTTTTTGTACCATAGATATTGGGCAAGCTAGTGTTGTAAAGGTGTTGTGGCATCCTCGTATCAATCAGATTGTCACGGGTAGCGGTGACGGCACCGTCAACATCTTTTATAGCCCTACACATTCTGCTCGTGGTGCCAAACTTTGCGTTGTTAAAGCACCTAAGGCGCGCGCAGTGGATGATTACGAGATCGATCGACCCATTTATACTCCTCACGCATTGCCAATGTTCAAAGAGGATGACGCACGAAGCTCGAAGCGAAAGAGAGAGAAAATGCGAAAAGATCCCGTCGCATCCCATCGTCCAGGTAAAGTCTCTATGGTTGCGAAAGAACCCCATCGACGTCATTTTACTCATTCAATTTCGTTGTACCGCAGATATGCCTGTCAATGGTCCTGGCAAGGGTGGTCGTGTTGGTATGAGCGAACAACAAGCTGTTATTAAGAGTCTGACAAAGGATACGACACGAGGTGTGTGACGAAGCAAAAGTGTCACTAGAAAATGGATTTCGATTTTCTTACAGGCTTATTTTTCGTGATGTGTAGATGAGGATCCTCGTGAAGCATTGCTCAAGTATGCCGATGTGGCTGAAAAGGACCCCATGTGGGTTTCCAATGGTAATGTATCAATGATGGTATTATATTAAAAATCTTGGAATTTAAGCAACTAACAGCATGCTCTAATATAGTATATAAAAAAACGCAACCCAATGCAGTATTCGCCAAAGATGATGAGGAAGAGGAAGAGACCAAATAAAAGATGCAGTTCTACTGTTTGCGTATGTATAGACAAAACTCATATTGGAATTTCTCAAATGACAACAGCCCTTGTTGCACAGTCTCTTGTACGAATTCTTGAAATTCATCGTGTGTGGCTACTCGGAAATGGTCTGGATCGATTGCTGGCATGAATGCATCACACATTATATGTTCCTTACTGTAGATTCGTGTCAGTAGGACGTGCGTGCACTCGGGTAACTGGACGCCTTGTTCATATATTTGTGCACCGCCTAGCAGAAATATGCGTCCCTGGGTCGTTTGTTGAAGTTTGGTCGCTTGTGCGATCGCTTCGTGGATGGAGCTGGCCAGAGAAACGTTGGAGAAATTGCCTTTCGCGTAGCTGTCACATTTTTTGTGGGGTTAATTTTTGGTAGTTTGGATTTTCTCGACCGTGATACTTACACATCATAAGCCGTATTACGCGATACCACGATATTAAAACGTCGCTGCAAAGGAATTCCCTGCATCGGAATCGATTCCCATGAGTTTCTTCCCATGATGACAATGTTGTGCCAATCGAGGGACGATTCTGGAGCGCCGGCTGCAGTGTCATCGTGCTTGTACCGTTTTGTTGTAAGTCGTTCCATCCACTGCCAATCAGCGGGAATATTCCAGGGGAGATCCTGACGATAACCAATGCCGCCCGTGCCCGCAAGAGCAGCAGCAACAACTACCACTCGAGTATTGACTGTCATATAAGGCTGGTTGAACAAACCCGGCTACCAAACGTAATTTTTTTTCCCCTGTCCCACCTTTTGATGTCTTTGATTTATTCCCACGATCTGAAAACTTACAAATCTGAACATACCAGTTTCTTTTGAAGTAATTGCTTAAACATGCTTGGACATATGTAAAAATTGCATCGCTATCCGTCGTTGAGTTCCTTCGTATTCTTGTCCATTTTCCTCGACGGAACATTCATCGAATCATGCCAAATCAAAATACTAATAGTTTTCTAAAATTGTCGCCACAGGTGTCACCCATCACTAAATCGGAAAAATTAAAGCAAAGCAGCATTTTCTACATCAATCTCAGTCACTTTTCAAACAACATTCATTATATAAGCATAATGAGCCCTACTTTAGGAGAACAAGGCACATATTATCTGTATTTCTGGCTTTTACGAGATCGACCACAGGTCACGTGACCGTCAAAATATTTTTTGTCGTGTATATAATTCGTCACCCACGGGCCGTGGTGCCCGGTTAGCTCAGTCGGTAGAGCGTTGGACTTTTAATCCAAATGTCGGGGGTTCGAGCCCCCCATCGGGCGCTTGATGTTCTTTTTCATATTTTTTGCCAATTTTCGTAACCTTTTGTCGTATGTTTTTTTTATTAGTGTCAGATTTGGGTACTCCTTTAGAGTTCCGTTTGAATCTGTAGTTTTGTTGATTCCTTTTATTCTACCATAACATGGTCATATTTATATTTTCTATCAAGATACGTTTTTATGTCTACAATCTTCAGGAAGGTTCTCGCCAACTTCCTGCACAGTTTTCTACTATTCCAAAACATAACCAATCAAGAAGTATTACGGACCACTTTAATGCTGAACGGATTCGGTCTATATTTCTTCCGTTTTCCAGGCAATACCTTTGGTATGCCTCGTTCATCCATTGGTGCTTCATACCTTCTCGAAGGTTTCTCCAGACATCGATCTGCGGACGAGCCAATGCGCTGTCTTCCGTATTTGCTAAACTTTGGTATAGCAAATCTAATCGGCGCAAAAGAAGAACCGGCGTAACTGACAAGATCACCAGAGTGGGAAACAAGAGGATTAGGGATAGGAAAGATAACACTTTATTTTGTCAATTATAAGGAGATATTTATATGTGCTTATTCGGTCTATGTTCTTAAAGAGGATAATGGCTGAGGCATGAGGATAAAGCGCTGAGCAGTTAAAACTTCGATAAAAGTGATTTTACTAGCAAGCTGCTAAGCTGATTACCATTTTTGGGCGTTATCCGCTTCAGCCACGACAAGATCTCTGCGGTTGTACTTCACGCGGATCTGCCGTAAGGCGTCCGTAAAGTAGAGTAAAAGATTTTCTTTTCTCAGCGGTTTATGAACACGCGCCCGTTTCGGATTATTGCTCGCCCTGGGTCGATAAGAAAAACGCCCTTAAGAGAAACCGCATGGGAAAATAAATGCAAAGGGCAGACTGGACACTGTGAGGGGACGTGCGTAAAGAAAGCAATCTTCTTTTACTGGAGGCATTTGAACGCATATTCAATGCACCGCGTCCCCTGTGACCAATCGTAAGCGAGGTTAGAAATAAAGTTGGATTGCATTGTAGGAAAACACGGAAACCAGACGATGCAAAAAATAGGAAGAATTTGCTCACGAAATCTTCTTTATTTCTATAGCTTTTTCGCTACACTTGGGACAAATGTGAGAAGTCAAAAATTCGACCAGAACAACTCGGGACATACCGTTGCTGCATTGAAATACAATAACGGTGTACTTCTCCGGATTGAATGCATTTCGTTTTATATTTTCTGCTCATGAACGTCCGGTAATCGTTATTAAGACGAACTTGATAGTGCCAGTGAGTTTGCTGTGTTCATTGACCCTGAAAAAGGAACCGTCACCGAGAGTAAGGTCGGTGCTTCGCTTGTCCTCTGGGAGATCATGCAGGATTGCTGCACAGATGGTCCAGGCCGATATTTATGAGTCCCATCGAGCAAGTATTTCGCCTGTCGTATAGATAGGGTTCATATACCACTACATAAGAATTACCTCGGTTTAAGCAGATAAGAGACACTAGAGTAATTACACACTATTTGTACATTCAAATCCCGATACCAGTTATTAGCTTTGAATACCAGATACTAAAGAGATCATCTCTTTGGAGAATAAACAACAGTCTCACCGTACTCAACGTCTCTATCCATCTATATCACATCGCCTCTTCTATACTATTTTGTGAGAGCTTGTTATATCTATAAAAATTTGAAGACAAGAACGTTGAACTTTGAAGAACAAGACGGAACAGCCAGCCAGCAACGGAGAGGAGCAAAGCTCCATTATGTACTGAATCGCGAAATTTAAAATACAGTATGAAACAGAGTTGTTATGGGTGGTAAAAAACATTTTGCTCTATTTTCTTGTCCATGACGCACAAACAAAATTGAATGATGACGAAATGTGTCGATATCACCATGAAAAGAAGGTAGTGTCCTCTGATGACGGGGCACATTTGCTTTAGCCTGTTACCATTTGGTGATTTTATTTGGATAAGAAAAAGTAAAATAATATGCAGAGCGTTATGCTACTCTGTTGCAAGGCAGAGCAGTTTCCAGGAATCACCACGTGGAGGTGCTCTGCTTTGGTTCCCCCCACCGTCGAAGGGTCACTTTCATAGATATGGGCCCACACGACAGTCAATTAAAGTGTTTCAGTCAAGTTAGGAGTCAAAGTCGAACGAATACAGATCCTGCGTCTCGATTTCAGGGAAGTACCATGATAATGTACTTTTATACAAAGTAGCTGCCCAAACGACAGTCGCAGATCATCTGAGATTAGGCGAACACTATAGCCTAGGGAATACAACATATGTGGATAAGGAGAACATAAGATGTGACATCCGAGCAACCCAATACTTTTTCATACAGAACCCAATTAATAGTTCCTGTAAAGGAAAACATTGGGCTTGGCGAGAGAACATTTCGCCAACTGGATATGTCGAACAGTGTACAGGATTTCTGCGAGGTAAGAAGTATGCGTTGGTTGAGTAAAAAGTTGTGAGCACCAGATATACTATTTCCGATATATATCAGACCGTATAGGTTATTCAACAAAAATAAAAGAAAAGAACACCGGGGGTTTCCTGTCTCAATTCAAAGGTACAATAAAGATTGCGCTGACTGTGAGCGTCTTAAGAGAAATGATACAATTTGCAAAGAAAAGGGATTGAAAATAAGAACGATGTCCGTTCAGAATAGTACCTTTTATCTGATATTTTTTGAAGGCAGGTATTCAATATCGTTTATTCAATTCGACTTACAGAGTATTTATATTATTCGAGTACAATCCACAATCTGGAGGTTGGTTTTTCAGGCAATTACAGGATCAGGTACAAGGAAATAAGGAACGACGGTCCAATCCGTAAGGCTAACGTCAAACTGCGAAGGAAAATTTTCAGGAATAACAGGACAAAATCAGATAAAAGGGAAATTAACGTCAAAATACGATGGCTGAATGGTTGTAACTGAAAAAAGATAAATAAGACAAATCAACGTCAAACGGATCTGTCATTTTGTACTTCCTAAATGGAAAATTAGGTTTTTGGCATAACAACATGTCACTTACCTGAAAGTAAAGATCCATAAAGGCATTTCCAACTGAAGACCATATGATTCAAGGTATATTGATAGGCTTATTCATCGAGAAAATATTGATACACATAAAATAGATCGCCTATCAGAAAAGCAGCGTCATCGTCTGTATGAGATATATAAAGGACCTACCAGGTTTGAATTAACAGTCGCGGCTGCACCATTTGCCGCAATAAACCAGTTGAAATATTCATATGCAAATACGAATCGCTCTCGGAAATGGCAGTCTCGTAATATCACGTGACGCGACTTTGTACTGGTAATTGGTTTTTAAAATTCAAAAAAACCAAAGGGGCTATGGCCAAATGGATAAGGCGCCTGACTACGAATCAGGAGATTCCAGGTTCGACCCCTGGTAGCCTCGTTTTTGCCTCGATTGGTTTTTGTTTTTGTTTTTTGGCGTTTGTTGTCTCGACTTCGCTCTGTGTGTCATACTGACAGGATCTGATACATTGCACACGATCATTGGATGTTTTAATACTCCTTTTTTTTTTTAATTATTTTTATTCTGACGATGCTGTATGTTCGGTTAAAAGGTTCAAAACACACGTACTGTCAGTTACGCCGGTTCTTCTTTTGCGCCGATTAGATTTGCTATACCAAAGTTTAGCAAATACGGAAGACAGCGCATTGGCTCGTCCGCAGATCGATGTCTGGAGGAACCTTCGAGAAGGTATGAAGGACCAATGGATGAACGAGGCATACCAAAGGTATTGCCTGGAAAACGGAAGAAATATAGACCGAATCCGTTTAGCATTAAAGTGGTCCGCAATACTTCTTGATTGGTTATGTTTCGGAATAATAGAAAACCGTGCAGGAAGTTGACGAGAACCTTCCTGAAGATTGTAGACATAAAAATGATCTTGATAGAAAATATAAATATGACCATGTTATGGTAGAAATAAAGAAGGAACAAAAAAACAAAAAAAAAAAAAAAAAAAAAAAACTACAGATTTAAACTGAACTCTAAAGGAGTACTCAAATCTGACAGTACTGTAGAACCAGGACTCCGCAACTAGGTTTTGACAAAAACTTGAACGCATCGTCTTTTTCAGGTGTTTTTCATTTGGCATTATAGCAGGTGCATTCAGGCGAATTGTCCGATTAAGAAAATGCCAAATGGAAAGTGAAACTCGAAATTTGAACAGAGCGGATGCAATTGTGAAGTTGGTGGCACCATTATTGTTGACTGACAGAGGTTTACGAGTGTTGTTACCATTGAGTTTTTCTTCAAATTATTTACGGGTCCACATCCAGCAGGAACAAGGTTTAAAAAGGGAGAATAGATACATAGAGATTGTGATATTACTATGACGATTGCTGCGAAAGGGTTACTGCGAATGGACTCTTGGTCCTCCAATATTATGGCTGGTCTCTTTGTTTATGTAGCGTTGCGTCAGGAACGTATTTGTTTGACCAGAAAGTTCGATAGATATTGATCTAAATGGTGCTTCCCAGCGAATGGTATACGTTGTCATGGGATCGTCTACAGTGACCATTGAGCGAACCCATTTTAAGAAGTTATCAGCGAAATTAAGGCACACTGCTGGATCCTAATCAATCGCTTTTAGCCTCCATGCATATACGGAGATTCTTGCTCGCTTTCTTCGACTCCTTACCCACATATTCCGTTTTCCGCGAACTTCTCTTGGAATGCGCAGGGTATTGAACTTTTTGACCTCTTGAACTATGCCATCATCATCTCGGAAACCACAAATGACAGTCGGTACGCCAACCAAAAATGACTGCGCCCAAAACTTCATTAACTTGTACCTATCATTTTACGAAATCGATAAGGAGGTAAATGTGCCTTTGTTCGAGCGGTAATATACCTCTCAAAGGACCAGAGATGTCTTTCCGTGGCAATCACACGAGATGTTTTCAGTTCGGCGTAATACCGTAGAGGGTCTTCTCCTGGGGGTGGTTTTTCATCTTTTTTTTTTTTTTTTTTTGAAAAAAATGGGGTTGTTTGAATTTGCAAACCTCTTGCTGCATCGATATCCATACTTACCCATACTGCAATCTACTTCCGCCCCTATAATCAGCGAACTACTACCTATTCTTGTCTTCACCACAATGCAGTATTGCTCGTTGATATTAACGGAATCCGTTAGGCGTTGCTGTAATTCCGGATCGTCCTTTTGCACTTGTTTCGGAGGCTTGGAGACCGTAGAGAGACTCTCAAACTTGTAACCCCAGTAAGACATGAGGTTTTGCCTTTCGGAGGCATTGCTTTCTTGCTGCTTCTTTTGCTCTGTCGCTTGTTCTTCGATGTACACCGTTCCCTACCGTTTGGATATTGGCACGCCGAAATAAGATCGTTTTATGGTTCGCTTACGTTATATCGTGTCGCTCGTAACTCCCAAGGTTCGTTTCGCGTATAAGGGGTGCACATAATTTTGGTGATAATACCTCTCCAAGTGATCTAGTGATATTGGAGTTACCGTTCACTGGGAACTCGATCAGTAGCATCTCCAGCAAAGAAAAACGTACAATATCAACTTTTGATAATTCAGGTTTCTGCAGCTTCTGTTCCGTATCGGTCAAAGCGTCCAAAAGAGTGTCAAGATGCTCCATCAAGGAAGGATCGCGCGTAATCCATTGTTCGTAACCAACGGAAAGATCGTTTCCGGTATTGGGGTAGTAATATTTCTGTCAATCGAGCCGAGTAAGTTTATGATTGGGAGACGACGGTGCAAGGCAGTTCGTACCAATTGTCGATTGTCAAACCAAACTTTACGTTCATGATCAATACTGAATGATGCGAGTTCTTTTGGTTGGGTCACATGGGGCGATCGCTCAACGGTCTGGTTATCAGCAGCAGGGACTGGAAAGGTCCCCAACGATCGTCCGTGACGCTTCAAATCATGTTTGTCCTGAAATTTCATTTGTTGTAGTCTCTGCACCGCACTGTAATAATTGGCAGGATGCAGCTTTGGAAAGACATCAGCCGCGAAATTCGGCTTCATTCCACTTTGGGAATAATCATTCCTTCCTTTTTTGGGAATCAACTGCCATCTTCTAGTTTTTTCAGCAGCTTGGATTAACGGTCAAAAAGACAAGGGCAGAAGAACATTTAACGGAAGGATTTATCACACAGAAGGTCTACAAGTATCTTTATCAACAATTCCTGAGAGTCGAAGAAATGTCTTCAAATTGATGGTGCAACAAAAGGGGTCTTATTTCTGGTTCTGACATGCAGTATTTTTAATCGTTCGAAATCATGACACCACTGTTCCCAAATATACGGCATTGCCACCTGAATAAAATAAAATAAAATAAAAAATTGCACCTGAAAATGTATTAGATAAATAAGCTCGGAATACTTATACATATGAACTACTGTTTCAATACTGTATGTTCATTCATATGGGGAATATGCTGCTGAGTAAATCATGCTACATTAAGGTAGCGGACAAAGGCAGTATTTTAGATTGCTACTAATTGCTGTGGTAGATGTAGTTTTTCGGGTGTCATATGTCAATCCTGCGGTGGTTTTGGAATTTGGATGTTTCATTATGAAGTCATCCAATCCAGGAAGATCAGGTTCAAACGAACGCACGATACGTATAATGACCACACCTGTTTCTGTAGCATTTGTTAGCATGACCCATATCGTCTCAATCACAAGAAGAGTTTTTTATGTACCTGTCCAATTGGCGATTAAAAGCTCGACATCAACCGACAATTTATAGCAGTAAGGAGTGGTTGGCATGAAATCATTTGATGTTGGCCAAAATACATGGCAAGACTGATCCGGGAGTACGATCTGCATACAAAATAATTCATGGTCATGTTCAAAAACATAGGTATCCTACGGAAAACATACCTCAAGAGCGATATCGTTCGGATCAAGGACATGATAAAGATCGGCTTCGACAGAGAGTTTAATGGGGAATTGAGAGGAAAACTTGAGGGGTTTGCTGCGGTTAGGCAAGGGCCACGTAATGGTTGCACGAGTGCGTTTGACAGGATTATCAAGATTGATTTCCTTTGGTTGAAATGACTGAAAAAACCAGTTAGAAATGCTGTTATAATACATACAATATGTGGTAAAAGAGCAATACTTACCGTGATAAACGAATACAGAGCCGTCATTTTCACCATGGTGGGAACAGTACTGGCTTTTGCAAGGTTAGTTCGAAGATCGGCAATAGTTTGATCGTGAAGACCAGCTTCGCCAAGTTTCCTGTTGATAAAAGTGCAGATCAGTCATTGCTTCATGTGAACACAATCGTGGCAGCGAGTAAAGCGTACTTTATCATAGTATCTAATCGAATGCCAAACGCGATTAGCATATTACGGATCATCGACTTGTTAGAATCGTTCGAGCTGTAAGATTCTCCGTTAAAATGAATGCATGCAACAGTAACGTGTTTACACTTACGTCGGAATCTGTTTCAAGATGCCAAACATCCAAGTCATGTTGGCTAAAATACGGAAATACATCAAAGCATGTAAAGTTTGGGTGGATACACCCAAGAAATTGTACTGCATCGTATACGTGAGACGGAGAAGAGCTGATGCAGTTACTTGTGCTGTAGCGGCATAGGTAGGTGATGAATGGCTTTGTATAATCTTTACCGCCAAATGGAAAAACCCCAAGCAAAATATCAAGATGGTTAGCATCAACACACATATTCGATTTTTCTTCTCGGTTTCTTCATACCTTGATAGCATGCTCGTAACATTCGAGATATAATATAGCTAATTCTGCTTTACCGGCGAGCATCGGTTTTAACGTGGTAATATAGCGAAAATTTCTAAGGGAACAGCTGAGGCATGGTTCTTTTATAGTTGGACGAGCCCTCACAAACACACTTACTTTGTTGCCACCTCGATTGTTTTCAGTGCTACAGTGTATTCCGAGCGCAACATCAATGTTCGCAGCTTTGTCAAAGTATCAAGTGTGGACATCACATAATCATCCACATCTTTGGCATCCAGTAGATTCTTGCCAAACGCCGAAGAAGATACGGGCAAGCAATCCACGTCAGCTTGCAATTCCATATTTGCGGTTTTCAGTAGTTCCTAGTACGTAAAGGTTTTCAATTGCCATTCTCGCAAGTTGTCGTTTCGGGATGCATGACTTACTCGTAGATCAGGAATACAATCGGAATACCTGCTCTGCAGGTATACGAAATGGCGAAACATGTATTTCGGTAATACCGTTAACATTGACGGATCGGTGGTGCAAGCATTGACAATAAGGATCACATTTGCAATGTCTACATAAAAAGGCAATAGCGATAAGCTATGCTTTTTCCTGGATCGCATGTCGTATCATCATCCAAACTTACAAACATGATCTTCCATATTCATTTCTCGAGGAAGATAGCGTTTATCGAGGCTCAACAGCGTAGGAATCAACGTTTCTAGCGGCAGAGTGAGATACAGATCGTCGGAAGTTTCCCCGTTGATCCATGACTTACCGACGTAGTCAGCATGCCTTCGCCCCACATCTCTCAAACATCGATAGATCGAGAGTTGGTCTTGGGGATATCGCTTCATATTGGTCATGAGGCCATCCAACAAGGTGGTTAAGGTGTTTTTCTCAGTGAGTCGCATCACCCTTCAGGAGTCATATATGAGCTTTGGAAAATGACCATTCTTCATTCATATATTACTTACTTGATGAGATCATGCGTAGCCTCTCGTGCCACGCGATCACTATCGTCCAATGCACCCAACGCAATCTCCAACTGTTCTGCATCGAATTCCAGAATTGTGCGCGTTCCAATTTTACGCAGACTTTGAATAGCGTTGATGCGTACTTTGTCAATCTCATCATTAAACATGTCTGTTACAAGCAGCATATTAGCACATGTTGCGAATTGTTTACAATATGTGGATTAAGTGTTCACTTACCAACGAGACAAATGATGGCCTTTCCGGCTAAATGGTCGTTATACATGCATAGTTCGCAAATAGAGTCTAAGGAGCAAAAACTTGTCAATAGGATATCACAGAAAAAAAATATACCAAGTTCAATACACATACCAATGGCAGCACTGCGAACTTCCTTGTATTCATCTTCTAACCCATGCACAAAGGCGCCACAAGCTCCGGAATCCAGCAAATGAAACTCATCTGACTGTACATCGATATCTCCTTCAGCAATAGGAATTTCGGTCGTCTATCATCATGTTAACATCATTAAAGCCACAAGTCTTTGCTCCATGTCCCGGAAATGCCAATTACCTTTTTATGCTTCGAAGGCCTGTGCTGCATTGTTCTCCTTTTCAAATGAGACATAATTTGTTTACTAAAGGTCTGTGCGAGTACGTGTGTGTTGACATGCTGATACGACGCCATCAAGATACAGGCTTTCGTGCGAATAATGGGAGAGGCATCATTCACCAAATCGCAAATTCGTACAAAAGCATCGTCAATCAGGCGCACTGTGTCTTTTACTTGTTCGTGCGCTAATTTCATTTGTCGTTCCGGATACAATGAACTCAGGGCCCTATTCAGATCCAAACAGTAAATATTTTCCGTTTACCTGCAAAAAAACTGCAGATGACGTACCCTATCAAATTAAGACCACCCATTCGAACTTCGTCGAAATCATCACGCAAAGATTGTACCGCCAGTGCATAAAGGGACAGATCCAAAGGACACCCACGCACATGCATTTGTACCAGGGCATCTAACGAGCTCTATCATTGCTATTGTCATTACACCAAAAGTGGGTACATTATAGAGCTGTGAGGCTTACTTTTCTAACATGAGGATCACTATCGAGTACGAAGGTACTGATCAATCTCTGAATTTCAATCTGGTTAATTTTCTTTGCTCTGGCTTTGGGTAAGTCGATCGAAGTTCGCATGTCAGAATGCAGCACAAAAGGATACAGCGAAAGAAGCCGTATACATGTCGCTCGTAGACGGAAGTGTGGATCAGACAGGTCTTTGATGATTCGATCATAAATCGTAAATAGGATGTCATGACTGCTCTTATCGCGCCATACTCGTCGAAACTGAGATATGGCGCGTCCGTATTGTTTAGTATCTATGTATCCTTGTTGTCAGGAAAAAAGTTACCTTGAAGATCTTGTGGATGGCGTTGTATAACTGGAATCGCACTTTTATCGATTCGCACTGAAGCTTTTTTCACTACATTAGTCTCTGATCGGCTGTGAGTCTCTTTTCCCTTGGACATACCTCATCGGTAAAGCATTTTAGCAAGAGTAAAGCGTTGATATTCGGTCTTTGAGAAAACTTTTCCAGCAAAAGAATGATCATGCACTGACGACCTATCGGTTTAGCATTTGATATATATATATTACGAGTTTTGTATTTCATACCTTCAAATCCTTATCAGGTTCAACCTTGAGTCGTTTGACCAATAATTCCGTCACAGGTTTTTGTTGTTCCGGCACCAACATAGTGATACATCTTGCGAGATGCAAAAGACACTATAATTCGCCAAGAAAGAGGTGAGTTAGAGATCGTTGGAACGAATAGATCGAGATCAGTACCTGAGTGCGTAGCTTGCATAATGGTGATTCCAAGTCGGATAGCTGAAGCTAGTGCTCAAGTGAGAACGCAATTCAAAGCAGGCCTATTTTTTGTTCTCTGTTCTTACTTGTAAAAAGTTAATGCTCGATATCGCTACATAGTTCATATCGCCGCTGTACGCGATGGAGGTCTCATCGGTGGATTCATGATCCCTTATGATAAACAATGGATGGATAAGAACAACCGACATGAAGGTCATACAAGATTTTACTGGCTAAAGGTTATGCCTTACACTACGAGATCACCATTTCCATGGGGAACTTCTGTACTAAGAGCTCGTTTCATGCACTTGGCTTTCGGTGAAGAAGATGGACGACTTTTTTTTTTTTTTTTTTTCGCCTTTACTTCAATTTAAATGAACTGCCGTCACTTCTGGGATTCAAAATTGACCAGCTGGTTTTCCACAGCGCGCTTGCCAAATCACGAACACTTTCAACTGAAAGCTATAGCAGACTTTTCAGTTGCGTATTACCTATATGAAATATAGTATGCTAGTAAGCACATAGGTAAAGCTTCCGGAGCAACAGTGGATGGATGTGCCTCAAACATTTTTCTTTCTTCTTTTTCTTTTTTGGGATGTCAGCCTCCGTGTCAATGTCAGAATTGTGAAAAAGAAATCCCCTATCAACCCATGACAGTTATAGCATACGTTCTATGATATATGTAACTTGATGCACCTAGGTAAGAGACTCTACCATCAGAGGCTATAGTATATATAATTTCATAGCGACAAAAAACGGACAATGCCCGTGTCATACGTCAACGTCGTCACGAAGAAATATGCTTCATTGCTTGTCCGGAATGCTTGAGTTTTCCTGATACTCTGTATATACCTTGTACACATCATTCACTGCCGGGAAAAGTGAGGTTTGCATCAACGGATCTGCATTGCATGATTCTCAGAAAATTGGCGGTTGCACCCTGCTTCTCGGCCAATCACATTCACGAAGGAAAAAACGGGCAATGCGATGTGTAATCGCGTGCCCATTATTCTCCTTCGCTCGTGGATATTTTAAGTTCCGCCATCCACTATACCCCGCACCTTTTTCCAACAGCAGATCCCCTTGGGACGAAGGGGATCTATTGTCGTCTGATGTTCACCTTACTGCAATGCAGGAAGAAAGGTAACTACTCCTATAGAAAATTAAGGTTAGGATCATCACGCTGATAACATCAATGTTGGATGCCTATTTTGCATTTGAACGGAGTCGAATCTGCTCAAACCTTATTCAACATAACACTTTCCTTCACAGACAAATCCGTGTTTATCGAACAAAACGTTGACATTTTCGTTGGTGAACCATCTCAGTGGGAGGTATATATTTGAACAGTAATAAAAATGTCTTGAATAACGGGTTTGCAAGCGAACCTGTGTTCCAAAGATGACGTAATCATCGATAAATGTTTTTCGTGGGGGTTGAAAGCTTGAAGAATTGAGATCGGGTTGCAGCTTTCTATCTTTTTTCCTTAATCCGCAATCACTCCAATGGCGAAAAAATCAAAACAGACATTGCCGCTTCACAAAGTGATCATGGTTGGATCCGGTGGCGTTGGTAAATCAGCGCTTACCCTCCAATATATGTACGGTGACTTTGTAGAAGAATACGACCCCACCAAGGCCGACTGTACGTTTTTTTTCTCTTGAATGGACCGTAGCTACGCATACTGTGACTAAATTATTGTACATTTAACAGCTTACCGCAAGAAAGTCATGTTGGACGGGCAAGAGTGTCAAATTGATATTCTTGATACTGCTGGACAAGAGGAATATGCAGCTGTAGGTTTTTTATATATTTCATCACGCGAATCAACTGAATCTGTCGGCATATATACTCAAAAACTGTCTAACACCAGATTCGCGATAACTATTATCGTTCCGGCGAAGGGTTTCTCTGCGTTTTTTCTGTCTGTGAAAATGAGTCATTCGAACACACCCAGGAATTCCGAGATCAGATTTTGCGTGTACTTGACGATGATACGGTAAGGAGAAGAAGGACCGATGGGCACGTGCAAGGAAACTTGTAACAGCATCACACTCATCGTCAGTTATTAGATTCCTTTCATTTTGGTGGGAAACAAGGTCGATTTAGCTCATTTGCGCAAAGTGTCGTCGGATGACGCTCAGCAATTGGCAGACGAATGGAACTGCCCCTACTTGGAAACATCGGCAAAGACTCGACAAAACGTAGAAGAAGTGTATACTTTACTTATGCGACGCATTCGAGACCGTAAAATGCAATTGCATATGTCAGAAGGCAGATCAAAAAAAGGAAAATGCGTTATTTTATAAATGATGCTTCTTCTATTTTGTTTCTTACTTTCCTTTCCATGACATCTTCTTTTCCCATCCTCGATCATGCAACACTCATACGAATTCTTACTACACAAGCTCGTCCATTGTCCGCTCATCGAATCATCTGATTTTCTTTGATAGTCCCTAGCTCTATTTTTTTCTTTGTCACCTTTCCTGTTCTTCTTCCTTTAACAATGTGTCTAATTGATAATTGCATATTCATCGGATTGTTTTCTTTGCGAAAAAGTGTTCTTTAGATTGCAAAATCTCCCCATATCATGCTGCGGAGATAAGGGTATTCTATACTTTTCATATAAGATACTGGTAAAAATGGGGTTCCCGTAAAAGCAAGTAACTATCGCAACACATTGAGCACGCCTGAACACTCGGCTTTCCAGGCCTTGTTTTTGCCGTAGTCGAGCTCGTCACATAGTTTCCGAAGTTAGCATTAAATCTCCGCCACAAACTGTGGAATGTTCATGCCTGAAAAAAAAAAATAAGAATCGTCTGCACCCATATTCCCCCATTGTTATGCGCATATTATATGACAAATATGGTAATCGGCGACTGCTTTTTTTTCCTTGATGCCTTGGCGCCCGGCTATACATGATGAACTCCAAATACATCGGAAAGACGATGGGCACAAATTATTCTATAGCTTGTCGTTGAGTATCGCAGAGTGCTGTGAAAAAAGCAGAGGTCAGTGAGAGAGCCGGCAACAATTACCTTTCTCGAAGTCAACAAGATGACAATGGGAGTTATATTAAATTTCGCTTAACCCATTTGGCCCCTTACATTTTGATTAAGCTGATTTTCGCTTTGCCACCGTAACATTTCTTAACACTTTTCACACCTTTGCTTCTCCTTACCGTCCGTCTGGCGTTTCATTCACACTACTTCGCTACATCGTCTCATCAAAGGTTTTTAGTTGATGGATGCTAGTCAATAAACGCATATGACAAACCGCTCGAATATGACCAAGCAATCGTCGTAAGTGATCATTAACTACTATGTATTCTTATATCTCCTTGATCAAGAAAAGCACAATGGATAAGAAAACTCACCGAACTTGTTTTTTTTTTTTGAATGGAAAAGGTCCACATCCTCCAGTCGTATAACTCACAATTCTACCAGTAATCTACCTATCATTGGCAAGTTATGCAGCTTCCATTTTAATCGCTGATTTTGCCCATCGCTAATTCTAGGCTTCTATTTCTCGGCTCCAGACATCGATTTGCTCGGCACTAGTTTTTCACTCGATCTAACTTGTACAAACGATACGGAAACGTCACCAACAGCTGGATCTGTTTACAGAAGCCTCAACAACAATGCCCTTTCTACAGATACCACGCTAGCAGCCCATGCTAATCCCGACGCGCCATATAGTTGCTGGAATGTACCCGAAGCACCATTGTCCGCTGCCCACATCGAAAACATCTTTTTGGAGTTTGCCAATAAATACGGTTTTCAACGCGACAGCATGTATAATATGTACCATCATTTAATGACAATGCTGGATTCACGCTCAGCACGAATGTCCACTACCCAAGCCTTGTGGTCGCTTCACGCCGATTATATTGGTGGCGAACACGCCAACTACCGAAAATGGTACTTTGCAGCACAACTTGATCTGGACGAGCAAGCTTTTTCGACGCGAAGTCCGTCGGGACAGTTGTTGGTGGAAGCGAAGCGTGAATGGCGCGAACGCATGGAAACCATGTCCAATCGTTCTAGGGTAGCACAGCTAGCCTTGTACCTCTTGATTTGGGGAGAAGCCGCTATCTTACGATATATGCCCGAATCGTTGTGCTTCATTTTCAAGCTGGCTGAGGATTATCGCGAAGTAGCCGAAAGCAGCTTGGCTGAAGAATTGGATCCTGGCAGTTTTCTCGACAACGTTATCACACCTTTGTATCGATTCGCACGGGATCAGTCATATACGTCGGTCCACGGTCAGTATGTTCGCTTGGAGAAAGATCACAACAATACTATCGGCTATGATGACATCAATCAATTGTTTTGGGACCGCCGAGCCATTGCGCGCCTTCGACTTCGCCAAGGATCACTCCTTCATGATATTGCACCTTGCGAGCGATTTAATGCGCTGGTTCATGTCGACTGGTCCAGTGCGTTTTGTAAGACCTTTTACGAGACGCGGTCATGGTTACACTTGATCACCAACTTCTCACGGTTTTGGATCATTCATGCCTGCATTTTCTGGTATTACATGGCAGCCAATGTCGATTTTATCTACACGTCCGATATCAAAAAGGAACTCCCGGTCAAGCTTTCCATTATCGCCTTGGGCGGACTTGTTGCCGTTCTCATCATGATGACCGCGACTGTTGCCGAGTTTATGTATTTGCCCATGTCCAAAAAGACGGCCAAAATATTATTGGCAAGACTGTTCTTCCTTGCTCTTTTGACGCTATGCCACGTCTTGGTGACCGTCTACGTGATTCAATTCGATCGGTCCAGTAAACAAGCCCTGATTATCTCCTCTTGTCACTTGGGCTTTGGGGCCATTGCTGCTATCGTTTTGGCAGTTTTACCCCCAGTGAATCTGTTTCACCAGCGACAAGCCGAACACCAACTGACAAGCAAAACTTTTACGGCCAACTTTCCTCAGCTTAACAACGACGATCGATTTCTTTCCATCCTTTTATGGGTATGTGTATTCGGCTGCAAATTTCTCGAGACATATTTTTTCCTTGCGCTGTCGTTCCGAGACGCCATTGCTGCCACGGTGACGATGCGCTTGCGCGATTGTGCCCATGACGCTATTTTCGGTCGTTGGCTGTGTACGGTCCTGCCTGTGGTGACCAGCATACTGATGTTCATGGTTGAACTGGTGCTCTTTTTCTTGGACACTTACCTCTGGTACGTGATATGGAATACAATGTTTTCGGTGGCCCAGGCTATTCGACAAGGCATTTCGATCATGATCTCGTGGAAAACGCTGTTCGCTCGCCTGCCGCAACACATGTACGACAAAATCACAGCGACAACCGAGCTTGGCAGCGGATATCTTCGAAAGGTTGCGTGTTCGCAAATGTGGAACGCTATTGTCATTTCAATGTACCGCGAGCATCTGTTGTCCATCAATAACTTGCAGTATCTGCTTTATCAAGCGCACATTACGTCTGACTCAGAAGGGGTATCTTCCCGTGAGCTTCGATCTCCCCCATTATTCGATCCCTCCAGCGAAACGAAGAAAGAGGACTGTTTTCCGCCTTACTGTGAAGCTGAACGGCGACTATCCTTCTTTGCGCAAAGTTTAGCGACTGACATTCCCATGCCAACCTCAGTCGAGCGAATGCCTACATTTACTGTATTTACACCTCATTACGCGGAAAAGTTGCTGCTGTCCCTGCGCGAAATTATACGTGAAGAAGATTATACGACGCGCGTCACCTTGTTGGAGTATCTCAAAAGATTACACCCCGCCGAATGGAACAATTTCGTAAAGGATACCAAATTCATCGCAGAGGAAGATAAGCTTGCTAGCCGGCCTGATGAAAAGGATGATTTGCCTTTCTACTGTATTGGATTCAAATCCTCTGCACCGGAATACCAATTACGCACTCGGGTATGGGCTTCCTTGCGCGCACAAACATTATACCGTACCGTATCAGGATTTATGAATTACGCCAGGGCATTGAAGATTCTGTACCGCATCGAACATCCAGAATTAGCCGACGAAAAGAAAGAATCTGAAGTTGTGGAGGACCGATTGGACCGTATTGCACACCAAAAGTTTCGATTTCTCGTGGCCATGCAGCGTTATGCCAAATTTAGCTCGGAGGAAGCCGAAAACTGTGAATATCTTCTCGAGGAGTATCCGCACCTGCAGATCGCTTACATTGAGGAGGAGGAGGATAAATCGGGAGGAGAACCCACGTATTACTCTGTCCTCATTGATGGTAATTGCGAGAAACTGCCAAACCATAAACGGCGACCACGGTACCGAGTGCGACTTCCTGGCAATCCTATTTTAGGCGACGGCAAATCCGACAATCAGAATCATGCTCTAATTTTCTACCGCGGCGAGTACTTGCAACTTGTTGACGCCAACCAGGACAATTATCTCGAAGAGTGTCTCAAAATACGAAGCATATTTGGTGAATTCGAGCAAGATGAGGCACCTGACTTGGATGAGATATATGCTTTATCCACGGATCTCCGTCCGGCTGTTTCTCCTGTCGCGATTGTGGGAGCGCGAGAATACATTTTCTCGGAAAATGTTGGGGTACTGGGCGACGTCGCGGCCGGTAAAGAACAAACATTTGGAACGTTGACGCAACGTATCATGGCCAAAACGGGTGGACGACTGCACTATGGTCATCCCGATTTTTTGAACGCAGTATTTATGACCACTCGAGGCGGCGTCAGCAAAGCACAGCGCGGATTGCATTTGAATGAAGATATCTATGCTGGTATGAATGCGCTCTGCCGTGGTGGGCGAATCAAGCACACAGAATATCTCCAATGCGGTAAAGGACGTGATCTTGGATTCTGCTCAATCCTCAATTTTACGACCAAAATTGGCACTGGCATGGGAGAACAACTATTGTCGCGCGAATATTACTATCTTGGTACGCAACTACCGTTAGACCGATTTCTGACATTTTATTATGGCCATCCGGGTTTCCATATCAACAACATCATGATTATCTTTGCTGTGCAAGCTTTCCTTTTCTGCATGACTCTGGTCGGCACTATGGCGGCGTCATTACCCCACTGTCGGCGCGATAACTGCTTCAACGTACGTCCGGTATATGACTGGCTTGAACGGTGTATCCTTTCAATTTTTATGGTGTTCTTCATTGCATTCATGCCACTGTTCCTCCAGGAGTTGACCGAAAAAGGCACTCATCGCAGTGTTTGGCGATTGATCAAGCAATTTCTTTCTTTATCGCCCCTCTTTGAAGTGTTCGTCACGCAGATTTACGCCAATTCGCTGTTATCCAATTTGAGCTTTGGAGGGGCCAGATATATTGCTACCGGCCGTGGATTCGCTACGTCGCGGCTTCCATTCTCTGTTTTGTATTCACGTTTTGCTAATCCAAGCATCTACTTTGGCGCGCGGTCTATTTTCATGTTATTTTTCGTGTCCCTGACTTTATGGATTCCACATTTATTTTATTTCTGGGCCACTGTTACGTCGCTTGTCATATCACCATTCATCTTCAATCCGCACCAGTTTGTCTTCATGGATTTTATCAATGACTACCGAGAATTCTTGGGATGGTTGTCTCGAGGAAATGCGCACAAGCATCACGCTCACTCCTGGATTACATTTTGCCGTCAAATACGTACCAGAGTGACGGGACACAAGAAGAAGGCGAAGCATCTCCGGGACGACAACACCCCGATTGTCGTGGTACCGCGCGCTCAGTTGTCCAGTATCTTTGCCTCTGAAATCCTCATGCCACTGCTACAGGCCGTCCTAATTATTGTGTGCTACGCTTTCGCCAAGAACCGTGAGGTTGTCGACACCGAAACTTTGCTTCTGGGCCAAATTACATTGTCCGAATTCGACACCGGAGGACCTGTAATCCGTTTGATCATTCTTGCTGTCACACCTCTTGCCTGGAACGCTTTAACGCTTCTTTTCTTTCAAGCCGTTTCTGTCAGTCTCTCTATGATGGGATTTTCTACCCGCATTGGCTTCTATATCGCCGGATTGGCTCACGCGTGTGCGCTGTTGGGACTCGCACTATCGTTTGAGTATTTCTGGGCACTTGAGCAATATGCATTGCGCTCCACGCTGCTTGGCTTATTAAGTGCATTCGCTATCCAGCGCTTTATTTTCAAAACATTGACAGCGCTATTTCTGACCCGCGAGCTGCATCATGACGCCACCAATCGTACTTGGTGGACCGGCAAGTGGCGCGGAACTCAGGTAACACGGCTATCGATATGAGTAGCTTTAACATTGTACTAACTTGTTGAAATGATTTTTATTATCTGACTTGAAAAGCTTGGTCGTAGTGGTAAGATTATACATCTGGAGGTAGTAAAGGCTGCATGATTTTTTAATGGCAACCTGTGATTTCTTAGGTGCTCGAGAATATGTCTGTAAAATCGTTGAGATGTCCATGTTTTCCACTGATTTCATTCTGGGGCATCTGATTCTATTTGGGCTTTTCCCTTTGACACTTATTCCATCAGCCGATCGCTTGCATTCTCTCATGTTATTCTGGCTGCGCCCATCGCATCAAATTAGACCGTCTGTCTTACCAATGAAACAACGCCGACGTCGTAGACAGATTGCTCTAATCTACGGTCCCGTATTTGGCATTGTATTCCTATGTTTCGCTATCTTCATTGCCATACCACCTCTGTTAGCCCGTACATTGGATTTGCCCATCAGTCCCTACACATATTATTAGCCCCACATTGTCATACTGTGTCCATTTCTCCGTCCGTTTCTTTTTAATCCTGCTATGCAGGCGATATCATCCATTGATTCTCATGCAGTAAAATATACCATAGATTTGATTTAAATTCATTCATGACACAGACATTTGTGCACACAATTGATGTCAAAAAAATTCTGTAGTCCTGTAGCCATATCCGGCCAGTCAGAATAGAAAATGTAGGGGTTTTGATCTATGTATTTTTTTTCTCTACGTACAGTGTCCATATGCGCATGATCCGGCATACATATTCTTGAAAACAAATACATCACAGAGCATAACTTGCTGTACTAAATGAATACTCGTCCGGATCAATGGATGAATGAAGACTTCCGGTTTCCTCCGTCACCTCGGGTATCAGATCCCACAGCTGATTTTCGTTGTCTTGGTATTTGCGCTCATAGAGGAGCACCACAGTACCTGGTTTCGTCCAATTGCCCTATCCGTCGTATAATACCACATCAGTTTTTTTTCCAGTTGTTTGTGCACCTCAGTTTTACATGAAAAGATCTTCTTTACCCGTATATCTAACACCAAATTGGGATCCACTTGGGGATAAATGAAACCGTCCTCTCGGTAGTACCACCGTTGATTTTGTGCATCCTCAATCATTTTTCGTTTGTACTGAATTACTTGTTTGTCGCTTTCCAGTAAACCTGTTTTCATCCCACTCATTCAGCATGCAAGTACTCGTCATCACGCAAGCGCTGCCTTACCCCCCTGTATATCCAACACTGGACAACAATAAAGCGCGGAAACAATAGGTTAGCAAGACGTACTTCCATAAACCTAAAAGCATCACTTTACCGAGTCCCGAATTCTTGTTAATGATGTATCCGTTATCGTACGTCCACAACTGGTTATCATTGTCTGTGTCTTTCTTCGGCCAGACGATGACTTTGGCATTCGACTAGTAAGGAAAACCGTTAACCTATCGAGCTGTATGTCTCAGAAACCGAACTGGACCTACTTTGACCGAGTCCCAAGACACGTCGAGGACCATTTTATGTGGACATTTCGATCGTATATAGAACCACCCTGCTGGAAAGTTGCTCATGCCGGCCAAGTTGCTCAAACGGTGGGTTGCCGAAGCGTTTCGGTTCATCGCGAATTTAAATCTCAGTCCGACCAGCATGGCTATTTTTGTATGTCCGAAATTAAACCTCGACGAATCACATTTCAATGCTTCAGTTGCCATCCAAGGAATGCAGCACAGACCTTGCAATAGCTGATAAATTGATGTGGGCAAGTCGTTTAACCATACCAAAAACCGTGCTTTTTTTTTTTTTTTTTACAAAGCATATTAGCATAGTATGGATTGGCCTTGTAACACATAGACCGCAGATGAAACCGTACACCAGGGTCAAAATAGTGTAAAGTTTTCCTTGATTTCCCACTGCCATATGAATTATCTTGAGCCCAGCCCGGAATATGCATGACAACACCAAATTGATTGCATACACCGGCATAATCTCATGGTGTGGCGTAATGATAACAGTCAATGTGGATAGCCGGATGAAGGTCCTGATCGATAAATGACAGAAAGAGAACGTATGAATTACCAAAGTATTCAATAGCCGACATACGTGTCATTGCCATGACATTGCGATATGCACGTCTTTTTGACTATGACATCAGTTCCTCTCTCTTGTTGGGCAAAGCGAATTTCGAGAAATCGTGGCGCGGGAAGGATGCTGAGCACTGTTCCACCTTTGTGATATGATATGGCTGGGGCCTTTGTACGACGGAGGCTGCGCAGTGTCAAATGACGGTATTCGCTATTTTCTTTTTTTCTGCCTGCTAAGCTTCGGGCTTCGAATTAAATACAAGGGGACACGAATTTTTTTTTTTCGGTGCAGCAGCATTCTTTTTCCTCTGATTCCCAAAACACACAATGCGCTTTTTGTCGATTTTTTCGGTTTTATTAGTTTATTGTGTACTATGTAAGAGACCATCCGTACAAACGGAAAAACAATGGGCTTACTAAGAAACGTTTGTAGATGTCTTCGCCAAAGGTGGTGGAGGTGGTAGAGGCGGCGGCGGTGGAGGAGGTAGAGGTGGTGGTGGTGGAGGAAGTCGTGGAGGCGGTAGCGGTGGAAGCGGCAATCGGGGCGGCGGTGGGTCGCCTGCTAGGCCTCCTGCTGGTAAGCATTATACTTTGAACCATATTAGATAGTTGGCCACGTAGAATTAACTGTGTCTGCTATATTACAATAGGCGGAGGCGGAGGTCTTTCTCAGCCAAAGACCAATCCTGTAAGCAATGCTGGCAACTATCGCTTCCCTCCGGGTAGCCAAGGATACACGAAAGGTGGATATGGTTCCTTTGGTGCCCCTCCTCCGTATTCTCAAGCCAACACACGAGGTATGCGAAAAATGAAACGATTGATCCAGCCAAAGTGTACTTACAAAATTGAATTCTTTTATTCACAGGTTCTTTCACCAATTATCCGCAATCGTACGCCGGTGGCTATGGACCAGGTTCTCGTGCAGGTTGGGTTGGTGCATACAATCCTTCGCTTCTTTACTGGGCCATTGTACCGTCCTTCTTCTTCCTTGGTTATCATCACATGTACCATCGCTACAATAGTAATAGCGGTGCCTACTATGCCCCTCAGATGACCGCGTCTGGAGGCAACGGCGAAGTCATTATCAACGGCACTGAATACACCAGCAGCGAAGATAACTACCACTATACATTCAACATTACGACCAATAATGTTCTTCCCATTGTTGATCACGCCTACTACGCTTCCTCTGATCCCGCTGCTCATCCTGCCGATTTCGTTTACCGTTTAACGTTTGCCAACATCATCGAATTCGACGACGCTAATCAGAACGGTTTCCTCGATGCTAATGAGCACATTTTGGCTATCACATCGCTGCAGAATGCGCAATGGTCGCCCATGTCGTTGGCCAACAAGACGGTGCCCTCCAACTCAACGCTATCGTATTATGAAACATCAGCTTCTTCCAGTGTCACCTATAACAACACTGGAGCCACAACCGGCAACCAGACTTTTAACGTTCAGTTGACTTGGAGATCGACGAATCTACAGATTAACAACACAGCCCCCCTTACTTTGCAACCTAATTCGTTACAGTACGATTTCGCTGTTAGTGGATATCCCAAGTCGGCTAATTCACGCATTGCCTTGACGCAAGTGCTGACACTCAAGCCTGATACCGGCGTGTGGTTTGATGTGAATATGACAACACCGGTTGACGTGGCGAATCAGATTAAGACAAATGAAACATATGGTATATCGGTCGGTGGATACTCTGAAGGACGCCTTGAATATCAGCCCACCGTCAATATTACGGATGCTACCCAAGTGCCTTCGACGTGGACGACATTGGACCCTGTGCAGATCAATCAGTTATCTTACAATTCTCCCAATGATTGGATCTGGGGTGATGTAACGGCAGACAAGCGAAAAGCCAAATTGCTCTTTATTTCCATGCCTTATCAGTCTGCCGATAACACTGTCAATAACTCCACCCAAGGCAGCAAAGTGAACGCTAGAATTTCCGGCTTTGGTTTTCTCAATACAGATGTTCTGAATGCTGGTGCTGGAGGCAGTTCTGGAGGCTCTCCTGTTGGCGTGCCTGTCGGCAGTCTTGGGTCTACGATTCGTTTATCCATTGCCTTGATCACCGTCTCTCTGTTTTTCACTATGATGTAAATCTGAATAATATCTCTTTATTAGTTTTCTCGATACAATACATTAAACAATATACAACTATACTATTTTATGAAGCATAGCCTTTTTTTTTTTTTTTTTTATGAATAAAAATAACATTTCTGTATCGTTTCAAGTCAGACTACCCAAAATGCAACCAAATCCTCCAAGTAATCCTAGTAAATTGATGGTTTGGAAAATGGTTCTTTATTGGAAAATCTAGCATCATATAGTAGCTACAGCCAGTGTCTCTGAAAATAATGAGGCTTTTGCGATAGCACCATTTACTAAAAGGTTACGACGATTGGACCTCATGATCTTTTTTTTTTTTTTTTTTTTTCAAATTAACAGATTGCGGGTTAGTTTATGGCAATTGCAATGGATCGATAATGCATTCTCCTTGGAGTTGTGTTTGCTTTGAAAGTATTGAATTATGAAAGAATATCAAGTAGAAAATTTTGCGCACACAAAGTGAGGGCTTTCAAGCGAAATAAGCGGTTCCTGTGAAAGAAAGTTACACACAACTCAGCCTTTTGAATAACTCTCCTTTTTCGTACAATTCCATTTTCCTTGTTTCTTTTGTGGCTGTTTCGATTACACGCTGTTCCTTCTGGCTTTTGTGGCTTCATTTATTGCAACTTGCATTTGTCCAGCATTGGACTTCTTAAGCCTCATTGAACCATGGCCCCTGTTCCTACAATATCCGTTACGAGTCCGGACTTGCAAAGCGAAGATCTGAAATTCAGCACGCCATCGACGCCAACATCTCCGCAATCCCCCACAGTTTTTGACGTGGCCAAAGATATGGAAGATTTTGACTACGAACTTGTTCATCAGGAAGAGGACCTCACCCAGGAAAAAGATTCATCCACGCAACATCCACCGTTGCCTGAAACCGCAACGGTTAACAATCAATGTGAAGCGAAATGCACAGAGGACGAGTTACCAAAAACACCTTCTCCCAAGACTCCGGTGGAAGAAACCGCATTACCGACCAATGTTCGCGAATACTACCAAAACAAGACTGTCTTTCTTACCGGTGCCACCGGATTTATTGGTAAAGCGATTCTCTGGAAACTCATCCAATCACTCCCTGAAGAACTGGACGCTATTATTCTGCTTGTCCGCGTCGGTCCCCGAAGACGAACTCAGCCTTGGGATCGAGTTCGTGATGATATTTTAGCCAACAAGGTAAGCACGAAACTGAAAAGTAAAAAAATCAATGATCGGTACGCGGGCTGAACCGAAATCAACCATGGTCAATAGGCGTTTGTTACATTGCGCCGTGACATGGGCGCTACTACGTTTGACAATTTTGTTCGCAAAAAGCTGCACGCAGTAGCAGGTGATGTGACCGAAAATGGCTTGGGCATGTCCATGGAGGACCGCAATATGGTATTGAAACACAGTAGCATCATCATCCATTGTGCTGGCCAAGTCGATGCTAGCGAACATATCGATATATCCGTTAAAGTAAGTCAACATTTGCCTTTCTATTTACATTGTATCAATCTTTCTTTGCTTTGGTTTTTCATAGGTGAATGCCCTCGGTGTCATAAATGTCATGGCCATTGCAAACGAATGCGGGTCGCTCTCCGGTTTAATCCACCTATCTCCGTTACAAAGTCATAATCGATCTTCCTTTGGAACTCTCTACGAAGATAAACTGAGCCCACTACCGAATGCCGAACCAGAAACATTGTTAACTAATATTTTATCAGCAGAACTACAAGGTAATCTTCAACATCATTTATTGCTTGTTGAGTATTCCAACTGTGATCTAACATTGCTTTAACCGTATGGTTCGTCGTTACACACCAGAGATGCCGTCCATTATGGAAGATATCAAGCCTTACTATCCCAATAGCTATATGTTCTCCAAATCTCTGGCAGAACATCTCTTGGTGAGGGATGTCCAAAAGAAGCAGATCAACAGCTTCCCGCAGTATCCAATAGCGATCATGCGACTTGGGCCTCTAGGTCCAAGTCTAGCAGAGCCTTTAATGGGATGGGTATGTTGTTGTTTCTTTCAAAAGCTAGTACTAAACCAACTTTGTGGACTAACGTATATGGTAGGCCGACAACGTGAACGGTGCCAACGGCCTTCTTCTCCTAACCGGACGCGGCATCCGAGTTATCCAAGCAAATCAAGGAGAAAATCCAGTGGATATCATTCCTGTCGATTTTGCCGTACGTCTCATTCTTGGATGTGTGGCCAACCTTTCCATCCCGAAACAATTCGCAGTGCCGTCTCCTTTGCAGCATGAGCCATTTGTGTCTGCCGATTATCCGTCCTACAGAGAGTCGACTACCGCCACTTCTGTATCCATTCGCGATTCAGCGGCATCATCTGAAGAAGCATCGTTTTATCGATCTTCAGCAGGTAGTCGCGCTTCATCCCACACGTCAGCGCAGATCGACTCCTTGGGTCCAAAAGAAATCACTTTCCCTTCCATATATCATATTTCCTCAATCAAAATGCGTCCCGTCTCATGGCGTGTCGCGTATGACGCTATACGGCAATATTGGATGCAGACGACCAATGTTAGACTGATACCGGCGGAAATCTATTTTTCCAATGATGCAGCAAAATCCCCTGCTGGATTGTCCCGAGCACGAACTGTAATGAACTCGCTGAGATCGGCTGCTACAAGTTACATAACCGGAGTCCCAACCGCTAATACAAGCATGATCGATCCCATTTCAAAGGTTCCCGGCAAGCGCAACTCTCACCGATTCAGCCGCTGTGTGGATAAAGCGGTCAAGGCAGCTAGTCATTTACGAGGCTCTTTTGGTGATATGTGGCTGAATACGGTCGATACAAATACCTCTCACCTGAAACAACTTCTGCGAAAAGATTCCGCTGCAGTCGATTTCGATCCGCATGAATTGATCCCCGAAGATGCTTCAGTTGCACTGTGGAAAAACTATTTCATGAACGCTAGTTATGGTATACATTACTTTGTTGGTGGCGAATCGAATCTACGACTTCCATCACCCATCTCAGAATGGGATTGCGCTTTGCACAATGAAAGTGAAGCTGCGACCATGGTAGACAAGCCAACTCAAAGTTCGGTTTACTCTGCTGCCGAAGTCACGAAGCGGACAGAACGTATGGTCCACAAGATAAAAGACGTGCTGATTGATAATATTCAACATTCCAAAGAAACGGACGATGAGTGGTTGACAGATATGGATGACAGCTTGGAAGACTGGTGTCAAGACCCATCGATTGTTGCGTCCGAACGCGAGAAAAGAATGGTCTTTGGTAAATGGCGCAAAAAAGTTGGCAGCAATGATGAAGCAGTCAAGGTTGTGGTGCTTAATGATAAACGAGTCAATGTGGCGGTGCACAAGGTAGGAACGCTTCAGGATATACAAAAAGGAAGGTAAGCGATATTCACATTCTGTGTTTTTAGATCACTCAAAATGCCGGCGTTTCCAAGCAGACAGCTGTCAACGAGGCCACAGTAAGTGTGTTACATTACACCGATAAAACCATCCACTTCCTAACTACGATAATCATTCATAGAAAATTTTACTTCGTATGAGTGAAAGGACGCAGCTTGCATTTGTCTGTTTCACAGGTTTCTTTCTGAAATCATTATTTGAAAACATGTTTGAAAATATCCGTATACGAGAAGAACATATAAGACAGGTAAAGCTTGTTTCTGTTTCGATTATCTATTTACAGCCAGCTCATATCATGTTTCAGATTCGAGATGCTACTCTTGGTAAAAGGGTTGTCTATGTGCCTGTCGCTAAGAGCATTTTGGACCCGCTGTTGCTATGGTACATCACCATCCGTTTCCAATTACCGGTGCCCGCATTGGCATGCGACGAAGGTGAGAAAAATAATTGCCCAAACTCGCTTGAAGCGATCAACTTATATACGGTGTATCGTAGCGATGGCTCAGTTGGGGTCTATTTCCGATATTTATCGACTTGCGGGTGCTTACTATATGAAGCGAGACAAGCGCCATCGTTCACCATTGAATTCGGCGGTGCTTGCTGCCTATACCCAAGTGCTGTTGCGCGAGCATGGCGCTTTATGTTTTTCACTCGAAAAGACACGCTCTCGCAGTGGCAAATATGACGAACCATATGCCGATGGCCTAATTGATATGGTGATTGAAGCTACCCTGCAGTCAAATCAATCGCGTACTCCGGCGTTCAATAAGTTGATGCAATCCGAGACTACTCCTCCGACTTCACCAGATACACCTGTATCCGCCGCTCCGAGCCCAACTGCCAGCATCGACGGTCATGCGGGTCTTTTCCGTAAAGCTCACCGCGACATTGTATTTGTTCCCATTAACATTTCCTACGAGAACGTACCAGAATTACCTCATTTAATTGACGAAGTACTTGATCAACAGCCCAGACGACAAACTCAGGAACTGCAAACGCCCATGGAAGGCGTTGTTCGTCCCAGTGAAGCGATGGATAAGCGTACAAAGATGCTTGAAGGTGCTGAGGTACCGCGTAAACGTGGCCGGGTGCTCTTGGGCATCGGTTCATTGATCAGCGTTCAAGATACAGCTGAAGAATTTAGTCATATTTATGAGTAAGTCCACAACAGCTTTCGGTGATTCTGCTCTGCTGACAGTCGCGTTTGCAGCTCCAGTACCATGGAGAATTTCGAAGTGGAATTAGCGAAAGAATTAACGAACAAGATTCAAAAGCAACAACGACGGGCATTGATCATTACTCCCATATCGCTTGTTTCTGCCATTATTTTGTATGGACGTGCCACAGGTGGTGTATGCGTTGGTAAGTGATTCTGGCAATACACTGAAAACGGACTCCCCTTCTAATGCACCTGCGTAGGCAAAATAAAGGAGCTGATGCTCTGGCTTCGCGAAGAATTTACTGAACATGGCTATCACATTGACTGGCAAGGTAGTTGAGAAAATTTTATCACTGTTCATCGAATTCTGTGTGTTTTCTAATTGTCTGTGAAGATGGCGAAGACCTGGACTCAATTGTCCTCTATGTATTCCGTTTACTGGAAGACTCAAAGAATCTGATTATTGAAGGCAAAGAAATCAATGATGATACAAACATCCGCGTCAACGACCATGCAGATAACGTAATGACCTTGTCTTATTACGCAAATCAGGTAAACAAATTACAGTATGTCATGTTCCGCAGGAAGATCTTACTAAATGGGTATCTCTTTTGTTTTCTTTAAACTATTTGACAGATTGTGGATGCGCTACTTTCAGATGCTTTTATGGCTGCAGTGTACTTGTCGTTTACTGAGGATATTGTTACCGAGGATGAGTTCATGGATCGCTTCCGCTTCCTGGTCCAGATGCTCGAACGCGAGTTCGTGTGTTCTTGGGATGTGGACAAGGTAAGAACAAGGAATATACGCCAAGGACCGGTCCCTAATACGCATCCGTCATAGCAATTTAACAAGATGATCGATGCATTTGAAGAGCGAAAAATTATCCGCAAACGCCAGAATCAAAGCGGTGTAAACGAGCTGTGTCTAGCAGTGAATATGGAACTTCATCCTACCCAGTATGAACAACTGATCTTTTTAGCATCCGTAATCTATCCTACGATTGATTCTTATTGGATTACTTCGTGTTCGTTGTCTGCTTTGGAAGCCGTACCCATGCTCCCACGTAGCATCGCACCGTTACTCTCCCAATGGATTGCTACTCATCTGATCGCCGGTCGTCGTACCATTTATCGTGAAGTCCTGTCCACTGAATCCAGCCGTACAGCGATTGATGTGTTCATGGCGCTCGGTTTCCTTGGTGAATTCCAAGCAAAGGAACGGTTGTCACCGGATGCTCAAATTTTACTACATGAACTGGGCGTACCAACCAGCGAATCTTTGATTGAACTGTCAGGGCAAAACAGCGATGGTGGTATGACGCCTGTATCGCCCGTGGATCCGGAAGGCATGATGGTAAGTGCGCAGCTTGTGTCATTTGGCAAAGTGAATTGCGTACTGTAACCATGTGCTTACATATAATAATAATTGTAGAAAGCGATCATGGCTCAGATACAGATGAATCGAGCCAATTCGAATATGGCCGATTTATGTCAGCAAATCGATTCTTACCGCCTAGGTGCTGCATCCCAGCGCGAAAGCTTTCAAAATGCTCAAGTCTTCCAAAAATGTCTGAAGCAAATCAAAGGCATCCTGCACACCGGTGCGAGTTTTGCGCAAAGGCGGAAAATTGAGCTGAAAGAACCTGAAGATAAACTGGTGCAGCTGGTATATGCCCTTCGCGTGAATAGTGCATCGTCGGCTCACACCGCTCAAGGTCGCGCTCTTCGTCGCATTTCAGAGGCATACAATTTAAGATAACTCATCTTTCCGTATTTCTTGTATTTCCTGTTCCTTATTATTATTTCAGCTGTTTTTACATACTTCGCCCCGCAGCTAATATATCTTGTATAAATTATACTTTTTTACACTCATGATCACCAAATGTTTCCAATCTAGAATAAGGGTCCATTGATTTCACCTCCATATTGGTACAGTTGATCTGGATTGAATGAAAATAATTGACATGACATTGACATGATGTGGTGTTTCTCTCTGTGGATATATACAACTATGGAAGAAAGGAAGTAAGGATGACCATATCCTAGGTACGAGTTACTAATCGGTGGCGAGGAGGTAAGTGTGCCAATAGCCGTCTGCCAGCTGTCGAAGTTGTTCCGGATTCACCGAAAAGGCGGCCAATGAAGCCAGGCGGTTCAACTTATCGATATCTTTGAACTGGCTTCCTGCGCAAACGATGTCCCCTATGGTCATTCGAATGAAGGCATCAAATTCTGGCAAGGACCTGTCAGGTCGTCGATAAGCAGATAATCGCCGGATCCACCGGATCATAGTGGCATAGAGCTTCTCCTGTCGCTTTGATGTGCTTCTGCTGGCAGCTGCTTCAGATGCAAGTAATGGAAGCTTTTGCTGTAGCATGATGAAAAAGGCAATATCGGGATCCTGTGCCACATTCAAGATCTGGATGTTTGTCATTTGGTCGCCGAGTAAACCTAACAGATAAAGTGTGAGTAACAAGGACGCGGATAAAGTGCCAAGCTAATCGAACCTTGCCACATTGCCGGTATCAAATGGTAGAGAATGATTTCTGTCGCTTTGACTGCTTCACCTGCTTCAATCCACAATTTGGCGGCTTCAACGTAATCTTTCTCGCGGAATTTCTTTTGCGCCTTCTGAACAATTACTTCTCGAGATGACAGCTCTTCCGGAGACAGTAGATCATCAGAGAGAAGTTCCCTTTTTTCTTTGCTTATAAGCTTCTTTAAACTTGGATCTAGGCCACGTATCAGTTCTTTTTCCAGTGGAGTCTCCCATGCGCATGCGTTCAAAGTGCTCTTAATCAATTCCTTACTCCTCCTAACCCCCCAAAAAAGTCATATCAGATGTCAATGGTTCTCAACATAGTAACCGATAGATACGTACTGAGGAGCAATAAGGGCGCAAAAAGCGGCAAGAATACCTAACCCAAATTCTTGCAATAAATTGCACCAGAGAGGTATAATGACAGATTTAGCGAACCAACCGTCAGCAAGCGACAGTTTTGAAGGAAGGAGAGTGACAATTATCCAACAGAATCGCAAAGGCCATAAAATCATCAGGGAGGCATCGGAACGTCCGCACAGTGGAGAAGCACTGGTCGATGGACCGCTTTCACCTTGACAATACCATAAGTGGAGAAACCAGAACCACCATGAAGAAGTCGTAGATGTGGGTGGCTTTGACGTATGTTTTTGCGTTTTAAGACTGTATAGATCAATGGGGTCTTTGGAAATCGCAGCTTCGTATCGCATGATGGCGTTGCCGACAGTGTGATTGGAAAGGAGATAAAGAGCGAATGTTTCTTGCCATGTAAGGCCTCGAACCACGACAAAGTCTTCCTGAGAGCAATAGCCAAGTTCGCCACAGACGATATACCAGAGTTTCCGATGGCACGCAGAATACTGATAGAAGGTTCCGTCCGACTGCTTTTGTAATTGTTGATTTGCAGCAGCTTGGTTTTGTCTGCTAATCCTCAGTGAGCTAATGATAGACGCCAGAGCAGGGTCTCCCAGATCGTAAGCAGCATAGTACGCATCGGAGAGGTGGCCATAGAGCAGGTGGGCAAGAGGAACAGCCCACTCGTCTCGATTTTGTTTCGCTTTTTCCAGAGCCGTCTGATAATATTCATCCATCACGATGCCGAAAAACCAATTTTTAAAGTTGGTATAAGCAGATGAAAACTCGTTTGACGATGATTGTAGGAGAACCAGAAGCTGCCACATATGCTTTTCATCTTCAGGTATAGAATCGAATCTCGTAATATGCAGCAGCGCTTCAACATCGATATCAGCTCTTGCAATGGAAGGGCGGGGATAATTGTCGTCATCATTTTCATCAAACGATGTTTTGTCCTGGACAAGTCTGACTGTTTCCAATAATATGCGTAGCTCAGTCTGCATACTATCAGTCAAGCTATATACTGCATTAACTTTTCATGCAACGTCATACCTCATACTCTGAACTTTCGTCTGAATTTTCACTAAATGCAATAAAACACGATATAAGAAATCGGAAAAAAAAATAGACACAGCAGAAAATTCGGACTGACTCTATTGTACGCTGTGTCGGTTCAGCAGCGGGTCGCTTCTCGCCCGAACGCCTGTGTATGTTCGCCACGTATAAGATAACAGAGACGATCAACGATATCACTCGTCATGAACTTAATGACGGTTAACTTACTCAACGACCCTTTTCACCTCACTATTCAGTGGTCAGAATAAGAGTTATCTTTCCGAGGCGATCCACGCATAGAATTACCATCCTTTAGCTAATGCAGTGATGACATCCTGCTCAGTCGTAGGGCTAGCGCGGGAAGGAGACACCACAGATTGAGACAACGCTGCTTCGGCAAGGCAAGCTATCATGTCTAATTGTTGCTCGTATCCAACTGCGTCAACCGAAAGAGGTTTTCTGGCGCACAGGCTGATACATCCAATTTATATGAATCACATGACCTGTATAGCACCACAAGTGGTATGATGCCCCCAGCCGAAACCTCATTATCACCATAGTACGCCTGTTATGGTTTCTAGATTTGCTTGAAGTGGGACACACCGATAGGGATGATGAAATACAATGGTCAAACATTTTTAGTTTTCCGTTAAAGAAATAATGTGAAAAAAAGGATGTATCATGGGGAATAATTGATTTTTTTTTCTTTTCATAGTTGGTCCTGATTTCTCTAAGAAGTATCCTCATAACTTTGATGTAGCAAAGCAAATATTGCAAGGCATGAATGGAGTTCAATCTTACAAAACCATAAAAAATATACGGATGCGTTCAGCTTCTACGGTATGCTCCGAAATTTAAATCAGTTACCATTATTTGCCACAATCAACCGAGATTATCTACCAGCAGTGGGTGTACCGTACAGTTGCATGCAGTAACTGATGCATGATTTATATGAATATATTATTGCAGTAGCTCTCCAGATTTCCCAAGGGTGGCTAGGGATCGAAAATACCAGCGAAGGAGATGGATCTCCACATCTGGTGGCTTAGTCCGATAATTAAGGTTTCAGCGGCGCGAGGAAGGGTCAGGGGGAACAAAGTGCTGTGCTGTGCCTCCCGTCCTAACTTGTCCTGGCGATGTCTTCGTCGCCATCTGCGATCAAGACCACAACACCTGCACCGATTACACCATGTTCTTCGTCAACATCAGCCCAGCCGGCTGGCATGACAAAACGGAACCTGGGTTTCGCTTTTTCAGCCTTTACACCGACCAACTACCCGACTGTTCCATACTCCACCGTATTGAGTAAGAGAAAAAAGGCAAAAGATGCAACATCCGTAGGTGGATCCACCGCCATTGCCCGAACTATTATTATGCAGAGTTTGTATTTATTTTACAGAACCCCTGTCAAGGTAACCATAAGAGCAACCAACCGAACCGCAATTATCTAAAGTCAGCTTTCACTGACGGTTTTGACTTAGCTGTTCCGGCCATTGCGTGTTGACTATCTTATTATGGCGAGAGCGTTGATGCCAGTAGATGACAAAACAAGCAAACGATTCTCATTCCGCTATACATCCATTGGTATGATTACCCATGCTGTAAAAACAAAAGGGGTACGTATCGACTGAAAAAAAAAATGATCCGCAGCTGGATTTTTACCCTAATATGGTTAATGTTCCAGTGGAACTTTATACCTCGACATATCTTGCCGCCTTTGCTTGCGAATACCATGATCGGAACCGTATTATACACGACGTACATCGTCTCACTCCCATTATTCCATTCTCCCTGCGCATACCAACTCCATCGACCTTTTCCTCCGCCCCCCTTTTCGTCCGTATTTCTCGCAGGTAGACTGGAGACTGTCCCCCCTCCCATGATCATGGTGACTGACAAATTTCTTAATCATTTCTACGTGCAATCAGGTTGTCTCGCTGGTGCAGCTCAATCTATAGTAGCGACCCCACTCGACTCGCTCAAAGTACGTTTTGAAGTCAGCGACCTATTGGAAGGCAAGCATCGATCCATGTATCAATTTGCCAAATCGACATTGAAAGAGCTTGGCCTTGCTAGTGCTTACAGAGGCTTCACACTAACGTTAATGAGGGTATTTACAATCATTTGCGTGACACCCCTAGTTTAACGCATCTAACTTTTTTTTTTTTTTTGTGTCTGCTGATTTCAACCATGAACAGGATTCGCTGGCTTGTGGACTGTTTTTCGCTACATTTGAATGGGTCAAACAGCAAGGTTATTACTATTTTTTGGATGAAATGTATCATCTGAAAGTGGATTCTACCAAGACGTTGAGCGATTTAGAGAGTGGATGGAATGACATTATCCATTCCTCGAGTCACGAGCAAGAAACGGCGATACCAGAGACTGGTGTGAAAAAGGAACGTCCGCCTCTGCTGTTGGAACCCATGTTCGTCATTTTGGCGGGCGCTGCCGCGGCCATTGTAAGTGGACGACACGAATGAATTATTAAATTTAAGCTGTGCAAATTGCAATTCTGAATCTGGATTATCATTCCCGTTGTAGGCTTACCAGGTGATTGATCATCCGTTTTCGAGAATTCACAGTATTTTTTACATTGCCGAAGGCCAGTCAGAGTTTGCTCATAAATCCTCGCGCGAACCGGTGCGGAAACTTTATGCGCGCACTTGGGAGCAATGTAAAATTCAAATGAGGCTTCACAACGGAAGTTGGCGAAAATTTTTGTATCATGAATTCGGCAGCACCGTGCTCAAAGTGGTGCCTGCAACAAGTATCGGGTTCCTGGTATTTGAACTAGTCAAGCGCGAAGTTGACTTTCGCAGGCTCGATTTTGACGCCATCACTGATGCAATGCAGGACTAAATTTACTTGAAGTCGGCTTATAGGGTCCATTAGCTATGGATATAAAATGATGTAACAATGTATAAAAGAAACAAAGCTAATGCTATGTACAAAACAAATAAAATTTTTAATTTACAGCATTGAAATTTTTACACGACCCTGATCCGCCATTGTCCGTTTTGGAGTCTATGGACGAACGAACTTCAACAGTGTGATTTATTACAAATTAATACTATGGCAACTAGAAACGGATGCATTGGTAAAAAAGAAAATCGGTAAAATGAGGGAGTAAAAGGTGGATTAGGCAAAAGTCAAGAACGTTATTTCTTTCCCTGTAAAGGTTTGCCGCTAATATGAGAAGCAGAACGAACACTATCGCTGTCAGATTCTACTCTTTCGGGCACAGTGGTTGGTATATTGTATTTGACGGGTTTACGATCAAGTTTCAGATTGGCATCGTCGTCAAACGTCATTTCGGCGGTCATATGATCGACCGTGTGCATGTTCTTCTGAGTGGTATACACATGCTTCTCGGATTTTCTAGAGTTAGTTGTGACCTATAGTAGAAACTATGAGCAAACGGCAACATGAGAAGCGACAGTAATCGTATATTTACCCAGTGAACAGTCACAACGTTGACCTAGAGAATGAACGAAGCAAACGGATAGAGTTGATCTAATGAATACGTGCTGTGTTTTATCTTCTTCATTTTGGAGCACTTACCGTTACATCGACAGTGCACATTGTTAGGCAAACAAGGCCTCTTTCGTGACCGTGGGTGATGACGACGACAAGGACGTTAAAGAACGAAATCAACAAGCATACAACCGATGCGACTAGTGTACGTCTAGCTAGCTTATATAATCTGGAACGCTTCCAATCTGTACGGGAATTACGGCCGACATTCATCAAAGGTCGCATGAAAAGCCACGTCAAATACAAGTTGAAGATCTAATGCTTGAATCAATGTTGACGGTTCTTCGATTGATCGAAATTTCAGACTTACAAAATCATAGACTAAAAGGGGAATACTGGCAACGTGTTGCAGTCCAATGGTACATTTGCCATCGGGTTCGAGATAGATGTTACGGAACGTCAACTGCCATCATGTGATTAGCCTTTCTTTGTAAGAATGTCATTCTATTACAGTGATCTCACCATAAGCGCCAAAATGATAACGTAGGGCAGCAAAAGAACCAAATGGAATCGGTACTGACACGTCTTGAAGCGAGTGGTCTTGACAGCAGTGACAAGATGGACACGTTCAATAAGCCTACAATGTATTTTTTTTTTTCAGTTTAGGGAGATTAATTAAACACTTGGTGAAAGGTGGCGAGACATACCAAGCATAAATGGCAATTTTACTTCCAGCATAGAAAATATCGCAAGTCAACATTGCCAAGGTACAGGATGTCATATTATCTAAGATGGGTTGAAAAAAAGGTGATAAATGAGTAATGGCTTCCCCTGGAATTTTTTTTACGTAGAATAGCTTACTGTTGTTGGTCGACACCAACACTACAGATGTAGCCGAGAAGGCCCATGATAAAGTATACAGCATGATAACAAGGAATCGACCATAATTCAAGGTTTTCAAAGTTTCGCCATTGGTTTTCGCGCCCAATGCCACCGCGAGAACGGTAATACAGGCCAAAGATATGAACTCGGAAGCCACTTCTAGGGAATCCGGGCTTACAAGACCTTCTTTTACCAGCACCTGCTCGGTAGTGGCATTGTCGTGGCTCATGCCCATGTCCATATCCATGTTGTGTATTGCCGAATGAAATTGAGGAGGATTGGGAGGTAGTAATAGAAGCAGAGAAACACCGGCAGGAAAAGGATAGTTATCGCGTTAATGATCGACTTATATTAAAGTGTTGGAAAAAAAAAAGGTGGAGTGCCCCTTCTTTGTATCCCCAGGACAACACGAATTTGCATATTGAGAACGACACACGACGTTGGCATTGACTCCCTAGAAACTTGTTTCTCGGGTATTTTACATGTCATTCTATTTACAGTAATACAAAGAAAAACTGTAAACCTTTTTTTTTTTTTATTGTGGGTGCCTCTGCATCTGAGCAAGCCTCGCTTCCTTTTTCCTTGATACCCTGATTATCTATCTTTTCCCCTTTTGATTGTCTGATCCCCGACACCCCTATTGTCAGGTTTATACAACAAGTTACATGGCCATCAGCTCTGAGAAGAATTTGATTGCCGGTCAAAGCCGATTTGGTTAAGTGGGGCAAAAACAAAAAACGTTACACTAAAAAACATAATCCCAGCTCCTATCACCAACGCCATGCTGTGTGTATATTTCATGGCTTTCTATGGTAATCGTCATGGTAAAAGAAATTTTGACCCGTATTTGTACTAAGGTGAAAATCCTAATGCTTCTGTTGTGCGATCCGTGCATGGGTGATCTCTTGATCCTTGAGAGGACTTTTGGCACAGCAACACTTGGAAATAGCATACAATGTTTATTTTTCATTATTGGTTTTTTTTTATAATGCACATGACTGTAAGAAACAGAAAACAGACAGTTATATTTTGTTAGATACATTGTGAGCCAAGAACAACACACAGAATATGACAGAAAATCAAAAATAACAAGATCAGGGAGCCTTATTTTCAATATTCTCCGCTTCGGCTGTTCTCAGTAAATCTTCCATTTTCTGAGCCTCTCTCATTCTATTTCCTTCCATGAGCCGACTTTCTCTCTCGTCGCGTTTCTCTTGAATCAATAATCGGTTTTTCTCGTCTTCACGCATTTGTTTCATTTCCACTAGAAGCGCCTTTTGTTTCTCGTGCTCCAGCATCTGTGCAGCGGTGGAAAAGATGGTTTGACCCCAACCTTCCTTATACGTTTCAGCCTCCTGAGATATCTCTTGCAGCTCGGTCATGATCTCTTGTTCAGCGACAATAAAATCGCGCCACAGATCGTCCCCGACACTTCCTGTCTTCATCAGCTGTTGCAATGCCGGCTTTTCCTGCTGAATGGTGACCAAGCGACGAACTCCTTCCATGGCACGTCGAAGTAGTGATGCTCTTAAATGATGTTCCGGCACTGGAATCTCGCAATTGAGGAGTGCAATGTACTCTTGCTTTTGCGTATTGACAGGGAACCAAGGTTCCACAGGTTGAAACCCTGAGAAAAAAAAAGATCTGTTAATCTCCTGAAAAAAAATAAGGAAACCATAACAACAGGGTTGCGTCGTGGGATAGTAATTACCTGCTACTCGTCGATAGACATAGGAAAACGCACTCATGGCTGTGATACAGCCGCCAAGATAAAGCGTTGGCAGTAAGAGTGAATGCATAACGTACAACAAATGAAAAAAAAAAGTGTGATGAGAAAAAAAAAGGGAGAACCTTCTGACAAAAGCTGCTTTGATAAGAATGATGATGCGCAGAAACTGATTGGCTCATGAAGTAAGTTGCACAATGCCGTGACAACTTCCAATTGCGGATCATGGCATAGCAGATGAACCTTTTCTGTCACTTTTCCATGGTCCACGTGAGGTTAGCTGGCTCTATTATTTTATAAGGTTGATCATCATTTTTTAAGTTAAAATCAAATTATTGAATTCAATATACAGCCACTCGAACACTGCAATTTATCTCAAAAATTTGCTGCAAAAAGGACAATGAAAGCGAATCTATTTCTCATCCTTTCATTTATCGATCCGCAACATCATCGTTACCATTTTTGGCATTGAGCGTACCAAACTTCTTGGCAACATCAAAAAAGTTGTAGATGGGTCTGACAGCACATAGAAATGATGTACAACTCTTGGCCCGCTTATTTTAAGTAATTGCAGTTCCTATCAATTCAAAAGCCGTAATGTGGTAGCCACCTAGTTCATTTCATACGATCATTTATCATTGCATCCTACCACAAGATGCCTGATGATGCATATAGCCTTCGGAACAGTCTCCGAGGCTCCTCGGACTTTAGGTTTCCACCGTCCTCAAACTTTGCGCGTACCTTGTTTTCCTTCAGTCAACGTCAGATAGGAGAATGCACAAACTTAAATAAACGAGGAGCCAAGAGCAAGTTTCTCATAGCGTATACGAGATGACTCATCTGGTCTGGAAAAATCGGCACTTGATTATGATACACAGAGATGAATAAGCATATCCGTCGATATAGGCTGCTGACATATAGACTTACACGGTAGCATTGGAAAACAACGAAGCATACTTGCGTGGTCATGAGTGAGCCCATCTTTCTCTCCTTGGTGAATAAGTTTTCCCAAATGGCGTTTATGCTTAAGGAGACAGTTTTTGTTCAGGAACAAGGGGGAGAATTTCAATCTTACAGTTGTTGTAAAAGCATGTCTGGCCTGAGTGTTCGTTCGCACTACTGCAAATGGTGTAGATCATGACTGGTCTGAGTGCTTAAATGTCAACTTGCAGGTTAAACTTGGTCTGAGAGTTTTATCTTGTATGACGTCAACAGACATGCTTTAGCTATTTCCTTGCTTCTTGGAAACTTGGACTATGGTGAGAAAACCTGATTTTCACTTGTTGCCTCCGCTGAATCAGCACGGAGATGCTGATATAAGCATACATGAGCACGAAAGGAATAGAAATTCAACGACACCTTGACTGATCATCTACAGACTGACACATATCCCTGCAGATGCATGACGCAGATGTTGTGGGAGGAAAAAATAAAATAAAAAAAACACGTCTTTTTCGTATTATCCTATTTTATTTTGAAACCTTATCAACCATGCATGATATCGTGAGGTACCCACAGTAGGGATTTGGATTTGAAGAGTGATTTTCGCTGTTTCTTAATGGGGCAGCAACTTGCCCCCCTGAAAAATATTCATATCGACACTTACAGGGCGTATTTTTCAAGCTGCAACATAAAAGGGTGTCATATATACAGTAAGTAGCCACATCAAAGACTACCGGAGAAGGTGACGTTCACATAATGCGTAGTGAACCCATATATCAGTCGTTTCCCACGCCCGGACTCGGATGCAAATAGTCAATTTGTATGATCCATTCTTGAAAATGATGATAACGTTCCTGTCAGGCTGCTCAGATCTTGGTCTATCAAGTGTGTGTGAGAGATATAAGCGGCAAGCACCTCGCCAAGTACCTGAGAATTTTTTTGCGATTATGAAAGATCATCTTCCACTAACTTTGGAAAGGCGAAAAAAAAGGTCATTGTTGGGTGTCCAATTGTGCGGCGGAAATGAAAAAATTCCCAAACGATCCAAAAAATAAAATAAAAAATATTGATGTGCTTATTCGCGTGAGCGCTTTGCCCGGTGTTTGGAACCATCATCCGATCGCCCATTCTCAGCCGTCACTGAATGAATAATAAGATTGGATCGCCGCTTTCGGAACCGTATTATTTAAACTAAGTATTTTATAAGATTTTTTAATCCATCGGTTTATTCATGATTACAGCTGTTCTTCGAACATCTTATATTCGAGCTTGTTTTCAAACTTCACGAAATCCATCCAGAAATTTTATATTCACAAACATGGCATCAAGAAATATTGTCACTTCTGTTTCAGTACCAAAGGTAAAGCGACAAAGATCTGATACGGCTGGGCTCACCGGACTGAGACATGCTTTGCAACAGCTGAAAGATTCTTCCTTACTGCGACACGCTGCGTTCATTAACAATGAATGGATCCCTGCTTCATCAGAGACATTCCGAGTCATTGGTAAAAACAAATGTGCGTACGTTCCTGATATGGGTATATTTCTAACCATTGGAGGCTGGTTATGGTAGATCCTGCAAACGGTGAAGAAATTGGCCAATTACCGGAAATGGGAGCAAAAGAAACAAAAGAAGCCATCCAAGTGGCATCCGATGCATTCAAAAAATGGTCTCGTACCACGGCAAAGGAACGTCATGACTTGCTCAAGAAATGGTACGACATTGTCATGGCGAATCAAGAAGATTTGGCCACCATTTTGACATGGGAAAACGGTAAAACCATTGCCGAGGCACGAGGTGAAATCGCCTATGGTGCATCCTTTTTCGAATGGTTCGCCGAAGAAGCTGTACGTTCCTATGGCAATGTGATCCCTTCGCCTATTCCCAGCCAAAGATATATCACCATCAAGCAACCAGTCGGAGTAGTTGGTATCATTACACCATGGAGTAAGTACATTTGAACTGAATGCGCATTCAAGTGATGTGTTGCAAGTGGGAATGTAACCGGCTTATCGTGCGCCTATCATCTACAGATTTCCCAAATGCCATGATTACACGTAAAGTGGGTGCGGCGCTGGCAGCCGGTTGTACCGTGGTGATCAAACCAGGCGCCGAAACGCCTTATTCTGCTCTTGCATTGTGCGAACTGGCCAAACGTATTGGTATCCCTGCCGGTGTTATTAACGTTGTCACAACCGAGAAAAAAGTCGCTGAAGTTGGCAAAGAATTATGCACTAATCCGATTGTGAAGAAGATTTCATTTACTGGCTCGGTAAGTCTTGATACATTGTAAAGTAAGGCGAAGGTGGTGGGAAAAAAAAAGCTGACTAGATTGAAATTTAGACTGCCGTCGGCAAACTTTTGATGAGTCAATCATCCGGTACCATGAAGAAGATATCCATGGAGTTGGGCGGCAATGCTCCATTTATTGTGTTTGACGATGCTGACTTGGATGCTGCTGTCGACGGTGCATTGGCTTCCAAGTTCCGAGGCACGGGTCAGACTTGTGTGTGCGCGAACCGTATCTACGTGCAAAAGGGTGTCTACAAGGCTTTTGCTGAGAAACTCGCTGCCAAAGTGGGTGGATTCAAAGTCGGTCACGGATTTGCTACGGATACGACCCATGGCCCTTTGATCAATGACAAAGCGGTTGAGAAGGTTCAGCGACATTTGGAAGACGCAGTGAGTAAAGGTGCTGAAGTGGTCATTGGTGGCAAACATCTGGGTGGCAGCTTCTTCGAGCCTACGGTGATTACTGGCATGACCAAAGAGATGACCATTTTCGAGGAGGAGACATTTGGCCCGTTGGCGGCTTTGTTTGAATTCGACACTGAAGAACAAGTGATTCAGCTCGCCAACGATACACCTTTCGGCTTAGCTGGCTATTTCTACTCACGCGATATTGGCCGTATCTGGCGTGTTGCCGAGGCGCTGGAAACCGGTATGGTGGGCGCCAACTCTGGCATCATTTCCAGTTGCTATAGTCCATTTGGCGGTGTCAAGGAGAGCGGTGTTGGACGTGAAGGTAAGATCCAAAACAGTAATACCGAATAGTTCATCCACATATTAACGTGTATACGAATGGATAGGTTCTATGTATGGCATGGATGATTATCTGAATATCAAGTACATCAACATGGGAGGGCTTCAATAATGCTGGAACATAATGAAGAAAAACGAAAAGCTTGCTCGAAAATTTCATCATGACTAATAAAATTCTTTTCAAAAAAGCAATTACCGTGAGAATTTTAAGCGTGCATGAAATTTTGTCATTTGAAATTCGGGTCCCATTATCCAATGTCGTAACATGAATATCCTATTCTGTTTATCTTTCAACTACTGGTCATAATGCACCCTCATCTTAGAACTCTGCCGATACTTCGACGAACATGGATGGTATAACTTCCATCCCGACTTGCTTTTGCTTGTTTCTGACATTAAGCTTAGAGCAGCGCTGGCATTGAGCCATCTCACGGTGCTATTCTTTTCCCCGGTATATAACCATTCTCTACCCCCCCCCCAGGGACTACCTCTAATAGAGTCATCGCGCTGATTGTATAAAGTTATATGCCAGGTCAAGGATCGCAATATGTAGGAATGGGCAAGGATCTTTACAACCTCTATCCCCGTTCGGCAAAACTGGTATTCAACGAAGCAGAAGAAGCTTTCGGTGGTGGGCTACGGTCTCTAATATTCGGAAAGAATCATGTACTGGAATACAACAGCTGCGCTTTGGGTTGCATGTAGACTCATATGTATATTTGATTAGGAGAAATTAAAGTTGACGGAAAACGCTCAAGCGGCGATTCTGACGACGTCGGTGGCGATGTTGCGGGTTCTGGAAGTCGAGTTTGGATTTGATATTGCGAAAGCATGTAATTATGCGTTGGGACACTCCCTTGGAGAATACACCGCCCTAGTTGCCACTCGAAGCTTATCACTCTTTGATGCCGTAAGACTCGTTCGACTGCGCGGTGAAGCCATGCGAAGAGCCGTGAGGGATCACCAGGGACAAACCGCGATTTCGGCCTTGGTGGTTCGTAAAGGATGTTTGTCGGATTTGAAGGCCGCCTTTGAAGAAATGAAAACCGGCCTGCCGCAAGGTGAAATTGTATCTCTGGCCAACATTAACAGTGTACGGAAACGGGGGTGATGTCTGTGTCACGGTGTGTTTGCGGGGTTCTCATATTTAGCTTGTTATAGTCATTTCAAGTGGTCATTAGCGGTACGGTGAAAGGTGTAGATGAAGCATCACGTATTTTGCAAGCAAAAAAATTCGCTGCAAGGGCTGTGGACCTACCTGTCTCGTAAGTTGGCAATGGTTTAGGGCTTAGCCGACAATAATTAAATGATCGTTTTTCCATCGGCAAGTGCACCCTTCCATTGTGCTATCATGGAGCAAGCGGCACAGGAGATGCAAGAAGCCCTGAAGACGATCCAATTTAGACAGCCCTGCGTCGATGTAATATCTAATGTGTCATGCAAGCCGGTAAGGAGCTTTGACTTGTATTTATCTGGAACCATCTCATTAACTCTCATTTACAGTACGTTAGCCCTGAAGAGATTCCTCTTCGACTGGTAGAACAAATTACGCAAACTATCGATTGGCATCGCAGTATTTTATACTGTAAAAGTCAAGACATTGATGATTTTATCTGCTTTGGTCCCGGCAAAGTGTTGGCCAATCTCCTGAAAAAAGAATATCCGCTGGATCAAGTCAAGTAAGTGTTTCTTTTTTTTTTTTTTCATTGGTTAGGGACCCGATCTTATTTTTCAATAACTTTTTGGAATTACCAGATCAATTACCTGTGCGGATGATATTCTTCGTCATGCAGAAGAATACAATAGATTGCAAGATCATGTTTTTGCAAAAGGGGATTCCCATATACCACCTTGTGCTTGATTCTTTTTATACCTACCTCACTCAAATCAGCATAATGACTCTATGTTACAAAAGAAGAAAACATAACTGTATAGGGGCGTTTAACTTGTCCATAATTGATTAACTCTGAAAGTTGGCAAAGTGATGATAACAGCGTTCAAGGATTGTTTTCGTGATACGTTCTTAAGGAATGGTCCCTACAACGTTACAGACCGGATGAATCCTGATTAGGAATTTTAAGGAGCAACAAAATGTCGTGCACTGCCTTTTAAACAGATACCCTTTTTTAACATGGGCCTACTTTTTTTTTCTTACCACGGAGGTGCTCTCATAGCTGAAAGAACCAGACGAATCCTTTGACGGTGGAAATGCTCCAGTATACTGGGTGGTGTTCTTATGATCAAAATCGACCGTTGCATTGTCAAGTGCGATTGAACTCCCGGTTCTATATTGTCCGCGAGCGCCAGTCGGTTCAACGGATTCATGCAAATGTAAACTTTTGTCAACCTCCTAAATCGATTTTCTCCTGAACTAGATCGATTCATCTCGTACCCAGAACAGCGATGAAGAAGTGGAAGGACATGAAGACTAGGATTCTGGTCAGAACATGAAACTAGAAAAACTAACAAATCTGCAGAAATATCTGATGATCGGCACGAACGGTCACCCACGAAATGAATTATACAATGTCGTACAAACGCGACAACGTGGCCAACTTCTACTTTGGTGATCCCCGCCACTGTAAAATGTCACTCCATGCTCAACAATACTCCTTGGAACTTTAAACTTTGTGTGTGATTGTCAGCGATGACCCTCGCACCCTATTTATCCAAACAAACGAAAGAGACTTTATAGTACCATCTCCACTCAATCCAAGCATTCGTCACTCTTATCGCTGTTCATATAAAATATGAACCAACCAATTCAAGCATTTCCCTCGCATCATTCCGACGAACCCAGCTGGGAAGATCCCTACCAATCATCACCACATAACCCATCGCTTACATATCCTACGAAACGGTCTCGCATGCCTAAATTTAATACCATATTCAGTGACGACGAAGATGATCACCATCAACGCTGGAGCTCGGTCAACAATCTCAACGGTATCCCCTCTTTGAGCTCTGTTACACCATCCTCGGTTGTATCTGGTTTTGTGGACCCGGTACTTAGCTCAACTGCATATCATATTCACCTTGCCGAGAATGCCTTGTCTACGCTGAAGCACATTATCCTCGAGGAAGGCTGGAAAAAGGCACTCAAGCATAAATCGGGAATTGTCGTTCACATGAAGAATGGCATGAATAAAACCGACAAAACACCCATCTTTAAAGGCGAATATGTTATTCAAGGCTTTTCACCACAATCCATCTTTTACGTAATTGGGATGCGAAGACTTTGGGACGAACAGTAAGTCCAATCTTTTCGCTAATCACCGCAGTAGAACTGAAAATAATGTGGTAGATACGAAGACGGAAGTTTGATTGAGAATCTAAACGATACAACGTCCCTCACTTATGAAATCACTAAAGCCACGGCTACATCTAAGTAAAAATTGAATCCAAATGAGTGGAACAAGGGGAAACTCGTTCTTGACATTTTGTCATGTTTAGGCCTCGTGATCTAGCGTTGGTAGAAAAGATCGAGTGTACCCAGAATGGATCTATTATATTTGCGTGCACCAGCGTCGAGACACCTCGTATACCTCGAATTCAAGGTCATATTCGAGCCAACATCAAGGTAACAAAAGTGGTCCCCATAATGTACATACAATTATCTGGGGTTGCCTAGTAACATTGATTGCAGCTTCAAGGTTGGATACTGGAGCCCGTTCGTGGCCCGGTCCTAGCGACTCGCGTCATTTACGTTATCCAAGAAAGCATGAAAGGCTGGGTGCCCGGCTTTGCCAAAAAAAGCTTAGCACGCCGCCCTTTGGTGATTGCTCTTATCAACGAGTATTTGCAGAAAAAAGCGGATCGAATGCGCGCGCAACACAAAATTCCTCAGCTATCTTCTAAATCTCATATCCGTCGACCGTCGGTTCTAAGCTACCAAAGCGAGCAGGTATCCAATAAAGGCAATAATAAGTAAGTGCTTTTCCTCGACGTTTTAACGGAAGGCTACTGTTATCAACGAAAGACGCGCTTTTCTAGATTTCATACCATGCAGCCCAGTCACAACTATTCAATCTCGACACGCCACGACGCAAGGCGGCATACCACGCTCACGGATTCACAGAGGTCTATCTTACTGCCATCATTGCAGAAGAATATCCAACGTCCATCGACCAAGCATATCACGTTTGCTGAATTCGACACCAGTAACACCACCAATATGCCGCCTGAGGCGGTCATTGAGCATGAAATACGTGGGGAATCCTTGAAACAGCAAAATTTGCAATCTCATTCACACGCCTCACCCGTTAGAAACGAAACTCCCGAAAAGCCGGCGACTACCCCAGTTCCGTCGCCGCCATCCAAGCATCTTTACCCTGCACAACGCCATATGAAAAAGAAAGCGGACAGCTTGAAACTGCTGAAAGAACTGTTTACATCGATGGATTATTGGTCTTTTGCAGAAGAAAAGGAGTCCGTGAAACATTACAAGTATCAGAGAGTCAAGTCTTTGGCGCCGACCTTTATTCGAACAGAGACTACAATTGATGGACAATGGAGTGCCGAACAACTCTGTTCTGCTATCCAATGCTTCGGCGCGCGAAAACAATGTAACTGCAGGCACCTTTTGTTATTGACAACACGAGTACGCTAAAAAGTTTATCCTCAGGGGACACTGCGTTTAGAGAAGGCCAAGTCGTAGAAAGGTTCAGCCAGAAGGAATATTTGGTGCGCTGGATAATGCAGGAACATAATGCAGCCGAACCTTTTGATATTTGCGCGCTCAGTTGCATTGAGACGGACCCTGTATCAGGAGCCATTTTCACAGCAAGCACAAGTGTCACGGATTCACAGCTCCCAATGGATCCTCAACGCAACCGCGCGCAAATGGTTCTTTATGGCTGGATCTTTACTCCCGTGATTCATCCTTCCACAAAGGCGAAAGCAGTCAAAGCGACGTTCATAGGTCACGTCGAAACTCCAGGTGACGCTTCTGTGAGGCAATGGCAGGGTCTTACAGAGCATCTTAGTACCTGCATGAAGCATCTTCGTCATTACGTCAAAATTTACGGCTGCCCTCCTTATATTCGACGCGTCGCTGGAAAAATCATAGACGAGACCTACGACCCCAAGCGCAATGTGTATGAAATGACCTATATCGCGAAACATGAACCCTCCAGCTCTTACAAGACTCGTCGAAAAAGCTCGGGTGGCTGGTACACAGACATACGGATTTCCCATAAATTGTATCCCGAAGGATTCGATGTTCAGACTTCCCCCTCAGCGGGCGTATCCGTAGAATTTCTGGAAGATCGACATGCATTGAAAGTGTTCACCACGGATCCAAAGTTAGATCGAGGCAATGTTACTGTGCATCTGATGCCTCAAGTAACGCCAAAATCGACTTGCAAATATACGTGGAATGGTGTAAAAGATCTTTTGACGGCTGCCAATGTGAATTTAGAGCGACAGAATAAAAAGCCAATGGCGAATCCTGCCAAGCCTGCTTCGAAAGAAAAAAAAGGTAAAGCTCAGAACACAATCCACGCTGAATGCAGCTTGTCGCTCATAAAGTTTGCGATTTGCATAGTCGAAAAGAAACAAGAAAATGAGAAGATACAAACCGCTATAAAAGATACAACTACCGAGCAACTTTCCTCAACACAAATGCTGCAGGTTCCTAAAGGATATGTGCTTGTTCCCGAACATCAGGTAAGGCTACCCATTGCCCCAACCTTTTCTGAGCGTCTCACCGACAAATTCTATAGACAAACCACATCGTAATCATCACCGACGACCTCTCATTTAATGGGCACCAATTGGCCGTTATCTTTATAGCAATGATGTTCTGTTACTACATGGGAAAATTGGCCTGCGCATGTGATTATTAATAGTTGGAATCGCTATTATTTGTATAAGACACAAATGATCGTCTTTCATAAGATAAAAACAAATACATCTACCGATATAATTGCCATGCGATGATACGGACAAGCAGATTAACGCAGTGAGCGATGGAGCAAACTTTTTAATGTGGTGAGAGAAAATGCTGGACGAAACGACTCGGTGCCAATTTTCTTGCTCGGATATAATGTTAGCGATGCTAGTTGCTTGAAAACATATCATACGATGTATGTAAAAAAAAAAAAAAAAAAAAATGTGGCTAGTAGGATGGCATGCGCCATTGTAAGATATCACTCCTCCAATAAATCCTTGCGTGATGGCTGTATGTAAAAGTGTAGAAAAGGGCAATCAATATTGGCTATTGACAAAGAGTTAACAAACATACTAGGCTTTCAGCACTTACAACTACTCGTCCAATTCACTGATGCCGATGTTCCGTAATTTTTCTATCAGGCTGTTCATTGTATCCATCAGCAACATTTTTCTTTCCGTGTTTTCCGCAGACATGTTTGGAGACGAAGAATCCATTTGTATCGTGGACAGTTGATCTGTAATGTTGGCGATGGTCTCATCCAGTTGAGACTCGGCCTCGGCTTTCTCTTTAGCGAAGAGAAAATCAGACAGACCGTAGAAATTGGCGGATTCGCGAGGATTGCCAAATTTGGTGATGTGCTTATTGGCGAGATGCGACACCAGTACCTTGGTGATCTACCAACGATATGAAATTACACGTGATTCGTAACCCCTCGCTGCGGAACACTTACCGAAGTCAAATCTTCATATTCATTCAGGGCACTGGATGACACTGACGCACCCGTTGATTTCTCTTCCACGTCTTTCTCTAACGAGCGAGGGAGTGCGTGTGTCTGTCGGAGATTATCCAATTTCAGTTTGGCAAGAAGTAGCGGGGTCAAACGAAACGGGTCTGATGCTGGAACACTGGCGCCTGCAGAACAAATGCACCTATTGTCAAGGTATTTGTTCATGCAAATAGTGACAAAATCATGTTGCAAGACCCACCTTCTTGTAATAGCATAAGCACACATTTAAAGTTACCGGCTAACACCGCTAGATCCAACCATCCACATAAGACACTTCTCTCTCAAGTATTATTTGATAATTGCAACTCGTTTTTACCCATATGCATAGGTTGGAACCCATCAACATCACCGACTCCGTTATTCACATCAGATCCTGCCTGAATAAGTACACGTGCAACGGCTGTGGCTTCGGCGAGATCGTCGCGACGACTGCAAGCAATGTGTAATGGCGTTCGTAGATGTTTATCTCTAATGGTATCTGGATTAACGGAAGGAAGTGCTTCAAGAAGTGCTTTGACTAGAAACCGAGTAAGGATATTAATCAATATGACAGTGGGGTCGTCAACTTACCGTCGGCTGCATTTTGACGTGAGCAAGCATCCAGTAAAATAGAATCGGAAGGTGTCAATTGCAGCAATGCACGTAGTCTTTCCACTCGTTGTTTCTTATGAGTCTGTCGAGTTTTGGAAACGCGATGGTTGGTCATTTCCAATAGAGTTTGAACGTTACTTTGTGCAGTTTGACTTGGAACAACGTCCAAGTAATAGTTGCTGTGACAAGGTTCCTCCAGAAAACCGAAAAAAAAAGCATGTCTAAATTGGGATGCGGATTCTGCGCAGCCCAAAATTTCGGGAACAGCGACTCCGCAAAGCCTCGCCTGAATTGACATCATTGCAATGCCTCTACCTCACCCAATCACCCAAGTATGGAGTTTGTACATGTATATCGTAATAAACGATTTGACAAACCCTCTATTATATGTTGTATTTATTTTTTATAATCTAAAGAGGATAAATGAGGAACGAAGGTGAATCAATGGGTCTATCATTTACGATGCGAAGCAATCGCATTTATGCTTCACCGAGAAGCCATTCTACCACAGCTCCTTCCTGCTCTTGTGTATCTTCCCATTCTTCTTCCGGCAAGAACCATTCTTCATCACTTTCTATAATGCCTGGTTCACTGCTGACACTGCTGGCGTACATGGAAGATCGAGTATCATCGGGTTCCGTCACAACCAGGGTTGGCATCGTTTTGATCGTATCCGTCTGGACGGCAATATCTTGACCGGCAACCTTGGGCTTCGTAAGCGACGACTTGATTTCCAATGCGTTTGGATCTCGCTGTAACATCAGGAAACGCTCTCGCCGAGGGATATAGGACGCACGTTTTTGAATAAATTCATCGACCGAGTTTGCTTGTTCGAATTTCAGAATTTTATCAAGAACCGCGCTTTCGGTTTTCTTTCGGGTGGGTCGAGGCAATTCACTGTTGTTGCCTTGCTGTTCTTCTTGTAATCCAGAATACCATTGTGGCATCATCGATCTTCTTCGAATCACAGGCTCCGCGTTATCCGTGGTCTGCTTGGATTTTTCATCCCAAGCTTTGATGGACAGACCAACAGTACCAGCTGTTGATAGTCGCTGACGCAACGGATCTGGCTTTCTGCTGGAAGCGAGACCATAATTCTCATGGTACGATTGGCAGCGAGCTGCTCGTTGAGCTACCATGCTCGAAGGCCGTAGAGGTTTGTCACCAGCATCGGTTTTGTTGGTGACGGCAGTTTCCTTGTCTTGATCGCTTTGTTGCGTGAGATCGGGAGCCGACTTGTTACTCTTGCGCTTTAACGTGTTGACAGTGGGTATCTCCAGCACAGAACCCATCGATTTGGGTGATTCCACTATTTCGGTTTCATCGCTGCTAGTGGTCGGTAACGAAAACGATTCAGATGTGATTGTTTCGCTGCTACTGAGTGATTCGTTGGATGGGGATGGTTTTGGTAGAACGGGTATCTCTAGCGATTCAACTTGCTTTGCATGCTCGTCTCGCTGTCGCCGCAAGTTTTCTCTACTCTTTCGGCTACTAAGACTGCTGCGTCGTAACACCTTAACTTCGCCCTTGTAGTCTGTAATGCTCGTGCTTCGCTTTATCATTTTGGTATCCGTGGTTTTCGTTTCGTCAGATGAGGCAACTTCTGTAAACGGCAGCGATGGACGGGCCTCGGATTTTCGAGATGAAATGGAAGACTTGGGCGTGGGTAAAGCACTTTCGTCTGCCTCTCTATGTTTCATGGTTATTTGACTGTCTGAGTTAGGAATAGCAGCTGGCTTCGTTGACTCGTTGGGCTGGTCATGTACTTCCTTTGACAACATGGCGGATGATGATGATTTTTTGGGCAGTGTCAGGGCTGGCCCACTGTCTCTGAAGACACCATTCAAAGAACGGCTCGTTTTTTCGGTAGATAAGGGAGGAGGGCTCTTGGGTCGTTGATGACTGTTTGAAAGACGGGAGGTAGAGGTTGATCGACGGTCCCATGGGATGACTGGCGGCTCGTCTACGCTAAGATCTTTGACTTCAATTGAGCGCAAACGATTGGGCGTCAAAGAAACGCGCATGGTGCTGCCCGAACGAACGAGCTCTTCAAAATTTAGCGTGGGCGCGTCAGGATCATAGATTGCATCAATAATGCTGGAATCAGGAGGGTGAAGATGGACAGCGGTCTCCTTTTTGAAGAGCTTAAACGCCTTTTTGCTGCTAATTGTATTTATCGTGTAATTGCTTCGCTCGTTGGTCAAAACAGATATGGGCCGATAAGTGATATTCGATTTGATCGAATAGGCGGATACCGTCGAGCGATTATGGATTCCAAGCGTGGCAGACTGTGATATTGATGACAGTGGCTCGTCGTCGATTTCGTAATCAAAATCCAAATCATCCAAATGAAGTTCCAGAAATTCGCCATTGTCTTTTTCTATGAACGACCATCAATCATCAAATCGTACCCCTGAACCTGTATATGAAACTCATACTTACGCTCCACATTCGCAGAATCTCGCTTGTGTGATTCAGCTGATGACGGATAAATGGTGGATAACCGTGATCGGGCAATCCCAGCACCCGCTCGTTTCTAATTATTTCAAAATCCACCGTCAAAACAGAGCATGTTCCAACGTAGGTTGCTTTTCGGTGTGTTACCTCGATTTTTTTGTACGCGTTCATGTGCTGGAACAGATCACTCAACTGAGCGTCATCAATGAGTGCCAGGAATACTTCCTTGACGCGGATATAATCGGTATCTTCATGTTCCGCCATGACGGCAATAACTGTGAGAATGTATTCGGCCATGTGTTCGAGAATGGTGGTGATATAGATGGCTACGATAGGTAAAATGACAATGGAGTTGGAAGACCGGGTGGCGGCCAAGCGTTGATCATCTTTGTCAGCTAATGTACAGAATTCGAAACATTTCATTCGCAAAAGAGGCAATGCTTCTTGTAACGGAAATTCGGAAGTGGTGCCTAAAGCGCGCATCTTCTCATACGTGTCGTAATCCACAGATTCTGTTTCGGTATAGGTCTTCACTTCGAGTTCAGCTTCAACGATCGCATTTTTCCCCAATGTGGAAGATAATAAAGTTAACGTGGTCGCTTTGATGCATGAAAGGTCCAATGAAAGAGAAGACGTCAGCAGCAATACGAGGAACTCATCCAAAAATTGGTTGATCGTTTGCAAAGCATCAGTGGATACTCGGTAAGGCCCCAGTTCAGCAATGATAGCGTTGGCTGCTCGCTGACAGATGTAACGAATATCCGCTACAGCGAATCAAAAAAAAAAAAAAAGTTATACGTTTCAGTAAAAAGAGGTATTCAACTATTGGTATTTGTGAAAAAAAGTAGAATATATTATATATTTACCACTGGACATGGCAGTAATGAGAGGAGCAGTAATGAGAGGAGAGATGGTACTGTTGTGATGGAGTCAATATCTGGGAAAAAGAGTAAAAAAAAAGAATATGTATGGTGTAAAGAGAGAAAAGGGTGACGGTATTTCAATATGCAAGGGAAACCATAAGTAGACGGAAAGGAGAGGAGAGGCAGAGGAGTGAGTGACGAACGATCCCGCCTTGAAGGATGTGAATGGAGACAGAGGCGATGGGGTTTCTAGAAAGTCACGCTCTGGGCAAACGAAAACAATGAAGTACTAAATTACAGACTCACAGCAAGGATGCACAAGCAAATTTATCACTGCCACAATCGGAAACGGATGCACGAGTCCCAGAACAGGATCTGCATGACGATTGGATCACTTAATAGACTGTGGCGTGACTTTAATAAGATCTGTGCCTTAGTCCTTCTCAAATGTTATGAGTGGATGTGGCGGGTCGCATTTGCATACACCTTCTCCTTTATCACACCTTTTTTTTTTACTGTTCTTTGCTTTTCTTTCATATGATGATATTTGAGGTGCGCACAAGCCTGCACTGTCAGGTCTTCCATCCGCACCAGTTCCGTCTACATATTTTCAATCTCAGAATGAAAGCGCCCACGTTGCCTAGCTTTTGAGCAAAAATCATTCGAATGTGCTGGTGAAGCTACTGAAAAAAGCCGAAAAGGGAAAACAAATCGTATTCTCCTTAAAAGTTTTTGGCAACTATCCAAAGTTGGTAGCCTATGCGCTGCGCAAAGAAAAAAAATTCTGCTCACGTGGATAGGATCGACTAGTATCTCCATATGGCTCATGCCATTGTGCCCAAACGGATGCAATATGGTAAGACTCGCATGCATTCAAGCATATTCTTTGTTTTCGCATATTCTGTAGGCGTCTTCTACTCTTACTTGGCAAAAAAAAAAAAAAGACAACAAAAAACTATCTTGCTTCTCCATGAAGTGTGCCTTGGCACATGTCAGCATGGTCGTTCGGTACTCACGTCATCGTACCGATTCCATTCACCAACTTATTCGGATATCTCCTATTGCGACATTTACTGTTCCAATGGCAGAATGCTTGTTTCCCTATAAAAACCAGCTGTTCTTTAATTCAGTATTTCTGCCCTCGTCCTATTTTGCCTGGCATTTTATTCTTAGCCCAGACCTCTGCGTCTAACGTCGATCGCTCTATCAATTCAACTTGGCGCCTTCCATATCTAGGCAATATGTATGTATATATTGATATATACATTTGTATTCTACGTTCTTTAACGCCATTTGCTTTTAGTTTCAGGCTCAACGTTTCAATACTCAAGACAGATAAAATTCGAACATAGGTCAATATATTAAATCGCGGATCAAGGGGGGTTTTTTTTTTTTGAAGACTTGATCTTCCAGGCTGTTCAAGCAACTAGTTTAATAAGCTTTGGCCCCTTGGTAAAAGAAGAAAAATAAACCAAGAGCCGTTGGGAGGGACGATGGTTCCGGAACCAAGGAAAGCGATGCCACTGCTTATATATCAAGCAAGCCGACAATCACGTTGACATGTGCTGAGTCTTGAATAGAAAAAACGATAAAAGCTATTGAAATTAATCCCTAAACGTTGCCACCGACGTTTTACTGTACACCATAATAATGCTAACAGAGATTACAGTTACAGCAGCATCGAGCATCTCCTTCGGACAACCTGCATGCTTGCAGCGGAGAGTAAAAAAGAGTATTTCCATATTGAGCTAACAAAAGACCAAAAACCAGGTGGATAAGACAATCAATAGTTTTGTCCCATAACAGCAAATCATTTATGATAAAAAGAAATCGGTTGTATTGTTACCTATATATATGGCGTTTGGAGTTTTATGGATAATATATGTAGCTAGGTGACCTGTATTTAGATTCAGAGAGATCTGTGAAAACGAAAACGCCAAAGTAAAAGAGGACATTGATAAGCATTCTATTTCTTTGACATTTCCCTTGTTTTCGCACCCTATATAAATACAGTTTCCAGCAATACCTTCTTTCCTTATACTGGTACATCTTTATTTAACTTATTATAATTATTTTCCTTGTAACTATGAATAGTCTCAAAGAATGGACGGACGAAGAAATCACTCAATACTTCCGACAAGCCTCATACACAATGACATACATGAGTATTTGTCTGACGTGCACCATATGGCAAATCCTTCACGCTGGAGCTCTCGTTTGGAAGACTCGAAAGTTCCTTCACGGAGCGGTGTTTTTTGAAACTATTCTTTCGTTCTTCTCTATACTGTGTAGCGTTCTCAACCCGCTCACAGAACTCAGCTGCGAACTGGTAAAACAAATTCTCACTCGAGAGATGCAATCATATTTACTCTCCATGTTTAGAGGTTTTGGGTGTCGATTATTTCAGTTAATCTTGGTGGATGTTGCATCCAAAGCATTCTATTGTATAAAGCATATATTTGCTACGACCGTGCAAAATCGCTCATTATTATCGGTTCTATCATTAATCTCGGTTATGTCGCTCTAACATTCCTGTATGCAACGCTTGGACGGGTGCCAACGTACAAAGACTTCACAGGACACTGCTTGGTAGAATACACAAAATTGCATTTTTAAAGTCTCAATGACACTAATGACTGCATTTTTCTTGTAGCTTAATAATTGTAAGAGGATATAGATACATCGGAAACGAAAGTGACGTTTTGATTTGCTCAACCCGCTCTCCTTCTTACCTATTAGTGGAGTGGCCAGCGCTTGCGAAACTAGGTTTAGACATTGCAAGTAACGCCTTTCTCTCTTTGGCCTTCCTACTGGTGATCCATAAACATTACCGCATTTTTGGTAACAGTCTTCACAAATCACTCTTGTCAAGCGGCATGTTATTCTCGTAGGTATCAAACTGCATCCCGAGATCTGAAAACCAACTGACAACGATTGCTGATTTAGGGTCGGTGTTATTGCCTCCAACGTCATTACCGCTATTCTTATTTCGTCAAGAGTGATGGGCGGACTTTCTGCTGATCTTTATTCCTTTGACTGTAAGTAGCAATGACCTGGCCCTCATATCGCTCAATCACTTGGCAGACAAATTTAGTCATTAAATTATCAACCTATCGCTCTATAAATCATAACAATTAAACCGATATTATTAGGGGTGATTACTGGCTATTTACTCATCAAACAGTTTAAGATGGACAGAAATAAGGATGCGCCCTCTGACCAGGTATCACAAACTATGCAGAGTAATGCAAGCACACTCTCACATACAGACGGTGAACTTGGATATGGCGGCTTCTTGTCAAATACAATTTATCCGCGGCGCGATCAACTCTGCTTCAATTGCCGATCACTTGGAACCGAAGAAGTCATCATAGGTTCAAGGGACCAAGATTCAGAAAAATGAAAAAGCTCTTGCATGCAAAGAAAGCAAGTCACTTCGAAACCCGATCGATTTCAGATCGATCGGCTCACCCATATACCCCAATTCCTTTTGAAAAAATAAAAACTTCCTTGCTTTTGCTTGGTTCTTTTGTAATTCTTTGGATTTTTTTTACTGACTTGTGTGCAAAATTTTGCTTTTAAACTGTCACTATTACGCAGACTTCCATTCTCACAACGCTTTTTTTCCGTTCTGTCGGGACCAATAGCGACGATGGCCAGAGGCAGCAAAACGAGCGATATAGAGTCTGTACCTTTAGTGGAGGTGAAAGAAGATAAAAACGAAGCCAAGTCAAAAATCATAGTACCACTTGTACATTCAAATCCACGATCGTACAAAGGACGTTTAGGCTACGCGTGCGTATTGGATGACGTCCCGATGTTTTTGCGCGCTTACTAAAAATAGGAATTAGTTGTCTCAATACGATTCTGCGATCTCAAAAGCCGCCTGTATTCTGCTCTCGAACATGCCGCTTAGGTAACTTTTTTCACTATAGACCTAAGAGGTTCCGTAAGCTGTATTTGCATTGGATTTGAAATATAGATACCGTGAAGAAAAAAGGAATCGAGTATGTCAAGGAGCTGGCTTTGCAGGTAAACCCAACTCAAGCTTGCCGCAACAGTAATCAAAGCACACAATTGCGCTCACACAGGTTGTGCTTTAAGAACGTGGAAGACATCAAAGCTCTCATAGAATGGAACGAAGGTAAAAACGTTGGATTGGATCCTGAAAGGCTAGGGGATTAATACCATCGACAGCACATGGTATCAAATTCATGCGCATGTCGAGCGATATTTTTCCTTTTTCGAGCCACGACGACATTGGGTAATTTTTGTCACATTTACGCACTAATCATCGGGTAATGCTAATATCGATTCTGTTTTGCTAAGATACGAGCTGGACTTTGCGAAAAATGAGCTTGCTGAAATCGGTGAGCTTGCTGCCAAATATAACCATCGCTTGGTAGGTTTCATGCTTGACGATTCATCAATGGCATTGCACTGAAAGAATCATCATATACCATAGACCACTCATCCTGGTCAATACAATCAGCTTGGCTCGCCAAATCCACTGGTAGTTGCAAGAACTGTAAAGGATTTGCATTGTACATACTCCGCTTAATATGGTTTTAAGAATCGAGGTGACTCTAATGTGTTGTTTTTAGATCATGCCACGATGTTGGATTATATGGGGCTTCCTCCAGATTCTATCATGATCATGTAATGTCAATCGATCATTTGAACGGACCCTCACGACCGCTCACGATTTTTGCTTCAGACATATGGGTGGAATGTACGGTGATAAACCTGCAACATTATCGGTAAGCTGCCTATTCATCTTGGTGTTATTGTACAGTATGCCGACCGTTGATGGCTTTTAGCGATTCGAAGAAAACTATAAGAACTTACCGGAGCATATCAAGAGGCGGCTGGTATGCTTACTGTGCCTTATATGACAAGACAGTGCTGGAATTTTATGATACTCTGCATAGGTTTTGGAAAATGACGAACTTTGCTATTCAGTATCCGACTTACTTCCCGTGTGTCAAAAGCTAGATATTCCACTCGTACTGGATTGGTATAAACGTATGATGTATCGATTTTCAGTGATAGCTCATTTATAGCATGATAGGCATCACCACAGCATTAATCCGGGCGAAGCGACTGGGATTCTTGAGTTATTACCGGCTATTAATGCAACATGGACTCGACGAGGTTTAAAACCTAAAGTAAGCGGCTTTTTGGAAATCTGATTTCTGCTTCTTGAAATGAATAATAGCCTCTTTTTCCTCGTAACAGCAGCACTATTCAGAGTCCAGACCAGGAGCGGTATCAGCCATGGAAAGACGAGCTCACAGCGACCGCGTAAAAACTCTGCCGCCATGCACGGACGATGTTGACTTGATGATCGAAGCAAAAGACAAGGGTAAATTTTCCATCATCTCGTGAAGACGATTCGATGACTCAAAAATTTCACTTAGAGCAAGCAGTACTTGAACTATACAAATTGTACGGTCTGGGTCCGGTGGATGAAGAGGCATATATCCCGCAAAAAGGTGTTGAATCCAAAAACACAAAAGGACGCAAAAGCTCGAAAAAGAAAAAGCCCACGGAGGAGGTCATTGAAGAAGCTGTAAACGAGGTAGTGGAGGTGATAGAAACACGAGCGCAGAGGAGAAAGAGAGTGTGTGTTGAAGAAACCACGGTTTCAATCAAAGAAGAGGAACCTAGCACAGCATTGGTCAAAAGTAAAAAACGAACAACCACGAAGAACAAAACCAAGAAGAAGGGTACATAGCACAATAATTTATAAAAAGATAACGCTCATTGCTTGTAATATAAAAGAAGATGGTATGTGAATTGCTGCTGGAAAGTTCTCCAGTGTCAATATCGAAGGGAACAAAGAAAACTTTGTAACACGAAAATCCGATATTTGACGATGAGAAGACCTTTTCTACCAGGCGTATTATTTACCATCTGTAGCGGTGAAATTTTCAATATAAAATCATTGATCCTCTTGAATTAACAAGCCGTACACCCGCTGTGCAATGGATGCCACCTGCTACTGGATGTCGCACCCATTGAGCGACATTCGTCAGACAAAAGCCTAACGCAATACGGTATAACCTGGGCGAGACTCTTGATGGAACTTTGGTAAATTAATGTCAATACTCTGGCATACCGTACAGTCCTGATTTCCAAACATGTGTGCAGCAGCACTTATTGACCCCCTCAGTCCCGTCCCGCCCAAGGTTATTTGGTATTTTTTTTTAAAAAAAAAAAAAAAGACTTAGTAAGCTCTTTGGTTAATTCAGATGTCGTCAAGATATTTTATCTTTGTTATGTGAGGCAGCATATATCCAGAGCTTCCCGACCGAAAAAAAGAAACGATACAAATATATAAAAAAAAGTAAAACAATAGATGCGTCTGTAAAAGCCTCCTAAAAACCCTGTGGGAAAAAAAAAGGAGGAAAGACTGCAAGAAGACTATAACTAAAATACAAATATACATACTACAAACTACAAACTACAAACTACAAACTACAAAAATAAAATGGTCGGGAAGAAGATCAAAGACGATACCACGGGAAATAATCCAGGTGAAGCCAAGCTGAGGAGGACGCGTAAGCACTTTCTGATGAAGAAGGAGAGTCACACCACCGACGGTACCCTTTGACGGCAAAAACCGGATTGGCCACATTTGGTGCGCGAACACAGTAGAAAGATTTGGAGGGATGGATGGCTTGTCAGGGCGAAAAGAAAACCGGAGAGAAAACCAAAAGCTAAAGAAAGGATAGAGAAAAAAGAGTTTTTTCTTGTTGAAAAACGAATAGTCACATCACACAAAAGGTACCTTTTTGATAATACTCGACTTGACCGGTTAAAGATACACGCGGGTAAACCATAGTCTGGATGATGGATGATGGATGCGAGGGGATGCAATGATAGTGAGAGTTATTCAGGTAAACAGAAAATAGAGGAGAAAACCGAAGAAAAAAGAAAAAAACGAAGACAAAGTATATGTGGATTTCCCATGGATGAAACGATAGCCACCCCACTGATGTATGAATTCATAGACGAAGCATATCTGCTCCATGTATCACTCGATCATCGAAAACCGAAGAGAATGAAAAGGCATAAAAAGTATAATTGACAGAAAAACCAGCTAAATGATGCTACAGAACACCTAGATCGACATCATCCACCACCTTTCTTCAAAAAGAGCTCCACTCACATTTTTATTTGAAAGACGACGATGCAACTGGCGCAAACGGCATCTTGCTGCTGATTGTTTCGCCTATTACCGCGGAAGTGGGCAGCGAGGCGTGGTTGGAAGATAAAAAAAAAAGGTGCAAAAAGAATTAACAGGTCCTGATAACTTGGTGTAGAACATGTGCTTTACAAAATCGCTAATTTCCCAAAGATTTAATTGTTCAGATATGTAATGGGTTAAAAAGGACAAGCTGGATATCTATGTTATGTACAAAGTAGGACTGGTATGGATCTCGCTCGCCGTTCATGAATGAGGATCACGTTCATATGAATTGAGTTCTTCTGCAGAAATAGACGGGGGAATCGTCGCAAGGGATTCTTCAAAATGAGACATATTCTAGACAAGAAACCCATATTACATATCAATCACAAAAAAAAAAAAAAACGCAATCGTAGACGTACCACATTGGTAGCGGTTTGTAGCGAGCGCAAAGCAATCATAGCCGCCTCTCGGCAAACATTACAAAGATCCGCACCAGTGTATAAATCAGTCTGTAATTTTGTAGAGTGTATCAGAACAAACACTGGTTATTTACAATGTGATCTAAAGAACTCTCCGCTTACCATTTGTGCAATGACTTGCAAATCAACATCATCAGCGAGGGGCATATGCCGCGTATGGATTCGTAAAATCTCGCACCGTGCTTCAAAATCAGGTGGTGGAACGTACACAAGTTGATCAAATCGTCCTGGCCGTAATAACGCCGCGTCGAGCATGTCAGGTCTGTTGGTAGCACCCTGAAACAAAGATTCAATTGCATCAATGCACAAATCACGAAAAAAAAAAAGCATGTATCCATTCATACCACCACTAGGACCGACTCGGCTGTCTCTACACCATCCATTTCGTTCAATAAAGTGGACAAGACGCGCTCCTGCACACTATCACCGCTCGATCCTCCGGAACCCATATTGCGTTTGCCAACAATAGCTTCAGTTTCATCAAGAAAAATGATGGCCGGGGCTGACGAGCGCGCTTTCTGGAATGTCGCACGAACTAACAGGCATGGATTAGTAAATAGGATACCCGTTTTATTCACCGCATACTCTATTGCCACTACTGTACATACCAACTGCTTCTGAATCACCCACATAAGGTGAATAAAGCTGCGCTCCATTGATGGACAAGAAAGCCGCTCCCGACGACGAGGCAATCACCTGCGATGTTATGACAGTCAGAATACATGCGCTTGAACATGCAATCACGCTATACCTTCACCAGAGTTGTCTTGCTGCAACCTGGAGGTCCATACAACAAGATTCCGCGAGGGGGTTTAAGCCCCAAACGTAAGAAAGACGCTTTGTGGAGAATAGGCCACTCTACAGCTTGCTTCAATCTCTACATGCACGCAGGCTCGTCAATCCACTGTACCGTATTTGGTTAACGTCATCGAGCCCTACCTTTTTTACGTCTTCCAGTCCTCCTATATCATTCCAAGTGGTCTTTTCTACTTGTACCTGGAACCCTCTTTGTAAAGACGGGCCCACAATTGAAAAGGATGCCTTGAAATCCGCCATACAAACAAATACTTCGCTAATAGACAATACGATAAGCCATCTATTTTTTTGCTTCGCACAAGCACCATGCTGTACCTGGTATAATGAACTTTGGTTCGCTGCACAGCATGTGTGGCAGCTTCTCTACATAAAGAGGCGATATCCGCAGCAACATAGCCATTGGTCATTGCGGCCAGGGCATCTAGAAGTGGAAGCAGAATGTTAGCGAGCTGTAACAATATACAGACCTTCACACGAACCGAGATCAATTGAATCATCCGTTGGCATCTTCTTTAACTGCGTGCTAAAGAGCGATCGCCGGGCAGATACATCCGGAGCGTCCAACGATATCTCACGGTCAAATCTAGAGTGTCATTGCCATTGATTAAACTTAATCCAAAATACACTGCACAGAGACATGTTATATTACCGTCCTGGTCGTCGAAGAGCTGGATCTACACTGTTGGGACGATTGGTAGCCGCTACAACGATAAGTCGTCCACGAGAATGAATACCATCCATCAACGTCAACAGCTGCGCAACCACTCTGTTTTCATGAGATTGTGCTTGATTTCGATGAGGCGTCAATGCATCCTAATAAACGGTTGTGAGTAAAATATTCCCAAGCGTAAACCACGTTCTACATACGATTTCATCAATAAACAGAATGACTGGCTCATTCTGATTGACTCCCCACTCTTGAGCTTCTTTAAATTTCGCTCGCAGCTTTTCTTCACTCTCACCAAGATAGGGTCCGTAAACCTCGGCGCCTTGGATGACGAACATTTTTGCATGGCAGGCCTTGGCTATGGAGGAAACAAGGAAAGTCTTGCCAACACCAGGGGGCCCATAAAGCAAGATGCCTTTAGGGCATTCGATACCAAGACTATCGATCCAATCCTTATATAGAAGCGGGTAGCTCACCATCTCAAACAGGCTCTCGTAAGCCTTCTCCAATCCCGTAGGTTTCTGCGATTGCTCACTGCCGGTTTTAGCGAGATTAAGCGAGCCTAAACTTTTCACCAAATCGTTGACAGATGATTCTTTCCCGGTATCGGCTGAATCAGTAAGTATGATTCGGGTACCGCGTGTTATCACCACTGGTCCATTATCGGGGTAAACAGAAACAACTGTAAGTTTCAATGTCGATGACTTTAACTCGTTGTGAACAATGCTTTGTGCTTCCACAAGTAAACCGTCTAAGATGTTCCTGACGCACTTTTTTCCCGACTTGGTTAATAACTGTGGCAGTCATATGTTGGCGTTTACTTACGTCAAGTTTCTGGAGTGTGGTGCCTTGATTGTATATGAAGCCGAGATCGCGCAACTGCTTCACAGTGGTATCCTGGACCTCGACGTCTATTGTCACGCGAAGAGCAGCTCGATACGAGTCAACAGGTGTGATGGTGGCTAAATAATAAATTTAGATCGACTGCATTGGAACGCTATCGATTCACGTCATTACTTTCTGCGGATGGTTCCGATGAGGACTTTGTAATGAGACAATCGCAAAGCAAGTACTCGTTGCTCATTACAGCAGGTTGAAGACGACAAAAGTTGATCTATTCCTGAATGGGTCAGACACAGTCAACCCACGGATCGCATTGTCATTACCTGATACGCATCCTGAATGCGAACCCAGTCGTTCAACGACACTTTCAAAGCTTTGAAACGTTCATGAGATACTTTTGCAATAGCTGGTTTGTCAAAACATGTGCTAATCAGTTTCATTGATGCAACAAGAAGAAATGCATAAAAAAAGCTCACACTTTTAATTTCAAGCCACAACCCCATTTCTGGAAATGTGAACCACCACTCCGGCTGATCCCTTTTTATCATTATTTTTTTACTGTTGTTGTTTTAATCGATGGCTTCTATTGCAGCCCGAATACTATCTGCTTCTGGTATGTCATGATCATCTGTTACATTTTTCATTTCTACATCCTCATCGTTTATCCTTGATGTGTCCTGTTGATGTGTCTGGTTATCAAGGTCAGTATGTGGGTCGGTGACGATCGAGGCCAACGTTTGGGATGTTTCTTGGCTGAATTGTTTTAAGGACTGCACCATTGCTTCGTTTTTTCTACAGAATCCAATGAGCCATCATATTGGTTATACACAGATGACTGATTTTGTCCTACTCTCGTAAATCTGCTGTCATTTGTCGCTTCTTTGCCAGTTGACTCTCCATGAGCAATCGAAGTGTTTCGCGAGCCTGTGTCACAGATTTGCATAAATTTTATGTAATGGAAAGAAAGGTGTTATACTTACCTGATGTGGTCGGTATTCATTTAGTATATGATGCATATTAATAAATATAGTGCTGATGTTCTCTATACGTGATCCAAACTGACCATCAAAAAAAGAAGTTAGCTTTTTGTAAACCAAATAACCATGAGCAAAAGCTGTATTCTTTACCTCTTCAGGGTTTTTAACCAGCACATCAAGCAAGTCCAAGAATTGTACGATCAATGCTCGATTAAGTTTTTTCAGTTCTTGAATTCTATCTGCTCCATTTTTCATCAGCGAGAATACTTCGAGGTCCGGGTTTGCGATATCTCATACCAATAGGACCTGCCGGGAATAACTGCTTGACGCCCAGTTCACTTAATGTTGGTAGACGATCTTGTACCTACAATAATAACAGTAAGTTCCTGCCATTGGGTTTCGCGGATCAACTTTTATTACCTGCCACTTTTGATCGAATACTGTGTAGGAATCGGTAGGTACCGGTGGTGGCTCCATGGCTTGTAGATAGAACTCGGGTAATGGTGGTTGTTGGATTGGTGCATCAGGAAACTCTCCTTTTTTCTGTGCTTCGCGTAAGAGTTGAACATTTTCAAGTGTATAGCGTTTGTAATAATTTGGCGGTGCTGGCCATGCACTTCCGGTAGATTGTGCTTCTTGCATATTGTTCGTTATAAAGTCGGCACGGTTTTTGGCGCTCCCGCAAATTGGGGAGATTTTCAAACCCGTTCTGGGAGAGAAATTTGTGACTTCTGACAGTGAAGTTGGAAGCAGATAATGTCTTTTTTGCATAAAAACCGTCTTTTGTTGTAAAAGTGGTGCTCAGAAAGCACTGCCTATAAAACTTGCGGCATTTTCCTTAGGATTATTGATAAGCACATTATGACATTTTATTCAATGGCTTGTACTTCACGATGAGTGTGTCTCTCTGTAATATGATCCGTAATATGGTCCTTCCTTGTCAGCAGCAGCATAGAGAATGTGAATGGCTGGCGCGCCAAGCGTTATGGTCCTTCACTGCCGTGCAATTCCTGCGTTCGTAAATAAAGTTAAAAGCCATTTCAAGTTATCCAATTAGCAGCGAAACTAAAGAAAAAAGATGATATTACCTGATGATAGATGAAGACGTCTTCTTTATTGTCCAATGCTAAATAAGAAAAAAGAGCTCTCACCGTGTTATACCATATTATCCATAGATAAGAGAATGGCGGCATCATCGCATGCAATTGCATGAATAGATGTCAGGTCCATAAAAGATTGATTGCAGGTATATGTCTTTATATGTGGTCTTTCTTGCTCCAAGCTGAAACTGACCGATCCCTTGACACATATAGTTGTCCGTGTTTCGTGTCAAAAGAAAAAGTGGATTCTTTTTCCATAATTTTGTAAGCTGCATATATCTGACCGTCTAACCCCCATCATTGCCTGAGCGGCATAGGTGCGGTAGACAGCAAATAGGAAGTATGTGGCTCCTTTTTCTTTTTGTTGCTGTAAGTCACTGTCACATAAGGAAATTCATAAATTATTTGAACATGATGCTTTTTTACCCAAGGGAACCCTGCAAGACAACATCGTGTTGGCCAAACCAGGACAAGGCGCATTGGACGCTGACATTAGTCCGGACCACTGTGTCCACTTTGGTCTAACGGATCACATTCTAATGGTTGGTTCAACCCGCTTTTATGCAACTCCCTGCTTCGGACGCATTCAAATATAGTCGTGAAAGCACTTCCAACCCTTCTCTTTACCAGGACACATTTTGTAGACAAGCAGCCAAGATCTGAGTTACTACATCGGCTCCCAGAACATCACCATTTCCACAATGATTTGTAGAATCGCTCTAACTTTTTATATTGCTGACAATCCATCACCTTCTGTCAGGCGCCTGTCAGTTAATCAATATATCGCATTAAAAGTCTCATTCATTTCTCCTTCTTCAAACTGTGATATCAACAGAATTGTTTCATCGTTGACAACAGCACCTCATAAATATAACGAAGAAAATAAACAAAAAGCGCATTTCTTTTAGCCATCACCACTCGAAATAACGGAAAGAATACACTAAAATTTCTTTTTCGTAAGATGATTTTTCTTAAAAATAGAGACTCGCTGACGGTGGAACCGCCAAAACTTTTTCAGCTGAATCATGGAACAACGTAATAAAAAGCTTCAAAGCGGAGTTCTATTGATGAACAGACGAGTGCCATGGAAAAGCGAATGCTCGATGTTCTCTTGGGAAGTAACGTTCAGCATGACGCTTCTCAATATTGCCGTGGTTTCCAAACAACACGATTAGAACTAAAAAATATGTCTAAGCCCAGACACTAACTAGGGACTTCTCTCTTATGGTATTAACGCGTAAAATATAACGTCATTTTTGCCGGACACAGGCTAAGCAAACTTTATATACGAATTTTATGACAAATGACAGAGGGGAAGTACAATGTTCAAAAGTTTAGACTTAAGCACTGTGAGTCTTGATCTTATCCTCGATATCCTTGAGGCTGGCACCGACGACTTCATCAACCTTGTTGCCATTGATAAAGTACATGAAAGTGGGCATAGCACGGACTGAAACGTGGGAGGCAACATCCTATATCATTAAAGAAAAAGAGAAAAACCGGTCAGATAACACGCTCTTGATCAATTCCTCTAATTCCTCTTCGATTCCACAATCCCCCTTTCCAAAACTATTAAACTTACAGCAACCTCGTCAACATCAACCTTGGCGAAAACGACGTCAGGGTAGACGTCGACCAACTTTGCGAACTTGGGAGCGATCAACTTGCAAGGACCGCACCAGGTAGCATGAAAGTCAACGACCACAAGCTTGCTGTTGTTGATCAACTGGTTGAATTCTTGAAGGTTCTTGGGTTCGACGATAGGCATGGTATTAAAAAATTTGATTAAGTAAGAGACAAACGTCCCAATTTCCGATCCCGTTGGGGTTTTTATACCATTAATTTTTTTTTTTTTGTATTTGTCAAGACTGCGCCGTCCGTTGTTTTCCAGCCTCAACAGCCAATTGGAGGGCTCGCTTAGTCATGATGTCATTTTCTTTTAATTGGCCATCTTCAATCTCCGTATTCTCACGTCGAATGTCCTGGATTAGTCGGGCTGAGCCTCCCCAATCACGCAACTATACCCTAATGGCAGGAACCGAACGACATATGAAGATGACCATTGACGATAGAAAGGAGAATATATTTAATAATAGATGATTACTAATGGCGGAAGAAGTAAAAAAAAAAATATATTATGGGGAACCAAAAAAAAAAAAAAACCAATGATTATTCATGAAACAACAAGAAGGAAATTTTGGTTTTTCGATCAGATGATTAACAAGGATGATAGGTTTCTTTCTCGGCAAATGAAATGAAGACTAAGTTGACGTGTCTGGTACGATGCATTTTTGACATACAGAATGCGATTACTAGGGAGAAAAAGCTGCCTGGTGACACTACAAATACCTTTTGGTATTTCTGCCAATTTAGACAATTCTCAAGAGCAACAAACAAGAGCGGTTTTTTAAATTTTGGGTTCTTGCAAACGGTTATTTTTGTACAAAATCGCAACTACAAAGGGCCACAAAACGACTATCTACCAATTATGACCACTGTGTATGCCATCCGTGGTGTCACCACCTCCTCCATTCTCTTGTCTATAACTTGACGAATAAGCTTGTGACAGATGGTTGTTCTCGTTGCCGAATAAAGTATTGTAATCGATATCAGAATAACGATGCAGATCCTCAGCCTTAAACAGACCCGCAGTGTCATTGTGATCGCTAGGAACGCATTGGTTGCCGATCAAAGCCATGAACTGCTCTTGAGTCAATCCTTCGGGAAACAGAAGATTGTCTGCATTCTCATCATTTGCAGGCATCGCCAAACCTAAATCAAACAGTCCATGCCTGAGTCGATCATGACAAAGGTAGTTCAAAGGGTCCAACTAGGTTTTACCTTGTTGTTGCAGCAATGATTGAATGGAAGAATCCATCCACTCTAAGCCTTCCATTTTCACGGAACCGGATATTGATGAATCTTCAGCCTTATAAGATGGTTCGCTCTCGATGATATCTGTCTGTCCATTATGGTATTCGATATCATCAAATGGGTCGTGGTCATCATCCCGATCAGGCGTGGCCAAGGCCGACGATGTAAAAGGTGCATACGTTTTAGGTCGGCCGTTGGGTCCATAATTCGTTCCCCAGCCATGGTGATAATAAGAGGGACGTATGCGTGATGAAAAAGAAGATGACAAGGAGGGATGCTGATAATTGGGGGAAGACGCAATATCGTTGGTAGGTAGAGACGATGAGTAAACGGATTGCTGAGCCTGTAATTTCGGTGATGAAGATCCCAAGCGCGGTGAGCTGGGGGTAGCATAGGGTGAGTATCGACGGGGATGAGAAGCCGACATGGGTGGTGAGCCAATGTGAATATTGGCCATGGATCGGTTGAGTGCAGCGCTGGGGGATCCGGGAATAAAGTTGGACACAGAAGAAGGGCTGCCTATCATTGGCGATTGGGGTGATCCAACATTCACCGTCATTGGCGAAGAGCCTTGGAATGATCGAGGTCGACTTGTTTCCTGCGATCGCGCAGATGCCGGTGGAGGTTGCGAATGACGATTTTGGCGGCCATCACGCATGGCCTTGATCAGCTCACGCTCCTCCTGCAATCGCTGCAATAGGATCGCTTTTTTCCCAGTGGCCGGCTTACCTCGCTGCCTTAACATCTCTTTGAGCTCTGTGACGGTAATATCATCAAAATCGACTTTGACCAGCTGATCATCTAGACGACGTTGATGTTGTTCGGCATCGAAAGGTTGGGATGCGTTCGCTCGTTGCATGCGCTGAATCTGAATAGGCATGGTACGTGAAGGAAATGAGGATGGTTGAGCACCAAAAGAAGAGGACAATGAAGACGCGTTATCACGATTATTGCCAGGAATGGCTACCCCTTGGTTGGGAATACCATCATAGGATACAGGAGGATCTTGAATGGAAATGGAAGATAAAGGTCGACCCTGATCGGATCCCAGTGGTTGTTGCTGCTGCTGCTGCTGCCGCTGCTGCTGAGGATCTGCTACGGTGGATGTGGGAGTAGAAGAATGATATTCGTTTGTGGAGAATGTATAGCGCGAAGCCGAGGATGCCGTGGTATGTTGAGGTTGTGTCTGGATCCGGCCTAAGCTGCTAGGTGTACCGGAAAAGGAGGACGAGCTTGTAGAGGAAGATGCGGCATTTTTCTGATTGGGACTGGATTTGCGTGCATAGTTGATGCGAAATCTTGCCTGCAACTCGTTGAAGCGGCGTTGATGGTCGACTTCGGTGGGAACAGAAGAGGACGAGGATGGTTTGCCGCTGGAGGAAGGAGTACCGCTGATTGGAATAGGGTTGGTGGATTTACGATTGGTCTGACTACGTTTAGTCAAGTCTTTTCTGGCCTGCGATTTCCCTCCCAGTCTGTTCGCAGGCTTGGATGTCGGCGTTTCGGACTGCTGCGCTTGGCTGGAAGTGCGGTCCGTGAACTGCGTTTCTCGCAGTGCAGCGTCCCCTGGTGGCTCTTCACGAACTTCGGTTTCCGGCGGTGGGTCGAACATGGCAGATAAGTTGGATCGAGTGGATGTGGTGATCGACCCCTGTTCTTCCGCTTCCAATTTTTGCATAGCCTTCTGTTTATCTTGCAAAAGTTGGTGTTGCCGTAAAAAGTTAGGATCGGATAATAAAATAGCTTGTTGTTCCTGTTCGGCAAGTGATAAAAACAAATTCGACTTTTCCTGAGAGGTTTGGGATGGTGGATGTTGTTCTCCTTCGTTAGAAGTCAATGGCATAAACAAAGCAGGGTTGTCGCCGTAGCCTTGTTGCTGTTGCGAGTCTGGTAGTGCTTCGTGGGTCATAAAGTCCTGCCCTATATACATATCGTCCCATTCCTTGTTCAAGTACATGTGAGAATCCACCCCCGACCCTGGAAACAACATCTCATTCAAATAAGAAGGGTCGTAACTGTGCGATCCCATATTGCCAAGAGAAAGATAAGACAAGTCGTTGTCTACGGCCGTTTGCAAGTGGTGAGATGGCTCAAATGGTTGGCTGAAGAGAGGTTGCGCATGATCGCTGTTATTGTTGTCGTTTTCATTGTCGGTGTTGAGATTGGTCCTGTCGTTGTGGTAACTGCTGCTTGGATTGTCGTAGTAATACATTGTAGGGATAAAAGCATGTACAGACAAACGATCCTAATTGGAGAAAAAGTTGAAATAAACCCAAGTTAATACAACGTAAGCCTCTTCTCTTTAGCATCTAGTGATTATGCACCTCTAGAATCGTCTGCGAAACTATATAGGTTATATTATTAAAAGAAAAGAAAAAGAGTGCAGGAAGTGGGGTAGAAAAAAATTTAGCCTGGCAAGCCTCCCATAACCACGAAACTCAAACCGATTGTTTGTTTTTTCAATCACCGATGACTCATGAAATCCTTCCTATGTCTGCGAGCTTTTGCACTATTCATCAGTCATCGTTCACAGCAAAGCTACAGGGTCTTAAAAAACAGTATTATAATTTTTTATTCTTTTTTTTACGAAAAGTATTTCTGTCAGAGCGAGCCATTTAAAGCTGGCATGATTATCAGCCTCAGGACCAAAAGAGAGCCAAAGGTTACTGAATTGATCGTCGGTTGAAAATTATGGAAATATAGTGTATGTTTTACTTTGTTTCCATCATCGATCTAAGTAGCAATACTATCGTTAAACTTGTTCTGAAAACAAGAGGAGAAAGTGGCAAAATTTGGGAGTTGGAGTCGTACTCAAAGGTAGTTGAAAAGAAATGACCACAGGACATTGACAAAAAGTGTGCATTTTAGGGACAATGGGATTCCCTGCGATGCTGTAATAAAAAGTTTACACAGTGACAGTTTTCTTTTTTTCTTTTTACATTATCAGGGTGAATACCAAGAAAAAGAACACAATAGTTACAAATATTTTGATGATTAACCAGCGATTAGAGCTAATATTAGTGTAGTATTTCAAAAGTTCCCTCTGAGCACCCATGACATTCATTTCGATATCATCCGTATTTTGATCAATACTACAGTTTTTCCATGTATAAGTTACCTTGGCGAATTCATGCTCATTCCACAACCAATGACTTACCGTTGCACTGTTTCGCGTTGCTCCGCTACCATGGTGGCCAGCTGCTGGAAAATCGAACCCAGTTCGGCGATGGTGCTTTCGATACTTTCGATCGCCGTTGAACGAGTTTCAATATAACGATCTTGTTCAAGAACCATCATTTCCTGTTGTTGTTGCTGCTGCTGTTGAGATATCATGGGTATGCCTAGGGATAATGTGGATTCTTGTTGTTCTTCCATGTGTGGTTGGTATGTATGACTGCTGCCAGGCGATTCTCCTCCCGGGCCACGTCGACGTGACTTTAAAAGTGGTGAATTGCCTTATTGTATACCCAAGGTTATTACTATGATTCGGATTTGTGGCCATATTAAAGGGATTTACCTAGCATGGGCTCTGATGTCTGCTCTGCTGCAGAAAATAGAAATTGGTCCCGTTTATCCTTGGACATTTTCATATTCTTTCAACAAAACGGTTAGATACAATGGCCAAAAAAAAAAAATCAGGCTAATATAGTTCCTGGGAACCGCCTACCTCTGTTCGTATTTCCAAGACATCTTTGAAGCTCATGGATGTATCGGCTAGCTTGCTTTGCAATGCCACCACAACATTTGACGTATGTTCGTTTGCTTGCTTTGACGACTGCCGCTGGCTCTTTGTATATTCTTGGAGCATCGCAATCTGCTTATTAAGTTTGGCAATGTCTTGTTTTATGATGAAGGTTAATTCCTATAAAGTAGAGAATGCGACCATGAGTATCCTGTTAATGTTGTATGTGTTCAATAGCTGCTCTTTCTACATACGCTGATTTCTACTGGTTTGTCATCGAAGAGCGTTTTTCGTTTTGCCACTAAAAAATAGCGCCAAACATCAATACAAGTTTTTTGCACGGATGAATCCATGGCAGCTGAAATGCTTACATCGAGTCAGTTTTTCTAATTTGCCTGCTGTATTTGTAATGTTGCGACTGATTTCGGCCGCCATGAGTGAGAATTCGCTTCGAGCGTGATGTTTGGCTTTAGGTGAAGATGGCTTTGGTGATGACAAGAGCGCACGTCGCTCTAATGCCGATGAACTATGGCTGCGCGAGCGAATGCGTTCAACGACAGCATGAAATTCTGTTGTACGATCTTTGAAAGTCATCGACAGCCGGCAGCGGTTCTTTTTTTTAAAAAATCTATTATTTCGCAAAAGGGTAGAAAACCAAAACCCCCCATTTGATCATTTGTCCCAAAATGAATGTACGGCGGAGTTTGGAACTGATCTTCACCACCCTGTGCACCCTGTTTGAGCTTACTTTTTACTACAGTCATGCAATATTGCCACCGATGCGAGACATGCCGCGATATAGTAATAATAACTACAAGTGGACTACTTTCTATGTATTACTTTACGCATATGGATCTCATAAATAGGATGGATATTAAAAAAAAGGGTAACAAAATGAATGCAAAAAAATTACAATTTAGAAGAAATGAACAATAATGTAGGTGATGCATATGGGTTTGGAGAATTTTGTCTTCAGTTGCCTGTTGATAATACGGCTGAATGATGATGTGATTCTTGTTGCCGTGCTTTGCGGGCTTGATGCTTACGCTGCTTACTCAAGATACTTAACAAGTCATCCTCCGAATCATCTGAGCTCTCATCATTCGAAACGTCGTCCGAATTTACAATTGTATCCAAATTCATCTTGGTTTCGACTTGGTGCATTACTTGAGAAATAGAATTAGCGGCATTGTCCGTCTTTAACTTGAGTACCGTAGGTCGGCTAATGTCGTGGCTCGGGCGTCGGCTAGTTAACACTCGATGATTAAAAGGGGGTGACACAGGCCGGGAAGGATTCGAAGGAGCGACAGGTTGCAGTATCTGAACTGGTACATCATCCACGTTATAAGCATGTGTGAGCAAACGTGGAGATGATGGTGGAGAATGATTCAAAGGTCGGGGCTCGAGATAGATCGGCTTTGCAGGCCAGTTCGTATACCCTGCAGATGGAGATGTTGCAGAAGACGTGTTGTTAGAGACGTCGCATGGAGACATAACGTATCGGGGGACTGGTTGCGAAGCGAATGTGTGATATTGTGAGGAAAAGTCACGGTTGTGATTGCGAGATGAGTTATGGTTGGCATTGGTCGTACAAGGAGTAGAGGCCAAGGAATGAACCTGTTGACAAGAAAGTTCGACAGCTGAGTGGTTGGATGGTCGCTCTTGAGAGTGTGAATTGCCTTTGGTTGCTGGTGCCAGTTGAGGAGATAGCATGACTCTTGGAGTTTGGTGAGCGCTCGATGGGGTATGATCGGAAACGGTAGTAGCAATTGATGTGTTCCTGGAAAGGCAGGTGCCACTATCCCAAGAACGGTTAGAGTACTGTGAAGAGAAAGAGCTGTACGATCTTTCCGAGGAACGTGAAGCGATGGAACTTGAACGATGGACACCGTCTACATCCAGTATATTTTCTTTGCCCATGAGCGTGACCGGAGACCGATAACCAGCCGAAGCGGGGGGATGCCGTCCTCGCGCCAAGGACATGGCTTCTGAGGCGCGATCTGTCGTTACTCGACCATTCAATCCATTCCTCATATTATCACGCGCGTAATTCATGGAGGAACTGCGATGTGTAGCAGGTTCTTTATCCATTCCCAGTGCCGTTATCGTATCCATCATCTCGGTGTCCAGACTTTCATTATCGTCACCGTCATCATCAATGGGAACCGCTGCACGCGGCCACGTTCCAATCACGATCGGCATATCGATGGAACTATCTCCGCAGCTGCTACTCGTATCGATCTTGGGACTCTGAATGCGGACTTTGTAGTGAACACGCAGTGTGGTATTGTGGAAGTGGATCGTCGGCGGTGTTGAGGTCGGGATAAGAATTTTGCAATGAATGGACTGTGCGGATGGAATGGGTCCCATGATATTGATGTCATTTTCGGTCATGCGTAGCACTTCTTCCTTGGTCACAGCTTGTCTGTATTGCGTTTTTTGTTGTCAATAATATGTATGATATTTGATCGCGTGCATACTGCACGTTGAACGACGGTGGTGCTTGAGAAACTTACTTTCCGGTTTCAATTTCGGTGATTCGCATAAGTTCAACGGAAATAGCCTTTTTCTGTTGGACCGGCTCAGTACAAGTCACGGCCATCACCAACGGAATAATGTCACCTGGGTGGACGAAGGGATGGTCCAATGCATGAATATAAAGAATCGCAGGATTCACGAAAGGTTAACTTACCTCTTGTATAGCCCGATCTCGGTATATATGCGCGTATGTGACACTGTTGGGTGGTGTTTCCCAAAGTGAGAATCATGTCGGTATCCTGGATTTTCGGCTGTCGGTACTGTGATGATTCAATATTGATGTATTCCAAAATGGGTATGGTAAATTCTGATTTGGGGCATAAAGATTCGAGTACCATTGGGCGGTCGAGAATGGCTGTCAAGAAATATCGAACAGAAGCTTTCTTTCCAAACTGTGCCGAAAAATTTGAGACAACCAAAAACGATGGGAGTTGGGGATCCAATGTGAAACTTACTTCCATGGTGCTCGGTAATTCGATATCTTCAGGTACCGTGAATTTAAAAGGAAATTGATGCGGCTTGGCTTCGAGAACATGCACTTTGGAACCTTCTTCCTCAGATACCGCGACGATCTTTGTGTTTTGAAATAATACAATGGTATCCTTCTCCTTGATAGAGAGTATAACCTGTCCAGAAAATCGTAGGATAAGATGGTTCGCTTTGGTTGGCGTCTTTGGGTGGAAAAGCACATGGCCTAGGTTGGATGGGAGTCAGCATTCACTTGGGTGCCATGTCAGAATTGCCATCGAGGCTTCACCATGGTGAACATCCTTGTACCTTCTATAGTTTCACCTGGAAAATAGAACTTTTCCTCTTTTAAACGAATGTCGAGTGTTTTGCTTGATTTATTCAGATGTTTCATAGAGAATAAAAAGGATGTGGTTGATTGTCAGATAAGATGAGGATCTCCGTCGTTTTCACTTTTTTATGTCGATATCTTCGAGATATTGCCTTATTAAAAGAGGGGACAAATAATCGAATCCAAGCGAAAATTCGAAAATGAGCTTGAGGACAATTTTGATCGTTGTAAAATCGACGCGCAAGTATAATTTACTCGTGCAATCGGTCAATTTTGTCAGAGAAAAACTAAGTATTTCACCACCAAAAGCAAAATTTTAAAAAAGAATTGCGAAAAAAGCACGAAAAAAAAGGAAAGATTAGAAAAGGAAAATAAAAAAAGGAGCTTATGATCTTGGAAGCAAGGTTTTTAGTGTCAACGATGCGCAACCGCCAAAAGGAAGAAAAAAAAAAAACCTTCGTCATTTAGTTTTCACACCGATTTCCTCTGTTTTCCCCCTGCACTTTCTGCTTTCAGGATTCTCAGACGAATTTGACGTAACACACATAGGCTGGCAATCTCTGTTTAAAGGTGTGGCTCATATCTATATCTCTCTGGCATCGAATAATACTGCAGTATCCTTTCGAGGTTTCGCGAGTGCAAGTGTCACTTTTTTTTGGATCTTATTATTCAACTAGGCGGGCAAGTTTCTGCAGACTTTTGATGTAGGTCGCAAACAAGTTTTTTTTTTTCTTACACCCAATTTTCCAATGATGCCTTTGCAGGGCAGTCACGGACATATGCAATGATCTTTCATCAATACGTACAATAGCTGACAAAAGGCTTGTCATGACTGTTGTTTCCTACAATAGAAATCTTTGCATACAAGATATGACGGTTATTCATTAGAAGTTTGATAAAGTAAAAGACTGGCTTGCATAACATGAGGGGCATCCATCGCGTGCTACCTCCGTGCGATGGTATTCTCAATGAAGAACGTTACTCTGGTGCAACGATGACTATTTTGGATGAAACTTTGTGTTATTCCTTTTTGGTCCGCCAGCAGACACCGATTGCTCAGCCCATTGTGATCACAGTGACATTTCCATCTCAGCCATTTGATTCGTTCTTCTCACTGAAAAAAGATTACCTTGGTGGATCATGGGCTTTGATGATGTATCTCTGGATAGCTTAGTGTGCTGCCTTTCGCTGAAAGATCAAATCGAGCCAACTGAAAGTTATCTGACCCCTTGAGCAAATTTAATTCATAAGCTTACTATGCACAATGATTTGACTTTTATAACCATGCCGCGTAACCTGCGTGTATTAGAAAAGAACCTATCAAAGTTGACGGCATCCCATTCTACAGCAGGATCCATACAATGAGATTTATGAGAAATCAGATACATGGGCGAGATCACTAAAAGCACTCCTTCCGGGGTTTCTGCAGTACGGAGATTTTGCTACTTGGTCTATTATTGATATTGAACCTTTATGGGGCGGTACCCTTTCAAAATAAAACTACCCTTCATTAATCCCGCACAATTCGCTGCTGTCCAGTTAAATTAAAAGGTTTTGACAGACCTTTTGAAACAACAATAACATCAAGTTGTATTGAAGAGCTTATTTTGTTTTTTTGGACTCGAGAATTTCACAGACAATATAACTCATCATCAGTTCATCTGAACCGCCGTTGCTAAGCGCCTACCTATTGATACTATGGATTTAAACAGTCTATAAGAGCATAAAGAATGACTTTTGCGACTCGGAAACATGGTCTATTTTTTTATAAAACTTTTCAATGCAATTGGCAAAATTTCTGTAAGCTACAGAATAAACAAATTGTAATATAATATTAGAGCCGTGATTTCTGTCTTGTCCACTCATTATTCATATAAATGGTGTATACGATATCAATTGGTTTTACAATGTTACATGGCCGTGCTTTGTTTGAACACTGCAGATAAAGCGTAATTGATGCCCGCACCGGTGGCTTCACACTCCGCTCTTGTTGAAAACGAATCATGTGACGGTGAATTGAACGCTTCTCTTACAGTTGAAACGAGATGCCGATGGTCAAGAAGCAACGGAATTACAGAAAGAAGAAGCTAGATTCTGACGAGGAATCAGATCTTCAAGTTCTGGCTAGCGATGATAACCAAGGTGAAGCCGAGGATATAAGGTAACCTTTTGGATAGAAGATCGAAAGGATTACAGCTGTGACAACCCAAAGATCCAAAAAAGTGTCTCACTCGAGCTACTCCATTCCTTAGTGCTACTATTGAAGAGTTGCAAGAATTAAGGCGACTACGTAAAAAACATGGCGGCATTGACGCTGAAAAACTGTTCAAAGGGGTGGAAAAGAAAAAGAAAAAGAAATCCAACGACGATGCTTGGAATTTGAAGTTGGAAGGACTCGTGGATAAAGATGCTCTTCGTGCAGGCAACGACGAGGATGGTGCTGAGAAAAAATTAAAATTGGACAGTTTCACCACGCAGACCAATGCCGTGGATGTGGATAAGCATATGTAATGTGATGTTGTATTTTTGGGTAAAACATGGGTTTGCTGATGGTGTTGCATGATGTATTTCTGATGTTAGGATGGCGTATATTGAACAAGAACTGCGGAAAAGACGAGGCGAGACATACAAAGCGGACGAGGCTGAAGAAGAACAAAAAACAGAAGGACTTAAAGATATTTATGAAGAATTATACCGTGTTCCCGAACGGTTACAGACCGCGAAGAAGCGGCTCGAAGAAGGCAATGTACAATTATCCACGCAGATGCTCACAGCTATTCCTGAAGTCGATCTGGGTATCGAGTAAGTTGAAGATCGGATGAAAAGGGATCGGATAAAAAACGTCGATTGACGGGTGATTTGGTTTTAGTGTACGACTAAAAAATATCGAAGAAACCGAGCGTGCCAAACGAAAACTCATGGATGAAAGCCAGGAAGAAGCAGTAAGTATCCTGTTCAAATTGTCCATGCGTCCATATGCCTTATTCATGCTTTCTTTTATCAACAGAATAAGCCTCCAGGTTATAAGAATGAATGTAAGCCCATCTCATCCTATTCATTTTCTGTGATTTGTGTTGACCAAGGTATTGATTTCTTTTCTCTCGCAGTGAATGTGCCTGCTAATTTCGAGAAGCAAATTCGGACACCGGAAACCAAACCAAGGCTGGATAAACGACAGATGGCTACTGATGAACTTGTTGCTGAAAAGTTTAAAAAGCGTATGCGTAAATAAAAAAGTCGAATTCTATAAATTCAATTGAATAATTGAGGTCACTCTTCTCTTTGAATTTTCGATGTTTTAATTTCCCTTCTGAAGCAACGATTACCAGCAAGGGAACCCCATCCTTTTTCCTTATTTCAAACTCAATCCAACCTTTCCAAAGTGACGTTTTCTCCTTTACTTGCAGAAACTTTCTTGGTTACTTAAATTCCCTCAATTCTCCCATTCTATAATCTTCTTCCTTTATCTCCCCATGACTCTCGGTACAATTCCAGTTCAAGGTACTCTTTCTCTTTCTGGACTGAGCTTATGCTGCTTCCATTGACACTGACCCGACCTTCAACCAGAAATACCTGTCCTTGAAAACCTGATCACCATTCGCCATAAATTGTCAGCTTTGAAAAAAGACCGGGAATCGTATCCAAAGCCTGATATTATTGTCGCCTTGTATGAAGAAACAGAGAAGGAAGTTGAACGTATCGGTTCCATACGTCAGAACAAGATCTGGGAAGCAAGCACACGCAATCGAGTGAATGACGTGCTCGACGATGTCATGTCCCTATTGTCACTGTTCTTTATGAGCATTGGAAGAAACCGCGAAAGTACATTGAATTCGTGTGCACCTTATTCTGCCACTGATAACAAAAAAATGTGTATGCATTGCTTATCTCCTTTGTTTAGGTCCGGCGGTGTACGCCCAGCTGATAACAGTTGAAGTATGTTACGCTGCATGATATTTTTATTCGATGGCCAATTAACCTTAAAATTTTTGTTTTTGGAAAATACAGCGTTATTTGGATCAGTTATCTCAAATGGGAATTTACACTGACTCTATCCTTATTGAAATTGAGGAAAGACTGCAAGATATAGCCGACATCCTTGAGGCTGACTCGCAACGTTCCCAAGGCACTCACTCTTACTTTCTTGATTTGTTGAAACAAAAACATGCACGCTGCAGTAAGCTCAAAAATAACAAATTTGAATGACATCTATTTATTAACATGGAGACTGTTAGAATCTGCTCTGGAAAGCCTCTTGATCACCATTCGCGATGTGTCGCCAAAATTGTAAGCTTCAGCCTTGCCTTGCCTTGCCTTGCCTTGCCTTGCCTTTTTTTTTTTTTTTTTTTTTTTGCTTGGATATCCACAGGCGGGTTACACATGTTTGGAGGCATGATACTCATTCGTTTCTAATACTAGGAAACCAACGCAGGAAGCACTAGTGGATCTACGCCGAGAATTATCTCGAATGGCGCAGAATCCGAATGGATTCACCGCAAATGATATTCATCCTTTCCAAGAAAAAGTAAATAGCTTTATGGACAACAACAACAACACCACCATCGCCAGCATGTTACTGATGATCAAGTTTAGCTCCGACAAATAGACCATGCAGCATCCGACATATTAGCTTCAAAAGATGGACCAAAACCAAAAGGGCATGCTCTCATTATTGGTCTGTTGGAACAGCTTTACGAGGAAACTCATGATTTGGTTGCTTCAACAGACAATGTCTCTGAAGCTCTGGTGCCTATTGCTGATCGTCTAAAGCAAATTAAGGCTCAGCTCGAACGATTGGCATTGACTCATCGATGGACACTGCGAGAAACAGATTTGTACACATTCCAGGTAAATACAACCTCCATTGATTCACGTCCAACTAGTTCATTGAATGGTTTTTATTGACTGGAAATATGAAAAAAGTTGCAACTGCAAGAAATTGAAAAACTACGACATAATGGCAAGTTCCGTGATTCTCGGGCACCGGAAGCTGTTCCGGATGGTCAAGCGTTGATCAACTTTTTATTGCGTGGTTGCTATCGTCTCATGTCCAAGATGTTAAGCGAGAACGTGCCAGTAGCGGAAGCATTGATGCCTGTCCATAATCAGCTCAGTACACTGCGGCGATGTCTTGTAGAAGTAACAAAATGGGGTAAACCCGATTCAGGTATGGTTTTTTTTGGTTGTTGTTCCACCATGCTCGCCATTCTTGGATCGGTCATTGACATTTTTTCTTTTCTTTGATGCTAGCACGCGACCTCTATCCTTATCAAATGAAACTGGCGAGCATTGACAATATGCGTATTAATGGCGTATTTTATGACGAAGAAGGCAATATTCCTGAAGGTATAAAAAAATGGGGTTTTTCCCGAGACAAAAAATGGCTGTATGCAATTATATCGACTGAGAATAATTCCCCTTTCACAGGCCAAGCGATCTGTATAGCATTGCTGAACGAATGCTACGACATTATCCACGATCTCATTGCTGCTCTTGACGATGATAAACTCGCTCACTGATTGACGTGTTTTTGTTTATCGATTCCATTCCATTCAAAACCACAGCAATCAATAAAAAAAGGCAGAACAATTGAAGAAAAAGGTTCAATTAGCCCGTCATGAAAGCGGCCATGAGTGTTTATTGACTCTCTTTTTTTAATCGAAGAGACCTAAAGAAAAAAAAAAGAAACATGTTAGCGTACTCAGACCAGCACCGAATCAGTAAGTCCAAACTTACCGAAACCCATATCTTCATCGGATTCCTCCTTCTCCTCTTCCTTCTCCTCAGCGGGAGCTTCAGCAGCACCGCCAGCAGCGGCACCAGCAGCAGGAGCAGCAGCACCACCAGCACCGGGAGTACCAACGCTCATGAGGAGCTCACCAAAGTTCTGACCGGCGAGGGCCTTGGCGTAAAGGCTGAACCAGACGGGTTCAACGTCAATACCAGCAGCCTTGACAAGGGTTTGGAGCTTGTCGGCCTAGAAAAAATCAAGCATTACCAGTTAGAAATTCCCATGTCGCCGATCACACGATGAATGTTCCCAATGTTGATTTGGGTGTTGGTGTGCTTACAGTGATTTCGACATTGTCGTCCTGGAGGATAAGAGCAGCGTAAACAACGGCAAGTTCAGCAGACATGATGACGGATGATTAGATTAATTGAATGGATGAAAGTGTTTATGTCGCAAGTAACGATTTAACCCTGGATGGGATACAAGACGCTTAAAACACAAGTTGAAGGAGGAATCGATAGACGGGTTCCAATGGATGATATTAAAAAAGGGAAATCTCAAATCTGTCCGAACCGCAGTTATTTTAAACCCAGACATCCCGTGTCTGGAAGCCCGTTTTTTTTCTTTATCACCATATTTTTTTTTTCCCTTTCTCTCGAAACCAGCGACGCTCGACGGGTTAACCGAATTACGTCTATTCCGTGATATTTGTTGGACATGTTTAGAACATTTGCTTCTCGCGTTGTAAATTCTCGCCTCGCTGCCGCTACCGCTACCAAGCGAACGGTACCTGTTCTTCGTTCCTACAGTACCCAAAAGCCCAAGCAAGGTGGCGCACCCAGTGTTCCCGCCATGTTGGCTGTGGCCTCCATGGGTTTCGGTGCTTACTATATGATTGTCAAATCCAGAGAAGGCCAGCGTAAGTTCTTTTTTTTTTCTCATCGTCATCTGATGACAATGTGCTCATCCTGCGATTTATAAGCCCATCCCGGTCGACAGAAGAAAGAATCCGTTCAGAAAAAGGAAGAAACGCCCAAGGAGGAAGCTAAGCAAGAAAAGGCCAGTCAAATGGAAGAGACTATGAAGCAGGAAGCTGCCAAACAGTTGGAGACGGACATTCCTGCATTCAAACCTGATGAAGTGACCGTCGTGTTCGTTTTAGGTAAGTGTTGCTTGAAAAACACCCGATACTCGTTTTTTGGCAACGGTAGCTCATTTTTTTTTATGAAAAAAACCCCAAAAATGATCAGGTGGTCCTGGAGCTGGCAAGGGCACTCAATGTGAAAATTTGAAGAAGGATTATGGTTTTGTCCATTTGTCAGGTGAAGCTCCGCTTCGATGTCATATTCTATTCTCGTTGAAATTGACTTTTTTTTTGGTTAGCGGGTGATTTGTTACGCGCAGAGCAGAAGCGTCCCGGATCCAAGTATGGTGAATTGATCAATTACTACATCAAGGAAGGCTTGATTGTGCCTATGGAAGTCACCATTGCTTTATTGGAGCAAGCCATGAAGGAAGAATACAAGAACAATAATACCCGCTTCCTTGTGGATGGCTTCCCTCGCAAGATGGATCAGGCAATCAAGTTTGAAGAAGTGGTTGTGCCTTCAAAAATGGTGCTGTACTTTGAATGTCCCGAGGAAGTGATGTTGAAACGTTTGTTGAAGCGCGGTGAAAGCTCTGGCAGAGCGGACGACAATATCGAATCTATCAAGAAACGTTTCCGAGTATTCAAGGATACCAGTTTCCCCGTGATCGAAGCCTATGAAAAACAAAACAAGGTCACCACGGTAAGTTGTCCAAAATCTGTCATCTTGAAATTTTTTGCAACCTGGGAATTAAAAAAAAAAATGATGGATGTGCTATGTGATTAGGTGAGCTGCGATATGCCTGTTGACCAAGTGTATCAAGAGGTGAAAGTTGCATTTGACAAGATGTTTGCCAAGCAGCAATAGACAATAGACGGCCCCCCACCGGGGAGAAAATCAGTTAAATTAAATAACAACACGTCAAGCATCATTATTTTTTTCGTCTTGATATTCAAAAATGATGGCCGCCACTACTTTTTTGACGCAATGATGCGACAGGATTTTGTGGCAACTTTGTTCGCACAGTGGCATACAATCGGTGCTTAGCCCAACTCTTTGATTTCCAAAGTTTGGACTCCATTCTTGGTCCGTTGGTTTTTTGGAGATGCATTTTTCCCGGTAAGCCATCGCTTAAAAAAAGGGTGAGTTACCGAGCGACTTGCCGGTACATTAGGAATACATGGGTATTGGCGTGACGCTAGTCGATGTGCGCCTGAATGTCAAAGTATTCGTTTCTGTAAGACTTGGTGTATTTGAAAAATAGATGTTGATGGTTGGCGAAAAATAAAATAAAAAAGGATACTGCCAAATATGCCAACTAACCAGCGTATTGGGAAGTCTTGTAGCAAAGATTATCTCGATTTAGATTCAATGTGCCTGACGCAATTTTCTTTGTATACGAATACAGTACGCCAATAAAACATGTATCAGGACGTCACTTTTCGGAAAACATACATCTCAGTGATCGTCTTTTATAAAAACCAATCACTGGCGTGTTGCAGGAACCTACCATTATGATTAATGAGCCATTTTTCACCTACAGAGATTTCAGTACACTTTTCTCGGGTATAAAATACTCTTGAGGATTGATCCGAAATAAACCAGTAAATAATATACCAACACCTCTCTTCCGATCTTTAGGTTGCTCAGAGTAAACACCCTTGATCCTTTCTCTTTATTTTTTCTATCGATTTTTCGATTCAAACACAACTACTTGTCCATGACTCTCAATGTCTTTTCTTCTTTTTCCCGATATATCAAAAGACATTCTCAAAACAATGGAGTATACATCAACAACAGTATAATCTGGTGCGTTGTAACAACAACGAACCTATATCCGCAGCTTTCGATTACTTTTCTAAAAAACGGACGTTTATCCCAGTCTATCGATGATTCAATATGCTTGAGTAATTTTCCGTTTCAGTCCTTTTTTTGGGGGCGGGGGATTATGTTTCCTTGGTCGATTTGAACTATCTTGGGACGTGATCATGTTTAATTCAAGCTAAAGAGGATTGATATTCATTATGTATAGTCGCCCCATTGATAGTGACAGATCGTACTATAAATGAAGGATGATGGAAACAGAGATGAGGAACAGTTGGCAGTTGATGAAGAACGCCTTGCAATCTACCGATAATCGATTTACGAACTTCTGTCTCTATCTATGCCTATGCCTATGTCTATGCCTATGTCTATATATCGTCATTATATATTTTCTATGTATTATACTCGTATAGAATTTGCCTTAGTGGTCATCTTTCTCTAGAATTTAATAACTCACCTTTTACTGCGATAATGTGGGTAACCTGTGTTCTCTCAAGAATAATCCCAATAAAGAAGCACGCTCTTCACTGTTGCCATGCTGGCTCATACGCTCTTGTGTGTTTTTCCGGTAAGAAAATACAAGTGGAAAACCAGAGATTTAAAATCGAATCGGTTCAAAAAGTATTTGAGCACCGGATATATTGTTTGTCGATATGTATCAGATCGAGATCAGGTCGTCAGAACGTCTTTTTGTCTGGAATAAGAATCAAAGGAAAAGAGTAACACCGAGGGGTATCATGTGTTATCAAAAAGAAAAGAAGAGGTGCGCTATCAGGGCAGCTTAGAAGTCTCAACAGAGAGAAAAGATAGAGAAGACGTGTTGGTATGTTATTCACTGTTTTATTTCGTATTGAAATATGAGGGTATTTATATTCGTCAAACTATTTGAGGTAGCCAATACTTCGTTCATCGATGCAGAGAACATCACAATAAGGAAGAACGCACACAGATACACTATAAGTCGAAAATCACAGAGTGATGCATTCACAAATGGAGAAACAGTAAGAAAAACATCGCAATTTCGATGTAGCACATATTGCAGATCGTTTGGCTATAGTTAGTACATCGTCGCAGAAAAGGCAACTGCATACTCGGAATGTCGATAGTGAGGAAAGTATGATTGGAGGGGGGAAAAAGGGAAAAGAGAAGCGAAAGGAGAAAATTACTGGTTTTTTTAGGGAACAATCGGGAAACAACAATTTCCAGGACAGCTTAAACGACGGAAATGGTCATCACAGTGTCCTTGACTCTTTATTTTTTCTTTTTTGCTTCCTTTCTCGTTCCCAACAAGCAATACATCCAACGATCTGATGTATGATTCTTCAATCTCAGTATATCTCGTATGTCTTTATCCAGTATGCCTGTTGCTCACTTCAAAATTTCAAACTGAACAAATGCACATCCCGAATTCTTTATCTCAACCCAATTATTACCTTCAACATCAGAGATGGAATATCATTTTATCCTTCTTACCATCATCACCGCAATCGGCACGAAAAAAACACCGAAACTATATCACAATTTTGGCAAAGCATTCTCATCATTTTTCCCGGTTAATATCGTGATCCTATGCATAAAACCAATCAATGATACTCCAGTCACGTGATTTCGTTTGCGGATTATGAATCACTTACCAATCTCGAAAAACTGATACGGGTAAGTGGCTGGCGATTAAAGAAGAACGAAAATAGGGATCGGGGAATGAGTGGTAAGCGATAGAGCCCGCGGTACAGATATGATCAAGGTAAAATAAAACAGTGAAGGTCGTTGCACGGGTTCCGCCTTTCCGCAAAAATATACGATCAGTACCGTTCTGACAATACTCCTTATTGCCGTTCTGATACTGCAATCCAGGTATATTTCCGTGACAGTCAAAGTCAATATAATGTTAGAAATAGGGTCGTCAATAAGTCTGCTGTCAGCACGAAATAAACGTAAGGCCCCCAAAAAAAATAGATCTCAAAGAAGAGTCGATTTATTCACAATGCACGATCAATTCGATTTAAGCTAAAATTTACATTCGCAAATTCCGGGTCGCATGCCGGACAGCCAACTCCGGACCAATATTTTAAAGGCCGACCGGAACATCCACAACAGGCCGCATCATCTCCTCCCCCACTTGAACCGGTCGCCGTCAAAAAATCGGATCAATCCTGTCGGGTACGCTCAATCCAGGAACGAAATTGCTGTTCTGCCATTCTTGTTAAAACGTCAGGAACCATGGACTCGTGGGCCTTGAACGGTATGAGCATGTCTCCGGATACCGGTCCTTTCAATCGCAATTGTTGGGGTCCTTCCAAATAGTATGTCCCGTTGTGATTCGCCTTGATGACCGTCATGGGGCCAATCCATTTGTCAGCTAACTTCCCAGGGGGGCGGGTGTCCTTCATGAGCAATTTATCACCGATTTCGTATCTTCTTTGCATTTTGACAGTGCGATCGTATCGTTCTTTCGCCTTTCGTTGCTTGATTCTGGTACGCTTTCTTGCCTCGATCCGATCGTCTTCAGTCAGATGCTGGATGACCTTCATTCGGCTTAGTATTTCTTCGTCGATTTCTCCTTCTACGTAATCCATTCTGGGTGGTGGCCATGTAGCGGGGGTTCGCATTTCATATCCGTATAGGAGCATCCCGGGAGAAAATCTTGTGGCTTCATTCGGCATGGTTCGTACCGCTAATACGGCCGCTGCGAGATAATCGTCCCAGCGCTCGCGGTTGTCGTCTTCACGGGCAAGTTTCGCTAAGGCGCTCACAATAGTTCCATTCATTCTTTCGCAAAGACCGTTGACTTGTGGTCGATAGGCTGTGGTGGTGATGTGTCGACATCCCAAGCGTTGTAGAAATTCACCAACGTAGCCTGAGGTAAAGTTGCTTCCGCGATCAGTGAGTATGTATGTGGGAACGCCAAAATCCTTCACGACGCAATCGAATAAGAAGTTCGCGGTGGTTTCTTCTGTGATATTGGGAACGGCTGCAGCAACTGGCCAACGAGTTAGATAATCAATAGCTACCAGTATATACTTGTTACCACGTTTGCTTTCCGTTATAGGGCCCACTGCGTCGCATCCTATCATGTAAAACGGCCTGGATGGTGAAGGTATCGGTCGGGCTTGTTCTCTTCTTTTTGGTTTTCCTCTAGCGCGAAATTGGCATGTTTGGCATTCGCTGACGAGTTTTCTTGTTCTTGCAAATAGGCCTTCGGCTTCATACTGTAATCGTATTCGTCTCCAAGTATTGTTGACTCCAAAATGACCTTCGTTATGTACGCTTCGGATAACGTCGTCGACATTCCCTTCGTGTAATATTTCTTGTGCAATCGAGCCGTCTTTTCGTTTTCGGTACATCTTTCCGTTGCTGATGGCTATCTTCTTGGCTTGATTGCGTATTGTTCTCTTCATAGATTCCGTACAGTCCAATGGGTACCGGTTTTCGCTAAGGTAAAAATATAACGCAAGATATCGAGGGTATTCCATGTGTCGAAAAGAAATGTTTTTGTTGATGTTTTCCGGATACGTTTTTCTTCTTTTTTTTTTTTGTAGGTTTTCTTGGGAATTTTTTTTTTTTTTTTTTTTTTGTGTTTCGCTCGGTGTTGCATAATTCGCGCTGGATCTACGGTGTTGCATTTTCGTCGTGTGTGATCAACCGGGTGAAAGCATCAGCTGGATTCTTCTTTCCTGGGCGGTATCGGATTTCCATATTGTGCTCCATAAGACAAACTGCCCAATTCGTCAGTTTCGAAGTCGGTTTCGGGTTGTCAAAAATGAACTTCAGTGCGCGATGGTCGGTATACAGTACGAAATGTCGTCCAGCTAAATAATGTCGGAAGTAGTCGATTGCCCAGATGACTGCAAGAGCCTCGATGTGCGTAGCGGAATAATTGACCTCGGCTCCATGCAGACTTCTTGATGCGTAGCAAATAACCTTTTCGTCTTGTTCAGATCCATCCGGGGATTGTGACAAAATAGCACCAATGGCCTTAAACGATCCGTCGGTTGTCACGATTTGTACCTGATTGCGGTCTGCAAACGCCAGAAGGGGTGGATGGGACAAACACCATTTGAGCTTCTCGAAGGCTTCCTTCTGGCTCTGGCTCCATTCGAATTTCTTCTTCTTTCCTTGCAATTTCGTCAACGGTTTCGCGATCGTCGCATAATCGGGGATAAACTTTCGATAGTATCCCGCGGTTCCCAGAAAAGAGCTGATTTCATCCTTGTTTCGCGGTTCCTTCATCGCCAATACTTTCTCCACATTGCGTGTCATCGGTAAAAGTCCGCGATCGGAGACAACGTGTCCCAAATACTCAACCTGGTTCCGAGCGAAGCTGCACTTCGATCGTTTCAGTCGTAAATTTGCTGCTTCACATACCGTCAGTATCTGCTGTAAATGTTGTCGGTGCTCGTCGAGTGTCTTGGAATAAACGATGATATCGTCTATGAAAACATAGACGAACTTGCCAATATACGGGGCGAACAGGTTTGACATGAGCCGTTGGAACGTGGCCGGTGCTGACGTCAGTCCGAAGGGCATGACCATGAACTCGTAAGTACCTTTCTTCGTAACAAAGCCGGTTTTTGCGATCGAGTCGTCAGACATAGGTACTTGCCAATACCCACTTGCTGCGTCCAACGTGGAAAAGTACTTTGCACCACCTAGCGAATCCAGTAGCTCCTCGATGATCGGCAAAGGGTATCGATCCTTGATAGTGATGGCGTTGAGTTTCCGATAGTCTACGCATAGCCGGAGAGTACCGTCTTTCTTTTTGACGAACAAAATAGGTGATGTCCAAGTGCCACTTGATGGTCGTATAAGTTCCAATTCCAGCAATTCCTTCAATTCTTTATCTAACTGTTCCTCCTCTTGCCATGTCAGTCGGTACGGTTTGGAGGTGATCGGCGTTTCCGTATTCGTCGGTATGTGATGCTGCACGTCCGTTACACGACCGAGCCCCGCGTTTTCCACAAAACAATCTTCGTGACCAAGCAGTATTTCTTCGATTTCTTTCGGTATTTTCTCTTGTTCTTCTTTTCCGTCTTGTTCTTGAATTTGCGCTTCTAGCCGTTCTTCGGTATAGGTTTTCAGATCGTCGGCAGCCTTTCTACTCGCATACACAGCGAACGCTTCGACACTGTCTTTTTGTTGATCGTTATCTTCCATTATCTTCACCGCCAGTTCCACGTAACCTCTTCCCCGCTTCGTCGGTATAATCAGCTTTCCGTTCTTCACATGCTGCCGTATATCGTATTGTTTGAACCATGTATTACCGAGCAATATCAAGTTCGTTCGTCGATCGGTTACGACCATGTGTTCTCGTCGCAGTTTTCCGGCAATTCGTATTGGTACGGAGGTAACGATTGGGTAAGGGGATGAAACGTCGCCATGAACTGATTCTATCGATAACTTGTCCTTTGTTACTTTCAGTCCAAGTGCGTTGACAAGGTCTTGACTGATCAACGAGACTCCGGATCCGGTATCGAAGGTCGCTTCCAGTGGCTGGTCGAATATCGTGATCACACCACGTAACGGTGAACTCGCTTTCAACTTGTCGATTTCGTACGGATACTCGTACTCGGTATCATCGCTATCAGAGTCGTCTGCGTCGGAAAACTGTTCACTGTCTGAACCCCAAATACTTTCTTCTGAGTCGAACAAATAACTTGAGCTTGTGTCTGTGTCGAGGTCCGTTTCTCCGTTCTCGGCAGGTGTTGCCATATTGACCTCCATGGGCGCCGTCAATCTTTTTGGTGGTTGTCGTCCGTGAAAATATCGTATTCCGTCTTGAACGTCTTTTGCTGCACTCTTCGAAAGTGCGATCCAATCTGCCATACTTACGTTCGCTTGCGTCTCCTTGAGTTGATCCCATATTTTTCGCTCGCTTAATTCGACTTCCAACCTTCTTGGCGGCTTCCGTTTCGTAGTTTTTTTGACAGGTGTCTCCTTCGTAAGCGGCTTCGAAGAACTTGCTATCGGCGGAATAGGATCAGCGCGCCCTTTGCCTTTCTTGGTTTGTCGTTCTTCTGCTGCTACGTCGGTGGAACTTGTCTGCGATCGAGTTCGTTTGTCTGCGGTATATACTTTAACGCCTTGTATCAAGCTGACATTCTTGACTTCGTCGGTTTGTTTCGTTGCACTAGTATCAGGACCAGGAGCTTCTTGATTGTTCCGGATGACAGTATCTCCCTCTACTGCCATCCCCGCTCTTTTCCCGAACTTCCTCCTTGGTCGTTACCGTTTGTTCGAATCGCCCGCGGCCTCATCGGTTCGGTGCATGCGGTCGATTTATGACCTTCTTTGTTACAGTTGAAACATACGAGCGGTACTCGTCTCGGTTGGGTCAGGTTAATACGTAACGCGCGGAATTCTTCAGTAAGGTTGTTCAGAGCGGACAAAGTGCTGGTCGTGCTCGTCGAATCGGATGGTAATACTGGCTTGTTTGTCGAGTTGTCGTCTACGTTATCGGTATTCTTGTTTTCTACTTCAGGAATTTCGCGGTGACCATATTTCTGTAACGCCATTTCGATACGTCGTGCTTGTTCTACAGCTTGTTCGAATGACTGAGGCTTGTCTCTCTCCTTTTCACATTCAAAAGCAATGGTGGCATGGATGGATTTCCAAAAGTATCGAATTTTTGTGCGTTCGTTCTTCTCCTTAACCAATGCTAGAAGTTCTTCTAAACGGTAAGCAATGTCGTCTACATTTTCGTGCGGTCGCTGTTTCATGTTGGAAATCTCTTTCCACCAAGTATCCTCCATTCCGTTAGAAACGTATCTGGCGATGAACATGGTTTCGAACTGGCTCCACGTAGTGACCGAATCTTCTTTTGCATCCCACCATGTACCTGCGCGTCCTCGCAAATGGGTACCTGCCATGATTAACGCCATTTCGTCGGTCATATTCGTACCTTTCTTGATGCGCTTCATAAGCCGCAACCACGCTACAGGATTCTCGTCTCTTGTGCCGAAAAATTTTTCTGGATTGGCAATAAAATTTGTGATGTCTTGAGTCATGCTCGCTTTTAGCGATAGAACTGGTTGCTGTTCTTCCTTGTTGACAACTGGCGCTTTTCCACTTGGCAATTTTCCACTTGAATTCTCTCCAGTTGGCATATTCTGCGTTGCCGCGCCGCGCCTTAGGATATTTTCTTTAATTCGTTCTGCGATGGCCTTTCCAGTTCGTTCGATGTCTTCTTGAGTTCGGGTGTCTGGTTCTTCCCTATTCTTGTTTGATGATGCCACTACGCCCAGCTTCTCCACCATAAATTGATACGGGTAAGTGGCTGGCGATTAAAGAAGAACGAAAATAGGGATCGGGGAATGAGTGGTAAGCGATAGAGCCCGCGGTACAGATATGATCAAGGTAAAATAAAACAGTGAAGGTCGTTGCACGGGTTCCGCCTTTCCGCAAAAATATACGATCAGTACCGTTCTGACAATACTCCTTATTGCCGTTCTGATACTGCAATCCAGGTATATTTCCGTGACAGTCAAAGTCAATATAATGTTAGAAATAGGGTCGTCAATAAGTCTGCTGTCAGCACGAAATAAACGTAAGGCCCCCAAAAAAAATAGATCTCAAAGAAGAGTCGATTTATTCACAATGCACGATCAATTCGATTTAAGCTAAAATTTACATTCGCAAATTCCGGGTCGCATGCCGGACAGCCAACTCCGGACCAATATTTTAAAGGCCGACCGGAACATCCACAACAGGCCGCATCAAAACAAGAAAGGTCTCTTGGTTTAGTGGTATAATTCTCGCTTAGGGTGCGAGAGGTCCCGGGTTCGATTCCCGGAGAGACCCAATCTTTTTGCGTTTTTCCTCGGCCAGTGTGGGAAGAATATTTTTTTTTTTTTTTGGGGTGTATTGGTTTTTATTTTATCGATTGTCTGTTTCTAAATAAAAGTAAAAAGCGTTTTTTTTTATTGGGTGAGTGAACACGCGTCCTTGGCAGAGGACTACTGCTCGCCCTGACAGGATCTATGGATGGGAAAATGTACAATTAAAAGAACCACAGGAGGAAAGAGGAAAAACCGTTGATAGAAAATAAAGCAAAAGATATTATTTTATAAAGGGTGTATGAACACATGTGCATCTCGGACTATTACTCGCCCTGGATCGTTGGAGAATAAACGTTCTAAAGAAAAATCACATAGGAAGATAAAAGAAAGGGGATCGTGCGTAAAAAGCGTGGGACGGTAGAGGTCTATGGGAAAAGGTTCGATTGAAAAGAAAGCATAAAGGAAAACCAAAAGATAAATAGCGCGCGGAAATGCAAGTAATAACATGTATTCTCTCAGTTCACATAAAAAAAAAATTAAAAGCTTCCTTTGTTTTTTTTGGTATGCCCATTTGAATGCACATCTGCTGCAGAAAGTTTCGAATCTGTAGAAACCGCTTTTTGAGGAAATTGAAAGAGTAGTATAAAATCGCACCCGATTACCGTGAAATATGACGTTCAAATGGAGTAAATCAATGTAGAAAAGTAAAGTTGTTGTATTAACCAATATCATTATACCATTCTTACCTCCTATCTGTACGTATGATACCAGTCCATCATGTCACTTGGCCATCCATGATCAATTCAAGTCTCCGATCTACAAGAGAAAATAATTACCAACGCTCGCATAATCACCATACCAGTCGGATCATAATATTATGTCACGTCAAACACGTCTGATCTACATGTCAGATCATTTCCGATTTTCTCTTGTGTGAATTAACCTCATATCCAAACGCATACCGCACGCACAGCCTAACTGGAAAAGTAATCATGATCGATGATTAACACTAAGCGGTATGAAAAATATGATCGTTGATAAAGCTTCATGGAAAATACACCTTATTCTGTCATGGGTCCTACCACATCTAAAAATACCGATATAGTATGAAAGACATACCTTGTATTATTTGCCGCTCTCTGGTAATTATTTCTTTTTCCTACTTTGACAAAACACTCTCTCGGGAATCAAATAATTCCCACCGATTTATTATTGTTTTTATTTTGTTACTACTAATTCGCCGGCTCGATAGACTCCCGGAGGAAGACAAATTAAGACATGACCAAAGGATCAAACAAAAAAATCAAAAGGAAGAAGTCTAAACTAAATAAAAAAGATCAAATGAAAGAAAGATGTCTTTTTTTGTTCTTTTTTGATCTTCTTTTTATTTTTATTTTTTGTGCCCTTTGATTTTCTTTTCTGTTTGGTGGATGGGCAAAATGGCAGACTCTTGAAGCGCGGATACAATTGTATGTCGCCTTGCGGAGCTCGCTGTGGACGATTTTGACAGCGCTTACAGTGGCAGTAAAAAGACGGCAGTGTTAGCATATTTGATTCAAACAAACGCAATTCAGACACTTACTTTTGTGTATGATTGAAAATAGATTCATTCATCATATGAGAAAGCGCCAGTTCCTGGAAGTTGGATGGCGTTGTCCGGCATTGTTCTTTGTTGTAGTGTAACATCAATGATAAAAATTGAGCTTTTTCGAGTAAACAGAATACAGTGATTAGTGGAAACAGGAAACTAAAAATCACGAGTCGAAATTATTACCATTGATACGGCGCAAGGATTTGCTGGGACAAAGCGTGTAGTGAAATAGCAACCGTAGCTTGGAAAATAATCGTGCATCAACGTCGTGGCAGTGCATTTCCTAACAAGCAGCCACGATCAATGCATTGGTTCAGAGGAGTCAAGTTCGCATGACACTTACCGTACGTTTATATTTTGTTTATGGATCAACACCGCTTTTTGCATTCGTAAATGTATTAGTTTAAGACACCTTGATCGATTGATAAGCGCACCTTTGAAGCTTATGAATGAGCATACGATATGACTGTAAGTGCGACTTTCCCTTTGCGTTATGCGAGAAGACGGATGTGAAAGGCATGACAATCTATTTGATGTAAATAAGTATAAGCTTTACTGCTTTGCTTGCGTGAGACTTACTGTAAGCCTGTATCTGATTTTTTGAATCTGCATCTGCGGAATCTGTAGCTGGTGATGGGAAGCCTTGATCGGTTGATAGCTTATGTGTTGTTCCCATTTGACGTGGCTGTAGGAATGCTCCGTTTTAACGATTTGTGAGAGACGACCTGAAGGCGTGGTTGTGTGTTTTCGGCTGCAACGAGTTCAAAGAAGCTTTAGTGTTTGAATTTCAATCGAGTTAAATTTTTTTTCTGTAAAGCTTACCATGAATTTTGTATTTAGATCGGAATACGGAGACGCATTGACCACCCGATAAGCCGCTTAGGTTTAATGTGCCTGCAGCAGGAACGTTTTGCCTTCTGAAAATTTTGTGAGATTCTGCTCATTGAGATTTTTTTTGAACAGGAGGTCAACATTGCAAAACTTACCTGCGAAATAAGAAGCAGAATAATCTATTGAAACCTCTAGAATTGAGGGCAGGGTTTGTAGAGTACCAATAAATGGCACAATGAATCTGCATATTGGCAGTCTTCTGAAGCGTGGAGAAATCGCTGAGTAGCGCTTGTCGGATTGCGTGTCTTTCGATGTCTAAAATAGGTAAAAATTTGGCCAATGATGGCGGCGGTGTGACTTGTGTGGCGTCATTCGCGTGGCGCTTTCAACGGGCAGTAGCAGAAGGCAGTTCTGCCCAGTTTCTTCGGTTCAAATAAGCGCACTTGAGGCATTTTTTTTTGCGCGTGCATTTGAGTGCACCGATCTTGAGATTAGAGTCTCGCCGGTTTTTGAGAGTTTGAATGAATAAGCCTGGCGTTGTTCATTAGTTCTCAGGTCGCCGATTGTAACGGAAAACTGAGTGGCTGAGCATTAAAAAATGTTGGTCAATGCGTAGGCAACAGGAACACAAACTGAAACAAGGCATAAATACCATGGTTAACGTCGATAGATATTCGCCATAGAAATGATGTTGGTTTCAGCTTTCCTTAGATCGTGCTGCGGAGTAGAAGGTGGCGCGTTGGCTGTCAAACACTTTTTTTCCTTGAGTATTTCGTGATTTTGGACATTGTGGAGTGGAGGGACGAATGCAGGCCGCGTGTTGAGGCTTACCATTGAGAAGAAAGAAGGGTTAAAGTGCTGTTGGCACCTCCAAAATGGAGGGTACGGTCGGAGGACAGCTTTCTGCTGGAAAAGTGTGGAGAAATGAAGAGAAAAAAGTGGGGACGTCGTAAAAAAGGGTGCTTTGACAATTCCCAAATCGCAATTATCCATTATGATTGGCTGTGGACACAATATGTTAATCGGCGCTTGATGACAGGCTTTTCAATAGCTGTCTGCAGAATAAAAGATGATGAACTGATCCGGACTCCCGCCTAACATCGGCTCCACATATCATCATTGAATGCAGATTGCAAGTTTACGCTTTTAATCCAACCGGTTTGTATTGACTGCAGACATGAAAAATTTGGATGTCGGGACAGGCGGATGGCGTGTTGGTTATAGCCCGCTCAAAAATCAGGGACTAGAGACAATGAATTAAAAACCTTAATTTTTATTTGATATTAAAAAGGTTGCGGTAGATTTACGACCGATGAATGCAAATCTCTATTAAGGATTTCCTCTTCAGTCAGCTTAGAAAAATCATAAAATGAACCTAGAACTCTTGCGGTTGAAAACAACGAAAACGTGAGGAGAAGAAAAAGTGGAGCTGCGACATATGGAGATAGCGTCACGAGGAAATGCATCGATATATTGCAAGTGTACTCACACATCACAGCATTGCATAATGGAGCACAAACGTTACGTTATTGCAAAAAGATATACACGCTGCATTGTTACAATTAGACCGCAGAGGAAAAGAAAAAGGTAAATCAACCAAAGCATTTCATTTGTCAACTTGGTTAATTTATAAGAAACCTTTATCAGGCAAAGGGTGGGGATGGGAAGTGAACGATGCAATGGATGACACATGGTACCATGCATGAGTTTTTGTTCTTACAACTTACAAGCTAATGTGGCATTTTTAAACGTGGGTAATTCAGAGACGCCGAAAGGTCCGGAATGAACCGCTGCGTTCGCCTACAATATCTCCATCCATATTCTGCAAACCGCGCAGAAAATCGCCTAACATATCTTGGTCCTGTTCATCGTCGCGCAGATTCCGCAACGATCGGGTGTCAAGGCATATAGATGCCGGTCGCCTTGCTCCATCAAACGATAACCGTTCGCCGATATTGATAACTTTTGGAGGTTGTGGAAGTGCACTGCTTCGTTTTTTTATGGCCGAGGTTGAGCTTAGTGAGCGCGCAAGCTTGGGTGATTCAGACATTCCCGTCTCCCCTACCAAGATCGGGAATTCGTCCAGACGACTCATTTTATGCGATTCAGGCGTTCTATCGCTAGCGGCCGCAGGTAACGGGGTCGAACACGATAAAGATGGAAATGTGGTAGACACCATAGGTTGTGTGTGACCTATGGCTGCATGTTTCAACTTTGGCGAGAAGTGCGACGGGGGATCGTAATGGACACAGGAAGAAGAAGAAGAAGAAGAATAAGAAGGCGGTGGGGTTTGCGATTGTTTCATGGGCAGCATCCAGTCGTTCGGTATGTCAAGACTTTTACGATTCTCGCGTTGGCTGGGCAGAACAATAGGCGGTCTTACAATCACATTTGGGGTGAGTGAGTTTCGCCGATTTCTTTCTTGCTGCGGAAATTCATCATCAATGGTCGGTGGAAGCGATGGCGAGCTGTCGGCCATTCCGTGTAAATCAGCACTTTGCGACTTTCGATGACGGAGTACTCGGGTAAAGGCAGGATGGGAGGGCATAGTGGCTGAAGTTAAGCTGTGGGAAGAAGATGTTTTTGGCGTTGTCAGGTGCTGATGATGGTGGTGGTGATTCGTTGTCATGGACTGGGAGGAGATGGAAATGGATCGGTAATGAGGTGAGGAAAAGGCGGATGATACCTGAGTTGCACTGGACGGTGGTGGAGATGAGATGGGTGATCCAAAAGAAGTGGATCGCGTTCTCAAGCTGTGAATCTGAGGAGATATAATGGCAGAGGAAGATGAATTCGTGGAATGCACCGATGCAGCGGAACCGGCATCGTGTAATGATAAAGGATCGCCTTTTAGGAATTCAATAGCCGTCTTGAGGGTAACGAGGGCAAAACTAGGATCACGCATCAATAAGTGACAAAATCTACCCATGGCAGTTGCCCATTCGCCAAATTTACCTGTGTTCTGATCTTTCCATATTCGAAAGACGAAAGTGTTCCATGTAAAATGCAAGACTGGCGGTTCGGGTAATGCCACTGTGAGTAATAACATAGGCAAGAAGTGGGATCATTTCATCCGATGTCACGGAAGCATCTAAGACATGGCCAATAGGTTGATATGACAACTCACTTGCAAAAAAACGGCATTTTGAACCTACCATGATGCGAAGATCCCATTGTAACATCTTGCAGAAATTTGTCCACGGCCGCCGAAATAAGATCAAGTGTGGTTTTAATGCAAATGATCTTTTCCAAGGGAGTAAATGCTGGCTGAGATTGTTGCTGTTGAGAAAGTGAACGCAAGCCCGTGTGTTGTTGCTGCTGCGGGTCATTTGTAACGATGGGTATATCTGTATCCGAGTCGACACGGCGCAAGCAGGCGATGGTATCTTCAAAGTAAGAGAGTGGCATGTCTCCGAGGGGGTGACTTACGGCATATCTGCTGAGGGTGATGGTGTCCTTTGCATAAGCTCGACAGATGGAATCCAAATAATTATCTTGGGATTGCAAAATTGTTTTCAATGATTGCACCCAAATCTTTTCATGCAAGAAGCCCATGACAACACTATAATTACCATGATGGAACAGTGGTGTTTAGTTTTTCTTTTCCTTTTTTCGTTCTTTTCCCCAATAATAAAGGTGATTTTTTTCCCCTCGACTCTTACTTTTCCACGAGCTCCAAGTAATGATCATGCTCTGATTGAATCCGGCAAGCGTCACGCAATAACTTGTTTTCTTGTAGTATGGTCTAAATTTTTAACCAATACCGGATGTCAGCCAAGATACCACGGAAAAACATTCACCAATTGAGTAAAAAACAAAAAAAAAAAAGAAAAAAAAATATGGTTAGTTCGTTTTTGATAACGACGTTTCCAAAGAATGCAACCTTGTATGCCTTGACATAGATATTTTGGATTTTTTCGACGGTGTAGGTATTAAATCCGCGGATATATACATAGGTATCTACAAATTCTTGCACGGTTGCTTGTAATTCGACAAGAGCTTCTGCGTTTTCGGGAAACATGTTTAGGAAATCGAGATCGCTAAAAAAAAATGTAGCAAGCAATGAGGAGATGTACATAACTCGGTCTTTCGTCAGCCAAGAACTTACGTTTTTGAGTTTCGGACAGTTGGAATGGATATGATATTGGCGTTATGATAATGTTGCTGAAAGATGAAAACAAGGTTAGATCATTCCGATATTTACGTTGATGAAAAAGAATATTCAATGTTTCCCTCTCCAAGCTTCTGCTAGTGAGCATTGCAAGGAAGGGACCAGCTGTCAAATTACCGGCAGTTCACCTTCTAATGGTCTCTCTACCATAAATACTCTGATCTTTTTACTGGAAACGTAAACCCATTCTTCTGCCATGATGTGAATTGTTCGTGCCTCTTTGAACCCTATACACAGTAACCAGCAGATCAGTGTCACAGATGATGACATGACACAAAAATAGAAAAGCAACGGCATCTGTTTTCGTATTGTTTTTTTTTTTCTTTGCCTACCTGAAACCGTACTAATAAGGGGATATTCAATAGCCACGACTTTTCCATTGGCTGCTTGATATTGCCCTCGATAATAAGGAGAGGGATTGTAGCAATGGGTTTCTATAGTTCAATATAAAAAAAGGGAGTTTATGAAAAAGCAAAAAAAAAAAAAAAAAAAAAAAAAAAAAAAAAAGTTATGATTAGTGATTTCCGAAAAAGGCGATTCTAATATTTGATGCATAAGGTTGGCATAACGGTAGTTACCGATAAAGTCTTTGGTAAGAACCATGCCTTCCAACGAGCGTGAATGAGGAATGCATACGACGTAAGAGCGAATAAATATTTGGTTAAAGTGGGAACGCATGTATCTGTAGAATCTATTATCGTCCAGTTCTTCTTCTTCTAGTGGCATAGGCGGCGTGGTAGCAGGAAGCGTGGTGATAGAGGTAGGGCGTGAGCGTGACGAGCTAGAAGAAGTAGGAGAAGGGTTGGGTGATGACTTTGACTGGACCATGGAGGCAAGTGTGGGGTATGGCTGGTCTCTGGCACTACTCATGCCGGTAGGTAAATGCTGTCGTTGATGGTCCACGTAGTCTTTCTTCTTCTTTACATCGCTTTTTAAAAAGAATGGAAATGCAAAAGACATTCTGCGATCAGTGCCCTTCCTTCTTTATTATTTTTTTGGTTCTCTTATTTTTCTTCTTGTTTTTTGATAAAGAAAGAACTTAAAAAACACCAGGGGTTCATTCAAAATCGAAAAAAGAAAAAAAAATGAACACTGAACGGGCATCTCCGGAAAAATTGAGTACGCCCGAGGGAATCTTTTTTTTTTTTTTTTTTTTTTTTTTGCTAACGTCATCACCCAAGCCAGGTCAACTTTTGCACTTGATTCAAATAGTTTACAAGGTAACAGTGCTGAAAAACCATGACATTTAACGGAACCGTAACAATGTAGACTAAGACAAAAAACTTACCAAACTGCACTTGCGTTTTATGCACTTGCTTTGTGTGAACCACCGGCGGGTTTTGAAAAAGAAACCCTGCCGCTCCAGAGAGTGTGATAGCAGTGGTTCCAAGTGTTTCTCTGATGGGACCTACCGACGGTCCTTTCAAGGTTTTGAAGTGGATCCCTGTAAGGAGGTTGCAATTGATATGAGAGCTATTACCCTAAGTTTGGAGATGAGCAACTGGATTGTTAATCCATTCAAATTTTATCGATGCTATCCCCCTAAGTATATCCAAAAAGTGATCGTCGTCGATATGCACGGAAAGATTCCATGAATTGTAAAGTCAAGAGCTCTCACAGCCAAAAAGCAGCACTTAACGTTCTTCCTGGATAAAGAAATATCTACTTATCGCCCGTCACAGTGGGGATCGGCGATACAGGTCTTGATCATTCGTTTTAACAAGTGGGCCTACTTTCGAATGCACTACTCGAATGTTGGAAGCTTTATCTGTTTGCAATTGCTAGTTCAATGCTACTGAAAATGATAATAACTATGGATTTACCCGTGCGACAAGACTATTGGAAACAAGCTTCAGTAGCACCCTTTGCATTGGAGTTTTGTCACAGGGGTGGACGCATTACATGGAACATAATTCACCTCGGAATTTAGCTAGAGAAAATTACCAGACAGCATCTGCAGGTAGATCCAGCCACCGTGTATGTAATATCTCTGTTATTGTACGGGTGGTCAAGATAAGTGATATAGTACTCTCATATCATGTCAGGCTCAATAGTTGAACTGTAGTTCATACGATCATTGTCTACCTAAAGACACATTTGCCAGATCTTTGTAACTTGGCATTATTTTTTATTTTGTAAAACATGCATGTCACTTGTATTTTGAAGGTATTCTCAGATCGTATATGATAGCCTTGTTTTCATTTATTCAGGCACAGCACAAATAAGCTTATCATTTTGATATACCTGTTGGAGAAAGCAGCTCCTCTGTGGCGGTTGCGTTTCCAGAAGTCTCGACGTTAGAAAGTTATTTACGATCTTTAAAAAAAACAATAAAGGGCATGGATCTTTCAGTTTGATTTTATATTCCCTGTTGATCGGTAACTGCATGACATCATCATTTGGAAAAAAAGGGGGGGAGGTGTGCGTTTGCTACGTCGTATTAAACCGGTTTACCTCAGTGTGAAGGACCCGTTCAACAGGAACATGTAATTTTCTCTGTTCTTTCTATCCCGCATCGATATAATGAGGACTTGACATGAAGAGACATATAGCAAGCGCTATAGATTGCGAGTCAAACTCGATACTGATGTTACCGAGATTCAGGGTGAATCCAAAGTCCATATTGGGTCAAGAACCGATCAGCTGCGGAAGTTTCAGAAATTACTTTTACTTTGTAACTTACAAAGAGCCCTTGGGAAAAAAAAAGAGCGGTTATGGCTCATGGGACACATTGTGCAACATATTGTGGAACGCCACAGTCTTCCGCGCGTCCCACAAAAGCCATCGATCTAAAGGATACTGCCAACAGTGACTGGCCACCATTGTCCTTGCTCGCCCAAAGCTTATGAACAAAAAGGAAACTACAGATTTGTGAACTTGGAAATTGATCACATTTACCGTACTCATCTTCAACACTTGATATGTATTGTCAACGAAAAGAAAAAGTCTCCTCAATCCGGACCATTATTAGGACTTCCTGGGTTGCACCCTCGATACCAAGAAAATGTTGGGCTGTCTGTGCCAAGATGCAAGTCCCTGGGTTCATTGATTTTGATAAATTTGAAAAGACGAGCCCCTTCTATTTTGTCACAAACACCATGCGTCTCTGGGAAACATTCTGATGATAATTTCGCCATGATACAGTCGTCATATCGATCGTTGAATGGCAATTTAAAATATCTTTGACTTGGGTAACCACCGGCATTATTTGTTATCAGCTTGTCTACTTTCGAACTGGTGTAAGGTTTTGGTGATTCCCAGGCCCAAAAGAAACCAAAGTAAACAGCGCCATAAGCAAGTAGATATAAAAAAATTAATGACAGCAAACATCTGCACCTTTTTGATGGATTATATAGCAGCCTTTCCTGTACTAACGGAGAAGGTATAAGCTCTCTGTACTGTGTCGGAATATGCTGACTGCAAGGATAAACAGCTTTTACAGAGCTTACCCTACGAAACTGTTCCTCGAGATCCTCTGCAGTGTTTTTCTTTTTCTTTTTCTTGTTTTTCAATTTGGTAAAAAAAAAAAAGAAACTTCCATCGACTGCGCAAGCTCTTGCTGAACGCACACACGCGGCTCCGCCAACTGGAGTGACCATGGCTTCAAAGGCGATGCGACCATAGCCATGTCTCTGTCAATATGCACTTTGTGAATTTATCCGCGTTCAACCACCATTCTATGCCTGGAAGGGCGTCGAGCGGCATAAATTTTGTAAAATGAGAGTCTCGGAAAAAAAGAGGGGTGAAATCAAAAGACTCATAATATTCTTCATATTACTACTCTCAAGCGAACAAAAAAAAATACGATGGTGCACAGTCATTTTCAGATAAATCGTGCTTTTTGGATTTAAGATACCTGTGTGGTTTGCTGGAGTGCATGGTGGATCCAGATGGTAAACCATGCAAAAAAGGCAACGTAGCAGAGGGCTTGCGTCACATCCCAAAGGCAGTCATGGCGATGCACGAACGAATCCAGAAACACCGACAGGTGCGGCAAAAGCGGTTGATGATGAACCATGGACCGTAGAAAGGAGGAATTAGAGAAAAAGAGACAGAAATTAGCTGAACTACGTCGTGCACGAGAAGAACGTCGAGCTATTCTTGAGAGTCAATCGAACCACAGCAACTCATCCTCTTCGGTAAACCAAACTTTTTCTCAGATCCATTCCACGCACCAATGCACTTACTCCTTTTCTTATTTTTTGCATGTTCATCTACGAATAAATTGGTGCTTATTTCTTAACGTTGTTTGTTTCTCTCGTTCAATCGACCAGTCGACTGCTGGTAAAGACAGGAAAGCGATCGATGATCTCGTGGCGCTTGTTCTGGGTGAACGTTCAGCCAGCCCCTCCATCGCGGCTGCTGGCAGCTCCGACCGAGGATCAGACACAGGTTCGGAATTCACTTCTTCACGACCGCAATCAGCCAACTTTGGTTACTCGATCCCCGGCACTCCCGTCAGCACGTAAGTAGTTCACGTTCAACAAGTTGATAAGAAAAATTAGTGTGCCTTGTTCCTGACACTCGCTTATCGACTTCCGTGTTGCCCAGTGATCCGCGTTTATCCATCTCTTCACAGCCAGCCCCCGTATCAGCCACCCCAACTTATGTTGCTGAACTCACTGAAATACAAGCACTGATTGCTGATATTCCCCCACTCGTAAGTTGTATGGACGCTTCAACAATAGATCAAGTAGAAGGTTCCATCTTACGAATGAACGCCATGGATCGATTGACAGGAACGAGTGTCGTACAGCAAGGAAATTCAAACTGCCGAAGGGTCTTTTGACGAACCACAATTGACCGAAGAGGAAATTCGACAGCAGATCATTGAAGAATTGGAGTTGAAAGAGAAGCAGCGACAAGCTCAGTTGGAAGAGGAAAAAAAACGTGCTGAACAGGAAAAGAATGAAGAACAACGAGGTAATGATCTTTTTCTTCGACATGCAAGTGTGGACCAAAGTTGCTAATATTAAACAACCTATTTTTTGCAGAACTTTCGGAAGAGGAAAAGAAACTGATCTTGTCGGCTCCTGAATTCCAAGAATTTGTGGACGTATCTTCCAAAGTCATCGAAAGAGCTTTGAATGAGAAATACGATTTCATGAAGGATTATACCCTAGGCATTGATGTGGAAAAGTAGGTCGTGATTGCGTTCATATTTCGTTACAGCACCGCGGGTTGGTTAATATGCATTTCTGTCGGCTGTTTAAACTCCAGTGATGAAAATTCAGGAAAACGGGTACGATATGTATGTGAATTTTGGGACGATCGATGGTCCAAAAACCGATCCGTGACAGATGTCGACTGGTCCTCAAAAGTAAGTATACCCCATGACTTGACGACGGGCGGCGACGGCGACAGCGGTATATTCCTTGTGCTCTATATTAACGATATTCATATGGTGTAGTATCCGGAATTGCTTGTCTCCTCGTATAATAAAAATCCCATGGCTCTTAATGAACCGGATGGTGTCGCTTTGGTGTGGAATCTTCATTTACTAGAACGACCAGAATTTATCTTTCACTCACAGGCAAGTCCAGTTGAACGATGGGTGACGGGGATCATCGAAAGAATGACCAGTTAAGGCTAAAATATCTGCTGATCTTGCTAGTCGGATGTGTTGAGTGTCAAGTTCAGCAAGTTTCATCCCAATTACGTGATTGGCGGTACTTATTCTGGTCAAATCGTGCTGTGGGACACGCGTGCCAAATCGCTTCCGGTGCTGAAAACGCCTCTTTCGGCGGGCGGCCACACCCATCCCGTGTATTCATTAGAGATGGTGGGAACGCAGAATGCGCATAATCTTATCTCGGGTAGCACAGATGGGTTTATTTGTTCATGGCAATTGGATATGCTGGCACAGCCTCAGGTAATGCGGAATTGAACATCCCATATTTGGGAAACAAAAAATGCTCAGTTTTTTTCTGCTTCATTTAGGATTATCTGGAACTGTTGCATTCAACCCATAATAAAACCGATGAAGTATCGGTTACTTGTATGGGATTCCCAGATAACGAAACAACAACCTTTTGGGTGGGCACAGAAGAAGGCAACGTATACCAGGCGAATAGATACGATCGCGCAGGAAGGTAAAAGATCGCATGAATCCGACCGAACATGTGGCAAAAAAAAAAAATATTGATGTGGCAAATGCATGTGGCTAATAGCAAGGCTGGTGTCAACCAATATGACACCTACCGTGGCCATTACGGCGCAGTGACAGGACTGCATTTCCATCCTCTTTATGGACCCGTGGACTTTTCAGACCTGTACTTAACTTCCTCCGTTGATTGGACCGTGAAATTATGGCGAGCCAAGGTATTAACCATGATTCAATGAATTTGACAACGGGGAAACTCATCCAAGGATTCTAGTCTATTTCGAAAACGTCCACACAACCTGCTACAATCACTCCCCTTTATTCGTTCGAGCAAGCAGATGATTATGTCTATGACGTCAAATGGTCGCCTTCACATCCTGCTCTTTTTGGTTCAGTGGATGGCAATGGCCAATTCGATTTGTGGAATATTAATTCGGATACCGAAGTAAGTCTCGAGTTTGGCCACCTTTCTTTTCTTTATACGGAAATCTTTTTAACTCGATGCTTCCTTAGGAACCTCTGGTAAGCACGGCGGTCGGTTCGGGCAAAGCGCTGAATAAATTGGCTTGGGACAAGGACGGAAAAAAGACAGCAATAGGATCGAGTGATGGTCGTGTTTACGTGTACGACATTGGCGAGGTAAGCAAATGTTGATTTTGCATGGTTAGGTCACATAAGAAGATGTCATGGTTTAACTTTATGTGTATATATATTTATAGCTCGCCAATCCCAAGCCTGACGATTGGCATTTATTACAAAAGAATATTTCGGAAATGATTTCAAACCAGGAAGATCCTGCAAAATAATAATAAATTTAGGCTTTTTTTTTCTGTTCCTCATGGGCATTCCATTGTTCTCTTTCTTTTTTTCTTGATACGTCCAAAAAGCTTGGGCCCATGGCTCATTCAATCCCCGAGTTTCTGCTCAGCCCTCGGGCACCGATCTCGGGGGATATTGTCCAAATTTGGCAATCATTCAAAGGCTGAAAGGGTCACTTTTGATCCGGATCAATGCTCAGCATTCAAATTCAGGCTTCTCCGTCTTCTTTGAGCCAAGTCTGCCACCATCCTATATATAAACGGTTCTGTCTTTTTTGATTTAATGATTTTATAGAAACCTTATTTATTACTTTACCATGTCACAGTACAATTCCACCGATACAAAAAACGATTACATGACCGTTGATATGAATCGAACGTCAGAATCCTCCCGCAGCCCGATATTGACACCCTCACAAACCGAAGAAATCATCGGCACTGACAGCCAACATAAAAATAAAACCGACGATAAGGATATGGCTACGAGTAAAAGAAAGTTTATTTTACGTCAAGTGGTTGCCTTTGGGACCATGCTGCTTGTCGATGTGGGCATTCCGTTGGCCCTGTACTATATCCTGAAAATGTATACCAGTATTCTGATTGCTCTCATTGTCTCTGGTATCCCACCGTTACTGCGCGTTATATATATCTTTTGGAGACGAAGAAAAGTGGACGTTCTCGGATGTATAATTGTATTTTCCTTTGTGTTATCGGCGATCCTTTCCATTATAAGCGGTAAGTTTTGAGTCACCGCCCTGGTGATACGATGGACAACGGGATCACTCAACGATAGATTTTTGAAATACAGGCGACGTACGTGCGATGCTTCTGCGCGACTCAGCCACCATGGCCATCATCGCCACCATGTTCCTGGTGACACTTATTCCTATCAAGACACGATGGTTCGTGAATCGACCGCTGACGTTTTGTATCGCACAACAAATGATGTCCGAACTACCATCCGTCCGGTGGAAGGATGAACAAGGTCAAGAACAGAGTCTTGCTCTCATTGAATGGTTATGGCAAGAAATTCGACGCTTCCGAGTGGACTCATACATTCTGACAGCACTGTGGGGACTGGGCCTCATGGGCGAATTTGCGGCCAAAGTGATCATGATTGAAAGCAACTTGGATGTGGATCACATTGTGCTCTATGGCAACATTATTCAAATTGTACTTTTTGTTTCTTTGACTACCCTGAGTATAGTCAACTCGCTTATGATGAGGAAATATACGGCTCAGCGGTTCATAGAGTGGCGTGAAAAGTACGAAATGATAGATGAATAAGAAGAAAATCGACAACAAAATAGATCGCCCTTACTAATAAAATAAGCAATGTCACATTCCCTCTTTGGGATTTTATAACCGAAAAATAGCAATGTCATGGGGTTTTCTATTGCCTTTGTGGGGTCATTGCCACATACTGTGTAAATAGTCTGTAACATTGCCTTTTGTGGTCCATTGCTACATACTGTTTCGTAAAAGCAATCTACCCAAAAAGGGACGTTGCCCGCACACTGTCCCACAGTATATAAAGGAGAAAGACTGTTATAAAATCTTAATTTAGTTATATCCTGCCACGACAAAAAATAGTTTATAGTATGCCTTGCCGTTCCTATGAAAGTACTACTCATTCTCGGTCCAGCCACCTTGATTACCCGCTCAACAATTATACAAAATCAGTACGTGCTAAAACTTCGGGTTTGAAAGAAGAACCTTCATCAACCAGACGCTGTCAATGCTGGTGTACGAACCATTACAGATTTACGAGCTCGCTTGAAAGGAAAGGTAGCTTTTTATGCTTTTTGTTTGCCAAAGAATCGACAAATGATCGACAGAATCTTTTGTGACTCAACAAAAAAAAAGGGAATCATTCTTATTCAATTTTTCTTCGTAACATTTTGGGTCTTTGGCTATCAAAACTTGAATATGGTTGGATGTTGACATATGAAGAATCGATAGGGGAGAGCTTTTTCAAAAAGCTGCAAACATCTTTTCCTGTATGATACTCGAACAGAACTATCAGATCAGTGATTCATATACCATAAAAGCAAAACGGCGACTCTGCTCTTACAAAAAAAAAAAAAAAAAAAAAAAAAAAACCAACCAACCATGTGTTTGTCGTTGAACGAATGTAGTCCACATGGGAAATGGCAGCTGCATAGAATCGATAAAGGACGACCTATGCAAAGATCTGATGTAATATATGCCTAGACATTCATAATTTTATAGTCACTTGTCATTTGTAATCACTCCAATTCAAGTTTAATAGAGCGTTACTGTGTCCACTGTAAATAGTAAAGCACCGACTGATAAAACATATGTCCGCCATTGAAAGATGAGGCACTGATTGATAAAGCATACTATATGTCTGTCTGTGAATAGTGAAGCGCCAACTGATAACCATATGTCTTTCATTGAAACATGGGGGACTGATTGATAAATCATACTGTATGTCTGTTTGTGAATAACGAAGTGCCGACTGATAATTCATATACCTGAGTATAAAATGGCTTCAAATTTTCCCATGTTTAGGCATACATTACACTTCAACACTTCAACCCACAAACCGATCGATAATCCCGCTAAAGAAGAAAATAAAAGGACTCGAAATTGCGGCCAGTCCACGGCTCCTCTTTGTCTGAAGCCGCCATGTGTATTGCTCTTGCTGGGGATATCTCCCTCTTCCTCGAAGGGAAACCTTACCCCCCTTTTTAAATTCTCAGCCATGTATTATATGCTGAGAAAAATTTTCACCACCCCGCACACCGGTAATATAGTCTGTTCTGATATAAAAGCTTGAACATACTGCTGATAATGAGCGATTTTTAGGTTTAGGTGCTGCGGAGGCTTCTCCCGATGGGGGAGACAGACATCCTGTTGCTTGCTAGTGGTAGCGGAAGTATGACAGAAACTTCCACTCAGAAATAAAAATTAACATGCATCTGTAGGTTTGGTAAGTGATGATGGCGGGTTCTTATTCAAATGCTATATTCATCAAGACGACACTGTTTACATGTGCTTACGCTTCTTTTCTAGTCTCATCAGGCTCAGTAAAAATTTCAGTAGTACATTAGAGAATGCCCGAATAAAAGGCGGATATAGAATTACCACATTAAGCTCGCTGTTTTTTCATTTTTCTCTTTGTTCTCTGAACGGGCCATCAGTCACACCCGCTGTTCAAGCACATCATACTATTACCCGTACTATCACTCGCAGTATGGGGTTTTCCTTTGTTACAGACTTGCTCGATATACTGACAGCCGCCATGAGCTGTTGCATTCCGAATCCCAACATCAGCATCAACGGACGCGCTTATCGAATCATCAAACTCCTAGGTGAAGGGTAAGCACAACCATCCATCACCCAGCAATTCAGTTACATATGAGAAAAGACTGAACTTATTGTATTCGTCATTTTAGCGGCTTCTCGTTTGTGTACCTTGCTCAGGACGGTTCCGGCAACTTGTATGCCTTGAAGAAAATTCGATGTACGCTAGGCACCGAAGAAGCCGACCTGGCCCAACGTGAAGTGGATATGTACCGTCTATTTGAACATAAAAACATCATTCGCATGCTAGTAAGTGGGTGCCCGTGGATGATACTACGCTTCTAGTGTTCAATCAAGCGGATGTTGATTTGGAGGGTTTAGGATAGCAGTACGATCACGGAATCCGACGGCAGTAAGACCATCTACATCTTCTTGCCATATTACAAAGTAAAGATTTAAAGAGATGGGGGGGGGAAGAATCCATGTAGATAAGAATGGCAGGACTTACGGAATAACATCCCAACAGAGAGGCAACCTTCAAGACGCGATTAATCGACATAACCTGAACAACACGCATTTCTCGGAGAAAGAGATCCTCCAGTTATTTCACGGTATATGTATAGCGGTGCAGGTGTTACACACGTATAAAGCAGCGAGCGGCGTACGAACCCATTACGAATCCAGTGGACAAAACACAATAGAAGACGAACATAATCACACCGACGACCGTCAGGATCAAGCGCTATTAAGTAATCAAGTTCAGCAAGACGCGTCCGTCGTCGCGCCTTTGCCAGGGAAAGAAGGCGACATTATACCATGGGCTCATCGTGATATCAAACCAGGGTAAAAAAAAAAAAATCTCATTGCCAGCCACGCTACGAAACAATGGTAGTGACGTGCTCCCCTTTCTTCTTTTTTTTCAGGAACGTCATGTTATCCGACGACGGTCAAACTCCTATTCTGATGGATTTTGGATCCGCTTGTCAAGCAAGGATCGACATTCATACCCGACAAGAAGCGCTCGCACAGCAGGTGAGCGCGTCGCGTCAACATAACATTAGGTTCCATCGTCTGAAACGAGGTGTTATATGTAGGATTTGGCGGCTGAACATTGTTCAATGCCTTACCGGGCACCTGAATTGTTTGATGTGAAAACGGAAACGACGTTGGATGAAAAGGTGGATATATGGTCACTGGGATGTACGTTGTACGCTGTGGCGTATGGGCAGTCTCCTTTTGAGAATTATGATCAAGGCGGGTCGATTTCGCTGGCCGTGCTCAATGGCCAATTTCGATTCCCTAGCGATTCTCAACTAGCGAATCTGTATTCCCAGGAATTCAAAGATTTGATTTCCTGGATGCTGACTGCCGATCCCAAACGCCGCCCGAATATTCATCAGGTATCAACTCATATACTGCATCCATATTTCTCACCCAAAAGAATCATTTTCATCTCATCACCTTTTGTTTGTTATTTTCAGATTATAGCTAGAGTCGACGAGCTTTTATCGCGAGAATAGAAACACGCGAGTAACTTGTACAGTGTAGCATATAAAATAGATGGAAAGGGTACCGCTCCGCGATTCGATTTCCAAAGGGTATCTTCGTGTCAAAAGAAATCTCATAAAATTTATGTTAAAAATGGTTGTGGTGACAACGATCATGCGGACGGGATGAAACAGGTGTCGTCGGCAACCGTGTATCACCAGAATTCCGATGACCCAAAAGGCAGTAAAATAGTGCTTGAATAACGCGGTATTTTTGGGTCTCGGAGCGGATCAGGAAGGAGTGTTGGGAATTCTTTAGTACTGAACTACTGCTGCCGGGCAACATGCCCTTGTTGTAAACGGTGCTCAATACCCGTGGGATGCCACTAGCACGACGTGATGCCCGAGCCCGGGGCATGACAGTCATATTGCAGTAGTGTGAAGAGCGCTTCTGGCGAATACGTCCTGCGGGTTAAAAAAAAAACGCATTCTTGTGAAACTTTACTGCAACTGGCAGCGAAAATGTATACAGAACATCACCGGTCGAGCGGCCAATGACGTGAGTAGATAGTAATCTTTTGTCTCAGGACCACTTTTTATCATTTTTCTATTTCTACGATTCATCTTTATACATGTGCATTCTATTTTGGATAGCAGATCATCCTAAATATCGTTTGTAAGCATTCTGCAAAGTTTTCAAAAAGAGCAAGAGATACATGACAAAGTGTCTTCATGTGCTTACTAATGCCCGAATGGTGCTTATGTTTTTTTATCTTTATTGTTGGTGCGTCAGTATTTTTGCAGCCAATCGAGACGAATTCCTACATAGAGAAACAGCGGATGCGGCATTCTGGGAATCTCCCAATGATTATGTGGTTGCTGGAAGGGATCTCGAGCCATCAACGTCATCGATGCAACATGGGACATGGTTAGGGCTCACAAAGCATGGTCGGTTTGCTGCTCTGACCAATTATCGTGAGCGAGTATTTCAAGGCCGACTTTCACGCGGTATTCTGGTGAGGGATTTTTTAACCAGTAATATCAGCGTCGATGATTACATGATCAAGATTCGGAATGAAAAAGATATGTACGGAGGCTTCAATCTCGTATGCTTTGATGGCTTAAATGAGGAAGGCGACCTCCATATGGCTTATTACAGCAATCGAATGGACACAGATATCATATCCTTACAGAAAAATGTAGTTTACGGTAAGAAGAGGGTTGAAAGATCAAGAAGCCAGGAGAAAAAAAAAAAATCGGGTAAAAAAGAGAATTTCCCCTTAACTGTTTTTTCTTTTTTTTTTGGGGGGGGGGGGGGGTTCGGGTCTGGGGGGAAAAATATAGGACTTTCAAACTCGGTATTAGATGTACCGTGGCCGAAGGTGGAGGAAGGTCGTCAGAAGCTTGAATCGATCTTGGAAAAATGCGCTGACAATGAAGATCAACTGATTGAATCATTGTTTACGCTACTAAGGTAAATTAGGAAAGCAAAGATAGGTGTACTTGGATTATATGCTTGGCAAAGGGCAGTGGAGCGGTATATTAAACTTTTATATCCCCTATATTAGTACGACAAAGCCCCTACCTGATACAAGCAATCTTGAGCTTGTATTGGAAGAAATGAAGCAACGCATTTGCATACCTAAATTCAGTAATTCCGACTTTGGCAATGCTACGGAATACGCAACACGGACAAGTACGGTTATCCTCGTCGACCATGATGGCCATGCGGTTTTTGTAGAGCGTCAACGTTACGATGAACAAGGCGCGGTGCGGAACGATACAGGAACTGTGTTCCGCTTCAAATTGCAAAAAAAATAGCGGAGAGAAACTTGGATGATCCAGCAGGCGGACATTCGGGCAAATATAACATATTGCGTAAAAGACGAAAACAAGAAGTAAAAAAAAAATTTGGTTCACATTTCTTTTGTGTTGCTCATCAAATGCACGCAATATCTAAATTGTTCCAGCGATGATAGATGTACGACATTTGTCTGCAAAGTCGGTGCAGGATAAAAAAAAAAGTGATGCATGATTGTGGAATGCAATGCTGTCCGATAATGTCGACTTTTTTTTTTAAGAGAATATCGATTTTGAGCTGACCTCGATAAATCTTTTTACGCGGAACTTGTTATTGCCACGTTTTTTTCTCAAAGGTTGCACAAATCCAGTTAATTGGTTTACAGAGCAACGTGGCGTCAACCTGCAATTGTGTCAGTCGATTCGTTGAGATGAATAGGCCGGAAAACGATTGGTGTACAGCTTATAGTTGAACATAAAATCAGTGGGGGAGCCCTTTTTTTTTGCAGTTTTTTTTTTCTTTTCTTCTTTTTCCGCTCTTCTCATTGTGTGTAAACGAAAGATAGAGGCATTACATCAACATATTCCGGTCAAGGTGTTGTAATAGCGAACATGTCAGCATCCTTTGTTCTGTGTAAGTGGTACCTTTTTTTTTTCACCATCTTATCTAATCGTCCGTCAGATTACTTATCTTCTGTATGATTTTCATAGTGGGCGGTCAAGATAAAAAGATCTCGCTTGAGCAACAACGTCATCCTTGCCCTCGTTGCAAACATGAATCGTCTGTTCAGTTGACTCGCTGCGAGACTCAATTAGTGATTTTCAATAAGCATGTCGGCAAACCGAACAAAATGCGTGTACGATATGAATGCAGCGAATGCGGATGGAAAGCCGAGAGTTTGCCCGAGAATCCCGAAGACCCTTATTCTTGGAAAATCGCTTACCTCTAAATACCTCCTTCGACCGCTTTCTCGTTGCTCGACTTTTTTTTTTTTTATTCTTTTTCGGATCATCTGATGCGCCTTTGCTTACTGGATTTTTCTTTTCATACTTTTTTCTTGCTTCTCTTTTCCTTCTTAACATCCTTAGAATATGTTACCCACCGTTCTCTTTTATGTATTTCTCTATGTTTCTGATCTTTTTTATCACTATGCCAACGTGTCTCTTCTCCCATTCCCGTTGAACGCCACCAATTACACGAAGCACACCATACGAACCGCCATGCCAAGCTATACGTAATCGTACTTTAAGACGTCGAAAAAAAAATTTACGCCAGCCATTCAAAAGAAAACCCGCAGCAAAAATCTTCGAGTTTCGTACGTTACAAACATATGCAACGGCATACGGCATTTACGAACACACAAACACACAATCCATTGTACACACAATATAGACATTTCACATTTTTTTCTTTCTATTTTAAAACCTTTTATAGTTTCATTCACACATGCATATTAATTTCGGATGTAGCATGTTTTGCGCTACGTTGACACCGTACGTGGCAAAGTATCTCAACATGATGATGATAATACAAATATAGACCTTCATTATGAACTTTTTTTTTTTATTGTGCGAAACAAGAATTGTCTACGGGTTATTTCTTGAAACGGAGGTTGGCGTTGGCAAGGCGTCATTCCATAAATTTTTGATGTCATTGCAAAACTAGTTACCATTGATGAATGTTTTGGCAACTGTCGATATGTTGCTATGGTTTATTTTCATTGGTGCACACAAAAAAAGGGGGGTTTGGGTGAGAAGGTAAATAAAGATCAAATCAATAAAAATACAAAATCAATATCTAGCAACAAGTGGAAGAGCCGTATTTGTATGAGGATCGAGATTCGTTTTGTGTCAAGTGCAGGGTATTATTATTATCGTTCAGGTCCAACTCCAGTTGCGGTACTTTGACCATCATCGCCAAATGTTTGAATGCTTTTTCCACACCAGTACCATCTTTGGCACTGGCTTCAAAACAGGGAATCTGCATTTTGTCACTCGAATGTTGCTCGGCAAATGCTCGGGCTTGTCTCCGTGACACCACGCGATCATCAATGTCGATTTTATTGCCGACAATGAGAATTGGGAAATTTCGAGCTTCCTCCAAAGGTAATGATGATTGCTTCAAAAAATCAGCCAGCCAACGTTCTACACATTCATGAATATAATGATCAATCAATAAAAACAAATAATAATAAAAAATAACATCAGTGTGAAAAAAAAACCCAAGTACGGATAGACCCAAATAGGGGCCTCTCCAATAGTTCAAGTCTTACCCAAGTGCTGAAAGGATAGAAAATTATTCACATCGTAAACCAGGACACATGCATCAGCGCCACGATAATACGCCACGCCCAAGGATTGAAACCGCTCTTGACCGGCTGTATCCCAAATTTGCATCATCACTTTCTTCCCACTATCGGTTTCAACTTCTTTAGTTATAAAATCCGCTCCTATAACTTTCCATAATCAGTCATTGTCATTGTCACCTCGACTCATTAACACACACCGATGGTTGCTTTATAAGCATTCGTAAATCGTTTGTGAATAAACTGCACATGGATTCACATTTCAGTATATTTTTTTCACGTTCCGGAGACCTAGACACCTATTGGTTGGTGTCATTTTCCTACCTGATTACGCAAACTGGTCTTTGTTCATGAATCAACAGAAAATTAGTGAGTCGTTTTTACCTTGAAAGGTCTTCTACCACTTACTTTGCCTACGCCACCATCGCCTATAAGTACAACTTTGAGAATGTCTTTATGCATCAAATGCCACCGATGAAGGAATGCCAACAAAGAAGGAAAAAGGAAGAAAAGCAAGTCATATGATGGAATTTCTTCATTTCGCTTTTCAAACTACTTGTATTCATGATGTATCTCGCTGTTTTTCTGCTCAATTAAAGAAATCCAAATAATCATATCGTCGTGTTTGCAATATTCCTTTTGAGAAATAGCCTATTTTCCATTGGAGTAAAAAAAGTATACATATAAAAAAAAAGAATGCTTTAAAGGCACCATGCATAAAGCATAAAATTGCCTGATTTCTCAGACTGACCAAGCAACTTTCATATTGTTAGCCCGGCAGATCAACCTCAAATCCCCTCCACGATGTCATCAATATTATCGACAGATATGACAGAGGGATGATTTCATGTTGAACTCGTCAATTGAATGCAGAATGCGAGTCAACTTCCTTTTATAAATGCTTATAGATATAAATAATATGTACATTACAAATAATTACACATCTTTTAGGCGACGACAGAATGAGAGGAATGGAAAGAGGAGAGGGAATGGGAAACGGTAATTTTAGAGTTGTCATTTCCTTCAGTGGATGACTGTTTTCGCTTGATAAGGTGGCCCTTATCTCCGAGATAAATGAAAACCAGTGGTATACATCCGACGAACATGGTACTCAATGTGACACATAACCAAAAGAAGCCAATACTTCCATAGATGAAACCAGCCATGAAAGGACCAAGACACATACCCGTGCCATAAGCAGCATTGAAAAGAGCGTAACTCCGTGCGAGACCGTCACGATCATTGCTGGATTTGTTCTCGGCGGCTACGGCTCGAGCGATTTCAGGGAAGACTGGTGACTGACAACCAGCAATGGTAATACCACCCATTGCTAGCATAGGAATAAGAGGCCAAAACGACGTTTCGTGTGTCGGAATACCCATCGCTATGCAGGCAGGAATAGCGAGAACCAACGAGACAATGGCTACGATCTTTGTACCGAATTTATCACATAACCAGCCGCAGACAGCGCTAGAAATAATCGACGGAACCATGTAAGCTATGAGAATCAAGCCGCAAGCTGCTGCATCAAAATGCCATTCAGAAGCAAGTCGCATCGATAAGGTTGGCTAAAAAAAAATCAGGATGGGAAATAGCTTCTTTAGTATAAAATATTCTTTCTTCAATCAACAAGGACCGAAGCAAAAAATCATTACCTCGAATCCACTCATGACAGTGGCCACGACAACGGTTAACAAGAGTGATACGATTAACCGAGGCTGCTTGATCAATTGAAACCATGTAATTTTCAGTTTCAAATCTTCATGGAGAGACGAACAGGTATCATTCATCACATCTTCTACTTCATCGTCCTGCATAAACCATTCCCGAGGAGCCGTGCTGCGCTCAATGATGATTAATCGCATCAAAAGGTCAATAACACAAAATATCATGGACGCAATGAAAGGTGCCTGGTAGCCGAGTTTACTGTAAAGCACTGACAATGCACATTCGCGTGAGTCTTTTTACTGTAAAAGTGACACCATCCCGTCAATGTCAAACTTACCGCCTAAAAATTGCATTGGTAAAATTGTAAGTTATCATGTGATGAATGGAAGATGTCGAGGGTAAAAATTCTTACCTCCAGAGGGTAATCCAACCATCATCCCGAGAGGATAGAAGCCGACCAATTTTCCCATCTGTAATCCCAATTGATCGCTAGGATAGTTGTCTGCAATCAAGCAGAGACACATTGTCCATACACACGCATTCGAGACACCCTGCAGAAATCGCGCAACAAGTAGCATCCAATACATGGTACTGAACATGAACATGATATTCGCGGCGATGGAAGCCAGAATGCCGAGTAACATGGGGATTCGCCGTTGCTTGATCTTATCACCTAGCCACCCGAAAAACGGTGATCCAGCTATGCAATATCCATTAGTATTGGTCAATTTTTTCCGCCAGATCTGTAAGGTTTGTGGCCATGGATCGCCCCTTCTTTTTTAACCTCCCCTAATCCTCCTTGTATTCCGATTCTTCCCCTTCCAGAATCTCCTAGTTTTTCTCTAATGGCCACTTCCAAGGCTCTTTTTTTTTCTTACGATACTTACACAGGAGCCCAACAGCATATAGTGCTACGAGAATACCGGTGTCTCTAGAGGTGGATATACTTTCTTCAGTAATGTCGTATGTAGCTTGTTGATTGATATCGTCGCCATTTTTTATACGGCTGACAATAAATGGTGACAGTGGGAAAAGGATGGAATGAACAAAGGTCTAAAATGACGAAGATAAGACATATGATTAAAATATATCGTTCAAGGAAACATTTCGTCTCTGCGTACAGTAAAGAGAAATGGAATTTATCGTTGGTATATATGGAATACTGACACTGGTGAAAAGACCTGTTGCGGCGGTCCAAAAAATGAACGTTCTGGCGGATCGAAATCGGAACAAAAAAGGACGAGGTTTGACAGGTTTTCGAGTGGAATCTTTCTCCTTAACTGGATACACTTGTAGATGCTTGTCATAGCCGGCAGGGCTTGGCACAGCGGTATCAGGTGCAATTGAAGAGTGATGTTTCTGCATAATAATCAAGCAATAGAAGTCTATGTTTCCCCTTGAAAAATACTTCAAAGAGATATATAAAATTTGTGTTGTATAAAGATATGTACGAGATAAAGAAATGCAAGAAAGCGCGGATACACACTTATTTTAAATTCGTTGGGCTTTTTTTTTTCTTTCTCAGTCATGGTAAGGGAGAAAGGAGAACATGCATAACATAAAAAAAGATGTGAACGGATAGATCGGCCCGGTGATGGATAACACATTGCTCCTTTCATCACTTGCTACGCGCCAAAAACAAATTTAAAAGCGGTCCAGAGAAATCAGTGAGAAACGGTGAAAAGATTTTACATATCTAACTCCCCAAAAAAAGTCTACAGTATGAGCTATAAATACACATGTTTCTAAGTTAAACGGATGAAGCGTATTGAGGACGGTTTAGGACGGTCGATTTTGATGAATATGTAGTGAAGCAACAAGCGATGATACATAGTAGTCAGGTTAATTGCTCAGCATATCCATGACTACTTCGTATACCCAAAAAGTCACCGCATTCACAGGGAATCCACGGACAATAGTTGGCGAAAGTCCTCGAAAGAAGACACTTATGCCTTCGGTTCGATAAGAGCGGACGATGCAATCCTTGATTGACGTGTAAGGGCGATCGGACCTTGCAGGTAATGCAGTGGATTCTGTACTGATGGGTATGGAAGTGGAAATTTGTTGAGAATGAGTGGAGGAAATCGCCGGTGTTGTTTGCATTTGCAGTCTTGACTTGACAACATCGATAGGATAAATGGATGCCCAGGATATCGTCCCTGCCATTCCCCCTGCCAATAGGAGCTTCCATGCACCTTGTCCGCTCACATTATCCACAGAATTGACTTCCAGGATTCGTTTCATGCCTTCATACACCCAAAAGTAGATACCATAACTGGGAGCATCACGGATAATTGTAATCCAGCCTCCTTGATACAAACCTAAAATTCATGCTTCATTAGCTATTCACGATTTCAGGCATCAGGGATAATCTAGGGAAAACATTCTCGAAGACACCACATGTATCCAGCCATGGCCAAAAAAAAAAAAATTAAAGCAAAAACACAATAATTACCTCGGAGGCCATTGCGAGCATAAATTTCTTTAGCCACTTGCAACGATGTTTTGGTTTCACGCGAGACTTGGGCCTGAATCTTAATAAGATCCGTGGGCGTAGAAAAGAGAAAGCAGGCGACACCTGCACCACAACCTGCTAAATAAACTTCGGTCAAGGTGGATTGAGAAGAACCGGTTTGTCTCTGCTGTTCCATCCATCTGAGAAGACTGCCATAAGAGACGAATAAAATAGCGTTCAATCCAGCCAGACCAGTGACTGGTGCCAGAACACCCTTGAACAATGAACCAATCTATACAGAAAGAGGAATCCCCGAAAATTTCGTTATTCATCGCTCTTCCCTTTCTATCAACGCTTTTCTCGTCTTTCCCATACCCCTTCTGTTGTCACCATCTGTTTCAGTGTGCCCCACGATGAGGATGACAAACTAGGATATGTCTCGAGGCCTGCAGCTCGAGGCGCTTGCAGTCGTGCCTATTATTATTGTTTATTTGCTTTTTGATTCTTATCCGTCAGGTGAACCAACACATTTTGTGTCTTTTTTTTATATCGACATTGCAACTACCTTTAATACATCAAGCGGACTTCCTACGATAATACCAGCCGCACCGCCGATCCAACCTAGCATTGGCATGCCTCAGTGTTCCTGAAGCCATTACTGCGCGATATAGTTTTGAGAGATTTACCTGCTACGAAATCGTTGAAGCTTTCAGCTATAACAAGTAGTAGTGATAGTGGTCAGATGAATGGATTATGGGCGGGTGATGTGGGTCACTCACCCATTTCAGTTGTCCCAGGAACCGGCAGTGAGTGGATCGAAACATCGTAAATGTCCCAATCATGGAAGATTACGGGTTCAATTCAAAGACAGCTGATTGGAAGCCTGGAATCAGTGAAAATAAAAAACGATGAAATAAAATCTCCGCGGTGGTTTGATTCAATGCAACACATGAAAAGCTATTTTCCGCACGTCATGATTATGCAAACACCATACTATTTATTTGTAAAAAAGAAAAAAATGGCCCTTGCTGTTTTTGTTTTCATCTTCATCTTCTTCTTGTTATTCTTTCAACTCGTTGTTTTTTAAACTGTTATGTCCTCCTCGCCCTCTGCTGTTTCTTGTTGTGCACGTTTCATCACCGATCCTTGGGCTGCAGCTAAAGTATTAGTCCCCTCGGTAGCCATTGAAGTCGTTTTACATAACAAAGTATGGCAAAAATGCTCATTGCGCCATCTCACCTTATACTTGGCGTTGATCAACACGTATTGGTTCGCTTCCACCATCAACCTAAGCTTCTTGGAATCGCCTCTCATCATGCATATCCCAACGATGGATGAGAAACAAAAGACAGAATGCGGTCGTTATCGCTTCAACTGGCTTAACAAGTTTGAAGTAAGTAAATTTGTGACATGAATCAAACATCGCTTTTGAGAGGTGCTAACGTCATTATCATTCACCTTAGATTATGCTTGGTGTGTTGAGTTTGGATTTATTCTGCGTATGGCGCGAACGCATTCTGGACAATAACGGATTCGTCGACAGATGTTTGTATCAAGCCGTGCTTGTCCCCGCTCTTATTACTGGAGCCCAAGCAGCCTACTTGCTTCCCAAGCTTAACGAACGCGCACAGCTCGTCAGCAAAGGTGCCGCTACTACTGATGATTTATATAAGGACAAGGTGTTCCCCAAGGCCCACCGAGCTTACATCGGTTTCGAGACCGCCAAGGTCGTGGGTTTAGCTGTGGCTGGCCTTCGTTTCGGAAGAATGCTGACCATCTAAAACCAAACACGGATATTTTACAATCTAATGCACATTATTGTCAATAAAAGAGAGAAATAGCCAACTTCTTTGATTGATTGTTATGTAAATGAGCGTCGACGTGCAAAGGGATCTATAAGTGATGAATGCTCCTGTTGCGGACGTTGCATCATCGTTTTTGGTGGTTTTATGTGGGATAAACAACTTTGACCAGTTCCGTCTGGGGTGCATGTTCGAATTTGGAACGGGCTAAAAGCAATCGGTGACCAATGGATGACGGGGGCGCGCTTTGACCAAGCATGTTGTGCTCGGTTTACGCGCTTCCTGTGTTACAGTTCTTCGGCCAACCTGTTCGTTCGACTGTTTCAAAACCCGCGACACAGGGTATTCTTCGAATGTTTCGAACATGTTTGATCAAGACGCGCGACCTGGAGAAGCGCCGACAAAAAATCGCGAGTAAATCAGTTAAAAGTTTGCACGAAACCGTTAAATGCAGGATAAACGGTTCACAGACATTTTACACGCTTTTGGATCGGTAGAAGTCCAGAACACCCATTTTCAACGAGAACATTGATTGAACCAGCAAATATTGAATTGAAAGTGATGTTTGAGGATTTAAATTATTCGGCCAGGAGTGAACCAAAGGTCTAAAGACAAAACTTGTTCATTTTCAAAAGGATCGTCCGAGCTGTACACGTTACAATTTACCAGCAGACTAATGTTTTTCCATGTGCCTGGGACAAACTAATGCACAGCACAGATTTACCGAGTGGCGAATAAATATATATTTCCTCTCTAATGATGCACAAGAACTATTGTCTTTATGCACGATTGCATATAGCAAAAATATACTACCATACTTTACCATTGTTTATTTTTTGACTTACAACCATTTTATTAATGAACGATTTCATTGTCGGATTGGAAATAAAAGGAAAAAACTAGTTTTTTCATCCACTAAAAAAAAAATGGGATTTTTCAAAAAATTCAGTGATGTCGTCATTCTCCGCAAAGGGGTTCAGATTCCTATTGGCTTATTTTTCTTTCGGTTTTTTTTTTCTCAAATCTTGTTGAGATTCAACTGCATCTGTTCTTTGTATCTTTTTATTTATTTATTGCAAATGTCTGTAATATATTACAAGTTTAAAGCAGCCAAAGATTCCGATTATGATGTGTTTACTTTTGATGGAGCTGGTGCAACTGTGTTTGACGTGAAGCGAGAGATCATTAGAGCAAAGAAACTGGGCAAAGGCACGGACTTTGATCTAGCCATATACAATGCGCAGACAGACGAAGGTTAGTTGTGGTATTCGACAAACGAGATTTTTGTGCTAAAATGGGGGCAACTATGTTACTTGATTATAGAATACAAAGACGATGTTTTTGTAATTCCTCGAAATACTTCGGTCATCGTGCGACGATTACCTCCTTCTCGACCTGGAAAAGGTACAGCACAGCGATATGTATTGGGAGCTTTGCCGACAGATGGCAAAGGAATGGGGAGCAGTAGCGTAGGTATGCTGAAGAGTGGACCTCTTGTTTCGCAACCAACCGAACGATTCAGTGGTGGAGGACGAAACATGGTTTTCAACGCACAGCAATTCAAGCAATCGCCAAAATCGGTGACTCCTGTTGCCGCAGCAGATGAAACTCCCTCAGCTGCCGGTACAGAAGGATCTACACCCAATGCACCGCTCGATGATTCCGAAGAAGCACGTATTCAAGCCATGTTTCAGCAAACCACCGACCAGTGGGGCGCCATGCAGGAAAAATTAGCCGAGTAAGTGGCCTTGGGATTCTTTTTTTTTTTTTTTTTCGTAGAGTTGTGTGATGTCTCCTTCCCTGTTGATTCATGAAAAGAAAACAAACGAGTGAAAAAAAAGGCAAAGAAAGAAGAAAACATCAATTGCAAAAATTGAAAAAAGAAAAAGAAATATATCTGTCTTATTCATCTTTATAATCATGAACCTTTTTTTTTTTTGCATGACTTTTTAAATATGATTGTTCAACTTTTTACAATCATTATTTTGTCTTCATACGTGGTGCTTATCATCGTCATGTACTTTAGGCAAACATATATCCCATACATTCCTCGAGGCAACGATTATAGACGCGGTCGAGGAGGTTATCACGGTGGTGGCACACCTCGTGAAGGCAGTACGGACAACAAGGATGGTGCGAATCAGATGCCGATAAGAGTTCCTCCACCAACTTATGTCTGCTATCGATGTGGACAGAAGGGTAAGTCAAAGGACAGTTATATGTGAAAATGACCCCGGACCCACCTTGCTTTCGTTAGGTCACTATATCAATCAATGTCCCACAAATGGCGATAAGGATTATGATAAGCATCCACGTATCAAGCGAACGACTGGTATTCCTCGCAGTTTCTTAAAGGTCATCGAAGAGCCAAAAAACGCAGTGAAATCTGGGACCGGCGGTTTGATGGTCACACCTAAAGGTGACATTGTCGTTGCACAGGCCGATTCGTAAGTCATCTTCATTTGTGTGAAAAGGCAATCATGGTGTGGAATATCAGACTCATCAATGCTGTGTAGGTCCACGTGGGACAAGCATGTAGCGAAAGCGGCTACGACAATTAATCTGGGTACCGCAACGGCCGGCGACATATTGGACTACTATGAATCGATCCCTGTGCCTTCCTATTTAGCATGCCCTCTCTGTGAAGGTGTTCTCCGTGAAGCCACCATTACGCCGTGTTGCGGCACCACTTTCTGTGACGAATGCATACGCGGCTACATGTTGGAAAATGACTTTGCTTGCCAGGATTGTAAAGCCCCGATTCCGAATGGTCTGGACGGCCTTATTGCAAATATGGATATTCGAGACTGTGTAGAAAACTATATTCGAGATTATGCAAGAAATCACTAGACAATATTATACATCTTTTGCATCCTACTATGTTGATATTTTGTTTCTGTCCCTTTTTCCAATGTTTCTTCTCTGTCAATGCTATATCATGGTACAATGGTGTTGGATAAAAATCGGCATCAGGTTCCTTAAGGCGGTAAACCTTTGCCAAAGGTATTGGATCTTGACCATCGGGTTTGGCACATGGGGCAAACCATAGAAGAGGCGGTACGGAAATAACCGTCAGCACAGTGCCGATGAATTCTGCTTGAACAATTTTGTAGTTCGCATCGCTCACCCATGGTAATCACTTCAAAACACATAAGACACTCTTTGACTACATCACCGAATTGCTGTCGCAAGTAAGCTTGTAATTCTAGCAGCGCTCGGTTGTCCATGGTGTAAACACCAGTGGGTGTCAAGTACAGCCAGCCATCTTCGACGAATCGATCCAGTAATTCCTCTGTTTCCTTTTGTGTAAGAAGAGGCTTCATCTTTTGTCCAAGCTGCAGAGCCGTCATCGATTGTACCGCGTAATCCTCATCATCAGACATCATGATTAATTCAATCTGCAACATTCGTCTCATTAATTTTTTTGTCTTCTTTTTTTTTTTTGCATTTCTTTGCTATTACCAGTTGTCGGAAGTAGCTGATCTCGTTGGCTGTGTAGTGAGTAGCAATTTGAGCGATCTCGTCTTCTTTTGTATTGACCTAAAATGTGATTCATCGTAAGTTCCAAATAAATTCTACAATACACAGCACGCAGCTGATATACCAAAGCTAGAATCGGTTGACCGTCGCGCTGATTATGCGATCGACGTATCGCAATGTCCATTTCGTTGATCTCTTTGTTGATGCTTGCAATGAATTCGGCAAAATCGATCTGATCCTCTGAATTATCAGGTCATTAGGGATGTATAACAACTTAGGGACGACGCCAAATGCTTACTTTCTGTCAGTTGACAAACGCGGCGATAAAGTTCCATGGCTTTGTCTTCGTCGAGAATTTTGTAAGACAAAAGAGATTGTAGAAACAATCTCTGCCGATCATCGTAGGCGGTGCGTTCTTGCGATGCTAGCATGACTATAGGATGGAGCAGTGATAAGGATAAATAAAATACAATGACACGCTTGCACTTGATTTGAGGAGGCAACTGGATACGAGAAAAATAAAGGGGTGAACAAAGCGCGGGCATTTCTTCTTTTAGACACTGTGACTGGGAGCTGATCATGATATTCTTTCTCTGGTATTTCACCATGGCAGAATTGCTCTTTCTAATTTTCATTTCATCCATATAGCTTAAAGAATGCGCTTTGGCTTCATTTTTGTTTTATTAGTGTTTGAGAAGAACATGATTAAGTTAAAGCAAGGAAGGGAAGGAAAGGGAAACAGATGGAAATGCGATATATCTCACAGAAATGCATGATGAAGCATAGCAGGGGCTGCAGTAAACATGTGCTCTTGCTGTTGTGGTTGGGAGGAATGCTGAAATAAAGGTTGGAAAAATAAAGAGGATTGGGTATCGTATGTATTAAAGTGATGGAGATTATTTGGTGTGGTGCTGGTAGAGGATAGACTTGTGGTAGTTGTAGGAGTGGCGGCGATACTGGTGGCGCCAACCGTGGAGGTAGGATTAGAGAATGGCAGTTCAAGCATCCAAGAATTGTTAAGATCTGATACTTTTTGAAGAGAGTCTTGCGTAAAGAATTGGGCAGCAACGGCCGCTGCCGCCGCAGCAGCAGAAGGCTCCGGGGTGGCCGATGGTGACAGTGTCAAATCACGGCAAAGACCAGCCACAGTGTCAAACTCTGAAGAAGGTTGTCGCACCATCATAAATTTGGAAACCAGGTCAGGCACCAAAGTTACTAATTCATGGATCGCATGCCGTAATCCGTCGTAGTCGCCCTGTAAGGTGTGTACACATGGTTGACTTGCTTGCTTGCTCTCACAAAAATCACCACATTGCATCCACTGGTGGTCTATGCCCGATCGCCACATCGAAAACGCTACTGCACCTGTCTGCATGTGAGGATTGACGTCAATTTCTAGCTGACCCAGCAAGTGCCCTGTGTCCGATGCTACTTGGCCCAAGCGTATTTGATTGACGGCGTCCAGCCTTATTTGAATTCGAAATTGATTCTGTTCATCTTGCACTTGCCATACCAGCTGACGTTCGTAAGGAAGACCAAAACATGTGAGATCCCATTCTTGTGATTGGTTGGCTGAACGGGCGAAACGTGTCCATGTGTCGATGCGTATGGTAGTGGCAGGAAAAGGAATGATATAGCTCTCTAAAGACAAATATGGAATGAGTTACAACTTTGTAGAACAATATGCAGGTTGATTGCATCAGATAGCCACAAGTCAAATGGAAGGGAAAAAAAACGATTCGTGAAATCCCAACATATGGGATGGAGTATCAAAGAAAGGGAAGAAAAAAAAAACAATGGAGAGGTATCAAAAGGGAATAAGCAGGGGAAGGATATGAAGCAAGGGAAATGAAAAGAGCAAGACAATGTCAAGGAACCATAAAAGAAACAAACATATACAAGAGGGAAAAAAAGGGGGAATAGATTGGAGTAAAATGAAATGAAAAAAGGGAAAAATGTCTTAGTGGTGTTGTAAGACAAGGAAGAAGAACAAGCAAACCAGCGGGAAAAAGAAAAAAAAAAGAAACAGGAGACATGTAGGAAAAAGAATCGAGGGTCCAACAATTTTTGGAAGCGAGAAACAGGAGTCATCTATATGGAAAAAATAAAGAAAAAGAAAAAGAACTATTATACGTTACCTGGATTGATTTCTCGATCAGTGCCTTCAGACATGGCACGAGGGATAAAATCAATAATATCGTTGGATTTGGCTTCGGGTTTGGAACTGGAACGGGGACGTTGTCGGTTATAGATGGAATCATGGAGTTCCCGCAACGGGTCGTCATAGAATTCAGGAGCCAGTGGTGATCGGAACGTCGCCTGATAGCGTTGTGGCGAATCTGCACGCGGAGGTGGCTCAATCCATCCGGTACGGACATTGGGCATCAATGCTGGCATGCCGCCAAATGGATTATTGCACGCTGATTCCATTTTTCGAACTTTCGCACGTCGATTCTGAAACCAGATCTGGATGGTACGTTCGGTCACGCCCAATTCGCGGGAAAGTCTCGATCGAATACTGGAATCGGGCAACGGATTGCATACAAATGTTTCTTGTAAAACGGCGACTTGGCTGGGCTTGAGGTGAGTTCTTTTGCGAGTGGCGGCCATGGTAGGTTCTCTGATGCGATATGTATTTGCAAGACGTGATCCAGCACGGAAAAATGAAAGACAAAAATGAAAGTAGCAATAAGGAATGGCAAGGGAAAAAAGAAATTGGTTGAAAGAGGTTAAAAACTAGAACGTCAAAGAAGCTTACAATAAATAAATACTGGTTGGTATCCCTTAACCGACCCTCAAAAACTCTTTTAAAGCAAGACGATGGATCCACTGGAAAAAAAGAAGGTACCCTTTTTTGGGGGAGGGAGGGAAATGCAAAACGTGTGCACAACTTACCAGTGACATCTATCGACAGGACTGTCTCCCTTTTCCCTCGCTTTCTCCTTAGTCCTTTTTGTTGGTGTATCGTCCAAGGAAACGATCAACTTATGACATGGATCCATGGTATCATTCAAAAAGGGTCTTTGTCAAAATTTGAAGGAGGGTCAAGAACTTTTTTTTCTGCCGCGCTTTCTGTAAGCATCCACTTAAACTCATTATCGGAAAAAGTGGCCGCAGACGTTAGGCCGGTTGAAAGGGAACATGTGTCTCCTTCTGTCAAGAAGTTCTTTTCGTATAAAGTCTTCAGGGCTATAAAAACATGTTCAAACTAGTTGTGGTATATGGCTTGCCACAGCGCTAAACGACGAATGAGTAGATCATTCAGGAGAATACCCCGCTACGAAATAAAATAAAAAGAAAAAATAGACCCTGAATAAGCTGTATGGATCATTGGGGAAAATTCCATAAAACGGAAATACAAAGTCCAAGAAAAAAAATTTCATAGATTTCACCATATTGCAAACAGGATACGCCGCCCCCAGTTGCAAATTGTATTCGCTATCTTTTGCAATGCAACAAGAATGACGATATCTTTCTATAGCACGCTGTCTCCATTGAGCCAAACCAAATATATCCCTTCTTTCAATTGAAAATATTGATACAATAGCTTGGATCCTTGACATCAGCTGGATCTACAATAACTTACATATGAGATAGAGGTTAAAAATACTAAATGCAATTGATCGTGCTCAAGACGCATGCACAGCCTTGAGATTGCTGCTCGATTTGCAACATAGTTCAGATCCAACATATTGTCACGACAGGAGTAGTATTGCCAAAACTTCCTTGTATTGTAACCCTTTCCTTATCGATCACCAGCTGAACAGCTTCCGAAATAACATTTTTACCTATGCTACAATACCTGCTCGAAATTTGTATTGCATATCCTCATGACAATAAGCCGCAAAAATGATCGTAGTTGTAGTAGGTCTTGCTGCAGTGGTCTCATTTATTTACACAATGCAAGTACGTCTAATCGATTGTTGTGCATAAACTTGAACCCCAGCACTGCCTCAAAACGGTCATCGAACGTAGTACATCTCATCTCTCTCTGATCCAAAGGAAAAAAGCCAAGTACTGAAACGAGGACTTTTTTTTGACGTGACCCTTTGATTAAATCCGGAATGACAGAAGGCACATCGGCAGAGCAACAACTACAAAGGCAAATGTTACGTGGATACCCTCCAAGAAAATATGTCAGAAAAGCGTACAGGAACGTTGAGAGGACATATACAACATTCTATGAATATTCTAATGGAATTTTACAAGTGAGACGGCGACACTGCTCTCCACTGTTAATGTAATCCGCTTTTTATAAAATGAAAGATAAAACTTTGCTTGTGCATACAGCAAAAAAAAATTCTGAATGTTGGTCTGTGTTTGAGAAACTTCTTATATGCCCCATATTGTAGAACGCAAAAATGTAAGCTACTCGTTGTATCTGACTATATTAGCCTCATAAAGGCGGATGTATTGTGATAAATCGAGCATGGCATCACAATGAGTACATGTCTCTGGTTGTTTTTGAGTTCTTCGGTCAAGCGCTGTAGCATATTCTGCTTCTTCTTTTCAACATGTCAGATTAGATTCATAGTCAACAGTTACTTAAACCCTGACTGAAACGATTGGGGAGGTTCTAGATCTTTCGCAAAAGACGTAGGATAAAATTTCCCAACTTTGACAACTCACGGTGCTGAAAAGCAAGTGCTCCTCATGGAAAGCACGCGTTTTCTGCCAACATTTTTGTCAAGATGGTCAAGCCTTCTTGCTGACACTGCAGTCGAGGAAGATCTGATGTGCAAGAGCCATTGCATTGAATCTGATGCGCACAGTGTGCGTCTGCATTTCTGGTCTCTCGGCATCGAGAGTAATGTCTCTCCGGGATTCTAGACCAAAAGTGGACCAAGTTCTCCATTCAAATGCAGCAATTCAAAGGAACCTGGGTACTGTTTACGCACTTCAACCAGGGTGGAACCCTCATACCAGGTCTCTGACAAGAAAGCAAAAGGCTAAAGAGCTTGCCATAGCGGGTTACAAAGTTCGGGCTATTCGGCCTTGGCGCTTATAACGCAATATTAGCCGGATCAAACTGGCTCAAGGAGGTGGCAATTAAAAATTGACAATATACTAACCAATGCCCACCTGATTTTAAGCCGAAACAATGGAAGGAATAACATGAATTACACACGATCCAACTCGATCATCAGATCTGAACCCAGAAGAAAAATCTTGGGGCAAAGGAGGGGAGGTGGCAGATGGAAAATAACGATCTCATTCGGACATTTCCTAAAGAGAGACATTTTGGATATTTGGAAGTCAAGAGATAAAAGATAACACCAATCCAGGCAAGGTCTCTGAATGCGGTCTGTGGCAAAAAGCCCCCGTTATTGATGTCCATTACAGAATCTAGAATTTCTTCCTTTGTCAACCTTCTCATAAACCCTTTTGTTGCATCGTTTAAAAGATTTTTCGATGCACTTTTTTCATTCCATTTTTTGCTCTGTAGTCTGTGTGGTAGAAAATTATTGAACCTGAAAAGCAAACCAGAATTTTTCTTCATAGAAGGGAATCCCGGCCACTTGCGAAAAGATGACCCAGTGCTTTACAATACAATAGAACGCCAGACTGTATCGACTTTTTGACACAATTGAGCAAGTAGGTTACGGCCAAACTTTATACAAGCTGTAATCACTAATCTCTTACCAATTGGTGAGCCTGCAGCGCATCTTTCTTTTTTTTTCCTGTGTAAAGAATATTCTGATTTCTCATTGGTCGCAATGTCTATTTTTGTCAACATGCGGTCTCGGAATTGGGTCAGAGCGACATTGATATTGCAAAGGGAATACCTGTCATTACCATTCAATAGACAAATTTGAGTGATTTGTGCAACCGTGTAACCATCTCCTTAATTGGATGGATTGAAAGACAAGCTGGACTCTATTTTCACGTAATACAGAATCCAGAACAATAGGTAGACTATGTCACCAATGGAACGATGATCATGCATCCAAGTTGGATCGTTTTGACTAGAGTCAATGCTTGCCATTTGTGGCTAGTGAATTGTACACTTTTCCATAGGAGCCATCTCAGACAAATATATATGATGTATTTCGGCCTTTGTCCGCGTGGGATGTACCAGGAATATGCTGACCATGTCTACTTGCTCGTCAATAAAAAAGTGACCATATTAAAACAGCGCGTATTCAGCTTGTATCTAATGCAGCAATAAACCCCTACGATAGGAATCATTTCGAACCGCGAGAGTGATCGTCGATTCCTCCATGGTATGTTCTGGACCAGAAAAAAAAGTTTTTTTTTCTTCTTTTTTTTTGATTTTCAGACGACGGAGACAATGAGTTTTGTCCGTCACGGTCGATAATTGGATACCCGACTCGCTGTCTTATAATTTGCTGTTCAGACTTGCTTTTTTTTACTCGAGTATCTCCGTCAATTGCCAAGAGTATCTCTTTCTTCTTCCTAAAAGTTCAGTCATGGGAAAACACAGCAAGTCTGTAAGAATAGCACACGGAGAGGATGAAGCAAGCTTAATGCAAGGTAAGTACCAAAATAGGAACTGAAGATGCTCCCATGATCTAACGAACGATATTGCTGCGTCAACAGATCCGGCTCCTGTACCGCAGACGCCAGAGAACTTTTACTCTATCCGTATGGACTCTACCAAAGTCGAAGAAATCGAAACGGTCTATCCAGAGGACTCGAGCTTTCTGCCTTCCGAAAAATCGTGGCCTTCCGAAACAACGTTGCATGCATCCACTGCCCCTAACGCGGGTGCCGATGTACCTGAAGTTTCTGATGAAAAGCATCACTCTCACAGTCATCATTCTCATCACGGTCTCCAAGGTCACGGTCCACCTGACGATGAAGACGACGACGAATTCGACTGGAACGACGATCCTGATCAGGTTAAGCCTAAGCGACGCAAAACCACTCGACAACGGATACAAGAGGCGATGCGAAAACCATGCTGTTGGCATTATCTGTCGCCTTTTATGAAACGCCTCATCTTTGCTATCACTGGTTCTTGTATCTTTGTGATCATCGCTGTCTGCGTGAACTTGCTGCTGCCTGTGCCTTCCGAAGAAGAAATGAACAGCCCAGGGTTCATGAATGTCCGTTCCAACGTTCAGCTGTGGATGTTCTGGGCCGCGTTTATGTGGCATATCGGTTGGATCACTACGGTGATCATTGAAGTGGTGCCTTCCGTAGCATCCATGTGGACCAAGATTTTCCGAGGCAGACGGTCCGAGCGCGTCAAGTCAACTATGGAGGTACAGATTTTGAATGGCTTTTTGTGCAACTCGAAGCATATTGGACTCATAAATTTCTCATAGTATTACATGAGTGTCAAATTGTATCTCGGCATTTTAATTATGGCCTCCTGGAATTGGGGTTCTTGGGCGTTCCTTGTCAACTTTCCTTACAATGTAAGTAATCGTTTTTTTTTTTTTTTTGTCTCCATGAAAGCATTGAAATTTATTGTTTAATTTACCCGCATTGACAACAGTCGGTGAAAAAACAAGGTTATTCGCATATTATCTGGAACGTGTTTGCTTGTATTTTTGCAGCAGCATGTTTTCTATTCGTGCAAAAAACAATCATTCAAATGATTGGTAAGTTGGATAAACATCGGAGGGTTTTTGTTTCCTGGAGTACGTCGAACTAATTTTGTCCAATCACTCTGTCTATTTTTAGCCACCCGTTTCCACAGTTTCGCCTACAATGATCGATTGACGGAAAATAAAAATTCTCTCAAGAGTAAGTCCTCGAATTACAGGATAAACATGGCAAGCACCGTTGAGATGAAATACGCTAACACTGTGATCTAGTTCTCGATTCCCTTAGCAAGGCCGAAAATCGTCGCACACGAGGCGGAGACCCCAGACTGCGCAATCGTCGCTCACCGCAGGCGGGAGAGCTGTTCGAACAAGCGTACAGCACTGGTGTCCAAACGCCCAGTGGCCGTCCTGATTATTATCGACAGACCACCAATTCCTCGGACAAGTTCTCTCAGTTCCAACGCAGCTTGAAGAACATTGTGTTGACCGATGATCCTCATAAGCACTCTCGAATCGAAAAGGGCAAAGTCGATATCAACTCCAATGAATTTGCCAAAAAGGTGGCCAAGAAGCTGTTCTACTCATTGGCTTATCCCCACGGTGCGATGCCTCCACCCGATGAAGATACCAAGCGGCATTTATATCTTCAGGACTTTTTACCTTTTTTCAAGACCCGGGAAGAAGCCGAAAAAGCGTTTGCCATGTTTGATAAAAACGGAAATGGCGATCTGACCCGCCGTGAATTCCGTGATACCGTCGTTCAAGTTTATCGAGAACGCAAGGCGCTTGCCCAGTCGATGCGGGATACGTCTCAAGTTCTTGGCAAGATCGATGGTATGCTCCTCTTGGTTAGTATGATTGCCACGATCTTCGTCTCGTTGGCTATCTTTAACGTGGACATTTGGCGCTCTCTCGTCCCGCTGGGATCCATGCTCTTGGCGCTTACTTTTGTCTTTGGAAACACGGCCAAGAATACTTTTGAAAGCATTCTGTTCATCTTTGTGACCCATCCTTATGACGCCGGTGACTACGTATTAATTGATGACCAATTTTTACTTGTGCACAATATGGGGCTCATGGGTACTGTCTTTATCCGTGGTGATGGACAAACTGTATATGCTCCAACGACTGTCTTGATGACCAAGCTTATCTCCAACGTCCGTCGCTCTGGAAACATGGGTGAAACAGTCATCATCAACATTGACTTTCGAACCGGTACGGATCGTCTCCATCTGCTTCATGAACGCTTGCAAGCTTGGGTCGACAGTCAATCACGCGACTTTGCTCCTGGTTTTGACGTGCGTGTCTCGGACATCATTGATGTGAACCAACTGATTCTCAGCATCTGGCTACCGCACAAGGGCAACTGGCAAGATCTCGGCAAACGGTTCCAGCGCAAGACCCGATTCATGATTGCCTTGAAAGACATTCTGACGGAACTTGAAATCAGATACGAATTGCCAGCGCAAAGATTTACTCAATCTCGGGAAGCCGCGCAGGATGGCTTCTTGATTTCAAACAACAGTGGTAGTGTCATGCAAATCACCCCTCAAACTTTTAATCCGAGAGATAATCCGCTCAGTCGTAGCAATTCTCAAACCGGTGTCGGTAATTAGATACCTTCTATTTCGATTGTCATCATCTTCTCGTTTTTCCCATCCTTCTTTTTGTCCATTGTAAATTATCTCACGTTTTTTTTTTTATTCAATCCATCATTCTTCCTTGTTTTCCGCAAAAAAAAAAGCCCCTCTCATGTCATAATCGTTATTTATCTTTCTTCTTGTGCAATAAATCCCTCAGATCTTTTTGATGTATTTTAACTGTCTGTTGCTAGTGTAATTTCTTTGTATGCGTCTAGTCTATAAACGGAAATTGATGTTGCATGCGCTTTTAGTATCTGAGAAGCAGCATACAAACAGACACCTTTGGCAAAGTTTCTCGATTTTTATATATCCATGGGGTCACACAAGATGACTGGTTTACATTTTCATGCTAAAAAAAAACTGATAGCCTAGAAAACTGATCTAGACCGACAGGAGGTCAAAAAGAAACAGAAATTTAGCTTCTTTCCATCGCGACGGATCAGACTGCAAGAAGAACCGTAACACAGCAAAACCAACCGAAGCCTTTATCCAAGAAATAGAATGAAACTTGTAACCACGCTACAGAAAGGTGTAATAAACTGCAAAAGGCTGTTTGCCAACTTTAACACATCCATCGGCTGTCATTGGTGAATATAGTCTGTCATTTTAGAAATGAAATCAGCATAGTAACCTGGCTTTGATATTTTACTTTGCACTAAATTTTTTAATCTGATGAATCAAAGGAACATATGCCACATTGCTTCTCTTTTAGATTTGTACTCGGCTGTCCATTTTTCATAAAGGAAATAAACCGAGATTTTAAGGCTGAGAATTTTGATCCGTCAAAAGATAGTCCCGCGCATCATGCATGCCTCGTCTCCAACGCCTCATTGTAGAAGAACCCTGCTCGAAAACTATTTAAGGAACAAACGCAGTCAATGGCAACACAAAAACATGCAATGAACCTTGTAGTTTTAACGTTTTCCCAAGAGACAGTGTGAGGAAACAGTGTTGTCAATGACCTGGAACGTGTTGAAAACAGCGTGATATTTCTTGAGAAATGAACTCTTCTTAATGACGTGACAATACTCACGACTATGTCTTTTGATTGTCGATCTGAATGATATGCGGATATTACCTAAGCCGCCGTTTGAATTTACTCGATTATGACGCGAAAAGGCCATGGCTCATGACTAACCTGCTCCATAGTTGTTTATCTATAGTTCTTTCTTTTCCTATTTTGATGAGCATCTCCAAGAAAGCTTAAAATGCAGATACAGATACGCTTCATACATGTCATGATGTTCGCTGCTGGGAGACGGACGCCTTCTGAAAGCGATGCAAATCCAGCATAGCTGGACTTTTTGACGCGCTGACGAGCGTGGTACAAAACTCGGAGTTGCGCAAGGATTTGTGGTACAACCCAATCACAGAATGAGTCTGATTTGCTGCAGATCCCAAACCTAACCTCGAAATCAGCGGTATGATTGTCTATGAAAAAAAAAGGTTTTTTTTAAAGTTGCTGTTTAAAAAAAACCAAGCGAATCATAGCAATGAGATTCATATCGTAGTTCATATAATAGAAAAAGTATATTTCATAAATACATCTCTATAACTTTGTATTACATACTTTGCAATACACTATTTAGCGCGACGTAATGTTCAACAAGGATGTCTGTGGCAAGAGTGATTGCTTTTTCTTTTTGGTTTTTTCATTATTGAGATCGCTGCATGCAAAAGAGATAATGAAAAAGAAATAAAAAGGCCATTGCCCCTTGGATGGCCAGTCTAGACTTCCAAAAAGGCAACACAAACCATCATCTGCGCAACAAATCGGGGCGAATCCTCGTAATATTGCAATTAATAGCGGACACTCAATCCAACGGCATGGTTGCATGAGGACCTGTCATGGTTTCGACAAAAATAGAGCTCCCATTCTCTTTTTTCCCCTGTCAGTTTTCCCCTCCTTTGCACCGATAATCCCCTTTTTGCCCCCGCCAACATCAAAAAAAGAAAAAAAAAAGCCGATCTATCACTCTTTTATCGAGCAATTGCCTGATTCTTTTTTTTTTTTTTTTGGCTTCGCGTTTTTTCTCATTTCTTTCTTTCTCTTTAACTTGTGGCTCTCTTTTTTATTTCATTCTTTCTCCTCCTTTTTTCTCATCACTTTTCATACTTTCCTTTTCTCTTCCCTTTGTCATCGTCCTCCAACATCATGCCGGTTCGTTATGACAATCATATCGGCGGAGGTCAACCTGGCCAGGACTATTCCTATCAACCCCCTGCCGATAATAACTACTACTACAACACAGGCACTGCTTCGGTAGGACGAAGGGCCACTACGCTTGGACGTGCACCTACCCGTCGTATCGTTCCTGGAGCCAACAGTATCGCCAATGCACCACAAAATATCCAGCGTGGTCGTACCTTGATTCGACCTGATCGTTATCAGGAACCGCCGCCGTTAATGACGGGTAAACCTACTACACAACGCAGTCTTTTCGATCCTTGGGTCCTACTTTCCCGCATCGTCACATTTTGGGCATTACCCCCCATGTTGAAAGCCATGAAGATGCCTGATAAAGGCATGCAACAAGCGTGGAGAGAGAAAATCACGTTATGCTTTATTATCGCATGCATGGGAGGGTTCGTCGCTTTTATTACGATTGGTCTCAGCTCAGTTTTGTGTCCGCCCGATCAGGCTCTCAACCAACAGAATTACGCATCGTACGATGATCCTATCAACAGTGGTAATGTATCACGTTGTTTTGTATAACGAACGATAATTAATGGAGACAAAAAAAAATTCCATCTAGCTTCACTACTGGGCGTGCTAGGCTGGCAGTTTAACATCACCGAATCTAAACCTACTGATAACGTCAACTTTTACCAATTGGCACAAACGCCAGGCACCGATATCACCAATTATTTCCAGCATGGCACCAATATCCCCGCTTGTCAGAGTCTCGCCGGTTCTCCAGCAGCAGCTTTCCAAGCTGTCACTTTTGATCCCTGCTCGGCCAATAACGGTCACAACGGTTGCAGCCTTGGACCGTTATCGCTGGCAACATTTGATCAAGTCGGCATCAAAAACACCTCTCGCCAGGTCGGCTTTGACTGGGCCCAGCTCGCATTACCGAAATTGCAAAACTACTTTGTTATCGATGGCAACGTGTTGAATATGGATCCATACATTGCAGCTCATCCCCAACCTATCCAGGGAGACGATCTCGATGGCGTCATTCGCACCATTCTGAATCAGACATTTGCTGAAGGAGGCCGAGATGGCACCAAACTGATGTTCCGTCGCAGCGAATTACAATCGTCCATCAACTGTCTGGTCCAAAAGTACAAAGCCGGTCACATTGACAAATCAACGCCTGGATGTTTTACCGCATCGATTGTTTTGGTGTGCTCGCTATTTGTGGTCTTGTCCATTGTGTTGGCCCGCTTCTTCATGGCGCTTATCTTTTCATGGTTCATTTCACGCAAGCTTTCTCGAACTCCGCCCGACACGGGGGGAATGAGAGCGCCGACTCATGTTTTACCCAATCAGACCATGGAGATGTCCGATATTCGATCTGGGGCTGCCGCCAAAACGAATCCAAGCACGTTTGGCGGCTCTTTTTCCGTCGATGTCGGTAACGACCTCTACACGGTGATGTTGATTACGTGTTATTCCGAGAATACCGAGGGCATTCAGGCCACTGTCGAATCGCTCTCCATGACGGATTACCCCGACGATCGTAAATTGCTCTTTTTGATTGCTGACGGTATTATCACCGGTCATGGTGAGACCATTTCCACCCCAGATATGTGTCTTGGATTGGTTACCTTTGACAATCCTGAAATGAAGAATCCCGAGCCCAAATCCTACATTGCTGTTGCCAACGGTGCCAAACAACACAACTGCGCCAAGGTGTATGCGGGACATTATGGTAAGCCATCGGCATTGGTCTGACTAGGAAAGGAATCGGGTGATAGGGCGTTTGAGTTGGATGGAGTTTCGCGGCAACGATATATATGCGGGTGACGGAATAGACAAAAAGACTGAAATGCTTGGCGATCCATGTTGAAGAGGTTCATTATTAATGCTATTTATTTACCTTTTTTTTTAGTATGCAAGGGCCATAAAGTACCTATGATTCTCGTGGTCAAATGTGGCAATCCGGACGAACAAGGCAAACCCAAGGCGGGCAATCGCGGCAAACGTGATTCTCAGCTTATTTTGATGAATTTTTTCAGTCGCGTCACCTACAATGATCGTATGACTCCTTTGGACTACGAACTATTTCAAAAGATTACCTATTTGATGAAAGTCACCCCGGATCATTTCGAGCTGGTACTCATGGTAAGTAATGGCATCACGAAACCCTTGATTGCTGTGGAAATGAAATGAGTTACTAATGGCCATTATTAAACTTACCAGGTGGATGCTGATACCAAAGTCTATCAATCGTCATTACGGTTACTTGTCAACTGCATGGTGAACGACAATCTGATTATGGGTCTGTGTGGTGAAACCAAGATTGCCAATAAGCGCGATTCATGGGTCACTGCCATTCAAGTGTATGAATATTTCATCTCGCATCATTTGGCCAAAGGATTCGAAGCGGTTTTCGGTGGTGTGACATGTTTGCCGGGCTGTTTCTGTATGTATCGTCTCAAGGCACGGAAAGGTGATGGCGACTGGATCCCCATTATTACGAAGCCTGAAATTGTTCAAGAATATTCTTCCAATACCATCGATACCCTCCATCAAAAGAACTTGCTCCTGCTTGGTGAAGATCGTTTCTTGACAACGCTGATGCTTCGTAACTTCCCTTTCCGAAAAATGGTCTTTACACCGCAAGCCGTACGTATTTTTTTTCTGGACGCAGTATTTGATATGGGTTTGGTGACTAAAAAACCGGTTTTAACATTGAATAGATTTGTAAGACGGTGGTTCCTGATGAATTCAAGGTGCTGTTGTCCCAGCGACGTCGTTGGATCAATTCCACCATTCACAACTTGTTTGAATTGGTGCTTGTGCGTAACCTGTGCGGTACTTTTTGCTTCTCGATGCAGTTCGTGGTGATGATGGATTTGGTCGGTACATTGACTTTACCTGTGGCCATTGTACTGACGGTGGTATTGATCGTCTCCATGGCCCAAACTCAAATCACAAGTTTGACGATGGCGGTACCTCTTATTCTGCTTATCATTGTGCTATTTTCACCGGCGTTCCTCATCCTGATTACCACACGCAAATGGGTCTACCTGATGTGGATGTTTGTCTACTTATTGGCACTTCCGATTTGGAACTTTGTGTTGCCTGTGTATTCTTTCTGGCATTTCGATGACTTTTCCTGGGGTGAAACTCGTAAGGTGGAAGGTGAACAAAAGGGTGACGATCACAGCAAGGGCGACGGTCAGTTCGATCCTTCCAAGGTACCTTTGAAGCGTTGGGAAGATTACGAACGCAAACGTGTACGTGCAAACAAGCGACGTGAACGCAAAGAGCGGCAACTACGTGAAATGGGTCCTGTCCATTTGACACATTCCGTTGTGGCTCCGGGTGAAGATGAAAGCAAACGTGGTTTACTGGCGGATCCCGGCATTGATGATGATTCAGGCTCCAACATTTCATTTGGTGGTGCTTCGGATATCTCGCAGGCCAATCCGATGCATTACTTTGATCCTTCGAGAGAAGCTCCCGCCAAATCTGGCTCAGGTTACTATCCCGCTTATCGACCGCAATCACAGGCCCCCGCAAGGAATAATCCTCCCCTACAACCTCATCCTACAGCTTCCGGTCCATGGGGCTCTCATCAAGGAAGCTTCGCATCCTCTCCCGGTACACCACCCACTGGTCCCGGCCAATATGTCGGTAGCCGGCCAGCTCCCCCTTCCAATCAAAACTCCTTCCATGGTTTTTAAAGAACACCAGCCGCTGTTTCGCAGCAATAGTGATAGAAAACGGAAAGAAGCTTACCAAAAAAAAAAAAAAGAGAGAAGAGCACCAACATCACGTTCGATTATTTCTGTTATTATATCCCATCATTTACCTTTCGCTTCTTCACTGTATCTTTTATTTTCCAGCATAAAGTTTTTCATTTGATTCATGATTATTTTTTTTTTACTTGTCAATATAACTCATCATATCACAACAAAAACAATGAATAAAGTGAATCATGACATACAACATGGGTTCCATTGTTAGGCAACCATATCATTTATTCTTCAGAAATGAGAAGATAGACGTTTAGGCTTGGAGGCGGCGTGACCAGTTTCATCTTCCAGCGGCCTTCCTTTACCAAGCGAATACTTATGTTTTCAAAATCTACATGCGGGACATAATTGCCGAGAAGTAAATATCGATGACCGTCGACTTGCGGTGGTGGCTCAATGTTTGGTGCAATCAACAATGTTCTAACAAACATGAGAAAGAGAAGCGTTAGGGAATGTTTAAAATTGATGAGCACATAAAACCTGTTTTACCTTTCATATGCATCAGAAATGGTCGATTGAGCAAAATCAATCTCATAGAACTGTCGATCAGTGCGCAACTTGACTCCAGATCGCTGGCGTAACGTCTCTGCTGCGCAAGTTTCATTCCCAAGACAATCCACCAATTGAACTTGCATAGCATGCGTTCCTGTTCCAGGTGTCAAACGTTGATCACTTTTTTTTACGCTTATATCATGATGCCACTGACCTCTCCACGATTTAGGATACCCTAATAGATGCTGTGGCGGCATATAAGTCTTGTAAAACACCAAATGCGTGGTGATATCGAGTTCGGCATCTCGAATGTCATCTATTAGCCAGCATGAATCACCCGTTACAAGCTAAGCAGGAAGAAACGTACTTGTAGATAACCCCAACTGACAGGTCAAGTGCGAACTATCCAATAAGTGGCAATTTCCCACCTTGGTCACTTGTCCTTGAAGATAAGCCATGGCAGGAACAATACCACCCTAACGTGCATAATCATTAACCCGCTGATCAAGAAAGAACAGGTTTTTGGCTTTTACCTGGTGCAAAACCCCGAAAATGTAGAGGGTGGCTATGTTAAATACGACCCACAGTAACTATTATTTTGAGTGTTAGCATACCATAACCGTCTTTCTGTATCGAAAAAATATATACCCAAAATGCAACTGGCAATCTGCGTTGGTGCCATGCCACCAAAAGAACCAAAGGCACTAACATCGGTGCGAGAAAACGGGCTTCTTGATGTGGCATAAGGGAAAGTCCAGCCATACTAATACCGACGATGCCCAATAACACTACATCCACGCCCAATCGTAAATATGTGCTTTTAGTGATCTCCAAATCAATTAGGTGACATACCATATATAATCGGTGCTTGAGCATCATTTTTGGCTCCCTTGATCATGCTAATAAACTTTGCCGCAAACACAAAAGCGAGTGGCCCGAATAGCATAGGAAGATTGACCAGTAAATGGACATAGCGAGGGTGGATCCCGTGCTGGGCCAAATTTTCGGTTTTCAGGTTATACAACAGGTTATTCAGAGGCGTCCATGACAATGTTCCCTAACATTGTCAGTCAGGGGTGGATTAATTGAGCTTTCTCCTTTGATGGTTTGTTCCATACTTCATAGGCCAATTGCGTCCATTGAGAAGGATGCAAGATAAAATCCAATAGCTTATGCAAAGTATCCATATGAACGGAACCGGCCGTCAGCTTTAAAGAGCCGTAATACAAAGAATCAGCAACGACGCAGAAAGCCGCTACGGTCAATCCTCCAAATAAAAATGCTTGAACCAAGCGTAGCCCGTTCCTTGAGAAGCTAACATGCATTGAATCGTGAATAGGACAAACATGGCACCAAGAATACGCTTCACTTACTTTTGATACGCTAGCCATAAGAAGCCTAAACCAACTGCCAATCCATAAAGCAGGAATGTGATACGCGTAAATACACCAAGGCTCAGAAGACTACCGAGGAGAAAAGCACTTGCTGCAGATGGCTAAAGTTCGGAAACGAAAAACAGTGAAAAAATGAGTCGAGAATAATTTGGGAATATGCATCAAGCTGTCACCTTTTGCCAAAGTTTGGTGTAAACGACAAGGCTGAGACCAAGGATAATGGCCTCTGCAGAATTGGAAAATGGACGAATGTAATAAACAAGCATCACTTGGCTTGTAGCGACGAGAAACAGAGGCAAAACAATGCCTTGCTTGAGATAGCGGCATACGCTAATAACGCTGTAATCTAAACATCATTGTTAATTCTTCCATACATATACGCGTATAAACACGTTTTGCGTGCTTTACACGCGAGTCTTACCGATAAGGATGGAAAAAAGAAAACAAGCGGTGCGCTGGACGAGAAAGATCACCAGGGTTTCAGGCACTACACGACCGTTATTGCTCGGTTTCTGACTGAGCTGGCAGTAACAGAGCGATCAATGGACCTACCTTCGTGCCATGTGCCAGTTACTGCTTCGATAAAGCGCAAAAGGCAGAATGGAATGCCTGTCACTAGGTATCTACAGTGTTGCAGGCTCGGTTACCAACGTGATGTGTGCATGTTCAAGTTTTATGCACATACGGTATGACTATGGAACGTGCTGCATGTTGTGGTTGGTACTCCCATGGTGTGAATGTTTCAATGTTGAAGACGGATCCAGCCGTGATTTCAGGTGACTGACAGTATTCGTCCGGATGCACATATCCGGGTAAACTGGAGGCCATCCATCGAAGCCACAAAAGGCCGACGTACAGTATCACATACAACGTCTTCATAATGCTTCCAAGAAAAGAAGACAAAAATGTGAGGGGAGCAGCGCACAATTATATCCCAGGGATTCGTGGTTTCAAAACGAAGACTCTTTGTGCGATGATCCCAGCAGGTTCCTGTCAACGACTTCATAGGTAGAACAACTGTGGATACATCATTTACCCAGAAATTTGGAGCCTCTAAGCTGCATGTATCTGACCACGGTCCTGTAGAAGATGTGAAATTCTTGAATAGGTAAAAGCCATCTAAATATCTTTAGACTATCATTGCCTGAGCGAGCAATCGGTTGCAAGTACCTCACTATAATGATTGGTCGGTTTCTTTTTTTTTTCCTGTAGGAAATCGTAGGTTGTTATTTAGGTTATACAAAGGAGTTCTTCACACTGACATGGTGAAAACTAAATGGAGTTACTGTGGCATAAACGAAATTCAATGAGTTATTTTGACATGATGCTTATTTAGAAAAAGATTCGGAATTTTATCCATATATTTTTCAAGGGGGCTGTACAAAATGCAAGTGAACAAGAAAAAAAAAGAAAAAGTGAAAAAAGAAAGAATGATCTAATAGTATTTATGGTCTAATGCCCAAGGTTAATCGGATACCCATGCTCATCAATTCCGTGGTCAGGTATCTGAAGACATAAGGAATGGCCACCAAATCGATGCCCTTGGAAGTGCCACATGTTCGGCACTCGAATTGTCGCTTGTTGGCCAGAGAGGAAACGATCTTGGTACAAATTGGCGACACCAACGATCCACAGAGTCGGCAAACATGGGCTTGTGAATAATCGGAACAATTCATCAAACGATCTTGCAACAAGAAACTGGTACCGTGAGCCAGTAAAGAATCACGTTCCATCTCACCGAAACGAATACCACCCGCACGTTTACGGCCCTTCACGGGCTGCATGGTAAGGTTGTGCACAGGACCGGTTGTACGCACTTGGAATTTATCGTTCACCATGTGTCTCAGACGTTGATAATAAACGACCTGTGTCAATTTGCATATAAGTCATCACAATCCCAAAAAATGAGCTATATCCACAAAAATTGTCCATTGACTACTTACACCAATGTAAATGTCCATTTTCATTTCTTCACCAGTGATACCGGAATACATGGGTTCATTGCCGTGATAATTGTATCCAGCTGCTAACAGCTGTTCACCAAAGTAATCAGCAGCGGTATATTGTTCGTTAAATCTAAACAATTCACACGTTAGTATCCTCAGCTTCTGTCTCCGCAGGATCCACGTTGAAAACCAAATGACTTACTTGAAGGGTGTGCTATCCTGAGCAATGCCGTGCAAGGCACCTGCTTTTCCAGCCAAACTCTCGACAAACATACCGATGGTCATACGTGAAGGGAAAGCGTGAGGGTTGATGATAACGTCGGGTTGCATACCGGACTCGGTAAACGGCATGTCAACGGCAGGCCATTTTTGTGAACAGACACCTTTCTGACCGTGACGAGAAGAGAATTTATCGCCAATGACGGGAGAACGAGTGATACGAAGCTTGATGTGCACCTTTTGCAATTCGGTGGTACCGCTGTCATCGCCGAGCAAACGAACTTCATCAACAAACGCATCTTCAGGACCCTTGTATTTCTTGACAATGGCTCGACCCGTCGATTCATCGATATAGGAGCACAATGGATCATCGGCTTGCAACAAGGTACCAATGTGTGGTAAACCGTCGGCACCCAACTTGGTCATGAGCTTCTTGCCTCTGGCATCCAAACCAAAGTGATATGTAATAGGCTCGCCTCGTTGACGAAGGCTGTTCAAGTCGACAATTTCGGATTTATAGACCGTACCGTAACCGAAACCACGTTCGTGGGCGGATTTGTTGAGAATCATTGCATCCTCCATATCATAACCCGTGTACGAAATGACGGCGACAATGGCATTGCAACCGTTGGGGAAACCATCCAAACCGTAATCGTTGTGTAACTCGGGTCGGACAACAGGCGTCTGACCAGTCTGAATACGATACATCTTGTTATCTGTACGATGACTCAAAGCCGTAGCAGGAGTACCCATGGTTTGTTTACCCATCTAAGTATGTTATGATCTAATCAGCCAATTTTGATCTCCCTTTTTCACATCCGCGACATCCACAAAGAAAAATCAACGGGATGATTTTAGTGAGTAAGTTTACCTGACATTGGTACATGTTACGTGGAGATTGGTTGAAATCAGAGAAAGGCGTCATATTAGCGATAATACTGAGCATGTTCGTTGGAGCGAATTCTTGATGGGTGGTTACACCAGGTTCCACTTCGTCATCCATACAAGCAATGTCCATGTAGACTTGTTCAAAGGTACCGACTCGGTCTTCTTTGCCATTACCGAGGAATTTAACAGGACGCATCATGCGAGCGGGGCTGGAGAACAAGTAAAGACCAGGGTATTCACCACCATAAGATACAGGAACATTGGCAATTTCAATATCAAAGGGAATATCCTTTTGACGATTCACACGCCACACCTTGAGACTGGTAGCCACCTTTTCGGCGGTCTTGGGCGTACACCAACCGACAATACGGCCATCCAACAATACTGCCACATCACTAGGACGATTGATCGAGTGCAATACAGGCTGGGAAACACCCAACGAAGCCAGAAGCGACGGAAGACGGCTGACATCCAAAGGTTCATTAACGACCTTGCACTTGTGAGCCAAATGGTTAAGCAGACCACAAGGAGCACCATCAGGTGTGTGGACAGGACAAAGGAAACCCCAAGCTTCTGGAAGCAATTTACGAACAGACGTGGTCTTCAATTCAGCAAAGAAAGCACCACGATGGATACAGCGGAAATGAGAGATGTAACGGTAAAAGTTGAGCTTTTCGGCAACAATTGTATAACCGCTTGCCTATAGGATCGATACATCAGCGATTCCATTTCTCCAGAAAAACGATATCCCAAAAAGGAAATGCTGTGCCATACCTGTTGAAGATCCAAACCCGTTTTACTGACGAGATTACCCGTAGCCAAGAAATAGGCAAGCTTGCTACCGATATCAGGGCTCACTTTACGAACGACATTCAACATGTAATTTTCTGAACGCCATAGAAAAATAAGTATAACGGATACCCCATCATGTTGCCACTGATGAACTTACTATTGAAAAAGTCCACCTTGGCTGGCGTCAGACGAATTTCGTTGCGGACTTGCTGGCGGATGCTGGTTAACCAGTCAAAAATCTTTTCCTTGAGAATCATGTTGTAAAGATGACCGCCCAAAAGCACTTCTTGATGTTGAGGAGCATCGGGATTATCAGGGCAACAAGCACCAGAAACAAGAGCATACAACTTGCGGATCATGTAGCTATAAAAAAAAATACATATACTTTTAGCTTCATCGATCGCATTTTTATCCCCCTTTGGTTGATACATACATCAACAGATTGAATTTATCGCGTCCATTATTCAAATGAACCAAGATGATCTTGCGAAGCACTTCCTCACCGATTTCCTTATCCGATAAATCTTCGGCAAGGCCCATGATGATTCTGAATTTTTCACCGAGGTATCGTAAACAATCGTCACGTGTGTACAATGAATAGATCTTGAAGCTGCGCAAAAGCAATTCAATACGATCGGTCAAGAAAGTGTTCTTGATATCGCCTTGGGACAAGGCGTCAAAAATTTCCTTGTCCGAAGTATCCACCAACGCCTTGAGAATAAGGACAACAGGAACCATGTATTCCTGTTTACGCCAAGCGAAACGGAGCATAGCGTTACCATCGACGAGATAATGCACGGTATTGGTCTGAGTGGTCTGATCTCGGCGAGCGCAACGGATAGCGCAACCATATTGAGAGTAAGTAGCGCCACGATTTTGGAACGAATTACGAATGATGGCAGTAACGTGGTTACGACGAGGAACAATCAAAAGACGGATCAACTTTTCGATACCGTTGACGATGAAATAACCGCCCATTTCCTCAGATTCTTCGTGATGCTTGATAAGCTCCTTGGGATACATGTTCTTGAGATTACATCGATTGGATCGAACCATAATAGGCACCAAACCGAGATCTCGCTGATCCGACTGAACAGGGCCGTCATTGACTGTCCAGCAAAGCTTGACTTGAAGCTTGCCGCGATAAGTGACTAATCTTTCTCTGCATTCCGAGGGATACGTTTTGCGCTTCAATGTCATGGTGTCTCGTTCGTTGACCATGGGCTGGAAAATCTTGGGATCCTCCACCCACATGGTAAGCTTGTTACCCAAACTCTGACCGTCCTCGGTGGCGTTCAAGGCATTAAGCACATTATCAAACACGGATTGTCGGCCGATATCCTTGACAGCGTAATCAAGCAGACCTTCCCCTGCGTCGCCAAATTCGGTGATGCTGTTGAACGAATCCAGGTGAGGCTTGATGACTTCTTGCAACAAGGGAACACCATATTCCTTGTCGGACGGCTCCCGGAACATGCGCTCGCGCTCCAACGTTCTAAATGTAGACGGCATCGTTTTGCAAAGCGCTGAATCAAGGGAATCTTGAGCAAGGCCAATATGAAAAAAAAAAAAAAAAAAAAAAAAGGCCTGAAAAAAATTGTGGCTTTCCAAGTCACGGTCAGCGGCTCATGAAAAAAAAAGGTTTTTAGTGACGGACCTTGAAACGTGGAAATTGAGACAATTTGCACTCCAATTGATTCAAAGACTTGCTTGCATCCCATGAATTGCATTCTCAGAACTGTACAGAACATGAAATGTATTTAGATTGAACGTCCTTTTTTTAATTGAGGGTCCCGGGATTGACCAAAGAAGACAAAATTTTCTCGGGGAGACATGTTGATCTTGACTAGAAACAAACAAGAAATAAGGTCAAATTTTAATGCGAGATAATAGGAAACAAATACAGAAAGTGTTGTTCAAATGCTACAGTAAGAAACGTCTATGCTGAAAAATTACTCTTGGTCAGGCATGGGCAAAGAAGGATCGGTGGGAACAGCCTTCCATAATCCTTCAAGATCGTACTTTTGTCGGATCTCTGGTGTGAATAAATGCACGATAAATCGTCCCAAATCAATCAACAACCATCCAGAATCATCGTCGCGTCCTTCAATATGAGGCAACGCTTGGGTAGGAAACTTCTCGGGATTGGATCGTATCGCCTTACGTACCTATATCATCGATTAATATTGAGCTATCCTGTCGTCGGGGCCGCATGTTTCCCGCAGATATTCCACTTACCACTCCTCCGAGATTTTCAGCTACACTGCTGAGAAAGCGATCTCCTTTTGCGCTTTCAGCAATGATCATATAGTCTGTCCAATCGCACTTTTCTCGCAGATCCAAAACAGTGACATTATCCATTTTACTTTCGGTCAACAATTCCTTGATGACATCCGCCGTGATTTGTCCCGAAGCCATCAGCTCCTTTGAGATGTCTTCCATCGCCGAACGTTCTTGCAAATGATCACCCACCGCACGTCGCTGCCATAATGGGACGAAATCTGTTTCTGAGATCTGTGATTCGAATTCAGGATCCACAAACCATTCGGTATCGACCGCAGCATCTTCTTCCGACTGCAATTCGGGATAAAGTTCTGGATAATCCTTGGCATCGATTTGTTCGATAGAGTCTTCTTCCGCTTCCTCTACAGGAGCCTGCTGGCTGGTCTGTTGCTGTTCCATATTTTTGTGCTGTTCATTGCAAACCAATGTGCTTTGCTGAAACAAACGATACGTGGTCGGATGGTAATATCGCGAAGTTGATACTGCGCTAGCCTGCCAACAGCGGGTAACCACTGAAGATCGGACGGCGGCTACTCTTGCTAACCGAGAGAAGGAGAACATGCTAAAAAGCGAATAAACGAGACAGTGTTTGCTCGAAACAGAAGACGATTCTTGCAGTCGCGGATAATGACTGTGACTTTCAGAATTATTTCTGACAAGCAACATTTGGACGGTGTTTCATTTTTTCTCCAGAGGCGACTTTGCGGATCGGAAAATGCAACCTCTTTTTCTTTTTTGATCACCCAGTCGTCTCCTCATCATTCAACGGTCGATGCTTCGTGATGATAGCTTTTTCTTGCTGGATTTGTGATGAAGCCACTTCGTACCACTTGACAGCAACGCTAAAAGGCTCCTGTGAAAAATTGTGAATGATCACAGAGTGGCAGTCACGATGAGAAAATGATTTCCTCCAAAGGGTTATGTGACATGAACAAATAAGGGATCTTCCACCTATGCAAGCTTGAATAGAAAGTCGAGAAAGAAAATAGCATGTCGTCCCTTCTAAAAAAAAAAAAAAGCGGTCGGGAAGGGCAATTCACCTCATATGTCGAAGCACACAAGTTACGGTTATCCATCGTCAAGTTAAAGAGATCCGTGATATTACAAGGGAAATGTTTTTTTTTCCCATACTTTAGTTGATAAATGGCCTTTCGGTACGAGATTGAATCAACCCATACTGCCACATAGGTCAAAAATATTCACTGGCGGATTCTTATTCGCAGGATAGCGAAATCCCACGAACCAAGTAGAAAGCGGTCATGGACTACCTGGATCGGAAAAGGGAGCCCCAATAAGCTTGCGCATCCTTGTGATACTTAGGCATCAACAGTTACACGAACAGCTGGCAATCTCGAAAAACAGATTCCCTAAAAATGATCCACGGATGACTTGTTCTTCATACAGAAAGGACCATAAGCTCTTTTGCTTGTATTAAGGACCCTACTATTGCAAACAAATCATCTATTTTCATAATCTCAGCACATCTTACGTTTAAATGGATACAAAACCAGGCCCATGTTCTGTAAAACGAAACGCAATCACGAACGAGACAGAAAACTTTGTCACACATTCCTCATCGAAAGTCAAATGCCTACTAGCGGGAAAGGATTCGCATCTCACAAGATTTGTGTTCAAGGTACTTACCCCAAGTTGGTTTATACATCTTCCGATTAGCAGATACGATAGGACAGTCATCTTTTTTTTTGGGGGGGATTTCATTTGCGCTCTGTTTGATCTACCGCATGCATAATATAGGATAAGTGGCACGTAGGATGGGTCGACTTTTTTTTACTTGGTTGGCCTGTCGAGTCTTGATCCGCTCGTATAAAAGCAGATATGCTCCGTTTGGCAAAGATGACATAATGTTGTGTCCCTTTTCACGCTGTGTGTGTGAAAACAAGAAAAAAAAAAGGTTGGAGATAAAGGAATATGAAGAGATACAAATGCCTTAAAATAGGGTGATCACATGGTTGCCTCGTCAACCAAATCTCCAAATACATGCAAAAAGGTCTGGGGATCTGTGCCAATTACCTTATAAAAGACTGAAAATGTTAAAAAAGGCCCTTTTTATACTCCTTATGACAAGTTCACAGAAACATCCAGCCGATACAGTTCACTATTCCCACGCCAGTGAAAAGCTTCAAACTGAGGCTTCCATCACCTCGTTTGAAGACGGTCATGGAACCGATACCACACATTCTCCTCGTTCGTTGGAAGACCAACCACCGCCACAAAAGCTAAAGCGTGCTTTAAAATCACGCCATCTTGCCGTAAGTGTCCTCCCTGGGTTTGTTCAAGATTTTTTTTTTTTTTTTTTTTTGCTGATTCCAATGTCGATATCTATTGCAACTAGATGATTTCTCTCGGTGGTGTTATTGGACAGGGTTTGTTTCTATCGGCAGGAGGCAATTTAGCCGCAGCTGGTAAGCTTTTCAAACGATGGAAAAGTATTCACTCGACTATCGCCTCATATCAATCCAATCTCAAGGTCCTGCGGGCGCCTTGATCGCTTATGCCATCATCGGCTTTATCGTGTTTTGGGTCACCTATTCTCTGGGAGAAATGGCCACTTACATCCCCGTAAGTATTCTTCAGAACCGATTCGCTTCTCTGGCTACATCTATTAATCGTCGAGTTATAACAGGTATCAGGGTCTTTCACTGTCTTTTGTCGACGATTTGTTGATGAATCTTTCGGTGCAACCATTGGATACAACTACTGGTAAGGAAGTAAATCCTCAAGTCAAAATCTATAGCTGTTGCTCAATCAGTTACGCAGGGCTTGTTGGGCCATCATTGTTGCAAGCGAACTCACAGGTGAAGTTACTGTCATGACTGCTCTTGCACGCTCAAACATCATAGTCCACTGATAGACTGATGATCAATGTGTACGCCCATAGCTCTTCCGCTAGTGATGGAGTTCTGGACTCAAAAAGTCCCTTCTTGGGCATGTAAGTATTAATCCTGATTAAGCAGAGAAAATAAGCGCCAAAATCATCCATAGTCTCATGCGCGAAATAGGGTCCGGCATCTGGCTTTTGATTATTTTCGTGCTCAATATGTGTGGCGCTCGAAGCTACGGTGAAGCCGAGTATTGGTTCAGTCTTGTAAGTACCTGCTTGTCGATAAGCGCTTCCATTATCGATAACGCCTTAACAAGTTGTTAACCCGTTTCTGACTGATATGGCACAGATCAAAATATTAGCCGTACTTATCTTCATCATCGTTGGCTGTATCACTTCCGGCGGTCATATTGGGTACGATAACATCTCTGTTTTCGACTTTCTTTGTCAACGCGCTTGATTAATGTATATCATCAATATAGTGGCGAAGTATACGGTTTTAAATACTGGAAGGATCCTGGTGCCTTTTCCAACGGCGCTTTGGGCGTTGTCAATGCGTTTGTTTTGGCCTCCTTCAGTATGCAGGGCACAGAGATCATTGGTATAACGGCTGGCGAATGTGATAATCCACGCAAGGTAAAAAGAGCACCTTTTTACAATTCAGCATCATCAGTAGTCTAAACATTTTCTGTGCACTTTCTTAAACCATTAGCAAGTTCCACGTGCTATTCGAAATGTGTTTTGGCGTATCATTATCTTTTATCTCGGATCAGGTAGGTTTTTGCGTTGTACCAATGCTATCATGGTCATTGCTAAGCAAGCGGGTCGATAGTGTTTGTCATGGGAATGATCATTCCGTGGAACGATCCACGTAACCTAAATACCGATGGCGGTTCGGTGACGGTCAGCCCTTTTACGATAGTGTTTGAAAAAGGCGGCTTGAAAGTTGTGGCTGACATTATGAATGCAGTTATATTGATTACGGTAGGTGATGAGTTCAAAAAAGAAAACAAAAAAAGGGAGGGTGGATGCTGAACCAGTTTTCTTTTTTAGGTTTTATCGTGTGCCAACAGCGGTATGTACGTGAGTAGTCGCATGTTGTGCGCTCTTGCCAATGAAGGTATCGCGTATCATAAACTAGGTACAGTTCATCAAACGAGGAAAATTCACAATGGTTACTGTTACTAACGTGCCGTTTGGGAACCAGCTTACATTTCGAAACGTGGTGTGCCAACTTATGCGTTGGTCTGCACTGCTCTTGTGAGCTTGGTCACTTTTGCCACATCGTTTATTCCTGGAAAAGCGCTTTTTGTGGTGTTGACGAAACTGTCTGGTGTTGCTGGATTTGTCACCTGGGGTGGTATTTGTTGCGCGCATTACCGATTCAGGAAGGCCTTCAAGCGCCAAAATCGAAACTTATCCGAGCTTCCTATCGTGGCACCGTGCTATCCATTTGGAGATTTGTTTGGCATGGTGGCTTGTATTGTCATTTCACTCATGGCCGGCTATTCCTACTTTGTACCACCCTCGGCTGTTGGATTGATTGGGAACTATGCAGGCCTGGTCCTCTGCGTGATTGGGTTCATCGTGACCAAACTGTGGACCAAATCAAAAATGATTCCGATCGACGAGATTGACCTTGACACAGGTCGCTCCGAGCTTTCTATGGGACTGGACCATCTGGAAGAAAAAGACGACCAAGAGGAAGAAGTCAAAGGCCCTCTGTACAAACGTATCTTCAAGCGCTTGATCATTATTTTCACCTAAAACTCGATCTTTTTCCATTATCCCCCCCAACAGTTACAAAAATTTAATGCATATCCTTTAACCACAATTTTTATTCGTCCTTTTCTTTGCAAAAATAAAAATAAAAATAAAAATTAAAAAGTCGCTCAACCTAAGCGGCACAAGTTGCTGTAACGCATTTACGTGTTACAATAGAGATCAGCGATAAATCAATACCTGTTATGCTATGCCATTTTTGCTATTTTATTGAAAAAACAAGTTCATTGAACGCGGTTTATTTCCCCATTGGAACCGTTTTTTACATCAAATGCGCAATTCAGTTACTAAATTTGGACTTTAATATCTTCAGTTGTGGACATAACGGCAACACCCGCGAAATGGTAATTTTAAAACTCCGTATTTGGATTTCGAAATCGACTATTTGCATGTAAGAAGAAAATACAAATTGAATTGGTTATATATAAAAAACAAGATGGAAGGTACTTGTGCACAATTCTTTTATAAAATAAAGAGATCAATAATTTTTAATTTTATGATAGAGAATGATATCAGATCTTTAAATGTTGAATACGAAAAAGAAAATAATAAAATTAATATCAGTTTTCGTAAAGATAATCAAAAATTTGAAGATCAATATATGATTCCAAAACGAAGAAATAAAAGAATGAAAAAACGATCAAATAATATACCTACGCCTATAACGACAGACAATGAATTTAGTGATAATGAAAGAAGCAACATAAAGGATAACAATTTAAATATAATCAATGACATGGATAATCCTATTGATCATGTAACCGAAAATTTCAGCTGTAAAAGAAATTTGACCCAACCGAATACACCTGATGTAAATAAAAAAAAATATAAAGTTGATATATGTAATGCCAATGTGAGTAAAAAGATAATTGATAAAATTAAAAGTTCGGCAGAATCTGAGAATTATGATGATGAAGATGATGAAGATGATAATGATGAATTTAAAAGAGATGAATTTTGTTTGAAATTATTATATAATATATTGATATATGAGAAGAAGCTTATTACAGAAAATAACATAGCAAAACTTACAAATGTTGAAATAATATTTGACAGAATAAAACGTATATTTATTGATTTGGGATTTTCTTTTGATTTAGATTATAATGTATGATCACTGTTTTTAACATGTCAAATAAATTATGACCATATCTTTTTCTAAAAGCCAATTCTAAAAAATACAAAGTATACAATTCAGAGTTTCTTCGGATATTAGGTATATACTTTCTTAAATGCATCCAGAATCCTTCTATCGTGTTTGTGTGTATTGTAGGATTTTCAGCGTCAACGAAATATTTAGAATGATTTACTGTATAGTGATGATATCCCATCTTGTTTAGGTTCACATAAGATTTCATTTCGTCAGTTATAATAGTCGTTTTTGGATGAACATATTGTTGAATTATCGGTAGTATCGTTTTTGCTTGTCGGTTAGGCACAGGTATAAGGAAAAATAAATTTGATTTCCTCTGGTAACCACCGAGTATCCACATATGTTTTTGGAATCGTTTGTGCCTTGCAGTGCTGATTTTCGTTCTTCCCATACAACATTCATCGATCTCGACAATTTCTTCTTTTCCACCGATTTTGTTTTTCCAGATATCTTCATTGTCTAATATCCATAGCTTTATCGCATTTTTAATTTTCGTATATAATCTTGTCACTGTATCTTCATCGATTCCCATTTGTTTTGATACTCTTGTGGGAGATGGATCTAAATAAAAGAATATAAAATTAGATTGAGATTATATATAATAGATAATATACAAACCGATGGTCCATTGTCGTAAAAGCTCTACAATTTGGATTGATCTTAAATTTGTTTTTTCAAATAATGTCTCAGAGTATATCCCTTTCCTGACATTATCTGTATAGCAATAGTATCTGTATCGTTCATAATATTTTCCAATAGATAATGGTTTTTTACATATGGGGCATATAAAATGGTTGATAATATGATTATTTTGTAAATAGATAATTGCTTGTTCATCATCATATAAGGTTCTATAGAGTGCCTCATTTGATTTGAACATCTTTTGTTGAATGAAAAGAAACAAGGTGATTATGAGTTACCTAAATTGTGTATTTTGTAAATAGACGGAGTATAAAGTATGTTTTGTGTAACTTACCAATACACGGTTCCTGCCGACATAACTTCCCTTTTCACGCCACAAAATTCGACCCGATGTGGCGTCTCGACTTGCATCACGTGAAGTAATAAATTCAATCCCAGAACCTTCCATACCAAGATCAAATTTGCATGAATTTTTCATTCAAAAATTTGCTTACATTATCATGTTCAACATTGCACCGTATATTCCAAAGGTAAGAGTCCCATTGGATGACGAGGCGTAACCACTTTTTAACATGACCTAGTATGTAAGGTTGCTGCATGCCAATGAGGAAAACGTGGAGATTCCGTACCGGCATACACAATTTGGGGTGGTGCTCATGGTCGATGTCGTTGGTAAAGTCATGATCAAGAATGGGCAATTGCATAACGCCATGATTAACGTACATTCATAGGTTTTAGTACGGTATGTAGAAAACATATAATTTTGATCTGCCATATACATCTGACGGACCCGATCCACGTGGAAATTTAGCTCACAACACTGGCCACCGAAAAAGGCGAATCTGGCGCCGAAGCCATTGCTTTGGAAGTCGGAGCTTACATGGGCGAAGTAAGCTGCCACCTAAAAAGGCAAACCATGGATAAATGACTCACCCATGCTTTTTCTAGTGTATCCAAATCATTGAATTTTTCGGTGGTGATGTCGTAAAGGTAACTATTAAAATATAAAAAGACATCCTCCATTGGAATGATTAAACATTATCAACTTCATTTAGTTTCTAGGAGATGCGGTCCTCGTGAGCTTCCAAGCAAAAATATCGATGGATCACCTACATACCACAGGCGAAAAGGATACAAATATTGCCTATTTTACACGTCAAAAGAATATGCTCGTACGAAGGGCAGTCGAGTGTGGGCTCCAGCTACTCGCTCGCTTGTCACATTACCGCGTCTACTTGACTGCGGAGGAGCGCAACCGGCATAGAACTCCACAAGGCGATATTGAACGTCATAACCGCAACGATAGAAACATGATCTTTGGTTTCGGAGAAGGTGGCAAAGTGAAGAATGGGCAAAGACTGTCAGAAAGTGAATACGTTCCTCCGCGACACTTCTCGGAATCTTACTCCATTTCGTTTGATCGATGGAATTTCCTCTCATTTTTGTGGCGTAAGCATAAACAAAAGTCAAAAAGCGAATCGGATAGACGAGCAAGTGCCTCGAGCGGGTATTCGAGCACACGCAACATGAACGCCATTGATTTGGAGCTGCATATTGCATTATCTTGCGGCGACATCACGAATGTCATATTGGGTGATATTGACCCCCATTCATCCAACAACAGCACCACCGGTGATAACACGATACGTAACTCTACGACTACGACGAGCAGCGAACAGGGATCGTACGATAATTACTTTTTGGAGCAACATGGCCGTCTGGAATATGCGATCGGAGGCCCGGTCGTCGAATCCCTGGATGCAGCTTTAGCGGCCGCCAAGGCCGGCGAAATGAGCATCACAGCTGAAGCCTACGAAATTATTCAGCGACAGCCTTTGGATCTACAATGTGAAGTGCGGGATCAATTTTACATTGTGCATACCGCCGAACCGCCGGATCCTTCAAAGCGAGGATACAACACATACCGACAACCAAATGCTGTTAAACTGACGAGTACTACCCCGAATGCCGACTATTTACTTGATCGACCCAATTTGCTTCAACAAGCGTCCAAACTCAGTATCGAACCCTTGATTCCACGTATCCGTAATACTTCTTTCATGCAAATTCCGGCGGATATGAGCCCTCATTATTTTAAATACCTCAACCGAAGCACACTTTATCGCTTGCAGCACAGTAGCGACGGCAACTTTCCCCCCCAGTTTCGCGACGTGACTATTGTGTTTATCAGTCTGGGCAAGGTGGATGTGACAACGGACGCTGGTTTACAAAACGTACAAAAAGCCATCTTGAGGGTCATCCGTGCTTTGGTTAAATATGAAGGTTTGTTGCAACAATTTGCCATTGATGATAAAGGTCGGTATACGCAAAATGAAAAGCGCGCCAAAGTTTGTGTATGTGATAACTTTTTTTTTATATTCTCCAGGCGCCACAATTCTCGCTGTGTTTGGACTCCCGCCTTTATCCCACGAGAGGGAAGCTGTGTTTGCAGCGAAAGCCGCTCTTGAACTTCGGGACCAATATCGTCAATTGGATCTGCCGGATTTCGCGATTGCTCTGGCAACAGGGGTCATTTTCAACTGCGTTTTACCGCAAGGCAACCCTTTCCGACGAGATCCCGGCATTGCTGGCGATACAATTATCCTGGCCGTTCGTATGCTCAAGTTTCCTTTTTCCAAGAACAACGTGGTGTGCGATACGACGACGAAGAGTCAAATCGGAGGATTATGTGAATTTGAGGACTTGGGCGAGAATTTCGTCAAGGGCAAGACCAAGCCCGTGCAGATGTATAAAATTGTCAAATTCGGGGCCAAAAGTTCCAAGAGGATTTCGATGCAAGCGATGGAACAAAATACCGATTTCATCGGCTATAAAAGCGAAATGTCGGCAGCTACGCAATTCGTCGATGAATGGAGCCAATACCAAAATCATCATGTTCTCATCATCTACGGTGCTTCCGGGGTTGGTAAAAGCTACTTTTGCCATACGCTCCAGCGAACCATGATATCGCACGGCGTTCAATGCTGGTATGTACCATTTTAGCTCGTATTCCTGCTTATAGCAAAGTATTGAATTGTATTGCTTCGTTTTGTTAGTTGGTCATCTTCCACGGAAGGTAAAGTTTGAAAAAAAAATTTGCTTTTCGCCCTCTACGAAAAGCAATTGCTAATTAAGTATTTCCTATTAGTGGAGAAGAGCTCCAAGTACTATCTCTTGAAGAATTTGATGCTTTCGCTCTTTGAGCTTATTGAGACGGACCAAATTCCGGATAATGAGAAAAAAACAAATGTACCCGATACAAATCATTCTTCGCAACATTTGAGTGCCCAACTGACGTCTATGCAATCCGCGGAAAGAAAACCGACCGATCTGTCGATAGCGTCCGACTCAACATTCCAGCATGCAGAAACGAGTAATTCTAAAGACCGTGGCCCACGGCTCACTCTCTACACGTCGACGTCGTCCACATGCAAGCCCACCGCCAGTCACAGTACCGGAACCCATAACGAAGTGGCAGAAATCATTTTACGAGCACTGACAAAATGTGGAGAAGATGAAGGATTCTTGCCACTGTTTAAAGTCATTTTTGGCACCTTGAACGACGTTGAAGAGAATCAATATACCCGTTTGCTGGATGGTCGAGGACGTGACATTCTCCTCACAGGCGTCCTTGTGCGAATGGTGCGCTATGTGTCTGAGCACATTAGCTTTGTATTTATTTGCGACGATATTCAATGTTTGTACTTTCGGTGGTTACTGACATGACTTAATTTGTTGCTGACGCTGTGGTTTCCTTAGGGGCGGATTCAGCGTCTATCCGAATTTTACGCCATATACACGAACAGTGCCAACGCGTGTTGTTGATTATGGCCACACGTCCTAGCCGCGATTACAATATTGGTTTTCTCAGCGATTTTTGCGTAACAGGTGTGAACGCCAAAGTCGAATTGGGTGGGCTCGACGCAATGGAAATTGAGCAAATCATCTTGCAATCGTTCGACAGTGGTGTCAAGAAAGTCAGTCCGGAAATTGTGCGCGTTATCCAGGTACGATTATATATTTTGAATTTTAAAAAAAAACAGTTGCTTAACCCTGAATACCTGAAAAAAAAAAAAAGAAACGCACAGGTGGCAATCCGTTGTATGTCAAGAATATGGCCATCATCCTGAAAGATTTCAACCACGTAACATTGGTCCAAGGCGAATTAGTCCCGAGTACCAACAAATTTGACCTCGAAGATTTACTCGGCAATTTCGACTACAAGCGCATCATCAAAATCCAGTTTGATCGCCTAGATGCCAATTTTGAAGAGTTTTTAACGGTAAGCCGTCCATCCCACATCTGGCAGCCTCTCCTCACCAGCTGATCCTAGCTTCCTATCGTACTAAACGAATCTACAAATTTTATTGTCACAGATCGCTTCTTGCTTGGATCAATATTTCACCGTGTATGAAATACGAGCCATTATTTCTCCTTCGAATGTCATCTTCAACGACAAGAACTTGCAAGAGATCCGGAGCGCCGTGCAAAAATATGATGTGTACAATTTCCTCACGCAAACGCACAATGACAGCTCCTATGAAGGACGGACAGAAGTTTATACCTTTACGCACGTCACCATTCCTCACACTATATACGATATGGTAACCTACGAAACCCGAATTTCACTTCATCGCCGCCTGGCCGAGTACTATGAGTCCCAACTGAACCGTGACAATTATTCTCAGCTTTTAAGCAAGATTGTACGTCATTATCTCCACGCTGACAAAATAGAGAAACAGCTCCATTATTTGGAAGAGCTGGCCGATCTCAATATGAAGTCGTATCAGTTACCGGAGGCCACGAACAACCTGCAAATGATGGTCAAGATTTTGAATGAAAACGAGGAGATTTCCGCGATCTTTGGAAATGTGCACAAGAGCGACATTTATCGTCGACTTGGTATGTGCTATACGATGCGAACACGATTGACGGAAGGGGAAAGAAATCTCTTCAAAGCTCTTGACTATCTCGGAGAACCGTGGCCGCGTAGCGAAATGGCGTTCTTTTACAGCTTTTGGAAAAATCGATTCGCGCAATACCGACATCTACGATGGCACGTCTTTTACATGTGGAAGAAACGCACCAGAAAGGAACTGGGGAAACGTGTGGTGGAAATTATGGCTCAGCTGTCCAATATCTACTTCCACAACGGTGATGGACGTGACTTTGTCTACACTTGCTTAGTTGGTCTCAACGCCTGTGAACGACTCGGTGAATTGGGCACGCATTACACTTTATTTCTCGCAAGAAACGCGCTACTGTGCTGGCTGAACGATGAAAAGGAGAATAGTATTGCTTACATTATCAAAGCGGTCAAGTATATGGATGAGAAATCGGATTCCAGCACGTTGACGATTTATGCCTTGTTATGTTTCGCTGCGGGTAAATTCACCTGTGCCAGAAACATGCTGTATCAATCGATTCAGGTGGCAACCACTCTGGGGGTGGTGACTGATTGCCAAACGTTTTACCGTTCGGTCAGCACTGTGATTACAATGCGGATATTTGAAGGCTCTCTGAATAGCTCCCCGGACGATATTGCCTTGCTGAAGCAAATGGCGGATATAGCCCATGCTAATGGCGATTTTGAAGCCGAGATTTGGTTAGGCGTGTATCATGTTGCCAATGCGATTGTCATGGATCAGCTGCCCGAATGTGCTCCGTTTGTATCTCTTTTGGAAGTTCACAGAAAAAAAGCAGCGGATTATAACCGCATTGCTATCCATGGAACCTTACTGTGTTATTACGCACGATCACTGAATAACCGAAAAGCAGTGTTCCACTACCGAATGCTTGTCTCGATACTTCCGTCTTTGACCGTGACACGTAAGAAAAATAGGGTTTTTATTTTTATTTTTGCGGAATTGATCAGTTTCCCATGTTTCAATGTAGCCAATATATTTCCTATTTTTGGATTAATCTTTTGTACGATGGGCATGTATTGTCTGGTGGAGAGTGATCAAATCGATCTTCTCGCTTCCGGAGACAGAGAAGAATACGATCGGTTCGTTCTGGGGATCACACGTCTAAACCATGCATTCCAGCAAGTGAAATTCTGGGAGTTCACCCAGCCTGGTCTATACCTTGCGCGTGCTCTTCCGTATATTAGCACTGGTCGTTCCGTTGAAGGATACATGGTATATGAGCGTACTGTAGTTGACCAAATCCCTGACATTCTATTAATTGTTTTTGACAGGTACTCCGCCATGGTATTAACGAGATGCACTTTATTCAAGAAATCAAATTTTTAAGAGCGTACTACTGGTCCAATATTGGCAAGTATGCATTTTCACCACAAGAGCGAATCAAATGGACAGAGCAAGCAAGACGGGATTTTGATGCACTGAAGATTCCTGCTCACATTTACTGTAATCCCGATCCAGCGCACTGTTATACAGGAGGACAGCAGGCTGACTTGCGTTTGGAATCAGTGGAGAGCCAGGAACAATCTATAGATGAAGCATAATTGTTTATTTTTTTTCTTATTGCATAAAACTCTCTTCAGCAATTCTGTCGATTGCGATGAAGTGTTATTCACCAATCAGAAAAAAATAACCTTTTACTCTTTTTTTTTAAACCATATTGGTTTCCATGTGGACAAGTAGGATTTTGATCCACCCTAAACACAGATACATCGTGGATTGCTAAAATACAAATCCACAGCTCTTTAAAATTGTGAGATCATCTGCTTGAACACAAAACCATCAAAACTTAAACACCAAATCAAAATCTGAAAATTCATAAATGAAGCGATTGCAACGCAAAGAAAAAAGAATGTACGAGATCGTCAAAAACAATAAAAAAGAAGAACGAAAAAAAAGAAACAAAAAAAAAAAGAAACAAAAAAAAAGAGACGCGAAAAAAGCAAAAATGAATTGCGGCCTATGTGGATTGAACACATGACCTTTAGATCTTCAGTCTAACGCTCTCCCAACTGAGCTAAGGCCGCTTCTTGATTTCTGAGTCAAAATTACATATTTGGCATCTTAGTAATTGTAATTTTTTTTTGCCTCTTACAGCCTCCAGAACGCAGTAAATACGTTTTTAAAGCCGCTTTATCATTACCATTGAGACGTGGCCTTTTTGTCACGCGCCTTATGTGTACCTGTGTTCGTGTAATTGGTAGTTCAATAGCGACTTTTTTTTGTCACAGTTCTGATATTCAAAGTCCGTTTCTTTTTTTTGCTGCAAGAGCTTAAAAATTTTTTGTTATTTTTATATTATAGATTGATAAGTATTCTTTATTCTTTTTCTGTTTAGATTAACAAACAGAACAAGCAAAGCTGTTGTATTAACAATGCTTATTTGGTAAGTGAAAGTACAAAGTTCTTTTATTTATATCACTGAATAGTCTTTAATTTGCAGATCATAAAAATCAAGAAAAACTTATATTTTTGATCTAATGATAATCAATTTCACTAAAAATAACAAGCTTTGCTAAATGCAAATAAAAGTGCACAAATAATAAGAATGACCGAGCTAAACTCAAGAATGATATCTTCTGTAGCTAATCATTCTCTATGGTAATTATAAAGGATAAGTAATCTTAAGTAATACAAAAACATTGGAAGATTTATTATGATGCTGTGAAAGAAATTACTGTAGAAATTAGATGATGCTATCTTTTACTCCTTATATATTTTATCTATTATCTGTGTTATATTTTGATCTTAGTTTCTAACTATCACTTAAGCTTTAAAATTGTATTGCTACAGATAACTTGAAGTATTTGAAAGATGATTAAAGTTTATTTAGCTCTAGCATATAGTTGGTGATGTAATCAACTTCAAGTTGCTTGTGGTTATAGTCAGATTAAAGGCTTTTTGAATCGATATCAACCATTCAGACAGCTGTCAAATCAGACAATACTTTGGTTACTTCTGATGCTATTCTCATCATCTGATGCACCTTTTATGAGAGTATCACCTTTTTTTTCAGGAATCTCTTTGATGACTAATTTGAATTTGATTGGATTGACATTCTGCTGACGTCGAAGTGAGACTGTCAAAGTTTCCTTAGCTGCATAAGGCGGAAAAGAATATAAAAACAAAGAAAAAAAAAACGAGTGACTCATTTCCTGCTTTATCTATCACTTTCTGCAGTCGGCAAGTAAAGACTGTATGTTGGAAGGCGATCTTGCAGACGACGAGTTCTACGTAAGTACGAGGTTTTGCCCTTTTGGTGTCTTCTCTCCATTCCTTGTCTACATGTCCATTGATTCCGTGTTTTTTCTTTCTTTTTCTTTGTCTCTGCTTAGGTCTCGCGTGTTGCTGGAAGGAAGTACAAGGTACTGTTACTTGCCATCTCTCTTTATTCACGATTAGTTCGTGTTAAAAATAGGAGAGCATCTGCTGATGAGGGCATCGCTGAATGTGGTAGACCGTGAGCTAACTGATAAGCCAATAGAACAAGACTCTCTTGTACCTCATTGAGTGGGACGGTTATCCCAAAGAGAGCAACACCTGGGAGCCCCAGGAAAATGTCTACGATGAAATGCTTGTCAACAATTTTCTCAAGCAGTTGCGTCGCGAACATGTGGGCTTGGATGTGATCAATAGCCGTGGCAAGTTGTTGTTAGCCGATGCTTTTGACCCAGAAGCGCCTGCGCCCAAGCCTACCCCCGCGCCTAAACGGGTCTCCACCTCCTCGACCAGAAGTAGTCGATACAGCAAGAGAATTAAGGGGTCGCCTACACCATCGACCAGCAGCTCTGGCATTACCGACGATTTGGTCGTCTCTCGACCTCTCATGAGAGCGGTGCGAAGCAAGGAGTTGCAGAGTGTAAGTTATCCCATTACTACCCTGATCAAAGCGCGTCTTTTTTCCTTTTCCTAAACATTTGTATGTTTCTAGGTTATCTTCAATCTCAAGTGGGCTGATATCAAGCGTATCACTGGCGATCCCGACGTGTACGCTCGTTTCGTGGAATCCATCGAAGCATCGCAAGTGTTGGCGGCGGTAAGTGATTTAATCTTCCATTTAATTTTTTTTTTTTTTTTTTTTTTTTTTTTTTTTTGGCTCGTGGTCAAAGATGGCTCATTCACTCCCTTATTAGGCTCAAAATCATCCGTTGGTCGAGGGTCCTGACAAGCTATACCATTTCCACAATGTATATCCACCGGTCACCGTTGTCAATGAAACTGACGATGAGTTGTTCCCTGAGAACTTCATCTACATTGACGAATTCATTTATTCCAAGGACACCTCCAAGCCCGATCCCGAGTTTCTCGAAGGTTGCGAGTGTACCTCCAAATGCAATACTGGCTCAAAGAATCAAGGATGCCATGAAGGTATCGCTTATAGCAAGCGCGGTCGTCTCATTATCCCCTCGGGTACTCCCATCTATGAATGCAGCGTTGCTTGCAAATGTGGCCTTGATTGCTCCAACCGCGTTGTACAACGTGGACGCAAGATTCCTCTTCAGATCTTCAAGACGCCCAGCAAAGGCTGGGGTGTACGTGCCATGTGTGACATCAAGTCTGGCAGCTTTGTCGAAGAGTACATTGGTGAAGTGATCCCTGAAACTGAAGGCGAATTCCGTGGTGCCATTTATGACAAGATCGGTACAAGCTACCTGTTTGACATGGATTTTGCTGAAACGGATGATCTCCCTCCTCGCTTTGTGATTGACTCTTTCCTGCACGGCAACGCCAGTCATTTCTTCAATCACTCTTGCAACCCCAATCTCAGCGTGTATGTGGTCTTTTATGACAGCAATGATATCCATTTCCATCGCATCGCCTTCTTCTCCAAACGCGATATCATGAAGGGCGAGGAGCTCACCTTTGATTATGTGGGCTCGGCCGAGTCCGCAGGATCTTCGACCGGCGATAAACCCACTCCCACCAAGGGTAAATTCCCGTGCCACTGTGGCACTCCTGATTGCAGAACTTGGATTTATGCCTAAAACACTGTTTGTGTTTTCTCTTTCGTCAAAGCTATCTTTATTAGTGACAAAAAACCCTTTTTTTTTCTTTTCACGTGATTTGTGTTGAGATTATCTCCACCTCCATATCTCTATCAAATATCCTTCTGCTTGTGGAAAAAACTGTTTCCATTTTATATTTGTAACCATCTGTCGTCATGTATTGCGGCGTAGGCATAGGTCATCCATCAATGAATTCGTTTCTATGAAATAAAGTCTGATATTTGACTCAATTGGAATGTTTTTCCCAAAATAAAAATGGAAGGAAAGGAAAGTGCCAGTGCCCATTGATTTAGCTGCATGGCGTCTTCATCTGTATGGAAATCAACCGTTACGCGCGATCATCACGCTCCTCAAAATTACTAGCGACTTTTGAAACTGCATCATCTATCGAAGCTCAGCATTGGACAAATCTAGGAGGAAAGGTTCCACGAAGTACCGGTTTTTCTCGGTAATCACAATATTGATGATGTGCAGGTAAAGTCGTTTGAAAATCGGAATCTGTAATGACCAAGTTTGAATAAGAGAAGTTTTCCTTGATAGAAGTCTAGAGATGAAAAAATAACATAATGATCCTTTGCTGACTATTACTGCCTAGTAGAAGAACGTTCGTCGTAGTAAAACAATCACCTTTTATTGATCGCCATGGCGTTTTCACTAAACCTGCCGTGTGACACAGTGAAACAGCTAGTCCAAAACAATCTACGACCGGATGTTCTGGGTTATCAGCGCTGATACGTATTATTCCAGGAGGCAAAAAAGGCGCCGATTTCTCGCCGATATCTCGGTCCCGGAAATGAACGCGATGTCATTGTTTCTGCTTGGATCGTGCACAATAAATCTATACGTATAGCCAGAGATTACTCCAGTCAACTGAAGAACAATGAGATGTTTATGCCAGTTTCCCTCACTTATCAGCTCATGATAATCGCGCTGATACAAATGAAACAGCTACAGGATCTACTGAATGACCTATTGAACGGATAGCCGCAAACGGAAGAAGCACATGCTGTTTTGTCACGACGATTAATGTTGATCTTTCTTTCCTCTTTGAATGATATGTTTCAATGTGTTGATGACTGGGAGCTATGACTCTAACACAACGGATCAACATCGCTGCTGTTGTTGCAGGCAACATGCAATGATTGAACATTTATTATTTTGCTTGTTAAAAGGCTGTATTGATGGTTGGAAAAATGCCTCTGGCACATACATGTTTTCTGAGGGAAAAGGGAAGCTGGCTCTGCGCAGCTATCATGCAATGAGCGACCGTTCAGCTGCTTCAGCTTACGATGACGCCGCGGAAGAGACGAGAATCCGTGCCTTAATGAGTTAGCGATCTGTTTGCATTCAGTAGCAACATTTTTAAGATATATAAACAGATTACTGCATTTCTGGATAGCACAATAGCAAGAGCGCATGCGTTATCAAACACTTTCATCGGTGGAAAAAGAAAGGTTATTTTACCCCAGAGGATACAGGGGTAATCAGTGTTTCACTCGGAAAAATGGAGAAAAGTTATGCTTCAAGCATTTGTATGATGGTGCATGTTCCTTGCGAATGCGGATATAGATATATTCTATACATCGTTGTCTATATAGATTATGATCGATGCCATGGTCGATCGATGGTTTTCTTCATCAGGAAAGAAACGTGTAATGGCGTGATCCGTTTATCAATTCGCTGGAAAAAAAAGAGATTAGTAAAAATATAGAATTTTGGGATGCGGTTTACCGAGTTTGATACGGGTGCCGGTCTGTGGTGAGAAAAAAAAATAGCTGTTGAGTCGCGAATGGATCTATTATGGTGAAGTCGACCTTGTGATTGGTACCGAACATTTGCAGCGTCTGATTTCAAAAGCCGACATTTTACGATTTGAGATCTTGGGAAATCGAGACAATACAAGAAGATGGTATTTTATGGGAGAACAAAGGTCATGTACAATGTACTATATCTGACGATGAGAATTTCATAAAACGATAGCGAGACGCAGAGCTAGAGGATGGAGGTTTTCAAGGGGATCCGTGCCTGTCAAGAAATTTTTCACGTTCCACAGCAGATTTTCAGCCTATTTCACTCGGCGACATCGATGGGTTTTCCTTTGATTGAGTTATTTTTGCTGCCCACAGATTGAAACGTCCTCCTGGTTATATAAAGGGATCGTTATTTCCTCTCGCCAAGGTGATCATTACTACTCGCCTTAATTTCAATTCACCATGGTTCGAGTTTTGTCCACTTCCATTGCCATGTCGTTGGTAACTTTGCTCGCCACGTCTGCCCAGGGACATATTATGATGTCGCCCTACAGAGGCCAGGTAAGAACTCATTCAAGACTTTTGATATTATAAACATGATGTATACTGACTATTTCTGTACATCTAGCCCGGACAGTCTATCAATGGCACATTAACAATCGGCCATGGTTGTTCAGGAGCAGCCACCACTGGCCTCGCTGTCACTGTTCCTGAAAATGTTGTGGATCTTCAGCCCCGAGAAATTCCGAACTGGGTACGTTTATGCAACAAATCCGGCGTGTTAAGATTTTCATGACTAACATTCATACTGTGATTAATCAGAAACTCGATGTTGTCTATCGTGATTTGGAAAAGCCTATTACCGTCAATGGCAAATCCATCAACCGGGCTGTGGCCAATGTCACTTGGTCTGGTGGTAACCTTCCCAACGACCAAGCTCAAGAGTTTGGTATCCTTTTCACGGTGCCGGAGGTGGATCTGAGCAACCAGCCCAATGTTACGTTGTACTTTCCCAGTATCCAGACTTGCACCAATGCTACTTCCGCCTACGTTGATATTCCTGGTTCTACCCCGGCTAACGGAGCCAAACCTCTCCCTGCTCCAAGCTTCACCATCACAAAAGATGCCGCACCTCCAACTGCAGATAATGGTCACGGCGATCATAAAGAAGGCGATGGTCATCAACATGGCAGCTCCGCCAGTAGCATACTTGTGAATGCTGTTCCTTTGATGGCTCCTTTGCTTGTCTCCGGTGCTTTAGTTTTGACGCAATTATAATTTTTATTTTCACGTTTCTTTTATTTCGCGTACACATATAATTTTTAGTACTATGCGTGTCAACATTTATATGTACTTTTTTGTGATTTATGACTATATCAATTAAAGGAGTGACTCGGTGAGTTTTTCTTCCATAGCACAAGTTGGCCCTCCTAACAATTACTGCACCGTGGACTTCATGGAAACTGTCTCAGAAATAATTTAGTCAACGATGATACGACGAGGCTCCGTTTCAGCCATTATGGTGGATGATTCGAATCTCCAGGCGCCCAGGGCAAAACCAGTTTCTGATTTTTTTTTCCCTTCCAGGGTGACGTGGTTGTTGCCAAGCATGTGCGTCGTTGTAATTTTTGTTGCTAAGCTTCGCCGAAACTGCCAAGTTTATTGACAAATCATATATTTATTGTCGTTGGTATGGCACAAATCTTTCTCACCCTGGTATTCGTGGATCGCTGTATAGCGTCAAGGGTTATTATAAAGATCCCAAAAAATTTGCTCAACGAGAAACAGAGACTGTCGTTATGTTTCTATCACCAAAAAAGAGTGGTTTTGCAGTTAGCCATTTTACCATAGGTCATCCATAAACACGCAAACCACTTGCTATGGAAACGTATTGCGTCTGTATAAAAGATTTCGAGGGATGCGTTTATTTGATGTAGTTGTTCTTGGTAGCGATCTTTATCGCGTTATTTATGCTCCACCATATTCATAGAAACCACTTTTAAGAAAAAAGTAAATAGTTGTAGCATCTGCTGAAGATCAGTTGTGTGGCGTCTCTTTGTAATTTATCGACTGTTGATGGGCGGAGCAGAAACATTTGGTAGTTGGGAACTTTAAAGGCCCGATGAATGGCGCATTAAGTGACTGTGCCTGTGTCGCGCGCGCTGGACATAATAGGCGGGCAGAACAATAGCTCTCGATTGGCGCAGTGGATATATTTGGTTTGCCATGGAGAATCCGCACGAGCAGCAACAAAATGCTTTACTTGGAAGAATTGTACTCAATGTGGTGAGAGAGATTGATTATACTTTGATTCGATTGAATCAATGCTCACTTATTTCATCGTGTTACAGACAAAACTTAACAATTCCGTCAATGAACTTAATGAAAGATTAGAGGTATGATTTGCTTGATGATTGGAAATCAACAAGTTGCTCAACGAATTGCTAGGAACTGAGCAAAAGCAACAATGATATTACAACGATCGCGCAAATGTGGGCAGCTTACAGCGCTTCTGTTCAAATTCACCTTGAAACCACCAAGAGCTTTTCCGAAGCTCTCTAAAGCTGGTGTATTATGGTCTTAATCATTTATTCCCTCTTACCTGTATATATTCTCTCGTCCAAATCCGCAATTTCCACATAGTTCTCCGTATAATATATAAAAGTGAAGCAACTGCGTTTTGCTCTGCTCATTGACCAGTCTATTGGCGTGACAACCACTCTCACAGCCAATTGAAGTTACGATGTGCACTAACACTTATAATAATTCATTTGGTGAAAATGATGCACGAAAAACGAGTTTTTATAAAAATGATTGTGAATGAAATAGTTTTTTCTTTTAAAATGCAATCACTCGATCGGGCATAGCATGGTTGTCTTCAGCAAAATATATATACACTAGATTCGCAAGGCACAGTGACTTCTTATCCGCTCATTTCAATATCATTTTCCTGCGCCTTGGATGCTAAAAGCTCTTTTTCCACCAATCCATCGTCGTCGTACACAAGAACACCTTGCTTCCATGTACCGTATTTGAGACCAATTTCCTTGTTTCGCTCATATTCTCGAGCAATATCGTCAGCGTTGCCTTTCCAGCCTCGATACAACTGAAGATTTTGTCGACCAATCAAGCGGATACACTTGACGCGCAAATCGTTGGTGGACTAGGATGGAGTAAGTGGCATGCATTTTTACAGTGTTTTCATCGAGCATGAAGTACTTACCCATTTCGGTAACAGCTCCTTTGAAATTTCACCAAAGTGACCAATACCATGTTTCTCGATACCCTCAATGAGCAGACTCTTCTCTACATCAGTCCACTTTCGTACTTCCTCTGGTTTGCTGCCTTTTGGGGGGCGGAAATAACTATAAGCCCAATCGTTAGAGCCAAAAAATAGTTATTTACTCTAACTGATGCATAATATTTACTCTTGATTCAGGGTTCCGTCGTCATGGATCATGTTTTTTGTGATTTCGAATTCAGGACGACGGCAGAATTTCAGGCGAATGGATTTAACCCATTCCTGCTTCTCTTTGAGCAGTTCTTCTTCTCGTGTCAGAGGCGTGGGCGTTTGTGGCGATGTGGAAGTGTGATCAGGGCTGTCGGACATGGTGCAAGGAAGAAGAAGGGATACGCGGTTTCGAATTTCTGGGCAACCCAAAAAAATAAAGACGCGTCTGGCAAGTCGAAATCTCCGCTCGTCCAAATGATGAATGGCCATATTTCTTGGCGAGAACATCTGCTGTTTGCGATGGTTGTAATGTCCGTATCGTAGACTCTGTATAGACTTTTATTCCCTATATATTTTTGCTGCAGCTCGCTGTAATAAGCGTCGTTGGAGAAACCATGCTAGTTGCGAAGGATGAGTGGGGAAATACGAACGAAAACGCGCATCAAAGGCTCGTTGTCTGCGTCAAAATACTAATCAATTCTGCGGGAAAAATCAAACTCTTTACTGAAAACGTTTAACCGTATATAAAGAAAAGGAGCATCAACTGTTGAAGGCAAGATACACTTTTTTCAGCTTGATGATATGAATTTCCAACGTGGAACGAAGGTTAAAAAAGATATTTCATCATGATTTGTATCTATTTCTTACTATACATTAACAAATGCTGCTGTGCTTGGGTTTGGTCCATGTGAAAAAGTTTGCAACATCCTACGAGAACGTTGAAGGTCATTGCTGCTGACAAGACACTGCTGTAAATCCGTATCCCCCATGTTGTGCATATGCCCCGTCCGGTTGTGTCATTTTCGGAGTTGAGAATCCGCCTGCATTGAAGTTGAACATCGGGTTCCCTCGTGCTTTTCATTGGCCAATTTTCGCAAGCCACTATCGAGCTCCAACCCCAGCTTGTCTCTTCTCTCCTTTGCCTATTCCCAAAAAAAGAACCGATACAAGTGAGCCTCTCCGTTGTCCCGATCTCACTTTTGTCAGCTTGATCAAAGCCTATTCCAGTGTCCCCCTCAGATCTCCTAATCACAAATCAACCAACATTCTCAGATAACTGATTCTATCTCGATCCCGTGCGTTCAATCTTCCCTAGTCTTCCTGCAACGTACATCCCCCGATATGACCACCCGATCGGATCAGACCAATAAGCGTAGCTGTTCACCGGCTCTTGAAGAAGCATCGTCCAAACGTCTTTGCACGGAACCGATCGACACAAGCAACACTCACTTGTTGACACAGCTCACCGATGTTCTGGCGGAAATCCGATCCACTCCTTCCACCGGCGAAATATCCGCCGAGCTGCTTGGCAGTTTGAAATTATTGATGTTGCAAATAGAACATTTGTCTGCGGATGAAAACAACGTGGAAGCGAAGCAAATGAAAGATGAAAGTGATCGTTGCCTAGAAACTTGGTTTGATGAATTGGTCGCACGATGCGAAGCCGACGGGGAACTGGATATCGATGCATTGGAACGTGAATTGACGGCGGCCGAAGATGATAGCAGTGACGAAGAAGATGCTCTTGCTTTAGCGCTAGCACTGAAGGATGAAGAAGAGGAGTTGAACGATGCTGTCCTCGATAACAATCAAGGTGACGAGGTGGTAGTGGTGGATGAAGAGAATGCCGCTCACAGTCCCGTGGAGGTGACCGCTTAGATAGCCCTTCCCCTATCCATGCGTGTCGTTGGAGAACGTCCCGTGTAGTCGTGTATGGTGCTGTACATAGTTTTTTTTTTTTTCGTCCTTCGACATTTCTTCATCTTGAAATGTCGTTGTTCTTTTTCCTTTTTCCTCTGCTTTTTTCTTTGACTGTGCTTTGTTCGCCTGATACCAAACAACGAATTGGCTTAACGTATGATATACGGTTTCCCCCCTTGTTGATATGTGATTATTTTCACTTCCGGCCTAGTTCGCCAATATACACCTCGTTTGCGACGTTTGCGCTGGTTGTACATAGGATACACAGAATCAGGATCCACCCATAGATTCATTCAGATTCGATAAAATGATATTTAATAGTGTAAATGCTAAATTGGGTTTGAGGGTTTGATTGTATGCTTAGAAGCTTTCGAGCGTCATTTGTTTCGCTACATCTGTATTTTCGACCATGACTAAAAATTCGTCAAAGCTGATCTTGCCATCCATATCCTTGTCAGCTTCCATGATTGTTTTGTCCACAATTTGTTGCAATTGGTTATCTTTAAGGTTGTTGCCGACCATCATCTTCAATACAAGGAAAAGTTCACCATTCGAGATGAAACCGTCGCGATCCATATCGTATACTTTGAAGGCAACTACGGAAAAAGCAGATAATAAAATCAGCTCAACCATCATCCATCGAACAAAAACCCTCGTAGCCAACGTACATTCCAGTTTCTCACGCTTGTTACCCCTTGCACTGAATGCACTCAAGCCTTTGATAAATTCATGAAAATCGACATCGCCACCGCCGTCTTCGTCGAAAATAGCAATCATGCGCGATGCCAACGGATTATTCGCAATTTGTGGTATGGATAAAAATTCATCCTTATCAATAGATCCAGAATTGTCCTTGTCGAGTTTCATAAACCGTTTATACAGACGTTGTATTTCCTCTGCAGAGACTATGTAAACATAACCATAGGAAAAGAAACACTTGGTAAGCTTGTCTCGTGGATATGACAAAACAGCGGGGGGTTATCGTTTTCCCACCCAAACCCGGAAGCAAGAAGTTTTCTCCCTCAGAAAAACACTTACAATTGGAGGTATTCACCATTTCCTCGAGATGCGATCCTGATTGCCCCATAATCTATTATCTTGTGTCCGAGATGAACGAAAAAAGTAAAAACTGAAAAACGGAACAACGGGGGAATTTGAATCATTCATGACCAGACTTTCCCAGACGCGAATGCTTGTGACTGCGTTTTGTGTCCGTAACACAGTGAACCCTTGGGTTCAGCCTCATTGCGCCTGCAAGTGACAATAGAAGAAATTACTGCGTTTCGCACTTTCCGTACAATACACACGCGCCACTCCAGGAGGCAGATTTCCTGGAAACTTTGCGCGTAAAATTATGCGACACTTTCGTTTTTACAAGTGATAACATGGCGAGCGTTCTTGCACATCCTTGTTTGCAACCACAATAACATTGATCTGAACGACTCACTCCAAAACAGGGGATAAACGATCCTGATATACACAGTAGTTCCTTTTTTATTTCATCATAGAACTAGTTATCTTTTCCATCTTCTGTCTTGGCCTTCTTTGCTTCTGATGCTGATCCGCTAGATCCTGAGGCGGCGGCATCAGGCGCTTTGCGTTTCTTGACCAAGGACGTCAAATCATTGACGTTGGTTGTGTTAATCACCTTTTCGGGGTCGGTGCCGGCGGAAGCAAACATGCTTTTAAGTAAAGCTTCAGCTTCTCTTTCCGTTTTTTGTAGGCTGATCAATTCTTCCATCTAAAGACGCGGTTTGCAGTGTTTATCAGCAAGGTGGTTACAGTTTCCATGAAAACTCTGCTTGCGTTTACCTTGGCTTCCATATCGGGAATTAGCGCTTCGATGTCTTTGATCTCGTTTCCATTGCTTTCCTCTGATGCAGCTTGTTGCAACTTTTCGAGGCGGTTCCTTAACACAGCCGTAGCCTTTTTGATTTCATCAACCGCGAGATGAGACTTGTCTGAGGAATATTCTAATGCAAGCGCGTACTTGTAATGAGCTTCTGCCAATTGCCTGTCGTCGGATTCGAGATTTTCTTGCTTAAGTTCAATGGCTCGAGCGTAATCCGTCAAGGCAGCGTCAAATTTCTCTATTCAATTTCGTTCACGCCTTGAGTATCTCACTCGTAGTAATTGTTTACTCGTCTCAATAAGTCGAAAGACTTACCTGTTTCCAAGCAAATATCACCCAAACCCATATGAACATCAGCCAGCATAAGCTTCGACTTTTTGTCTTCGCCCTTTTCCAAGGCCACTCGAGCGAGATCCAGCATGGTCCAAGCTGTCTCGAAATCATCTTCTTCATCGTCTGATCCTTCGTCTTCGTCGCCTTCCTCTTCCTGGGCGTCATTGGCCACATCAGCTGCTTCATCGTCAAACTGGATACGAGGGTTGCTCGACACTACGCGTCCCACAGGTGAGTTAGAAAAGCGCGATTTTTATTAAAGTGGGCATCCGTACTTGCCTGATGGTTCGGGCACTACTCGAGATTCCGCAGCACGACCTGAATCACCAAGAACCGTGTTGTTCAAAATGGCGCATTGGAGAAGACTCCGTCCGTAACCAAAGTAAGCAGCCGCATTCTCCAACATGCCTTCGCCATTCTTTTCGTCTCTACAGCTCCTGTTAGCGTGTAATATAACGGTGTATCTGAAATTCAGGGTTCGTACAAAAGCTGAGAAGCTCGACTATATCTGTCGACGCTGGTTTCATAGTGACCCGACGCATACGCATCGTCGCCTTCTCTCATAAGCGTATCAATATCAGGTTCAGTGTTGGTCGTCATGGTCGGAAAAGATAAACAGAGCTGTCAAAAGTAGCCTACGCTGCGCAATGGTCCCCTTTTTGTCCCGTTTCATGATCCGACGCACGTGACAAGACATTGAAGGACAGAATTCCAAGAGTAATTTCGCTTGTCAATCAATTTCTGTCTCTTCTTCCACCTGTCACCGTTTTTGATGTCCCACCTCATTAATCCCGATCGGCCTCTTATTGTGGGCCCAGAGGTTCCCGCACAACCGTATCCGTATCCTATTTCCGGTACCGTTGTCAAAGGCTATGGTCGAGGTTCCAAAGAATTGGGGATCCCTACAGGTAATTTCTTTTTTTTTGGGGGGGAAATCTCGATTTGATGATGACTCAGCATGGTTTAATATGTTGCTGTAGCCAATTTGAGCGAGGATGCACTTCAGATGATGTGCAGTGAATTCACAACGGGTGTCTATTACGGTTGGGCCCAAATCGGGGAAGTGAACTCCAAAGTATATCCAATGGTGATGAGTTTGGGCTGGAATCCGTACTACAAGAATGAGAAACGCTCGGCTGTAAGTCTTTGTTCTCGAGAGGTTTATTGTTGCTAAGACCTAGGGCTTACATGGAAACTATAGGAGGTCCATATTATCCACGAATTCCCCGAAGACTTTTACGGCACTTCTATCCGAGTGATTGTTCTCGGTTATATTCGCCCTGAGCAAAACTACCCGTCATTAGGTAAATTTGGAATAGGGCATGGGTATCAGCAAAGACGTATACTGAAAGCAGTGGGTGCAACGTTAGATGCGTTAATTCGCGATATTAGAACCGATGTTGAAGTTGCCAAGCACTCTTTAAAACGATCTCATTACGACGAAATTCGACACCACGATCTTTTTACCAAGCAATAAAAGGTTGTCAGCTACGGGGTTTTTTGTGTGCAGACCTTTTTTTTTCTGTATAAACAATCCACTTATACTAATATTATCTATGGTACGTGGTAAACATAAGCTTGTTTACACAACGTTGCCTTTCATTTTTGCTGGGTTCTGTGTTGGAATGCATTATCAATGGATGACTAAACCTGTCTGGGTTATAAAAGCTGCCACCGATTGGGGCAGCGCAATGCCATCGCGCAAAGATCATCCCGTCAAAACCAAAATAGCTGTGTTCAACATACGGCAATGCTCACAGTCATTAGAACAATCATTAGAAATTCTCCGGATTGCCTATTGGAAAATAAGAAAATAAGTGATAAAAGAATAAAAAAGAAAGTCATGACATGCATCAATTTATCAAAAAACAAAACCGGAAAAAAACCATGAATAAAACAGGGCAACAGTATTATCTGTTTGTCACACAAAACGCATATTGAAAAAGAGGCTTTTCCTTGATCTTAACCGAACTGTTTCGAAGTATGGGTCCGGGTCATCCATTTTAAGAATCTGTTACACCGATTAGCGCCCGAATAAACCTTTTATCACAGCTAAACATATTGCGCATCAACTTATTTCGCAATATGAGAGTTTAATTGTGGAAAAAGAAAAAAAAGGAAAGGGTGCATCATGTACATTTTTTTCGGTCAAACTTTAAGCGCAAATATTGCCCAGTGCACGAAGCCTCATAGAGGATGCTCATTGAAAGAGAAATCGTTTATCAAACAAAAGTCTAAGTACATAGTCTACAGTATATTACAAGCGAGGGAATAAGACGCCGGAATCGATGCCTAAAGGTCTACGATCGCCGGACAATTGAGCATCGGCTAATGTACGCTTGTCCTGAGCAACACCGAGACGCGTCAACAAATGATTCATCTTAGTTGGCATGACAGGTTGCAGAAGAATGCCAGCGATACGGCAAGATTCCATGGCATAATGAAGCACGGTGTCTAATCTGGCTTTCTGTGAAGGGTCCTTCACAAGGTTCCATGGTTCATTATCGGTGAAGTGTCTGTTCGCTTCGGCTAGCATATCAAAGACAGCGGAAAAGCCTTTGTTAAACTCACGATTCTCAAAAGCTTCATCAAACGTCGGCAGTAATTGAGACAACGCCTGGTGCAGCGTGACATCGCGTTCGTCTAGTTCACCAGCAAGACCAGGAACAACACCCTCAGGATTCAACGATGAAGATGAACTTCGATTCAATAAATTACCCAATTGTCCAGCCAAATCCTTTTTGTATCGCTTTTTGATCATGTCTTCGGAATAATCTGCAAGAAAATCAGCCGTGTTAAAGGATATAGAGCCACTTTCTTTTCATATCCACGGACAAAAATATTACCTCCGTCATCGGCCAACCCTCCATCACGTACAAGGTAATAACGAACAGGATCCACCCCGTATTTATCCAGAATTTCAAATGGATCTGCTACGTTGCCCCGGCTCTTTGACATTTTCTGTTTACCCATGGTCCAATGGGCGTGCGCTAAAATTTGTGTTGGCAAAGGTAGGCCGGCCGCCATAAGAAAAGCAGGCCAGTAAATAGCATGGAATCTGTCCCATAGGATCTGTGAGTAAACGCGGGCCGACATATCTTGGAAAAAGCACATACCTTACGATGTCTTTGCCCACAACATGCACTTTGGCCGGCCATGCTTCCTTTTCTGCTGAATCCTCGATCCAGGGATACCCAGTGGCTGTGAGGTAATTGGTGAGCGCATCAAGCCAAACGTAAATCGTGTGTTCCGAATCATTGGGTACTTGGATTCCCCAATCAAGTCGTGATCGTAGACGAGATATCGAAAGATCGGCAAGTCCAGCTTGAATCCATGACACTACCTCGTTGCGACGGTTACTGGGAACAATAGCTACAGCAAACACATGTCTATTGATCAATATTATCATCCTTTGGATCGCCACGATAGTATTGACACTACCTTTTGGATTATTCTCAATCCATTGCAAAAGTTTGTTTTGGAAAGCAGAGAGTTTGAACTTGTAATTTTCCTCTGTTGTCCATTCAACGCGTTGCCCGGATTCGATAGCAACCTACGGTATGGCTCATCGTTCGCTTAACTTTTCCCTCGCATCCCTTGTTATCATCACTTACCATCACTTTTTCGCCAGTTACTTCATCGAACCGTTCTTCCACTTGATTACTTGCGTAAAACGCTTCGTCTGATACTGCATACCAACCCTCGTGTTTCCCTTTGTATATGTATCCGTTTTTCAACAATTCGTTCTAACGGCAACGTTGCACAAGGTTAAACGATCTCTTCTAAACCAGACTTTGGTCATGAAATATTTACCCATAGAGCAGCCACTGCTTCCTTATGTCGAGGTTCCGTGGTTCGCATAAACGTTGTGTAGCCGATATCAGCTCTGTCACAGAGGCTCTATTGGCGTGGTGACATGAGTAACACAAAGCATCAAGCGATGGATCCCGGTGCACATGAACTTTACCTTGAAACTCTGCGATACTTTATCGCAAAAGTCAAGGGGTGCCATTTTATTTTTCGCCGCTGCTTGTTGGATCTGAGCAAACCGTTAATGTCAATGTGGGTCAAAGAGGTTTCCTTCCGTACCTTGAGGCCGTGCTCATCAGTTCCCGTGCATAATAGCGATCGGTAACCCTTCAGCGCATAATAGCGCTTTAACGTATCGGCCAATACAGTAGAGTATAAATGGCCAATGTGAGGCACTTTTTTCGGAATGTCAGTTTCGGTCGTACACATCCGGAGTAGCGGCTGGCTTACCCGCATTCACGTAATAGATTGGTGTTGTAATGTAAGCTGCTGTATGCTTACGAGCCACAATTATCGGTCGAAAGACAAATGGAAGGGCTTTTGTCCTCCCGCAAAGTAGACGCATCAGTAAAGGATCAGGCGAAAGAAGTACGTGCCTGGAAGCGGTTGGGCAAGACGTTGTTTATTTTTGGCAGATACACACTGAACGGTATTTTGAATCTCCGCCAAAAAGAAGGGGGTGGGAAATCCATGCTGGGTGATGGACCCGATGGTTGACTGTGACCCCCTTCTTTCAGGTACTTTATATCTCTGTTTTCCTATGTTATATTTCATCCCTTGCCGTTTTTCGCTTTCTCACTTTTTTATTCATTCTTTTTTCTCAGCACTGCTCCACGTTTTCATACTTGTAAATCGATGGCAAAGGAAGACTTACCACTCATCCCTTTATCGCCCCTCATCCAGTCCTCCATGGTGTGTGCCGCTCACCTGGCACAAGCATCCAAAGCCATGCTGGAGTCGGAAACCTCACGCGATCTGTCCGTTCGCTTGTTGGAACAATGCCAGAAGAAGCGGCAAGAACTGGACCAGATGACACGGCAGATGCAATCAATTCAGACGGCTCTTGCTCTTCATTTCGATGCGCCGACACTGGCCAAACAAATTGCAATCATTGATAGCCAGTTATTTGCCTGCGTCAAGCCAGTACTTGGGACTACCATTATTACTACGCCGATTCAACGCATGATTGACTTTCACCAATATTTAATACACAGTTTCGCTCATCAACTCATTTACTTTCACACTCAGAAATGCGTTCTGGCCGCTCATTTTGTCCAAGTCGCTTACATTCTATTGCACTGTTATCGAGACTTCTCTGCTTCAGCCGCTATTATGCATGCATTTATGCTCGAGTCGGTGCAGCGACTGGACGTTTTTGAGCATTGCTCTGACCGTATTCGTCTTTTGTATGACGAATTGACAGCAGTTTTGATCAAGCAGGATGGACGGTACCTTCACACGCTGCGTAATATGTTACAGCACCTTTTATCGTACCACGAGCAAGAGCTGGATAAACCTCAAATAATTGCAATTCCCTATATCCAAGCGCACCTCCGTCTAGTCGATCTGGAGCAAGACACTACCGCGTTGAGTTTGATCGAAGCTTGTCGGCATTCCGTCACCAACGCAAAAGAGTTGGAGCCAATTACCGTTGAAGGCATAGAATATCCTATTGCGCCCGCTAGTCATCTGCAGGAACTACAGCCAGGTGATCTGTTGGCCCACCATTGGCTGATATCTCGAGTATATCTCACAGCGGAACAACTGATGATGGAAAGCCTCGAAATTTTGCCAGCTTCGTCGTCCAAAGCTCCAAGCGAGGTAGCCATTCCTGATGATAACAACCCAATCACCACCAGTCAAGCACTGGACCATGTTATTCCCCAAGATGTTCCAACTGGGAACACCACAGCAACAACGGGTATAGAGGAAAATGGGCAAGATCAAGCAGAGGTGCTTGAGCAGTTGGAGGTGTCACAACAGCCTAAACCATCGGAAGTCTCGGTAGAGCCTGTGATATCAGAAGAGCTGGTGGTATCGAAGCAGCCAGAAATACTAGAAGGATCAGAGGTGTCGGAACAACCGGAGACATTAGACCAGTCGGACATACCAGGACAGGATTCAGGGGCGAAGAAGGTTCCATCAAGCCTCGAAAACAATCCAGAATCCGTTTGTTCAAATATCGACAAAGCGGTTGTCGAGATATCCAGTATTGCCTCGATCGAAAACGTGGCTCAACAGGAAGAACACCCGACAGCTTCAGCACAATCAAATCATGACGAGGAACCAGAAGAGAAAATTATAGAGTCGCAAGAACGAGAGATGACGATGTCATTTGTGGCAGAGGACAATGAAAGTGCAGAAAAAGATAACGAGGAATCCGAAATATGGCATGGTTATCCGACGCCTCAATATACCCAGAATGAAGATGCCGACGACCGTTCAAATGACGAAGACGAAGTTTGGAAAGGTTACCCAACGCCTGTAGATGTCCCTTCGAGCCCTGTTGTCCAGCGATCACCATCGCACGCTTCGGAGGAGTGGAAGGGTTACCACGCAACATCGGAAGAGGCTCAATGGCAAGCTGAAATCAACCTCAAAGTACAGCAGCAAGAATGGCTCGGTTACGCATTAGGTGCTTTAGATGAAGATGAATCTCTCCAACAGCTATCTGTTACATAGTAGAAAATAGTGTAGGGTGCCTAAAATTCCGCCAAAGGGAATTCAAAAGTGGCTAAATTCTGTACAGTTTAATTGAAAAATCTGGGTAAAAATTTTACAAATCAAAATTTTTTTAGAGACAAGGTAATGTTGTTTTAACTAAATAAGAGAGCAAACCAAAGGACAAAGACATACAAAAAAGAAGATGGATGCATTAGACAAGCCACACTTACTCTTCTTTTGTTTTCACTTACAAAAAAAAACTGTTTTCACCGCATTGCGGAGCCGCCACCGCACAGCGCCAAGGCATGGGCTTTGTTCGAGTTTTTAAACTATAGAAGCACACACAACAAGTAAGTGATTCGGCATAACATTCAAAAAGTAAGTAAGGCACTTGAGCACAAATACATTACCTTTCAAAAAAGTTTCTTTGTTGACCACGAAAAAAAAAAAAAAAAAAAAAAAAAAAAAGATAAGGTTTTCGGTGCGCAAGCTATTTGTGGAGGTTCAGTCGTTGATATCACAGCGGTGGTCATCCTGACTATACGTACAGTGCAGTTGGGTTTGAGCAAATGTTGATGAAAATGAGCAATAAAAAAATGTATGGCGCGATGATGTGCGATAAAGAGAAAAAAGTAATGGGTGGAAGATGCGTCGTCTTTTATAGACATGGAAAAAGAGGCGATCCCTCGTACTGTAGCTAAAACATTTATTGTCCAATAATGAAGCAGGAAAAAAGACGCCATGTGTCTTTTCTCATCGCTTCACGTCATATTATCCTTTGATAAGAGAGTGGGGCCTCATCGCATGAAATAGCTGCATGAAGTAGGTCTCAGATAATGTTAGAGCGAGATCTTTATTCTCAAGTGTTCTTATGTTGGCTGTTTCGGATACACAGGTCAAAAAAATTATGATAAGATGCCCCACACTCCCCGCCAATAAAGGACCAAGTCATGATTTTTGCTTCCTTTCAATTTATTTTATTATTGTTTCTTCATTTCCCGAGAGAAAAATGAACTGAAAGATGAAAAAGACATTAGGGAAGTCAACAAATTTGTCGGGATTACAAAAATCTTTGCCAGGGCACTGTATGGAGAATCTGGGCTGATGTGATTCTCCTTCTGTGGAAATTGTGGCGAGAAATAGAGAATTCACACTGTGTGTGCTGTGTTTGCACCCTCTTCTTCCTCTTCTGTTTCTTTTCATGATGATAACATTATCATGAGTAATCTTTCTATTTTTTTTTTTTTTTTGGGGGGGGGGCTATCATGTTTCAGTGAAGTTTGGAACAGTTCAAGGCAAACAAATAGTGGTTCAACAAGTTATTCACGACAAATCACAAGTCAACTTTTGCGTGATACTTTCTGATGGTCGCTCCATTTTTGTTTAGTGCATTACGTATGGTAAGTTCTTTGCTCGACATGTTCTTGAGAATCGGCGACATAATGAAAAAGGGCGCAATTTCTGAAAGTCTGGCATGGCAGCTTTTTGAGACGACGCGTGACTGAATATGGAAACTGTCACTGCACTAATTCAACGCTCGGCAGTTCCGAGGTTCTGCCCAAATCTACGTTTCATGGTGATTAGAGCAATAGATTGGTAAGAGACAAGATCGGAATTATCCTTTTTTGCGAATGTCAATGGCCCGTGCATGGATGGCGGTGAACATAAACATGTCACTTCACGGTGGTACAGTTGCGGCACTCGAAGCAAAAAAGATCGGATGAATCAAGCACGAATATTTACCACTATAGACGCTCAATTTGATATGATTATCAAAGTGGATTTACTATTTACCGTGAAAATTACGTTGACACAGATCGAATATTACCGATTCCTCCAAACCTGGTTTTTCTGGTGTTTTGGGGATTAGGTACTGCATAGCAGAATTGTAACTCCGCAGATCGACCACTGCGTGCAGTAGCCTGCTTATTGTTTAATCGAAGCTATGCCCATAATCTATTTATTTACTGTATATTAAAATGTTTGGGAGTTATGCACGTTAAATCATGTGCACTGTCTCTGATTAGTTAAAAAGCAAAAACAATACATTTGATTGGGCACAGTCTAACCAAATGTTTGATTTGATGATGTACATGTTCAATCACATGGATTACTGCCAATTGGTTGAAATCGAGTGTGTATGTGTGTCCCCTTCGTTTTTGAACAAAAGAGAAAGGAAGATTGTCTTTGGCTTTCTTCTACTTTTCATATATCCGATAAAGTTGGTTTTTTTTTTTTTTATAGTTCAACTGCCATTTATGATGAATATAATTTGTGCAAGTTGCCATCAAGCAGGTCATGCTCGCTCTACTGATTTCCGTCAAGTTCTTCCAGTGATCCCCAAAGCAACCAGGCCCCAAATTGTTGAACAGTATCTAAACAGAGCCTCTTTCTGGCCATCTGTAAGGGTTCTTCGATTAGCGACAAACATGCGTGTAGTACGAACTCGCTTAATCAGTGGTGCGGATGCTAACATATTGGATCAATTCGCCTCTTATCTTTTGCGCATTGGTAGTGGAACGGAACCGTACACAAATGGGAACTTGGTGTTACTTCCACCCGTGATCCTGGTGCCCTCTAATGTCGAAGATCTGATATATGCAGTATATGGCCATTCTTTATCAGAAATGCCTCGAGAGAATTCTTACTAAGCCGTGCCATCTTGGCTCCAAAAACGGCATGTGGCCTTTCTCAATGAGAAGCTGTTGAACAGTTTCCCTGGAGATGTCTGCGAATACAAAAGTGCTGACAGCATGGACACAGAGGAAATTCAACTGGAGCACACTAATTGAAATTTTGAACTCTATAAATTCAGCCAACCTGCCACCGCATTCCCTTAAACTTAAAATTGGCTGCCCAATCATGCTTACTTAGAAACATAGATCAAGCAAATGGTTTATGCAATGGCACACGTTTAATATGCCGATCTTTCCATCTGCATGTTATCGAAACAGAAATTGCCAATGGAATCAACATTGGAAAACATGTACTGCTATCGCGCATAGCAATTATCAATGATTCTGATGAAAAAGCAATTCCATTTAAACGAGTGCATTTTCCTGTACGTCTTGCCTTAGCAATGAATATAAACAAAGCCCCAAGGCCAGACCTTTGACTCCACTGGCTTATTTTTACCGGAACCGGTATTTTCCCATGGCCAACTCTATGTTGCCATGTCCAGAGTTGGAACCCCGAGCTCCATCAAAGCCATGGTCTCTCATGCGTCCCAAGATATTGACAACGACATTTATACAAGTAATATTGTGTATACTGAAGTTTTGTGATCTTCAAGATCACACGCGCAACTAGTCAGAATCTCAATTCTTTTGGTTGGTACCTTTTTTTTTGTTCATCTTTGTTGATGCAGTATAGCGTCGTAGATATGGGACATCGTCAGCTCGAATAATTATTTTGATGTTAGAAGCACCACCATTATTCTCTATGTATTGGGCCATTGTCTTGAAAAAATGGACGAAAGGATTGGTTTCATGCAGTAGTTGTTGAAGTACTTCCAAGGTGTCTCGCGCGAGATGGCTTGCAATTGCATGTCGATTTGATATTTCGTTGTCAGTATCATGGACGTATATTTGTGCAAATGCAGGTCGTTGGCCATTAGCAGGAAGTAGCGATCCCATCAAGTGGTAAACACTCCCATAAATACGGAAGCAGTAAGCGCCCCGTCTGCCATTCATTACACTTTCGTCTAAATTTACACCAAGAGAAGTAAAACTGAGAGCACTACAATAATCACATGATCTACACCAAGTTATCAGGGCCTGTTAAACCTTTTTTTTTTTTATCTTTCAACCATGCCTCGCTGCCCACTTTCACAATAATAGGCGAAACAATCAGCAGCAGGATGCCGTTTGCGCCATTTATGGTCAAACAGAGCATCGTCGTCTTTCGAATAAAAATGTGAGTAGAGCTCTTTTTGAAGAAAAGTGGTTGATGATACGACCGGCGTTCTTCTGTAGCATCATTCAACTTGTTTTCTTTTGTCAGTTATACGTATATGTCCTTTCATTCTCTTTCAATTTTCAATGAATCGAATAATACATAAGCAGACGTGCTTCGATCTATGAATTCATTCATGGAAAATCATATATTTTGGTCTTCAATTTTATCTTTTTCTTTTCTCTCTCTTGATAAACCCTCACTATCATTGTATCAAGATCCCATCCGTATCCATCATCCAGACCATTCTTATCCCGTGTATCTAACTTGGTTAAATCGACCACCATCCTCAAAAAGGTAAGCATCGAGTTGTCCACCATCAATTTTGCTGCGGCAAAACAGACTTACCTCTCTTTTTCTTCCATCCTTCTTTTAGCTTCCGGTTATCTCCGTTTTCTTTTCGCCTGACAAGTTCTGGATACTACAAGTTTATTTCTCGCCATCCATCCATCCATCTGGCGAAACCGGATGACGTCAAAGGCCATCGTTGGTGGTGTGGCTCTCTTTTTAATCAGAAAAACGCTTACGTGTCCTCTTCATGTTCCTCTCCTTTGGATTGCTTCTCATCATATGGTATTCGAGATGTCTTCCCGATTATTGTATTTTTAGTTTATAGTTTGTATTTTGTTATTTTATATTTCATGTACATATCTTTTTTTCCCACAGGGTTTTTTATGAGGTTTTTACTGACGCAACCATTGTTTTTTTTATCATCATGTACTTTATTTGTTTTTCTTTCTTTTCATTCGGGGGACTCTCGATATCTGGAATCCAACTCGAAATTACCGTCACTTCTGGCCACGTCAATATTTTTTGCCTGCTCAAGCTGACACCACCAATCCATCGCTTAAGTGTCCCTGGAAGCAATTTTATTTTCCGCATCGAAGAAGAAGCTTACCTGGCGGCCCGTATTCATCGTTTTTTTTTCCGGTACACCATTTGGTTCAAAGGCAAGTCCAATTTCTTTTCCTTTGCTATGATGTAATGAACGTATACTAATTCAAATTCTTTCAATGTCATATAATCCAAGTCATGTCAAGCGATCAATGGCTATCGAAAACTCAAATAACAAAGGTAAAATATCTTGACGAAAATGTGAATCAATCAGAGCTTACTAACTCATTTTTTTAAATACCCAACATACCCACACATCTTTCTAGATCTATCATAGCCTGGGCGGGATGGAACTGAGGGGGGGAACCAGTGCTGCCCTGCGCGTGTTCAGAAACAAATCACGTTGCAACGTGTGCCATAAGGTTGTCATTAATATACGGAAGTTCCGTCAAGAGTTCTCGCCCAGGTTATGCCGTGTATGCGTTAGGCTTTTTGTCTGACGAAAGTCGCTCAATGTAAGAGGGCGGCCTCCGGTGGCAGGCGGCATCCATTGCACAGCGGGTGTACGGCTTGTTAGTCGTCTAAAAAGATAAACACACCTATTCCCATAGCAATATACATCTATTACCACTGATCCCTTCAACGTACGCTGATGGATGGGTGCCAAGGCATAGGAAAAACCGCAACTCGGCCCGATGCGCCTCTACAAAGCTGCTTCGAATTTTTGCGGATTCGTCTTGGAAAAGCGGTTTCGGATGGATCAAAATCTGGGAAAAAGTAATGGATGTCGTGTCTTGAGACAGGATCAAGTGGATCGGGCACATGGACCGCTTCCATCTTGTTCGATGCCTTTTGAACTTGAAATCATGAAAATGTCCGCTTGGACTTCTTTATGCATTATCCTTCATCTCATTTTTTGGAAGACGTGTGAAACTTGTCATAAGGAGAAACATTCTTGTATCTTCCCAATTGTTGCCGGGATACTCATAAATTGATTTTACGCGTCTATACAAATGCGGCACGTCTCTCTACACCCAAATCTCGCAAAGCTCGTATTTTTGATTTTTCATTCGATGGCTGCCTTTCAACCTTGTCATGACTTGCGAAAAAGAAAAATCATATAAAACGAGGTCAAAATCCGTTTTTTTTTTCCCTTTTCCTCATCTTTACAGATTTTAAAATGCCGAACCGCAAGTTCCTGCAGAACACCTCTTTCGCTGCTCGCCGCGCTTTGAACGCCAAAGTTTCTTCCCGTGCTCCTGTGGCCTCTGTGCCTTCTTTGCCCGCTGCCGTTGCGCGATCTGCCAACGTGCCCTCTTCTTCTTCTGCTGCGGCCTCAGTGTCTGTCTTTTCTTCGGCCCCAGTGCCTGGTTCTGCTTCGGCCCCAGTGCCTTTGTCCCCTTTGTCCTCTGTGCCTTTTCGTTCGTACCTGCTCCTTCTGTTCCTTCGCGGTCATTCACCTTTTCGTTCTGTCGTGCCTCTTCTTCGGCCTCAGTGCCTTGCTCTTCTCCGGCCATAATGTCTTGCTTTTCTTCGGCCTTTGTGCCTCGTTCTTCTTTGGCTGCTGCGCCTTCTTCCCCTTTGACCGCTGTGACTCCTTCCCCTTTGGCCTCCGTGCCTGTTTCTTCTTCTTCTTCTGTTTGCGCCTGCCTGTGGCTCCCGTCCAGGTTGTCTATGACGATCCCATGGACTGAGGTACCCGCCCAGGTAGAGAGCGCAATCCATGTGGCTCCCGAACCCATGGATTGGGAGTACACCCATCTCCTGGAGCCCATGGACTGGGAATGGTGCCGTTAGTTGGCTCACTGCGCTAGCGGTTAACTGGGAACCTAGTCACTTTCACGTATCCCAGCACTTAAATGATGCGCCGCGCTTTTCCTCTTTTTATATTTATATATTCATGTATTTTTTTTTATATTTGTAATTTTTCTCTAGGCTTTTTTTTTCTCTGTTGTCTCTTGCTGTTTTTCTCCCCCTTTTTTTTCCTTTGCTTGTTTGTCTTTTTTTCCCCTGTTTCTGTTGTCTCTCTCTCTTGCTCCTTTCTGGCTGAGGTTGTCTTTTCAGTGGTGTACTTTCTTTGCCTCGTGTGGTCGTGTCTGGTGGTTGCCTTTGCGTTTCCTTCTGGTGCTTTTCTGTCTGCGCTGTTGTTCACAGCTTGCCTTGTGATCTTTGCTTTGTGGCCTCGTTCGCGGTCCTTTGGTGGTACGTTTCGTTTGCTGGTCGCCGGTTCTTCTTTGGTTCTTGGTCTTGGTTCGCGGCCTTGCTTTTGGTCTTCCTTTCTGGCCCTCGTTTTTTGGTCCGCTTGTCTGACCAGCTTGGTCATCCTTCCGGTTTCGGTGTTCCTTTCCGGCCCGCGTCCTTCGGACTTTTTTGCTGGTGTTTCTGGCCTTTCCTCTGGCCAGTTTGGTCATCCTTCCGCTTTCGGCGGCTTGCGGTTTTGGTGTTTGTTCCTGGCCCGCGTCCTTTGAGCTCTTTCGCTGGTGCTTTTGGCCATCCCTGGCCTATCGTTTGGCCACCTCGCCGGAGCTCGTTCTGGTCTTTCGCCTGGCCAGTTTTGGTCACCTGCCCGCTTTTGGCGTTCGTTTCTGGACCTCGTCCTGGGATGTCTTGTCAATGATTCTGGCCCTTCTCCGGTCAAACTTCTTTTTGGTCTCTCGCCTGGCACTTTTGGCCATCCATTCGGCTTCCCGTGGCCTTCGCTGTGGCCTTTTCTGGTGCTCTTAGTCACTGCCTTTGCGACCGATTTTGTGACCATGGATTCGCCAACAAAAAAAAAAAAGAAAAATAAAGGCGAGCTATGGCCACCTCATGAAAAAAAAATCTTCGCACCGGCCACCTTTCCAGCGACCTTTCCTTGTGGCCTTTCCTGGCGGCCACCTTTCCTTTGTGGCTTTTTCGCCCATCCACCTTGGGCCACTTTTCGTTTGTGGCCACCTCTTACGTGGCCATTTCTACCGGCGACCTTTCCTGCGCCCTTCCAGTGGGCCGCTTTTCCGAGCCAAAGAGATTGGTCAGGAAAACGGTGCCAATTTCTTTTGCAACCGATCGTTTGGCCTCCTTTTCCTGAGGCCACTTTTCCTGTGGCCACCGTCCACCGCGACCACTTTTTCTTGAGGCTTCCCTTCGAGACCTGAAGGAAGCCTAAAACCACAAATAAAAAAAAAATCCACGCAATACACATAATAAACAGCTTTCTTATGAAAATTGCCTTCACAGTTCCGTTACAATGTTTTGGGAACATTCTGCTTTTTCGTTTTATTCACTAGTTCATAGATCAATGTTCAGCCGAATCGCCACACGCTATAGTTGCCAATTCTACATACTATCATTTTTGTTAAAAGACCCGACTGATGCTCATAATTATTTCGCTCATCAGCACCGGATAAAACCTCGGGTGTCAATATAACCGATAAGTCATGCCCCAGATTAGTGGGAGTCGCGTGCGTCAATCCGATCAATCCGTCGAAAGAAGATGGATTCACCGTTGACTATTCTTATGAAATGCTGAACGTTCATCGCGATTAATTAGTTGTTGATATTTTTTTTTTTTTTTACCATGGGCGCTGCTTTGGAATTGCCATTAATCTTCAACTTCCCTCATGGCGGAATTGACAGACCGCGCGATTGGAGGCACGAGGTTGTGGCCATTACCGCCGAAATGAGCTGAATTAGTCATTCGCCTTGCCCTTGGAGAACATTGTAAGTGTGAGGTCTACCAGCTCCATTTTACAGACCAAAAATTTTCCTCTATTTTTAATTGCTGCGATCATCCGAAACTGCAATAGGCGAAGCCACTGTCAACCCACAGCAGATCTATTTAGCCAATCGTTTTTTGATATACAAAATTATTTCAATTTCTGCCATACTGACATGTTCCATCATTGAATAGAAAAAAAGTTCAGTGTAACCATTATTGGTACTCTTCTTTCAAGCTTTTGATCGCTTGACGGTTTTTGACACAAGCGACAACTAAACTGTTGGAGATCTTTTTGGATGTTTACTACGCCGATGAACCGCGATAGCTGTCTTATGACTTAATCGAGCACGGGTATTGTACATTGGTCTTTTGAAGCTTGCTATCATCTCATTTCCCCGCAAGTGAGGACTTCCCATCAATCGAATCAACGAGGTCTCAGTGTGCATGAATGGTAGTTTTCCGCCGCCAGCTCCGTTTCAATCCAGTAAATCACAGACGCTTCTCTACGAAAAAAATATATATTCTGAAATTGAATGACTCTAAGTAAAAGCGTGACCTACCATACTGTAACTGTGGTACTATGCTATTTGTAACTTACTGTACCTAGGCGTGAGCATTCGACAAAATTGGTCCTAACTTTGAGTAACCCGCCCATTAGTAATGGCAGCATCCCGCGTTATTCGTCAGAGCCCTATGATAACATGAATACTATTTAGATCATCAAAAATTCCCTCAGCGCGATGAAGATTCTATCGATCAACGGAGAAGGTTGTCGGTTAGATCCATATGGAACGAACTATTCATAATATCAGAGTAATTATGTGTAGATCTCCTTCATTAATGTATCAAATATGGCAGGGAGAATTCCAAATGCCAATATAAACTATGGCAATAGTCTCATCCAGCAGATTTGTAGGAACACACAGATCCACGGAAAACCCTTCTACCTAATCGACAGAGAACCTGAATGGCCCGATAACACTATTTCGACTCGAACTCATTCCTTCTGTAAATACCTTTCAGCATACAGGTGTCAACATCCTGGAATATATATGAGGCAGCATATTATCGATGGTGTGTGATGTATCAGCGATAGAAATGGATTGCGTGACGATGGGGATCATGGCAAGAGCCCCTGTGCAGAATGTTCCTGTGTCACCTATGGTGCGTCATCGGGCATTGAAGATTTTTAAAGTTCAATGCATGATGAAACACACATCAAAGTCATCATTTTTTTTTAACCTCGATGGTTTTCCCACGATTCCATGAACAGGCAATGTCATCAACAAAGAAGCGATATTTTATTGCATCTGATGACCCACTTTATATCCTTTTTATATGGTCGCCAATATTTTATAATCTACAAAAGTGACTCGCCAAGGCAACAGCGTGCCAAGGAACATCCGACTTGGATGGTTTGAAATACAGCGTTATCGTTCTCCAATGCAGGGTTCACTTCCATGATATCGGCCGCCACAAGCAGTCCCGTTTCGGCTAAAGCTTCACAAATATAGTGCCCTTCACGGAATGTCAGGCCTCCGCGGACAGGCGTACCCTATCGAGATAAGAATCAAAAAAAGTTTTTAGTGGGATTGGGTTTGTCATCGGCTATCTCGAATGTGTGGTTCCTGACACTTACGGTACTGGGGGCTACGGAGGGATCCAAAGCATCGACGTCAAATGACAGGTGAATAGGTAGATCGCGATTAGGATTCACACGATCCAAAGCCATATCAACGACTTGGCCAATACCCCATTTATCCACATGATGCATGGTGTAAGCGGTGATGCCCAACTCATGAATGATCTTTTTCTCCGCGTCATCGATATCTCGCAGACCAATGTATACCAGGCGATTGGCCTTCAGTACGGGTTTGACCCAGTTAAAGTTTGGGTGATCTCCTGCGATTCCCAGCAGGAAGCTTAAGGGACAACCGTGGATGTTACCTGAATCTGTAGTGCCAGGGGTATTGACATCCTACATACCACATAAAAAAGAGCCTCGTCCTGATAAGATAATCATATCCTACTTCCCAAAGTATCAGATTTTTCTTACCGCATGAGCATCGACCCAAATCAAACAAGCGTCAGGGTATTGAGAGAATACACCCGATACGGTTGCTAATGCGACCGAGTGATCGCCGCCCAGAGTCAAGACAAACTTCTTCTCTTTCGCTCGATCATGGATTTGCTTGGCGACCGTTTGAGTGACCGAAGAGACATACTTTGGCTGCTTGAGTTTCATGACGACAGGGTCATCCTCGGGACGCATATCGCTGATATGTTCATTGGCTTCATAGTCGACTTGCCAACCCATTTCTTCCAACTGATTGGCCAGACCAAATTCAACCAGACGTAGCGGACCTTCTTCTACACCGGTATGGGGTTGACCCCCGTTGAAAGGCACACCAATGATGGAGACCTTTTTGTCAGGTAAAAACTTGTTATCTTGTGTCATTTTGGGTAAAACGTGGTAGAAAAATGAAAATGAAATAAAAAAAAAGGTTGGAAAAGAAAGAGCTAATCAGATTAATCCTTTTTTTTTTTACGGGGTAAAAAAAAAATTGCGTGAGAAATTAACGAGAAAAGTCACACCCTTACTCGTCGGCTTCTGACACCTTTCATGCACCGTGCAATTGACGGCCAGTGAAACATTCACTTGCCAACTTCCATCCACGGAAAAAAAAGTTACCGCCCAATAACTGTATATTAGTCATTCCCTTTTTTTTGTCCATGGTGTGCCATTAGAGTAGCACTAAAATCCATCCCGCGAAATGGCATAATGGCCTAAAAAAAGTCGCAAACATTGAGCAATAATGCCCAATTCCTTGTTCTTGCCTGATGTCAAACCTTGCTGCGGGTAATATTGCATTCTAATGTTGATGTATGCAATACAGTCATTGTGCATTGCTCTTTATAGATATGGCCCACAGTTAGCTACAATCAAAAGAAAAGAAACAAACATCAAGCATACTACTTTAATAGCCCAATCAAGGATCTCACGGATCATGAAATACACCTGGCTGTCGTAACAACACCGGATCAGATAAGAGTGAACTATGCGCAGCTGCAGCAGAAATACCGTACCTTAATGGCCCAAAAGGGATGAATTTGCGAATTTCAAATTTTTCTGTCAGTGGCTTCTTCCTTGAAACCGATTACTTTACTCAAAAACGAGCCAACGATCCCATCGCATGGCTTCCTAATGACTTTTGGATTTTCTGTAATTATCACATGTAGGTTTCCTTGCCGTTTGGTTTATGCAGTTGTGACTGAGTAAATGCCTTGCAATTACATTCGTACAACAGTGATGTCACTGAAAAGCATGCTATGGTCACCGGAGCTTGACCGAATGAACTTTACGGTAACTTGAAATCAACGTTTGCCAGCATATGTGTAACATCTCACCTTTTTTTTTTTCATCATAGGGTTCTGAAGCTTTTTTAAAGCCGTTATTTTCCTTGTATCATTTGAGCTGGTTTAAAGAAAAAAAGCCAAATTGGATCTCCATTGAGTTCTAACGGTGGAGATGCACACAATAGTCATAGTGCAACGTTACCCAAACAGGTCATCATGCAATGGGTTTTTAGAAGCCAAAGGTTAGAGTAAAAACGTTCATGTTCATGTCAATGAAGTTTGCCGAGGTAACGACGGTCAGATATTTTACAAGCATCCGTTTCGTTTGCGGTAATTATTCTCGTCATTTTCCTTTTTATTTTATTTTTCTCCCATGCGCCGTTTAATAGCAGCATAATTTTTTTCTTGGTGCGATCAACATGAGAACCTGGCTTATTTACAAAAATTCTTGAACAGCGTTGCGACTGATCTCGTAAAGTTGATCTTGCATTTCGGTGTTGTATTCCTCCTTGTGGGCATTCTTGATCATCTTGCAGTCGGCCCAGTACTCTCCGCCCGTGGTCACACTGCGATTAGCAGCGAGATACAGAGTGGTTTGAGCGCCTTGTTCGGCATTCTTGAACGTGAGGTAGTATAAAGGATACAATAAGGCCAAAATGGGAAGACACCACCATGCCTTTTCAGCTAAATAACGACCTAGCGTAGTACGTACAGCCCCTGGAGTATGATAGTGAGTCCCCATTGTAATCCGTATTGCCTATTTTTATTGGCTGTACTTTACCTGGATGACACGAATTGGCAATAATACCTTTGGAGCGGTGCTTTCGGTCAAGATAATTGGCATACAAGACGTTGGCAAACTTGGACTGCGAATAGGCTGTCCAGGCACCATACTTGGTTTCGGCATGAAGATCGTCGAAATTCATGGTTCCGTGGAGAAAAGCGCCGCTGCTGACATTGACCACTCTTGAAGGCGCCGACTTTTCAAGTGTGGGTAGTAACAGTTCAGTCAACAGAAAATGACCAAGATGATTGGTACCAAACTAATTACGGAGAAAATTGACCTGAATATTGCCTATCATACAAGGAGAATGTGATTGATTTTACCTGCATCTCAAATCCATCCTTTGTTGATTTTCGCTCGGGTACAAGAACGGCGGCGTTATTAATGAGGATGTGCAAAGGAAGTCCTCTGGCTAAGAAACGATCGACAAACGCGCGTACGGATGCCAAATCGCTCAAATCGAGTGGTTCAAGGAACACTTGGGTATTCTTGGATACTTTCTGAATCTCGGCCAACGCTTGATGCGATTTCTTCGAGTCGCGACAGGCAATGATGACCGTGGCATGACGTTTGGCCAAGTCCATGGCCGTGGCTTTTCCAATACCAGCATTCGCTCCTAGATGGGCACCCATCATTGAGACTCACAGCATTCCCTTGCATAACGGATAAAAACTTACCAGTGACAATGGCGACCTTTCCTTCCAGGTCACACTTGTCGTAATCCCATCCGCCATTGAAGTAGCGCTTCACTCCGTAAAGACCCAGCAAACCTCCCAAGGCACCAGTTACGTAGCGCATAGGAATAACATGATTTTGTACTGTGAGTGTGCCATTCAACAAGTAATCTTGAGCCTTTTCGGCGTAAGCAGTAATATCGTTCATATTGGGAGTACGGAAAAGCAATGCAAGAGAACAAAAGCGGTAATAATTTTTATCCGCTCCTTTGCGGGTAGACATTGAACCAAACACATAAAGGGATAAGCGTCACATCCAAGCGCCATTTTCATTGTCCTCCAATGCGCTCCTGGGGCCCAGATCATTTGCCGAATTCAGCTTGAACCGCTTTCTTTTTTCTAACAGCAGGAGTCGGTCATGCAGACCGGTCAGAAAGTACACAACAACAAAGGGAACACATTGTACAACTTTTTTTTTTGTGAGACACTGTAGATTTATTCAATCATTACGATTCAGCAGTAAAGTCTAGGAAATTACACAATAAATTAGACAACTTTAATAGGTCCGGATTCCCAGACTTCGTAATCACGGTGTTTGTGGGGGTTGCCGAGCAACTTGAGGGCTCTCCAGCGGAAGCGGTAGGTACCAGGTGGAACGGGCACAGCAAAGGGAGCGTTCGAAGGATGCTTGGGCACGTAGGTACCGGACCAGCCGATAACGTTCATATAGTTTTCAGGGTTCATCGTGTTGCGAGGGAGGTATTCGAGACCATTGAAAGCGTAACCGATGACCTTGTTCTTATGATCCAACAGTTCGGCATCGATACGAGCGGTAGGGGTCAACAGACGGAACAAAATGTAAGGAGTGGTGTTTTCGTCCTTGGGATCAAAGACGAACGTTTCATTCTTGCCATAGATATTGGAGCCGGTGATATCAGAAAGGTAGGGCGAGTCATCAAAGATGGGAAGTTCGCGTTGGTCACCGACCACACCAAAGTAAGGCACGGTGATATCCTTGTTGTTGTGGCGGTTGTGAAGGGCCTTGAACTGAACGAAACCACCATACATGATGTGTTCCTTGGGATCGGTGCGAGGAGGGATCACGGTCACGCGCACCTTCTTGGATGAACGAGGAGGAACACGAATGTGATTGCTGGACACGCGAAGCTTAGCAGCAGCCTTGACGTTGACGGTGGGTTCGACAGGAGCATAGCCCGATTTCTTCAAATCGTAGGGAGCAATAGCCGTGGAAACGTTATTGATGACCTGGTAAGTAATCGTGGAATGACCATGGTTAGTGATGGTCAACGTGTGAGTCTTGTAGCGGCTGGAAGAGGTATCGTTGAAGCTGATCTGAGCAGGCGAAATGTGGACGTCCTGCTTGATGGCATCATAGATCTGCACAAGACCGGCACCCTGACGAAGAGGCGAATCAAGTTCCTTGACATCGTTAGCGTAGGGAGCAATGTAAGCGTAGTTTTGCAACTGTTCAGTGATGTACTCGGGCTTCTGCTTCTTCTTGCCAAGAGCGTTAAGATAAAGGGCCAAAGTACCGGAAACGTAAGGAGTAGCCATAGAAGTACCGGACATGGAACCCCAGCTGCCAAGGTAACGAGGAAGCGTAGAGAAGACATTGCCACCGATACCAGCAAGGTTAGGTCGAAGATGCAATTCATACGAAGCGCCAACAGAAGAGAATGAAGACACAGTGTTGCCGGTGGAAGAAGGAAGAACAGTATCCTTCTTCTTGAAAGTCAAGACGGTTTTGCCCTTCTTGATCTCTCCAATAAGCTTGGCACCGGTACCGGAGGACACGCTGACAGCAGGGATAGGTGCCGTAGGCATGGACATACCGAAAGCATCACCATCGCTGTTGTAGATCACAGCACCAATAGCGCCAGCCTTGGCAACGTTGATAGCCTTTTCGTCAAAGGTACAAGTACCACGTTTAATCAAAGCAAGCTTGCCCTTTACATCAGCCGAAACCTTGCTTGCGTCGCAACCTTCACCGCTACCATTAGGGTCAGCAAGTACCAGTTCACCATCAGGCATGGTCTCCTTGCTGCCAGGAATATAGCCTATAGAATAATCACTATGTGTCAATATGGGATCTGAACTTAGATGCCGCAAGTAAGCAGGTAATTTACCATAACTAGCAGAGTCACCGCCCACAGTAAATTGTTTGACCAAAATGTAAGCATTATCGAAAGAAGCAACAGACATGACACCGGGAGCGGTACTGGGAGAGCCAACAGTGAAGACACCACTGGCACCATCGTTACCGGCAGCCACAATAACTAATATTGATAATGAGAGATCAGTTGACAAATTTTCATTCTTACATAGGCAGCTGTCACGCCTTTAAAGGGAGAAAGAAAGAAAAGGTAGTTGGACCCCGGTCAATTACCTGGAACACCCTTTTTCACGATACGTTCAGCGACGACGTTTTCAGCGCCTTCGGACCAGCCGCTGTTGTCGCCCAAACTCAAGGACAAGATATCGCAACCAGCATCATACGCCATCAAGAGAGCCTTGATAATAATGTCGTTTCCGGTACGGCCATTGCAACCAAACACACGCCACATACCCAGGGTAGCATCAGGAGCCACACCCGTAAAGTTCTAATTTTGGAAACAAAAAAAGAAAGAGGTGCCATTTTAGTAAGCAGAAAAAAAAGACAGAGCACATGTTCCCGGAAATAAAAGGCACAACTTACCGTACTGGGATCATAACCGCCAATAATACCGGCGACGTGAGTGCCGTGACCTAATTAAAGTTTGATAAGCACACCGATCCATTTCCAAATCCGTCCATGCAGAGGAAATTGCCGCCTTACCGGTGGCACCTGAAGATGCACCACATTCATCCAAAGGAGTCGGGTTAGGCTTGATCACCGGGTTTTCTGCAGTGTAGTCATCGCCTACAACATCAGCACCCACAGCCACCTTGTAACCGGGACCAAATCCGCCACCGAGAGCAGGATGCTTGTAATCAATACCTTTAAATAAAAAAGTACATTCATTAGTGCCGAGGCTTTTTTTTCTTTATATTTGTAGCCACTTACCGGTATCCAAGATACCAACGACGATGCCTTTGCCGGTATTCTTCAATTCCTTGTGGACGCGATCAACTTGAGTCATGGCATGAGGAAGAATGGAGGGTTCGCCTGCCTTGACCGAGAAGGGCTGGGTAGCGGGACGGTCAATGTAAGTGACAGGATACACGGAAGCGACGGAGGCCTGATCAAGGATGCTCTTCAATGCATTTTGATGATCGTCTTCATTCAAGCCCTTGATATCAAAGGACACACCATTGAACAAACTGTGGTGGTATTTTTCCTTGACCTTGACATCAGCATGCTTGAATTCCTTTCGGATGGAACGCACCAAAGTATCACCATGGTTGGTCTGGCCGTCACTGAATTCAATCACATATTGCCCAGGAATAATTTCGCGGCCAGCTTTCTTGTACTTTGGATGATGGATTCGAGCCGAGGCGGTGCCTGAAAAGACCAAGACCACGAAACACACACCAGCTGCAAACAGCGGCAGAATGGAAAGCGATCGTTTCTTCATTTACAAGAAACCGAAAAAGAAGGAAAGTGTGGGGGAGAAAGGATAAGTGGAAGGGGTTTGAAAAGAAAAAAAGAAGAAGAACGAGTTGGGTCTGAAGGAAGGAAAAATCATGGATGAATTGAAAGGTGTATTTATATTGAATCGTGGATGGATGGCTTCAAGGCATCGTGAAATTTCATGACCGGTAGCATGATATGAATAAACATTTGTGAACTATCACGTAACAGGATCCACACATGTTGAAAAGCTATTCCCGGTGTATGAAGAGTGTTGAATATGGCAAGAAGATCTCTCTTTGGAATTTTGAAATATTATGCGTGTCTCATTGCACAACCACCGTTCAACAACCAGACACTCCGACAGCATGCAATAAAGGGTGCCTGCCCATTGAAATAATCCCAGTCGCCACATTTTCATATGCTGCATATGTCATTTTTTTACTAATTTGGAAATTAACAAAAGTAGTACGGGCGATCCTTGGCCTTTCTGAATGCCGCCATTGATCATAAATTGATTGCAACGGATCCATAGTATAATATAAAAACAAAAATAGCCCAAAATAGGGTGTTTGTACAGATAAGTAGAGTGCATATTTATAACATTGGGCGGGAAAATTCTACAAAAGTTCGAAAACAAATATCCAACGCAGGGAAGGTCCAGGTGATACGAGATGAAGAATATCAGCCAATTGCACCTTCCGCTGCAGGTTATACCATCATAATTGAAAAAAAAAAAAAAAAAAAAAAAAAAAAAACGCAAACGACCGAAAGAATTAGAAAATAAAGAAGAAAAAAAGACAATGCCGGGAATTTTCTATGATGTAAGAAATGGAAACGAAGGACAAGGTTTGGGTTGGATGATCTTTGTGCACGAACGGTAGACGAGGAAGAGAGAGAGAGAGAGAGAGAGAGTGTGAGAGCGAGGGAAATGAGGAAAAAAAAAAGTTATTGATGGGCTAAAGGGTTCAAGGAATTCACAAAGTCAAAAGAGACCGAATTGGATTGCTGGCTTGAGGGTTGAGAGTGGGATGTGTCGAGAAGATCGATAATTTGTGATGAATGCGACGATGAGGATGTGGATGGTCGAGGTATGGGTGAGTTGGGTGAGTACATGGATGTGTTACCGTCGATATCATCGTCTGATACCATACTACTGGAACTTGGACTGGGCGGTAAATGATGGCCGTAGGGTGTGAGGGTCATGGAAGGACGATGGCACGAATTGGTGAATTCCGTGGAAGAATGGTGAAGATTCTGAGTCTGAACGGTCAAGGGTGTACGCGAAGTTTGCATGAACATGTCTTGTAACATGTTACCGTGTTGATTAAGATGGTCATGTGAGGTGATAAAGATGGAAGGTGGTTTCTCTTGTTTGATCATGTCATACTGATGCGTATTTAGTTTTCCTGGTAACTGACCTGAAAACAGCAATTTATAAAATTAGAATGGGCCATCCAATCACAATTCATCCGCTGCTGCAAAAATAAATTTTACCTCCATTATTTTGCATAATATAATCCAACAAGTTCTGAATCGTCTGTTGCTGTTGTTCCTGTTTCCGTTTGGTTTCGGCCAGCTCGTTGACCACTTCATTGAAATTGGCAAAGAGGTGACTCATCTGCTGCAACATATCGTTCTGAGATGCCTGGATCATGGCCATGTGAGCTTGCATATCGCCTGTGTCTCGACGGTTGGATTCCGATTCCATCGCTTTACGCTTGATCTCATCCAGTAAATCAGGCCGATTACGGAGAAACTTGGCATGAGAAAACTCCCAGATCTGGTTTTCTGCCAATGTTCGATGTCCTCGCGGCGATTTGTTCACCTTGTGAAAGCCGTACCTGATCGATCGGAAACAATAAAAATCAAGGTCAGAATTTCGGCTCTCCTTGCTTAGGGGCAACATTTTTTCTCTCCTCCAAGAAATCACTTACATGTTGAGTTGACGAACAAAACTGGAAAAGTTGTTGTGTTTAAAGTGTTTAGGTAGCACGTCACGGGAGAATTCCATGATATTGCATACAATAAAGGAGGAACCGGTGTAATTCCAGGCAATCAAATGCTGATATTGACTGTCAATCACCATGCTGATAAAAAAAAATAGGAAACAAGGTCAATTTTTCTAGATCACATTTTGTACCGATAAAGAAGATCAATGAATGAAAAAAATAATAACAGAAACTGGACGTACTTGTATAATTTGTGAACGAAGGCATTGGTGTGAGTAGGTTTTTGGGTTGTCGGGGGTGGTGGCGGTTGAGGGGCCAAGTGACTGGGGAAGGACGGGTATTGGGTGGAGGCAGAAACAGGTCCCGGCATAATAGAGAAAGACGACCGATGAGACGACGGCAATGACTCGACCCCGGAATACTCGCTTGTAACAGATATATTAGAAGACTTTCGTCGATGGTGAGTCATGGAAGGGGAATTCAGAAGAAAAGCAATCGACTAAACGGATCACCAGCGCCACCTGTAGGTTTTTTTTTTCTTTTTCTTTTTGAGCCTAAGCGTACGAGCGCACTGTGTCATCTAGAACAAAGTCACAATGGAAGCTCTGGAAATTCACTGTTCGAATTGGCTCCCGTGGCCATGTGGAACTCCGCCCCGCAACGACCGCCGTTATTTATCGGCGGTTTCAGATCCACTCCCCCACGTCCTTAGTTTGACCTGCAAGCTGGGCACCCAGAAGTCAAATCCTCCGCACCTGATTAGACATGAATCAGTTGATGGGACGGGCAAGCTTTTTTTTTTTTTTCTTTTATGACGGCGACCCACAGATTAATCCAAACAATTACCATCCAATCGCGCTTACCACGCACCCACAGGATGAACGTTGGTTCCTTCATCGGGATTTTCTGACGATCAACAGAATGCAATTTTCTTCACATAATTAAACCGATCAATGTCATAATATTGAAACAAGTTTGCCAATGGCCAATATTGTTTTTTTTTAATGAAACGATCCGTCCATTGAAATCCGGATCATAAATATTTGGCATCCAGCTGATCTGTAGTAGTTGATTTTGAATGATATTAGTATCAAAAGATCCATTTATAACTATGTAGCGAATGGTGCTGGTTACAAAATACACTAAAAAAAATGGGTCGGTCCATGTGTAATTCAAATCAATGAGGTGATTGTCCAAAACCCAACGTATTTCAATAATCAATACGTTGGAGACATCCCACAGGGATACATCGATATTATTGTATCCGGCGCAATACGAGTGCCTCGTAACATAATCGGTCGCATTGTTACGATACAAGTACTAGCCAAGTGGAGCCAGGTGATGTGAATCAGTAGTGGGAGAGGCATGGGGATGTTGTCATTATGATCCTATACACCGGATCCAACACTATCCTATCATCCTGCAATCAAGGTTTGTACTACCCACACTGGTGCGTTTTTGGATCTCGGTTTAAACAGGAAAACAAAAAGAAAGTTTTCCTTTTCCGATACTTTTGATCTGATTTACTGCTTCTTTCCTTTTTCCTTGGTGGAATAGCCTGTGACGCTTGTTTCAATAATTTTTTTTCTAAGAATATTTGACCAGACGATGAATGCATTGTTGGCTCGCTTAAGGTTTATGATGAGCGAGAATTTTTCGTTCTTGTCATACCTGAATACAGTACATTTACGATAATCACGCCGCAAGATAGAGTGTTCTCACAGTTGGGTGATGTCGGAGTTTTTAGGGTGCAATGACAACCAATCCTTTGGTCAACGTGCCATCAAGCAGCTCCAACGTGCCTTGTCTGACCATATCGAAAGCGGTAGCACTAAAAACTTTAAGGCTGATTTTTTTTTCTTCTGAATGACCAATCGATGGCTGTATCTTGCTACTTTTGGACCGACTATACTTTGGTTTGGGTCAGATACCTCCAAGTCCCCCACTCGAGTTGAAAGAGGGCATTTTTCAATTGAAACCCAGAATTCGGTAACCAATACCGTATCTGCTTTTCACATCTGATTACGAACGGTTTTCTTACGTGATTGACTAATAGATTATTATTGACGAGAAAACAAGTTATATCGATTATGTTTACTGCCAACGTTTAATCTCTACCGGGATTACGAAAATGCGTGAACGACAATTTCAAAAACTCGTTCTTTTTTTTTTCTTGTAACAGTCAGATAAAAAAAGAGTTGGTTATATCAGGAAAGAAACAAGGAAAAAAAGAAAATGAAATGGTTGATCCTGACGCGTCATGGAACAAGAACAAATCCATTGATGCGATAATAGGGGGAAAAATGGAAATTTTCGTCAATGTCCGTCATGCATGGGACTCTGGCCATTCACGGACTCCATATCAACAAACCGGAATGGCATAAAATAAGCTTTCTTTTGCATATATAGCTGGAATTACAGGTATATTTTCATGTGTGTCATCTGTGATTTATCTTTTTTCTTATATTATTTTACCAATTGACGGAAAGCTTAATTGATGCACAGCAAAATCAGCTACCGTTGCTTGACCAGTCGATAGCAAAATAAAGATGATGCGTCTCCGGCAAATGCTGTATTGCGGTTATTTGAACAGCTCCTCTGACTTGCTATAGTGTGTTCATCTCTGTTTACCTTGTATCCACCTAATACATCGGCTGGAGGAAACACTTTTTATTTTCGTAATTCATGTAGCGGCGGTGGACGAAAAGCCGGTCATTGTCACATGCTGCATACCTGTGTCCCTGCATAGCATTTGATAATCATTGTGCCACGATTGTGTGTTACGTGCAAACTCTTCTGGTTATTTCAAGTACAGAAACAGATAAAAGAAAAGGGAAATTTGCCCCACAATGATAATGATAAGCCGCTTGATTGCTTCTCTTTTTCATATACAACGTCCGCAAAATTTATTAGCCAGCTGCTTTCCAACCCTAGCACTCACTATACCAAAAACGCTTGTAGAAATACCTACCATTATTAAAATGTTTGGGAGTTATGCGCGCTAATTTTCAGTCACAAGGCAGTCACATTGGGTTTTTGCTACATTGTCGGCTTTGATTGGGTAATTTTTGAAAAACAAATATATATGATTGGTTGAAACGAAACCAGACAGCTGTTGATCGGCCCGACCTTTGCGCTCGAATTTTTAACATGAAGCGTAAAGCTCTGATGGAAGATCTAAAGAAGAACCATGTTTGGGAAGAGTCGTTACCCATGTACACACGGCGGAGTTTTAGAAGCGAGGCTTACTGCATCTTCATTTGCTTTTGATGTTACTCCGGAGGATAAGCCGAGAACACTTGATGACTATGATCGTATCGTGTGTGCCGAACTTCCGGACAGAGAGAAATTTCCGGATCTCTGCGACACCGTCAGCAGATGTATGATGCACGGTTCGTGTGGAGCAACGCATCCGAGGTCTCCCTGCATGGAAAACGGCTCATGTAAAAAGCGTTACCCGCGCTCCTTCAATGAAGCTACTATCGAAGATCACAGTGGTTACCCGTTATACCGTCGTCGCAACAATGGTGATTTTGTGATCAAGAACCATGTCCAGTTAGACATAGATGGGTTGTTCCCCACAATCGATACCTCTGTGCAAGATATAACGCTCACATTAATGTCGAAATGTGTACTTCTCTGGAAAGCGTCAAATACCTGTACAAGTATGTTTACAAGCACCACGATCGTGCTGCAGCAGCAATGTATCATGCCGGCAATGACAGAAAATGTCAGGCTCCTGACCCGTTTGCGCTTTGGATGCAGTTCCGCCAGCATTTGGCAGAAGACTACTTCCATTTTTGGAGCAATCAAAATCAAGACGATGATCATCAAAATTGAGCCGCCCCAAATCGTGTACGGTCGCGCTTTGCTGGACATTGAAGAGCATCTGAACCGCCAATCGAGTTCACTGCTGAGTTACGATCGCCAAGAAATTGGCAGAAGCACACTTCGCCGTCAGCCCAGACTGGTAAGAGAACAATTCGATCTCATCGCAGACGCTGCCAATGTTCCCCAACACACGAGTACCTAAACCGTGACAACATGCCGTATACCACGCAATTCTCCAGAGTGTCACGCATGGAAGCAACGAATCAGCCCGATTGTTCTTTGTTGATGGTCCTGGTGGCGTCTTTACCCTTATGTTGTTGTTTTTATTATTCCTTTATATCTTACTGTTTGTATTTTGTCTTATGCTCCTTTGCTTTCATCCTTTGCTATGATTTTTCAAGTTATTCTTCACCTTTATGTTTTACTATGCTTTTTGTCCTTATGTTCCTTTTGATTTTATCCTTATGCTATGTTTCCCCAAGTACGATTTTTTCTGTTATCTATTTTTGTCTCTCCATTTAATATTATACGATGTCTGACTATTTCTGTTCCTAACTTTGTGTACATATTGTTGTTCCTCTGTCGTGGATGAAGGAAATGATCGCTATGTGGCGGTAGGTCAGGGGGGGGGCAAGACCCCCGGGAAAAAAGAAAAAAGAGACTGTACTACTCTGTTGTCCATTGAATACGCAAAGATTTATGCGCACATCAACTAAATCTTACCGAAAAATCAACCGCTTATTGACAAAAGATTAGAGTACCATCAAGCGAGACCTTTGGATACACAATTTCGAGTGCGGAGTTCTGAATATTGCAAATGGAGCATCCCATTCCAAACGCATCTTTAATCAGCTACTATTCCCACTAGCCTCAGATTAACAACAAACTACAGACCGAAAGAGCATAACTTTGTGATCTTTAAGATCAACAGGCGCTACTTGTCTACATAATTAAAATCTTTCGGAAATTAGCGATTTGTAAATCACATGATCTACACTAAGTTATCAGGGCCTGTTAAACCTCTTTTTTTTATCTTTCAACCATGCCTCGCTGCCTACTTCCACAATAATAGGCGAAACAATCAGCAGCAAGATGCCGTTTGCGCCATTTATGGTCAAACAGAGCATCGTCGTCTTTCGAATAAAAATGCGAGTAGAGCTCTTTTTGAAGAAAAGTGGTTGATGATACGACCGGCGTTCTTCTGTAGCATCATTCAATTTGTTTTTTTTGTCAGTTATACGTATATGTCCTTTCATTCTCTTTCAATTTTCAATGAATCGAATAATACATAAGCAGACGTGCTTCGATCTATGAATTCATGCATCAGTGGGGTGACTATTGTTTCATCCATGGAGAATCATATATTTTTGTCTTCAATCTTATCTTTTTTCTTTTGCTTTTCTCTCTCTCTTTCTGTTTGCTTGATAAACCCTCACTAACATTGTATCAAGATCCCATCTGCATCCATTATCCAGACCATTCTTATCCCGTGTATATAACTTGGTTGAATCGACTACAATCCTCAAAAAGGTAAGCGTCGAGTGGTCCACCATCGATTTTGCTCCGGCAAAACAGACTCACCTCTCCTTTGCTTCCATCCTTCTTCCAGCTTCCGGTTTCCGTTTTTTTTCGCCTGACAAGTTCTGGATGCTACAAGTTGATTTTCTCTCGCCATCCATCCATCCATCCATCTACCTGGCGAAACTGGATGACGTCAAAGGCCATCGTTGGTGGTGTGACACTCTTTTTCATCAGAAAAACGCTTACGTGTCCTCTTCATGTTCCTCTCCTTTGGATTGCTTCTCATCATATGGTATTCGAGATGTCTTCCCGATTATTGTATTTTTAGTTTATAGTTTGTATTTTGTTATTTTATATTTCATGTACATATTCTTTTCGCAGTCTTTTCCTCTTTTTTTCCCACAGGGTTTTTTATGAGGTTTTTACTGACGCGACCATTGTTTTTTTTTATCATCATGTACTTTATTTGTTTTTCTTTCTTTTCATTCGGGGGACTCTCGATATCTAGAATCCAATTCGAAATTACCGTCACTTCTGGCCACGTCAATATTTTTTGCCTGCTCAAGCTGACACCACCAATCCATCGCTTAAGTGTCCCTGGAAGCAATTTTATTTTCTGCATCGAAGAAGAAGCTTACCTGGCGGTCCGTATTCATCGTTTTTTTTTTCCGGTACACCATTTGGTTCAAAGGCAAGTCCAATTTCTTTTCCTTTGCTATGATGTAATAAACGTATACTAATTCAAAATTTTTTCAATGTCATATAATCCAAGTCATGTCAAGCGATCAATGGCTATCGAAAACTCCAATAACAAAGGTAAAATATCTTGACGAAAATTTGAATCAATCAGAGCTTACTAACTCATTTTTTTAAATACCCAGCATACCCACACATCTTTCTAGATCTATCATAGCCTGGGCGGGATGGAACTGAGGGGGGGAACCAGTGCTGCCCTGCGCGTGTTCAGAAACAAATCACGTTGCAACGTATGCCATAAGGTTGTCATTAATATACCGAAGTTCCGTCAAGAGTTCTCGCCCAGGTTATGCCGTGTATGCGTTAGGCTTTTTGTCTGACGAAAGTCGCTCAATGTAAGAGGGCGGCCTCCGTTGGCAGGCGGCATCCATTGCACAGCGGGTGTACGGCTTGTTAATCAAATAAGATGCAGCATCTGCACAGATCATTTTTGCAAAAAGCCAGTAAATCTTTTCTTTTAACGCTGGACTGGTATGACTTTTGCTTGGTATAATACCATCCTTCGCCTTATAAAGCATCGATACAAAGGTCTTTATCATTTATTCCATTTTTGAAGACACAGAACATCTCTGTATTGGGGAGATACTATATATTGTATATCACCACAAGTAAGCAAGAACAAACGGCAACAAGTGTGATTTACTTGCAGCGTATTAACTGAAACCTCTATCTCGAAAATAACCAATTCAGAATATTCGTACACCATGCAAAGCAGTTATTGGTCAGTGCCTTCGACAAAAAGGTAAAGAATCGGGTCTATGGTGAGTCAAGCTGACATGGTTGGAAAACATCGTGCTGATGGAGGCTTTCTTCAAAGCGGGTTAATGAAATGGTAACATCTGATTGGATGATGAAGCTTAAAAAATGACGTGCTTTGATGGGTTTGAAAATTTCAAGCAACCCATTTGCGGAGGCAGTTGTTCAAGCAGTCACTTCGAGAAGAAAAATGGTCTAACTTGGGAAACCAGAACTGTAACCGTTTTGAGAGTTTCGGAAAACCATGTGTCGATTATTAGTGTATAAAGGAAAGCGCCCTATTCTGCTGTCCGATTTGTTGACGAGACCCTGCCATTCCATCATAAAGTAATTTTGTCACTGTCAATGGTTGTCGAGACATTCCCTGGGACTAACTTGGTAGTTTTGTAACGCTAGTCAATCCTTCGACTCGAAATTACGGATAGATCACCGACGACCTCTCAATGGTACTGGTGAAGCTGAATGCTGGACCATTATTTTTAGATGGTTAACAGAGTGTGTGTGAATAGGTGATGGCTTTGGCGTAGGCTGGTACGAAAGCGAGCCTGAAGACGATACCCCGGATACACCTTGCATTTTTACCTCGGTAACGCCTGCGTGGAATAACACCAACCTTACACGACTATCTGAAAAGATCAAATCACCGCTGGTGTTTGCCCACGTACGCGCAAGCACTTCAGGGGCAGTGACCGAGGCGAATTGCCATCCATGGCAGTAAGTTTCCCACATATTTCCTTCATACGGTAATGCCGTGATCTCCCTATTTTAAAACCTTCGGCTCCCCCCATTAGTTATGGTCAGATCATGTGGATGCATAACGGTGGCATCGCACAGTTTGAAAAGGTAAAAAAAGAAAAAGAAGGGATTTGCTTTGATCTTTTATCTTGGCTCGGTGTGGAGGGATCGATGACTTATCATTTTGTTTTTTCGATACAGATCAAACGAAAGCTGCAAAATTCATTACCGGAAGAACTGTTTTTGTTCGTTCAGGGAAATACCGATTCCGAATGGGCTTTTGCTTTATATTTAAGTTTTGTAAGTGTGAAATTTCCGGGTGATATTGCGACACCGAGTTAATGCGTTGAATTTTAGTTGGCCAATCCGAACGCGGCTTCATTCGAACATCAGGAACTGAAAGACGCCATGGTCAAAACAATTGCACAAATCAATGCTTGGGCAGAAGAGGCGGGTATCACCGAGGTAAGCCAAGTTGTATGTGGGTGATATACTTTTTCTGCGTTCCTTTTGCTTAATCTGGAATACTAGCCGTCACTGTTGAACTTTGCCGTGACTGATGGTCAATCGGTGGTGTGTGTGCGATACATCAGCAGTAAAACCGAAGAAGCGGCGTCATTGTACTTTTCATCAGGAACCCGATTTGAAAGTTACCGTCCCGGTCATTATCGTATGATCAAAGCCGACCGACGTGAAGACATGGTCGTGGTGGCCAGTGGTAAGGCGAATGACGGATTCATTGTGATTTTTTTTTTGTATCACATGCTTAACTCGGTGATTGTTTCAGAACCTCTTACGTTTGAAAAGGCGGATTGGCTTACAATTCCAACGAACAATGTATTGGTGATCACACCAAAATTGAACGTGTTACTGCAACCCATCAAGGATCAGTTTTATACCGGCGATCGAGGCATTGAAGTCAAAGTAGGAGAAGAGGAAGTGGCAAGGATACCAGAACCAAATGCGCAAATGTTTAAAGCGCAAGCCGAAGAACAACTTCAACAAGAACGATCTCTATCCGTGGCTTAAGAATGGACGATCGATATCTTTAGTGTGTACAAACCCAACTTCAATCCTCTTACTTATCCACCTATTCTTTCCCTTTTTGTATTTTTTTCAAACATTATCATGTCATCTCCTCAATAATACATACCAAAGTTGATTTTTCAAACCTTTTTTTTTTTTTTTTTTTTTTTTTTTTGGATACTCGAATACTCCCCGTATCATTTGCCGTTAATTCTGTTTACCATGACGATTTTTTTTTGTTTGGTAATCAAATATTTTGCAATAAATGGATCCCTATCGGAAGGTCGATTAACTACACGGGAAAACTATAAGGACAACATGGACACATGAAAAATACTCGTTTATAGAGGAAGGTCAAAAAGAAAAATTAAACGTTTTTTATATACAATAGAATGCAATAGCAAAATTGATCTATGGTCTAAAAGGGAAAATGTATAATGATGGCACGGCCATGCGGATGGATCATAAAAACTCTATGAATGACCACAAAGATGCAGTAGAGAGAGAGAGACAAAAAGGGAGAAAATTAGATCTCGCGAATAATCAGATCGGGAGATTGGCCTTCGTAGACAATACGATAGACGGTTTGGAACAAGGGGAATTCCGATTCCATGTTTCTTGCCGACAAAAACTCATGAACTTCCTGAGCGGTCAAGGTGCCTTGCAACTTTTGTCCATTGAGCAATTCGGCCTCGAGAGTGGCAATAGGCTTGCCAGTGAGTACAAAAGCTTCAGCGACCTTACGGTTACGACCACCAAAGCAAGTAGTGATCAGATCGGCAGTACCGCACGATTCAAAGAAGGTCTCGTTGCGCACCGCGTCACCAAAGAAGGTCTGACCAAATTTACGGATTTCCATCAGACCACGACGGATGATCGCCGCCTTGGTATTGCTACCATAACCCAGGCCATCGGAGAAACCAGCACCAACAGCCACAACGTTCTTGAGTGCACCGCACAATTGAACACCGACATGGTCTTGAATTACGTTGATACGGAAATACGCGGTATCGAACAAACGGTGGAAAAGCACACCATCTTCAACGGAAGGACAGCCAATAGTGGATTCGCAGAATTTTTCACGTGCAACTTCATCAGCAATATTAGCACCGCTCAATGCAGCACAAGGGATGTCCAAAATACGAGAAATTTCTTCGGAGAAAAGGCGAACACCCGAAGAGGTGATTTCCAAGCCCTTGATAAGCGAGATAGCGCGAGCGTTGGGAGCCAAATGACCCTTCATCTTCTCACAAACTCCGCGGACAAACTGATGAGGCACCACAAACACCACCAACGTAGCACCCTTGCACGCTTCCACGACATCGGGCACAGCGACAATGTTTTCAGGCAACTTGACACCTTTCAAGTATTTGACGTTTTCGTGTTCTCGGTTGATGATATCGGTCAAGTTCTCGCCATTAACTTGTTCTTCAAAAACCCATTGACGAACGGTCTTTTCGAAAGAATCGGTATGGTTCAACACATTGTTACCAATGATCTTGGCGACGGCGGAACCCCTAATGAATTATGCGAGATTTTGGTGAGTCAAACCGGTTTCATGTTTTTTTTTTGGGGGGGGGAAACAAGCAGCAAAGGTTACTTGGATAACTCACCAGTTGCCAGATCCAATTATACAAACGTTTTCAACAGCCATAATGATTTGAGATGATAAATGATATAAAAGAAAATAAAAAGGGTAATTGAAGAAAAAGGGCAATCGAGTCCCGCTTCTTTATATACATGGCTGATTCAATATAAAGTGCACTAACAAAATTTTTGTTCCCGACTTTTTCAGTTCCGTCCTTCTGAGATTCAACTTTTTGGGTGATGGATAATCAGGGACGAGACGGCCACCCAGTCGAATTGTCAGGTTTCGGCTGACATTTTATCATCATATCAAATTAACCTCAAACAAGACCGGGGCAAAAAGACCAATGGCAAAAAACTCCAGGCTATTCTCAATCAAAAGACAGCTCGCCAAGTATCGAATCATCGTTGTCGCTTTTAGAGTTTTTTTTTTTCTTATCGTTGCGTTGATAAAAAAAATATAAAGTATTGTCAAAAGGACATTTCCCAAATTCTCCAATCTACAATCAAAAGAGATATCGCCGAAAATTCCGAGATTGGTATTGATTAGAAAATGGCTCGACGCTGTTGTTTTTTTTCATGGCTCCCCCTTTCCTCGTTTCTCCACACCTCAGTTTCCTTTTTTATATGGTCAATTTGACTAAATGCTGTGGCCTTTGGAGCACCGCGTAAAAGATTAGCTGAGATGAAGAGAACATGACGCGCTCCCGGCTTTTAAATCCGACTTCCGATTCGCTACTTGACGTCATGGTCCGCCAGAGACCCGCAAAAAGAAGCGACCTTAAGTACTCTCGGACACTGACACTTTCATCAGAGGCTCGTCCTAATCCTTATTCGGAGCTCCAAAAACGACGGCACCCAATGTGAAATCACTAAATTGTAAGCGGCGCTATTTGATTGATCATAAAGGCCAAAGGGCAATATCATCATTGCACAAAATACATTGCACTATCATAGGTCGTCATCATTCAGGAGCATCTATACTAGTTGATTCCCGGGTACCCGACTCACCTTGGGACCAAGTCGACATGCCCTTTTTTTTCATTTTCGATTGTCATACTCCATGAACCCTAAAACTGAGTTCGTGCACCGAGAATACAGCAAGACAACTTTATTTTAACGCTGCTTTTAGTTATATTTCCCCCTTTTTTCTTTCCTGGTTCTGCAGATTCCACAGAAATTCGAACAACCTTCCCGATCTTAAGATTTTGTAAAAGTTTTTTTCGTTTTGCTCATGTAATTCGAACTATAAGAAGAAAAAATATAGAACAAACTATGGCGAGAAGGTGAACAGGATTGGACCATCGCATTTCACTGGCACAAACTGGCAATACATGGTATGTCATTGAATATGCAATCGGTGGACCCAGTTCAGGTTGTATCACAGTCAGTTACACAGGAGCCTTTGATTCCTGTCAAAACTGCATAGTTTCGCTGCTTACTCGAATTAAACCCTAGTGTGAGCAAGCTGAGAATAGAAATGCTTTTTTACAACCTGCCCGATGTTTGCGACCATTGGATTGATAGAGTGTCCAACTTGTGTGACTAGGACCATTGACCAAATCTTTATCAAGTAACCTTACAAGTACAGCTTATTGATCAATCGATGGATTGTCAGACTGAGTACTGCAAAATCAAACTACCGTAGTTCGTGAACCACTCATTCACTCAAGAATACACTGGGACTATGAAAAAGTGGGCATATAAGGGTATACTACATGTTAATGAATTATGTTTTGAGGTAAAATGAAAAAAAAAAATATGATAGGCAAAAAAAATTTGCATTTGTTTCAGCAATTTTGGGAGATGTTTCCCTTTGGATTGTCTGCTCCCCTTCTTTCATTCCGGGAATAATGCAAGAAAAATGCTCTGTAAATATTCTGTGGCTTAGGTGATACTACGGCTTCAACCCGAGGGCCGTTTTTTGACTTGATGCATGTGCCATACGATATCATGTTCCACTGGAGTAATTTATGCGTCGATGCGATTGGGATTTGACCACAAAAATAAAAAACCGTCACAAGTGACGTTGATGCTGCGGCGTTTGTCGCTTTTCTGTGTGTCTTTGACAAAAACAAAATTTCCATCACGCGTTTTAAGCAACTCTCGTTTTTTTTACTGTGTTATCTCTCCAGCCAAGTTTCTTATCTGGACAGACAAAAAAAACAACACACACAAGTTGCGTCAAAGTTGCAAAAGAACTTTGGTATCGAAAGAGTTCTCACGCAGCTTTTTTTTTTTTATCTTTTGTTCATTCCACATAACAACATAAACCGACAATGACCTCACCCCTGGACGAGAAATTTGCTGGGTAACTTATATAAGAATACTCGACAATGCCCGCATGGACTAACATGGCGGTTTTCATAGAACTTATCGTAAGCTTTTCGATACGATTGAACGTGGCCAAGATCAATGCTCGACGGATCGGTTGCAGACGTTACTCGGAGAGAAGAGTTCACAGTTGGCCCTCGGTCTCGCCGCATTCACTGAACCTTCCTCCAATGCTCGAAGCAAAGTGACATCGGGCACTGTCACCATCAGTGGACACACCATAAAACTCGACAAGGACGAACAAGATCTTGTCGTCACCTTGAGTGACTTGCTAAAATTAAACGAAGTGCAGACCGCGTGCTTGTGGGAAGCGTACCGAAATCAACTCAGTGATCCACCCTCAACGGGAGCGGGTCACGGCAAACTAGTCGATGATGAAGGATTGATCATGGCCATGATTGAATTTTACTATCAAGATCGATTATCCCTTTTACGATGCATCAGCTCGTTACTGCGAATTTCATACACAGAAGATCATATTTATCGACACATCGCCAAAGATACAATCGCCAACCTCCAGAACGAGACCAAAGACGGACTCGATTTTATTCAACGCATATTCAATCAGCAAAAGGAACTGGTGCGCCAATCGGTTCCATCCAATTTTTACTCTCAAACCTTGCTGGCCACGATTTGGGCCAACCAGAATCTCAGAGAACAGAAAGCGTTGTTGGAAATCGTCTTTCTCAATTACCTCACCCAGGCGTGTCCGGCTGAACGCATTGTATCCTTCATTCAGGAATTTGAAGCAAGCAACTTTGGCATGGACCAAGTCGTCGCTTACTTGCTCGACAAAGAAGGCGATTTGCTGCGCCATCAAGTATCGCATCTCTGCATTCTCGTTACCTTGGCCGTGATGAATATTGCCAACTTCACATTGGACGCCGGTCTACCGCAGACACCTTCCGAAAAGTTACTCGTTGAATCGCCCGCCGCCGTGACCCAAATCAATCGCATCGCCGCTTATCTCGGCGAACAGAAACAACACGCGCCTTTCCTGTTTGCCTGGTCCTACGTCCTCAGCTTCATCAATACACACATGCCGGAAACAGAATGGCCCCCCGCTTTTGCCGACGTCAAAAAAGTCATTGATGGCGAACAAGACGTGCTATCGACCGATATGTTGATCAGTCGACCTTCGGCTCGGGCATTCAGTGCGGGCGAATCCAGCGGAGAACAGCGCACTGTGTCCATCGTGCAAACCCCGGACGTCTATCGAGCGTATGCGGGCCGAGCCATCAAGCTGGGCATTTTCGAATACCTGACGACGATTCTCAACAGTGACGTATGCAGTCAAGACGATATGAACAGCTACGGATACCGATGCATGATTCGCGATTTGCTAAAAGCGTTCTTCTCCGTGAGTCGTCCTTGTTTCTTGCCTCCGGAGGCTTACGACAGTCTGGTCACTTGCACATGCCAACTCTACGATGGCCAATCGGAATTGTGCGGTACTTTCTGGTGTGAAGACTTTGACAATGAAGAGTCCGGCTCCTTGTTATCGACCGCCAAAGGCCGATTCCCCGTCAACTTTACCGATCTCCTCCGAATGTTGTCATCGCTTTCTGGCGCCAAAGATGGGTCTGACATTGGCAAGTTTTCGTCGGAAGCCGTGTTCAAATACCTTTGCACCATCCCGACCATGACCGTGATGGTCAAAGACAGCGCCATCATCCAGTTGGAATCCAACGGCGATGCAACGGTGGCCATGCTCGAACAAGCGTTGAGGGTCACGGGCGAATTCGAAAACATTGCCGGCCTCGTGCTCCCCGCGCAAACCAAGGGATTGTTGCTTTCGACACCCGACGAACAGCGTGTGATTCAGTGGCGCGCGGAATACTCGGGATGGCATTTACTCATGTCCGTGCTGGCGAGTTTCATCCATCAGCGACGTATTGTGTCTTCGATTGATATTGAGGATTTCGACGATCAGCTGGGTGGACAAAAGTTGGAAGTCGTGGACACCATTTTGCAGTTGATTCAACGTGTGCTGGAGAACAATCCGACCTTGAGTGCGCCATTGGTTCAGCATATCGAAGAAACCTGTCGAGCCAATGCTACCGTGCAAACCAACGGTCCGCCGGTCCTTATCACGCTTCTGTGCTCGATCCTCACCCACTGCAGTACCTTGGCGGCGTGTCCCGTGCCGACCATTACAGCCACCCTTCAATGTCTGACGGCTTTGTTGCCGTACTATCGCAACGAGATTTGGGTGTATCTGCAATCGGCGCCGATTCTTCCTCGACCCAACACAAGTCATCATTTGGCCGCCCGGTTCTCCACCGCTTACTCCATCTCGACCGATCCCAGCTCTCAAATCCAGCACCTCGTTTCCAAAGTGGAGCATAAAACCGGTCGATACTCGTTACTGATTGCTTTCCTGGATCTCGTCACTGCCCTCGTACGCGATGTTCAACGCAACTGGTGGATTCATCAACCGGTGGAACGCAACCTCGGCGACTTTTCGCCCAATCGTCAATACCAAGTGGAAACACTCTACTTTTGCTTATACTATCTGATGCTGGACGTGTTCCCTTGCTATGCCAATTGGCGTTACAAGAAACTGTCGGAACGATTTATCATTGGTGCCAAGGTGTTACGCATCCTCATCGAAGTGGCGCAGTACTTCCGCGAATTCGAAACTGGCGATCGTCATTTGACGCTGGGCGGGCTTCGCGATGGCATCATGAGCAATTTCTTGTATGAAGGCGGAGCTTACCATATCAATCCTCTCCTGGATACCATTTCGGATGGCGCCACCATGGCCAACAAACTGTATCAGGCGGGTCAACTCAAGGAAGCCGTGGGTGCCGAGAAGCTCACGGAACTGACGTTTGTCTTTGTCAAACTGTTATTGCAACGCCGCGTCGAAATGATACAAAACGGTTCGGAATTGCACGAGAGCGCTCTGGAACGATTGCTCCTGGAACGCACCACAGGAACCAACAGCCCCGACTTTTTATTGCGCGTGGCCAAACACATCCATTACCGTCACCAAATCAAGTTGCCGATTCTCGCCACCAACGTGATCACGCTTCTTTGCCGCACCATCACGGCGTGGAAAGTGACGCCGGACTTTGTTCAGTACCTCGGCGGCACCGATCAGGCTCACGACATCATTCGCGCTTACCTTACGTTGGCCAAGGACCCCTCCCAAAACGAACGATTGCTGACTTGCATCTGGCAAATGATCACTCTTTTACTGGAAACGCAGCCCAGCTTGGCCATTCTTTTCTTGGAATGCGGCGATTACATCCTGCCCAGTCCAAAGTCGGCCGTCAAACTTTTGCAGGAACAGCACTTGAAGCAGTCCAACGATACCACGGGCACCCAACCGATGAACGAGTCTGCTGTTCGTGCCGCAGTCGACATCCTTGGTGAGTGGCAAACCTTGTCGGTGGAGAAGCCTACCGTATTGTCCAATGTGTTGCGATTCCTCGCCACCTTTTGGCAAACCGCTTTTGATCACTATGCTCTGGTCCAGCGTGCACGCAGCGACAATGCCTTGTGGCATGCTCTGGAACAGATTTTATTGAATCCCAACAACGTGCCTGTCCCTCAGCCGACCGATCCCATTACCTTTCACAAGCGACAGTCGATTGTAGGTGAGCACTCCGACACGATGTACGAACCCAGCGTATCCGATCAAGACGCCAAGGTGCGCCGTCTTTGCTGTCTTCACGTCAGCAAAGCATTGGCGTTGAGAATCATTGCCTTTGAACTGCATCTTACGTCGGGTTTGGATACCGCTTCTCGTCAAGCCAGCCCCTCCAAAGTCAGTGAACGACTACCTGCCGGACTCAAGAATCTTCTGACGAAATTGGGCGAACCGTCCAAACTGGCCGCGCTGCGTTCGTCGTACATTGAGAACAGTTACCAGCCCATCCTGGTGTCGGCCGTACAGCAAAATGCAGAGTCGTTGGTCGGTTTGATCGGCATCTCCGATACATCTCGATTGCTTTGTCGTATTCCTCCCGTAGGCTTTGGTGATGATGACGCGCCTGGCGAAGGACGCCAATACGGTGATTCGTATCTCTACGATTTGCGATTGGCTGAAGCTCGTATCCAATCGTTGTACCGTGATGTGGCGATGCGATACAATGGCAGCCAGACGCCCGGCACTCTCTTGACCCCCGAATTATTGGCGGTGGTCGAAGTTCGCAAAATGGCGGATCGTTTCATTTCCAGCTTGTGTGCGGCCAACCACAATTTCTCCATCGTGGATTCGGAAATCATCTTGCTTCGATCTTTCAAACTGTTTACCGAAATTGCTTCCAGCTACGTCAGTGATTTGTTGTGGTCTGGCAAGGCTACGACGCCGGGTTCAAGCAGCCAACTGGAATTCCTAAGTGCGCTGATTCAACATGCGATTCAAGAAAAGCGGGACGACGGCGTAGCGCTCACGGCCTTCAACATTCAGATTCACTTCATCCGTGGTCTGACCGAAGACTGGATTCAATCCAACCAATCGATCCTTACAGGCACGGACAAAACAGCGAAACGCCAATTTGCGGATAAAGCGTTTGAGCTTTTGGCCATGTTCTGCGCCCTGTTGCGTCGTGAAAATTTTGCCGTGATGCACAGTCTGCCGAATAACCCGGCCACAACATGCCACCGTCCTTTACTGGAAGCGACGATGCTTTGCCTGCGAACGTTGCGCGGGACCTACGGTCCATTGCGAGAATCGAATGCGGTGAAAAGTGATTTGGACAATTTAAAGAAATACCTGTCGGATATCCTGGATGTTTCCTGCGAAAGCTTCAAGGTGATTGTGACGGAAATCGTGGCTTATGGTGCTTCTTCCACCAAGGTCGATCAGGGCGAAGCCGAAGAATACATGAAAGATTTGACGGTGGTGATTGCTCTGTTGGAAGAATTGATCAATCCCGACTACGCGCTTCCATCCACGGAATGGTTACCGGTGTTTGCCAAAAACGATACCGTGCCGACCTTGCTCAAACTGTTGCATGGAGGCATCGACCTCGTGGTGTCTGAAATTGAAAGGTAAAGCCCTTTTTTTTCCATTAACTTCTTTCTCAACTCCGACGGCTTTCAAGAGCTAACTCTTTTTTTTTTTTTTTTTTTTTTTTGTTACAGTCAAGCATGCGCTACCAAGGGATTCCACAGTCTCAGCATTTCCCCTTATGCAGAAACCGCGCTCTACTTTTTATTGGCCCTGTCGAATATCCAAGCGGCGGCTGATCATCTTGTGGGCCACGGTGTGATTGATCTGTTCTGTAACAATCGATTGTCGCAGCAATTGAAACAAGGTACCTTGGATATGTTTATTCGATTTGGCGATAACAGCAGCAATGGATCGGCGTACGTGGAACGCAATCCACTTCACATCATTTGGTGTCAAATGTTGGGTGTGTCGAACAACATTGCGCGCACGTTGGGCCATTCCGAACAGGTGCTTCGCCAAGTGGTGGGATTTGTTCAAGCGTATGGATGTCAAATTGGCCGTGCCTTTGACGAAGCCAACGGAGCCAACGATACGTTGTTGGGACTGACGCCTTCGGAATCGTTATCGTCGTGTCTTCTCGAAGAAATTGATCGTATTACCATGCTCATGTTCATCCTGTCAAAGCATATCGACAAACTGGCCAGTTACGCAGCCAACGTCTTTGTCGCGTACAAAGACTGGTCTCTTTTGCTGGTCCAGCGTTACCTCTACTTCTTCACTCATCCTTCTCATATGCAAGCGCAATTGTATCCCATTGACCAGATCGAAAAGCAGCTTGCTCAAGTGCCTGTTTCCGACCCTCCCTCTACCACGCCCTCCACCAAAGACGTTTTACCCTCCACTTCAGTCCGCGAGACCAAGACGAGTCAACTGATGCAACTCACGATTCAAAAAGCGATGCGGATTCAACGAAATATCCTGTCTGCGCTCATCCAGTTAACGGAAGCCGACATTACATTACGAGCCCCTGAGCCCGAGTGGCCATTTGGCAACGTGGTCATTAGTCCCAATATGCGCGTGGCAGTAGGTGAAGCGGCGTCTTTCGGTACGCTCATTGAAAACATCAACGTGGGGTTGAACCTGGTCAAACAGTGGCAGGCCGCCTTCAACGATAACAGCACCAAGAAGACGGAAATCAAACGCCGAATTCGCGTGACGTTGGATGTGATTCAAAGCTGTTTCGTCTTGCTCACAAGTCAAGGTCTCTTATGGATGAACCAACCGAGCATGGATGAAGATGCACGCAACGAGCTCGTCTCTGATAACGTCATGGACATTGCCGAAATATTAACCAAAGTGGAGAAGAAATTAGAAGGATTTGGCAAAGAAAACTAAGCTCTCGCCGCATTTACGAACTATTCAAATATCTTTTTTTCTCTATCTCATTGTTTTCTTTCAATCTTTTCTTTTTCTCTTCTTTGCTGCTGATGGATTTGCTTTCAATAAAATAACCGAATGTGGTAGTTGCACTAAAAAGGCAGGAAAAAAGTCTCAATGGCGGCGATTCAAATTTTAGAATACTTGGCTTCTGTGCGTTGGGTTTGCCCTTGGTTTTTTTTTTCCACTCTTTTCCTTTCCCTCCATTTTTCGCGTAGCTTGCCATGGCTGAACCGTCCAAGGAGCAAATTGACCTCATTTTCAAAAAGCTGAAACAGAACCGGCACAATAAAGTAAGATTCTTGGTTTCGTGGCCGCCTTTTTTTTTTTTTTCTCTTCCGCCCGTCACATGGACTTATTAAAGCGTCATTGATATTGGTTAGGCATGTTTTGACTGCAAGGCCAAGAACCCGGGATGGGCCTCTGTTTCCTTTGGTGTTTTTATTTGTACCGATTGCTCTTCGGCTCACCGCAATTTGGGTGTGCATATCAGTTTTGTTAGGTAAAATGGGGATTTGGATATATGATACTGTGTCACCAGTGGAGGGAAACAAAAAGCTGATGGGAGGTAACCATTTCAGATCGACTGTGTTGGATTCCTGGAACTGGAATCAGCTTCGTCTCATGAAAGTGGGCGGTAACCAGGCGGCGAACGAGTATTTTTCAAAGCATGGTAGTGGTATGGCCAGTAGCAACGATGCCAGAGCCAAGTATACGAGCAAAGCTGGACAACAGTACAAGGCACTGTTGGAAAAGAGAGCGGCTGAAGATGCCGTGACGTAAGTCGATACTCCACACCCATGCTATGGATACATCGTTTGCTTACGGATGGTACCTATTTTTGGATGTAATTTTGTTGGTTAGAAATCCGACGACGGTTGTGATTGATATGGAAGCGCCTGTCGAGGCCATTTCCGAAGCAACATCTACACCTGCGGCGGAGGAACCCGTCGAACCCGTTACCAGTGAAGCCACGGCAACTGCCACTTTCGAAACATCACCAGCACCACCCGCAAGCGCAGCCACCACGACCCCGTCCACGGCTACCGCCGCTAACCCTACCGCTACCGCTACCCCCACCACCACCACAAAAGCGAGTGCTTCATCACCATCGGCCACCGCTTCTTCATCAGCATTACCCTCACCACGTCCGTCTCTGGGATCTACAAGCAGTTATCGTATGGCTGGACCACGTATGAATCGATCACGTCTGGGGGCCAAAGCCACTAAACTCGGTGTCAAAAAGGCACCTGTCAACTTTAACTTTGAGGAAGCGGAGGCCAAGGCCAAGGAAGAAAGTGAACGAAAGGCCAAATTGGGATACGAGGATGAAGAGGAAGCGGAGACTCAGACAACAGGCGACGACAACGCAAGTGCAACTGAATCCAAGAAAATGTCACTATCATCTCGATTAGCGTATCAAGATGCGACCAACCCTCAAGACAGCCGTGGCGGCGGTCATGAAGAAGAGTATGAAAAGTTGGGATTCGGTATGTCCCGTCTAAATGTGAATGCACCGTCACGATCCACATCCAACTACAGCGGCTTTGGAGCTACCAAAACACAGCAGGAGGAAGAACAAGAATACCAATCCGCACGTGAAAAGTTTGGCAATGCCAAAGCCATTTCGTCGGACCAGTTCTTTGGACGCAACGAGTACGATCCTGCCGTGTCGGCCGCGCAATCGCAACGTCTATCAGAATTTTCAGGCGCTCGCGCCATCTCGTCGGATCAATATTTTGGACGTGAGCCGGAACTTGATGAAGGACCACGCGCAGAGAATCCCGACTGGTTGCAAGACCAAGCGGCGTTCATTGCGCGAAAGTTCATGGGTCAAGCCTCAGCCGATCTGGAATCTGTGCGTGATTTGGCCGAGAACGCAACAAGCAAGGTAAGCTTTCAGCGATTCACGGCTTGGTTGATTGTGATGAAGGAGTGCTAATTCTTTTTCTTGATGTGTAGCTCCAAGATATTTTCCACGATCTTCAGGTACGTTGACTTGATGAACAAGTGCTTCTTATTTTTTTCTTCTCGCATGCTAACATGAATGACCTTTGGGTTTTTTATTTATTCATTTAGCAACGTTACAATTACTGAAGAAGTAATCATTCCATGTATGAACTACCCACTTTTTTTTGTCAATCCATTCATTCCAACGATTCATCATGTCTAGTGTTATAAAATCAAAATGAAAAAGGTTTTTTAGGTTTTTTTTTTTTATCAATTTTATCGCGTAGCAATGAAATGTTCCATCCGTCCCTGGACGATGAATCCAACTCTTTCGTACAATCTTTTGGCGTGATCAATTTCATCGTAAACTTCAAGATATACTTTTTGTGATGGTTTCGTTTCGTTTGAAAGGGCGACTTGCAAGCATTCTGCAGCAAATCCATGTCTCTGATGGTCGGGATCGGTGGCCACGACATTGACGTGGCCCAAATGAGGCAGGCCGGGAGGAAGATGAAGAATGACACAACTGACGAAACGTCCTGATCTTTCCATCACGTAAATGGGAAAGACAGTAGGATTTCGTAGCTGGATGAGAAGTTTCTTGGATAACCATTTAATATCGTCCCCATAGCCATACGCTTTGGCAATCAATTCAGTAAGGCCAGCACAGTCTTGTTCGGAAGCCTTGCGTACAAAGGGACGTTGCATGGCTATGTTATTTGCGGGATAAGTCCAAGCCATGATGATGTCGATATTTCGTTCCATGTGTGAGAATAAACGGGACGCTTCAAACTGAGTATACAACTCTTCAAAGCTGGGCGTGGACAAGACGTCCACCAAATAACGAGGTGTGACCCCAGCCGTCTCGAAAATCGTCATTGTTTCGCGAAGAAAGTTGGACACCTGACGAGGATGTTGCAGACGTAGGCGGCACGCGACATTCGACTGTTGATGGTGAGGATTGTGAGGATTGAGGATAATCACACAGTCATCACGCAGCACCGTGGTGGCTCCCAAGCTCATAAAGAGCGAATAGTTCAAGTCGAGAATATGTCGCTCGTATGCCATGGCAACAAAGGGTGAAAGAGGGCCACAACACTCTGCAACATGATCCAAGACAGGGTTCAGGAAAAAAAAAAAAAAAAAAATGCGGCGTTTAGAAACCAACCAAAAAAGAAGCGGCAATGGCGAAAAAACTCCTGATCTTTTCATTTTGCATCTCTTTTTTGGCCAAAAACTCTTTGTTAGAAGCCCGTCCATGAGCTTGGATTGTTCAAAGCAATGGCAGACTATTGAATACAACAACCGATTGTTTCAAGTGGCTGTTCGTTGCATTCCTCATGCCGTGTTGCTGTGGAGCGACGTTCAGGCGCTTGTGCCGTCAGCCACCGCGCTGTTACGGGGCAATACTTTGGTGCCTTTCGATACCGATGCCGATCTCGCCGAATTGATACCTAGACGTATATCCGTCGACCAGGACGCAACGACAGTGTGGAAAGTCCATGTACCTGCCACCCACGACAATACCCAGCCTCGTCAATTCGATCAGTTACTGGACCGTCTGGATCGGCTGATACTGTCGCTTTCGTCCGCCAGACTTGAGTCAGCTGACCCAATGTCTCCGGCAAGCGATGTCGCAGCAAGTGACAGAAGACAAGGGGATGAATCACGGTCGGGTTTGGATTCATTGTCACTCGGTGAACGAAGCAACGGTGCAACGACGTTGCAAGGGGGCGAACGAGGAGGGGCTAGTTCAGAGCCCGACGCACGATCAGGTGTAGCTCGTGTAGGTAGTCCCTATGGACGACTTTCATCCGAGACGGTTGGTCACATGGAGACGGAACGTCATCCTATTTCCGAAGGCGATGCCCCGCCGTCTTACGAAACATCGATTCTCGGCAATATCAAGATCTTGACGCAAAAGCTTCGTGAATTCGAGAACCATATCCCTAACCGACATAAATCGCCTCGATGGCTGGCGAAACGATCCGATTGGGTGGAAAGAGAGCCTCAGAGCATTGAGCAAGTGGCGTATCAGTTGGTGCAGTTGGAAATGGCACTGTTGTGGACGGCGGTGACGGAAACGTGGATCGATGCGCGTGAAACATGGTTATCCATGGTGGCCACCACTGTATCTGAACGTCATTTGGCGGGTGCTCTTGTCAATCTGGAAAGACACACGCTTGTGATGGATGATAGTTGGTTCGACGTTCGTGAACAATGGACCAATGATCTGTTGGCCATGGCAGTCGCCCCGTGAACAAGAAGAACAAGCCCTTTTTCCAACCCCATTTTTTTTTCTTGTATTCTATATTCTTTTCATTTTGTACCATTTATTGATGCGTCATACGATGTGCGTTTTTTTTTTGTACTCTGTACAATCATGTCGGGTCGGAGTGGCCAATAAGAAGATGCCCACGTTTTGTGTCCACTCTGTAAAACAAAAACAGCGACGAAATTGCCTTCATCAAACGATCATCAGCGGTGTTCAACCCGGCAACAGGTGATTCGTATTACTGTTCCATATTTGGAAACCATCTCAAAAAAAAAGTGAGAGAAAACTGCAAGATCGAAAAAAATGGAAATAAAGTGACAGATGCGGATAAATAGAACCACATTTTTCCCCGTTTTTGCAACCTTTTTCACCATGGCAACAATGATCAAGACAGTTTCAACCATCCTATGTTGAATTGACTGTGTAGGATGATACAAAGCGGTTTTTTTATTGTTTTTATAGGAATGACATTTGAATTGGTTTGGAGAAACCGCCAAGAGACTATTTACATGCAGAGAAAAATAATGAGGGATCATTATTCTGTGGAATAACTTTTTTGTATATAGAGTTTTTCTTTTTTTTCTTATTTTTTCAGGGAAATGGGGGGTGGGGAGGGAAAGAAAGAGGAGGGAAATCCAATTTTCATTGGAAAAATAGACACACTCAGTTGACGACTCTCATACGCATACCACACCGTGCAATATCCATAAGAATTTGGGCAGCCTAAAGTGGAGATAAAGAAAAAAAAAACCAATACCAGAATCAGTACGAATAAACTTTTTTTGGGGGGGGGGGCGGTTTCTTTCGGGTGGTCAGGTACCACCATTTATTAGGTAGGATAGAACCAAACATACCTCTAAAAGTTGAACTTGCTGTTGTTTGCTCATACCGAGACGGCCCTGAATTTCTTTCCATCCGTCGGCATGTTCCCAACGGTGACGTTGTAGACAGTTGAGATGTTGGTACGTGTTGCCGCATTGATCGCATTCAAGTTCACCTTGACCGACACATGCCGCTTCTTCCAAGTCTTCACATTCGTCCATGAAAGGTGGGGTGGAAGGAGGCGTCGAAGCATCGAAATTACTGTTGGCAAACGAGGCCAATGTCGCCGCGGCCGCACTCACAGCTTCGTTCTCTTTGCGTTGCTGTTTCTTTGAAGGTTTCTTTTTCTGCTGCAGTTCAATGACTTCATAATGATAATTGGCAGGTGGCGTCGAAGGCGGACTTTGCTGGATTGGACGACCTGGTTTCCTTTTAGTGTCGGCCATACGGCGTTTCCGTTTTGGTTTTTCGGACGACGACGACGACGATTCCAGTTCTCTCTTTCCAGCAGAAGTACTAATGATCTCCTCTCTTGTGGACGGCGACGCCGATGATGAAGAGGCGGCGGCGACGGGAGGTAGAGGAGCCGGTGGTGGAGGGGGAGGAGGCGCTTGATGCTGCTGCTGCTGCTGATGATGATGATGATAATAATACATGTTGTAAGGTGGTTCAGAAGATTTGTAGGTATCGTTGGAGGAAGGCATGTGTGGGGATGGATAGACATATTGCATGGGTGGCTGATGGGGCGGTGGCAAATGATAACCGGGCAAAGACGAAGGAGGTGGCAAGATATACATTGGCCTGGCATTCGGTGAGCCCATGACTGGAGCCCCGGCGGCGTTGTCATTTGTGTATCCATGTCCATTGGAGGTAGAAGGAGGATAAAAGTAGGATGAACCGAATAAGGCAGAAGGAGGAGGTAATACGGCCAATTCCTTTTCCTTGGCAGGAGAAGCCTCTATACCTTTCGCTGACATGGGGGAAAAGAAAAAAGGACGGACGAGGAAGAAGACAAACTAAAATTTAAGATAAACAAGCGCTTTTTTTTTTTTTCAACCAAAATTAAAAAAAAAAAAGGTACGGAGATTCAATGAAAAAGCAATTTTTTTTTCTTTTGCCGAAGCGACATGTTTTCCCGCTGTCAATTTTTTGTTTTTTTAATTCCCTGTGAAAAATGGCATCAAAGCAAATCAAATACACTACATCATCATCCCTTATTATCCCGATCTAAAACCAGAAAGTATAAGTTAGATACTGACATGAACTCATCAATGCGACTAAACCATGCTATGATGTAGTAGTAGGTGATTGATAACATTAGTCTTCTTCCTTATTTCCTTGGCAACAGGTGCGTAGTAACCATTGATATGGCAGCCCAGTCACCCTGAGGAGAAGCGTGGAGAAAAAACAAGTGTACAATGACAAGGTCAAAGGGGGGAGGTTGCGCACTTTTTTTGTAAAACCCGAACGGTACTATTTTGCAGTAAACCTTGTTCATGTTATGGATACCACCCCAATTGGGATCTTGCGTAGAATCCGTTTCCCCCGATTTTTATGATTGGTTAAGGTGCTTCTTGTATCTCTTTGCCAAAATGGAGTAGTTCAACCAAGCCACTTTCTGCTAAATTTCCAAAACAGGAAATTCGTTTTATTTTTTTTGGGTTTGCGCCCGTTGAAAAATGTCGAATGGTTTCCTCATGAAGTTTCAAGGCTGGTGAAATTCTTTATCCATTCGCACAATCTAAAAATGATGCGATCTTTAACCATGTGCCTGTTTTGTCTCACCTGTATCTGATGCAAATAAAACCGGGGTTAGGCTTGCCGATATATCTAGGCACCCAAAAAGAAGCAAAGTCCATTCTTCATGCTGGTGATCGCTTGCGGTGCGGCTGGTCTTCCACGTCCTACAATCTCTTCCAGAACAATCGATCGCATGTCCGAGGCGACATTAAACGTGTCGGTTCCAGAACGTCTGACGGCAATGGAGAATCTTGTGGACTTGCCTATTTGTTAGATTCGTCAATTCTTCTCTTCTGCAAAAGGGACAACCTAGAAGAAGAATTGCCGTGACATTCCATGATTTTTCTTTCATGAGAGTGTTGTATTAATCGACTCTGGTCCATACCAAGCGCCTTTCAATTTCTGCTCGCTTGAGGATTTTGCACAATTTTTTTGACAAACCGCTGACCTTGCCTGCATTGTCACCGGAAAGGCGGCGAGTATGCACTAGGCAGTTTCGTCCTCTGATAAAAAGTAGATTCGGCGTCGGCTGGAACACGTCCCCTCTCTTATTTTGACCAGCAATCGTTTAAACAGTCGAGCTTTGAAGCTTCGCTTCGCTTTCGGCATTGTGAGCTGCCAATACTCCAAAGCCTCATCTTTCTTGCCTTCTCCGTGTACGTGATCGATATAATCTCGTCCGAGAAACAATGCCTTTGAGGGATCCATGGTTCGTGTGGATGGTATCCCACCTGTGGGCGGTGAATAGCTGGACGTAGGGAGAGAGAGAGATAGATAGATAGATAGATAGATAGATAGATAGATAGAGAGATAGAGAGAGAGAGAGAGAGAGAGAGAGAGAGAGAGAGAGAGAGAGAGAAACAGGGTATTCAGCGCGGTGGCTCGAAGGCAAGTGTTTTTGACCACTGGTGCGTGGCAATGGCGTAACTGAAGGGGAAGTCAGGAGAGGATGATGGCGGGTCAAGTGGTAATGACAGTTGCCAAGAAGAGACATCAGAGCTGTTTCTACGCAATAGCTTGGGAAACGTCGTTAGACCGTTGAACAGTCGACAGTAACAACGTGAGAGTGACGGTTCATCTTAAGAAATGTCATAGTAATCGTCGTCATGGTCAGTCTGGCCGACGTTATACCGGTAAGCACATACAAAAGACATTTTTGGAAGCCATTCAAAAATTACTGACGATCGGCTCGTCATTATAGTTCATATCAACAATATTATGGGACCCCTAAATTAAGCAAATAAAATGCTGTTAATATTTACTGCGTTGACGTTTATAATACATTTATTTTGTGTGATCAAAGCTATATGCATAATGTGAAGCGGTTCGGTTGGACGACGAGACCAGCGCTCAGAGCCTAATGTGTAACATCGGAATTCATTCCTCGACAGCAACAGGTTTCCATTTTAGGTAATTACAGGAATTGTATAAAAACAAGGCGACATTTTCTTCTTCCCTTTTTTTCTTCTCTTTTGCTTTATGACCACTTTTCCGGTGAGTTTCGCTGAGGGTGAGCGCAAAGTCTTGAATTTTGGCTCTGAAGTTTGTGTAACCGATCCCTCACGGCTGGATTTCAATGGTCTTTTTCCCAGATTCCGCTCCGACAACGACGCCCAACGACCCAACAATAACACGAGACGAAACGATACGATCTCCTTCCCCCACCTCTCGAGGACAGAAGATAGGTAAGGCGGGAGGATTTTGAGGCCGCGCAGGAGACGATAGGAAAGTGCATTCTAATTCGCTGGATGTGCTGGCTGGCTCTGCAGCGGGACTGTTATTTTCTCCATTTTTTCCCTTTGCCACTTTCTTGGTAGCAATGCCGGGTTCGATTGGATGATCTCCATAGGCCGAATTTTCCCAAGTTACATGGTGTAATGCGGACCCTGACAAGCCAGGTTAGGCAGGGGGCTTATTCCTGCACGTGCGAGGACGTCAAATGGCGGGATGAGGCTATCCATACGAGGAGAGGCGGCTGACTAGATGGAAGAGTCACCGTGTAACGTGAGCAATTCATGCGCGCATTGCCACACATCTCCCTACACCGACTTGTTGGCACAGACTTTGGGTTGGATGGTTGGACCAATTGGCTCGAGGTGATGTAAGGACTTCCCGTGCCGTGGTGCTGCTTTCTGCGACCATCCTTAAGGTGCATATTGGCTATTCCGCTCCCGTCTGGTGGAGAAATCAGTTATGGGAAAGTAGGATGGTGAACTGGAAGGCAACCGGGCACCCTTTAAACTCCCGCCTGACTTGCCAACCTTAGTAGGCAGCACGCCCCTTTGCTACCTACCGTAACCGGATACCAGCACCGCCCAAGTCTGATCTGTGTGTGTGTCACTTCTACAGCTGTGGTTCATCGTTCCCGGCAGGCCATATGCGACTGGACCAAGGTTCAGTATATCAGCACGGGCGTGCGGCATGAGGAAATGATCGGTCACATCTTTGTGCTCAGGCCCTGCCATAGATGGAAAATGAGGCTGGGACAGGACCATTTCGTTGGAAAGCGATAAGCAGCAACGTTGATTTGATCGACGTAGTGTTTATGACTACCACACTGGCACAGGCATCGAGATCATTCTGTATCGTCTTGGCTTCTACCCTAACCTTGATGGCGCTGACTTGCTACTCTACATAATAGTTGGAAGTCGGCCTTATATCAAGAAAGATATTTTTATTTTATTTATTCTTTAGATTTGTAGCTTCACTTTTTCTTTTCTTTCCTTATCTTTCTTTTTTTTTTTTTTTGGTGAGGGTTGAGTTTGTCATCAAAGCGTCTGTTTCTTATAATCTTTTTCATTCATCATTGCATGGCTTAATAAAACACTGTATTCCTGTTATCTCATAATGACGGATTTATATATTCGCATCTGTTCAGACTAGCCATTGGACCATGGGGACAAAGTTCAACCACCCTTCTCGACCATCAGCAAGCGTCAGTAAGAATATGGCCAATTGCATCAATGGTGGTGGAGTTGATGACCCGTGCAAAATTGTATCGTTAAATGAAAGCAGAATGATGTTTTATCGAAGATGAGAGAAACTACCTCAGTAAATGGGACACCATTTTGAGGATTTTTGTCTTCGTCTCTAAAGGGTGATCCCATTCAAGCATGCGGCAAATCCGTTACCCCGACGACAGATTATCCATGATGGCTCGTGATGTGGAACGAGGAATGCATGTTTATTTTCTTGAAAAAACATTGCTGATTTGCAGAGAATATGCGAACAACAACAGTACTCGCCACTAGTCACTAGTTAAGATATCAAAAAAGTTTTAAATGTAACATACAAAAAAAAAAGATGTTGTAACAACGGAGATGAAAAAGTTCGCCGATCTCAGGCTCAGAGATCGACGTGAGTGCGTAGGTTGGTGGCAATGGTTTCTGGTGGGGCATTTTCGTAGACTATACGATAGATGGCGGTCATCAGGGGGAAATCATCAGTCTTTTGTCGCGCGCTCAAAAAGTGGTAGACTTCCTGAGCCGTGGTAGTGCCTTGCAGTTTCTGGCCATTGAGCATTTCCTTTTCCACTTGGTCAATTGATTTGTGAGAGTTGATAAATGCCGCTGCTACCTTTCGATTTCTTCCACCCGAACAAGTAACGATCAGATCAGCCACACCGCACGATTCGAAAAACGTTTCAGTGTGAACACCACCAAAAAACGTTTTGCCAAATCTGCGCATTTCAATCAATCCACGACGAACCACTGCAGCCTTGGTATTGTTGCCATAGTTCAATCCATCACAGATGCCTGCACCAATAGCAATGATATTCTTTAAAGCACCACACACTTCAAGACCACGCCAGTCGCCAATAATGGTCACATCGAAATAGGGTGTATGGAATAACTACCGAAAAAAGAAGATGGGTGAGTTCATGGACCCTTCTCTTCATCCCCTTGAAAATAAACCCACCTTCATAAAGAGCGGACCATCATCCATATCTTTGCATGCGATGGTGGTCTCACCAAACTTTTCTTCGGCCACTTCAGGTGCCAAATTGGCCCCTGACAGTGCTGCGCAACTGATCCCCAGAATCTTTTCAATGCCTTCCGAAATAATATGCAGACTATTATCCCTAAAATCCAGTCCCTATTCAAATGAAAAAAAAAAAATCAGTGAATCAAAATGTTCATTTTTTTTATCGATCGCATTGAGATCGTTATCTGTGGAATAGGCCATCATTTCAAACTCAGCTACCTTGATCAATGAAATACCCTTGCAATCCTTGTCGATAACATCTTTGAGCTTTTCACACGTGCTGTAGACAAACTATAGACCACAGCTATGTGAGCATGACAACACACAAGAAAAAAAATAAAAACAGAGGAAGCGGTTTAGCTTACTTGATGCGGCAATACAAACACCAGTACGTTGGCGCCTGCTGCGGCTTCGCGAACGTCGGGAACGGCTTTGATATTGGAAGGGAGTTTAACACCGGGCAAGTAACGAACATTTTCATGCTTTTCATTGATAATGTCCGTCAACAGCTTTCCATCGACTTCTTCTTGGAAAACCCACATTCGCACTTCTTCTTCAAAAACACCACTGTATTTGCGTGCATTTTCTGCACATACTTTGGCAATGCATGATCCCCTGCAAATCGTAAGTGAGTATCCCCATCCGTAATTTTCTGAAATATATATAAAAGATTTACCAGTTGCCAGAACCGATGATGGCGACTCTCTGCTTCGACATGGTGAAAAAGATACAAGTAGAGGAGAAAAAAGAAAAGGAAAAGAACAAACACCAGCACACAAATAAATGGAACACGACCCTTTATCTCGTTTTATTTTTTTATTTTTTCTGGCATAGTGATTGAATGGCCAGCTTTTTTTTTATATCCAGTCCGACAAATGGGTTTCATGTTGACGTCGTATGGATCTTCGGCCCGTTGCTACTTTATGATTGGATGTAAAAAACGTCGTAGCGTGGACTGTTTGTTGAATTACAGTTGGTTGACCCACAAAAAGCCGGGAAAAATACAATGACAACAAGAGTTTGTTGTCCTCTGTTGCCATAACACTGGAGATTGTCATGCCGGGCTTCCCGAGCTGGCTTTTTGATATTTTATCGTTCGAGAAAAAATAAATGAATACGAAATTCAATGGAAATCAATCCAGCCAACCACAACAAAAAGCGGTAATCCGCCCGAATGGTTGTGGATTGTGGTACGAGTGAAATCATGCAACGTTTTGTTTATTTGATACCTACACGATGGGAAAAAAAGCCTAATTGAGCAGTAAAATATTTATTTCCGACTTTTTTCTCCCAGTTCCATTTTTTACGATCAACGAGCGTGTGCTGAGTGATTTATCTTTCTCCCTTATCGCCTTCTGCCAACTAATGGCTTATTACCGGAATTGTATATTAAATTCATTGAAAACACTGTTCGTACCCTTGCAGCCCTGCTCGAACTGACTTGAATAAAATTGTTGCATGATCCTACACGGAAGATACAGTAGTATGCTTATGAACGCTTGGTTATTTATTAATTCATCTACCGAGCTGGGCTGGCAGATTTCATATTGCAAGAGAAAGTCTGGGGCAATTAGTAGTAAGCACCGGAACGGGCGTAAGATTGGCTTGCGTTCGTGGCATCTTCGTGACTGGATCCAAAAGCCGGAGCGGGAAGGGTATAACGCTTCATTTCCAGCACACCGCGACCGGTAGGAATCAGGCGTTGCAACTCTTGACGAGATGGGACAGCCTGATACGCAATCTACAATACCGCACCGGGTTTTTTGCAATGTGAGTAAAAGCAACAAAAAAAGATGATGCACACTTTTTTTTTTGGGAGGGGAGGGGGACACGAGGGCGACGACCTACCGTATCATTGATCATGGTGAATTTCTGCAACAATTCCGTCACGGCTTCTTCTTCCTTGACGGCACGGGCGGCTACAGAGGATTTGCGAACGTGAGGCTTCGAGATACTGGAGTGCTGGATCGCCCGTAAATCCGCTTTACTGTCTCTCAGAAACCCTACAGCATCGCCCAATTTTCTGTCGAGCCACACACAAGTTAACTAACACTGACATTGATGCAATAAACTTAGCCAACCTATAACCTACTGGTTATCATTTGCATCAAGTGCAAGGAATTTTTTTGCCATGGCCTAAAGCATGAAATGGTAAATTGTCGCGGTCCAATTTACTTGTCGCAATGTCCTGCTTACTTTGTAGAATTGGGCTCCATCCAACAAATATTTCTTTAAATCGCTGGAGACCTCCTGAGTGGCGGTCATGGAGGAAATCAGGCCGTGGGCCATTTCATACTGCCCTGCGATACCGATGTACAGTTTAGCTACCAAGGATTTGGATAAATTGCCCGTCGATAGTGCCTTCGTAATGGCAACTGCTTGTGCATCCGCCAGGGCCATTCTATCAGGAAACAAAAAGAAACAAAAAAAAAGCATTGAGTGAGTTTCTACTAAACACTGCGTCGCATGTCCGTCTTTTGCCGTACTTTGATAAGGCCACGGGCAATTCTCTAATGGTTTCTATGGGTCGACTTTCCGAGGTTGGTCGCCATTTGGGTATCACGTCGTTGGCGATGTAGTGGAAAATACTCGCCGCAGTATTCAGGGCATCAGCGACCTGGTTCAATCCCCATACACCCAATTGTTTTAGCCATTGTTTTCTATATATATACTCTGACATTGCGGCCAAACGGTACCTTATTGTATGGATTGGAGGCGGTGTCGGAATTCTCTTGCACGGTGCGCAAGCGATCGTTGGCATACATTGAGGAAGCATAAGCATAAGTCATCAGTACAAATGTAAGTTCATAATGAATATCAGCACCAACAATTCGTGGTGCATTGCTGCCGGTATGAATGATATGATCACTGAGGGTCGATCGCCACGATGTTTCTAGTAATGCAGAACTGCATCAGGACACACCTGATAACATACGGTGGTGCGTGAGTAACTTACCAATATTTTTGGCCAACTTTAACTCGCCCGACTCGAGACAGTTTGTCACCGCAACCAGATAGGGTAGATAGTCTTCAATAGTCTAATCATGTTCGCCATTGAGTACGGAACACAGTTCATTGGGGTAAAAAACAGACGGTAACAAGACCCATTTACATTGAGTATAAGACGGTAATCTCGGGAACCGGGGGTCTCCTTTTTGAATTCTTTGAGAGCGATGCGAACTCTGCCTCGCTGAGCGGTAGCATCGGTGACTTCGGCAGAGTACGAGCCTGTATCTTCCAAGAAATCCTTGAACGATAGCGAGCCCGTGGTTGGCAGTGAATATGGGTAGCTCATGGAATCACCAAAGTTCCAAGAACAGTGGGCTGGAAATCGCACCGCTTTCAGGTGACTGCCCACCAATCAGAACCGTAATATCTCAATCCATTGAGCCGCACACGCCACCATGAACACAGCATTACAGTTCCCACCCACGCTCAAAAAGTATCCAATCGGGGCCGCATCATCCATATCAAAAGTCTGGATAGGATGTGCTTCATCATTAAAAATGGACGATTCTTCTTTCTTCTGAGTTTGGTGGCGATATTCATGCTTTCTGTTCACCGACAGCATCTCGCTAAAATTTTTGGAGCAAAGACCTTATATAAAAATTCATGTTAATGCTCGCAGTAAATCAACTACGATCCAATCTAAAGAGATGATTTGCTGTAGGTAAAAAGTTGTATTCTATAGAAAAAATGCAATAAAAATGGAATCTATATACAAGATGCATGATGAAATTTCAATGGTTCACGAAACTCACAGGGGTAGATCAACAATGTTTTGTCGGTGGAAAATCATGGCCATCTGACAGAATTGGTCGGTGGAAATATCTTCTGGACGTGCTTTCTTGTCTAATCCCACTTCGGCTTCTGCAATGGCTTCTTTGGCTCTAGGCATCTCTTTGCTTAATCGATTCAAAATGTGGCCGACCGTCTTGCGACGCTTGGTAAAGAAATAGCGCAATATATTCTCGAGGGTAAGATACACGCCTAGAATACCCATCATGGTAAGATGGTTTGATAACGATCCAAATGACTTCGCACTTATCCATGAATATATTTTACCTGCGGTATCACCAATGTGGAAAGCCGGTTTAGGTACAAGTTGAACCACACTTGCGTCCACCTAGGCGAGAAATGATCATGGTTCATAAGACTGTCTTTGCATAAAAACTGTTCCCACTGTGAAGGACACCCTTACCTTTGGCTGTGGAACAAACACCGTCGATGGAACAGTGTAGACCGTTTTAACTTGACAGAGGCTTTGCGTCATGACAGCTAATCGTCCTCGATGCTGCGTAGAAACTTCGGCCGATAATCGCTTTAAAAAGGGAGAATAGCGGTTAGAGATCAAAACAAACCATCTTTATATTAGAATTCGCATGTTTTACGTACTTGACCGACTTCTTTTTGAAACATGAGTGTCATCCAGACAGACGCATCTCCGAGGCCAAAAAGCCCTTGTCTGCCAGCAAGTTTGTGTAGCCATTGAATCAATAATGGCGAGGCTACATTGAAGGGCAAATTGCCAATAATATGAATCGGGTCGGTGGAATCCATCGGATTGGCTGGTCCGAGTTTTGCAGCTGATAGGATCTCTTCGTCGGGTATCGTCAGCATATTTCCTTGTAACACCTATTCCGATTCAAGAGACGATCAGTAACTCTTTCTTTTTTCTCTTTCACACAAAAATTTTCATTCATGCCAGATACCTTTAATCGATCACCGGATGATTCTGCCAATTGCTTTTGATGGAAAAATCATTTTACGTTAGTCCATTGTAAAGAAACATCTTTCGAGCAAAAACTGCGGTTCACCTTGAGAGCAGAAATGAATCGGTCGTCTTTTTCCACCGCCACCACATTCCTCGCATCGGCATCCAGAATAGATCGTGTTAATAAACCCGGACCTTAGTTTTGAGCATCCAGAATGAGATCCAAAAAGCCAGCCTCAACGATTCAGTGTGTCATCAACTTACCTGGACCCACTTCTAATACCAAAGGCGTTTTGGCATTCATGGCGGTGGTTCTAACGATCTTGTCTGTCGAATCGATGGGAATTAGGCGATGGTGTCACACTTTTACTACTGATCACAGCACACACCTGTAATGTTTTTATCAAGAATGAAATTCTGACTCAGTTGTGATCTTGCAGAGAGTCCATACAGCTTAATAATGTCGCGCACTGCCGGTAAACGAGGAAGACTCATTGTTTGTGAATGATTGTACGTGTGTGTGTGTGTGCGGGTTTGGGAATTCAGGACTCTTTATTTTCTTGTTTGTTCAATTTCGACTGCGGAGGCTTAATTCGGATTGAACGCGCCCAAACTTTCCAACATGCCCAAAATAGAAATAACAGAGAACAATTTGAAAAAAAACAATCAGGTTCATGTGGCAAAGGAAGAGGCGCATTTCCATGTCAACCAAGTTGCATAATCCAATACCTTTTTTCTGCCCACTATAGCCAATTTGGAAATGATTATCATAGGTGCATAAAAAAAAGAAAATGCCAAATAGCATGCGCAACAATGTTGCATTGTTTTTTTGTTATTCAATTCCCTGGTATAGAAACGAATAGTCGTGGCGTAAAGTCCATCTTTCCATTTTGCCATCATCATCAGATTCGGTCACGAGAGAAAGTATGAACGAAGCTGGGCATCCTCAACCCGGAGTTTGAATGTCTGCTCAATAACGAAATCCCCTCCCCGCCGCTCCACCTTGTTGTCGTGACAAAGACCTTTCTTCCATCTCTTTTACTTCTTTGCATGGGATATCAGCAACGTATTGAGGATTTGCTGAAATTGTGTCAAAGTGCATGGGTGCCTCTTCAAAGTCTTCATGCCGTGAGCGAGGCCGATGCAGAAACCGTGCACAAGTTCAGTCGAGCCCTTCGAGCCGGCATCAAGCAGCTCGTCCAACTTCAAGATGCTCTCGACGAAAACCATCTCCTCGTGACGGATCCAGCCTGGATGACCAAAACCGACGCTATACTGGACGATGTACGGAAAACCCTTCATGAAGCTATGCAAGGTAGATCATTCATTGGTAAAACCATGCAACCATGATGATCGTTAACTCAAGGGTGTTTTTTTTTGTTGCGGTTTAGTGAGAGAAGAGTTGTCCGGCAATTCGTCCGATGCGTGCCACGACTTACCACTCCCCATCATTAACGACACCACTTGCTTTATCGAACCATGTCCTATTGCCACCAAATCCACTCCTCTGCAGAAATCATTTCCGTCTCTATTAAGCCCAAAAATGGAAACTCCATTCTTGTCCCCCCATCACAACCTCGCCATCAACGACCCTCTTTCCGACCACTTGGGTGAGCAAACTTTTTTTTAACTGTAAACAAAAATGGTCGAGGAGACATTGTAACCCCCTGAACAGATACGGTGAACGTTGAAAAGACACTACGGACGTCCTCGCGTGAATCAGGTGCTGTTATGCCTGGTGTCGAAAGCGGGCGTGGAAAATCCAATGTAACACCTTCATCCATACCACAACAAGAACGTCTCTCCTCTTCAGTACAACCACGTCCCTCCGTATCATCACAAACCCTTCAACTTCCTTCCAATAGACGACTTTTACCCGTAAGTGTCGAGCCATGAATGCATACGATGGGGTTTTTCGTGATCTGTAAATATTGATGGTTTTCCGTTTGAATTGTTTTGCGTGTTTATTTGTTGATCTTTATTTGGGGGGTTGCATAGCCTGATCCTCTTGTGGAAGCACGGATCGAAGCAGAACGCGGTAGTAGATTACGGTTACCATTACTCAAAGGCATCAAATCTTCGCGATCCACACCGCTACCGAGTGAACAGGCCAAGATCAACTTTTACAAAGATGACGAGGACGATAAAAATGGATACGGAACCCTGTTTGCATCCGACGCCATGGTCAGCCATCCGCTGCGTATAGGTATTGGGTAAAGTATCATGAGCCAAATTTCTTGGAGGTCGGCTTGATAGCAACTGACTCAAAATTGGGCAACACGATAGTTACGGAAGTTATATTTGTTACAGCTGTACCATTTTGAGCTCAAAGGTAAACATTTTTTTTCTGCTCCAACAGAGAGCGAGGTCGATGGGCGGGTAGGACGAGTCATTGAGACCATGGATATCTCTTTCTTTTAGGGACCCCCGATCGTTGTAAGAAAGCGATATTCGGATTTTGTATGTTTACGAGAAGCTCTGGTCAAGCAGTATCCACACATGAAGAACAGTATACCAAAACTGCCGCCTAAAAAGGTTGTAGGTAATGTATACTATTTGGCCAATGAAAATTCACGTAGAAGCAAGAGTGCTGACCGTGTCATTTTTCTTTTTCATAGGCAAGTTTACACCGACTTTTGTAGAGCAACGAAGGCGTGAATTAGAGTATTTTTTCAAGTACATTGTGCTACATCCTTCGTTGGGAGCCAGCCCCATTGTCAAGCAGTGGATCGCTCCATAAATTTTCCAAGAAGAAAAAAAAACTCTCCACCAATAAAATGAGTCACGTCACAGAACACTCAGTCAGCTACGGGCCGCTTGACCGTTCAGCTTAGAGCGTTTTTTTTCCCTTTCCCTTTTTTTTTCCTTTTTTACTTTGCACTACTAGGCTGTTGTTTTATAATTGATCGCCATTATGGGAACCACAGCTATGGATCTTGACTCGTCCCTCGATGATATTATCAAGAAGAAGAAGGAACAAAAACACAAGCCTAAACCTGCAGCAGCATCGCAAAGAAATCAAGCACCTTTTGGAAGACGTAACACCGCCAATACCAACAATGTCCGAGGCAGATTAGCTGTCAGTAACCGATCAAAAGTCATTGGAAAATCAACACAACGAAACCCCCCTAGTCGTGTGGTATGTTCCATTCCCCAAGCGTTGAAAATAAAAAAGTGGCAGATTGGAGATTTTGAGGTACCAGGTGGATATTTAAACTTTTTTTGTTTTTTTGACATAGGTGCCGAGCCGTCCATTGACGACGGCTGGTTTTGGTAAAGTGAATCGAGGTGTACCCAAGGCCGATCCTGCCAACATTGTTATTACCAAAGCCGTGAGCCGTAGTCCGGCCGGTCCCAAAGCTGGCACGGCAGCTATTGGTCGTTTCGAAGGACGTTTGGGTAAGCCATCACAGTCAGCACCACGAGCACGAGCACGACCTGGTTTCGAAACGACGACACCTCCTGCTCGCCCTGTGTATGAACCTGTGCCTTCCGAACCCGCATCACAACAGAGATTCACCATTCGCGGCATTGCACATACAACCTCTCCTGGCTTGTCTATTCGTGGTGAAGCCGGTCCCGCCACCGTTCTCATTAGCAATTTGGATCCTGGCGCCAATGCCGAGGATGTAAAGGTAAGCCTTGGGAATATATAAAGTCACAACACAGGGAAGATTCACTCATGGCGCCTGTTTCCATCTTTTTTTTTTCTTTTTCTTGAACTGTTAGACCGCATGCCAGCAGTTTGGGCCTGTGAATCATGTGGAACTGTTGATGGATCGTTACGGTCGATCGTACGGTGAAGCCGAAGTCGAGTTTAGCAACAAAGCATCGGCGTTGCAGTGTATCACAAAATTGGATAACGAGATTGCTGATGGTAAGAAACAAAAATGGTTTTTGTTTCGTTGGTGAAAAGTTTTGATTGATTTGAATCCTTGCGATAGGTCGTGTATTGCGTGCGATTCTAAGAAACAAACCCGCCGGGGTCAGCAGTGGAAGCTCGGCTGGCGGCTTCGCAACGCAATCCGTTCGTTCCATGGTCGCTCCTGTTCGCTCGGGTTTTGGAACAGCAAGGTAGATCTGAAAAGTTGACATCTTCGTCGGGTGTAATGTTTGTATTAAACCATTTTGTAGTTCGGGAAAAATGTACGCTGATCACGTCATTCCTACTGGCCCTGCCGCTGGTTCTTATGACCAATCGCACCATTACGATGCCTACAGTAGAAGTGGTAGCAGCAGCAGTTCCAGACGTTACTGAAACGCTGGCCGGTGAAAATAAAATGCCCGGATATTATTGTACATGAAAACGCAGATTGGACAATGGGGAAGAAAAAAAAAAGAAAAAGAATCAAAAAGGGATGTTCGTGTCGGCCATGTTCGTGTTGAACCTAGACACCAAATTGGAAACTCATTTAATAAGCATTATGAAATAAATAAATAAAAAAGAAAAGAAAAAAGGTTTCTTTGATCCATCGTACGTTGTACAATTCAGACTTTGGAAGGGCTATTTGCTTTTGGGCTCTGGGCGATTCTGTTTCTTTTTGTAAAACTTCTGCATATATTCGGCATCTTGGAAGAGAGCGGTGATTCATTGACTTTGGTCGTTCAAGCGGGAAGGTCAAAAGAAACAATAGTCACGGATGCGGACAATTCGTTGCCCTGTGTGCATGTGTGTATGAAGGGGTGCACTCTTTTTATTCCCTTTCTTTGCATCCTCGAATCATGTCGATAATAAAGGACTTTGCTACCGAAGTCCTGTTGGCCTACAATGCACACGACGATCAACGATTTGCTCAGCTATTCCAACTTGGAGCTAACAACCATGTCGTCGTCGTTCTTCAGCAAGAACTTGTCAAAGTAAACCCATCCACACACACATTTGGCTCACGGTCGCGTCCTTTTGGTATTAAACGAAATGGCTGTTCCTAGATAAACGATATCCAGCTGGAGGAAATGGTGGCTTCTGTGCTTGAAGAAACGTCCAATGCCCTCGCCGAATTCGTGCTAAGCTACCTACAATTACTACGTAACATGGGACACAGCAGCCTTGGTCACACTTTCGACTACTTTGCCAGCTTTTACAGGTAAGCAGCATCGATCGTTTTGTGGCATTTCTGGAGACACTCACCGAAATAATTAAGTGCTTTGATCCCCGTATTCAACGGTTCAGAGACACATTACCAAGTACCGTTGATCAAGACCATGTCGTCGGCCCTTGTCCAGTTAGCTTTCAAGGTACATACACAGCAAATTGGGTTGGCATACGAGTCACTTATCAAAATGTGTGTTTCCATGAGCCAGGTCGACTTTCAAGAACAGTTAAAAGGCAAAGCGCGCAAAGCCAACGATGCGGCTCGATTATTATCAAAAATGTTTAATATCATGCTCGCTGATCGGTAAGGCCCCAAAAAAATTTGGGTCAGTGTCCGTTCCTTCAGAGTGGTAACCTAGACTATGCAGATCACCGATGGAAACATCCAAACGCCAAGGCATCTTTTACGTTACCAATCTCGCTTTCAAAGTGTATTTCAAGGTAGGTCGTCTCGTCAAGCATTCTCAAAATAAAAACTGTAGAGAACCCTCGTCCATACCAACACTTTTTCTTTCTTTCCTTGCCTAGCTCAACTCTGTACGTCTATGCCAAACCTTCATTTCCAACATTCGTACGGGCGAAGTCGATCTTCGTGAATTCCCAATGGCCCAGCAAGTGACTTACCGATACTATCTCGGACGCTATTTCTTATACCAAAACCGATTGCGCAAGGTAAATGGAAGAATTTAGGTCATGTTTCGTCCATCCATCAAATACTTACACCCACGGTGCTTGCGATTCTGTAGGCAGAGGATCATTTACGATTTGCTTTCGAGAAATGTGCAGCGCCTTGCTGGAAAAACAAACGGTAAGTTAAAAAAAAGGACATTGAGAGTGAACGGAAGGAATGACCTTTTTTCTTATATGCTTTTAGATTGATCCTTCAATATCTTATTCCTACACGGTTGCTATTGGGCCGGTTCCCAATGCCACAACTCTTAGCGAAATATCAATTGCAAGAACAATATTTACCGTTGATTGTTCATCTGAAATCAGGCAATATTGCCGGTTATATGAGCCATATCGATCAACACTTTCATTACTTTTATTCCACCTTTACCTACATGATGCTGCGAGAACGAGGCACGGTACTGTTATGGCGATGTCTGATTCGCAAGTTGTAAGTGGAAACAAGCAGAACGACGGATGATGAAATACGCTGACCGTTTCGCTTTTCAATGCAATGCAGATACACCATCATGAGAATTTCCAATGCAGCCCATATTGCTCTCAGTTTTGAAACGTGCTTGAAAGCATTGCACTTTTCATCTCAAGACACAACCTTGGATTTACGCGATATGGAATGCATATTGGTATCACTTGTGAGCCAGGTAAGAAAAAAAAATTGCTTCAGTCCAAAGTCACTTGTAACTGACTGGACAATGACTAGAACTATATACGTGGCTACTTGCATCATCAAAAGCATCGTCTTGTGTTGAGCAAAGTCAATCCATTTCCTCCTGTTAGTCACATCCGGGTACACACAGAACGTTACAACGAAGAACTTGTCGAAGCCCACCTTGACGATCATCAACCTGAAATCCCCATGGAAATCCAGCAACTCCTGGACGAATAATTAAACGAAATGCAACATTTTATCATTACTTTTTTTTTCCTTGCAATGAATCCCATATGTCATTCATGAGTCCAGTAGTTGTATACAAAAATAAAATAAAATAAAAAAACTCAAGAGCATTGTGCAATGAAATACAAGGTATTCCTATTACATTTATTTGGAAATCTTTTTATGGGGGCATAATGGAGAAATAGTCACAGGATGATCCTTTAAACAATGCGAATACAGTAAAAGGGACAATTTTTTTTTCCTTTGGGTAAAAAAGGAATGGAGGAGCAGTTTAACCGCCGAAACCGTAGAGGGTGCGACCTTGTCTCTTGAGAGCGTAAACGACGTCAAGGGAAGTGACAGTCTTTCTCTTGGCGTGTTCAGTGTAGGTCACAGCATCACGAATGACATTCTCCAAGAAGACCTTCAGAACACCGCGGGTTTCTTCGTAAATGAGACCAGAGATACGCTTGACACCACCACGACGAGCGAGACGACGAATAGCGGGCTTAGTGATACCCTCTATTACAAAAATATGAAACGTTCAACGTAAGAGAAAGGGAAAGACAGAAATGAATAAAAGTAAAAACGATGGTCGATGATGACACTTACGGATGTTGTCGCGAAGAATCTTGCGATGACGCTTAGCACCTCCTTTTCCAAGACCTTTACCACCTTTACCACGACCAGTCACTGAAGTATCAAAGAAAAAAAAGAAGAGTTGAGTAAAGGTATTAAAGTAAACAGTGAGAATGGTATATATACTTACTTTTTTTTGTGAGAAAAACAAAGAAGAGAAAAACGAAATCGGAATCGCGCTTTGACGTGATTATATACCAATTTTTTTTTCTTGCTCCTCCCTTGTGATGACGCTAAACACGTTTCTTTGCCGCGCGAGAGGAGGCAGGTCCGGCCCTGTTTTTTTATTTTCATTTTTTTCTTATTTTGCTTCTCAGCTGATTAACGCGTTAGCGGGTGTCGCGTTCGTGGCAAGCGCGTCTCGATGAACAGATCAACACATCAATCCATCCGTAACATCATTCTGCCGTATTATTAGTCATACATGTGAGATGGAATGTTTACGTGAGTAGAGAATAAGGGCCTATATTATGTATAATTGACAGATGGTCTTTTTCCTTCCCAAAGACGGTCCACAGTCGTGGAGTTTGAAATGGACATTGGCTGCATCACAGGGACAAGTTTCCGATGGTGATGGAGCTCATCAAAAGCAACAAGACTTATTCTGATACTCCTATCATCACAGCACAGTCAAAGATAGTTTATCAGAATTCAAGATGGTATGGTAAAACTCCTTGTTTACTACTCATTGTTTATTTTTTTGTCCGTGCTGGCACGAGAGAAAATCTCATGCAACGGTCAACAAGCTTGAAGTTCCAACCGCACAAAGTCCAGTATAATCTCCCTCTGTGGTCATCTTTCACAGGATATCAAACAAAAAAGGTAGGAGGAGGATTTTCTTGGAGAGGAACTGGTACTCAAAGCTATGCTAGAAACATCATGATGAAGATCAGAGTATAGGAGTGACAAGGCACGCTATGATCAATAATCGATCCATTACTTTGACGCTATCATTTTTTTGCCGTAAGCCGTCATTTGGTGCTCGCTCGATCAAAGAGTTTGGCAAACCAAAAAAAAAAGTATGCTGCTTCTTTTGAACGTTTACGACAAGCCAACACGGTTGACGAGTGAGACGCATTCTATTCACTGCCATACTCTAGTCAGAGAACAAGCGAACCCAGGTTCACAGTGGATCATAAATGTTCGTCCCTTCGTCATGAGCAAGGCATCGTCTGTTTTGTGTAGTGAACAGCTCAAAGCTAAAAGGGCATGACTAATCGATTAGCCACGCAGCCACGAGGCCACTGGGGCACATGAGACCATGAGGCTAGTGAGGCCCTGTATCCAAGCGCGTTGGTCAGGTATTTCTTGCCAAAGGCAGAAACGAAAAGCAGATGAAGATGATATGGTGAATGACCCAATTTATGGAGAAAACATCAGAGAAGGGAAGGGAGCCCGTTGGGAAATAGAGAGATTATGGATGAATGGGCCCCCTGTGCCCATCCTGTCCATGAAACGTCACCTTTTGAAAAAAAAATGCCGTCAAGTTTTTTTTTTCTCACTCCACCGTCCCCTTTTTTTTTTATCTTTTACGTTTTTTTCTTCCTTTCCTTTTTTCTTCTTCTTCTTGTTCTTTATCGTTTATTGAAAAAAAAAATGGCACGTACCAAACAAACTGCTCGCAAATCTACTGGTGGTAAGGCTCCTCGTAAGCAGTTGGCTACCAAGGCTGCCCGCAAGTCGGCCCCTTCCACCGGTGGTGTCAAGAAGCCTCATCGTTATAGACCTGGTACCGTCGCTCTCCGTGAAATTCGCCGTTACCAAAAATCCACGGAACTCCTTATCCGTAAGCTTCCTTTCCAACGTCTCGTTCGTGAAATTGCTCAGGATTTCAAAACCGACTTGCGTTTCCAATCCTCCGCCATCGGTGCTCTTCAGGAAGCTTCGGAAGCTTACCTTGTCTCCCTCTTTGAAGATACCAACTTGGCTGCCATCCACGCCAAGCGTGTCACCATTCAACCCAAGGATATCCAGTTGGCTCGTCGCCTCCGTGGTGAACGCTCTTAAATCACTCCATCCGTCAACCACTTTCTACCCATAAAACCCCCAAGCAATAAAAATTTGCACACTTGCTTTATGATCAGCTTTGAAATTCTGTTTTTTTACCTCAACGATTGAGTGCTTATTTTTATTGCTTATGTGAAAAAATCTGAACGGTATGATATGACGAGGCTTGGGTGCCTGTGCAACTGACTCCAAAATGCTCATTATCATTTTTAAAAAATAAACGCGTCAAAAGTATAAAGGCGGCCGGCGTGACTTTTTTGCAAATCGCGATGGTTTTTGATCGCGTTTATCGCGCAATGAAAATCTTTTTTTTTTTTTTTTCTCACAGAAACAATGGACAAAGGGCTGTGCGTGAAAAAAAAAAGCATAACAGGGATTCGTCTTGGATGATCCGTCCATGGTTTTTGCTTCGTCTACGTTTCTTACTTATTACTATTATCATGATTCAATACATAACTTGGTCATCCCAAAATTGCATTATCAATGTTTCACATTCATGATTACGCGTTCAATCGCCACTGATGTTTATAACGACCATTGCTTATGAGCACAGCTTTTTTGAAGTTCAAGCCTTACAGCGGCTTTCCATCGGTTGAAGTCCGTGAGTCATTGCTCGCGCTAATGAACTCTTTGATAGCCTTCAGCTGCAACCCAACCCAGCCATTAGGTTGTTATGATGACTTTCCGCTTCCTTGACAATCCATCTGTGGTCCATGGAGAATCGCTCTCGTCATACTCCCTTACTATCATAATATGTTTTACTCTATATTTTTCTACTCGACGATAAATCAATACGATCAAAAGCTAAAAAGTTATATGAAGGGGGAAAAGGGCTGCTGCCAAACGAGCCATTTTTGTTCCAATAAGGCGCTGTAGACAGGCAACCGTCGGCTTTAAGTATGTATACCATGAAACATGTTACGGCTCATCAAAGCCGGTCGCCATGGAAGTATGACAATAAGCGGCAAAACTGTGAGCTGTGCTGGCGTTTAAACGCGACCCCATTTTTTTACTTCCCTTTCAGCCGAGTCAATCCTACAGTGCACCAACCACACTGAGCCAGCGAGCGATCACAGATGTAACGAAAAATGCGCACCGTGTAGATATATGCGTTTTGGATGTGTGTGTGGAGGGGATGGGGATGAATGTTTTTCGTTGTTGTTGCTCGTGGTGTTTCTCTGTGAGCCGTATACGCGCCAAAGATAGCTTGCAAGTGGCCAGGTATACTTGACAAATAGGGAGGAAAACTCTGTGATGAAAGCAAATTTTTTTTCCATCGCAGTTCCAAAAACAATAGTATGAAGAACGACGATGATTTCCAAAGAAGAGCAAGATCGATTTTCACAATGGGATTCTATTCCGTCAGTTTATGGTCAATGTCTCAAAACATCTTTTTTTCCGCCTTGTTAACTGTTTGCATGGTTGACAGCTAGGGTCGATCAATGATAAAACCATATACAAAGGATCGCCATCACACATAGTGGGGAGTTTTACTCCAAAGGTGGTCTAAGCGTCATGGTACTCGTCAGAATCAGGTCATGAGGGTTCAAAAAAGACTATAATGAATGGTTTCATTAAGCCGGTTTCAGGAAGGAAAAAAGAAAAATTGGTGAGCCGCCTGTAATGGTTGAAACAAGAAGTACTCAATTTTGTACTAAGCGCAAAATATTCGGGCTATTCTAGAAACTTCAAGTCAGTTTCTATACTAATCCAAAAAGCTCCATGACAGACAGTATGGCCAAAGATGTCATTGCCACACAGCCATTGTATTTTTCCTGTCCAAAAAAAAAAGGCTAAAAGCTCCATTTAGGCATCATAAAAAAAAACTTTTACCCAATAGAAAAAATCATTCTATTTTTCCATTTAAATTAACATGGGACATTGTTCAACGGGTGGCTGTAACTTGACCATGAGGATCAAAGTCATGGTCAAAACGACGAGGCAGAATTGAACAACTCTAAAAACGATGTCCTCACCGAGTAATCGGTACTGGCTTACGTTTGAGGAAACTTGATGAACAACACAGACGTTTCAGCTTGTCATAAATCACAGCTGGTTTCATATCTTAGGTTGAAAAAAAAAAAAAGGCAACCAGACACCTCTTTAAAACATCCGTGATCGTCGCCTTGGCGCTTTTTGTCACACTTCAGGCGCGAGGGGCTGTCTTTGTGTTTCCCATCAAGATAAAAACACGATAAGTAGAGTTATCAAGACGAAATAGTGTTCACTATTATTTTCCATTTTCTTTTTTTTTTTCTTCAGTAAGCATCTGACGACTGGCTTGCCACTTGGGATTTGTTGGAAGCTCCATGGGAAATCGAAAAAAGTAACATGCTTTTTTTTACGATTCCGTAGTTGCCTTTTTTTGACATTGACAGAAAAAAAAAACTTTTTTTTCAGCAGCCGCATAATTTTAAAGGCGCTCAACAGTGATTGGCTAAATTGCTTGGCTGTATGAAACCTCAACAATGACAGCTTGTGAGTTTGCAGGCTCTGGGAGGCTGCATAAGCGGTCTAATTTTTTTTTTGTCTATATAGAATTTTCATTTTTTTGAATCCACTTATATAAAGGATTTATCTTTTTTACTCGTTCTTTTGTTTCACTCTCTTTCTGAACGACTGCTGTTATTCATATATTTCTTTTTTGCAATAACTGTAAGTTACATATAATGAACTTGGCTATTGCATTGAATCCCTTTTGAAAAATACCGGGCAAAAAAGATAGTCAAGAGGGAAAACACATATGCATGGTTCAATTACCACTGGGCGGAGCTTCAGAATGACTGACGTTTTTTCCTTTTTTCCCTATTTTTTAGGCTCAAAAGAAAAAAAAGCTTTTGTCAACTTTTACTTTTTTTTCTCGATTGATCGCTCTGCTTTACTGCACTTTTGAAAAAGAAAAAAAAAAAGGGAATCTACAGCTTTTTTTTTGGTTTCACGGTTTTTCATTACTCTCTCTCTTCGACGCACGAAAAACAAGCTTTTTATTCTTTTTTCTCTCGCTTCAATTGAACGTTTCTCTATCTTTATTCATGGACGCCAACGCTCTGTCAGAATGTAGGTTGCACAAAATATGCTGCTTGTGTAATTCCACGTGTCTCATTGTTTTTTCTGTCATCAACAAAACAAAACAAAAAAAAATAGTGCCTGCTGTACGGCTTGCTTCAGGTGTCGAGCCACAACAGAAATGGTTAATGAACGCTTCTCAAGATACGACTCAGAAACATGGAGATGCTCCCAAGCTTATAGATATGTCGCCGTCCCGTGGCAATGAAGGCACCATCATCACTGTGGTGGTTCAAGCCTTACCGTCTCAAATGCCGGTCAAACTCGCTTTCAACAGCCTAGTGGTCGATACAAAGCAAATGCAAGCACAAGGCATTACTTCTCTCGTCGCTACCGTGCCTCCGTTTCAACAAACTCATTCCGCTTCGCCGGCCGTCCCCATCTCGATCTGTTTCCTCGACAAAGACATGGTCACTGAAACATGGCTCGTTGCTGAATTCATGTATATGCTCAACGACGCTATGAAGTACGAACGAAAACGAAGTATCTCCTTTTCCATGGACGATTACACCGCCAAACGTCCCGAACGAGGTAAGCATTCCCGAGCTCTTTTTAATCATGGCACGACCCATTTTTTTTTCCCTGAGGAAATGATGTCATGGCATGCTTTTTTTATTATTATTATTGTTCTGACCTTTATTATTTCTATCTTTTCGGTAGACAGCTTTTCGGGATCTTATCAAAACTACTATCAATCTTCGCCCGCTCAACCTCAAGCCGATCCATCTTGTGCTTATGGTTTCAATCAAATGTCACCTTATTCCTACTCTTATCCAAGAGGTAAGAAAGAACCCGAAAAAAATATTTTTTCTTTTTCGAACTGAGCTGTTGACCCGATTTTTTTTTTGGTAGCGGACTTTTCTACAGCGCAGCAATCACCTCAGCAAATCAGTCAGCATCGACCTTCATTGCAGTCGAGTGGCCGTTCCGCTGTAGGCAGTGCGTCGTCTGTGACGGTGCCTAATGCCTCCATGAATTTGTATGGTGCCAATCAAGGATTCACCAATATGCTGACGGGCGGTTTGGAACAGAACACCATGATGCCATCCCCGCTGCAGTCAAGTCCCTCTTCCATGTATGGCTACAAGTCCAACGCTCACACCCCTACAACCCCGGTAGCCAATTATCAACCGTACCCTGGGTTGGTGAGTCGGGCCAATTTGAACATCATTGGCGATCTGGATGCCATGACCAAAAGTTGGGCTCAAGAAGAATGGGATAACCGTCGACGTCTTGTCCAGTTCTGGCGTGAACAGACGGGAAACAAGATCAGCTGCAGTTTCACCGCTGTGCCTCAGGGCGAACGAGCCACGAAATCCGGCAACATTGTGGTGTCATGCATCTACTGGATGGAGCGCAACGATTTCTTCATCACTTCGGTCGACTGTATCTATCTGCTGGAATGCTTAATGGATATCCGTTTCAGCGTGGAAGAAAAGAATCGAATTCGTCGTAACCTCGAAGGTTTCCGTCCTCTCACTGTGAGCAAGTGCAAAGCTGATAGCAGTGAATTTTTCAAGCTGATCATGGGTTTCCCCAATCCCAAACCGCGCAACATTGAAAAAGACGTCAAAGTGTTCCCATGGAAAACTTTGCCCTATGCACTGAAGAAGATTGTCACCAAATACACGGCGTCTTCCTACAACCCGTCATCGACGTCCTCAGCTTCGGCCATGACCAAGCCCCGTGTTCCGAAACCTGAACATTATTATCAAACTCCCATGCAAGCTCCCAACTCTCGACAACAACCACAACCACCCCAACAACCACAGCCCAGCTTTTACTCACCGTCATCCCAATACGGTATGCCTGCCCCTACTTCGAACCCACTGTCTGGCAAGAGTCCTCACATGACTGGTGCTCAGTCCAATCCTAGTTACAGTCCTTCTTCTTTCGGCAACTACGGTATGGTCAATGTCCCGACTACCACCGTTCCCAGTGCATCGGATCCCATGAATCAGCCCGGATTAGCACCTCACATGTCTCCTCATCAATCATCTCCACAACAACAACATTCCGCTCGCGAATATCATCGCAAAATGGGCGAACAGGTCTTGGCCAACTTGAACAATCAAGGTGTACAGAACTGAACAAGAACAGTAAAAACTAATTTGAAGGATTTCGACCATGATTGTCATCTTTTTTTTTGCTTTTTCCTTTTCCCTTTGAAAAAAGTCCATCTTATTTCTTCTTTCTTTCTTTCCTTTTTTATTTTAGCATTTTGAATTTGTTATGATGTACATAGTCCTTAATTTCTTTCTTTACTCTCGTTTTTTTTTCATCATCTCTTTTCTATAGTGATTTTTCTTGTACTATTTAGCAGTGCTTTAAAAAATGAATCCTTCCGTGCGCTTATCAAATTAAAACTCGTTTTACTATGCTTTCAAATATATGTTACAGTTGCTGCTGCCAATGAATACAAGTTTGCTGGGTATCTTTCTTTTTTTATCGGATCTGTTGGGTTGAGGGTCATCGTGACGATCAAGCTTGAAAATGATCCGATTTTTTTTAGACTGGGTAACTTCTTTTTTTCTTTTTAAAACCCAAATCCATGGATTTGGCATTGTAATTCAGAAGCAACTTCTGCTGGCTGTCATGGAGAGATGACAATACGTAGTGGACAAGTGAGCGTTGCCCGGTTCATCGGATCGTGGCACCGGCAGTGAATCGAAACTGATTGACTTGTGAATCTATTATACTCGAACTCTGGGGATTTCAAACAGTTCCAGGCACCATGTCTTACGAAACCAAGAAACCGCAAATGGTCAACAAAAACTTTTTGATGCTGTGATGTGGGATGGGTCCCGAATCTGATGAAATAAACCTACTTTGATACTAGCTCTACTTTGGATCCTATAACTGACCCCAACATCTTACATCCAGCCCAAAAAGAATTTTTTTTTTTTCGATGGTCGGTTTCATTCCCTTCTGATCGATTTTCAACAAAAAGAAGAATGGAAAATGGAACAAAAAAATAAGTCATCTATGAATTTTATCGAATCAGAATTTTCTTCCAATGGAATTTTCCAGCTATCAGATCGCGTACAGCAACAACAACAACCACCACCAGCAGTAGCTGATTCTTTATGTGACGATATCTTCTATAGTGCGGAAAACCCTCGACTTTGCTTGCCTCTTCAAACCTCGACATGTCAATACACAGACAGAGTAAAAAAATTCCCACGATGCATTGGCGATCTTTTTGATGTAACCAAAGCACAGGGTATCACTTTCATATCAACATTACGATTTCATTTTATATTACATTTTTTTGTAAATAAACTTTTTGGGTAACCCCCTATCCTAGAAAATTACATATGAAAGCCTGTACTGCACAGTATCAGCACAAGACAATTAGTTTATCGACTGCAGCGTGGATTTACAAAGGTCTCTTTGAAAAGACGGGTTTCCACCAGTTGTTTTGAACACCGGTCTTGTACCATATGAGCATGCCAACGAGGAGAGTCAAAAGTGCCAAAGAGGCAAAACTCATGCATTTGTTGTAACGCCGATACATCTTTTTTTCCATCATGTAATTATCTTGGCGACGGAACCCCGCTCCCATTCCGTCGTCCTTTTCCTTCATCCACAGGTAACGTGCACTGACACGACCGTTGGCCAACAGCGAAGGATGCACCATCATTACCATTGCAGGGGGTGGAAGCGTCGGTTCCGCCACCACCGTTTTTTCTGATGGCGAAAACCCCCTCGAATCGGATCCCAGCATTGATAAAGGACGCGATAAGAACCACTGACACGATGGATCATGTGTGTGACTCATCTTGTCGTCTTCCTCGTCCTTTTCTTCTTTGATTAGAAACGCCCCGATCCACCAGCATGGAAAAAAGAGAAAACCAAACAGAAACAACATGGACTGCGTGTGAAAGACAGGGACGTGAGTGGAGGTGGGTGGCAATGGATACTTTGCCGATGACAAAGAGGAGGGCCGCGTCGTATTAGACAATGAAGAAATTGTCATCATGGTTTGGCGAAACAGTTTGCTGGTAAAATCATCCTCTCTCGATTCCATGGCGGTGGCGGTGCCGATGGCGGTGGAAATTGATCCGCTCGTAGACAGTGTTCGGGTCGGAGAAGGTTTTCTTGGGCTTGGTCTAGTCATTGAATGATGGCGTTGGTTCGCCGTCTTTGGTTTTCGACGGACATCGGTGGTGGAACGACGTTTCAGTAATCGCATGGCTTGTTGCATGGTTTTGCTGTGAACTGTCCACTGCAGGATCTCGGTCGATGTAGGATAACTGCGAGGTCGAGGACGCCGTGGCGATCGTCGAAAGGAACTAGGCCGACTCGAAGACCGTGTCGTCCAATGAGACGATGCAAACGAGAAAAATGCTGAACTTCGTCGACTCATCCTGGCAGCCTCCAAAACAATAAAGATTTCAAAAAGAAAGGATGAACTCCCAAATGAACTCATTATCCCCTCATATAAAGTGCCAGCGTAATTTGGCTTATTATTTTTTTTTCCTCAAAGAATGGGTTACTTTATTAATATTATTATTTCCGGGGCGCCTCTCCTTTTTTCTTTTTTGGCACAGAGGTCCGAGCGTTCATCGCTACTTTATTTTAATGTCCAAGACTTTTCGTTTCGCTTCCCCCTGACACTGTTCCTGAAGAGATGAATATCCCCTAAACTGCCAACATTTAACAAGATCCCGAATCACTGTGCACTCCTTGGTTTAGCTTTTGCCTTCTTCTTTTTTTTTTCTTTTAATGACTGAATAACGAAAAAACTATTGCGGTGGTTCATCCAACACTTGACCATCGACATCTAAAAATCCGTATTCTGAACAAACTTGCACGACTTGTTCAGCGTCGGGGACGGCCATGGTGGCCAGTACTTTGTTGATCTCTTCAATGTCTCCTGTTTCCAGGGCCTTTCTGAATTTCTCGGGAAGCGCTTGGTATACTTCGAAAACGCCCTTCTCTTCTTCATTGGACGGATCAGGAATACGCACCGTCAGTTGAGACCCTTCGTTCATGGGTTGCAATTGAATGGTCTCTTCACCCTGTTGCGCCTGCTCTTCTTGCAACACTTTGCATCGCGATTTTAAAAGTTTGTACGTGTCTTCAACATCCGTAAACAGCATTCGACGCGCTTGACCGTTTGTATCATGCATTCTAAAAAAGGCGAGAAACACAGTTTTAGCTTGATCTTTGGCACCACGATAAGTCGTGCACAGGTTTTTTTTTACCTGGTAAAGAAGAGTGATACACCATCACGGCCGAGTTTCAGGCAGTATTCCAAAGTTCGTGCCTGCAAAACGCAGTTCTTTGCGTATTCACTGTTACCTCCCAACTCGGCATTAAATGCTTCCAAAAGAATCGCATCGGCCGTCTTTTCATTGACAATGTCTTTATGTTGGCTGATATATTTGAAGCTCGGTTCAAAACCTCGAAGTTTTGAAAACTCAATGGCACGAGGATCGGTGTCCGGTGGAGCCTCATCGTCGTCACTGCCCACATCCGCGTCCGCGCCTGCGTCCTCCAGAGACTGTACAACACACACCACCATACCTTTGTTAGCTCAACCATATATTGCAAGCTGATGGACCAAGGCCTACCAAATCTTTCATTTGTACACCAGGATTCAACGTTTCAACCACCTTTTCCTTCTGTTTGCCCTTGGCAGCTGGTTTGCTGGGCTCCGAGTTTTCCGATTTGTTGATGATCTGTTCTCCACGTAAATGAGCGATGAAAAAAATAGAAAGGAAAGCTCAGTGATAGGCTATTTACCGTACGGTTGTGGGTTTCGTGAAACATATTCTCACTGGTCCATTTCTTTGATGCTTCCTTTTTTAACCGCTCCAACTCTTTGGCTCCTTCATCCACAGTTTTTTGTGTCGCTTGACGTGTTTGCTCCAATCGTTCCAGAAGAACTGTCTTGACTTGTTCAGGTGATGACCGTTCCAATCCTTCCTTGATTTGATCGACCATCTTTGAAAACACTTCTTCCAACGTGAATTGACCCTTGCCATCGAGTGTTGGCATGACCGCTTTGCCCATTTCTTGCTGTTTGACTAAATCGCGTTGCTCGGTCACCGCCGCTAATAAAGCATCGACCCCTTTTTCTTTCAGCACTGTAATGAGTTCATCCAACTTGGCAATATTCTTGGTCTGCTGTGGGATAAACTTTTCAATGTATTCCATCTTGGCTTTGCGCTCGGCTCGTTCCCGGTGAATGGCTTCTCGCTTCCATTTAATCATGGACCGTTTATCCACATTGGGATGCACTTCAATATCCGAGTCATCCGACAGTTCAATGTTGTCCCACTTGCTGTAATCTAGAGGCATAATAACAACGTGTCAAATCGCACCCGAAAAAATTGGAGGAAAGAACGATATGGAAACCAAAAGAACCCCCGACGCTGCTCGAAAATTTCAAAGTTGTGTCCAATGCACGTGCTCCATCATCGATCGCATGAAAAAAAAAAAAAAAAAGGAAGACGCGGACACCATTCACATTGTCGGTATCCTTATGTACGTATTCCAATACAATGGTTATGGACCAAGAGACATGACTTATGTAATTTGATGACTGTACTCGATGTATGCGTGTATCTTATATCGATCGTCTTACCGCAGCAAGATAAAGCAAAAAAGAACATTCAATTGATACAAAACTTTGTCCGCACACTTTTATTTGGAGAGAGAGTGAGAGGAGACAGAAAGAGAGGGAGAACAAGTCCATGGTTTATTCCAATCAATCGATCAATAAAAATGCATATGTCAAGCAAAAGGACTGTTTTTTTTTCTTGGCCATAATTATCGAGCTTTGATCCCCTCCCGTTTCCTTTTTTCCCTTCTTATTCTACTGGCCTTCCTTTCAACTCGAAATGCAAGTCTTTCTGTTCTGCGACAGATGGTATTTTTGATTTTGTTTCCAGAAATCAGATTACGATTTGCTGAACGAATGCATGAAAACACTGTTGACAGTCGTAATGTCATGATACCTCATGAAGAGCGAGATGACCTTCAGTTGTATTACGTGTGCCGTTACTGTCAATATCAACAAAAAGTGCCGAGCGGCTGCATTTACCATCATGACATTATAAAGCCATCGACGCATGTATTTGACGACAGAATTAGAAAGGAGACCAGTGTTCATTAGCAGGCTTATCGTCTTGAGTGTTTTTTTCTGTCAGTGACTTGACTGTGCCACTCTTGGATTGGCACCATGACCTTACTTTGGTAAGCATACCATGGCCAAAAAATAAAATTAAAAACCACGGGTCGATAACATTTTGATCGTCTCAGCCACGACGAACGATTGCTTGTCCGCGATGTGGTTTCACGACCGCTTTCTGCTTTGAAGCAGCCACGATAGGTCTCAAATCGAAAACAATGAAAGCCTGCCACCAATGCGCCAATGGAGCCTGCAACTTTCGTTGGTAGAAATCAATGCACACCGAGAAAAAACTCCACCCACTATCAAACTTTAAACGGAAAAAATGCCGAAAGAAAAAAATCCCAGCTTTTTCTATATGTATGACGTTGCCCAGAAATTTGGCTGAGAAATCGGCAACCAGCAAAAATCGGAAGGGTATTATAGTTTAGTCTCTTTTTTTTTCGTTCCTATCCTTTTTCTCTTCTTTCTTATTTTCATATTGATATCGAGCCAACAAACATGTCATCGTCTGTCAATCAAAAAGCCAGAAGAATCGCTGTACTCGGATCTCGAGCTGTCGGTAAATAAGTACGAAATAAAAAGATGCGTTTTCAGTCTGTTGTAACATTTCCATTCCGCAGGTAAATCCTCACTGGTGATTCAATTCTGCGAGAATCACTTTGTCGACAGCTATTATCCTACCATTGAAAACACATTCACAAAAACCATCAAATATCGCGGCAATGGTAAGAACCGGAAAAAAAAAACAACATGAGAAAGAAGAAAAAGCTTGACTGACGAATACTGTCTTTTCGGCGTAACAGAATATACGGTAGAAATTATGGACACAGCGGGTCAGGTAAAAAAAAAAAAAAAAAGGGTGACCCATGATGTGCCCAGTGCTTTTTTTGTATGTTTAGAATCAATCGTCATAACACATTGCCGGTAACTTTTGATAGGATGAATATTCCATTTTATCTTCGCATCATGCTTCCAGTGTGCACGGTTATGTTTTGGTCTATTCCATTGCTTCTCGCTCCAGTTTCGATATGATCAAGATCATCCGCGACAAGATTTTGGATTATACCGGCTTGGAAACTGTGCCATGCGTGATTGTCGGCAATAAATCCGATTTAAATATTCAAAGGTAAAGAGAAAAAGTGGGCTTTTTTTTTTTTTCGTCAACTTTTGCTGTGGCCAAGTGATGTAATAATATTTTTCGGGGAATAGACAAGTATCACAACAAGAAGGAAAAGATCTCGCACAACAATGGGGATGCCCTACCGTCGAAACCTCGGCCAAACATAACGAAAATGTTGGTAAGTAGAGATTCGTAGCCCGTGAATGCCCGACAATGGATTGATCGAAAATCGCTTTTTAGCCAAAATTTTTGATATTCTGATCGCCACGATTGAAAAAGCAAATACTCCTCCTTCCGAGGAAAAAGGTGCATGTGTGATTTCTTGAAAATGTCCATTCATCATAGAAGAAGAAGAAAGAAAGAAAGAAACTGCCATGAATATCCCTTTTTTCCCTTACGATACATTGATCTATCCCTCTCTCTCTCTCTATCTCTCTCTCCTCGTTGTCCCTTCTTTTTCCTTGTTCGTTTCATGTACATTTTTCTTTTATCTCGGATTATATGGAAAAGAACAAACTTTTCTATAAACCTGTTGCCTTTTTCACTATGTAAATGCATCAATGGGAAGGAGGGGCCTTGAGATAATGCGATGGTCTCTGTCGACAAAAAAAAAAAACGTACAATCATCCTCTCTTTTTTTTTTCTTTTATATGGTAATAAATAACAATGGTAGGGATCAAAAGATGGGTATATATAAAATATATTTATCATGGGGCAGAATCTTTGCCCTTGTTCGTCGTCGATCGAAGTTTGGTTCGGGACGTTTTGGATGATCCATGGTGGCAAATCACACATACATTTTGCGACTCGCCAAGTTGCAGCTGTAAACAGTGTTGATGGAAAGCGTGGCCGCAGTGGAAGATGGCGATATCTTTCTCTGCCGTGTCTTGCACATCTTCTGTCGCCTCGTCTTCGGCATCCAAATTCCACGCTAAAGGAGGTTGGAGCAGAGAGATATCCAAAATGCTGGCCCCACAGATAGGGCACACCGCTCGTGTTGGGCCCCAACCACGCCCTTTCTTCCGTACCATTTCTTGTACACCACCATAGAGGTCGCGTTCAAACAACCGGTTCGTCATCTCCAGCAACTTCCCTTCATATTTATACGTATCCAGCATCGTTAGAAAGAAATGCCGGAAATCGGCAAATGTGGTCTCACCGCGGGTTTGCGAATGAACCAGTCGTAGGAGCAGATGTGGCAACGAAATCTGCGGCGACGTCGAGAGGAGAAGCGAAGTAAAAATCGACTGAATAAACGATTTAAAAGAGGTAACAATGTGTTGGTACAATCCGGCAGGCGTGCAATCGGTCTTGTCTTGACCCCGAAGTACATTCAACACATTGTACACTTCAATGGAAGATTCCACGTAAGCGTCCAACAACCTGAACCACAGTGATTCCACTTCCTCATTGCCGTATTTCGTGACTTTTTGAGGTGTTGCATCGTCAGCGGGAACGGTGTTTTCGGCCGTATCCTCTCCGGTGTCTTTGACAAATCCGGAAGAGGAGGATGTATCGATAGAAACAGCGGCTTTTTCTTCTTCTTCCGCCTCTTCCTCTTCTCCCGGTGATCCGATCATCGCCACCGGTCGACTGCTGTTCTCACATAGTCGTGTGCCGACGCGAAGCACGCCTTTGAGGCCAATGAGACAGCTGCTGATAATGGTTTGTTCTTCAAATGTACAGACGGCCGATGCCGATGCGGTCGATTCTCGTTCGCTTAATACTTGTTTATGTCGTTGCAGGATTTGAAGAATGAACGATACATTTTCACGCGCCACTTCCAGCATTTTGTCCAGAGCGCCTTGCGTATCGCCCTTCTTTTCCATGATCCATACCGCCGCATCAATCACGCCGTAAGTTTCGCAACTTTCCAATATTTTCTCCAAATCAATGGACGCCGTCAATTTGGTGCTGATGTAATCGTACACGCCCGAGGGATCGAAACGGCACATCAGTTCAATATAACGTTCGTGAATCGAGGCACTTGACACCGACGGCGGGACAATGACGCGAGACGCTTGATCAGGACGTTCAATTACCCTCGCTTCCTCTTCGCTCTCTTTCCCTCCGGGTTCCAACAAACCGCGCAAGTATGAAAACAGTCTCTTGTCAGCGGTAGATTGAGGTTCATCGTCGTCGTCAAATTCTTGCTCCTCTTCCAATCTTTTAATGACATCATCATGATCACCGCCAAACAATGAATCGACCACATGCGCGGTACGTTGCCCATCAATTTCCACAAACTGAGCAATGCGAATCATGAACACCCGTTTCACTTCGTTGCGTTGCTTTTCCGTCAAACCGGACCGTTCCTCCAAAAGATGGTAGACGCAGTCAAAAACCATGTCGCGTCGTTCGTCGTCTTTGAGATACGTTTCTACCAGTTTGCCGTATTTGCGATCGTGCCGGTACACGTCTTCCAAGACTTTCCAAAACCCGGCTTCTTCATACAGCAAAATCATGTGTTCCTCATCCGTCGGGATATACACCGTCAATAAATGTCGCACCGCCGCTTGACGTTCTTCCCGGGTCTCGGCAGTATGATCGTCGGCGAGTCGAACGAGAATCTTGTGCAACGTCGTTGGTGGTAACAGGATAAACGTCGTGTATTTGTGCAAATTGGACGCGATGAACATGTACAGTTGGACTAAATTTTCGTTGGAAGCGACATCGTACGTCCCTTGTTTTGTTGGCGGTGAGGGTGCGGTGGTTGTCGAAGGATTGATGGAAACCACCGTGGACGCTGAAATGGATTGTTTCGGTCGTGGAGGCGGCAGTGTGAGTTCGTTGCCGGTCATCCCGCCTCCCATGATATCTAGCAAGGTGTTGACAATGATTTGACGCGAAATCACTTTGCCCGGGACTTCGTCTTCAAACGTGGACGTAAGGAAATCTTCGCCGCCATTCAACCACGGATCGGCAAATGCGGTTTCCAAAGCTCGGAGAGTCTTTTTCGTATTGAAACGAAGCAAAAGTCGCAGGTACGGGTACGTGGGTTCGGAGATTTCTTCGGTATCATCCGCGGTCAGGACTAGTTTGCCTCCAGTCCGCGGCCACACCACACATCGGCCGGAAAAGATGAACGAGTACACCGCGCTGCGTGCTTCATTGGCCCGCGACGAAGACATAGCCAACCCGTCGGGAAACGTGCGTCCGGTCAAGATCAGTTTCAGATAATCAAACAACTTCTCGGCCTGTTTCCGCAGATCGAATTCTTCCTCCTGGCTCGCTTGAAAGCTGGCATGACGTGACATGGGAACAGGGCCCGCCGACGGTTCCGCGGGAGCTGTACTCTCGGTTTTCAACACGGTACGTATCACCTTTAACATTTCGACGACAGGGCTCACGTAATCATCCATACTTCGATTCCACACGTACATCATGGCTTCAAACAGTCCTTCGCGGTGACACATGCTCACGATTTGATCGATATCCAAACACTGAGGATTGACGTGCCAAATCACTTGTTCCAGCCCCGTGAGGAGCTTCTTTTCACTGAAATGATCCACGAGGTTCTTCATGACAGCCGGCGGGATATCCGGCACGCGATCCTGAATGATGTACGGTTCAAGCACTTCCAAAAACAGACCTCGCACCCGCGATTCCGCAAATCGTTCATAGATCACATCGAATAAAAAGTCGAGTCGATTCATGCTCAGGCACGCATCGATACATCCCGTGGCAAGATCATTGTACAGCACATTGCCGCCGCCGGTCAAATCATCGACCATACCGTCATAGGTTCTTTTGGAAGAAAAGGCGTAATTCAACGAGGCTTCGAGGAGCTCAATCAGCTTTTCACCCACCATTTTCTTGCGTGCTTGTTCATCTTCAGGAAGTCCCACCACGGTCTGGATGCATTTTCCATTATAAAACAGGGTCGCCAGCTGAATGCCTTCCAAAAAGTCTCCTGCACGGACAAGGGCAAGGATGCGATCGGCCCACGATAATAATGTGCCCATATACAGTTGATTGAGGCCCTAGAAAAATAAGACAGGTCAATAAATGTTTGTCCACTCTGATGACAAGATGCCCAAACGGGTTAATTTTTTTACCAGCAAAAACAGTTTCCCCTTGTATCCTCTCAAAGAATGATAATACGCCATTTCAATGGATTTGGAGATGCTGGGAGTGACGGTGATATCGATGCCAGGCGTGTGTGTTGAAGCGACTGTTTCCTCAGCCATGTTTTTCAGAGACGATGTGAACCAGTCATGATACACCAGCTGCTTGTTCCTGATACTGGCTCGTTCCGTTTCCACCATATTTTTGGGATCAAAAAGAATCATTTCTTCATTGGGCGTAAAGAGGACCAAAATCTAGACATCAGAAGCAAAAAAGATAAATAACCATATCCTTCCTCTGTTGTTCAATTTTGGGGATGCAGATTTGTACCTGTCGATTGACCCATTGGAGTCCTACAATCGAGTCGCGACATTTCCATTCGCCGACTTTGGTAAATTGTAATTTGGTGCGTTTTTTGGATTTACCCAAGGGTTTGGCGGTCGAGGGGCGGCCGCTTCGTCCCGTGGCCGGTTCCTGCAGATCCACACCAATACGCAGGATAAATAGATGATTTCCCCAAGAAAATGCAAGCATCGGATCCCCCGAAGGTATCACCGTCCTTGATTTTTTGTCTAAAACCATTTACAAAATACAGGTCAGTCTTGCGGTTCAGAGGATCATTTGGTTCGGCGGCAAGGGCGGCAAAGGTTTACCTTTTGCATCTTGTGCATTGCCTGTCTTTGTGACGGGAAGCCAGGCCAAGCAGCCTGCCAAACTTTCTTTGGTCAGATTGGTATCGGGATCGGTGTCCGGAGGGGTGTCAACAACTTCAATTCCTTTATGATCGGCCATCGCAGCTTTGGGTTTTAAATGCTTGTATTGTGTTTGCGGTGTAGGTTTTAAGCCGACGATGATCATCTAATATTCACAATAGTGGATTAGTCAAATGGCATCACGGGTCAGAGATTTTCTCTGTCTCTCTCTCTTACCTTGTATGGGGTCAAAAGGGCGACGATGCCAAAATTCTCTGCTGGATGAGGCACTTGTCCAAGCGGCAAGGGCTGCATAGCAAATACAGTGCTGGGTTTTCGTGGTTTCGGAGTGTCTTCCATCCCAGGTGTCAGCGTAGGTGGTGGATGCAAAGTGGGACTACCGAGACCCGTGTCTGGATTGAAGGTCAGGTTTTGGTACCGACCCAGAATTCGCGTGGTATCCACTGCATTGACCATGACCACTTTGTACAAGACGTGGTAAAACGCCATACCGTGATCGTCTGCTGACACGATGTCTGATTTTTTCACGCCAATGAATCCAATATGCAGAATTGCCGCGCCTGCAACGTGGCCTTCTTTGCGTGAGCTGGAAGGCGAGGGTGTCGTGGCGGATGAAGTGGCACTCGTGGCCTGGTTCGCCTGGATGGGTTCAATGGTCCGAATAGGGTGACCAGGTTTTCTGATATCCCACACCACAATGTAACCACGGCTGTGACCGCAAGCAATACTGGTATGATCGGCCGAAATGGCTAACGCTGTGACGGATCCCACCGTAGCCGCTGATGGATTTAACGGGGATCGTAAGTTTTCACTGGATTGACAGGCACTCAAGCACAGAAAATCCGAAGGGCACTTACCACGGGTATGATCCCCCAACACGCATTTAAGATTTTGAGAGTAATCATACACAAACACCAACCCACGTATGGTTCCTACAGCAATAACACCACTGACCTGGGCAAAAGTTGCTGTGAGCAACAGAATGATCCAATGAGATTTTCCAACGATTCCTGAATCACTTACTGCCAACACGGACACCAGTCCGCTGTTCATTCGCGTGGCATCCGAGTAGAGATGATCCGATATTTTCACCAAGGGGGTCCATTTGAACGCTTCCCAAGGTTCCAATCCTTCCTTGGCTTCCAAAGCCGAATCCTCACCAACCAATTGAGAAAGAGAAGGGGATTGGATGGACGCATTGTAAAGATAATCGGAAGACTGAGGCGATTCAGACGATCCGGTGACGGAGGAATCCAAACGTCGTACCATGGGGGTAGCAATGGATCGTTGATCGGATAAAGTGGACGTGGCCCGACGAAGAAGATTGGGAGAAGAAACAGGATGATAGGAATGAAACGAGGTATTGGGTGATATGGAAGCGTAGGTAGCAGGTGAAGGCGACGTGGCTGGTGTCATTCGTAAAATATCGGATGAGGATTCCTTTTTGGTGTAGAAAAAAATAAGCTGGACGGTTCCAATGGCAAGATTGAGTCCCGACTTACAAAGTGGAGCATGCTAGAATCTGTTTCAAAGGCTTCGGATTCTTGATACTCGTCAATGCTGGAGGTATCCGACTCATTTAATATATTGTCGAGACTAAGGTAATTGGCTAGCCAATGGAGGACGGTCAAAATCAAACCATTTTGCATTTGCAAAAAAGATCCACTGCGGACACAGAGGGACACTTACCACGCTTGATGAATTCTTCATACAACCCAATTTCTTTGGAGATCTCATCCAAGAGATGAAGCACCTTTGCTCTTTTCTTTTCTCCGATATTGTATTTACCAAAGGTAGTTTTAAATAATGGACCGCCGTGCAAGTGGATGTAAAGATCATCCTGAATTTTATACAGATCATCCAGGCGGGACCGGATAATGATGTCGGATACCGTCGGCAAATCAAGCTCAGGGATACGCAATGCATAGAATTTCTGTTCGAGCACGGTCAGTGACTGAACGCCATTCACCAGACGAGTTTGGTAAGGTATGGCATCCAACACTTTGGACAATGGATCCTGTTGCATTCGAAACAAGGGTTTCGAATTCAAAGGCTGAGCAAAAGACGATTGAAGCGGGGTGCTTGGACTAAAGACAAGAAGTTAAAACAAACAAGTCAATGCAAGCCGTTCAAGCGTAAGGAAGATCAGGGAGTATTTCGAAATTGAAATGCCAAGCTTACGTTGAATAGTCGCCTTTCCCGCTTGCGATGGATCCAAAGGATTGAGTACGTCGATGACTCATGAATGTCTTTAAATTGGCTAAATATTTATCGGCGAGTGAGCGATCTTCGAGTGCTGCTCGCAATTCATCGGGAAGTTCGGCGGTGGCGGCATTAAGGTCAATGTCGATATGGTTGAGCAGTTCTTCTTCGTCTTCCGAGCTTTCTTCCAGTACTTCTTTGAGCAGCGCGTCGTAGTTATTTCGGAATTTGAGGGTATTGGTACTAATGCTGGGCTGCATAAGCGGTGGTGGAAGATGACCACGGTTTCCTGAAGACGGTCCAAGCCTGGTAACTCGATCCGACCCTCCTTCGTCGCTCGTTGTCGCACTGCGAGAATCCATCACCCCACTCGAGAGAAAGAAAAAAAAAAATAGGTCTAAAAATGGAAGCGCAGAAACTAGCGAAGAAAAAAAAAGACGAGCGGTAGCTATTTTTCTTTTTTGGCCCGCTCCAAGAATGAAATGAGGAAAATTCCGTCACAAACAAGGATCCTTCCATAACCTACATGAACCAGCACCCCGTTCCTTATCTATCAAGGAATTCATTGTTTGATTGAAATAAGACGCGATGGCAACGTATTATAGCGGGCGAACCATTGAAATTCCGGCAAGCAAACAAAGCACTTTAATCCTAACAGCCGTATTTGAATCAAATCTCTGGTCTACTGTGGTGGGGATCTATAGATACAGCTCGTGCAAGGGCCGCCGAGCCATATAACCAAAGCAAAACGACTATAACGAATAAACAAAAATAGGTAGCTTCATTATACCCTTCTTTGAATCAGTAGAGGTAAACGAGTGAGTGGATACATGAACTTGGATCAGTAGATATGAAAGATGAATCAATGAGTTTGGATCAGCAGAAAATAATAAAAAAATGAATTATGGAGAAAACTCGTTCAGTGAATGATGTGTTCGATATATTAATACGAGTACGAGATAATTACTTCAATATGTTTCTCCAACTAGACCTATTAAGGCGTTGAATAAGATAGATGCTTTGTATGAAGGGAGCGAAAAAGTGAAGCTTTTATCAGTGGATGGATGAAAGTGATGTTCGGTATTTAAAAAAAGAAAAGATAGTGGAGGGATGAATTTTCGGTTTTTAGTACGACCAAAAGACGGGGAATTGAGAGAGTTCCATTGATTATCTTTTTTTGGGGGGGCTCTCTTTGTAATTTATTGTTTTTATTTCGAGTGCAAAAAACCAGAAAAGAAACAAGATTATAGTTGAACAATGGCCGACTCATTCATTGGCGTGCGTGTAGCAGTGACGCTTCACTCTGGCTTACGCCTGGACGGCACCGTCTCACACATTGATACCACCACTCAGCAAATGACACTTAATGACGGTACACACTATGCACCCTTTTTTATTACGCAAAAATCCCTCATTGCTCATGTTTAACCGGTGATCTTCAGTGAACCTACACTTCCCTGGACTTGCGTCTCATCGGACTCCCATCTATGGTGTGGTCGGTACCGATATAAAAGACTTGGAAGTTCTACCTTCTGAAAAACCCGCATCGCCTGTTCCCGCCCAACCGCCAACACAAACACTAACGCCCACCGCTCGCGTCACCAAGAGCCTGGACACGAAAACGGTTCCTTCAGGCAAGAAAACCAAAGCAACCAACAGTAATGCGAAAACTCCACGTTTATCAAATCAAGAACCCAACTCGTCGCGAAATATAAAGGTAGACAGACATCAGCGAATGGGCAAGCTTTTTGTTTTCTTTGGATCATTCATTTTCAATCTGTGACAGGCGAACCGTGGAGGCATACCTACAAAATCGGCTTCTGATACCAGTAATATTCCAAAATACCGTGAACCATGGTTACCATTCCAATGCCGATGACGCTCATCATACCGTTGTACTATCTTTTTGTTTTTTTACCCCTTTTCTATAGTGTCACGACGTCAAAAGCAACAGTTGCAACCACCGCCACGCAAAAATGCAAAGGAAAACGGCTGGGCCGACGAGAGCGTGGATGAATTTAAAGAACACGAATTTGATTTCCAAGCTAATCTCGATATGTTTGATAAAAAGAAGGTGTTTGCCGAGATTAGAGTAAGTGATCGACTGTCGCACTGGCTATCCAACCACAAAATCCACTTGTCCTCTTTTTTTTATTCATTATGATACGGAATTTCTTGTGTGTATTTGCGTATAGGAATCGGATGAAACAGCACCTGAAGCATTATTGGTAACATTGAATCGACTGCCGCAGAAATCCAATGAGATCCATTCCAAGCCCGACAAAATCAACTTGCTACCTAGCGAGAATGTGCTGGATAATGAATCCTCCTACCGTAGCGACAGTCCGTGTGAGGGGCCTACAGACAGAGGGGATGAAAGTGACATTGAGTCGCAAACACCGGACGAATCCGCTACGAAGCATTCTATGCATCAGCGAAAAAAGACCGTCAACCTTGTCTCCAGTTCTTACCGCGTAGCATGTCCACCTGTTTCCCTATTACAGATGGCCCATGCGGAACATGAATGCAGTAAGTTTGGGAAGGGGACAGGCACAGGTATTGCGGACGGATCGATTGACGCTACTCTAGTCAAAAACACTGGACCGAACGAAGAACAACTGATTGAAAATGGAGGAAGAGGAGCATGTTTGTTGGCCATGCAGAAAATGGGTGAGTGAATCACAGCTCATAGCTTGCCAATTGAGAAAAAATTGAAATCGGTTTTCCTGACCATGCCGGACAGGAGCGAGTCAACGAATATATCCGAGTGATCCATTGACGGTGGTGGTACTTGCTGGTTGCAATAAGATGGGCGCTTATGGTCTAGCATGTGCACGTCACCTATCGAATCATGGATGTCGTGTGATTGTTAGTATAGCGGGCGAAAAAGACATGTTACCGGAACAAATGACTTGTCAAGAACGGATATTGCAGGCGATGGGTGTTCCCATTGCGCGTCAAGTCCACAGTAAGTCTTTGAATCGTTATACAGGAAGTGGTTGGCAAAAGAAAAACATCCCACTCAATGATGATTTCATAGCTCTTAAAGTATCGGGAATCGATTTAATTATTGATGCCATGCTGGGAACCCAGGACAATATTGATGATTTGGAAGAAGAAACGGGCCTGTATCGAACTTATTGTGATATGATTAGCTGGTGCAATGAACAGCGGTCGCCCGTGTTGAGTATTGATTTCCCCAGTGGTGTGGATGCTGGTACAGGTAAACGTAGACGTGGTTCGGTGGGTGATAACTGATTGAGTTGACTGAACGATGGATTTGAATGCGTAACAGGAGATATCCATCACACATTATATCATGTGCGTCCTATGTGGACGCTGTGTTTAGGTGCACCGAAAACAGGATGCGTTTCGCCGTCCATTACCGGTGAATTGTACATGGTAGATTTAGGTATACCACGTTTATGTTGGAAGCGAGCCGGCGTCAAAGGCTGGACTGTCCCCTGGGGAGCCGATTTTGTCATTGCTTTACAATACATTTGAAAGCCCACGGTTTTCCCTTAAAAAAATTTTCAGAAAAGCTCACAACAAAAAGTGATCTCTCATCAAGTGTGAATATACTCTTGGAAAAAAAAAAAGAGTCAACTCCATCTTGGTGTCTCGAGCGTTCAACTGGGCCGCTGAAATCCCAAATAATGTGCAAGCTAGCAACACTCATTTCTTGATTATTATTTTTTATACGTTCATCTAATGGGTACAGCCTTTCTTTTGGTTGGTTTTGCAGGGTCAAAAGGAAAAGAGAGAGAGAGAGAGAGACAGAGACAACAGAGTGAAAACGAAGGAGATAGTTTTTTTTTAACATAATCGCTTGTTTCAGATAGGACTGATACCACATGGCAAACAGGAAAAAGAAAGAACATCCAAAAGGGGGATCAAAAACTCATCAACTATGAAAGGAAGAAAAAAGAGAGATAAAGTATACATTGGCAAAGCGATATAAGAAAAAAAAAGAAGAGAAAGGATACAGTCGTTTGAGTTGGAAACCGTATCCCGGAATTTTTGTTTGTGTTTTTTCTTTTACAGACATTATCGTATTTCTTTGGGCCAGAAACATATGGAAATTCGTAGACTTTTTTTATAGGAAGTAGTCTGGCGTACGTCGGGTAACATGAGGTTCACCGCGTCTGGGTGCAGGGTCAAATTGAAGGCTGTGAAATCATCCAAGATAAGCAAAAGATATTCCTTGTTACCTAGAAAGCCAAGTCATCACTTACAATGTATATTTCAGATGTTCATCGATCTCCATGATAGCTGCTTGATTGCCGCAACGGTAACAATAGTTGGGGGCACTGAAAATGGTCACTACGTTACGATCGTGGCACCAATTATATCCCTATTTTAAAAAAAAAAAATTCACGCATGAATACCGTCATACAAAAACTAAGGGAAGAGCAAGTCGGTTTACCTCCATGACCAATTGATGTGCTCTTGCGACAAGTGTCAAGCCGTTATTATGGTTGAAAGTCTCTGAGATATCTTGACCAAATGTATAACCTGCACCACGGGGAGAAATGCCCCAGCCACATCGATCATCAGGATCTGACCATAAAAGGTCGCACATGGGACCTTCGTGTGGCACTTCCTGGATACGATCCAATGAACGAATCTGGTCCAATGTGTCGATAGAGGGTGATAAACCGCCATGGAGACAGAAGATCTAGCAAGACATAACAAAAAGGGTTAATTGATTTGGGGCCTTGAACCAGTTTTGTACTGAGCAAAAAAAAAAAAAAAAAAAAAAAAAAGACGCACCTGGTCTTCGATAAGAGCGGTCAAGGGAAGGTAATCGAATAAGTCGGTAAACATTTTCCAGACGTTGGCGTTGCCATATTTTCGCAGACATTCATCGTAGAAACCGTATACTTGAGTGATTTGACGAGATTCGTGATTGCCGCGGAGAATGGTCACACGATCCTTGTAGCGAACCTTCAATGCGACGAGCAGCGTCACGGTTTCCACCGAGTAGTAACCACGATCGACGTAATCACCCATGAACAGATAATTCGTATCAGGGGAATTGCCACCAATACGGAAAAGTTCTTGCAAATCGTGAAATTGACCATGGATATCACCTAGATTTTTTTGGGGGAACGCTTATCAGTATCTCTACTTGAACCATGTTTGGCACTCCTCGTCTTCCCTCTCTTTCTCTCTCATCTTTTTTTTTCCATCTTTGCCCGCTTTTTTTTTCTCGCTTCAACAACCCAGAACCCATCAAACCAGATATCAAGAGGAAAAAACAAGAAAATAGAAAAAAAAAGCACTGCATCATTTACCACACACAGTAACGGGACAACGGACGGGCTGTACGTTGGATTCTACCAACAATATTTCACGTGCCTAATTCTCAGTGTATCAATTTCCAATATGTCAAAAAGGAAAAAAAAAAAAGAGCGGTATGTGTTTTTTTTCAGATGCAAAAAAGGCCCACCTTATCACACAGTTTCTTGATGTCACTTTCTGGTAACTGTTTGCATTCCGAAAGTTGTGTGATCCAGGCATCAACGTCAGCAACAGAGCTTACAGCGGTCATTTGTGTTGAGATTGGCAGAGGGATGAAATTGGGACTAGATGAAAGAAGCTGATGGGCGGGATCCTGAAGACAACCGATAGCAAATTACGAGCAAGATGATGAAAGACTAATAAATGTCTTTTTAGTAACAGCCGAATGAGAAAATCACCCAAAAAAAAAAAAAAGTGAGAGAAAGAGAGAGAAAAAAAAAGGAAGAGGCCAAAAGGGAAAAATAGAAAAAGGAAAAATGACGAAATCCCAGAAAAACAGATTACAACAAGTCAAAGCAAGAATGGAATGATGAGGACGTTTAATGGGCAGAAAAGGAGAACCCCCCAAAGGTGTTTTAACAAGATAGCCGTAAAAACGAGCAAGGAGTACGATAACTTACAAGAAAAGAGAGACCTTAAACCCGTGAGTTCATGGGTGAATGGGGGGGCGACAAAAAAGCAACGCAGACGGATTAGAAGGTCGGTGACGCCACGAATTCAGTTCGTACTCCGACCGTCCCAATCAAGTTCAAACGCACCTTCGAATATCAACAATAAGACAGCATAATACTATCAAGCTGCAAAAGAAAAAAAAGACTACAGAAGGCTATATGTTACATATCGCAATTTTGTCTTTAGGAATATCCTCTTGATCTTTAAAAGGACAAGCACCTTCCCATCATGAATTGATAGCAAGTCCGGCGGAGTCTTAAAAGCGATGACGTCTAGATTTGTTCAATTTTCGCTGAATGAGCAACCACCGTTTCCCATTTCACTCATTTTCTCCTGCCTGCGCTTTGGGATCTTTTTTTTTTCGGGGCTTCATTTTATTTAACTTCTGGAACGCGTTCCCTTTGGGTAGATCCACCAACACGTTCTTTTTTTCTTCTCGCTGATCTACCTGATTACCCATTAAATTTTCTTTCCCTTCTTCCATTGACAGGTCTCTTTTCCCAGAAAAAAAAAAGAGAAGCATACGGCAAAAACCTAGCTTGGATCCTTTTTCAGTACACGACATTTTGCGTTTCTTTGCACTGAATTCTCTTGTTCCTTGATCTGTGTGCTACGACCGACGATGAGTACGTCTGTTGCTACCAGTTATTCCATATCGCCCATTAACATGGCACCTGGCTATTTTAATAAAGAGAAGCTCAACAGTCTCATAAAGGTACAGTCTTTTTTTTTCTTGTCTCCTGGCTTTTTTCTCAGTCCTGTTCTTTGTCTGTTGATGCGTACTGATAAAATTCGTACCTGAAAATGGAATAGCGAGCAAAATCACTTCAACATCAAGGTGCAAATGAAGAAAACTGTGTCGAATTCGGAGAGATTATGCACTTCTTGCGCAATGTTCAAGCTCACCCGTCTACAAAGTCAACATCCTTGTCGATCGATTCAGCAACCGACCATCAAACCATGTCACTGGACGACCCAGATGCAGGTATTACATAACGACACTCTTCCCAATGCCCAAGCTAATTCAACACCTCTGCTATTTACTTGTAAAATGATCAGATGCACCTGCAACTACATCATTGACAAGCGATCAGCAACGATTACTTATTCAACAAATGACGGCCTATCGACTCATCTCAAAAAACATGCCATTGCCAACTACGTTGCAACAGATGTTGCTTCAGGGACCCTCCTCACGACAAGCAGAGACGACACCGACAGCGTCAGCGAGTTCTTCTGACAAGGGTCATGCTTCATTATCCGCAATCGATCCGTCCACGGTGTCAACTTTATCGCACGCTCCGCTTTACAGTTTATCAAAAGATGCGACTTTGGCGGACGCTTCTCCTTTGCCTTCACCGCAATTCCCATTTCCTTTAGATTTGGACACAGAAACGCTCCTCTCGGAGCGAGATCGTCAATTACAAGCGCGTGTGCAGTATCGCATCAACGAATTGGAGAAACTTCCCAGTAATTTGTTGGACGATCGAACTCAACGCATGCTTGGCCCAGACGAGGATTTTAGCAATGACTTTGCTCCCCTATCTACCATCAAGTCCAAAGCTATTATTGAATTGAAAGCACTAAGATTGCTTAACAAGCAGAAAAAGGTGAGTGGTTGTTTATGATAGGATTCAATGGATCGCAATGGAACAGAAGAAAAAGTTGATTAAAGACGCATTGGAAAAAGCTTCGGGAAGAAATTATGCGTGGAATGAATGCTTCCACCATGCTGGATACATCGGTGGATCGGCTGGCCTACCGACGCATGAAGAAGCAAACACTGCGTGAGGCACGCATGACCGAGAAAATCGAACGACAACAACGTCTTGATCGAGAATACCGCGAAAAACAGAAACATTTGGATTACTTGCAAACCATCTGTGACCATGGTCGAGAGTTGATCCGTGTCCAAGAGACATGGCGAACGAAACAATCCAAACTGGGACGCGCGGTACAGCAGTTCCATCAACACATTGAAAAGGAGGAACAAAAGAAATCGGAAAGGATCTCCAAAGAGCGTATTCTCGCGTTGAAGATGGATGATGAAGAAGCGTACATGAAGCTGATTGATGAAGCAAAGGACACCCGGTTGACCCAATTGTTGAAACAAACCGGATCCTTCTTGGAATCCTTGACAGAAGCCGTCGTTGTGCAACAAAATGAGGCACGGTACGCAAGAGATGAATTTGAACCTATCTCGGACGAAGACATTGAAGAAACTGTAAGTACCCTCCTAGATTCCTTTTCCCCTTGTCGAAAGAAAAAGAAGGCACTCTTCAGGGAAACGGTGAAAAAAGAAAAATCATGTCACTCATCAATTTTTTATAGGATGCAAGATCCAAGACCGATTACTTCCAAGTGACCCATCGTATCAAGGAACAAGTCTCTCAACCCAGTATCCTGGTCGGCGGCAAACTGAAAGATTATCAGGTATATAGCGGGCAGGAGGCCATGGGGATAGAATATCTCACCGATGCTCTCTCCACAGGTCAAAGGTCTCCAGTGGATGGTATCCCTGTATAACAATCATTTGAATGGCATTTTGGCCGATGAAATGGGTCTGGGAAAAACGATCCAGACCATCAGTCTGATTACCTATCTCATTGAGAAGAAGAAGCAGAATGGCCCCTACTTGATCATTGTTCCGCTGTCGTGAGTAACCCCCAAAAACAAGAAGAGATAATCCGCAGCTAAAAATGACTCACCTCAAACCGCGCTAGTACATTGACCAACTGGACACTTGAATTTGAAAAATGGGCTCCGTCGGTGAGCAAGATTGTGTACAAGGGAACGCCGACGGTCCGAAAAGGTCTGCAATACGATATTCGCTACGGCAACTTCCAGGTGCTTTTGACTACCTTTGAATACATTATCAAGGATCGACCGATTTTGAGCAAGATCAAGTGGCTTCACATGATCATTGATGAAGGTCACCGTATGAAGAACACCAATTCCAAACTGACGTTAGTCTTGCGTCAGTATTATCACTCCAGATATCGCTTGATTCTCACTGGTACACCTTTGCAGGTACGCATCAAGAAATTCTATGTAGGACTGGGTGGTGGGTTGGTTGGTTGGTACTTAATGATTTTGCACGTAGAACAATCTGCCAGAGTTGTGGGCGCTCTTGAATTTCATTCTTCCAAAGATTTTCCAGAGTGTGAAAAGCTTTGAAGAATGGTTTAATACGCCTTTCAATAATCAGGGGGTACAGGACCGAATCGAACTGAACGAAGAAGAGCAGCTGCTGATTATCAAGCGTCTGCATAAAGTGCTGCGTCCCTTCTTATTGCGTCGCCTAAAGAAGGACGTGGAAGCCGAACTTCCCGATAAAGTCGAACGCGTCATCAAATGCAGGTTGTCGGCATTGCAGGCCAAGCTATACTCGCAAATGAAAAAAAATCGACAGTTCTACACCGGAGCCAAAGGGTAAGCCAAATGACCACCATTTCAAAAAACCAAGATAGGCTTGTTTTTATACTCACACGTCGTCCAAGGAAAACGGGGATCCGCGGATTGAACAATAAGATCATGCAGCTGCGAAAGATCTGCAACCATCCCTTTGTGTTTGAGGAAGTGGAAAACGCTGTGAATCCATCGCACCAGTCCAACAACTTACTTTACCGAACCTCTGGAAAGTTTGAATTATTGGATCGTATATTACCCAAACTACAGCAGACAGGTCACAGGGTAAGTGGAGAAGAGCTGGCAAGTACACAAATTCAACCTAGTTTGGTGGCTGACTTTATGGTTTTTTCCAGGTGTTGATCTTTTTCCAAATGACGCAAATCATGACGATCATGGAAGATTTTATGGTTTACAGAGGTTATAACTATTTACGACTCGACGGATCCACCAAGGTAAAGCTAACAGGACGGGTGGAAACGATGAAACATGTGAAAGTTCCCGTGGGTTTAATGTGCGCCACTTTTTGTTTTTCCTCAGTCGGATGATCGTTCACAATTGCTGCAAATGTTCAATGCTCCGGATTCTCCCTATTTTGCGTTTTTACTCAGTACACGTGCCGGTGGCCTTGGCCTGAACTTACAATCAGCCGATACCGTGATCATTTTTGATTCGGATTGGTAAGCGGACGTTGATTACTTTTTTAGTCCCTTGATACCCGAAATGGATTAAAAAAAAAAAGGATGGTATGAACTGAACACATGATGTTACCTTATGCAGGAACCCGCATCAGGATTTGCAAGCGCAGGATCGTGCTCATCGTATTGGTCAGACCAAAGAAGTGCGCATTTTCCGTCTGATCTCGACCAATTCCATTGAAGAAAACATTCTGGCCCGCGCCAACTACAAGTTGGACATTGATGGCAAAGTCATCCAGGCTGGTAAATTCGATAATCGAAGTACCGAAGAGGACCGAGAAGCATTCCTGGTAAGGCCTTTGAAACAAACAGATCATGGTTTCGACATGGCTTTTTTCGATGCATGTATGGACGACGGCTGAAAATGAATGATTTTTTTTTCTTTTTACAGCGATCGCTTTTGGAAGATAAAAATGATGATCAGACCAATGATGAGGATGAAGATTTGGATGATGAAGAGTTAAACGAGATGCTGAAACGAAACGAATCAGAAATTGAAGTGTTCAACAGGATTGATGCCGAACGTGAACGACGCGATACGGAAGAATGGCGGCGCAGCGGTGGTCGAGGTAAAAAACCGGAGCGATTGATTCAAGAAGATGAGCTTCCAGAAGAGTTGCGACACGATGAAGTCGTGGAAGAAAGTGAAGGATCACCGATGGAGCTCGGTCGTGGTCAACGTGTGAGAGATCACGTACGGTACGATGATGGCTTGACAGAAGATCAATGGCTTAATGTAAGTTGAAACACACAAGGTTCGCATGGTTGTGAGATGTTCAATTTTTTTTTTTTTTGTTTTCCTACTTTCTATGGTCAGGCGTTGGAACAAGACACTGTTGATTTGGATGAAGTCATTGCACAAAAGGAGGCGAGACGTTTGAGACGGTTAAATAAGCGACGCGAAGCCAATGGAAACAAAGGCACCACCACCGTGTTGGACATATCGGAGCGTGCAAGTCGACGACGTCGTGCTACCAAGACGCCGGTGTATGAAGAAGATGATCACGAAGGATCGGAAGACGATGATACAGAAGAGCCACCACAGGAAATCTTGCCACGAAAGAGAGGACGACCGAGAAAAGCAGAATCAACGGTAAGTGATACTCCCATTATCCATCGGTCTGTCAAAGAAGAACAAAAACGGCTGATCATCAAATAAAGTCACAGCGAAAACGTGCCCGATAGATTTAAACTCGAAAGAAAATTCCCCCATCATGCTTACAGCCAACCTGTCAACTCATATTATGCCATCCTTCAACATTAAAATCATCACAAAGACCTTTCTAGCCACCGTACGTTGCATACCAAATATGACCATGACTCATTTTTTTTGGCATCGTATCACTTGAGCAAATCAATGAAATGGGTTCCCGCCCCCCCTCCAGTACAAATGAAACAAGAACCATACAACAAATCAGTACGCAAAACCACCTTGTTTCTCGGCTGGAGTTGACATGATGATAGTTATCCTTTTTACCTTTCGATGGAATCAATGATGAGACAAGATAGTATGAAAATCAAGGGCCACATTTTTATTTTTATTTTTCGCATGGCATGAAAAACCTGACAGTATCAAGTGATGAATCGGTCGATATCCCAAGTTGTCACAAGGGAGGGGGAGAAAACGATTAAGCGATTTTTTTTTCTATCACTATTGACAACGTTGACGGTGTCGGTGTGCTTTGTTTCTTTTTTCCTTGTGTTGACTCACATGACGACGAACGTGCATATTTCATTTCGGATTGGGATCAGACAAATCCGGTCTCCAAGTTTTACAGACATGTTTCATATGTGCAGCACCCAAAAAAAATTCAAGAATGAAGTCTCAAATGGTTGAAGCCAGGATTTTTCACCATGATGCATTGTTGATCGACCATTGTAAAACGTCATGGTCATTTTTTTATTGATCTGATTGTTGTTGGGGATGCGGTATGGGCGTAAATTTTCTTTATTTGAAAGTGGGGAACCACAAAGGGAACTACGATCGATGATTGATTCACGTCTTTTCCCAATTTGGCAGTGGAACACACGGCATCTGTATATGGTAAGATCTGCAGACGATCATCCGCAGCCCGGTTTTGATCAACTTACTGAGAGAGAGAACAGAGAGGGTCTAGGCGGACATGAATGAATCGATTTCAGATACGCAGTATGCATGAACGGGTGAAATGATGAAAAAAGGCGAGAACCCCAAGGCCGGGGTCTTTTTGTGTGTGGAAAAGGTGGTTTGTGGGTTGTTAGGATAGTGAAAGCAAGGAGAAAATGTGGGATGAATGAGTTTACAAGGAAAGTTTACTTTATTATTTTGACGCTAGAAAGGTGGAAACGTTTAGGATATTTGTCGGTACTAACTAAATAGGATTTAGTACGGAGGATCGTTTATTGCTTTGGTAAACTCCCAACGTTTTGTGGGTCACCGGGGAAACAGCAATGTAAAAAAGAAAAAAAAGGGAAATCCCAACCACTTGTGACAGTGTAAACTTTACAACGATGTTATTGGTTCTGTTTCAGACGCGACACCGGTGCTTGAAAAAAAAATCAGTTATAAAAAAAGTGAGGGGAACCGACCGTCGATCATTATTTTTTACTTTTTTTCTATTTTTTCCCTTTTTATTATTTTTACTCAATAACATACATGACGGACATCATGTCCTTGCCAACCCCACCACTATCACCCACACTGGAGACTTGGCCTGACAAACTAAATCATTCCACAACTCGTCACCAACGTTCCCATCCAAACAACGCTTCCCTTAATAACCATCACCACCACCACCACCATCATTCAGGAGCACGACGACGCGATTGTTATGACATATTGCAAGCGATCATCAAGGAGAACGAACGACGAGAGCAAGAAGAATACGAAAAAATGATACGAGAGATACCCAATATTATCAACCGACACTCGCATGCGACTCAGAGTATCTTACGGAAACGGTCTGACCCTCTGCCGGCTACGCCACCGCAGTCGCCTGATTCTCCAAATTCCGAAGGGTCTTTTGAGTCCAAACGATCGGTTCGCTTTGCTGCAGGACCTCCTAAAATATCCAACGGACGACGCGCAACATGAAAAGAAAAAAAATCCCACCATCTTCACACATTCACAGCATATATTCCTCATTCTTTTTTTTTTCTCATCAATCTGGACCAGAGAAGAGCCAACATCTCAACAGTGGCAAACCAACACCATCGAGACGACCTCCACCTTTCACTTGTCGGTATAAAAAAAAAAGGGTTGGTGTTTCGTTTTTCTACCTTGATGGTTTTCTTTCTCTTGTGGTTCTTTCTTTCCGTGTCGATTTTTTGACTCGTCATTTGTGATTTCCTCATTGATTTCCATTTTGTTGTTCCAAACTATTCCCCTTTGATCATGGTTCTTGTTGCCACCCTACACTTTTTTGTTTTGTATATTTTGCCTTATTAATTTTGTATACCACCTTTTTATTACAAATCCTCCTTTTACCCTATTATCGGTCTTTCATCTGAGACCTTCATCTCGAACAATAATCGAAAAAAATAAATAAAACACCGCATCGGTGCCTTGTTTTCGCGGTCACGTCGTCAAAAAGAAAAAAAAAGGCAGAAAAAAGATCGCCCTACCCACCGATCCTCGTTTTTCTCCTTCTTTGTGCAACCAACCATGGTGGCGGAGCTCATTTTCAAGTGAACATGGTGTCACTTGACCTGGGCTTAGTGAATCCTTTAAACTTGGCCCTGTTCCGTTTAAGAGAAATCATTCAAAAAGAGAAAAAACTCATGAAAGGTTCATGGTTTCTTATTGTTACCCTTTGTTTTGGTCCTTCAAATCTTGATGTGCATTGTTGCTGGGACGCTGTACTGTCTATCCCAAGCGAGGGCATCTCACTCAGCCAAATAAATAAAAAAAAAAGGTCGCGTTGCACCATCTCCCGCTTGATTGCCATTTTTGAACCCCTTTGCCGAATCAAAGCACCAACGATCGTCCGCCATACTGCGGCAGATCCATAGGTCGTTTTTAATGCGTTGCTTTTTGTGTCAACTTAGGGATCGACGGTCACCTTGGCTTAGAGTGCATGGCACTCGCCCCCCCCCCCTTTTTTGGAGGAACCCCAAATTTTTGTTTTCCATGCAAGAAAGATCCGCCACGAAATGCAAGCTCTGGTCTCATACTTCCGCGGCAGTTGTTCGGTGTTAGGTTATTTTTACTTTATTTTCCCTTATTCTTTTTTTCTCAACGGGTTTGGACTGTGTGAGGGGGATTAAAATGAATGCCTGTTTCTTTTTTATTATGACTTTTTTTTTTCCTTGCTTTATGAATGCCTGTGATGTTTATGCCGTTTCTCGTCTTCGAGATCTTCCAAATAATCACGGAACAAATCTTCTCGTAGTGTTCTTGATTCAATGGCTCGGTATCGCGGATCCTTTTCCAAAATAAGTTTAGCATCGCGCCATCGCATGCCGATGCGGATTTCTTTGGTTTCATGTAGTAAATCCATGTACGCGTCTTCTTTTCTCTTGGGCTTGTCGTGGCGTTTCCGCAAATCTTTGATGTAATCTTTGAACATGGCCTGACGTATTTTGGGATCACGTATCGCTTTGAAACGTCGATCATCCTTCACCTTGCGACGGAAATCTTCCCAATACATCGTTGCCGTGGCTTTTTCCTCCAAAAGATCTTCATAATCTTCCTCAGGTGACTTGTTTTGTTGTTGTGGTTGCATGTATATTAATTTGTATACTCTTTTTTTTTCGCACGAACGAGGGTTCTTTTCGCTTACCTTTGCAGTGGCACTTTGTGCTTTGATTCTCTGAGCTGCCACACGGCAGAAGTTGTTGAACAGATTCTTTCGTTTGCTGGATGAAGTGACCACTAGAGGGAGAGAAAAAAAACAAGTCCATTATCCATTTTCAGTACATCACATCGTTTTCTTTAATATGTGCCCAAATTCTACACTTACATGCAAACCTTTTGTCACCAACAAATTTGGGCAACTCTTTTTCCCACGTTGAAAATGGATCAATATCCACCTCTGCCAGCATTTGCTAAGGGGGACCATTTTGCAGTGAGGATTGGGGACCGCGTCTTTGGCTTTTATTTTCCACTTACTGTATATTGTTCCACTCGTTCTTCTTCCGAGATGTCTGGCACGGCCGGTGCAGGAGCAACAGCAGTTTGACTATCTTTTGCCACTGTTTCCTCTGCTTTTGCTTCCGCTGCATCTTGATCTCCAGGAACATCAATGCCAAGTTCGGCAATTTCTTCCGGAGCCATATTTTGCAATTGCCACATAATATCCTCTTCCGTCATTCTAAGGAAGTTTTCAATCGCATTTAACCCCTTGTCATCAAATATTTTTTCATTGTGCACTTACTCCGTTGCTTCGCCTGCCTCCTGGGCTTCCGCGGCTCCATTTGATTTTTGCCGTTTAGTTTCTCCCTGGGCTGCTTCTTCTTCTTGTTCTTCTAACTTTCGCTTCTTTTGTGCTTCCGCTTCTTCTTCCTCCTTTTTCCGTAACTGTTCCATCGGTTCTGCCAACTCTTCAGGCATCTCCCAAACCGACTTTTTCGTATCGCGATCGTAATAAAATTCGTGGCCATCTTCCAAAAGTACAAAAAGCCAATTGGTGCCTGGAATTTTTTTCCTAACCCAATCCTTATCAATCCCACCATGTCTTGCGTTCCAAAAGCAAAGCGTACTAAAAGGACAAACTTACTTTTTCTGCTTCTGCTTCTTTAGTACTGGCGCCACCGAGGGTACCGAGGCGACAGGTGCTCCTTGGGCAACGGGCATAAAAGGCGGCATGGGTCGCGGTGGCATAGGCACAAACGGTACGGGAGGTGGCCGAACCCATGAACTTTGTCCCGTGAATGAATTGTGCCAATACGGTTGACCTGTGGGAGCTACATGCTCTGTCCACCCGGGTGGAAGAACCATCATGGGTGATCCGTGAGGTGACACGGACGGTGGCGGTGGTGGAGGTCTTGTCGACCCTGCGGTTGGAATAGACGTTTCTGCAGGATGGGCGGTTTCTTTTGGTGGGGTATTATCGGCATTCGTTGAAGGTTCCTCTTTTGCTTCCGCTGCATCATTCACCGTATCTGCTTCCACGTTGGTTGTCGCGGTTGATTCTACGGTATCGTTTACAGGCTCTTTTGCAGACACCGGATCTGTAACGGCATTTGTCTCTTTTTCACGATCCGTCGATGGTGCTTGCTCCATTCTTTATGCAACTCTTGCAATCTATCAAGAATGCCAAAAAGATAAAAAAAAAAATAACTGCAATAAAGCTAAAGATTTCGGAAGGACGAGCTGGGCCAGTTCCCCTGCGTGACTGCAAATTTAGACTCCCTCATTTGTCGAATGAACAAGCAACCTCAACACTTACATTCGCACCAGGATAAAAAAAAAAAAGGACCACTGCATTGGACCAATCGTCTTATTCATTGGTGAAAAGGTAATTCTGTGAGGCAGTATGAATAGATGTAGCAAGCAATGTGAGACTGGAAAACGGCTTTGGATGATGGAATATCAATGAATAAGTTGTTGGCCCATTTTTTTTATTTTTGGTTTTTATATCAGACATGAACTGTTCTAGGACAACTCTAAGTGGTGTGAATATGCAATGATAGTAGAGACTTTCCCCTTCTTTCTAAAGAAAAAAAAAAGGAAAACAAGTGGAGGGAGCGTAAATTGAGAGTTGTATCAATGTCGAAAAAAAAGTCTTTAGTGCTTTCTCTTCTTGGACTTTCTGTCTTCATCTCGCGATCGTTCCCGTCGGTTGACCAGCTGTTGGAGCTTTCGCTTGCTTTCACAGTTGGGATAGTTGGAGAGATCATAGTAGTGAGGAGCAATGTCAAGTAACCAATCCGCTTTCACTTCGGTACATGTTCGAATGTAATTGCGAGTGGTCAATACAAATTCATTGTACAGAACCCATTCCGGTTTGTGATCCAACGTGCTTGACGGATGCAATTGTACGATTTGATTATCCTTCACCGTCAAGTAATGGCCCGTACGTTCCAAGTGCGCTACTTGCATGAAATAACCAGCCGTCATTGCCTTTCGGATATTGATGAAATATTTCTTGTCTTCAAATGGTGTTGAGACCAAATCGAGATCATGTGTTTCCATCGCTCTCTTCAGCTGCTGTCGTACATTGTCCGCCGACTTCAATGATCGTTGATTCAAGAAATTTTCATAGCACCAGTTACTATCCTCATGATCTATTCATCGCAACTCATGATTAGTACACCATCATAATCCCACCAGCCGATAAAGAATCGCAAAAACTTACTCATTTTATAGGCGTGATACGCGTTCAACAAGGTCAAATGATCACCATCAGCGTGTGCAAAGTTGGCCTTGGCTTCATCGGCCGCTTTACGAGCTTCATTGGGACGCACAAAGATTTGAGGCACTACATTTTGTCATACAATGAGGATACATCAGTACCATTGCATCACCAATAAAAAAACAAGTGGATGTTTACCTGATAGTAAAGCAGCAATGGAAAGAATTTCGTTGGAGCATTTGTACTTTGGACTTTCGATCAACATTTTACAGAGTTGAGGATCCAAGGGGAAGGCAGACATGATTTCACCAGTAGGTGTCAGTTCACCATCGTCATCCAGGGCTTCGAGGTAGTTGAGCAATTCAAGCGCACGCATCAGGGTCTCAGGTGCAGGAGGATCCATAAAATCGAAATGCACCAAGTCATCAATACCGAGTTTCTTGAGCTGCAACACCACACCGCCCAAGTTGCTTCTCAAGATTTCGGGGTACGTTTGTTCGATCAATTCGCGGTTGAAAGCGTTTTCGGTATATAGACGGAAAGCCTTGCCAGGACGTGTACGACCAGCACGACCAGCACGCTGCTGCGCGGATGCTTTGGAAATCGGCGACACCAAAAGAGACTCCACACGAATACGAGGATTGTACACTTTTTGTTTAGCAAAGCCAGGATCAATCACATACACGATACCGTCAATGGTAAGCGATGTTTCGGCGATATTAGTTGACACGACCACCTTACGACCGGGAGTACCGCCGGGTTTACGAGCGGGGGGTGCAGGATCAAAAATACGTTGCTGTGCACTGGGGGGAAGCGTCGAGTAAAGGGGAACAACTTTCAATGGACCGGCATCTTGGCTACGAATCAACTCGTCGCCTTCGGCCTTGATCTTTCGACAAGCCTGTTCAATCTCTTCTTCACCCGTCAAGAATACCAGGATATCACCCTCAGGCTCGCTCATGTGAATCTGAAGCACCGTACGAATAGCGGCTTCAAGGTAATCGCGCTCAGGTTCGGGAGTGTAGTAAATCTCGACAGGGAAAGTACGACCGGGTACAGACTAGATTGCCATCATAAAAAAGAAAAGTCAGTCGCCGATCTTCCATCACGCTTATTCATCCATTTTTATCGTCCATTCTACTTACCAATAACGGAGCATCATCAAAGTACTTTTGAAACTTGCCGGCATCCAACGTAGCAGACATGACAATCACTTGCAAATCCTTTCTGGTTTTGCAGATCTAACAAATCTTGGTTGAGTATGACACGCTCCACACCTTGCATTTTGTTGTTTCAACTTACCTCCTTTAATAAACCCATCAAAATATCGGTATTCAATGTACGTTCGTGAGCTTCGTCAAGAACCACCGCAGAATAACGGCTCAACTTGGGATCCGACATGGCCTCACGTAACAGCATACCATCAGTCATGTACTTTAAAAAGGTCTTTGGACTGGTGTTATCTTCGAAACGGATATTGTAACCGACTTCTTGACCCAATTGCACATCCATTTCATCGGCAACACGCTGAGCAACTGACATGGCAGCCACACGACGAGGTTGAGTACAAGCGATCTGTTTGCCTCGAAGATGAGGTAATTCGTCATACACCAAAAATTGAGGAATCCTAGTTCATCCACAGTTAGTTTATTCATGGAGTGGGTACGGATCTATTGAATCATCGTATATAAACGTACTGTGTGGTTTTTCCAGATCCGGTTTCACCGACAAGAACGACAAACTGATTGTTGTGAATCATTTCCAAGAATTCGCTGCGCTGCTGATGAACAGGAAGCTTGCGTCTTCCTTCCAAGATCTTTTGGTATTTGGCAGAGAAAGGTTTGTTGGTGAAAGGATTGAAGGTGCCGTTTTCGAGAGCTTCCGCTTGTTCGGCAGTGGTCTTTCTAGGCACCAAACCGTAAAACTCTCCCTTGTTTCCGCTGCCGTTCACTGAACGTTGCGAAGGCGGCAAATGTGCCAAATAAGGATTCTCACTCATAATGGCCGTAAGGGATAGAGAAAAAGAATGAAGAGCCAAATCCTTTTTCCTCTGCTTGTTAGCGTGAAAAAAAATAAAATTTGTTGCAAAAAAGCAGTCCCTCACCAACCCGCAGCGGAGATCCGCCGCAGCTGCTGCGATGCATCCAGTTTTTGATCTTTTAATGCTGAAAACAAAATTCATCAAAGTTATATATTCTTCCATTGACCAAATGTAATCGCATTCACTCTTCATTTTTCATAGTGAATCAATAATTTTTATGCAGTAAATCAGTTTTGTGAGAGGCAAAAGAAAGGGAAAAGAGGGATAACAAGACGAGGAATCACGAATGATCAACAGGATGCAGTAGATAATATGTAGCAATGAAATCGATTTTCCATGAATGGGAACAGGGGAAAAGAGAAAACGGTATGGTAACAAAAAAATGGTAATATTCTGAAAGGGGATGTGAAATTAAACACAGGTTTAACATGCGGGAAGGTAGGCTCGACAAACGGGACATTCCAGTTTGATGCGCATCCACTACAACATTACACAAAACACGCCTTTTAATATCAATAATAATTATTCCAATTCATCGTTCCAAAATTTTACCTGTTCCAAGCATTCGGTATGAAATAGATGGTGGCATGGTGTGACCATGTACTGCGTCCGACCAAGCACACGCAATCCGGTCGACCCTGTATTTGATATATTTACAGGAAGCATACAAATAGCACAATCGCGCGTCCGCAAGGCAGATTTGTTGCGATCGGTTTCTTCATTTTGCAGTGCTTCCTCGTCGTCAGGATTGAGTAACGGATGGTAATTGTATGTTTGAGGAAGGTACTATAAAAGGAACCACGTTAGCAACGACTAAAAGGTTGCTCACCTTTTTTGTACCCCAACAGTGGCAGTACAAATCATCATTGGGCACTTACACGTTCGGGCACAAAGAACCGTGGACCCAAGGTATCTTGTAATAATAAAACAAGGACCTGCAAACCGACATACGCCACCAGTGCCCAGATCCATGGCGTAGGCTCGTGTGCTATCAGGTTGTAGGGACAGGCATGAAAATCTAGAAATTTGGCTAATGAGACACAATGATTCATTGAAAAGTGGCGGTTGAAGTTACTCACAGACGGGAATGGCCAGTCGGGTGATGCTCATACCAACGATGTATCGTTTGCTTAATGGGCGACGGCAACCTCGCGATACACTTCGTACGATCTGAGGGACCCAGAACGAGAAGAAAGCGAATCCTAAGATCGAGATCATGACATTCTGAACAAATGCCGATCGAGTCGCCAGCTGGTAAAACAGGAAAAGTCCCGAGAGAGCCACCGCATCTACGAACAGCAAAAAAAAAAAAAAAAAAAAAAAAAAAAAAAAAAAAACAGTTTGGACATTCACTTTCGTAGCATTGCCATATCACTGTATTTGTGACTTACACAGTCGGTAATACAGATAGGTCGCTTCCCGTTGAGGATTCATGGGAGCCGGCGTGGGCGCAGGTCGGTTAGCAATCGGCAACAATGTTTGTTCATCCGGTTCCGTGGCGGCCGGACGATCATTGGCCGTGTCCGCTGTTGGCTGGGTTTGACTGGCACGCAAAGCTTCCGGTCTCTGTATCCTCCAGATCACAAGGAGGTACCGCATTCCAAACACCGAGACAAGAATAAAACTGAAAAACGCAGCTGAAGCAAAAGGGATGAACACATTTTCGATAACGATGCCCGTGGTTAAATGGAGAAGACAGAGATAACCATCCATCATTGCCTGGATCGCAATCGTCCAATACGATATATTGGAAACACTCTACAAACACAATTCCCATTAGTTCACCTGGATCAAGGATACAAGTGGGTCGCGCGGCTTACCGAAGGTGTAGGGGTATATTCCATTTGGTGAATCAACAAAATGATCTGGGTAAGCGCCAAAGCAATTGCCATGCCCGCATAAGCGATTGCTTTGCTGTAGTACTTTTCAATCTTGATACCCGAACTCTTGGATATTGAGAGTGAAAGACCGCAATTGGGAGAGTAGAGAAGGGAAGACAGGTGTAACGGAGGAGGATGAATGGTGCTGATGCCTTGAGGATTCTCCAATTCTGATGGCAAGAGGTAGTGAGTTCGTGTCGCAAAAAAAGGTGTCCGAGAATCAAGAAGCACAAACTTACGTTTTTCATATTCTAGTAATTGGGCCATCTTGATGTGAGGGGGTACAGGATGCAGCTGCATCACCATTTGAAACGAGCAATTAAAGGCTACCGAAAGCGGTTGTTCTAAGCCGGGGGGAAAACTGGGTCAATCATACGTGTATATAGAGTCTTGCTTTTTTTTTTCTTACCATTGCTTTCGGGAAAGATTTGTCGTTCTCCCCAATAAGCCATCTTTTCCAATTCTTCAATACTCTTATCAAGCTGTTCCACAAACACCGTGATACCGTCGGTAGCCGATTGATTGTTGGGCAACATTTGAATCAAGTCTTCCAACGGAAGTCGAACCCTGTATAACCCCATTCCCAAACTGTTAGTTGTATATAGGATATAATGGAAGCTAAAAACCATCAGCAAAGAAAAAATCGCTTATTTACCCATCTGGTACACCCATTAGATAGAGTGTGCCGTTGTTGAGAAAGTGAAGACCTTCTGCCAGCAGCAAGGCTCCGTAATCGCTTTTCTCGGCATCTTTCAGACGCATGTATCCCTAATAGGACGTATCAAAAGGACGGTATCTTGAACATGTCCATGCATGTATTTTTACCTCGATATAGTTGATATCTTCTTTCTGCGTTGCTACCGATTTTATGTTGAGAGTGAATGAGCCGTTGCCGTCAAACTGAAAGTGACCACGGTAATCGTCCTGCAAGGTTCGATTCGACGTATCCGCATCCGGTACAGTAAGGTTCTGGCTCGTCCAATCGCCTATACAGCATGTTGCATAGTTTAATTGTTCACACCCGTCAACAAGGTCGTAATGACCGTTTTTTTTTTCACTGACCTCTAAAGACACCTGTAACGTTGTGATAAAAGTGAGGCGTATGGTCTGGATATCGTATGGAAGCCAATTCTTCGAGTTGCGGTTGCAATGCTTCAGGAAATGGCTATATAATTGTCGTAGATTTTGAGTTGGCAATGAGGTTAAAGAAGTATTAGCTGTTGAGAGGGACGCTTACATGCGACACATTGACCCCCAAAGTGACGTTGGTCAGCAGTTCTTTGTCGTGCTGTAGTGCGTGAAGTACTTCTTCGACGGTCCGCCTACCCGCACGACTCGCTTCGTCATCCGAGAAGCTAATGAAGAGCAGCGACACCAAGAAAAGTATCATGTAAAAGCTCGATCGATTCATGATGTATATATGCACAAGCTCCTGGATGCCGCTTTTTTCCAGCCTGTGCGTTGCTTTTTTTTTTCTCTTTCTGCCGTGAAGGCGGGCATTCACACTTCAAACTCCGAGATGTCATTGACAAACCCACTTTGGCCACATTTTTTCCCTCGTGGTGATCGTAACACTCAAGATAGGCTCTTACATGGATAGAAAGTTTCGGTACAAGAGTGGCAGCTGTTCTTTTTAGCATTGGCTTTTATACTCGAAGCCGCTCATCGTTAGTGTATTTCGTCTATATGGAACATGTCGATTGGTTCCACCCATAAGAGGAATAGGGGGGATCTGCAAAATAGCTCGTATTGTTGGAATTATGACCATCCGCCAGGCTACGAAAAGTAGATAGATATCCTTCACCCTTGCGGCACTTGGTACGTTATTTTTGTCAAGTCGCATCGATGGTAAACCAGTATTTTGCAGTAATTCATCCGTGGCCGCCACGATGTAATTGCCAAGGCACGTTTCTAGGCGATCTATTATAAAGCTAGTTGAGCTCGACAGGCTTTCAGCGGCGAGGAACTGCATATAACTCTGAAATCTTTCTATTCTATGGATATAAAATGCAGATGCAAAGACCTGATGTAAATAACAGAGACCGCTTATTCGTGCTTGAAACAAAATCACACAGTCTCAAAATTCGCTGTATTCTCGCAGATGTATGTACAAGACGTTCCTCGTATATTCTAGTGTTGCCATAGAGTCACGTATCAATACACTTGATGAGGAAATCAATTAAACATAAATGTAACAATAAACTGATGCGATCTTCAGCACATCATCTATCGCAAAGTGAAAAAGCCATACACAGAGTAACAAATAAGTAAAGGTCGTCCAATCCTACTCAAAAGGATTAGCTTTTATCTTTTCTTTTTTTAGTCTCATTTATGCGCTTGATCGTCGAAATTTTCATCCTTGGATGCAAGATCTTCGTCGCACAGACATTTGTTTCGAAAACGGCAATGCCCGATTATGGTTTCAACCTCAAATTATTACGGTCGACTCAACTTTGTTTGGATCTCCACCGAAAAACGAAGCCAGACTTGTAAATGCAAGCTCTTTTATATTTGCTGGTTGCGCGTTTTAGTGCGTCATCTCTTATATTACACTATATCGCCTAGTCTTGAAGTCTAATGAGGTTTTTTTCAATGCCAATCGTTTTTTAAAGGACCGTGACGTCATAGATGAGCTTTGAGCTTTTTGGGCAATAAGCCAAATTGAGGTGCAAAAAATTCCAGTGCGGTTTCACACCTTTTATTCATCACCTCTACATTTCTCCAGCATGGCCCAGCCAGACAGTGGTATCAAAGTTATCGACGCCGAACCTCAAGCGGCCAACACCGACAGTGGAAGCCATCCGTCAACGACGTTGAATCCCAACCTCATTCTCAACAACACCTTGGACGGGTTATCCAGCCTTGGTTCCAAATTGAACCCTTTTGCACAGAGATTAGGCAAAGGTTTTGGCCAAGTCAGACAAGTGCGTGTTTGACATTATTGTTATTCGTTGGACTTGATATACTGATATTCTTATATCTTGTTTTTAGTATGCTCAAGAAAAGTTGGGTACGGCTGAGGAGGTGACTGAGTTACCGCAAGAGTACAAGGATCTTGAAAAGGTAAGGCAGATGGACAATGCGGTTATTGCCCATTTGAAACGTGTTGCTCATATTTTTATGGCTTCTTAGCGTGTGGATGCTCTTCGAGCTACGCATGTCAATCTCTTAAAGGTGGCTCGTACTTTCCAGAATACTGCTTATGATTATCCTGTGCAACTTCAAGAGTCATTGCTCGGTATTTCCAATACTGTGACGAGCCAGTTCCAGAATCTCGCGTTATCGCCAGCTGAAAGAGCTCAAATGGATAGCCACCCTCCTATTGATCCCACTAAGCAACATCCTAAAACGTTATCGCATGCTTTGGCTCGCGTTTCCACACAAAGTGCCGAATCGATTGGCGTGGAAGAACCCTTGGGTACAGCATTATTCAAATTTGGGGCGATTACGGAAAAAGTCGGTGATGCTCGTTTGGCCATGGATCAAGCTATTACGACAAAGTTCAACCAGCCCATGCAGACGACTCTGAACACGTCCATTGAGCAGGCACTCAAGGCACGACGCAACGTTCAGTCGGCTCGTTTATCGCTCGATGCGTGCAAAGCCAGATATCGTTCCGCTCGTGCCGATCGCTTGGATGCCGCCCGTTTGGAAGTCGAACAAGCCGAAGACCACTTTGTCGGTGCCGTTGAAGAAGCGACCAGCATGATGAAAGTCGCTTTGGAGAATGTAAGTTAATATTTTTCTTTGCAAGGGAGAGGATGGCGTGCGGTTTATGTGACGGGTTGGATAGCATATTGATGCGTTCATTATATTTTATTTTTCTAGCCTGAACCTTTCCGTAACTTGGCGGATTTGGTGGCCGCTCAGTTGGCTTACTTCAAAACGGCCCATGATTTATTGGCTGAACTTGCTCCAGAGTTGGACGAAATTCAAGTGACGCAGGAATCAGCTTACCGCAACGGCCGCGATCAGTAATAAGTGCCCTAAATTTTTTTTCTTAAAGAGCTCACAGCTCATACCAAATTTCCACACATCTGTCAATACGAAAGTCATATGTATTCTTTTTTACCAGTTTATTCAATTTGAGGTCATCCTAACAAAAAATGGGGAAAAACCATGTCAAATATGTGATTAGCGGGACAAAGTATGGCAGTTCTTATGCAGTCAATCCGAAGAACAATTCGTCAAAAATTTACAATCAAAGAATCAAGTCAAGTTTTTCATCGCCCCCAAGTTTGCCCAAGTTTGGATGCGGTGACTCTATTTTTTGTTCAAAGGGGTGTCATCGGCGAACGGCTGTCGTGTAAATAATCGCGACGTTATGCTTTCATCCGACGTTGGATGCACGTACGTGTGTGAATACAGAAACATATATGAACCAACGCCACCAATACTCATATTTACGTCATATGGCCCATCGTCGTCTATGGTATGGCTACACATTTTTGCAGTATGAGCAAATTGCTGCTGTCAGCAAGTAATGAGCGGACATGGATGACAGTCATGGGTCACTGATGATGATAAGACGTCTGTTATTCTTTCTTCCAATATTTCCTTGTAGATAAATAATCAGTTATTATATACTTATGCATCTACATAACAGGTGTATGTCTGTCGTTTTTCTATTATTTCTTTATTTTCATATGTATGATATTCACTGGTTGCATTGAATGTTACTGAAGTAGAGCGGAGAATCAAATGACATGGAATCATATGAATGCTTTGTCTTCCCCAATCGCCATAAACAGGAACCTTGAGCGGCAGACAACGTTTTACTCATGTATTTTTTTTTCAATGCTCCATTCTAAATGTTCGCTTGGTTGACATACAGTAAAGTAGAAACTACACCGGAACAAGAAAACAGCTTGGCGTCTGCATCCACAGAGAAACACTCAACCCACCCCATGACAGATCAGAATACCAATAACCAAGATCAAGAATCACCAGCCAAAGCGCATAGTAAACGGAAACAAGGAACTGTTCCCCGCAGTGACGATAGCGTGGATAAAGAGGAGGAAACATACATCAAACGGCAACGATCCCACTCCCAGACCCCTTCTTCTCTGTCGTGGTTGGAGTCGCTTGGATATTACAAATCTTCATCCTTTGAAAAACCAAGTAACGACCAATCAAAGCCGACAACTCACCCCATGAATGAACCATCGGAAGTGGGGTCAAGTGAACCGTCGTACAATAGGGTTGCTCCGGAAGTTTCATCGATGAAGCCATCAGATAACGGAACCACGTCCAGTAGAACCTCGGAAGATACTGAAATGGTCAAGAAGGAGGACCTTGATAATAAGCAATCGGATGATATGACAAGTCAACCGCTACAACCAAACAATACGACAACCAACGGTATTTGGTCATGGTTCGGCTACGTGCAAGGCAACGATACCTCATCCACCTCGTTACCAGTGCCAGTCAAGGGAGCGCCTGAGGAACAGGCATCAGCGTCTCACCATCCTGAACAGCCAGCAGCGTCCGTACAACCTCCCAAATCCAATTGGAAATCCTTCTTCTTCACATCTTCCTCGAAACAAGATTCCGTTATTATTGACCCAACTCCGGCAAATCCACAAGAGTCATCGCAAGAAAATCAACCCCCTAACCTGGATGAAACGTCGTCGGAAAAGACTTTACCTGTTGCCGAAAAAAAACCTCAAAAGAACATTGTTCTTCCTACATTCCAATCTCAGTTTATTCCCGCAGCTGATACAGGTGCATCCGCTTCATTATTTACCAAAGCAATGTCTGCCATCAACAACATGTTCATCAACAACAAGCACAATACCAATCAACTGGAGCATTTCATTCATGCTGTGCGATCCGATCCAGAAAATTTTGGCCAAAAATCATTTGTCGTTATCGGTGTGCATGGCTGGTTTCCCATGAAGGTAAATGCTGTCTCACATGTAATTTACGATATCAACTCGTTGCTCACTGCCCTTGATTCACTAGCTTGTGCGGAGCATGGTCGGTGAACCTACCGGGACTTCCGCCAGGTTCTGTGAAATGATGGTGCTCAGCTTAAAACGCTATTTTGAAACTGAGCATCAATTGACGATACCAGATCAGTGCATTACCGTGATTCCTCTTGAATGGGAAGGAAAAGTGGAGGACCGCGTGGAAAATTTGTACCGCATTTTACTTGAAAACGAAGCATGGGTCACTGCCTTGAAAGCAGCCGATATGGTGCTGTGGGCCACGCATTCCCAAGGCACGCCAGTGTCAACCATGTTACTGCATAAACTCATCGACGCCGCTTACATCCAAGTCCCAAGGCAATCCGTCTGCTTATTGGCCATGGCAGGCATATCGCACGGCCCTTTTCCCTACTTGAAAGGTAGCATTATTGTCAAGGTAAAGGTTAATCTGGTTTTTTTTTTCTCTTACCTTTCTTTGCAGTGGCATCCGGATACTCAATCTTTGTCATATAGTACTTTGAAGCCGATGCCGCACGGGAATTGTTTGATTTTATGGATTCCAACAGTGACATTTCAACAAAGTTCCGTATGTCAATGGCGTATATTCTTCGACAGAATGTCAAAACGGTGCTCGTCGGTTCCATGCAAGATCAAGTGGTTCCTCTCTACTCGGCCATTATGAGCGGCACTTCCCATCCCAATATTTTGCGAGCGATTTACATTGACGGGCATATTTTCTCTGAAAATGATTTCCTTATCAACTTGATTACACTCGCTTTGCGTTTACGGAACGCTGGATTTTCCGATCATGGTCTGCTGACCCATATCAGTGAAGTGCTCGCGGGTAACCTGTACTCGTGGGAAGGCGGCCATTCCACCATCTATGACGAACTGGGCGTCTATACCATTGCTATCCGTTACTTGTTCGAAACCCAGCCTCTTGGCAAACGAAAATTAATGGAACCTCGTTCACCGGCTTCGACGGTGGCTGCCGGCGCAGCAGTGGCGTCCTCCAACCATGTCACCCCGCGAACCACCAAAGTCGCCGCGGTGGAACCCAAATTGGATCAATTCAATGCCAAAGTGCGACTCAATCCATTTTATCTTCCGTGGGCAATGCGTGGAATTTATGACGATGCGCGCGTCCAAGGTGACGAATTCTTTCATCGCGAACTACTGAGACTGCAAGATCTCTTTGACCGATGGCAACCCTCGAGTTCCAAATTAAAGGAAATCAAATTTAGGCTCGAACCGCTGAAAGCACGATTATAAGCACCCATATATGTTCCATGAAACACCCGCTATGTGCCACCTGCTCAATGTAAATTAGTGACTACTAGATTCAACATACTAGATTACCTTATCATCCTCTCTTTAAAACCAAGCTCTAACGAAAGCGCACATTTCCGGACATTCCCTTCTAATTAGACTTCTTCCAAGTGCAAATTATTACCAAATAGCACATTATTGTTTATTCAAAGTCAACTCGACCAAACTAAGACGGACACACAAGGTTCAGGAACACCTGCCAATTCGCCAGCAAGGTCGTTACTATTATTATTATACAGCTGTACCTTCTTTTTCTTTCCTTGTTATAGTGTACGCTACGGTAGCAGGATAACGTGATACGTGTAGATTAGGGATTACTATCTGGCAGAGGACAACTTTAAATTATTATTTTTTATTTGTTGCTTTTTTTGATTTCTCGCGAGTATTGGATGGATTTAAGGGGAAAGTCTTTATTTTATCATCCCACTTGTTTAGGAGTAAAAAATCATCGCGTGGTGATTTACCGGTCTGGTCGTGGTATCGCCTGCATCGGTAGAGAGAAACAAGGGTTCTTTAACGTGAATCGTCAAAAAGCAGAGTAGTTGATCGGGTTTTTAAGTTGTTGCACCCTTTTTTTATGCCTTTTTGTTTCCATTGTTCCTTTTGCTAACCTCTCTTTATTATATTCCTACTCTTTCCATTCCTTCTTCCATCCAATTTTTTTTTGTTCATGAGTTTTTCACCGCATCCTACGCTGACTCAGGAATACACTGAGCTCATTGACGAACTGACTAGTTCGGTTCAAGCCAATTATCCCGAGGATATCATTCAGTTTTGTGCCGATTTTTTTATCGGGAAATTATCGCAACAACGACAAGCTTGGTGGAATCAAGCCCACGGTTTGATGCAGGAACACCCCTACTCTCTTTCCATCTACCCATTACAACCATCGCCGCCGAGAACAGTGCCCACCTTACAAGAGCCTTCCAGCTATGAACCTTACAGCAGTGACGACGATGAAGACGACGATGATTTATTTGCCGCTGAAGCCGACGATGTTCTTGCGACAGATCTGCCTGATTTTTCGATGCTTTCTGCTTCTTGCAACCGAGGCCGACGTACTTCGGTCAGTGCTGAATCCATGACCCCCTCCCAGAATACCAATTATGTGAGAACCGTGATTCCAAAGACTCCAGAGCAACAGGCCCGCATTCAGGCCGCCATTCAAGCCAACTTTTTGTTCCGCAACCTCGATGAAATTCAGTACCGAGATGTCATCAATGCCATGACCGAGAAACCGGTCCCGGGAGCCGACGAAATCATTATTCAGCAAGGAGCTATTGGTGATTATTTCTACATTGTGGAATCCGGCACACTCGACTGTTATATCAACGACGAGAAAGTCACTTCCTACAGTGCGGGTGACAGTTTTGGGGAATTGGCCTTGATGTACAACAGCCCTCGCGCAGCGACCATTATCACCACCTCATCGTGCGTATTGTGGGCCTTGGACCGCATTACATTTCGTCGTATATTGATGGAGAATACCTATGATAAGCGAAAAATGTACGAGTGTTTCCTGGCTGAAGTCCCGATTCTGGCCTCCCTTGATGGCTACGAACGGTTCAAGGTCGCTGACGCATTGGAATCGGTTTGCTTTGAAGATGGCGATATCGTCATTGAGCAGGGTGCGATCGGGAACAATTTTTATCTCATTGAATCAGGAGAAGCTATTTTCTATAAAACGGTGGATGGTGTGCAAAAGGAGATCAATCGCCTAACTAAAGGTGCCTATTTTGGAGGTAAAAATCAAGATCATCCAACAGAGGGAAAAAAAATGGTTACTGATCCCATAAGTTATAATAATAACCCTGCATTTTTATGAATATAGAACTCGCCCTTTTGAACGATAGTCCACGCGCTGCAACGGTGGTTGCGCGAGGTCGATTACGTTGTGCTACTCTGGGGAAGAAAGGGTTCAATCGATTATTGGGTCCCATTCTCGATATTCTCAAGCGTAATTCTGAAAATTATGCTCGCATCATGCAAACCAACGAATTCCTTTAATTGATCTTGTTACGGCCCATCTTTTAACTTCCAATTTTCTTTATACCATGTCATCTCTTTAATTCTCTTATTTTTTTCAGTCCTTTGATTCCTGGTTCACGAGTATCCGCTTTACCTTTTTTTTTATGGCTCGGTAATCCTGATTGTCTAGTTTTTCCTTTCTCTTTTCATATAAAATTTTTTTTATCACATCCACATCCACATTACAAACCCTCAATCCTTTTATTGTTTGTTTCTTCTTTACAAGAAATATAATATTCTCACACAATATAAAAATATCCCCACCGTGTCTACGTAAATCGGTATAAATTTATTCTTATTTGCAGACTGCCTGAGCATTGACAACCCTTCCATCTTGGAGTAACCTCAATGGAATCGTTTTGGCGCAAAGTAAACTCCTTCTCTGACCAACAGCAGACACTCTTCACAAAATTGTGTGAACGATATTTTACATAAATATAATAAAGCTACGAAAAGTAAAAAAAAAAAAAAAACACAAGATCGATCGCTTTCTTCGCTCCCTTCCCTCCAAAAACAAAAAAAAGAGAAATAAAAAAAAATCAAGGAAAACCTTGCAAAAGAAACAGCCCGACGGGGGGCTCGAACCCCCAACCTTGAGATTAAGAGTCTCACGCTCTACCGATTGAGCTAGCCGGGCTTTTCTTGAAAAGAAAATCAGCAAAAACATCATAACACCATATTAAAAGCAAGAAGCTTTTAATCTCCGTCAGTTTTTGCTCCTGGATTGGACGGAATAATGCTGAGAATATAATTTTGAAATCGGCCGTCTCCGCCTCAAAGGTATCGAAATCCGATGTAAGCAATGAAGTCAGCCTTGTTTGCACGTACACTTGATAGAAAGTTGTAATTTCAGAATTTCTATCGTTTCAATGATGCCCCGTTTTCCTCACTTTTTGAGCTACCGCTTTCAACTTATGAATGTACCATTTTTTTGAGACTTTTTTTTTTGGGGACTTACTGATATTCCGATTTTTAGCTATAGCAGTTCAGCAATAAATCACTCAAGTAAAAATACATCTCTACAGATGGTTTTTTCAAGGTGTTCAGAGTAACGCATTTGGTCATTTTCCTTTATTTTAGTTTGTTTTTCAGTCAGATGCAAGCCTGGTTTTGACAATTTAATTTCTCTCCTGATTTTAATGGTCAATACTCTCGATCTGATATAGATCGACCACAGTGTATCTGGTGCTCACAGAACCACAGTGTACTGACGAAAAACCGCAAATTCAAATAATCCGGCTTCAACCTGGTTAATATTCAAATGATTCTAGTTAATTTCTTACATGGTACGCGGTTCCTTTTATTTTGAGTCATGAAAACAGGAAAAGACGAAGCAAGCGAATCGGCAACACTCCATACTTCATCGTTATTATCTTTCTTGGCTTCTTCAGTCACGGTGGACGCCCGAGTCGTCCATGAAATTGACGATTGGAATCAACGATTCGTTTTCAGCAACGTGTTTACTCGATCACTCTGATACTCTTTTTTTCTTTTTTTTTTCTTTCTTTATTTATTTATTCCTGCAGAGATCTCTACAGCTTGAGATTTTCGATGGCTGGACATCAACATAGAATATCGAGGACTCGATGCTGAGGGAGTGCTTTCAATCACCTTCCAGAGAAGCAGTGATGACTTTAAGCTTGCATGAGCAAAATAATGTTCTATTGGATGTATCACCTCCCTTTATTGTATAACTTGTACAGTGGATGACTTCAACGGATGCAGGAGTTAATGTAAAAAAAGGTGGATGTGTGGTGTTATTTATTCGTTTTTAAGTTTCGCGTTCGTAAAACAACATATATGCTTCGCTTTTCAAGACGTCCTCAATGTCTACTTCATCTATGATTTCGTCACTGCATCGCCAAAATTTGCTTCGTTCTTTCTTCTTGAGACCATTGTCTAGAGGATCTCGGACTTCATGACCGGTGGGTAACTTTTTGCGTCTATACGTAACAAAATGGCCCGATTCGTGGCTCCCGTAATGCACAATTACGGCATTCAGTCGGTACATGACCGGTCGGGATACTTGGGTGATAAGAGAAGGCAAGGCGTTTTGGATCGGTTGGTGATCTTCTTCTTTGTTCATTAGGGCAACATTCAGACCATCGCGTCCGTGCACAAATCGATGACCCCCTGCCATATTTCGAAGATACACCAGACTGGTGCGGCTCGTGCGCGTTTGTGGTATAATGTTGGAAGGTGGAGGGGAGTTCATTGCAGCTTTGGGATCATTGGTATTGAGAAAACCGTTGGTTGTATACGGTGCGATGTCAAGGTACTCCGGAAATCGAATGTTGCATGTATTTTTTTGTACATATCCCGAAGGATGATAAATCGAGCGCGATAAATGAAGACACAACGATTTCGGTGGGTTGGCAAACATCGTTTGCTTTGTCGTCCGAGGGTTGGTATCGGGGTTAATTAAGGACACACCCGGCTGAAGAGAAAAGACAACAAAAAAATTAGCTTCAACATGCGATACAATCCTTGCAATGGCGTACCAGAGAAGCTTCAATATTAAAGCGTATTGCATCTTGCAGACGATAAATGTCTGTTTCCAGGCTTTTTCGAGCTGCATCATCCTTGTCTCGTCCGGACGATTTAAGTCCGTTCAGTTGTTGGACGAGTTTGTTCAAAGTCGCCACAAGGCTGCATTTTCGGCACTGGTAGTCGGTCAACACATCCACTTTTGTATAGTTGCTTAAACAATCCTCCAGCGTGCAACTAAGCTACAAATTCCATACCAAAAACAACACAGCAGCGAACAAAGCCCGCATGAGTACGCCGATTTTCAAAAAAGTGTTGTACATCCGCCTGTTTCCTGTGCTTACCAGCAATGGTAAAATAAGCGAGATGTTATCGAATGTATGATGTCGGATAGGTGCCTGAAGGTGACCATGAGTACGATGACATGAAAATGATCGCCATTGCTCTGTTGCGTATTATTTAGCTTACAGTGTATCCGCATTTCGTGCAACTGATTTTGGATGCCGCCAAACCGGTGAATGGGTTTCGCGGTCGACGAGGACGATGATGTAAATTGGCCCCGGTTGTAGACACAGAGAACGAGCTCCACATTGACCCAATGGTACCGATGGAAGACATGGACGCCGTTTCGAAATTGTCCAAGTTGGCAGCCGAAGACCCATTCTAAAAATATGGAATTGTTTGTTTAGTTACGTACGCTTCCGGAAGTCATCCGTAGATAAAAGACATACATGAGGTTCCGTCACCAAATTTCGTAGCATATTGGCATCCAAAATCGAATGGGGAGCGTTGCGATACTGTTGTTCTTCTTCGCTCGTCAAGGCGCTTGATATGATTTGAAAAAGCTCGTGCGCGTCCTATAAGAGAATCATGAGTCAACTAAAAAAAGATTCTCACCATTCAAAAGGTACGGTTACCTGTTGATCCCGGCTGATAATAGCATTGGTCTTGCGTTGTAAAGCATGCACGACATCATCTGGTGTAATAGATCGTGGTTTCATTAAGGGACGGTTCAACACTAAAAAAGTAGCTGCTTTTAGCAACTGGTTTTTTTTTCGTTTCTTTCTTGTTTTGATTCTGATACAACATCAGAAATTCAAGATACGAATACCAACTTTCAATGGTTGCATATAAAGCGCAAGCAACCGATTGCAGTATGAACTCGTCCGGTGGAACTGCTGCGAAACCGGAATCATCCCCTTGTTCATCGACACGCTCAGCCTAGCAAAAAGCCTGCAAGTTAACAACAAAAAACCATCGACGCTTTCCACTGTGAGCGAAAAAACTCAACATACCAAATAGGATCGTAAACTGGTTAATGTTGCAAATGCCTGTTCACAATCTAAGTTTTTCTCGTTTGTTCAACATTGTCAATGCTTGGCTTACTTGCAACACTGAATTGATAAAACACGAATTGCCGGTATTCTTGAGTCCCAAAATGTAGTTGCCGTCGTGTTCTTTTTTAACGAATTTTGGATTTTTTATGAATACTTTGACCGAGACATGGGTTGAAAAAAAGAAAAGGGTGGCACTCTACCTCTCATAATCTTTGTCTTGATACGTCTTCGTCTTTTCTTTGAATCACTGCTACTGGTGGACATGACATAACCAGAAGCAGCAAGAGCTATGCCTGCCACGGCAGCAATGGCCGGGATGTGATAATTGGTAGACGACGACATGACCGCCAAAAGGAGAAAGACTCAATCCAATGATATTTGGAGTTCAACAAGGCCAAGGACCCACAAAAAAAAAATCCGCAAGAGCAGGAACAAACCTTCCGGAGTTCGTTTTGTCTGATCTGGTTTAGTGGCGCGGTTTGAAACTGGAGGATCCGAACGACAGTGGGTCATCGGGATAGAACTCAAGGTAGGTTTTTTCGGGGGGACGGGTGGGGGTCAAAAGAGACAAAGTAAAGAGGGAGCATTCACAACAGCCAAGAAAAGAGAGAGGTATATGTCAACCTTGATTTTTAAGAATGGTGGTGATCCGCCGTTTGAGGTGTTGAAGTGATGCTTTTTTTTCCCCCAAGGGGCCAGCGGCGGGAGTTCGAGGAAGCAGAAGGCACAAAGGGGAATGGGTTCTGCCATTGTTAGATTGTTTTTTCCCTTTCCAGCTTTTCCTGCCCTAATGGAGACCTGTCATTGCTGTTTCCCTTTTTTTTTTATCTTTTTACTACATCTCCGTCCCTCTTTTTGCATGTATATCTCTTTTTATTTAAGTGTACGATAGCAGTTTGTACAACAGAGCTTGTTTCTTTCACTTGTTTTATATTCTAGTATTGTTATTTTTTTTTTTCATCATGTTATGGTTTACTCGCAAATTTACCTCGTTCTCCCACTTGGATCGATGTACAAACAAAAACAAACTTGACAAAGTGATTGAGGAAGACAGGAATATCACTGCTCCTTCATTTCGGAAGGAATCTCACAAAGTAGTTTCGAAATCCCGCACGCAATCCACCTCTTATCCAATTATCACTCCTTCACCGTCGTCTACTTCCTTTCCAGTAAAATCAAACAAAAAACTCGGACATAAAATTGCTTGTGGAATTCTAAAAAGCAATCATTGTTTTTCCGTCAGTCTTTTGAAGCATCATACACAATAGCCATTGTAGGAGCACGATTCACCGGGAAAACTACGTTCCTTCAAAAATTCGCTTATGTGCAAGAGAATGATAACAGTAAGTCTGTGAAGTGCATTGTATAGATATTTTCCTCCCCCACCCCTTGCTCATACTGTGATGCATTCAGCCTTTACTATTGTCATGGATCAGACCCGATATATTGTCAAAGAATACGACGAGAACATGATCATCGATGCAAGCACTTGCTCTCCTGAAAATTTAGAGGTACGTTTAGTGGGACGTTCAATGCTTATCACAAACATGTCTAGGAGTCATTAATCCCTTTTCTCTCCCGGGAAAATTTCTATCAGGGCTTTGGCGCTGTCATCGTTTGTTACGACACCACTGATCGGAATTCCATTGATTGCTTACCTGATATTCTCGGTAAGGATGATACGGAGAAAGAAAAAAAAAAGATCCCCCCGATAAACGTTTATTAACAACATCGTCACGCCAATTCTGGTAGACATCTTTGTGTCCCGTGACATTTCATGTGTATTGCTCGGCTTAAAAACTGAGTTGACCGCGTTCCGACAAGTGAATATGGACCTTGTATACGATCTTGCCAACGTCTTCGGTACTGATGTGATCGAAGAGGATCATCACGCCGTTTTTCAGCACATTGCACGGTATTTAAACGACTCAACGACAAGACGTGGGATGGCGTGCAGTCAGCCATCGGAACCTTGTTTATCTTTTACTCCGTGTTTACAACTTGATCAACATGAAGAATTGCAAAATCTTGGTCCACCGCTTGACAAGTTGGCCACTATTAATTCTTGTACCACTTCGGAACATTCAACCGAATCCGATGATCATCATCGACACAGCTTTCTGTCCACGAGTTCCGTCGATAATAACACAGTAAACAACGAAATGGGGCCGCCACTAGCTTATTTTAACCGTCGACGAGGATCCAAAGACAGCAGGCATGACTCACAGATTTTTAAAAAATTAATCGGACTAGCAAAAACTGATGCGACGTTAAACAATGGATATAGTTACTCTACGGGGACCGGGTTAACCGTGGATGATATTATCGACAAAGTGCTCTCGGCGGGCTTGTGGAAGAGCGGTAAGTTGAACCCATTTTTTACTGGAGTCATTCATCTCATATTTAAAATTATTCTCAAAAATAATATTCATGCATCATCTAGGGGACGAAAATATAGTTTCGATTTTTATTACATTTTTCAGGAAATTTATGCGTCCAAGCGAGCTTGTGCATGCATTGATAGAACGCTTCGAACAGGATATGACAAAAACTGTGCCCACACGTCAACAGGAACGGTAGGTGCTATTCCTCATTGCACCAGATGTTTTGGCAGACACCAGTTGACATTTGTGCAGAATACGATCGATCTTTTGCTTGTGGCTGTCAAAGTATTGGGGAGACTTTCACAGTTCGGAAACACGCCAAAGCATGATCCTCTTTTTGGATAAAATCTCCAAAATAGAAGGTTCAAGGCCCATTTGCGATACGCTCGCACCGTTAGCCGTGCGTGAACCGCCGCTGCATGATCCGGATGCTTCATGGGGACTCACAGACATTAACAGTCCTCAATCACACAAACACAACGAGAAGAAGGACAGCGGATACTCCGAAGGCATTGATCTGGCGTGGTTAAGCGACCATGTTCAGGATCCGCCGGCGCATCATGGTTTGCAATGGAAAGTCGATCCGAGCCAGAAATTGTTGCTTGCTACCAAAGCCTTGAGACATACGGTCAGTTCCAATTCTTTGGATTATTTTGGTCACCAGTCATCTTTGGTGATATCGTCTGCTCCCGAAAGCGAGATTGTCATGCCAAAGAACTGCACGGAGGAAACTCCGGGTACCAAGACGGTGCATGATGGTAGTCCGGATGCGGTGTTTGCAGGCGGCGTCATCAATATACCTTTGGAAGCGCATTCACCCAATCAAGGATTCATCAGCGCTTTTATCAGCAGTCGCTCGGAAAAGGATTTGACAGCCTACAAGTATTTAACTTTCATGGAAATCCCGGCTCAAGTCATGGCCGAACAGTTGACTTGGGTCGAAGCGGAGCTCTTTCGGAGAATCAAGGTACGCAGTAAAAAAAAAAGTCAAAGCATCAAAAAGCTAGGAGGGCTGACTTTTGGCTTACACGAAAAAGCCTCGAGACTTTGTACGGCACATTTGGTCAAGTTCCGATATAGGGTTACAGAAAAACACGGATCGATCTACAATGGGAAATCCCGTGTTGGCATCGATCGCTCACTTCAATTTCATATCAGCTTGGGTGGCGGCCATGATCGTCGCACAACACAAATTAGCCCGAAGAGCTGCCGTATTTGAACGATTTCTGTGTATTGCTGTGGTAAAGGAGGACAACTCATCACCCCCCTTTTTTTTCTCTATTCCCTTGATGCCAAAACCGCAATTAGGAAAATTAATCTGCCATTTTTAGCAATTGCGAAATCACAACAATTACAATACATTGATGGCTTTATTAGCCGGCATTAATAGTGCGGCGATTCTAAGGTTAAAACAAACACGTGGAGCGGTCTCAGTCAAGAAAATCTATAAGCAACTGCAAAGTCTCGAGTGCCTGATGAGTTCCAACAGGTATGAAAAAAAATATATAGTGTATCACTTTATCAGCAACCCGGTTCGCTGTGGGCTGTGTGACCAAAAATTTGGCGACACTTGCAACATTGGGTGCTACAAAGTCTGACGTTGCACTTTTGAGAACGGGTTTGGGTCGATTTTCAGAATCAGAAAAAAAAAGCTAAGGAACCATTTTAATTTAGGTCGTTCAGTTCCTATCGATTAGCTTTAAAAGCCTCTGAAACTCCTGGGATTCCATATCTGTAAGTGACACCACTCGATTAAGAAAAATTCCATGGGTAACATAACCAACGGATTGAAAAATAGTGGAATTCACAATCAAGACTTGGTGTCCTTATCGGAAGCCAACAAGGACTTCAAGAATGACGGCACGATTCACTGGGAAAAGTTTCGGCTTATGGGAGAAACAATCATGGGGGTCTTGAGATTTCAATATCCCAATTATACGATCCAGCCGAATCATGCGGTGTTACGATTTGTTGCTGACTGTGAAATCATGACGGAAGATGTAAGGGGAGGGAGGGGGAAAAGGATTTGAGATGGACTGTGCAAAAAAATAACTAAAAATGGTATTCCTTTGTTGAAACCACACAGGAACGATACCAACGATCTATCATGGTGGAACCGCGTCTAAAAGCTTCCAGCAGTACCAGTCGTTTGCGTGATTTATGGATGAGAGTTTAATAACAAATAAACTACCCAGAAAAAAAAAAAAAAAAAGACAAGCAAAGGAACAAGAACTGTTGGTCAAAAAACCAACGTCAAAATTTGGAGGTGAAAAAAAAAATCAGATGGAAATTTTTTCATTTGTAACCAAAGAAACCTTAAATGCATGAGTTGCCATTCTGTGTTGAACCAGCAGGTTTTTTCCACTATTTTTTCCCTCGCTCTATTTTCCTTCTTCTTCTTTTTTTGTTATTGCTTTTCTGTTTGACACTTTATCTTGCTATTCTTCGGTCGTTATCTTTTTATCAAACAGCTATGGAAGTTCTGCATCACCCTGATTCCTATCTCCCCACATCCAGCAACTACTCTTACCATCATCACAACACCAACGCGGACCCCATCCCCATCCACCAGTCCAACAACGATATAAGATCTTCGTCGTCGCCCAGCCACACTGACACTTTTAAACTGGCCGACGATGCCCATCAGCGACCTCTGTCGCGATGTAACTCCACCTCGCTGGCGGACTTGATTCCCGCCGCTACCGCGGCCATGAGAGCGAGCTCTGAATATAAACGGCGCCAGGAACCGGATCCTGAAGCGTCACTCAATACAGCCTTTGCGCGCGCATTAGCCAAAGTGAAGGTGCAAGTGCAAACGAAACGGCTCAAAGAAAAGTACCTTGCCCATGAATGGATTCGGCTGGCACTAGGATTGCCTGTGGATGAAAGCAAGATCAACCAGAATCCTAATGGCTTTATCACTGCCGACGATGTTCAAAGCACTCTGAGCACGCCAAGGATTGCATACAAGAATTTGGATGGACGCACGGGAGAAATTGCAACGTGGTACGAATGGAAGATCAATAAGAGCAGGTTCACCGTCGATGAAGTGGAACGCAAAGTCGATCGCCTGCGACAAAAAAAATTTGCACATCATCAGGCTTCACTGAAATCATGAGACATGGTAACGAAAAAAAAAAAGAACCCTATTTTACCCAGTTGTTCTTAATCATGGTCTCCTATTGTCCAATCTCTCTCGATTTACGCATATCGAATAGGGAGGCGAACTTTATATCGTTTCTCAAATGTTGTTATTACTATCATTATCGTTTTTTCCATCCCTTTTTTCATAATTTTTATTGTCTGTCATTTAGTGTAAAAATTGTTATAGTTCTTTTTTCATCATGATGAAAATCCCATTAAAGTGATATACCAAAGTATTGTTGTTGTTGTGCCCAATTTTTTTTTTCTAATACTTGTATTTTGTCGAGTAGTCTTTCAGTGATACCACGAGACCTCTTCCTTTTCTCGCACCACGATAAACAATCTACGCTGCATGTTAGTCGCCAATTTTTTTGCCTCGGTGCAAATGCAAATAAAAAAAAACTTACTTCAACCAAATCAATCATTTCTTGCTTGTCGTCCAATGCCCAGTTGATCTTGTTATTGTTACCCGTACCCAAATCCACCATGATGTGCTTATTACGGAAGAAAAACATTACCGTGCACGGATCATACAATTCATACATCTAACCATCCCAAATTTTTTCCTCTGTCAGTCACTCGTATGCTCCATGAACGTCTCCCCTTGATCATCGACCTACCTTGTTAAAGTCCGGGACTTCCGTAATATCCACCTAAAATCGCCCATCGTTTCGTTAGTTAAACGGTCACTCTACAACGAAGACAGCTCATACCAAGTAAATGACAGCAAAGTTTTTGACTTTTTCAGCAATGCTATATAAAACTTCGTCCATCTTCATACATGTGGGGTCCCAATCGTGACCGAAGCGAATAATGACGACACGGTCCTCCTCAGACAAGATGGCTTGATCCACTTGCCAGCCTAATAATTATCAATCGTAGCCACAAAAATGAGTTAGCAACAAAACCGCAAGGCAATGCAGACGCTGAATGGTACGAACCGTTGGTTAAATGGGGCAAAAAGTACTATACAAGCAGTGGAAAGTTTTAGTGACAAGGCAAACTGATTGAATTGTAATAGTTACTTACCGACTATAGACGTATGGACATTGCCGTAAAAAAGCAGAAAGGGTGAGAATTACGGATTGAGTAACGATCGCGATTGGATCTTACCATGATAGCTTGAAAAAGCGGTATAAAGTACTCGGCAGAAAAACCTAGAATGGATGGGCACAGTTGAAATGAACAAATAGGAAATGGCTGCCGGAATTTGAATTACTTTTTTTTTTCTTTCTGCCAATGATCCAAATTTCCATCCACCAGAGGATCATCGAGGCTTTCACAAACCAAATTGCTTTACGACATGATCGTTGATAGAATTTCAAAGAAACCTTACGTATTTTTGGTATCATGAATCCCAAGTATCGTGTATAAGCCTTAGCATCATGATATGACCTTTCATCAGCGAGAAACAAGTTGATACGACGCAGCCAGCTGAAAATTTTACAACTAAATCATTACTCAACATGAAAAGATTATGTGAATGAGTTAAGCGAATGGATAATAAGCAACACAATTTGTGTGAATGATGGGATAATGACGAATAAGCAATCTTATTTGAATATTGCACGGATATAATGGCCGGGAGATAGAGAATGTAACGGAAGGCAGATCTCTGAATGGGAAAGTGAGAACTAAACGCCAGAAGAAGAAAGTTCGCCAATATGCTAAGAAAACAAAAATGAAAATAAATAGAGGAGGGATGGTGGGATAGGTGTATGGATACATATGTAATAAGGACTTCTAAGATTTGGTTTTTAGGGAAACGGGCAACCTGTGAACTGGTTGCGAATCTCCTGTAACTCCTCGACATCAAGGGCTAGCGTCTTTTTGAGATCACCGGGTCGTATGCCCGCCATGATTTGTTCTTCGGGGGATCGCCTTCTACGCCGTGTCGGGGCAGGCCGACCATTTTCCCTGCTTGCTTCAAAAACCACAGGCGTCCCGTTGGCTTTGCCTGGGTATTGGAAAGACCATGCTTCCGCTTCCTTGGGTTGTTCACGACGTTGCGCAACCGTTTCAATGGCTCGCCAGACAATACCAGGCACGTCTTGAATCATCCAACATACCATTTCCAATCGCACCAATCGATGGCATTGACGAAGGACCCCTATAACGGCTCCCTCATCTTCTTGGTCATTCTGCGCTTCTTCTGCTTGCAAGTGCACTCTGTGTTCACGTTCGCGTGGTGTCTGTTGCGTTACCTCCGATCGCACAGGCAATGTTCCAACCCCGGCCGCGCTGACTTTCAATTTCTCCACATGGGTTGCATGAGCAGCCACCGTTCTCAAGCTTTGGACACTGTCACATCGAATCGATAAACTTTTCAGCTGATGACCATATTGCATAATGGCTTCACACAACGTTTGCTCTTTCACTTGTTGAAGTGCTACCGAAAGATGGGTCACAAGAGGGCAGTTTGCACGGAGCGCTTCAAGTGCTGTGTCATTGGCTCGAGGGACCTTGTTGTGGTTGGCTCCGAGATCCACCGTCTGCAGATGGGGAAGGCCGCGCAGAAGTTCACTGATGCTCTTGTCAGAAAAATCGGTCCAGAATAAAGACAAATGCGTGACCTTAGTGAAGCATAGATTGTCATCATCGGTATCTTCTGACGGTCCTGCTTTGTCCATGGTGAGTGTACAATAACGGAAGTTCATGTGCCGTATTTCTGGTAAAATTCGCGCCAGCTGTCGCACTTTATCAACCGAGAGTGCCCGAAAATCCGTCAACGTCAGGGTTCGAACGCTTTTCAGGCAGCTGAACAGTGGCCAAAGATTCGCAACCAACCAGTGATTGCCACTTTGTCGACAGGACAATGTCAACTCGCGAGTGCAGTGAGCCACAGTATGTCGAAGATGAAGACGTCGTTGCAACCCATTGTCAAATTGTTGAATATGGGCTCGATAACATAGTTCGACATGGGTATAAAGAAATGGCAAACATCGTTCATAAGCCAAACGACAAGTCAGACAAAGCTGCGCCAAGGTCGTTCGTGGAGCACCCGCTAGAACTTGGTGCAGTATTTCTGTTGGCAAATGCAGTAAGGACATGGAGGAACATACAGAAAAAGACCACCTTCGTTGTGTGTATGTGTGTGTGTGGTCTCAAATCATCCACAGGAAAATGAAATGCGGACTTGGCTTTGAATTTCAACAAGGAAAACTAATGCATGTGACTTTTAGTTACCAAAATTGGAAATCCTCTTCCGTTAAAGGTTTTTGCTAAATGCACATAGAGGTTGCACATAATGGGATGCCAAATTGAATTTTAAATGACACCCATTTTTTTGGTGACGACGTAGCTTATGTGCATTATGATTTTTTTATGGCGTAATCGAACCCAACAGTGACAGTATTGCTTTGAATTATTTTATTCTCAAAAACAGCTATGATATATGATGTTAGTTGAGAGGTTATAGATCAATTTTAGTGGGCAATAGTTACAAATTGTATGAAAAGAAGCTTATGATCCGTTAGATCATAGAAGCTTTTACCTATATCTTCATGAGCGATGAATAGTGGCGGGAGCTTGGTTCTGTGTCTTGGTTTTATAGTCACCAAATAAAAATAATTTGACGTGAGCTGAAGGATAATCGGATGACCGGATGAAGGAAGAGAGAAAAAATGGTACAAACAAGATGCTTTGCTGCTCACTATAAGTGGTGTGTTATATGAGAGAATTTAGAACAAAATAGACAATGAGAACCCTTTGAGACATGTCGGATATGTTTACTTCGATTAATGTGATCTGCATATTATATTTTAGTCTCAAGTCGAAATTGATAACTATCAGTGAGTCCTCGGTTATAAGATGTATTTGAAGGATTCGTATGCTGTGATGTGACAGCGTTACCCGTATGAATTGATCTCGGTGATAGATCCAAGTTTGGATGAAGAGGAATCAATCGGTTCTAATGGATCACTCAGAAAGGAAACACGTCTAAATCCCGATCTTTCTAGTTTGGGAACACCAACCTAGGATAGATAATGCGACAAGTAGTGGATATACCACACTCAGAAACTCATGTTGCAACGTATGCCATAAGGTTGTCATTAATATACCAAAGTTCCATCAAGAGTTCTCGCCTAGGGTATGCCGTATTGCGTTTGGCTTTTGTCTGACGAATGTCGCTCAATGTAAGGGGGCGACGTCCAGTAGCAGGTGGCATCCATTGCACAGCGGGTGTTCGGCTTGTTCCGCGGTAATTCGCAAATAAAAAAAAAAGTATTCCTTTGTTATTTCTCGTTACCCGCGTCCCCTTCCTCCCTCTTTCGCTTCTCTACACTTTTAAGGTATGTATTTGCTGTCGCTACACTGTCGTTCCAAGAAGTTGATATATATAGCCACATGGAACACGAGCATACCGCAAAGCTGCTTTACTTTCAACGGCTTTATCGAATGTCGCATCGAAATTGTATTCCTGGAGACGACATTGCCGATGGAATGGTTGCGACGAGGTGGCGGACAGTTACGAGGATGTCATTGTAGGAGGCTGCGCTGGATAGTTCGTGGTGAGGATTGGAAGGCGGGTTGGACAGTTGTCGGGATTTGAGATCACCCGTTGAGATCGGCGTGAAGGGATGCCGGAGATCTGCTTGCAGTGGTTGCAGACGGGCAACACGACTTGTGGACGACATGACGAAGGGTCGCCATACAGGCAGGAAATATGGGTTGAAGCATTGTCGACTCAAGAACATAGACAAAAGGCGGAGAAGACGATGTCTTGATGATGGCGGGAACATTCTCTGTTATTCGTCAGAATGCCGTCAGCAAATGGCAGCAGGTAAGTTCAAGACTTAATTGTAGTTATGGTGTAGGGTGATACTGATAAATCAAGTAGGCCGATCTTGGAAAAACGTCATTTATCCGATTAGACTGTGCCAACAGTGCCAGTCGGCCAATGACGATACCAATCCACAGGTAAGCAGGAGGTCCGGTTACTTTAATATTGATGACTACTTCATTGGTTATTCTAGATTTGGAACAGAGATATCAATGCTGATGTGAAAATGCGTTGGGTAGCGATTGTCATGGTAAAAAAAAAGGGCACATTGGGTTACATACTTGGTTCCCAAGGGCTGCGACTCAGGCTAATGAATTCAAAGAATGTCCAGTACCCTTTTACATGAACTGGAACCGAAGGGTTGCATGTCCAGTATTAGTTCAGCTAATGAGGTCTTACCAATGTAATTTGAAAGAGTTACCGCCTGCTAGGCTTCCATTTGCGTTTCTACATACGAAGTTTGTTTGCGGCGTATTGTATTTTGTACATTGGAGTTCAGAGAGATATGCATAGCTGTTTTTCCAGCAAGCTGCACCCAGCACTTGCAATTTCAGGATATCATTTGTCTTGTTCATGATGTTTTGGTCCTTCATAACTTGTTAGTGTTGTGATAATGTCACCCTGTGCTCGACATCTTCTCGCTCAAGCTCAAAGACTGTGGTATTCTTCCATTCTGAGCTGTGTATCATCTTCAGTACATCAACCGTCGATTGCTGTGTAACCCCAGCAACCATTATGGTTTCATTGTAGGAGAACCTCGTCCTGCATCTGATTACCTTCGCTCATTGTTATTCCCTTTTGTTCCTTCTCTCTGTGTATCCATCACAAAATGAATGCACGCGATCGAGTTCCGGGCTACAAAAATCCCATGATGACGTAGCCGAAGGATATGTCAAAAGAACGAAGCATTTGCTCAAAATGTTCTGAGCTCTTTTTCCAAGCACTGCATCGTTTTTATCTCCCCATGCGTATACCCGACCGACCAGCCAAAACGAACATCCAGTGTAGTTCTAAAATTCACGAGCTTGAACCGTGGTAAAATTTGTATTTCAAAATATAATATAAAGAGACATGGAATGCTAAAGAAAGAGGTTTAGTGACGAGCGGCAACCTTGATGTTATCGAAAGCCTCGCGCTCAGCACGCTCAGCAGCAACTTCGTCGATATATGGCTGAAGATATCTGACATCCTATCACGCAAGCAAATACGTTAGTCACTTTATGTTCATTGGGACAGGGTTGACGAAATGCGCGCTTACTTCTTTGGGGGTGACCCATTGAGCCTGGGGCAACAATTGGTGGCTCAACGAACACTGTTGAGCAACGCGAAGACGGTAGGCACGGTCATAAGCCTCCTTGGGGTTGGCAATTTCGAGACGGCGAAGGGCTTCCTGGACCACTTCACTTTCCTCGGCGAGCAAATCATCATAACGGAGACCTGTTGATAATGTGGAATCCAAACGAAACGACGAAATACGACAGAGAAATACGGTAGAATGGGTGATATAGTTTCCAAAAATAGACGAAACGAGTAGCGTGAAGAAAACAAGTTGAATTGACAAGGAATACAGAAAGAGACAAAGCAAATGTTTATAAGTATTTCGTGTTGAACCATCTCGGTCAATTTTTTCTCAATGGACATTACCGATCTGTCTGTAAGCAGCGGCACCAGCGTACATGTTGGCGGCAGGCTTAACGAAGCCCGAAAGAAGCTTGCAGTTCTGCACAACGGCCTTAAGAGTAGGGTACGACATGGCTTCCGGAAAGAGTGGGGGAGGAAAAAGTTAGCAGGGTGATGGAAATTAGACCTGGTTCCGCCGTCATGTTTGTTTTCTCTAAATTTCGATTATTTTCAGTGGCCGACGTTGATGTCACATCTCTGATGTCATCAAAAAAAATCGACTTGGAGGTTTCGTAAGGCAGAATGAGGTTTGATCCAATATGCCTCAAAAGAGCTTTTTCAGAGGTGGCTCTCTTTCTACTTTTCAACTCGACGATTACAAATTTGATTTGATCTTTCATTCTTACTCTCCCTAGAAAAAAGAATATATATTGGTGAAATCAAAATAATTTCTTTGGAAGTCACTCACACCAGATCGCACTTCTAAAGGGATCTGTGTTGATATCTATCCTTGTCTCATATCCGGCTACAGATGCACGCTGTCTCGTGCCTTATTGTTATATAATAAATCAATCGTTTATATCCAGTGCGGGGGTTTCTTATTGCTTGTCAGAAAAAAAAATAAAGTCGACATATCCTGCCCAGTTACGGTTGATATGGTGATTTGTTGAATCGAAGCTATATTACCTAATATTGTCTCCGTCCCAGGAGGCCATATGCGACTGGATCAAGATTCAGTGTATCAACACGGGCGTGCGGCGTGAGTCAATGATCGAGCCTTTTTACTCTCATCTCTGGAGGCCTCACCATACGATGGAAAATGAGGCTGGGACGGGACCATTTCGTTGGAAAGCGATAAGCAGCACCGTAGATTTGATCGGAGCAGTGTTTTTGATTACCACACTGGCACAGGCATGGAGATCATTTCTGTATCGTCTTGGCTTCTACCTTAACCTTGATGGCACTGTTGCTATTCTACATAATAGTTGGAAGTCGGCCTTATATCAAGGAAGATATTTTTATTTATTTATTTTACTTATCTTTCTTTTGACATGTATCGCTCTTTGGGGGTTTTTTTTTTTTTTTTAGTGTTGGGTTTGTCATTAAAGTCTCATTTTATACTGCTTTTATCATCCATTCTTTTGTGCTTGGTTTTGAATAGGAGTTGCTTTATCCCAAATCATCGCATGGAAAATAAAAATGTACCCCTCTTTTCCTGTAAAGACACATTTAATATTATCGTATACCACCCAGACTAGCCATCGGAACACCATCGTTCTTATCGACCATCACTCAATGGTCAGTAAAAGCTCAGTTAAGAAAAAGGATCTATGGATTTGACCCGTGCAATCTTGTATCTTTTAATGAGCAATTCATGCTCATTTATCAAAGACGAGAGAAGTTATCTCAGTAACTGCTTGACTCTCTGTTTAAGAACCTTGAAGGGCACACGACGCATTTAGATTACTGACAGAAATAATAGATTCTCTATCCGGATTCCCGTTCTGCCATTGATCATCTCAAGTACTCTGGAATTGGATTTGTTGCTCCGGTAATGCTCTGCCAAACTTTCACAACAAAGCTTTTTTAGTAACCACATCTCAGAAACAGCTTGATTTCGTTGCTTGATTACCTTTTTCGGCCCTCAAAATGTCTGCGTGGTTCGCTTTATCAAGGAACGTGTGTCGCTCAAGATGAACGTGACACCAAATTCATGCATTGCTGGTCGTTCTAAACTTGAACCGGATACGACGGGCTGCAACGTAGAAACGCAAGTATCAAAATTAGAGAGACAAAGCCAGGCTTTAGGCCGCGCCGATCTCTGTTGAGGAGCAATGTCATTTTTGAAAATGCTCGAGAGTTCACCAAAGTTAATAGTGACAACCCTCCAAATAATCATTTGAATACACAGCAACGGTGATACATCTTCGTGAAAGTTTAGAATGCTTTATTTCTAAAAACAAATAAGTTATCATTTATCTATGAATGCTGGGTATGAGCGGGCTTATCATGCAAAAGAGGCTGTCCATCACTATGAACTCTTTCGTCTTCTTCGTCCTCGTCTTCATCATCGCCGAGAAAGCTAAATTCGTAATCATCAGCCGTTGCGTCTGGAGAACGACGGTATCCTGGACTATCCGCAATCGAGAATGCGGAATTGCGCCATCCTTTACGCTTTCCCAGATACATGATACCAGCCAGACTAAGAATAGCGGCGGATCCCACCAAGCCATAGGCGATTGTGCTGCTAATACCTGATTTATTTTCTGAGATTGGCTGTCCGCTCGGTGTGATGGATGCTTCGTCTGCCGCAGGTCTATTGGATGAATGGCTTTGTGTGGCGGTGACGGAGACAGTAGAACGATGCTTGGTAGTGGCAGTGGTAGTGGTGGTGGTGCTGGCTGGTTTCGGTTTAACGCGAGTGGGTCGCGGTGGTATATACGTGTCTGCAGAAGAGAGACTAGAACTTGTCGGTTTCGGAATAACAATGGATGTACTGTGATCGTGCTTCGTATCATGATTGGCTACTGGATGATGAATCAACGTCGCTTCGTCCGCTGCAGGATCCATTTCACCAAACAGAGTCAAAGTCCAATTCAATAAACTACCCGTTGCCTCGGGATTGCCAACGTCATAGACAAGTAAAGACCACTTTCCAACAGGATTTTCTTCCCTAATAGAACCATGCATCAGGTTCACTCGATTTCATCTATCACCTTTTTCTCTTCTTCCTTTTTTCCGCCGCCAATGTTCAACTTACCAATGCTTTACAGACATGAACTTCCAGTTGTTCATGCCGCTTGTACTTCTATCGTTACCGCGAGCGGTGGCTAACTCGGACGTTACTTTGTTGGGACTTTCCAGGTTCACCACCACATTGCCGCGACACCTGTGATCGATATTGACGGTGGCGGTAATATGCTCTAGACGAAGCAGACCGGCTGCCTTGATCATCTCCTCGGTTACTTCCACTGTGCTACGCAAAGGAATCTTTGTCTTTCGATCTGTCGAATCCGGAATACTCGTCCTGTTCATAACGATAGGCACTTCCAGGTACGTTTGCTTATTGACATTTTTGAATGTCTTTGCCGCCTCGATGATAGCATAAGCGTCTAATTTACCGTAGCCAAATTTGTGATTGTACAGTCGCCCAGACGGTAATCGCTTCCAGTCCTCGTCTTGTAGACTAACCGGGATAGCGGTCTGGACACAAAGATGCTGAAGATCGCGCCATGTTAAATCAGGTCGCACAGACAAGACCAGAGCGAACACACCCGCAGCGTTGGGCGCAGCTGCCGAAGTCCCGCCGTGATGATCGGAGCATACATTGCTACCAACATTGGTAGTGTACTACGTACAATGCAATGAGCAACCTTGTTTCACCATTGAGGCGTTGCTTTTTCTCATCACACTTACGATAAAATGGCCTCCACCACTTGAGTACGTCACGACAAGCTGGGCTGAGCAACTCTCGGAATAAGGAGGATGCGCATCGGAATAGTCAATGGCTCCCACAGTAATAGTATAAATGCTATTGGTATAGCCATCAAAGTTGCAGTTATCTCCTGACATTGCTCCGTTACCGGTTGCGAAAACGTAAATGGACCCCTTTCCATCGCGACCATTCTCAATGCCGTTCTTGAAGGCATCCGCCAAAATACCGACCGGTGCCTCCATCGTTTCACCGTTATCAGGAGGACCCCACGAACATGAATAAATATCATTCTCTTGATACTTGTAATTGAGCGCGGCTGCCTCATCTACATCTGTTATCTCACCGGAAAGAATGCGGATACCTGCCGGGGAACACATGATTAATTACTACCCAAAAAGATCATACCCACACATTGGCGCAGGCACACCCACGGAGTCCCAATTGAACTTACCAGCAACCTTGGCATCATAAGCAATACCGATACCGCACACATCATTCTTCACAGCGGCTATTTGGCCAGCACATCGAGTACCGTGATTATCATCCCAGAGCATCGGCTTTGGGAGATCCACATGGAGATTGAAATCATAAGAACCGGGTGCATACTGTCAAGTCCTCAATTAGCTCCAAGTCTTTTTAAGGAAAGTGTGCATGGACGTTGCTTACAAAGTTATCTTTCAAATCGTCATTTTCAAAGTCCAGGCCATCGTCCAAAATAGCCACAACAGATCCGTTGCCAGTGATACCCTGACTCCATACGCCGGTAACATTGATATCTTTTCCTGCATATTCCTGATTGATCTAATCATCCATATCAATAAGCTGTCCATTGACTACGCCTGGTGTGCCGTGTAAGCGGTTTCTTACCAGATGCCACTGCTGAGAAAAACCTGGATCCTTTATGTGTAACTGCTTTCGCGTTTCCTCCAATAACAGTTGACCTTGCGATTTGACAGGGGCTCTCGCTTCCAGTGGAATAACGCTTCGTTTGATTCGCTGTCTAGGCACTTGTTTCTCAATGCTTTGGACTCGCATCCAAGCATCATCCCTTTTGTTGAAACGGCGAGCTTTCTTGTGGCCATGGAAGGCTGCCACGATATCGTCGTCATTTTCCAGCGATCGTTTGGATGAATTGTTGGTCTGGATTGGCGTGCTGACCAGAAAGTAATTGCGTAATTCTCCTACTGGACCTTCGTATTGCACCTGAAGGTGGGTAGCAATATCTTTGGCAGCCGCAACGTCGGAGTTGTCATTACTGCGTGAGGAAGGGAACCGTAAAACATAATACTGCCGTGCAGTATCACGCTTCACCACATTGGATGCTCCAACCAACAGTGTAGCAATTGTCAGGACGACAAGTACTAAAATATTGGAGTGCCTCATGGAGATGGAGCGGAATAAGAAAGCAAACAATTTCAGATCTAGGCAAAATGGGAATTGCCGGTGTTCCCTGGGAAGTCGCCGATCATCGCTGTTTTGTGACCTGCTTGCTTTAGGCTCCGCCATGGCTCCACGTTGGACCAATGGAAGAGCGTTGCTGTTTCGGAAATCTTTTTCAGGTTTCCAATGAACTTGAGTGCCTGGAATTCTGCGAGCATACTAAAGCAAATTAATCGCGTGGAGACAGTCAGTCTAACTATGAATGTGGCAAACAAAAATTTAATTGAGCAAGAAATAAGTACCCAAAAAAGCATGGGTTCCCTTGTTATGAAAATGGGGCGCTGATGGCTGGGTACAATACGTCTCCATGCCATGTCGTGGACACCATTGCTAAGTAAAAGTGTGGATGTAACAAAGGGCATAAAATGAACTTAATATTTCAAATATGCGTTCTGGCTCAAAAATGGTGTGCATTTGTTAGAAACACTGTCAATGAATGAAAATAGGCCTAAGCGCCTTGACTTGACCCGAATGGGAGGTGCAGGCTGCTAATTTTGGGATTTGATGTCGTCGCTACTGTATTTCAGAGACCAATAAGCGACGTGTTGATGGGAATGAAGACCTGCCAACAGACTCTCGTTCGTGATGCGCATCCAAGGTGGAGGGACACCAGCATATGGTTCAATAGTATTCAGTAATTTTAGCCATCTGAACATCTAATAAGGTAGTGCCTGCCAATTAAAGGGAAACGATAATATCTTAATTATGGATACTCCAGCCAATCCATGTTTATTAGCACACACTCACATCAGTTTAGTATGTTTGGTTCGCCGAGAGCATTGCATTGCTATAAAAATATAAAAGTCAGCTACTGTAGTTCGCACATCTCCTGCACTGATAACCTGGATCACCATCTCACCGTCAACATCCAGCTGTGGATGGTATGTGGGCGTAGGATGAGACTAGAATGAATCTGCCTCACCCGTCAAGCTTATGGAATTTGCAACATAGAAGAAGCGGTTGATGGGCATGACAAGAGGCGATGATGAATTCATATATTACTAGTTCAAAGAATACTCTAAACTGTACAATCTCCTGGAATGAAAAACATAACAAAGTTATCAAGACTGAAGTAGCATATAAAAAGTACAGTACTGTACATGTCTTTTGTTTACCGTATTTTTACATGCATACTATCGAGGATCAATGTTCTGACTATTGGCAGTCAGAAGTATATCGATAGTTCCTGTGTTCTTTGATCTGATATCCCATGTCATGCATAAATTGCTGATCGTTTTCGCTGTCTTTTGGACTTGAACATGTTATCAGCTGACAACATGGAAAACAGCTTCCTTTTTTGGGTCGCGCTATGAGCAAAAGTCTAGGTGCTCCGAGAATGCAGCTTAGCCCAGCGACGCGAGTGTATCAATTTTCACGTGGTTATAATCATAGCGGTATATTCGTATTGCTGAGATTTTTTAGTGCTCTCAGCCATATTGACGGGTGCACGTGCCAATAATACCGTCGATGTTGCACCGGGCGAGATCATGCCGATCCATAACAGGTTGTTGATTATATACTTCAAGAACAAGAGCGCTTAGTCGTTAAGGTGGCTCGAATACAAAGGGATGCATATATCATATGATTAGAATTACTTATTATCGGCGAGGACTTCATACTGATTTAGAATGCTTCATTTTAACAAGGTATACGATCTTCTGATGCTAAAAATATGAAAGGTCCAGCTTATCTAATTAGCTCGTACCAGAAAGAAAATACTGAAAATAGGATAAGCTTGACTGCGTTCAGTAAGGCGAAATGGTTTGATCCACGCTATTCAAGTAACGAATGACAGATCTGAAGAAGTAAAATCCATTTTCAATAACTTTCTGCCTTGAATATGTCGCAAGTCCAATCATAAAACTGTTTCGAAAGTATGTTTACAGCTGTTATGATACAAAAACAGGAGGATTCTATTTACATCTAGATAGGGCGTCTATTAAAGGGAAAACGGTGCTTTAGGCTAGGTCCTTAGTCTCCGATCCTTGCTCCTTGGGGAATACTTGACGAACATTAAGATTAATACGCGTAGTAAGCATGTACTGTCCAAACAGTGACCAGTCACTGTCTTCATCATCATCAAGTAGTGCTGCAGGCGACAAGTAAGATGGTAAAGTGTCTTCCAAAATCCTCGGAACACCTTAAAAAATACGCATTACAAAATAAGTCAACTGATTGAACACTTCAGCCGATCGTCATTTACCATGATAAGCTTTTCGCGATGGGCCTGTCATGACAACGACATCACCACTGCGTAAACATAATGGGACAGGTGCTGTGTCTTTTGTCGGACCGCCGATGAGGTAGATGCATGCATGACCAAAGCTGCAACCATGATGATTAATTATCACTAGAGTACAATACCCCAATGCCTATGAATCCCTCACCTGATAGAGACGAGTGGTGCATCCATATTCAGCTCACTGCGATCGACGTGGGCCATTAAAGTATCGCGCAACTGGTAGTAATTGATCACACCTGCTTCTGATTTGAAATCGCAACCCTGATACGCGTTCGTCCAACCATCACCACCAACATTTTCTACTGCTGTAACAACCGCTTTGGTCAAATCAGAGAGATCTAGTGGAATGGCATGTTCTTCCTGCAAATCGTATTCCTTCGTTCCCCAGTGGTACTGATATCCAAGCGTGATCCAGCGCTGTTTCCGCAAAACTTCAGCAGCCGATGAGAATGATTTCGTATTCGACTGTGTCCCTTCATCGTCCGATCCCTTGGTCTCTTTGGCCGGGATCCAACGGCTGATATCTGTGGCTGAAAGTTCGCCAGCGTTCTCTCTTACATAAAGCGGCCAGATACCATCCTTGGGCACATCGTATTGCGATGCTAAACTTGATGTATTAGGCGGACACGCATAGTCTGCCACGCAGTGCCGTACAAATGAGCGCTGAGCCTTGGGAGTAAAAGGATTTGGAATAACAATCAATCCTAGCATAATAATAGTGAGTATCAACCAATACTGGAGGGTTATCCTGCCAGCTCATCTATTTTTACCTGGTATAGTCTTCAAAATGTATGCTTTCCGTGCACGAGCATGCCATTGGTCGTCCGAAGCACCGAACTGCTTAGTGAGAGAGCGCAAATCAGCAGAGAGAGTCACTTCAGTAATAGTGTCTTTGTCGATGGTTGATAGATTCTCGAGGTTGGATAAGTCAATGACTTTGGACATGTCCGGCGGAGGTATGCGCAATTTGAAATGTCGCTCGGCATATCGAAAAGGATCCTGATTAACGTAAGATTCCTTCTTTTGTCGTTTCGCTGCGTTTTCTCGTTGTTGCTGTTCCCATATCTTTTGTTGCCTTCGAGATTTGAGATGAGCTGGTGGTTGCATCATTTCTATTTTGTTGCAGAAAAATGAATTTTTTCCTTCCCTTTAAGATTATTTCCTTTTTTTATTTTTTTTTATTTCTCCCTTCCAAGCCACGACCCCGGACACCCATTCCGTTGCTTTATGCGAAAGTCAATATACGATGGAATGGTTGATGCCATATAAATAAGTCTATGTATTAAATTAAAAGAAAAAACATATCTAATGCGTTGCTATTCTATTTGGGTTTCTAATGGTATGCATGATGGACAAGGGGAACGTATTCAGGAACATACATGGAGTTCTTGACGACGTCGCTCAACATTTCACCTTCCTTTAACTTGGCGGTAGCGACACCTTCTTCGTAAGCGACCTCGCATACACGAGTACCGACTTCCAAAGCCACATCGCGCAAGTTCTTGACACCGGGGAACAAGATACCATCCTTCAACTGTGACGGACTTGCCATATCAGCAATGGTCTTGGCAGTTTCCAAGAACATGTTGGGAGTAACGCGACTTGCTCTAGATACAGTGATACCCAAACCAAGACCCTACATACGCCAATTCCAAAACCAGTCAATAAAAATCCATGTCCATATCAAATCCACATGACTCCTAGAAAAGGAAAGGTACTTACGGGGAAGCTGTAAGAGTTGTTGCATTGATTGGTGCGACCGAGGCTGCCATTGGGCAAAAGGACATCCTTGAAGGGACTACCGGAAGCAAAGATGGCGCGACCATCGGTCCACTTGAAGGCTTCTTCAGCCGTACACTCGGCGTGGGAATCAGGGTTGCTCAATGGGAACACAACGGGTTGTTTCTGATATTGAGCCATGGTGCGAATGGCCTTCTCCGTGAATACACCACGAATACCTGTCAATCCCAAAATCACGGTAGGTTTCACCTGCTCCACCACTTCTTCAAGACTTAAACGATCGGGCATGTCTGTCTTGACGTAGCACGATTGACGTTCATCGAGCTTAACGGAACGTTCAGGGCCTTGGACAATACGGGTTGGATCGTTGGCGGCCAAAGCCGAGTTACCCAAGAGACCGTGCTGATCAATCATCCAGATGCGACGATAGGCCTCTTCGCGAGTCTTGACACGACCCTGAGCGACCATGCAGTCAATGATACCTTCACACACACCCACACCAGCGGAACCAGCGCCAACACAGATGATGCGTTCTTCGGCCAAATCTTCCTTCTTCATACCACGTGCCTTGAGCGCAGCGAGGATACCGGCCAAGGTAATAGCCGATGTTGATTGGATATCATCGTTAAAACAGGTGACATTATCGCGGTCTGTACGATGACAAAAAAATTATTAGAACCGTGCAAAAATTAGATTACCTTTTAAACACCCGATAATGAAGCCGACAATCACTTACATTTGTTTAAGAGATTATAGGCGTAGGGGTACTTGAAGTCCTCAAACTGAATCAACGCATCTGTAATTTGTAGAAAACATCGGGTTAATTCCATTGATCCAAGTACAGAAAGTTGTAAAACGCTTTTTTTTTTTTGGTTAAACTTACTTGGCCATCTGCTGTGAATGGCGGTGACCCATTCATCGACGAAAGAGTAGTAGTCTTCGCCTTCAAGACGTGGGTGACCCATACCAAGATACAAGGGATCATTAAGCAAGCCTTCATTATTGGTACCGACATCGAGAACGACGGGTAAAACGGCACGAGGTCGGATGCCACCTGCCGCGACATACTACACAAAAGGGGAATATCAGAAATGGAGTATAATCTTTTTAAGACACAAAATGAAACTTACTAAACTGAGTTTACCAATAGGAATTTGCATACCGTTGGCACCCAAATCACCAAGACCAAGGACTCGGGAACCATCCGTAACAACAATGACATCGACTTCATCATGGGGCCAGTTGTATACCATAGCAGACATGTTTCCTCTGTCCTGCGATGAGAAGTACATACCACGCGAGCGGCGGTAAATGGAATGCGAACGCTGACAAGCAAGGCCGACTAAAAAAAAAAAAAATTCAAAGTGAGCTAGGGCCTGTGTGGTGGTTGGCGGGAAATCGTGGGAAAAAATATAGACTCTCATTTACCAGTGGGGGTATAAATGATACCAGCCAACTCCTCCAAATGCTCGATCAGCAACTTGTAAAATAAGGTCTCATTACGGTCTTGCAAAGCGGACAAGAAAATGAATTTGGCCAAGGGCGTTTCACAAGCGTCCAAGTTACGCTTGACTCTCAACAATTGTTTGTCCATTTCCTGGCAACGAGGAGGAACGAGACCACGGATAGACAGTCTTTCTCGTTCAGCGATGCTAAACGCAGTACCTGACCAACGAGAATAGATTTTAATATACCATTTATGGACGATTTCAATTTCGATTGGTTTGAATATTTTTTTTAGGTACCTTTTGACAAAAGGGGATCGTGAATGACATTGACACCTTTGGAAGAGGTCAAATGAACGGTTTTGTCTTTACGGGGATCCGAAGCGCCAAGCATAGCCGGTGCACCGTAATGACGACGGCTCAAGATGCGAGCATCACAAAGACCCGTGCGGGTAATAGATTTGGAAAAGCCGCGAAAAGCAAGCATGGTAATTTTTGTAACGAACGTAGAGAAAAGGAAAGAACTAATTGACCTTTTTTTTTCTTTAAGCCAAGAAAAAAATTGGTTACAAGTTGAAAAAGATAAAAAAGATAATCGGGGAAGTTGAACTTGCGGCAAAAACTTTGCGACCTGAGATCAGTTATAAATATGTCATTCAGCGGCGTTCGAAGAAAGAGGTCAGGATGGCGCCCCGCGCGACACATCAACAGTCACATCAACCTGACCAATGACACGGGGACGGATCTGTTATTTTATGTCGCTGAGGATCAATCATCCGTTTAATTGAAACACTTCTTTTTATGGAAATCCGCATTTATGTTTTTGCTTTCAGGGGAATTTTGTTGATATGCATGTTTGGGGATGAAGACGAGTTGATTTGGTTGGCATGGATGATTTTGAGGATGTTTTAAAAGCTTTTTTTAGCTAGAGTCACCAAAGCAATAAGAAATGAGAGAAAAGTATGATCGGTCGTTCCTATTTTCCATGATGCGTGATCATTATTGGGTATAACTAGCAGATTAGACCGTTTCAAATGAACGAACGATAGCAAAGATGGGGATACTAGATTAAGCAATTAACGGGGTGTGAGCGTCCGCCGTTACGGCAATAAGGGGTGATCAGAGCATCTGCTTCTGATTTCTTTGGTCCATACCGTATCTGGAAACTGACATTATCTCATGTAAAGAGCATTCTGGATCACATAGTGGATGGCCAGATGCATCAACGTCATTGTGGACTCTTATGGCGAACAAAAACGAAATTTTGCCACTTTTCTGTCTGTCTCGCTGCGAGGTTTTTACTATTTCTTTTTTTTTTTTTTTTTTTTTTTTTTTTGGTAATACTGCTGACGCTCCTTTCGCGTTCGAAAACATCCGTCCTGATAATCCAAAAAAGCATGAAGCGGACTCATTATTAGGTTTTGCCTTCTTCTCTTCCTTTGTCATTGAATACATTTCGAATTAGAACTACCCAGTTCCTTTTTTCCACAGCAAATCGAATGAACATTGATCATGAAGCATTCTCGTGAATATTCTAGTACCGATATGAACACTTTTTTTTTCTGATGTATTAAATTCATCCGAGCACGGGGACTATCGACAAAATAAGCTATTTCAAAAATGAACAATGAATTTAGTGATCTTTAAAAAAAAAAAGAGAACGGATGCAATAAGGGAAAAATGGAATGAATGGAGCTGCTGCTTCGTCTTTTTGTAATATGTAGTATAATCGCCATATACACACTGTCAATGTACACATTCGTGCATCGACTTTCCAGTATTAGAGAAATGTTCTTTTTTACAGCCGTGACTTTCCAGGCAAGTCAGGCGGAGAATATGACTGTTCCATTGACCACAAACTTACCCCCTCCAATCTTTTTTTTTTTTTTTTTTTTTTTTTTTTTTTTTCGTAGAACCGGTGGATGGGTCAACTCTAATCCACAACAGCAAGACGGGCCGGTGCTCAAGTTTTATCGGCTATCGTTAAGCCTTGTATGGAGACGGCGGCATCAATATCTGGGTCTTCGGTAGGTTGTTTGGATTTCATCTTTTGCGCGGCTTTTTTACGATTCGCGCCTCGTCGTGCCGTCAGATCACGCCATACAAAACAAGAATTTCCCGCCAGCTGCATCTTTGGTTTACGCCCTCGCTTCTTTTTCGGCATCGTTAATGTGGTATCCATTCTCGTATTGGTAAATGTGTTCAAACTGGTGTTGGATGATTGCAACTTATTGTCGTCTTCGTCACCTGTTGCGTGCTTTTCGGTTGGCCACATCAGTACCATCATCTGATGATTACTGGATTCAGGCGGTATCGTCGCTTTGTTATCTTGAGGCGGTTCCTCTTCTTTTCGTTTGACATCCCATACAGTGGGCGTGACAAAAGTCCAGTTATCACGCTGAGATACGTTACGCTGTGCATTTGGTGGTCGACCTCGTTTTCGTTTGGTGACAAAGGGAGCGTTGCAGGATTCAGGGATGCGTGGAGACAGACATGGCGAAGGTGAAGTGGAGTGAGGTCGATGAGATGAAATAAAGGATGATAAATCAGAGTGGAATACGGGTGGATCAGAGAGACGGCGTTGTTGTAAGATGGGAGGGGTGGAGGAAAGGGATGGAAATGTGCGCACAGAGGACTGAGATGACGTTGATGCGTTGGACAAGGATCGACAGCGGCGGGTGCTAACGGGAGGCGGTAATAGAAAGCAGGGCTGCGGTTGCTGTTGTGATGTTTGTGACGACGAATATACTCTTTCGTAAGACAGACATGGAGAACAGGGCGATGTCTGAGGTGTATCGAAGGAAAAATAACTAGGGAACGGTGACATGGACGCTGAAGTACATGGAGAAACGGAGACGGTGTCTTGAGGAATGGAAACTGTCAAAGAAGGTACAGACGGCAGGTCGTCTACAGTTGAACTGGGGGATAAAATCTTCGGTAACCTTAAACTGGGCAGCGATTCCTGATGTTCCGTGTCCAAGGATGACACGCATGGCGACGATTCGTTCAGTAGTACGCTTACTGATGGCAGTGAAATGGAGGGGTTGCGCTGAAGTGAGGGTGTGTTTTCTTCGTCGTTGTTTATTGATACCGGTTCTGGCGAGGCAGGCAGTGGAGGCGATGGTGGATGTAAATAAAACTCAATTGAGGACATGAAATAATGGAACGAAAAAGGGCTGAACTAGTGGGAAATGAAAAAAAAAGTGTATAAAAAAAACGAGCAGTTTTATTTTATTTGATTATTTTGGTTGTATTTTACCAAACTTGGAAAAATAAAAATTCACTCAAAGAATTATCGGAAACTTCCTTTTGCTTCATTTGCAAACTAAGCACTCTCGTCCCAATTACCAGTCACGTTTCTCTTTTGACCTGGTGCAGCATGAACCAACAACATTGTCAACAGCTAGTTCATACTATTCTGTATACCGATCATCCTTCAATCCATGAACTCGTGCATACCGTGATGTGGGATCCATCCACAGACGAGATCTATCCAGAGGATATCTATCAGGTAATCTAATATCCCCGTTTTGTCCGTTGTCATTCTATCCTATGCGTCTTCATATTTTTTGCTTCTCGCGAACGATCCTTCTTTGATGAAGGATAAGCTTTCCATCTTATCTCTCTGCCTCCTTCTCGTTTTGTTCCTTACCCCTTGGCTTCCCTTTTTTCCCCCATATCTTTCTCCTCATTCACTCGCACACACATAACACTCATTGAAACTAAACGCCCCCTTTTTTCTGATATCGTCTTTTTTGTCCTTTATTCACGTGCCTTTATCATTCTGCAAGGAAAACGCACATATAGTCTTGGCATCTCTGCAAAGTCAACCCATGGCTGACCCATCACCATTAACTGCGCTCATTGTCATCGTGAATCATGCCGAAGCACGCGACGCCCCCGATCGTAAAAATTTACACTCCAGCTTTCGAACGCTTTTTTTCAATGGAAAACTCACACTGGTTTTTTTTTGGGACCCAGGATTTCATTTCCGTTTAACTTTGACCCGGTTTCTCATTGCCTGCGCACAGCCACAGGCGCCACACTTGTCTTGGGCTCTTAGTTGCTTGTCGCACCATTGTCCCTATCTTTTCACGAAAACAAACAATCACGACGTGGAAAATATGCAGCAAGAATTATTTACCCTCTGTTTGCGGGTAATATCCTCCCCCTCGACCTCTTTCTTACTGTTTGCAGCTTTCTTCCATTATTCCATACCGATCGATTTTCCGTCATGCTGCCACTGAGCTGACTTACTCTTCTCTTTTTAGTTGCGCAGTTTGAATGGTGTGAAGGATATTGAAGTCTATCATTTACTGTATAACATTTTGCGCGATCTAAAGTTGCCGTGTGAGGCAAGGCAGGCCGGCGTCCGCCAAACCAAAGAGTCACGTTTCTATCAGTCGTAAGTGATCGACAACACTTTCTCCGTTCTTGGCATCTGACAGCTAAAACCATGCATGAAGCTTGGCACTGTGTGACAGTTTGCTGGACAATTGTGTAGATTGTCCCTCCGATTACAGAAAATGGGTTTCAGCATTTGCCAAAGTAAGCTTGAATGCTAAAAGCAAGCCGATTGGAACGCTTTAGTTGATAAAAACTTATTACAGGAAATTCCGCCCTCTTTAGTGTCTGACTCTATTTCCATCCAATTACAGTAAGGATTGGAACAATGGATCTACGTTCCGCTATTTTTCACTAACCGAATTTCAGGTTTCAACTGTATAACACGTTGTACAAAAATGAATTAGCCGCCTTTTTGAGAGAGTTGACAAATTTGGGCATCGTCGATCTCAGTAATACCATTCAGGTATTTACAACCATGCTATTGATCCCCCCGTAATTTACACTCATGCGATTTCGTTTGCTGTAGCTCTCATCAGTATTTACAGAAGTGATACAGTCTATACCCAAATCTATCCTAAGCATGCTGGACTGTTATGTGGAACGTCGTGCATCCGCTTATAAGGTATATGCACGTTACATCATTTTATTCCCTCGATCTCTAACCAATGTTTGGGACATGATACATTTTTTTAGTCGCCTGTGGAAGTGGAACACTTGCCATACTTTGAAAAATTAATGGAAGGCATCACAAGTTCTCCACCAAATATTGTTCAGCTAACAAGAGAATGTGGGCTTGCACTCAGTGTATCTCAAGCCAGGTGAGTGGCAATGAAAAAGGGTGTGTAATCAATGACAACTGATAATGACACCCACGCTTGTTCTTTTTTTTTTTGGAAGATTAATAACACCAATAACCATATGCTTAACTCATATTATGCGGGCTGCAATGAAATACGAAACAGAGGTAGAGTTCTGTCAGATGTCTGTTGATCATTCTTTTCATTATTTCAATGCCTTTTTCGATAGGAAACTTTTAATTTGTTGCTCGATCTTTGCTCCGCTTCGTGGTCATGCGCTTTCACATCTTTGCTTGAACAGGCATTCTACAACGAGGACTCGTCCTTCCGTGGCTTTGGTAAAGCTGCCGTTTGCTTTGAACTGTTTAGTTCAGTCATCAATGTCGACTATCCCGTTAATTTCAGGGACGAAGTCACCAAGATTTGGGAACATTATGAAAAGCTGTGGAGGCTGCGATCGCCTCAGGAAGACCAGTTCCAATCGACTACTGCTCCATTATTCCGAATGATATATGAATCTCTCTTTGCATTAGAAGAGACCTATGATTAATATTGTTCCATTGATCCCTTTCAACAGCAATGGCAATAAAATGATCTAATCTTCGCATGCTATTGGGTTAGTATCATAGTACGTATTAAGGAAATTTTGAAACCTGATAATACTATAACTCACTATCGGGTCTGTGCAACGACATTGAACGCCGTCTGTCGCACGATGGGGCCTGAGAAGACTATGTGTGGACAATCATGACCATTACTAGAGTGTTACACATTCATTTTATCTGGTAGCTGATGTCGAAAAAGAAAAAAAAAACCACGTTGATACTGTTGCACTTAGTTATTAGGTATCGACAATTTATCAAATTTTCGGAAACACGATAGAGTTTCTCCCCTGACGATCGTCCTACTTGCTCCGTTTGGTGAAAGTGTCGCCTTTAGAGCACATGGTATACCTGCCTCATCGGGAAGAAAAGGCCCGGAAAAGCCGATGTGAACACCAATTTTATTGCCAGTGTAACGTCAAAATCTATCGTTTAGGTAAAGAACGTAAAGTATAACTGCAGTAACAACGGTATTCGACTGGTCGATTGCTACCCAAAAGATACGCTTAGGTGACTCTGATAAATAACAAGCAATATTTGGACTCAGCGACCGAATTCGGTCGCGCCATGTTTCTTTACAGTCGGAACCCCTTCATAATTTTCGAGTGCATCCTTTTGCATCGTTAAACAAAAGTTGAATAAACAGGATGTGAAAAATGGAGGAGAGAGGTCGCATCAACACACCATGCATTAATCCACTATTATTGACCGTTACAGTGAAGCAGTCATAGTAAAGTTTGTGCGAAAAAATTGCTATTGACTGCACTGGATCAAACATGTCTCATTTTGATATGATTTAACAAGAAATGACTTTATACTGTGAATATCGCTCAAGAATTCACGAGAAAATAAAGCAGGAAAGAAAGTAAAAAAAAAAAAAAAGTTGACGGTAAAAAAAAGGACAAAGGAAAGGATGCTTAGTTTCATATTATTTTTCATTTATGCAATTGCATCATTCACGGCCCTTCAGAAGACTACTTATGTTAATTATACTCGTCGTTAAAATCTGTAAATTTATTGTATCTACAAATATAGCCAAAGCGCCCATCGAGCAATTTCCTGAAGCGTGAATGGCAAGAATTCCATGTCCCTGTCATCTTGGTCACACAGTGAAACAAAAAGCTAAGCTCAGAACGTCCACAACAGCGAATCAAAAAGTCCATCTGCTGTGGCATTGACCTTCAGTATTTTACATAATTAATATTAATACATGTGATGGCTGCATTAATCAATCTACTGCTTTGTAATTGCGCACTGCCTCTGGCTTGTATGGAATCACTCCTTCTTGTTTGACTTTTCGTTTAAGCCTAGATTTCCGAATCCCTCTCCATCTGAAATTGAGAAAGCCAACATGAAATCGCTATCCATGTTCAAGGAAGTAACCAGAAACTGTGTTGACTACTATAGAGCTTTGGTATATAAAGCTATAAAGTAAGTGAGGCCATAATATAACTTCATTATCCATTGAGTCTTTCTTCAATCAAATGCAGAATCGCAGGATTTTAATCAATCCCGATCGGTTCACTCTTTGATGATTCGACGCATCGAGCGGAGAAAGAGATGCTTAATTTCAAATGAAGGTGGGTCCGCCGTTCCTGTAAATGCACAACCCAATTCAGACAAAAACTAAGCAATACTTGCTGTTACCGCTTTGGCACGCCTCATCTAGGTATTGCTTGTGACTGGTTTCAGGGGGGAACTTATTTAAAGATATGCCCGGGATCATCTCCATCGGTCCTTTATAGGGTTTGTCGTCCATTGCGACAGGGTAAATTGGGGACGACATGCTGGTTACACACAGTAGTGCATGCGCTTTATCTGAGAGAGATAAGTTTTTGTTCGACGGTTCCTTCGGCGCTAAGCCTCTGTGCACTTCGTCGTCGTGTGGTTACTTTGTAATTGCAAGGATAAATGAAAAAACTAGTATGAAGCACAAGTCTTTTCTTTATTCTTTTATTCTTTGAATTTTTGAGAGCGACATTTCCGCTGTTAAAGTGAAACTGTAGATTGTCAAATGCAAGTGAATTGGTAATTGCTGTCACAATGAGGCTTTGCCTTCTCAGATATAAAAATAAGCTATGTATGAAGCGTTCTCAATTTCTTCTCATGGATTTTTACGAGTTTACCAAGCTTTACATTTTACTTGCTCCGCATCATCGTTTTCACTTGATGTCAAATCATTGTAAAAATGCGATATTTTTTTTTATCAGGAATGTGGTTGTGAAAAGTGTTTTTTCCAGACAGATATTTTTTTTTTAGCAATCACCAACAGTGGCTGTTCTGTATCTATTTCGTTAATGGTTCAAAGCAGGGCCAGCCGACTAAAATCAGGGCTTATGGGATGACAGCTTGGCGAGATGAAGCAAATGGGAAGGAGTGAAAAGCTGTCTGCTAGCCGATTAGGGTTAACTACGTATCATCAAGTTACGTCACAGCAGTGATAAGCTATATATTCTTTAATGGCTTGCCCTTTGGTATCACATCATCGATATTATTGTGCTTATAGGTGCGTAGGTGCGTATCGACAAAATGTTAAGTGCTGAAAATGGAATTAATCATTGCCTAAATATGCGGTCAATCCTTTTTTGTTATATCTAGCCACGATTGCCCGGTTTCATGTAATGAGGTTTGGCTTCGGCAGAAATTCCGATGGACAGAGTACGTTTAACTGGCATTTATTCCATGAATACAATGTCAGCCATCTTCAGGCATTTTGCACGTAGTCGCAGCATGAATTTGGAGGTGGTTGTGACAGCCTTTTTGGTGCTGCATGCCGGAAAAATCCAAGAAAAAGCCCAGCCCAGAAGGCCTAAATTTCAGCACCATTTTAATATTACTGACTTCCCTTCATGTCCCATGACTCATAATCAGCCTTCGCGATTAACGGGGAGTCAGGATCTCTTGACTTACTTCAACATTATACCGATATACAATAAATACGTTCGTCCCTATTCTCCACCCAATCGAGCCGCAGGCTTGGACCCAACATTATCTTCTTATATCGCGAATCTGCCTGGTAAATCACCAATCTTGCCTGACGTTTTACGTGCTTGTAATCACACTTATCGTGTGTAATCCCAATAGGAAAGAATGATATGGAACCCGACGGCTATCTGCTCAATCTTTTACGTGATCCACAAGCGGTAGAAAGCGGAGCAGCCATTCGACCCTTGGATGCCGAAACGCTGAAAGAAGCCTTCTCGCTCAAAGAAGGCCCCATTCCAAGAGTAAGCTACTCTGTCATATATTTATATTTATAAATATAAATGGCAATGTGGGACTAGTTCAAGATAAGCTAACTGGAAGGACAGTTTGATGCTTCTATTTTCGGCACCGATGACAATGGCGTTGCTGAGAAAGACGCTTACGGAGTGCCTACAGGTAAATAGTGGTTGACAAACAAGCAGTGGGGAATTCAGCCATAAGAGGCTATGTGACAAGAATAAGAAGCAGAAGTAAGAGGAAATGTGAGAGTAAACATTGATAAACCAAAATTCTATCAAATAGGTGAAGGCGAGAAACGACACAAAAAGAAGGCAAGTGATTACACATTGTTTAAATTTTTACATTCGTTGCTCGGTCACTCACTCTTAGCTTACAGAAGAAGAAACGGAAACATAACCATGAACATGAAGAAGATGGACACTCTCACAGCGAACACAAGAAAAAGAAGAAACGGAAAAAGGTAAAGAGTTTGACGTTTTGCTTTCTTCTTCTCCCCTTCCCCTTTGTCTTCCTTTTCCCCCCTAACGTCCAACAAGGGGGTAGTTAAGGGGGTCTGTACAAATCAAAAGCGATGATGGTTTTTAATTGATATCCTTAATAGGAACGAGAGCATGAGCGAGGTTACCGTAGAGAAGAAAACGAGAATGAAACATTGGTTGTTGATTAAAAAAAGTTTCTTTGCATTGTAGACTACGTTACATTTAATCTTTTGTGTATGTGTGTGTTGCATTATGGAAATTCGTTTAATGAAAAAAAAAAAGATGCTGTTTTTATGGACTCTATGTTATGATGACAAATTTCTATACAAAAGTAACGAGGATGGATGGATACAGAATGATGTTGAGTGTTGATGAAGCAAGAGAAAAAAAAAAACTTTGGATAAACCAAAGGTATCTATGGGTTGGCGGTATGGTTGTTATGGCACAGTGTATATGGAAGTGGTGATGACTTTGATTTAGGCCATGATGGGAGCATCCGGTAAATCGGCGACCACGGCATTTCTTCGTCGCAGAGCATAGACAGGAAGATCGATAGTATCGCCATCGAGGGTCAGTGTTGCTTTGGCACTAGGACTTTGTTGGAGCCATTGGGCTATGCAGGCTGCAGATAAATACTGAACAGCAGACTCGAGCACACGGTCACCGTCTTGGATCGAGCATTGATAGGGTTGGGTATAAAATACTTTTTCGGACATTTGGGTAAGATTTCGAATGATGTGAAAATAAAAATAAAAAATGGAACGAGGAGACTCATCTTGCTTCTTATATAGCTTGGAAATTCGGCTCTTTTTTTTTGCACCTCCTGGTGCTATTTTTTATCCGAGCTAAACCTAAAGTGGGAAAAGTCGTGTTGTTGTGCAACACGTTGGACTGCACGGTTCCACGTGTGCGATCGCCATCCCCATTCCTTCTCCCTCCATATTTCCAATTTAACTCTTTTTTGAACAGGTTATGGGGCGTTTACCGGCTACCAAGCGCCTCTTTTAACGGAACATGACGTACCGAAATCAACGGCGGTTCCATATCTATCACTTTCTGCTGAAATCCTTTAATGCAAAGGTATCTTTTCTTTTTATACTTGTTGTTGTATGTTACACATGGTCAGTCACTGGATGTCGTGCGTTTACAGAAGCTAAAAACACCAAAGCACTGCAAGGAAAAAAAAAGGCTAGCTCATGGTCCGTTTATGCAAGCCTACCAGAAGTGAGGGGGTTCAGCCAGGGGTCAAAAGGGAGAAAACGAGAGGCATGGCATTGTAAAACCGAAAGCCACGTTAACAGGTCAGTGTCATGTGCTCTTATCAAAATTACGATATTCTCATCTTCGCAATCCAAACGTAACGAGAATCGTCTAAGCCAAGGTAGCAGAAAAAAGCCAAACATTTTGTTTGCTCAAGCTCTCCTTTGTTTTTGCAATGAAAAATCCTCGGGTTACTTGTTATCCTTTTTACTTTATTTAGTCCCCAAGTTACATGTCCATGGGAGAGCTTAATATCCAATGTCAATAACCCCTAAGCCGGGAACACATCCATGTAAAAATAGCCGAATTCTTCCTTTTCCTTTGACGCATTGATGTTACACAATCCTAAAGCGAACGAATGGTGCGTTAAACTACGAAACAGAAGCATCTGATCTTTTTTTTTTTGGAGGGGCCCACGGTCCATATTCTGCTAGGTCTGGTGATCATTTTTCGGGTAAAAAGTAATGTCGCCATGCTTCTAATCCTGCCGCTTTCTTTTGCCGACATTAGTCTATGCAAAATTAATTTTTGAAAAGAAACCATCTGTCTGAAAACTGACGTTGTGGACCGCTCTGCCTTGTAAAATTACTGTAGATAGTCCCTGAGGTCTCTCTTTGCCCTATTCTGATGTTTTATATGGCTACGGAAGACTAAAGTCTCAAAAGAGTCAGTATCGGGAGCCTATACCGATTCCGAGACGACTTGCTCGAAGGAATTCCGCATTCAACCTTGCCAGCCTGATTTACTTAACCTTCACCTGCAAAGCGGAAACCACAGATACCTGAATGTCACAACTATCAAATTCGTATCTTTGGTTGGATTCTCATCTGTGACCTGCAGTAGCGATTTTAAAAAAGTTGCGTTCAACATTTTTCGTCCGTCGAATAAAGTCATCAAACTGACGACGGTGGAGAGTGACTCGCGAAATTATTTCTTGAAAGTTGGGAACCCGCAACAGTGGTGTCAACTTTGTCGAACGATAATAAGAACTTGTGCACGAGCTTCCTTTGTGGAACGTCCATCACCGCGGACGGGAAGAGCCTTAAACAAAGCTCATGCGATCATGTAATACATCCAATATTCTGTGCGTCCCATCGTCCCAAATATATCCATCGGACCCACTACAGAACACAATATCAATTCGGCACGAACGAGATTTATACTTTCCGGGCTCATGTCATCCAGCATTTTTAACAAAAATGTCACTAACCCACAAATACACATGGAAGTTGATTGCAGTACGCTCAGACGGTTGATTCCTTATTTCGACTCTCTTACAACATAGAGCCCATGTCGCGCCTCATTTTTTGAGGGCAGCGACTTTTGGTATGGTACGTGCCAGTTACAGGATTTACCAATTATGATTTTCCTAGTCATGCCGGCTACTACGCATCTGAACCGAAACTGCAAATCACAATAAAATGCAGGTGCATGAATAAACGTTCATTATCAGCTCAAATTTTATAGCGATCCTGGAGACCATGCATGAGCGGTTACCCTGGGTTCCTCATATAAGTTGGTCCCCTTTAACCTCTTTACCCTTCCCCTGTTACGTACTTCTCATGATTGTTACACGTTAATCACAAGCATATTTGTTTACATGTCGGGTTAGGTGTCATGCACGCATGGTAAGCTTAATCGAAGCACACCCTCGACCCCAGGACGAAAAATAATTTTATACCTTTTTTGATTCTATCGATGTTCGGTAATCAAGTTTTCTGCCTCGTGCCCACATACAAAAGAATATTTAAGTGTGTTCGTTGAATTATTTTAATGGTATGGCGCATTTCGAAGAGGTCGGTTGCTGGGAAATTGGGGTTTTCGACACTTCATGCCGAAATGAGCGGTCACTTTTCTGTGCTGTTTTGGACGATTTTCCGGATCAGTCCAGTGTCGTCCCCCATTCTTCATGATCCCCTCGTTTCCGCTGCCGGCAGAAAGTCTGCAGCTGCCTCCGGCTTTCTCAAATTCCACCGCAGAGGAATATCTCGAGACGCTGACGGCTTTTGTAGACAAATATGAGTGGCTGATTGAGCTCTATGTCATCGACTTTATTACCCACAATAAATGGTCCCTTCTTGATCCGGAATGGCAGCAAGCTTTATTACCTGATGATTTGGGCAATGAGGAAGATTGGTTTAATCGTATCATAGATCTTGCTGCAAAAGATCATCCTAGTTACGATGTAAGTAAATGGTCTATATACGCTAATGTAATTTCTTTGGCTGATTCCGATCGTCTCCTGTTTTTTCAATTAGGAATCGTGGCCAGCTTCTCTCAAAGAATATTTGCACCAAACGCGGCAGTTGGCATTGCCACGGTCAGCTTTTTCTTTGGACTGTAAAGTATCGTAACCGTGCTTAAGGGTGGTAGAAGCCTGTTATTTATCCATGTTCCCGTTTTTCTGCCTTTGTAGCTGTTGTAAAGACCAAGATCGAAAAGCATGTGTTACCCGGCATGTCCGAGAAGAAAATTCACGAAGTGGAGCTCATGAGCACTTTGATCAAGAGCGTAGCTAATGATCGCGGTGTCAACTCTGCGGTCGATCTGGGCTCAGGTCAAGGGTACCTTTCCCGAGCCTTGGCCTTTCAACATGATATGCAGGTGCTCGCCGTCGATATGTCCGAGATCCAAACCCGCGGTGCCGAAAAATTTGATAAAACAGCTTACAAAGGATTCGCACGGCAGCATGACGAGCATGCTGAGTCTCCACGATTACACCACGTCACGGAAAAGATCACCCCTGACAATATATCAGATGTCCTGAATCGATGGGGCACGAATACGGATCCCAACGAACAATGGTTGGTGTGCGGTTTGCATGCCTGTGGAGACCTTTCAAGCATGATTCTACGGTTATTTGCAGAAAGTAGTGAAGTCTCCTGTATGGTGAATGTCGGTTGCTGTTACCATAATTTAACCTGCGAAGATGACGAGATCGAAACTGACGATGCTGCGCCTATCTATGGGTTCCCGATGAGCCAGGCCTTAGCTGGGTACAAGATGGGGACAACTGCACGTGTGTTAGCGTGTCAATCACCCTGGCGGTGGGCAGAGCAGAAGAAAGGGAGCCATGTATCGTTTCTTCATCACTTTTACAGAGCCTTGTTACAGGTAAGCGGTTATGGATAGCGTAAAATGTGCTTCGTCAGTCTTGATTAAAGAGATCGTACTTTAGAAAATGTTTGTGGAAAAAGGCCTCTCGACCGTCTCCACTCCTCCTGTATTAGGACGTATGCACAAGAGAAAAGGTTTCACAGATTACATTCAGACCGCCTTGCGACGTTTGGATATGCCCGCGGAAACTATTTCAGAGGAAGAAAGCAACGAGTACTTGGAAGAATATGTTTCTAAACGCGTCGACAAGCAACTCGTGGTTTTGTGGATGTTGCGTGTTCTCTTGGCTCCAGTATTGGAAAGCATCGTTCTTGTGGATCGATACCTATACCTGAAGGAAGCCATTGCATCCAGCACCAATCCACAGAAAGGAGTATGGATGTTCCCGTTGTTTGATCTATCTGCCTCACCACGGAATGTTGTATTTATTGCGTCCAAGTGAAATCACTCTTAGCTATTAAGCAAATCACTACAGCACTGTTTCCTTTTACCTTTTTCACCAGCATCCCTTGCAGTATACTGTTTATTGAGGCATCACCATACTGCTTCTACCCCCTGTCCATCTTTACCTTGTAGACCTTTTTTTTTCGTACAAATTCCAATCAAATCATCATCCATAGAAGAATTACAATGATTCATCTGAAATTCTAATATAACAATATAGAGCCATCCCTATTTGACCTTTGTTCCAATTTTCTGATGCAAATCGCAGCATGAATTGAGATGCAGTCACAGCTGCCTTATTTGAAATTGCCAAAGAAGCCGATTACGTGAAGTTGGGGAAAAATCGGACGCGCTTGTTTCCAGCTTGATGTCTATTCAGATCTTGATTCTTGTCAATGGATCAGGACGACAAAGTCGGCAATAACGAAGTAGCGGATGAATTGCAACAGCCAACGGCTCCATTGACAGGCGGCCCTAGCCGATCCATACCTTCCATACCCACAGGTACACCTGGACCTGCAATTTTTGGCTGCGATGTCAGAGTCAACTAACGACAAAGTTAGATAATGAGACGAAGCAAAAGATACTGGATATCATAGATCATCAGTTCGATTTGGAGATCTACCTTAAACAGCGTGAAGTAGAAACGATACGACAAGAGATCGCGAAAGCGGAAAGGACGTTGCAAGATTTGAATCAGGCAATCCAGAATGGTAACTTGGAGGCCACCAAAGGAAAGGGTTTGGGCTATACAATAACCGCATTCATGTTCTTAGAAACCTTGGCGGCTGCTTTACCTGAGACCGTGCATTATACCCGACGCTCTGCTCAGTCTTCGTATTTCCCTCCTGTGTCCACTTATTTTCCGGCATCCACATCCGCATCGACACCACCGCCACCAGTGCCACCGCCACCTTCCAAGAAGAAATTGGGCAAAGCTGTACAGAAAACTCAACTGTATGGAAGACGCAACGATGGCGTCTATGTTCGGTGAGTGCTACCCATGTTGAGCCTTAGAAATACACTTTCTTATGCCGAGATCTAGACTAGCATGTCCTGCGTGTCAACGAGACGATTTCGCGAATCAGCAAGGATTTCTCAACCATTGTCGGCTGGCCCACAATCTTGAGTTCGGTCCTTATGAACAGATCATGTTGCGATGTGGCACACCGGTTGACGAATCAGAAGTACCACTGGATCATCCTGCTCGCACTCGTCCTGTAACTAAGCCTGTGAGCACAAAGAGGTAAGCTAATGTATGTTTAGCATAGTGATATCACAGCATAATTGACCTCTCTATCCTAGCTTGTCGCTCAAGAAAAAGGCTCGCGTAAGTATAGCGACACATATCTTTTATACGAATCATGCAGTTTCTCATCGTCTATCACCTGTTTCTAGCCAACAATCAAGGTCTTTGAGGAGGATGTGGATTTGGAATTAGATCAGGATAAACAGGGGAAAAAAGCAACAACTACATCGGCCATTGTCACCGTGCCGGATATCCCCACCACGCCGGATGCAAAAGAGTCAGCAGAAAGCAGGACAGATATTGGAGATCTAGCGCCTGAACCTCGGTCACCTGCATCGCCCGCACCTCGACATAAAGAAGCATTCAAATCGTTACCAGATAAGACAACACAGCAACCGTCTAAAGGAGAAGAGACTGCATCTTCAATGGATGAAAAGCACGGCGACAAGGAACAAACAGCTGAACCCGGAGATGCGAAAGCTCAAAGCGACCAAAATCAACCTGTAGAATCTTTTGCTGCTGCTTTATCATCTACGGATGATGCAGGATCACGCTTCTATATCAAAAGACGCATCATCGTTGGCAATGTCAGCAAATTCATAGCACCAGGTACGCTCCTTCTAACAAGAATGAATTCACAGTCAACAGGTCTCTCACAGTCTGAGCTTGTAGAGAAACGGGATCCTACGTTGAGTCATTTCACCCATAAATGGATGATCTATGTTGTGGAACCGCCACAGGTAAGCAGAAAAGTTGACTACGGATCACAAGAGCTACAAGACTCAAGTGCATCATAAGACGCAAGAACTAGCTGCATTTATCACCGGAGTACGGTTTCATTTGCATCCGAGTTATAAACCCCACGATGTGATTGATGTGACAGAACCACCTTTTCGGTTAACGCGACTTGGGTGGGGCGAATTTCCTATCCGCATCCAATTGTTCTTTGTCGACAAACGACGAAACAAAAGCGTCGATATCATCCACATCCTCAAGGTTAGTTCATCGTATTATTCATAAAGCAAGAGGGAGAGAGTGAAGCCAACTAATATTTTTAATAGTTGGACGATTTTCATTCTGGAAAACAAGTACTGGGCAGCGAACGAAGCATCGATATTGAGCTCGATCGAAATACCGATTTTAAGGATGTGGCCATGAGTCCAGTCTCGCGTGCTTCATCTGTCCCGGTTGATGAGAAGCGACCCGCTGGTAAAGATGGTGATTCCTCAACTACGAGCTCGTTGGAAGTGCTTGGTAAATATGTGAATAATACACGCAGTAGTTTGCATTTGGTGCTCACATCTTTTATTACAGCTGCGAAGCAGAAGATGAGCTTACTTCACAGTATTTTACGTGAATGTGTCAGACGATTGCCAGTCATTCGCGCAGGTAAACTTTGGAAGAATCCCATGGGCGTGGTGCAGTTAATAATAGCATATTTTAATGGATTAGACGGACACCACACGCCTACCTTACCGTACACATGTGCAACCAGTTCAAGAGTGTACTTTAATTGGTCTGTTGGTCGACGGAAAGCGCTCGAGGTAAGTTTGTAGCATCAGGAACATAGGATGGTGATCTCAAGGTTTCTCTATCCATAGTGGCATCGAGCGCATGTCCTACGAATTCAAGTACAGCAACGTGCATTTGAAACCAAAGATGATGTTCTCCGGAAGGCAGCTAGCATGCTTACCACAAAAGATACGGTGTTATGGTGTCGTGAACATCGCTTCACGCCTCAAAAATCAGATCCAAGCACATTGGTCGCCGAAGAGATAACAACACTAGGCTATTGCAAGTTTTGTGGCTGCAATCGAGCATCAGATCACCAAGGAAACATGGATGAATGTCCCCGTCGTCCTAAAGCATGGTCCACCCGTAAACGCTATGCCGGCATCAATAGTATTACCAGTGTCACCGGTCTCCTGACCAAATTGGAACCTGGCTGGGATGAAGAAAAGGAAACAGGTAAGCTGCTTTAATTATACTGGTGCTTTGAACAGCAAGTCACTCATGCAGAAAATTAGACGATATGGACATTGATGTGGACGTCAATGCAGCCGAATCTTCAAAGGCATCCGCTTCTACCTCCAGATCGTCGGTTCACCAGCAAATGATCGATCGAATACGTGACTGGAAACTAACTCAGCATATGGATGTGGCCAACGAGAGGACTTTGGATTGGATATGGTCGGTAGTGGGTCAATTGCAACTCAAGGGAATGATAGCAAATGACATGGCGGTTACACGCGACGGGCAAGTGCAACGGCTGGTATCAGGTCTGGATCTGCAGGCCGCCATGGAGCAACGTCTGGTGGTTGGTACTGTACTCACAGAAGCGATGCGTGTATTCCTCAAGAAGCTGCTCTCTGCAAGTACGGACATCTACAAAAAGGAGCAAGAAACGGACGACGGTGACGATAAAATGCTCGTACCGTACCATGTATATCAAGCAATTCACAAGAATGAGGAGCTGGATTTCCTCACGAATCAGTATCTGGGACCCGAGAAGAAGGATCTTACCGACGAGGAAATGGATCCCCACGAAACCACGTGTACAAAATGAAGGTTAAATACAAGCTGATAGCTTATCTGTATATATCGGATATTATCCTGCGTCATGAGAATATATTTAGAAACCATGGCATAGCGGACAAATCGGCATTTGGTTATCACGACACTGTTCTTCTTTGTGAGTTTGCATAATTTCCAGTAGATTGTAGCATCTCTCATCGCTAAGATTATTCAACAACTTCAAAGGACAGTTCTGATATTTTCACATGCTAATGAATGCATATGTTTTAAATCAGAAATTCATTGAAGATATTTTACCTTTGCAGATTTGTGTTCTCGATAGTCATTGGTATTCAACGTTATTTGGGCCATATCCAGTCTGATTGGCTCCACAAACGGTCAGCCACCATTTGAAAAACATTGCAGCGAGCGGATTCATTTATTGATTTATGCGGTAGCACGGTAAATTTAAAATGCAGAACGTTTTCCAAGGATTGCAAATAAACTGTTGAAGGCAATTTTATAAAGTGTCTTTTATTATGTGTATCGTTGTTCTTATTTATTGGTATTTTAGGCTTCCCTTCAGGTCTCGAAGGGAAGCCTTAAGAAAGAGTGGCCGGAGGTGGATGGTGGCGACGCTGGATGGTCACAGAAAAAGTGACCCCAAAAAGAAAGGCCACACGGATTGTTGCCAAAGAGATTGGCCGCGAAGAAGCGGCCCACGGGAAAGGCCTCAGGGAAGGTGGTCACAAGGAAAGTGGCCAAAGTGGCCGGACGAAGGTGCCACAAAGGAAAAGTGGCCAGCAGGGAAGGCCACAGGAAAGGTGGTCGGAGCGAAATGGCATTTCTGATAAAGAATGGCCATATACTGCATATATCAGATCTTCGACATTAGAAGGCACCAGGATCACGGGTGGAAGTGACACCAAGTTCCCATTTGTGTACGGTTCCGTTCCACTACCAATGCGCAAAAGATAAGAGGCGAATTGATCCAATATGTTAGCATCCGCACCACTGATTAAGCGAGTTCGTACTACACGCATGTTTGTCGCTAATCGAAGAACCCTTACAGATGGCCAGAAAGAGGCTCTGTTTAGATACTATTCAACAATTTGGGGCCTGGTTGCTTTGGGGATCACTGGAAGAACTTGACGGAAATCAGTAGAGCGAGCATGACCTGCTTGATGGCAACTTGCACAAATTATATTCATCATAAATGGCAGTTGAACTATAAAAAAAAAAAAAAAAACCAACTTTATCGGATATATGGAAAGTAGAAGAAAGCCAAAGACAATCTTCCTTTCTCTTTTGTTCAAAAACGAAGGGGACACACATACACACTCGATTTCAACCAATTGGCAGTAATCCATGTGATTGAACATGTACATCATCAAATCAAACATTTGGTTAGACTTGGAAGAATAAGTTTTTTTTTTTGTTTTTTTTTTACACAATTGTGCCCAATCAAATGTATTGTTTTTGCTTTTTAGCTAATCAGTGCACATGATTTAATGTGCATAACTCCCAAAGATTTTAATATACAGTAAACAGATTATGGGCATAGCTCAAATTAAACAATAAGCAGGCTACTGCACGCAGTGGTCGATCTGCGGAGTTATAATTCTTACAATGCAGCGCCTAATCCCAGAACCAGGCCAGGATCTTTGAAGAAACCCAAAAATATTCGGTCTCTGCTGATGGTGCCCCAAAATACAAAATAAAATTTGGGATTCATATTAAACGGAGCATCTCAACGAGTAATATTCGTCTGACGTTTTATAGTTGAGCGTCACACAACTGTGCCTCAGTGTAGTGTTCCACCGCCGTTTTCATGCACGGGCCACAATATTTTCAAGGATAACAATTCCGAGCTTGTCGCTCATCTAATGTCAATCTTTAATAACCATCCTATGTTATCGCAACCTCAGCTTTACCATGAACCTTTGAATTTGCCCATTTTCCGAATGATCATTTTCCGAGACTTGAAGATTCCCTTGACCTCTTTTCACACACAATGTGATCCTCCCCAGCACCCTTTTTGATTTGTTACCGTAAACAAAGCATCGTCTCCTCCAAATAACAAAACTGCCATGCACAAACATTTGGGAAGACTTACTATTTCTGAGCGTTGACTTTAATGTGATGTTAAATTTCCATCTACAAACCATCGTCCCTGAGCCCATCCAGAATTAAAAAAATCTGATTATTTCGAGAATCGGTGCACATTTCATTACAGCGGTAACAACCCTCAGTGTTAACCGCCCACTACTATCTAACATATCTGCAGTTTCAATTGCTACAGTATACGGTATACAGCATTTAGATCAACCATATGCTATACAGTATATCCATCGGGATTGCCACGGTCACCATGAGACAGACGCGACTTGTTTGGTGTAAGTTGTGATTGGTGAGGCTTGGTTGCCCGGCCCATGTGTGCTATCGCTTGACTAAAATCCAGATGCATCCCGCAATACATAGAGACATCCGCACAAAGCTCGCAACAATGTCCCCCCCAACTAAAGCAAGCCTGCTTCATTATAATAGCCTTCCCAAAAGGGAAGCCGTCGAGAAACTTAAATATGCCACAAAAGACTCGTCTTCGGGGTTTGCTGAATCTATCCCGGATACTGGTTCCACAGACAATAGAAGAAGAAATAAAATAGAATTGGAGGGTAGATAATTGATAGTCTTTATTCGTTTTGATAGAGGGGATATTTATATGTTTTTGGGTTAATCTATAATAATTTCGTAGTCGGCTTGGCAGGGTATTTTGGTTTTGAATGCTCAGCCTTTCGGCCGAGCTGTTCGATAAAGGAAACGTTTGCTTGAAGGTCATTACCAAAAACGTAAGTGTTGCCGTGAACGTTTTAGGAAATACCAAAAAAGGATATGACATTGTCGTCGTCAATATTCTGCGCTGGGATTCCAATGGCCAGATGTTAACGACGAGGTTGACAGGAAAAGATAAACTACGGGAGGATAAGATGATATTTATTCTTTTGCTTCTCGTGGATATTTATACTTGGGTATTCTAATTGTTGATGACAGCATGAGCTACGAAAAGGGAAGGTAACGACAATGACGTATCGTGCTCAGCCAAACTTTTGGACGAAGTTTCCAGAAGGGGATCACAAAAGGGTCATGATGTAATAGTTGATCAAAAAGGAAATTTAAAGATGATTGGTCGAGGATCGAAAATGCTACGACAACATTACCAAAAAAGGCAAAACGAAAAAGTTACCCGCGACGGGGGTCGAACCCGCAACCCTTAGATTAGAAGTCTAAAGCGATATCCAATTTCGCCACGCGGGCTTAAATAATTAAACATTTTGTTTCATTAATATATTGAAGACAATTGTGACTGCGTTATATGCATGTCACATCAGGGACTCAGCGTCTTGTCCAATCATTTTGAATAGAGTTCGATTGAAAAACGGTCAATAGGTCACTTAAGGTGGTTAGTTCCCTTGCATGACGAGAAAAAAAAAATAGTGGGCTGCAGCTCCTTTGCCTTCAAGACAATCGTCATTTTTAATTTTTTTGTTTTCTGAATAATATTTCTCTCGTTGTTCTGTTCCCGTGAGAAGAAATGTGTTTTGCTCTCATGGATTCATTAAATATGGGTGTGACAAGAAAAGAGGACGACTTCTTTTTAATATTGCATTACCAAGCAAAATGATATAGATAAAATAAATATATGAACGTGGTTCCCCGATTTGGACTACACGGTTGCGAAGGATATCTTTGCGCAACATCGGATTTCCAAAGTAGATTATGTGTAATTCACCGATCGCGGTTTTCTATTTTCTCTTCAAATAGATGGCCAAGAGGATGATAAGGATCGCGGCGGCTTTCAAGGGGCTGCGGTGTGATTTGAGCCAAACAACCGCGGGGTGGGTAAGCATCAGCGTACGGAGAAGCGAGAGACGAGTCGAGGTATAAGGTGGGTAACGCACATTCATGAGGAACTCCAAATTCTGCTTCTTGGTCATAATAGATCGTTCGTGAGTGAATGCACGGAACGATCGCGGGCCGTGATAATTGCCCAGACCAGAATTGCCGACACCGCCAAAAGGCAACGAGTATTCTATAACAAAAATGGAAAAATAATTAAATAACGCTACACAAGTGGTCTTTCCTTTATCCGTGATCGGCTTACCTGCTTGATGCATCAAGCAATCATTGACGCAAACACCACCAGACTGAGTGTACTTCAACACTATAATTTTTTTTGTTTATCCATCAACTCGACTAAACTATCATTTCAAGATTGCTGCCATGCCGAATTACCTTTTTCTGTTAATTTCTTCTTCTGGGAAAAGACGTACAATACCAAAGGAGGGGCACTATGGTGTCAAAAGTATAAGAATTTCCCCCCTCCTTTACAAAAGACACAAAGATGGGAACAACAAGGGAAAATAATCACACTTACTTCTTGTTGATCATCTGAATAGCATCATCGAGGCTATCATAGGTAATGACAGGCAAAATGGGACCAAAAATTTCGTCGCCCATGAGAACTTCATCGTTGAATTCAACGTCGGTAACGAGAGTGGGCGCGATGTAACGAGCCTCTCGATCAATGTCGCCACCCATGACCACGGTACCGCTCTTTCGGTTATTCAACATGCCGGCAATACGGTCAACATGTCTGAGCGACACAATGCGAGCATAATCTTTGGATTGCTTAGGATGCTGTCCAAACCATTCCGTCACTGTCTTTTTGAATGCGGCCACAAACTGATCCACATGGGTCTTGGGCACCAGCACATAGTCTACTGCAATACAAATCTGACCGCAGTTGTAGAATTTACCAAATGCGATACGATTGGCCACCGTCTGCATGTTGGCATCGGGGGTAATCAAAGCAGGGCTAAAGTTGAAAAAGTAAAAAGTTAAAGGATTGATCGACTGCAACTCAGAAATCAAACGATCATAAATCATAAATCAGAGCAAAAGACTTACGACTTTCCGCCAAGTTCAAGTGTCACCGGTGTCAAGTTCTTGGAAGCAGCGGCCATGACAATCTTGCCAACGGTACTGTTGCCGGTATAAAAGATGTGATTAAAGTGATGCGAAAGCAAAGCCGTTGTCTCTTCGACTGCACCATTAACGATACGGTAACAACGGGTATCCATGTATTTGGGGAACAATTCGGTGATCAACGCCGCTGTATGAGTCGAGATCTCGGACAGCTAATCCAATATTAGACATGAAAACCCAAAAAAGCGACGGAGGTCCTCTTTGAATTACCTTTAAGATCACAGTATTACCAGCCGCAATGGCACCAGCTTTTGATTGCAACATGAATTAGGAACAAGGATAATCAAATAGAAACGAGGTATATTGCTTGCTTACCCAAAGGTACCAATGATAACTGATTTCAGTGACAAATATTAGTGTCTACTAGGTGACTATATTCAGACATTGAGCTATTACCTGCACGGGATAATTCCAGCAGCCTACAATAAAGAAGAAAAAAGAAAGAGTATATGTAAGCATGAATTATCACTTGTCAAAAAAAAAAAAAAATCCCAATCCTAAAGTTTTTACCAATAATGAGGACCACGCCAAGGGGATCTTTGCGGATGACCAACTTTTCCATGGCATGCATAGCTAAACGTGCCTTGACTTTTTCATCTTTGGCTAAAGAGTCCAAGTTCTATATAGATGCTGAGCATGAGGTACCGTTACGATAAACGAGACGGATCAGAAATGCTTACATCGAGGAAGTACAAACATTCCTCCATGACAGGCTGGACATCGCCACTGAAGGCCTCGCTTTGAGGTTTGTTCATGTCTCGTTTTAAGGCTTCATAGAAGCGAGCTTCATTGTCCTTTACAAGAGAATAAAGTTGCTTCAACTGCTGCTTGCGCCAGGCAAGATCTCGAGTGATGCCTATTGAATTGTAAAAAAATTGAGCATTTTTTCGTTCTATTCAAAGGGAATCAAGGGTAGAGAATCCGACCTGAATTGTACATCTGACGGACATAGTAAACATGGTCTTCAATGGTATCAAGGGGAGTATATGACAATTCGGCCGTCATTATATTAATATTGTAAGAAAAAGGATACAAAAAAAAGGTGATCAATGGAAAATGGCTACTTGACAGATATCAGGTGAAATTTCTGGAATTCCCCGCTCGTTGGAAGCTGAGTGCGTTTTTTTGCATGTGAAAATGACAGTGATTGGGGTGTTTGCCTCGGCTCCGATTGCAACCGTGGTTAATGAATTCAATGTTGCAAAAAAAAAAAAAAAAAAAAAAAAAAAAATTCACGTTAGACAAAATACATGTCTTTTTTCCAAATTTGGGCTTGACCTACCAACTTTGACAAGACTTCAGTGATATGAAATGGAAAATCATTTTTAAAGTCTACTCTTCCAATAACTATTCTGAATAACCATAAAGAATGTCTCTTGCAGCTAGTTTCTCGATCTTCTCAAGTTGCTGAAACCTTTCAAAGCCGGTGTAAGATTAGAAGTAAAAAACACCATATATTTATTTTTATTGAGTATTATGAATACAACTATGGTTTGGGTTGATAAAGTTGGGTAGCGCATCAAGCGGCTGCCAATCTTCAGATGGCAGGGCTTTTTGCCATCTTTGGAGATCGTAAACAATTGGTCGAATGCCCATGCTGTTAATTTATCTGAACTACTGCCTAACCAATTATTTTTGACGCGGCAAAGTTGGCGTATAGCGATTTTGGCCGTGGCACCATCATCGACAGGTACACATATTCGTTGAAAGACATCAAGGCGAACGTTTGGTAGTTCGATTACCAGGATTGCTAAGCTTTGCAATGAGTCGGGGATCTTGATGTTGCTAATTGTGTCATCACATATAGGCCTTTTGTCGGCAGTGTAAGGAGATAGAACTGGACAGTTCTACCGATGATCTGGATTCCCAGAATCCCTTGCATTAATTCTTTGTCTAAGGCATCTTTGCAGAAGGACAGCCACTTTGACAAGGTCCTTGCATAATCCAAAGTGGTTTCCTTACTGGATCGCAGGTTTGGCCTCGCCGTACGCCTGGCTGGACTTCCATTTCACCCCACAGAACTTGGTGATACACAAGTCTGGTCGACCTGTTGTGAAGTCTGCGCAGGGCTTCGCTTCCAGAGTCGCGCATCTTGAATAGACGCAGATTCCCATTCAGGTCGGATCAGCACTGAGATATCAGCGATGGGTCGCAAGCGGTCGTAAACACCATATACATCGGCACCATCGGTTCGAGAATCGTGTCCGTCGTTCACAAAAAATTCTGTTGAACAAAGACCATCGAACCAGCGAGAAAGGGATCCATGGAGCGCGAACACAACTCAGTTGCAGTGGCATCTTCATCCATGGCTTTTTGGAACCGCTTCGATATCAAGCTAGAATGAATGCATGGAGATGTCAAATCCCATGCAGGCGACGTGACATTGACCGGTTAGCGGGCCTATGAAAAATAGGTGGTCGTGCGCATCCAAGGGTAGCTTCTTCAATCTGAAATCGCACGGTGGAGCAAGTTCACAAAGCTGATCGAAATCTTGTCGTTTGGCCAAGGCCGCGGCAGCTTTCGATCCAGAATTCGGCATTTCGTACTGGTAACAATACAAAAGATCCAAGGTAGATCGGAAATCTGGAACGTCATGCGCAGCGACTTGGGCAAAGAGAGTATACCTATTTTCTGGGCGTAATAAAGCCCATCAATGTCAGCCATAAGGTAGAGGTACCCCACCGAACCAAGCCAATCCATTGCTGCGACATGTGTAGACGATTTGCGTGGGTCTAACGATCGAATGTTGTTGAGGATGGCGGCGTTGGTTCTCAAATTTTTGCACTGTTATTGCAATGCGGCTATGGGCGTTGGCTGAGGTGACTAGAATTCATGCGAACTGATTTCAACGCCTTGTGTGGACCCATATTTGATTAGGAGGTCAGTCTTTTTGCCTCTTGTATCGGCTGACGTGATGTTCAAGATCGCTTCGTTGTACATCTTTACGGCCTTCGTCGCCTCGCTCGCCAATTCTCCGCTAGAGAATGAGGAGAAAAAAGTAATCATTAGCTTTCTCCTTTTTACTTCCATTACTTAATAAATCCATCCAAGCGTATTTTCACTTACTCTACGCATTTGACCTTGGTGCCCCGGAAAAGACAATCCATTATTACTGCAAATCTTCGATACGAGGTGGATTCTGACTCATGGTCGTCAAAGTCTTCCAATGCTTCCGAGGACTTCCAAGATATCATCGGCGGCATACCTCGTGACTATCGTCTTTCCACGACATGCATGATCGAGTATAGCCCACAAACGGGCGATCCAAACCGGGAACCATCGATGATGGTTCTTAGGTATTGAACCCTGGGTCTGTGAGATGTTGACCGTGGCGACTTTCTGAGAGCCCGGATCACTGACAAGTCCAAGCGCAGTAATATGCAAGGGACATTGTCAACAATGCACATGTACTCCTGGCCGACCGGATGAGGTTTCCTTGGACCTTTTTCAAATTAGGGTCCCCGTTCCGAGTCATAAGTAGCGGCCAGACTCCATGGTTTTCGCAAGTGATCGTGGAAGGCGGTCAAGAGTGAACGTGCCTTCTACACAAATGATGTCAGTGACTTATCGCTCCGCAGCATTTTGTAACCCCTATGTTACATTGGAATATCCTTTACCTTTGACCATCGGGGACTACGAAAACATGCATCTGAGAAAAGCGAGCAAAGCGTTGCAGGGGCATGTACTCGGTGAAACATGTTGATGTGATAGGGAGAATCACCTTTTGCGCCAGTAGGCCTTGCAATCATAATCGCGGGCGCGCATTCTTGAAAAATCCGGTCAAGTCGCAAGTATGCACTACGGAAACTGATGTCAACTTTTTGTGGAACCAGGAGACAATTGAGTTTTCATTTCTTCGTCCAACGATGGTTTGACTCCGGTCCACATGGTATTCATTCCGGTCGCTCAGTCACCGTTCTGTTTGTGTTTTTCATTATTGCTTTGGTCATAAATGACAATCAGCATGCTACTATCTGGACCCTCCCGAACTAGAACTTTTTGCAAGATAACGATCCCCAGCACGAGTCCCGTGTCTCCAAGAACACTGCGCGATCCATCTTCAAGGTAGTCGTGGAGATGTATTTCCTGGCCGTTTTGTACACTTGCTATCTCATCTCGCGATAAAAAGTATACTTTTTGGAGTTGACCCGTCGGTACAGCAGCGGTAAGATACCCGTACTTTCGACAACGTCCTATTGACTGGTCAGACCACTTTCGGACTGTGCACGACGATGTCGCAATTCGCTCCAACATGCCAGGTCAACTTACTGCTGAGAAGGTCAACGACCTCTGGGTGCGCCTTTGACGTCTTAGCTGCTCCACCACAACACTAATCAGGCAATCAAGGTGACCTGGGTAGCACTTCCGCTAATGAGGAACGCCAAGGTGACGACAGCTCTCGAAATTCGGTGGACGATCCCCCATCAACCAAGCATAAGGTGTCCTCACAAGGAAAAATTCTCTGTTGAGGGTATCGAATTTCAGGCACCTGGTTCTCATCGTACTGATCGGTCGATTCAATTTGTTGCAGACATTCTACAAACTTCAGACCTCCTTGACAGAAAAAATGGCATCTATCGTTTGAGGAGAATGTGCATATTGCATTGGTGACCACATCAATTCTACTCATCACGCCAACAAATATCTCGAGCTTCACGGATGAAGAATGGGTGCAGACCAGCGACAGGAAGGCCTGTATTGTCATTGACTCCTACACACAAGAAGGCTCGCTTGGCACTTGCCAAAAACTACAAAGACTGGACAGCTACTGCCTGGAGCAGAGTCAAGATTTGTACGGTATCAAACACAAGCCCCTTACGTGCGGACACAGTGAAGCAACATGATATCTATTATCGACGATCTCACGAACAAAAATATCGACTGCGAGGAAGCAGATCTCAAATTGAAGAAGTCATCCTTGGATGGGCACGGCCACAAATTCTCAAGGCACTGCTACCCGGTCCGTTTCACGTCGTCTGCATGCGATTTGACATTCCCATGTATTCGCTGTAGCTTGAAATCGAAGCTGATACGTGCACGTGTGGATGAAGTTACCAATGCGACTGAACTGAGTACGCGCTTCATCGATCCCTTTCTCACTGGCTTGTTCGATGGTCCTGATCAAGGGATTTTTTTTTGTTTACTGTGGACACGATTCTCGAACTGATGGTATCGATGTATATGGTGTTGGATTTTTATTTTTTGCTATCGATATGAAACGTTGGATTGTGGAATGAAAGCTGCTGCTGCCTTGGCGAAACGACAAGGTTTCGACCAGCTTTTGTGAACTCGTTGGCATTGACCAGGAATTCCCCACTACGCCGCATCATGACATCTATTTCACACCGATCCGACATCGTACGAAAACGACACGACTCAACCCATATGAATCAACTTTTTTTTCCTTTTATACTATCATAAAAAAGAAAGAACACTACCTTCGTCGGCGCGAACAAAGAGAATTTTCAGCTTGATCGACGTCACTGCCGAAACGCTTGCGCTTGCTTTGTTGAGCAAACACCGACAGCTTGTCAAGTAACGCATTGGCCTATAAAAACAAAAAAGTGATTCCGGCAGGCTCAGAAAGGAGCTATCCGATTTACTACTGAAATGTGGCAATTGAAACGACATTTCAAAACAAAGTTAGAGAATCTGCGTATATTCAAGATGCGCAACTCTGGAAGCGAAGCCCTGCGCAGACTTCACGTCAAGCCGACCAGACCTTTGTATCACCAAGTGCTGTGGAGTGAAGTGGAAGACCAGTCTGGCATACGGCGAGGCCAAATTTGCCGTCCAAGAAAAGCACCACTTTGGATTATGCAAGGACCTTGTCAAAGTGGCTGTCTTCTGCAAAGACGCCTTAGACAAAGAATTAATGCAGGGGGTTCTGGGAATCCAGATCATCGGCAGAACTGTCCAGTTGTATCTTCTTACACTGCCGGCCAAAGGCCTATATGTCATGACGCAACTAGCAACAGTCAAGATCCCCGACTCACTGCAAACCTTAGCAATCCTGGTAATTGAACTACCAGAGGTACTAAAAATACTTGATGTCTTTCATTGAGTTTGTGTACCTGTAAGTGATGTTGGCGAATGCTAAGGATCGCCAAACGCCAATTTTGCCACGCCAAAAATTCGACCAAATCTTCACCACATCCAAAGATCGCAAAAAGCCCTGCCAGCTGAAGATGGGCAGCCGTCTGATGCGCTACCCAACTTTATAAACCTAGTTGTATTCATAATACTCAATAAAATGGCCATATGGTGCGTTTCACTTATAATCTTTGGGAAATTTTACACCGAATTTAAAAGGTTTCAGCAACACACAAGATTGACAGAATCAAAATTTTTAATAAACGTTTATATGGCTAATTCAGAATAACAAGCCGTACACCCGCTGTGCAATGGATGCCGCCTGCCACCGGAGGCCACCCTCTTACATTTTGAGCGACTTTCGTCAGACATAAAGCCTAACGCATACACGGCATAACCTGGGCTAGAACTTTTGACGGACTTTGGTATATTAATGACAACCTTATGGCATCCCTTACGTCATGATTTGTTTCTGAACACGCGCAAAGCCGCACTGATTGACCTCCTCAGTTCCATCCCACCCAGGCTATGATAGATCTAGAAAGATGTGCGGGTATGTTGGATATTTAAAGCTCTTTTTTTTTTAAATATTTCGTCAAGATATTTTACTTTTGTTATTTGAGTTTTTGATAGTCATTGATCGCTTGACGTGGCTTGGATTATATGACATTGGAAAATTTTGAATTAGTATACGTTCATTACATCATAGCAAAGGAAAAGAAATTGGAGTTGCCTTTGAACCAAATGGTGAACCGGACAAAAAAAAAGATGATACGGACCAGAGGCAAGCTTCTTCGATCCGGACAATAAAGTTGCGTCCAGGGACGGTTAAGCGATGGATCGGTGGTGTCAGCTTGAGCAGGCAAAAAATATTGAGCACCAGAAGTGACGGTAATTTCGAGCTGGAATCCAGATATCAAGAGTTTCCCGAATAAAAAGAATAAAAAATAAAAATAAACAATGGTCGCGTCAGTAAAAACCTCCTAAAAAACCCTGTGGGAAAAAAAGCGGAAAAGACGGCGAAAGAATATGTACATGAAATATAAAAATACAAATAATTGGGAAGACATCTCGAATACGATATCATGAGAAGCAATCCAAAGGAGAGGAACATGAAGAGGACGCGTAAGCGTTTTCCGATGAAAAAGATAGTCACACCACCGACGATGGCCATCCGGTTTCGCCAGATGGATGGATGGACGGCGAGAGAAAGTCAACTTGTAGTATCCAGAACTTGTCAGGCGAAAAGAAAACGGAAACCGGAAGAAGGATGGAAGTAAAGGAGAGGTAAGTCTGTTTTGCCGGAGCAAAATCGATGGTAGACCACTCGACGCTTACCTTTTTGAGGATGGTGGTCGATTTAACCAAGTTAGATACACTGGATAAGAATGGTCTGGATGATGGATGCGGATGGGATCCTGATACAATGATACCGAGAGTTTTCCAGGTAAACAGAAAGAGAGAAAATCAAGATAAAATTGAAGACCAAAGTGTATGATTTTCCATGGATGAAACAATAGTCACCCCATTAATGCATGAGTTCATGGATCGAAGCACGTCTGCTTATGTATTATTCGATTCATTGAAAATTGAAAGAGAATGAAAGGACATACAGTATAAATGACAGTATAACTGACAGAAAACCAAAATTAAATAATGCTACAAAGACGCCAGTCGTATCATCAACCACCTTTCTTCAAAAAGAGCTCTACTCACATTTTTATTTGAAAGACGACGATGCTCTGTTTGACCACAACTGGCGCAAACGGCATCTTGCTGCTGATTGTTTCGCCTATTACCGTGGAAGTGGGTAGCGAGGCATGGTTGAAAGATAAAAAAAGGTGCAAAAATTAAAATGTCCTGATAACGTGGTGTAGATCATGTGATTTACAAAATCGCTAATTTCCCATTGATTTTGATTATGTAGACTAGTTGCGCGTGTGATCTTGAAGATCACAAAGTTTGGTTCTTTGGGTGTGTAGTAGGGATGTTGCTCTTAGGGAAGTGGGAATAGTAGCTGATTAAAGATGTGTTTGGAATGGGATATTCCATTTGCAATACTCAAAACTCCGCACTCGAATTTGTGTATCCAAAGGTCCCGCTTGATGGTGTTCTCTTAACTCTATTCTTTTGTCAATAAGCCTCCATTCGGGTTGATTTTTCGGTGAGATTTAGTTGATGTACTCATAAATCTTTGCGCATTCAATAAAGCTCAGTCTCTTTTCCTTTTTCCCGGGGGGCTTGCCCTCCCTGACCCACCGCCACATAACGATCATGTTCTTCATCCACGACAGAGGAACAACAATATGTATGCATAGTCAGGAACGGAAATAGTCAGACATCATATAATATTAAATGGAAGAGACAAAAATAGATAACAGAAAAATCATTACTTGGGAAAAACATAGCATAAGGATAAAATCAAAAGGAACATAAGGACAAAAAGCATACAGTAAAACATAAAAGAATGATAGAAACACAACATAGGGATAAAGGATAATATGAAGAAAAAACAGACATACGGATAAAAGTAAAGGAACATGAGGCAAAAAAAAGCATACAATAAAACGTACTGAAACAATGAAAAACACAAAATAAAAGGCATAAAGAAACATAAAATACATAAATGAGGATACAAAATAGGACCATAACGCAGTGCGTGATTCAAGGACTTAACGATCCAGCTGTTGGCTGTCAAACACTTCGCGGTAGACAATGTTCTTGGTGCATACTTCTGTAGATCGATCGTTTGCATCCCGAACGATCAAGATTTTTATCGCTGATGGTCTACGTACGCGTGACATAGCAACATATAGCTGCCCATGGGCAAACACCGGAACCGGTAGGAATAGTCCGATAGCATCGAACGTTTGTCCTTGTGCCTTGTTTATTGTCATTGCAAACGCGACGCGGATGGGAAATTGGCGCCGCTTGAAATGAATTCCATTTTCGTCCGATTCGTTGGTCAAAGTGACTCGAGGGATGAACACGCGATTTCCAACATTCACGCCAGTTGCGATTTCTGCTTCGATGACATGGGGTTGGAATGAACGGCAAATCAATCGGGTTCCGTTGCAGAGCCCTTTTGTGACATCGATATTGCGTAGCAACATGATAGGACAACCGACTTTGAGGATCAATCGATGGGGTGGTAGGCTCGCCGGACTCATGGAGTTCAGAATTTCCACTTGGTGAAATAATTGCTCTTCTTCAGAGTCCATGCTGTCGGCACTTCGATAGATACGCACTTCACCTGGAAATCTCTCGATAACTTTTTCGTTCAGAAAAGCCTGAATTTTTTGGTGTCAAGATAGCTCGTTCAATTAAGAATTCGGCTGCTGGAACGTTTCGAAGGCTGGCGCCGTATACTGCACTGATGAGGTCGCTCGAATCGGAGGATGGCAATAACATTTCTGTTGGGATTTGGATGCCCCTGTTTCCATGGTTCGGTTCCAGTCCGTTGCCAATGCGCAGAAGGTATGTGGCAAAGTTCTCTAGAATCTCTGCATCCTCGTTATTGACCAAGCGTGCCTGTTGAACGCGCATGTTGGTGTTTAAGCGTAGGATTTCGACCGAAGACCAAAAAGAAGCTTTGTTCAAGCACTGCTCGACAGTTTGTGGACGCGTTGCCCTCGGAATGACCGGAAGAACCTGACGAAAATTGCCACCAAAAACGACAGTCTTTTCTCCGAATGGAACATGCTGCAGAGCGGGATCTCTGGTTGCCATCAAGTCTTGCAATGTACGGCTAACGGCTTCGAAAACGTGTCGGCTCATCATTGTAGCTTCATCCCAGACAATCAACTCTGCCTGATACATCAACTATGCTTTTTCGGATCGTCGTGGGATATGGCACATTGAATGCTGGTGTACTTTCAACGGAATGCCGAACTGTGAGTGAGCCGTTCGTCCACCACGCAACAATAATGCAGCAGTGCCACTTGAAGCCACAGCAAGAGCTATTCTGCCTTGTTGACGTACTGCAATAAGGATACTGTCGAAGAGGAAGGTCTTGCCTGTGCCACCAGGACCGTCAACGAAGAACAATCGGGCTGATGCATTGCTTCCATGCGAGACACTGTGGATGATTGCATCGTGTACGGCACGTTGGTTTTCGTTCAAGCGTTCATGACTTCCAGGTGCGTTGGCGGCATCTGCGATAAGATCGTATTGCTCTCTTATGAGTCGAAGCTGAGAACGGCGTCCCATTCTGTCAATTTCTTGGCGAGCAGGGAGAACAAAACCATCATAATTGAGCAAAGAACTTGACTGACGGTTGAGATGATCTTCAATGTCAAGCAACGCGCGATCGTACACGGTTTGCGGTGCCGCCACTTGATCGACGTCGCCCGGATTTTGGGTTCTCCAGAAATGAATGTAGTCCTCTGCCAACTGCTGATGGAACTGCATCCATAGCTCAAAAGGATTGGGTGCCTGAAATTCACTGACAACGACGGCAAACAAAAACCGAAGAGCGTACGGCATCTGGTAGGTGGCCGCTTCCTGAAGACTGTTGTACCACTCTTCATTCCCTTCGAGAAGTCCTAACCGTCGTGCTGCTGCTTGATAAGTTGCCATAATGGCACCATTCACTGTTCGGAGGTGTTCGAAGCTTTGAGCTCCGGGGACACTATAGAGCAACATCCGAAGATAATATTTCTCTACTTGGCGAGGTGAAACCGCATACACGCGCCCGATCGTATCACCAAATCCACGCTGTCGGGGTTCCCATCTACGGGATCTCGAATGGTAAACGTACTGAGCGGGAAAGTCGGGATACAGGAGAAGTCGTGCCTGAGGATCCATTCGATTTCGTGCAAACCACGCAGTCAACGTTGTTTCGCGCTGACGATCGGCAACGACTTGAGGGGTTTCATCCTCTCGAAACTGCACAGCCTGCTCGTTTTCAAGATGAACGGCTAGGCGTTGCGTGCTTGGGTATTCACGGTGCATCGAAAATGAAAGTAATCTATGGACGGCCTCGGCAGCTGAAACATAACGTGCATCGATAAAACGTGTGATTTCGTCCACTTGCTCTTGAGCATTTCGGTCGTTGTCAACACGATGCATTGCTGCTGATGCACGATCGTGACCCTTGTATACATACTTGTACAGGTATTTGACGCTTTCCAGAGAAGTGCAGATCTCGACGTTGATGTGAGCGTTATACCTTGCACAGAGGTATGGATTGTGGGGAACAACCCATCTGTTATCCAGTTCGACATGGTTCTTGACCACGAAATCACCATTGTCGCGGCGACGGTATAAAGGGTAACCCCTGTGATTCTCGATAGTTGCTTCGTTGAAGGAACGCGGATAAGCTTCTTACAGGAGCCGTTTTCCATGCATGGAGCCCTGGGATGCATTATTCCACACGGACCGTGCATCATACACTTGCTAATGGTATCATAGAGATCTGGATATCTCTCTCTGTCCGGCAATTCAGCTGACACGATATTATCGTAATCATCGAGCGTTCGTGGCTTGTCGTCCGGATGTAACACCAAAAGCAGATGGAGGTGCGGTAATCCTCGTTTTTGAAATTCCACAGTATGGACATGGGCAACTACCCTACCCAAAACATGCTTCTTGGTCAAATCTTCCATGAGAGCTTTACGCTTCATGTTAAAAACTCGAGCGCAAAGGTCGGGCCGATCAACAGCTGTCTGGAGTGGAGCCAACTCGTCCTGAATTTCCATCCACTGAGGATTGCAAGTGAAAGTAATAAAGAGATCCGGCTGCCCGCATCGACGTACGATATTCATCGCATCATGGTAAAGTTGGCGCATGTGTCTCGGGCTGCCAATGAAGGTGGATGGGAGAATGACCCTTTGCCCGACGTTTTGGAGGTCATTGTCGCCGAGTTCTACCGCATCTACGATACCTCGGTGCAGTTCCGTGCGCAGGTTTGCCTGGTTTAGCCGCAAATACGTGAGTCGGTTCTGTTCCATTTTTGCATACATATCCACTATATATTGCTGGAAAAATCGGCCGTACAGGTGCAAATCGTGGCTGTTATCGCGCATCATCAGACGGTAGCTATACCATTGCATGACGGTAATGCTTCGACCGCTTGGCGAGCGTGAGTGGATGTTCCACCCGAGATCACCATGCGGGAACATGAGGATATAGTGGAGCGCGTCGTAGTACTGGTGCATTTCACTGATGCGTTGAAGCCCATAGCTTCTCGATCGGAGCACAATATCGCGGCTACTGTTTGGTGTGATCGTACTGTCTACCAGGATCACTCCAACTTCGCTAACCGTGGGTGCATTGTAACGACGAACATCAGGCGTGTTTTCCGCACTTATGAGTAGCCTCACATCTACGGCTTCCTCAGATTCACGCAAGACCTGGGCCATCGACTGCAGCAACGGCACGAACGGGTTGACTTCGGTAAGCAGATCTTGTAGAATGAGAAGGGTGGCATTCTGCAGATAGGGTGCCACAGCATGCCGGTGTCTAAGTTGTGTGTTGGAATCATAAATGTACATTTGGGCAAACGCAGGGGTATGACTCTCGGTTGGTGGTAGTAGACCACCGATCTGGTGGTAAATGCCACCTTGGATACGGTAGCAGTAGGGCTTCGATCTATGAATTCATGTGGGGTGACTATTGTTTCATCCATGGAAAACCATATATTTTTGTCTTCAATTTTATCTTTCTTCTTTTGATTTTCTCTCTCTCTTTCTGTTTGCTTGATAAACCCTCACTATCATTGTATCAAGATCCCATCTGCATCCATTATCCAGACCATTCTTATCCCCTGTATATAACTTGGTTGAATCGACTACAATCCTCAAAAAGGTAAGCGTCGAGTGGTCTACCATCGATTTTGCTCCGGCAAAACAGACTTGGGGACTCTCGATATCTGGAATCCAACTCGAAGTTACCGTCACTTCTGGCCACGTCAATAATTTTTTGCCTGCTCAAGCTGACACCACCGATCCATCGCTTAACTGTCCCTGGAAGCAATTTTATTTTCCGCATCGAAGAAGCTTGCCTCTGGTTCGTATCATCTTTTTTTTTTTGTCCGGTTCACCATTTGCTTCAAAGGCAAGTCCAATTTCTTTTCCTTTGCTATGATGTAATGAACGTATACTAATTCAAATTTTTTCAATGTCATATAATCCAAGTCATGTCAAGCGATCAATAGCTATTGCAAACTCAAATAACAAAGGTAAAATATCTTGACGAGAATTTGAATCAATCAAAGAGCTTACTAACTCATTTTTTTAAATACCCAACATACCCACACATCTTTCTAGATCTATCATAGCCTGGGCGGGATGGAACTGAGGGGGGGAACCAATGCTGCCCTGCGCGTGTTCAGAAACAAATCAGGTTGCAACGTATGCCATAAGGTTGTCATTAATATACCGAAGTTCCGTCAAGAGTTCTCGCCCAGGTTATGCCGTGTATGCGTTAGGCTTTTTGTCTGACGAAAGTCCCTCAATGTAAGAGGGCGGCCTCCGGTGGCAGGCGGCATCCATTGCACAGCGGGTGTACGGCTTGTTAGAAGAGTAGACATTTGTTAAATGATTTGCCATTTCATATTGTTAAAGTCTTGTCAAAGTTGGGTCGGTCATGCCTAAATTTGGTAATTCCAGCAGGGAGAATACTCGAAATTTTTTGAAGACATTTGGGTTTCACACGAATATCATTTTTGCATGACATCAGGCTCAAAATCAGCGGCCCTTTCTTTCTGAAATGACTGTACTGAACGAAAAGTAAGGCAAAAAGTTGCTGCTCACCAGCCAAAAAAAAAAAAATAAAAAATAAAAAATCACTGCGTATTTTTCCTGAATCCCTTTTTTTCCCACTCTTTTTTTCCTAGAATTTTTTAGCAATGACGACGACGTGTCGCCGTTGTCAGGAATCGTTTCCAACGCAGAGCAAGCGTGATTCACATGTCGTGGAGCAGCACGTTTCATGTGTCAGGATCGGTAAGTATCAATCCAAAATCGGTTCCAATAGCTCCTAACACTCCTTGCCAATAAACAACCTCCAGGTGAAACAATCGCTACCCGTAACAACGGCAGATTTACTTGCCCTGTTTGCGGAAAGAGTTCGAAGAATGCAAGGACTTTCAACATCCACTTGAAGAGGCACAGGCTATCTGGCAAGAACATCTTCGATTCTGTCCCACCACCTTCAACAAATGCTGTGCCAGCACCGATAGCCGATAATATACCAGCATCTGGCACCCAAGAATCTCCATCAATCACACAAGAAACCCCATATTCGAATAATGCTGGCGCAAATATCTTAGCAGCCAGTACAAGTGTCCCTTCATCTGATGGTATCGTATTTGCTTTGGATTTTCTTCGACCGGCTGATAATGATCGGTTGATCTTCATGGACACGGATATATCCTCCAGGTTTCACGAGTTCCAGCTCTTCATCAAGAGAAAAATCAATCGCAAAGAGCATTTGACCATGGAGGAAAACGTGCAGCACATTCTCGCTTTGTCACACATCCTACTCCTGAAACCAGCTCGTACACACGCCGATCTTCATGAATACATCAGTTTGAATACATGCGACGCTCTAGCAGCGCACATCTTGACAAGCAACAGCATCGTTAATCATAAGTTTCCCGCGATAACAAAGACAAAGCTTGAACAAATTGTGGAGAAAGTGACCGCTGGCGTGTCTATGGTAAGTTCTATGTCAGTTGAGTAGAAGAGAAATTAGGTTAGCGATGAGAATAACGATGATCATCAACTGCTGTAGAATGCTTCCAATGAAACAAGATCCTGCTCGCGACTCGATGCCAACCGTCAAATCACAGCATTGTTGGAAGGTGACACAATGAATTCGACTAACAAGATCCTGTTAGCTGTAAGGAACATGTAAGTCTCAGAAAACTGGACTAAGAACGGTCTAACTCATTGATACTGCAGGGTGGAGACGCTTCCCCGACGTGTTTGTGGAGAAGGTCCACAAGAAACGGAGCTAATTACGAGGCATCTTCAGTCAAGTCTGACGCCATTGTTTGAAGATATTGACAGAGATGTCATCTTCCGATGGTATGTGGAGCATTGCAATGGAAGAGAAGTGATTGCTGAAAAACAATGCGAAAAGATAGGAGATTCGACATTCATGGTCTAACCTGCTTCATATTAATAGGACATCAGTCAGCGATGATGACAAACCAGCAATGATACGACCAGATGCATCAATCAACATTATGTGTGGTGCCTCTTTGGGACGAAGGCTCGGCTGTGGTGAAGTGAAGCCGCAACATCAAGCACTCAACCATCGTTTGGTCGGACTGGATCTCGTGCGGGTTGCACATTTAGCGAAAATCGCCTCAGACAAACACAAAGCAAGAGCCACGTTTGCATTCATTGTTGTTGGTACGTTGCTACATCATTGAATGAATTGATAGTATGATCTTACAGTTTTTTTGATGTAGGCAACCACGCCACATTTTACCTCTTATTTCGTTTCCAACACCATTTATACATCATGTCTGAAGTTGAACATGTCCAGCTTCCGTTGGCATTGGATGAACTTCCTATATTTATTGCTCAACTGAACAAAATCTCCAACGTCATTGCTAGTTTTGACTATGTTCTCAACTGCGGCAGTCATGACTATGGCGATCATCCACCAACCATCCGGGATCATCTGCTTCTGGAAGCCATCGACCAAAGGACATCACGCAAAAGAAAATCAATCACCAGTCATTACAACCATTGAGTCACTCACTAGTGAACCCATGTTTCAAAGCGGCTTTTACTACGTTTCTCTTCGAGAAGACTTAGGACTCAGGGAATAAAAGGTCATCTTTATCTGTTATTCGAGCATATTGCTTAGAGGATCTGGGGAATTATTTTTAAAAAATATTTCATGAGCACATCCAATACCTTGGGTCCCTCGTCATCTTATCATCAAATATATCATATGCTCATGGCAGTTCCTTTAATAACTGGTTTTCGTGGCTAGCTTTAACTAATGCCGAGGTTGACGAAGAGAGGACGAAGGATGTGGTATAACTCGTTCCAGTTTTAAGTGTTTAGTTTATGGTTAGCAATTTTTACTGATTTTGCTGTTGAGCTGATTTGGGCAGCAATTTTTTGCTGTTTTTGCTGTTGGGAGCTTTTTGGGCAGCAATTTTTTGCTGTTTTTGCTGTTGAGCTGATTTGGGCAGCAATTTTTTGCTGTTTTTGCTGTTGAGCTGTTTCGGGCACCAATATTTTGCTTGTGGTTTTTTTTTTAGGTTCTTTTTTATTTTACTAACCCATTAGGTTTGTTCTTCCTGCCGGCGAGTTGCTGTCATAGGCAGGTCTTTGTTGGAGGAGTGAACGACGGGGAATCAAGGTGAGTCAGAATATCAAAACTGCTACGGGCCATTCATCGGGCTTCCCAATAGGCAGAAGCGGCAGCCTTTGGCCATGGAAGGCGAATGCTCCCATCATGATGCAGTCTTGATCTCCTCAAAAGTCCAGAAAGGAATCAGACTTCGATGATCTTGATGTCCTTGAGATCAGCATTTTCGGCGACTTGTTGGAGACGGCGGAAAAGGGCTTGTGGGTATTCCTTTGATATCTTGCTGCAAGTTATCAAATTGGGCTTTTGAAGTCTCAAAATAACACATAGTCGGTGACAAATTCTTTTGCAGGATGTCAAGGAGCCCGGTGAAGTGATCGATTCGACTTGGGGTTGGAGTTTCCGGTTGTGGAACATCCGGGCAGGACCTCGGAGATGAGCACGCAGGGCCTGAACCTTATGTTGGTCGTCTTGGATATTTCCCAGGGCGATGACGAACTCAAGCATGTCACGGAAGGTACGGAAGTTCTCACCTCATGGCCGTGGAATTCCATGAGTTTGGGTCGGTAAGTATTGTGTCGCAGGAGCCATGGCGTTGCTGGCAGCGTTGCTTTTCGGGGGCACTAGTGGCCAACACAGTGTGTTCAGGATAGTCATCTTGTCTTGATAAAGTGAGGTTTTGTGAGCAGCTTTCGTAAGAATGCCCCTGTAGTGAGCACCGAAATGTGTTGTGTGTCTTTCAAGTCAGGAAAATAAGTGGATAATCAGAGTGATAAAATGGATCGGTTCATAAAATATTTGAGCACCAGATATATGATTGTTGATATCTATCAGAGTAGCTCAGGTTGTCAAAATTTGTTGTCTGGAACAAGAATCAGAGAAAAAGAGTAACACCGAGTGGTTTTCGGTGTTATCATAGAGAAAATAAAAGGTGCGCCATCAGAGCGGCGTATAAGTCTCGACACAGAGAGAAAAGAATAGAAGAGATGTGTTGGTATATTATTCACGCTTTTTTTCATGCATCAGGAGGCTTGTCTGAGATTAAAAAGTCACATCAAATCTCTGGCTCTTTTTTCTGCTAGAGATAAAGAGCATCCACATTTTCAACACGTTTGTTGGCGCGAACAACACTTTCTCAACTTGGTCGGCTTCAATGTCAGGACGCTTGCACCTCTTTCATTGCTAAGCAAGCGCCGACAGTTCGTTAAGGAACGCATTGGCCTACGGCAGGCTCAGGAGAAAGGAGCTACCCAATTTACTATTGCAATGAGGCAATGGAAGCCACATTACAAAACGAAGTAAGTCGCCTGTTTTTTCACCTGTTTTCATCTTACTTATATTGCCTCTCTTTCCTTTCCAGGAAAATTAGCAAGAAAGGAAGACGATCGGAACGTCGTGCCAAAGTTATTGGGTGCACGAAGAAGAGCCAAGTTGAATGCGACGATAAGCGGTTTTCGAATTGCGGAGCGATATACAGAAAAAATCCGCAGAGAGCTCATCAACGATTTGCGTGGCTGGTCCGAGCAGTCAGCACCAAAGGAAGACGATGACCAAAGCAATAATGAGAACCACAAACAGAACGGTGCCTGAAGCGACCGGAATGAATACCATGTGGACCGGAATCAAACGAGGGACGACGAAATGGCAACTTAATTGCGTCCTGGCTCCCCGAAAGTTAACCAGAATACATGGTGCATACATCGGTGACTTGGCCGCGTTTTCCACGAATTTTCCATGATCATGATTGCAAGGCCTACTGGCGCAAAGGTGATTCCTCTTATCACATCAACATGTGGTGCACCGAGTACATGCCCCGGGAACGTTCTGGTCGCTTTCCTCAGATGCATGTTTTGGTGGTTCCCGATGGTCAAGGGTAAAGGATATTCCAATAGTACAGAGGGGTTACAAAATGCTGCGGAGCGATAAGTCATTGACATCATTTATGTAGAAGCTACGTTCACTTTTGACCGCCTTCAACGACCACTTGGCGAAATCCATCGAGCCTGGCCGCTACTTGTGCGTCGACGAATGCATGAGCCAGTGGCTCGGAAGGGGATGCTCAATTTTAAAAAGGTCCCCAGGAAACCTCATCCGGTCGGCCAGGAGTACATGTGCATTGCTGACAATCTCCCTTGCATATTACTGCGCTTGGGCTTTGTTAGTGACCCGGCCTCAAAGAAAGTCGCCACGGTCAACATCTTACAGATCGGTGTTCAATACCTGAAGAAGCATCGAAGATTCCTGATCTGGATCGCCAGAAATCGCCAGAAAACTATCCGATTGCGGCCTAGTCTCGATCATGCACGTCTTGAAAAGGCGATACTTCCACGGGGTATGTTAGACGATGATATCTTGGAAGTCCTCGGAAGCACCGGAAGACTTTGACGACCATGAGTCAGAATCCACCTCGTATCGAAGTTTGCAGCAGTAATGGATTGTCTTTTCCGGGGCACCAAGGTCAAATGCGTAGAGTAAGTGAAAATACGCTTGGATGGATTTATTAAGTAATGGAAGTAAAAAGGAGAAAGCTAATGACTACTTTTTTCTCGTCATTCTCTAGCAGAGAATTGGCGAGTGAGGCGACGAAGGCCGTAAAGATGTATAAGGAAGCAATCTTAAACATCACGTCAGCCGATACAAGAGGCAAAAAGATTGACCTCCTAATCAAATATGGATCCACACAAGGCGTTGAAATCAGTTCGAATGAATTCAAGTCACCTCAGCCAACGCCCATAGCCGCATTGCAACAACAGTGCAAAAATCTGAGAACCAACGCCGCCATCCTCAACATCATTCGATCGTTGGACCCACGCAAATCGTCTACACATGTCGCAGCAGTGGATTGGCTTGGTTCGGTGGGGTACCTCTACCTTATGGCTGACATTGATGGGCTCTATTACGCCCAGAAGGTGGGTATACTCTCTTTGCCCAGGTCGCTGCATGACGTTCCGGATTTCCGATCTACCTTGGATTCTACTTTGTTACCAGTGCGAAATTTTGAATTCTGGATCGAAAGCTACCGCTGTCTTGGCCAAACGACGAGATTTAGGCCAGCTCTGTGAACTTGTCCCCCCGTGCGATTTCAGATTGAAGAAGTTACACTTGGATGAGCACGGCTGCAAATTCTCAAGGCACCACTACACCGGTCCGTGTCACGTCGTCTGCATGCGATTTGACATCTCCATGCATTCGTTCTAGCTTGATATCGAAGCTGATGCGTACACCCATGGATGAAGATGCCACTGCAACTGAGTTGTGTTCGCGCTCCATGGATCCCTTTCTCGCTGCCTTGTTCGATGGTCTTTGTTCAAGAGAATTTTTTGTGTACGACGGGCACGATTCTCGAACCGATGGTGCCCGATGTATATGGTGTTTACAACCGCTTGCGACCCATCGCTGATATCTCAGGGCTGATCCAACCTGAACTAGGAATCTGCGTATATTCAAGATGCGCAACTCTGGAAGCGAAGCCCTGCGCAGACTTCACGTCAAGCCGACCAGACCTTTGTATCACCAAGTGCTGTGGAGTGAAGTGGAAGACCAGTCTGGCATACGGCGAGGCAAAATCTGCGGTCCAAGAAAAGAACCACTTTGGATTATGCAAGGACCTTGTCAAAGTGACTGCCTTCTGCAAAGATGCCTTAGACAAAGAATTAATGCAAGGGATTTTGGGAATCCAGATCATCGGCAGAACTGTCCAGTTATATCTTCTTACACTGCCGGCCAAAGGCCTATATGTCATGACGCAACTAGCAACAGTCAAGATCGCCGACTCACTGCAAACCTTAGCAAGCCTAATAATTGAACTACCAGAGGTACTAAGGTTCTTGATGTTTTTCATTGAGTTTGTGTGCCTGTAAGTGATGTCGCGAATGCTAAAGATCGCCAGACGCCAACTTTGCCGCGTCAAAAATTCGACCAATTGTTTACGATCTCCAAGGATGGCAAAAAGCCCTGCCATCTGAAAATTGGCAGCCGTTTGATGCGCTACCCACTTTATAAACCGAAACCATAATTGTATTCATAATACTCAATAAAAATGAGCATATGGTGCATTTCACTTCTAATCGCAGGAATTTTACCCGACGTTGAAAGGGTTCATCAACAGACTAGATTGACAGAATCAAAAATTTCAATAAACGTCTACGTGGTTATTCAAAATATTTATTTGAAATGTAAAGCTTGCCATGTCGCTGAGATAAAGGTCAAACCTAAATTTGGCAATCAGTAAACCGAATTGAGGTGAAAAAGAAAAAAAGCACGTCACAAATCGAAAAAAATTGTCACGCCGGTGTGGCAAAAAAAAAGAAAAAAAAGCCTCCAGTCGTTGACCAAAAAGATTCCTCCTCTCTCTCGATCACCATGTCCGAACAAGTAAGTATTGAATTCAGAAAGCAATGGATTACCAGCTTTGTCTTGAGAGCTTTTATTAATATGAATGTGCGACTTTTTTTTTCCTAGACCGAAAAGGCTTTCCAGAAGCAAGTTGGTATCTTCCAAAACTCCAAGATCCAAAAGCGCACCCAGCGTTGGTACAAGGATGTCGGCAACGGCTTCAAGACCCCCAAGGAGGCCAAGTTCGGTACCTACATCGACAAGAAGTGCCCTTGGGTTGGTGAAGTCAACATTCAGGGCCGTATCTTGACTGGTGTCGTGGTCTCCAACAAGATGAAGCGCACCATCGTCCTCCGTCGTGATTACCTTCACTACGTTCCCAAGTACAACCGTTACGAAAAGCGTCACAAGAACATCTCTGCTCACTTGTCCCCTGCTTTCGATAACTTGGCTGTTGAAAGGTATGTTTTGAAAACATCTTTATATTTGGATGCCCTGTTTTCGACGATTTCGATCGGCCAGTGATATCTCGGTCGACGTCAACGAGTCACAGGAAACAGATTCAATGCTTTCCAGTGTTGCGCCATTGCAGATGTCTAACTCGTATTTTTGTTTCTTTAGTGGTGATATCGTGACCATTGGTCAGTGCCGTCCCCTCTCCAAGACCGTTCGTTTCAACGTCCTCAAGGTCCAGAAGGCCAAGAGCACCAGCAAGGCTTTCCAGAAGTTCTAAGTTAGCTTATCTATTCTAGAATAAACTGACTGAACTGCGGTCAATGTTTTGGCTCAATCATTATTTGGGCGACCTTTCCTTTCTATGGATTTTATATTGGAATGATATGCTCTAATGACTGTAGCATGTCAAGAGAAATCAGGAAGATAGTGGTGGAAAGAGGGAATTTTGATTTGATTTTTCTTTTATTGAATGAATGCACATTGACCGAATTTTGGTTCTCCTTTCCTGGTGGCGTGCTTCATCCATTAGGAACAAGACATCAATATTTATGCTGCTGTACTCTCGTTGACTAACCGATTCTATTTTGATAACTCTCCTACTTGTCGCTTACTTGGTCTATTCAAAGCTTTGATCTCTGCTTGTAAAGTGCCTAATCTCGACAAAAACGACAAAGCAATGAGGCCATTGCTGGCCCACTGCTTGAATCAAATAAACGATCGCCGGTGACAACAAGCATTCATCATGTCAGTGTTCGATCTCCGTTGAATAGGCTTCATATGCTGGCGATTGAGAAAGTGGGAGGCGGCTGAAAGTCTTCAAGGAAGAATGGCTGTGTTGAGCGCCGTGGAAGGTGCTTTGTTGAGGGAGGACTTGCGCGCAAAAAAAAAAAAAAGTTCTTTTTAGATAGAGTAGCGCGATAATATCGTTGGTCAGAATACGGTTGTAAGGAGGAAATCCAGAAGTTTGATTCGGTGGTAGTACGCCTTGTGTCCCCTTTCCAATCAAGGCTGTTTATCAGCTGCTGTTGGACCATTTTCAACCATTTCCCTTTTAGCGTATTCTCTTTCTTTTCTTATTTTATTTATTATTGTTATTTTTTATTCTGACCGGTTGTATTATTCGTAATCTAAAAAAGAGATTTGTTTTTCATTTTTCATCAATCCACTGGCACGTTTTCGCCAAAAAACATATAATTTATACACCGTAATATAATAATGGAACTATGACTCTCGACCACCACGCGCCTATAGTAAACCTTGAAAAGCCCGACTCGACGTCCATGACCATGCTGGCGTGGTCTCAACGACAGCTTCAGAGTTACGTCGATCTAAGCTTGATTCACCCTATTCGTGATCTCTGCCAAGCATGGCAGGATGGCGCGGCTTTTTTGTGCCTGGCTCATCGGTTCTGCCCAGAAACGGTACCTAATCTCGTCAGCATTATCCACGACAAAGATCCTCAACGCAACCTGGCCACCGCTTTTCGGTTATTGCAAGATCGGTTCCAAGTGTCACCGTGTGTTTCGATGGATACCCTCGACAGCGATACCATCACCGCCTATCTGGGCCAACTGCGTGAAGTCATTGACCGAGAAGATTATTCATGCCAAGTGCAAATACTCACCAATCCAACGTATCAGGAGATGCCGGATGAATTCGAAAATCGTGCAGCCTTTGTCTCTAATAAAATATCACAGTTACAGCATGATCTCACCCAATTAATCTCGCTCGGCTCGAGATCCATCCGTGATAGTGACACCAGCACCCGTAGCAACGCTACCCTCCATCCTGTCCCTTCGTCATCCACCCGTTCCTCTTCCCTAAACGATACTCCCGACGATCACCATGTTGGCAACTCGCAGCATGACGTGACTAATGATTTGAACCCATCGGTTGATGAAAAAGTGGCTCAGGCACCGTCAGCCCCGCTCCAGGATGATCTCGCCACGCTCACCCAATTCGAAACCGATCTTTCGACGCTGGAAAACAAAGACTTACCGGAATTGCACGCCTACGTGCAAAGTATGCCTGAAGAAATGCGTCATCACCCGACGGTTTGCGCTCGAATGCAAGCGATCGAGGTCGCGCATACAGCTTTTGACTTGCAGTTACAGAAAGGTGCCGCCGAATTGGACGCTTACCGCAGCCATCTCATCTTTAGTCACATCTTTGCACCGATTCGGAATGATCTGGAATTTATTCAAGCCAAAATGCTGAAAACCACGACAACCGACCTCGGCATCCAAGATCTCGAGGAACGTGCTCACAATGCAGGATTGGTGATTGACCGCATCCGATCGCAGCATGTGGATTTGTTGACAAGTTCACGTGCCGAGGATCGAGCGTATCGTGCCCACTTTGATGTGCTCGTGCAGAAGTACAAGTTGATTTGTTCTTGGGTGGATGATGTACGTATCTGGTTTGTGGAAGCGGAGCGGATTCGTCAGTGGATTGAGCAACGCATTGAGCACTTGGAGGCAAAAGGCGCGCTCGACGCGTTGAACGAGGTCGAATTCGAGTTTACCATGGAACAAGTGGACCATCTGAACTCCGAGCACGAGATGTTGGAAAAAGAGGTGGAAGAATTTGACAAGGAAGACATGACACGGTTACGAGCTCATGTGAAGGCTCTGACGGGCACCGAACGCGAAAATAAGGACTTGAGTCCAGCCGACACCACCACCATTGAAATTACATTTACAACGCTCATGACCCTCGATCGCCTCATCCATCTACTCCGACGACGATCGTACGATCTTCAGATCCTTACCTTGCGCATGTTTTGGGAGCAGGAGTATATCAAATCCATCGAATGGGTGCGATATACACAGACTGAAATCAAGGAGTTTGTGCAAGGGAAAGCGCGATGGCGATCGGAAGGGCCCAAGGGCGGGGCAATCGAAGAAACGGAAGTCATGGAACAGACAGCGAGCGAACTGAAAGAGCATATCATTGGTTTGCTGATTGATCTCGAACAGCGTATAGCCGCTTTTGATCAGGGTCAATTCACCACCACCGTGAACGTGTATCAGGATATGGACGACAGCTCCAACGTTGAACTGCCGAATCATCTGGAATCGCGCCAAGTCGCTCTGGAGGAAGCATTCGAGGACGTGATCCTCCGCATTGCGTTTGCGCGCACTGTGGTCGAGCAACGGCTCAGCGTAACGGATTTTGTGTATCGTGCCGATGCGCTCAAGGCCAACGGTGAGATGATCCGGCAAGCGATCGTCACGGCGGAATCAAATGCCGACGCTGATGCCACGGACACGGAATTTACGAGACAAGTCCAGCTGTTCCAAGAGCAAGCATTGCAATTGGTAACCGAAGCCGCCACGCGGATCATTTATACCGAGACTTCCCAACCGTCAGAGCAGAAAGCCAACGCAGAAGCCAATGATAACATTCGATCGGTGATTGACGCCCGCACATCTGCCCTTGTGTTATTTGGCGAAGCATTGGATCACAAACTGGCATCGTACCGCCATGTTTTGCAAGTACATAAACGAAAACAGCAGATTCAGCAAGACATGCATCGCTTTGATACTTGGATGGATGAACGACTTGAGACTGTCAATAGATTCAAGGTCGATTTGTTTGTAGGAAAATGTACACTGGATGACACCGATCTGGCCAGGCTACAGAAAATCCGTGATGATCATCAGAGCAAGGTCAAGGCAGTTAAACATACCGATTTTCCAAAATTGCAGGACAGCATCATGGTAAGTGTATCTCAACATAACAATTATTGGTCTTTGACTGATTGACCTTATTGTCATTCCTCGTCCTTCTAAAAAAAAATAGTGGTTGCAAGAAGCCGTTTCTTCAGCTCACATTGTCAATATCGACGTGGGAACTTTTGAAGAAGAATTTGAGCGTTTACAAGCAAAATTGGCTCTACTCGAATCATTGCTCGATTACCACACCGCGGCCCTTGCTGTCCTGCAACTTCGAATTGATTGGGAACGTAGGCACAGTAAAGCGAGTCAATGGGTCGTAACGACAACCCGCAAGTTGTGGGACCTTATTACCACCAGGGCACAGTGGCAGCCATCCATGATCGAAAAGACAGTGGACAACAACGACTGGAGCAGGACAATGGAGGATTTTGCAGATATGCAACGTAAATTTTCAGATTTTGAAGGAAACCAACTCACACGTCTGAATCAAGCATTCGTGTCGTTCATGCAGAGTCTGAAGGATATCGTCGACAACCATTCACATGTTCAGAACGACGCAGACACACACAGCATAGAACACGTACAACGGCGTCAAGACATACTGCATGAAAGTATCGGGCATTTCTCGGAGTCCATGGCGTATGCTCAGGCAGTCATAGACCAACACGTTGCAATCACGCAGTTTGTTGAAAAAGTACGAGAGTTGGAATCCTCGGGTCAACAGATATTGCAGGACATAAAAATGGCATTCGACAGGATCACCACGGAAGCAGACGCGTCAGATTTCGACAATGTCATACAACAATACGGCGATATTATTCATGAGTTGTGGATGCAGAGTGGATGCGAACTCCCTTATCCTGTATGCACGCCCAGTGCTCGCACCAACTGCCCTCTGGATGAAGAGGACAATGTTCACGAAGAGATCCGTGCAGTGACACTTCAGCAATACGACCAATTGTTGCATCTGAGCAGAGAGATGCACAGCTTGAACGAAGAGTACAAACGAGCCACGTATTTACACGCTGAATTTCAACGTTGCTTGGAGCGGACGGCTGATACGGAAGTGGAGGTTGCAAGGATACGAACCAAATTGTCCACCAATGATTTGGCGCATTCGATAACGACTTGCATGAACATCTCCGTGCCCGATGAAATGACTATAACGGAAACAATGAATAGATACGATAGTATATTCAAGGCCATGAACGAAATCCTGGAGATGAACCTACCTGGGCTCATTCAACAGATCGATACGCTTGAAGAAGCTGTCCTTCAATCGGATTGTGGGCTATATGTCGATATCGCTCAATTAAAGGACGGATCCAACCAGTTGCAAATGCATGCCGAGGAAGTAGTCTGCTTGATGACGCTCAGAAAAGAAGAACTCGCAATTTATAAGACGACGATTGCTTGGAAGCGTCCATGGTTGCAAACGTATGAAGTGATGGACGAATTAACCGATGACGTCCATTCTTTCGATACTTTGCTGGGTACACAATCCAAGGAATTTTCATCCTCGCGTTGCGACTTTAAGGAAGCAGTAGAAAAACTGCAAATAGAGAACCGACAAATTGAAAAACGTTTCGTTGCCTTAGAGTCGACTGAATTTCAAACTGCTCAGTCAACGTATAACGAACTCGTCTGCATTGTCAATGACGCATCAGACAAAAAGTTTGCACACGACCTTGAAGAACTGCAGTCGTCGCTAAAGAAATCCATGGACGAATTACGAAATAGGCTCAGTTCCCAAACGCAACATCTGCACGCTTTGAATCGTCGTCTCACCATAGAGAATCGCTTACATGGATGCCTGCAGCTGTTCTCTGAGGCCGGCGACCGTATTGAGAAGTTTATTGCGGAACATGGTCGCGGATCAATGCGCTCCAAGACCGATGAAGCAGCCAAAGAATTTAATGATCCATTGAATCTCTTGCATTCGGAGGCCACCGCTGCTATCGATAGGAACCAAGAAGTACTTGATCAAGTGGCGCAGGATGAGATGGTATGGTGTGACAGCACTCGCGAATTACAAACAGCTGTTGAGACGAATATGGAGATATTGCGTGAACATCTTGCCTTTGCAAAGGCAGTTATGGATCAACGTGTCATTCTTGCGCAATACTTGGAAGCCATCGAGCGCCTTGAGCAAAAGGGCGAGGACATCAAAGCCAAGATCCTCAATGCGGAGAGTACAGACACGGATATTGACCAGGAAGTCGATGGATACGCCAATGAAATTGACCATGCCATCCGGCAGCAAGACATCTGCATCACTTACCCTGTCCGAAGCTTTTCCGGGTATGAGCCGGCGTCGCGTGAATTGGATGAACGTAGTAATGCTTCTATTCAAGGCATGATCCATGCTCGTCAAGCACGACTGCAAGAAATGTTGGTCTCTGTACAATCGATTCTCGAGTCGAAGAAACGGTTGTCACGTCGGAAAGCCATTGAAGCGGCTTATTACGCTGAAGCCACTGTCGTTCAGCAATGGATCGTGACGAAAAAAGAAGAGCTCGAGCGAGCCATGGCCCGCATTGGCTCCCCTACCTTTGCGGTCGATTGTGAAGTGCTTGATTCAGTATGCACCAACGTACGGTCCATTGAGTCTGCCTTGACGACGTACAGTGCTGCTTACACTTCTTTGAAATCATTGATTCCGAAAGCGCAAACCATGATTGAGAACGACGCTTTCGAGGGCGACGAAAAATCGCTGGCCGAAGCTGATGTGGATAACATGCAGGTAGAGCAGGGCAAAATCGATCATCTGTGGTGCGAACTTCAGGACAACGTACAGTCATCTCAACAAACCTTATCCATCTTGCAACGGACGTCCGAATTCATGAAATCAGTGGATAGCGTTCGTATACAGTGTGCCTCTATCCGCGAATCATTGGACGAACCGCAATGCCCTAATATGGATAACGATCACCTCAGACAATGCAGAGAAAAACTACAAAAAATGAGAACTGAGACGATCGAACGATTGCAAGCTCAATTGGTGGATGAAAAGCGAAAACAAGACCAACATCAAAGCGATGCCGCCAGCAGCTCGGCAATTCAGGAGATGCAAGATGCATTGGCAGATATAGAGGGTCTATCGCGAGATATTTTACAGTTCATTGAAACCACTCATGCGCGTTTCTCCGTTTTGCACAGGCAGCGGCAGTGTAGGGAACTGTTGCAAAAACTGGAAGCATTTGTCGGCGAGACAATGAATCTATTGCAGACAACGCGCGATGAACAGCTCAGAAAAATTGAAATCGAATCTACGGACTGCAACCAGCTTTTGAAAACATGCAACTCGGTGAATCGATCCATTGATGATTACATCAAACTGCTTGATGAACAGCGTCTGTTGGTTCGTTGGATGCATGAACATGACGTGGACGATATGCAAGCGATTGATCAAGAGTCGGAAAAACTGAAGCATGGATGGGACGAACTGCTGCAAAATCTTTTTGACACGAGAAGATGGGCAGCGACGGTTGGTCAGTGGTACGATTTGCAGGCACTGCTAGATCAAATACAACGCGAAAACGTAGTGGCCCTACAACAAAAACTGTCTACTGTCGATGTAACAGCCAAGGACAGCGGTAAATCCCTAAACGATCTCTCCACCGAACTACAGCTGGTCCATGCCAAGTTGGAACGGGCGACGATGACAGCAGATAGCATTCAAAGCGGGATCGAAGATTATGACGAACCCCATAGACTCCATTTCAAAGATTGGTTGGATGGTATTTCGGCAACTTTGGGAAATTTGAAAGAGGCGTTATCGATGAAGGAAAAGGAACGAGAAGTATTCATCTGGCACCAAGGCTATCGACAATGGTTGCTGGCAATCCAAGAAACGGCTCAGCAACTCGACCAATCATCCAGTGAACGTGTAGCAGCCATCCGCGAGTATACCTTGAAACAGGATGCAGGAACGCTCTACCGCAAGCAAGCGACACTCTTTGGAACAGCGGAAACAACGTACAAGGATGTCTGTGAACAATTTGTCAATCGGGATCAGCGAAAGAAGGACCAAGAATCGGCGAACCTGGAAACCGATGACAATGCTATTGAAAAATCTGTCGAGGAGACACTGGCTTCTCTCCAAAATAGACTGCATGTCGAAGAAACTGTGATGGATGTCATGCGTCGATTCGTAGGACTGAGCAAGAGTAAATCGGATATTGTATTGTGGATTGACAACTGCAGCAAGGTGATTGATGACCTGTCCAAAGACGAAATGATGGATGAAGCCGAAATGCTGCAGGAACTGCACGATGTGGAAACGAAGATTGCCGGATTCGACAAGACGGTCCATTCCTTTGAGGGCATGTACCAGACACTGCAGGATACTATCTCAGACATCGATACGAAACATGAAACCAGTAGCATGGCAATAGCTCATTTGCAAGATTTGGCGACCATGCAACTGCAGGAGACCAAAGACTACTGGAAAAAAGTCAACACACTGTTGGATAATTTGAAGGTCCAGACCACCAAGACGCAATTCCAGCTGAATATTGTGCGCAAATTCAAACACATCACACTGCTCCTTGGGGAAACGCGCGACCAGTTGAGCAATTTGATCATTTTTGATGATCGAGACACTGCCATATCACCTCATCAATTGCTCCGATTATTACGCGAATCTGAAGTCAAGCCATTGGCCAAATCACTCGACACGATTGATTCGCATAACACGGAAAAGTTGATGAACGACATTCGTGAGCTGGACGAGATGCTCGATGCGCTGGAGGATGATAAGACATTTATTCAACAACGGGCCGAGGTGGAGGCGGCCATGGCCAGTTTGCTGCAATCGATCGCCGACAAGCAACAGCAAGTCACTCGAGGATTGACGATTGGACGATATTTGGCGGTGACAGATAACACGGAAGTGTTGCTGAGCTCGTTGGAAGAAGCGATTGAAAAAGCGGCCCCTTATCGAGCGACGATGATCGGAAGTAATTTCAGCAAGGCCGATTTGCAAGCGAAACGTATCGAGCTTGATGCTCGGTATAAATACTACGAACGAAAGATTACCGAAAGTTTAGAAGCAGCTACACACGAGGGGTCGCTGGTCGACGCCGAAGATGGATATCATCAAGCGATTTCGAAACAACTAGACGAGTTACACCAACGATGGCATACAGTCCAAAGCCAAGTCAAAGCACGCAAAACGGAGCTTATTCACATCATGGAATCGGCGGCTGAGCAAGACACCACAAAAAAGATTCGTATTCGAAAATCGTCCTTGCCTACACGTAAAGCGTCGTCCTTCCTGCGAGACCGCGATGTGTCTTCACCTTCACGATTAACACCGACAAGCAGTACATCCAGTACAAGAACCACGCCGTCCGTTTCCAGTAAACTTGTTCCTTCATCGTTGTCTTCGGGAATTCCAGGCAACGGACGTGTACTGAGCAGTCGATACTTATCGCCGGCCTCGACGCACCGCAAGCAGCAGGCTTCCAAATCGGCCACGAGTTTGAAACCACCGGCCATTCACGGACCTCAAACTCCGCCTAATTCATATGTGGCCGATCCCGACAACGATTTGGATATAGAAATTGGTCGCATTGTCAACGAAGCGCCGTATCGAGTCAAGGTGAAAATGGTGCCTGGCGAAGTCGGCCGTTACTGGTTTGGTGATGCGAATCCTAAACTGTGCTACTGTCGAGTATTGAAAAGCAAGATGGTGATGGTGCGAGTCGGTGGTGGTTGGACGGAACTATCCCAATTTCTCAGGGATCATGCGTTGTTGGAAGGGGATTTTATTCCGAAATCTCGAAGAAATTTTGGGGAAGAGAAAAAGACGCAGCAAAAGCCTCCGACCATTCAAGAAGGATTTATTGAAACTCGACGTGCTCAGCTTCCTTCGGGTCGACCGATGCCTCGCAGCCATCGAAGCACTTCACCGAATCCTCCGGTGGACAGTTCCCGTTCCACCCCGCCTCATCTTCAGACGGGATACAAGGACGGAGATCGGTTTATCGCTATGGATCGTCACGGGAACCAACTGGAAGTGAAAATGACCAAATTCGATGTAGGACATGTGAGCGAAGTGACGAAACGACGATTGGCAAGGCGAAAGGACATGGCAAAAGATATACAGTAACCATGGGGTTCTTAAACACTCGTTATTGGACAAGTCTTACAAAAATTACTGCAAGTTACTCCTTATTTTTTGGCTTAAAAGTTTCAGAAATTCAAAAAAGTTTTTTTAATACAAAAAAAAAAAAATCTCCAAATGGAGTGAATTCTATCTTGGTGGTGCTTATTTCTTTTACTCCATGGAAAAAAAATGTAACCATGCGCGAGCAAATAGAAATGAATGGAGTGCATTCGATTTGTTGTGCCTTGACATAATACTAATGCATCGGTTGTTGCACCAACGCACAAACCTTCTGAGTGACCCTTCACTTTTTAGATTGACACATTTTTTTTTTTGGCCCTACCCGAGTCAACTTTTATTTGACTTTCTTTTGACGGATCTTGAAGCGATCCCACTCTATATTCTTTATCATGTTTTGATTGGTTCTTGGTTAAGAACCGACAGTGGAATAAGCGGATTCCCATTTTTATACAGACTCACTAACATCGTTGATTGGCTATAGTTTGAACATCAACAATCTAGGTGTATTTTTTTTTTTTTTTTTTTTTTTTTGCTTGTTCTGTTGGATTGATCCCACGAGGCGGGGTGGGGGGTTGCGAGAGCAAATTGAACCAAAAGATTGTTGGTAAGAAAAAAGAAAAAGGCCCATCGCTTTTTCCTTCTTCTCCTTTGCTCCGTTTTCACTTGGCTCAATTTTTTTTTCTTCTCTTTTTACGTCTCTGTGAATTCTCCCCACTCCCTTTTTTTAAAGCGTCCCTTTTGCCCATCTTCAGTGAATGAACGTGCACGAAAAAGAGTGGAGTGCCTCAGGCGGGTCACAATCCCATTTTCACCCGTCATTGCCGTCACCGATGCATCCACCGACGCATCACCAGTATATGCCTTCACCATCGCAACTTCCACCTTCGATGCATGCTGCGCCGCCCGTTGATATGAGTTCCAGTTATATGCATGGTTACTCCCATACGACGTATGTAGCCTCGATACAACAGTTACTATTTTTTTTTCTTGTCTTTTTTGGCACGTCCCCCGATTTGAGGAGGCGACAGTCCCATTTTTCCCCCCTTACCGGAAAGCTAACTTTATATTTTCATGTTTTTCTTTCTTTTCTCGTCCTACTTCTCTTACACCAATTTGTCTCTTTTTTATTCACTAGTTCGACGACCTCGCAGTCTGCTCCGACCAGCTCTTTCAGTACCCCTTCGCACGACTCCGTGGCGTATATGCAAGCAACTCCAAGTGGTGAAAAATCCGAATCTTCTCCGAACAGACCATATTCTGGGTAACTATCCTATTACGCTTTGTATAATGTTTCACTATTTTCTCAATTTTTTTTTTTTTTTTTTTTTTTTTTTTTTTTTGTGGGTGCAGGTACACCATGTCACAACCCACCACACCTAGACCTTCCGGTTCAACCGCTCACGTAGAAACTCCGGGAACCGAGGAGTCTAAGCCAAATACCACCGCTGTTTACCCTTCCAATGCTCATGTCGCCATTCGACGAAGACGTAAAGAATCTGTCTACATGCAAGATGACAGTCCTCCCTTTGGAGCCACCAAATATCACGGTAATCTTTATGGTCTCGACCGAAAAACACAGTAAGTTCCTCTTTTTTTTCGTTTGAAAAATGAAAAAAAAAGAAGTATGAATATGAGAACGGTGGATCTAACTTTTATTTGTGTTTTTTCGTGTTTTTTCTTATTCAGGTTAAAGGTTCATTTGCAATCAAAAGTGGACCGCGGGTTTTTCATGGCTGACAATGACTGGACGTGTTACCGTCGCAACTATTTTCAAGTCAGCAGTACATTCGCGTTGCAAGGCTATGGTATGATTTATGATGGACAAGAATTGCCTTGTCTTGTGGAAGTAGAAGGTCAACTGCATCCTGTTCAGGCCTTCATGCTCGGGATTAATGCGCGTATCGCGAACAGTGATAAAAAAATCACATTGATTCAGCATACCCCCAAGCGTGACAAAGGGCCTCAAACTGTACCGGAACCTAAACCTATTCGACCGGGAGGCAACTTGACCCTCAGTACTATCGGTACCGATCAAACCATGGTTACCTTTGAACGTGTGCAATTTAAATCCGCCACCGCCAACAACGGCAAACGAAGGGCCGCTCAACAATACTATGTTCTGACCGTGGTGCTGTACGCAAAAATCGAATCGGGGGCTTTGGTCACCGTGTGTTCCACCCAGTCGGCGCCTCTGGTGGTTCGTGGTCGCAGTCCAGGTCATTACGCTGAAGCTGACGCGAACACTAGTCGATCCAACCCTCCCAGCGACGTCCTTCCATCTCCTTACGGTAATCGTCCGCCCCATTTTATGCAATCAGGCATGATGCATTCGGGTGAATATTCACCTTACGAAGATTATTCGGGTATGGCCTATGGTGGTGCTGCGCCACCGCCACCACCATCGGGTCCGCCGCCACCGCCTCACTTTGGTCATATGCATCCGCCTCCACCTCCACCGGCGGGAACGTCGTCCATGCTACCCATTATGCCTGCTTCGTCCGCACCCCCGCCGCCTTCGTCGCAACCCCATTCGCCTTACAGTCCGGCCCACGGTCATGGGCCATTTGCGATCAACGAACGGCAGGTGCATGAACCTGCTTCCTCGGACGTGTATGCGTCGTCTCCTTACGCTGAGAATGGACCCAACCCACCCGCCAAGTACGGTGCACCTCATCAACGTGTTCAATCGATGCCCGAACATGACCATTGGGCGAGAATGCGCATGGCCTCCAATACCAGTAATGCAAGCATTGAAAGTGCTCCTAGTGGGCCATCCTATATGAACGGACATCATGCGCATGAGCATCCATATTATTCCCATCCAATGCCTTATGCACATTATCCTCCTCCACAGTCGCCGGGCGCACCTCAACCACCGTATCCCGGTTATGACGCACGACCAGTGTCAATGCAAAGGTAAATAGAAAAAAATTTCAGCCCATCTTTTTTTTTCTGTGCAACATTGATATTTTTTATTGACATATTTGTTGCATAGTTTACCACCCGTGTCGGAACATCATCCCGGAAATGGGTATCCTGCGTTTTACAACGATATGCATTGGCGATCACATCACGAACCACATGATATGCGTCCCATTCATCATTACCAGGACGAAGGAGCAAAATCCTCGCATACCAGTAACCTACCTTCTCGCGATCCTACTGACCCTAACAAGCCCTTCGATATGCCACCCAAGCCGATAAAGCCAGAGGTGACCCGAGGTCAATCACCCGTGACAGAAGAATCACAACAACACCAATGATCAAAAGGATACAGGCTAAATAATTAAAAGCCAACGCGAAAGAAAAGAAAAAAAGAGGGACAACAAGGGTTGATACGATGGATACCAGTATTTTTCATGTTTTTATTACATCAAGTTTGTTATAAATGTTTTTATTTCAATGCATACATCGACCAGAATCGATAAAAAAAAACGCTTTTGCTTTAGGGATTTGCTATTAGAAAATGGATGGAAAGTTGTTGGACGAAATCGTTTTTCTGTTTATTAGCTTATGTTGTACAATTTTAAGAGCGATCTTTCATTTTACGCAATAAGCCCAACACTTCCTGTGCAGGTGCAGGTTTGTCGGACTTCAAGACAGCTTGACGTACGGAAGGGGCTTCCACACGAAGGAAAGGATTGGTAAGCTTCTCATTTTTGATTGTGGAAGGAGTTGTGCATTCGGTCTTTTGGGCCCATTCCCATTTTTCCTGCATCTCCTTGTTGTCAGGTTCCACCGTGCGTGCAAACTTTAAATTGGCTCGCGTATATTCGTGACCAAAGTAAACCTTGGTTTCATCAGGCAACTCCATTAAAGCCGAAAGAGCCTTCCACATGTCGGATGGTGAACCTTCGAAAAAGCGACCACACCCGGATGAAAACAAACTAATGAAACCCAGTCGCTCAAGGTTACCCACAATGTTTCCCTATCACTTGCTACGCATCTCAACTTTACCAGTCACCAGTGAAAACGGCATCTCCTGTCTTGTCCTTGACATGGTAGCAGACGTGATCCATTGTGTGACCGGCCGTCGGCATCGGTTGAATTTGAAGGTGACCAATCTCCAGTTTATCCCCGGCTCTCACAATATCCGTGACACCCTGCACTTGCTCCGAACCACCATAGCATTTTAAATCTTGATGGAGTTGTAACATTTTTTTGTTTCCGCCAGCGTGGTCAGCATGGTGATGAGTCGTTAAGATACTACGATGTGAAAAAATATTGAGCATGTGAAAAGGAAAAAGTTTGTCGCCCGGTTGCCGATTGCATGAATGGGATTTTTTACCTAACTAATTGATAGTCCGGATATTCTTTCAAAGCATCCAAAACTTTGTTGGGTTCTACTGGATCGACGGCCGCAGCTAATCATGAGATGTAACAAGAACGAAAGCTAAGATGTCGTACGTACGCTATGTATATTTTATTTTGATTATTGAAACAAACCTTTTTTGCTGCTTTCATCCAAAAGCAAGTAAGCGTAGCTAGAATTTGAATATGAGAATATAGTCAAGGGAGCAAAAGGCCCTCGGTGTGTGTGTGGGCTTACTTGTCAGAGAAGCAAGGAACAGGTTTAACAATCATTTTTTGAGTAGAGGAAGTAGAAAAAGCCCGAGTAAACACACGGGAAAGCATCGTGCTATTATATGAAAAAACGCGAGAAAAAAAGTTTGTGTGGTAAAAAAAAAATCTCAAGTGATGACACACATTTGACGCAACTCCGCCCAGGGAACTCGCAGTCACTGGATATGCAGCAAATTGGGCAAATCCTCGGACAAAATCCACCCCATTGCTTGTTCATTTCCTTGAAAAATCGTGCCTCCACTTGCCAATGTCCCCATTATATTGGGATGTTCCTTTCTTACATATGGATAAGGCAACATTTGCGAAAAATAAACGGGCATGGACAGATGATGCAGACGTAATGGATCTTAGCGTCAAACGATCGAAAAGGGCGGTTACTTCACCTTCCGATGATCTTGCGAATTTATCGATCAACCCGACATCCGAAGTGGATGACGAAGGAGTTTCTTTGTCCTCTGCAAGCACACCACTTGGAGCATCCAACCATTGTACTTCCCCTTCATTTGCATTGAAACCCGTGGTTATATCCACCCGAACATCCAATCCACCAATTGAAAACCAGCAATACCAACAGATTAACCAAATACTGCACCAGGTACATGTGTCACGACATGGAGATCCTGAAGTCCGCGAACGCTGGTGGGAAGATCGACCAGATACCGACATGGAAGATGTGCAGGAACATGGATATCATTACGATTCCATGAATGCCTTGCTACGGCAAGTTTTCCTTCAACGCCATGCTCACAGCTCGCCATCCAGTAGTACCCCTCATTCCCCTTCATGATCCTTTTTTCGTTTTTCCCATGCTGCTCATCATCATAACTCATTTGCCATATCCAATTGATTGCTTCGCTCTCGACATACCACTGTACTCTAGCATTCTTACATATTTCCTCCATTATTCTCAATACATATGATTGGCTGCGCCAGAATATAGAAATGCTTCCACTTGTTTGTGAAGCCCATAATATCACAGGCGTAATCCTTTGCGAAATGGAAGTTGATTATTGTCATACAACAGAGATAAGATAGTTGTTACGGCTAGGTATTCTTACTTGTCCTGCATCATCTTCACCAGTGTATTATGAATTACTCGTATCTGCAGCATGGACAAAGAATATACTTTGCCAAAACATAAAGCATCGCCTTCATTGAATATGCTTTGATGCGTCAGTCTCTTCTAATCAGCGACTCTGACCTTGCGAAAAAAAAAAAAAAAAAAACCCGGCATGCAATTTCGATCTCAAAAAAATGTCTCTACCATGCAGTTTACAACGCGGTGACACTTTTTCAAGCCAAGTCGTTTGTATGCTTTCCATACGTTAAGCCTTATGTATACCGGTAATGAAGATCAGATACTAATTATAGACTCACTAAGGCTTTGATTATGACATGCTCTACTGTATCAGGATTCCCTTGGTATACCTTTAAAAGGCATTGGATTAGGGATGGCCACGTAAGCAGGGCACTCGACCTGCAATCACAAAGCACCCCAAATATCCTCAATACAGCTATCCTTCAAATCATCCCATTGAATTTTTCGGTTGCCATCCAATGGCGCACGCTTGCTACTAGATTCCAAAATGACAAACAATTAGGCAAGCTGCGGACCGAGTCAATATGCAGAGACCGTAGCGGGCTTGTCGGAATCGTCGCCTACAGATCGCTATGACCCCGCTGACGCATTTGTCGCATAGCGATCTATCAATTTTTTACGAGGTATCTACGTAGTCATGGTGCCCGCCAATGTCAAGTTTGCGGCATTGATAGAAAAAATGGTATGCATAATGTGAAGTGACAGCTTTGGCGGTTGGACGCGAAGACCAGCGCTCAGAGCCTCTCGTGTGACGTCGGTATTCATGGCCCGACGTTGACTGGCTTCCATTTTAGGTAATTCCAGGAGTTGTATAAAAAGAAGGCAAGTTCGTCTTCTTCTCTTTTTTCTCTTACGCTTTACATCACTTCTCCGGCGAGTTTTCTTCGAAGGTAAGCGCAAAGCCTTGAATTTTGGCTCTGAAGTTCGTGTAACCGATCACTCACGTTTGGAAGTGAATTCTATTTTCCCCAGATTCGACTCCGACGACGACACCAACGACCCAGCAACCACAACCACAACGAGACGAGACGATCCGAAATGAAATTTGATCCCCCCGGGTAAAGGATCTAGGTAAAGTCAGAGGATTTTGAGACCGCGCAGGAGAAGATAGGAAGGTACATTCCTGCTTTGCTGGATGTGCTGGGGGGCTCTGCAGCGGGGCTGTTATCTTTCTCCATTTTCTCTTTGCCATTTCTTGGTAGTATGCCGGGTTCGACTGGAAATGATTTCCACAGGCCGAATTTTCCCAAGTCACATGATGTAATGCGGACCCTGACAAGCCAGGTTAGGCAAGGGGGCTATTCCTCCACGTGCGAGGACGTCAAGTGGCGGGAGGAGGCTATCCATACGCGGAGAGGCGGCGGACTAGGTGGAAGAGTCACCGTGTAACGTGGGCAATTTATGCGCGCATTGCGAACCACATCTCCCATACACCGACTTGTTGGCACAGACTTTGGGTTGGATGGTTGGACCAATGGCTCAAGGTGATGTAAGGACATTCCGTGCCTTGGACGCTGCTTTCACGACCATCCTTTAGGTGCATATTGGCTATTCCGCTCCCGTCTGGTGGAGAAATCAGTTATGGGAAAGTAGGATGGTGATCTGGACGGTCAAGTATGCTTTGCACTCTTGCTGCTTGGCCAACTTCCGTGTCGCCAGCACGCCCCTTTGCTGCCTATCGTAACCGGATACCAGCACCGCCCAAGTCTGATCTGTGTGTGTTTCACTTCTACAGCTGCGGTTTACCGTTCCAGTAGGCCATATGCGACTGGACCAAGGTTCAGTGTATCAGCACGGGCGTGCGGTTGAGTCAATGATCGGGCCTTTTTACTCTCATCTCTGGAGGCCTCACCATAGGATGGAAAATGAGGCTGGGACGGGACCATTCGTTGGAAAGCGATAAGCAGCACCGTAGATTTGATCGAAGTAGGGTTTATGACTACCACAGTGGCACAGTCATAGAGATCATTTCTGTATCTTCTTGGCTTCTACCTTAACCTTGATGGCACTGACTTGCTATTCTACATAATAGTTGGAAGTCAGCCTTATATCAAGGAAGAAGATATTTTATTCTTTTTATCTCTTTCTTTTATTTCTTTTTTATTTTTTTTCTTCTTTTGACATGTAATCGCTCTTTGTTTTCTTTCTTTTTTCTTTTCTTTTTTTTTTGGTGAGGGTTGGGTTTATCATTAAAATCTCCTTTTATTCTAAGCTTTTTCAGTCGCTTAATTCAAATATGCGCTTCTTTATTCCAAATCATCGCATCGCAAATAAATCAATGTGTTCTCCCAAGTTTGATAATACTTACAGCAACAAAAAAAAAAAAACCATGTTATATTCTCTAATGTGATGTTGAGGAACGATTATTCTGTTGGATCGAAGCATTATGCCTCATGTGAAACAGCAGGTGTGCAACGGTTGTCGTGGTTGAATGGCCCATCCGAGTTCGATATCATGCCCCGATAGTGTATCATTTCTACTGCTTGTGGTTCATTGCCCTGGTAGGCCGTATGCACCTGAGCATGACCAAAAGTGTTATTGAATTGGCTCGGGCCTTTTTACTCTCATCTTTCACCACCAGCTCCATGATCGATGTAAAAGGCGGCTGCGACGGAACTCTAATTCCTGGAAAACAGAAACAGCACTGTAGATTTGATCAAGTAGTTTTTTTGACAACCACATGGGCACAAGGAGTAAGAACAAATTCTGTATCTTCTTGGCTGCTACCCTAACCATGACGACGCTGATTTGTTATTCCTCAATAATAGTAGAAAAAGTCGACCTTATATCAAGAAAGATATTTTTCTTACTTGACATTTAATCGGTTTAAATGCTATCCACGACCAAGTGATGCGGATCCTTTAAATTGTACAGTATGCATTTTTATGACAAGCCCTCTATCTAAAGTTATCACGTTGGAAGAAAAACGACAGCATACCAGATCAGGCCAAGTGGCGCCAAATGGAAACCTACACCATGAGTGACGAAGGACTTGTACGTCGTCAGCCACCCAGTGTTCTCTTGTTTTTTTTTTATGGGCGTAGTTGCCGGAGGTTTTTCCGGCCACCTGTATACATGTATCCAAAGAAACCCTTTTTAAGGGAATATGAAGATCTGTTGTGTTGCCAATGGCTTTTCTTTTAGGAATCGATCTAAAGGTATTGCTTAGTGGGGGCAAAATCAGATCCGAAATACCAATGAGCATTCAGCGCGATGGCATTATTCTGTAGTTCAGAATATTTTAGCCGCTTTTTACATTGTTACGTTATTGGATAGGTTCGTTTCTGTCATACATTGACATCTGGTTATTGTTGCTTGCCTTGTCAAGAGGTCGCACAGTCGAGCTGCTACTCAGTGTAAATCACTGAGTTTGGAAATCGAAGCTCAGTGGAAGGGGCATCTGACCTGGTCCGATAAGGTTTGACGATTCATTGGCTAACTCGCTTTAATCATATTCAACGATTGGATATAAATCATGATGGCTCGTTCTTCGGTAACCCCGCCATCTCAAAGCGACCCTTATTTGGATAAAAATGGACATATCCGCTGTTGATGATCCAAATGAGGATCAAGATAAAACTTTGAAGTTGGCCATTCCCACGACGTTTTCAGGCCAACTTTGGTATCAAATAGCCTGCTGTTAATTCACGAATGCATGAGGAGAGAAACGCTCCCTCATGCGTTAAGATAACGACAAGGAAATAGTGCAGCAATGATCCCAGATCACCGGCCGAATGAGCTAATCCGGTTCTGAGGTGGAGGCAATCCTATAGGCTAAATATTTCAATTTGATCTACCGTGGACAAGTTTCCTTTTTCTGCTTATCCGCAGAGAAAAACTACGTAACACAGATCTTGGAGCCGCTGCATCTGACCAAGGGAAACCATTTTTAAGGCTCCAAGATTCTTGATTGATTTTGGAGTTCTTTTTCTTCTTTACTTGACAACATGTCATTCAGCTCTGAGAAGAAAGCGGATGAATTCATACAGGGAAATGCCGTTGAGAAAATTGGCTCAGATATTGAAAATGCGCAGGTCATGGAAGCAATCGACTACGATTCCGTGTCGGCCAAGGAAGCGCGCGCTCTTTTGTGGAAATTAGATCTACGTATTATCCCATTTTGTGGTGTACTTTATCTTTGCTCCTTTTTGGATCGAGTCAATATTGGTATGTGTTTGCGTTTGATCCGCCATCCCCCTATCTTTAGCAAGAAGACTGATCATGGGCTTGTTTGCATTCCAGGTAATGCAAAGTTAGCTGGTCTAGAAACGGACATCAACTTGTCTCCAAGTGATTACAACTGGTCATTATCCATCTTTTTTATCGGTTACGTACGTATTTATTCGAGCAAAGAATTCCTCATCAGTAAAAAAAATGGGAGTGGGCTAATAAGATCATGATAGATTCTGTTTGAAGTGCCCTCCAACTTGATGCTCAAGAAGATTGGTCCTAGCAAATGGATTCCTATTGTCATGATTGCTTGGGGTGTAGTCATGTGTGCGATGGCAGCGGTCAGTAACACGGCTGGGTTGTTGGCCAGTCGGTTCTTCCTTGGTATTACAGAAGCCGGCTTGTTCCCAGGCATTATTTTCTATCTTTCGCTCTGGTTTACCCGTGCCGAACAAGCGACGCGTGTTGCTGTCTTTTTCGGGTGCTCTACATTGGCTGGTGTAAGTTTTACGTTGAAAAGTGAAAAGAAGAATGATGAGATGACTTATTAACCTCCTGCGCTTAGGCTTTTGGTGGTGTATTGGTAAATATGCATAGTCTGAGCAGTAGTGTATAAGAAAAACGAGGGGGGGAGGGTTCGCAATGTGGACAATTTTCTCACGCCAGGATTTAGGCATATGGCATCATGCAAATGGATGGTTTGCAGGGTCTGCGTGGCTGGCAGTGGATTTTCATTATCGAATCTATTCCCACCATGCTGCTAGCCATTGCATCATATTTTGCGCTTCCGGATTTCCCTGAAAATGCTAAATGTAAGACCGAAACAATCTGAGGTTCCCAAGCTCTCAATTTTCATACTTACGCCTCACTTTTGCTAGTTTTGAACGAACGTGAACGAGCCCTAGTCACTGCGCGACTTCGCAAAGATGCTGGACCATCGACTGAGAAGCATTTCTCATGGAAGCAGTTCCGCGCCGCGTTTTTGGATTGGAAAGTTTATATGCATGCCACCATTTATATTTGTGGATCGACCCCACTTTACAGCTTGTCGCTTTTCCTGCCCAGTATTATTAATGGCATGGGTTACACCGATTTAGCCGCCCAAGCCATGTCGGCGCCTCCCTACGCTATTGGTAAGCGGATGACACCCTCGGTTTGAAGTCGGGATTTTCACAGAATAAAGCAGCTTACTGACCTCTGTGCGTAGCTTGTGTATTTACTGTGCTTGTGGCCATGCATGCCGATCGCCGCGTGGAACGTGGCTTGCACGTTGCTATTCCTGCTTTTGTTGGTATGGTCGGCTACATACTGCTGGTGGTGCTGAAACACCGAGGTCCAACTGCAATGTATATTGCTGCTATTATTACCACGACTGGCGTCTTTTCCCACATTCCTGCCATGTTGTCGTGGTTCACGAATAACATTGGTGGTCATACCAAACGTGGTGTGGCTACTGCCTTCATTATTTCCATTGGTAACGTCGGTGGAGCCATTGGTGGCCAAATTTATCGCAGTGATGATGCTCCATTCTATTCTCGAGGACACGAAACATGCATCGGCTTGATGGCGGGTGCATGCGTACTATCCATCATTTTCAAGATCCTTTTACGCCGTGAGAATAAGCGCCGTGAAGCGCTTACACCAGAACAACGTATGAAGGAATGCGAAGGCGAAGATTTGTGCGATTTGGTAAGTGCACTGAAAATGTTTTATGAAGAAATATCAAGGTAGCATCTAATGCGATTATTATACAGCATCCCGATTTCAGATACATCTCGTAAATTATTGTGTATATTTAATTCACCTATTCATTCTCACTTTATAATCATGTATTCATATATCTAACAAGCACCAAAGTGCCCATTACTGATAGCCGTACTCTTGTCTTGAGTAGCATTTAATAAAATAACCTAAAGTTTAGGGATCACCTCTTCTGAAGGAGACAGACCGGACATCCTTGTTACTGGCCATACGAAAGGAAAGAGAGCGGTCTTGGCACCAAAGTGCCACACCGGTCTTGAAGGAACCGAATCGGTCAACTATGATCGCACTATTTTGTCGTCTTACCTATTGCCAGGTGATGACTGTTGTGCCAACTGGTTGTCGATGGATCTCTATGGTTAAAGGATAACTCTAGCTGTCGTATTGAGGTTGTGCGTATTTGGTTATGCAAAGGCATAGCTATCAGCTCAAGACATGAGTGATATTATCCCTTTCGGAACAACCACCGTCAGCTTGGTTTCCGTATTTGGGTTATTTCCCTAGATAAAATGGTCTGTGGCGCAAATAAATCACGGCATAGGTTTGTGTTGATTCGAATTTATCAAACACTTGTGTGCACGCCAAAATCCGGGGGGGGGGCGCGACGTGACCTGTTTCGTTATCCGTTACTCAAATCTGCCTTCAACGGTTGAGAAAAGTTTTTTCACAGTCGCTTTCAAGACGGTGAAAATCTAGCCAGTACGTACACATGCCACAAAGTGACCAACTATCAGCATAATCTATACGATATGTCATTTTGGAGTGTATCAAGTGTTGCTGTTATTTCTGGTCAAAGATGTGTAGGTAAAGTGTATTTCTCGGCACTACTTGGATATATACAGAGATGTTGCAAATAGATCTATGATTTCTATTTGATTCTATTTTACAAAAGTTATGGCGCTTTTTTTCTTCCTTTTATCTTGCTGTCGTCTTCCCCACCGCTTCTGCATGTATCGCCTGCTTATCCGTCGTCGCCGTTTAACGTAAAGCAAGAGGTCTTGACGAAATTTGGTGCCAATGAGGTAATGGGACTGATCATACCGGAAAAGAGCCTCAATTAACCGAACCGCAGCATCACGCTCATTCAGAAAGCATAGTGTGGTGACCATGCCACTGACAATTCCTCGATCCGGTCGAATGCCACGTCGCAGCATATCATCCAACCAGGACTCCACCTGACGAAAATCTCGTTGTCGCACCGCGGCGGTCAATAATATAGAATAGGTATAAATAGTGGGTTTCAAGTTTTTCGCCAGCAAGTCTTTGAACAGGGCGTCGGCGGCTGCGGTGTCCTTGTGATCCAAGAAAAATTTCAGCAGAATGTTGTAAAGGACGACGTTACCACGCACGCCAAAAGCGGCCATTTCGTCATACAGTTTCTTGATGGTAGGAAGGTGGACGGGCGGACGAGAAACAAGCATCTGAATAAACATGGTATAAATATAGCGCAGAGCATCGGCACGTCGGTTCGATATTCGATTCGATTGGTAGTATACTACGACCGTGTCGTGCAATGCCGTCATGCCAACGAGATTCTGCGATCGATATAAAGAAAGGGCTAGCCGATGAAGAGTTTCACGATTGGGAAAACCCCCCTTATTCAATAATTGAAAATATTGATCGAGAGCTTCGGACGCTTTTCCTTTCCTTGCCAGTTTTTCGGTCGCATATGCAAGCTCGGCCAGCTGACGAGATCGATGCACGGTGTCAGAGGAAGACGAGGAAGATGTTGGGTTGGGAGAGGAGGACGAGGAGAAGAAAGAGGATGAGGAAGAGGATGATTCATTAGGAGCTGTAGATAGTAGGCGTAATACACCAGAAAGCTTTTGCCGGGAAGATAAGCTGGATCGGTGACTGGGAGCAATGAAGGATGACATTACAGGCCATGAAGGAGCGATTCGACCACATTCCCGGCATCGGATAAAACTGGTCGTCCCATACGATAATCCACGTCGTCGAACAGTTTGTGGAGTTGTAGGTCGTAGTATCCCAAAGAATAGGTAGACTGCGCGAGGATTGACATGACGCATGCCTCTATTCAAGCAGTGGATATCGATTTCAAAGGTGATACTGTTTTTTTTTTGGGTAAAAAACAGTTGCGCGACGCAACATAAACAAGAAACTCCAACCATCCAAAATTCAAAGTCACAAACAACCACCGCCGATTCAGGCACACCCCGAAAATCGTGAGACAACAAGCTGAACACACCCAATATCAGTTTTCCTTACTGTTTTGTTGTTCGTCGAAGCAGTACATACTCCAAACATGTACATACTATCAAGAATAATGAGCTTGCGCAATCAAAATAGCTACGAAAATTATGTATTTATCATGTCAACCTTCAACTAGAAATAATATGGTTAGTAAGTATTACGAGCCAATTGTGGAGGGAGATGGTATGAGGGCCACAGATCATGAGATTCAAAATAAACTAGTAACATATGCAATATCATTGAAATTTTTAGTGCTTACAATGATCAATGCTTGCACCATTTTCGAATTTCACGCTAATCTCCTTTGCATGCACGGATTACATTGCTTTGCAGGCAGATAAAACCTCAACTGCATAATGAATATGATCCTGATATAATCTATCTTTAGATCTTGATCTTAATTAAACCTTATAGTTAAGTACTGTAAGCTGGAGTCATTTACAGAATTTTCTAGCGTGTTAGATATCACTTTAAAGACTTGCCTACGAAGTAATGTTGTTGACAAGTTTTATATTGGCAGGCACCATGAAAGTCCACTAAGAAGAAAGTGATACCTTGGAAGCTTCAAACAAGAACTGTATGAGCATCACTGAAGATTCACATCTTGATACATACATTATATCTTGTTGAGAACATTCAAGCAACTTTTCGTATATCCTTGTGTTCTCATTCTCCGAAGCAAGGACAAACAAAAGCTTTACCTAGTCTACACCTGGTAAAAACATCACCAAAATTATCATTAGTTTGGCGAAAAAAAAAGTTCCAAACATTCATTGATCCAACACAAACAAAATGATGATGGATTCCACTAGAACTCCCACTGCATTATTATCTTTACAGTCATCACAGTAAAAAAAAAAAAAAAAAAAAGTCAGCTGGTAAATGTGTTGTATCAACGGCACAATGCTAATTTGACTGATGATTGATACCGTCAACAAATCAACCATGTCAACTCAAAACCATCAAAAAGATTCTGCGAGCAAAGAGGAGAGCTCGATGTTTTATCGAGTTGTGCTGCCCTTTTGTATGATTTCCGCTATGATATTGTACGAATTTCTTTCGAAGACCCCCAAACCTAAATGAAATACTGTAACAGGGATCATACGCAAAATGAACACTTTTACATAATATCGCTGAACCATTCGAGAAGTTGGGGCAGAAAACAAGTTTTTTTTATGAGTATTACAGGATAATGATGGCAGTATTTCGTAGGTAAGTTTTCGGAAATGGCACTAGGGTATACAGCTCTGTAGTTACAATATTGGAATAAAATAGTGTGAAATGAATAACTTTTCTTTCATAGATATTACAGTGCATTTTTAAATCATGTTGCCATCGATCTCGTAGGTGCCAATTATCTTACGATCGCCTGTGCGGCAGCGGATCATCCATTTGCCATTAGGCAGTTTTAGATAGAAATTTGAGTAAGGAAACATATCCACGGATTGAGTCGTAGACATGCTGTGGCGGTCATTGGCAAAGGCTCCTCGGCACGCAAGAGTATTGGTAATCGTACAAGGCGAAGGATCCATGGATCTCGCTGATAGTGAGTCGACATTACTATCGCTGTCATAAGAAAGATCCTTTCGATCTTTTCTTCTGGGAAAAAGGTATGACCAGCATCGCGAAGCGCCCGTCTGTAAAGAAGACAGATATTTTCCACTCTTCAGATTCGCATAGTGCTCGAGAGAGTAGCCAAAGACAAGATCTTTGAACATGGTGGTGAATGATAACAACAGAAAGAAAAAATCGTCTAGCTAACGCATTGATCTCTCTCTTTTATGTTGATGCCTAGTTTATCAATGCTGCTTTATTTTCTGCTTCACATTGTTTGTTGTGGTTTTTTTTTTTCCCTCAATCAATGATAAAAGATCGATCATCAATGCGAGTTTTTCCGGTCATACGATGATAACTAGGATTTATGCATGTACTGTACTATTAGTGATGCAGCAGGCAGTGGATGAACGCTATCTGTTTGGCTGTGGGTCACTACTTTTGGAATCGAGTCGCAAGGAATATTTGGCTCTCTGCTGTAGATGTTGAATGCAATCCGTAATTGTGGGCCATGGAAGATTGAAGTTCCGCCTGGCAAGCAAAGCCGATCATTCTTTATCCAGCCATTTATGCTTCTCGTCTCCCCATTTATTTTTTTTACTGCACACCCTGTAAAGCATGTTTTTTCATCTTCAAAAGGGGAGGGGGAGAGAAAACAGCTAGGTAATCTGCCCCACTCACACTGTTTTTATTGCAATTCAAGGTTTCTTAGGCTGCAACCAATTGTCTGCTTCGACAAACATAGTGTAAGTTACTTCAGATATGCTCTTTGCCTCCTTCAGCGTCTTCACTCCTGCCATGACACTGTCCCAAAACTGGAATCCCTTTTGCATATCAGCTTTGATTTCGGTGCATGAAGGGAACGTTTTCTCAGTCGAATCCATGGCATCCACTCCATTGTCCAATGTCTGCTCAAGATAATGCTTCACCACAAGACCCAGAGCAACATTGATATCCGTCATGAAAGGAAGACTATCATTCAACCCTTTCAGCAATTGGGTCCCCCAGAATCAAAATCCATAAGTAAAAATCGACTTACTTGTCTGCAATCTCGAAATAATCGTTACGTTCCTTTTTCACCAAGCCATTGAGGAAGAAGGACAAGGTCAGCATCTCGCAAAGGTTTCGGTAGCTACGGCTCAATGCTTTGACAAAGCTATTGAATACCAATAGATCACGATTCAAAGGTCCAGACCAGGATGTGCTCTTTAACCAATAACCCCATGCGCGGTTTTTAGTCAAGTATTCCTAAACTATCCACTGACCATTTCGCTTACCTTGAGATGCATGGGTAACAGCGACAACGTTCGTGTGATCAACGTGATGTGCTTTTGTTGTTTATCTGCAGAAAACGCGAAAAGCAAAGCAAGATGAGAAAAACCAGATTGCCAAAGCACATGACGTCTTGGTCTTTTTGTCATTACCATCGCCAACAGGTTGAGAATAGGTTTTGCTGTAAGGATTGGCGGTCAGCACTTCAAATCGAATAAGTTCAAAAGCGGCCAACAAGGCTTCCTGAGTGTGAAGGAAAGAGTCGCTTAAAAGAGGGCCTGATTTGTTGAAAGCAACAGCCAGTGCGCGACCCCATGGGGTGTAGATATGTTTGGATGATGTCAGGAAGCTAATTGAACGCGAGTCCCACAAGAATGAGCCCAAAGACAAAATGAAAAGCCCATGGTCCACTTACTCTCTAATTTCCAAAGTTTTCCACAGCACATTCGCGACGATTTCGTCCTTTTCAACAAGAGGCTACCACAACAAAATGAGTATCCTCCACGGTATCGAAAAAATTCCTCCCACGAAAAATTCATTTAATGGTACCTGATCTGGATGCGGCTGGGTGATCGTCTTTGCAGCTCGTGCTTCGTCTTCAGTTGCTCGAATGCAAAATGCAAAGTCGACAGTAGAAACCTGATCAAAAAAAAGTTACAGGCAAAATACTTGAATTTATCACCCATGATCTGCTTACGTTTTGTGTCTTTTTTTCTGTTTCGAGGACATCGTTGGTGACATTCCAGGAACTGGTTTTTTTGTATACTGTGTTCAAAGGGGTCTCATTGATTTGGTTGGGCGAACCTCCTTGGGAAGGTTGATGGTACATGATGTGTTCCACGTGAGGTTCAAACCAAAAGTGGGTGGCTACTTTGCGTGTCTGATAAAACTGGTGTAAGGGCTGTGTTAATAAGCTCAAGGTTTGAGTACGAATGTTGAGTAGCTGGATCAAGAAATTGCGATATTCCGTGGTTTCTCCGTTATCCAGAGGAGCATTCTCAATCAACGCTCCAGACACAAGGTTGTTGATAGACTATATACCATACATACAGTTAGTTGTCTCGATGTGCCATGCTACCAAATTTTTTATGAAGTGTACCTGAGGACCGATAAGGCCGCGGAACAAGTAATAGTAAAATTCATCTGGCAAACGGTAACCGATAAACTCGTGAATATCACTGGGGGAATTGTCGATATTCAAAGGCTTCACTTCGCCTTCATCGGTCATGACCAAGTGATACTTGACGGCGCATCGTGTACGACAAAAGGTATCGACATAATTGATCTTGCTCAGTGTAGGATCATCCGCATAAGCCTGCACTGCATTGAATCCCGTCTTGTGTTGTCTGATCAGATCGTGGACGCCTAGCAAAGCACAGAGGAAAATCATCATAAATCACATGTACTTACTTTCTTGGCAGATCTTGTTTACCTTTGAATGTGAAACTCATGACGGTTGTGTTCAAGGGCGGGAAGCTCGGACAGTATTCAAATCCTGCTAATATACAGATGTCCAGGAATTGCTCGTCGGACACTCGCAGGTCTTGAATCACCGTTTTTTTGCTAACCCAATGATAGTTTCCTTTCTAGAGATAGATACTTATCAGTCTGCCAACTCGTAAAATCCACATGATCAGACAAGGATGCAAAAACTCCCAACTTACTTCTGTGTCAATCACAGTGATAATCTTGTCAATATCCCACATTAACAATTCTGATCCACCATAAACAGCATTAATCATTGATTTGGGGTGTGTGTACATGTACGCCAACTAATGATGGATGTCAGCACGCACGTCCATCTTTACCCTCGATCCATTTCCTTTTTTACCTGAGCCCAAGCCGAGTACGGTGCTCTGACGAAGTCAATGTCGTGTTCGTGTAGAATATGACAGACCAAGTTCATGAGATCGGCGGGAGGTACACCGCCACTGCTGCCCCAATTGGCAAGAGCCATGTCGGGTTTGCCTTTGTCGTAAAAGTCCCAGCCGGCAGCGCGATGTCCCGGACGAGTGTCCTCGGTGGAGAATGGTTTGCTTTTACGAAGAATGGAAAGACCCGGGAATACAAAAACAGGCTGAATGTGATGCGTTCTGGTTGGGAATAAAAGTTGGAAAACAGGTTAACGATAAAATTCACGGTTATTTAGATCGAGTAATGGAAAATGGAGACTTGGATATTTACTTGTAGTATTCCAGTTCCTTTTCGATGGATTGACGTAACCCCAAAGGCGTACCGCCCATGGCAGTGACGGCGGGCTCCTTGGCAAGCACTTTACGCAACCAGTAGTTGCCTTCGATGCCTAGTCTCGTATCTTTCAGTTGCGACACCGCCGACGTTTGAATGAGTCGTCGTTCTGCCGTGAAGACTAACAGGGAAAACCACAATTGCGAGTGAATTTCGACAACATTTTACACGCTTTTTGTTATGAAAAAAAAAGACGTACTGTCAAAATGACGGATCGGCATGAGAAATCGTTAATAGCAGTGAGGGGAAAAAAAAAGGAATTTAAAGGAAGACGTTCAGACAGACAGACAGGGTCGGCTTATCCTCCTTGTTCACGCACTTTAAAAAAAAAAGAGGCCAGGCGGAAAACCGCGACCAGTGAAAATTCGAGCAGAGCAAAGTCACCCACCCTCTGGCAAACACAATACACACACACGAGTACATACTCCATCTAATTTTTCTTATTATTGTCAAGGGGAAAGTGATTCCTTGCTACAGCTTCTAACAGATTACAGTGGGCAATGAGTGATGTATATTTAAGATGGTGTGTCCATTCCATACTATTAAACCTGTGTCTGGTTAAAACAGATGTCTGTCATTTGCAAAGATGCTTTTCTTATCGTGGGGCTATTGATAAAGAGTGTTCATTTTTTGCAAAAGTTATTTCTCATTGATTGACAGCGGATAAAAATCGATGAATGTGAATAAGTGCTTCAAAATGATAATGTATCAGGCACGGCCTGAGCGAGCACAAGTATGGGCTTGTCTCAGCAGAAAACCGGTCGACATGGGAGGTGACAAACACGCTTGATCTAGTAATGCCATGTGTTCTATGGTATTAGGTATGCTGTGGAGCGAGTTCGAAGTATGAAAATAGATGGATCCTGGCTTAAGCTTGCAGTAAAAGCTCGAGGTTTTCCTGTCGAAAAAGTCATAAATAGATCATATCTTTGAGTTAGCCATGGTTAACAGTGCGCGTTTGGTTTTTCACCATGGTCACCATTTCCCTTTTAACTGTCAATTCTTTTCTGCCATAACGATGACAATTTTTTTTTCTGCTTGATGGATTTGGTGTCACATGATGACTGTTGTGTTGGCAGTGGAAAAAGAAAAAAAAAATGAGAAAATGAGACACAACACGCAAACCCCATTATTCAGCTTCACGAGTGCTATCATGCTCGACATTCCGTCATCTTTCATTGCATCTTCCAGCTTTTCGTCCCTGGAAGCCAAAGGTAAGGAGGAATGACAAGGTCAAAAAAGAAGAGTCAAAACTAGAAAAATAAGCTCAACCTACTCAGATATTCTTCGACTACACAGTCTTATTCAAACTCGATGGCATGAGAAACGGATTCAGCGACGCATGCACCAGCGACCGCACACACCCATTCTCGCTATTGGCATATCCAATCCACAGCATTTACAACGCGCCATGGAAATGAAGATTCCCGTTATTCATATTGACCGTCACTGTCTCGCACTGAAACGAGTACAACAACGCTATTACCGGTTTTTCTATTGGAAGAATCAATGCACTTGTTTCCTCCTCCTTGCATTGACCAGTCTGGTCGGCCCCGGTCAACGGGCTCTCAAATATGGGATGAAGCTTCTCAACCGATACGAAGGTATATCCAAGCATCATGTGATACGCGGGTATGTGGTTGGAACGAGTTTCCTTGTATCACTGATCTATATGAGATGGATGCGAAGGCAGTACCATGTTATCGAAATAGAAGATGAGTTATTCCTGCTACGGGATGATGTGATGCGCGGACCCTTGCGGTTCATGGTCAGCAACTGGTTTCTTTACTGCTGGACACCGGTCAATGTCATCCGTTACGTTTCAAAAAGCGTGATTCAAGCGAAATAGAAAAAACTTTGTTTTGTATGCAAAAACTATCGTGACCAAGAAAAATGATTACCAAATGAGGAGCACAAGAACTGGAGAAAAAATTTACGTTTGGAAAACCTCACGTGGTCGGTAAGGCCGAGGCGGGAATTGAAGCTGAGAATGAATGTGTATATTCCCAATGGGAGATCCGTGGCCTTCAGATGGCCATGTTTCTCAATTAAAGTGTTCAGGGTAGAGTGGCCATCACCAAGGAGAGCGGAAAATAGAAAAAACACCATTCGAGGGTCGACCGATTTTTTTTCCATCAAGGAAAACAGAACCCTTTCCCTCTACCAAATTAAACACGCTATAGCGGGACCGTATTTCCTCTTTTTTCTTTTTTCTTTTTCGTTACGTGTTCTTCTTTTGCTTATTTTTTTGCTTTCTCTTTATTCCTTTTCTTTATATCACTTTTTTATATTTTTTTCTCGATAATACACCATTCCTTTGTTAACTTTTACCCTTCCATGGCTGCTATGACTTTGAAGCAGAGAACGCCTTCACTAGGCACTTTAAACATACGGCCAATGACCCCCACCGTCGATATCCCTTTGCCTTCGGCTTCCACCAGTAATCAACGACCTACAACTACTGTTCAGGGCGCTTCGCTCTACTATACCTGTCGTTCCGTACTAGATAAACTGGCTCTCGTCAAAGGCATGGGCCCCATTCTCGAATCGGCCTCTGCCGAATTATCCCAACCCTCCAGCCCACTCTATGATACGCCCACTCCACCGTGCTGTTCGTCCGATCCGCTTACCAAACTGTGGAATATATGTCGTCAAGGCACACCTCTATGTACACTCTACAATGCTTTAATGCCTGACCATCCACTCAAATGCGATGATAATCCTAATCTTACCCACGTGAATACCTGCAAAGCGAGTGTCTATCATTTCATTGTCGCTTGTCGCACCCATCTCCATTTTCCAGAAGAAGACGTTTTCACCGTATCCGATCTGTATCAAGGCGATACCAATGGATTCATCAAAGTAAGCAGAATCATCCCCCCTCTCCTCCTCTTCCCAAAAAAAGTTATCACAAAACGCATCCCTTCATCTCCCTCTTGACAGTTAAGGGGATGCGCAAGTTCATGTAATATAATTCTCCTCGTTTCATTGTTCTCCTGACTCCCGTACCTTTTTTTTTTAATCTTTCATTGTACAGATTGTCAATACCGTCAGCAAGATCTTACAGATGATGGAGGAACGAGGCCTGATTAGTGTTCCAACCACCGACCATCCATGCGATCCTGTACCACCCAAAGATGAACGCGATAAAATTGTTTTGGAAATGTTGACCACAGAACGCAAATTTGTGCAGGATTTAGAGATCATCCAGGTAATTGCCATGGCTGCCGTAGCAAAAATCTTCATCCTTTACAGCCGATCGAAAAAGGAAAAAAAAGGAAAGGAGTTGCGCTAATATATCCTTGTTATTCCCTTGCCTACATAGAACTACATGCGTGAACTGCAACAACAGAAACTGCTATCTCCTGGCACAATTCATTATATGTTTGGCAATCTCAATGCATTAGTCGATTTCCAGCGATGGTTTTTGATTCAAATGGAAGATATTGTGGAAAAACCGCCTCAGGAACAGCAACTGGGTGCATTGTTCATCCAAATGGAAGAAGCTTTCTCGGTATACGAAGCTTACTGCGCCAACTTTGCCGCCGCCAACGATATCGTCACACAGGAAGAGGCCACATTACAAAAGTTGGCTGATCTTTTGGATCCCACTTATGAGTTGCCGTCCATGCTTATCAAACCCATTCAACGTCTCTGCAAATACCCGCTATTCCTTACTGTACTTCTCAAAAACATGAAAGAAGAGTGGCCCCATTACAAAGAAACCGTGCAAGGGCTCGAGAGTATCAAACGGGTCGTCGACACCGTCAACGAGACCCATCGTAAACAGGCCAATATCAAAATCGTCCAAGATTTGAAGAAACGCATCGACGATTGGAAGGTACGTCGTATGAGAACTCGCTTCCCTGTTGTTCCAAAAAACTTACCGATGATTCTCGCCTTTTTATATTTTTAGGGTCATTCCATTGAAGCATGCGGCGATCTGTTACTCGACGAAAAATTAATCATGGTTACTCGTGATGTGGAACGAGAAATGCACGTTTATTTCTTTGAAAAAGCATTGCTGATTTGCAAAGAATACACGGACAGCAACAAATCTCGATTGGGCAAAACGAAACCTATTTCCATCAAGAAGAAGCGACGAAATAGCCTGCAACCCAAGGGGCTGATTTATACCAACCGTATTATTCGTGTTGACGACAAATCGGCCAATGGCAACTGCACCTTACTTGTTGAGTGGAAGAATCGCGACGTGGAACAGTTTCATCTCAAGTTTCGTCACGAGGAACAGCTGAAGCTTTGGTTATCCGCGTTTACAAAGATCAAAGCGACCAAGTCCAATGTCCTAAATTCGCATGTTTCCATGCCGTCCTCTTCGTCCAATGTCGCTCACACTGCCTCGCAATCAACGACTTCATTCTTTATTGATTACGACGACGACGACAATGACGACGAGTACTATGACGATTCTGAAGATGAAACTTCACCCTCACGTTCCCGTAGCAACTCCATTTCGGCGCAACTGTTCAACAGTTTAACCACCCGCCCCAAGTTGTTGCGTATGAATAGTTCTGATGTTTCTTCTTTCAAATTGTCATTACCCATAACCCGTCATCATCCTCTCCCGACTTCCCCTTCAATTACGCCATTACCACGCACCAGTAGCTCGAAACCTTTGCCTTCGCCCCATCGCGGTGAATACCCTGTTTCTCCACCCACGTCCGGCCCTTCATCGCCCACTGGTGGGATGCCTTCTACGCGTACCATGGATCCCTTGACGCAACTGTCAGCGCAGCTGTCGACGTTGAGTCCTGGAAATACAAAAGAAGACGTAGGCTATCCTTTTACCTCCATTCCCATTAACCGGAGTCATTCGCATTCGGCCGCTTCTCCTCATCCTGGAGTGTACAGCCCATACACACCACAACACCATTCCCAACGATCGGCTAATCAGAGCACTCGCCTACGATCTCAAAGCAGTCCAAATATCCACAACAAAGCTTTTCTTCCAACCACGTCCTTGGAATCCATGCCGCAGTTACCGTCTACAGGCACACGCTCGCCACACGGTTCCAATAACGACAACTGTGCAGACAGCGCAGTGGGTTTGTCGGGCCCATCGCCGACAGACTCTATTACCCCGCTGACGCCTTTGTCGCCTGGCAATTTGAAAATCAAACTTGTGTACGAGGCCGGCATCTACGTGGTCATGGCCCCCGCCAATGTCAAGTTTGCGGAACTGATGGAAAAAGTGGAGAAAAAGATCAAGCTAATTGGTAATCTGAAATCGTCCGATGTATTGCGGCTCAAGTATCAAGATGAAGACGGCGATTTCATTACGGTCAACTCGGACGACGACGTGCAAATGGCCTTTGAAAGTCGACGACCTGGATGTCACACCGTCAGTCTTTTTGTCCATCTTTAAAAAAAACCACGTCAAAAGGCTGGTACCACTGACCAGTATCGTCTTTACTTCCGGCTCCATTCGTCCCCTCGTTTATCTTATTCTTTCTTGGAATGTTTTACCCATTTCACTATCTGAAAAAAAAAGAGTGCCTATTTTCTTATTGTATGTTTTGACTAGCCTATTTATTTGCTCTTATTTTTCCGTTGTAAATACATTCGACAATTGTTTGACTTTTTGATTGTTTACCGTAACAAGCCGTACACCCGCTGTGCAATGGATGCCACCTGCTACTGGGATGTCACACTCTTACATTGAGTGATATTCGTCAGACAAAAAGCCTAACGCAATGCGGCATAATGCGAGACTCTTGATGGAACTTTGGTATATTAATGTCAATACTCTGGCATACCGTACAGTCATGATCAAACATGTGTGCAGCAGCACTTATTGACCCCCTCAGTCCCGTCCCGCCCAAGGTTATGATAGATCTAGAATGATGTGTGGGAATTTTGGGTATTAAAAAAAATGAGTTAGTAAGCTCTTTGATTGATTCAAATGTCGTCAAGATATTTTGCCTTTGTTATGTGAGGCAACAGATATCCAGAGCTTCCCGACCGAAAAAAAAGAAGCGATACAAATGTAAAAAAAAAGTAAAACAATAGGTGCGTCTGTAAAAACCCCCTAAAAATCCTGTGGGAAAAAAAAAGGAGGAAAAGACTGCAAGAAAGTCTATCGAAATACTACAAACTACAAAATAAAATGGTCGGGAAGAAATATCAAAGACAATATACCACGGGTGGCAATCCAAATAAGAGGAACCTGAGAAGGACGCGTAAGCACTTTCTGATGAAGAAGGAGAGTCACACCACCGACGGTACCCTTTGACGACAGAAACCGGATTGGCCACATTTGGTGCGCGAACAAAGTAGAAAGATTTGGAGGGATGGATGGCTTTGCCAGGGCGAAAAGAAAACCGGAGAGAAAACCAAAAGCTAAAGAAAGGATAGAGAAAAAAGAACGTGAGTTTTTTCTTGTCGAAAAAAGAATAGTCACATCACACAAGAGGGTACCTTTTTGATAATAATCGACTTGACCGGTTACAGATACACGCGAGATAAAACATAGTCTGGATGATGGATGATGGATGCGCGGGGATGCAATGATAGTGAGAGTTGTTTAGGTAAACAGAAAAAAGAGGAGAAACCAAAGAAAAAAGAAAAAAACGAAGACAAAATATATGTGGATTTTCCATGGATAAAACAATAGTCACCCACCGATGCATGAACTCATAGATCGAAACGTATCTGCTCATGTATTATTCAATCATTGAAAATTGGAGCGAATGAAAGAAAATACAGTAAAGTGACAAAAAAAAAACCAAATTGAATGATGCTGCAAAATACCAGATCGTCGTATCATCAACCTTCTTCAAAAAGAGCTTTACCCGCATTTATTTGAACGACAACGATGCCCTATTTGACCACAACTGGCACAAGTGACTGTGTCGCCTATTATTCGTGGGAAGAGTTTTGTGGAGAGAAATTTAGGCAACGACGAATTGTAGAGCGCTGATGATCATTGCCGTTGCAAGATGGACACCAACGCGTGGTTAAAAGATATAGAAGAAAGGCCTCAAAAAAATTAGCAGGTTCTGATAGCTTTAGTGTAGATCGTGTGATTTACTCATCTTAAATAATGATAATAAGAAAAAACGGCTAATACAATAATCCTCTAGTATTTCTTGGGGTAATAGACGGCGCCTTTGCAAGTGCCTGTATGATCCGCGTCGGTGATTTGGTAACGATCACGGCCCGCCACATGGAAGTAAAGGCCGATTTCCTGGAGCTGACCATTACGATCACAATCTAATTTGACTTTACCGCCATATGTCTTTTGAATGGCGTCCAAAAATGTCTTGTAATTGTATGTATTTCCTGGAATAACGCCGGCAAGGCTGAAGAAAAAAAAAGTGTCAGATGGGCGAAAGTTTTCGTGGATCCATCCATTTTTGCGTTTCACTTACTTGAGTGCACCATAAATATCGTAATCATGATGGAGATCCATTGCTTGCTACAAATACAAAAAATCCAATTTTGTTGAATATGGCCCAATCCCGCAAATCATGTAAAGTTTGCGGTTCTTACGTGAAAGTATTCCAGCACATCATCGTATTGGGTATAGTTGCCGTAACAAACGGGTCGCAAGGTACTGACGCAGGTACCATGTTTCGTCCATTCATGTGACCAAAACCTAGAAAACCATAAAAACAAATAAAGAAACTTTGGCTTTTTTCAAACGTAAAAAAAGAAACCTTGTTGGTGCGAAAGCTTACCAGTTATTGTCGTCCTTATAACTCGGCCAGTAGGCTTGCATCAGTCGGTACAGTTCAGGATCGCGGTCTCGGACAATGGTGGCCACTGTATTGGAAGCCCGCTTGGCATCACAGCCATTGGAAGGCGCGCGACCACCAGCGCTGTTGGTTGAAATCAGTGAGTCATTCTCCTTGCAACTAGACATACTGAAATGGCAGCCCTATGCTTACCAAGTATTCGGCCACAAACCTACCGCGTGCCAAAAAAAAACAGGTATGAGTCTCCATGGCCAGCATCACGAAATTGCATGTAATGAATGACTGTGGCCATGACTTACCGTGAATGGTGAATTCGTTTGCAGGACCGTAACCTGGCACCCACTGAAGTGTAAACACGACTTGACCGTAGGTGGGTGAGCAACAGGCATCGACGGCGCCTGTAACATGACATGATAAAACGGAGGCTGTGATTGGAGAGGAAACCGAAATGAAACCGAAATGAGTATATGCAATCAAATTATCCGATGATACGTTCTTGGCGATTATTTTGGAGAGGATACTAACGGTTACAGGAAAGGGGAGCCTCTTTAACGGCTCGCTGGAGGGTCAGAGCTTGACACCCTAAACCGAGAAAGAGTAAGGACAAAAATGACCGCATGTCAAGATGAGTCTTTGATTGCTAGGTTTCAAAATTTAAAAAGAGAGAGTTGATATAAAAGCCTCGAAAATTTCTCGTCTCGTGAGTCTTTTTATACCACCTGGTTATCTGAATCGTGACCATGGCCACTTATTGCCTCCCGAAGTAGTATAGTCGAGTGGAAATCGCACCGTCTGGCTGGCCAATGTTTTCTTCAAGCGGTGCCACATTGGTTCTGCTTTTACTCCGCTCGTCTTCCCAATTTCCGACGTAAAAGTTTCGGTCATGTTACCCACTGTTATCATGCTGCTTTTTTCGAGCAGTCTAATATTTGTCGGGGCAATCAACGAAAAGGCCAATCATCGGAAACCCGTTGCGCATGATAAAAAAAAAAGCCGATAGCAACATCTTATCGACAAAATCAAACAGTGATGCATATCCAAAAAGAGATTCGTCAATCTATCCTACTTTATCTGCTTCCCAACCATTGATATGCGGATCAATGTCCACGTGTTGTACATTTGTATTGCCATCATGGGAATTTTTAATTTCTTCAAACGCCTAACAGAAACTTTACATAGCATACAGCACTGAACTTTATGCAAAATAATAAAAACACTACCTACATAGCATGCGATACCCACGATCTCCGGATCCTATATTTTTGAATCGCATGGTTACCACACACCCCATTGTTTTGGTATTTTCAGACGATACTAAAATGGCTATTATTACCCGTTTGTTCACTTTATTTGCATCGGACTGCTTATAATTTGTTTCGTTGACCCATTTTTTCGCAGGCACAATATGCGTAATTGCACTTGTACTGTTACTCCAAATAAGATAAAATTCGAATTAGCATGTGGTCACAGAAACCAAATTACTCATGATAATTGCAATCCCTGATTGCAAGGTATATGTCCTAGAGCAGCAGATGAGGTTGACTACCGAACCTTCTGCCAAATGGTTCACGTTTTATAGCACTCGCCACGGGTTGACAGTCCAACCTTTTATAACGGATCATAAACATTAGACGATTTGTCTACGACTGAAAAGAAAGATGTTCCTTGCTCCACATTTGTAAATTGTATACCGTGCCACTCGTACCTTATTCATTACACTTTTTTGGCTGATGAGATCGAATCATTGTGCACGTGGGTCCCTGGAAACCTTTTTTTTTTTTTTTCGCCAGCATTTGAACTGGTGCTCTACGTCAACTTCCCGCAGCACCTTGATCAGCTTCTTTAAAGTCATTGATTGTACAAGTGGCATATTGTTAAAATTTTGATAGAAAAAAGGTCGCTTATTTGTAAAGTAACAAAGTAAACTCTTTTTTTTTTCTTTTCAAAAACAAAACCATGAAGGTAAACAAGGAACGGGACAAAACTGACGTAAAATAATGGTGCTACATCCATGCGATCTCAGCTGCGGAGCTTTGCCTTTCAAATCGGCTAACAGCAGGATGTCCTTGTTTCTATTAAATGGGTATATAAAATAGTGTCCCATTTTCTTCACTTGTTGTGTGATCTCTACCAGTTTATGGTGGCCAGTTGTACATGTGTTATGAAACGAGATGGCGTAAAAATGGGGATAGTGAACCTTAATTAGTTGACACCCGCCACGCCATATTCAGCTCAAAATTGATCCGCTGGTCCTATGTGGCCTCTCATTATTATTTTTCTGCATTTTAGTTTCAGGAGGATTGTAGACAATGGGTGTTGTTTTGTCCATCAGATTTCTGTATGAATTCGTTGTTTGATGTTACTCAGGTTCCATGATGCATGATTGCTTTTTTCCATTTTATTTTTTTGGGCGCTAAAAACAAACAGTTTGTGCAACTTGCAGCGGAGAAGCGATCAGAGCTTATTTGGGAATCATGGATCAAGCATAAAAAAAGAGAGTTGGGCATGCAAATCGACCACTGTTTTATTTCTCTGTAATTTTCCATTCAATAGACAACATCCCTTGGCCCCTGGATGCTTGTTCCAGAAAAGGGCAGTGCAATGACATCAGTATTCTCCATGAAAAAAATCAAAGTCACTGTGTTTATTGACATAGCAATTGCACCGACTTGACAGCCCTCTTTATCTTTTTACTGCTCTCTACTCTCAACCATGCTGCTCGATAAGAAAGCTTCAACATCTAACAACGAATACTTTGGTTCTCGCGTCTACAACGCTTTCCGCAATGCCGCTCTGTCTCGCTGGGCGAGTTTAAAAGTGCCTGTACCCGAAACAGTGGTCCATATGGCTCAAAATATTCAAGTCTTTCTTCGTTATCGGTAAGTCATTTGCCCTGGGCGACATGTCCTGATGCACCCCTGGGGTGATGCATTCGCGTTTCTCATTGTGTCTTGATATAGTAATGCCTCCGATCATGCGTTACTGCGCGCGCTTTGTCCTAGTATGGAGCATCCGGCTACCAACGTTTATATCCCCTGTGTCAAGGAAACACTTGCCTTTGATAAAGTATTTAGGCAAAACTCTTCCCAAGAATCGATCTTTTGCGAAGTCGCTGAATCAATGATCGAACAAACCATGAACGGGTAATGAAATCGGACAATCAGTTGTCATTTTCCGCTTCGTATATTCTCCGATAAGCTAACTCCACCGTCCATCCCATCCATCCATCCATCCATCCAGATTCAACTGCAGTATCATCGCGTGCGGCCAGTCCGGCACAGGAAAAAGGGATTCAACGGATTTCCTGAACTGCGTAATATAACTGGATTTTTCAATATGATAAACTATCTTTTTGCGGATGAGACGGACAACCTTTGGTACTGGATTCTGGTAGCGAAAGGAGCTCTTCTTTCTTTATGCATGTTTATCATCGATTAACAAAGAATAAAAGAATCCAGGCAATTTTCGGTAAGAAATCTCTGAGATACGTATTACGTGTGTGATAATCATTACATGATGAAAGCCACAATTTTTACATTTGAAATTTTATGGCTCATTCTAGCCTTTCGTTCCCAAATTCGTATAAACAGTTTAGTGTGTGTTTCCCACTCGTAAATAAAACAGGCGTTTCAACCTCAATATACCGTCAAAACCAAAAGACAACCCAGGACTTACTCAAAAACATCATTAACACAACCCACTTAAACAACACTTTTAAGCAACGGACCATGAAGCAAATCATTAAGAATGTGGTTTATACCAAGGACAAGTGAAATGGAAAAACTTTCAAAAATCTCAAAAACACGAGGATAGCCAACAGAAATATTGAAAAAACAGCCTTTCTTTTATTGATGAAATGGACAAAGAAAAGAAAAAATCAAAAAAGGATCCATAAAAAGGCCAAGCGTACTGGACAGATGGGACATGTATCACAATCAAGGGGACTCAGGTGGGCATGACGTGATGGAAAGGGAAAAAATATCAGGTATTGAGGGAATAGGCGGGAAAATACTCGTCTACAAAATTGATAGACAGCAGAAGTAGCGCTACAATGATCGAGCCGCTGATTCCCATTATAACGCAGTCCCATAGGCTATTTCCTCGGCTGAAATAAAAAAAACCGCATGAGATTTGCCCAAATATGTGTTTGTTGTTTTGAATCGTCCATTTTTGTCGACAGAATGTCCCTCTTATTCGCCAGTGGCCTTTTTATTTCAGTTGACATCGTCGAGTGTCAGTGAATAGGTTTTACATAGATTCGATTTTATTGGTAAAGGCGTCTGAGTTTTTTGACCCAGTGGTTTCCGCGGGTTAACAGGGTAGATGTCGGAATTCCCGCATGATTCCCGGAAAGGCGCAGTATCTCACGAAAATATGGCAGTAAAATCATGAAAAACTCAAGGAACTGACGATAACACAGTATGTGGAGAGAAGGATCGAGAATAAAGACGGCCCGACAGAAAAGGACAATGTAGCAATGGCAACCAATGACAAGTTGGGAAATATTCGAGAATCAGTGTATCGTTTCCTGGGTGAAGCGTTGTCCAGGATCTCCTGTTCCAGTGAGCATGACCGGTTTCACAGCTTCGATGGAAAATTTCGCTGTGGTAAAAAGTGGTGTGACCGAACCCCGCTGGAAAATATACTTAAAAGCATGCAGCTGGGAAATTTTGGTTATTAGACAAGAAAAAAAAGTTCATCTTTTTTTTTATTATTTTCTACCTTTTTACCTGTTTTTCCATTCATCACCCTAATGTCCTCTGAATCACTTGAGACTCTTGTTCAAGAATGGCTTCGTCTTGACAAGGTACGTTAAGCGACTCTCTTTTTCTGTTACTGCTATTCTCTAACCTTAATCCTCTGTCTTTTCTTTGGACAGAACGAAGAAACCCGCAATGAGATTCTTGAACTTCAAAAAGCCAACAATGTTGAGGAACTCAAGAAGCGTCTCGTCAACCGTATTGAATTCGGTACTGCTGGTCTTCGTGCTAGAATGGAAGCCGGCTTCTCCCGAATGAACGACTTGACCGTCACCCAGGCTTCTCAGGTACGTTGTGCAAAAAAACAAGGATAAAATGGCGGGAGTAAAATATGTTGACAAAGAAGGGAATGTTGACCCAGAGTTTGGTTTTATTTTCATTAAAAAAAGGGTCTTGCCAAATACATTGAAGCAACTGTGACTGATGCCAAGTCGCGTGGTGTTGTCATTGGCCACGATCATCGTCATCACTCTGAAAGCTTTGCTCGCTTGACCGGCGCTGCTTTTATTCAACGTGGTTTCAAGGTCTGGTACTTTAAGGATTTGGTCCATACCCCTCTTGTTCCCTATACTATCAAGAAGCTCAAGGCTGCCGGTGGTGTCATGATCACCGCTTCACATGTAAGTTGACTGCAAAGAGAAACAGAGAAAAAAACCGATCAAAGTGACTGACCTAGTTAATTTTTGTGATTTAGAACCCCAAAGATGACAACGGTTACAAGGTGTACTGGGAAAACGCTTGTCAAATTATTCCTCCTCACGATGAAGGTATTGCCGCCACGATCCTTGAAAATCTTGAACCCTGGACCTGGGACTACGAATTGGTCAACAAGAGCGATCTGTGCTCGGATCCTACCGATGAAGGTGTCATTGACTCGTATTTCGAGGAAGTCAGTGCGTTGTGCAAGTTCCGCGAAGACAATGAAAAGACGCCTGTCAAGTTTGTGTACACGGCCATGCACGGTGTAGGTTATCCTTTCGCCAAGCGTGCTTACGAATGCTTTGGTCTGCCTCCTTTCATCACCGTGGACAAGCAGCTTCACCCTGATCCCGATTTCCCTACTGTGGCTTTCCCCAATCCCGAAGAAGGCAAGGGTGCTTTGAGCTTGGCCATTGAAACCGCCGAAAAGCATAATGCAAACATCATTTTGGCCAACGATCCCGATGCTGACCGTCTTGCTATTGCTGAAAAGCTTCCCTCAGGTGAATGGCGTCTGTTGAGCGGCAATCAAATTGGTTCAGTGCTTGGTGCGGCGTGCTTGGAGAAGGCGGTGGCTGCTGGTAAGCCCAAAGACAAGTTGGCCATGGTCGCCAGTACGGTGTCGTCGAAATTCTTGGCCCGCATGGGTGAAGTCGAAGGTTACCGTTTCGAAGAATCCTTGACCGGTTTCAAGTGGATTGGTAACACGGCCATGAACCTTGAAAAGGAAGGTTACGAAGTGGTGTTCTCATTCGAAGAAGCCATTGGTTTCACGGTGGGTGATATCGTCAAGGACAAGGACGGTGTGAGCGCTCTGGCCTTTTTCTCGGAATGGGCCACTCAGTTATACAAGCGTGGTTTGACCGTCTACGAATACTTGGAAACCTTGTACAAGAAATACGGCTATTTTGTGTCTGACAACTCGTACTTTATCTGCAACGACAAGGAATTAATCAAGAAGATCTTCCAGCGCATCCGATTTGGTGATGAACCTGCCAAGGAAACCGCCGGTGCATACGAATACAAGCTTGCGTATCCCGAAACCATTGGTGGCTACAAGGTGACGTCTGTGCGTGATTTGACAATCGGTTACGATTCGAGCATTCCCGGTAACAAGCCGTCGATGCCTGTGTCTGCTTCGTCCGAGATGATCACGTTCCGATTGGAAAACAACACCGTATTCACGATCCGTACCAGCGGTACCGAACCCAAGATCAAGTACTACTCTGAATTACGTGGCGACTCTGAAGACCAGGCCAAGCTGGATTTGGCCAAGGTGGTGGAAGCCATTGGCATGGAATTGATGGAATACGAAAAGAACGGTCTTCAGAAGAAGAAGAGCGATTAAACAATTTTGTATGAAAAAAAAACGAATTCCCCCTTCCCACTTTCCGTATTTAAACCGTCCTCCCCAACCAAAATCTCTTTACACCCTTTGTTCCATAATAAACCATGAGCGTGGAATTAAATCTCTTTCTAAAAAAATTCATCACGTCGTTCTTGAACCCTATAATCAAAAAGCAGACACCCATACTCGTAAACCGGTCTATATCCATCAAGATGTGCATCATTTCAAAATCTGGGCTACCTTTTGCTTTAGCTATTAGTGTTGTGTGCGAATATGGATCAAAAAGATAATTGAAAAAGGCCCGCCTGAATAAACCATTATCGACCCTGTTCGCGCCGTGCATGGTTTTTGTCATTGGACCGATCCTTTTTCGGAGCCTCATGAGCGACATTAAATATCGGGATATTACGACATTTTTAGAAAAATAAAAAAAAGGGTGGATCCAACAACCATGGCCAAAATAACAAGAAAAAAAAAAGCCAGCACAAGATTACATCCATTTTCTTTGTGTGAAAGGCCTGTCCCTTTTTCCTTTTTTATTTCTCTTCTTTGACTACTTTATATTCAACGTTTTCTTCTTGTTTGTCGGGTTCTTTTTATTGGACTTCTGTTAACTGACAGTATATATATATATATATATAAAAAGAAATACCTTTGGAATGAGAGAAAGAAAAGCTCGACAGGCGGCGTCTACGGCGCGTGAAGCCATTTCCGTCATACACGTCGAGCAACCTGTACGTACACGTAAACCGAATCGCGGAAAACGCAAAATAAAAGGTTCGGTTTCTGACCAAAATGAACATGACTTTGCAATCGCTCCATGCCGTTAATGGAAACTCTTCCATTTAGCCAAAGAAGAATCTGAGAAATCAGACGTTGCGCAAGGTGATTTTGAGTTGGCGCGCCAGGCACCGTAACCAAAAAATAAAATGAAAAAAGTTGCTTGTCCTAAACTCATTTAGTGCTGGAGCAGGAGAATTCAGAAAAAGACATTGTCCCAAAAACACGAGGAAGAAAACCAAGTAACCAAACAACCAACAAACGAGTCTCCAAAGACGTCGACGACAAAAACCAATCCGTGAAACGTAAACGATCAAGCACTGAGAATGAACCCGAGGTAAATAACCTAGCTAAATCGTGCGGACGGAACTAGTATCTAATCAAATGGGAAGCAGCCAACGCGACGTCGACCTTTGAGCCCACCTCTCACCGATACATCCATTGAACGACCACGCAACGTTGACAGAGTTATCTACGGTCGCGCCGAAATCGGGGCGTGGTATTATGCTCCGTATCCCAGTGAATTTGGTGCCTTGATTGACCGACTCTACATTTGTGAACGATGTCTACAATACACCAATCTGGAAAAACAGTATTTGGCACACAGGGTAAAAAAGAAAAATTCCACCATTGTCCAAGAGTCTTTCATTTTTCCTAAATGCTTTTTTTTAGATGCAATGCCAGCGGAGGCGACCACCCGGCAAGGTTATCTATAAAGAGAATAAAATCAAGGTCTATGAAGTGGATGGACGCGACGACAAGGTAACCAACAAAAATTCGTAAAATGGACCCCCATCATCTCCCCTTCACTGGGTAATCCATGGGACTCACACGCCAACTCTGTTCATTTAGCTCTATTGCCAGAATTTATGTCTGTTTACCAAGCTATTTCTGGATCACAAGACGCTGTACTATGATGTGGAAGGCTTCAAGTTTTATGTGCTGACAGAAACCAGTGGTCGCCTTCGAACCGATATTATGGCGGGTTACTTTTCAAAGGTACGAAAAGCCCTTTTGGTGTGATCCACCAAAATTTTACTCATCCATACGTCTCTTTCAGGAAAAGATTTCCTATGACAATTACAATCTAGCATGTATCATGACGCTTCCCACCCATCAACGAAAGGGCTACGGACGCCTGCTCATCGAATTAAGTAAGTGGGAGTACAGGTTATTTTTCATCTGAAAGCGTTGCGATGATGTGATGGATACCAACACTGATTGTCTAGGTTACGAGTTGTCGAGAAGAGAGGGGGTTATAGGGTCACCTGAGAAACCACTCTCCAATCTTGGTTTACTGGGGTACCAGTCGTTCTGGGCATCCACCTTATTATCCGCGCTTCATCCATTGAAAAGCAACGTCACCATCGAGGAACTGTGTTGGCAGACGGGTATTCACGAAGAAGATGTGATTAGTACCTTGAAAAGACTGGATTTGCTGGATTATTGGAAACCCCCATCGGGAGACTCCGAGATCCCCCTCGAAATCTGTATCACTCACCAAATGATGAATCAAGCCATGACGAAATTCAACATCAAGCTGGGAAGACGATTGAATCCCGCCCTTCTTCAACTGCAATAAACCCCACTTTCAAAATCAATTCATGTATAAAATAAACCAGATCATCCTATGTCGTTATACTAGAAAGTGACAGAAAATAAACAAAGAATCAAGCATTAAGTGTTAAAGTGGCGTGAAATGTTTCAGAATGATGAATGAGCAAATAAAATACAACTTTTTGAGCCGACGGTTCACTTGTTCTCTTCTGGGTTTCTCCTAATGACCGATACAAAGCCAGAAAGAGCACCTGTCAGGTACGTTTTTCACGGATCTGTACGTATATACTCTGTTGTCCTGACAATGGCTTCACCAGAGTATGGGTCGATGGATGTTTCGACATGATGCACTACGGCCATGCCAACGCATTGCGACAGGTAAAACCAAGATTTCGTGTTTTTTCAATTGAATACTGACAATTGTGTAAAAACACCAAAACACAAAGGCCAAGGCTATGGGTGATTATCTTGTGGTAGGCGTGCATTCGGATGCCGAGATTGAAAAGAACAAGGGTCCCACGGTCATGCGTGAACAGGAACGGTAAGCCCATCGTTGCGAATCAACTTTGTTTGTTTGGAATTCGTGACTGACCGATATCCTGACCAGATATGATGCGGTGGCTGCTTGCAAGTGGGTCGATGAAGTGGTGCCTAATGCTCCTTATAACACAACAGTGGAGATTTTGCAAAAGTACAACATTGACTTTTGTGTTCACGGCGATGACATCACCACCATGGCGGACGGCACGGATTGTTATCAAGCCGTCAAGGATGCTGGTTTATACCGAGAATGTAAACGTACAAAGGGAGTGTCAACTACCGAACTGGTGGGACGCATGTTGCTCATGACCAAGGACCATCATAAGCGACCATTGACGCCCAATACTTCGTCTATTCTTGCAATCAATTCACAAAACTTGGACATGTTTTCCGCAAGCGGCCCCGTCGCCCAACGCACCGCCGTATACCACTTTTTGCCGGCTTCAAAGCGAATTGTTCAATTTTCGGAAGGTCACAGTCCCAAACCCACGGATCGCATCATTTATGTGGACGGCACATTTGATCTGTTCCACGTCGGTCACGTCGAGTTCCTTAAGCGGGCCAAAGCACTGGGCGATTATATGATTGTTGGCATTCATGATGATCAGGTATGCTCATAATTCACTACTACTCCTCGCTGTTCTTTTAACTTGACCTTGTTTCCTAGACCGTGAATGCAATCAAAGGCGCCAACTACCCGCTGATGAATCTCCTGGAACGCGCTCTCAGCGTATTAGCTTGTCGCGTAAGTAAAAGGAAAAAAGGAAGAGTGATATGAAGAAAAACAAACAATCTAACCCCATGAATCATTTCAGTACGTAGATGAAGTGATCATTGGCGCTCCATACAGTGTGGGTGATGAGATTCTGTTGGGTGAGCATAAAGTGGACCTGGTGATTCACGGAAATCATCCATCGGGACCGGACATCGACGGAAACGATCCATATCTGGCAAGTTTTTTGATCCAAACATTCTTCTGCAACACGGATAACTAACAGTCATGCTTTTTCATCAACAGATCCCAAAACAGCGTGGCATTTATCGGGAGGTTGAGAATCCCAATGCGACCATCACTACCAGAGGAATCATTGATCGTATCATTCAAAATCGACTAGTGTAAGTGATGGGAAAAAGAAAAGAGTGGATTGGATCTTGTTAACCAATCAGCCAAAATTCGGTCATGATAATAGGTATGAAGAACGCCAAAGAAGGAAGAATGCCAAAGCTGCCTTGGAGGCTGAACAAGAAGCTTTGAGAAATGCAAATTGAATAAAATAAGCCTTTTTTCTCAAACACAGTTTCAATGGTCTTACGAACAATTCTACACGATCTTAAGCGTACACTCTTGGATTCATTCTATATCGCTTATACTGTATCGCAACAATCAATGCTTATACAAAATGGATCTGGTCGGCTGCTGAACCACCCTGGATTTAGGATAGGTCAAGGTATCAGGTATCAATATCATGGTTTCATTAACAGATTGGTCATGACAATTCAATTTTCGGAGCGGTTTTTACTCGTATGATATAGAAAGATAGGATAGGTTTCTAAAATAGAATACAGGGCATTACTTTTTTTCTTCTAAAACTAAGTCTAGAGTTCATCGTGATCGAGGTCGGCATCATCCTTGGTGGCGTCTTGGTCGGCAGTGGATGACAGGCTGATGGGTTGGGAGCTGTGAAGATTGATAAATTGGATCAGATCATCCAGCGATCGATCACCGTGATAATCAATCATCTCGTTGGTTTCTGCCTTGAAGAATTTCAGAGTCGGGAATCCGGCCACGGTGAATCCGCCTTCCTTGGGAATATCGTTCTCGGTACCATCCATTTTACCAATGACCAGCGCTCCACCGGTTTGTTCCTTAGCCATTTGACCCAACTGGTCCCACGTGGGCGCCAAGTTCTTGCAGTGACCGCACCACGGAGCATACACTTCCAAGAACACATCCTTGGACTTGTCAAGGACAATTTCATTGAACTGCTTGGCCACCACGACCTTGACCGGTCCGTCGTTGGTGGCGGGAATGTCTTGGGAACTGATGGCCGGTTCCATGTCACCACTGATATACTTTTCAAGGAAATCCTTGACGTTTTCCGAGGTCAATTCGGTGGACTGGTCCAAGGGGAATTTAGAGGCATCATCCAGATGCTGAATGGCAAAAGCGGGCCAGTGACCTTCCTTCAAACCGACATTTCTGGCGTGAGGACCAAAATCGTTGGCATCGATACGGACAAAGCTGATTTTGCCCTTGTACTGTTGAGCAAATGGCAGGAAGACTTCGGTTAATTTCTGGGAGTCTTCCTTGGATTCTGTAAAGATAAAGGCGAGTGGTAAGCCCGCATCGACGTACGACTTGAAGTTTTGTGGGCTGACATCGTCGAGCAAAGGCATGGCGTTGGCCTTGATAAACTGTTCAATGGCTTCCTGATCATCGAAAGCACCCACACGGTCGTTACGGCCTTCGTCAAACTGTTTGTAGAGCACCAGCGATGGGAACTTTTCGACGTTCTCCGATTTGGCCAACGCTTCATCCGACACGATACCAAACACATATTCCTCCCGAAGGCTGGAAGCGATCTTCTCAAGAGCCGCTTTGGAAGCAGCATCGTTTGCGTAACCCACAACAACTACACGGTCCGACTGCTTGAATGCAGCCAAGTTTTCGGCCGAAGCCACTTCGGAAAGGGCAGGCAGCGACTGCTTGACCATGTAGTTCACAATGCCATCGGCTTTTCTTGGTCCCTGATAGTCGGCGGTCTCGCCTTTACGGAAGACCTTGAGCGTAGGGTAACCTTGGACTTCGTATTCTTGGCAGAGATCCTGGTTCTCGGTACAGTCGACCTTGGCGATAGGAATGTCCTTGGCCTTGAGTTCGGTAGCCGCTTTCTCGTACTCGGGGGCCAAGGCACGGCAGTGGCCACACCAGGGAGCAAAGAACTCGACAAGCATCAAGTCCTTATCAAGAACTTCGGTAGCAAAGTTCTTTTGAGTGAGGGTCAACACATCACTTTCTTCTGCCATCACATTGGCAGCCAAACCAAGTGTGGCAACAATAGCGGACCAAATAAACGTTTTCTGAACCATGGAAAAAAGAAAAAGAACAGTAACGAGTTGAATATCAGGCGCACTTGCCGCATTATTAATTGCGAAGACGAAAAAAAGAAAGTCCACCAAAAAAAAGGTGGCCTCTTTTGATTGGCAGCTGCGATGGTACTTAATTACGAGCTCAACCACACCAACCTATCATTTCCTCCACCGCATTTTCAAACCATGCCCTTTCAAAGGCTGGGTTTCATTTTCTGAATTGGACCAACAGCAAGCACCGCCTCATGAAAAAACCGAACGAACCATATGCTACAAACATGTTGGCATGGAAAACCAGTTTTCAGCCGAGTCAAACTGGTTGTATGTCAACTGACTAATATCGTTGTCATCAGAAAGTTCGACATATTCAGTTCGGCGGCGGTTGAGAAAACAAAGATGACGGTTGAAATGGCTCAGTCAGTGAGAACATTGGAAGCGGGGAAACTCACCCATCAGGAAGTTTGCAGATGTGCGAATCAGTATTCAGGCAATGACACGCCTCAAGTTGGGCGAACAAGTAGGAGAGACCATGTCATTGAATTTGTGCCCTTTTCCCTGTCTAAATCGATTACGCTCATGGTTTTATGCAACCTTATTGCAAGAGATCGCATGCGTAATCGTTCATCATGCGCCCTCAATATGAGTACAAATCAACGAGAATACATGATCATCGATTCTTGTATTGACCAATATGCCCGAACTTCATACACAATAGCACGGAATAGGCCCATATTGGGGTTCATATATCACAGTGCAACTCAGAGACTCAGAGGCATTGAATTAGATCGTTGTCCAATCAAAGGAAGGCGGAAATAAGAAAAATAGAGTTTTTGGGTGGAATGGATAAAGCAGGCACAAAAATTGGTGGCTTGGGTCTTGTCGGGTGGGAAATGGCAAGATAAAAAAAAAAAAGTTTCATCCATCCACTGCTGCCTCCTATTAAAATCATCTAGTTACCTTGATCATGTCTGGCATGGAATTGACCGTCAACTATCCGCCCTCCAAATTCGCGGCTGATAACGATCTTTCAAGCCCCAATGTCGTGGAAAAGTACACCCTCGCTGCCGATATCGTCAATGGTAACGCATCATCTGCAGTGTGACCCCGAGTTTCTTGATCTAATTCCTTTTCTTCAGTTGTTCTTCCCGAGGTACTCAGCAAAGTCTCTCCCGGCGTTTCTGTCTGCGATCTTTGTCAATATGGCGACGACTTGATTGAAGCTTATGTAGGTGTCAGATACGCGCATGACCACTGCATTGGTTTTTTGATCCTCATGTTTTCTCTTTTTTCAGACATCGAGAATGCACAAAAAGTTGGAAAGAGGCGTTGCCACACCTACCTGTGTTTCGGTCAACAACCTTGTTCAATATGTTTCTCCTTTGGAAGATAACGACTATAATTTAAAGGCGGGTGATGTGGTCAAGATGTGAGTTATTCAAAAAGCATGGACGTGACAAGACCCTAAGGAGATCATGCTAATGGAAATCCGATATAGTGAATTGGGTGCTCACGTGGATGGTTACATTGCTACGGCTGCTCACACGACGGTGGTGAATCAGAATCCTCAGGAACCATTGCGTGGTACTGCTGCCGATGTGGTGTGCGCTACATATTACGCTTTTGAAGCCGCCATGCGCATGCTTCGTCCCGGTGTGAAGAGTTCGGATATTTCGCGTGTGATCACGGAAATTGCCGCTTATTACCGATGTGAACCTGTGGAAGGTAGTTACTCTTCCATGATGAAGCGATTTGTCTTGCGTGCTGGCAAGGATGTGGAGAACCGATTGAGCAGTGAAATGACAGTGGAAGAATTGGAAAAAATGGATTTCCAGATTGAAGCGAACCAGGTGTATCAGCTTAACGTGGTGCTCACCAGCGGCAGTGGCAAGGTCAAATTTTCGGAATATAAACCTTTTGTCTTCCAAAGAGATGTCAACCGATCCTACAACTTGAAGATGAAATCGGCCCGTCTCGCCTACACACAGATCAATGAAAAGCATACCGTGTTCCCCTTTTCCATTCGGTAGGTCCCTCATATCTACAAAAGAGTAGGGAAAAAAATAGAAATCACTAACTTGTTTTTGGATGGATTAGTGCCATCTCTGGTAACCATGCCCGTCTCGGTCTGACTTCTGTTGTGCAACATGAACTTGTTACTCCGTTCCCCGTTATGCGTTCTGCGTTGAACTCGGATGTCGTTGCCCAATTCAAGGCGACCATTCTCGTGACGCCCGAAGGTCAACTGCGTACCACTTTGCCACAACCTTTGCCCTACGTGCATTCACAATATTGCATACCCCAACCTACGCAAGCCGCGAATGTCTTGAGCGCTCCGGCTTTGAAGTTGATCAGACCCTTCAAAGGTTTCCCCGCAGTTCCAGTCGAATTTGGACAACGTCATGTGGAGGAAGAAGATGTTGCCATGGAAATGGATTAAGAAGCTTTCTTTTTTTTTTCTCGTCTCTTCATCACCTACAGCCCCATTTTTTTTTCTGATGCGCAACATACTGATCATATTTCTTTTCTCTTCTTTTTTTTCTTTTGATGCATCCAACATGATACAGAAACCAAAAACATCAACTCTTATGGAATTTGTAAATAGGAGAAAGACCGTTATTCATTTACATGTATTTTTTTTTCTCTCTCTCTCTCTCTCTCTCATATCTAGACTCTTTTTTTGTTTTCCCCCAAAAAGAAAATATCAATCTATCCAAGAAATGAAAGTACCGTACTCTCGTACATGGGTTTTTCGAGGTGTGTGTGTCGGTTTGAAGGAAGGAGGATCCATGTTGATGGTGGAGGTATGTGGCGCGTTTGAGGAGATACTTTCTGACGGCAAGGTGGGGACTTGAAATGGTAAAATGTGGCAAGTGTCTTTGACTTGCTTGGGTTTCGCGATGATCGGCTCTGGACAAGGACCGGGAATTCTGTACGCAGTATTGTATGTAGGCGGTTCGTGCTGTTGCCGTGTCATCAGGTAATCCTCCAATAATTGTGCGTTGCGCCAATTGCATTTAAAGGCAAAGTCTAAAATATCACCCAGGATCGGAACACATCCTATCTAAACAATGCATGATAACAAGAAACATGATGAGTTAGTCGCAAACAAAAAGTCAGACGTGTATATCAAGTGTCAAGGCCAACCGACCATGAAATCAACAAGTACATTCAGTACCATGCGCAGAATGAGGTGATTAGGTAGACTCACTCGAGCAGCGACTCGAATGAGATGAAGGGCTAACAGAGCGGTAATAGCGTCTCCCACCACAGGCACCAAGCCAATGATCCCGTCTAATCCTACAGAGATACAGCAACATTGACAGCCTTTATCGAGATACCAAGCTCGTCGCTTGACAGTCTTTAAAATATGTTGTTCGTAAGCGGATAACAGATGAACCGCCGTCTCTGAGGACGGAGGGGTAGAGGATTTCTTTGTGCGAGATGGATAGGTCATGGCTGTGGGGTAGCAAGGAGAAGAAAACACTAAAAGAAAAAGAGACGTGGGGAAACAAAAAAGAAAAAAAAAGAGGGAATCATGGGGATGAGACAGGATATGCATTATATAACGAGCGAGCCATCCTGCATAGAGTTTTTTTTTACCCAAGTTGGGTATGTTTATCTATGTCCTTGCCTTGTCCGCATTTTGACTTTTCCACTTTGGACCTTTTGGTAGGCGACGGCGCTTCTTCTTTACTGGAAGAGGAGGATGAGGGACGAGTTAAAAATTGGGTAATGTCTTTCTGCTTGGGATCTTGACGCGATCCCTTCTTTCGCTTGCGTTCGGGTTCCGAGATTTTATGAAACTGGCCTCCACACGTAAGTTGATGGTCTGCAAACCATGAATCGGCGGGCTGAGGCGGTCTTTGAATGGGGAGGAAAATGAGACATTTTTCACTTTGGCTAAAGGGAAACTTTTTGATCGTACCTATTCATGGATCGTTTCACTATCCCAAAATAAGGAGGTTTTGTTTGACAAACACCCTACCATAAAGCTTGTCAATCACACACAAAAAATCATAAACAAAGAGCCGTCAATTGTCTCGATTAATTTGCTTACATCGCATTGCCAAACATGGGTTCGATAATAATCCACTTCATCATGAAAGCTGACAATGATCATTAGTACTTAAACAATCCAATCCCTAGTCACTTGCAGATTTTCTTACTTGTGATAAACAGTAATATTGGTGCCTGCCTGCGCATTAATACGAGCTGCCACGCGAAGAAATTCTGGCCCATGTGATTCTTTTTTTTTTTTTCGTATTAGAAGTATTCTGGAGAACACAAAGAAAGAAAGAGAAAGAGACAGAAACAGATACCATGATCATCAAAGTTCTTTGTGACAAATAGTAACGCATGAATCATTTCGTGCTGCAAAAAGAGATGAGAAGACCGTTTATTAAAAGCCGGTGATTGTTTTAATAAAAATTAAAAAGACGAGCTTACCAAAAGCGTATCCACCATATCTTGGCGTGACCGAAATTTTAACAGTGGTTCTGACATTTTGATGGTGCACAAACCTCCGTTTCGATATTCGCACAGTCCCGCACTGGAAAACCAACAGTTATTAAGTTCCATCCTAACGCACAAGGGAGAGAGAAAAAAGGACGGCCCTTTCTCTTTTTTTTTTCTTTTCTTATTTACCATAAGGTCATGCGTTGGGACCATTTTACCTACGCCATTCCATTGAGATTCCAATGAGAGACGCGTGCATAAAGATATTCACTTTCAATTCAATTCTCGCATACCTCGACCATATCCAGTTTTCCATCGAAATAGAGCTGATTAAACGCAAGAAACAGTTCGTGCAGATCAGGATTGGGATCATACACTTGATGATTCGAGGAGGTCTCGGTGACAGGCGAAGCTGCGTTTTCCTCATCCTGAAGGAATTGAGCTAAAGCGGCATCGAGTTCGTCGGCTTGGGTCTGTTGTTGCTTATACAGTTGGTCTTCTTCTTGCTGCAGCAAACGAGCATACGCTTCATCTTCCGATATTGGAGGGTCCATTTATGCAAATTAGGAAAAGGAAACAAACAAGAATATAGAAAAAAAAAGGAAGAGACACAGCAAAACTCATTTTATTGGCTCGTTGGCTGTTTGACTTGATCAAATAAGATGGCTGTTATTGTCTTTGATCTCGGGCTGTCTATCAGTAAATGTGCGCAAGTGTGCGAGCAAGTGCGCAGGTGACGCAAGCCCAACTCCTATAAAGAAAAAAAAATCAGAACCATATAAAGAGACAACATTGCTTCCATCGACTTCCATTGCTCATCTTACCAGTTCTTATTTCTACCATGATCGCCGCGCCTACCACTGTAACTGCAGTGTATGATCCTCCTCCTTCGTCTTTGGCCATGCATCCAATGCATAATGATCTCAATGGCGCTAATCTTGATTCGGTTCTAGGCGCAGCCAATAATGGGTTATGTAAGTAACACCTCGTGCGCAGCCGCTGCCTGTCAGCATAAAACAAACCTTTTGAAACCCTTCCCCTCCGTCGTAAAATATTAAGATTGAATACTGATTCACTTGTGAAATTTTCATTAGCACAAGAACCCATGGTCCATCGGGAAGGAGAGGAGCCACTCCCAACCACGTATGCCAAACTGCCAAAAACCACCAAATTGGAGGAGGAACCGAATCCGTTTGAAAAAAGTTTCTCACGCGCTGATTCTCCTCTCAATGATGGTCCTTGCACCAATGCCAAGCCGATGCTTCCCCCTGTTGGATCTATTGCCAGTCCTTCCAAAAGCACCGTGCACTCAATGGTGTGGGATTCATTACAAACAGGGCCGTCACCACCTTCCATGCTTCAAGGGCCAACCGATCCGTCAGCAACGACGATGAATCGGTCCATCAATAATTTGGGTTTCCGGCCGATCGCTTCCACCACGAGTCTCTCGGCGGAAACGGCCAATGAGGCACCGTATTTAGTAAATGGTAAACTATTTTCCCCTTTCTTATTTTTTTTTTATCTGATTCGAAGATTAAAATCGTCCAAAAACGGGATCTCTTTTAGAATCGACTTGTTCAACGACGATCGATCGAGTTGTGCCACCAGCACCACCACCTACGTCGGCGAATCTGTCCAAGCCTACGGTCACTTCCAGATACGATCGTCGGCCCCATTCACCTGCATTTATTCATCATACCTATCCGGACCCCTCAAGTGTGAACCGTGCACGAGGAACAAGTCTAGCCAATTCGGTGGAGGACGCATCCAGTGCGGACTCTGAAAATAAACATGACATCCAACCTGCACGTCCCAAACGCAGCCGTACCACCAAACGTCCATCGGCAGCATCCCGTCACATCCAAGATGAAGAAAAACGGAAGAACTTTTTGGAACGGAATCGACAAGGTAAAGCTTCCCTTTTCTTTTTTCGGTATCGCTACTTCTTTTGTCAAATCATCATGCTCACTGTGTGCCTGGTTTTTTTCCAGCTGCATTAAAATGCCGTCAACGAAAGAAAGAGTGGCTGCAAAACTTGCAAACAAGAGTCGAGTATTTAACGGTAGATAATGAACAACTTCAATTACAAACTAGCTCCCTACGAGAAGAATTGCTGAATTTAAAAACAATATTATTGGCACATAAAGATTGCCCCATTGGTCAGGAAGCAATGTTAAAACTGATCCATCGTCCTATTCCAGGTTTGTCAGCCATGGGACAGATCACCCCGCCCTCCACCGCTTCCCCTCAACACGAATCGGATCACCCAGCTTCTGCTCCCGAAAACTAAGAAACTTGAACTGGTACATCAAAGAAAATGAATAAAAAATATAAAAAACAAGAGGAATAACAAAGGAACCCAGAAAAAGGGACCTGAAAAAAAAAGTAGTTCTACTGTAGTCAGATGCTTCTATGTGATGGGATGTGATGGTTGATGGTGCTTCAATGGTTATTCATAAAGTCGGCCACCAAGTGGAGAAATGCATCGGGTTTTTCGGCATGAACTGCCAAATGGAAAAAAAGGTTAAAAAAATGAGTTACAATGAGGCTAATTAATTTGTCAATGACTTACCCCAGTGACCTGCACCTTCAATGACTTTGACATCCGCATTGGGAAACCGTGCCTTTGGCAGATCCGGGTTATCAATAAATGGTTTTCGGTAAGGACTGTTGCCGCCTAAAATGAACCGTGTAGGCCCACTGTATTGTGCCTCGTCTATTAAAAACTCGCCCATGTTGCCCAAGGCCGAGGCCAGAATGTCATACGGTACTCGGAACTGATAATGGCCCTCGGGCTGTCGTTTGAAATTGGTCAAAAGAAACTGTCGGACCCCCAGATCGGGTTCGTAGCGTGCAAGGATGGCATCGGCTTCTTTATGTTTTTCCAGACCTGCATCATCGATGGCTCGCATGGCCTCGATATGCTCATCGAAATCGCGTGATAATTTCATATGCGCGGGAGCAATATCAGCCACAATCAATCTCGAAACAAGCTTCGGATAACGCAGTGCGGCTGTCATGACGACCTTGCCACCCCTTTTTTTGATAATCATAATGAATCCTCGTTACTATCTCTTCTTTGTATTAAATCCACCGAGTCGTATTTTGCTTACATGGAGTGACCTAGTAAAGCCGGCGATCCCAGATTGTGTTGACGAATAAATTCAACGAGATCGTTGGCCATGGCTTCGTAAGTATGTACGTTACTATGCGGACTGTCACCATGATTGCGCAAATCCTGGAAAGAGTCATTGAGACGATATGCATTACTATAGGAAACCGCTTGACGATTACCAATGTGTAAATGTCTCGAGACAATCGCCGGCTCATGGCTTTGGCGAGTGATTTCCAGTTTTGCTTGGAACCGAACAACCCATGGCAGACGACTAAAGGCGGTTTACCGACAGGCTCTTTTACTGGATACTTTGTATATGCGAGCGACACGGACGCCGTGGTATAGTGCCTAAATAATGGCAAGGCAATACATCGAGCACGAACGAACATGGTAAATAGTGATCGAGATTGCGCAAAAGGTCCAAATTCGTCTCAAAGACGGTGGTGCCCTCTTGTCACTCCGCCCTGCGAATGCGGTGGGCCAAACGGAACCCCGCAAAGCAGGATCAGCGCTGCAAATCTGGCCGAGGATTTTCACAGCCGACGTTGCTTTTTTTGACAAGGTACGCTTGATCTGATACAAAAAAAAAAATTAAGTGTATTTTTAGAACAAAATGGATCTGTGTGTACTGATGTGGAGAACAATAAACGTGTTTATTGCATCAAGTCAGTGAGCAGAATGCTTGGATTTCTGAAACTTCTGTCCAATAACAAGTGCGTGTCTTTAGACGCATGTAAATTTTCTGTCGATGCCTTCTTCATTTTCTACTGATCCTTGTTGAGGCTGTGTAATTTTTTTTTGAGATTCTTTTTTCATTTTTTCGGTTTTTTTTTATTAGTCTCAAACAGAAAAAAAAAGACGGTGTTGCCAAAGGGTTGGGCTCATAGGGATCAGTGAATGTTCATATAGGGTGGAGGATGATGGATTTGCTGTTTTTTGCTTTGGTTGGATTGGTATGCCATAGGTGATCTTGATTATGTAAAATATTGTATATAAAAAAGGATGGGGTAATTCAAAAGTACAACGAAAAGAAAAAGAAAATGTACAAAACAAGAAGTAAATGCTTGAAAAGGAGGTGCCAAAATGAATGATTTCCGAGTGGTTACAGATGGGTGCATGTTACAGATATTTGTCCATGGCGGGTATGAAAATTTTTTTATCTTGTGCCATGGTTGAAGCAAACACAACCCAACTCTTTTTTTTTTTTTTTTTTTTTTCTAGGATCAAGCAAGGAGATCAAGAAGCAAGATTGGATCTGCGGCGGGTGGGAGCGACTTCATCCTGATTCACATCGTCCTCGTCGTCATCGTCGTTGTCTCTTTGGTTGCCAAGATTTTCGTGGTCACTGAGTTTTTTTGATCGCTTATTCGGCAACGGATCGGATTTTTTTCGTTTTACCGTTCGCGTGACGGTCAGTTCTCGCCAAATGAAGCACGAATTACCGGCAATGTGGGTCTTGGGTTTGCGCCCACGCTTTTTCTTGGGCATCTGAAGCACAATATCCATATTGGAATCCGTAAATGCTGCCATGGAATCATCCATGCCACCGTCCGAAGGTGATAAATCCACTTGTGACGTTGGGGTCGGTTGCCCCTGGGAATGCGATGCAGGGTAAGCGTTGACCACGTCCCACACGGTTGGGGCCAGGAACGTCCATCCACCCTCGTAGGTTGGCTCGCGAATCGTCGCAGGTCTGCCTCGACGTCGTTTCAGGATCGGTTTGCCTTCCTTGTCAAACAGAATTTGCGTGGGCGGACTGGAAACGGGTTGCGATGGCGGTGACGATGATGGAGGTCGTTGTGGCGGTGGTCGTGCCGGGGATCGGACAGGGGATGGGGATGGAGGTTTCGCGGGCTCACTCATGGTGGTATCAAAGGAATCAAGGGTAGAGTGACTGGAGCTCGGGGACGGGATCGGGAACGAAGTCCAAGTCGGTAATTTGTTAAACAAGTTCGCGGTCGAAATACCTTGGGTAGGCAATCGAACGAGTGGTCGTGGCGGATCATAGCCTTGCAAGGGAGCGTCGTCACAGGATGATGTTAGAGGATGCACGGGTGGTAAGGATAAAGCGGGAGGAGGCAGTGGTGAAGGTGGTTGTAGAAGGAAACAAGGCGATCGAGAACATACGGATTCGGTAGGTGATAATAACGGAGGTGACATATAATTCGAAAAGGATGGCGGGGGACAATGGCGGGGTGAAGTGTGCATCGGAGTTCCTGGCGACGAAGATAAACTGGTAGGCACGGGCGATGGAGGTGGCAGATTCATACTGGGAAGGGGTGACAGCGGTAATAAACTACAAGGCGACATGGCGGATGGAACGGAGGAACAAGTGGACGAAGGTAGACGTAATGACGGCGATGAACACGAAGGTAATGGTGAAGGTGGGATCGTCAGCAAGTGTGAAATGGAAGGTAATCTCGTAGTCGTTTCACTCATAGCGCATGGGGAGAGTGTAAGAAGAAAGATATTTAAAGAAAGAAGAAGACCATGGCCTTGGAAAAGCTCGTTTAGAGGATTTATACCAAAAATGACGAATAGATGAGTTTTTTGCAAGTAAAAAGAAGCCCGAGAAGGATCCCGGGTCTAATGAAATTGAAAGACCGTTAAGCTCACGGTGTATCCTTCTCGCCCTTCTTTAAACGTCCCGTTTTGGAGAAATGAAGATCTCTCGAGAAATTTTTTCGTCCAAAAAAAAAAATCCACGCGTCTATCGCCTTGCACCCATACACCCACCATCTTGTCTTTCAAATGACCAAGTGGTCATCACGTCCTCATCAATGAAAAAAAAAAAGAAGCTGAATGGCCAATACTCCATCGAATATGTTCTTTCTATTTTGTAATTTTTTTTTTTTTTTTGCCATGAGAGGAGGTTCACGAGTCCGATTAGGAAATCACCACATGGCAGCACTGGTCATCCCAATTATCTCAATGATTGCGAAAAATGCGGAAAAAGAAAAGAAGGAAAAGAAGGTCCTATCACGGTTACAGCATCGTCAGCGTACAGAACACAGCCTTGATTTCATCCCTTTTTTCTATTTTATTTTCGCGACAGTGCGTGCAGCGTGGTGGAGACGAACGGGGAGAGGGGAATATTACTTTTTATTTCTTTATCTGATTTACTCTCCATGATGATTCAATATTTATAAGAAAAAGAAATCTGTTACAATTCTTTGTATTCTACCAAAAAGTTCGAGTCAGAAATCTCAATGTAAATAAAAAGCATTACAAATAAAAACAGGATTTTAGAACAGTTTTCCAGGTCTCCATGGTGAACTCGGCCCCCCAAAAAAAGAAAACCAAAAACTCTAAAGAGTGAATGGCGTTGCTATTTGTTTTTATAGAGTTTTTTCAACAATTCTCCTTTTTTGGTGAATCAAAGAATTCTTTACGTGTCAAGAATAACTTTTTTTTTGGTTTTGGGTCGGTTCTCCTTGGTTTGCACAACATGATCACAAATTTTTTATCGCTGTGTTGCACAAGACACAGCCGATTGTCCGTTTTGGGAGATACAAAACCGCAAAGTGTGGTAACCAATAAGGAGCTTTTGTCAAAAACTAGCTTGGACCATCGCCTTTTTCCTCGATTACTGTTATTAGCAAATGTTATGGGCCTAACCATTCTCTTTCTTTCTTTTTTTAATGATATTCTCTCTCGACAATTTTTACCTTCTCCGTCGTCATTGTTTACAATGATGGCGGATTAGGAAACTGCCTTCTATTGATTTACTTAAAAAGATCACCAAACTGCCATTACTGCCAGAGTGTAAAATCTTGGTTTTTCTTTTTTTTCTTGTAATCATGGATAATAATCAACAGCTTGATCTTTATGCAAGGCAAATGCTTAACAATTACTGGCAAACCGGTGGGACACCACCGCCTCCTTATTATGCCGGCCCAATGTGGCCCAACCATCCATCGTCTCTTCCCACGGCTTCCCCAGCCAATGGAGCCAGCCACACTACCACAACCACCACGGTACAAGGGAGGCCCAGTTTTTGGAGTCCTCGACAACCGCGAAAGAAGAGCTTTTTCAGAAAAAAGACGGTCAAAGAACCCAGGCAGAATCAAATGACGGCGCCTGCCGCCAACGTACCACCGCCGTCTTCCAAAGCGATGATGGTCCAACCACCGTATGCAACTCAAACTGCTCCTCCACTGATGGCACCCTATTTCTATGCACCACCGAATTCAATTATGGCAATGACCCCACCACCGCCACCGCCACCAATCACAGCCCCTGCCGCGCCGATCACCACCAAATCCTCCCTGCCACCCCGTCGACCAATCAAAACCACCACTTCCAACCCCAGAGAAAATTCCAATGATAGATGTACCATAATGTAGTCGCGTAGCTGAATCCCCTTTTTTGGTTGTTATTGTTGTTTAAATTATATATAAAGATGTCATTTACTGCCTATAACATGACGCGTTCTGCGATCCACTTAATGATAAACGGAGTTTCCCATGTTTTCCTTGCAAACCGTCCTTGGCGGCGGTCATTACATACGTGGCCTTGTGAGAAGCGGCTACATTAAGTGTCATATGATGGAAATTTGACCGCCAAGCTCCTCAGATTGAGCGATTTTTTGCATCATTTGACCTGCCACAGAGAGTCAAGCCGTGTCATCCGTGCGTCCTTGCACATCATCTGTTTCGGATAACTCTGTTGAACGTGCTAGATCAGGAAAATTGTTTTCAGATGTTGCGCTTTTATTCGTTGTTTTCAATTTACTTTCTTTTTTTCTCTATGCATATATAACCCGCACTATCGACAGGGCCCATTGATTTTTCTTTGTCTCTTTTCTTTATTTTTCTGAGCTATACTGCATTTCTTCTAATACTTGCCATGGCAACTCCCCAGCTACAACCAATTCCTACTGGCAACGTTACCTTGTATGTATACTCGCCACAGGCACATTTACCTCCACCAATGCCCCCACCAGAAGAAGAAGAAGAAGAAGAAGCGCCACCACCACCTGGCATCGTTCAAGGCGAACCGAGTTGGGGAGCTCCACGAAAAATCACGGCCAAAGGAAAACGAGTAGCAGATACTCAATGCATCATCTCTTGACAATGTTTTGCTTCACCAATTCAGGACATGTATTTTTCTTAGATTATCCCTACCTCTTTTTGTACCACCATTTATAAATATATGATATATTTCGCCTCACAAATTACGAACTCTCCTTGATTTCTTCTTTTTTCTTTTTTCTTTGTGAAAAGACCGTATGCACCTATATATCTAAAATGGGCTTGATAAAATCAAAAACATCTCAGAGGACCCACTGGACGAATTGACCCAACGTAAATGATCTACCGAGAAAAATACCGATATTGTGCCCTTATCCTAATGAAATAGAGTTGTGCACTTCCCCCAACACAATCTGTTAAAAAGGAGTCCATGGCTTTAATATACATTTTGCATTTTGACAAATAAAAAGACAAAAATGAAGGGAGGGCAGCTGGGGTCTATCTTTTTTGTTTTTCCTTTTTTGTTTTAACCAAAATTGATGCCTTGGGCTAATGGCAAAGCGCCCGAGTAATTGATGGTACTGTAAAGTAGAAATTAGCTCATTGAATTGTCAAATGATATTGCAATAAAGTCGAAACATACCATGTGCCACGTCGACAGTACTGTTTCCAGCTGTCACTGCCGCTTTCACGGCCACCGCCAGTTTCCTTTTCTCCACCAAAGGCACCACCGATTTCGGCTCCATTCGTAGGAATGTTCACGTTGATGATACCGCAGTCCGAACCGGCAGGACCAATCCATTTGAAAATGGTCGAAGGATTGTTGGTAAAAATGGAGCTAGATAATCCTTGCGCAACGTTGTTATTAATAGCAATCGCCTCGTCCAGGGTCTATATCAACATCATCAACGGAACAAAAAGGTGAGTCAATTGAGTCAATAAACCAACGCGTACATTGATACTGGATGACTTACTTTAAAGGTCATGGTGTGAAGGATGGGGACAAAGGCTTCATTCTTGACAATGTCCATATCGGGAGTGACTTTGGTCAAGGTGGGAGCAACAAAATTGCCTTGACTGAGCGGACCGTCCTTGAGAACCTGGCCGCCAATCAGAATCTCGCCGCCTTGCTGTCGGACTTTGTCGAGAGCCTGCTCGTAAACTCCCACGGCGTCTTTGGTGTGCAAAGGTCCGCACAAGACGCCTTCATCCAAGGGATCGCCGACTTTGACCTGCGCATACGCTTTGACAAGACGTTCAATCAACGTATCGTAAATGGACTCTTGCACGATCAATCGGCGCGTCGTGGTACATCGTTGACCGGCCGTGCCTACCGCGGCAAATAAAATCGCTCGAGCGGCCAAATCCAGGTCACAGTCTTCCATGACAATGATGGCATTGTTGCCACCGAGTTCCAAAATAGATTTGCCAAATCGGCCCTGGACGACCTGTCCCACCTTTCTACCGACGTTGGTCGATCCTGTAAACGATAACAAGTTCACTCGCTTGTCCTGGGCCAATCCGGCACCGACCTCCGTGCCACCTGTCACCAGAGAACACAAGGCCGGAGGAAGTTGATGATCCCTCAGCGTTCTCTCAAGCAACCGAGTCACAGCAATCGAAGTCAATGGCGTTGTGGGGGCCGGTTTCCACAGGACACCATTGCCAGTTACCAACGCTAATGCACTGTTCCAACCGTACACCGCCACTGAATATTTTGAAAAAAAAGAACGTAAGTCTATGAAATCCATGCGGAAGAATGACAAGTTTAACTCGCTTACCTGGAAAGTTGAAAGCACTAATGACACCGACGGTTCCAAGAGGATTCCATGTTTCAAGCATGACATGGCCGGGACGTTCAGAGGGGATCAGCGCTCCTGAAAGTGTGCGTGATAAACCCAAGGCATATTCAAGGATATCGACGTATTCCTGCACTTCGCCCACCCCCTCTGGTAAAATTTTGCCCATTTCAAGGGCGACCAGTTTGCCCAATGGATAAAGGTTCTTTACAAGCGCATCACGCATCGCCAGCAACACTTGACCACGTTTAGGAACCGGCATCTAAGTCATGGATTAGGGATCAGTGAACAAAGTTCAGGATGAATCTTTTTATCGGTTCAGTTCATCGCTTACTTCTCGCCAGATCTTTTGAGCTTCGGCTACACGGTCAAGGGCGGTATTGAGATCGTCGGTGGATCCCTGCATTTTACGTTATATCAGCAAAAAAAAAAGACCTATAATTACAGGTGAGTGTATCTAAGGTTACCGTTACGACTTCGGCCATGACTTCGTTGTTGACAGGATTGATGGAAGGCATGATGGATCCAGAGCCTTTCCATTCACCATCAAATACACCTTTGTTGTTGGTCTTGTCAATGCCAAGTTGTTCAAAAATCTCACGGTGCTTATCAAAGGTGGATAGACAACGTGCGCTTGTCATTCCAAGCAATCCCAATGCGTGACGTCTAGAAAAAGAACGGCTGGCCAACGATCGGGTGGCACGCATAGAAACACTTCCGACTGACATCATGGTAAAGATAATAATAGAAAAACCCAATAAAAAGAAAGAAACGAAACAAGTTGACAGTAAAGAAAGACGAATTTCAAAGTTTATATAAGGACTAGATGTGTGAAAAAAACAACGAGCATAGAAACATCCGTGAGTGAAAAGCGTGGGAATTACGGGCCTAGAGAAGGAAGGAGGTGTCTTGTGACCTCGTTCAGGTTTTTTTTTTATTTATGCGTCATCGAACGTTTCATTTCGGTGTTGATGCTTCACACATCACTTTTTTTCGGCCTAAAAGCCATAGGAAGAAAAAAAAAAGACAGGATCTTTTTTTTTTCCTGTCCGTGATGTTTATTCAAGGTCACTTTCTTTGAGGATGCCTTGTTCGACCAATTTGGCCAAGTCGGGTCGTTCGCTGATTCTTTGCTGCAATTTATCCTGCAGCCGGCTTTTCTCAAGCTCCAGCTGCGATCGTTGCAGAGCCGGAGCTACTTTGCCAGGGTCGCCTACGAAATAGGATAGTCTCAGTCTTCTTGTAATAACCTAACCAAACGACGATACTCAATGTCTTACTCTTCAAAATATTATGCTCAATCAGCTCTTCGGCAGTTGGTCGGTGATTGATCTTGTGGCGGAGGGAGTCTTCAATTTTGCGCTTGGACAGCTCATCGCGTTGTTGCTGGATAGCCGGTGCCACCTTGGGATCTGTTTTTTTTTTCTTGTCAGCCGGAAGTTTTTCACTTACCACGTTTATAGATTGTAAATTTCTTACCTTTGAGGATATTCTTGTTCACCAATTCTTGTGCATCAGGACGATGCGCCAAGAGACTATCCAAAGGTTTGCTTTCGGGCGGCGCTAGAAACCCGAACAACGTTCCATGAGTGAGCTATGCATCGACCAATTGCAGAAATAACGGGATTTTTTCTTCATGATGCGCAAACGAGAGGATCCCCCAGAAAAAAAATATAAAAAGAGAAAAGAAAAAAATGAATGAGAAGGACTTACCGATAGTCATATTTTCAATTTGAATAAGCGATAAGAGACAAAAAAAAAGCTTAGATAAAATGGAAGAGCAAGTGGAAAACGGGAAAAAGGAGGAAAGAGGAGGCAGTGATCTTGGCATTCGTCCACACCGGGATTTTCAATGATCAAAACCTGTCCTGTCTTTTTTCTCTTTCTAAACAAAGTTACACGTGAGTCACCGGAGCCTCACGTGCATACTTCTACCACCACCAAGCATCAATGCATATCTATCGAAATATGATGGCTGTATACATTACACTCCAGTCCATTTCAACTACTGACACCTCCCATCCCACCCTTCAATAGAGTATTGGAACCCTTGATCATCCTTTACATGACCCATCAGTAAAAGCTTAAAGCTGTTGGATTTACAACGTGTCTGAGTAGTAGACAACGTCCGTCAACAAAGTTATTTTTCGTCTCGATCAATTATACTTCCGAACTCACCCTGGAGGCCACACTCGAATGTTCCCAAAAATATGTTGCTATAGCATTATCCAAGGATGCAAACAAAACAACGTGTGATGGGTAATAGGCAAACCATTATTCGCCGACGTGTTTATTTTGCCAAATTTCCTTGATCTGGTTGGTTTTCCGTTCTGTTTGGACGGTTGCACAGGTCTACAGCCTTTTAGGCTCTAATAAGAGACGCACAAGGTGGGATATATAACCAAGAGTTTCTACAGGACTCAATGTGGATGCATAAAGCATGATTGGAAGCTGCCGCCGCCTGAACAGAGACGGATCATTCCCCCCCCCCAGTGAGCATAGTTTGACAAGCGGGGTTCTTGTTTCCAAATCAATCCAATCAATAAGCAGTCTGCCTATTTACTGTATAACGCTTGAAGCATGATGATATCCTGGTCAATGACTGAGGTGTGATAATATAAAAATATGACGGAGTACGGATGTGTGAGCTGTGTTAATCCGAACAGTGTGTTGGCAAAGTGTTGGAGAAGGAAAGGTTCCTGCTGTCTAAACCGACGAGCCTGTTTTGTATCAAATCTACAGTCACGCCGCGAATCGACTGAATTGCCAGTTTTTCAAAGAGAGAGAGAGAGAGCTCCAGTGAAAGCTTGGCCATCATGTCCATCCGCCAATCCAAGAATGGGCTGGACACTTCATTGCCTTTTCCCGCGATCATGCGCGGTTACAGTGACCGAGCATTGACACCTATAGTCATTTACCTCGTTGTCTCCTTGTTCGCTACGATTGTAGAAAAGTTCCTTGCCACCGGTTCCGAATACAAGTTTCCTTTTCCCCTGTTCACCGCCTTTTTTCAACTTCTCATTACAGCGGTTCTCATGCGGGCATGGGAAGTCCTGGGGAAAATGTAAGACTCTTCTCACGCCCATCGCTTGGGCCGGTTCTTCTTTTTTTTTTCGCCTTCTAATCTGTTTGCCAGGACTTCATTTCGTGTACGTGCGACAGGCTGGGATAGGGCAACGGCAACACGTATTGTTCCGTTATCGTGTGTCTACGTATGCTTGATAGTCGTCGATATCCATTTTCTTCAGACCGTCCCGCCCACCTTGTATTTGATTGTTCGCGCGATATCCATTCCAATATCCATTTTGTTGTCGCTCCGTTGGCTTCATCAAACCGTATCTTCTTTTATGCAAGGAATGTGCATAGCAATCATAATCGGTCTTTGGTTGGCCTCCGATGGTCTATTGGCGTTGTCTACTCGTGGGATCTTTTGGGGTCTCATCTACGCGACGCTGATCGCAGTGTATAGCGTATTGATAAAAAACTCTTTGGTCGTCGTTCATCAAGACATCTGGTAAAAATTCACCCTCAGAGTGCCACACACACACACACATGCGAACCACGTCCGTGTTAATCCTTGGATTGGGCTGATAGGCGGTTGTTATATTACTACATTTCGATGGCGATACCGATGATGGGGGTGATATTATGGATCTCTGGCGAGTCAAGTCGGATACGTAAAGAGGTCTACTTTCTTGATGAATTTGGGTTCTGGTTTCAGATGGTATATCCGATACGGGAAACAATGGGGCGACCTGGATCTAAAACTCGCTCGCTTTAGGTTATTGCAGCCATTATTGGATTTGTCGTGAACGCGACCATGATACGACTCGTGAAACTGACGTCGCCATTGATTCATTGCATTTCCATGACTACCAAGGTTTGTTCATTTTCCACAAGAACAGACTACCATTCTTGAATGTTTTCATTCTCATCATGCACCTTTTTTTTACTACTTTATAGGGCTGCCTGCAAGTATTCACCATTGCTATTCTTATGGATAATCCGCTTCATTTTCAGGTAAATCCATTAGTTGGTTGTATGGCGTGGATTTTATTGTTGCTCACCCATCATGGTTTTATAGCACACTGTAGGCATTCTGATGGCCTTGATCAGCTGTTTCATTTGTTCCTTTGCATGATATTGTCATTATTCCTCCATCATTTCATCATTTTTATTCCTTATAGAGAGTACAGTATAGAATGGTCATTCATTTTTTTTTTCTTTTTATATCCCAACATCATCCTAATCATACATTCGCTTTTTTTTTGGATCATCTGATTCGCTGTCCAAGGACTGTGATTTTGCATTGTTGGTCACCTGGGAGAATCCTGCTCTGGCTTCATTGACTTCATTGGATTCATTGGGGCTTATACAGCCAGAGAATCCAGCCTCAATTCCTTTCTCTGCATATCCGGCATGGCGGTTGGGTCGATGGTCGGCATTTGATTTTCGCACGATGGGTTCTCCATCATGAACCGGTGAATCATCATGGTTTCCACTTGTTTCAGGAAAGCCATTTTTTCACTGGCCGGCATGACAATGTGGGCATTCAAAGCTTCCAATAATTTGCCAAGCCGTCGTTGAGCGCCGTATAACAAATTCATATCAATTTTGCTAAGAATGCGTGCGCTCAATAAGAAACACAAAAACTTGGGTTCGTTCTCGTATCTGGTGATGCTTACTGTTCATAGTCCTTGTATTCTTCCACCAGATCGTGTAACTGACGAAGCACCTCTTCCTTGCTGTAAAGCGTTTCCATAACCTGCTTTTGGCATGCATAGGGAATACCTAGCAATGAAAACCGAGTGAGATGAAAAAGCAAGATTCGGATTGTATTTGATCCGGCTTACGATAGGAATTGCTGGTATCCCAACGACGACTGATGTGGAGGTATTGAATTTTGGAGCAGTTACTGGCCACTTCAGGGTCATAAGGCGTCACAATGACACCGATAAAAGGTTCATCGCCCGTCGACTTGTCACGGAACAAGGTCTGTCAACAATGGATTGAGCCACAGTGTTGTTTTTTGACATGCGAGCCAGTTGATGAATTTTTACAATGGGCTTCTCGTTACCTGATACGACGCTTGGTTTTCAATGTCACGCACACTTGGATGCGGTTCAAAGGTGGGATGTGAATGGTACCATCCTACAACCGTGAGCCCCTTTTGCTCAAAAACCTCTCGCGCTTGCATTTCCGACACGGGATCCATTTCACACTAGACGCATCGTTAGAATATTTCAAAAAGAGCACCGTTTTGTTGAAGAGAGTCGCTTTACCTGGATACCAGTGCTTGTGCTACGACAAGGAAACACACATTTGATGGAAATAACTTTCGTGCCATTGTCCCTTGTATGAAACGTACCACCCATCAGACCAATAATCTCGGTATAAGCCAAGTGAGAATGAAAATCCATCACCAGCTAAAAAATTAAAAGAGGCTGCGTAAGAACATGGTCAGAATACTGCTTGCCAGTTGTTCTCACCAGAGCGTCGGTAGCCACTTCAACCGTAAAAGGGGCCGGATAATGGTCATCGTAATACTCTACAGGGACGAGCTGAAATGGATCATAGCCATCGGCGAATACTTGGCCACCCTGGTAAATGGGTTGGGGACGTCGCACGACACGCTTGGGTCGAGACGAATTATCTTTTCAAAACTCTGTCAGCTGCAACATGCCTTGATATTAGAAATGAATTGCTCATTGACTTGCCTCTTGCTTCTTTCACTCTTGATTGGAATTCCTCCGAGTTGCCCCTAGGTTAAGATAGTGAGCATATACTCTTCAGTTTTTGAGAGGCATTTATAAAAAGCTACTTACCAATAACCAAGTTGAGCACCGAGTCTTCGTTTACGGGATCCCTTATTGGTGGCTCTATAAAATTGGGTTGAGTAAGCGAGCTGATCAGACGGTTTTCACATCCAATAATCTAACCTTTCGATCTCTTCTTCATCGCTGTAAACATACACTTTACGGGGCGTACGTTGGACAGGTCTTCGCACGCGGGTGGTGGGTGCACATCCGACATTGATGGCGCCAATCTTTTCCAGATAAGCGTGAATGCGACCCACCGCATTCACATCGACATTCTCTTGCAAATTTTTGCGTGCCGCGGATTTGGTAATGTAGTTTGGACAACTGGTCTGCCAACTGTCCAGGATATGGTTACGGATTCTCATGTAACGTTCCGGGGTTCGGGATGGTCGGTCACCAAACCATTCCCGGTTGTGACGCCGTTCGTCTTCCGTAAAAGACTCGCGATCGATTATCTGTAATTCCTTTTGACTGTCAATCTTATGCAATTAGCAAGGCATACATTGTGATGATAAAATGACCTTGGTTTCGGTGACAGGATTTTCCTTCGTAGCCGCTGATAAGGCAGGAGGACTTGATGGCGGTTGAAGATCCGATGTCGGCTCACTGGCGGATCCGTGTAAATCCTTTCAGCCAATGAGATCCGGCAATTCATCATGAGCCCATGAAATGATTTTCTCGTCATTTGCTTCTATATCACTTTACCCTGTCCAGTGGAGGAGCTGTAGTCATTCCAGATGAATCGTTCATGTCGTTTCCTGCATGGGGTGAATGGGGATCCATACACCCGCCCAGTGCGAATGAATCTATGACTTATCCGTGAGTAAAACGCGTTTTTTTTTTCTTGACATGGATATCCTGTCCGAATTTCCTTTTGTGGCGAGTCAGCTGAACTGATCGGAACAATTTTTACCTTGAGGATGGACGATCTGGGTATGTTGCAAAGTATCCATTCTTACTTCAAATGACTGTAAAAGCTTGACAGAGGCAAGAGAAGGAAAGAAAATGATGAGAAAAAATGATCAACAACAGGAAAACCGGCTTATCTTTATCCTCTGTGGCAATCAAACCATGTGATTTTACGCCTTCAAATTTTTTTTGTTTGTTGCAAAAAAAAACAGGCGAAAGCGAGAGAGGCCATCTTCAGGCATTACCATTTTAGGCAATTGCCATTTCAAGATTTTTGTCGACATCATTTTCAAATCATTGCTTGGATATGGGTCAAACATCATGCGGAAACCAGATTGATTGGGCATGATTCAATTCAATACTTTTCAACGTCGCATCACCGTGTGTCGTATAAGACACAAGAAAAAAACGCAACACGCTCGTCTTTTTCTTCTTTATATCTCTTTCTTACTTGGATTCATTCACCTTTTTTTTCTTATCCTCTACTAGCTTTCTCTCGTCATGGCATCCAATAACGATCCAAACGACGAGAAGCAGCAGAACGTGGGATCTACTACTCAATCCACGGCTCCGACAAATAATCCTCCATCCTCCCAGAGTAACGCGGGAGAATCTCACCAAGTTACCAATTCCCAAACCAACGATAATCCTGCACTCTCCCATCCCTCTAATGATCCTTCTTTGGCAAACCATGATCTAGAAAAGCAACAAGCGGCTTCCAATGCCGACGCCAAGAGTGAATCGCATATCCCAGAAAAAAGCCCGCAAGGGTCTTCTTCGACGTCGGATCAGAACGGTGGCGAGGAAAAGCAAGTACCCGTTCGCAAGGGTCCCGATAATATGCCTGATATGAAGAATTTGACCGTGGAAGAACTCTATGACAAGGACAAATTCGACTTGTCTACTATGGAACCCGGTGATGTATTTACCTTGTTGCAGTAAGTCCCCCAACGTCAAACCAAAATTGCCTTCTTGGGGATAAATTATCTAAATTCGGGAACTCTCTCCCTCCCATTCTCTCTTTTTTTAAAGGACGACCACCGATGGTTTAACATCAGATGAAGCAAGCGCTCGTATGGAAAAGTTTGGGCCCAACAAGTTGGAGCAAAAGGAAATCAACCCAATTCTCCAGTTCTTGGGGTTTATGTGGAATCCTTTGTCATGGGTTATGGAGGCCGCCGCCATTGTGGCTATTGCGCTGTCCAACGGTGAAGGCCAACCTCCGGATTGGGAAGACTTTATCGGTATCGTGCTCCTGTTGCTGGCCAATTCGGTCATTGGTTTTCTTGAAGAACGTCAAGCCGGTAATGCTGTCAAAGCTTTGATGGACTCACTCGCTCCCGAATGCAAAGTCAAACGTGACGGAGAATGGAAGACCATGGAAGCTTCCGAACTGGTCCCCGGTGATGTGATCAGTATCAAGCTGGGCGATGTTATTCCTGCCGATGGTCGTTTGATCAAAGCTCACGGTGATATTAGCATTGATCAGGCCGCTCTTACGGGTGAATCGTTGCCTGTCAGCAAAGACGCCGGCGACGAAGTGTTCTCCGGATCCACCGTGAAGCAAGGCGAAGCTGAAGCGGTCGTCATTGGCACCGGACTCAACACCTTCTTTGGCCGCGCAGCCAAACTCGTGGGCGAATCCGGTGAAGATATCGGTCACTTGCAACAAATTCTCGCCAAGATTGGTAATTTCTGTCTTGTCAGCATCGGTATTTTCCTTGTGGCCGAAATTCTCGTCATGTATGCTGGTTTCCGCTACCGATATCGACGTGGTATCAACAACCTTTTGGTCTTGCTCATTGGTGGTATCCCCATTGCCATGCCTACCGTGTTGTCCGTGACCTTGGCCATCGGTGCCAAACAACTGGCAGAACATAAAGCCATCGTAACTCGTATCACCGCCATTGAGGAAATGGCCGCTGTCACCATTCTTTGTTCGGACAAGACTGGCACACTCACGTTGAACAAACTGATCGTCGATAAACCTACCATCAAACGTTATGCCGAATTCGATGGTGATGATATTATTCGTATTTCGGCCTATGCTTCTCGCATGGAGAATCAGGATGCCATTGATTTCTGTATCGTCAATTCGCTTCCGGATCCCAAAGCGGCCCGTGACGATATTGAGGAACTGGAATTCAAGCCATTCAATCCCGTCATCAAACGTACCGAAATCACTTATCAAAAGGACGGCAAGACGTACCGTGCTACCAAGGGTATGTCCCACTTTATTCTGGATCTGTGCACGCGCGACAAGACCGATGAGCAGATCCAAGCTCTGAATGACGATGTCGACGAATTTGCCCGTCGTGGTCTGCGTTCGCTGGCGGTGGCCGTCGATGAAGTGCCGGATGGCAAGGTTGACGGTGAAGGCAAAGGCTACCGTCTGGTGGGTCTGTTGCCTATTTACGATCCTCCTCGCTCGGATACCAAAGAAACCATTGATCGCGCTCAGGAATTGGGCGTGCAAGTCAAGATGATCACCGGTGACCAACTGGCTATTGCAAAAGAAACCGGCCGTCGTCTCGGCATGGGTGATAACATGTTCTTGTCAAAGACACTGAAAGAAGGCCCACCCCCTGGCTCGGGTTACTCTACAGTGGATGAACTGGTTCTGGGTGCGGACGGTTTTGCTGGCGTGTATCCTGAGCACAAGCACGAAATCGTCGAACGATTGCAAAAGATGGACCACATGGTGGCCATGACCGGTGACGGTGTCAACGATGCTCCGGCCTTGTCCAAGGCCAATGTTGGTATCGCGGTAGCCGATGCGTCCGATGCTGCTCGTTCCGCGGCCGATATTGTGTTGACCGAACCGGGTCTTTCCGTCATCATTGAAGCTTTGATCAACTCGCGACAGATTTTCCAGCGTATGCGCAACTACTCCATCTATACATGTTCGGTCACAGTTCGTGTCGTGGTGGGTTTTGCCGTGCTCGTGTTTGCTTTCCGTTACGATTTCCCGCCATTCATGGTGCTTATCTTGGCCATTCTGAACGACGGCACGATTATGACCATTTCCAAGGATCGTGTCAAACCTTCGCCACATCCAAATTCATGGGACCTGAGAGAAATTTTCTCTTATGCCATTGTGTACGGTCTCTATTTGGCGGCTTCGACGGTGGCTTTCTTTGCCGTGATTTACAAGACGAGCTTCTTCCAGAGCCACTTTGGCGTGACCCAGTTCACGGATCAAAACGATCCCATTCTTCACTCGGTGATCTATCTTCAGGTGTCGACGATCTCGCAAGCGTTAATTTTCATCACTCGTTCGCAAAGTTGGTTCTTTTTGGAACGACCTTCGATTATCCTGATGTGCGCTTTCATTGTGGCTCAGTTGGTGGCAACGTTTATTGCTGTTTACGCCAACTGGGGCTTTACGCAGATCCGCGGCTGTGGATGGACGTGGGCCGGTATTGCTTGGATTTGGAATTTTGTATGGTTTGTGCCATTGGATTTGATCAAGTTTGCCATGCAACGTGCCTTCCGTCCTTCCATCAAGCCCGGCACCGATGTCGAAAGCCGTCGTCCTTCCCGCCGACCTTCGGCCGTCTCCACCAGCGCCTCGGCTCGTTACTATCGCAACCGTACCCATTCGCTCCGTGCCCTCGAACATCCCCGCAACTTTGGTCGTCGTCTTTTGGGCCGCGATAAACGCATGTCCATCGACCCCAATGAAATGCGCCGATTCTCATCGGTTCAGGTAAGTTGAAATTAATTGATATTAACGAACAAGATTTTAACTTTTAACTCCATTCATCCTTTTTACTCATCAACAGACGAATCATGCTTCTCGCATTCTGAGCGGCCAAGTACCCAGCAACCGAAGCTAAAAGGGAAAAAAGAAAGGAATTCAAAAAACTACCACTACTCTTAATACTTTGGCCTCTAGGCCTTGTAACCTTTGTTCAAATTTTTATTACTGTACGCTTCTTGTAAATTAAGACCATCCATTGGATATCATTTCAATGCAATAAAGTGCATTCAATAGCAATATGGTTTATCATGCGTCCTCTATTGTGAAAGCGAGCATTTGTTGTCATCCACATACACAGTGGATGTCCATGAACCGTAATTACAAGCATATTTGTACCCCGCCCGTGTTAGAAAAAAAAAAGAACAAATCGAACCACTGCCCGGACTTGTCCACTTTGCAGATCCAAGGTGTGTCTCGTATCATCACCGAGCAAAACGTCCCGCCCCTTTCGGTAGTTTTGTATGCCGCGTCATTCAACCATCATCGGGCACAACGTCGTCCGTGAGAAATATATTTGGTGAGGTTCGCACCATACAAGGTAATCAATGAATTGTTATTTATCCTTTTTCGTTCAAGCTTCCATAAGTGAAAACCACAAAAAAAAGTGATATGAAATCTATTTACATAAATTGATCGAAAAATATAAACAGCAAAAAAAAAAGCGTGCTGTCAAAATGCCCAGAGAATACAATAAAGAGATGGAAAGAAAAAAAGGGTTTTTAGACGAATCGTATTTTGATCTTGGTTTCCCGTAAGACGACTTGATCCGGCCATCGCTCTGCCACCATTTCCAGCCATTTCCTCCTTGTGGATTCCGACAAATTCTGTACCCATCGATCGACCTGGGTGTTCCGCTGAATGACGGCCCAACGTACAATAATTTTGTCTTTGAGAACTTCGCCCGGATTCAGCGGTGGAACCTGATTGAGAAATAACATGATATCGGTGTGATGATCGGCCACCATCCGACCTGCGCTAGGCCGAACAAAGTAACGTTCCATCATGGCGGCTTCTTTGGCCGTGGTGTTCACGGACCATGTGGAAGAGAAACTGGATCTTTTTTTTCTTTCAAACTGGTTCAAGGTGACCGAGGTGGAGGTGGAGGAAGCCGACGATCGGCGTCGGTTGCGAAGCGGGGAAAGGTGGGCATTGCTGGTCAGGAATTTATACACAATCACATGGTCTTCGGGCACCACGTTCTCAAGAGAAAAGGTCAAAGTTTGCCCACGTCGCAAGGGCGATAAAAAGCAAAGCTTGGGTCGTTTGAAGTGACGACAAGGCAGTTGCTTTACAAGTGATAATATTTCGGCCGTTTCATCCAGACCAGGTTTGGATTCCGCAGTATTCTTTTCGGTCAACGATGGTGATGAAGATGATGGCAAGGTGGCTGATAAGGTGGTGAATACGGTGGGTTGGAGTTCCACCGTGGGTGCATCGGGATCATTGGTGACTGTGTCTGTATCGGCAATGATACTATCTCGGGAATACGGATGGGTCGCTCCTGCCGAGTCTTCATGTGAGGGGATCACAACATGGAGGTAAGGTGGGGAAGGAGGTGGTGCGGGCGCTACATTACGAAATCGTGGTACAGGACTGGGTTCCACAAATGTCACTCTTGGGTTGAATAGACCATACTTATCCTCCTGTGGTACTAGATCCCCGTCCTTATCGTCATCTGGATGGGTGAGGGAAGGTTCATCGACGGGAGTGGAGAGTAAAGTCGAGGAAGAGGAGGTTTCGAAAGGTAGGGTGACCGATTCTCCGAAATACACATGGCGACGACGCTGACTCGTTGGCGTTTCAGCCTGTAGTTCGTCTTTCACACTGGGTTCATCTCCGCCGTCGTCGTTGGACACCCGTCGTGAACTGTCGGCTGAAGGCACCGGACTGCTGTGCAAATAAGACACTTGCTGCAATCGTAATAAATGTTGTCGTCTTTCGCGACGTTTCCGTTTGCGCTCAGCAATCAGTTCGGCGGAATCACCATCTCGATTCATCAAAATTCCTCCACGTGTGTGACGAGTTCCAGGTGCGGTATTGGTGGATTTATCGCCGGTGGTTGACGACGAATCCAACATTGACTCCTGGGTGGCGGTGGTCATCGTAGCAGTGGTTACATCTTCTTGTATGGTGGAGGATGAAGGAGACGAGGTGACGATCGTCTGGTCTTGGCCTGGTAGGGTTGTTGGATTGGAACGAAGCTTGATCACAGCTAAAGGCGATCCGTTCAAAAAGTTTTTTAGTTTGGTGACGGAGGATGCCGACGAAGTGACGGAAGCCGAGGTAGCAAGGGAGAGTGTATCCTTGGGCTTTTTGGGCTTCTTTGATTTGGTGGCCGGCATCCAGTTTTTGAATTGTTTCCATAAACTGTACTTTGTTTCGTCGATGGTGCTTGTTCCGGTGTCGTCCTCTTTCAAAGAGGGCCATATCATGCCGGATACCGTCATTGATAAAAATGATCGCCCGCTCTTGGCACTGGCCGTGCTCTTTTGACTGTACACAGATGCAGCATACCGTTTCTTCATCACGAAAAAATGCGCTCTTCAATAAAGAGAGAGGCAAACAAAACGATACCAGCGGGAAGATAAGGAAAGTAAAAGAAAGAAATAAAAAAATGCGGGAAGCGTATGCGCGTGTGTTTTGTGTGATGTCGATAAAAACCAAGGGAACTGAAAGAGTTCAAAAAGGAACAAACCGATAAGAAAGCGGTATGGTTTTGAGAAAAGGGTAAAAAATAGCGATCCTTTTTTTTTTGTTTATATCCAGTTGGCGACGAACGAAAAACCAAAAAGAAAGAAACAGCAAGAGAAAAACAAAGTCGTTACAGGTTTAACGGGAAACAAAGAAAGGAAACCGGCCGGTCATGTTCCGACGGTCATAGGTTGCAAATCATATTTATCCATAACACATCCTACAATCAACACTTTTCACACCCTACTTTTTTTTTTCACATCTCTATCTCTTCCAACCATCATATAATAAGGTAAAAGGTATTGTCCATTCGATACGTAGTACGCCATCCACTACACAACTACGTCCAAGGCCCATGCCCATGCCCACAGCATCCAGCCACATTTGTAGACAAAATAATAACACACACCTCCTTGCTTGGCTGTGCGACAACGGGAAAACTCGGCTGTGCCCCAACCCACGGTTCGTTTTGACATGCCATATTATCGCCCTCCCAAAACCTATTCTTCTGCAAATCGGACTCACGTTGATTGTTCCATTATAAAAGATAAGGATTTATTTCTCTAGGGAAAAAGTTCAGCAAGGAGGCGCATGGTGTCTTCTGGGGTCTTGACGGCGTGTCCTGTCACCTCAGGATGGGTATAAATTTCATAGTCATTACCGCCCTTGAATGTCTTGTCACCGAAAAAGTGAATGGTTTTGAATCCGTGCTGCTCCAGATGACGCAGACAGTAAGTCTTGTCCCATCCCGTGGGGAACACATCAAACGAAATTTGGCCTCCGATAGAATATGTCAAAGCAAGATGAGGAAATGCGGCCTTGAGATCTTGCACAAACTTTTGTCGCAAGCCTCTTTCCAGATCAAACTTTTCAAATTCATTACGTTCTTCGCGTGTACAGTTGCGGCCAATAGGCGACACATTGACCATGCCGTTACGGAATTCCACAAATGTGCCACGTTTCTTTGGCAAGTCCATGTCGGCAATATAACGCAAGATAAAGTTTACCAGTTTGGAATATTCTTCCTCACCAATCCATTCAATGAAGCTCTGCGAGGCCAACTGTTCACCAAGACGATACGCCGTTAAACCATTCTCCGCAAAGCAAAAATCAAAATCGCCCAACACTACAGTGTCATCACTTTTGTCAGTCTCGTCTTTTTGGTATTACCCTCCCCTTCCCCACTGTTACACTGACTGACCTGCACTGCCAAGTTGTTCTTCTTGTTTACTAAGATCAGAACCACCAACAAAACCAATCACCACCTTTTTGCGTAAATCAGCCAACACTTGACGCATCTCCTGAGAAATGGTCTAATCAAGAAAAAGTCACCGCATCAGCCAACCGATTCAACAAGCTCACTTTATTACTCTTTCATCACTTACTTGACGCGCAGGAGTCAAGGTACCGTCTACGTCGAAAAGGACAATAGTATCAGCGTATTTGCGTCCAGAGAAATCGGTAATGGGAGACATGATTCAAAAGTGACAGTGTGGAATAGAAGTGGAACCAAAAAATCCGTCAAAAGCGTTCAGTTTGCTTAAAAATAATTCCATCGTCCACCAGCGACACCCAATGAGCGTCATTTTCGTGTTCCCTCCCGTGAAACTGCGACTTATTTTTAGCAATTTTTTTTTTCTTCACCCGTCATCTCAGTTTGAAGAACGGCTCTAAAATGGTTGATCTCACCTTGGCAATACATCATTGGACCCTCTTACCATGTTAAGCCACAATTCAGGTACACCTAATAAACAATATAGGCATCTATCATACTTCTTTATAAAATAGGAACAATGGAACTATCAGCTCATGAGCTATTGAAGCGATGTTGAAACATGTTATCATTTGTATATCCGATCATCCGAACAAAACGTTGTTTGATTTCTCTTTTTTTTTTGCAGATCATTTTCCAGTGGCAGCGATCCATCGGACTTGCTGTATTTTCGCAGATCATCAAAAAACGTCATTGAACACCGTCATCAGGAACAAAAAACAAGTCAGCCCCGCTGAATCTCATAGCTGGTACTCAGGCAACAGTCGGGTTGAAATGTAATGTAAAATGCACTAAAATTTCAAGGCACCTATTGTTTACCTTTTGAAACTTTGTCGCAAACTCTTTATGGCACGTCCAAGAGATATGGACACGTCGTGTCATAATTTCGAACGAGGCCACTGCCACGTATCACTATCGTATAGTTCTGCGCGAATCAGGAATGACTCTCTCTTACAGAAAAAAGAACAGATGCATGACGGAGAGAAAATATTCGGTATGTATGCTGCACATGCCTTTCAAAAAGTACAAAGTATAAGCATATTTCAATTGTAACTCCAACGGACTTTTTAAAAGCAATCCTCTGTTAGTTCATTTCGTTGCTGTAAACTCAGTCCAAGGCCACATTGGCAACTTTATTTGGAAACCCCGCCAAATTCAAGTCTATCTTCTTGTATGCAGAACCCACGCTTGATGTGTTACGTTTAGCAAAAGAAGAATATGCAAAAGGTTCAACCTAACGCATGCCCCTGCCCTTGTGCTTGGTCTTTTATTCTGCAGGGGTACTACAGTTGCATCCAAGGATGCTGCGCTCATCGTGAGTTAGATCCTGTAAAACTCATTAACCGAAACCCTCGTCCGCAGGATGAATTCATAACATCAGATCGACTGGTTTTTAAAGGGAAAAAAGTTAAATGAAGAGCTGGAAAGATGCGTAATTAATATATTCTTCGAAGCAAAGTTTTTTTGCTCAGATAAATTGCTTCTCTCTCCAAAAACAGTAATCACCATGAGCCAAATGATCTGTTCCTCGTTACACGACATGCGCTATTGGACAGGAAATGAATGAGAAATCCGTACAAGGATCGATGAAAACGGAAACCACAAGCCAACTTTTTTTTTCTGTGTGTACTCCAATTTGTCCATGGCTTTACGGTGCCACTGCCTTGCATTATGAGATCGCCCACCGACACGTCCAAAGTTTTAATCCCGCAGGCCCATTCTCAGTCCATGTTGCAAGTGTTGGCTGGTCCCGATCGCGACAGTGGTATTGCCACCGAAGCCGAGTCGGATGTGGACAACAACAAGGCGCCAGCTATTAAAGCGTATCCTTTTAGCGACGACGACGATCATGAACCCAAAGTATCCGGCAATGTCGCGCCGTGGACTCCGCCCGTATTCAAATCCAACTCTTACTACGTTAATCAAGCCGATCAAGCGGTGGTGGCTGTGAAACAGCTGGTCAAGGACGATGGGTGGAAAAAAGCGCTTAAACACAAAAGTGGCGTCGTTGTTTATATGCTGCAAAAATCGTCCAAGGCCAAATCCGCCGTATTCAAGGGCGAAACTGTCATTCAAGGATTTTCACCCCAGTCCGTCTTTTACGTTGTGGGCATGCGCAAGCTGTGGGATGAACAGTAAGCCAAATGCGAATGGCTCATAATGATGGAACTGATGAAACTGAAGCATACTGTGAATCGACGTTGCTGTTAGGTTTGACCAAGGGCACTTGATAGAGAACCTCAACGAAACAACCTCCTTGACATACGAATCATATTATCCGGTCAATTCCTCAAGGTAAATTACCTCACCTTGTTGCATCTTTTTTTGCATGAAACGTGTTCCTGAAGAAGGTGGTGTTAAATAGAGCATACGATGTCACGGTGGTGGAAAAAATTGATTGTTCCAGTGATGGTGTGATTGTTTTTGCGTGCACCAGTGTAGAGACCTCGCAGGCCCCGCCAGTGCCGGGAAAAAGCCGGCATCATATCAAGGTACTTTGGCGCATAAATGCATATGCAAAGCCTAATACTGCTGGTTTTACTGAATGGGGATGATTCCAATGGTTTTGCAGTTGCAAGGATGGATATTAAAGCCGTTGCATACCAATCCGCCTTCCACCAAAGTGACTTTTATCACCGAGGAACGTGTCAAAGGGTGGATTCCCGGATTTACCAAAAAATCACTGGCCCGACGTCCGCTTGTGATTGCCGCCATTGATGCTTACCTCCAACGTAAAGCCGAACGATTACGGACGCAAATGAAAGAAACATCCGATGCTTCCCACCGTCGGCCATCGTACGCTAGTTCTACATTGCGAAAACGACCTTCCATCCTGTCATCGAGTCCACCTTCCCGTCCGTCTCCTTTCAGCAATTCGCATCCCGCACAAAGTTCACCCACCCTCGGTCCTTCAGCGCGTCGTGCTCGATTGTCACCCCAAAGTATCCTTAACCATCCACCACCCCCACGATTATCGTCTTTGCAAGCAGCGGGGACAACCACGACCCGTCCACCTTCTTCCGAGCGTCACATCAAATTTGCTGAAGCGGAAAAATCGTCCTCACTGACCGCTTCTCCTTCCATCCCTTCCTCGTCATTGACTCCTTCAGAGACATTAGACGACAAGAAAAGCAATGGAGCCACCACCGAATCTTCTACCAGTCATCGACTTTATCCACCGAGTCGACATCGTTCTGTGCGAAAGCAATGCATGGAAACCTTGAAACGACTGGCTTCCAGTGACCTGGATGAATGGAAACAGCACGGGGAACGGAATAATACCCAACTGTATTCCAAATCCGTTCAAGGATCGGCTTTGCCTATCCTACGTGCGGATGGCATGATCGGTAATGCATGGAGCGCCGAACAAGTGTGTTCGGTCGTGCAAAGCTTTGGTGCCCGAAAAGTATGTAAGTTGATGTAAACCGAACAGAAAAAAAAATGGATTGTCAATCGAGAGGCGGGTGATTTTAAATATCTTTTTTTTTCTTTCAGGGGATGAATTTTTCGAATCAGGGGAAATTGTGGAACGATTTTCACAAAAAGAGTACTTGATGCATACTCAGATGAAAAGCGTATTCCCTATTCATACGCGAGACTTTGCCTTATTGACGACGATCGAGAGCGATGCTATTTCTGGGACCATTCACGTGGCGAGCACCAGTGTATCGGATAACCTTGTTTTGGAAACCAAGACGAATATTCGAGGCCGCATGTTGATCTATGGTTGGGTGTTGCAACCGGAAAAGAATGACATGGGTAAATTATTAGGCATCAAGACAACATTTATATGTCATATGGATCTCGGAGGCGACATGCCGCTACCTCCCGCCATTATTCGATTACTGACCACCGAAGTCCCGGCTTGCCTGGACCATGTTCAGTGGTACCTCCGGCAACATGGATGTCCTCCCTATATTCGACGCGTGGCGGGCAAAGTGCGAGAGGAAATCTTTGATTCCAAAACAAAGACCTACCGCATCACATACACGGCCAAGCATGAACCTTCACGACAGCATCAAACAAATCGATTGCTTTGGTGTACGGATATTCGCACACATGCCAGCATGTATGCGAACGGGTACCACATTGTCACGCGACCATCGGATGGGGTTCGTGTGGAATTGAGGGCCGACCTGATGGGGATCCGAGTGTACACGGACAAAGAGAGTCTCGATGGACAACGAGTGGAAGTTCAGATAATACCCAACACTGAGTGTCCTCCCGGCCAAATCGCGCAGTTCAGTTGCAATGAACAACCCCTGAAGTTACCTCCCGGTATGGTCTGTGCGGGGTCGTCTGGCCCCCAAGAATTGGAAGAAAGCGACGATTTCCGCATTGAGAAAAGCCAGGCGTCCGAATCAGCACAACAAACAAGTAGGTGGCCCTCCGTTGAGCGAAAAAAAAAAGAGGAAATAGGAGTATTAATTTCACACATCGTAGTACATAACCTTCTGCCGCAGGCACTTTCAGAGAAAGTAAGAACAAGCATGATCCAGTTCGTGAAACGTTTCAGTTCATCAATCCATTCTAAATTTCTTTATTTTTTTTTCTTTTAGTATGTGCAGAAGGATCACAGTGTACTTGTTATTAGTGAAGAACTATGGTTTACGGGTCCCCAGCTATCGATCATGTTTCTATTAATGACCATCTGTTACTACATGGGCAAATTATCCTGTCGCTGCTGAGCATGGAACCCACAACCAATTCGTTCGTCCACTCAGCACATGAAAAACCAGGAACGGAAATCAAAGGGCCGAGTCAGCATACACATACCCACACATACCCACACACGAAACCAAGAATACGGCATTGAATGAGAAAACAAAAAAAAGGGACCAAAAAAAGAACCATACAAAGATGGAGAGACCACCTCCTTCTTCCCGTACTTCTTTATTTGCCCAAAAATAGCTTTCTAAGCAGAGAAAGACAGAAAAAAAGCGAGAGCGAGAGAAAGAGAGAAGTGCCCAAAAAAAAAAGAAGGCGTTTCGCTTTTATCTTACTTTATCGCCATTCCCGTCTTCCCCCCCCCCCCTTACCTTTCCCTTTACCTTTGTACCAAAACCGTTTCTACCTCTTTTTTTTTTTTTTACTTTTTTATTTTCTTGCAATCTTCATACCCACATGGTGAAAACTTCGCGTTCTCGATCACCGTCACCGACGGGTCTGGTTAAAGATGACCCCAATGTGGGGTCCACTCCTCGACACCCGCTTCATCGTTCCCATTCATCATTGACCCCATCGTCGTTTTCTTTTATATCTCGTCCTACGCAACAGAGCCTCAGCCAAAAATTGAAAACGGCTCTCCCCTTTTCTCGCTTTTATTCCAATACACTCACGGTAACTACCGCCAGTGATCCGTTGCTACCATCCCTACTGACGGAACATGGGTCCCTTTTTCACTTGCCGCAGCCTATCGTTCTATCTTCCTCAACGACCCGACCTCGTTATCCCAGCGGGAAACTGTCCCTGACTCATCCTCGATTCCACGCCGACTTGCCAGAATCCACTACGGCCCCGATATCCAAATACACAGCGACCATTTCTCGGCGGCGGCGTTCCGTCGACGCTCTCAATATTGTCCATGATGTGTATCGGTGTATGTTCAAGGTCACACTAGATACCAAAGGAAGTCTAGGTACATTTTTCCGTCCCAAGAAAAAGAAAAACCTCCTTTACCCACTTTATCCATTGTGCTCATGAACTTCCTTTTTCCTCACACCTAGCGGCATTATGTTATTTGCCTACACGACATCGAAAAATGGTGGAATTCTATCACACGGTAAGTATCACTTGTCCACAGAAAATGTACAAGACAGTGGGTACGGGTCTTTTTCTGATTCACGATATAAATTAGGAAATTCCGCCAGAATTTCGGCATCAAGGGGTGGGCGATCTGTTGGTGAAGCAGGGATTTCAGTGGGCTGAAGAGTCCAATTTACTGGTCATTCCTACGTGTACTTTTGTGAAGCGACATATAGAATGGTCCGGTCAACGACGGGCATGTATTGTACGTGACGAGGAAGAGGGGACCCTTCGATTACAAAATAACCATTCCAAGAGTGATCAAAAATAAAAACCAAGGACATACCCATCATGGACGACTGGAATCGTCGCCATTTTCATCCATGAGACATATCGCTTTGCACATCAAAATTATTTTTTTTGAGCCAACCCTGATTCATGATGGCTCACTTTTCATGTTATGCTCGAAACCGTCACACCTTCCTCGCAACATATACAATCAGATGACGAGATGGATGATCTCTTTTCTTTTTTTTTGATACATTGTTTTGATATGGAACCGAAGGCTCCGCGACAAACTGTAGTATCTCGAACTATTGCATCAAAGTGTAGCATCCAACAGCTCCACTTATTCACGTAAGCACTACGTTATAGGCGCTGTAGGCGATATAGGCATTATAGCCTTTTGTTAGGTCGTTTGACTGGGTTATCTAGCCACGATAGCTAAGGTTACCGCGTGCTTGGATAGTGTCGTTTTTTTTTCATCTACACAATCCCTGTTTCAAATGATCTCCCATCATGTGATGGATGATATGCTACAAGGTAATCCATCGATTCAAAAACTCGTGCGTCTTGCTGATAGAAAGGAGTCTCTGGCCTCCAACCACTGTGGCTCGAAGACTTTCATGCATTGAGTTGCAAAGAAAGAAAAGCATCCAAAATGAGGCCATTGCAGGAATTAAACAAAATAAAAAGAAAGGTGCCATTTTCAATGAACGTCCCGTCTTGGAGGTCCAAAATCCAACACGGTAACAAAAAGGTGGATATTTTTTTTTCTTTTCGCTGGTCGCCAACAGTTGACTGGAAATATCATATTCTCAATGATGACTAGTCATACGCTTGCGTGCCACAAAGAATAGCGAAAAAGTTCTCCACTGCAATGCTATCAGTCGATATTATTTCGAGAAAAAGATTCGCGGCCTTACTGATATATTCTCCTGTTTGTCCAAACACGTCTGGTCGCAGTTCATGTCGTATTGTCCGAGAGAACCAAAGGTATACTGTATGATATGTAACGATCGCAGTAGCTCGTTCACGCCGAAAATGACAGATACATACTCACTGATTCATTATCACAACACGCACTCCACGTGTATTGGTCTCTTCCATATTCGCGACAAGAATAAACAAGGTAGGTCGTCTTTTTTGATAAAGGGGCCCAACAGCCAAACCCAAACAGACACCCAAAAATAAAGATAATTAAATTTTTTTGGATGTTTTATTTTTGGGTGCGGAGAAGAAAAATTATTTGGAGCGAGTTTTTTTTGCGAGGGCAAAAACGGTTTGGCAAGTCGGTCCAGGTGACACAAAGACAAAACAAGAAGTCAATGAGCTTGCTGTTGCAATTCTTGGCCAGCTTGTTCCTCCCATCATGACCTATACCCATTCCTCTTTACCCTCACTAGATCCTTCCGTTGCCATTCACCACGTTCCCGAACACATGGACACTACACATACACATCACCGTCTCATCGACCATGTCCCGTGTACAGACCAAGGAACAACAGCACTGCCCAACGACTTGCCATCATCAGATCAACCGACCATCCGTACCACCAGACCATCGTCAGACAACCCCACCATTCGACGTGAAGGATCCAGAAAGTCGCGGGTCCAACGAATACATAACTATATAATTCACCAAAAAACGCTGGGAGCAGGAAGCATGGGTAAAGTCAAACTTGCAGAGTGTATCACCGATTCACATCATCAAAAGGTAATATACAACTTTTTTGTATCAATTTGGGAAAGGCGGATGGGTCAAGGATGATCTCATGACCAACCACACTTCTTTGATTATTTGTAGTATGCGGTTAAAATCATGCCCAAAGTGGATTTGGCCGTCCTTGGCGCAGGGGAGGAGGAATCGGCAGGCAAGGATCCGAAAGATGCACCCAGAGAACGTGAACTGCGCACGATACGAGAAATGGCTATTATGCATTTATTGCGTCATCCCAATATTTGCCAGTTGAAAGAGTGGATTACGGAAGGCGATCAGTATTACATGTTCCTGGAATATGTCGATGGCGGTCAACTGCTCGATTACATTATCAGTCACGGAAAACTACGAGAGAAGCAAGCAAGAAAATTTGCCCGCCAGATCGTGAGCGCATTAGGTATGACGACGACGGATCGCCACACGCCCTATCGGAAAACAACGTTTTTTGGTTTTTTTTCTTTGTCTCACCATCCGTCCATTTTTATTCTAGATTATTGCCACCGCAATTCCATTGTGCACCGAGGTAAGATAAATAATTTTTAAATGAACCCCCCACGCCTCCACTTGCCTGTTATCGCTAATCGTCTTGTTGTCTCCATTTTTTTTTTTTTTTTTAGATCTAAAAATTGAGAACATCCTTATCACGCAGGACGAGGAAATTAAAATTATCGATTTTGGGTTATCCAACATCTACTCGCCCAATCGACTATTAAACACTTTTTGCGGCTCGCTCTACTTTGCTGCACCGGAATTACTGCAAGCCAAGCATTACACGGGCCCGGAAGTCGATGTGTGGAGTTTTGGTGTCGTTTTATACGTCCTTGTCTGTGGACGCGTACCGTTTGATGATACCAGTCTGCCGGCGCTACATAAAAAAATCAAAGCAGGACAAGTCGAATATCCAGAGCATCTCAGCAAAGGTAAGCAGTAAAAAAAAAAAAGACGTTATGAGGTGCTCCTATGAAAAAATTGACGCGCCATGAAATTCTCGACCGGTCCATTTTTTTTTTTTTTTTTCGTTCATAGATTGCGTGGATTTATTGTCAAAAATTCTTGTGGTGGATCCTGCGCAACGTGAATCGTTATCGTTTGTACGTGATCACCCGTGGATGAACAAAGGGTACGATGAACCGATTTGCAACCATTTACCTCATCGGCAACCTATCCAATCGATCGATATGGAAGTCGTGGAAGGTATGCATGGATTTGGTTGGGGTTCGCCAGAGGATATTCGCCATCGGCTGGAACAGATCTTGTCGTCGACGGAATATCAATCCGCGGCAGCCCAAGTGGAACGAAATTATCATCTACAGCATACCGTGCCTTCGTCTAGTCCTTCACGTTGGCGACGCACAGGGTCCATTAAACGATCACAACGACAACAGCAGATATCGGACGACCCGCAATCATTGCCAGCCATGTATGATCCCCTGGTATCCATCTATTATCTCGTCAAGGAAAGAAAGGAGTATGACGAAAGAGCACGACTCATTCGCACCATCAGTCCCGATCTTGCATCGCTCGATTCAATACCTGCTACCGCGCCTCGTCTGAGCCCGGAACTCAAATATGGCGGTTCGCTTTTGCGACGAAAGACGGATCGTACCGTGAAATCCGCTGATCGAGAACCCGCCATTTCCAGGCTGGCCACTCGGCCTCTCAGTCGTGCCAAATCCGTTCAGAACCCAACCGAACGTCCATCCAAACTGCTGGAACGAAGTAAAAGTGCCGCCAAACGATTCGGATCCATCCTTGCAAGTCACTCTCCCTCCTCGGATGACAAAGATCGCTTGGAAGTACCCACACTTTCGCCCGCCTCCTCTCTGTCAGCTCCTCTGAAAAAGACGTTCAACTTGTTACGATCTCAATCACTCAGCGATCGAAAACGCGACCGTTTCGCCAAAACGGAACCGTCTCCACTGATAACTCGCGAAAAAACAGCGATGGATGGCCATCGATTCAATGCTGCCAACCATGCACCCACCACGCACCCCCGTTTCATTGAAGATGATTTTGGTAACCCTCCTATGCGATTTTTTTGTTAATTCAATACTGACCTTGTCTTACGAAAATAGTGACGGCAATGGTTACATCGGTGACGACCGGTTCTGGCAGTTCAAATGAAAAAAACGAACAGGCCCCGAAAGTGGGAGTTCATCCAAAAAGTTTGTTTAACTTCAATCGCAGACATCTGTTCCGGGTACGAGCTTCCGATATGATGGCAGAGCTGGCACGATTGTTTCCTTCCCTAGAGATTATCGCGCACCAAGCTACCGATGAACCTTTTACGTTTGATTGCGTATGCCCGTACCCCACGTGGCAAAAGTTTTTGAAAATCCTGGCCGAAGTCGATGTCCACACTCAGGAACCGGCAGGTCACGAAAATGAATCTCCTAACGCTCCGTCGGCAATGACAGAAGACCGAGAACCACTCAAGTTTACCGTGATGATTTATCAAGCGCGGTGGGCCGGTGGTCGATTAGGTATCAAAGTGAAAGAAGCCGAAGATGAAGCCACCAAGGCCACCCTGCGGGCGAAAGCGTATCGAAACATCTATCACACTCTGCTGGATGAACTCGGTAAAAAGAGTTCAGCCTAATGCTACCAATTTCTTTTTATTCGCTAGATACATCTTGATATACCTTTTTCTACCTGTAACTGTACTAGTACCATCTTACTTTATATATTTTATCACAATCCCAATATCTCGTCCATTGTCCATTAAAAAAACCCAGAACAGCTTGAATTCCTGTCAATTTCAGTGGAACTCCGCCAATCCACAATTTTCTTATCAATGCCCCCATTTCCCAGTTGAGTGATTTTTTTTTTGTTGTGCCTTTTTTTTTGAACCGTTCGGGTATTCCTGTCACTCACCATGAATGCTGGGTCGACTGAAATTATGGTCTGTACCAAGTGTCGGGAAGGCTGCAAGAATACGTATCGTCTTGTCGTCCGGTCTCGAGTGGACGCACCTGGCCTTTTATTCCACGCTCATCGCGACGATTCTCTGCAAGCGATCCTCTTGCGATTATGCGATCAATTTCCGCGAGAATGGTCACGCAACGTTGTATATTATTTTTACGTGGATATGGGAGGCACCTACTACGAGACTGAGGATGCATTCTGGCTCAGAGGTGAGTTTGGGCGAGTTACGTTCGTGAAACGTCCCAACCTGAACGGCAATGTAGACAAGGATCAGCTGCTCGTGAGTCCGACAGAGGATGTCTCTTTGCTGCCGGACGTGAGTTTGAATGCAGGTACGAATAAAGCTATATCGATCGCCTGGTTGGTTCCTGATATCTTACTGAATGTCCACAGTTCATGCCAGTCTTCGGCCGGATATTGAGTTACGAACGCATCAAGAAGAAGGTGTGCAACGAATGATACGTATGGAAAGAATGTATCGCGGTGGCATTTTAGCGGACGATGTAAGGAACCGAGTGTGAATGGAATGGCCCTGAAGATTTTGCATCACTGATCACGACAAAAATAGATGGGTTTGGGCAAAGTAAGCAATCGGATAAAATGTGGCAATAGAGAACCTTGTGAGTAGTAATTGGACTGGCAACAGACATTGCAAATGTTATGTGTAATGATGCGACAGCAGCCCAAACTGAATATACGAGCACCGACCTTGGTCGTGGTGCCATCTCGGGGTGTAAGTAGATCCTGCGGAACAATAGGGACCCGGGGGCAAAAAAAAAAAAAAAAAAAAAAAAAAAAAACTACTCACTATACAATGCCTATTAAAGGTGGCAGAACAATGGGCAGAGGAAATTCGCACCAAAACCACCTACGGATCGTTACCTTATTTTATTTATGGCGAAGAAACATGCTGTCTGTTGGAACGTAAGTCAGCCAGGCTCGTTGACAGAGGAAAAATGGGGGAATATTAACAGCCGTCCATTGTCACAGAATCCTTCTTTCGTGTAGTGATCACCACATACGATCGATTGAGAGCGGAATATAAAAATCGCCATTACACAAACGCCGTCTCTCCCTTGATCGACACCGATTGGCATCGCGTTGTGCTGGGTATGACCCTTCAGGAAATTTCGTGAGACAGCAGGTCCTAAGTTTTCTTTAGATGAATCCAACAAAATAAAAACGTTGCGATCGCTCGTCACTGAATCGGTCCTGGAACTCAAGTCTAAATATCGATGGTGTTTGACCGGTACTCCTCTTCAGGTAAGCGACAACGATCTGCTCCCTGCTTTGCGACTTGACAATGTAAGAAAACTCAACTGAGCCTGATCTTAGAACGAGCTTTCGGAACTGTACCCGATCTTCCAATTTCTTGACATAACTATTCCAAAGTCGATGAGACAAGACGTGTCCTATATGACGGAATTGTTGCAAAAACATATGATTCGTCGTACCAAACAAAGATTACAGTCTACCTTGTCCATTCTTCCACGTCAAGAGCAGCGTGTCGTATTGGAATTTTCACCAGCGGAAAGAGCTTTGTACGATTACCTCGAACGGCTGCTGTATCATCAGATCTCCAGGTGGCGAAACTCCAATCAAGAGGAAACAGCACGAACTGCTTCTACTTTGTTGTATTTACGTCTTAAACAAGGTATACCGCAAAGACAATGCGTACCCAGAGAACATCTTTTTGCTCAATTGCTTTCTTTTTATGGCACAGCTTGTAGTCATCACCAACTGTTATTACGCAAATTCCCGGATCTTATTCCTACCGTACAACAAGGCGAGGATATGGTGTGTGAAACCTTGGGCATCACCGCAGGCGAGGAGAATGAACGAGCGTTTGAAAATGATGGTGACTTGGCGGAAGTCTTTGATATCATTGAAAGCTTCTAGTAAGTGTGATATAAAATTGGCTTGCCCCCTTCTCAGCTTTGACCGACCCTACTTTTTTTCGCAACTAGTGATCAATTTGCATCGGTGGAAAATATGCCGGATTTCGAGGCATTGCAGCAACTACCGTTTATTCAACATTCCACCAAAGTCGCTTGGCTCATTGGTTTTCTCAAAAAGACGCTCAGCGCCAGTAATACCGACAAAATTGTCGTTGTCACCCAGGTAAAGAAAAAAAATGACGAGGTTCACTTTCGCCGACACCATCCTTACTGACAAATCGATAGTTTGCCGATTTCTTGCAATTGATATCTTCTGTTCTTTCATCGATCGACATTAAACATAATTGCTGCAAGTGTTCCCAAGATTTTCCATACCATCTTGCAAAAAAAAAAAAAAAAAAAATACAGGGACTGATCCTTGCGCTGTTTTGACTTTATATAGACCACGGTGATATGTCGAATACGTCCAGAACGATCAGTTTGCGTCAATTTAATCACAATGCCGAAGTTCGCGTGATGCTGTTATCATTGAAAGCGGGCGGTGTAGGCCTGAATCTTCAAAGAGCAAACTATATGGTCCTACTTGACCGATGGTAAGTGACCGCCGTGGGATGAGCCAAACAAATTGACTGATGGTATTCTAAATCCGTAGGTGGAATCCAGGTATTTGGCGAAGCTTCATCATAACCAATTAATCCTCTAGCTTACAAAACTATCTTCTTACACTTTTTCGTAGCCACCATGGGTAAGTTGAGTGAGGGTCTTGATACACTTGTGTTTTTGTCATCTAACAGTAGCGACATAGATCAAGCTATTTCACGTATTCATCGAATGACACAATACAAGCAGACATTTATTCATACAGTGGTGATCAAGGATACTCTGGAAGAAGATTTAATGGACAACATTTTACAGAAAAAGGTAAAAGACGATCCTCAGATTCTTTATCAATGTAAAACGAACAAAGAAAAGCGGATCCTGATCATTTGAATTCGTAAATATAGAGCAAACTATTCCAATCTGTTGTTGATAGAATGGACGATCTTCAACAAGAGGAAGCAAATGCGACTTAACAAAAAAAAAAAAGGCATAGGTTATTGCATTTGGCTTCAAGGACAACCTGTCGTGAACCAAAAAAACATTCGCTTCTTTTGTAGTATAATCATGGCTTCTTTTGTTGTATATAATGTAGATCTCATTCCTCAGCATAATTTGTTCCCACAATTCCCGATTTCAGAAACAAATAAAAAACAAAAATAAAAAGAAAGGCTTTCCACCATCTTACAGTCGTTCGAAAGGTGGCGCTGTAAGTAATCTTGCTTTATAGACATCAAGATGTAACATGGTCCGTTGCTTTGTCTGTCATGGACATTGCCACTGCACTAAAAATTTCTATGATATATAATTGCAATCTGTTTCTGATGAGCTGTTGTCTGCTTTTACTGATATCATACAAGAGCCTGACGGTCAAGCGATTTATAAAATGATAAAGTCTTCAAGTTTGTAACATAATATCACTGACAGTCAATTGGTCCTCTTCTGGTAGACTGTGTTGAGCATCCATGTATTGGTTCAGACAACTCATAGGGTCCGCAAAATCTATGGTTTTGGTATCCGTGAGCAAACAAGGGTTTTGTCATCTCATGGTATAACTCGAGCTTACCAATGCTCTTGGCGGGATTGCAGTAACAACGCTTGAGCAGGTTTTCCTGATCCGGGCAACGTTCGTACTCGGCATGACGGTAGCCGATATCATTAAAGAAATGAATTTGCTCCTTGTGCAAGAACAACGCTACGAAAATTGAATGCACTGGCGCATCACCCCATCTAAAAATGTGTGCAATATAAGGAGCATGGTTCTCTTCATTGACATATGGGTGCGACATACTGACCTTTCATAGAAGAATCCACCGAGTTGGTCCAAGAAATTAAAATAGTCTTGGTAAGCTTGGGTGTGCCACAGGTCTACACGAGCAATTTCAAAATTGGTCCAGAAATGACACATGTTGTATTCCTCGGCGGTCGGACTGGTGATGAATCGATACAATGAGTCGCTGGCGGGACGTGAGAAATACCGGTTGCCTTTGCTGTGAGACAAGCGCACAAATTCTTTGACAGCACTCCATAAAGTGGGAATCGTGCCACCATGCTCGATAAAACTAATGGTAAAAGCTGTCGAAAAAATGTGAGAAGTTGCGCCCTAACTATTGCAAAAGAAAAGGGGATAGGTTGGATTGTACCATACTGTTTGTTGTTTTCTTTCATGTACAAGAACGGGTCATAGTCGAGCTCACAGTAAAATCGTACCCAAGGTTCAACCCGCCAGTAGTATTCCCATCCGAGTTCAAGAAGCATGGGATGGCGCCAAAAGAAACCGCTGTATGTTTTACAACATGTGAAACCCGCTCTCTTTTCTCCTTTTTCGTAGATCTGTGTCGCTTTACCTTTGAAAACGGCACATGTGACGGTAGCTTTCACTGTCACCATAAGGCAGAGATTCGAGTAATTTTCTTCCTTCTGCTGCCAATGTTTGGTTAATGTGAGGTGGGTATGACCACATGGAACTGTCCACCAGTGCGTAATAAGTTTTGGCGTTTGTTATTTCTGAGGTACGTGCAATAAACTCGTCGGTGAATGGTTCATCGTTTAGAAAAAGCCAAGGATAGTTGTACTTTTTATTAAACCGTTCCTCTGTGAGTTGCAAAAAATGATCAGTGTTCCGTTCAATCGGCTGAAAGCATTCTTTACCCTATTTTATCTAGTGTTTTACCCATATCACGCATGGACGAAAGCATGCCAATGAGTTCATTATTTCGCACCAGGCTGACGAACCCGGCTTTCACACGTTGCGTCGTATTTCCAGGTGCAGGAAGCTGAATCACCATTTGTTCGGGATTATGGTATGGACCGATGGTGTAGGAAGACGGTTGATCTGCGTAAGATGGATTGTAGGGGATACGTATCTGAGGGCGACGATGGCCAAAGGATGGATTCCATCCTTGCGGATTGTTGAAGTGACGATGGGCCACGTACACGAGCGAACCAATAACGTACAGAAAAATCACACCTTGCAATATCAGGCATGAGTAACGTTTGGTCAACACTGCCATGATGATGAATTTGCAAAGACGTGAATGCGACAAGGGAAAAAAAAAAGAGCCGTCTGTGTTCTAACGATGCATGCGGATCAGCATCGTTTTATTATCTTTATGACAATCATTCACCATCGTCAATCCAATGAGATGCATGCCCTGAGGTTCTCCCGCATAATTATTTTTTTTTAATATGGGCAAGTCTGAGATATGTCCTTTTTGAATTTTTATGTATTTCACTTTTTTTTTTTTTATTTGTTTGTATAGAGTCTGAATGTTCGCTTTCGCTTTATTACTATGCCTCAATTGAGTCCTGACGAAGGCGCCTTTTCGCCCAAATTGTATCATGATGGCAAGAAATACGCCCGTGTCAGACGACGTACGCTGTCGGTCCGTCTCACGGTCTTCTTTCTATCGGCTGTTCTGTTGATGCTCTACCTTCGTCATCGAATACCAATGTCTCAATATCGGAACGATCCTTTTGAATTACCAGATATGGAAGCCAGTTTGAATGATCAGGACCGACCATCTTTGCCCCATCCACTGGAAACGGACTCTCGTACCACGGATTTATCGGATAGCGGCGACTATCCTCGTCACTTGCCATGGATCCGACCAGCTCCGGAGGTGGAGCATGAAAAGGTGCATAATTTGGGTCCTTACACTCAAGTCGATGACAGCATTCCTATGCAAGTATGGGATCATTTACCGGTCCGCGGTGCTTTCTACATGGTGGTGCGCAAGGAAAATCTGGTTCAAGCGCGCATGACCCTCAGGAATCTTGAAGATCGATTCAATCGGCATAAGCGCTATCCCATTATTGTACTCGGCAATCAGTATTACTCTGACAAATTTCGAAAATATCTATCCAAAGCGACAGAATCGCCCATTTACTTTGGAAAAATCGATCCTTTGGTATGGGATTATCCTGGATGGATCGATATCTCGCAAGCCGAAGAAAGCATGCAATTCATGAGCATCTACCGAATACCCAATGGTGACAGCTTGGCCTTTCGTCAGACATCCAGGTAAAAATTTATTCTTGGAAAAAAGAGAAGAAGTTGGCCACTGGCGTTATCGAAAAAGACGCTGCAGCTTTTTTATATTTATCATCGACCTTTTTGTTGTTGTTGTTTTTTAGATATCATGCTGGATTTTTCTTTCATCATCCTCTGTTTGCCAATGTTCAGTATACATGGCGCATTGAACCTGGATCGGTATATACTTGCGAAATGGAGACTGATCCGTTTCAATACATGTACGATCACAAAAAAGTGCTAGGTCCGTTCGTGGATGACCGCTATGAAGAAAGCAAACGAATCTCATAATGACTTGTTATAATACAATAGGGTTTACGCAGAGTCAAAAAGAACATCAAGATACTATGCTCAGCTTATGGTTATTTACCATGGAATTCATGAAAAAATCATCCGATTTGGTGCTTCCAAGAAACGAGACAATTATGCCGTGGATGGTGGATGAAAGTAACCACTACAATCGATGTGTTCTGTTATCGCAGTTCCAAATCGTGGATCTGTCGTTTTTGCGATCGACCGCGTACCAAAAGTATTTTGCCTTTTTAGACCGTAAAGGAGGGTTTTTCTATGAAAGGTAACCAATCTCAGAATAATCCAATGGGCTGCCTTTTTTTATTTTCATTTTAATGAAATTGCGCTATAACAGATGGAGCGAGGCCCCGGTGATTACGATGGCGGCAGCCATGTTTTTGAAAAAGGCGGAAATCCAATTCTTCAATTCTATTGGTTACATGTATGGTGATGTGAGCCATTGCCCTTTCAGTTTGAACACTTATCAACAATGCATGTGCGATATACGATCCAGTTTTGGTAACTTTTTTTTAATTAACATTGTTCCATCACGAAACACAGGGGGGGACTGAATAGCAGAAAATTTCGGATAGATTTCCATACAGCCAGCTGCACGCCGTCCTTGTTGGACTACTTGGATGATGATGAATCGATGTATGAAATCACAGACTTTTTAAGATACTTGTTCCTCGATCCTGCTCTAGCCCATGCCGAACATATAGAACCATTGTCTGATTGATCGTTGTATAGACTTTTTATTTTTATTTTTATAAATTATGTCTTTGGTTCCAACCGCCAAATTTGCATTCTTTTTAATAGGAATGGTGGAATAAAGAAAAAAGAAAATGAAAAAATAGACGTCTAACCAACATTGGTTCCTTTTCCTCTTGTGCACTCACCTTCTTTTTATTCGTCTCGCTCGTTTTACTTATTTTACTTATTTTAATTTTTTTATTGGCCTTTGTTCCCCCATTCACCCATCGTTTTTGTTCATTTTGCATCGATTTTTGCATACCATAGGAAAGAAGACCTCATTGCAATGTTTCGACGTTCAAAATATTGTTCATCACGGTGGAAGTTTCGCATTATTGCATTTCTGATTGTGTTGTTGGGTGGCAGTTGGTTCTTGATACTTCGTGCTGGCGATCGTTATTCTATTGGATGTTCCTCTTCCAATGAATGTTACCAATTGTTGATGTCCAAGGCTCGAGAAATCGGCCAAAATGGCATGGAATATCTTCCTGCTCAGCTGCATTCGCCAAAAAAGCCATCCAATCCCGCGCCGATTAATCATGTCATTTCCAATCCAGTACAACAAGAAGCGGGCTTATCGCCCAAGAATTTCATTGTGACCCCCACGCGTTCACCGGAACAAGAAGAATATGATTTACTGACCGATGTCACGGCGCCTCGTGTCAAGGCCGCATTTGTCGTACTGGCCAGAAATTCCGAAATCCGGCAATTGCGTTCGTCCATGCGTTACTTGGAGGATCGGTTCAATCATAAATACAATTATCCGTGGATCTTTTTGAACGATGAACCATTCACAGAAGAATTCAAGAATCTCAGCAAAGAAATGACCCAAGCCGAAACACAATATGGATTGATCGCCAGAGAACATTGGAGTTATCCTGATTGGATCAACCAGACCTACGCTGCCGAATGCCGGCAAAAGTTGGTGGATAACAATGTCGTGTATGGAGGAAGTGAGAGTTATCGCCACATGTGCCGGTATCAGTCGGGCTTTTTTTATATGCATCCGTTATTGGACGGCCTGGATTATTACTGGTAAAGAAAAAACTTGAGATTGGGCCACACATAAAAGTTCTAAAAAATGAAAATTGGATGATTAGGCGTGTTGAACCTGGTGTCAAGTTTTCATGCGACATTGATTACGATCCTTTCCGTTTCATGCAAATGCATGATTTGAAGTATGGTAAGTCCAGGTCCCGTCGTACCGTTGAAGCTCCAACATTCCGATACTAACCACGACCACGGTAAAAAGGATTTACGATTGCTCTTGAAGAGTTGGAAGCGACCGTACCTACCTTGTGGGACGAGACACTCCGGTTTTTTAAAGCGCATCCGCAATACTTGTATCCACGAACCCGTCCCGACAGCTTGCTGAATTTTGTCAGCGATGATAATGGACGAACTTATAATCTGTGTCATTTTTGGAGTAATTTTGAGGTAATGGAAAATATCATGACAAGCGAATGAAAAAATGGAAAATTCATCTATTGTGTTGTTGTTCATGGGCTTGTAGATTGCTTCTCTAAAATTTTTACGTTCACCTGGTTATCAAGCCTACTTTCGCCACTTGGATGACGCTGGCGGCTTCTTTTACGAAAGGTAAAAATTCCTTATTGCCGCGCATACCATTGGATTTGATGATTTAATTACGACAACGCTCCGTCTAGATGGGGTGATGCTCCGGTGCACTCGCTAGCGGTGGCTCTCATGCTGGGTTCCAAGGATGTACACTGGTTCTATGATATTGGTTACAAGCACGATACTTTTGAACACTGCCCATCCGAACCCAACTGGCTCTTGCATGGTAAATGTTATTGCGACCCAGAGTTCAACTTTGGTAAGTCCTTTTTTTCTCGTCCAAAAATAGGATATAACGCTACGTTACGAATTTAAAGCCGTGGATTAATTTTTTCTTTTTTTCTTACTTTCCTTCAAAGATCTAAACGGTGGTAACTGCGTTCCAAGATTTTTGGCCACGACAAACCGAGAAAAGACGAGTTATATTGTGCTTCAAGAGGAAAAAGAATAATAATAATAATAATCTAATGAATTCATCCAATAGTAATTATAAAGCCCCATCCACACCCGTTATCCGGGTTTCCCAAATAATAAAGTCAGCGTAGAATGAAATTCTGGCAGGAAAGAAGTGTGGCTTGTTTGAAGGAGTTTTGGAGGCCAGTGGAACCCCACCGGAATCCCACCGTCTTGGTCTAGTCCCGTCGTTTCTTTCTCTTTTCGTTCATCACTATGCCTGTGCCAACCACTCAGTTTTCCTGTAAGACTCGACTCTCGTCTCAAAACTCACTTGATGAATTTTCAAGTCAACAGAATCCTAATCTTCTCCATGTATGGTAGATCGATCTGCAAAAGAATTGACCGTTTGGAGCGGTTATCCCGAATATCAACCCATCAAGGGATTCGAAAAGTACGTCCAGCCTTTCTCAACCCATCATGCTTTCGCCTATTGGATGAAATGCGAGTATTTTTAACGCTCTCTTTTTCTATTCAGACCCGAGACCACCACAAAAACCTTCAAATACAGCAAATATGGTCACGTCTATGCCTATGCCACCAACGAAGGGTAAACTATCGTTGTGCATGCTGCGCTGCCTGTTGAGGCATTTTCGCTTCTTGTTCTCGTTATTAATATCATGACATTTTTAGTGTCAAGGTCTATGATGCCGAGTCCTTGGTACAACGTTGTGACATTAAACGAGCCAATGTTGTGGATCTTTGGCTTTCCCCTCAAGGCAACTACATGGCCACTTGGGAACGACCCAGTAAGAATCGCGGAATGCACCAAGCGGAGGAGCCAGTTTAATTAAATCATGGTCTCCAATTTTTTTTTTATCACTTAGCCAAACTCGAAGATGGCTCGGGAAGTCGTAACTTGATGATTTGGGATACCAACACAGGAGCGGAGATCGCGTCCTTCTCACAGAAATCACAGAACAGCTGGTAGGTTGGCACCGCACGAACTGGCTCACCCAGCAAGATTACAAGGAAAAAACTCATATGTTCTCGGTAGGAATTTCCAATGGACAGATGATGAAAAATATTGTGCCCGCATGGTCACTGGTGAAGTCCAGTTCTGGGAAAGCAAAAATGCTGGCAAAGGTAATTTTCTTATTACATTAGATGATGACCCGTATTTCCTTCCGACGCTGAATTGTGATCTATTCTCCATCCAGCCGTTTGGGCTCGATTAAAGCTTGACGGTGTGGCGGAATTCTCCCTAAGTCCCGGCAAAGCACCAGCCGTGGCCGTGTTTATCCCTGAACGCAAGGTAATGAACAGTTCTTTTATTTCCTTACAGTTTGTCTAAATGTGTGTGTGCCATATGTAGGGAGCCCCGGCCATTGTTCGTATGTACAGTATTCCCAGCTTCAATCAACCCGTCTCCAACAAGACATTCTACAAGGCTGATCGCGTGCAAATGTTCTGGAACGATCTCGGTACCAGTTTGCTTGTGTTGACACAGACGGATATTGATAAGACGGGCAAATCATACTATGGTGAGACCAACCTTTACTATCTTGCCGTTGCTGGTAACTTTGATTGCCGTGTACCTTTGGATAAGGAGGGTCCCGTGCACGATGTGACCTGGGGTCCCGATTCCAAGGAATTCGTCGTGGTGTATGGCTCCATGCCTGCCAAGGCCACCTTGTTCGATCATCGTGCTAACCCGGTTCACAGCTTTGGTATCAATCCTCGCAATTTTGTGCGCTACAATCCTCAGGGCCGTACCATTTGCATTGCCGGTTTTGGTAACTTGAACGGTACCATTGATCTGTATGATCGCAAGACCTTGAACAAGGTCAACTCATTCAGTGCCACCAATGCGTCTCACTGTGAATGGTCTCCCTGTGGTCGTTATCTCATGACCGCCACCTTGACTCCTCGTCTGCGTGTCGATAACGGATTCAAAATGTGGCATCATACCGGTACGCTGATCTACGAAGAAGCCGTCGATGAACTTTTCCAGGTCGGCTGGCGTCCCGAGCCGGCGTCCAAATATCCCATGCGTTCTGTTTCTCCTGCCCCGGCTCCTATCAAGGTGCTGCCTGCCTCTGGTCCAGCAGCCAAACCCGTCGCCGCCCCCGCCGGTGCTTACCGTCCTCCTCATCTCAGAGGTTCGGCCGCTCCCACCACTTTATCCCAGGTAATCTTGGTCCTCACTCATCTGGTCATTGCCCTGTTACTGATGTTTTCTTTCTTTTTTTATACAGAGAGAAGCCATGTTGACCACTGGCCGTTCTCCCGCTGGAAGCAATCGACGTATTCCTGGTGCCAAGCCCGGTAAGACATGATGTCCTGCGCATATTTTTTTTTATCTTTTACTCATTATGTTGATTTTCAATTTTGTCAGTAGCGAGTAAAAATGGTGGTAAATCGGCTGCGGCTCCTGCTCCCGCTCCCTCGGCTGCCAGTGCAAGTGCGATCACTCCCGAGGAAAAGCAAAAGAAGATTAGAAACTTGGAAAAGAAATTGCGCCAAATCAAGGAACTGAGAGAAAAACAAGCCCGAGGTGAAAAGTTGGAAGCTCCTCAGGTAAGTCATCGGCGGATAACGGGAACAAAAAAAAAAAAAAAGGAAACAATGCTCATTATATCGATGTCTATTGTAGCTTCAAAAGCTTAGCTCTGAAGCTTCCGTGATGAGAGAACTGGCTGCATTGCACAACAACTAAGGTGGAATGTAAATTTTTTTGGACAACGATAGAACTCACCCTTATAAATTTTGAGAAAAAAAAATAACCAAACGTTTTGTGTCTTGACGTTGGACATAATGTATTTCCAAAGAAGGGGTTATAGGATGATTATTTACAAAGAGGGCATGGCCCTAGTTAAAAGTGGATGAATGATGCATATGTACAGAGCTTGTTTTTCTAAGGCTGGTGAGGTTACTTGCACTTTTCTTTGGAAGCCAAGCCTGGAACTGCAAAAATATGGGCTATGGAAGATCGTGAAGCGCCGGTACGCCTGAGATGAGCAATGTCTGGCGGGCATTCGATATTGGCTGTTTGAAGCAGCACCGTTTTTTGCCTTTCGGTAAACGCTGGACACATGACGGCCGTTCGAATCAGCCTTTCCAACAAACTAAACATCACCTGAGCTTCATCTTTGGCGGTTTGAGTGGCCAACAACTCTGTGGGGGGAAAGAGGATTGGGTGAGCTTACATATGATTTCCTGTGGTCTTTCATGAGGGGGTTTCGTACCTGTGGCAGTTCTTAGCAGGCCGTAGATCTGATCTCGGGAAACTGTGGAAATCAAGTGCGGTTGATGCCATGGATATTTGATAACGATGCTAACAATATTTTCAAAGGGTCGTTCGACCGCCGTCTAAAGGAAAACCGTCAATTCCCGTCCACGGCTCTCGATGAACAGCCAATTGGCATGTATGATAGCTCACCTTGCTGGTTTTACAGGCGAGAAGCAGCAAGTTGATCTCTTGGCGTGTAATGATCGGCGCGATCGGCGATAGATCATCGTCAGTGGGTTGAGGTGGAATAATGGAGATCCCGGAAAATTGGCCCGTCCATTTTGGAAAAATGGTTTTCATGAGGTCCTCTTGGTTGCACTCGGTGACTGTGACTGTTCGACCCTTGAACTGTTGTTGATGTCCCAGTTGAATAGCGTGTTGGGCGTCCATCACAGTGGCAAATTCGACATAAGCGACAGGCAACGTCTTGCCCGTGTTTCTATCCATGACAATCTGTTGTGAAGAAGCTAATGAATTTCCTGTATCCATGGAACCGATAGACCTAATTGACTATTTACATGGATACACTGAGCATACCGAGAAGACGACGGCATACAGCACTTTTCAAAAAAGGCCACAATGTCAACTTGCATAATATCCCAAGGAATCTAGGATAACCTTGTTAATTTTTTTTTTCGTTTTCTGGATTTGCCCCCATCACGCTAAACTCACATTTTCGATTTTGACACATGGCCATTGAAGAGGAAAAGACGCCAGATTTTTCAATGTTGGATGGCTGCATGCCAGCGATGATGACGACGCAGCATTGGGTGTTTCAGGAACGTCGGAACTGACCGCAGCGTGATGCAAGTACGCCGCTTCCGAGTAAGAAACCTGGTTCTTTGGATGACCAACTACGCGTTATTATCGATTGCCGTTTTATGGACAAAAAACTCGTGCTTGGGATTTTACCTGTCGCGAAGCAATGGATTGGATGCATTTGGCACAGGACGTTTTGGATAACAAGGCGGGTAGCATGGTATCCGGACATACGGAGCAAATACGATGACCACACAATCGGTGAACAGTCTCTGCTTTCCGCTTCAGGCACACCAAACACAAGGTGTTGCTGGCGGAAGGGAGGCGACGCCAAAATGTGGCTAGTTACCATTGTTATTACACGTTTATTCAACGTAATATTGCTTAACGAATTTTTTTTTTATTTTTTTTTTACTTGTATTTTTGCTGAGAGTGGCGGGATTGGAAAGTGGGTGGATGGACAGGGAGGATGTCTGTGCGCCAAATAAGCTATAGAACGAATCGAACCGTTCAATAGAAGCTTTTTGCGACCATACCAAGCGCTCACGAGGGCTTGCTATAGTAATCAGTTTGTTTTTCAATCAATAAATGATTCTTCACAGAAAACCGCGAAATTCATTTCTGTTACCAATGCAGTACATAGTTGAACCCACCGTCATGTGTTGAGAGACGAACAATGTATTTTATTTTTCCTTTTTACGCTTTAAATAGACTGTCGTACTCATGACAACGTTGTGGAAAAACACAGTTCTGTAGCTAATGCATGCGCACAAACAACGCTTGATGTCCAATCCAACCCTTTTTTTTTCTCCTCCCGTGCCGTTTGAATGCCACGGTGGGGGGGGATTATTGTCAAGGTCATGGTATTTTTGTTTATTTGGAAACAAAAACACTTGCACATAAATTGAAGACACATACTCGAAGCATGTTATGGTGAGTTCTTTTTTTGCCATTTCGGGATGGAAATATTCCCATTCCAGGCAATGATTAGATTCTTTGAAGAATGTCCGTGCCGGTTTGAGGAACCAATTAATGCAGGAGTCCGGACAATGATCGGAATCACCCTCATCATTGCGAGCGTCATTGCACCGAAAAGAAATGGTAGATTGTTCCCAATGCAGTGATGTTGTTCCGGGTGGACTCCTTTTGCCAATAACATATCTTTATCGCTGCTTTCATTGAAAACGAAAGACCCAGGAATGGATGGTACAACGCTTGGAGATTTGAAACTTATTCATCGGCAGTGTTTTATTTCCGACCGCTTAATATTTATTATTTGAAAGGCCTTGACCCAATTTTTCAGCTGTCAGTCAACAGTCTATCCTAGTTCGCATATATCCTGTTGTAGGCAAATATGTTGGATGGAAGTCGTAAGGTGCATGCATCGTCGACCTCTGAATTTAATTACAAATACATTCTCGAGTCATCAACAAACAAAAGGGTATCCCAGGATATCTTTCAACAACCTAGGGACTACATAGCGTCCCAGACTTGTTGCCTGTTGCCTTGCTTTGTGACGTGCACCCTTTTTTTGATACTTGCGTTTCCACGTTGTGAACCCGTTATATCCGGTTCAAGTTTAGAACGACCAGCGATGCATGAATTTGGCGTCACGTAATTATTGAGCGATACACGTTCCTTAATAAAGCGAACCACACACACAGAGGATCGAAAAAAGCACTCAAGCAGCGAAATCAAGCTGTTTCTGAGACGTGGTTTAAGAAAAGCTTTGTTGTGAATGTTTGGGAAAGTATTACCGAAGCAACAAATCCGATTCCATAGTAATCTTGAAAATAACCAATGGCAAAATCGGAATCCGAATAGAGACTCTATCGCTTCTGTCAAGAATCTAAATGCGTTGTGTTTCCTTCAAGGTTCTTCAGCATAGAGGCAAGTAGTTACTGAGATAGTTTCCTCTCGCCTTTGATAAATGAGCATGAGCTGCTCATCTAACGATATAAGATTGCACGGATCGAATCCATAGATCCTTATTCTTTACTGAGCTTTTCCTGACCATTAGTGATGGTTGATAAGAACAAGATAAGAATGATGATGTTCCGATGAGTCCGGGTAGTACACGGTAATATAAAATGTGTCTTTACAGGAAAGAGGAGTATATTTTTATTTTCCATGCGATGATTTGGAATAAAGCAGAGCATATGTGAAATCAGGCAGAAAAGAATGGATGATAAAACAGCAGAATAAAGAGAGAATGACAAAACCCTCACCAAAGTAAAAAGAAAGAAAACAAAGAGCGATCACATGCCAAAAGAAGAAAAAAAAATATATTCCTTGATATAAGGCAGACTTCCAACTATTATGTAAAATAGCGAGTCAGTGCCATCAAGGTTAAAACAGAAGCCAAGAAGATAGAGAAATGATCTCTATGCCTGTGCCAGTATGGTAGTCATAAACACTACTTCGATCAAATCCACGATGCTGCTTATCGCTTGCCAACGAAATGGTCCTGTCCCAGTCTCATTTTCCATCCAATAGTGAGGCCTGCAGAGATGAGAGTAAAAAGGCCCGATCATTGACTCACGCCGCACGCCTGTGCTGATACACTGAACCTTGGTCCAGTCGCATATGGCCTACTGGGACGGAGAACCACAGCTGTAGAAGTGACACACACACAGATCAGACTTGGGCGGTGCTGGTATCCGGTTACGGTAGGTAGCAAAGGGGCGTGCTGGCGAAATGGAATTTGGTTAAGCAGCAAGAGTGCAAGGCATACTTGACCGTCCAGATCACCATCCTACTTTCCCATAACCGATTTCTCCACCAGAAGGGAGCGGAGTAGCCAATATACACCTAAAGGATGGTCTTGAAAGCAGCGTCCAAGGCACGGAAAGTCCTTACATCACCTCGAGTCAATTGGTCCAACCATCCAACCCAAAGTCTGTGCCAACAAGTCGGTGTATGGGAGATGTGGTTCGCAATACGCGCATAAATTGCCCACGTTACACGGTGACTCTTCCACCTAGTCAGTCGCCTCTCCGCGTATGGATAGCCTCCTCCCGCCACTCGGCGTCCTCGCACGTGCAGGAATAGCCCCCTTGCCTAACCTGGCTTGTCAGGGTCCGCATTACACCAATTCGGCCTGTGGAGATCATTTCCAGTCGAACCCGGCATGCTACCAAGAAATGGCAAATGGAAAAATGGAGAAAGATAACAGCTCCGCTGCAGAGCCCGCCAGCACAATCCAGCAAAGCTGGAATGCACCTTCCTATCTTCTCCTGCGCGGCCTTAAATCCTCTGGCCTTACCTAGATCCTTAACCCGGGGGGGGGAAGTCTCCCGAAGATGAGTCAGACCATATCAGAGCGCGCTGCCTTCAACAGATGGTCAAAAGTGCGATGGAGTTTACGTTGTGCAAAAATCTTTGTTTCACCATGTTGCCGCGCGCACGATGTTCTGTCAAAGCGAGTCCTCCACCGCAATCAAGAGTTACTTGATAACTGGAAAGGTGAAAAGCACAATGCACGGTAAGTCTATCATTGTGAACTCGCTTCAGAAGGACCAGTCAATAGTGTGTCAATCAGACCTTCTTGTGCGCTTGAAAACGAGCCACCAACCAATCAGGTTCGTGGTGCCTGATTTCGCGGGACTGTCGACCAACGTGACGGGCGTTCAGCACTTTGTCCGGTAAGTAGCTTTTTTATTCTCTCAAAAAAAGCATGTATAGATCTTCAGAAAGTACAAGCAGATAAAGGAGACTGTCGTTGATACTGGGCTGGAAACTGAGATCATCTCCCAGCATGATCTTTTGCACAACCAAGAAGAAGAAGCCCGGAAATTTGAATGTCTAAAGGCCAGTCAAAAGATATTAGATGACTTGTCTAAGGCTACCACCATCAATAAACTCCCAAACGTTGCGTTTAATGCTCAATTCACGAGTGGACCAACCATTAAAGATTAGAAGCACTGTCCCTTATCAACAAGATATGTGTTAAAGGCCTGCGCCCCGGTTTCAGCAAGGTCAACGAGCACGGAGGTAGCACCACTGAACGATTGATTTTTATTTTACGTAGTCTCTCCAGCAGGAGAAGGCTGGACGCGGATATGAGATATATCACTAAAATGATACGTTGATCACTTGTGATTATGCCTACACATCAATTTCCAACAGGAAAAGGATTTGTGAATACGAGTTATATCACCAATATGATAGATTGAAAAAATCTGATCATGCGTACAATATATCTGAAAGCAGATATAAAATTAACTTGCTCCTCTCCTCTGTTGTCTTTTTCTGTGGGAGCCAGGATCATACAGCGTCTCTGGCGCCCCAGCCTGACTTCAGGTCTATATATACACCAAGGTGAGCAGTTGTGTGTAGTGTGGCTCTAACTATTATTTTTTCGTTCTCGCACGTTTTTGGCAACGCGACGGAAAATGCCACTCGTCCATGATTCCAAAATCCGCAATGCAATGTGATTGGCTAATTTTGGCAGTTGATGACATGTTTAACTTGGGGCCCACAAATTTTGCCACGGGGAATGATTATTGAAAAAAAAAAAACACAGCGTCACTCGTTCTGGGTCAAAGAATTAAACGCTGATTGCTTGAATTCCCTCTACTCTCTTTGACGCATCCATTACTTACTTTCTCCCTACTCTGACACATTACACAACAATGGCCAGCACAGCAATCGGATTGCAGCTCGCAAAGCGTGCCATAAGTAAGCAAAAGCTCAATGAATTTGACAAATTTGCTCTATCGAGAAATATAAACATTAACCAATTCTGTTTTTTGCCGCCCCATAGTGACCAACCCTATGCTTCACTCACAAAGGGCCATGTCCACCGCTGTCACGAGAGATATCGACCAAATCAAAGACGTTGCCGTTCAACCCAACAACAGTGCAGGTAAATCAACGACGAATTATCGACGAAATACAGTCTCCAAACATCGAATCATATATTAAACTTCCCGTGACTATTAGAATATGTCTTGTCGACGGTGGATCGTGTCGTCAACTGGGCTCGCAAAGGTTCCATTTGGCCCATGACCTTTGGTTTGGCTTGCTGCGCTGTGGTAAGTGCTGGCAGCTGGGTCATTTCTCGTTGACCAATGTCTCACTCACTTCTTTTTTGCTTTGTCCATGTAGGAAATGATGCATTGTTCGACTCCTCGTTATGATCAGGATCGTATTGGTATTGTTTTCCGTGCTTCTCCTCGTCAATCCGATGTCATGATTGTCGCCGGTACTTTGACCAACAAAATGGCCCCTGCATTGCGCAAAGTGTACGATCAGGTATGGCTTTTGAAAATTTGCACACCTTTCTTGGTTTTCTTCAAAGATGCGGTTTTATTCACGATATTTTTATACGAAAACAGATGCCTGAACCTCGCTGGGTGATTTCAATGGGTAGCTGTGCCAACGGTGGTGGTTACTATCACTATTCTTACTCTGTGGTTCGCGGTTGTGATCGCATTGTTCCCGTTGATATTTATGTTCCTGGATGCCCCCCTACCGCCGAAGCTCTTTTGTACGGTATCTTCCAATTGCAAAAGAAGATGACAAGAGTAAGTTATTGGGACTATAGAGATTTTGAAAGGATGAGCCAATCAATGACTGACCTAAACCTATACCAATTCGTCCACAGACCAAGATCACCCAGCTTTGGTACCGAAAGTAAGCCGGTCTCACTTCCAAGAGGAGATTCAATAGAATATGTAAAAAAAGCAGAATAAAAAAAATCGACGCTAAAATTTGAAGCTCAATTCTTTCACATTGTTCAGCTTGGGATCCTATCTTTTTTTTTTTTTAATTCTGTTTTCTTCCTTAGCGTTCTTTTACCCGGTCTCCTATTTTTTTTTCTCGTTTTTTCTTTCATTGCGGGTCAATTCATATTCCTATAGTTACTGTTACTATAGCGTTGATATCTCAATCGGATTTCTTGTCACACACATTTGATGTCAAAGCACGCCGTTGTGTATCCTACCGACGCCATGGGCACTAGCATGATATTCAAAAAGTCATATCCTCAAAGTAATGATGAAATGCAAATAATTCTCGTGTTAATCAATTATTCACCACCTTCGTTTTCAGTCTTGTCTTTATACCACAGCAAACGAGCGCCACCTGAGGAAGATGGCGGCGGCGGCGACGACGACAGTAAAGACACCTCGGACACGGAAGCCAAGGACACGGGGGACAAGGATACGAGCGACAAGGACACGAGCGACAAGGACACGAGCGACAAGGACTCGGGCGACAAGGCCTCGAGCGACAAGGACTCGGGCGACAAGGCCTCGAGCGACAAGGCCTCGAGCGACAAGGACACCGACAAGGACGCTTCAGGCGGACGTGGCGCGGGCGACGATGGTGATGGCTCGTCCGATTCTGCAAAGCCGACCAAGTCAAAAGAAAGCTCAGATAATTCAGAGGCCGATCCCACGTCGTCGTCGTCAGACAAAGATCATTCCAGTAAGGCCAAACCCACGTCTTCATCGGACAATGAATCGGCCTCGAGTGAATCTGAGGAACCATCGTCTTCCGATGAGAAACCGTCGTCGACCACCGAGAAGCCCACGCCCACCCCGACGGAAAAACCGGCCTCGACAGACAAGTCTTCTGTTGCTTCATCCACCGAAGAAGATTCGACGGAAAGACCTTCGTCCACCAAAACGCCATCTCCGACAAAAACGACCGAACCCTCGACCACGGAAAGGCCCACATCAGCAAGTACAGACGAACCAACGGATTCATCAACTCCCACGCCGACACCGACCCCTTCACGGTCGCCTACACCCTCCTCTGATCCCTCGGTCTCGTCCACTGCAACTGAATCAAGTACGGTTTCCGGCACGGCAAGCTCGACGACCGCGTCGCCAACAGAAACTTCGTCCACCACCGAGACCAGCAGTACTTCGAGTGACCGCATTCCATCCTCTAGCAGCGCTTCCGACCCTTTACCTTCGTCTTCGACACCGGCGTCTTCCACGACCGACAAGTCAGTATCCTCCACAAGCTCAGTGAGTGCTATATCGTCCACGAATACACCTTCTGACTCTATTACCTCTTCTTTTATATCCTCTTCCTCCTCTTCCTCCTCAACTCTCACACCGACTCCATCACCCACGGATTCTTCTTCTGTCTCTACGGCGGAATCGTCCACTGTCTCTCCCGCACCTTCAACAACCGAATCATCTTCTTCTTTGGTGCCAACTTCTGATTCTTCTTTGGCGTCGTCCACATCTTCTACTGCTTCATCATCGCTGTCAACCACCGAATCATCTTTTTCTTTGGTATCAACTTCCGGTTCTTCTTTGACACCGTTGCCATCATCGACGGCTGTTTCTTCGACTGAATCTTTCTCTGCAACTTCATCGGATGCTTTGACTCCTTCCTCTTCAATGGCTTCGCATTCTCCCACCTCCAGTGCGTCGATTTTACCATCGATTTCCTCAGATACACCTTCATCCATTCCTTCTTCCGTAAGTTCATCCGCAAGTCCTTCGGCGAGTTCGTCCGTGGATCCGTCGAGTGTGGCATCATCGTCGTCGTCTTCCTCCTCTCCGGACAGTTCCTTGTCGAGTGCTACACCATCGTCCAGCTCTGCAGAAGCGAGTAGTTCCCAGTCGATGACAAGCAGCAGTAGCATGTCCAGTGTGGTTGCTTCTTCCGATGTCTCACCTTCTTCTTCAATGACCAGCGCTACCGCAGCGTCCATGTCGCATACAGTGATGATAACAACTTCAACAAATATTCCTACATTGACCGAAGTGGTGATCAACGGGAAAACGGTGACGGTGACTACGGTGATTCCCACAACGTAAGTTGGAGTGTATGGTCGTACTGACGACGACCATGGTTACACGATCTGGCGATTTGACGCATTATTTTCTTTTCTTTTTTAAAACTAGTACGGTGATTCCATCCTTGGCGGGCGATTCATCATTAATTGATCCACAGCATAGGGGAACCCCGGGAGGCACGATTGCCGGCGCGGTAGTAGGTTCAATTGCTGGAGTGGCTTTAATCCTTGGCGGAGCGTTCCTTTTACGGAAACGGTACAAGCGCGGAATTGCACTGCGTGACCAACAAACGCAAATCACCAATGATGACTTTTACGCTGACCCGTACCCACCTGCCGCGGACTGGTCTAACCGATTCCAATCGGCCGCCGCGTATCCACAAGATCAGTATGACTATAATGGTCACATGAATGACGATATCGACGAATACGGTCATCGACGTCGTCCGTCCATTTGGGAACGTATTCGTGGCAATTAGAAGAAAAAAAACTGCATTTCTACTATAATATGTATATTTCTTTATATATCTAGAAAATTTTGTATCTGTAGATCAATCCAAAATAGCATTTGTTATCCGTTTTAGCTTCCACCGTACTATCAACCGTATAGTTGAGTATGGTGTAAAAAAAGAGTGCCTTGATTTTGTTCATCGAAAAAAAAGTATGATCACCATGATATTGATATAAAAACTGACCTCGGGTAAAAGCGTCACCAAAGAAAAGGATTCCCTTTGCAAAAGAGTGAAGCATCTACTTTCGGAAAAAAAAAAGAACGAACATTTTTTATCAAAAGCATTGCACACATCGTCGCCATGCCAGCGGCGCTGCTTGAAAAATAAATCTTGTTGTTTGTGACAGAAAAAAAAAGGGGTGGTTTGGATTCCAGTTTGCTCATCGATGGCTGATACTCGACCATTCAAGAGAGCCAAAGTCGAAGGTACCAGTGAATGTAAGATGGGATCACTTCTTATGGAAATTGACATTTTTCAACCTTGTAGGGACTATACATAAAAGGGTACCTCAAAGACCCGCTACTGTTCCAACCGACATTTATGTTTCCAAAACCAGTAAAACAACCGTGCTCGTGAATCGCATTAAACGATTAATGGTGAACGAAAAGTGAGCTGGGAGCATGGGACAAGAAGATATGCTTCTTCAAGGAATTAACCTCCTCGTCCTGTATAGACGTCCGACAGTGACATTGCACGGTTTGGGTGCCATGGTGGTTCGTGCCATGGGCGTTGCTTTGGCCGCTCAAGAACAAATGAACCATCATGTGGATCTCAAACCCACCACCGATACTATCAAGCTGATTGACGATGTGATACCAGAAGATATGGTAAGAAGAAATGGAGAAGAAAGGTATCACAATGTTTACAAAACGTTATTTTATTCAATTCATATTGCCACATTGTTATACAGGACGAGGATTTGGGAACCCAAGTCCGGATGAATTCTGCGATTCACATTAAAATCATTGCCAAATCAAGCTTGGCAGAACTTCAACAAAAGGCCGGGCCTCTGCCGGCTCACCCCTCCCGAAAAATGTAAATAGCAAAAACGGTGTCTTATTCGCTACGAAAACTTTGTATACTTTCTATAATAAATTAGTTTTTGGTTTGATTGTTGGTGGGCGTTCAGTTGGACAGTCGTGCAAGTAGCGTCAGAGCTTCATTTTGCAACTGCGCATCCGACGGAGATAGTGTGGGTTTCAATACAGGAGCAATGGTTTGGTTCATAACCATGCTGCCGAGATGTGATAAAGCTTGCTTTGGAAGATATCGTCGCCATAACGTCAACACTTTCAAGTACTAGATCATCCTAGGCGTTAGTTTATCCGTGACAAGAGTCAACTGTTTCACACTATCCTATGTTACCTTGTACTGGCGCCAAAAGAACCGCTTTTTCGCTTGTTCGGCTTCGGCTCCCATGCCCACCTTGGGTATCGCTGCATCCAAAAGTTCAACGTAACGCAGAACCGATTTTTCTATGACTTTTTCTATGACTTTCATGAGATCCTATGGATGAGACAAAACAAAAACGATGATGATGAGAGTGAGCTCTTCAAGGCAGGGATTTGCCGGGCTGGTCAACCAAAATTACCTGGAACACTTTATCGTTCTTTTCTACATAGTAAGAGATTTGTTCCACGGCATGGATTGCGCAACGCGTGGCTTTGATGGAGGCCACATCCAAGACAGGCATCATATGCTTGATCTTCTTTACAAGCACTTTTTCCACCACTTTGTTCAAAAGTTCGACATCCGCATCTTCGTGACCTTCTTCCTCGGTGATGCCATACTCGGAGAGAATTCGATGCCACTGCATCGTATCAAACTCTCGCGCGTCCGTAAATGGATCCCACGATACAAGTTCGCATCGTACGTAAAACTCAAACGCGCCGGGTAAACTCAGACTTCCAAACGCTTTCTGATAATCGTCGTAAAAGTGGCCCTTCCACGCCTCGAATTTATCCTTCACAGCGCGTATCGACCCAAAATCATCGCCCACATCCGCCAACATTTGATCCAACTCATCGGTTTGTATCCGCTCTAAAAGGGAGAACAAGTAAAATCAGTCATCCCCGAAAAATGGCATGGATGCAAAAGCACTCTCTTACCTAAAGTATCCTCCTTTTGCGTGATCCAGTCCTCAGGCATATCATCGTCGGACCAAAGTCCTTGCTCCTGTAATGCATTATCGCCTGATAATTCGCTCAGGTCCGCGCGAGTGGCCAGTCGCTGTTGACGTTCTTGTTTGCGTCGAACCGCGGTGGTGCCTGAATTGCGGAACTCTTTGACGCGACCAAACTCGTCTAGTTCACTTTGATCATCATCCTCGGTGGCGTGTGGTTCCTTTTCTTCAATCGCATTGTCAGGCACCACCATAAAGTGTCGCAAATCATCCACATCGTCTTTCCATCGACGTTCCATTACAATATCGCGTTTTGTGGCCAACAGTTCCTCAACTTGTTCTTCCAATTTCTCCAATTCAGGAAACTAGGGAGATAGCAGGGGTGGATTCAGTCGGCTGGCCGCATCATGACTAACATTTGTTCGATTTATGCATACCTTGGCATCCAAAAATTCACCCAAGTCATTCACATACGAGGACAAGTCCTGAAAGTAATCATAACGTTCGCTGGTACGTTGAATTTCCTTTTCAAGTTCTTGTTCGGTGGTTTGAAGCCCTTGCATGCCTTTTTGCGAGTTGTCGACTTGCGCCTGATACTCAGTCAAACTGGCCGCATGATTCTTGGAAACGATTTGTAATTGACTCATCACATCAGCAAGCAAAGGTAAAGCCATTGGTTCAGGAACTGTCAATGAAGTTAAAAAAAATTAGTCATCCGTTCCAATGCCATTGATTCATTGCAAACGATACATACTGTCAGCCGGTCGATAATCCGCCGGAGGTTTGAATGGATCTTTTTCGGTTTCTTTGGGCTGCATTCGAACGCCGCCATGCTTGATCAAATCATTCTCCCATCGTTCCATATCTTCCAATTCATCTTCATCCTCGTCCTCGTCTTCTTCTTGGGCCTCTTCAATCATTTCCCGCACATCGGACCGTCGTTCCATTTCCTTCTTTTTAGCCGATTTCTTGTCAAAAGTCAATTTCTCGCCGACATATTGCTCGTATTCTACACAAAGGTCGCAGGTCCAGGGGTCAGCTCAGGTTTCTCTTGCATTGGGCTTTTTTTTTTTTCAACGCGCATCATGTTCCATTCTGTGTCTGTACCTGCTTCGCCGTCATCACCAATATCGTCCTCTTCACGGATTAATCGTGAATGTTCGGTGCGCTGTTATTTTTTTAGGGTCGACTTTTTCGTTAACTTTGTGAACCCGTACTGATGCGATAGTTGCAATGACACTTACATCATCAAGGGCAACAAAGTCCTCTTCTTCATCAATGATTTTTTGTCCCTTGCGTAACATTTCTCGCTTCTTTCTTGCCGCGTGAATGGTACGGGCATCGGCGATGCCAGTAAAACCGACTTTAGCATTCATGGTGCCGGGAAACTTTTCGGCAATGAGCGCATCGTCGTCGAGGATCGCTGGTTCCGTGGCGGTCTTACTGATGGATGGAGGCAAACTCGGTGTGCCAGCACGGAGTGATTGCAAATATTCGTCGGTATACGATTTTTGATTCGATAGATTGGGACGTTCCGCATTAAGATCGGTAGGCGTCAAGTGTCTGCAATGAACAAAAAAAAAGACAAACTGATGAGCCCATCTATTCCATGATTCACTCGCATAAACGGGGGACAATTTTACTCTGGTAGTCGCAGTTTGCGTTCTGACGCCAATCGCTCACTCGCTTTGCTCTTTTTTAACTGAAATGTATCGCCTTCGTCTTCCTCCTATTTACAAACAAAAACAAATGGGTGAGCTCACTGCCATTCTTTCACTTCACCATGACCGTTCCCTTTCTTGGGACGCGGCTACTACCTCTGCAAAACTCAGACCCAGCGACTTTTTAGGCTCCTTCTTCTTTTTCTTGTCGATGAACGATTTTTTCAAAGTTGTCTTTACTTCAGCTAGGTAGGCGATATAGCATTTTTAGTACAGTCATTCCTGCCACGACCCAAAATGTCTCGATCGCTTACTGGTATCTGGTTCGTTTCCTTCATCGTCACTTGTTTCTATCTTGCGACGAATGTTCTTTGTCCGCACCGACTTTTTAAACATGTTATACTATATACAAAAATGGAAGGGAGAGGTCACTTGTTGGTCTAAAAAGTTACTGATCAACGTATCCAACTTCGAGAATGGGGAAGCACCAGGACTGAAATTTGGTTCAAAGTTCCAATCTCTCACTAAATTCAAACCCAGACATCCGGGCAACGCTTTCGCGCAAGCGTTCCGTGTGGCACAAGCCACCCTTGAGAGTGGCAAGGGGCCCACTTTCGGTGTGACTGGTGAATTCAAATAACCCTCTTTTCAACAAAGAAAGAAGAACATCTCATCGACTTCAACGCACGGGAAACCCTCATTGTTTCGTTTCTTTTGATATCCTTTGTTTTTTCCTGATATGGCTATTCCCTTGCGTAGTCTTCGCTTAACACCCAACCTCACTTCGTCCGTCGGTGTGTGGGCTCGTCCTGCACAACAGGCTATGCGGCCCGGATTCTTTGTTGCGCCATCGTTGCTCGGTGCACGTGCCTATGCAACGCAAGGCAAGCAAATTCTTATCCGCGATCACGGTGTTTTCGGTACGATGTCCTTTTATTGCCAGTCGACTGTACCTGATACTATACTAAAACAAAAAGTTTGTTTTCTTTGACTTGTAGCCAACTACATTCCTCCCGAGACATCTCCCTCTGTGACCGATTTCGCTAAATGGCGTATTACCAAGTGGCGCAACCTGAAGAATAGTGTTCAGAATCTCTTGAGGTACTTGCGGATGACAATTGTTTGGATTCGATAAATACTAATGTGGTTTTTTTTTTTGGGTTATAGTGTGGGTCTTATTAAATACAAATCGCAGTATGAAAAGTGGAATTCAGGCAAATTCTTGTCCATTGCCGAAGAAACGTACAAGGATATGAATGATGCCTTTGCAAGGTAATTTTTATCTATTTTCGAGAACAAAGGAGGGAGGGTAAAAGCTAATTTTCTCATGTCATCAGAGGAGATCGCCAAATTCTTGAAGAAGTGTGTCTCGATGCGATGTATTCCGTATGTAAAAATAGAGTTGCAAACGCATGAAAACGTGGTTTTAACCAACTGGATCTATTCCATGGTAGAATCTGAAAAATCAGCTCAAACACCGCAACAATGCACGTTGGGAATGGAAGTATCACGGTGAAGTGGAAACTCCCAAGATTGTATGTGTGCGATGTGTCGGCACCACCGGTGTCAGCAAGCATGGTTTTGCAGTGGGTCAAGTCACAGTGAAAATGTTCACAAAGCAGGTAAGCTACCACTGGACTCTATTTTTTGTTATTGCCGCCTAATCAATGCCATGGCTCACTGTGAATATTTTTATAGTCCATGGCTGTTTATGACAAGAAGAATCGTCTTGTGGGTGGTGATCCCAACAAGATCCACAACATTTTGGAATACGTCGTGTTCCAGAAAACGATTTCCGATCCTGAAGATATTTGGCGCGTTTATGGCAAGATTGCACCTCCGGAAAAAGTAGCACAACAATAGATATCATACTCTGTACAGAATGTAGAAAACTTATAAAAGGAAAAACAAGGGACAAAAACGGCATAATACATATAAACTAGATCCATCACAGAAAAAGAGCTTGATTGACGACGGCGTCAGGAACTATTGATCATGCGCTCCCAATTGAAAGAGTCCATTTCAGGTTTTGACAACACTACTGACAGTAAACCGACTCCACTTTTTTTTCATATCCACTCTCAGTTATTTCACAAATGAGTGAACCCCTCCCCTAAGATAAAGACAACCCATTTCCATTGCGGCAAAAAATAACGATCTGCAAAACCTAGAGGTAGGACAGAGAATAAAAAAGTAACAGGCAATGGTGATGTGAGTGTTTTTATTTTTGGATTTATGCTTCAGCAGTGACGGGTTCAGCGGCAGCAGCAGGGACACCAAAGTCCTGAGCAGAGGGTTCAGTGATGACGGACTCGTCCTTGGGTTCGAGGATGGTGACGATATCGGGAAGAGTCTGCTTGGGACCGTTGCGGCCGGTGGGATCGCTGTCCAACATGATCTTGACCTTGATACCGAGAACACCCTGACGCATCATGACGTGACGAACGGCAGTGGTGATGAAATCGCGGGTGGGTTGACCAGAGTGGATCATGAAACCGTCGCTGAACTTCATGGCCTTGGCACGAGCGGCACGAAGCTTACCAGAGACGACAACTTCGCAGCCCTTGGCACCGGATTCCATAACGAAACGGACAACACCGTAGCAAGCACGACGAACCGCCAAACCGTTGAGAAGCTTGAACTTGACGGATTCGCACTGAGCAATGGCGCAAAGACCACGGTTCTGCACACGTTCGGCGTAAAGTTCGACCGAGTTTTCAGAGAACTTGAAACGCTTCTGAACGAGGAAGGTCAATTCTCTGATACGACGACCCTTCTCACCAAGAACGTTCTGGGTGTGAGTGGCACGGATGATAATTTCGGTACGAGCGGGAGTCACGCGCACTTCAACACCAGCATAGCCATCTTCGGCGAGTTCACGGGTGAAGAATTCGTTCAATTCGGCGTAGAAAACACCATCAGCAACCTAACAAGTTTGAAAGATTTTTTACAAATGAATATCGTTGACTTTAACGGAAACCACGGCAACAAGTATCATCTTATGTCAATTTTGAATGATTACTTACGAACTAGATGCGTGGTAATGAGATTAATGAGTAACATGGGAAAGGTTACCAAAAAAAAAAAAAAAAAGAAAGGATGGATTAGTATATCAGATTGAGGTCATCCATCAAAGGAGGTCGTCTATCCATCGAACCTTTCTCTTCTTGGAGATCTGAGCTGCCATCGTTTCGTGTGGATGCAAAAAAAGGGAGAGATTTCAGCGATGCACACCTGTCTACGGATTTAGCGCTGCTGGTGAGTCCACACCCACCAGCCTGCATTGGACAATATCGTTCCCCCACCCCGTAACCCGCCCCAACTGGCCCTGGCTCAGCCCACGTCGATTGTCGAAAAATCCGGGCCGGACTCGACCATCCTCGGACATTCAAAATGCCCAGATTATGCACAACCTTTTTATTTTCTTTTCTACTTGAAGTCATAGAGTTGGAAAATAAAAAATAAGTTTTATGTAACATTGATATGTGAATAAAAATAATCAACGTTGAACGTTACGGACGCTTTACGACTGACAGTCATCGCTGACTTGGACGAACGATAATGTGTAACACCATGCAGAAAACTTTATCTCCATACCCTGATGTGTTTTTAACTAAACTGAAGCAAGGATTAATGTATTGCTTTTGAAAGGAAGAAGCAAGGTTATAAAGCGGTATAATCATACTCAAATTCTCAGCTAACTTGGAACGGGGAGCTCTTTCATCTTTGGGCTTACCTTGTCCCAAGCGACCAAAGGTGGCGCCTCGTAGCTTGGTTTGACTATGCCAATCAAAAATACTATGGAAACGCTACAAAACTTGTCGCCAAAGAAACCTTGAAGCAGTAACGGGTTGGTTTTTTTTTATGTCAAAGGCTGGCTCCATTTCTTTTCAATGGAGGAGAATGAGGTCATAGTTCAGCTGTTCACGATTAGAGATTTCAAAAGAGGCAAAAATGAAGCTGAGGCCGAAAATGTTGGGCTTTGGGGAAAAAATGTCCGCGAACTGCAAGATAAAAAGGACTAGTGCATTACTCGCCTTCAATATGTCACCTTCTCTTCCGCTTTTATAATTTTTATTTCCTTGTCCTCGTCTTCTTTTCAATCATTATGACCGACTCCATGACCTATAACGATAATGTGCCAGCTGTGGAACCAGCTCAAGCGGAATCGGTGCCTGCCATGTTGCCCCGCGACGCATCAACCAACACGCTCGTGAAAACGGAGCAACAACTCAGAGAAGAAATCGAACGGCTCCGTCGTGAAGAACAAGCATTACGTGAACAAGATGAGCAAATCAAGCAAAATATTGAAGCTGTGCGCGAAAAGATGCATACCAATGCATAATTATTTTCCCTTTGCCTTTCTTCTTTTACCTCTTGTTCTGAATGCACTCATGTTTTTGTTTTTGTTTTCTGTTTTTATTTTGTTGTTGGGTCATTCTCTTTATTACCCTATTTGGATAACCTTTCGTTTTACTTGCCGTTCCTCTGTATACATGTTTCTTTTTTGTCTGATTTTAATATCTATACGTATTTCAAGTATTCAAATGTCGTTTCTTTATTTCGCTGAGGGAAATTGGAGAGGATAAAGAAGTGGCGATGGTTTTTTCCTGTAAAAGACGTCGGTACCATGTTTGTTTCTGGTCAACGTCTTTGAGTTTCAAATAGTAAGGCAGTGTCTGCATGACGTGTTGATACTCTTGGCAGGACATGTCAACTTTGGACGCACATGCAGCATGACATTGATAGTGACATTGCTGGCAGATCCAGCCTGGAGACTGTGGCGACAGTCGGTCATGACAGCTTCCGCAGTGGGATGGAGCATCTCCGCTCATCAATTGGAACGTGTGTCCTTGAATCTCCTTCATCTGGATGGTCGACGCTCCTTGGTCACCACCGGCTCGTTCCAGCAGTTGCCGCTTCTCCGTCAAGAGTCGCTGGATTTTTCCATTCGCTTGAATGATCGCATGCTCGAGGTCCTTTCGAATTTGTTTTTGCTGCTTTGCATTCGTCGATGCCGGCATCCCAATCGCTTTGAAGCCCGATATTAATTTAGCTCGCGCCTCCAATGTCCGTTTAGCGCCTTCCATGTACTTTTCTTCCAGTTGGAGTTGATCGTCAATACGGTCCACACGTGCTTGCTGCTCCGCTCTCAACAGCTGGTACGGATTCGCCGGTCGTTTGAATGCTTGACACGGTTCCTACAAGCAGCGAGCCATTTCCAAAATAAGTCTCGAAGCCCAAAGCATTTCTCATAGTTGATGATCACAGGCTTGATGATCAAAGCTTACCATCCTTGTTGGCTTTGAGGCTGCGGTGCGGATAACTAGTGACTTGTCTGCATCGGCGGAAGCGTCATTTGAAAAGCCCCACGTGTTTTCTTGCGCTTCCTGAATCACCACCAACGGCGCTCTGTCAAGATAGAAGAAAGTTAATTTTCCCTTATCATCAACGTGCCTAATATTTTATTCATGTACCCAAGATCAATGGTCAGATCAGGTTCTGAACCCTTTCCCATGCGAGAGGGCTGATAAGCGTTCAATTTTCCGTCGCGCAAGTCGACGTGATACATCTCAAAATCGCCTTTGCTGGGAATGGGCGTTGCAGCAATATGTAACACTTGCGGTGATGGATGGTTTCGACTGGAAGGATCATCGTCGTTGGTGAATAATTCATTGATATTGCTGCTTGAACTTGCAACATCCTTTTGATCCGCCAATAAAGTGTTCACGGCGGATGGATTTGTCGCTTTTTTTATCGACGCTCGTGATCTGGACCGTTTCTTTTTGAGAATCGCCATTTCACGCCGGACTTTGCCCAGTTCCGTTTGATACTCTATGATTTCTTGGTGCATCAATCGGATTTTCTCTTGATCCCGTTTCCACATTGTCAAAAGAAGACTGCGCTGGGTTTCCGGAGAAGCGTCACTAGCTGGGGTCATGCACTCGAATGTTTCAGACGTCGTCGTAGCAGAGTCGATTCTGGGAACGCAAGTCGCTTCAGGTAACTGATTCTGGGGTTTTTCGACGTGATTATCTCGACATGAACGCAACTCGTCCTTGTAGGCTTGAATCTCGCTTTTGTAGTGGTCAATGGTCTTTTGTTGAGCGTCTTGTCGGTGTTTGAGCTCGTGTAACTCGTCGGATAAAGCCTCACTTCGCTGCTGTTCCACAGTAAGTTGATGTTCCAAAAGCGCGCATTTGGATGTCTCTTGGTGCATTTTCACTTCCAGATTCGGTATGTGGCAAACAGCATCCAGTTCTTTCTGCATTTGATTAATTTTTGATAACCAGTGCTCTTTATCTTGTCGCATGTCTTGTAGTGCTTTTTGAAGCTGGGCGATTTCAGCGTCTTTGTTTTGGCACAATTCCTGCTGCTGAGCGGCTTTTTGCTGTTCCTGCTCAATGTCCCTTTGGAGCTCTCCATTCACACGCTGTAACCGGTCTATCAGGTTTTGCCAATGCTGAGTTGATTGCTGTCGACTGTCCACCGCAGGTTGCAATTGAAGCAGTTCTTTCTGCTCGTCAATGGTCTTTTGCAATTGTTCCAGACGTTGCTGTAGTTCATCATGCTGACCGGGATGATCGGCCATCCAACGTTGCACCGCAGCGGAATAGGTGTACCCGATAAAGGGTAAATTGCGACCTTCAAACGATTCCATGCCACCGTGATCCGTAGACACGCCTGAATCCGTACTGAACGCCGTGGGACCTTGTTCATCGTGCGTGGAAAAATTGGAAGTGTCGTCCGGGGACGCTAGGACAGGCTTAAATGGAGGGGTGGCTTCATCGAAAAAAAAAAAGTAATAATAATTGAGGTGAATAAGGGTTTGGTCGTCGCCTTTCACGTAATGTGTGTGTATGTAGTATACTGACTGTGACGAAGGTTGGCCCAATCAATTCCTTTGAAAAATGGGTGGGCTTGTATTTCTGTCAAACCATTGTTTCCCAGACGGGTTTCTTTCTTGGTGAGGAATCTGGTAGAATGTCATTGAGTTTGATTGGGTCCAAACGTTGAGAGACTACTATGATTGTATGACTTACCTGCGGATCAAGTCCTTGGCATCGTCAGAAATGGGGATATCGTCGTTAAAGGACCAGGAAGTCTGTTTAGGTACCAAAAATGTGTTAAAATCTCGGTCTCCTATGTTGCCTGTGACTATGCGACCTTACTTCATGGAAAAGAATTTTCCGATACGTCTCGTTTTCACTTGGACTGTAAAAGGGGGGTAGTTCTTGTAACATCTCGTACAATATGATGCCCACCGACCACCAATCCACTTCGGTGCCATAGGTGATGTTGCCTTCACCGGCTTGAAGCACTTCTGGTGAAATGTAATCGCATGTACCGACGGCAGCTGTGGGAGGTACCTTTTTTTTCGATATCATCGAGACATCCATGAGTGATGACAACCAGGTATTATCATTTTTATCTTTCTTTTACCTTGCTACTTTGGTCAAGATGGATACATGAACCGAAATCGGCCAGTTTGACGTGACCTGTGGTATCGATCAGAATGTTTTGCGGCTTGATATCACGATGCAGATAGCCAAGGTTGTGAAGTGAATGGATAGCAAGAATGATTTCAGCAATGTAGAACCGAGCTTCATCTTCTGTTAGACATAGATTTTCTTGTCGATCTAGTACACTAAACAAATCCCCTCCACCAGCGTACTCCATGACAAGGTATAAATTCTCGTTGTCTTGGAAAGCCGCATGCAATGCGGGTATCCAATGATTGCTTTTCGGATGGGATAACACGGCTCGTTCTTCCATGGAAAATGTGCGCTGAGACCGTGTGAGTTTTTTGTTGTTTGATATATTAAATCATTTAAGAACTTACTTCATGTTGTTTAAGAATATGATCTTTGTTGAGGACTTTCATGGCATAAATGTGATTGTCAATTTTACTCCGAACCACGGACACCTAAGTGACATTGGGTGTGCTGTTGTGAGTAACAGGATTATTCATCGGATTTTTTTTCTGCTACTCACGGTTCCGAACTGGCCCTTGGCGAGTGGTTTGATGATTTCAAAGTCTTGCTTATTAATGCGCAAACTGGTGACTTGTTTGCATAGTGAATCGTCTAAAAAAGAAAATACAAAGACAAGGTATGAGGCGTGAGTAATAAAAACGGACTTTGAACTTTTGCCATCTTCGATGAATCTTACACCGATGGAGGAAACTGGTAATATATTCATGATGTTTGGGACTGAGGGCGAGGCAATCTTGATGAAGTGCAATTAAACAATCAAATAGAGTGTCAATGTTTGTGTCTTGAAGTAATTGACGTATTTGTAAAGTGCGTCTGTTGATATCAATGGATGATGAGGAGGATGACGATGATGATGCGGGTATATGCTGAGAAGAGGATGACAAGCTAGTTAAACAGATGGTCATGATAAGTTTAAATTAAATAGATAGATAAAGTGTAGAAAATGGTCAAAGTAATAAAATAAAAAAATAAAAATAAAATAAAAAAGCACGGTATGAATAAATAATATGAAAACAGCTGTTGTCATTATTTTTCTTTGCCCTCTCTTGGTTCACATAAACATTCTCCTCGTTTGGAAAAGTGCCAACATGTCCCACTTTTCCATGAAAATGTAGACGGATCATACATAATTTGTCCACCTTACGCCTTTTTGTTATAGCCAAATTCCTCTCTTTCTTGGCAAATCCATGTCGGGTAAACTTCCGATCAGCTCTTGCTGTATACTTCACTTTGTCTTATTCTCTTATTGTTGCCTTTCACCAACTGCGCCAACCTCACACCGTTTAGCATTTTCAATTCCCGATTGCTGCGGATCTACCAATCAGTAGCCGTGCGCGGCACACAGGATCTCCGTTTTGTGTTGCCTTAGGATTGCAAAGGACACAAGGGGGGATGAATGTGAACAAGGTGGCTATTTTATTGGTGTTGAAAGGCTAACATAGTTACTTTGTTCTTTTTTTTCTGAAAAGGAGAGAACAATGAGCATTATATGAATGTGAAGGGCGGCAAGCCATTTTTTTTTTGGAGTAATAATGAAGTATGAAAGGGGGTTTATGGTAACCAGTCAAAAAGGCGGTGGCAACCCTCCTTTTTTTCCTTTCCTTGACTTTTTTTTTCCGCTTCCTCCCCTCATTCTTTTTTCCGTTTCTTACGAAATGAGTACTGCCAATGCGACACCGGCCGATCAGCGGTACATTCGCCTTGAAAAGCTAGGCGAAGGGACGTACGCTACGGTGTACAAAGGAAGAAGTCGCTTGGGCGGCGAAATGGTGGCCTTGAAAGAGATTCACCTGGATCCGGAAGAAGGCGCTCCGTCCACTGCCATTAGAGAGATTTCTTTGATGAAGGAGTTGAAACATCCCAACATTGTTCGACTGCAAGATGTCATTCACACGGAAAACAAACTGGTACTTGTGTTTGAATGCTTGGATCAAGATTTGAAAAAGTTCATGGACTCCACAGCTCGATCCAATCAAGGCGCTCTCGACACATCCACCATCAAATCGTTCATGTACCAACTTTTGCAAGGCATTGCCTATTGTCACGAGAACCGTGTGCTTCACCGCGACTTGAAGCCGCAGAATTTACTGATTAACAAACGAGGTGAACTGAAATTAGGCGATTTTGGTCTCGCTCGCGCGTTTGGTATTCCCGTCAACACCTTTTCAAATGAAGTCGTCACCTTGTGGTATCGAGCGCCGGACGTGCTTCTCGGTTCGCGTAATTACTCGACCTCCATCGATATCTGGTCGGCGGGTTGTATCATGGCCGAGATGTATACCGGACGACCGTTGTTTCCTGGCACTACCAACGAAGACCAGCTTCACAAGATTTTCCGGTTGATGGGCACCCCTACCGAACAAACGTGGCCTGGCGTCTCCCAACTACCGGAATACAAACCCGCCCAAGTCATTTATCCTCCTCAAGATATCAGTCAGATCTTACCCACCATCGACGCCTGCGGTCTGGATCTTCTTAATCGTATGCTTCAATATCAACCTGGCGCCAGAATTTCCGCAGCAGACGCCTTGAACCACGTCTATTTTAACGAAGTTAGATACGCGTAGCCCTTTTCTTCTTCCTTTTGATTAGATCCTTTCCACATCAACGGTTTTTGGTCTCTCTTCTCTCTCGTCCTCTTCATCTTTTCCGCTTTTATCTTGCTTTGATATCAATTTGTGAATATGTGTATATTTTTTTTCCTTAATGCTACTTTTTTTTTGCTGAACTGGCGATGTCTGCATGTGTAACTGAGTGAAATGGACTGATGTGAAAAGCACGTTTGCTCGTGAAAACACACCATCATCGCGGAGTTTTTATGATTGACGATCGCCATTCTTTCTTTGGTTTTTATTTTTGGACCATCCTCTTTTAAGCGATTTTGCCAGATACCACACACTAAAAAGTAGAATATGAATTGGAAAGAATATGCACTAAGGGTCGCATAAGGTACCAAGCTATTACGAGCGAGAGAGGCAATGGGCGATCGTCCATGAGATCCATGTGTTGAAGTGAGACACAGTATCACCCTGGGCAGCCCGCCGCCTAATAGCGCGACAAAATGATAGTTGTCTGTGCGTACGGCCTTGATAAACTACTGTAGGTACCGCATGCGAGTCAAGATGTAAACATAGCTTGAAACCACCTTGCATGCGCTGCGAATCACAGAACAGCCTTGTTGCGCCGAAAAAAAAAGGCGGATCCTCATCAAAACATGGGTCTAGATCAGATACACTTCGGACGATCGATTTCGTAATATTGACCTCGCCAACGTATCACTTAATTTCCTTGTGCAGTCTATTTTGAGTATTCCCTGCATTTATTGCATCAGAGAAAAGCCCTGGCTTTGGGTCCATGATACATCCGCCAGCAACATTTTCCCACACGAAAAAAAAAAACGGATATCACCAGTTCCTCATAACACGCAAAAATGCCCTTTTGCCAAGTTCAAACAAGCTCTTAACTGGCTAGCACAGACAAACAAGCAGTAGATGGAATAGATTCGATTCAAACATTTATTTTTCATCAATGTGAAATTGTTATTCGTGCAAGTACTTAGCAAGAACTTTTTTTCCTTTTTTTTTTTCAATTTAATCCAAGCATGGGTGAGACTTCATAAGCTTTTTTAATGACCGGGTACGAGATCCCATTGTTGGTTGGAGGAAGCGGTGCCTTCGCGCTTTTCGTAGAGAATAACTTCGGCGCCGTCCTTGTCTTCGGCTCCGCGGATGTCCAGAACAAGCTTGGGATCGGCCGATGTATGGATGTAACCTTGATGATCGATCAGCCAGCGCTGGTTTTCAACGTTTTCTGCGATATCCTTTTGAGCGTATTGAATGACGTGGCTATCATGCTTGATTTTGCCTCCCTTCACGTCGAGCACTTTGCCACTGTTTGCATTGACAAAGAAACCGTTTCGGTATTCCCACAACTGGTTGGCATTATCGCTTTCCTTCTTTTGCCAGACACAGATTTTGGCACCGTCCTTGGTGGAAGCACCTTCGACGTCCAGAACACGTCCGTTGAACTACAAGAGGTTCAATGGTACTGTTTAGCTTATGGTGTGTCTTGCATATGGCTGATATAAATGGGAGTCCTATTACCTTGGAGACGATGAAAAATTGACCTTGAGGGATATATTGAACCATTTTGATAATATGTTATAGAGTTGAGTAATGAGGAGAAAATGCTGGTAAACGCTCTCTGCTTTTATAATTATGGCACACACGCGATTTACGTCATACTTCTTGTTTATGTGTACAGCTTTTGCTTTGAAGAACAACAACAATGACAAAAAAAGCATCCAAGACGTAACATTCAAATTATGACCGAATCTTACTGTCATTATGAAGATGTGCATCTCTAAACACGGATGAAAATAGTCTGATGAGACTAGAAAGTTTCTGTTACTTCGTTGAATTTCCTTTTTCAGGCGTTTGTGCGAGGTACATCGGAACACACACCCGAGCACTTGTTATGCATTATTACTGTGAAATGATCAGTCTCGCATTTGCAAAACTACTCTAAATATCGACAACCGGCTCGCTCGTACTCGCTGTGAGGTTGACTTTTTTTTGGCGTTTCTTGAGTACGATTTTGAGTAGATAAACTCGTCAGAAAAGAAAAAAAAAGCCTATTCCCTCTAAAATAAATCATCAATAAAGGCTTTTCAAGTCCGCTTCAGTCCAAGGACCGAGATCCCCGTTCTGGATGCATTTGTTAGTTTCTGCTCTTTTTCATGTTTCTCTTCAAAACCAAGGTTCAGTATGCGCCTTGGTCACATCAAAAATACATATAGTCACTTGATTCATTATATTAGCTTACTTTAAGTGGAACAACGGAAGAGTCAGTTTTTAAATTGGGTTTTGCAAATAGTGAATGGAGGCATAGCATAGAAAAATTCATGCAAAAAAGGGACCAAAGGTGAACCCGTGGCTTGGATTAGCGACTGCTTATCGTTCAATGATGCGCGAACCCTACATTCATGCATTTTCCGTGTGCCTAGACCAGCAGTTGTTTAGAATTTTGTTTACGCTTCTTATCAGTTATCCCTTTGGCGTCAGTAACTACGAGGTTTATCTAAACAATCTTCGGGAAATTAGCGATTTTGTAAATCACATGATCTACACCAAGTTATCAGGACCTGTTAAACTTTCTTTTTATCTTTCAACCATGCCTCGCTGCCCACTTTCACGATAATAGGCGAAACAATCAGCAGCAAGATGGCATTTGCGCCAGTTGTGGTTAAACAGAGCATCGTCGTCGTCCAAATAAAATGTGGGTAGAGCTTTTCTTTTTGAAGAAAGGTGGTGGATAATGTCAATCTGGGTGTTCTGTTGCATTATTTAGGTTGGTTTTTCGGTCAGTTATACTGTATATCATATGCCCTTTGATTCTCTTCAATTTTCGGTGATCGAGTGATACATGGAGCAGATATGCTTCGATCTATGAATTCATGCATTGACTATCGTTTCATCCACGGGAAATCCACATATATTTTGTCTTCGTTTCTTTTCTTTTTTCTTTGGTTTTCTACTCTATTTTCTGTTTACCTGAATAACTCTCACTATCATTGCATCCCCTCGCATCCATCATCCACCATCCAGACTATGGTTTACCCGCGTGTATCTTTAACCGGTCGAGTATTATCAAAAAGGTACCTTTTGTGTGATGTGACTATCCGTTTTTCGACAAGAAAAAACTCACGTTCTTTTTTCTCTATCCTTTCTTTAGCTTTTGGTTTTCTCTCCGGTTTTCTTGTCGCCCTGGCAAAGCCATCCATCCCTCCAAATCTTTCTACTTTGTTCGCGCACCAAATGTGGCCAATCCGGTTTCTGTCGTCAAAGGGTACCGTCGGTGGTGTGACTCTCCTTCTTCATCAGAAAGTGCTTACGCGTCCTCAGGTTCCTCTTATTTGGATTGCCACCCGTGGTATATTGTCTTTGATATTTCTTCCCGACCATTTTATTTTTGTAGTTTGTAGTATTTCGATAGACCTTCTTGCAGTCTTTCCTCCTTTTTTTTCCCACAGGATTTTTAGGGGGTTTTTACAGACGCACCTATTGTTTTACTTTTTTTTTTTTTTTTTTTTACATTATATCGCTTCTTTTTTTTCGGTCGGGAAGCTCTGGATATCTGTTGCCTCACATAACAAAGGCAAAATATCTTGACGACATTTGAATCAATCAAAGAGCTTACTAACTCATTTTTTTTAATACCCAAAATTCCCACACATCATTCTAGATCTATCATAACCTTGGGCGGGACGGGACTGAGGGGGTCGTTAAGTAGTGCTGCACACATGTTTGATCATGACTGTACCGGTATGCCAGAGTATTGAAATTAATATACCAAAGTCCCATCAAGAGTCTCGCCCAGGTTATGCCATATTGCGTTAGGCTTTTGTCTGACGAATGTCATTCAATGTAAGAGTGTGACATCCCAGTAGCAGGTGGCATCCATTGCACAGCGGGTGTACGGCTTGTTAGAACGAGGGTCATTAACACTTACTGAAGCTTTACCTTGAAATCAATGAGAAACACCAAAATGACAAACAAATAACCTCGAGCAGGTGTAAAGAGCGTTCTCTTGACTTGAGTATCCCATTTAAGTCATCGCTCGTGGGCTCCTGTCCAGTTAAATTGCATGACGACAGCTATACAGTATGCTGATATTTGGAAGCGGGGACAGTCGTTGCAATGTCCTCTGAAATCTATTGCCTGGGTAACCAACTTTGTTGAAGATGAGCATATGCTCGCTCATGTAAGCCGCTGTTCAAGTAGTATCTCATTTAATCGTTAATTTGCTGATATGCATACGCACTATTAGCAATCGTACGTGTTATTACGCGATATTATCGAGGTGGGTTAGCAAAGCTTTTGTAATAGTTCAGGAAATGATCAAATACGCAATAAGCACGAGCAATATATAGAGTAAACACGCCCGACTGCCAGTAACAGTGTTGGGATATGCGAAGGTTGGGGATGGCGAAACTTGTGGAAATCGGCATGTAAAATTTATCGCCAATCGGGAAAGGTACGACTGCTTTTTACAGTGCCTCCATTTCCCAAATATTTTTTAAAATTAAAGAAGCGTTTTGGAAATTTTTTGTTCCACGAAAAAAAAGAGACAATGGCAAAAGGACGATCGGCGATCAGTAAGAATATGGCCAAGAAGGCGTCCAAGCCTTCAGGTTCCCACGTTTCTGGCCTTTCCTCGGCCAAACCCTCCAAAAGAAAGGATGCCACACTAAAGTATGGCCAGTTGTCGAGAAAGCAAAAGCAAGATCTCATGGATTACGGTGAACTCGTACCAAAGGATTTCGAATTGGATCAAAATGACGATGACGAGGAAGGCGCTCCTTCAAAGTAAATACGAATGCACCTGTCTTAATAGTCGTACAGGTATACTTATCAGTGTGTATTGTGTTGTAGACGTCGACGAGTGATTGACGAAGCGGATCTGGATCGTGAATTGGAAGAAGAGGCAGAGCGCATGGAGCGTCAATTTGACAGCGATGAGGAGCCATCGGAAGCAGACGATGAAGAAGACGAAGACGATTGGGAGAAACCTTCGGCTTACTCGTTGCTCATTGGTTCCTTGAAAAAATCGTCACAGCAAAAGGACTTTTACAAGAAAATCGAAAGAGAGCAGGAAGGGTACGAGGATATGGCCGATGACCAAGAGGAAGAGGAAGAAGTTTATGAAGAGGAGGATGATCTTGAAGGTAAATTTCTTTCCGTCGGTCGCTGTCATCCACTGATGGGACTCATGTCAATGAATAGAGGTGGACGAGGTAGAGGACATCGAATTGAACGAGGAAGACGAGGATCTCGAGGGTTCCGAACAAGACGATGATGAAGATGATCAAGAAGATTTGGTGGAAGACAAGGACGCAGTCGACCCTGAGGATAATTTAGACGATGAAGAGGAAATGTTTGAACTTTACGGATCCAGTGATGATGAAGCAACAGATACAGGTAATACGCGCATCACGGCTTAGAAGTGGGCAATGAAACTTATCATGACTATCTAGTCGTCTTTGAAGAACGTCTTGCGGATGCTCAGCCCAAAGATTTCGACGAAAAAGTGGCCAAGATTGAGCAAAAGAAGTGGGTGACACAAGCATTCGAGGACGATCTGTTGAAGGATGTCGTGTGTTACACTACGGGTGCCGATAAATCTATCAAAGAAAAGGAGCCCATCACGGATCTGAAGAGTACTGGCATGAAAGAACGCATCGCGAACTGCTGGCAGAAAGCCAATCAGTCTTGCTTGAAAGAGGGTAAACCAATCGTGCTTTTTTCAACTCTTCTTTTCACCATCGTCTTAACACGTTCTGTTTTTTTCCTAGGTCAATCGTCCAAGCCATTTACGCCCCTTCAGGAACGTTTGTTCAATCACATCCACCGGTTTCGCGATGTCATGTATTGCAATCGCACCGTCGATAACGCCAAAGAAATCCGCAATATATACGCTCTTCATGCTATGAACCACGTCACCAAAACCCGCAACCGAGTGCTCAAAAACAACGCCAAATTAGCAAGAGCACAAAGAGAAAACAAGGAGATTGGGGATTTGCGCGATCAAGGTTTCACCCGCCCCAAGGTACTGATTGTCCTGCCCTTCCGAAATACGGTGGTGGATGTGGTCAACACCCTTATCAAGATCTCGGGCACTGATCAGCAGGTAAGTTGTTCATTTTAGCACGGCGGACCATAAAATTAGAACACCTTGAGATCATTCATAAAAATAACCTTCCAATATTTTATGGTAACAGGACAACAAGAAGCGATTTTACGATCAATTCAACTTGCTTGAGCAAGACGAGATGGACGAAAACAAGCCTGCGGATTTCCTCGAGACGTTCCGAGGCAATATTGATGATCATTTCCGATTAGCGATCAAATTCACCAAAAAGACCATGAAACTTTACTGCGATTTCTACAGTGCGGATATTATCATTGCATCTCCTCTTGGTTTACGTACAATGATTGGCTCGGAAGGGTAAGGCCACGCGGTGCTTCTTGAGGCTCGTACAGCTGGAAACTGACGGTGTGTTTAGTGATACGAAACGGGATTTCGACTTTTTATCTTCGATTGAGCTTCTTATTTTGGATCAAACCAGCCATTTCCTGATGCAAAATTGGGATCACATTGATGTAAGCGAATAAACTCAACACGACGGTGATGGCATGATGCTGATATTTTTTTTATCGCAGCATTTGTTCCAGTATATGAACTTGATTCCAGCGGATGCTCACGGCATGGATATTTCGCGTATCAAGAGCTGGTACTTGGATGGCAAGTAAGTTGATTATTTTTTGGCAAACTAGGAAACAAGTGGAGAGCGTGCGAGTGATTGATGTCGTTATCCGATCACTGTAGAGCCCGTTATCTTCGACAGACACTCGTGTTTTCCGATTTCCTGACCCCTGAACTCAACGCAATGTTTACCAAGTATCTGAAAAATGTGAGCGGAAAAATGAAAATCAAGCAGCAGCATGAAGGATCTATCATGGATGTGATTCCACAAGTACAACAGGTAGGCCATTCGATTTTCGAGTGATTTCGGAAGAGATTGGTGAATCTAACACGATGGCCTACTTATCCTCAGACGTTTACGCGTATCGATACTACGTCGTTGGCCGCCATGGATGATGCACGATTCAAATATTTCGTTGACAAGACCTTACCCACGCTTCGCAAATCCGCCATCACACAATCCCATACCCTTATCTTTATCCCATCCTACTTTGACTTTGTCCGGTTACGCAACTTTTTTGAAGACAACAAATATGACTATGAGCCCTGTTGCGAGTAAGTGTCATTGTCTGATCATTCATTGATTGGTCGGTGAAAAAGAGTTGTCGTTGAACCTGCGATTTTCTAGATACACTTCTGGAAGTGGTATTGCGCGTGCGAGAGCCCAGTTTTTCCACGGACGAACCAACTTTTTGTTATATACAGAACGTCTCCACTTTTTCAGAAGGTAAAGCTAGACCGTGGTGGGTACGCATAGGGGATATGAATGCACTGACATTTGTTTGGATGACTTCGGCCCTACAGATATAATATTCGCGGTACTTTCCATATTGTGTTCTACGGGCTTCCGGATCATCCGCAATTTTACACCGAAGTGGTGAATTTCCTCAGTCTCAAGTTTGACGAAGCCAGTGCCGCCGAAGAAGCCACCTTTTCATGCACAGCGCTATTCAGCAAGTATGATCTCCTCAAACTTGAACGCATCGTGGGTTCCGAGCGCGCCAGAAAGATGTGCACCGCACAAAAGAACGTGTTCATGTTTGCTTAGGAGGATGGTATGACAATTCTTGTATTTAATACATTTGAAAAATTAATAGACATCAATTTTACTGCACGTACTCTGACTTTTTTTTCCATGTCAAACTGACGAAATGAAGGGCAGTTGTACTGTATATGAAATGAAAAAATATAAAGTGCAATAGCATGGAAAGTGATGAAAACGTATAGTTTGACAGCAAAAACTGGATAATCCATTCTTATTTTCCCGCAAAATCATAGCAACTCTTCATTGTTCGGGTTGGCGAAGCAACACATAGCGATGTTGGTACAAGATATGGCGTCGCGGCCAAAAGAGTTTTTCTTCTGTTGGTATGATGCGCAACTTCTGTTCACACAACAAGACGTGCCGTTGTTCAACACTCTTCGGCTGCCTTATCATCATGTACGGATGGATTGTTCGCTCGCGGCAAAAAGGGCACATCATGGACGTACGGGCTTCGTCGGTACAAGCACAATACCTTGTTGCGCGGAAAGTCTTCGATGCCATTTCCCGCCACGTCTAAGGTGGCCTTTGATCCGAGTACCAACCCCGGTACCAGCGTTTCCGATCGCCCTGATGAGGGTCATCGGTTTGTGATGCCGGTTCACCATAAGTCTCTTCATGTGGTTACCATACCATAAGGCCCAACGCCGGTGCCTCTGGAGCCAAGGCTGGCCGTAAAACTTCCGGAGGATTGGGCCTTGCGCCCGGACTTGCGCGTAGCGCCCCATAAATTCTGTGACGTTCTTCGCCAGGCAAAGGCTGTTGTTGGCGAGAGATCTTTCCGCCTCTCTCGCCTCCTTGCCGTCAGCAGTGTTCTAAACCAGCCAAACGATAAGTGTTACATGGTTGTTCTTCCGTTATCTTCTGCTGCTGGTTCCGTCGACATACGTAGTCGACGATGTCCAAATTTAGAAAACAACCAAGACGTCCCGTTTCCTGGGTATTGCTTGACTGGCGCTTGTTATTCCTTTGCTCGCCACGTTCAATGTTTTCCCGGACAGTTCGTACAATGTGGTTGCATCAAGACTCAGCGGGTAAACAGAGGCTGGTCACGCAACTGGACAAAATCGCATACAAAAGGTTTGGTACCCACAGAGACGCTTCACTTCACTGCCGAAGAGGATCCTGTTCAACCCGGAAATATTTTGACTGTTCCTTGCTGACAATGAACGGTTTATCATGGTGGTATATCGTCAGCATGACAAGAGATTTTCGCTTCCGGTAACTGCACATCCTTGCTGTGCAGCTGCACAATGGTTTCGTCCAATGTGTGTAGCTTTGTGCACAAAAGCAACCGAGAATGGATGCCTTGCAGCGAGTTCAACCGAAGCAGGGATATCACGGCTGTCAGAAGGGAGTTGTAATTCCTCGAACGGGTCACCGTTTTCATCAAGGTCGCCGCGGAGGGTAGCCGAGCCAAAGTTGGTATCCAATTCCTAAAGAAAGCACATTAGCATCATTTTCCGGTTGGTCTTATTATACGAAACATATACCTCATCGGTTATGCTTTGCTTTAACCGACCTTGCTCGGTCTTCTTGTTCCTCCGTCTTCCTTCTTGCTCCGATCGGACACGCTTCGCCTTCAAGGCATCCTTCCAAAAGGAAGGTCAACACTTGGTACACTCCAAAAAATCGATTATTGTGGCCAGTTGAGCCGCTTTGGATAATACTCCTTCTTCATAAGATAAGGCAATCTCGACATTGTCAATATCACACCAATCCCAGAAAGATTCCCAGAGAAAGTCGGAAAAATTGGCGTCCTCGGCTTGCAATAACGCCATCATGTGATTCAGAAAGACTTTTCTTCTTGCTTGGACTATTGGCAGAGATTCTTCGTGATTGTTCTTCATAACGGTTGAACGAACAAACTTACGCAGGCCCGAATTTATAATGCAGGAAAAAAAAGGGGACGCGCGGCAAATGATGACGTGCGCTGGGAAATTCATTGTTTCTCGAAGGAACATGGTGTCGTATATCTTTTAGTGTTCTCCTTTTTCGTATTTTACATTTGAGCAGGACATGATGTATATTTACGCCACCGAAAACCAGTCATCCTACAAAACAGAAGATATATAATAGTCCATTCATTTTATCAATAAACCAGTATCTTATCGTCGTTTAACCTTCACTTCCTATTCCTATTCGACCGTGGAACATTAATCCGGGGATACTGTAGCCCAGAAACGACAATGCAGTGAAATTTTAGAGTATGTTGGCTTCGACAGCTAAGTATATTGCTCCTTTTCGATGGGATTTAGAGAGAGCTGGGTGTGGTTTCCATGGGTCGGCTTGCTCATAGACTGGCTTTTTTAACTCGTATTATACATGTTACTGTAAAAATAAGTCATCCTCGAGAAGATGGCCTCTCTTTGATGAACAAAGTCGTCAGTTTCGGCACATTCCGCCATCTGGATTACGCAAGTATTCTACCAAGGCCAAAGAAATATGAGAAGATCCCACCCCATTCCCGCCAATAAAGTTTCAGATCAATAATTTCTGTTTCCCTTGGAATTTATCTTATCATCACCTCCTCATTTCCCGAGAAAAATGAACTGAAAGATGAAAGTAGCATTAGGAGAGTCAAATAAATTGATGGGAATTACACCGAATTTTTGCTATGGTACTGTACGTGGGAATAGAGAGGAGAATACGCGCAAATGAACATACAAAGATAAAGGATGGATGAAGGGAAAGGGGGAGAAAAAAGAAAAGAGGACCACGGTGTGCATAAATAAAACTACATGAATTTATATACAAAATGCGGGCTTACTTGTAGTTGGAAAGATAAGTAGAAGCCAGAACAAACATGGGCCGCTTTTTGGGGGCGGCTCCCGAGGAAGGCGAAGGTGCATTGGTCGCTGGGGTTGGTGAACTCGCTGTAACAACCTGGTCGGTCGGTTTGGAAGATGGCGCTTTTTTCTTCTTTTGCGGTGACGTCTTCTTTTTACGATCCGGTTTCCCCGGTGGTGACGGTCGTGGTGGGCCATTGGAAGGACTGGCGTCGCCTCTTCCACCCATCAAAGCTGTTGGCGGATGATCGTTGCTTGACACCCCGGCATCAGAGGGAAGCTCCGCTAGGAACTTGGTCATATCTTCCAAATTGTTAAAAGGGAATGAATGGCTCGGAGGAGAGGAGATCGACTGTTGTGACATGAGAGTAGATAAGTCGATGGTAGAGGAAGTATCATTGGAGGACGAACTGGATAGCAGCGACGATACGAGTGGCGAACTTGTGTCGAGAGACATACCCGTCTTGGCCACGTCGAGGTCTTGCAACATCATTTCAGGCGATCCAAGGATATCTTGTACAACTTTCTGGCGCGCCATACGAAGTGCACTGTGGGCTAATCGTTTGTTCTTGCTGTAACGGATAATTTTTCCGTTGGAGGATCGTTTTGGTACCGCTGTCGTGTGAATGGCTGTTGTATCACTCATCGAAGCTTTGGGTGGCACGTTGTTGGTGGTGGTGGTGTTGACGGCGGCGTTGACGGAGGTGTTGGTGGTGGGGGTAATAAATGAAGGGGCAGGGGGTAATAGTGACGGGAAGGTGGCATCGCCTGATAAGCAATCGGTCACATCCATAAAGTCGAGCTTCCCTAGAAACGCGCTAGTGGGATCGTTGCCTGATTTGGCGGCATCGGTGGTATTGTTGCTTTGTGCGGTAGAATGAGAAGGTTGATGATGATTGGAGGTATTGTTGTGAGGGTTGCTGTTATTAGTATTGTTATTGCTATTGTTGTTGCTGTTGTTGTTGTTATCGTTACTCAGGAGCAGCGGTAGATATGGATCTTGATTGAACATTTGATGGAATAGAAGCATTTCATTCATCAAGGCGTTGTTGTTGTTATTGTTGTTTGTTTGACTGCCTTCGACTGTATTCGTTGTGGGGGTGGAATTATTGTTGGAGGCATGAACCGATGAGGACAAACGGACAGCTTCCAGCTTGCCTTGATCGATACCATGTTCGATGCAGAGTTTCTTGAGCTGTTCACATTCTGATTCCAGCATTTGGATTCGCGCGTGAAGTTTGCCACAATAGAGTTCACAATGGGCTTTGGTTTCGGGCAAGGTACCGAGAAAGGAACAACCTTCCATGGCATATCGGCAAGGGTACGATCGGCACCGCTTTTCATGGGCTTCCATGTCTTTGCGCAAGAAGGGCGTACACAGTGGATCCAGATTGGGACAACGGATGAGCGCAAAAGGGCATTGTGCTACGTGTTGTTCCATATCCTTCTGGGGTGGCTTCTCAGCACATCCACGCTCAGCGTTGGGACATGGTACCGGCACGTATTGACACTGCAACACCACCAAAAAAAATTTTCTTCATGAATGAGCTTGTGCGTGTTTTCGTTTTTTCTCCCCCGATCCTATTTACCTGCTCAATATGCTCGTCACCAAAGAGTCCTTGCCAGTTGCATCCAAGGCTTTGATGTATACATCGCGCTCGCAATCGTCCAATCTGTCGCTTTACAAATTTCGACGGTTGAAACGATGATCTTTCAATAGGTGTTTGACAAACGGGACACGTAGAACGCTGATCCATGTAAGCGGTAATGCATTTCTCGCAAAATATGTGGTCTAAAACATTAAGATTAGTCCAACATGTTATCACGACCCTCTCAGCAGTCCCCTGTTGACTCGGCTCCTTTGTGTTATTTGCCCAATGATCCATCCAAAAGTCTAGGCATTGGTGGATCCAACCGTGACTTGTCTGCTTTTTGTTCATCTGCTTCCCTCTCCCCCCCCCCCCTCCCTGTGTATTCGAATTATTACCTTCGGGACAGTGAATTTGCACGGGTTCATCCAAAACATCTGTAGACAATCAAGACCATGGGTAAGTACGACTGAGGCTTCTTGGGCGTGGATAGCCATTGCAAAGACACGAGAAGTATGTACCTTCGCATAATCCACAGAGAAGATCGGGGACGGGTGTTTCAAGTAGAATGTCCTTTCGTTTGGAGACCATGAAAAACTTGGAGTGGCAGCGTCAAAAGAATGATGGAATGGGAAATGAGTGGGAAAAAGGAAAAAGAAAATAAAGCAAACGGACAAAAGGACGCAGGAACTTGGAAAAGCAACGCGTCCCATTTTCTGGCACGCGTCTGTTTTTTTTTCTAATTCAGCAAAATACGCGGTTCCGGTCGTGTTGCGCCGTTTCAAAAGCCAGTGTGCCTTTTTTTGTCAGCCGAACGTATTGCGGATATGGTGTAAGCATTCTTTAAGACTATGGCGGAAAGAAAAAACAGGCCATCGAACCCTGGTTGATATGTTCATCCATGCGTATAATTCATGCTAACGAAACCATGACACAGGAATGCGAGTCATACATGGTTGTCTCTTTTTGTTGTTTTAGTTTCACACGGTAGTTTCCGTTTCATCCTGTTCAGTAATTTAAGCCAATCCGTTTTATACTCCCCAGTGTTGAAGCGTCGAAGGATCAGGCGTCCCAATTGTGTGGTAATCAGCGATGATCGTCCTTTACGACAAACCAAGCATAGAATCATACAAGAACAAATGAATTGTCAGTGGCTTCTATTTTTAATTTTTTTATTCTATTGCAACAATCTATAGCTCTACGGGATTTTATTCCAGATCGACGACCCAGCATTGAGTGGTTTTAATAAAATCCGAGACGGGAACACCCATCTTCCAATCAGTGTGACCAGCACCAAGGAAAAGGACGGGTGGCTGCATAAATCCATGTTAGTCAAACACATCAATAGACCCGATGACTCTCTTCTTGTAGTCTTACCTCGAGCTTTGTAATGGATTCGGCCAAAATAACAGGGAGCGGCTGCTTCATACCAAAGGGGCAAACCCCGCCTTTACGGAAACCGGTCAATTGAAACGATACCTAATGATCGGTTGAGCCACCATGATCCAGTGGAAAGAAGTTACATGATACATTACCTCTGGATCTGCCAAACGAAATTTGTAATATTTTTTGCTGATCTCTTTATTTTTCAATCGACGCCCGAAATTCAGCAATTTTTGGGCATTGACAGGCGCGATATACTATGGGCGATGGTTACAAACAAGGACTGGATGCAAAATGCGGTTAGATAGCTTACCTGAGTGATCACACAATAATATCGAGAATACAGTGGATCTATGTCCCAGAAAAAAAAAAGCGAAAAAAAAAGTATGGATCAGGCGCCATCCATAGTCTTAAATAAGGTCGGTCACACAAGCAAGGGGCATACCTGAAATCTCATTGTGGGTACAACGTGTGTTCTCGAAAATGAGAGTTTTGCACAGGTGGGCTTCGCTGGGAGCATTGACGCGGTCACTGCAGACCAAACACACCCCGTTAGAAAATACACAGAACGTTCGTATGTCATAGGTTATTGAGGGCGACTTACGCTCGGCGCTGTAACTCCCATTCGTAGTAATCAGATTCGACTTGAGTAAACTGACTCACATCACGAATGCCGAGCGCGGTAACAGCATCTATCACCTAAAATTCATGCTTAACAATGGAATATCCTGGTAGAAATAGTATATTAATGACATACTGTCTGCACCGTTTCGGGACGTTCGGCATTGTCTTGATGTTCGCCGTCAGTTTGACACTTTTCCTGGCAACTGTTGGCTGCCTCTGAAATGCTGATCTCGTTGGTGGCTTTCTACACGGAATCATTATAAGGAACGAGAGAGATAAAGAAATGAATTGTAGGACTATAGAGACGTACACTCAATGTCACTTGCTGATCGGCGGGCGATTCACTCACTTCCATATTGAACACTTTTTTTTTTCTTTTTCGCCCAGGAACGTCCCGATGAAAAGAATACCAAATTTGGACACCGATGACGGTCACAATTCACCTTTTCTTTTTGGGCGGCCCATCAAGCGAATCATCGGTTTTTTGGACTCCATAAAGTTCTCGGCATACCATGTCTAATATCTACGTACTTGAACCACCTACAAAGTAAGATCAGCTTTCTATCAATGCATTGCTTTATACCATGCTGACATTGTATATGCACAGTGCCAAAGTTATTCTCCACACGACGGCGGGCGATGTAGAGATCGAGCTGTGGGGTAAAGAGACCCCGTTGGCAGCTCGTAATTTTATCCAATTGTGCATGGAAGGCTATTACGACAATACCATATTCCACCGTATCGTTCCCAACTTTATTATACAGGGAGGCGATCCGACCGGCACGGGTCAAGGTAAACTTTTTTTGGTCATCCAACCGTAATCGTGCGTCCTCATGGATCACCGCAACTGACTATTTAAATAAAAAGGGGGAGAGTCAATATACGAAGAAGAGTTTCCCGACGAGTTCCATTCTCGACTTCGATTTATTCGACGTGGTCTGGTGGGAATGGCCAATACTGGCGAAAATGATAATGGCAGTCAGTTTTTTATCACCCTCGACCGCGCCGATGAATTGACAAAGAAACACACACTGTTCGGAAGAGTAAGCGGATCAATCTTAGTACGCCAACGTGGCATGCTCATTCCTTTATGTCTTTCTAGGTCGCTGGCGATACCATTTTCAACGTATTAAAGATGGGCGAGATGGAGATTGACGACAACGAACGACCGCTGTATCCTCCGCGCATCAAATCCACCGAAATCGTGCTCAATCCATTTGATGACATTGTTCCCCGAATCAATAAACGAGAGCAAATGGTCGCCAAAGCACGTGAAGAAGCAAAAGAGGCCCAGATGCGTACAAAGACCAAGAAGAAAGTGAAAAAGTAGGATTCAAAAAATACAGTGAAACCGCATAAAGCCCCGCCATCATTCACACAGAAAGGGTATAGGCAACTGAATTTGCTGTCATTTGGCGAAGAAGCGGCGGATATGGAGGAAGCACTTCCATCCAAAATGAAGAGCAGTCATGACATTACTGGAGACACTCCCGTGGCACCATCCCCTCCCATCCAAGAAAAATCTAAACGTAAAATGGTCCCTGTAGAAACAACCCGCCCCGACCCGCAGGAAGACCGTCCAAGCCCACCTGTCACGAAATCATCACCCCCACCAGCACCAATACCAGCTTCTGAACCTGCACGGAAAAAGAAGGAAAAATCAGAGCCCGTCAGAGAAGAACCAAAGTAAGTGGTACAGCACGGTGTCCGTAACCGATTATATATTAAATGATTTTTCTCAAAACAGAACCTCTCGCGATAAAGCGGAACAATTGATGCAAGATATCCGTGCGATGGAACAAGATCGACGCGATGAAATTATGGGAGTGAAAAAGGAAGGGAAACCCGAAAAGAAAAAGAAAATCTCGCTGATTGAGCAAGAACGCGAAAAATACATGCAAGGCAAAGCCATCGTCGGAGGCTTGAAAGCAAGGAAACGAGCTGCCAAAGCGGAGGACGATGTAACTATTTCTAAATACTGCAGAAGCAAAACATTTGGCATGTATACTTACTGTCGGCTGTTTTTGACTTAGACATTTGCCAAGTTGATGGCGTTTCAACGCAAACTCACCACGTCGCAACCGAGTGAACCCGTCAATGACAATAAGGATCAGAAACCTCCCTGTGCATTGCACGGGATCCCCAATTGCGAATCATGCTACGATACATCAATGGAAAATGACGACAAAGTAACAGACGAGGGATGGATGTCACATAAGCTCGTGTTTGAAAAAGACTTGAAAGGCAAAGATTTAATGCAACGGCGTGAAAACGTGGACGATTATGTCGTCATTGACCCGCGCGATCGAGAAGCGCAAGCCAAACAAGAAGAATACGAACGAAAGCGCAGTAAAAAGAGTCATTTGGGTGAAGCCTTCCAGAAACGACCGAGAGATTCCAGCCGCAGCCACCACGAAGACGATCGACGAGCACGATACGACGATGATTATAAACGATCTAGAACCCATAGAGATCATTATTCTAGACGATGATACTATTTACATGGCCTATAAATACTAAAATCCGGACAAGAATGATAATCACAAACATTATCTCTATCTTGAATCAATGATGAATAAGCTAACTAGGGGTTGAAGAGCTAGAGAAACCAAAGGTGAAAAGAAAAAATGTACAAATTATTATAAGTTCTGGTATACAGCATGAATCCTTTTTTTTTTCTTATTTTCCCATTCTGGCTTCTTTACGATGTGGCGGTGCTGACTGTCATGCAATATTTTCTATTCACTTTTTCTTCTTTTGCCTTTGGTTTTATCGTCTTCGGATGCAGTCGTGGACGCAGTCGAGGCCTGTCCATCTTCTGCCTCCATTTGCGCATTCGATCGTTTCTTGCTTGATTCACTTTCAGGAGATGCATTACTGGAGGAAGAGGATTGGACAGGTGGGATGGAGGAGGAGGATGGGGTTCGTATCGCTGTTGCAGCACTAGGGCGTGACCGTGCTTGTCTTTCTGACTGTGATGGAGTGGTGGTTTCCGACGCCGCTGTCGCGGGGCTGGAACTATCTGTATTCGAATGAAATCGTCGCACGCGTCGTGTGTTAATATCGGCACTCCCCAACACGGAGCCCAGAAAGTGGTGGACAAGACTCATGCCTTGCACCACCCGAGCCGTACGCAAGACGCGGCGATACAGCTAACCATTGCATTCCCTTGTTTCAGTATCTCGGCCAACACTACACATATGGGACCATTTTCGTGACTGTACCTCTCTTTCTGAATCTCGATTTTCCTCTTGTAATGCTGCGGCCACCTCGCGCAAACGGGGGGCAGCCGAAGTCATTAGATTGGCTAATTCTTCCAATACCATGCCAACCTGAGCAGTTTGTGTATTTCCACTGGCACGAAGTCGGTTACGAATGTCCTGCATTTGCTCTTGCGATGAAGTTGAGGCTGTACTGATGCCAGAAATATCTGTCACGAAAAAAAAAAAAGCAAACCCGTGATGGTGAGCTTATGATCGCTCCTTGACTCTATAGGTTACTCTCTCATTTTACCTTGATCTAAAGGTGCCTCAAGAATTGATCGTACATTTTGAATGGAACTTAGTGTACGAGATAAGCGAACTTCGACGGATGTCTGCAGCCAATCAAGCCCATGTGAGTAATGGTATCCAACGGATGATGCGATATTCCCAACTTACAGGAAATGGAAGACTCATGGCTGGGCGATTGGCGCCCGTGGTTGTCGCAGGAGCCGAAGGCGACTGGGTGGATGGTCTAAAGAAATCCGCTGAACTTCGACTCCCAAAGCTAAATTCAAACGATGGTATAGCCGACAAGAGTTCGGCGGCAAAATTAGTCGGTGCCGCTGACGCTCCTTGAGGTCGTGCCGCTGAAGGCGAACTGTCTGCAGTATTAGCGGCATCGCCAGGTGTAGCTGCCGTCGTTGGTGTCGCTGAAGCCGCACCCTAATAAGAAAAAAAAGGAAAAACCATCACCATCAGCTCGGATCCAACAATCATAAAGCAAAGGAAAAGGTCCCAAGCAACGATATGCCAAAGCAGCTGATAACTTACAGTAGAGGCTGGTCGACTAGCGCTGTCCGTGTTACGCATGAATCGCATTCTCGGTAACCCGTCCAAGCCTCCAGGTGATCCCGTGGTAGTACCAAGGTTACTGTTGTTATTTCCGTGGAGAAGTTGCGATAACAGCTAACCCACATGAGATATCAGTAATGCTGATGAATAATGCCGCTTTTTCCACTTTTCACTGAGCTTGGCCATCCATGACTTACAAAGTTATTGTCCACATCGGCTAATGTCGTATCGAGGGTAATAAAAGCGTAGCCTTCCATGGTAGGCAGTCGACTGGAAAAGCTGGGAAAGGCTCGAGAAAATGTTCGGCCAAACGTTCGTCGAGGAGTGTTTTGTGTCCGTGGTTCGTCTAACAGAAAAAGAGGCTTCCAGCATAAATAAAACCAGTTTCCAATACGAATCCAAACATTCGTTATTTCCATTTAGTTTACCGTTTTGTGGATTCGAAGGTGCATCGGCCGGGCGAACGACGAGATGGATCACTTTGCCACTGTCAAGGTTGGCTGCAAAAAAGAAAAGGGAGAACGGGGATGAGTTATTTACAACTGGGAAAGAAATACCCCAAGCTCCATTTTTCATTTCATATCGTACCATAATCCGTTAATTGTTTGTCATCTTTAAGCACTCGACCTTGGAAGATGAGTCGTTGACGACCGGTGTCGACATCAAAGACGGTCTGAATTTCGTTCTTTAATTGCAAGACCGAAGAAGTGCGTGGCACAGTAACCGAGTGGGTGCGTTGTTCCAACGATTTGATCTGCAAAGCCATCAGGTCCGAGGAAACCTGGGTTTCTCCCGTGAAATTTGATGAAGTCATGGAAGAAGCGTCTTCGGTCGGTCGATTCGTCATGTTGGCCTAGGTCGGGGAAGACGAGGATAAAGAAGAGTAAGGTAATAAGCGGCAAAGTCACGAACAGTGACGTATCTTTTTAAATTTCGAAGTCCGTAAGTAGTCGACCATATTCGAGCGTTGATGTCTCGTGGTGTGCAGTTGACGCAACACTGCCTTGCCAGATTATGAAAAAACGTACTCCACGTACCAATACATCTGCTTTTTATGCTTCCGTTAATTGCTTTATCATGTATGCGCTGTTCGTTCACACCCCTGTATTTGTTCACTTCACTTGTGATGATGGGCCTTCCTTGAACCATGAATTTAGGCTAAATTCAACTCCGCCCATGCGTTATATTCTTTTTTTTTTTCATTATTCTCAAAAAACAGAACACTACTTGATTTATAACCAAACTAACCTTGAATACCTTTTTTCATGCAAGGCTTGCAAAAAATAAACAAACAACCGACAATAAAAACGACATGTGTTCGTTCTATTTACACCCCAAGATATGCTTTATATCATCAGCATTTTCACGGCGAAGTGGGTGGATTCGCAAGGAACTTTTGAATTTGCAAAGTCAATCTTCCTTCATAAACTGCAGTACAAAGAGCAAAAATGTTTAAGTAATTCGATCTTGCTGTCGATAAGCTGGGCCAAATGAACGGACATAGGAGAGCTCAGCAAATAATAACTTAGAAACATTCGCCATCATGGCTTGCAGTTTAATATATTTTTAGTGAAACAATGCTTGCACCCGTTTGATGAGACCGTAGCGAGTCCAAAATTAGAAGTCAGATCGGTCTTTAGTCGGCATGCTCAAAGCTCGGCTCTAGTTGAACCTTGGGCACCACGCAGGCGGACAAAGACCGAGACAACGATAAGAGTCATCTTGATCCGAAAGAAAAACCCAGCACTTGGCTATCTTTGGGAATCTTTGGGGCCGAATCATACCTCGCCTTCATCTTTTTATCATCATGTCATCAAGAGCGCAAATCCGTAAAGACTGGATGCGACGCGCGCATGCCTTTCATTGCCATGGTAATAATTGGCCAGCGTCAAAAAGAGTGACATGATTTGAAAGGGTATCCATGACCGGTCAACGGGAACTCCATCGACTCCACATTTGATAGGAACATCAAGGGCAGCAGACGACAAGTTATGAGTCAGTTCATTCATAATAGCCTCGTCTTTGGGCCATGGCCCGTTCATTGAAATCTATTAAAACAGATGAAAAGTCGATCGCGGTTCAGGCCTATGGTTTCATTATATTTAATAGACCAGCAAGGGGTCTGAGAGCCGTTGCTTGATGCAAAATGAAGCAAACTAATTACCAAATCAAATCAGATACTATGACACTTAATATAGTATTTTATTGGTTTCCTTCATGGCGCCATGGTAACCTTATTGCAATGAAAATTGGATTGAAGGCTTTTAGTGCAATGGTGTCAGTGACTTTCAATGTGAGCTACTTCCCTATGTGATTGCAAATAAATAACTGGCTTGACAAAATCGGTGATGGAGCTTGTTCGTTCGGAGGGTATCTTGCGCATTATGGTCTTGATATTCGGGGTATCTTCAAAATAGTTGTTTCGTTTGTATGTAGCAAAATTGAAGCCGCAGAGATGATAATATTCCTTGCAAGGAATTTTGCGAACTCGGTGAGGGGTATAAGAGGAGCCGTCGGACGCAAACAAAAATATCGGTCATCCCGGCGTCAACACCTGGAGTTGTTGCATTTTGTAAAGTTTGTTCCAAAAAATTCGGTTTACATTCTGGTAACTTGGCTTTGGTTTTCAAACCAAAAATTTTGCATCTGTGCCGTCGCTTCGCGAACCATTCCTAGTTGTATATCTTTAGTATTTGACGTTTTACATGGCGCATGATCGTAAACATACCTCAAAAAAATCTTCCATCGGTGGCGAGCCTTCTATCGTTCTGAAATCGAGCTTCTTCATGTCGAACATTTCAAAATATGCGTTTTTAAGGTTGTCTCGCTGCGTATTGCGCGATGTTGTAATTCGCAGGTGGTCGATGAGGATTGTCGATCAAATTGAACGTGTCGCATTACGTGTAAGGAGGCAAAAATGTAAGCGACGCGTGCCTTCGGGTCGTTGAATTTTTCGCGTCGAACATGGTTGCCATTTATGGCGGTCGTGGTATCCTTAATGAAGTATTGAGCTTGTCAAAATCTCATGGGAAGGGCACACATTCCGGTGGAAAAATGAAAACTGTTTGCTTGATAGCTTCGCGGACTAGCTATGTTCAATGAAGCAAAAATTGTGTTTGATAAATGGGTATCGTATTGTTTGTGATCTATCCAGGTATAAGCGATCTACCATCAATTGCATGTCAAACATTCCTACGTACATCTTTCACGTGCCTAGGAACGTAAGCATTGGAAACAAAAAGTCTGCGGTTCGTCTTCTTCGACGAAGATATTCGATTTGAAGTTCTTCAGAATCTCGTGCATGTGGGGTATATACAAATGCGGGTTGAGGGCAAACCCTTCGTCGGTTTTCTTGCCGGGTTTGGACTTGAGGGAGTTGGACAAAAGCCTGAATGCTTGGATGTGATGCTGTCATCGGTTGAACGTTCTTTGGAAAATTGATGGGTGTGGATGTCTGGTTGGCGGCTTCGTCAAAAATGTATTTGGCAGTGGTTCGTCGTTTGGCCACCATAACTATGGCAACAAAAATGTCGGACCATGGGCATTATAAATTCGGACAAAATTGTATTCCTTCGTTTCATCGGGGTAGTTCTTCAAAATATGTCCTTGTTGTGCGGAGGTGTAATATTCTTTCGCGGTTTCGGATATGGGGTGGAGTAGCCTTGGGATTGAAAACTGGCTTCGTGGTATTCGGGGACTAGTGATTTGAATTCTTGGTAAGCTTCTTGCACCAGTGTGGATGCTTCTTGTCTTGACCCATGATGGTGGCAAAAATACTTTAGAAAAAATCTTGAGAGAATTAAGGCAATGAAAAATTAGCAAAAAGGGAGCCGATGTAGGTGACATCTCGTACATGCTTGACAATGTCTTGAATGGATTCAATCAAAATTGGATATTTGCAAATATTTTGCAAAGAGGTCTTGATAATGGATTTTTCGTTTGAGGGGTGTCAACGTTGTTCGTCGAGTTGGAAAGTTGCTTGCAAAGTTTGTTTGACGATCGGAGATGATCGGGTTCGCCGCAACTTGAGCAGACGTTTTGGTTGTGTTCAAAATCAATACTGTAAATCGCTAATTGTTAACATATAGGAACTCGCCATCATTGGTTTTTAAATAGCTACTTGCGCGTTTTGAGGTGACGGTGGCATTTGCGTTGACGCGTCAGTAATGATTTTGTATCCAAGCAACGGAACCTGCATAATTATGTTTTTTTTCGGGTTTTGCTGTTTCTCTTTCTTCTTCTTTGTTTGCAACGGAAGAGCTAGCTTGGCCTACTTATTCTATCCAAGCGATTGCATTCTAACATGTTTACATTCATCTTGAAGTCGTTTACCAATCTTCTTTGATGTATCTTTTATCTGTTTGAAGTCTTTGATTTTTTTCGGGTGATTTTCTTTTAACGCTAGGTTTTTCTTTTTCGGATTTGTTTGCGCTATTTTTGTTTCCGATGTAGTATGGATATCGAATAAAGGAACGCATTAATATTGTATTGGTGCCTCATCGATCGACTTTTTTTACCAAAGGAAGTATTGTCTTTGGGTGTAATTGGGATATTTCTGCGTTTGATTATGATTGGGGTTGGTTGAAAATCATCTTCATCATGCATTTCGGGTCCTGATATTTAACGGATTAACCTCTCAACATCGATCACGCATCTCTTGTGACAATACTCTTGTTCAAAATATCGCCTTTGGTTGGCTTATTTTCTTTGTTGATGAGCTTACGCGGCATCTTGGTGAATTGTAGAAGGGGAAGAGAAACACGTCATGTAGATCTTTCATGCATTTTATTGCCTTGGACTGTCAAAATTCACTGTCCAACCCGTGTCTAATGCGGTACATATCATGACTGATGCACTTAGTTGCTACGATATAACATGGCTATTTTTAATGGGGAGGTTACATAAGATATTAATAGTAAAGTGAAACGGAATAAAGAAAAAAACTTGAAGTGTACAACGGTGTATGGAAAATGAGTGGCAATATAAAATGGATAAATTAATTCAGGATTGCATTGACCAATATGCGTGCACCTGTGTCTATGGCACTAGATGGACAGACATTCAGATCTTTAAATGTTCCAGTGGACTTGTTACTTGCAACACGCGCTCGTCGTTTTTAACCCATATGAATGCCAAGCACGATTCTCGATTGCGGGCCGCCTTTCAATAAACGCACAGAGATGGAGTCCTACAAAGCTTAACAATTTAAATGAGTTGTGGCCACGCAAGGTTTCTCAAGTGGCGGTAAAATTGTCAAGTACAACTTGAGTATCTTCTTCCGTTCGCTGTCCGTCGCGTTCTTCGCGCTTCTTACTTCAGCTTTTTCTTCGACGTCCATTATGCGCAAGGTCCAACGCCTGCCAATGAGGGTTGTCAAATTCCATTGCATCGATACCGAACTTCGTCTTTATCTTCCTGACATCACACGATATCCATGGCATCGTAGAAAAATTTTCTATTGCCACCGTGGCAACTTTGGTCAGGGCGGGTCCTGAAAGGCTGAAATCGCCAAAGAAAAAAAAAAAAAAAAAAAAAAAAAAAAAAAAAAAAAGAGACTTTTCGTCATTGATTCTTCATGACCGGGCTTGAAGCGGATTCTTTTGTGGCGGGGGCCCATTGCTTTCGCTCGCTACGATCCATTCGGCTGCGCTTCTTTGCCTGAACATTGTCCTTCAAAAGTTAGTTTGTTCACCTTCAGAGTGGTTTGCAGCAACTTCAGATCGAAGGCTGTTCGCTCACGGGTCATACGGGTCATACGGGTCATACAGATGGTCAGGTCGACGTTGTCTTCAATGCTCATAGTCATGGTAAAAATTATAAAAGGTTAAAAGGACGATAAAGTTAATAAAACAATGAGAAAATAAAAAGAGACATTAAAAACACTTGAGAGTAGTTCAAGAGAGATAAGCGTGGGAAAAAGGCAGTAAAAGTTGAAAAAAAGATAACTAAAGATGCAAGAGAAGAAAAAAAGCCGGAATTTTTATTTTCAAAATGTTGAAAATGTCCAGTATCCATTGGAGTGAGCTTATTATTATTGTTACTGATGACGGGGTTCTCTGTCGTGGAATGTCCCCATGGTGGTAACGTCTCTATGAAGGTGTATTCTTTTGAACAGTATCACACTTCTTCCCCCGCATTTATTGCCCAAACAGTCAATTTTTTTAATGCTCAACCTACATAATTAAAATCTTTGGGAAATTAGGGATTTGTAAATCACATGATCTACACTAAGTTATCAGGACCTGTTAAACCTTTTTTTCATCTTTCAACCATGCCTCGCTGCCACTTTCACGGTAATAGGCGAAACAATCAACAGCAAGATGCCGTTTGCGTCATTTATGGTCAAACAGAGTATCGTCGTCTTTCGATTAAAAATGTGAGTAGAGTTCTTTTTGAAGAAAAGTGGTTGATGATACGACTGGCGTTCTTCTGTAGCATCATTCAATTTGTTGGTTTTTTTTGTCAGTTATACTATATATGTCCTTTCATTCTCTTTCAATTTTCAATGAATCGAATAATACATAAGCAGACGTGCTTCGATCCATGAATTCAAGCATCAGTGGGGAGACTATTGTTTCATCCATGGAGAATCATATATTTTTGTCTTCAATCTTATCTTTTTTCTTTTGCTTTTCTCTCTCTCTTTCTGTTTGCTTGATAAACCCTCACTATCATTGTATCAAGATCCCATCCGCATACATTATCCAGACCATTCTTATCCCGTGTATATAACTTGGTTGAATCGACTACAATCCTCAAAAAGGTAAGCGTCGAGTGGTCCACCATCGATTTTGCTCCGGCAAAACAGACTTACCTCTCCTTTACTTCCATCCTTCTTCCAGCTTCCGGTTTCCATTTTCTTTTCTCATGACAAGTTCTGGATACTACAAGTTGACTTTCTCTCGCCATCCATCCATCCATCCATCCATCCATCTGGCGAAACCGGATGACGTCAAAGGCTATCGTTGGTGGTGTGGCTCTCTTTTTAATCAGAAAAACGCTTACGTGTCCTCTTCATGTTCCTCTCCTTTGGATTGCTTCTCATCATATGGTATTCGAGCTGTCTTCCCGATTATTTATTTTGTAGTTTATAGTTTGTATTTTATATTTCATGTACATATTCTTTTCGCAGTCTTTTCCTCTTTTTTTCCCACAGGGTTTTTTATGAGGTTTTTACTGACGCGACCATTGTTTTTTTATCATCATATACTTTATTTGTTTCTTTCTTTTTTATTCGGGGAACTCTCGATATCTGGAATCCAACTCGAAGTTACTGTCACTTCTGGCCACATCAATATTTTTTGCCTGCTCAAGCTGACACCACCAATCCATCGCTTAAGTGTCCCTGGAAGCAATTTTATTTTCCGCATCGAAGAAGAAGCTTACCTGGCGGCCCGTATTCATCGTTTTTTTTTCCGGTACACCATTTGGTTCAAAGGCAAGTCCAATTTCTTTTCCTTTGCTATGATGTAATAAACGTATACTAATTCAAATTTTTTCAATGTCATATAACCCAAGTCATGTCAAGCGATCAATGGCTATCGAAAACTCAAATAACAAAGGTAAAATATCTTGACGAAAATTTGAATCAATCAAAGAGCTTACTAACTCATTTTTTTAAATACCCAACATACCCACACATCTTTCTAGATCTATCATAGCCTGGGCGGGATGGAACTGAGGGGGTCAATCAGTGCTGCCCCCTGCGCAGGTTCAGAAACAAATCACGTTGCAACGTATGCCATAAGGTTGTCATTAATATACCGAAGTTCCGTCAAGAGTTCTCGCCCAGGTTATGCCGTGTATGCGTTAGGTTTTTTGTCTGACGAAAGTCGCTCAATGTAAGAGGGCGGCCTCCGGTGGCAGGCGGCATCCATTGCACAGCGGGTGTACGGCTTGTTATAATCAAATCATGTCGGAAATATTCAACTCCGTTTCTTGATAGCTTATTTATTATTAAAGTGAGCTTCACTTTCTACATATCACATATACGTCTGACTATCTCGTTCCAGAGTGTTGAAGTCCTTTCAACCGTAGTAGTTCCCCCTTTCAGATGTGGCGGTGCAGCAACGCAAATTGATTGCGACATATGTATACCAAGAAGAAGCAGGTGATGCAATGAAAAGGGATCCTTCGCCGATACAAACCTTAATTTACGCATGGACGCGGCAAAAGCCATTGTCATGACTCCTAAACATGATACTTTGATTCTCTTGCACCATTCGTTCCAGCTACCTCAATTTCACAGGATTAGAAGCTTTCCGTGTCTTTTTTATTTATTTATTCATCAAAACGGGAGCTTCTTAGAAATAAATCTTTTGCAGAATGAGTCTTTTTATCTCCATTTTAGGAAGTAGTTTCAGATTAAATCAGTTCCCAACCCCAGATGCGGCCACTGTAAAGCCATAAGTATGTAAACGAATGGGACAATCAAATGAGTCTACCTAATTTTCAAGGCGACTAAATAAACTGTCATGCCAAATTCAATACAGTATCCGATTGTCAAGTAGTTTGAGCACTATAGTCAGGGCTCTTGCAATGATACTCTATCACTAGCTGCACCATCGTCCTCTGCCCCTACGAAACAAACGAAAAGCGAGAAAAGGTTTGAACATAGAAATGCAAAACGCAAAACGAAGCAAGCAGCAAGGCAGCAGGATGCACGATAAAAGGACACAGCAACGTCACCTCATCCGAAAAATATGCCTGACCTGCCATCAGCGCAGAGATAGCCGTTCGTCCAACAAGGCATGCTTGAAATTCATCTCTACATTTTGTGGCGTCTTCCGGTGGGAAAAGGTTTCCATCATTCTCTCTCAACTTTTCTATGACCTATTCACAACAGTTACGGGAAAAAGTAAGAAAGTCGCGAACAACATTAAGGGCGCTTTCACCGCTTTTCAGGCAGACATTTCAGACTTTGATCGTCAACAATTCAAGCCCCAAGGCTACTCAACGCCGGTGAGCGATGCGGCACGTCAGTAGGGCGAAATCATGCGCCAACATTTGTCGCCAATTTCGAGAGCAAGTCCACGCAGTATCTGCTCATCAGGCTGACTGATGCCGACATTTCGTGGTTCCCGTGGGTCGCGCCACGATTTGCGGTCTTGCGACTTTGCGCATACATGATAATTTACGGTCACAGCGCTGCTTTTTGTTCCTAGCAATAACTTGAAAATCGCATCAATCACATAATGCATAGGAAAATTGCACAGAGCTTTTGCTGAGGCTCGCTTGATGGTCTAGAAGAATAATTGATCTTGCCATAGCCATCTAGTGGCTAATATGAACAGTGTTCGGTAGTATAAAACTTGTCTTTGTGGGACAAGAGAATACATTGTTTATCGGCTATGCAATGAATGGAGTAAAGCAATGGATATTCGAGATAAAAAAAAAGTCAAAAAAAAAAAATGAATGGAAAGCTTAGAACAAACGGACCGCTTTAATGACAAACCCAACCCTCACCAAAGAAATAATACCAAAAAGAAAAAGAATGAAGCTATTAAAATCTAAAGAATAAGAATAAAATAAAAATATCCTCCTTGATATAAGGCCGATTTCCAACTATTGTGTAGAATAGCAAGTCAGTGCCATCAAGGTTAAGGTAGAAGCCAAGAAGATACAGAATTGATCTCTATGCCTGTGCCAGTTTAGTAGTCATAAACTCTATTTCGATCAAATCTACGATGCTGCTTATCGCTTTCCAACGAAATGGTCCCGTCCCAGCCTCATTTTCCATCCTATGGTGAGGCCTCCAGAGATGAGAGTAAAAAGGCCCGATCATTGACTCACACCGCACGCCCGTGCTGATACACTGAACCTTGGTCCAGTCGCATATGGCCTACTGGGACGGTAAACCACAGCTGTAGAAGTGAAACACACACAGATCAGACTTGGGCGGTGCTGGTACCCGGTTACGGTAGGTAGCAAAGGGGTGTGCTGGCGACACGGAAGTTGGCCAAGCAGCAAGAGTGCAAAGCATACTTGACCGTCCAGATCACCATCCTACTTTCCCATAACTGATTTCTCCACCAGACGGGAGCGGAATAGAAAATATGCACCTAAAGGATGGTCGTAGAAAGCAGCGTCCAAGGCACGGAAACTCCTTACATCACCTCGAGCCATTGGTCCAACCATCCAACCCAAAGTTTGTGCCAACAAGTCGATGTATGGGAGATGTGGTTCGCAATACGCGCATAAATTGCCCACGTTACACGGTGACTCTTCCACCTAGTCAGCCGCCTCTCCGCGCATGGATAGCCTCCTCCCGCCACTTGACGTCCTCGCACGTGCAGGAATAGCCCCCCTGCGTAACCTGGCTTGTCAGGGTCCGCATTACACCATATGACTTCGAAAATTCGGCCTGTGGAAATCATTTCCAGTCGAACCCGGCATGCTACCAAGAAATTGCAAAGGGAATAATACAGAAAGATAACAGCTCCGCTTCAGAGCCCGCCAGCACAATCTAGCAAGCTGGAATGCACCTTCTTATCTTCTCCTGCGCGGCCTCAAAATCCTTTGGCCTTACCTAGATCCTTTACCCGGGGGGAGTGGGGGATCAAATTTCATTTTGGATCGTCTCGTTGTTGTTGCTGGGTCGTTGGTATCGTCTCCGAAGTCGAATCTGGGAAAAATAAAATTGAATCCCAGCAGTGAGGGATCAGTTACACGAACTTCAGTGCCAAAATTCAAGGCTTTGCGCTTACCTTCGCAGAAAACTCGCCGGAAAAGTGATCGTAAAGCGAGGGAGAAGAAAAAAAAGAATAACTTGCCTTCTTTTTATACAACTCCTGGAATTACCTAAAATGGAGGCCAGTCACCGTCGGGTCATGAAATCCGACGTTACACGAGAGGCTCTGGACCATAATATGAAAATAAATTTCTTTCAGAAGTTTTTTTATTAAAAATATTAATGCATCTTCTTGGTAATATCCATTATATGGTAATGCACAAACATATACGTTAATACCATATGGTCTAACTTCTATTATATCTATTATATGGTGATGCACAAATATATACGTTAATACCATATGATCTGACTTCTAAAATATCATTAGTAATGCTTTTACATATAGGAATTTGACCGTATATGAAATGCATACGCCTAAGGGCACTCCATTAGTCTGGCCAGGAAAGAATTGTCAGTCCATGCCGCACCTCAATCAGCATGGGTGGCAATGACTTCTGATACTCTCGTAGGGGCGTGTATACAATATCAGATTTGCTCGAATCACTCCACTCGTTCTCACCAAGAGCGAGCATGAAAAAGTGACCAGAGGAAACAGCCATGAAGCTGGGCGCAGAGAGAGGAACAGAGAAAACTGGCACAGGGACGGGCAAAGGGACGGGAGCAGACGAACTGAGGTTGGCCGCATCGGCCGCTTTCTTGAACTTCTGTCTTCATTTCCTTGAATTCAGCCACATAGCCGCGGTTTTCCATGCGTGCCGGGGCGTTTCGGGTGAGTTTTTTAACCACTTGATCAATGGTGGAGAAAAACTTGGGCACGGCTTCCACGATCAAGGATCCAGCCAAGTCATCGGTGCTACTCCATTAACGGGTCATAAGACAAGCAATGCAAACATAACTTGAGCCAATACTTACCGAGACATTTTTGGGAGATTTTCCCTCTGATTGATGGTTGCGGAATGGGTTTTTGAAATTTTGAGGTGCGACATGGCGACAAGAGAAGCAGTGAAAACAGTAAAAGTAGAAAAACAATGGGGAGTCAAAAGACAAAGGAAAAACACGTTCTGGTCGGATTCACGTTAACATCAACAAAACGAGATAGCGTCATCATCAAATATTTTGAATGTCACATAGGCATTTGCTCACCCAAGAGTACTGTGAGCTGAACCAGTGCCATAAGGTGAGCATGCCACATGCTTCATTCATCTCCAATGCTTAGCCCACGTCTCTGGTAACACTATCGTCTACTCTCGATTATAAACTCAATGTATTTCAGCTCTTTCTCAATTGCATCATTCAGGGTTCTTCAGATGACTATTTAAGATAATTTTTACGCACCTTCAAATGCTGTTATTTTATTGTGTCCACAAAAATAAGCCAAAGCGTCACCGAGACCATATCCCTGAAGCGTGAATGGCATCAACTCCAGGTTCCTATATTTTGGTCACACGGTGAAACAAAAAAGCTAAGGTCAGGAACGTCCGCAACAAAGAATCAAAGAATCAAAGAGTCCATCTGCTGTGGTATTAAATTGCCTACACAGTTAATCTTCAATACATGTAATGGCTGCATTATGCCTGTAGTTTTGCACTGCCTTTATTTTGTATGGAATTGCTCCATTTTTGCTGGATTTGTCGCATAAGCACAGATTTTGAATCCTTTTCCGTCTGAAATTGAGAAAGCCAACAAGAAGTCGTCATACGGAAGCCACCAAAATTATATTGACTACTATAGAGCCTATGTATAAAATTATATAAGCTAAAAAGGTGATGTTATAATACAATTATCCATCGAAATGCTTTACCAGTTCTTTCAATCCAATGTAAAAATCGCAGGATTTTGATCAATCCCGATCAGTCCACTCTTTTGATGATTCGGCGCATCGAGCGGAGAAAGAGACGCTCAGTTACGAGTGAAGATGGATTTAGCGGTCCTGCAAATCTACAAACCAACTCTAGATAAAAAGCGAACCTACTCTTGATGTTACTGCGTTGACGCGCCTTATCTAATCTCTCGGCAGCGACCCGTTTCGCGAGAAAAGTTTTCTGAAACTTATGCTCATGATCTGCATCGGTTCTCTCTATGTTTAATTGTCCAAAAACACGGCACATGGGGAATGACACGCTGGTAACGCACATTGCTACATATGGTTTTTTTTTTTTTTTTTTTTTTTTTTTTTTTTTTTTTTTTTTTTGGTGGTTATAAAATATTGGATAAACGGTTTCAAAGCAAAACCGACACCAAGGGAAAGAGGGAGAAAGGGAAGTCCCCTATGATACAGAAAGTATAAAGTGTTAAATGGTAAGAGCATGTGGAAACAACGTCCACCCGATATATCGTATACTACACTTTGTGAGTTGTGTTGCGGGAATCCAGCTAATATGCACTCGGCAATGCAAAAGAAAAAAGTCACTACTGTATCAAGCCTCCTCCAAGGGAAAAGTTTAAAAGAAAGGCATTGTTACTCTCTACCTGTCGCACCAAGTCATGAAAATAATTGATGCTTTTGTTTACTTTCATCGCTTTTACGTACTTTTCTCACTTGATGCTAAGCAGTTTTTTCTCACAATCGTCAGAGTGACGTGCATCTTCTAATATTTGTTGGGGCAATATCTACCTTTTTTCCATTCTTCGTATCATTTTTTTCTTGATTATAAAGCACATCAATCGTAAGCAAAGTTTATGACCACGTCAGCCTGGATGTACCGTCATAATTTGTGGAAAGGCGAAAACATTGGCCCTCAACGAATTATAAGCGGTATTGCGATTGATTCATCCAAAGGACCGTATCAGAAATGGCGAGAGTGTTGAGTGGATTGAGTGGTAATCTTCTAGACTTGGCGCTCGCTCACAGACTATCGACAGCACACAGAAACTTTCTCAGTCAGCATCCATTCCCTTTGTCGAGAAAGAGATTACACCTTTTTCGATTGTCGAGTATTCGTATTTTGACACACTTCATTGTTTTAATTATACAGTGAGGCACAATGAACGATGAAAACCAATGTCCGAATGGATGGGTCATAAAGGATCAGTTTCGCTCATCTGGGCCTATTAGATGTTTTAAGTCAAAACGACTGTGGGCGATATTATCGAAGAAACAACATCGGGTCGTTTTTTTTTTCTTGTGAAGGATGTATTTACAGTGCGGGTGACGGAATATTGAGTCGAGAGAAAGAAAAAAGAAAAAAAGAGATACTGAGTGTTAGGAGGATAGGTCAAGGAATTGGGTGTCAATGGAAAGGTCTTGACATTTTTTACGTAGATCATGAAAGCATGAATGATGGACGGCTTGGGCGGCGGTGATACGTTGATGTGGTTCGTATCTTAACATGCAATCCAACAGATCCACCAGATCGGGTGACACATCCGATGGGAAAATCTTTTTAATCGATATCGTTATTCAGTATTCCAAGTAGAACCCCTCATGCATAAAAATGCGCGATCAACTAACACACTACTTACGCTTGCCAAAGGTTGGCCGGGAATGTCGGGAAAGGTAAATGCGGTGGACGACGGATTCATGGTTCTCACTTGGTCTTGTGTGGGTGTACCGAGTACGTTGACAATTTCCGCCATTTGACGTGGTGAGTTCTCGCCGGGGAACAAGGGCGTGCCCAGAATCATCTCGCCAATCACGCATCCCGCTGACCACATATCAATGCTGACTGTATACTCTTCGGCGCCCAAAATCAATTCAGGTGCTCGATAATATCGCGAACAAATATACGAAACGTTGGCATCACCTGCAGTCAAGATCTTGGCACTAGAATGAATCCCACGGTTCAGACGGAACACGATCCTTCAATGGAAATTCCAATTGAATCGGTTCAAATCTTTGTTTTTTTTTTACCTTCCAAAATCACACAATTTGACAATATTCGTGGCCGGATCCAGAAGGATATTTTGAGGTTTAATATCGCGGTGACAGATTCCCAGAGAATGGAGATATGCGACGGCGCGCAACAGTTGCACGGTGTACAGTTGGATGTAAATATCGGGCATACGTTGTTTAATTCTCACGTAATGGCGTGATCGTTGATGGATGGTTTCTGGAACATATTCGAGCACCAAGTTGAGAAAGACCGCATCTTTCTATTTATAGGCAAATCAGTACCGTTGATAAAAAAAAAAGGTCAGGTGCACTGATACCACTCAACCCACCTTGACTCCACTTCCGCCTTGACTACGAAAGTACCACTTTAACGTAACAATATTAGGATGCTCCGCCAAAGCTTGCATAATTTGCAATTCACGATTCTAATCGAAATGAATGACATGATTTTTGAGTAAAAAATGTTGGCCCCAAAATTTTTCCCCAATTTCCGACGGATCGCCTCATTTCTCCCTCTCTACCTTGTATCGTTTGTCTTGATTGACTTTTTTGATGGCGACGAGTTCGCCTGTTTTTAGTTTGGCCTTGTACACTACGCCAAACGTTCCTGTGCCGGCTACCTGATGTGTTGTATACGATAAGCGTAGATCCTTGTTCGTCTTGCCATTCTTGGCAATCACGTTGAAGACTTTGGATGGATCAATATGGCCTAACATATCCAATGCTTTAGACGCTGATACCTTGGCACCTCTTTTTGTTTGTATGACGGTATTCCATACCTATATACATATTAGCGATAACGGTGTCATGAGCACACGCACGCCGAGGGATGTAAATAGAGAAATAAGTAGAAAGAAAAGGAGAAAGAGAGACGCGGAAAAAAAAGAGAATATCAGAATATCAGAATCGAAAGGAAAATAATTTTCTTTCTAGCTGCCCGTTTTTCTCACGTCACGTTGTCTCTCCAAAAAAAAAATTCCAGATGATGATCACAGTTTTAAATTATCCGCCCAAGCTCGATTATAATGCCCTTGTCAATGGGGAATTATGTACGTATCGTTATTCCATGATCATTGCGCAGTCGATGCTTTACGTCTTATACATGCCACCGTCGTTGAATTGAGTTGAAGCGACATTGGCGGGACATCTATTTGGTGTTACTCAAAAAGTGGCAACGTACATAATCTAAAACAGAAGACAGGGCATTCGATTACCCTTTTTCGGATAAGCCCAGTTCACGATGAGATAAAAAGGAGTGCCAATATCGACAAAACAAAATTTTAGCTTGCAGATGCTTCGCGTCCCAGATCACATGCGACAGGATCCTTGCCATTTACAAAATAGAGAGTGTCACTCCCCAGTAAAATGCGGTCCCATTCTCTGAATTATTATATTTTATTGTTGATCTCTTTAATCTTTTTTGTTCGTTTATCCATTTTTGCATTTAAAACACTGCGCCAAATCCAAATGATTGCTTGATGGCTCTCCAGTAGTAGCCTGCCCAGTTACGCTGCGTCAATTCTTCTTCGCCAATTGGAACTCCCGTCTGTTTCACGGTCAACTCCACATTGTCGTTGCCTTGGTTAAAAGTCATGGTGACAGTAGAGTAGTGACCTAAAATATCCACGATAAGCTACCTATTCCTTTTGCGAATGTGTCTTGATTAATCTCTTTTTTACCTGCAGGCCACGAAGCCAGACGCCATGACTGAACAATCTTTTTATCAGGTTCCTATTTTTTTATTCCCATGCGGTGAGTTTTTCCATTGCTGTCACGTTGTCAAAAAGAAACCACAATTAATGCATGTCCCTACCACTTCCAAAATTTCGCCTGATACGTTGCCATTGAAGAACTGAAACTTGCTACCGACTTGCTTAGATACTTGGGCAGGACCGCGGGTCCATACTGAGGCACGCTGAGGATCCAGCAACGTTTCGAACAGTTCGTGGGCCGAGGTTTGGAATTCAATGGTTTCTTGCAAGGTAGTCGTATTCACCTTGGATCCAGACTTTTCAGTCGACGTCGTGGAAGTGACGTTGCTCGTGGTTTTATTAATATGCGTCACTCCGGTCCGTTCTTTGGTGACACCGACCGTGGGCGCGCCAGAACCGGCCTTATCTTTCTGCTCAATGTAAACGTCCGAGCTGTTTTCTAATAAGAGACGCATACAAATTTTTCAATCACTGAACCTCGGGTTCTCGAAACAAAGCTTGAAACCAACCTTTGATCATGGCGGTGGCCAGTTTTTCAAACTTGTCAATCATCAAAGGTGCCAATTGCTTTTTCACCACATCACGAAGCACTTGCTTCTCTTGGCTGTCATTGTCCACCGACACATCAAACTAACGATCTGGGATTTCAATCGTCTGTTTCCACCGGATCCAAAGGCGGCGTCCCTCCATAATTAACTTACCACGTACTCATCAGCCTCGGTATCGTGCGCTACTTCGGGCACATGAATTTTGCCGGTCGCTTGGGTACCATTGGCCGTGGTACCTAAAGACGACCTACGTCAGCATTTGAAAGGCCAGTGGACAGCTCAAATTATGATCCGTTTTACCTTCCCAAGTGAGTTTCAATTCGACGCCGTAAATAGTGATGAGTTTGCCTTTGCGCTGACTCAAATCGACATCGCCCACGCACTCGTTGACCTTGGTAATAGCCACCTTATTGCCGTCCCTCTCGGCTTGCAAGCCGACAAGCTGGGCATCGAAATATTTTTGAGCCCAATTCAAGCAATTCTTGCTCACCCTGTGAGAAATGAGGATCGAGACGATCAACAAAAAAAATCGCGATGAATGTGCGCCAAAAATGAACCGCTACTTACCAATGCCTGTCATGGAAACGGGGAAGCATTAGCCCATTTGAGTCTTGGTAACCAGGAAAATTGCAAGAGAACCAACTTACCAGTTATTGACGTTTTTCCAGTTGGACATGACCGAAAAGTAGAAGATAAAGAAAAAGAGACAAAAGGATCGCGTTCATGGAAAGCGCTGGAAAATTCACCCTTTTTCGCTGTGACCGCTCCGAAGCCGGCCGGATGCTTTCATGCAACCGCTGAGTTTGAATATCAAGCGCTCTCGTCCCAACGGAAATGCCCAGTAAATTCCCAATTTTTTCACACTCACTCTATTATGGTAGTGCTAAAAAATTATTTTTGATGTGATAGCGTAAATAATGAAATCCTCGCTCATTGTTTGCTCAGTGAAAAAGAAGAAATAGTCTATCGAGGAATCGTTTACCGTTGTGGGACAAATTATCATACATTCAAACAAGGCGTCAATAAAAAAGATGAGAGTTCTGGGATATTTAGATGAATAAATATTGTTCAACCAAGTCCATCATTAATAGAATGATATCTGAAAGAGCAGTAATAAGGTAATAAAATGATCAAAAAACATTCGAGAGGGGGACAAGTTAACCAAAAGCAGGAACCGATCTGATGAGAGATAAACCACGATGTGAGTACCTCCTTTTCACTTTTTATCCAATTAAACTTGGAACTTACTTTGTGGATTGCGCAGGGCTGCCAAGTGCTTGTGGGCTTGCCATGCTGGCAGTGGTCATGGTGTTGGGACTGTTGGGCAACGTGCCATTGGGCGTGGTGGCCGCCGACACTTGAGCTGTAGCAGGGTGGGTCGATTCCTTGATGGCCAACAATTGCTTGGCACGGAAAGCTTCATAGTGAATTTGCGCCGTCGTTTCTATCAGGTCCTGGAGGTGTGTGCGGGTCAAAAAGTTGCGCAAATGCGTAAATTCGCAATGCTCCGAATCCTCGACTGTAATCCATTGGATTAATATTCTCTGCGCGATGGTCATCACCGGCTTTCAGTGCCTTACCATTAATCACGCCGTATCTATTCTTTCGTCCTCGGACGGGTCGACCGTCGATCACCACATTTCTTTCGGATCCCACAATAGCAAAAGGAACCAGCTCCTGCAGGAAAAAAGAGTTAAGACGTGGTGACTACAACGAGTGTGGCTAAAAATTAAGGTGTTGCGTTATACATACACGAATGCTTTCATTGAGAGCCTGTTCTTGCTCGTCATCTTCATCGCTTTCGTAAGGATACAATTTGATGTTGTGGAAAACCAATTCAGCCTTGATCTGTGATAAGAAAAAAATATTTATCAGTGAAAGGGTATGATTTGCTGAATATGGGTTTTTTTGTCCTTACTCTTTGTTTGAATGCTTGACGTTCTTCAATGGTCAGTGAGTCGGACTTGGCGATCACAGGCACGACATTCACCACTTCAGACAGTTTCTTGAGGACCACGATGTCGATGGGCTTCAGCCTTTTTTTATTATTATTATTATTGCATGCAATGTTTGAGTTAGCCTTGGGACCCGTTCATCGTTTTTTCGTATGATACATTTTACTTACGCGTGTCCGGTGGGTCCAATAAAGAACAAGCAGCAGTGAACTCTGCTGTCTTGAATGTAACGATCACGGGTGGCGGTTAGTTCTTTGCGCAAATAGGCCGAATGCTGATCTTTGATGTATTTAATGATGGGTTCCCAGCTGTAATGTGGATCCCGTGCGTGTGTGGGTTAGTTGACGGTGAAATAGTCATGCTAGTAGTTGGGTCTTCAATTACCAATTTTCGTTGTTGACTTGATCTCCATAGCCAGGGGTATCCACAATGTTCAGTCTCAGACGCACTCCATTCTCCTCAATCACTGCATATGGTTACATCAATAAAAATAAAACAAACACGACCATCAGGAAAAAAAGCTATTAAATGGGGTTTACGTACAATGCGACACGGTTTGAATCTCCGTGGTCTGACGAGGTGGTTCATCAGCGGCGAGACGCGCCTTGCTTTCGATCAAGTGCGAGGCAAAGATGGTGTTGACCAACGTCGACTTGCCCAATCCAGATTGGCCTTTTTAAAACCATTCTTAATACTTCAATAAAAGAGAAAATTCGTTTATTCGCTTACCAACGACCATAACGTTAAAGTGGAATCCTCTTTTCAAGAGTTTCTTTTCAATTTGCTGCGTGATGGTATCGAATCCCACATAACCTTCAAGCGAGGTCTGAAAAAAAAAGTAAAAGTGAGCCTAACCATACATAACGAGATCGTTGTTGGGCATACCGCAACAAGATCAACCGAAAGTGAGGTAGATGACATGGTTACCCAGTAAAATTTAGATTGAAAAAAAAGAAGAGAAAAAGAAGAAGAAGAGAGAAAAAAGTACGCCTGGATGGAAAAGAAGAAAGGAGGCGAGACCAAAGAGAAGATGAAAAAAGGGAGATCCAAGGGCCAAAAAAAAGGGGGCGCTAGGTTTTTCAGGAAATCAAGGGAGCTTGCTTGATTGGAATGTAAAGTGCCATGCAGGGCAGAGACTACATGGTCCGCAAGACTCAAAGGTGTGCAGTACTGTATTCAAACCAGGAGCGGGTTTTTCAAGGAGGTGACTCACTCTACTTGTTCTCTTGATCTCTCTTTGATCTCTTGATCTTTCTTGACAAAAACCTAGCTATTCTTGATTTTATTATCAGGCACGGTACCTGTCATAATTAGTACACCTATCCATGCCAGTCGGGTAAGGGTAGGTGGAGAAGATAGTCATCCACGCCTTGGGGACAATTTTCCCAGAATAAGCCGGTTTCAAAAAGAGGACAGTCACTCCAAGAAGAAGCTTTCTTTTTCATCGCAAAAAGTCAGACAACAACCACCCGTTTTCTTTTCCTAGAATGGCAGCCGACACTGAGAATATCCGCCAACTGGAATCCTATTTAAACTTCAAAGCACGCATAAAGATTACGGATGGAAGAGTCTTTATAGGTGTATTTGTTTGTATCGATAAACAGAAAAACGTCATTCTCGCCCATACAGAAGAGTTCAGAGGCAGTACGTTTTTACTACACCAATGGCGAAATGCTATGTGTCCCTAAACTCACTTTCTTGACTTTTTTTTCCTTTTAGATGAACAACGATTAGTGGGTCTTGTCATGATTCCTGGCAAACATCTGGTGTCCATGGAGACGGAAGATTTGGATGCAGTCTATTTTTGAAAATGACGAATGGTTCAGAGATGCTATGTCTTTTTTTTTTTTGTATATATCGCCCAGATACCTTTTTTACTTTCCCTCTTACCCCACCCCGGCCCTTCATTCTTACGTGTACATTCGTGTATTATTTATAAACTTAAACGTTGGGCTTGCTACCCTTTTCCAAATGCTCCCATGGATCTTTGGTGAAACTCGGCAAATAAAACGCAGCATAGTCTTGGCGCTCAGCACCCGAACCTCGATCGCCTTCGTACCGTTGTTGACCCTATATTCCGGCGTTAGGTCAATCGAGTCCACCGTCGCATACGAGTGAATTCTACCTGAGCATATCCATAGTTCCCTCTTTGAAAACCACGTCCTCGTCCGTAACCGCGTCCTCGTCCGCGCCCACGTGCATATCCGCGACCACCACGATCACCACCCCATCGACCTCGATTGGGAACATAGCCTTGGAAACTCTGAGGCGCTGAATGGTACTGTTGTTGATTCATTGGCGCTGAAGTATCTTGGTTACTGTTGTTCTGGGCTGAAAACTGCTGCCCTTCCGATGGCGGCACATTAGCCATGGTGATTATCTCTCTCGATTAAAACGAAAAAAGGGTAGTTGATTTTTTGCCACACTGGGTGACTCGTCCTTGGAATTTATATGCCCATTTGGCATGGCCAAATTAGACCGACTTGGCCAGTCTTTTTTCCTTTTGATTTTATTTTATATCAGCTACAAATACAGACATGTCATTTTTTAACCAATATCATCTTTCTATGTATTAGGCAGTTAAATTGGCCGTGTATCCCGAGACGGTCTTGGTAATGGTACAATCTGCATAGTGAAAATTATTCCCAAACAGCAAAGTTGGATGATGGGGTCAAAGCGACGGCTTTGGTAACGGGAGAGTTCGCAAGGTTGATGTGATTGTCAAAAACAAGTTTAGATGGTGGAATCGAAGCGCTGTCTTCGGTAACGGGAGAGTTCGCAAGGTTAATGTGATTGTCGAAGACAAATTTAGATTGTGGAGTCGAAGCAACAGCTTTAGTAACAGGAGAGTCCGCAAAGTGAATGCGATTGTCGAAGACAAGGTTAGATTGTGGAGTCGAGGCGACAGGCTTGGTAGCGAGGTTAAAGGATGATGAGTGAGGACCGTCAATGGCCTCGCTTTTGATGGCTTTTTGGGTCAAAGCGGGACGGAGACTCATGCGTGAACTGAAAGGGTTCGCAACGGGTGAATGAACAAGAGAAGCCATAGATAAGCAGCCATTCGCGGTCGAGTTCCAATGTTTGGATTTCTTGACAAGTCCAAGTGGGAGCATGATAAGGAAAAAAAAAAAAGGCCAGGACTTGCGAGGATGCCTTGTATTTCAAAAAGTTCATCTACGATTGACATGGCGGTGACTGTGGTGTTACTGTAGAAACGCTTTGTAAAAGGTTCTAATGGCTAGTTGTTTTTAAGAGATGGCAAAATGCGGCATTTTGTACCACAAACTTTGCATCAAAAACAATTGAACGTTGTTTACATGTCAACAACCATCTCCTTATTTAGTAATGTTTTCTGAATCTCCATGAAAAATCGAATTTTATAACCCACCCGGTTTGCTGTAGATGCCCTTTCCATTATTTTTGAAACCCTATACCCAAATCTCCAGCCATTATGCGAACGCCTTTGAGATATCGTAGCGAAGGTATACATGGAGTTATGAAACATCGCCATCGTCCAAGTAAAAACTCACTCACTTCATGTTAAAAGAGATATTGCACGAATTATTCGAAGAGATCAATGATTACCTTGGAGGTAAACCCAAAAAAAAAAAAAAAAAACTATTTTCCACAGTGATCCTAAAATGCTTGCTTCCGACTGTTCCGCAGATAAAGTCCCAGACCAAGGCCGGGACCCAGAAAAAAGTGAGGAATTGAAAGCGATTTCCGATGAGGCTCCTCCGCTATCGCCGTATCAAAGGCCTATGCTAGTCGAATCCGACAGCGAAGAAGAGAACTCCATACACAATGAGAGTCGTTATCAACATCATCTTCATCCCCAAGATCAGGATCGGTCTCCGGAGGAAGACCGAGATGATCACAGCCTATCGAATGATATGCCGTCTCCCGCTCTGTCGCCTACACGATCATGCTCAGAGTCGCCTGAAACGCCGACCAACGAACCTCGCTCTCCGAGTCAAACCTGTGGTCACTGCAAGCAAGAGATGCCTGTTCACGGGCTTACCGTGGAAACCGGAGCCGGTCGACCCTTGGTCTGTGCCAGCTGCAGCAGCAGTATCAAGCCTACGAAATCGACCTCGTCCAAGCTGACCGGCATTGCCAATAAAGTGAAAAACACTCTATCCCCTCCAGCGAGTAAACAGAGTTCGGAACGCCGTCGTCACTCTTTGGTGTCGGGATTGTCTATTCTGCCACGGATGCGGTCCTTTACCTTTGACCGAGGCAACAAAAGCGAAGCCGCTGCTGAGCCCCAACTAGCTTCCCGACCGGAGCCGATGCGTCACTACAGCCAACCAGTACAGCACCCACCGTACCATGGCTACGAGAGTTACGACTTTCAAGACCATCACTCGCAACAGTATGAAGCAGAGGAATACAATGGAGAAGCTTACCATACAGAGGATTCCATCGTTATTGAATCTCCGGAAATCTACCAGGCCGACCCATGTTATTCTGTAGAAGAAGATCATTATCAGCGGGCAGAACCATATCCATCCATGGGGCCAAGTTTGACTAGTCCCATTTATCGTTTGAAAGAACTCATGGACAATGACAGCGTCCAGAATACCCAAGACGAGGAACCAGTGGAGGACGATTTCGTATACGAGGACGAACACCCTGAACCAGTGCCAGAACAGGACGACTATCGTTTACCAACCGAAATATTCCAAGAACCAGAATCCACGTTCAAGGGTGAGCAAAGCAATATGGGCTTTTTAACCCCTTCACGGCGTCGTGGAGAGCAGCATATACCGCTAAGAATGGAAGACTCTCGACAACTGGTAAGCCATCAAGATCGAATGGATGCCTACAGTAAGTTTTGGCTATCAGGATATAAAAAGACACAAAGTATTGATATCATACGTAGCGAGTGCTTACTACCACTGTATTACGGCAAGAACGGATTTGTCCGCTTGGGTGAAGAAGCAATACGCCAAAGGTCCCCCAGATACACTGTTTGGTAAGTCTCCTAGTCCAACTGGCCCTTTTTTCCCTTCATATCAAGCTAACACATACAAAAAAAAAAAAAAAAGAGTATACCCCTCCGCCAAGAAAGCGACCAAAGAAATTATTTTCTTTATTCAAGACCAATGCATCAAAAGCCAAAGAAAGTGAATCCGATGCGACGGCAGCAGCAAGAACTACCGCCGCTTTATCGACCCATTTGTCCACCGCCCACCTCATTCAACATTCGCGACCCAAACCGGGGTCGGATACTTTAACTCCAAGTAGCCAAACTGACCGGCAAAGTAAGCCAGGAATCAAACCGGAACGCACTCAATCTTTACCTGCTTTAAATACGGGCTTGCCTTTGCGATCTCCTTCGCCTTCGCCCTTGCGATCTCCTTCGCCTGCACCTTCCACGCGTTCCACACGTTCCAGTTTGCAACCTAATCAAGCCTACCCGGAAGAGCCGGCTTCCATCCTTCGAAAATCGAGTTCCTCGGTATCATCCATGCATCAACGATACAGTGAACCACCCGCCGAACCGGTCTCCATTCTGAAAAATTCAAAAACGAAGAAACGTCCCAGTTCATCTTCCTCACGGCGCCAAAGTCCCCAGTCGCTGCTGCTGGACGTTGATCGCCTGTCACCGTTGGAAAGTGATGGACGATTGTCATCACCTCGGCGGTCCATGCGTAGCCGCGATAACAGTCCTATCCACAGCCGAGATGTGAGCCCCGTCCGCCTCGGAGATCTCAGCCCCGTACGCAGTCCACAGCACTATTCCTGGGATGTCAGTCCCGTACGAAGCCGCGACATTAGTCCTGCTCGTAGCCTCCGTACGAGCCCCATACGCAGCCGTGATGTGACACCCATTGAAACTCGTCGTGTGAGTTCCATACGTAGCCGTGATGTGAGTCCTACCGTTCCGTATCCTGGTCCCATGTTGCACGGTGGTCAGAACGCTGATTACTCGTATGAACGGCGAAGGTCGCCTGTCATGTTCGCCGACGATCGTCGTAGCCGTAGCGTCAGCCCTCGGCCGTTGCCCGATATCCGTGGCCGTGGCTTCAGCGAGGAGGTGGCCATGTATGACGACGTGGACGACCTCATGTATGATCCTGGTGACGAATACCATGCGAGGATGCGACGACGGTCTTACCAGACGTTGAGTGCTTCCGATGTTCCCGAACCGAGACGATCAAGAAAACACTCGCCTATGCACTACGGCAATCGAAGAGCCTCGTCGCATCAAATGTTACTGGCTCCCGAGGCCATGTCGGGAAAAGGGCGTCGACGTATGACATCCATGGGTTCGAGTCCCAATCTGCATACAGATTTTTCCGTCTATTCTCACAGTCGATCTCCATCGCGAGCTTCGGTTTACTCGCTCAGCAATCCTTTGTACAGCCCGCTTGAAGAAGCGCCCACCTACCCTGAATTTGCCGACCCTATGTTTGCCAATGAGTGGGACGAAGCCTTGGATGACTTGTGTGAATTTTTCCAGCATATCGATCGTCACATCCTTGCTGAGTACTTGGAAGCGGCTCACGGTGATTATTACACAGCCAAAGAAATGTGTTTGGATGATATTATGACTCGCGGACTGTAAAAAAAAGGGGGTTCAAGCTGCATTTTGCGTTTGTTCATCTAGCTTCTACTTGTTTATTTCATTTTATGCATTGATCCATTAATAACTTTATTTGTCAATTGTGCTACTTATTTTTTTTATTGTGAATGGTGCAGTCTAAATAAAAAACCAAATTTAAACACCGATGATTAAAGAGGTTTGTCATTCAAAAAGAGAATCAAGCTGGAGTGTAAAAAAGGCAATGTAAGGAAACGATGGGGTACAGTAAAATATAAAAGTTGTTTTTAAAATAAAAAATATTTACATTCTATAAAAAAAAAAGGCACCAGCGGTGATTTTTGCTTGTTTTTGTTTTTGGAAGGCTGCTTTTTCGGCTAAAGGTTGTTTAGGAAGAGTAGCCTAGGCCGAGGGTATTCATGTCGTCATATTTCATGTGAAAGGGAGACTCGGGGTGGTCGCTTAAACCAGGAGAGGCCAATGGGCTCGGCGGTAACGGAGTGTTCATAGCCATGTCCAGCGAAAAACTGGGTGACATTGGTGAAGTCGCCGACAGAGCGGGACTCGCTGACGAGGTCGAGTTGTATTGGACGTTGGACGGTGAATTTTCCCAACACTGATTGACGTATGGCATCTGTTGATAAGTCGGTGCCTCACTCGTGGGGGCAGCCGAGGTTGGTGAAGTCACCAGCACCTTCAAAGGACTGCCTGAATTCATTGTAGTGGTGTCCCATTTGGGCTCGGGCACTGACAAAGATGAAAAAAATATAAGGTTTATGATTATCAAAGGGACGCACGGGCCACTTACTGTTGTTAAGCAGACTTTCATCGCCTTGCAGACCTCCTTGCTGAGCTGCTAATTGGCGCAAAATCATTTGTTGTTGTTGCTGAACCTTCTTTGTCTCTTCGAATCCTTTGAGTAGATTGACGAAATTGTCCTGTAACGTATAGAATTGCTGTAGTAGGTCGGCTTGAGACATTTGTAACATGGCAAACGATGCATGGATATCGCCGGTTTCTCTTCGCAGCAACTCGGAATCCATTGCTTTTCGTTTGATATCTTTGAGTAGATCCGGTCGGCCACGCTGAAACTTGGGATGGGAAAATTCCCATATTTCGTTTTCATTGATTCCTCGCTGACCGCGCGGCGATTTGTTGATCTTGTGAAAACCATACCTAGATTATAGGAAAATAAAAGAATATATGTTAATACTATGGTTTTGCCCAAGCAAAATGGTAACAAATCAATTGGAATCATTCTTTACATGTTTAGCAGACGCACGAAACTGGAAAAGTTGCTATGTTTGAAATGCTCAGGAAGCACTTCTTGCGCAAACTGGGTCGCGTTGAACACGAAAAATGAGGTGCCGGTAGGATTCCAAGCGATCAAATGCTGGTGACGGCCACTTTCGATCATGCTATTGACAGATATTTAAAAACCTGCATAACCACCATTTCTTTTTTTGTTTTATTTTTACCTGTAAAGTTTGCTAATAAAGGTTCGAACACTTTTCTTGGAAGAGGATCGTTTGACGGAACCGGACTCTTCCGGAGCGTAGGCCGACATGAACTCGTCCATAGGCGCATCAAAGGCTGAAGGGGACAATGACCCCGGAGACGATGGACTATTGCTTTTGGAATAATCCATGTCTGGAATATTTACTTGTAAGGAATCAGCTCCTGACATATTTATGCTTTTTTTTTTCTTTCTGAACTGGGCAATAAAGCTCAACAAATGAATAAAAAAAAAACAAGAAGAGGAGCTTATATAAAAACTGAAAAAGCAGAGTAAATTCAACCAACGCTACATGAAATAAAAAAAAGAGGCTGCGGACTTGCATGTCTAAAAAAAAAAAAAATATCCTTGTTTCATGTCATCGACCGCACTGGCCATGTTTCTCGCGCCATCCATACATAATTTTTTTTTCACGACCTTTATCACACAGGGAATTGGTTGACTGACAGTGGGTTGAGTGTCCACAGACGTGAAACAAATAATAATCATGGATGACTAAGGATCATATTATCCATTGCCTTTTACTGGCGTTCCAGAATTCATCGAATGAATGCAAAAAAGTTCCCATAGTTCCGACTTTGCCGTTACCACGATACAAAAGCTATCGAGAGCCATAATCCCTTGAGTGCGTGGGAGGTCGGACTTGGGATGAAACATACCGCGGCCCAATAAAGCGATGGATGCTATTGATAGCGATACTGATTTTGGGTCAAGGCGGGAAGTAAAGCTCCAAGTCACTGATGCCGTTTACCGGGTAACACCACTTGCTGCAAAAAATAATAAACTTGAGACTGGGCCAGATGGCAAAATATAATAATCCCAACGGCAAACGGATCTTCAAATCAAACCCCGACTATGTGAATCGTCGCGCCACAGTCCAATATTCTCAACCGGCAAGCTTCTTGAACTTTCACATCCTTGTTCTCTACGATTCGATCATTAACTGCTTTTCGTAAAGTGGTATACATTCTAGATATCCTTGGAAATTTGATTAGAAGTAGACTAATAATCTAATATCCCATTCACATGAATGCCTTTGAGCATAAATCGTACGGTATCATTTTATTGATCTCGTGGCTACGCCGTTGTCTTGCTCCAGGAACCAATGAAGACTCACATTATCTAACACTGCATATCACACATCACTAAGCAGCCGATTAAATTCTCTTGGGTATGCAATAATCATTATAACGCCCAGACCTCCGCAAAAAAAAAAAAAAAAAAAAAAAAAAAAAAAATTGGGAAAATAGACTGGTGCCCAAATATACATGCTGCTCATCGTCATTACTCTTCACTCTTTTGGTGATCTATTGTATTATTTAGATAAGAGTTTCCCACAAGATATACACCCTTCCTTTTTTTTTGAAGGTCGCTTTCCCGATTCCGCAGCAGGCCATTGAAAAAAAAGCGTGATTCCTATCGATCTTAATCATGGGACCCAAACCATGTTTCAAAGTGAAACCTCTTCCTGCTTATTGGATATATCCCTTCTTGGCCTGGACCGAGAAACCTGCCTGTAAAAGCATGCACTACGAGGTGCTCACCGATCTGGCGAGGTTGCCAAGATATGGGTCATATTTTTTTTCTCACGGTGCCCTTGCTTTAGCGTACATACTGTTATGGGGCAGCAGGCTGCAGGCAAGTTGGATCATGCAAACTCGGAGAAAAATACTCCGTCATCCATCATTGTCCAATTCCTTGCGCATGTTCATTTGTAACAGCCAAAGGCATCCTCAGAATGTTGCCCTCCGACTTGCCATATTTGGTTCTAATAAGCTACCGAAAAGGCTCAATTGTGACAGATCCAAGGAAGACGGTATTCCCCGACCCGCAGAGACGAGAAGTCGTCATAACAATTTTTTCCCGAAGTTGAATGAAAGGAGAGCGTTCCGGCCCAATGAAGGGATTCCCGCAAAGCATTGAAGAAGCAGATATTTACTCACAAGATAGGTTATATTCAAGATCAAGATGAGACATTTCTTATGATCACGTAGAAGAATTAATACCTTGGAATTGACGAGTATGACCCTCTCTCAAGACATTGACATTAATAAAGGATTGCAAGAGAATTTTGGCCGCTAATTACAGGCAAATAAATCCTCATTGTGCTCAGATGCAACAACCGTAGCAACGCTTGGCGTTGATGAACTTATTCGGGACGCGTTTCTGCATATGTGACATAACAACAACGAACGCCGTCCCCATTTGGCGAAAACCACAACCGGAACAAACGAATGGTCCTGAGTAAGAATAGGGCATCCATTAACCAGCCACTAGTTTAAACTATTTACATTTGGAGTAATATATCGTATTTATCGCTTTTTTCGTTGCCGTTTTCTCGCTGTTTCCAAGGCCCGTTCTACCGCTGTCATGACGGGTAGCAGAACCTAGTCCATCACCATATCGATACATCAATTATCATGGCCCTTGGATCAGCCAAGCATGGTACAACCCCCCCCCCTTTTGACTCTTAATTACCTGTTTGCATCGTTCGACGCTGCCCTGATAACTGTTGACGGTGATCAGAACTTCGTTCATCTTTTCTTGCTGTCGCTTGAGCCCTTCGACCATGCGAGGATTTTTGTCTTGTCGATAAGGTTCAAATGACGACCAAAAATGGCGCAGAATCTCATTGGTTGCGGAATGGTAGCTTTGAATTTTCTGCATCACTTGGGGCGGTAATTTCATATCCACTGTGGATAACGACTTTGATGAGTCTCTATCACCATCTGTCCATAACATCTTGTTTCAATTTTACCTGTGCCAGCTGAACGAGCATCATGTCGAATTTTTCGTTTGATCATTGTCGTCAAGTCAAAGCACACTTTATCCGCCACTTTGGGTTTCATGATGTGCTAGAGAAAAAAATACGTGAGTGGATTATCGCCACATCTTACGGTACGCCACCACAACCATCATGCTCACCTTTGTCAATTGGGGTTCCCAATGTTCAAATTCGGATTTAAAGCCTTGCAGTACTTGGGCCACCTCCTAATGATAACTGGTTAGTCAAGTCCTACCGTTCCGAGGGTGCATCGTACGATTCATCCCCGTACCTTGTCTGAGATATTATAATTATCCTGCCCACCGCTCTGACTTTCGAAATACCGCCGTGTATCCTGGATATCCAGTACGATCCGTTCCGGAGGCGCTTCTTCTGTCAGATCATCCAGAACGATCTCACTGGTAATATCATCCTAACGTCCGATTTTGTATGAGCCAGCATGCGATCGCTTGACATCTCAATCATCACTTACAGATCTAGCGTCTTTGCCTTCTTTGTTTGATCTGTGGAAAAATACCGTCATGCATTTAATATCTTGCTTGCTCAAGGGTGAGGACGGATTTACCTGGTGGGCGTTTCCAACACACGCATGGCGTGCCGATTGAATCGTCTAATGAGCGGTAACACCTGGGTATTCTGACCGGCTTTCATTGTAAAGTCGGGCGCGTTACCACTCTAAGGCAGAAAAAGATGATCAGATAACATATACAGCAATTGTTTTCGCCTTTATCACTCGTACATCCGTATGATCCTCCATGGTGGCGGTCAAATCGATTGTTCTCTTGATTTTGTCCATACGCGAAAGTTGAGGCGCCTTTGAATTTTCTGCAAAACGAAATTAAGTATTTCTGCTACGGACGAGATTCACTTGTACCGCGATTATTAAGTTACCTTCGTCCTCTTCCTGCAGACACCGATCGAATATATCGTCATAAGCCGTGGCTTGTGAACGACCTCCAGTCCTTGAACGATGGAAAAATTCAGACGCCAGAAACCGTTTCCAAAACTGTTGTTCTGACAACTATGATGCAGCGCAGTTAGTTACTGCTACACAATTCAAATTTTTGCTTTGGGGTACCTTGTCAGGAACATTCGCATCATATGCTCGTTTGACTGTAAAAAAAAAAAAAAAAAAAAAAAAAAAAAAAAAAAACGTTTTTGGCAAGAGTTAACGCTACAGGCCATGATGAATCTCGACACGATCCCTTTACCTGATGGAAACTCGGTAAAAATATTATGTATAATTTGACTGGTCAGGGTATATTTAACATCGGATCCTTCTTGCTGTCCAGGCATCAATTCGACCATTTTTGAGGATTTGCCCTTTTGACGTCCCTCTCGTGACACTGCATCCTTTTTCAGTTTCTAAAATGACAGGAAAGAGCATTTTAGACAAAAAGAACCAGACATTGGGATTTGCTGCAAAAACTCGTTACCTGTCGAATACGTCGAACATAAGGACTGGACCAAAATTCTTCTTCCGAAACGTTTTTGCCTGTAACCACCAATTCCATGTGTAACGTGTGCAACTCTCTGCTGGTGGAAAGGAGTTTCCGCCTCGCTGCGAATTCTTCGTGCATCCACGATTGGGCGCCCCCAGTGCCAGCGGTAGGCGCTGTAGGACTTGAAGTGGCGGGAGTGGCGGCGGCAGGCGATGACACTGCTCCTTGCCCGGTGGTAGGCGCATTCGGTGTGGCAGCCGAAGACGGTGCAGGTGAAGAAGTGGCCGATGTGGGCGTAGCTACCGTCGATGTTCTTCCGCTACTTGCTGCGGCAGCCGCTGTTGCCGCTGCTGCACTTTGACCTCTTGCACGGGATAATAATTCCGTGATTTGAGACTTGATCGCTTCTCGTTCGGTTAATGCTTTGGGCGATATAAAGTGAAATGTGTAATCTTTGGATGCCGGTGCCGTCACGGTTATCTTTAACAGCACTTTGGCAGCGGATTCCGGTGTCTGTGCCAAGGCTAATTGTCGATCATGCAAAAACAAACAAGATAACATCATGGTGAGTTTTTGCAGATTAAAAGGCCAGATTCAAGGATTGGGGCCACACTGGTTTCTCCTTACTTCCAATGTCACCATAAGGAATAGAAGGATTTAAATGCGGTGATCCTTGCTGCTGCCACGCCACTCTTCTGGGTGTGACAAACAGAGTCCCGTCATTTTTCTTATATTTTACAGGAGCTCGAAGGAGTAGCTGCTCATTTGGCTCCCACATTAGTTTTTGACGTAACAAAGAACACACACAAAAGAAGAAGAAAAAAAAGGACTAAATGAGCGCGATTTGCAGCTCCTTTGAATTACCAAATTTCCCTTTCAAAATGCGTGGCCCAACTTTTTGTTTTAAATGTCAGCAGCCCATTTTCTATTACTTTTTTTTATTTTTTCATCTTCAAATCGCTTTTACTCCCAATCATCATCATTATCGTCTTCATCGTCACTTTGCATGGCCGTTTTGCGCTGTTTCAGTACAGCAGCGAGACTAGACGCCAAATCCTCTCCGGAAGAAGCGCCTCCAGCCGATGCGGCAGCACCTGCAGCCGCGGCACCAGCCATGGCGCCACTGCTTGGACTGGCATAAGATTTGCTCGGTGAAGGTGTTTCGCTCTGAGCATCACGCAAGGCGCCACTCTTTTTCAAATTCGCGAATCCTCCCGTAGCGCGGATGGATGCCAAGAAATTGGCTCGACTATCAGATACAGGTGGCGTTCCCATTGGCGGGGGTGCAGGACCGCCTGGTGGAGGTGGTGGGGGAGCTGGTGGAGCTGATGTTCCTGAGGAAGACGGTGGTGGAGGCGGTGGCGGTGGTGGTGGTGCTCCCGTGGGGAATCCTGGTGCGGGTGGAGGAGGTGGTGCCATTTGACGACCGCCTCGATTAGGTAACGGAGGCGCGGGTGGGGCAGGTGAATTGTTGTTGCCCATGGGTCGGCGTCCAGGTAAAGAAGGTTGTGGAATAGGTGGCGATGTTGGTGTTCCCATTGGTTTTCTTGGTGGTGGTGGCGGTGGAGGTTGTCGACGACCTTGATCCCAAACCCGTATTAATTTATTTTGAACCCTCCATCATAATCATCATCATCATCAGACAAAAGAAAAAAATGCTTACCACTGGGTGGTGGTGGTGGTGGAGGAGGTGTCTTTCTCATGGACGGAAGTGAAGGTGGTGCCATACGTGGTTGCTGCTGAGTAGATAAAGGTGACTGAGAAGGTGGAGCAGGAGGTGGAGGTGGACCACCACCACCACTTCTAGGTTGCGATTGAGTCGCACCGTGTTGTTGCAAAAAGTCTTGAATAAAGTCTTGATTTTGATTGATTTCATCGGCGGATATACCAAGCGCTTTCAATTGATCAAAGATACCGTTCCATTCTGGATCGTTATTCTGTATGCTGAATCCTTTGCCCGGTGTATAACCAATATGTCCCACATGTCTAAACAAGATCCATCCTTGGTTCATGCCTTGTCCCAATTTTTTGCACTCTTTGGTTTTTGGGTAGGCTTACCTGAATTCGCCCGGCATGCCAATTTGATTCTTATCGATTTTACTCTTTCGCGTCCCTTTGGAAAACATACCGCCATGACTCGTTCGTGTTGCGGCCTCGTCTGTAACGATGATGATGATGATAATGAGAAAACGGGGGTCCAACAGTATAAGTTTGATTCCATCAGAAGTTTACCTTTCAATTTAAATGAATCTCGATGCACAACTTTTTTGTAGAATGTTTCTGCTTCTCCGTCATTGACAAATTCTAAGCCAGCGCAACAATCCTGTACCACCATGAGGTAATTTGTCCATGAATATATGATCTTTGGTAAGCTTTTCCAAAAAACCCATACTTACGTCTGTTTCAAACGAGTGGAAAAACGACGTATCCTTGATATACTCAAATCCATTGTACAGCTCCTGTTCCCATACAACCCCGGCGTCGTTCTATGTGAAGTAACGTTAGTTGGGGGTGCGGGCGGGCCGTGCATCGTCATTGTCGTTTTGGGTCAGCACACTTACATCGAGGTCGATTATTCGAATAAAAAAACTGTTGTTCATTTTTTTATCCTTGCAAAAGGCTACGGCACCCCAAATGCCGGAGTATGTCCATTCGTGAGGATGGGGATAAGCAACGAACAAACGACCGACCGTCGCAGTAAAGATTTTCTAGTTTTGTAAAATCAGAACATCTCGGTCTGATAAGTGAGTCCTTTTTTTTGAGAGAGCTTACCGATGTCGGAAGTGCTTTTCGTACGACATTCTTGTCTTCAGCGGTCGGAAGCGTGGCAGATGGCATGGGTGTGGGGCAGTTTTATTGAAGTACCAAGACGGAATGGGATGCTCAGCAAAAAAAAAAAAGAGAACTCCACTATTTTCAACCCCCGTTTTTGGCAATGTCGTGTTCCAGCAGTCACGATCTGGATCTCCCAGAAAGGAGTAACCACACGAATGGATGTGAACGAGAAAAAAAGCGTTTGTCTTTTTGTTAACTCCTCACCTTCATTACGCGCTCATGTCCCGCTATCCCGATCAACGTCATGCGGGTCCTCCTCTGCGGACATCGTCTTCATCCATGGACTTGCACCAGCCACCGTCTCCCAATGATCTGCCCATGCATGCCCTTTCTTTGCATCATCAGTCACCGGTTCCTCGTCATCCCTCCTATCCTCACGCACCTGAATCGCCTTCTCCACTAAGACGAGACCCTATGCCCATGCAACCACCTGTTAATACATATATTTTACAACCTATTAACCACGATAGTCCAGCTGTCGGGTCGCCTCGTCCAGCACCCAGCGGTCGACCGGATGGTCTAGCCAATACACCCGTCTCTTCCTCCTCCACCAATACCACTCATACCACCGATCCTCGCCTATCCACTCCATCCCCTCGAGCTTCACCCGCCATGACTTACAGTCAACCACGCATGGACTTGTATGATCCTACTTTGACAGCAGGCTTTCAACAACAACAACCTCGTGCTGATTACTCGGCTGTACCACCTCCAGGAGCATATGCGGCTTACCCCCAACAGCAGTCAATGTATTATCCGACCTCCAATTACAACGGCGCTCTCCCAGTAGCACCATCTTGGGGCTACGCCGATGACCCGAATGCCTACTATGCTGATCCACGTCAACAACAGTCATACTACTACCCATCCGATCCTTATCAATATGATCCTTCGGTGCGACCGTCGGATGCCACCTACATGGTTTCCGCCACCCATTCGCCTGCTGAAAATGGCATTACGGTGGCGGATGATACTGCGTATGCGACGGCCAATGCTTCGCCAAAGAAAGCATCAAAAAATCAGTTAAAGTTCCCACCGGCCACCACCGAAAATCTCAACAAATTCCGAGCCCAGGCCAAAGCTAGTCGGGATCCCAAGATCGAGCTTGATCTGGCCAAGTATTTGTTGGAAGCTGTGCGGCAGGTCCGTACAGATCCCAAAGATCCGAAGCGAAGCCGAAAAATTAAGGAAGCACTGACTACCGAAGCGCAAAAGATTGTGAAGAAACTCGTGTCGCAGTCGAGCGGGCTTGGAAAAACATCGGGGTATCCTGACGCCGTGTTCTTCATGGCAACCTGTTACGGGTCTGGCCAGATGGGATTATCGGTGGATGTTGAAAAGGCATTCAGTTTATATCTGCAGGGATCCAAACAAAGTCATCCCGAGTCGACATATCGCGTCGCCGTGTGCTATGAAACCGGACTGGGCACCAAGCGTGACAAGGGTCACGCAATGCAATTCTACCGCAAAGCGGCCAATTTGGGGGATCCGGCCGCCATGCTAAAGTTGGGCATGATTCTGTTAAATGGACTCTTGGGACAACAAAAGACGCCGCGGGAAGCCATTTCATGGCTGAAACGAGCGGCGCAACGAGCCGACGAGGAGCATCCTCAAGCGCTTCACGAACTCGGTTTGGCCCTCGAAAGCGAGAATCTTCCAGGAGTCATTCCAGACGTCAATCATGCGCGCGATTTATATACACAGGCTGCTCAGTACGGCTATGCACCATCCCAATTCCGGTTAGGCCTGGCGTATGAGAATGGGTTCTTGAATTGTCCCGTGGATCCACGTCGATCGATTGCCTGGTATTCCAAGGCAGCCGAACAGGGAGATGTGGAATCGGAACTGGCCTTATCAGGATGGTATCTGACGGGGGCCGAAGGGGTCTTGAATCAGAGCGATACCGAGGCTTATCTGTGGGCACGCAAAGCCGCCGAGAAAGGCTCTTCCAAGGCCGAGTACGCCGTAGGGTATTACACCGAGACGGGCATTGGCGTGAAACAGAATCTCGACGATGCGAAAAAATGGTATATGCGTGCCGCCGCCCAGAACAATCGAAAGGCGATGCAACGGTTGACCGAACTGAAGAAGCAAGGACCCAACCAAATGCGAAAACGACAACAACACACCCGTCCTACCAACGGTGCCAAGCCAAACAACAGTGATAACAGCGACTGCCGTATCATGTAACGGTACCTGTGTACTTGTTTAATTTTTTATTCGTAATAACACTGCATCATTCCAACCTCTTTTATTTTACTTTATATTACTACTGTAAACCCTAATTATCTTGATAGATTTGATATGTCCTCCCCCTCGTCCAAATCAAAATTATTAAAATAGCCTTATCTTGGAGAAAGAAAGAAAAAAAAAAAAAAAGATCCAAGATTACCCATTTGATAGAAAGCCTGGATTTTCAGGTGAAAAAAAAAAAAAAAAAAAAACAATGTAAACAAATAAAAAGGGATCCGCATGAAAATAATCGGTTTGTTTACATTCTTGACAATACAAACAAAATTAGTGTTTAAACGAGGATAATTATTGATTCCTTTTGGAAAGTCCACCCATTTTACGTTTGCATCGTATACAATATTTTTTTTTTATTTCCTTTCTCATTAGTTCATATTATACACATCATGGATTCTCGGCAAACACGATTCCCCATTTACATGGTCTTTTGTGGGATTGTGTCAAGCTTGGGATCGTTTAGTTTGGGATGGACCATTGGATCCCCAAATATTGTTGGACGAATAACACACGACTGCTCCCCATCCATCGATTACACACATAATTCTGTACTACCAGACTGTATCCCAATGAGCACGTTATTATGGTAGATAATCGAGAAAACATATCAAAAAAAGCTCAACCGTCCGTTAACTGATATGATCGTTTTCGTTTTACTGTAGGGGATTTGCCGTCTCTTCCTATTGTCTGGGCGGTCTCGTCGCTAGCCTCTTGGCCGGCACCATTTTGAATCGAATAGGTCGTAAAAAAACCATCAGTCTCAATAATCTCGGTTGGTTAATAGGCGCCGTTCTCATTGCTCTATCAACGTCGCCTGTCATGTTTGTTTTCGGTCGCATCTTTTGTGGATTATCATGTGGACTAGGCTCCGTAGCCACACCAACCTATAATGGCGAAATATCCACCACGCGCGGTCGCGGTACCATTGGCACTTTGAACCAGTAAGTTTTGTTATTTATATTCGTTGCATAAGGGCAAGCGATGGTGACAGGAAGGAATAGATTGTTTATTGTGATTGGTATCTTATCGTCCAATTTGGTGGGACTCGTCTTGGCTACGGTGCCCATGTGGCGAGTCAGCTATGCCTTGGTTATCCTGCCCGCGTTATTGCAAATGGTGATGATGCCATTTTGCGTGGAATCCCCGCGCTATCTCATATCAAAAAATCGAATCGACGAGGCCAAGAATGCTCTGCAACGTTTGCGAGGAAAATGTCTTGTGGATGGTGAATTGAGCGATATTATTGCTGGGCAGCTCGGCGTGGCGGCCACGCTTCCCGAGTCGTCATCCACCCTCGACTTGTCGATCAAAAAGGTGTCTACCAAGGAAGTCGTCGCGGAGAGTCCGCAAAAATTCAAACAAGCTTACTCTATTCGTGACCTTTTCAACGACCCCGTTGTTTTCCAGATCACCTGTATTGTCATGGTTTTGCATGCAACCCAGCAACTGTCAGCTGTCAATGGGGTTATGTACTATTCCACCACGATTTTTGATGCCGCGTTCGATCAACAAACATCCATGTACATTGCCATTGCCACTTCAGGTGTCAACCTCGTTGTTTCCTTACTATCTGCTTTCCTTATTGATCACGTCGGACGGCGTTTTCTGCTCATTCTGGCCATGGTCGGAGGCTGTGTCACCGGTATTACCTTGGCGTTGGGTGGCTACTTCCAGCAACAAGTCGTGCTGGTAGTTTCTGTGTTCTTGTTCGTGTCGTCGTTTGCCATAGGTCTCGGCTCCATCCCTTGGATGATTACCTCGGAACTGGCGCCTACGCACGCCGCTTCCTCGGTGGGAGCGGTCGCCACCAGCATCAACTGGGCGTCCAATTTTGTCATTGGTCTCTTATTTCCGACCTTACTGGCCACATTGCATTCGTTTGCTTTCCTCATCTTTTCCGCCATCCTTCTTTTGGCCACCATTTATACAATTGTCTATGTTCCAGAGACCAAGGGCCGATCTCTGGAAGAAATCAATGCAAGTTTTGAACGTAGAATTCGATATGGCATTTCCAACAACGATCTCAAAAATGAAATTGTTGAATAAAATTTCTGTAAATGAATTGAAAATTTCCAATGGTCAGGTTTTTGAAATTGTGACTACTGGATAGGAAATGGGAGGAATTTCGCTCAACCCCCACCCACCTTTCAAGTTGGCTTGATAAACACCACACCTCTATCCAGTGAATCCTCATTTTCTTTTGCCGGCAGCTGCAACATTTCGTTTCGTCTACTACAGGCCCAACACATACATCGTATTATTTGCGTTTATTCCATGCCTCGTCATACCTCCAGTGACGACGATGTGGTCGCCACATTCTCTGAAGACCTTCGCAGCACACAAAAAGCGAAATATTCATCGCCGGCTTCCATGAGATTGGCTTCTCATAATAAGACTCGCGTGGCCTATTTCCACGACGAAGGCGTCGGCAACTATCATTACGGTGTAAGTAACCTCCTCCTGTGCAAAAATGGCTGAGTCGGTCATAACTCATTGTGTGGAATAAAAATGTAGGAACGACATCCAATGAAGCCGCATCGCTTAACGCTGACCAATCACTTGGTGCTCAAATATGGACTTCACAAGAAAATGGAGATTTTTCAACCCAGACGAGCGACAGACGACGAAGTATTAGAGTTTCATGCCGCCGATTATGTGGATTTTTTGAAAAGGTGGGTCTCCTTGGCCTTTTGGCTGCTAAAAAGTTAGCTGTTGATGCGAGTTCTTATTTTTTTTCTATGGTTCAGAGTCACGCCGGATAATGCAGAAGAGTTTGAAGATGTGTTCCAAAAGTTCAACGTAGGCGATGATTGTCCTATATTTGACGGCATTTACGATTTTTGTCAACGATACGCTGGCGCCACCATCGAAGCGTCCAGAAAACTGATTGCCAACGGTGCCGATATCTGTATTAATTGGTCTGGCGGTTTGCATCACGCCAAGAAGAGTGAAGCCAGTGGATTTTGCTATGTTAATGATATCGTACTAGGTATACTGGAACTATTAAGGTAAGACTTTTTTTTTGTCAGTGTCGAACTTTTTGTGATGATTCAAATGGCGTGGTGTGCCAGTAAGATTAACTGTGAGGGGTGACTTAACAGGTACTTTCCGCGTGTGTTATATATCGACATTGATATCCATCACGGTGACGGTGTGCAGGAAGCGTTCTATTCGACGGATCGAGTGATGACGGTATCGTTCCACAAGTATAATGGCGACTTTTTTCCAGGCACGGGGCATATTGACGAGATTGGAACGTCGTTGGGAAAATACTATTCTGTAAATGTGCCTCTACGAGATGGAATTGATGACGATGCATACGTTTGGCTCTTCAAGGAAGTCATTGATGCGGTGATTGGCACGTTTCAGCCTTCGGCCATCGTACTTCAATGTGGTGCGGATTCTTTGGGATGCGATCGTTTGGGATGTTTCAACCTGAGTATTGAAGCGCACGGACGGTGCGTGCAAATAGTCAAGGACTTCCAGATCCCTCTTCTTGTGGTGGGTGGAGGAGGTTACACAGTCAGAAACGTGGCACGATGCTGGACATACGAAACATCGGTTCTGGTTGATACAACGCTTTCCGATGACCTGCCACCGAACGAATACATTGACTTTTTCAAACCGGATTACAAGCTTCATCCCCATCTTTCGGGTCGCGTAGAGAACCAAAACGATCGAACGTATCTTTTAAAAGTGCGCGAACGTGTCATGGAACAGTTACGGTACCTGGATGCGGCTCCCAGTATTCAGATGCAAGAGATCCCACCGGATATCCAGGGATTCCTGGACGGCGATGAGGAACTGGAAGACGAAGAAGATGACTCGGAAATAGGCAAGGATACACGACGTACGGGAGGCCGTGTCATTGCCGAAGGCGAATGGTTTGAAGACGACGAAGATAATGAAGGAGAAGCGAGAGATTCGGTGTGGGACAAGGGCATGGGGATGGATATTGATGTGTAGAAAGCATCGCCGACTTTCCATCTTTCTGTCATGACTTGACAAATATTCTCCACAGTCTGTGTGGAGTTTCCCTGATTTGTTTCCCTTTTTACAATGGGGTCCATTCCTTTTTTTTTCATTCTTCCTTTTCTTTTTTTAACCCTCCATTATTCTTTCGTCTCCCTTCTTATTTCCTCTAATTATCTTTCAATTTTTTCATTGAATTCTGTATCATATTTTCATGCAAAAGAAAAAACGAATAAGAGCGTCGTATATATACATAAATCTACTCATTTTCTACGGTTGATCAAAACAATGCCACGATAGAAATTTTTTGATTTGCACCGTCAGATCAAGAAAAAAATCCCATAGAAATTTGATACCCAAAAAAAAAAGGAAGAGAATAAAAAAAGAGATAGAAAGAGAGGAGCCGATTTAAACAGCATGATGGTTTGGAGACGGAATTACCGGCATCCCGTCAGGAACGAATTCTGGAGATGATGGTAAGAGGGGTTTCGACTTTGACAAAGTGTGTTGGATAAATGGATGATGGAGAGAGGATAAAACCGAAAAGATATCCAAGAGACAGTAGGCATCGCTCGCTACAAATGTGGGGTTAATATTTCGTTCCTCAATATCGAGAAGGAAAACATTGGTCAGTCTTTTTTTTCTTTACCGGCATACTGAATCTGCTCTTCGCTTAATGGACGTTGTTCCCAGTTGCTCAATTGCTGCTTTTTGTTCATTTTGACGTTTAAAAAGGTCGATACCACGCCACCCAACCCGCCAGCAATAGGTAAGCCCTGGGGATCTTTGCAGCCCGGCGGATACGACCTCAATGTCTTGAAATCGTGTAAACCAGCTACTTTCCAATCCTTAAGACTTGGTATAGATACTGCCAGCGTGGCAAAATCGCCATCAAAATCGTAAGCTAAAAGCCAGAGGATTTAGAATTTGTTTCATCTAAATGCACCGTCCGCGCATTCCTTTACCTAGTTTGATAATATCGCTGTTTTCAAAAAGTCGCTGAAGGATATCCTTGGTCATCAACCAAAGCGGTGCATTCCATGAGTGATGCATGATGGTGAGGTCGAGTAAAAAGGCATATCCGTTATGGGAGGCAATCTGCATCAAGGCCGTTTTGATGGGCCTGTTTCTCGCAAACTGAGGCACCCATTCGGTGTCGAGGCCAATCAAGTGCGACTGGCGAAGGATCTCATCCATATGCATCAAGGATTCGTACGTTTCGACAAAAATAACTTGAACGTGAGGAGGCATGGTATAATAAATCACGGGTGTAGGTGAACCGCTGTCGGAATGCTTGGACGGACTAAAACTGCTACGATGACGCGACAATTGCTCTCCTTTAATGGATCCCACCAGCCGATCTTGCAGAGGCAACGTCTGATAGCGACAGAAGAAATGTTGTTGGTGTAATTTGGCAGCAAAGAAGGCCGGAGCGATATTATCGCCGACATCGATCAGCTCTTTAATGGCGAGTTTGGCCAGGGCGGGATCTTCACTGGCCACAAGCTCAATCAAACCATTAAAGTTGGAACTTCCTGCGATGGAGTAATCGTTTTCGTCCATTTGCTGTTTGGCCCTTTGAGCCACCAACCATCGTAACGAGCCGTAACGCTGTGATAGCCAAAGAAAGTAAGACTCTCGTTCGGGTAACTGCATATCTTGAACAAGTCTTTTGCCACAATTGATCATTTCCTTTTGGAACCGCCGATCCTTTAACCTCTGCAGAGGCAGCATCATGTCCTCCTCGGGTTCAGTGGATTTTAAAATGTCTTTTTTAAAGCCATACACTGTGAGTGTGAGCGTGAAAGAAAACATATTGGAGGGGGAAAATTTTTGTTACCTTCTGATATAATTTCCAAGGACCCGGTAAAGTTATAACGTAATTGGGTATCGATAAAGTGGAGAAGTTTTCGCTGTAAATCCGGACGTGGGCCAACATACAACGCAAGCATGGCTCCTTGACCGTACATGAAAAATTGTTCGGCGAGGGTTTCGATTTTGAACTGATTGTACAGATTCAGCTTTTGCATGCAGAGGACTGCTTCGTTGTAATTTGCATGATGAATCAATTGTTGACACAAGCGCACGCCGTCGTCTTGGAATTCTCCGCCTTCACTGAGTAACGGTACGAGTTGGAATACGTTGAGTGCGTAATACACGAGGATGGGTGTAGGAATGCTGTACAGCAAGCCGATGCAGGCTTCCTGATGTTTCCTGCTGAGCGTATACTTGATGGTGACTTCAGGCGAAACATCGATCAGTTGAGCAAGTGAAATAATAGGCATCGATTCGTCTTCATCCACTTCATTGTCGTCATGATCGTGATTCTCCTCATCACTGGAGTCATCATCATCATTCGCTCCCTCGTCCATCTTTTCATCATTCTCTTCTTCTTCTTCTTCTTCTTGTTTCCTATTGTCATTGCCATCATTATTATCATCATCATCCATATCGTCCAGAGAAATCAGATTGGGCATTGAACTGGGCGTGTCTTGAAATGAAATGAGATCGGGTTCTTCCTGCTGCGATCTATGTTGCTTTAACTTGCTTGGTGCCATAGTCAAGAATCGATCCAAAGCATTTAGTAAGGCTTGCGCCAACAGTCGTCGAAATTTGGCAGAAAAATCCTTGTTGTCTGTGTGATGAGCAAAATGCAGGGCCAACCGTTGAAGAAATTGCTGTCAGCAGGTGGAAAAAGAAAAAAAGAAGCTCTTAGCAGATAAAGAAAAAATACCAAGGCAACTGTCACTCCCACTTACCACAATGAAACTGCATGGATCGCCGCATTCGTCCAATTGATTTACCATTCTCGCTTCAATATAAAAAGGAGGTGTCTCTATTTCTCGGATGCAAAGGTACGTTTCGGAATTCTTGTAAACGTCGACGAGTCGGGTGACCAGTCGCTGGGCATCCATGGTCTTGCATATTTCGGCAAGCTCTTCATTGGACAGATAGTTGGCATCGACTGCTGCTGTGGATGGAACGGGGGATGGTGGCAATGGCTTGCTGGTAGTGGCCTTGGCTGTCAATAAAGCCGACCTCGGCAACGCTGCGCGAACGGTGCGAATAGCGGCTGCGGAAAGCTTGGGCTTGGTTCTCGCTTTCAATTTGGGTATATCCGACTCAGTGGCCGTAGAGGAGATGATCCACTCATCTTCTGAAGATTCAGAATCCTTGTCATTCATATCCGGCGCACTTGTTCAACGAGGGGATTGTTAACTCGAGGAACAACTAGAAAAGCCCTTGTCGTCTCGTGACGCGGTTGGAAATAGAGAAAAAAAAAGTGGGTTGGCAAGGCACCCAACGATTTCGCTTTCCTCCAATGAAAACCTACTTTCGAAAACTTTATTCTTTGGCTCGCTTAGAACGAACTGAGAGGACACCTTTGAACAAGAGATTCGCATCTACTTTTTTTTTGCGCCATCAAGTCGTGGCTAGCATGGAGATTACTGACATGGGCATCTCGAAAACAAGGGGTACGAAACAGTAACCATAGCGAGTTGCTGCTGGAAACATAATGAAAATGATAACAAGCATAAAAAAAGAGATTATACAATATTCATTATTTCAAAATAGATCAGAGAGATGCATCATGCCCTGTTGCAAAAGACAAATAAACAAGAAGAAGAAGGAAAAAAAATGCTGGCGGCTGTGTTTGTACAATAATGCGTACCATAAGTAAGACATGTGTGTGCGATTGTGTGTGTGTGTGTGTGTAATGTGTAGAAAAATGCTGGGAGCCAGCAGAGCATGCTGTAGGATATCAAAGAATTTTCCAGGATGCTGAGCATCTATCATGGGAAAAAGGGATAAAAAAGGAAATAATAATAAGCCCTGCATTCGGCAGGAATGGAGGGAAAAGGTCGACTGACATTTATCGTTGATTGTTGGTCTTCTTATCATATTCATCCAGTCGGGAAGCTAGACGTTGGAAGAACCGAGTACTGATACTGGGTTCACTTCCATTGCGACTGGTCGTGAACGCTCGGGGAGGAATGCCTCGCGTAATGAAACTGGTGGCCGGCATGGTGCCCATACCAAGTCCGTCGGAACTGAAACTGTTGAATCCTGTCAAAAAGTTGGCCGGTCGCAAGGTATTGATGGGCACCGACGTCGATGGTCCCGTTTGTGACGTGGCCACACTTGTCACTGAACCGTAATCGGTGTCGTTGGCAACGCGATCCTTCTTGGAGGAGGAAAACAGCGTTGATACCGTGGACGAACTTGTGCTCGTCGATAAACTCACCGACCCATTGTCATAGTCCGACAACAGATATTTAAGCCCTTCCTGGGATTTTTTTCGATCCGCCGTGATCGATTCCGCCGTGATGATGCGATGCCGAATCTCATTTCGCAAGGTCAAATTACGCTCAATTTCCTTTTGCATTTCGTGTCGGAATTCAGCAGAAAATACAGCTCCCTAAAAAAAACCAACCCAGTTATTGAATCAGATCACCTCCACCCGACAGTGGCGTATTGCCCTGTGTGTCTCTCTACCTTTGTAATTTCGGTATCTTTACTTGCAACGCTGTTATCCCACGCCGATGAAGCTGTCGACAATCCATTACTCAGCGAATCGTCATCCGATAATCGGGGTTCACTCAGGTTGTGGATGATATCCTGCGCTTGTTCGAGCAAAGATGCATATTCTTTGGCTTGAGCTACCATAGCGGTTAGTCGCTCTTCACACTCCAATTGTTGATGCTCCAATTCGGCTATCCGTGCGCGTAATTGATCGTTTTCCGCCACGATCTAAAAAAGAATGATCAGTGCCGCAAAAAAATCGATAGCAAGCCAATTCTGAGGCAGGCACGAACCCTTGAAAGATCGGTTTGAATATTTTTGACGAGATGGGATGTATTTGAGCTCGACTGCTTCTGATTGGTCAACGCCCTCTCCAGCAGTAATTGCAAATTGGTATTCATTTCTCGGGTCGTTGCTAATTTATGCTCTACTTCAGCTGTTTTAAAAATAATAAACTGTCAATAAGCATTTGTTTCTTGAACTGTTTCCCATTTTGCTCCTTCGAAACCTACCAAGACGCTTTGCATACATGCTGACTCTTGCTCTGGAATCGACCTGCATTTGGTTATATCCTCGTCCATTTAGTAAAATCAATGTGATTTCTGGTTGATTTTTTTGTAAAAGAAACTAGTGGTGGGGATCTCCGCCATTGCATTACCATTTCTGAAGCCATGTCATTGAGTTGGGCGGATAATCCGTCCATTTCTTTACGAAATTTGGTTAGTTCTCGGCGGGCTTGATCGAGTTCTTGGGTAAGCTGAATATGATCTTCGTCCGAGGAGGGAGTTGGGAGGGCTGTGTTCAAGTCGTCGTGAAAGCGACTCATCTTGTCGGCATCCTGGCATCGACAGGATGTGTGTAACTGCAAATCATCCCGGAGCATTTGGTTTTCACGTTCTAAATGCGCCAGCTGATAAGGGGTAAAAAAGAAAACCATGAGTTAAAAAAAGGCTCAGGCGTGAAAGAAGGCGAAGGTTGAAAAGTGAGTTTACTTTGATATGGATGGCTTCGTTTGTCTCTGAAATGACTAGTCCCAATCGTGCTGCTACGTCCAAATCGTTGGCGATACTCTGTCGTTCTCGTTCTTTTCGGATGACGAGTTGTCGCAATGTTTCAACGTCATCGATGGCGTTGATCTCCTTTACAAAAGACGGTTTATCTGTCATTATGGTCAGCTTCAATGAGCTGCATAAATGTATGTTGGGGTACCTTCGGGGGTTACGCCAAGACGAGCAAGACACGGCTCCAAATCCTGCGGCATGTCATGGGTCATTCTAAGTAACCAATTCGTGAGTCTCTCGGCCAATAAAGTCTCTTTTTACTGGTCTCGTTATTTCATACCGTCTAATACTGAAGAGAAAAAGGGAAACTCAGAGACTAAATCTAAACAATCTAAAATCAAATCTGGGGAAATTAGCGATTTTGTAAATCACATGATCTACACCAAGTTAAAACCTTCTTTTTATCTTTCAACCATGCCTCGCTGCCCACTTTCACGATAATAGGCGAAATAATCAGCAGCAAGATGCCGTTTGCGCCAGTTACTGTCAAACAGAGCATCGTCGTCTATCAAACAAAAATGTGAGTAGAGCTCTTTTTGAAGAAAGGTGGTGGATGATGTCGATCTGGGTGTTCTGTTGCATCATTTAGTTTGGTTTTTCTGTCAGTTATACTGCGTATCATATGCCCTTTGATTCTCTTCAGTTTTCGATGATCGAATGATACATGAGCAGATATGCTTCGATCTATGAATTCATGCATTGACTATGGTTTCATCCATGGGAAATCCACATATTTTCGTCTTCAATTTTTTCTTTGTCTCTGATTTACCTCTCTCTAGAGTAAGGCTTTCCCATGTAGCTAATCGAACGATATTGCTCATCATTCATGCATCCTTAGGTGACTATTGTTTCGTCCGGGGGAAATCCACATATATTTTGTCTTCGTTTTTTTCTTTTTTCTTTGGTTTTCTCCTCTATCTTCTGTTTACCTGAATATCCCTCACTATCATTGCATCCCCTCGCATCCATCATCCATCATCCAGACTATGTTTTTTCTCGCGTGTATCTGTAACCGGTCAAGTCGATTATTATCAAAAAGGTACCTTTTGTGTGGTGTGACTATTGGTTTTTCGACAAGAAAAAACTCACGTTCTTTTTTCTCTATCCTTTCTTTAGCTTTTGGTTTTCTCTCCGGTTTTCTTTTCGCCCTGGCAAAGCCATCCATCCCTCCAAATCTTTCTACTTTGTTCGCGCACCAAATGTGGCCAATCCGGTTTCAGTCGTCAAAGGGCATCGTCAGTGGTTTGACTCTCTTTTCCATCGGAAAACACTTACGCTTGACTTCACCTGGATTACTTCCCATGGTATTGTCTTGATATTTCTTCCCGACCATTTTATTTTTGTAGTTTGTAGTATTTCGATAGACCTTCTTGCAGTCCTTTCCTCCTTGTTTTCCCCACGGGGTTTTTAGGGGGTTTTTACAGACGCATCTATTATTTTACTTTTAATATTTGTATCGCTTCTTTTTTTTTGGTCGGGAAACTCTGGATATCTGCTGCATCGAATAACAAAAGGTAAATATCTTGACAACATTTGAATCAATTAAAGAGCTTACTAACTCATTTTTTTTAAAATACCCAATAACCTTGCGCGGGACAGGACGGAGGGGGGCAATAAGTGCTGCTGCACACATGTTGGGAAATCATGACTGTACGGTATGCCAGAGTATTGACATTAGTATATCAAAGTTCCATCAAGAGTCTCGCTCAGGTTATGCCGTATTGCGTTAGGTTTTGTCTGACGAATGTCGCTCAATGGGTGCGACGTCCAGTAGCAGGTGGCATCCATTGCACAGTGGGTGTACGGCTTGTTAGAAGGAAAAGAAAGAAATGACCTGGTGGGCCCGAAAAGCGCTGAAATTGTAAAAGCACGAACCTTGTTGACGCGGATAAGGTTTCTCCTTTTATAAATATTATGATGCTTTGCTTAGGACATTCTGTTGACAAAACCAAAGGATACCCATACAATTTTGTTAACCATGTCGCGTTGCTGCTGCAGTTTCTTTATATGGGCAAACTATCGAACATCTACTTTTTCATTATTCCATATTCGCAAGTGAAGACGCGAGAACAATGGCACCTTCCTATTTCCTACCTTGTCGTCAAGGCTAAGCTTCATATAGCCTTTGGGGGCGCCTGTCCAATGAAACGTCAAAACCTATCACGTACCCAGTGTCCCCATGTCCAGTACCCGATACTCAGAGGCTGATGTATTCTACCCTCCAATCTTGCGAACCATGCAATAATATTATCAGCTTTTGAGTTGGGAGCAAACAAATAAAACGGGTCTTAATACGTAACTAAGTAAAGAAAAAGTCAATGGTTCATAACCTCCATTGTTATATGTGAATGTCGCTGTTTAAATCTTGGAGGGCACCTTTTTTTGGGCTTTTCGTGGCAAAATTAGAGCCAAGGTGCTTCAACTCTCCAAAGAAACATGCAATGGCGCGTCATTATCCTACTTGTCGCCGGGATTTCCATGATATATTTTGTTAGTCTTTTGCAGATTCCACCGTATGCTCAACCACTCAAATTACAACCGCAAAGCTCAGCTCAACTGTTACCTGTGCATCCTGATGAAGTGATTCTGACAACCGCACACGATTCACTATATTTGACATCGCTATGGTTCAACACACCCGCCAACGAACCCTCAATAGACCCCCATTCCTCCAATCTACGCAAGTCTCAAGTTGTAGGTAGGATAGTTTTTCGATCGGTCCACACTGACAAAGAATCCCACAATTCTCATCGAATGCCACGGTTTGAACTTACACAGGCTCCGTCCGTCAATACAGGATATCACACCACTCGCTGTCATCACCGAACACGCAAGGTTGGATGGAGATGGTCTCGGTCGTGTATCAATGTATTCATTTTTTTGGCTCATAGGTGCATGGACGCAAACCGTGCAGCATGAATTGCCAGGCCCGATTTTGAAAGTTTCCACTCCACCGCCAAGCTCAGATCGTCCTACCGACATTCAATTGGCCGTCCTCTATTACGAATTGGAAAATGAAAGTTACACATTGATAGTGAGAGTATACTATCTGCTGCAAGACCTTTCTGTACAATACAAAGATCTGCAATTACCGGGCCAACTGTGGCCTGTCACTTTTTCCATTGAGGACAACTGCATCATATATTCACGGTAACACCAATTTTCTTCATGTCGATTTGTGGTGGATCCCGTCTCATTCACGCTCATGCAATATAGAGACCCTGATACGCATCGATTTTGGGTTCTTCCTCTGCCTGCCAATCTCACCTCCGTTCCACATTCCCAAAACGCTGAGAGGATTCGCTTGACCTCTAGCCAACCCGGACCCCCCATAGAAAGTAAGCTTGCGGAGATCCGTCGATTGATTATCCAATACTGACCCGACTATCCACAGGATGGCATCAACCAGCAGGCACTGAAACGTACCATGGCATGCTATCTAGACTGTATTCCAAGTAAGACACCTCACCGCCCATTATTTTCTTTGCGTGGTCGTCCGCCTAACTTGCAGTGACCCTCCTTAGATCATCCACATTTCGCGTATTTGTGCTAGACGTACATACCACTTCGCTGCTTCACCACATCAATGCCAGCCTGTTTGATCATATTCCTCATCCCCAGTCAACTTCTCAAAACTTGTGGGATAAGCGTTACTCACGTTATCTCTCTGTAAGTCGCTTTCCGTCTCATGCCATGAATAGCACTTATGTATAAACTGCAGGAAGACGTCTATATGGATGTATCTATCGAACATATGGCATACGTTGACTATGCTCACTTTCACCATGAAAGAGTCAAGATCAATCCTCCCGCCCTTCCTTCATGTACGTCTAAACCTTTTTTTTTTTTGTCCATAACACGCTAAATTTGCTCGCATTCCATGACTTAGCCCGATCCAATGACGAGAAAACCCTGGTGACCCATGTTATCAAAGATACGATATTGACCCTCGACTATTCCGATCGTCTGGATCTAGTGCAGTCGGACAACACGGAAAAGTATAAAGTGTATCGAGATACACAGGGCCAGACGCTGGATGAGTTCTTCTTCTGGTCCGAAACCACGTTAAATTCAGGAAGTGATTACTACATTAGTGATATTGTTGGATTGCACATCAATGCCGAGGGTGACATTCTGGTTGCTTGGACTGACGACAACACAGTCTACATTCTGAAGCGTGGCGAAGCCGATCGTCGGACCGACGATACCTCCTCCTCATGGACAAGTGATAACGTATACGAATCTATCCAAAAAAGTCTGGGGGGAAAATCATCCAACTCTGTCATTCCAATGGAATGGCGGATTCGGATGGTCATCGATCCCACCGAAATTAACTCCGTAGTAGGTACTGTTACATAACCGCACGACCAGTTAGACTCACCATCCCCTTAGCCAATTGCAGCTGCCATGATCCTGTCCAAAAACGACGACACAGCATCACACCTACCCCGAAATTATCTTTGTAACTGTCTATGGACTGGCCTGTATTCATCAACATTTGACGCATTAACCATCAACCCTATTCGTTAGTTTTGGCCCTTCAAAATGGAGCCATCCTTTCCTATCTACTGGACGAAGTGCAAGAAGTCAAAATAGTAACATTTTATTCATTTTTGCGCGACCGACTGGAGATTTGGATGCGTAAGTAAACCCCATTAAAATCCCACGAGAAAAAGACCAATGACTGAACCAATCTGTTGCGCAGCCATGGCCATGATTGTTGCTGCTTTTGTAAGGAACGAACGGAATATGTACGCCCAACTGGCATAAATAAGGAAGTAAGGGTAACCGAAAAAAGAAAAATTGAGGAGGGAATATTTAGAAAAAAAAAAAAGAGGTATACACAACAGTATGCTTTGATACATATAAACATATTGCAACTATTATTATATGCATGGGGAATCGTTATTATTTTTTATACATGGGGAAACCTCATCCAAGTAACGGAGCGGTTTCGTCGTCCGTATCGTCATGATGATCGGCAGGAGAATGAGTGGCATTTCGTCCAAGGGATGGTTTCGCGGTATTTTCCTTTGACTTGTTGGAAGTTGTACCAAGCAGAATAAATATGGACGCACAAAACAGGATAAAAGCAAACAGTATCAGGATTATATAATTAAGCCACAAGATACAAACAACCACCATCGTCGATGGATAGATCGTCGTAGGAAACCGGTGGCTGTCTGTGTTGAACAAAACGTGGGTCCCTATAAAACACCATGATGCAAAAAATCATCAACACCTTTCAGCTCTCTCTCTTTCTTTCTTTGCTTTTATGTCAATTGCGTTTTTGCTTACCGAACGACGCCCAGCCGATTTGAAGCACAAAAATTAGACAGCCCAACCGGCTTAACCACAGACTGCCATTCCTACGGTGCCCGCTTTCACAACTGTTTTCCAGCTCACTGATCGCCATGTCGCCGTGAAAACTGTCCAATTCCCCGGTCTCCCAGCTGGGCCGTGGACGATGACAGCAGCATGTCGCAAATACAAGAATGACCGTGATGAGCGACGACACAATGGCCCCCGCCAGAAAACTTGCATATTGTATACCCTCGGCTGAGAACTGGCGCCAATCCTGGGTTTCATTCATCTCATATTTCAGTACGTCACTTAGCGTTTGCACACTGATAGTGATGTTGTAGATATTAAGAGGCAACAGCGAGATAAGGGACAGCACAAGCCCTATAATGCCGACAAATCCCAACGATAGGCCTACAGACGTCGGAATAACGCTGTGTTGCTTGCTGTTCACCATATTAACTTGAAGAATGCAATGATAAAAAATAAAATAAAATAGAGAGAGAGAGAGAGAGGAAGCACACACACCGGAAAAAAAAACAGTGGACGAGAGTGAAGAAGGAAATATGCGCATCTCCACTTTTTTTTTATTTTGTGCCCTGCACCCTTTTTTTTCGTGCCAGCTTTTCAAAGCCCGGCCATCAGATCTTGCAAATAAGGATTTGCTTCCATCTCATGCTTATACTTGTTCTTGATATCACGAACCCGTTGCAGTAGCATGTCATGATCCAGTGACTCCATGTTGTCCACACTGGCAATTTCTTGAATCATCTTTTGAACAAGCGCGGTACCGTCCTAGATTCATTGATTGTTGGTTTTATGCAAATATATCGCTTATTGGCTTGCCATGTCCAGCTTACCTTGACGCTGTCACCCTTGTGCTTTTTCGACTCTTCATCTACGTCTGTTATTTCCCATTTGTCAGGAACCTCTTTTTTTTCTGATACAGCGGTATCTTGAGACACTCACTTGTACTATCTTCCAGCTCGGCTGCTTTTCGTTTAGCCAGTTTCACAACGGTAACAGGAAAGTTGGCCAACTCCGCGACATGGATACCGAAACTTTGATCGCACACGCCTGCACAAGAAAATATTAGAGAAAAAAGCCCAACTTTCGAAGCTTAACTGGTTTTAGACTCACCTTCATTGACTTTGTACAGTAGCGTGATATTTCGGTCACTGTCTCCTTCGTTACCGACGTGAACGGCCACGTTCAAATTCTTCACATGCGGTACATTTTCACCGAGCGCCGTCAATTCATGAAAATGCGTAGCAAATAAACAGTATGCCCTGATTTGGGTGGCAATATGTCTTTGATGGCCGAAAAAAAAACCGTCGAGAAAATAACCAACAACAAACTTTTTGCATCAGCTGATCTGCTTTTGGCAATGGGGGAAATTCATTGTCGGACTTACTCTGAAATTGCCCATGCCAAACCGAATCCGTCGTAAGTGCTTGTACCTCGTCCAAGCTCGTCGATAATAATTAGCGAATGTTTGCTTGCAGACTAGACGCATTTCAAAAAAAAAAATTGTCGCATGAAGCCCCATCATTTTTCTCACAAATCCGTACTAACTTTTTTCTGGTTGTTACCTTTAGAATCGTCGCGGTTTCCAACATCTCCGCCATAAATGTCGAAACTCCCTTGAGTTGGCTGTCTCCGGCTCCGACACGGGCCAGGATGGAATCAAATATGCACAGCTTTGCTTCCGTACAGGGGACGAAGCAACCCACTTGAGCCATCAGGGCAATAACGCCAATCTACAGATCCATCCGTCATTAAACTGGGGTCTGCCATGGCCATTGTTTCTGAAAAAAGATGTTCTTACCTGTCGAATGTAGGTGGATTTGCCACCCATATTAGGGCCGGTAATAATCTGAAACTCGGATTGATCTTTGCGAGAAAGAAAAAAAAAAAAAGTAGACCGTGGTAAGTCGAACAGTTTGTACAATCGAAATGGCAGGATCCTTACTCCTTGTAATTTCCACGTCATTTGGAATAAAGTTCACTTCGTCCTGCACCTCTAAACAAGGATGTCTTGCGTCTTGGAGATGCACATTGCCTTGTCCTGTCGAGATCCGTCAGCTTTTTATGTATGATTTTCGACTATTTTGACATTTTACCCATTGGTCGGATATCGGGACGAATGTACGGAATAGGCGCCATGATAGATACGTGAGCAAAGCTTTTGAAAGCAAAACGCCAAGTTAGCTTGCCATTTCCCCGGTCATCACCCACTTGTCTTTTTCAAATGCAATCCGCAACTCACCTCACCAACACATCCATGTGAGCCAGAACCCCACCGAGCAATTCGAGCACAGGACAATAGGTGGCTAGATTCATTATCATTTAAGTTGGCTGAACCTTTTTTTCCTTGCTTGGTATTCGGCATACGTACCAACGATATTGATCACTTCCTTGACGAGATCATTCTGTCGACGTTCGTAGGATGTGCCAAATTGCGTCAACTGGGTATTCAGATGTTTCATTTTACCCGTTGAAAAGTAGGTACCGGCCTTTTGTGTGGAGTATTCAATAAATTGGGGATCTTGGCGGATCACCGAGGCGTCCGCTCGTCCAATTCTCAAACAATAACCATAGAGACTGTGTTTCTCCAATTTCAACTTTTTCTCCGGATCCAACCCTAGCATCTCGGCGACCTACACCAACACATTAATAAGGAGTTCGTCACCCAGATTTTTTGGTTTTACCTCGAGGTGTTGGTTTTCTATCAGTTCCTTCAAGTCTGTAATCATTTCTCGAAGGTCTACGGGAGACAAGAAGAATTCAAATTAATAAGATTCGCATTGAAGAAATTGGCCCCGCTCCACCAAGAACGAGCAGGTGTTGTCATTCATGATACTTGCTCTTTAATTCATCGTCAAAATCGGATTTGATAATAAATTCATGGTCCTTGAGCGCATCCAGATCAATCGTTGTCTCTACCAATTCTTGCAGTTTCTCCAATTTGGCGATATATTCCTTGGATCGAGTGAGACATTGTTTTTTGCATAGATATCCAAATAAAAACTTACTTTGAGTTTGGAAGTATACATTTCGTTGATCAGGTTGCCCATGGCATCTGTGGGAGCATTGCATGCTTCAAGACACATCAACAGCGCAGGTAGTCGGATAACGACCTGATAAATTCTAACAACATCCTTTTATACCGAGAATGAGAAATTCAAATACCCTAGTCTTCAACTGGCCGCCAAAAACAACTCTGTAGACTCACTTGCAAATTGGCAATACCGCGCTGAAATCTTTTTGCCAGACGATGTAAATCCGGGACGGTTCGAAGGTGATCTTCTTGCAATGACTGTCGAAGTTCGGTATCTTTGTAAAATACTTCGACAATATCTTGGCGCTGAGCTGTAAAGAGAATCCCCCGGGGGCATGTTTCAGTTCCTGTAACCTTCCGCATCGTTGAATGAAATAGGAAACGTCAACTTACTGATTTCGTCGAGATTTAATAAAGGTTGTTTCAGCCATTGCGCTAATAATCGGCTCCCCTGAGCAGTTTTGCACTTGTTCAATAGACCGTATAAGCTCATGGACTTGTTGGAACCATCCTGTGGCCCTGGCATCAAATTCAAAGCACCGAGCGCTGACGCATCCAATCGCATATACTGGGATAAGTCGTGATGTCGAAGTTTGAATTGTTTGAAATTGTGCTCGTCGCTTAACAGCTAAAGGAATCCATCCCATTAATGATGGCTGTTGGCCTTGTCTTATCCGTGCTCCAACTTACCGAGAGATATTTGATGAGACATGCCACGGCAGGCATGGCCTGTTTCATTTCAAATTCCGCTACAGTAGTGCCAGTTGTTGTGAGTCATTCATGCGCGTTAGAACTATGGCCAAGTGAGCAACTTACGCAAAGCAGCACTGGATATTTCGCCTTCCAGAAGTCGGTTAAGATCTTGCTCAATATCTTTAGCATTGAAATCGTCTGTACAGTAGCCATACCAAGAAAAGACATGATCCATTAGTTAAGGGAACAGATAATAGAACTGGGCAATGGGCTTTTCAACGTTACTTTTTTTCCTGCTGGTCATAACCACGCCACAACGTTGCAATATATTTCGAATTTTGATCAGCTCATAGTCCTTTTCGGTTTCGTCAGCAGGTAGTAAGCACTCTTTCACACCCAGTTGGATGATAAGCGACTAGTGAGAAGCAATCAGTAACTGACGGTCGGCGTTCACTCCCCATGCCATCACTCACCTCGAAATTGGAATACAGTTCGTTATCGAGGAACTCGGCTATGCCTAATTCCTTGACGGTGGCATCTGCAAACGCCACCCCCACGACCTATCGTAATAAAAGTCAATCGGTTTTGTTCTTTCAGTAGATGGAGCTTTCTCCTGTTACCTTGTTTTCGTTGCTCGTAGCTAGTTTCACGGCCATCACCACCGGTGCGGCCGTCATATTCGAGTCAAGGAAGAGTAAATCTTCGACATCCTGGAGATTTCCGGGAGATGCTTTACGCGACAGTTCCCAATGAGACGAGTTCTTTTTTTGCGTCCAGATTTCGATGCGCTTCTGCTTGTTGAGTAACGCGTCTCTCAAAAACGATCCTGCAACACTGCTGGAAAGACTGGTGGTAGCAAGACCTCGGACAGCATCCCCTATAGCAAACTCGAATTAGCTTTGAAGGAAACCCCCCCCAATGTAGCTTATCCATGCTAACCTCCCCAATATTTCACTACTGATGTCGTCTTGTATACATGCTGTGCAATATAAAGGGCATTGTCGCCATGAAAGGTATAATATCTTTTCTGATTAGCGTCTCGTTCGAATAACCGAATGGTATCGCTGTCAGCCTAACATGACAAGATCAGTTTCAATAGCTCTCACTCCTGCATGTTACGCCGTTTCATACCTCGGTGAGTGATCGAAAGAACTTTACAAAGGTCTGCTGCTCAGGTTTGTCTAATAAAGTTTTTGGGTGAGGCAATGCTAAAATATTGAGCGATATTACATATTTTTTATCTACCAATATCCGGTATAGAATCTTTGGGTGATTGGTTCATGTTGATGGTGGTTAATGGACCTTGTTCGAGTCGCGTGAATTTCTTCAAACGCGTGCAGCTGTCACTTTCAACGCGCGAACCCACAGTCACGCCCCAAATGACTTAGTCAATGCATAATCACGGAAGCTCAATTTTTTCTGTCATCATTGAAAAAGTTTGCGCTGCATGCTGCTTATTTTGTCTCATACAACGTAGATACAGGCCATGGAATGGCGGAAATGTACCAAAGATGTATGCACACAGGTGGGCTTCTCCAGAGAGGTGACACTTTTATGCTTGATTCGAAAAAAGTATACTGTCGTCAAAACCGACGAGGGTGGCACTCTGCCACCCCCCAAGAATAAGAAACCTGGGTGATTATTTGGAATCGATTCTTCCTCATAATTGGCAGTTACATATGACAGGATAGCCGACAAATACAGAGTGACAAAAACGTGGGCGTTACTGGTTTATTTTTTTAAGCGTATCTTTATATGAACTATTGTCGATCCTTTTACGGTCTATCGGCCGGACGGTTTTAGAAGTTGATGGCATTGCCAAACGAAGCAAGCAAGCAAGCTTCACGGAAAGCTTCAGATAATGTCTAGAAATCATTCAGTGAATAAGATGACCCACAAACTTGTATCTCAATTGATGAAATGATACTTACAGGATGAGCGTGGCAAGTGCGGCCAACATCTTCGGCAGAGGCACCATACTATTATTTTAGAAACAAACCATTAGTAAAAATCCGATCAATATGTATTAAGGAGATACTTACTTCCATGGCGAGACCAGCTTCAGCGACCATTTCACCGGCGTTGGGACCAATGATGTGGACACCCAAGATACGGTCGGTTTCGGCATCAGTGATAACCTTGACCAAACCATCGGTGTCATCGTTGGTACGCGCTCTCGAGTTGGCAACGAAAGGATAGCTGCCAGTCTTGTATTTGACACCTTCTTGCTTCAATTGTTCTTCATTCTTACCAACCCAAGCGACTTCGGGATGCGTATAGATAACGGAAGGAATCACGTCGTAGTTGACGTGACCGTGGCCCGTAGCAATCATTTCAGCTACAGCGAAACCTTCATCCTCGGCCTTGTGAGCCAACATGGGACCAAAAGTGACATCACCAATGCAGCGAACGTTGGGTACGTTGGTCTTGAATTCCGAATCAATTACAACACGGCCACGGTTGTCCATCTCGACACCAATATTTTCCAAACCAAGGCCTGTGGTGTAAGGGCGACGACCAATGGCCACCAAGACAGCATCGGCTTCGAGCTATCAACATGAATTTGTATTGGTACAGCCGCAATTTTTTCCAAATTATCATTATTTGAATGAATGTGTTGGACACTTACCGTTTCGGCCTTGCCACCCTTGGAAGCTTCAACATCGACCAAGACCTTGTCACCTTCAATCTTGGCACCGTTGACCTTGGTGCTCATCTTGAACTTCAAGCCTTGCTTGGACAACAATTTGTGAAAGTTTTTGGCAAGTTCACCATCCATACCAGCACCGATGGCGTTGAGGTATTCGACGACGGTAACTTCGGCACCCAAGCGAGACCAGACCGAACCCAATTCGAGACCAATGACACCCGCACCAATCACTACCATCTTCTTGGGCACCTTGGCAAGTTCAAGAGCACCGGTAGAAGAAACAATCTTCTTTTCATCAATTTCCATGCCAGGAATAGGCGTGACTTCGGATCCGGTAGCAATGATCACATTCTTAGCCTTGAGAGACGATTGTTTGCCGTCCAAGCCGTCGACGGCAATTTCAGTCGCGGTCTTGAAGCTGCCTGCACCCTTGATGTAATCGACCTTGTACTTCTTGAACAAGTATTCAACACCGTTGGTCAAACCGTTCACGGCCTTCAAACGAGCCTTGTGCATGTTGTCCAAGTTCAATTTGACATCGCTCACTAAAAACGTCACGTCCGATGCGTAAGCTATCTGGCAGATTTATTTTGAATGCGTGTGTGCTTCGGAGAACTTACCGTCAATACCACGCGATTTCAAATCGTGTTGGGTCTGGTGGAAAATGTGCGAGTTGTTCAACATGGCCTTGGAAGGAATGCAGCCAACGTTCAAGCACGTACCACCGAGAGTACCACGTTTCTCGATACAAGCAACCTACAAATGAACAAGGTATGGTCGATTTGAGTTCTTTACTATGGCCATGTTTCTTCAATATAATTACCTTGAGACCCTGTTGGGCGGCTTTGATAGCAGCAGGATAGCCACCGGGACCACCACCAATAACGACGACATCGTATTCGGTATCTAAATCGAATGAATGAGTGTAAAAGAAAATAACAAGAATCCTGTCACAATATACGTACCAGCAGGGCTGCTGTAGTAACGGTAGAACTGGGTGGCGACAGGTGCACGCACGGTTTTGCATGCAGCATTGCGCGCGGCAATCTAAGAATAATGCAAACAATAACGTTAATTTCACAAAACAGACGACTTTGAATCGAGTTGATAGGTACATTAGCCAGAGGAGCCTTGGAAGCAACCAATCTAAACATAATGGCACGAGGAAGAAAGAGGTGCCAAAAAAACGTCAGAATAGTCTACAAAAATAAACTCAGAAACTGGCCTTATAGACAAGTCACGCAATTCCGGTCATTTCTTACTATGAAATTTGTCAGGCCGAGCTTTGCTGCTGGCTTTTGGCACCTCGACAGGAAGAAGAAGCAAAATCAAAGGGACCATAGTTCAATAGTCAGATTCCTTTCAACGGCCTATGCATTTTTCTTGAGGCTATATTATCCTTTCCTTTTATCGTATATTTTACTTTATATCATCTGCTCAAAGATTTCTCTGTGACCAGTAGCCCAACCATGCGCTTTCTTGCATTTTATATGCTGTGTAGCATATGTTGGTATATGGTTTACAAGCCGGTCAATACCGCTTGTCTCCTTTTACAATTGACGCCCTCTAGTATTATTTTGTTCCAATTGACTTACAATCTTTGTCTATCCCGCCAGATCCATCGTTGACGGTTCATTACCGCTGATCTTCACATGTTAGGACGAATATCAATCATAATTACTGCGACGCATATATGTGAGAAATTCTATGATTAGAATTGTAATTTCTCCAGCAACGCGAATACATCAAATGCCGTGACATGGAAACTTTTCAACACTTCATTTTCATTTCAATGCCCGCTCCAAACTAAACCCGCCATTCCTTCGCTAAGCGACATATTATAACCCTGCCACCCGCCACCCGCATTTTCCCTCAATAATGCTTTTATATCCCATAGTACTCTCTGATTTCCAACACCATCAGAAATAGTTGCGCAGGATGCTTTGCCCTTCGAATGTGTATCACTTACAAAGTAAGACTTCAAGAAGCCGTGATAGTATAGTGGCAGTACATCGCGTTGTGGCCGCGCTGACCCTGGTTCGATTCCAGGTCACGGCAATTACCTTTTTTGCTTTTTTCCCTATCTGTATTTTATTTATTTATTTTTTTGACCTTTTTTACGTCTGGAAAAACAGTTCATATCGCTCGTTGGAGGTGAGAGGGATTAGTAATTTTGGTCTTTTTGTTGAGAATGTGCCGGGTTTTATAAAAATTTCAAGGCCACTAACCCCACGTAGACAAACGGTATGGGTTCATTGGTGAAAGGTCCATATTTTTGTTGTGCGATTTTTATTTGGTCAGGTGGAACGGAAAAAAAGTAGGAAAGACAGTAATATTTTTGCTTGTAAAGAAAACATGGTGCAAATACTCGAATTACAGGCACAAAACCACATGTATCGTCGCAAGATTTATTTGAAAGGCCGGATGCTTTGTTATCTTTACTGCCGTTTATTTTAAGTCATAGGTTCAGCTTTTCCTTTAAGTTATTATTACGTACACAAAAAAAAATATACAACGTTGGTTATTGAACAAATGCGCGTATAAAAAAGTTGAAATACAAGAAGGTGTCAGACACTGCAGAGGTTGACTACCTACACACAAAGCCACGAGAAAGGAACAAGGTGGGGTAAAGTTTATTAACGCTCCAATGATCCCAGTACGACTGTTTCTGATGCGCCGTGCGTAATGCTGTTGTCCCAACCTCGACGGATCTCGTTCTTTTTCCCGACCAACAAATTCATGTTGCCTACGGTGACACATGAAAGGCGCATGGTTTTCTTGGAAAGGTGCGAAAGATGATTGATCAGACGCTGACTACAATGGCATCCAATAAGGTTGAGGTAACGCAGAGTACGAACATTACGCAATAGCTGGAGGAGACTGGAATCTGAAAGGAAAATCCAGTTGGACACGTCCAGGTATTCCAGTTTAGGTAAATGTTGACTAATGACGGTGATCGTCTCTTTAGAAACATCGGTCTTTGCGTAGTCCGATTGCAGCCTTTCCAGCAACTCAGAGTACGTGTGATAATCGCTTGTCAATTGCATGGCGCTGAGAAACGAGACAGTGTGCCTTCGTGAATGTCGATGGTCGGCCGAGGACGACTGGGCTGAAAATGCTTCGCGCAGGCGACGAACCAAAACGGGTGTATGCTTGGCGATGTTGAGGTGCGTAATATTTGGACAGTGATGTACGAGAGTTTCTATATCGGAATGTTGGATGGATTTGATCCGAGCCAGGTCCAACCATTGGAGGTGCAGGTGACATGCAACAGCGATTTCGTGTACCGTTTTACCAGTAATACGGTTACATCCATTGAGTTGCAAACGACGCAGGGTCTGACTGGACGCGTGCACCAAACGGATAACGCCCGTATCGGTCACGTTAAAGCATCCGTTGAGCATCAATGTCTCCAGAGATGTGCAGGTTTTTGAAAGGGCCGTTAATCCTTCATCCGTAATATTGTAGCAACGAGCAAGATTGAGGATCCGTAACTTGGGAGCGCATGGAGATTGGCTGAGAACCTGCAGGACTTCGTCAGTGATAAGCCAGGATTGGGCCAAATTTAGAACGGTCAAGTTGGGGCAGTGGATCGCCACTTGGGTGATCAAGCCATCTGACACAAAAGGGCCAGCGTGAGCCAATACAAGCGATCGGATGAATGAACCGTTCTTCCGTACATGGTTCGTAAATACCCTTTTTAGGCATTTCACATGACCCAGGTAACCACAACGTTGTCTCGAGTGCTTGATTATCACTGTACGCCACAAAATGGGCATGATCAGTGTGTACCATCGGCTACACACCTGCGCTCCGCTCGTTAACGTTGCCTTGTCGTGGACGGCCAGGAATTCAAATATCATGATGAGGATTTCATTGGGCACGGTTTGAATATACGAGTGGTTTCCACGACGACGGTGATTGACATGTTTATCAACATAACGGTGGTGTCTCCTCGGCAACACGATTGATTCGTTTATTCTAGACGAGGTGAACGTTGGTTTTGCTGGTGGTTGCCTGAAAAACGACGATAATGCATTGAACATCATTAATTGAACTGTATGACAGATGGAACCATAGAACGACTGCCACCCGTGCAGGGTTGTGGTCATAAACGAAAAGAGCAAATGGTGAAGAGTCGCAACTATGGTTTTCATTGCGCCAGACAGAAAGAGATAAGAACGAGAAAAAGATGAAAGAAAAATAATAATAAAAAACAGTAAGACGGGATCGAGGGTTATCCAAAAGGCTTTCAGGTCCCGATCCAAATTAGGATCTCTGCTGGAGCGCATAGCTGATGAATGAACAATGAGACGAAAACGCCACTGTATTAAAAATTGCAATCCCATGGCGACAATGGTGCCTTTTTTTTTTTTTTTTTTTTATTGCACCTCATTGATGACTCATTGAATTCCCATTGTCACTTTACTGTTGATGAGCTGGAATTGAGTTTTTCGTCTATTCCTTTCTTGAAAGCGGATCATTCACTTATTCATGGTCATTCTTCTGCTGTTATGAGATACGTAAAAAAAAGGCATAGTGCTGATTTGAAAAAAAAAAAAAGTTAAAAGTGGGCTACTGTTATGAGACTTAAAAAAGAAAAGTTAAGTTTGAGGCGATCGATTCCTGTATTCTGAAACAAGGAGATGCATTTGATGTTTTTAAATACGTTTCGACAGGCGAACGTTGATGTTTCATTGGACACTTTGAAGATGCATTTTCTTTATTTCACAAATGTGTAGAGAATAAAAATTCGGATGACTTTGCAATTCACGATTCCATTGATTGAGTAGAACTTTTTAACATACAAAAAGCAAGCGACACAAATAACACCATCAGAACCAATTTGGTATCTTGTTTAGCAGTTGCCATAACTTTATTGCCATTCTTTTTTCGATCATCGACATACAAAAAATGCTCATGTGATTTTGGTGCGGGCGGGGGACTTGGTTCATTGACAGAGTAACTTCTTGACATTTTCTTGCCAGCACCACTTTCCAAGAATGACAGCCTTCACTATCGTCAATGTTCATTCACTTTTTGGCCTTTTTTTTTTTCTCACTTGCATAGTTGCAATCCATTTCTTTCAACGCGCTCTGTGATTTCCCCTTATATTTTCTTTTTGCATCAAACCTAGCACCACAAACCGTTTCGACCTAACAGAAAGTGTGGCGCTGCTGCTCACCATAAGAGATAAAAGTGTCTGCTTTATTGGGGTAAAAAAGATCTGCCTTGAGAAGAGGTGGCCTGGCATCGTTTGCACAGAGTATTGCCAACGTTTGAAATTCCTTGTCAACGACGCATTGCTCCTATTCATCGGGTATGACGATAGGCGGGTATTTCTTTAAAGCAATGTCCATTTCTTCAGGGTACTTTTCTTGAAGCTGGGATTTGATTTTCCTGTGCTCAGTGGTAAGCGACCCATTTTTTATTCGGAATAACATTTTTTGGTTTGATCAAAGTAGTGTACCTTAACTTGGAGAATACGCTATTCAGGTCGTTGCGCATTTCTTTTAGTAGTTTGGTGTGTGCTTCAAAATGTTTATGGACGTTCTGATAACGAGCTTTGCTAAACTCATTGAAGGCTTCAAGTTTCTGCTGTGTGTCCTTGTACATCTGCAAACTAACAAAATGCAAGGCATGGCTTTGTGTCAACAGAATGAAGAGAAATGGAAAGTTAAAAGAATCAGTTTTCCAAGTACCATTGAGCTTGAGTTTCCAAAATCTCGCCTATGGCTTGTTCATTCTTGGCGTGAATCAGCTTTTCCGCAACAGTATGGGATGAAGCCATGCTGTATTATTTCATTGCATGCCGTGAAACGGCAAAAGCGGAGTTGCATGGACGGGATGGCCCTTTTTTTGGGGGGGGGGGTTTACTCAGCCAATCCACAAAAAAATTGATGCATAGTAACGACCTATGTATGCTACATGCTCGCTATTTTGCTATTTCTGCACATGGCACATTATATTCCTTGCAAATCAAATGAACCATGGTTTGGATCTGTCGTAGTTCATCCAAAGTGGCACCGTTGTGTTGTGCACCGTACCATTGCCCGCGTAATTGTTTGGGCAAATTTTCAGCTATCAACGCAGCCACCAACACAAAACTGGTCTCTTTTTCGCCGAGGATTGAAACGTCGGAAAGGATAGGCGCGTAAATGTGGTTGATGGCCGCTTCCGCCAAATCAGGATACGCGTCGGATAAATTGTCGTAGACACGCGTTGCATGACATTCGTAAATCTTGTCAAAGAGCGCTCGGCCTCGTGCACGTTGCTGTAGTACTTGTTCCCACGAACTGACATCTCTAATGCATCTCACACATAAGCGACACACACACACACACACACCCCCTTATAGGCGACTCAAAGTAAGTAAATGCCAACGTTGTTCAGCAATTTACCTAGGGTTTCTGCGAAGTAATGACAATCGGACGTCTCCGGTGACTGCTTGACTCAAGGTACTCAAACTGTTGATGACTTTGGGAAAGCCAACAATAGCGTAACTCTTGTACAGCGCTTCTTGCAGCCGAGTGACTAGCATTTGCTTTTTCTCTAGACGCCAGGTAGCATCTGTATGGGTTTCATCGATGCATTCTTCAGCAAACTTGTAAACTTGAGGAATATCATTGGGTCGATTCAGGGTGCTAACAACGGTGGCCTATAACCCGGGATTCATTTGTCCGTTTAAATTTCAAGCGAACGTTGATTTTATTTTCAGCGATGCTTACAGTAACCAATGGCCAAACATGAACTAGGGATGGGGTAGATAAAGAGAGTTTATAAATCTCTCGTACCGTTTCTAACAACATTTTATAAAAAAAAAGATAGATGGAGAGAAAGAAAAAAAACCAAAATAAAAGAAAAGGAGGCCAATGGTGAATTGGGCCGGAATGCCGAGAAAAAAACATTCTCGCGGGGACAAGTGGCATGATTTTTTAGAAGAGCGACAAAAGGTGGCGGTTACTGTGCAACTTGACCCTGCGCTTCATCGGTTTTGGCAGCAAAATAGGTGTTGGTGGAGTTATATTTTAGTTTGATCCACTCTTCCAGACCCACGAGGTTGTCCGTCTCGCCAAGGCCTTGATTGAGTGACTTTACGAAATCATCGGTTGTCCACGGCTTAACCAGGCCTGCCGTCATTTTATCGAGACTGCGATCCCATGCGACATCATGTTGCAAAAAGTACACCATGCTGTCAATACGTTTCAGCAAGACATCGGGATTCGTTAGTTGATCATTGATTTCTTTGAGAGTTTGCTCGTAGAGAGCCTCCAGGAAAGCGGTGGCTTTGACCTTTTCCCAAAGATAAGAATGCGGTTTACGGTTTGAAGTAAACTCTTGCCAAGTGCCTGTCATTATATAACGCTGATCGGCTTCGAGACCGTTGCCAAAGGTGTAGTCGAAATCCATGGGTACCATGATAAATTGCTTCGTCTGCGGATGGCGATACAACATGAAATTGTTTCCAGCTGCCATGGATAGAGTCAATTGGAAAGACAAATACGACATATAAAGGAAAATCAGAATTGCACTTACAGTAAATCACGGCATCCCAACTACCACCTATCCATTCCAAGGCCATTTGTCGAACATAGCGTACCATGTCAATTTTTGGTTGCCAGACGTTGAGTGCTTGAACGTCGTTGGGTTGTTCACTCGGCTCATACTGGTTGATGAAATCCATGAATTGCAACAAGAACTTCATGGCGGTGCCCTCGCCTTCCGGTCCCTCGGTTTTGACATCGTAGACGCGTTCGTCATACAGACTTTCATCGAATCCTTCGAATTCAAAACTGGCAGAATACTCGCCTTTACCAGCATCGCCTTGAATCATGGCGCCAAGGGTCACCGATGGATCCCCGTCGTGGATGGTTTCGCGAATATAGCTAATGTCATACGGGGTTATTGATGATCCATCGAGTAGCCGTGGTTGTACTTTAGCGAAACTAACCTTTCCGATCCTGCATCGTCCATCAAAAGATAAAGTCCTATGGGCGTGTCGTTCATGTACACCCTGCATCACACCGACATGGTTAGATCGTGACATACAAAAGCACCGATTTTAAAAACTGACCGAACATAGGCCCCACGCGCGGCCAAGACACCAGTGGATTTTAACAAATCACTGTAAATTTTTTCTCGCATCATGGTAGGATCCGTGGCTTCCGAGCGTAGTTTAAGCTCCCAACGACGATGCAAGCCATCTTCGGCGGTGCTGGGAATCTTGATTTTGTATGGTACTTTGGCCCATCCGCGACTCGAATGGCCACCAATCTTGATTTCTACATCCTCGATTTGTTGGATGTTATCATAGCTAAATATTGTCAATTAAATTTTCCGAGCAGCTCCAATCGATCGGTAATTTTGATATATGTATATTTTGAAACGGGAGGATGGAGAAGGATGGCTTACTTGATGTACGTTAACGTTCCAGTGACCTTGATTTTTTGGATTTTGTTCGTATGCATGTTATGCAACTCGTCGTTGGGCGCTTGGAAATGCAGCGTCGCAATTGTGCCTTCATCAAACAGTTTACTGGCTCCTGGATCGGCATTCTTGCTATACGAGCTAAAGTTGTACAGTTGTGGTAATTCGGTCAATTTCAGCTTGTTCCATGGCCGATTGTACACTTCATTGAATGTGCGTTCAGCATGTTGAATGGCGGGACGTTCAAAACTTTCAAAATCGAGAAGTTGGTTCGTTCCATCGTAGACTACGTAACGATAGGGCTCATTGTTGGGGCCAGGACCATGATACAGCATCGGGATATCCGAGTCTGCCTTGAGACCGTAGACATATTCACCAATGGCTACACCTACACTAGCATTCGGTGGTGGGTTCGCCACCACTTGATAGATGACTTGGTGTGCCTGGACAGCTAATGAAATCTTAATCAACTACCGACAATCTCATAGGTCTCTTGTCATTTTCTCTATATTACCTGTGGAAAGCAATGTCCCAAGAAGAACCAAGAGATGCCAATGCATGGAAAGGAAAAAGAAATGAAAATACAAGAAAGCCAAACAATAATAATAAAAATAATAGAGAAATCAAGAAGAAAAAGAACAACTGCCTCAATAAGAGAAAAATTGTCCGCTTTTTCCGCAACGTGTGTTTGATTCTATGTTGTGGTCACTTTTATAATAATGGTATTTGGTATATGAAATCTACCGAAGGACAGATGACAGAGATTAAGAATAAAATGGAAGAAAAATGATATTACATTTGTTTGTTTCCTTATGCATATTTCGAACAAGAGACCTGGGTAAGTTGTTGTGATCGCATCTCCAGAGCCGTGAGTTTGCGACCGTACACACAGCCGGTATCGACACCCTTTGTATATTTCTGCAAATTCAAGCCGCGGCCGGCATCGTGGCCGTAGTAGACATACATGACATTACTGGTGTTGAGCTGGGCACTGTTGAATGCGGTTCCCCAATGCACGCCTTGATCACTGCTGGGATTCGGGACGCCGTCAGCGATATCACGCATATTCATCACAGAATAAGGGTCTTGAGACTCCAAGTCCTTGGTTGGATCCAAACCGCCATGTACTACCACACTGTTGGAAAGCCAAGGAAGGCGCAATATCATAGGGCACGCCGCTAAATAGTTGTACTCCTCTTGCGACATCGCTCTAAAGGAGGTCGGATCATGAAATTATGAAAAAGAAAACATGAAACTTCCAGATCAGCATCTCAGCATAATTTAGAAATCGAAAAGGACTTACAGTGCAATGGCAGCGTGATGATTGGAAAATTTCAAGGGGTCGGCTACCGGACCTTCAGGCATGGTGCCCTTTCCGGACTGCAAAGCGGCCTGACCATTTTGCAATTCAAATGTTTTCAGACGAACCACTTTATCGTCGTGATTGCCGCGGACGCATAATGCGCCCAGTTCTTGGGCGCGTCTGATCACCCCGAGGCTGTCCGGACCTCGGTCCACCAGATCACCGGCGAGAATCAATAAATCGTCCTGCGAGTTGTATTTGATTTGATCCACAAGACTGTTCAATTCGGAAACACACCCATGAATATCGCCAACGACGAAGATGCGCTTCTTATTTTGAATGTCAGGAGAGTCATAGGTGGTCATGCGAGTCAGATTAGCGTATTTTGACACCGCATGCGACCCGCTGTTGGATGCCTGATTGTTATTCTTGTGGTTGGTGACCACCACTGCCACGACAACCACAATAACGATGACAATGACGGCGGTCAAGGCCATGGCAATGATACGCCACATGCGTTTCTCTCGATCCGTTTTGAAGTTTCCAGGTAATTCGTCCAACTCATAAAAGGAATCTTCTCGATAGTCGTAAGGTGGTGGAGGGGTCGAAGGAAACTGTTGTGGCGAAGGTTGAGCTTGACCTTGTAGCGGTGTCGATGGATGATACTGTTGTTGCTGCTCTTGTTGGTTTTGCTGTGGCACACCTAGAGCTGCTGCTGCTGCTGCGGCAGCCTGTGCTTTTCGTTGTTGCTTTTTCAATTGCTTTTTTTTGCCCATGGAAAAGAAGCTATTTTTACAAAATTAAAAAAAAAAAAAGAATCAGACCCAAGGGAAAACCGTATCAGTGCACCCTCAACGGATAAATGGCCCGGTATTTTTTTCCCGATGAATTCATATTTTTCAGCCGGAAAAAAATTCAGGAAATAAAGAATTTGATCTTTTTTTGGCGAGCCGGCCTTGACGAAACGAAACAATGGGATATTTTACTCATTTCCAACTCCCAGTTCACATAAAAAAAAAAAAAAGAAAAAGATTCAAATCAGATAGAGCATGATACACAAGATCCGATCGTTTAAAAAATTGTTTACAATTGCTTTTGTGATCCCATTGTCTCGGTTGTTCCATCTGACAAATCGTGGTTGGCGAAACCCACTGAGTGTGAAAATCCGGGGAGGAAGGGAGATGGCCACCCTGCAACCCTAGTTCCACGCACGACCATGGTCATCGGTCTTTGGATCGTATCCCAAAAAAGGAAAACCCCTTCCATGATGTAGTATGGCGGTGATTCAACGCACTAACGTACAAATACGCATAGACCATTTGGTCTCAAGGTTGGAGAGGAGAATTCCATCAACAATAATTGTGCAATTGCGCTTTGCCCTTGGTTGTCTCTGTCATTAAGTTGGTAATTATTTGTACCGGTTTCCCCTGTTGTCTATATGCGCACCATAGTGATGGGTTTGAAACTAACTGAAACCCGGTGAAAAATTTTAGGCCATGAATTTCTACGATGTGTGCTGGCCGATGGAGACAGTACAACCCACTTTTACCACTCTTCTTCCGATGCCAACACGACGTCTTCGTAGCCTGAGCATCAATTTACCAAACCCCAACTCGCCCACATTACTAAGTCGCAGTTTTGCGAGCCTTAGACGACGCCGCGGGTCTTCCACTTATCCTTCCACGCCCAACGCGAACGACCCAACGACGAACGATCCCAACGTCGACGATCCAAACGCCTTGACCAATGTTCCCACCACGCACACCACAGACTCTGCTGCAGACGTCAACAGCACAACGTCAGTTCCAGAAGTGAGTCAACGCATCCGTCTTGTGCCAAGCGTCGGCCTTTCGTCAAGGACCTTTGTTTTCGATGTCGTTGACCGGGTGCTTCATCCCGGCTCGGTACTCAAGATAGGGCGATACAGTGAAAGAAATACGCTCGACAATCGATTATCTTTCAAGAGCAAAGTTGTCAGTCGCAATCATGCAGAGATGTGGATCGAAGGAGAAAAGGTAAAATTTTCAACTCGGTATTTTTATTCGTACTTCTCGTTGACATGACTCACTTTATATCCTACCTTAGGTACTTATCAAAGACATTGGCTCCTCCAGCGGCACGTTTGTGAACCGTGTACGGCTGGGTCCAGCCAATGTGATGAGCTTACCGCACGTCGTAAAAGACGGTGATATTATCCAACTCGGCGTGGACTATCAGGGAGGGCTGGAACCCATGTACCGAGCGGTGCGTATCAAGGTCGAGCTTAATCGAGAGGAGCAAACGCAAACCAACCACTTCAGTCGTGCAGCATTTCAACAATTGCGCCATCATTTGTTGACCGCGGTGGCGCCCCCCACCACGCATCAGCAACACATGGCATCTTCCTTGGAAGCTCCATCGACATCCATTCCGCACTTGGACGACCATGCAAAAAAGCCCATCAGCATACAAAAAGGGGAACCCATCAACAATGCTACACTGGCCGTTCCCACCAAAAAAATTACGACAGAACTGGCTCGACATGGGTCACCCATCACTGAGGCAGATATACAAGAATGCTGCATATGCCTTTACGCCATTGCACCTTTTCAAGCACTTTTTATCGCTCCGTGTTCCCATATTTTTCACTTCAAATGCCTGCGACCCATTCTCTTTCAAAATTATCCCGGGTTCTCGTGCCCTTTGTGTCGCGGTTATGCGGATCTTGAAGAGTCGGTGGCGGTCGAAATCCACGATGTCATTCAAGCCTTGGGAATATCAGAAAAAACCGATACATCAGAATCAGCGTCTGGACGGCTTCCATCCATCATCACGGCGCCCACAGAAGCAATTGATATGGTCGCGGATGGAGCTCATTCGAGAACTTCGTACAGTTCAGTCTCCGACGAATCGCAACCTTCATCCTCCCGTTTGCATGTAGCTCCCAATGAAACTATCTTCTCTTCGACCCTAGTGGAGACCCCCATGCTGGAAGAGATACCCCGAGATCTCCAAAGACAATCATCAGAATCATCATAGAATCAAAAAATTGTACACATCAATCGCATAGAACAAAACCATACACTCATTTTCATCACATCCCCCGTTCTTGCATTTACAAAACATTGAAAACAGTTGCCATATATGTAAAGATATATATCCGACAATGTGAAATGGTTCAATCTGTGAATCCAAACAATTGCGTTTCCGTGAGATTAAGAGGATATGAACAAAAAAGTAGATGCTAAATGTATGTAGACAATGGGGTGAAAGGACAGGGAAAGAGCCAAAAAGGGTTGCCAAGCTTTTTTTTTTACGATGTTTGGCTACTACTTGTTGGCGGTGCACTCGAGTTTTCTGCAGTCACTGGTGTCGATGGTGTCGCTGATGTCACTGGTGTCGCTGCTGCTACCGCTGCCGCTGCCGCTGCTGTTGACGAGGTAGATGAGACATTGGATAAACGATGCCTTACAAGACTTTCAAAGGAAGCAGCGAGAACTGCACTCTGCTTCTCCAATTCCTTCAGTTCCGGGCCCAACACCGTGTCCAGTTCATCATATTGTTGAACTTTCAAGGTCAACTTGTCAACCAATGTTTTCACCGCCAATCGCGTCCAGTGCTGAATCTCCTGATCTTCATAGCTTGCTAATTTCTCCGCTTGGTCCACGGCTCCTTTTAATGCTGCAAGAGATGCTTGTTTCATTACGGAGGCATCAAAAGCCGACTGGGGCGTTGCTGCTTTGGTACCGTTGGCATCATTGATGTCGTTATTATCGGACGTTTCCGACATCTTGTCGTCCGCATCCACATTGATTTCCTCGCCCTCTTCCTCATTTGTATCTGTCGATTCCAGTTTCTTGCCATGCTTCAAAAATTCCTTCAGAGCCGATTTCGCTGCGGCCGAGCCCACCCCGGGATTGATGTGACCCGATAAAAAGGCGATCAGTGTCATCACAGGATTTGATACGTCGCTGAACGGGAGCTGTTCCATTTCTTGTTCGTTAAGCTGAGCGGTAAGGAACTCATCGTCCATGGGTAACTGCAGAAACTTGGTGACGCATTGTTCTTTCGACCGACTGCCCACGTGTTCCGAGATCATTAACCAGTCTTCATCGTACATGTCAATGCCTTCCAGCAGTCGCAGCACTTCTTCGCGTGACCAATCTTCCTCTTCCAAAGTGTCGGCAGTACTATCGACGCGCAAAAAGTCACCACTAGCCATGGTAGCCGGAAATCGGCCTTGAAGGTAACAGTCAATGCATACTTGAAAGCCTTTGTGTTTAAGATTCTGGTACCGCACGGCGCTGCAATCGACATGACAATGGCTGCATTTAAATACTTTGCGCTGATCAGGGTTCAGTGGATCGTCGATTTCTAAGCTCCACGCACTGCGAGCGTCACGGGGGATGGACGCGTCAAATATAAGATCTCTTAGTCGTTGCATATCAGCGGCGGAGCGGTCCTGGAAATCACGTTGCGATTTGGGCTTGACGGCGGCATCGCAGTCGCTGTCAATGTAAGGATCAAAAATACGTCGTCGAGGATCGACCTAGTGGTGGGTGGTTCCACAAAGAGGAGAAGAGCGCATCAGTAAGATGCTTTCATTCGTTATGAAGAAACAGTAAGTAACCGGTTTTACCTGCGTGTTGATCAAACCATGAAGTTCAAGGAAACTGTGTATCCGTACGATATCGACAAGATCAGCCTCAAGTTCAGCTTTACAAGCAATAATGGAGAGGTAATAGCTTGGGTTTTTGCGGTAATGCTCAATCATATAATTGCGGCATTTCTTGTACTGTTCCGGAGAATGCTGTTTGTCTTGTTGCTCCTCGGTAAAGTACTCTGCCAATGCCATTTTCTCGATATCGTGGATTTCGTTCAAACTAAACCAACTCGGTAGTGATACAATGACAGAATGATAAGGGGAAGCATGGCATAACGATGATATGTCTGATATTATTCGTTCATGAGAAAAAATACTGGCTGACACACATGGTTTTGCTTCCACAGGACTTACCAGTTTTATCAATGGGTTGTGACTCGTCTGCCGCTCCACCGGACGAAGAGGCAGCCTCGTCCAACGATTTTGTCTCGGAGCGATGCTTTGGGTATTCGATATTGGTGTCGATAAACTGAGAAATATTGGTCATATCGCCATTGCTGTAGGGTTCAAATTCGTTTTTACGTTGACGGCTGCCCAGTTGAGGTCGATCGCGTTCGATATCTCTTATCCGTACTGCAGGCTGATGACCAGGATTCAATATTAAGACCGGGGTCGAGCTACTTTGGGATGATTCAAATCCAAATCGGTTCAGGTTACTCGAGGCCGAGAACGAGAGTTTTTGCGGAGGTTGATCCGGCGTTGATTCTGCCTCCTCGGCATCGACCTCGTTTGCTTTTCGTTTGATACCCGATATAACTGCCACGGTATCCGACGACGTCGCCTCTATCATTTCCTCGTCGATCTCTTCCTCAATTTCTTCGTAATCTTCCTCGTTCATGATTTCGTTGAACCTTGCAATATCCTGAAGCCATCGCGCCATGATATGCCATGGGCCGGTATGGTCCGGCGGTTCTTCCGGATCGGCGAATTGCTCTGTCTGAGGCAGCCAGCTGTCGTAGGAATCAGGGTAATACCACCAATGTACCAATACCGTGTTGCCCTTTTTTTCGAGAGTTCGAAACCACTCTTCTTCCAAACCATCATATCGATGAAGAGGTCCATACAATATATGTGTACTCTGTTTCAAGTCGTCCGTTACTTGAACTAAAAAAACGACGTGCATTTTTGATATGAGTACAGGTCGAGGCGATGCGCCAGACAAAAACGGCATCAAACTTACTGTCGATCTTTCGAGCCAGGGCACTGAGTGTCTTGCGCGCAGATTCTGGAAGTGTTTTGGCAAAAGCGATGCATGGCATGGCAAGAATATTCTTGCGCAAGAGGAAATCTCTGATCGTTTGGACAAGCTCAATATATTTCTGCGACTGATTGGCATCGGTGAAATCCCAGCCCTTCCAGCCCTGGGTGACCCGGAAAGTGTAAGCTGCCAAGAGAATCGTGTAAATGGGCGAGTCTTTGGTAAGCGGTGTGTCGGGTTCAAGTTTAAAGAGTTTGGCAGGGATACGTAGAGGAGCATTGGCAAGCCGATCGTGGAAGCCTAGATGGTCTTGCTGAAATCGTTGAAGTTGATATAAGAATAGTGACAGTTCACGAGAATCGAAATCGATGTCGCGCTGCTGTGACCGTAATTCGGCCAGCAAGATTGGTCTAATAGTGTCAAAACATGCAATAATGTCGTCTTGTTCATACAGACTCTGATCAAGCACTGCTCCTTTAGGATTTCTGCCTGCCATGGGAGGACCGCCTTTTGGTTGAGAATAACAGCGCAGAAAAGTCCCCCCAGCCGGATGAATTGGATCAAAAATATTCAAACTCAGTATACATGCGTCACGTGGATTGACGTTGGCCGTAGATCACGTGCATCATCCAAACCAGCACGCTTCTCAGCAACTTTTTGGTTGCCATGACGGTTTTCTGCGTAAGCTTTTTTTTATTTTTCTCCCATATTTCCATGGCCACAAACGCAAATCCTCTTGACCAACTCCAATACTTTGTTGAGATGATTTCAAAGCATCCTCTAATTCATCATGGTAATTTACAAAAGCACCTTTTTAAACATAAATGTCGCGTGTAATAATCTTTTTTATGCAGGCTCTGTTGATAAAAGTCACGAGCAATGGGCATGAGATTGTGGGTTTTGTTTCGATATGAACTTGTTATACATGGGCGTACCTTTACCGTAATTGGTACAAGCGGTCTGGACTGCAGCAGAAATTGGAGCGGGAAGCTGTTCGCGGCCGCGTTACGACGCGCTGGAAGGTAAACATCATTCGAAAATAAGTTTTCAAGTTATTGTGTACTGATCTGCTATCTAACAGCTCAGTATTTTCTTTCATCGCTTGGCTGATCATTTTACGATGCCCCCCAGTCAAGTGGCCACCTTCATTGACTGCGTCCTGTTGCCTGCAATTGGGCTTACAAGCCCTTTTTGCAAGTCAAAATTTCGGGTTAAGCACCCGTACCGACTCGGAGCGCCTCCGTGACCGCCGTGGTCTCATCGTGCCAAAGCCGGTGATGCTTGATAGCACCAACATCCCGCTGCTGATTGAAATAATGCGCATTTGTCAAGATGGCAAACCACAATCCCAATTTGGCGATTTCTTTTTTGACACCTGGTGCGACGGAATCAAAGCCCCGTACAGAGGATCGGTTCAAAACTCACTGGTTGACGTTGACTGGGCCCTGGCAAGTCTAATTTTCTGTCATATGTCATCGGAGTGAATTACTGAGTACAGTTAAACAAAAGGTCGATCCTGCGACTGCGTACATCGATGTGGGTGCCGAAGTATTACCGATCGTCGATTGCCCGCTTGTGGGTGTGCCGATGAACAGCTCCCACAGGGACCTTATTAGTCAACTGTTTGGTTCGGTCAATTCGTCGGCCTATCGACACCGGCATGGTTATCATGGCATCTATCGATCTCATTTTCCCTTCTTTCTAATCCTTATACTACATGTCATAGGCATGACCAATTTCTGCTTTTACAGCACTTGGGGTGGTTTCGCTTCTTACCTAAAAAGCGGAATCCCCAACTCCAGTTAAATTCAAATAAAGAAAAACAGTTTTTAAGATGTATCCTCATTTTAAACCTATTATAAAAATATATGATAAATTTAATAATGATAAAAATAAATACGAAAGATATATTTCTTTTGAATATAATATAAGACAGATTTTTATTGTTGAAATAAAACAAAAGCTTGATCCTTTATTATCGTCTACACTCAACGATCCAATGACGCCGCCATCGTATTAGATACATATTGATCATCCATATCCCTTTTACGACATATACAGGTGTATGGCAAGATCAAGGTCCCCCTTTACAACTATACGACGGGCAAAGATCGGAGCGGCATTATGCTGACACCCGCCCAGATCTTTTCGGGTATTTTCAGTGGTTTTATCGTACGTCATTCGTGATAGCCTTTGTTGATGTGATTCACTGACCAACAGTATATGTTATATAGACGTTCATGAATGAAACGATGGCAGCTTTGCCACGGAAGTCCTTTGGTGTCCAAGTAGAAGTCCGAGTGAACTTAATAATGTTCACGGAGACCGAAGAAGAAATGTTCTCAATCCTGAGGTACGATATATTGCATATACGGTATATCCGATTATGCATACGATGAACTTACGAGTTTTTCTTAGGCGTCATCATCCTCTACTGGCTCCGGCTTACGCCAACTGGCCGAAGATACTCCGACCAATGAGGTCGACATGGTTGCTCCGCCCCCGGTCAGCAATAAGCGTGCACAAGCCCCGTCCTATTCTGCCTCGTCGCTTGGCCCGGACCTTTGCCTCGCCGCGGCTATCTCGAGGAAACAGCCCAATTTGCTGGATTCCATCTTCTGATTTAACCTCTCTTTGGTCGGGTCCGTTCGCTGGTCTCACCTGGGCGGTGGCTCACTTTGAGCCATCGGATACGTCGGATAGACAGCCATATGCTCGTAGAGCACTGCTGTCTGATGTTGCGAATAGCCCTGAAATCGGGAGTCCGTTTACAAAGGAATCGATTGCCGAACTGCAGTGCAAAAACCAGCTGTCTTTGCAGTGAATGGCGGCCACTTCTGATCGAGATCCAGCGTACAGTGTATCTCACGTTCTACCACCGGGTACGCAACGTTTGGACCTGGCAATCCCAATCATACAATGGAGTTCAAATCGATGAAGACGAAATCGTGGAGACTGGGAGCTATTTGTTCAGCGACGGAAGAGTCTTTGATGGAAGCACCAGAGAATCATTCGTGCGTCTCCATGTTTGGGTGGACACCGACAGCACTGCTCGGCACGGCCCTGTTCGACAAGCTCAGAGACGGTATTTCGGTGAGCTGAAGTTTTTCTTCTGCCACAATTTCCATGGCTGCGAGAAATGCTTGCGTTGGTCGAAGTGTTCAAGACCGTGAAAGTAGATGGTTGTTGCTGGCCATATAAGACTGGTGGCTCAAAGCTCGTAATCGTTGATGTCGAGTGTGTTGTTGAGCCTGTAGGCCGAACAAAAAGCTCAGGTACCCGGGAATACCTATATTGGACCAAGAAAAACGAAGAAGTTACCATTGATCATGATTTATTGTACATTGGTTGATAAAAAGTTTTTATGGCATCTTTTTTAAATGCTTTTAAACACTTGTGACATGGATATTCATTTTTTAGAATCGTTTGTGAGCATTGAATTTGCAATATTCAAAAGGTCCGATACTCGAATATTTTTGGGAATACTTTTTTTTCTAAAGGTGTTGAATATCGCATAAGGGAACTATAAGTTGCTTTTGACATGAAAAGAAAGCGGAATTTTATCCATAATTATTAAGGGGAGTGTACAAATTCAAAAATTGCGATCGACCCAATGTAAAATGGTATTAGAGTTTTAGTTGAAAGAAGATCCTTTTATCAATCCAAATCTCGAGCACTTCCGCAGCAAAACCAGTTACGCAACTTCTTTTTCGATTTTTTCGGCTTTTCTCTGGTGGCAGCTTGTTGTTTGGACAGTGTTGGCTGCGAAGATGCAGGTTCTTCTGGTCTCACCTTGGTGGAAGATTTATTCTCTTGCGCTTGTTGTTGCTTGGCAGTCCGTTGCACCGCTTGGTCTGGCTTTTCATTTACTGCCGGGTTTCCTTTCTGCGCATTTTGTATTTCGGTATCGGTTGGCTCGGATAGGTCTTGCTTCACAGGTGCATCATCGTTTTTGATCGGTTGTCCTTCGGGCGTTAACCCCGTTACCACCACTCGCGCCGTTTCTTCTGCTGCACGCGCGCTTGCCACCGCTTTTGGGTTATCCACATGCGCTGATGAAACAGGCTCATCATCTTCGGGTATGCTTGCTGCTGGATTACTTGCATTCACTTCTTTTGTAGCCTTTGGCGCTCCGGCTGTGCCAGCTGCACCCGCCACACCCGCCGCGGCTCCAGCAAGGGCTCCAGTAACACCGGTTTCATTGACCGCCACTGCTTTTTTGGGTTGTTGCATCACTCCTCGTACGGTTTTGCTGGACGCGTCCGGATCAGCACTGGATTTTTCAGACGTTTTTTGCGACGTTCCCTGCAGCGATTTGGTCGACGCGTCTGGATCAGCTCCACTGACGGATGAAGAAGCGGCAGACGACGAACAAATTTGACGACCACGAGCGTAATTTTTCACTATTTTAGCGAATTGTTGGCCCTGATATTTGGCAATATTTAATTCGGCCTCGCTTGGCTGCCTTGACCCGTCCCCATTGGTAATGGTGCCAGCGCCATAGGCCGATCCGCCAATCACTTCGTCATTGCTAAAAAGCGCTTTGCTGGCAAATCCAAATGGAACATACATCATCCCGTGGTGCGCAAGATACGTGATAGCTGTCAATGCCAAGCTCTCGTGACCTCCATGCTGAGAAGCGGTGGAGAAGAATGTACCGGCAAATTTTCCCTGCAGTTCGCCGTTGGCCCAGATCATTCCTGTTGCGTCCAATAGTCTAGAGAGCGTAAAAAACGCGTGACGGTTAGATTGATGGGTGATTGATGAATCACTAATTTTTCTGATCACTTTACGCCTTCATTTGAGCAGGAAATGAACCAAATCGCGTGGGCAAGCCAAAAATCAGTCCATCCGGTTCCACCAGTTGCTGTGAACGGATTACTGGTATGTCGGGTTTCACTGGCGCTTTCATCCTTCGCAATACGTTATCATCGAGTGTCTCTTGCACTTGAAAAATAGTGGCATCGATGCCTTCCGCCACCAGTCCTATCCACGTCGAATTGATGAGTAATATGGGCCAAAAAACGGACTGCTCTTAGTTATTTCATCGGATCATATGAATTTACCTTCACGTACCGCTAAAGATAGCTTGTAGACATGATGGTATAGAGAGTAGATAACAATGTAGACTTTGGGTTTGGAATGATTCATGAGAAAAAAAAAGAAAAAAAAAAGAGGAGAATATTCATATGTTCTACAGATATGGATTCATTTCTTCGATTGCAGAATTTCTATCAACTCTATTTGTGGAAAAGCTCGCTTTGATTTTTCCTCGATTTGTAAGGATTAGAAATCCAGTTGCGGATTTCGAATTTACAACCTTCCAATAAATAGCGTGGAGAATCCTGGCAAAGGCTGGTTTTTTTTTAAAACCTGTTTCACCACCATGTCTGCCGGCAAAGTCTACATCGTCAGCTATTCCGTCTATCATCACGTCCATAAACTCGCTCTTGAGATCCAAAAGGGCCTCCGATCGACAGGTGTCACCACCAAAATGTTCCAAGGTGCGTCATTCTGTACAAAATAGAAATCCTATAAAAGCAAGGAATGACCTCACACATGAATAATTTGATGCTAACTTTTAAATGTCGGCGATTGGGCCTGGTGTTGCACTATTGCAGTCCAGGAAACCTTATCAGATGATGTTCTCAAAATGATCAAGGCGCCACCTAAGCCTGATATTCCTGTCATCAAACCCGAACAACTGGCCGAAGCCGATGGTATCTTGTTTGGTATGCCCACAAGGTATGCATTTTGAAAATGTGGTATTCCAAACATGGCTAAACTAAAAAAATATGTGACAGATTTGGCACCATGCCAGCACAGATGAAAGGGTAAGTGCGTTCCTTTTGTGTCACCGTAGGCCGATCTTGGGATACCGTAGACGGCGTCATCTGACAGAGGCTGACGTGATGATCTTCTGAATTTATTGATACAGCCTCTTGGATGGCACGGGAGGGCTTTGGGCCAAAGGCACACTCCACAGCAAATTTGCAGGCACCTTTTTCAGTACGGCGTCGCAGGTATCTATTTATTGAAAAGCGTCGTTCTGATGATGGAATCAGTTAACTGACAGTGTACTGCTCTAAAATTTAGCATGGCGGTCAAGAAACCACTGCTCTCACTACCGTTACTTATTTTGCTCATCATGGTATGATGTATGTTCCCTTGGGTTTCACCCATCCCAATCTTTCCGACAACAGCGAATTGATTGGTGGTTCGGCCTACGGTGCAGGCACCATCGCCAATGGGGATGGATCAAGACAACCCACAGCCAAAGAACTTGAAATCGCGTATTCTCAAGGGGCTCACTTTGGCGACGTCGTTAGCGCGTACCTTCGTGGAAAGCAAGCCAAGCCCAACTAGATGGACCAATACCGTTGCAGATTTGCTATGTAGATGATGACCGCTTTCAACCGGTGTTTTCTGTATCAATAATAAACTAAAACTTTCCATGATGCACATCCACAGTTCGTGTCTTTTTGTAATTTCAAAAAGTGTTTGCCTTAAGCAGGGATGAGATCGCCTACCCGCAATACATCCATTATCATGATTGAGAACAAAAAATATAATAGTGTGAAAAAAAAGCAAAAAATGAAGATCATGTGTTTAATAAAGTGAAAAAATAAGGCAAAAAAAAGAGGAGAAAATATCTAGTTATGAACCTTCACAGTATCTCGTCCTGCTGTTGATAAACGTTCATTTTGATCCACAAGATTAGCTGCCTTTTCAGCAAATTGCACGGCCAACACCTGGAGACGAGAAGGTTCTACTTGATGAAGCACCACACATTGAGAGACTTGATCCAATGATGCAGCCAGTTCCTCGTTCCAGATGATTTTAGCAATGATGGCCGAAACTCTGGAGACGGGCAAATCAAACATGGTCGACAGTTGCGAAAGACCCAAGGTGGAGTAGTAAGATGCATAGGTGAAAAGATAAGTGCGGAGGCCTTCTTCCTGGATCTTGCGAACAAGCATATCCTTGATTTGCTGGGTTTCCGTCATCAGATCCCAGATTTTGATGGCCAAGATATAATCCTTTGCACGTTCCCATTCACCGGAAGCTAAAGCCTTGGCAGCACTCATGATGTGATCTCGGGTGTTCTCAGGAGGACCCGTGAATGCCTGGCGCTCATTGTAGTCAAGCAATCGGCGGAAAGGCCTGGAAATGAATTTCTTGTTGTTGGGACCGGCTTGAGCCTGAGCAGGGATTTCCAGCAGCATCGAACATGTCAAGAAGACACATTCAAGAAGCTCCAAGTTGATATGCATGTGGAAAGGCAACTGGCGCTGCTTTTCCAATTGATCCGATTCGGGAGTGCTTTGCTGACCGTATCGTGATGCCTGAACACCTTGTGCCAACAATTCCTTGACGCGACCGGAACCTTGAATCTCTTGCAAACTGGCGTGAGCTTCTTTGACCAAACCTTCACGGAAAGCACAAAGACCGATCTGCACCATGGCGCGATTGTACAAGATCTGCGTAGCGATATCGGCCTGGTGAATGGTTTCTTGAAGATGAGACATCAACAACATATCACGTGCGGTGTGGAATTTCTTGTGAAGAGCAAAGTGATAGATGTGGCACAACATGGCACGCGTACGGAAGATGGAAGTGGGCTGGTTGTAAAGATAGGCGCACAATTGATGGATCAACTGCGAAGGCTCCTCGGTGGTAATAATCTTGGAGCTGATATACTTGGGCAAAAGCTCCTTGGCAATACGTTCAGTGGAACGAATCACTTGCTCAGGCTGTATAATATTCCATTTTAGTATGATGTTGCCTCCCCGTCAACCGTATCATCACCACTCTTCCACAAAGAAGAACAAAATATTACCTTGAAGTACAAATGCTCCAATCGTCGAATGACCACTCTGGCAACAGCGTCTTCCATGTTGTACATTTCAGCGTAGGCTTGGGCGCGAACAAGAATAGCATACAACGAAGGTTCATCACGAAGACGATCAATGTAATCCGTGGTGTGGGGATCAATGTTCTGGAGCGATTTGGTGAATTCGTCATCCAAGCGTTCGACAAAGCTGATGATGGAACCGCGAATCTTGATAATTTCGCCTTCGGCAGGCTTTACGTCCTTATCATTGTACTCGTATTCTTCGACATCTTCACGGATCACGAATTGCTTATTGGTTTCAAGGATCTGGAGCAACTGGTTCAACTCCTTTTCAGCGGCCTTCCATGCCTTCAAAGGCATGTAAGCAACATTGCCAAGATTGATATCGAAGCGAGATGAGATGAGAGCGAGAAGGACCGTGATCTTTTGGAAAGGTGAGGTGGCGAGTTCCAAAAGTTCTTCAAGGATAGCGGTTTGTTCTTCACGGTTAGTGTTCTAAAAAAAATTGTGACGTTAGTTTAAAAACGATGACCTACGGAAAAAAGCACTCGTTCGTTCATTTTGTCACCGTTACCTTTTTACCACGAGCTTCCAACACTTCCTTCAAGCGAACAAAGAATTCCTTGCGGGTGGGTTCGACAACAGTTCGTCCACCTCGACCGACGGAAGTAAAGCTGTCCAAATCTTCGGCTGCAACGCTAGCAGTAGCAGTGGCATGGGCGACACTGGGAGAAGCGGCACGAGGAGCAGGAGCTTCCTCTTCCTCTTCAGGTTCCTCCATGAATTGTTCAGGATCCTATATAAAAGACAAATTAAATAAGCTTTGTTCAGGACGGTCCAAGATTTTTTCCACCATGGCTCGACCCACCACGTCACTAAATTTTTTTCTTCCTTTTTACCTTGTTGTAGCTCTGAATCAACTGGTCATATTCTTTGGAGACCTTTCGCAATTTCTGTCTCATAGAGTTCATAGCCTTGTTGTTACCGGCACTCATCTTCTTCTTGGCCGACTTTTCCTTTTGAAGAGTCTCTTGCAAGAGATCCTGAAGTTCGACGGTGACCTTGATGTACCCCTTGGGCACCGCAATCTCATTGAATCCCTGTGTGGCTTTGGCGACGTAGCTGGACAGTTTCTCGTATTCTAAGGATGAACAAACAGCATATCAGCGATGGAAAGGTCGTATAGGGTTAATTCACTATTTTAGCGTACCATTGGCAATCAAGGTCCAATCCTTGTTCTTTTGACCGTTTTCGATGGCTTTGATCGAATTCTGCATTTCCTCAAGACGCTTGTCCTTTTGCGATTTGACTTGTCGTTTGCGCCCGAATTCTTCGTCTGATTCCTCGTCGCTGTCACTTTCGGCGCCCTTCAAGAAACGCGACTTTTGGGGTTGATCATCTTGTTCTTCTTCAAAGTCGGATTCTTCTTCCGACGATAATTCTTCATCGGAAATGAAGGATTCATTATCAGAAGTGTCGGTTTCAGACTCGCTGTCTGATGCAGAACGGAAAAAGCGAGACATGGCTGTGATGTGAGGGAGCTTCTAAGAACAGAAAAAAAAGCTGCGCGTCAACAGAAAAGAAGGGTAAAGGAGCCGGTCAAAACTTTTTTTTTTTTCTTTTTCCCAAGTGACGAGTCGGACAAAACGAACTGTGCCAAACAAAAACTTTTTGAGTCACGTGGTTTATGACTGTTTTTCCAGGAGTGCCTCATTTGGCTTAATCGGTGAATGAAAGCAAAAAGAAAAGTTGGGTGTCACCAAACCTGATCTTGTTGATCCAATTTAGTTATGTAGGGTCAGGCTTCTCAATAGCCTCGAAAGCTAACAAGGTAATCTAAACAAAGGACATGTCGTCCTTTTGATTGCAGTTAAATATGTATACTCGAGTAATAGCACGCAGAAGAAAAAGGGTTACTGGCTTGTGGTTTGACAGCATTTAATCATGTGGTCTACGGTGCAACGCAAATATGAACATATCAAAATATTGCTATAGAAACCGTTGAATCTTATGGAACAAACAATCATCAGTGCGCCGCACTATGTCTTGGTGAAATAAACCAAATGAATTTCTACGGAATAAAATCATATACGGCACCAGATTTTTATAACAAGATGCTCTTTCCATCAGATCAAATCGTACGGTACATCGATGCAAATATCTTGTACGTATTGCTGCCGTTCTGAAGAAGCGTACCGTGAAGGTTTATCAATGAGAGTTCCATTGTTCAATAGCTTGTCATAGGGCATTAGAAAAGTGCGGTCAAAACAATCCAAGGTTCTTGGCTTTTTTTTTCTTCGAATCATCATGCTGCTTTGAAATTTGCGCATTATCACCAGTCACTTCAGCGGAAGCTTTTGGGCTGATATTTCCTGGTTTCTTTTTCCGTCTTGGATTCCATCACGTCAGCATCATGTCACAAATAAGTGATCGTTCACGCGGAAGCAATTGCTCTATCTGTCATGAAGAATTGCTCGTTGATCTTGCAGCACTCCCTTGTCGGCATGTTTACCATTACGAATGGTATGCAGTTCATTTTATCGCTATAGTTAGTGGATGTGTCTGATGGCTAATGGATCGATACAGTATTCTTCAATGGATATCCAGCAGTCGACAGAGCAACCGTTGTCCCATGTGTAATGCTCATACAACTTTATCTCGTGTCTATGGACCACTCTTTGTTTCCTTTGCTCCTCGCACAACGACTGTACAGACAATTCAACAACCAGTACGCATCGAAGAGAATCCAAGTTATCAGGAGAGCATTCAAAATTATAAGAATAACATCGCCATACTATCCAACCGATGCGACGTCAACGCACGCGAAATTGCCACCTTGACCCGTAAACTACGTTACTTTAAAACGCTGAAAGAGTAAGTGACCTTCAGATTCAAACGATCTTGGCACAAGCATCCTCACCTGGAGTATAGAATCCGAGAATACGATGCAGCACTAAGTACGCCTGTAGCGGTCGCCACTATGAATCGGTGGGCTGCACAACAGCCAAGTGAACTGGCTACGGTGCTAGCCGGGTTAAAAGAACGCATGAAAGCTATGGAGACGTAAATATGATTTTACTGGGAGTTTCTGTATTTTAGCTGGTATTCATATATTACATGTTAGTGAGCGCGCCAGTGAACGTCGGTATCTGGACCATGCACGAGCACGCATTCGAACATTGAAGGAGCAGTTGAAAGCATCTCGGCATAATGTAAGCAGCTTATTTTCTTTCGTGCTACTGGATAATATCTAATATTCTGTAATAGCAACAATCGATCGTTGCGGATGCCACAATGAATGGCAAGCGAGGGCACGGCAGCCAAAGTGGAAAGAACGATCCAACCGGTTCACATCACAGGAAGAAGCACAAGCCGCTGGATCCTGCCCACCCTTCCAGCCGATCCAACACCATACCCATTGCAACATCGAGCTTAGATGACAACATTCCCAACGACGCAGACGAAAGTACTGATGATGAAGTCGTTGTTATTCGGCAAAGAACAGATGAGTAAGTGGTCGGGGCGTAACGTATTCATCAAGCCCGATTTAACCGCTCGTACAGGATTCCGCCGCGACCGCGAATAGAACAAAGTAACTCACCCTACGATATCGCTTCCCCCCGCTCCTCACACTTCGAAACACCTGTACAGAATCGATCCTCCTCTGCTGAAACCACCGCCATTCCCGAATCTCCGTTTAATGATGCAGTGACAGAGCCCCCTTTCTCACGATACGAAATGTACGATCGTGATGTGAATGATACCAATTATCCAAGGTATTTCCCTTACTTGTTCATGTGAATTTTTGCGCGTAGTAACCAGTGTGTGTCAGACGACCTTCACTTGGTTCAAGGCGGCGACCAAGACGATCGCTACGAGACAATGGACATGATATTATTGGTACAGTATTTGGAGCAAAGAAAACTGAGGATCAATCATTCATTCATCTAATGACTTGTTTTGGTAGTTTTGTCCGACGATGAATGAATCCAAAACGATCTGTATATAACATTCATTTGAGAGATCTCATCTTCATGTAGAAAACGTTGATATCTCTTGCATCTCTGCTGCAAAAAAGCCTCAGCAAATTCCCCTCCAGCTTGAAAAAAAAGCTATATCCGCTCTTTTTTATCATCTGTATACGATCAGCTTGCATTCGCCAACGGTAACAGTGATACCAGTCCCATACCAATTCCTTGTCCTGTGTAATAAACCGCGATATCCTTGAACATAGCATTTACTTGTACAGTAAAACCAAATCACTTTATGTAGAGCCGTTCTCATTACTCTTTTCCACAGTTTTGGCCATTGTAACATATCATGTCATATTATTTTTTTTATAGGATAAAAAGTGATAACCTACCGAAATACTGTATTTGTCACCGTAATATCTTGGAATCTCAGGTTGATGGTTGCAATGAGGTTGACACTGCTGAAACTTTGGCTCCGGTCGCCGCCAATCTGCAGAAGTTGAAAATAACTGTCACAGTGGGGATGGGTTCTCCGTTGTGTTTTCCCCATGTTGCTGACACCGCAGGCCATGTGGCGTCATGCCAAGACGACGCCATGGAAACCGGGCTGTCGTTGGTTCTTTAGTATACCTAACGTGCTAAGTAATGCCTCGAAAAAACAATATTCGGAGCGCCGAGTCTTGAAGTAAGTGAAGCACATGCTCATATTGATAATCAAGGATTCGTGTTTTTGATTCCCGGACATTTTACAGCTTCTCACAACAAGAGGTTTACAATGTCGTTGCCAATGTCACGGACTATCATCGGTTTGTTCCATTTTGCGTTCATTCTCACGTCTACAGTTCGGACAAAATTCAACAAGGCGAAAATGCTGTGACCGTGATGAAGGCGGAATTGGGCGTTGGTTTCAAACTGTTTGAAGAGAAGTACATGTCCAAAGTCACTTGTGAAGAGCCCAAGCTTGTGAGGGTACGTCAGTATAATGCTGCTTTTTAAGCTTTTATAGAGAATCATAGAGTTGATAACTCCATTTAAACAGGCAGTAGCAGCTGATGCGTCTCTATTCAAAGAAATGGTCACGACATGGAAGTTTCACCCGCACAAAAGTGTACGTAGTGAACGACCGTCTTGCCTTGTCGATTTCCATATTTCCTTTGAATTTGCTTCCCCATTGCATGCCCAAGCTTCAACCGTGTTTTTCGATCAGGTATCGAAAATGATGCTGAAAGCGTTTGTCGAGCGATGCGAGACTGTGTACAATCGGAAAGCAAAAGTTTAAAAAAGATGGTAGATTTTCCTCCCCCATCCTTTCAATAGAAACAAAATACAGCCATAGAAATTCCATAATCATACCTTATTTGTAATAAAGTTTAGATGCAGTTTCAGCATTTCCATTACTTGCCATTACATATTTAAGGAAGTCTTGCTAATTTTATTCGGACATTTGGAAAAAAGGGGGGTTTTCCTTCTCAATGATGAAAGTAAAAAATATGCATCTGCCGTTGAATTCATGTCATTTGAAACAGCCAAGCAGAGTCAAAAACCCAAAATACAAACCCTTACAAAGGGTTTACCCTCGAATTTTGACAAAATTTGCACCCTCTTCTTCCGGAAGTTTCTCGAAATCTCAGCGAACTAATGGATATCAGTGCGGTACCATGGCACATAGACAAAGTTGATATCGCGGCCTTGGTGATGACCGGTGCTGTGATCGCTATGTCCCTCGAGGTGGCCTTTCGAAGCGCCATTGATAAATTGGACAAGACGCTCGATATCCGTATCGCCAAAGTCATCATGGGCTTGACGTTGTGCGCCAAAAACCTCGTTTTCGCAACGTTGCATGAGTACGAGCTTCAACAATAACCGTGATACCATGATATCTCATAAATTCAAAAAGTTTAGGTCGGGGCTGCAGGGTTGCTGGGAAACTGGCGGACATGTTTTACCATATATCCGTCTTGGCGGGTTCGTACGTACTGTTCCGTCGGGTGGACGCTATTGTTCCCATCCACTTGAAACACCGTTTCTTTCACCTTCATATTGCGATCCTCATACTGCGCGCGATACTTTCCGTTGTCGACATCGTACTAGTGCAAGTCGGCCATAATACACAGGGTGTATGTGTTTACACAGGCAATTATTATGTAAGCGAACCACTCCATTATGAAGCGACAATTGAGTCTTTTTTACGAATCCCGAAAGTAGTGGAGTCCATTGTACACCATTGTCGATATGTTGATCGACATGTACGTGACGTTCATGATCATCTTTATTTTGGTTCGACATATCCGTCTCTTAATGGCAGCAGACGTGCCATCAAGCATTAGTCTCTATTTCGCCGTCATATACAACAATAGCATCCGAACGTTCCTTCTCACCATTGTCAGCCTTTTCTCTGCAGTCTTTCTGCTCTTGGTATTAACAGCATACACAATGAGCGCTATTTCATCAAAGATACTCACTCGTTAATCTAGAGAGACCCTGATGACGCGGTGAAGCTTATATGGGCGGTTATCAATCTTTTCTTTGTAATTCTCATAGGTTACGATGCCGATGTTACGAAAGGAATTCGTCGATTACAGAGATTTCATTGGCGTAACTTGGTGGTATTGGAACGGCACCGAGAAAGTGCGGCTACGAGAGAAATGCGGGACTGTAATGAAATGCTGCGTAATACTCAAGGTGACATTCAGCATGATTGCAGGTTGAAGCAGCAAAGTAATCGAGGCTTGAGCTGGTACAGCGATCCTTCTCTACATGATATCGAAAGCTTGGAAGATCAAAGCCATCATGGGCAACGGCGACCGTCATCCATATTCACAGATTTCAAGCAGGATAATGAAGACGCATGAGCGTAATATATACCACAATCCAATAATGATTTGTATTTCACCATTTCCATTTTTGTGAATAAATCAAGAGAGACCCGAAAATGGCAAGGAAATCCTTATTGGCTGATTCAGCAGGATAAGCATCATTACGCGTCCGAAATATTTGGACTGTTTCTTGCATAAGTATTCTCGATACGTACGAACAAAAATTACAGGTCAACGTCTTTTTCATCACTAGTCTTTATTCACAGCAGAAAACTTGATCAATGGCAGCCAACGAATTGCAGCTTCTCGGTAATTGTGTGTCAATAACCTAGTGTCAGCCGGTCTTGCTAAGCAACCCCTAGAGAATGTCGAGCTGAAGTTGGCAATGTGCAACACCGAAGCTCAGCTGGAACGAACACTGGGTTTGTTCTTGACGCCTGTCCTGCTGAAGCTATCAAGCCCACATGAAGCAACGAGACAAAAAGTGCGTACTCAAAGAAATACTACTTAGGCCCACTAGATTTGACTGAATCTATTGATCGATTGCAAAAAACTGTAGGTGATGGACATTCTATCCCACGTCAATAAGCGAATCAAAATGACTACTTCCGTCAAGTTGCCGTTTGAAGCCTTGCTTGCTCAGTATAACGATGACAAAGTATCTGCTTTTGTAAAGAACTTTACGCTGATATACCTCGAGATGGCGGTTGGACGTTTAACCCCTGAGGAAACATCGATTCACACCCCGAGCTTTTTATGTGGCATCAGCCGTCGATCCAATCCTCAGACAATAACCTTGTTGCATATCGTCCTACCTGTAAGGCATCCCACTAGCATTGTTGTTCCCAAATACGACTTGTCTTTAATCAATCATTGATAGATTCTGGGCAAATGGAGTAAAGATAACGCAGATAAAGCATCAAGCCGTCAACAGATTTTCCACTTTGATGACCATCCTCAAGATGTGGCTGTGATATTGAATTTTTTCCTCAATGTATTACTGTATCAACCTCCGTCCCAGCGCATGATGCAGCAAGCTCAAGAATCTAATGACGCTTCGCCCCAATACCCGGGGCTCAGCCCATCAGCAGTAGAGGAGATCACCAACAAAGGGAAAATTACATGGACTTCTTCACGGTTAACAGATGCCAAAGTGAGACAAAACTTCGTTGCCATGCCTGGTACATTATTGACCAACTATTTGTCTTTACTATAGTTGGCGATTCTCCAATTTTTGATGACGTCCGTTTTCACAGATGATGAGCGATTACGACTATTTATTATTGGCGTCTGTGATCCTAATCACCAGGTGGTCTCTACAAGCGAAGACGGACTGCGACGATGGGCTAATAATGCGAATTTGGAGGAAGCAGCGGTTATTCAACCCCTTTATGCTCTTTATTTAGGCTCCACATCCAAGACATCTGCCGGTAAATTCTGAGCACTGTTGCTAAAATTCATTCTTCGTTTTCTAATATCTCAACACCAAAAGCAAAAGATGCTCGAGCTCCGGCCTCAAACGCGGTTAAACTACGAATTTTGCAGTATCTTAACAAGTCCGTCGCCGCTTGCAACATGGTATCGCATATGATCCAAGTGGTGTTTGATGGAATCTACGGTAAATTTATAAATGAAATGATAATTGGCTAGTGTCACTCCTCATTCATCATCGTAATAGGCGAGCGCTCTACCTCCAAATTGCGTCGAGCTTCCTTGTCATTTTTGCAATGGGTGGCGCGCATGGTATGCCGATTTCTGAGTGCACGGAACTTATAAGAGGTCATTCATCTGAAATTTTTTAGAGCAAGGAATCCAGTATTGCTCCGGTAGCACCTATTGTCGTCTCTGGTTTGATAAAGTATATCAATGAAAATGCATCCTCCAACGTTTCTAGTAAGTATAGCATTATCTTCTCAATACATTGCTGAGAACTCTAATTGAGTGATAAAATAGATGAAGAAAGTAACGTTGGCTATGCGTATATTGCGTGTGGATTGATTCTCAAGAAAGGTAACACATCCACCATTGTAGCATACCAGAAAATAGGCTCAAGGAACAACCCCCCCCATTTGTGTAGTGCCCAAACTTGCATTAGAAGATATGAGTATCTTGTCGCTTTTCTTTGAAAACTTGGAACGAGAGCACCCGAATACTCGGTCTTATATTCAGGATGCTCTATCCTCCATGATTGAAATCTTTGTGGATCAACCCGAAGTTGGGGCTCATGATGACGAGTTGAAGGATATTATTCTAACAGCAGTGCAAAAGGTAGGCTGTCATATCGTCTTGTCACTGGGAACCCCTCCTCACGACTGTACATAGAATAATCCAAGTAGTCGTTATTTGGCACTCAAGTATTCAAATGCCATCTATCCATTCGCTTCCGTGTTTGCTCGTTATGTGTGCTTACTGGGTCACTCCTCCACTGTCAACAAATTGGAAGTAAAGGAAGAAGCCAGTCGCGGTCTGATTCCTTTCAAACGTAGCCATACGGGACTGCTATCGACAATGGAAAGTATCGTTCCTACGAGTGCTATGCCTTCCTTCATCGATCTCGTCAATTACATTTCCGAACACCGACCCAACGAGCAATACATTTTAGAATCCAAGACACCGGTCATCAAGGGTTATCCCATTGAAGTCTATACGGAGATTCTGAGCTTTTTGCGAATGATTCTTGTCCTGGAAGCCAATCCAGAAAATATCACGATTGATCAATACATGCAAGACAAGGTCGAGAATAGCATGGCTGAAGATCCCGTTGTTATGGCCAATTTTGGAGATATGATTTCCACATGGTGGACTGCCGGAGAGGAAAGTCAAAGAAAAGGAATCGAAGTATGGTTGCGCCTGATAGAAAACGCATTGGACCCGCATTTGAAAGGTATGTGAACCCCCCGGCAGTGTATCACTGACTCCGAGTCGACAATTAACGCTATTGAAATAGACCCTGTTTTGGTAGCCACGGCATCTAAATGTCTGTTGGAAATCATTTCGCTGGGTCCAACCTCCTTGTCGACCACATTCAAGCCACGGTTGAACATATTCAAAAACTATGCGCTTTCAAACAAGGAAGAAGCTCGCCAATTGATGTCCCACATTTTCGGTATCATTGCCAGCGACGAAAGTATTCCCCAAGATGAGGTCGAAAGTCTCCTCTCGGAATTCTGCGACATTTTGCAACATGCTCAATCCAAGCAGAACGCCAGCACCAATTTCGAACAGCAGCATGGATCCATTTTGGCTATCGGGTACCTACTAGGACGATGTATCTACCGAGCTCGTAGTGTTTCTATCGATGTCGAGCGGCGATGTATTGAGCAGCTGACGTTACAACTCGAGGGCAATCCTGGCACAACCTTTTACTCCCTGGCCGCTGCCGCCTGTCACGCGCTGAGCGAGATTGGCCGCGTCAAGCCATTACCCTTCCCTATACAGAACGAATCGATTGGCGAAAAACGCGAAGCAAACAGCATGGACGTGGACGGTGCAGAAGGACTAACGGTTCAAATGGTGGTTGAAAAACTGGCCAAACTGGCCAAGTCCTGCAAGGACAGCAAAGTTCAAGACAAGGCTGTTCTTGCCTTGAGTCATCTCAGTATCCCGTACAGAGAGAACAGCAGTTTGCAATCCACCGTTACTGATTCTATATTTGCTGTTGCGGATTCGAAACAAGTCGATCTTTATTTCGCAGGCGGAGAAGCGTGGTCTGTCCTAGCATTTGGATGGAAATCCCAAGCGATGAGAAAATACAAGGATATTAAAGAGGCGGCCGCGCTTAACGAAATCGTTGGGAAGGACACAGCCACACCAACGGAGGAGATGCAGAAAACTCTGGAGAAGATTGTCAAGAATTATGTCGTTAGCGATCGTTCATGGTACCGTCAAGCTTCCTGTATATGGCTGCTCTCTCTGCTGAAGTTTGGAAAGGAGCAACCACTGATCAAGGTAAGCGGACAATGCATTTTGATCCGTTACAATTGGGTTGTTAAACGACTTCAATAGACAAATTTGGGCACAATCCACGCTTCCTTCTCGCGTTTATTAGCAGACCGCGACGGTATGACAGACGCACCTACGCTGAAAATTTCAAAAAGCTCAACACAACTGTTTTTTTTTTCTTTTTTCTTATCTGTAGAATTCACACAAGAAGTTGCATCCAAGGGTCTTGGTTTGGTCTATGAATACGGTGATGCTAAAATCAAGGAAGACATGCTGTTCTCGCTGGTGGGCACATTCACTGAAGGTCGAAGCACCCAACCACAATCAGTGACCGAGAATACTGTGCTGTTTGAAGAGGGGGCTCTTGGTACCACTCCCGATGGAAACTCAATCACTACTTACAAGGAACTGTGCTCTTTGGCTTCTGAGCTTAATCAACCGGATCTTATCTACAAGTTCATGAATCTTGCCAACCATAACGCTTTGTGGACATCTCGACGAGGGGCTGCTTTTGGTTTCCAGAATCTGATGGCTTTAGCCGAGAAAGAAATGGAAGCCCATCTATCCCGCCTGATTCCGAAGCTTTACAGATATCAATTTGATCCGAACCCACGAGTAAACCAAAGCATGAAGGCGATCTGGCAATCACTGGTGAAAGATTCGCAGAAGACGGTGGACACGTATTTTGACCAGATCATGGAGGATATTCTCGCCGGTTTGGGTAACAGACAGTGGCGTATTCGTGAAGCTTCCTGCATTGCTGTAACGGATCTCGTGCAGGGCCGCCAATTGTCTCAAATTGAGCCCTATTTGGAGCAGCTTTGGTGCATGTGTTTCCGAACGCTCGACGATATCAAAGGTTCCGTTCGGCAGGCGGCGACACAAACATGCCGTCAGTTAACTAAGTTGACGGTTCATTATTGTGATCCCAACATTGTCTCCAGTGGTGACGGAGCCAAGGTGATGGCTATCGTGATGCCCTTTTTACTGCAAAAAGGCATCGTGTCCGATGCTGAGGACGTACAGAAGTTTAGTCTGGATGCTATTCTTCGTGTCTGCAAATCTGGCGCCAAACTTTTGAAGCCATACATTCCGGATCTTATTGACAGTTTGCTCCAATCGCTTTCCTGTAAGTAGACCTTGTCGCTGTGGTTATCCTTGGTTTCGATACTAATCCGTCATGATTCTTTTTTAATACAGCGCTGGAGCCGCAGGCCATGAATTATCTCAGCTTCCATGTGGACAAATACAATATTTCCCAAGAACAGGTAATACGGTTGACGTCCTTGAAAATACGGCGATGGAACTGATGGATATCGCATAGTTGGATAATGCGCGCTTAAACGGGGCCAAGAATTCCCCCATGATGGAAGGAATTGAACATTGTGTGAACCAAATCGATCAAGATGTCATGCAAGTATTAGCTCCTCGTCTTATCCAGATCATCAAAAAAGGAACGGGCCTTCCAACCAAAGCTGGCTGTGCTCGCTTTATCGTCACCTTGGTGATGAACCGTCGAGCCGTCGTCGAACTTTATGCCGATTCGATTTTGAAAGCATTGAGCGGTGCTATCCGTTCCAAGAATCCAGTGGTGCGTAAATCCTATGCTACCGCGGTGGGATATATTTGCCAACTTGCGACCTATGATCGTCTCATTTCCCTTATTAAGCATCTTAAAAAGCTGTATATTGAAGAAGAAGGTAAGGAACATTTTTTATTTTGGGATCGCGCTGATAGCTTATCACCGGCATGTTTGCTTCCTATAGACGAAGATTCCCACGTGGCAAGTGCTGTTACTTGTGTGGAAATTACACGTTTCGCTACGGATCGAACCAAAGCCGTGGCTTCAGAAATTGTTCCTTTATTATTCTATGGCGAGCATGATCCTGAGGAGAATTTCAACAAACTCTGGAAAGATGCATGGGAGAACATGACAGCGGGTAAAAAAAAAAGAGGCAGTTCAGTAGCATGATAGATATCTCATCCAATGAAAATAGGTACCCGCAGTATGGTTACCATGTATGCAGATGAAATTCTCCAATTTGTCCAGCCTTTGCTCTCATCCGCATCTTGGAAAGTAAAGCAAACCGCTGCTTTAACCGTTGCCGACATGTGCAAATCAGGAGGCAAGAGCGTTGCTAAGCATGTCGAAAAACTGATGCCTATCATGATCACTACGCTTGCCACTCGCTCATGGGCAGGTAAAGAACATGTCCTGGACGCGTTTGTTCAATTGTGTATATCAGCCTCCGATTATTTTGACTCACACAAGAAGCCGTCGCTTGCTGACGTTGCTAAGGTACGTAATGTCTATTTCATGTATGTTACATTTCCCCTAAACTAGTTACATTGCAGATCATGATACGCGAAGCGAAGCGCAAGAATCGCACGTATCAGCGGCATGCCCTGGTATCACTTTATAATTTCCTGAACGCATTTGGCGAAAAAATTGATATCTATGATCAAATTGAAGATTTCTTGGTGGAGCTGTGTGAAATGGATGAAAATGAAGCCATGGAAGACGAGGACAACGATAATGCCAAACCATTGTTGTTGATGGTGAAAGCCAATGCATTTAATGCTATCGTAGCAGGCTTCCGACCAAAGGTGTTTGAAGGACAAGGTACAGTTACAACGTGATGCGTTTATTAAGCAGAACAATGACTCATTCGGTTCCCGCAGCCCAACACAGTGATCCATTGAGCCAGATGTTGACGGGCTGTCTCCCGACCAATGTTTGGAATGTGCAATTGGCGATTTTGAATAGCCTGAAAATATTCATCGAACACAGCGCCACCTCATCCTTACAAGAGAAGCCGATCCGGCAGCGTATATTACAGAGCTCCATCCACTGCTTGGCACAGATGAAGTATACTGCTATTCGTGCAGCGGCCATTGAAGTCCTTGAAGCGGCTGTAGCCGGCGGCATGGGTAAGCGTAATATTAAGGACCATCACTGTGTATTCATGTAGCTGATGTTCTGCTGTCCTGTAGTCCAAGACGATGAAAAGACCTTTTTGCAAGCCAGTCTTTCCTCCAGCCATGAGCGGGAGACGGTGGCAGCTCTCAAAGAGCGATTACAGAAACTTAAACAGGCTATTGTGTAAAATTTCGAAATAAACGAACTGTATGTATTTGATCATTCCATGTTATTTTATGTAAACAGTTATTGCGCACTCTTTGCAATTTCATCTTGATATTCCCAGTGCAGTGCACCGACATCGTGATTGCCGTGAAATTCCCAACCGCCTTCAGTGACGTGATATACTAAACACCAGAAATAAATCCTCATTAGCATGTTGAGCCGCCGATCCACACCAACTATTTAACTTACAATTGACGGAACCACCGGACATGGCATCACGATGTGTTGCATGATAGATAGATCGTTTGCCAAGTTCTAATGCGTCGGCCACACTCAAGTCAAAGTCATAACCGCTGTCCAGCACACCGTAAGCAAATGTCGAACCAGAGCCTACAGAGAATCTCTCGCCCTTCAATCGCTGACCGTCCGAGTCCACATAGAAAAGGTTGGGACCCTACCATGTCGTTTAATGCTTGCATCTACCGGATTCATATTTCCCACCATAAACACTTACTGATTTATCCCATCCTGTGACCATTGTTCCCTAAACGACCTGGTGTTACAACAGAACGTTATTGCTATTACATGTATGTCTGTTACTTACCATCGACAAACCCATGCCCTTGTATGCATATACCATATTGGCCAACATCTTTGACGCAGCAGCCACGGAAATACGTTCTTTGTTTCTCAGTTCGTATAAACGTGCACGTCTGCCCAACTCTCGCTCCCAGTACTGACAATCTGCGGCACCACCGGCCAAAGTGCCAAGTAAGAATCGGTTGATTTCAATGACCTTCTTCACCGTTTGTGATGCTGCACAAAAAATTGCAAGTTTAGAATACAAAGATTATATGAAGCAAATTTCCCTAGTCTTTTACCGATATAGTTGCCCATGGTAGCTCTGGAGTCAACCGCTACGACCACACCGCCCTGGAATTTGAAAGCCAATGTGGTTGTACCGTGCTGAATCTTGATTCTGTAATCGGGCGAATTCTCGTCCGTAACACTTCGTAAGAAATCGACAGGCTAGAAATGAACAAGGTCAATTAGGTCCATCCACCGAGATGCAAGCAACATGAGGGAACCTACATTATGGACGGCGGGAATATCAAAGGTAGGATAGGCAAGATCTTGTGCCGCATCCCATTTTCCGCAAACGGTACCAAAGTCGCGTTCTTGCGGTAAATGCAAAGGAGACGTCGAATATTTTTGGACAAAGCGATGCATGTGGAAAGGTACGAAAAGCGTTTGGATTGCTGCAGTCGGCTATGAGTCCTTCTTTTTTGATAAGTTTCTGTGCCCGAAATCGGGACACGCGTCTCCTACGTCATCTATTCTCAATCACGTGACTCTGAAGCTGACTGACCAACCGGCCTCTCCACGCATGAATATCACTTTGGATTCTCTATTTCGTATTCTTTGAACTATCTTGAAAGTACTTTTTTTTCTTTGGCAAGGGGTGGGTAATATGTAATGGTGTATACGATAATATGAATTGAAGGTGGAAATTCAAATATCTCTTTTTTGTATTGCTACCTTCGAAATTGTACTCTGCTCTCTAGCTTATACTTGAAGGAGGAGACTAAAGCCAGTAAAACTAGCTAGGCATCCAAATGGTAACGACTATCAACATAAACAGAAGGCAATAACTAGAGATGATACCTGCTGAGTATGTTATATGAATTTTTCATTTGCGTAGCAACGCCGTCCGCGCGTTAGTGATAGGTATCTGGAGCAACTACGATGCTATCCAGATATAACACAGAGTAATATATACGTGCAGATATTATCTTTATCCTCTGCAGTATATGATAGGTTATTATCTTATATCGATCATTCTTCATCGATTGCAAGCCTCAGAAGCCTAATTCACATAATCGGCTGTTACGTCATAAAGGGTTGCCGTTTCCTCAAAAAAGTCCGCCTTTGGACTGTGCCCATACTGGAAATCCAAAATTTCCATATGCTTTTTACAGACGATGCTATTCTCCTTTCATGGCGACGCGAAGCCGGACTTTATTATTTCTACAATATAGAAACTCTTATGCGAGGACACAAATCTCGGCACCTCACTTTACGAGCGGCAACTCCGAGACGGAAGGTCTTATCGAAAGCTCAGACAATGTGATTGAGATGTCGGCATTGCCTCCCAAATGGTATCTATGGTTATTGATGGTTTCTCTGCAACAATTTATTCAGTGGTTATTCTTAGGGTTGATATTGTGGATGAAGTCGATGATGCTTTGGATGCCATCAAGGGAAAAAGTAAGAGAACAGAAGTTGGATGTGCGATAGGAACACAGACTGATATTAACGGTTTATTGTAGTCTCGCAATTAGAAGGCATGCATAGAAAGCATTTGTTACCTGGATTCGATGACCGATCATCAGATGAAGAAGCTATCGAACGGATGACCTCGGAAATCACTTCGGTAAGGAAAAAAACTAGCAAAAAGTTGTCTTGATGCTACTACTATTGAACTTTTTTTTTCTTGTCGCGTTTAAAGGAATTTTATCGCATAAAACGAGATATCCAGCGCATAGAACCTGAGAATCAGCAAGGGGAACAAGATGTGGCTTTGGCTAAAAATATACAAATCAGCCTTGCGACCAAAGTACAGGAGCTATCTTCATCATTTAGAAAACAGCAATCCTCCTATCTGAAAAGTAAGGTTACCAGTGAAGTGATCAACCATGTGGGATCACAATTACTAAGGGAAAAAAAAAAAAAAAAAAAAAAAAAACTCCCCGATCCGTATTAGAAATACAAGGTCAAGAAAACAAAAAGGCCAACATTCTAGGGTTGGAATCGGACTTGAGTAACGAAGCAGCGGATTTACTGTTGGATGAAGACGCTCAAGTGGTAAGTACATTCATGGCCCATGATAGAAATAAAGAGGAAAGATGGCTGACCAGCTGCTGAATAATAGGGTTTTACCGAGTCGCAACTTGCTGTATTGGAATCCAACGAGGCGGTGATTGATCAACGAGAACGAGAAGTCAATCAAATTGCCAAGTCAATACATCAATTAGCCGAGATATTCAGAGACCTTCAGACACTCGTTATTGATCAAGGAACGCTACTGGATCGAATTGATTTCAACATTGAACAAACAAATATACAAGTAAAGCATGCCGTTGTGGAACTTGACAAAGTAAGTGTGAACAGGTAGTTGTGGAGGAGTCGAAAATATGGTGATGAGACTTATTCAACATTGGCAATAGGGTTCAAGATACCAAAGAAAGACCCGAAATCGAAAAATCATGTTACTGCTTATCCTCCTTATTATGCTACTGATCGTTATTCTCATTGTCAAGCCCAAGAAGCATTAATTTTTACACATCCTTTTCTGCCTTTTGCCCCCTTCCCACTCCCTTTCTCTTGCACATATCGAACATCCTTTAAGAGTTTTCTAATTTTTTTGCATCCTAACGAACTATCCCCCATCAAAATGTACATGTATCTACTGTCAGCGACGTTTATTTTGGCGTAATTAAAAGAAGCTGGCACTGTCCTGCTCGTAGTGTTACACTGTAGGTTCCGGTGTAGGTCCCCATTTGTTCTCCTGCCCATACATCTTTGATTTCAGCTGTCTCAATACCCATATCCGACAATTTGAACTTGATTTCGCGACTGATTCCGAGGAAGAAGGGATATACATGCGTATTGAATAATCCACAAGCGATTCGACCGTCGGCGAGTCGTTTCCACCAGATTTGTTTTCGGTTCAACCATGCATTTCCGGACCCAATAGGTTTGGCCATAATACCGCTTTGATGGATCATGAGCATCTCCGGATGATTGAACCAATGTAAATACTTGTCAGGAATCATGCGTGGGTCGGCGCCAATACAGAATACGGAGCTGACCAGCGCCCAGAAACTGATGTAGGATAACCGGACGTCATCGTTGTCCAGTCCATCTATACATTTCCCATTGACAACCATACCAACCAGTACCACGTCGAGATCGATGTAAAATCCGTTGTGCACTCCAACGTCATCAAGTTCGGCCCATCGTGAGGCGTAAGTCACCCGTTGAAACACCCGGTGAGATGAAGTCATTGTTTTTGTTGAATAGGACTCGATATCAATGAAGACACGGGCGCCATTGGAGATTTTGACCCAGTCAGAAATATAACTGGGATCCATGTACCATGAGAGCTGCATCCATATATTGCGTTTTCTGAAAGCTTGTCCCATCATGCGGAGACATTCTCGATTATCGGGGGATTGGTAAGGGTAGAATTGGTCGCCACCTCCGGGTCCACATCCGTCCACTTTAACAAAGGAGATGCCCCATTCCGCAAATAATTCAGCCATGGAATCATAATACATCTGAACCAATTCGTTGTGTTCATCCGGCATATACGTGGTGCCTTTAAATCCATTGCCTTCCAGTTTTCGAGTCGTCAGTTCCTTTAAATAATGTGTTGTGCCTTTGATCTTGGCATTGTTCTCCACAGCTTCTTTGCGAATCCCAGGCAGAATGTATATCCCCAGTTTATGTCCGTTTTTCGCCAAGTGGTCTGATAGATAACGTAAACCGTTGGGGAAAAGGTCTCTTCGGTATGACCAACGACCAAATTCGTCCACTGTGTCACTCCTGTCACGCCATCAATACCACATCAACAGTTGATCCTTTTCTAAAATATTTGATTTGCTCTTTTTTTTTGGAATTTTCGTTGTACTGCACGTACCATCCGGAATCCATATTGATGTATTCATATTGGGGCATCTTGCTTTTCATGGTGTCTGAAAGGTCACAGATAACTTGTTCACTGAACCTGGGAATAAATTCAGTCAAAAGTTCAAGCACTCATGATGGTTGACTGGAGGAACCAGTAATTACCATGGATTAATGTGCTTTCCTCCGTAACCCGGTACATTATCGAGAATTTGAGTTGACCATGTGGAGAATCCGAGAACAGGTTTCTGGGCCCACTTTGGCACGCTAGCCACAGTGAGCTTCGCTGAAAGAAATAGTGCCTCCAAAAAACTAACCTCTGCTTATTCTCTATACTTGCCATCATTGGGATGTTCCGGTGAAGGAATAAAATTGGACAAGCAACGGTGAGCCCCTGAAGTAATACGTCATTCGCATGTTTCTCACACTTTTGGCAGTAGAAATCCAAGAAAGTGTCAGCGACTAGACTAAAGGCGGGGTTTCGGAATCCTCACTGCAAACTTCGTTTACGTTGGGCCACGAATGATTGGTTGCGGACAAAGGAAAGCACGGTTGCATTTTTTCTCCAAGGACGATATGGATCCACAACTTAAAAAAAAATGCAGAGAATTCATGGCAGATACACTAGGTACGGCGATTTTGCGGGCTAGATCAATTCTCTTCAAAAATGTGATTGGCGCTGAACCCGTGGAGCGTTCGCAAAAAAATTGGAACAAGTGCTGGGATGCGAAGCCCATCTATATCTCTTCAAATTAGTGAGTATGCTTGTTTTTCAACGTAATCAGCAAACCTTTTATCCTTTTCAAAGCCAACCATAGGCGATGTTTTGGTCGCCATAGTTATCTTGATACGCATTATTTTGTATATTACCTCACGATCGCAAATTCGTCTGTCAATAGGTAATCATCGATATTGTAACGTTTGCGCTTTATCGCAACCTTGCATTCGGAAAATCTTGGCACATGTTTATGCAGCAAGACGCGAACTCGCACAGTAGATGTCCAGAACGTCGTTCCCGTGAGTAATATTTCTATCAAAATTACAGTGGATGCTGAAGCACGACGTTGTATGTGATATACACAGTCTATTGCCATTGAAAAATGCTGCACGGCAAGTGTCTTAATGGTATACAAGCTATGCTTTTTGATTATGCATGGTCTCGATCTGTCATATTGGGGCATACATATGAGCACTATCAATGGCGTTCAAAAAATTTAAAATAACCCTGATTGCATTGGTAAGCTATGCCTTCGCATCAAGAACTAATCTGATTGATGCATCGTGGCTAATCTGTTCTCTTTCTACAGCACAACACAATTATCTATGCAAAATACACTAGCTATGCACCTGGTAATAAAGTTAGGAAGCCCTCGCATACTTCGGCTATTCTGTCCTTTTCATCGCAAGTTTTGCAAAACTTGCGCTTTTCTCTCAAGGCTTCTTAGAACCGGGATTTCGTATAAAAAAGGTCACCTCAACCTTCAGCATTCATCTGTTTTAGTCGATTATGCTTACTGTCACAAAAAACAAGAAAATTTTCCATATTACATATGGTCTATAACACTTGATTCAAGCCTTGTCTGTCTGAATCATGTTTTGTCCATGTTCCTTGGTTTCACCCCATAGTTTTCAAAACCCAGAAATGTGACGGCCAATAAAACTCACCCAGGGGATTTGCTGCCAAAAAATAGGCCTCGTCGTCTGAATTGCTTGCTTCCACCACATCGATCATGTCACATTGTCTTTCCGTATATCGTCAGCTGCTAAGAGAAGTCAATCTTCAGGTATGACTCTGCGAGACTCCGAATATAAAGGAAGTAATTGGACTCAAATTGCCTTTGATATTAGTATACCAAGAACAACAGTCTCTATGCCAATGAATTGAAGGCTGTTTACAAAGCAAACAAAGACATCACCGATCCAGTGCAGATTGACACCCTCAATAGAAATGCTGATGATATTCTCACGTTTTTAAGAAGTTTCCGACAGCACAAGGTACGATCTTTTCTGCTTTTTTTTTCTACGTCCGTAGTTACTCACTCTAGGTTTCGTATCATAGGAACTTCGCGCACGATACTCGGCAATTGTTATGGAACAAAAGAAACAAATGGAAATGACAGCTAAGCGTGTGGGTCTTGAGTTACCAGAGACGTATGATGCTGCTGCTCCAAAGCCCTTGTCTGGATCGACTCCAAAAAAAGATGGCGCTAAAGAAGAGGCTTCCGTCGTTGACCGCATTGCGAATGCCTTCAGTAACAAGCAATAGATTATTCCTACACTCTGTATTATACAAGCAAAAAGTCTCATAAACATCTCTGAATTACATACTAAACACTTGTCCCGGGGGGTTATTCCTTGATTTTGAACAGGAGGACCTGAAGTCGAGGCGTTCGCTCAATCTCAAAGATCAGCGGCGGATTGCATTATTGAACAGTATCTACATGAAATACGTCCATGAACGCAATCAAGAGACATGATAGTAGACCACGCTTTATTCCTTGAAGTTCATTGTCTCGCTCTTTTTGATGATTGTTTTGTTGTTTCCCCTTCGGCATGGCTTTCGGGAGCCGAATGTCACAAAGAGTGTTTCTCCGCCAATGGATAAGTCTCTCGCACGCACGGATGCTCTCTTTTCGTACATACCTTAGGCTTCATAGTGACTATATTTAAATCCTGTCCTCAATTGGATCTCATCAGTCGGATGTAAGCTTTTGTGCTCAAGATCGCCCCATAGCAACGTATTACAAAGGCACTTTTTGAATTAAGACTGGATGCTATGGACGAGAATCCACCCTTGTAAAAAGAAAAAGATCGTATAGCTACTTAAAGACGACTGTGCACAGCGACGCTTGTATGACAGTGAGTGTGCAACGAAGGATAGGCGCAGGGAATTTGGTTCCTTCACAGCATGAACCCAGGTGTGAAATTGACGTCATTTGGATAAAAGGAGCATTGGAGGCCTATTATTTCTATTTCCAGCCATCTGCCGATTAACCTGAACACGTTACTTATTTCCTGTAAATATGGACAAACCACCTGAACTTACGGGTGACGCTTTAGAAGCTATGGCACAGGAACATTTGAGCCGAGTTGCTGATGCTTCAGTTCATACATTTGATCCCAACGCTTCGCCCGAAGCTAAACGTGCAGAAGCGGAAAGTGCCATTCCTGCTGATTTGCTACCGGACCTACACAATCTGCAGCAAAAGCAATCAGGTATTCAGACAGAATTAGCAACGCACGATGCCGCTGACGTCAAGCGAGCCGTTACTGCCGCCGAACAGAAACCCATGGTGCAGCCTATCAACGCCGAAAAGTCATTCAAACGATTGTCAGCTAATTATGCACCGTCGACACCGAGAACGCCGACTCTTGCAACGGCAGCAGAAGACCGTGATCAAGAGATCATGGCAGGATCGTTTATACCTCCTCCTTCATCCCTTATACCCGACTGGTACCAACTCGGGTGGACCTCGTTTTCCACCAGAGCCAATCCAGGCGGCCCAATGCCCCTAAGAGCGACGCAAAGCAAGATGGATGCTCTTGATGAATTGATGCCCAACTTGTTCTATGGTGAATGGTGGCACAACGCAGCTGCGCTTTTTATCACTGCCGTCATGGCCTGGTCGGTCGCAAAAATGGGAGGCGGGCTGGGAACAGTTATTGTGGGTTGTCTCGTCCTCGGTAAGCGGTCTGTCGATCACTCCACGCAGACGTGCATGCAGTTTTAACGGTTGTTATGCAGCTACGTACTATCGCACGAGCGTACGCCGATTCCGAGAAAATGCACGTGATGATATTCAACGTGAATTGGCCAAGATCAAGTTGGAGGCGGATGAGGAACCTGTGGAGTGGATGAACAGCTTTTTGGAAAAGTTTTGGCTCATCTTTGAACCCGTATTGAGTGCCCTGGTTGTGGAGAATCTTGATACCTATCTATCGGATTATCTTCCAAGTTACATTGATTCAATTCGACTTACAACCTTTACATTGGGAACTAAACCCTTTCGTGTGAAAAGTGTGAAAACTTATCTGAATACAGAACCTGACACAGTGGTAAGCATGGATACAAATGGTTTCCTATGATAGAGACGCTTTATTAATAGCTGGTATATATCAGTGTATGGATTGGCGGGTTTCTTTTACCCCGAATGATCTGACGGATGCCGACGCTGAGGAACGAGACCTGCGCGTCAATCCTCGCGTCTTGCTCAGCGTGCGTATGGGTCGAGGTGTCATGACCAAAGCGGCCATTCCTGTCTTGGTGGAAAATATGACCTTCAGCGGCCATATGCGTGTCAAAATCAAATTTGTGAGCCGTTTCCCATACGCTCAAATCCTGGATGTCTGCTTCCTTGAAAAACCCATGTTCGATTATGTGCTCCGACCTTTAAGCCGCGACTCTTTCGGCTTTGATGTTAATGTGGTATGTATGATATGCTGTTTTCACAAAATATCCAATCTTAACAATCGTCCAATGTTCAAACTACTCTTCACAGATTCCAGGATTGCATGGGTTTATTCGTGATCAAGTACATGCTATTCTCGGTCCATTGATGTACGCTCCAAATGTGTTCACATTTGATATTGAGAAGTTCATGGCGGGAGAGTTTGATATCAGTAAGCTTAATCGATTCTGCTCTGTTGGCGATGACAGCCAATCTGATTTTGCGATTTCTTAGCACAAGCCAACGGCATTCTGGCGATCACTGTTTATGCTGCTTCGCAGATAAACCATGTACATGATCTTATCGACGGTTCGCCAAACCCATACCTTCGTTTCTTTCTGGACCATGCCCAAGAACTGGGAAGGACCAATGTTCGCGAGAATACCTTTGTTCCGCAGTGGAATGAAACACGCTTTTTGCTCCTCAACAACCTCAACTCGCAGCTGTCTCTTGAACTCCGTACTCATAATGCCGACGCCAAAGACCGCCGTTTAGCTACAGCACATTTTGACTTGCGAGAATTGGATGATGAAGATAGCCAGCTGCAAGAAGGACTGTAAGTGACATGCATCGTATTCATAAGTTTTATGGAAAATTCATCAGTATTGGACAGCGATCTTGTTTTGTTACGTGATGGCAAGGCTGTAAGTGATGTCAGGGTCGATCTTCGCTATTTACCAGTATCCAAGCCCATGAAGAGAATGGATGGCACAATCGAACCAGCTGTTGAATCCAGTAAGTCCTGATTGGAAAGAGTGGATTGGAATAATCCGTTAATTTTCTTCATTTGCAAATAGACTCTGGTATCCTTCGATTGATTGTGCATGAGTGCCGTGGGTTAGGTACAGCCAGATTGACAACGCGCGTGCATGTCATTGTCAACGGCACAGAAAAGTTCAAAACTGCAACGGTCAAGCGTACATCAGCACCCCATTACGAAACGCCTGGTGAAATGGTGGTCTTGGATAAAACAGAAGTCTATATCCGTATCGAACTTCAAGAATGTTCCGGTAAAGAAGAGGTCGTGCTGGGCGTATGGACAAGTTATTTGTTGGATATGATGAAGCAACAAGAAGAAAATGAAAATTGGTTCCCACTGAATCTGGATAACCATGAAATCGGCCAACTTCGTCTGAGCGCCCAATGGAAACCGGTAGTGATGACAGGCTTAGCCGACTATGTAGGCAGTCATGGTTTTGACAGTAAGTCAATTATTCTTAACCCACCAAAAAAGTCTGGAAAGGTCGATTGACTTTTTTATTTTTTGCCACTTTATTTAGCTCCACCGATTGGTGTGGTTCGGTTTGTCTTCTGGGAGGCTCGAGATCTGCGTAATGTGGAAAACGTGGCTTCTGGAAAATCGGATCCTTATGTACGGGTACTGTCCGGCTTCCAGATTCGCGCCCGTACCAAAGTCATTGACAACAATCTTTCACCGGAATGGGGTGAAGTGCACTATGTTCCTGTGCACTCTACAAAGGAGAACCTTGTGCTGGAAGTGATGGATTGGAATGCTCGAACACGCGACAAGTCCTTGGGTTCTACTGAAGTTCGGCTAGTGGATTTGGTCCGTCAATGTGTTGGCGAGCAAAGCGTGGATCCAGACCGTTGGTATGAATCGACGGGCCTAAAGATTGATGAGTAAGTGCATAGACACACACATACCCTCTCCCAGTATAGGTGTCTTATTTGGTTTTTAGATGGGCGCAATTGCGATCAAGCGATCGCCGTTCTGCCAAGGGCGAATTACGATATACGGCTGAATTTATTCCAACTTTGGCCCTGCCTCAACAACCATCGGAAACAACCGAGTTATCCAACATGGATGCGTATCCCAATCCTCTGAAAGATCTTCACGGATCCTATGTCAACTACACACCCGATGACCTGGTTGATCTGCTTTCCTACAGCTCAGGGGTCTTGAAGGTCCATATTCATGAAGTGGATCTGCCACGACACGCATACGCATATGCACAAGTGCTCGTTGACTCGCTCTTACCACAATTCCGAACGGCCAAACTTCGAGGACAACAACTGGTATTTGACGAATCCGCTGATGCGTTTGTCAAGGAAATCGATTTCTCGCGTGTGGCTATTGAGATCAAGCCGGCATCAAGTACAGAAAAGGACGATGTCAAACTTGGTTATTGGATCGATGCCACGAATAACATCATTCATCGTATCCAAGCTCGTCATCGATGGCTGCAAGCGCTTGATGAGGACGTTCGCAAAGAGGTACAAGATGCTGGAGAATGGTTCAATCTACTCGGCACAGAAGGACCCGGCAAGATCCGTTTGAGTTTTGATTATGTTCCTATGAGCGACTTTACTCTCAATCCAGATGAAAGCATCGACAGTAAGTTTACGAAAAGTTTTGATCAAACCCTCCAAGCGCTTTCTCACTGTTCCTTTTAGATCAAGGCAATTTGACCGTCACCTTATTGAGCGCCAAGGATTTGATGGCGGCGGATAAATCAGGTACATATTTCATCTGGAAAAATTACTTGGCAGAATTGATCGAGAATATCGACGCCAACTATTTTGTCTGACAGGCACCAGCGATCCTTATGTGATATTCACTGTAAATGGAGAACGCGTTCATAAGAGCAATGTGGTGAAGAAAACATTGAGCCCGGTTTGGAAACATGAGCAATTCACTGTACCTATTGTAAGTTCACCATAATCCATGTGTGTCTGTGTATATCCATTTCGTTTACCTCGCCCACATTAGGCTTCTCGTGTAACTGCAAGTCTTCGAATTGAAGTTTTCGATTGGAACCAATTCAAGAACCATGATCCAATTGGTAAAATGATGCGATATTCCCTCGGTTGATGGATGTTCTAGAAGCTGAAAAAAAACCATGTGTATTTTTAGGTTCCGGCGGTGTCACTATTCGCGGCGATGCTGTGGAGAGTTTCGGTACACGTGAGGTGAACATTCCTTTGGATGGCGTGGCCGGTGTCTCTGGCAGTGTAAGAGTGCGGTTCAAATGGCAACCTCAACTGTTGGCCAGCAAAAAGACACAGACTTCCGTACTGGCTACGAAACGAGTCTATACAAATGATGTAATCACCTCTTCTGCTATTGATTCCAATTTGTCTTTATCGCCCACTCGGTCAACGTTTGCTTCCCGGTCCAACGTGAGCAATCGATACGATTCAGACAACGCCTCCGCGGGAGCCGAGAGAGTATCATTTGACGGAGGCGAATTTACGGCTCCTCGAAGTAGCATGGACGCTTCCTCCATAGCTCCGTCGGTCGCCGCGTCGCTTGATGACGCGGCTCACGTAAGCTCCAGTATAGGTCGTGATGGAACCGTCAATATCTGGCTATTAGAAGCTAAAGGCATCCGTGGTGTTGATAAAAGCGGTACAAGCGATCCGTATGTCCGAGTTCGCGTCGGCAAGCAGCAGGTATACAAGACCAAGGTGATCAAAAAGACATTGCTTCCGGTATGGAACGAATCCTTTGAATACACAGTATCTAGCCAGCCCACTGTTTTTGATTTCAAACTCAAGGACTATAACCGACTCCACAGTGCTGTAGATCTGGGTCAGTGTCGTTGGAATATCTGGGACCTCATCCAATCGGAGCCCTCATCCGGTGTGGTTGACCGATGGCTTCCGCTGTATCCTGTCGGCAGCGGTGAGTTGCACGTCAGAATCACCTTTTCGCCACATCTGTAAAATGTACTATAGCTTAAAATCATGTATAAACCGAAAATTAAAAAAAGACGGATCACTCGAATGAACATATAAGGAATAGCCGTAAATGATTGGGTTGCACACTGATTGGATATGAATGTAATTTCCAGCAGCTCCACCAAGATACAATTTGTTCCTTTCTTTCACTGCTTATCTACGACCCCCACTTTTCACTGCAAGGTTCTGTGCCCTGACATTGCTCTATTGCCATGCTAGTAAAAAATAAGCAGCGTAAATCGACAGCTTCTCGACCCTCAACATCCGATCCCCCACTCGTTTGTCCGGCGTGCAATTCCGCAAAAATACGTCAGAATAAGCCATTTTGGCCCTTTGTTATCCTGCGATGTTTTCGATATCGCTATCGTGGACCTATCCATCCATGGCGATGTCGAGTGTGCTTGTTCGAGTTCTCCGAAGCTGTTCCGAGGGAAAAATCTACGCTGTCGATTATTGACTCGATGCTTCATGACGATTCTGAAATTTCACCAGCTCCCTATACGTGGGTTGCCCGTACCGGATGGACCCCCAAGCCCGATATCCTGCTGTCACTAAAAAATGGCTGGTGTAACCGTTGTAATCTATTCGTCAAAAAAACCCATGAAGGCCAATGTAGCCGATGCGGAACTGATCTCCCTGTTCGCGTTTAAACTCATGATCACCATGACAATGTGGCGCGAAACAACCGACTTTGCATGAATCTGTATGATGATGGCGAGCCTTACCTGCCTAAGCGCGCGAACAAACAATAATTAGCGTCGTATATTCGTCGCCAAGGGTTGCGCTGTCTACGGAGCGAGCAATGGTTTGCCCATTTCTTTGTACATCTCGAAATACCGACGTCGATGGCTACCACAGGATCAAGCGGGACGGATAAATGGACCATCAATTTTTCAAGGATCAAGTAGTACAAATTGGATCAAACTTTTTCAGCAAGTCGGGACCACGGTTGCCACTATTGCACAGTTCATTTGCAATATGGTTTTCCACAGCTTCTTGTCGCATTTTTTTGGAAAGTGATGTCGCTCCTGAAACAACAAAAAGTCTAAAGATATGGGAATTCTTTACCCTTTTTGTCTCCGTTGCTCGGGACTGTCCACATAAATAAAGAAGTCGCAACATCATGCTCTTCATTCTTTGTCATCGATCGCACTCAGAAACATATCCATTGTTTCTCTCTGATATTACAAACTTTTCTACTCGTGAAGAATGAGAACCATCACTGGGATTTCATGTGGTGACACCACTTGGATTTATCACATTATCCATTCCATAATCGATAACTCAAGACCCACGTTCATCTCTTGGACCAGTTCTCGCCACCAAGACGGAAAAGATTGGCACAACATCAAATTTCCAAGACCAGAGTGGCCACAGAAACGGAGTGTCACTGACCGCAACTTCCTGCGTGAGCATAGACCGCGCAATCCTGCGTTGCCTTACGCCAATCACCAAGCCTGTTTGGCAGCTGGGGTAACTTGACATGCTTTGCAGCGAGATTATCAAATCCTATACCATTTTCACTTCCATTTTATACAGTTATACGTAAGCCAAGATTTGGAAGATATACGGTATTGTCGTGATCATGCTCACCGAAGCCTTAAAATGAGACTCTTGGAAGCTTTTTGGTTGTGTGCTGGTCACCAATGTGGTTTTCGAGATGTAGGACTACCTTGTTCATGAAATTGATGACCGGGAGATATGTAACTAGATCAAGAACAATAACATTAGGGTTACGTCCCAAAGCCTTTTTTTTTTTTTTTTTCCTTTCCTTCATTGGCAGAAATGCCGCCAAGGTTCGAGTGATTTAGAAATTTCCGCGATGGATCGCGGCACTGATTTGCTTCTATAATAACCGGCGACATATTCGGATGTAATCAATCACCATGGACTCAGCGGTCGCCTTGGCCGAAACGTTTAAAAAATTGGCGTTCCTAATGATATACCTTCCTTATGGTACTTTGCTGTTTGATTAAGAATACGCACCGGAATGGTTGCCTGCAGCAGTATCTTGATTCACTGGACCAAACAATTGAGCGGCGATGCTGATACATTGACTATGTACCTCGTCTCTCAAAGACCGTTCCAGAGAAAGAGGCCAACTCCTCTCATGTGATTGTTCCAGGTTGTTTTTGAATCCGTTACGAGGCTGGCTCAGATACTAGAGAACTCGCCTGGGAAAATTTTCGTCGATTAGTTGGTAACTATGATCGAATAGAACTCCTTCCTCTCGGATGGAATCAAACTAACTACATCATAGTCTATTTCATTATATCAGCGTTGGAATGTCCCGGTCGCCTTTTCAGATGGGTGTATCTTCTCGACCATTTGTACCTCAAATGAATTCCCACATGAGTACAATCCTTAGAGTCATTAGCAAGAGACAAATTACCACCGTTGCAGTAGAGCCGAGATAGCATTTTGAACTTGCTACTCTATATCATTATGAGCAAGCTGGCAAACTCCCAAATGAATTCCTATTCTCACTTTACTTGGAACTCAAATACAGCCCACGGAAAGAAAACCGGAACAAAATATACTTTTTAATATTTAACCAATATGCGCTACTGTTTAGCATTCAAAAATAAATCTCTTCAGTTGCAGGAAATCCTTCACGTTCATAGTATGGCTTCAGGTAGCTATAAATAGATGCAGAATGAAACTCCAGCCAGAGGTTGAATGCCGATCATGAAAGTTACGGCGGCAACATATTGGTATTTGCTTTGATAATGTCATCTGTTTCGTGGCACATAAGAAGCCGAGGGCCGCATATTGTACGATAAGAATTTAACGAGACATCAGTTGGTTTCTAATGAGCAACGTGCGATAATGCGACATCGGAGATGTCCTCAAGTTGTACGAATACCTGGGATTGTAATGATTTACAGGTGAGACCAATAGACATGAACTCCGCTCTTTCATGGGTTGGCACGGACATTGCCGATCGAAACACGTTAAAAATGTCCGTAGTAATGTGCATGAACTTTATTGCTGGACCTTAAAATTAACATTGATCAGTCGGGATACTGTTAGTGGTGTCGCTCTTGTATTTCAGCATCAAGCAATAGATAAATCTTGTAAGATGAGACATTGCGCATGTTCTGATTTGACAAACAGCTATTTAACTGCCCCTGATGCAGTAAATTCATCAGTAGATCGATCGGTATTCAGGGAATGAGTTGAAGGTTGCATATTCCCACAAAACAACGATTCTCAAAGCCCATATGTTGCAGAAGACGACATGATATTGATCCTATTATCTTTGAGAAATGATAGCGAGGTGCGAAAAGCCCAACCATTCGAACTTGAGAGTATCGAGCCAGTCGGATGATGAGCTAAACATTGCTGTTACGCATCATATTTGCTATCACGTTATACGTTTTCATTTGCCTTTAAAAAATGCACAAGTGAGCATGCATGCTTTTGAGATCGAATGCGAGTAAAAGCAAAAGCATGCGAGGTTACAGTTTGGCATCTATTGATTTCGACGCCAAAGGAACCGAAACTTTTCGTGATGGACAGAAACATGTGTTATTGAAATTTTGTTGTGTCAAAAAGTGCATGCATGGTGTTCTCATAATCAACTCGTCCCTGTCGTATGTTACTGAGTGACATGCTTAGCAATTTGTTTAATAATCGGAAGCAGAAATATCAAAGTCGTTGTCTAGACCATCTCCCCCCAACCGTCACCAATTTCCTAAAAGTGGAAATTGGATCTTGCCTCCCTAATGATGCTTATGATGAAGTTTTTATTCTGCAAAAATGCAGCCGCTAAATTCTCAAAAGCCAGGCTTTATGCATGTATTACAGGAAATGAATCGCACATATGAAGATGTCTTGAACGCACCGGTTCCTTTCCATTTTTCTTTTTCCATGTTCAGCTGAGTTACAAAATGCTTAAACCCTTAACCACGTGACGTTTAAAAAAATTTCCTCGAGGAAATTGTCGCCCAGGGTGATGATGACAGCAAGGGGTGCGGATTGGAATACGCCATGGTCATTACCATGACAACAAATGGCACGTATTGGATCGAAAATGCTGATGTGTGGTATACAGTGAACTTTGTGCAATATGAGGATTTGATTGCCGTACACATGTCAAACCCGACTGTCCCAAATTTAGCCAAGACACTCGACGAGACCGAGCATCTGGTGTCGCAACGTACGACCGCGGCGAATGCAGTGTAATAAGGGATTTTCGGTATTACAAACAACTGAAGCCCGGTATATAATCAAAAGATCAGCACCGTATTGGGATAATTTTCACAAGTTTGGGTAACGTCAGATACAGTGATATTTTCGCCTGTCCTGGAATTTTTTTATCCAGACACCATATTTAGTAATAAAGAAGCGTAATAATTCACGCGCCGCCTTGTACGACCTGATTCCACTCCTTGCTGTCCCGCAACATGTCGAGAAAAAAATAGAGAAACAAAAAAGAACCTTCTCCGGATTGGCTACTTTAAATAGCTCTGAGTTGCTCTCTTCTCATTATTCTAGATACGAAAGGGCAAAAGTTTTACATGCAAAGCAGTATATAAATATCCATATTTTTCAGCCTTCACCTTTTTTTAAAACTTTTTTTTTTTCTTCTTTTACCCTTTCCGTGATTGGAGTGACGTTACGCTTCCTTTCCTCCCTTACTTCATTTCTTTGTCCTTTCCTTTTCCTTTTCCTCCTTCCATCTTCAATTCCTATCCTTCAATTTCTCGATCATGTTTTGGAAATCCCAAGCTGTCATTCTTTCTATCGCTGCCTCGGCCGTTGTCACCAACGCAGCTATTCAATTGAACTTTGAGAGCAAAACCGATCCCACCAACATTGTGCTTCCGGACATCCCTCAGACAACTCAACAGAACCCCACTGCCGAGTGTACCTTTTACCAGTCTCCTTACACCATCAACCAGGCTGAATGGCCTACTGTCTGGCAAATTGCCACCAGCAATGGCATGAACAACACTGATGAGTTTAAGAAGGTGTATAACGCCATCGATTGGACGAAGGCCCCCAAAATCCCGGTCAGAAAGATGACGGCCGCTGGTGGTCTCGACATGCAGGGTTACGATACTGCAAACGACCCCGATTGTTGGTGGTCGACTTCCCAGTGTGTCAAACCCAAGATCGCTGGTGTTAACCCGGATATCTACGCCTGCCCTGAACCTGATACCTGGGGTCTTGTAAGTATCCCTGTTTCCCTTTGGGACTGGATCATTTCAGTTGCCATGGGTGCCTAGCTTGTTGCTTTTTCGACATTGCTAACCATTCGAATTTTCTAGACTTTTGATGATGGTCCCAATTGCTCTCACAATGCTTTCTATGACTACTTGGAAGAACAAAAGCAAAAGGCATCCATGTTCTATATTGGTTCCAACGTTCTTAACTGGCCCTATGGTGCTCTTCGTGGTGTCAAGGACGGTCATCACATCGCTGGCCACACCTGGTCTCACCGCATGATGACCACTTTGACCAACGAAGAAATTTTGGCTGAATTGTACTACACTCAAAAGGCTATCAAGTATGTAACTGGTATCACTCCCTTGCACTGGCGTCCTGTAAGTACCCTTTTGTTTTGGGCTCTCGAAAGACAATCACGAATTTGTGTTGTGTGCCCTGGTTTTTGATGAATGAAAAAAAAAAAATCACTTATTTAATGTCCGCTGTTCTCTTTGTTTTTTTCTATTTCTAGGCTCTTGGTGATTTGGATGATCGTGTTCGATGGATTGCCACTCAGTTGAACCTTACTGCTATCTTGTGGAATTTGGATACCGACGACTGGGCTGCAAACGTTCTCCCTGGTGTAACCGAGGCTACCGTGGATAGCTTGTACGAGCAATTCATTACCATGGGAAACAACGGTACTTTTGAACGCAGCGGTAACATTGTCTTGTCTCACGAAATCAACAACATGACCATGAGCTTTGCTATTAAGCATTATCCTGCCATCAAGAAGGCTTACACCCATGTTGTTGACGTTGCCACCTGTATGAATATTACCCACCCCTATCAAGAATCCGTGATCTCCTTCCCTACTTTTGCTGAAGCCACTGGAAGCAAGGATACCACTAAGACTGGTTCGGGTGCGAAGCCTTCCAGCTCTGGAAATGCCTCTAATGTCAAGGTGGACGGCAAGGGCCAAGATTCCGCTGCAACAGTGACCACCTTCAACAGCGCTCTTTTCATTGCTGCCGTTTTCGGCCTGATGATTTTCTGCTAAGCAGATAATATACGACTATCATAAAATCCAAAAAATTAAAAAAGATGCGGGAACAACCATCATATATCGACTGTAGTTTTTTTTTCTTCCTGCTCTAATCATTGTTCATTTTCTGTTTATTCTTTGCTCTACATAACTTAGACCATCCCTGTTTCAAAAAAGAAAAAAAAGCTTCTTCTTTCATGCAGCCTCACAAAGACCAACCGTTTACTGATCAATTCGTTGTTGTTGTCGCCGATTTAGCAAAGATACTGTCTTAAAAATAGGCGTATTTACATCTTCACTCCCTGAGCTGTGGTTTTCATTTTGTAGCGTGCAGGCTATTGGGGGTACGGTTCGTACGGCTCTTTGACCATGTCTTTTGCACATGGAAGGTTTAATACCGCGCGTCCTCTCGTTTTCTCTCTCAAGTTGGTTTCTTTGTTTCGATCTGCATAAAACAAAAAAGCATACTCCAAGGTTGTTTTGCATTATTCTCAATGACAAACTTGTATTACTGCACGCAAAAAACTCTTGGTCCTCATACAGGCAGCTCGTATTCGTATATGAGGGATCGTCCGGGAATAAAATTCTTCCGCGCTTCAGAAAAGGTAATAATTATAGTAAGCGGGAACGAGGATTCCTGCTTCAGTTCACTGTAACCCAATTAATTGCGTTATGCGACCGAGATGCGAACTGCTCATAGTAATTTAGGCAATACACAATGCCAATAACTTATCACGATTGAACTTTCATTGGGAATGTAATACAAGGAGAATACCTTTTGGAAATATACTCACGTGTGTGAAATCAAAGAACCTATCAAGTGGCAACTTGCGAGCCTTGTTCAGCAGATGGCCGCTTTAACTTTATGGAATTATGTCATTGACTCGGTTCTTGCTACAAATCGAACATCGGTTCATTCCTTTTCTGCAAATAAATGGTTCGTTCCGAGTCCTTGCTGTGGCAATAGAAATGGAAAAATAATCCGACAAAAAAAGAATAAGCCGAGATTTTTGTGAAGGAACCTTTTGGGAACATAATCATTTTGGTGCTCCCGTCATTAACTTTCTTCTGAACTCTAAGAACATATTCATTCTCTTTTGTTTAAAAGTGACCTGGTTTTAGGAGCGGTTTTTCTCATTCGAAAGGCACCAGAATCCTCCAATAGGTTGATCGGTGTTATGAAGTTCAGGCGCCGTTATTCAGCAAGTTTTATTTCCTGACAAATTCAAGATCAGACGATTTCAAATTTTCAAAAACAAGCATTGACGATGAAGCAATAATCATATCTTTCATAGCATGATCTAAAAAAGAGGTAGTTAAGCTGTTTTCATTCTTTTTGGATTTTTCTACGTAATTTCGTTTCCGTAAATAATGCTTCCGGCGGACGCTGTCCCGGAAAAATTCCATAAAAAAAAAGCTAAACAAAAATACGTCATCGACAAGCACATGTGCCTTGTTGCTTCGGTTAATCTACCGATTTGGGAGAGTATAACTGTAATCTCCAGGCCCATACACTATTTGAATAACATGGGTGCAGTACGTGTAAGAAGTTCGACTAATCAATCGAAACGGTCATTAGTAAGAAAGAGGGAAAAACTAAATTTCCTACTGTTCAGCTCCCGCAATAATGCGCAAGGGAGATGGAAATTGAAAGAAAACTGTCGCGACCCCTATCAAAAGCACGGTCATTACGCCCCCTTTGACTGCAACTATAAAGTTAGTCTATTATATGGATCGCCGTGCATATTGTTACACTATAGGATTATTAGGAATGGGAATGATGTTGCTTGTTAAACACTTTGAGAACGATCTATCCTTGTTTTATTGGTGAATAAATTCAAGAGTTTTTGACCGTCACGGACTTAGGATTTTGATGAACTCAGATCGGGTTCGGCGTTTCATTGTCTCCATCTCTTTAACTTATCATGCCACACAGTGTCCCGTCTGAAGGCAAGCTAGCGATGATTGAGCGATATCTCGGCTTGCACACACGATATATTAATATGGTTCCAAATGCATGATTAGAACTACCTATCTTGGAGCGATTGCTCGCCATTCGCAATCGTTTGTCAGCTTTGAAAAGAGATCGTTCCACTTATCTCAAGGCAGACGACATTATGCCCATCAAAGAAGAGGTGACGCAAGAAATTAATAATCTGACCGAAGTACGTGGCGGTATAATGGTCCATGAGAAACAAGCCTTGAATCGTACGGACGATGTCATGGATGAAGTCTGCCAAATGCTCAGTCTGTGCTTTTTGTGTTTGGGCAAAACCAGAGAAAGTAAGACAACGTATATCCGTGAATATATCTGGAGCATTTTTCTAAATAGCTGTATAGGTCCTGCAGTATATTCTCAAGTCGTGGCGATCAAGGTAATTTATACATATTGTCGTCCAAAAAGAACCCCAAGAATCATTGTTCTCATATGACCTGCAGCATTCTTTTGATCGTCTGGAGGAGTTTGGCATTTATGCTGAAGAATTTCTGGAACCTTATACGAAGAAATTGAAGGAAATCGAAAATATTCTCAAAGTGGATGAAAGAAACGGTGCCTTACCAAAGGCTGTCATGCAAATGCTAAAGTACAAATTCACACAATGCGGTAAGTCATCACGTGGTGTGGTTGCCGGTGGATATCTCGTTGATATATCGTTATTGCTTAGAGCGTATCAGAGATCAACTGATGGCGACAATCCATGAAGTATCTCCCGAACTGTAAGTCCTGCTAAAATATAGCTTGTATTCGGTCGTGCGTTACTCATCATTTCTTATTTAACAGAATTCCCATTCGCAATAAGATGCTTCGTATTCGCCGGCAATTAATATCTATTGCCTGTCAAAGCAACTTTAAAGCAAGCGATATAGTGCCGATCCAAGAGGAAATTCGGGATATCGATAACCGTAGAGAGGACGGCAAATTTTTGGCAGCGGATGGCAGTATTCCAGCTGGTCAAGCGGTGCTTGTGGGTCTCCTAGAGCAAATTTATGCTTACTCACATGATATGATCATCGCCGCTAGCACCGATTTCTCCCCTGCGTTGCAAGAAATTCGCGTACGACTGGTGGAAATCAAATCGCAATTGGAACGTTTGGAACTGACACACAAGTGGACTTTAAGACAGACTGATTTGTTCACTTATCAGCACCAACTGCATGATATTGTAATGATGCGTCATCCCGTGGATAGCGATCGTCCCGACAAACTCGACAAATTTTTGGATGAACGTGGTGAAGCCCCAGAAGGTCAAACCGTGCTCAATTTCTTACTTCACAAATGCTATCGTATCATTGTTATCTTGTTGAACGAGAGTGTGCCTGTCTCCGAGGCATTAACACCTATTTATAATCAGCTAACTTCCGTACGTCAATGCCTGTTAGCCGTCAAGAAGACGGGCGCGCCGTGTTCAGCAGAGGAATTGTATCCGTAAGTCGACTGCTAGTTTTGTCATTTCATGAACCATTTCCTGATGAAACTCTCCTTTAGCTATCAAATGAAGTTAATGAGCATCGAAAATCTGCGAAAAGACGGTAAATTTTACGATGAACAAGGTTGCATCCCCGAAGGTATGCCGTTGAATGCCGTATGGTTATTTTATTATTTACATTACTGATACCATTGCCCTTTTGCTCGTGTTAGGTCAAGCACTTTGCGTATCTACTCTCGAGGAATGCTATTCGCTTTTGGAACAGCTGCGTGACGATTCCGAATAAAAAGAAACGAAAAAGAAAAAGTAGACTAGAGCGCAGAAAGAACATCTAATATGTAATCAAAAAGGGTTTCCGTATTCGCTTGCCCCCTCCCCTCCCCCTTCCCCCAGCGTCTCTTAATTCCATTCAATTACTGTAGAAACACTGATCGATATACTGTATTGCTTAACATTCCGCAGTATTCTATAAGTTGTTTTTTGTATCATTTTATATAAGATGACTCTCTAAAAGAGCTTTCATATGTTTCTTGGTTACATGCAGTGGTTACTAAAAAGAAAAGAAAAGGGGGAAAAAAACGTTGAACGAGAAAAGAACAAAGTAGAAATCAAGGTAAAATCATGGATAATTATCCATCAGGGGGCTGGATGTTTTCCTTTCCGTTTTCCTTTCTACTGACCCATCACCATACCCTCCATACCAGCACCACTTTCCATTTGTTCCTTGACAAACATTTCAAAGTACTAAAAAAGGTATTAATACGGGTGTAGCGGGTTCATGACGATCATCCACTAGTTTTGGTTTTCTGTCTTACCTGGAAGATGATGGTCACACAAAGCAAGATACCGGTACCCGAACCAATGGCGCCCAACATGTCAGCCAAAACGGAAACAGCACCAAGACAAGCACCACCAAAGGAAGCAGCGACGGGAATGACACGCTTCAATTCCTTGTACATGGAAGTATCACGGTAACCGGCAATCACCAATTGCTGATCCTTCAATTGACGTGCTACATCGCGAGGAGAAGAGCCGGACACTTCAATCCAGATCTTGGACAACAGAGCACAACCAGCAAGCATGATGCCGATGTAAATAACGGTGTGAATAGGATCCATCAATGCGTGAGTGATGTTGCGAGGAGCGGAGAGGTAGTAGGCAATACCGCTGGTCGCGAAAAGTTGGGGAGATTCATCAATGGGTTCCCAGACACCGAGGAGACGGACAAGAAGGTTGGTTTCGAAACGCTTGTAGAGCATTTGAGAGATCATGAAGATATTGGAAGTCATGGTGGATTGAAGCATAATAGGCATGTTGGAGGTGTAGAAAAGCTTGACAGGGTAAGTACCGCGCTGACCACGCATGCGGTTCGACTTGACCGGAATTTCCACACGGAAACCTTGAAGGTAGATGACAACAGCGAAAATGGCCGCCGTCGATAACAAGCTCATGACGTTGGGAAGATTGGTACGATAAAAGGCTTCCTTGAGAGCACGTGTCTTGTCTTTTCGAGACATCATCAAATGCACCAAAGAGATCAATGCACCTTCGAACTCATCACCGCGGCCGGTGTTCATGGTCGTGGGAGAAAGAGCCTTCCAGAAAATCGTTTCACAAATGTTGGTAGCAATGAAAAGGTTGATACCAGAACCAAGACCGTATCCCTTTTGTAGAAGTTCATCCAAAAGCATCGTGATCAAGGAAGCCACCACCAACTGAATAATCAACAGCAAACAGACACCAGCGCCAATATCCTTGGGGCTACCATACAATCCAGTCAATACAGAGACAGTAGCATGGCCAAAGGCAATGATCATGGCAAACACTAGCAGCAAAAAAATTCCAAGCTTGTTAATTACTTTATTGCCACTCTTCAACAGAAAAATAGCAACCTCCCCCCTTGGCTTCAACTTACATTTCTGTGCACCACTGAACAGAGCACGGTCTTCCTTCAAACTGTAGTCGACTTCGATGATATTGGCTCCTGAAAGAAGCTGCATAATCATACCAGAAGTAATAATAGGTGTAATACCCAATTCCATGAGTGTACCACGGTTAGAAGCCAAGATGACTCTCATCCAGAACAGGGGATCTGACGAATCGGAGGACATGATACCATACAAAGGAACTTGCGACATGACCAAGAAGATGAACAAGGTCACAGCAGTCCACATTACTTTTTGATTGAAAGGCACCTAAGTTAAAAAAGTAATATGAGTGTAAGCTCTGCCGGTCTTCTTCAGTGTCTCTGTCCGCTTTGATAGTATCCTTTACCTTTCGATCCGGAGTCGCGATTTCCGGGAGGATGGCCATGAATGGCCGAACAAGATGCAGTATCCTAACTGTATCAAAGAGTTAGTTACGCGTTGAAAAAAGACAAAAGAAGGATAAAAGTTCATGTGAGGCATCCTACTTACATCCCATGGTGCTTGAAGTACAGAAGGAAGTGATAGACGAATCCGCGTGGTTTCTGTTTTGTGTGTCTATGTCGGCGTTTCAATTCGTATTCTTGGGTTGGACTAACAACCAATCACAGACATCCACCTTGAAATATCAAAATGAAAGGTTGCACGCTGGTCGGATTCAAACCATTGTTTCTGGAGACTAACGTGAGGATCCACCATACGAAAATTTCAATCCTAAACACGACAATTTTTATTCATATTATAATGGACTGCTCAATAATGAGTAAATAAAAATAAGAAACGGTGGTTTCTACGAGCGATAGGTTGTCACACAAGCCTTGGCATCCTTCTGGAAGATACCACAAGCGCAAACGGTTTGCGCCCTTGCGGTTGATGAATTCATCGAAAGCTATGCTGTCATCTTAATCGGTAATCAAAATCAAGACCGTTCATTGCCAATACAATAATAAAAAGCTATTATATGGTTTTCAAATGCGTTTTTGTGCGTGATTACATCTCACAGCAGACGGGTATCGTAAAAATAGCAGTGCTGTTGTATAGGCACCGTGGATCGTAGACAATTTATAAACTACACGATCGGTAGGTAGCGATCATCAAGCACCAAACAACATGGTTACTATCCTTTTTTTTCACCAAGCGTCAAATGTTATTATTTACGCATTTTCTGATGAGTAAAGAAAGGAACATTTTATTGTATTATTGAGCTTATTCGACGATGCTGAAATATGGTATACAGAAACTGACTAAATCAAGAAAATGAGGTTTTTCAAAACACGGTATAGAGGATTTGACGCGTTATGAGATCAACAATTGAAAAAGAGGCTGTTGTCTTCATTCCAGTTAGAGAGTATAGGCATTCTTTACTTCACTTCTCTTATCGCAGGCACAAACTTGCGATGAAAATCGAGATCATTTCTCCGTTCCACTTGCCGAAACCATGAGTCAAAAATCTGTGAGATATGAATAACACACTCTCGTATAATTTGCAAATAAGCCATCCATACTATGATGAAATACAGACTCGCAAAAAAGAAAAAATTACGAAGATCCTTCGCCTTTCTTTACTGTGAGAATGTCAACTGGAACGATTAGCCGTCGAAAACAGCCTGTTTTTAAATAATGAGCAGTAGACAGCATAAAAACCCGTATCGGTACAATATTACAGTTATTGCTTCTTTTTACGAGATAACATGCGCGCCACTTTGTTATATACCGTTACTTGTCTGTCATTGGCAGCGCTGATCCAAGCAGAAATCAAAACAGGTGGGAGACTGCAATGCTCTATTCTTCGCTGCCGTAATGATTAAATTTATTTGACGTTTCAGTAACACTTTATAAAACCGTTACATACACGGAATATATTGATGGTACGTGTTATCAGACGTTCTTTAGTTTTTATGCAATAGAATGCTAAGGTTGACTTATACCAGATGATGGATATGATTCAAGCCCTGTCACACGCACTCAGACGAGCACTGCGCTTGTAAATGAACCTGCCACTACCTCTATGAAAGGAGTTTTGACTACTGCTACACCACTGACCACTATGAGCGATAATACCGATATGATGTCTTCGTCCTCCACTTCCCGACTTAATAGAAATGTAGACCCCGAAACCTCCAGCGGTAGTCTGATGGCTACTGCTTCTTCCAAGGGTCTCCCCTCCGATATGTCAGCTTCCGATAGCAGTTCTGCCATTTTTGCTGCACCAACAGCGCATACTCCTTCTCTTTCCATGACCAAGCCTTCTGGTTCTAAATCAGCCAGCCGATCCGCTGGAGGAAACCGCAGCGGTGCTGGTGGTAACTCGGCATTTACGTTCAGTCCCATTACCCTTGCCCCAGAGAGCACGCGTTCAGGCGATCGCTCCACTGGTTTGCATATGATGACCGCTTCCGCCACCAATCGCAATTCCACATCTTCCAACGGCGTCAACCAAGTATCTCCCCCGGTCTTCTTGACATTCCTTGGTTTAATATCTGCTATGTTCACCTTGTAATCATCCTATCATATAGAAATATATATCCGAAAACGTCATGAACACTTAAAAATAAAAATTTACACATACAATACATCTTGACCCCTTTTGTGTGGAGATTCGCTTTTTTATTATTATCCCAAGCTCTTTATTTCTGCAACCCATGATGCACGATAAGAATATCTTGAATCATATACGTCGTAAAATCCTCCCCCATTAGTATGAAATTATCCTCCTTCGCAATATGTGTATGGTGGTGTTTTGCATTATTTCCTAGCTCCATGGACTGCTGAATCGGCGACTTGGAGCCCAGTGAGCGTTGAAGTTCCTACCACGATTATTGTCCCAAAAGTCGCGCCCTCCCACATGATACCGTACCGCCAAGCTAATTCTCGTATAAGGACGAATAACACGACCAAGGTGTATCTGAAACTGAAAGCGATCCATGTGCTCGCGGTACGATTCTTTGAAAACCGCCTGAACATCGTACGATGTCTGCCAGTCATCTAACGAATACCGCACCGATACTTCCTTACGGTAAGCAATATTTTGCACCTGAACCGTCCCTGTGAGGGTGAACTCTGGAGAATCCCACAGTAAAGACTCCAATGTGACCATCTGTATAAGGCATCTAGTTGCATTATTTTTCGGCCAATCATCCAATAGGAAATTTACGTCGTGAGAGAGAGTCCTTGCACGAAAATTCACCCAGGTATTATCGTCACGGTTAGTATAGGATTCACTGGTTGCTTGTGTGCGTTCGGGTTGTTCATGAAATAATGTGATACGCTCCAAAGGGATATCGAAATGCACCGACTTGGTGGCAACAGGCGTACTCGGTGCGGAACGACTCCTACTTGACTTCAGCGATGACCGTAAACACGACTTATCGGATGACGATGCACATGAATTCGGCTCATCCGACCACGCTGGTAATTCACACACGGGATCAAAGTAAGACTGTCTGGTGGGTTCTGCTGGTTCTTTCTGGGATGTCACACATGGCAATTGCATGTCGGACCACTGCGTTTTGGGAGAAAACACCGACTGGATATCGGCCGAAGGCATGGTCAAAGCGGTAGGTTGAGGTAGAAATACGCGTCGATTTTGAAAAGAACGCACCCTTTTCTCGAGTCGCTCTGCCGTGAAACTATTATAGAATGGCTGATACATGAACAGAGAAAAGTGTGATAAAAAAGCCAAGAACAATAGCAAAAAGAGGGAAAGAAAAAAAAACCACAAACAATCTCAGGAAAATCGCGAGCTCCGTAACTGCATAGTTTCCTGAGATAGTGAGACCTGGCATTTTTGCCAGATATAGGAAGACCGTGGGCTCTGTGCCATATCAGCCAATGACTGAGCAGCAACAGAGTCTCCCCGTGCATCATCTTCCCCTCACGATTCCTTGCGATGTTGTCCAAATAAACAATTTCATCATTCAGTCTTTGAACACAGAGCCATCGTTATTCCTACTTTTTATGACGTCCTTTTATAGCAGACAAGACGTCAGACTTCTTTTTCCTTGCATCCAACGGCAGCTTTTTCTTTTTACGATCGATGTCTGTTTTCCCAGTAATCGTACGACTTGCGGACTTGAACTATCTTTCCTTACTGTGATAACCAGAGAGCTATCAGTTTCAGTGGCAAGTGCTATTGACTTGAAGTCAACCTGTGGAAGAACCGTCTTCATCAGTCGGTGGGACTTTTTTGTTTCAGCACAAATAAATTTCACAATGCATGTACCGAGATTAGCAGTCCAATGAAAAACATAAAAGAATAAGGACATTGTGTGTGTGTGTCAATGCTGCGCTCTTCTTTTGTTTATTTCCAATTACGACACAAATGAGCCAAGACAGCGTACCAAGCAGTTACCCATCCTCACAAAACTTGGATGCCAATGTTATATCATCTACTCAAGGACAAAAGTACGCTGCAGAATGGATTATTTTCACCCGTTTAAATCAATCGAACCATTTGGCTACCTTAGCATAGGCCATACCAAAAATCCGGGAGCCACAAGGGTATCACAAAACGAGCATGACCTGATGCAAACAGATTCAACCAAAGGACCCGTAAAAGCCGAACGCAGTTCCACCCCTATTCAAAATGAGCATGCTGATAAAAGCATTCATGTATATCACTGTAGGCATTATAACTATATATGGACGATACTGACGCGCTATTTATGCTGATGTAGCCAAATGCATCTTCAGCCGTTGGCGGCAACCATGCAGGTTTGTTTACGAAAGATGGCTGTCTAATAGACTCGCAGGTAGACTGCCGGCTAACCCAGACCGATCCTAGAATGCTTCCGTTCCCCCTTGCATGAATTGCCTGCAATGGCATGTCGTACCGAATATCATGGTCCCCTTCGATCGACCCTTGACATACGTAAGTCTCGGTGTTCCTTTTCTTCGTAATGTTATGGAACCTGACACTTTTTCTGTTTCTTTGCTGCAGCTCATCAGTATCGTGGCCTTTTTCCCTTCAAAGACTTTGACGCCGTTCAATCTGCTTGTTTGGACAGTGTAAGTCACATGGTTCGAAGAAATCGAATGCTTGCTAAACAATGATTCTAGATTCTTTATAGCGGCGAGAACCTTGTCCTCTCATGTGAGCTGAAAATGCCATGGCCACATAAATCTTATACTAACTTAAAGTACACCCAGTGCCTATGGGTTCAAGGAGGTCTACTTTGTTGGACCTCGCGATAGTGAATGTTTTACATGCGGAATACAGCGCGCCATGTATTATCTACATCGCTCCATCCAAATTGGCGGGTACTACAAGAGCAAAAGTGTGGGAACCAAAATTCTGTCCCTTCAACGTCATCTGTAAGCCTGTCAACAATCATTGTCGAAACGGCGTGCGCTAAATTCTGTATCTCGTCATTACTCTGTAAATAGGCAAGCACGTAATCGAAGAGGAGGAACAAGATTTTCCCAGCAACTTACCAAAGACTATTATCTGGTATGCCGTCGTGAAACATTTTATTTTGGGGCTGCTGCTGAGATTCCCATCTTAGTACAACCACGGCTGGCGGGCTAGATAGAATGATGCGTCGCTCTGTCAACACCAAGGAGCGATTTCAATCTGTGAAATTACTGATAGTACGTTTCCGCGAGGAATATCTTATGCATGCCAATTCTGACGATTTTCAATTAGATCGATGAGATTCGACTCATCGGCGAAAGCGAAGGGTCCATTCTAGAAGCATGTATCTGTAGACTCAAGGTGAATGCGGTTTTCGGTATTTCTTGCCCCGGCGATATCTGCTGATGTACCATTTTAGCGAATGGCGATTCGCTTCCGATTGTTAATTATTACGTCCGCCCTATCCAACTTGCAAGATATCGGTGATTGGTTTGATGCAAAAGGTACAAGTCAAATATTTTGACCACCCCCATGCAGACTTAAGTCTCACTTCCACTCAGTATTAGATCTTTCAAGCATTACCTGTTCGAAACATGTCAAAACACACGTTTACGGCGTACCTTTCCAAGGCGATAATGTATTTCAGTTTGAGAAACGATTAGACTGGAAGTAAGGATTCTCTTTTACAGCGATGAGTATATACTGAGCTCTTTGAAAATACATGTAGGCTATTTGACGTTATCCAAGAACATGAAGATGACCAAAGCGTACTGATAGTAAGACAAACATCCACACATACGACAAATCCGATCGGTCTAACAAGCTCTCGTCAGTACTGCTCTACACGGAAATCGGCAGAATCGGCTTGTAACGTGCTGAAAAGAATGATGGATACACACCATGTAGTATCTTTTGGGTACGTCAAACTAGCGTAACCGTTCGATGATTTCTTATTCACGAGTTTCACACAATTACACACGATATCTAAAGAAAAAATGCACAAGATATCTCACTCAAAAATGGGTACTTGTCGGATTATGTCAGAAGAGGCATCGCGTTTTACCATGGTATTGTAAAACCGTATAGGATGATGAGCCAGATTTATAACATGACAATCTATAGCAGGAGTCAGTGTGCATGATCGGCGTATCATTGAACGTTTGTACCTGGAGAAATCCATCCGTGTTGTCGGTAAGATGTAATCAATCTGATTGATGAATGATTACAAAATCATCTCATCTTTATCCTAGCAATGACGATAACCTCGAACACAATGGTAAGTGGACTTGGAGGTCTTTTGACCATTGGGTGCTGATATGTTTATTTTTTCTATGTATCAAGATGAAATGGCCTGCGCATATTGTCATTGTAAAATCGACCAAAGGTAACCGTGAGCGAAATGACTTGGTTATCGTTTGATGCCACTAACTTTTTTTTTCACTAAAGAGTACTGTAATGGTCATTTTCGCGACTATACGAGCAGTGAATTACTACAGCTCATCTGCTCTGCTGGACGTTCCGGATTAGACATACCAGGTTGCGCGATTATACTGACCAAACTCAGTATGGAGGATCACTACCGCGCGTTAATATCCAACCAGTTTGTGGTGGAGAGCAGGTAAATGAAATGCTTGGATATAAGAAGAACACTTTTGACTAGAATTTTACCACGAAAAATAGTTTGCACCGAAACTGGCTCGAATTGTTATTGCCGGAAATCTGTCTCGGTCATATTACAGATATGGGTTCTGCTGTTCAATGGTTTGTCAAATGACTTCCATTACTTCGATGAGAAAGACGGCTTCACTGTCAAACATAGGTTATCATGCAGTTTCCTGCATATACGTCTGCAAAAAAATCCGAACCATTACTATGTATCGAAAAATGCACATTCGGCGAATTCGGTGGATCAGTTTCTTCGTGGTAACTTGGCGACGGAAACGATTGTATTATACCATCTTAACCCTTTTTTTTGTTAGATTTATGGATTGAAGCAGTGGCTTTATTGGAGAAAAGTCAGATTATTGCTAAAAACAAAGTCTCCTGTTACGAGCCAACAGGTACGACAAACAATGAATGTATGATGGCGCCGTACTTACGATGGTACTAGGTTTTGGAAAAGCAATGAACCAGTACAAAATATCTTTGCAGACAATCACACAGGTTTTGCACATGAAATCGTGCAACTCCATCTTGGATATGGTTTGTACATTTTGTCATCTGATATGACTTCTTCGTTCTGACCGTGAAAATTAGCTACAACTTGTAAGCCATGCAAACGAGTTTGCGTCGGTCCGATACGGGCAGGGCGAAAAAGCGTTTTTCAGTTCGCTAGGACGAAATCCGAATATACGTTATCACTTGCCTCACAAGCCAGTTACGGTGCCACATAAAATCTTCCTTGTGCTCCAGGTAAATCTAATAGGTCCATGATATTAAGATCGAGTCGTAACCGAATGTAGTGTGTTATTGGTGACATTAATCTTCGGGCGGTGTCTCCCGGGAGCCAGCTTGCTCACGAGGCGCTTAATATTACGGAGCAGGCAAAGCGGATCATCAAATGTAATCCCGTGGCACATTTCAAATTTGAAAATTGGAAACTCACACGTACTTTTTTTAGGTGTCATTGAATGCAGCGTTCACGAGCAAAATGCCCTCAAATTGGAATATGCACTGGAACTGTACCGTAGTCTTCAGGCAACAACATGGGCAGATTCCCCTCAGCAACTACGCCAAGTTGACAGCATTGGACCGCAATTGGTGAAACGATTAGCCAAAGCCAAAATATTTACACTTGATGACATACGCAATACTGATGAAAGGCGGTTGGAAATGGTTAAACCGAACCCAAATATGATGTTTTACTAGTTTTTTTCTCACATCAAGATTCCTGTTCTTATTATAGATTATGCATCGCAATCCTCCGTATGGAAACAAGGTAAGAATGACCTTCATCTTGTCAAATCATGACATCAACTCTAAATCGGTTCTTAGCTGAAAGCTGCGGTGGATCGTATTCCTCAACTGGAAATGACGGTGAATCAGGTTTACTTTTTTTTGAAGCATGCCAATGGAATACCCTTGATTATCTTATTTTACTAGTGCAACGATGGGATGAATCTGGATATTGTATTGAGTGTGCGCAAGACAAACGTACGATCGCCGAAAAATGGCAAAGGTCGCTTTGTATTGTTCTGGGTGGCAGCCAGTGATCGGACCTTGCATCGATTTGACCGAATACCGTATGGATACTGTCGTAGCGGATCTTGATTCTGGCATTCAACAACAGTCTGTTGATAGGGTTCGGGAATTCTATCAAGAATCTCGTCATGTTCACTTAACGCTTGAAGATTGTCCGCGAACGGCGGAAATCACATGTCATTTCCAGAGCGAGGATTATGGTAATCAGTTCAGTAACACTATCGAAGCATAACATGCTAAAAATGAATGGGTAGTCGGTATGAACGTCTCAACCATTGTTAAACCAAGGATCGATTCAGCTGCGTCGAAAGATATGGTAAGCAAAGAATGGACGATCATTTCATTGAACAAAGCTATTGGATAGCTTACGTTGAGATTATGCAGTTCCCCGATTTAGACGATCCGTTTCTGGATTCTTTGGATAAATCAACACCAACCGGTATCTGTGAAGAGGTCTGCCCTTCTGCTCCAGCAAACTGCAGTAAGTTCCCGATGAGATACGAGTTACTAAATGCAGCCCATCATTAAAGGGCTAAACCAACTACTCTTCCTAGCATCCACAATGGCGTCATCCACGTTTGAAGAGGATATAAAACGGTAAGAGACACACCATTTCAAAGCGCAATGCCAACAGCGGGTTGTTAATATCTTGTGCGATTAGTTGCAAGCATAAATGCAAAGAGAAACACCTGTAAGTAAGCATATTGACGATGAATAGAAAACTTTGCCCTCTGACATACATCTACAGTTGCGGTCATTCATGCTGTAAAATTGGATTGCATCAGGTGGTGACGGTTGACAAGCGGAAAACAAGCAACGAACAGTCATATATTCGCAAAAGAATTAAAATGCAACAAGATTACCTGCCACCGCCACTATTATCTAGTTCAAATCCTTCCAACGACATTTCCGAGTGCAACTACCTGGCATCCGCAGAAAAATGTATCGACAACGTATCAACATGCTGTGAAACCGAAGGCAACTGGGTGGATTACGTGTGCGATGCTCTGGAGAATAAATACTCCTCGCAAATCAGCCCTTATATGACGAACGAATCAGAAGGGCTCGTTTCACTTACTCAGATCTTCAACAGCGACAATGAATGGCCTTTGAACCCAGAAGAAGTATCCTTGACGAGTAATGAGGAAAATCTATTTGATTCTGTGATCGATGATGGACACGACCTTCACTCCGGTGGCAGTCCGTTTGTATGGGATGATGACACCGACAGCTCAGCACTCGTTGGCGATACCTCGAATGTCAGCACGTTAGAAGCCTGGACTACCCCTTTGAACAATGAGGAAACACTACTGTCGCAGTCTCTTGAATCGATGAATGGTGAAACGAACGACATCGATCCTACTTTGTCCCAAAGTCATTCATCATCGAACACTGGAAAATTACTCGAAGAAGTTAGTCTCTCACAATGGATGGAGGAATATGCCGATAGTGTTGGTGAATACTACTGTGTCGCTCTTTAAGCAGCAAACCACGTCATCCCGGGCAGATCAATCCTAACTAACAAGTCACGACAATCATTCATCAAAAGCTAGACCATCGTTTGATTCTACGTCGTGTGATCCGCATGAAACAGCTGACATTTGTCATAAAAGCTTGTTATAACAAAGTTACAGTCAAAACTATTACACAAAAATTATGGGAACAACCGAGCTCTAATTAGGAATCTAAATTTGCTCTACAGTACATGGTTAATCGTCCTATGATCGAAATGATGTGTTGAGTGGCTGCTTTTCATATTACAAGTTTAATGATCCTCATACCCATTCATCATCGGCAACTTCCTGGTCTTCCGGATTTTGAGCCTTCTTACGTGCTTCTTCGTCTTCATCGTCCACTTCTTTTGCCGTTGAAAACATACGATCCATGAGCTCTTGTCGGCGCTGGTCTTCGCTCACAATCTTTTTGCCCATTTCGAATTTCGCTTTCGATGTAGCTTGCTGAGGTGGAGGTGGTGCCTCAGATACTAATAGTTTTGTTTCAGCCAACGATCTGATAAACTGCATTGTCCGATTAAACGCCACTTACGCGGTGTCATATCTTCGGGTTTCAGGGAAATGCAATTCAAATGTTTGTCATTTCCCTCAAACCAGCTGGCACTATCCTGAGCAGGATGTTCTACATCCGGTGTGTCAACAAAAATCTCATCCTGGAAATACTCAGGCTACAGGTGATATCATATGGTGAGTTTCAATAGGTTTCATGCTGTTTTTCCGACCATCATAACATACTCGAGCTCGAGGTACACGGACACCCACAGTTTCGATAAGTGTGGGCGTTAAGCGATAAAACTTGTCGATTTCAATCTCCTTCACATTGCATACACGTTTTGGCAAAAACGCAAATCCTTGTTGCAAAGTGCCGGCCTCGATTTTGGCCAAAGCCGTTAGTTTGCAGTCGTTCTCCAGTTCATATGTGTGGATGTTCCGATCTCCCTATGTCTGTTAATGAGAAAAAGAGCGCTAAGAAACGGGATGACATTTTATATATTACCCGGCCTGCCACATAAAGAATGCGACAGTCAGCGTCGTAAAAAGCGCTCATCACACTGGGCGACATGTCAATCGTTTTCGTACTGAGCTTCGAAAGATCGTCCACTTTGTAAACAATGATCTCACGCATGGAGCCTGGACCAAAACCAACGCTAGCAATACATTCAGTATCCCCAAGCCATAACAATTTTGAGGGACGAACACCACTGTGCGATGCACCATCCGCTAGCACCTTGCCGGATCGAGCATCAATGATACGAAGCTTCTTCTCACGGCTCGCGACAGCAATCTTGGTTCCGCAGGGGCTCCACGCACAGCTGAAAATCATATCGCCGCAAACATCAGACAACGTGCATTTATCTTTTTTCTCTTTCAAATCCCACAATCGAATCGTTGGGTGACCCATGTCTGTCGATGCAGACATCAGAACATTTTCGGCAATAGGATGGAACTGCAACAGACCGATTTTGTCCATATTTGGAGCTGATGATATTGATTTAATATTAAGGTAAGCATCATCGATATCATGAAGGAGGGTCAACCAGCAACTTACCAGAAAGAACAAATTCTGGCTCACCAATATCTTCCTCCAAACCGCCTTCAGGGATGGACCACACTCTGATTTTGTTATCTTCGGAAGCTGCAAATGTGGTAGTGACACGCAGTTATTATTCCCAGTCAAACGTATAGTTATATACTCCTGGTCTGTAGCGTACCTGTCGCAATTACTTGATTGTTGAATGGATCAAATTGGAAATTGGTTACTTCCGAACCGCAGAGGAGACTCGGAATGTGAACTGGCAAACGGCCAGGTTTGTCCACAGAGATAATGCCAACCCGACCGCCAGGGCCGGTAATGGGAACCGCAATGAATGATGTATTTGCCTACACTCAACTGTAAGGACAAGTCAAGAGAACAGCGAAGCATTTTTACACCATACCTGAATCAAGTCGAATGTACCACTCTTATTGATGCTCAAACCTCGAAGATCATCATAGTAGGTGCTTGGATGGTAGAATTTTCCAACGAGGTATTTGTATGGTGAAACATTGGCCGCTCCATAACGAGGTGTTTTCTTTGCAGGAGGTTTGGCGGGTTTGGACTGATCATTGTCTCCTTGTTCGGCCGCAGCAGTCTTGGCTTCGCTGCTTTCTGTTGGCTTGGCTGGAGTTTGCTTGGCTCCATTACTCACTTGTGATGTTACTGCAGTCGCCGCCGCTGAGGGGGCATTTTCTTCGTTGATTGGCTCTTTGGCAGGTTGGGTAATCGTCGCTGTCGATGGTGCCTTTTCATTGCTGACGTCCTCTTTGACAGGTGAAGTAGCTGCTACTGGTTTTGTGGATTCGTCATTTTTCACAATGCCATTTGCCTTGGCGAGAGCAGTGTGTTCACTTGATTTTCGCTTGGAGGGATCCAGCGAGACTTTAGCCACCTCGGCGGTTTTCCCATCAAACCACTCTTCGCCAGAAAGCGCAGGTACTATTTTGATGCCCATCAGCTACCATGGTCCAATCTTTTTCTGCGATGATCCTCATTTACCTTGACCCTTGGTGTCAGGGAACAATTCAGCATGGAAATCCAGATATTGCTGTGTTTGATAAAACCAACTTAATACCACGATGCAAACAAAAAGCTCGATCAAGAAAAAAATGAGTTTATGCTTACTCTTCTCGGTATTTGCATTGAGACAGTGGCCACAGCATTCTGGGTGACGGCGAGAACGCGGGCGATTTCTGCTTGCATGACATCCAATGACAACTTTGGCACCAGACAGGCTCCATAGAGAGAAGTGCCGGTCATACACACCATGTTGTCCGAAAGTGATGGAGTGGTTTGCAAGTCGGAAATCTGCATTGATCGAATCGTAGAATCGCCGCGGCTAATCATGTACATTGTCCCTGTATCCTCGTCGTATAAAGGCGTGAGCACTCCTGTGGAGGCAGTAAAAGGTTTCATTGTCAAAGGCTTCGAGAGATCACGGCTATCCCAAAGTGCATATTGTCTGTTTCGAAGCTACGAAACAAATACGTCTTAAATTTATAATTCGCTCTCCCATCCCAATAATATAACAATACCTTGTTGACTCCCACCGAGAATACATAATTGGAATCTCCGAGCCATACCACCCGCGAACCCTTGATTCCTTCATGTCCGCTTCCGGACTATTGCCCATGAGTCAGCATGGTTTCACTGAGAGGCATGCTGAGTCAGTGACTTACTCGCAGTACTTGTGTCTCCGCTCTAGGATCCCATACTTGAACTAGTGATTTGGCAGACGTAGCAAGAACAGAACCGTCCGATTTCCAGGAAAATGAATGAATCGCTTCTTTCTCCGAAGCAAGCTCCAATCTCGCATTTTCCTTTTCGATATCCCAGATGGTCACTTTTTTACCATCATTTCCCAAAGAAGTGATGATCTACCAGGCCGCCTGATGAATGATCTGTCAAACAACAAGTTTCTGGTCCTGTGCTCACCTGAGCAGCTGTAGGATGGAAACGAAGTAGGTCCACACGTCTTGAACTAGCAGTTAACGTGGTCAAGCATGTCGGGCTGGTCTTCTCCTCTGGGATTTTCCATAATTTGATCTACCAATCGGGCATATGTCCAGTGAGGTAGACGTGATTACTGATAATGCGTTAGTGATTTCCATACCAATTTATCTTCACCGGCCGTTGCTAACAAATTATCATCGAACTCGGAAAAGTGCCAATCGGATACGGCAGCAGAGTGTGCATGAAAAATGTTGGCTTCGGAAGCGGCGTTTTTCCCAGCACTGCAGTGGGGTAATAAGCCCATAGAACCACCGTCTAAAACAGTACGTCAATACAAAACCGACATTTACAGTTCTTCATGGTACGCACTAGCACCCCACTGGACAGCTATCCATTGACGACTGGCCTGAACGAGGTTGGCGTTATCAGATGATGGCGATGTGCTGATGGGAAGCTCGCAATACCAATGCTGTAAAAATTGTTTGAGTGCATATGCCATACCATTTGAGCACACAGTATAAATTTACCTCCTTCTTGGCCACATTTCCCGTTACGTTGCGATACTTGTTAAGATTCTGGAATCGTTTACTCATGGAGTGGAGGTTATTTCGGTTTAACGACAAACCATCGTCATTTGGATTCCCGAAAAAGGCAATCGTTTTTTGGTGCGACTTTCCCTGTTCGGGATGTGACTTGTATCTTCAAGCACAGAGAAATTTTGGGATCAGTTCAGGCCAAAGAGGGTTTCTTCTCTTTCCGTTGTTGCTTCTTATTGCGCATCTCCCCTTTATTCGCTCCTCACATTCTCATGGACAAAAGTCAAGCCAAGTTCAACATGAAACGAGGAGCTTTCTTTGGAGGGACGGTAGGGTTATGTATGGGTATCGCCATTGGTTCTGCCAATCTCCTGGGGTAAAACACATACGTCGCCAGAGTTATAGAAAAACCGGATTCCTAAAGTGCGAAAAAAAAAATTGGTAGATTCAGTAGCCGACCGTATGTACAGACGGTGTCTCGATACATGGCAAGCTCATTTGTATCCGTAGCAGCATGGCTCAGTACGTCAAAAACATGTCTCAATACAGCAAAAATTTACAATTATCTCACTGCAATGACAATGGAAATAGGTATTCGGGGGCTGATGTCACGAGAACGATTCCCCAGTTTATTATATCAATCAGGAGCAGCGCATGCCAATACACCATTAGAACACCTACGCTTGCTGAATAACGCACCTGCCTCCATTTCTCTTCCAAGGCCGATGCCAATATTCGTGCACAGCAGATGTGCATAAGTGATCGGCGATGCAATTTTTTTTTCTCCACCTTCTGTTCCAAGGCTCAGATGTCTCTTTCACTCGACGAGGCTGCAGGTGACAAAAAGCCAACGACAGAAAGGGAATCCTGGAAAGAGTATTTATTTCCTTTTGATGATATCCCACTGCGTTTGATGAATTCTATATTTCAATCCTGTTTCCCAAAAACAGCATGGACGCCCGACACAAATACCATACCCATTCAACCTTTTGTTTTTTATATGTATATGACACACGCCAAGTTTCAAAATTTATGGAAATGCATGTGATATGTTTTCGCCTTCCTTTAATTTTTCTTCATGCTCATGTTTTGTATGTCATTTGGCAAAGCAAATCGAAAAGTACCACAGCACATCAATGACATACATCCATCACGAGCGTCCACACAAATTTACTTCAATATCATTCTTTTATTTTCAAGACTTGTTCGTCATGTTTATGTTGTTGACCCGATCTTTTCCTCATTCGAAACGTTGCCATAGCGAAGTTTCATCATGCCGGTTTATCCATTGAAAATGGCTGAATATCAAAACCAATGCATTTTCCTGCAGTGACTTGCGTATAGTTATAACTTGGATTTTCGACAATATCATTTGGATAATGTCATTTATTTTCATTATTATGAAATAATGAGCATCATTTGATACATCCAACGAACGGGCGTCGTGCAAATAAAACTAATGTGAAATAGCCCACGTTTTGTTTCTGTGCAACCTGCAACACTGCATGCGGGTACTCCAGATTATTTCTTTTAACCGTGCTTTCCAACACTAAGCAAGGTACGATGGGAAAACATTTCCTTCATGTATTCCAGCATAATGAAATACAGTCATAGCTTTTATTCAGATAACAGCCGTTTATGTAGGCTACATTGCACTATATTTATTGAAACTCTACAATGATCGTGGTTCTTATTAACTTTATATTGCGTCTAAATGAGAAGTTTGTATGGCTCAGTGGCGATGGTGAGAATGATGATGATCATGATGTGGCTTTTCGCCGTTGCGAGGTCTCTGGAGATCCATGGCCTATTCAAAACTTTAATAAGAAAACTTCACGGATCGTGGGAAATCAACAATGACGCATGCAATACCTGGGTGATTTTGAAGAAAAGGTTCCAATTTTCATATGTCTTGCCGAAAAGCTCAGAGCTTGGACCTAGTATATCGAATAGAGATTATAAATTTTGGCTTCCACTTCAAGAGACAGCTTCATCACCCATACCGTTCGAATAAATGTATACGTCGCTCATTGAATGGACGCCACTCGACGAGTCCGTAGGAAGATTGCCGTTCCATTTGAGACCAGCTATGGTGCGATAATAAGAATTCACATCATGGCGTCAACCTTCATAATATTGGTACGTACCTCCAAAATTACCAGCAGCGTCTTTTATGTTGGCTACAACACCATGGACTGGATCCTTGGTGCCAGGCTTGCGTGAACCCGTAGTCGACATTTGCCAAGCTTCATAATGATCAGGACCATTATTGGTGCCAGCTGCCAGCGTAATACGGGGTGCCTATGATAGCGGTTCAATCAAGACTGATGTTGTCATATTGCTTGTAAACTAAGGCTTACCCAGTCATCAGGGAAACCATCACCGTCGGCATCTGTAAAGCCAGTCCAGCCAGAATGTTCGTAGACACCAATGGTACTGCGTTTGCCCTTATCTGTATTCTCCCTTTTGATGCGCTCACGATCAACGGTACCCCAGACATCGAAAGAGTGAGCATGGTCAGCAGTGAAAAGGATCAACGTATCATCATATTCTCCGTTTTTCTACAGAACACTGCATCAGTATATGATAGTAGAGGGCTCGAAAATTCAAGCCGACAAGTACCTTTAACCATTCGACCGTCTTTTGGATAGTGACGTCAAGTTCGATCAGTTCAGCCCAAGCACGAGGGAAGTCAAAAACGTGCAGCTGCTTATCCACGGAGGCAGCTTCAGACATGAGGAAGAAACCGTCCTTTCCGCCTCGCTTCTTCAATGTCTCCAATGCCTTGATGGTCATATCTTGCAAGCCAGGTTGATCCGATCCTAAATAGGATGCATGTTTGTTAATTCAGTGATCAATATGTATAGATGTATCTGCAATTGTTACCCAAAGCATCTTTTCCGCTCATATCAGGAGCGGCCTTGTTGCCAATGGTGTTATTGACGAAGATATTACGTTCGAACCAACTATAGTAAAAAAAAAAAAAAAGATACATTAATTACGCTTCAAATTTTCGTCATAAAGGTCCTTCAACTTACACATCCATGTTATCTTTTCTGAAGATACCCAAGAGCTTGTCCGAGTCATGATAGTTCGCCAGGTCTTTCTTATTGAAGACGGTAGTGTAACCGCGCTTTCGGAATTCATCGTAGTAGTTTTTTCCGTTCAAGGTCTGCTTGCCAGTAAAATACTCAGCGCCGCCGCTGAGCCATACATCAGGAACAACTAAAAAGCGTTTAACGATTATTAAGATTCAGTCGATCGACTGCGAAAAAAAAAAATTATATCCTACCGGGATCGGTCCAATTGGACACACCATTGATGATCTGGTCCACAATTTCTGCCCCAGTAGAGCGACGACGCGTATGAGACACAAAGGCAGCAGGTGTTGCGTCCTGGAAAATTAATGAATTGAGTTACACTGTGTATTTAAGGTCCCGGACAAGTGGATTCAGGCTTACCGCTCCATTGGCCGTGGTGACAATACCAATAGCTTGAAAGAAAAACGGGCTTAAATGTTTATGTGCTGGAATGAAGAGCATGGTTACCATGAATATTTACCTTTCTTGGGCTGTCGGCGACGAATGAGTTCGGTGATGGTTTCGACCTTGGGATCATCAAAGGGATCTTCAGATGAATCACAGTACACGCCAAGAGCATTCACGCTGGACTTGTGACCTGTTGAGTAAGCCGAAGCAGAATTGGCCGAGTCGGTAGTCAAGCTGTCAACTGAATTGGTGATGATCATGCCCAGATTATCAAAGTCTTCAAAGGATAAAAGATTGTGGAATTTTCCGGATGTATGCTTGCGGGCAATGGCGCGAGTGGCAGTGATCATCTGTGAGACGCGGTTACTAGTGTTCATTTTCTCAAGATGTTGCTTTGAATGGAAACTTACACCAGTGTTGCCGCCATCTGAGATGAACAAAATCACATTCTTGGCTTTCTTTTTGGGACGCTTTGGCTACAAGCGATCGTCATTTTTGTCATTACTGGATGTTTCGTTGCTAGCCATCGACATTCACTGTACTTACTTCAACCACGTCATATCGAACAGTATACGACTGCTTGGGACTGTATTGAACCCTCACATCGTAAGTGCCAGGTTCGTCGAACTTTAGCTTGCGATAAATGCGGGAAGATACGGCGACATTGATGGGCTTGTGTTCATCAGAGTACAGGGCATCGATAGAGTTGGTCCAATTAAAGTCCCAGTGCTCCAGCGGAGGCGTCGACAGATCGAAAAAACGATCAATGTCCACCCATTTACCATTACCACGACGGACAGCAGTTTTAAATTCATCAATTGGGGGAGGTGTAGGCTTGGAGGCATCTTCATCGTAAGCATGCAATTCAACCCTTAGATCAAAGTAGGACCCCGGCAAAAATTGCGAACTATGTATCAATTCCGGTAAGTACAAAGAAAATATCTGGGAATGGTAGGACATTACACATCGGGAGGGAATATGCAGGCATGAGGATCGGGACAGGCACCTAGTCTTGGGAACTGTCCTTCAGGATCGGCTTTCAGCTGGTAATCCGACGAAGCAGCTCCAAAGACAGATGAGACAAGAGTAGTAAACGAGAGTAGAAAAAGCGCTTTCTGTATCACCATCATTTCGACGATTGAGATGCCATTTCATGGTTTACTTGATTGCTTTTATATTAAGGATCCTTTAATTCAGGGCGTACATCGTACAGGGGGGCCACATCATTGATACGGTGCATGTTCGATGACACAGACATGCCCACGTTGACAAAAACATTGTTTTAGACTGGTTTGCTGGGATATTACCAATCTTAAAGCTCAAGCTGTTCAGTTGCACAAAGACCAGGAAAATTCCCTCTAGATCACCGCTACGATATCATGGACGATACAGGGTAGTCCATTGGTCAGATCAGTTCCACGTGGAAAAATGGACGATAACTTCATCTCTGAGAACTATTCCCACAGGTAGGCAAAAGAACTTTCCAATTGTGTGGACGCGCACGGCTTCCAAATTGTGGTTTCCATGCTAACCATAGCATTGAAAGAAGCTTCGGACGAATTTAATGGGACGATGATGCGTCCCTGCATCTAGAGAAAAAAGGGGATGTCCGCCACAGAAATGCGCACGTGCTGACTGGATGTCAGATCATTTATGCTGCCGAACTTCAGAAACTCCGAATGATCATCTACGTTACACGTTGCAAAGTTGGTGTCAGTGCAAAGATCCTGCTGCCAGAGAATGGCATCTAATTTAGTGGTGCAACCATAGACGGATTATGTCTGCGATCTAGCAACTTTAGTATGTTCACTGTTGTTGTAAGATGGCAATGAAAAAAAAGTTAACTGTTAATTGAAGGGTCCGTCTGGTTTGTGGTTTGAGCTATACAGCACTAATCTACGATAAATTTATTCATTGGTTTTTTTTTTCTCTTTTTGGGGACAGAGATGATAACAAACTAATGGAGAAGCGAGTAGAGGGAGAGATGGAGAATGATGTTCGGACAATAAAAAGAAAAAGATCGACAAGGCCTCAGCTTGATTTTAACAGAAATAGTCGAAAAATAGCAAATTTTGTAAAGGGGAAAACAAAACAAAAAAAGAAAAAGGGAGATCTATTTAAAGAAGGAACCATGCGGCAGCACCAACACATGCAGCAACTAAGGAACCACCAACGCGAAGGTTGGCGCCGGCACCAGTACGGCGGGTGGTGGTAGAGGGTCTGTGCGCAACGGAGGTACGGCTTGCGCTGCCACTGACGTTGGAAGCAGGACCACTGGCTGCGCTGGTAGGAGCAGCACCGTTCATAGATGACGAGGAACCAGCAGCAGATGAGGAAGCGGCCGAAGAGGGAGCACCAGCAGCCGCTGATGAAGTAGAAGATGATTGAGCAGCAGCACCGATCTTTAAGGGATTCACGGTGATTTGACCGTTGCCCTTCATTTGGTTCTTTCCACCTTGTTTGCCTTCCCAACCACCATCCTTGCCATTTTCATCATCCCATTTGCCTCCCTTTCCTCCCTTGCCGCCCTTGCCGCCCTTGTGGTGATAATCATCGCTGTCGTCGTCGTCCCAGTCGTGGTGCTTGTGCTTGTAGCCACCTTTACCACCATGACCTTTTACACCGTATCCACCTTTTCCGCCGTGTCCGCCCTTTCCCTTCCAGCCACCGTGTCCACCGTGGCCACCTTTTCCGCCCCAGTTGTTGCCGTGGTTGCCCCAGCCACCGTGTTCGCCTTTTTGCTTGTAGTGATGACCCCACTATGGAAATTGTTACGAAAGTTAAGAAATCGATGTCGGAAATTATACTGCATTTTGACGCAGTGGTGGTCGGTTGCTTACCGGCTTGCTAACACCATCTGTCACTGTAGCAGTAACAGTCGTGTAGACGACGACAGGTGGTCTGGTCTCGAATATGACATCAGTCAATGTGATAACGTTATCGTGTTTCCACTTTTTGTGGTCCCATTCGTTATTGTCGTCATCGCCGTCATATCCGGCTATGAATGAAAGACGAATTAGTAAGCTGTAAAGTATTTGAGGCTAAATAAAGCAGGATCATACCGGACACGACAGCAGCGAAACCTGCTGCAAGAGCGAGAATTGAAAATGCCTTCATAATTGTATTTCTTTTTTGACTTTATGTGATGAAAATGTATGTAGAGATAGGGAACGGAAGTGGATCACTTGAAAAAAAGAAAAAGAAAACAGATCGAATACAGATATTCTTTACGGGTTTTTATTCGTCCTTCGTACGGTATATTCCCGAACGTGCCTTTCGCAGTAAGTACATTCTTTTCGTGGGATGGTCTATGGTTTGCTTAGTTTCATTTCAAATCATGTTTCAATCACAACAACCGCAACTACCTTGTACTCAATCGAACTTATTTATTACACAGATACAAAGTATCAACAATACTACGGTAGCATGGTGGCCGACGAACTGCTTGTAAGGGGACACTCAAAGAACCATGTTCGATCCACGGATTATGATCCTACCTATCTTTCAATATCCGAATCGGTTCAATTGATACGACCATAAGAAAAACTCCCGACTTTTTTTTTCTTCACGAAGAGCAGCTGGACATAAAATCTCCGGGAAAAGCTCTTGCAATTTCGAAATGCAGTATCCGTGGTTTTGATCTTTCTGCAATTTGCCATTTGTCGATGCCAAAAATGGTAAATGTTGGCGGAGGCTCAATTCGGTGGATTTGACACGCAAACGATGCTTAGCGAAGCTGCGACTCTTTCTTCGCCACCGTAACTGATCGAAACGCCATGGGTATACCTTCTCCAAACTCACATGCCGAACTTGCCAACACGCTTTTTAAAGAAGCACAGGAACTGATGGCGAAGAAGGACGATATCGAGTCGCAACTCAAGGATCTTCAGGAAGGTCTGAACATGCAAGGCGTGGGCATGGATGTTCCTCTTGTGGATCGTTCAGGATTTCCGAGATCTGATGTCGACGTCGCCGCAGCCCGTACATCACGCAATTTAGTGTATCGATTACGGAACGATTACAAAGCCATTATGCACGAGATTGAACTTAAGCTTCATGCCATTCATCAGGCCAAACGAGACGCACCGGAACGATTGACGACGGTTATAGCACCGGAGCAACCAGCGACCACACAACAACAACCTCCAGGCACTGTCTCAGAGGCTCAGCAAGGTGTCGTCTTGGCCGAAGAAATTCCATTTGCCAAAGTGAATGGTGTGGCCCCTGACTCACCTGCCGATACAGCAGGATTGAGACGAGGCGATAGCATTGTCCGCTTCGGTCACGTGCATGCTCACAACAGCGAAGGACTGCAAGCATTGAACCAGTTGGTACGTCAAAGTGAAGGCGCGCCTATAGAAGTGGTTGTTTTGCGATCGGATGCACAAAGAGTATCGTTAACGCTAACACCGCAGAGCGGTTGGGGCGGCCGTGGGACGTTGGGCTGTCACATCGTGCCTATCGCATAATGTATGGTATGACGATAGGGCCTCACCATCTGATGTAATATTTGAAAGGGGGGAATATACTAGAAAAAAGCAACATAATAACTTGCATATTAAAATTCTGAGCATTTGACGGCGGCACCAATCGATGGCCATGCTTTTTTTGACAGTGGGTGTTCAGCATGCTGTTGAATGCGGCCTTTCAAATTAAGCGAGGCATGATGTCGAAGCAACACATGACATTGAGTTTTGATCACTTCATATGGACAATCGTTTACAGAACTGTTTAGAAATTCTCTTCTATGTTTTCTCTGTTCGTAAGTTGATCAAACAAGAGAAACCCAAAAACACTGTATACTGGGGCTTCTTATTACCACTACTACTATTGGTTTCTTTTTTCATTCATCTATGTTGACGTTGGACGCACAGGAACACCCTAATGGACCGAGTGTTACTATACAGTTTGATCCCTCCATGACTCCTTTACTCTCAAAATTATCAGAAATATTTGCAAGGACGATGGCTTATGACCAAATAACAAAAGTAGAAGCTTTGGTACGCCCCATGTCTTTCTCTTCTGTCTTTCGCCCTATATTGACTTGCTATTTTTAACTACGTTACAAAATCAGGAAACGATCGCATACATATTGCCAGACCAAAGCTCACGAATCCATACTCAGCTTTTGGGCCTATTTTTACAGTGCAATTTTCTGGATCCGGTGCCTTCAACAGCTTACTATCGCGTCACAGGTACCCTCCGCGGCATTTTCACACCACTTTCTCAATGTTACAGCACTAGTTGCTCGCCCTCGAGCGGCTGTTATTCGCCTACATGTCCCCATAAACCGGTTCTAGGTCCGCTGTGTCTAATAGATGATGTTGATAAAGCAATTAAAGTAAGAGGCGACTTACCAGGACAGGCTAAACCATGGTTTAACTTTTAGCTTTAGCAACGCCGATGGATAGATCATGTTCCGCAAGCTATCCGCAACTCGATCGACCATCAAGAACTTATGAGACAAGCTGCGATTGCCGACTTTATTGTCAGTGAGCAGAATTACTGTCGTGATCTCGACATTCTGCATCAGATTTACCATGAGCCCATTTCGTTACAACCGGATTGTGGTATCGAGCACAGACGACGTGGTCAGTTTCTGGAAGACGTATTTAGTAATTATCGGCAGCTTTTTCATCTTCATCGGTTCCTATGGCAAGATTTGGTGACAAAGCGCCACGATGGATTTTTCATCGATCACGTCGGGTCGATTTTCCTTCGGCATATCACTCATTTCATCGAACCGTACATATGCTATGCACGCCATTACAGTAAAGCCATCTATATCCTGTCCATGGAGACGCGCAGTAACGCTGCTTTTCAACGGTTTTTACATCAACAAGACGCCCACGACACGACACGCAGACTAGGAATTCGCCACTATCTTAGCTCGCCCACTTTACGAATCGGCAAACATAAGCTCTTAATTGAAGCCATTTTGAAGCGGACAGTAGACGAAGGCGATCAACTGGCTTTACGCGCTTACATTGAAATACTTCACGATCTGTTGCGTCAGATGAACGCGGCAGCTGAACTCGCAGAAACAGAGACTTACCATTACCACATCCTGAAGTCGTTGTCGTTTCCGGGACAGATACTAAGGATTCAGCATTGGTACCAGCAGCTGTTATCGAGCAACGCAAAGCTGTTACGTCAAGGACAATTGTTGCTATGCCATTCACCTTTTGCACCATCGACGACACCATGTCATCTGTTTCTGTTCTCCAACGTACTTCTGATTACTTATACACGGCTTGATCCGCATAGAGGAGAAGAGTTTGTGATTATCGATCGACCGATTCCTTTGCCTATGCTACAGCTGGGGAATCCACCTTCGTTCATGCGACGCTTAGCTCGTATTCCGTACAGTCTTGCGAGACGACCATCTAAACTCATCTCGTCCCTTCGTCAAAGGCGACGGCCCGACATGCATCGACTCAGTTTAGCCTCGGATCCGCTCAACTCGTCATCCACTTACTCGCGTTTGCTGAAGTTACGATACAGCTTCCGAAAATCTTCTCCACCGGGCTCTGCTATGCCAGCATACAAAATGGAAACCGAAAAACAGCGCATGGATCTCAATATGAGCCAACTGCCTATACGCTCCGAATCCAACGGAAGTCAACTATCTTCCGTAGGTCCTTCACGTATTTTGAAGGTCTTCCACCTTGGCTATCCCGAATGCTCGTTCCGATTTGAGTGTGCTTCCATTGAAGAACAGGAAAGCTGGTGTCAAAGCATCCACGCTGCCGTTTTTCTACCCCGTCCGTTCGTGATGTCCCCAATATGTCTGGCATCCTTTTCGTTCTCGTTGAAACCCGTGAGATTAGGCCATGAACTTTTCTTTCCTATTGACTGTGGCCGCGTTGAATGTGCACTATCAATTCATAGATTGAATGGACGTGCGATGCTGGTTCTAGGTACGCAACACGGAGTATGGATGGGTTATCTTGATGGCTCGGGAGATTTCCAGATGGTGATCGCACAAAATCACTGTCAGGCGCTGCAAATAATGGATGATATGTTACTGGTCCTTGTCGGTACTAAAAGACGAGCATTGATCGGTTACCCCTTGGAAACGCTGAGCTGCAGTCTCCAGAAACACGAAAGCATTGCAAAACAACGTGGTCGATTCCTTGTTCGCCGTTCCCCCATCGTCGTATTTACTACAGGGATGATTCATCAACATCCTACGCTGGCCTACATCATCAAGCGGGCAGGAAAGCTCATATTGGTGATATCATTGAGATGCACGGCAACCAATGTCACGAACGGCCAAGGCCCGTGGTTCAAAAAGTACAAGGTAAACGTGTAGGATACGAACAAGAATATAAACAGCAACAATATTCATGTCAGGCAATTGTATAAAGGAGTATCCTCTCCCGTTAGGACATGTCACCGAGCTTCAAATTGTCCATGACACAATTTTCATACGTTCTTTACGCGAAGGTGTGGCCCGTTTCCATGTACCAATTTATCCTGCAAAAACTTGCTTCTCTTATTATCCCTTCAAAGAAGAATGCATCATGATCGAATCATGTCCTGCTGTAGGGTTCCTTCCGTTGCAACGGGGGTCCATATTGATCTGCACTCCTTCGCGTTCATGGCCCATCATTTATGGTTCGGGTCTCCGAAACGCCAATTTACCGTCTGTCATCAAGTCGCTCGATTTTGACTCACGTGTCGCCCATATAGCTCTCCTGTATCCCTACTTATTGGCGTTTTCTGACCATCTCATTGAAATTCGTCATCTTGAAACGGTAATGACATCTACTTATAAAATTTCTCATTGAATATCTCTCTTAAATATAGTTCATTAGGGGGAATTGGTGCAAACCATTATTGGTAGTCATATACACTACCTTTGCAATGCCGCACAGGATTCAACGATCTACTTCGCTATGGATCATCCCGAGAATCGAACCATATGCGTGTACCGTTTGTATAGTACTCTGTAATAGCTGGAATACAAAGAAAAATAGTACAGTTGCACTAGCAGTAACAGTGGGGGAAAAACTGGAAAAAGAACATGGTTGGCTTTCTAAATTTCGCAAGGAACGGCAAGTGCGACACAGCGAGAAGTATTTGTTTCTAGAAGAGGACGAGCAGAGTATTGTGGCATAAAAACACGGCGAAATTTGGAAGTCGCATTCCCGGTACTCTTATGGAATAACTTGTTGGACATGAATACGATACTGCCTGCGGGCGCCTCGACCACTTGTGTTATTGATGGTCCCGTTGATCCAAAGGCACTCAACGCAATAGAGCCATTATCTGCATCGACTGGATCAAGTGTCGTCCAACACGCCACGGTTGGCTCATCTTGTAGCGCTGCGTCTGCGTAATAATCTGAATCCTTCCGCATCAATGAGTATCGCTAATTGTCTCGAGGTGAAGTTCCGTTGTATACTTACTCTATGCCATGCAAATTGTGACTTGGAGGCTGTAGCCGGAGGTTTGACAATATATTGTTCATTGAGCTGGAAAATAATTTCGGGTGCATATGAGCTAGCGTGTCCATGTATTTTTCCCGGCTGCAAGCCCAATTACCAAGTACACACAACTACTGCCAAGCAACTTGGAAGCTGATCGAGCTATACTGCAGAGAGTTACTTGACTGGCCATGCTCTGATCCAATATACTGTTGCGTCGTTCCATGTAAGCGTCTGTTTTGTATGTGTAATCACGCGACCTTGGCGGATCAAGATACCCACAGGTCAACGGCTCTTATTGCAACGTGAACCAAAGTAGGTGAGCTGGCATGTCTATTGAAAGACGTAGCTGGCCAATACATACCTATGATACATCCCAAATCGCGAACAATATCGATATCTTCCGACATTAGGTAGTTCATCAGCATGTCGGCTTCTTCATGTAATGCGTGTAGTTCCTCTGGCGTCAAAGCTAGTACGTTTCTGTTTGAATGACTGCTTCTCTTCCTCGTTCTTCACATCCAATGCCTACCATTTCGAAGAATAGTGTATCCCAGACGATGAAATTCAGCAATGTTCTCTTCGGTCAGTTGACTCATTTAGCGGTTAGAAACACGAGTGACTCCCAGAAAAAAAAAGCAATTTTGGAAGCGCCAACTTTTTTTTTGGTCTCACTCGTTGCTGAGAATAACTGTATGCGTCAATCAGGTATTGGCAAACGTAAAGAAAGAAAAAAGAGGCCGTGTAATAACGTGAGAGGTTGGGAAATATCTAATCATGGAGAATGCAAAATAATGTACTATTGTCTAATTTATTCTAGGGGGATACCAGCGTACTCTTCGAATCCGAGAGCCAAATTCAAGTTCTATTAACACAGCATCGTCAGTGTCGATATACTCACAGGAATAGTTGACTGGTTGCAACTCACCTGTACTGCTTGAGTGGCAGCACCCTTTAATAAATTATCAATGGTAGCAGTAATAACGGCACGTTTACCGTCAGGATGGACAGCGAAACCACCGACACGGACGAAATGCTTTCCAGAATTATCACGAACAAAAGTTTCACCGTCAATCACCTTGACGAGCTTTTCACCCTGATAGAATTCTTCAAAGATCTCCTTGATGTTGTGGCTAGTCATCGTCTGAGACAAAGGAACGTTGACGGTCAGAGAGATGCCTTGGAACCATGCAGCCACGTGGGGAATGAAATTGACACTGGTGCCCAACTGGTAGGAGACTTCACGTTCGTGGATATGGTTGACCAAGCTGTAAGGTAATAAGTTATCATGCAACACCTTGGGATCGTTCTTGGGGCTGGGCTTGGTACCGGCGCCAGAGTAACCAGAGACACCAAACACAGTGGGAGCGCTGGCCTTGTCGAGGTAGGGAAGCAAAGGACGAAGCGACATTTGAGCGCCAGTGGCATAACAGCCAGGGTTGGCAATGCGTGTAGCTCCCTTCAATTGATCACGGTTGAATTCTGGAAGACCGTAAGCCCAGGTATTGTCAAAACGATAATCAGCACTCAGATCCACCAAGACTTTATCAGACGATTGACCGGCCTTGACATCGTTTTCCACTTGATTCACAAAAGGAGCACATACACCATTGGGTAAAGCCAACACCCACGCATCGACTTCTCCCTGAGCCTTCAACTCCTCGGGCTTCAAGTTCACATAGTTCAATGAAGCCTTTGTGTAACCTTCCAAGGGCTTGCCTTCCAATTCACGAGAGCTGACGTGGGTCAAGTTGAGATTGGGATGCGCATTAATGATGTTGATAAGCTCACGACCGGTGTATCCACGGGCACCGATCAACCCGACGTTCTTCTGGCGCGTAGCCGTAGCGAAACCGCGACGGCTCATGAAAGTTGAGTACGAACGTTTGCCGCTAGGCATTTTGGCAGCTTGGCTCAAAGTCTGGGATGCTTTGTCGGCGTCCAAAACGCCGTAGAAAAAGGTCGTGCTGCCATCCTTGGGGTTGCGAAGCGATCCATCGGCTCTTTCGAAATGCCACGAACGATCCAAGTGTCCGTCTTCCGTCTTGTTCACACGCCAGGTCAAGCAATCAAAGTCCTTGCGAATGATATTCCACAAGTTATCAGGAACGTTGTTCAACACAGCTGTCTTGGTGGCCAGAATCTTTTCAAGAACAGCAGGCTTGCCTTCGTCAGCATCTCCGCGGCTCACGATAGCCAACACCTGACCGGGCTCGTCGGTGTAGATGGTGACATTCTTCTTTTGCTGCAATGAACGAATGTAGCTAGCCACGGAAGTTTCACCCGTCTGAATTTCGGCATCCTCGGCTTCCATGATACGACGAAGTTTGTCGGGGTCCACTTGGTCAAGTCCGTCGTACTTGAAGAGCTTGTGACCACGGCGAATAAGAGTACCGGCACCAGAATCAGTGAACAACTCCTTGTGAAGATGACCGGCCGAAATGATGGCAACAGACGATGAGCGTGGAAGACCGTCCAAAAGTTCTTTACATTGTTTGATCTTCAACTTGGTACCATAGCGGACCCAGGATTCCTTGAGCAAGTCCTCATACTCTTCATCCAAATTGATTACATCAATCTTCTTGCCAGTCACACCATGATAAAGACCGTTCTTTTCGTTCAAGAAGACAATCTTCAAAGGCTCCAACACAGTGGCTAATTCAGCAGCAGCCACATCGGCATTGACATTGAGAATCTGACCGTCGGGTGTCTCGGCTAACGATGTCAGAATGGGTAAAGCACCGGCACGAATGGACGATTCAATGGCGTCCTTGTTCACACTCTTGATTTGACCGACCAAGCCGTATTTCTCCTTATCCAAATAATCGGCCACAAACACACCTCCCGGAATAGGTCTAGCCTTGGTGCCGTGACGTTCCAAAGCATCGACGAGTTTCAAATTCTCGGCCGCAAACACTTTACGGGCGATTTCCAAGGTTTTGGCATCAGTGATACGGATACCTTCATCATATTGAGGTTCGACGTTGGCTTCTTCCAATAAACGGTTCAACTGGGGACCAGCACCATGAAGAACGATAGGATAAAGACCCACGCGGTGCAAAAAGGTCAAAGCGGAAGCTAATGTCTCGAGTTCATCGGTAAGAACCGCACCACCGACTTTAATGACAGCGAATTTTTGCGATTCGACCGATGAGAAATGACGCAGATATTGTTCGACTTCTTTGCGCGATCCGATATTGTACAATAATTTGACAATCGTATCCTAATGAACCATCACGAAAAAAAAAAGAAAAAAAACCAATTATATATAGGTAAGATAATAGGATCACTTAGAATTCATATCTCGGTTCATTTTTTTATTACGATGGAGAAAGAACAGCTTAACGTACCTTTTCGGAAGATGTTGTATCAGTTTGGTAACCACGATGCAACAATAAAGGTCGGTGCACCTGTGCCACTCCCTTTGACACTAAATGTCGTGAGACATTGGGTAAGCACTTTGCAGTAGTCTTTCTGACTATGGACAACATAATCAAGGAAGAGAAAAAGGAGAAAAAAGAGGATGGGAAAGGTCGAAACCAAAGGGTAGACAGTACAAAAGAGGGAAAAGAAGAGAATTAAAAAAAAAATTTGTCGGCTCGCTGACTCGGGTCTTTAGTCCATGAACCGTAACCCTGACTCATCTTCCATCACCATTGTCAGATTGGAAGACCGCCCACGTCAAAAGTTTGGTTTCGAAGCCCATGAAGCAAGTCAAATCAATCAATTTGCTTGATATAAACGTCAGAGATAGGTTTTGAATAGGGTCGCTGGGTATGATGAATAGGTTGTGAACGTAATGTGATAGGCCAAGTCATGTCCATTGCGCTCAAAAGGTAGAAAAACATTGCAGTCTGACATTTTGTGGAGAAGTGTCTAGTGTCGGGGGTTGGAAACAAGGAGACCTATAAAATTGACCCAATTCTCGAGACCATCGAGAATTTTTTCAATCTTTGTTTCTTTGTCCTTCGATTTTCTTGGATATACACAACAATGGCTGGTGAAAAAGGAAAAGTTCTCCTCGCTTACTCTGGTGGTCTTGATACCTCTTGTATCTTGGCTTGGTTGATCGAGCAAGGCTATGAAGTGATGGCCTACATTGCCGATGTTGGTCAGGAAGAAGACTTTGAAGCTGCCCGTGAAAAGGCCTTGAAGGTCGGTGCCACCAAGGTCTTTGTTGAGGTAAGTATCAGTGTGGATTGACATCTGGCTCGGAACCAAAGCGTGGTCTTCAGTGATTTAATTTTATTCTCTTTTGATTGAATAGGATCTCAAAGAAGAATTCGTCAAGGAGCAGATCTTCCCTGCTATCCAGGCCAACGCTATCTACGAATCTGTCTATCTTTTGGGTACCTCCTTGGCCCGCCCTGTCATTGCTCGCAAACAAATCGAAATCGCTGCCCGTGAAGGTTGCCAGTTTGTGTCTCACGGCTGCACTGGTAAGGGTAACGATCAAGTCCGCTTCGAATTGGCATACTACGCCTTGAAGCCCGACATCCAAGTCATTGCTCCCTGGAGATTGCCTGGTATGTATACCGATCTTTGCCACCTGCTTCCTATTCCTTTTTGGAGGTCCCATCTCTTCAAAAAGAAAAACAAACACAAAATCTTTTTTTTGAGCCTAATGTGACCGCGACGACTCATATTTTTTCTTTTAACCTCTTTTAGAATTCTTCGAACGTTTCGCTGGTCGAAAGGATCTTCTCGCCTTCGCTGCTGAGAAGGGTATCCCTGTCGTTCAAACTGCTGCCAAGCCCTGGTCCACCGATGAGAACTTGTTCCACATCTCCTATGAAGCTGGTATTCTCGAAGACCCGAATGTCACTCCTCCCAAGGATATGTGGAAGCTTACTGTTGATGCCGAGGATGCTCCTAACACTCCCGAACGTATCACCATTACCTTTGAAAAGGGTATCCCCGTCAAGGTCGTCAACCACAACGACGGTACCGAAGTTACTGAAGCCGTTGAGCTTTTCACTTACTTGAACACTGTCGCTCGTCGCAACGGTATCGGTCGCATTGATATTGTTGAATCTCGTTTCATCGGTGTCAAGTCTCGTGGTTGCTACGAAACCCCCGGTGGCACTATCTTGCGCACTGCCCACAAGGATTTGGAAGGTTTGACCCTCGACGGTCACTTGCGTGCTCTTCGCGATCAAACCATCACTGTCCCCTATTCCCGCGCATTGTACAACGGTCTTTACTTCTCCCCCGAATGCGAATACTTGGCTCAGTCCATCGCCTTCACTCAGCGTAACGTGACTGGTGATGTCAAGTTGAAGTTGTATAAGGGTAACACTGTGATTGAGGGTCGCGTGGCTCGTGGTGACGGTGCCAAGTTGTACGATATGAAGGAATCCTCCATGGATGAACAGGGTGGTTACAATCCTCAGGATGCCGATGGTTTCATCAAGATTCACTCTATCCGTCTCAAGAAGTGGACTCCTTTGCAATAGACCGTTCCCCATCTATCCACATCTTTCCTCTCTTAACTGTTCTTTCTTCGTATCCAAAAACCTAGATATCATAAAAAAGAAAAAGAAAAAAGTCAAAGAATTCATAGATCATGCAAATTCACACAGCATGTCGTGTATGCTTTTATTCAACCTCTAATCTGTACAAAATAAAATTCGACATAGCACTGCATTATTACACCATATTGGTCCCTTTTTCTTTCTTGACGTGATTTCGACCGACGGAAGCCTTCTTTGGTTCTATTTCAAGCGGATCAAATTTCGAAACACCCCCATTTTCCCAACTTGAAGCAGCTGAAACAGAAAAAGCTTCGATAAGCTTTTTTTTTTATTCCGAAGCTTCGAAATTGGACACTAGAAATTGCGGGGCTGGTTGAATTCTTGAACGCAATTGGATCCGTCCAGCTGGCGTTATTTTTGCGTTCCGACAACTGAGCCTAAACTGCTCCACAATACATTGCTGTTGAAGTTTTTGCGGAGAACCTGTGTCATCGATTTATTGGTACACTAGTGAAACTAGACACTAGCTGGAAGCATGAGTAGGAAGATAGTTTTATTGCGCAACAGGAGATTGAGGCGCGTTGTGGGACAGTGACGGCAGAAGCAAGTAAAACCTATGCGGCAACACGTGTCTAAGCAAACACTTGTCGATGCACCTCGAGAGCAACATCCTCTACGCTGTCTGTCAGCATGAAATGGGCTATACGCACACGATGACTGCTGGAGAACCATAAAGTAAACGGGCTCACATTACGGGAATCATTTTCAAATTTTGGGTTGACCTGATCACTTTCCATCGAGCGCCCTTTATTAATAAAATAAGCAAAGTCACATTGCCTTTTTAGGTTATAACTCTACATAGAATTAGTTCTCATGCCATATTGCCATGGCCACATACTGTTCGTACAAAAACATATCAACCCAAAAAGGGACGTTGCCCACACACTTCCGACAATATATAAGAGAAAAGATTGCTTTTTGATTTTTAATTTAGCTATATCCTGTCACAGCTAAAAAATAATCTACAGTATGCCTTGCCGTTGTGGAAGTACGGATCATCGAAGATTTACGAGCTCATGGTGTCTGTTGAACATCAGGAATACAACCACTGGACAGTTTATTCAAGAGCAGCCGTTTATTCAAGAAGCACAAGCGCAGCGGTTTTTCATGCCTCTCCACAATGTATATACACTTTTTTCTTGATAAAAATTTCTCGAAATCCAAATAGACCTTACCAGACGCTGCCAATGTGGATGTACGGATCATCACAGAATGACGAGTTCACGGTGTCCGTGAATCGCATGAATACAACTGCTGAGTTTATTCAAGTCACCCAAAAAGGTATTTTACATATTCTCTTGGCAGTAGTTTATTCAAAATTATGCCCGTATTGTATACATTTGTCTTGGATATTTTCCAGTTTCTGAGATCCCGATAGATATACTTTGCCAATGAGGCGGTACAGACCAGCAAAACGTGCCAAGCTCGCTTTGTCCCTTACATTTTGGAAATATGGCTGATGACGTTGAGAATACCGTTCCACTTGCGCCAGTCCCTTCAATTATGGAAGGTATGGATGTCTCTTCAAAACTCCTCTGACATTGCATGCATTTAAGTTTATATTTTCCCATTATGTGGCTACCAGTTGAGCCAGCCGACGTTGAGGATACAGTCCCACTTGCTCTGTGTCATCAACGACGGAAGGTATGTATTTTCTTCAAAGATCCTCTAGACATGGCATGATTAAGAGCTTATATTTTCCATTTACGTTTTTTTATCAGTAGGCCATTCCACAATACTGCTCGCATCTTCTTTGAAGAATTTCAAGGAGGCGCTTCAATTCGAGCTCCAAACGTCAACGTTGATGGAGTAATGGACAATGGCAGCATGATCTTGGTCTGTATTTCCTGTGGAGCCAAAGGTTGGGAGGCCGAAAAAGTAGTTGGAACCCGTCAAGAACCTCGGTTTGTCGTTTGCTGCAACCGGGGAAAGGTCCAGTTGCCCGTCCTTCAGCCACCTCCTGAAGAGCTGCGACAATTGCTCACTGGCCAAGACGCGATCTCCAAGGAGTTCATACATTACATTCGAAAGTACAATACCCTTTTTGCGTTTACTTCAATTGGTGTTGAGGTATGTACATCACGGCAGTTGTTGCGTCGAGCCAACGCCCAACCAAAAACAGAAAAACGTTGCTTACTAAATTGGGCTTGATATACTGTAGATTGATGAGGATTTGGCCATGCAAGATCTGGCAGTTATACCTTCCGTATGCATGGCACTATCCATCATAGAATTACCCGATCTGCATCCTCAGCAAACTTTCAACCGAAATTCCCGCAATTATACATATATGATCCTGATATTCAGCAGCAACATCGGTCATCTATGTTTGACGATCTTCATCCCCAAATCCTACAAACTTTGCAGACGATGATGGCTCGGGTAAATCCTTATGCCCGCATATATCAATCTGCTGGAGAACACTTGCGAGGTGATGATACTGAAACGGGATTACGAAATTGTTCTACGCAACATGCATCATACCCGTCGCCTTTTACCCGGGGATCATCGCGGACAGTATCTGCAGCCGGCAGCCACCGATGTAGCTGCTATCATACCAGACAGACCAAGACAGCGAGGCAACAATGTCGGCTACTGCCGCGATGTCAGAATAAAGCTGCAAGGCAGTGGCGGTTTACTTCGTATTGATGAACGCCATCCTCTCTATGACCCGTTACAATACGTTACTCATATTCCCGAGGGGAGAGCAAGGATGGTCCCCACCTTCACCTTTTGGCCCGCACCCGTAGAATACCCAACCAAGACGATGAGGATGCCGTGCAACTGTCCAGTACAGCCATGCGATACTACGCACACATGCTGCAAGAGCGTGGCGACAACTGCTATATCTTTTTACGGCCGGCTCCTCCAACAATTTATTGTCGACATGTGTGTGAAAGTCGAACAACTTCGACTTGAATATATTCGCAGCAAGATGCAACCACACCTCCGTACCGCCATGCTGGACGGGCTGATGGATATATCCAATGGGCGTGACATTTCAGCCGCCGATGTGGGTCGCTGGGTCATTTTGCCATCATCTTTTCTGGGTGGCCCCCGAGATATGGTGCAACGGTATCAAGACGCGATGGCCATCGTTCGCGCTTTCGGAAACCAGATCTTTTCATAACCTTCACCTGTAACCTAAAGTGGCCTGAGATCACCCGTGAGCTGAAGCCTTTACAACGGCCAGCTAATCGCCCGGATCTCTGTGCTCGAGTATTGAAGATAAAGCTTAAATCCTTGATGGATGACCTGAAGAAAAAAGCACAGTTTGGGCCTCATCGCGTCCGTTCACGTAGTCGAGTTTCAGAAGCGGGGTCTTCCTCATGCACATATCCTTTTGATTCTTCAATGAATGTGATAAACCTAGAACACAAGAGGATTATGACCGCATCGTCTGTGCCCAGATACCAGCCCTCAACGCCATTCCGCAGCTTACCATACAGTACAGGTGCATGGACCATGTGGGTACCTTAACCCCAATCCCCCCTGTATGGTCAACGGCACCTGCAGCAAAAAATACACGAAGCAGTTTGCCGAAGAAACGGTCATTGTCGAAGATGGATACCCTCACTACAAACGTCCCAAGGATGGCGATCGTTTTGGTGCAATGATACATCCCGATCGACCACAGGAACATTGTTCCTTACAACTTATACCTTTGCACCAAATACAACGCTCACATCAATGTCGAGATTTGTTCCTCAATCAGTGTCATCAAATAACTCTTTAAATACGTCTACAAAGGCCACCACCGCACAATGGGATTTCATCGATTGTTCGCTCATTCATCCCCGCATCCGCTTCTTGCTGTTGCTGTCGTCGCTCCTGTGCACGTACCAGGATGCTCGATATGTCTCTGCACCTGAAGCAATCTGGCGGATCTACTCTTTCTCATTGCACCATCGATCACCAGCGGTTATGCACTTGGCTCTTCATTTGCCTGATCGCCAGTCAGACTTTTTTGACGAGAATGATACCTTGGAGAATGTGCTCCTACGAGCGGAGAATGATTTGAGGACTTTAAATGCATACTTTATCCTGAATCGGGAAGACGAGTCTGTGAGATATCTTTGCTATCACCAGCTCCCATCAGAATATATTTTTGTCAAGGGTTCCCGGTATGTCCGCGGTCATTGGCGCAGGCACCAGCGCGGACGGCCAGCAGTTGGGCGTGTTTACTTTGCCCCTCCGATTGATAGGGAACGCTTCGCTTTGCGTTTGCGGTTGCACCATGTGCCTGGGCCAACATCCTTTGAATATCTGCGGACACACAGCGGTGTACTATATCCATCCTTTGAAGAAGCTGCACGTGCCCATGGACTAATCAATTCCAGGCGAGAGCACTTTCAGTGCCTGGCAGAAGCTACGGCTGTTATTACGAGCATATCCCGCCTTCGTCGGCTGTTCGTGACCCTTTTGGTTTGGGCACACCCCGCCAATCCTGGAATTCTGTGGATTCTTTTGCCGAGCAGCTCTGTCTCGATTATCAGTATCGTTACCGATCCCGCAAAGAGGGACCAGATATCCCATTATGTAGAGCGCGGACTTTGGTTCATATTGATCGTCTCCTGGCACGCCAAGGAAAAATCGCTGGCCGATTTTCTGTCTACTTCGATTATACCTGGGGCGCAAAATGACTATGCATTATTTCAACAGCTACGGGATGCAGGGGATGCTGACTTACAGCAGGGTGATGATGACTCGCGTTTGGTCGACCAAGATATCAATACCCAGTGGCAAGCCTCAATCCCGATCAAAAAGCTGCCTTTGATACCGTCATCGCTTCACTTAATGCCATTCCGTCTACTGCTCTCCCAAGTTTGTTCTTTGTTGATGGCCCCGAAGGTTGCGGTAAACCCTTTTTTACAATGCCCTTCTGGCACATGTTCGCTATTCCGGTCAGAAGGCCATTGCAGTTGAGGCGACTGCAATGGCGGCTTTATTGCTCAAATGGAGGGACGACTGCCCACTCGAGGTTCAAAATACCCGTAACTCAGGTAGTGGATGATACCATTACATGCAATTTAAATGTGCATGACGATCGTCAGATCGGTGAAATCCTCGATGCTGCATTAATTGTATGGGATGAGGCGCGACTGATGAACCGTTACTGTATTGAGGCTGTCGATCGAGCTCTACGTGATATTATGAGGGTATCGGATCCTTCCACAGCATATATTCCATTCGGAGGCAAGGTTGTTGTCTTTGGAGACGACTTTAGCAAGTCCTACCCGTAATCCGAAAAGGCACACGTTCCGACACCGTCGAAGTTCCCATATTCTTCTCTTCTTTGTGGTCACTTATCCATACCCTGCGCCTTACTATCAACATGCGGCTACAGAATAACCAAGGCAATGATATAAACGCCATGCAGACGTTCAATTCCCTCATTTTGTCTCGCTATAGGCGATGGAACGACACATACCCTTCCCGATCAAGAACGTCTGCCATCACGGGAGCATATTCGCCTTCCTAGGAAGTGGTACATGCCTACAACGAACGTTCATCATCTCATTGCTGCTATACCCAAGTTTGGAGAGCGCTACATTGGATGACATGACACGGTTTTCCAACCATTGCATCTTGGCCCCAACAAATAGAGACACCGATGCAATCAACAGCATTTGTACCAACCGTTTCCCGGGACAAGAGAAGGTATATTTATGCGCAGATGTGGCTCTCAACCAAGAAAACACAATACCCCCAGAGCTTTTGGCCGCTCTATCATTCCCAGTATGCTATATCACACGCTATGCATACTGAATAGCCGTCTCATTTGATCTTTAACATAGAACTGCCAGGATACAAGCTGACGTTAGAAGTGAACATGCCTGTCATGCTGATGCGCAACCTGGATACCAAAGTTGGACTTTGTAACGGTACGCATATGATACTCAACTCTTTAGATGATCATTTCGTCTCACTGCCACCATCACTGCTGGGAACCATGTGGGCCAGCAAGTCACCATACCTCGCATCATGCTTTACTATGAGAAAGCTGATCTTCCGTTTACGCTCTCACGTCGACAATTGCCTTTACGTCCGGCTTTTGCCCTAATCATTAACAAATCATAGGGTCAATCCTTGGGCAAAGTTGGGTTATACCTTCCGGTTCCAGTGTTTAGTCATGGTCAATTATACTTTGCCGTTTCTCGGGTAACCGATGGGCAAAATTTAAAAGTAACACTGGCACACGAACAGGATAGTCAGCACGCTGTTGTGGGAATGACGAACGAGTTTCGTAGTTCACAAACGTGCATGGGCTGTTTCGGTCCGGTCATCCGACCAAGGAGGAAAGCCGTTGGAGCAAGTTCGGAAATACGCTCAGTTCACGGATCGTCTTGTGTATAAATATTGATTGTCCGTTATATCGAACAGGACGAACTATACAAAAACGGAACACTCAAGCAGCAACGTGCATCGCTCTTGCTGGTGCAAGCTCTTGCTCGACGGGATGACATTGCACCCATTTTAAAAAATTCAGCCATGAATCATATGCTGAAAAAAATCATTACCAACCCGCACACCGGTAACACAGACTCGACTACGAATTTGACAGTGATGCTGAATAGGAGAAATTTTAGATGCAGGTGCTGCGGAGACTTCTTCCAATGGGGGAGACACACACGACGTAGTGTTCGCGGGCATTAACGTAAGCATGACAGTTGGCTCATATCCGAAAATTTGAACTCATAAAATGTTTGTAGGTCTGGTAAGATAATGGCTTAATTCGTATTACAAAACGGAATACTCATCAAGAGAACGCTGTTTATAACTGCTCGAGGTTATCCTTTTGCTCTTTTGGTTTTCATTGTTTTAAGGTAAAGTTGATTTAAGAATTAGATCAACGGTCCTCATTCTAATATATGTCGTAGCCACTGACGCAAAAGGATAACCGAAGCAGCGTAAACAAAGTTCTTAAATCTAGTGGCAGAATTATGTAATAGATCATTCACGCTTTTCATTTCTGCATAGGCACCAAAAACTCCAAGGTATCCTTTATTTCGGCTGTTTAGGGCTTGCTACTGTGGAGTTTGATAAAATATGCCACCTGAGACAAATCTAGACCGGAAAAGACCTGAGCCCCAAACTATGGACGTCTGTCGCTGATCTATGAAGATGTCAAAGCTTTTCTTTTTTTCTAGGCATCAAATAAAGCAATTGCATGCTTCAAAACCGCTGTTTTAGCATACATCGTAATAATCTAACTCATTTGCCTTCGATGCTTTCGACCTTCAACTTGATATCAATACCCCAGATCCCCTTGTTCGATAATCTTCATCACCTGATAATAAATTCGTGGTACGCACATCTCATATAACGGTTCTTCAATTAATGGCTCATGCCATGGAACGTAAAAGTTTAATTTACATCGGTTATCGCTTTACGACGCGCTCTAGAATAAAAACTTACTTTCGGAATAAGGAACAAAATAACCATGGTTCCTGAATTAATCATCCTTTGATCAATCACAACATATTCTGAATCCCAAAAGTTCAGCATGAGCAACAAGCAACCTAACAATTAACGCAGTCGCCTCATTTGCTGGCGTCGCAGACGGCTCTCTGGTAAGCCACGACCTTGTATATGTGACTTTGCACATTTCATACCTCCACATTCCGCCTCACTTTGGGGACTTGCCTTGCAGAGCCAGATCCTAGCGTGTGGACTAGTTTCTGAACAAATTGTTAGCAAATCCATCTCTCTTCCATCTATCCGCCTACCGAGTTACTATGACGGCCCATCCCATGCATCAAAGAGCACTCACCAACTCAGTATCTTATTTTAACTTTGAATTTAATTGTCTTTGTCTTTCCACTAGGGCTTCTTTGTTCATTAGGTCTGCTCCGCCCACGGGGTTTTTGCGCGCTTTTTTTACCTTTGTTTTTTTAATGAACCCTTTACCCGTAGATCTCAGAGCGAGCAATAGTATGCAACAGACGTGTTCAATCACCCTTAATAAAAGAAGATTTCACTTTTGTTTGGTTTACTTTACTCATTGGATTCGTTTTCCCCAAGATTCCAGAGCGCGCAGTAGTCTGCAACGAAAATGTACTCATTCGTCTTAATAAAGAACAACCTTTATTTTACCTTTGTTTTCTCAATTTTTTTTTAAAAGAAATTCTTTTTCCATATGCTACTCAAAGCTTCCAGAATGCCTTACCTTTTATTTGCTCATGTGGTTTCTCTTTAGATGGCTTTTTTCACATCGAAGCAGGGCAAACAACAGCTCGAAACGGACGCGTCTTCATACACACCCTTATAATAGAAACCTTTTACTTTATTTTATTAACCTTTCCCATAGTTCCCTGGGCGAGCAATAGTCCCCAGCGCACGTTTGTTGACTCATCCTTATGAAAAAAAAGTGGGGCTCTTTTTTTTATATTAATTTCTACTTTGATATTTTGCAGTTCACCCGACCGAGGTGCCGTCGTCAGGATCTGGGTTGGAATTCCAATGGCCAGAGAAGTAGACTAAATGTGTAGCGAATAATAAAATACGGGAGGATAAGGTGATCTTTATTCATTCTGGTTTGAAGGATATTTATATGTTAGATGTTCTATTATTGATGACAGGATATGGTATAATGTCAGATTTGAGTACTCCTTTAGAGTTCAGTTTAAATCTGTAGTTTTTGTTCATTCTTTATTTCTACCATAACATGGTCATATTTATATTTTCTATCAAGATCATTTTTATGTCTACAATCTTCAGGAAGGTTCTCGTCAACTTCCTGCACGGTTTTCTATTATTCCGAAACATAACCAATCAAGAAGTATTGCGGACCACTTTAATGCTAAACGGATTCGGTCTATATTTCTTCCGTTTTCCAGGCAATACCTTTGGTATGCCTCGTTCATCCATTGGTCCTTCATACCTTCTCGAAGGTTCCTCCAGACATCGATCTGCGGACGAGCCAATGCGCTGTCTTCCGTATTTGCTAAACTTTGGTATAGCAAATCTAATCGGCGCAAAAGAAGAACCGGCGTAACTGACAATACCCCCCCTCTTGCCTGAAGTCCGTCCTCGGGCTTCGTTATCGAAAGAGGCATCCGAGTCAGAAAGGTGATACTGGTCAGGAGGTGGCACGGTAGAAAGATCCATAGGGGCATCGATGGGTTCGTCCAGCGTAGGATCTTGTTCCAACGGTTCATCCAATGAGGGTGCTATCTCGGTATCGTAAGGAGCCATTTCTTTGATGGGTTCTGTCGTCTGCAGTGGAACTTCGTTAATTGCCGTGGGTTCAACGGTGTCAACTTCGCACATAGCGGGGACATCTTCAAGTTCGGTTGAAACCACGTCGTCAGTGATGTCGGGGTCGTTCATTAAGTCCAAAGCGGGTTCATAATCCGAGCGGTCATGTTCGTTAGGGTCAATCGACTGAGACATTGGGGACATCGGGTCTGTCGATATTTCAGTGTCGTCGAGATCTTCATCACAGATTGTATCCTCTTGATCGATTGTTGCGTCGGGTGAATCGATAACTTCGTCAACCATAGAATTTTCGGAGTCATTCGGCAGGGCAGGTGTTTCGACGGCATCTTCAACCATGGGGTTTTCGGGAGCAACGATTTCTTGCGCATCGTGAGTGTTGGGCTCGTTCACGATGGCGTCAACCTTTTCGTGAAAGTCGTTAGATGGCGGCAAATCGCGTAATGCACCAGCAGGCCATTGGGAACGGGACGTTCGCACATCGAACCAGGGTCGCGTTTCGAGTAACTGTTCGACTGTGTTTGCTTGCTTCAGGCGATCGACATGTATCCAATCAGGTCGAACCACACCATCGAGACTTTCCAATAAATAAACATCGTTGTCGTCGTTCTTGCGTCGTACACGATAAGGTCCTTCCCATGAAAATTCCAATCCAACTTTCTGTTCCACACGCAACAAGACTAAGTCACCAATTTCGAACGTAATGGGCTTAACCGTAGCATCCCATCGAACTTTGTCACGTTCGGCTTGCAACTTCAGTTGTGTTTCGGCGTCTTGACGGGCTGATTCTAGCTTGTCCAGCTCTTCAGAAGGTCTGTTCGGGTCCACAGGAACATCAGGTTCAGCTAGATAAGGTCGTAATGGGTCACCAGGGAGCACAGGTTCTCGACCGTACACCAAGTAGAATGGGCTATGTCCAGTAGTAGCGTGTTTACGAACACGTAAGGCCCATACGGCTGCGTCCAAGTGTTGATCCCATTCATGAATTCGTCCACGCAAGTACTTGATGAGCATCGACTTCAGGGTTCCATTCAAGCGTTCGACTTTTCCGTTCGTTCGAGGATGATAAGCCGACGTAAATCGATGCGTTGCCTTGATTCGTTTCGTGTATCGCTGCAAGATTTGGGACATAAAGGCAGCACCACGATCCGAGAGAATCTCCTTGGGGCAACCAAAGCGCATGACGATTTCTTCGTACAAAAAGTCTGCTACCGCTGCTGCAGACGCCACTGGGACAGCTCGAGCAATTGGCCAATTCGTCAAATAATCCACGGCAACAATGATCCAACGATTGCCTTTACGAGTCGTAGGTAATTGACCAATGAAATCCAGATGCCATCGTCCAAACGGTTCCGGGACGTTAAGAGGATGCATCGGCGCTTTGCGAACAGATCTTTGAGGTTTACCGGCTAGTTGACACTCTTGACACTGCTGTAACCATTCTTCGATTTCCTTCTTCATCTGGGGCCACCATACACGGGGTTGTAATACGTGTAACATGGTTGACAATCCGGCATGTCCAACGGAATGGTGATAACGAGCAAGCAGGTCGGCACGTTCAACGTAAGGAACAAATCGGGTCCAGTGTTCATCGTTTCGGTGGTAGATTACGTCGTCCTTGATCATAAACGTATCGCGATTTTCCTTCAGCTGTTCTCGTACGGAC